ATGTAATTTATGTGAATGTTTCACAATTTCATTATCAAACAAAAAGGTTGGACATTGTGCAACCTCTCATATTAATGGTATGTTAATTCTTTTTTTAATAAATATTTAAGCTAATTCGAATCTATTTTCTGTTTTTCTTTTTTCCATATTTAGCATGTTGCCAACAATACCCAAATATAAACCTTTGAGTATATTGACAACACCACAGATGTGCATGCACTGCCACTGAAAATAAACATTAAAATAAATAAATTTAGATTATTTAACAATTATTCTTTATAACTGTGTTTAAACATTTTATTTATTATTGAATTTTCTTTATTATTTATTTGATAAATGTTTTATTTATTATATTTGTTTGTAAATATTAATTAAATATTAAATATTTTTAAATTAAATATTTTAAAATTTATTATTTATATTTGAGAGAATTTGTCATATTTAGGAGTATTGTCAAGGAGTACCCTATGCAAGTAAAATCGGAGAGGTAGCTGACAAGTTGGGATATGGTAGAAAACCAATAAGAAGACCAAGAAGATATATAGTTGCTTAATTTAATTGTTTATTATTTATTTTTTTCTAGATATAAGATGTCTAACAAATTTATTGATTTATTTAATGAATATGAAGAAAGTGTGTTAGGAGAAGTTGATAATTTGGTGATTTCAAAACAATTAAATATAAGAAGTAATATAAATCAAATTACTTTCGGTAAAGAGGATCAAATTTCATTAAATGTCGAAATACCTAAAGAAAATTATATAATAAATTTACCTCCTGCAAATGCAGATATTGTTTTAACAGAAACTGATCAAAAAATAAATGGAATAAAATCGTTTAGTGAAGTTAAAATATCAAATTTAACTATTGAGGAATTGAATTGTCCAAAAGCGGTAATCGAACAAATATCTTCTATTAACATTAACACTCTTAGTATTGATTCAGATAGTGTAATATGCAACAAAATTAATTCGGTCGCAGGATCTTTTAGTGATAATCTAACTGTTGAAACAATCAATGCAAATCAAATATCATCTAATAATGTTAATTCTAATTATATTACTGCTTCAAATGGAAGTATTTCAAATGTTTATTCAAGCCAAATATACAATTCTCAAATTGTTTTCACTCCTTCTATAAATACCAATACCATCTCTCCCTTTTCTGAAAACGTTGTAAATATTGGTGGACAAACAATAGTAAATGATATACAGATAAATGGAAAATGTAATCAAATTAATTTTATAAATTCTCCCACTCCTTTAAATTATTTTGAAATTTTTACCTTTAATGGAATTTGGAAATTTGGAACTGCTTCAATTCAATCTCCTTTTAAAATACAAAGAATAGGAAGTTTAGTTTCCTTAACAGTAACATCACCAAAATTTACAAATACAACTCAGAACTCTGCCATTATTTGTCAACAATTTTTACCACCAAGATTCTCTCCAACTCAAGATCAAATAGTGACTATGGGAACTGGAGAGTCTGGAACTATATTTCCTGTTAGAATTGTTTTAATTGGTGGTGGGTTTACAATTCAATCCCAAAATGGATCTATAATTTCTGTAACAAATGGAACAGTGTTCATAAACTCTTTTACTGTAAGCTATATCTTGTAGATTGATATTCAAAGGTTTTTCTTTTTAATTCATTAATATTTTTACAAGGATACTCTTCTACAAGAACAATATCTACCTCTTCTACATCCATTATTTTAATAACATCTCTCAATTTATAATTTACACTATCTTTTTTTTTATGAGCAATTTTCAAAGCACCCAAAACAAGAGGTAAAGTTGAAGTTGTCCCTCCATACCATTCGTTACCAGATTGTCTACCAACAATTTTATATATTTTTGATTTTTGATAATTAATCATTTTATTTATATAATTATAGTTTTTCAAAAGTTTAATACAATGTTGTTCTTGTCCCACATCTTTTAATGATTATAATTATTTGATATAAAGTTGATAAATAATCTGTGTTGGTCTTTCGACCAGTGGCTCCCTCCGCTACGCTCCCCCCACAACGCACTACGTGGCCGTTCTTCTTAATCAGACAAATGATCAAATGATAGATCAAATGAAGAGTATTCTCAAAAAGGGAAACTTTTGTTAATTAAAAAGTTTTCCATACATTTTCCATACCCTAAATTTCGATGGATTTAACGATTCCTCTCTTAATATTCAATAGGTATGGAAAAATTATGGAAAAGTTGAAAAGTTAATAAAAATATAAAAGTTAAAAAGTTACTAAAAAATGTTTTCCATAATTTTTCCATAGTGATAGATAGGTGAAAGAGATAATAAGGAATAGTGTTAAAAAAGTAAGATGGAAAACTATGGAAAACTTAAAAAGTTATAAAAGTATCCATTTTTGAGTTACCTGTTAATATTTTGCGAAGCGTAACCGAAGGTAGCAGAGCAACATATAGGGAGCAGAGCGACTATATATGACACACACACACACACAATACTATATGTATAAAAAGGATATATATTTAAAAGATTACAATTATATTTAAAATAAAATTTAAAATTTTTTTTAAAAAACAATTTATATCATTAAAAATAAAAAGGACAACAATACATTTTTAAAAAGATAAATCAATAACATTATTAGAAGAATAATAAAGGATTAAGGAATTACTTTCAGAAATAATACAAAAAAAATCCTTTTAGACTCTTCTTCATATTCAAAATGTAAAGGTTTTTAACTGATTTTACATAAACAAGGATATTGTTTTTTTAGAAAAGTAATTTAACAGATGAAACGAAAATAAAACAAGGAGAGTATAGTATAAAGAAAGTTTATTCTTTAAAGGAGTTCCCTATTATAGAACAACTAATATTCTATCATTAAGTTGAAAGTGGTAGATTCAAATTCAATCTTTTCTCTCATTAATTTAATATGGAACTGGATACTTAGACAATCTATCTTAAGCTCTAGATTCCCAGATTTTTTAGAAATTTTAGAGTATGATATAGATCTACGAATAAATAATATTGTTTAACTAATTTTAGTATATTCCCACAACTGTACAAGACATCTCACTTATCATCAATATTCTAAAACTCATAATATTTTTTACTTAAAATTCATTCTTAAATAAATTTGATATATAAACAAACCAGTCAGGACCTGAATGTTTTTTAAAATTCTTGGGTATTCTTGAGATAAATATATATACTAGATGCCATTCATTCTAAACTCAATAGAGCTCTTAAATGATGTTTATAGTGGTGATATGAAATGACACCGGAGTACTGCCAATCACTATATGAATCAATGCCAAACAGATTGAATCAAGTAATCCTCAACCAAGGTTATTGGACATCCTATTAATTGTTTTCTTTTAAATCAATTTAAATGTATATAAATAAAAAATATTTTATCACTTCAGAAATATTGCACAGTTAATTTTAGTTTTTTATTTTTTTTTTTTTTTTTAAAATGGTAAATATTTCAATTTTTTTCTAATAATTAATCTTTAACAAAGATCTATCTTAGAATATATTTATTAGTTTCTATAACAAATAAATGTATTACTGTTTGATATTTTGAAACCTCTGTCCGGTTTCATAGATTTTTGCTGTACCTGCGAAAGAAGTTTAATTTTTGGAGTTGTGTGACACCAGTCGGAACAGGCTATCTTGCTGAAATCGAAGGAACTTGGAAAACCAACAATATATAGAGATTCTCCAAAATCAAAACATCGATTCTATTCAGCTTTATCGTGGAAACGTACGACAATATATTCTAGTTCAAGACAATTGTCCAGTTCATAGCGCCAATAATGTGGTCAACTTTATGAGAGCTCGACGTTTAAAAAATCTATTCATACCGGTATACTCACCAGATATTAATATCATCGAGAACCTATGGGGAATAGTTAAAAAGAAAGTAAAGAATCACATGTACAGTCACCCTGGCGCGGATATGATGGAGGTGATCTGTGAGATATGGGAGGATATTGACCAACAATTAATTGACCATTTATATGAATCACTTCCAAACCGAATGGATGCTATTATACAGACAAAAGGCAAATGGACCATATATTAAATAAATTATTTTTTTTAAAAATTATTTTTTCTTCAAAACATCAACTGTCACCATTCCGTACTAAATAATTGTCATGTTTGAGTTTATAACTTTTTTTCTTTTTTATTTTTTTTTATTTTTTATTTTTATTTTTTTAAATTAAGACTTATATATTTGAATACATCTTACTTTCGTACTTATTCCTAATATATTATTTAACTTTAATAAATTAAAAATATAAAAGATATATACTAATCTTTAAGTTTGGTACTAGATGGTAAAAAAATAGTAATTTTACTGTAGAGTTGATCAGAGAATCAAGCGAATGATGCAATCCGTCGGACGTGAAGTACAGACCCAGGTATCTTTCAGCGGATATAGGTATCTTCTGGTTGTTAATGATCGGTGGGTACGTTTTCTCGTCTGTGATCACCAATTTTGATAATGACTGACTTGGTTGCATTAACTAGGGACGAGGTGGCATCGCAGAACATATCAAACATACGCAGTTTGGTATTAAGATCTTTGAATGAAGGTGAATAAGTGGCATCGGCGAATTGGTTGATTTTGAGCGCGTGTCCATGATCGTTTATTGGTAGTCCAGCGGCAGTGCACAGCCTGATGCAACGAGATAAGCATTCAATGACTAGAACTTTTTTTTTTTTTTTTTTTTTTTTTTTTTTTTTTTTTTTTTTTTTTTTTTTTTTTTTTTTGCAAAAAAAGATTTGTTGACTCATGATCAGTCAACAAATTGCAGGTATTGATATTAACCTGCTAGTTCGTGTTTTATATTATATTTACATTCTCACACAGGCCGTGAGAAATATAGCCAATAAAATGTTATTATTATTATTATTATTATTATTGTTAATATTATTATTATTATAATTATTATTATTATTATTTATTATTATTATAAATTATTAATTAATAAGTTGAGTAGTATTAGGATAGAATAGATCTAACAGTAGTTGCGTGTTGATGAACAACAGTATAGAGTGGTGGCACGTAGTTGCAAGGATTAAGATTCCAATCAGATTTAAATTTACGCGTTAATGCAGAGCAATCGACAGTGGCTCCTTGGGAGATTGAATTAGCGATCGTGAAGTTAAGCTTGTGGTAATTGGCATCGATTAATTTGGTGTAATGGGTGACTGCTCTCTTGACGGTATTTTCCAGCTTGTAATGGGTACCATCACCAAACATTTCACAGGACAGCGCCTGCCATAACGAATGTACGATAGCAGCAGTAAGGTGGGTGAAGTGGACAGTAGTACAAGTAGGACCGTCGAACTTGATGCACGAGTGCTTCCAATTGCGAAGTCTATAGTTACAGTACTTCTGGTATATATGTTTGATAAAGGAAAGGAACTGCTGTGAGACTACAATCCTGCATTTGAAGAAGAAATGTTCATGTGGGTTGCAGAGTTCAGTGAAGGTGTCACCACAGAACTCACAGACATGACCAGTGCGCTTGTGGTTGATGGGGAAGGTGTGAGAGTACAGCCGGAAGATGACCATAGGAACCAAGTGATTATTTTGTTGAGTGATTTGATATCTGATTCTGTGAATTTGTCAAGGTACATGTACCTTTGATAGTGTGTATGACTTGAGTATTGACATTTTAGTCCTTAGGGTTGTGCCAAACTTCTTCCAGTCTAAGTAACTTGAAGTTGAAAAAATAAAATTAAGAAGACAGATCTCATTTTTGTTTAATTTGACGATTTAAATTTGATTTTTGATTGGACTTCACAATATGCGGTACTAAATGCGATCCATAAACATTAAATCATACGCCCAATGGGGGGCTCGAACCCCCGACCACAAGGTTAAAAGCCTTGCGCTCTACCGACTGAGCTAACTGGGCAATTTTGGTGAAAAATTTGGTTCTTTCGGATAATATATTTAAAAATTTTGGAAATTTTTTTTTAGAATATCTGTATTGCAACTTTAAAGTTCATGAAATAATCAGAAAAAAAATTTAGATATCTTGTATCTACTAAGAACCTTTTTGGGAATTTTTTTTTTGAAAATTTTTTAAAAAACCTGGTTTGATAAAAATATTTTATCAGATAAATTCGCAAATATCTTTAAATATCTGTATTCGATTTTGGATTATTTTTTGTAGAACAGTGCTCAACTACAAAAAAAACAACAATTTTTTATTCTATTTTATTTTAATTTTATCTAAGATATAAAAATTATTATGATATCGAGGTGATATTTAAAATTGTAAATTGATCGAACCATCCATTTCAATTGTAGAAAACTTACTAGCTTTTTTGTAAAACGAAGAAACTTATTAGTAATAGAAGAGATAGAGAAAGAATAATGAATTTGAAATTCATTGTTTTCGCTGTAATTTTAAGTCAATTTTTATTGGCCGCTAATGCTTCGAAGCATTTCGCAGCGACCAAAGATGCCACCATTGTGAAACACAATATTGGATGTGCCTACTGTCCAGAGCAGAACTGTAATCTCTGTGGAGTTTACGATGAGAAACCAATGGTATCATGCGCCTATTGTCCAGAGCAGAACTGTAACCTTTGTGCCCCCTCCCTAGGTTGTGACTACTGTCCAGACAGAGACTGTGCCAAGTGTTCAGATGCCGTCAAGTGTGACTACTGTCCAGACAGAGATTGTGCCCGTTGCTCAGAGATTGTCACATGCGACTATTGTCCAGATAGAGACTGTGCCAAATGTTCAGATGCTGTCACCTGTGACTACTGTCCAGACAGAGATTGCAGCAGATGTGCCACCGAAGATGATTCCGAGGTTGCTGTCACCTGCGACTACTGTCCAGATAGAGATTGTAGCAGATGCTCCGAACAAAAGGTCTATTGCGACTACTGTCCAGAGAGAGACTGCAGTCTTTGTGCCAACGAAGATCCAAAGGTTGTCACCTGTGACTACTGTCCAGACAGAGATTGCGCAAGATGCTCAGAAGCCGTTACCTGTGACTACTGTCCAGACAGAGACTGTGCCAAGTGTTCTGATTTAATCACCTGTGACTACTGCCCAGACAGAGATTGTGCCAAATGCTCAGATGTTGTCACCTGTGACTACTGTCCAGATAGAGATTGCGCCAAGTGTTCCGACTTGTTGAAGTGCGACTACTGTCCAGACAGAGATTGTGCCAAATGCTCAGATGTTGTCACCTGTGACTATTGTCCAGATAGAGACTGTGCCAAATGTTCAGATATTTCAGAATCTGTCGGTTGTGACTACTGTCCAGACAGAGATTGCGCCAAGTGCTCTGATGTCATCACCTGTGACTACTGTCCAGACAGAGATTGTGCCAAGTGCTCCGACTTGTTGAAGTGCGACTACTGTCCAGACAGAGATTGTGCTAAATGTTCAGATGTTGTCACCTGTGACTACTGTCCAAACAGAGATTGCGCATTGTGTGGAAACAGAAACAACAGTTCAATGGCAAGCATGTCAGGTGTTACTTGTGACTACTGCCCAAGCAGAGATTGCAACCAATGTCAAATGGGTCGTGACAAATCAATGAAGATCTACACCAGCCAGAATATCTTGGCACGTGCACTCATTGGATTCAAGCAACTCGCATTGTCAGAGGTCGAGAGTTGTTTCCTCCAATTGAAACTCACTCGCGCACAACCACACCCAATCAAAATCACCGTTGCCCAAGCCATCTCCAATGATTGGGAGGAATCAGCCGTCACCGGTGACAATGCTCCAGCCTCATTGAAGTCACTCAAATCAGTAACCATTCCAGCCAACACTGCTCACTTCAAGATCGACGTCACACCAGCATGCAGACAATCAACATCGGATCTCTCATTCTACATCAGCTCAGAGTCTGACAAATTCGATATTCTCTCAAGAGATTCTAATCAACCTGCTACCATTATCATCAATTATATTAAAGCTTAAGCTTGAAAAAAAAAAACCAAAAATGTTTGATCTTTCTTCTTGAATTCAAAGGATTGACAAACCAAAACCAAAAACAAAAAACGTTGAAATCTAAAATAAACAACGCTAATATTTATTGTTAGTTTGATTTGTTTCATTCATTCATACAACCAAGTATTTTGCGATGTTAGCACAGCACAATAATAGTGCAAACATTTTTCATGCTTTGTGTATTATCATGTAATGTGAGTGTTATTTGTTTTTTTTTTTGCTTTTTGTAAAAGTTTCATAATAAGAAAGTTATAAGCAATTTTTCCAATTTTTCCAACGAAAAGTTTGATTAACATTAACTCCGCACCTCATATGATAAAAAATCAAAAAAAAAAAAAAAAAACATTGATTACTTTTGTTTGATATTTTATTTGCAAATAAACAAATCATAATTATTTTTAACTTCTTTTATTTATTTGATTTGCAATCATCATATCATAGCATTTCCTACACCAAATTAAAAAGATTAGAACAAAAGTGAAACAAAACAAAGTGACAATCGTACACCCAACCAAATAACAATCAATCGATCAATCAAACACAAAACCATTTTTGTTTTTTGATTAATATAATATAAAAGAATAAAGAAATAAACACACCCACAAACACACACACACAAGATATTATAACTTTCATCACTAGTTGTTCACATCAGCGTTCATACATAGAGAATTCGAAATATTATAACAACTTTATTATTCTATTCATTATTTATTTATTTATTTATTATCTTTTTTTTTTCAACTTTAATTTTATATATATAATCTAAAAACAAAACAAAAAACAAGAGATGGATGCAATTGGAGGAGATCAAGTTCAACAACATCTCTACAAAGTAAGGTTATTCATTTTATATATATACAAAGTTAACTTTAGCTAATTGTTCACGTTGATTTCATTTGTGTTATTTTTTTAGATTTTGGTGATTGGAGATTATGCAGTCGGAAAGACATCGATTATCAAGAGGTATTGTACGGGAATGTTTTCACCAAATTACAAGCTGACTATAGGTGTCGATTTCGCAGTCAAAGAGGTTCAATGGGATAAGAATACAACCGTGAGTTTACAGCTTTGGGATATTGCTGGTCACGAGCGATTCGGTACAATGACACGTGTTTACTATAAATATGCTATCGCTGCTATCATTGTTTTCGATCTTGGCAGACCTACAACATTCGAAGCCGTAACAAAATGGAGAGACGATATCAACAGTAAAGTAGTTCTAGGTAATCAACAACCAATACCTGTATTATTACTTGCAAACAAAGTGAGTCATATATGCCTATTAAAGAAAAGACCAAAAAAAACAAAAAAGAAAAACAACAAACATTAACTTTTTACTCTTTGATTATTATTATTATTAATATTATTTATAGTGTGATATGAAAGATTCATCGATTGACAAAGCAATGTTAGATAATTTTGTAAAGGAACATAATTTTATAGGATGGTTTCCAACTTCAGCACAGAGCAATATTAATATAGATGAAGCAATGATGTTCTTGACGGGCAAGGTTTTAGAGGTAGCCAAAACCAATCAACCACCAAAACAAGAGGAAAACACTTTGAATTTAACTGCTTCCGATAAATCACAGAACAATAATAAAAATAATAACGGTGGCGGTTGTTGTACATAAAATAATAATAATGCTATTAATAATAATAATACTATAATAATATAATAATATAATAATAAGAATAATAAAACTAAATCAAATAGATAAGAAAGATTCAACAATAATAATAATAACAACATTTTAAATCAATCAACAACAATTAGTATTACTAAAAAACAACAGTATAATAATACAATCCAAATCAAATTATATAATTTATTTCTTTTAGTTAAAAAACTAATAATAACAAACTCAAGAGTAATATTTAATTAAAATAAACTCATTCCATTTTAAATCACAATCAAATCAAATGAATAACTTTTTAGTGAGAATCGTAACATATGTGTGCTCATCACCATGATTTATTTATATCATTTGCAGATCTGTTTGAATGAATAATGTTTTTTGGGTTGGAATTCGATGAATGATTCGTTTCGAAATGATTTTAATTTTATTGTTAATTTTTGTAAATATATATATAAATAAAGAAAAGAATAGTTAAAGTATTAAATGTTTCATTTAATAACGATTGAAGATAAAGTTAGAATACCACCTAATCAATTTAATAATGAGATACAAACAATAGAGGATGAAATAGAAAAGAAATATAGTAATAAAGTATGGTTGTGTTTGTTGTTTTTCTTTGTGTTTTGAGATCGTCATTTACTTTTAATTAGAAACTAATCATCATCATCATCATCATTATTATATTATCATACTAGGTAGTTATAGATGGTGGATTATTTATTGCACTCTATGATATATTGGGAACTGGTGATGCATATGTATATTCAGGCGATGGTGGTTCACATCTTTTAGTACGGTGTAGACTAGTCGTTTTTAAGCCATTCGTAGGCGAGATACTTGAAGGTTTCATTAAAAAGTCAACAAGAGATTATATGCAATGTTTGTATTACCATATTATATAGTTAGTTAGTTAGTTATACTTATTATAAATTTCTTATAATAATATGAACATAGTATCATTAGGATTCTTTGATGATATTCAGGTTTTAGCTTTAGATTTACCAACACAATCATTTTAGTAAGTTGTTTGTTTGATTGTTTGATTGTTTGCTTTTTTAAAATTAATTAGCACCAAAAGTAAAAGAATAGTTAGTTATTAATGATGATTTATAAATATATATATTTATAGCCATGATGAAGAGAAACTTTGGTATTGGGATTGGAATGATAATCAATTGTTTTTTGAAGATAGAGGTCGTGTTAGATTCAAGATAGATACTGTCGAGTGGAACGATGCGGTATCACAACCTGCACCAAGACCGAAATCAGCGACACCCGTCAATCAAATGGATGCCTCTACACTGCAAGAGCATAACAAGCGTATCAAAGAGGAAGAAGAGTATCTCAAGAATCAAAAGTCACCGATGGTCTTGAAAGTATCGATGAGAGAAAGTGGTCTTGGAATGGTGTCTTGGTGGACACAAGCAGAGGGTGGCGAAGCAGCCGACGACGACGAACAACCACCAGAAGATGAGAATAACAACGACGACGATGATCTCAACGGATCACACGATAACAACGAAAATGAAAATGAAAACGAAGAAGAATTAGATGAAGATCTAACAGAAGATGAATGAATAAATTACTATTGAATTCTTTGTCAAAAAAATATATGTTTTTTTATTATATCAATATATCAAGCATTCATTCTTTTTTTAACAATTGCACTACATATTTCTCTAACTGCAATAGTAAATAATAAACATGTTTTAGAAATATAAAGAAAAAAAAAAATTAAAATTTATTCTTTACTGTTTGATTTCAAAAATAGTTTCATTAAAATTGAATTTTATTTAAAGGTTAATAATATTTATAACTTATAATATATATATATTTATATATATATTTATTATGACATCAATAATCAAATTTACACCACTCTCTGGTGGTGCAAATGAAATTAGTCCGCCATGTTACTTGTTAGAGATTGATGAATTCACTATTTTGTTAGATTGTGGATGGAATCATTCATTAGATCTATCTATTTTGGAACCTTTAAAAGCGTAAGTTTATATTATTTCTAAATATACAACAGTAGTAGAGATTGTATATAATCTTGACAGATTATGTATATACTTACTTGCTCTATATCTATTCAAATGTTTGTTTGTTTGTTTGTTTGTTTAAACAGTGTTGCAAATAAGATCGATGCAATTCTATTGTCATATCCAGATATAGAACATTTAGGTGCACTACCCTATGCTGTTAGTAAGTTGGGTTTGACTGGAACGATCTATGGAACCACACCGATATTCAAGATGGGTCAGATGTTTCTCTATGATCTCTATTCGAATCATATGGCACAAGAGGATTTCGATCGATTCGATCTGGACGATGTTGATCTCTGTTTCGATAAGAAGCGATTCAAAGAGTTGTCGTTCTCGCAACACTACACGCTTACGACACCGTCGTCGGCAACGATCACTATCACACCTTACTCTGCAGGTCATATGATTGGTGGTTCCGTTTGGAAGATCACCAAAGAAACCGATACAATCATCTACGCTATAGATTTCAATCATCGAAAGGAAGGTCATCTCGAAGGATTCTTCCCTGTTTTGCAGGGACAGGATCTGTTGAAACCGACTCACTTGATTACTGACGCGCGACACGCTCGTACACCACCGACAGCACTCAAGCGAATCGAAAAGGATAAAGCGTTGTATTCGACACTATTAAAGACGTTGAGGGAAGGTGGTAATGTGTTGCTGCCGGTCGATACTGCCGGTCGTTCTTTGGAGTTGTTACAATCGATTGAATCGCATTGGGCACAGCAGCGTCTGAGTGGCGCATATACAGTGATATTTTTGAACAACGTCACTTACAATGTCTGTGAGTTTGCCAAGTCACAGCTGGAATTCATGTCTACTGCGGCGGGATTGAAATTCGAACAGCGTAACGAGAATATATTTGCATTCAAGAATATAAAGTTGTGTCATTCCATTTATGATCTCGAGAATCTCATGGGTTTGTCGAGTAACTATGTGGTATTGGCCAGTGGAAAGGATCTAGAGAGTGGCTATGCGAGAGAGTTGTTTATAAAGTGGGCTGCCGACAGTAAGAATCTTATATTGATGACCGATTCGGTGGAGGAAGGAACACTGGCTTCGCATCTATTGAACGACCAACCAGAGAGTGTGACGCTGGAGCTTGGACGTCGTGTGGAACTGGAGGGAGAAGAACTGCGGGCATACGAGGAGGAGCGACAGCGACAGAAAGAAGAGGAACGTGCAGCAGCTGAAAAGCTGAAACAGGAGGAGGAAGCACTGAATCAAATGGTGTTGGAACCTGACATCCTCGATGACAAGATCATCGATATAACATTCAAGAAGAATCCATTTGGAAGCAACCGTTACGATTTGACACGAGATCAATTTGCTATGGAGGGAATGCAACCGATGTTCCCATTCATCGAAAAGGTTTTCAAGGTCGATGAATACGGTGAGCAAGACGATGAACTGTTGGAAATCGCGAGAAAACTCAATCAAGAGGATCAAGAGATGGAGCAACTCGATGAGGTGGATGAAAAAATAGAGGAGACACCTAAAAAGATTGTAAAAGAGACATTGACCGTTGATTTAAAGTGTAGTGTTCAATATATAGAGTATGAAGGTTGTTCCGATGGCAAATCAATCAAAACTATCATTCAAAAGATTGCACCGTCCAAGTTGATTCTCGTCCGTGGAAATCAAGATTGTATAGCGGAACTGGAAACACACGTAAAACAAAACATGAGAGTGAAAGGATTGTACAAACCGATCATCAATCAAACCATTGATCTCACCTCTGAAACCAATGTATATAACGTTGTACTTAAAGATAGTTTAATTAGTTCATTAGCATCTTCAAAAGTAAGTATAAACAATGAATTTTTATTTTTCTTTGAATATAAACTTGACTAACTAAATAACTATCTCTTTGCAAATTAATTAATTAATTTTTAAAACCTAGTTGATGGATTATGATATTGCATATATTCAAGCTAAAGTAATTTTAAACGAAACCAATATGAAAGCACCGCCAGTGTTGGAGCTGCTGGCAGAAGAAGAGATTGAACCACATAATTCGTCTTTCATCGGTGACATTAAACTTTCGGAATTCAAACAACTGCTCATTGATTCTGGCTATCAAGTGCAGTTCGATCAAGGTATCATTGCTGTTTCTATGAAGACCACACTGATATACATCTGGAGAGAGGAAGTCGACGGAAACTCTTCAATCCAAATCGATGGAATATTATCCGATGAATATTATCAAGTTAGAGAATTACTTTATCAGCAATTCCAAATCATTTAAAAAAATAAAATAAATAACTATTATTTATTATATATATATCAACCAAATTCTACATTATTTTCTTCTTCTTCTTCTTCTTCTTCTTCTTCAAATTGGTCTAATATCACTAAATTTCCTTATAAATAAACCTTTTTTCTGAAACCAAATTATGTTCCATCATCCAAATTTGATACTAATTAAAAATAGTGTTATTAATAATCACGTTCATACTTTAATATTATTTGATTACATACAATAGCACTCTGTTAAAATTGAAAGAAAAGGTGTTCTAAAGTTTGTTATCGTCAATTCATTTTTTGATTGTCCTTTAATTATATTTGATGTACTATATGAAATTAAAAGAGTAAGTATTAATAGAAAAGAAACTGATAACTATTAATATATCTACCTAGTATTTGATAATTTATTTTGTAAGGAGTTTGATGTTGATGTTGTGCTACTTGTATATTTGGAAAATGAAGCTGTCGCTGATGCAACTGTTGTCGTGTTAAACTTTAAACCATTTAGTTTATTACTACTGCTGCTGCTGCTGACTACTCTGGATGATGTTTTCAACATCGATCTATAAAAGGAATTCATTTACTTTTATATGAATTATATAGCAATGAACGACTAAAGTGGTGTACAATCAAAAATGACGATTGCTGTAGTTAAATTTTGATCAGAAAAAAAATCAAACAACAATCGTCATTTTCATCTTTTTTTTTTTTTTTTTCGTTTTTTTTTTTTGTTTTTCATTGGCAAAAAAATCTTGTTTTTATTAATACATTAATATCTTTGTTAATGTATAAATGTAATATTAATTTATTATGGTAATTTATAAAATATTATAATTATAAAATAATAAAAAATTCAAATTATGAAAAAAAAAAAAAAAGTTCAACAAAAAAAAAAAAATGTTGACAATGAAAAAAATCAAAATTAATTTAATTTAAGATATGTTGAGAAGTTCAAGGTTATTAATTAACAATCTTTGTGCCTATAATTGTTTATTACCAAAAACAATAACATTCTTTAACAATAGTTTAACAAAGCTGCAACAACAACAACAAAGTCAAAGACAACAATACAATCACCACAATAACAAAAACAACAACACATTATTATTAATAAATAAAAATAATAGTTATTTTGGTTTAAGAACTATAATGTCAACTTCTACTGTTAACAATAGTGGCAATAGTGACAGTATTAATATGAGTACAGACAACAACAACAATAACAATAATAACAATAATAATAATCAAAGTGATTCATCATTAAATAAACAACATAAACATACAAATAGATTAATTAATGAGAAATCACCATATCTCTTACAGCATGCTCATAATCCTGTAGATTGGTATCCATGGGGTCAAGAAGCATTCGATGCTGCCAAACAACAAGATAAACTAATATTCCTTAGTGTTGGTTATAGTACTTGTCAGTTAGTATCACAATAATATCATGATACTATTATTGCCAATTATTAATAATTGATTATTTATTTTATAAAGTTGGTGTCATGTAATGGAAAGAGAATCATTCGAAGATGAAACAATTGCCAAAGTAATGAATGATCTCTTTGTAAATATCAAAGTGGATCGTGAAGAGAGACCAGATATCGATAAGATCTACATGACCTATATCACAGAGACTTCTGGCTCTGGAGGTTGGCCAATGAGTGTATGGTTAACACCTGACCTTCGGCCAATTACAGGTGGAACTTGTAAATATATATCATTTAAAGGGAAACGAAATTGGCTATTAATGTTGATTTTTTTTATAATTATACTACCAGATTTCCCACCTACAACTAAATATGGAAGAGGAGGATTCCCTGATATCTGTAAGAAGATTAGTACAATGTGGAAAGATGACCGTAAGCGTGTTCTTGAAAGTGGAGCATCTTTTATCACCTATTTGAAGGAGGAGAAACCAAAGGGTAATAAGGATGCTGCTATCTCTTTCGATACTCTAAAGACTTGTCACTCTGAGATTGTCAAGCGATTCGATCCAGAGTTTGGTGGATTCTCAGAGGCACCTAAATTCCCGAGAACCTCAATCTTTAACTTTTTGCATCGTGTTCACCGACGATTCGAGTCGGACAACACTCTGGAGAAACTACACTTCACACTGGAGAAGATGTCTCGTGGTGGAATCTATGACCATTTGGCTGGTGGATTCCATCGTTACTCTGTCACCGAGGATTGGAAAGTGCCACATTTCGAGAAGATGCTCTATGACCAAGGACAAATTGTCAGTGTCTATCTTGACGCCTACCAAATCTCAAAGAATGAACACTTTAAGGATGTTGCTACTGGCGTTATCGAGTATGTACTGAGAGATTTGACGCATGTCGACGGTGGATTCTACTCGGCAGAAGATGCCGACAGTCTCGACGACAAGGGAGAGAAGACCGAGGGTGCCTTCTACGTATGGGATTACTCTGAAATCAAAAAGGCTGTGCCAGAGGAGTCGGACCTTGAGATATTCAACTTTATCTTTGGAATCAGTCCAAACGGTAATGTCTCAGCGTCGGAAGATCCACACGGTGAATTCTTGGACAAGAATATCATCATGCAATTCCACACATTTGAAGAGTGTTCAAATAAATTGAATATTCCAGTGGAACAAGTGAAACAATCCATCGAAAAGTCAAAGGTAAGCTTACTCAAGTTAAGAGCTAAAAGAGCTAGACCACATTTAGATGACAAAATTATTACATCTTGGAATGGTAAATATTCACACACTCATTAATGAGCTGAATCAAATACTAATATATATTTTATAAACTAAAAATCAATAGCACTCATGATCTCTGCTTTGTCAAAATCATTTCAATTGCTTGGTGAACAGAGATATTTGGAAGCTGCCAAGAAATCAGTACATTTCATTAAAACCAATCTTTACAATGCCGAGAAGCAAACATTGATTAGAAACTACCGAGAGGGACCAAGTAAAGTCGAAGGATTCACCGATGACTATGCATTCTTAATTCAAGCACTGCTCGATCTGTATGAATGTTGTTTTGATATCGCCTATTTGGAGTGGGCCGTTGAACTGCAAGCCAAACAAGATAAACTATTTTGGGATAAAGAAGGACACGGTTATTTCTCGAGTAGCGGACTCGACAGCAGTATTCTCTCGCGACTCAAAGAGGAGCACGACGGAGCTGAGCCATCCTGCCAGTCGGTGGCATGCAACAATTTGATTAGAATCGGAAATATGTTGCACGACGACGACTACACTGACAATGCATTACTACTCTTGGAATCGGTTTCACTCTATCTACATCGTGCACCAATTGTATTCCCTCAGATGGTTGTCTCACTCGCCAATCACTTGGAACCAACCTATACATTCTCATTTGCCGCCGACAAGAGTTCTGCTGAGTTACGTTCGCTCCTGGACACCATCCACACTTTCTACATGCCCAACAAAGTTTTGCTCCTCAAAGACACTGAGCATCCTCAGGATATGACGTTCTTCTCAGAGCTCGACCAACACGCTATCCTTTTGAAGTACACCAAACTCTACGACAAACCAACTCTCTACATATGCAGTGACGAAGGATGTTTGGCGCCAATCACCGACCAAGACAAACTCAAGAAATCGTGCGAGATGATCAATAAGGACCCATTTATAAATAGGGTTTAAATCTTGACATTTCATCAAAAATCAATTTTTTGAAGGACTTACGACATTCTATGTTTATAAATAAATGATATCAAATTAAAATACTATTAATATCTTTTTCATCGAATAAATAATTTTCATCGATTATCTATCTTGGTTAATATGTTAATAGAGAAATATACTTCTCACACAAGCAATAAATTATATTTAAGTTTTAAAAAACAAGTTCCGCTACGGCTACCGTGTTATGACTTACGCAAGGTCATTCATTTGTACTCAATAATTCTTTATTAATTTGATTAAAAATCTCAAATATATTAAATTCAATAAAAAGAATTATCTTATACAAAATACATTTCCTTGCGTTGACAGGCAGTGTACTAGATTTGACACCGATTCACCTAAGATTGCTAATCTCACGACAGTATCATTTTACATATTAATCATTACTAAAACTCTTATTTATTTAATATTAATATCAGATTTATCAGGTTTTAAGCCTCTATGATTAATTTTGTTTTTTTTAAAATTTTAAATTATAATAAAGCTCAAATTTAGACTGAATAAAGTGATGTATAAAATCTAGATTAATTTGTAAATTCATCCAGATTAAAACTTCAATAAAAACTAAATTAATATTCAATTAATTTAGGATAAAAATTCAGTTTTAATAACCTATTAATTAATTTTAAATTAAAATTAATCTTCTGATTTAGAATTGATAAAAATTTAAGATTAAATTCAAATTATTCGTTGAGAATAAACTCAAATAAATGATGGATTTACTCAGTAAATGATACTGTAGTGCTAAGATTACTATTTGTTCCACTTTCATGGATTCTAGTTCAGAAACCAATCCAACTATGATTAGTTTTGAGGATTTGCTCCAGCTTTCACTTTCGCTTCCTTTTTTACTAACCATTGTAACACATATGTAGCCCAATCTACCAAGGCCATACAGACTTGACATCATCCTCAACTTCCACTTAAAACGTGTCATTTTCAGCTATTTAGATTTTTTACCAACACATTGACAATGTAACTTGGGTGTTTATACCAGTGAAAATGATATTATAATGAATTTAAAATATCAGAATAAGTTATAACTGTTTAAATCTCATAAAATTTTCTCCAAAATTTAATTAAATTACCCAAAAAATAAAAAAAAAAAAATTCGTTTTTCCTACAATCACTTTTTTATTTTAAAAAAAAATCTTTTTTAAATGGATTTTTTCTATTCCTATGAAAATTTATAAACAATGGAAATAAATAATAAAAATATTCAAATTTCAGAGTATCGAAAATATATAATTAACATATTGAAGATCAATTCAAGAATTTTAAAGAATCTTGTAGGCTATGATCATTATTACTTTATTTAAAAATTTATATAGATAATAAACTCTTAAAGATATAATATGAAACAGAGGAAAGATTCAACCATATGAAATCTATTCAGTCTGCTATAAAATGATAAAAGAAATTAACAATGAAAAACAAACATTACTGGAAGAAAAACAACAATATGAAATGAAATTAAAAATTCTTTCCTATGATATATAATATTAAAAAATGATGAAATATTTTAACAAATTTTTATTTATAAATTTCTAGTTATATTCTACAATTGAAAATCTTAAATTTAAGAAATTACGAAATCACTAATAGAATTTATTTAAAAATCTAATTCTAATTCCTTCATTGCTGAATTGGAAGAAATTGATATTCCTTTTTTGTTGATATTATTATTATTATTATTATTATTATTATTATTATTATTATTTATATTGGTGTTGTTTAGAATTATAGGAGTTTGTTTATCATTGGGAATTGATTGCTTAGAGACATTTGGCTGTTCAATTACATTCTTTTTAAGATACTTTCTTATTGCTGATAATGGAACTACCAGGTCTTTCTCATCTGCTGCATTGGTATCGATTTCTTTTGGACCAAGGATAATCTCTGCTTGATTTAGGATAGCACCAAAGTGTTTGGTAGATGTCATAAACGGATGTCTTTCTAACATGTCCTCATCGTCTTCAAACACTGGTATAATATTCAAGTAGTACTGGAGTGGTGTATTTGCACATGCTGCATTTAATTCTCCCATAAAGTGGTTACAACCTGCAGTTCTGATCGATGCCAGGATACTCTGTATCTCTGGCTGATACTTTGGTGTATTGGCGATGGTAGTTAGAGTGTTCTGAATTTCTAAAAGTGTTTCATTATCCACTGGAATATTGGCAGATGGGTGAAGATTCTTAATGCTCCAGCAAAGTCCCATCATCGCTGGAATGTGTTCTACCAAGAAACCAGTACGAGCAGATGGCAATTCAAACAAGATTTCCCTTCCTTGTCTTTGATCTTCGGTCAATGGCATATCGATATTGATCTTTGATATCTCTTTACCTAGAGGGGTTTCATCTTCAGCACCACTGAGGTATACAAGTACAGCACAACAGAATGAGTAGATCAACTCTTTGGTATGAATGGACTCGTCAAATATACCTTTGACTTTACATAATAGTCCGGCTGGCAATACTTTGAACATTCTACCAGATCTGGTCAATCTAGTTTCAATTTTACTGAATAGATCACCAATACCTTCCAAACCATAGTCAAATTCAGGAAGTTCTGGAGCTATATATGGTAGTGAGGCAAGTCGTGGTCCACCATATTTACATAGATCTTCAATGACAAAAAGATCTTTGGAGAGTGAAGGGAAAAATCCGGGAACTACAAACAACTGGTTAATCAAGTCGATTGGATTCACTTGAATATTTATCAAATTTTCATCAGTCAATTTATAAGGACTTCCAGCAATTCTTGGTGCATTTTGTCCGTGAATTGCGATATACAAATCGTTTTGGACTTGAGATATACCGTTGTAATTCTTTGAGAATCCAGACCACAAGCTCATTGGTAGTATTCCAACGCCTTTAAGTTGTGGAAGGAAGCATTCAAGTGATGCATCATCTGGTATCTTATCAACCATGTGACCAAAAAGATTTTGAATAGTGTCTTTACATTGCCAGTTGGTAACTTGTTTGAGAATTGCTGAGAAATTTTCAGAGAATTCGTTTAGATATGGTTCCAAACCTGAGTCTTTAACGAGCTTTGAAAATGAACCTTCTGTAGATGCATATGCTCTTGTAACACCAGCCTTTCTCGCTTCATCTTGTAGTCTTCCCAAGAAGTTGATTATTTTCATTTGTTGATCGAATGAACCACTGTTAATATTGTTTTGATTTACCTTAAGCAAGTTGAGAATTGGGTAGGTATCATGATTTGCCTTTACATGTTCCAAGATTTGATGCTCTGTGAAAATTCCTCTTGATAGTCCTAAAAGTGAGAGTTTAGTTTTATCAATGTCTGCTTTTGGACTCTTTAATAGAATAGCTTCTGTAACTTGGAGTTCTTTGAGGATGTCAGTTCGGCCTGTTCTACAATGATTATCAAGTTCCACCAATAATGCATTTGGTGTTATTTCCATGCAAATCTGATTCAATTGGTTGGTGATGGATTGTTTATCAACTTTTACAAAGTTGGCAGTTGAAAGTTTCCAGAAAATAGCTTGAATATAATTATAGGTACTGGCATCAGTGGTTGAGTTTGTGAAAATCAAATTCTTGATATCCTGAACAATACAATTAAGTTCTATAATTAATTGATTCAAATTATCTGTTTCCTGATTGTTTTTGACAATTCTGTGCCATATCTTGGATAGACAAAATAGGAGATCAACTAGTAAGCTTGTTACAGGTGGAATTTCTCTGTTGTTATTTACTTGTCTGCCAGTTTGAGTGATACATTGATTTATTTGAATATAAAATAAATTTCCTTTGAGAATTTGAGGTAGTTCAGCCTCTAGTAGGGGGCGTAAGTCAGGTCTTATAATTTGCAAATGGTTCTTAATTTTATTTGCAGCCATCGCTCCAAATCCACGACAGAATTGTTCATGTGTTCCCCAATAGGTTCCATGAGCTGATCGAACATGTGCATGTGCATCAGTTCCACAATCCAAGAGACAATGGCCACAGAAACTACAACCACATGTACAATAAACTGAGAAACATCCTGCCCAATCAATAAATGCCTTCTGACAGGTTGGACGAGGACATTTTGGTACCATGAAATCTTCAATAATAAGACGATTTCTTCTTATTTCCACTTTTTCATTCAAAAGAGATTGAACAAATTCCTGACAATAAACCATTGGGTTACATCCAGTAAGCATGTATACAAAGAAAGATGTAACCATTTCCCTTTGATTAAAGTTAACAAAGGAGTTTCTTGAATTTATCAAGGTGTTTAGAGTTGTTTTAATATCATTTGACAAATGGGAAGATACTTGAGGGAGTATACTTGTAACAAAGTTGTCGATATTCTGTGGTTCAACATTCATTATGAATGAGGAAATAGATGCAATTCTTCCATTGAGATGGAGTGATGTTGAGAATTGATTGAGGGTTTCATTTGATTTCGATTGAGCGTATGACACCAAGGCGGTGATAGATTCACTAAAGTTTGTAAACGTTGATAGATTGGATACCTTTTGTAAAGCTCTCTTGATGTCTTCTACAACTGGTTGATTCGAAATTGATACTGGAATCTTTGGGTTTGTAATGATTTGGATAGCTTTCTCTATGTCAGCAGTACCTCCATTGCTGTAACTACGAAGAATAAAAAGAGCCATTTCACGTTGTAGATGAGGATCAATCAAGAGAAGTTCTTCAATGAGAGGATGATACATCACTGCTTTGGCGGTGACATCAATGTCCATAATCTCCAACAAAATGGCAACCAAAATATTTGCACGGATAAAAGAGCAGAGTGGAGAGTATTCTTTAAATAGATGAAGATACTCTTTGCTGATGGAACGGACTATATTCTCACTGAAGAGAACATCAATTAAGCAGTGAGATAGCAATGTGTATTGGGGAAGTGATTCATCCATGAATTTAGAAATTTCTTTAAAAATTTCAGTTTTAGATGGTTCCGGATGGGTCAACACATGGGTGAATGCATATCTGAACAAGAAAGCCATTCCACATTTGGTATCTTCATGTTTATCTACAAGATCAGATATCGATGGATCCTTGGAAATTTGAGAAAGAATAATGGTGATGAGTTCTTCATTTCCTAGGTTTTCATTTCCAAACAACTCGAAAAAGAAGTATTTGATAAACTTTGAATTCTTTTCTTGGAATAGTGAAATTATTCCTTTGGTTTCGTCAACTTTAAAAGTGTTTTCAAGTTCAACAAGGAGAATATTGGAATTTTCAATGGCAGAGTTAGCCATTGCAATTGCTTTAATAATCCTCCAATCAATGGATTTATCATTCTTTGTGATCTTGTCAACCATATCGATTCTATTCAATGGAACAATACCACCCAATCTAACCAAATCAAGTATGTCATGAGCAGAAGAGCCATTGAAACTATCAATTTTTTTGATATCGAATTGCTGACTACTTAAAGTTACAACAGAATTGAACCAATCTAGATTATCAAAGAGGAATCTATGGAAATCTAAAATACTGTCTAATGCTTCTGGATGGAAAATTAAAATCAACTTTTTGAGAAGTTGAATATTCGATGGAGGTACAGTAGTTCCAAGTCCAATTACATCGGTAAAGTATTTATTTTTTGCTTCCTTTGATATCTTTTCAAGTTTAGTATTCTTGATGAATTGTTCAACCCCTTCAATATCTTTGGCTAAGGAAAGATTGAAGAGATAGATAAAAACAAATGGAGAAAGTGGGAATGTAACTTTGGTAGCTCCTGTTTGGTGTCTAGATGTGACTGGGAAGAGGAAGTATCCACCTTTCGACTCTATGTTTGATTGAGAGTTTTTCAATGGAACAAGAGATAGACAGTCATTGATATTACACTTGGGGAATATTTCTTCACAATCTAGCAAAGAATAAAGAATCTGACATGATTCAAACTTTTCCAAAAGTTGAAGCGATTGGAACTGAATTATCACTGAGAATATATGATGGAGAACTCTTATGATAAATGGTCCGAGATAATCTAGGTATATAGATCTCAAAGAGTCCGATGAATATCTTGCTTTTTGGAAAGCCAGAGTACTCCATTTCTCCAAGGTAATCTCTGATTGTTTGATGTACCATACCATTTTCTCTATGATTTTGTCTCTTAAAAGTGATTCGTTTAATAAAATACTTTTAACAAAATCAATGCTTTGAGTAACTGTAGAGGATGTTCCAATCGATTGACAAAGAGTAGTCAAATTATCAGGAATGGTGGCAAGTTCAATAATCAATTCTGGAGTGAGTACTTCATGTAAAAATAGTTTATCCTTTTCCAATTCATTGAGTAATGAGGAGGTAATAATTTTTTCTCTATTTCCAATTGGACGAGGAATAACTTCGTCAACATAGATCTGACACCAAGCTGCATCGAATACCATTGAGAATTGCGAGGATGATGACTTGGAAGTGGAAGAAGAGATCTCGTCCTCAACAACAACAATGAGCACAACGTGTTGATGTGGTTGGAATGTTTCAGAAGAAACAGCATACATAAATGAATCTAGTTGGATAGATTGTGATGATGAATTGGTATCGAGGATAAAGATGGCCATTGAACTTTGTTGACTAACATCAGTTCTCTTAAGTGTAGAAAGTACAGATGAAATATCAACACTATTTGTTTGGTTGAGAATGGTTGTTTCACTGTTATGGAACACTTTATGGGTATTGTCCAGCTTTGTAAAAATCTTTTCAAATTGTTTGAAAAGTGATTCTTGATTCAAATGAATCTGTTCTGTGATAACCATAAGATGTTGTTGGGGTTTGTTTTCCTTTGACATAATTTCAGTTGCCATTTTTTCAAATGAGACATCACAATTATTGTATTTCCACATCTCATTCCAGTAGTTGAGTCGAATTTTTAAAGTATCTGGGGAGAATCCTTCCACCAATCTGAGTGATAGACGACGTAGATTCTTTCTTGAAAAACAATAATTAAGACGACTGATCACTTCATCTTGTGAACCAAAGGCATAGATAATAGAATCAAATGATTGTTCATTTAGTCCAGTAATGAGGAATTCAAGTAAATTCAACTTTTGGTCACCAACTGAAATCTCACAATCTTTAAGAATGTTGGATTTAGTTTTACGTTGTTGCGGAGTGAGTGCACTTTCAAATGTTAGCACTGTCTTTGAGAAACGATTGATCATTGGCGGGAGTACACTTGAATTTAGTTCTTGTTGATCTTCCAAAATGATACATCTGAAACTTGGTTGAACAAATACAGATTGAGTGATACCAGCCATTGACAACATGGTTTTGTGGTGGACTACACCTTCCATTCCACTGGTATCCTTAGTGTAATGAACATTAAGTGCATCGAGCATTGATTCATAGAGATGACGACTCTTTACAAGTATAAGAGTCTTTCCTTCTCTCATACATGCCTTGATTTGCATCATTTGTTGGACCAATTCTGATGTTGTGGTTGCTTGGTCCTTGGATGAAGAACATTGGAAAATGACAGTACAATGTTCCTTTTTGACTAATCCCATTGAGAAAAGTAGCAAGAGTGCTGCATTGGCTTTTGTAAAGATCATTACATGACGAGATGTGGTTTCTCTCAGCGAATAACTAATGACCTCTGGTGCATGGATTGCCAAGTTTGAATTGTCAAAGAATTTACAGAAATTTGATACCAACAGTGGAGTTGCAGATTCATTGAATAGTTTCAAGAGTTGTTCGTTATTTAACTCCTTATCTGGATTCTTTGTTTGCCATACTAGACCCTTACGATACATCATCATACGACAGCAGCAATCACACAGTGGAATAGGATCACTTCCATCATGACTCCACTCATGAGTTGCCAAAACAGTATCTTTCAATTGAAAACAAGATAGAATACTATTGGCTAATTCAAGTTCCTTCTCTTCTTCAGGGAATCCACGAAGATTTATCATAACAGCCCAACTAGTAATATGAGAGTTGATTTCAGATTCTCTAGCTTTGATTCTACCAGTTTGCTTGACCTCCAAAGGCATTGTTAGGGTACGTATGGTACTAACGGTGGCATAGAAATCTCTCATTCCGAAGTACCAAGACAATTCTTTGTTTGTCAGGATATTGTTGGAGAACGACAAAGAGAAATTCTTTATCCAGCTTGAGTTGAGGTTGGAAGTTCCTACTTCACGAAGAATTGACATAGCAGTTAGAGTCAAATCCTCTAGGGGTGGATTTCCTCTATAAACGACTCTACCTCTTCCCATTTTAGATGCGTCAAGTCTGTAGTTGGAAACACCAATGATTGGAAGTTTAACATATTTTCCATCCACCTCTATACCATTGTCAATCATTCCATGTAGGGACATCAATGGATTATGTTCAGATCCAAGAGTGGCACCTACTTCTTCAAGAAGAATGATATTGATTCTTCTCATTGTTGAGTTTGGAATTTTATCTGCTGCAATTTGGGCACGAGCAGCTCGAAGTGCATTGGTACGAATATGATGAGCCGTTGTATGTGGAGAACACTGTATCACATGACATTGAATAACAATACCCAAGTCTCCAAGGAAAGAACCTTCTCTTCTATTTGAATCTGTTGCCTTGATTAACAGTTCAAGAGATCTCGACTTGGTGGATCCAGGACGACCAACAATAAACAACGGAGATCCAGTCATAACAGAACAAAGAATTGCAAAACTATTTTCTTTTAAAGCTTGATTAACTGCCAATCCTTTGTCAATATCCAATCCAGAGACAATATACATTGCAAGCTCATCGAATGATGAATACATCTCTAAGGTTTCATAGGATGACGATAATGAAGATGGACTCTCCATAAAATTAGGATGTAGATTCTTAAAGTCACTTCGAATCTTAGACCAATGAGCTTGAATTCTAATTAGATAAGCCTGACGATTCTTTGCATCTAAACGCAAACAATATGTGTTTACTAAAGCAATTTGAACTGATTTAGTGAGGAATCTAAAGTAGGGAAACGGATTAGAGAGGAGTTCTTTTTGCAATGGAACTCTTGTCTTGCACCAAAATTCAATAAAGATAACTGAAACCAATTCACAGAATTTTCTCATCTCTCTGAGAGACACAACACTAATTTCTTTGTGATAGACATCATCTCGAATGAATTTTTGAGACTCTAAAAGAAGCTCGACCAAGAGTGTTCTAAAGTGTTTCCAATAACTCATTCCCAAAGTACCATCACCTGCATCTCTAAAATTATCACAAAGTTCTTGAACTTCTTTAATCTGGTTGATTAACCAATCAACCATTTTGGATGCAATGATCAATTCGTCTGGGATGATTGATCGATAGTTTATAAACAAATCTTTGTCTATAATTTTGACCATTTCATTGTATGGAGAGTTTGTTGTTGAGGAAGATCCCCAATCCCAAGCAATTGAATAGAGAGACTCTGGTGATTTGTGTACTTGGTAAACCAAATTGATATCCTTTCTTCTTGTTTGTTGATTTTCAACTGTAGACTTGTTTGTTTGTTGCTGATACTTTAAAAAGTCGAGTCCTCCAACATCCATCTTGGCAATGGATTCTTGTTGTTTGGCTGTTCTCTCTTTCCATGGGTTGAGAACAGTAACAAATACAATGTTGGTTGGAATACGAACTCCAAAACAAATATGGTCAATCAAAAGGTCCTTTGCTATCCACAAAGAAGATGTTGTATTGACTTCATCGAGAACAACTATAATTTGAGCATCAGGATTGTTTGCTCTTTGAATAATAGGTACCATAATATTGTAAAAATCCTCTTCTGATAAACCCTCTTGGACATTGATAATAAAAAAGTCTTTACCAGTGATTTTTGACAAAAATTGAAGTGTTTCTGTTTTTCCACAACCTGTTTCACCACTGATACATATTGGAACACCAGCTATCAAACGAGATTGAACCGCCAAAATACGAAGTACATTGTCAGCGGTCAGAATAAAGTTGGGTTTGTCTTTGTTGGATCCAAATAGACTATTTATAAATTGAGTACATTTAGCAATAAACTCGGTACATGTGACTTTCTTCATATCAATTTTGAATAGTTCGATAGAGTCCAAAACAGATTGAGCTTTGTCTGGGATTTGGTCAAGGGGCTTGGTGCCTATTGAATTGCTATTAGAATTCAAAGAGTAAATTGCATTGAGGATAAGCATAGCCTTTGAATTTCCACAACCAATGATTTGGAGGAGATCTGAAAGTAACGGATTGTTTTGATCAGCAGAGAATTGATAATTATTGATCTGGGAACAAATTTCTTGAAGCTTTGTTCTGTCTGTCGAGATATGAGATGCTTCCATTGTAATCCATTGATGGAAAAGAGAATTATCTTTGGTGATTGGTTCTCTCACCTTTATATATTGAAATGGAGAGAATTTACCAAAAGAAGTGACGTGGTAGTCAATGGAACTGGCAATAAAAAATGGAATCTCTCTCCAATCTTCAAACTTTTTCATTTTCTCAAATCTTTGGACATCATCCATTGGTTTAGTTGAGTCAAATGGAGCCATTGATGGTAATGCCAAGCTATAAGTGCACTTGAGAATAATGAATACATAATGGTATGCCAATTTCAAAAAGTCATAGTCCTCAATCTTTGCTAAAATCCAATTTTCAGAAAAAGAAGAGTGGAAGTTCTTGAGAACTGGGATGAGGAACCTGTAGTATCGGCGAAGGAACATTGTAATGGAAGTGTGAGGAACCTCTGGCTTCTCCATGCAATTGAAACAAAGTACTGTTTTACATGTTGTACAATGTGAATGTTCAATATTAATATTTGTAGGACCCTTGCATTTAAAACAAACACCGTTGTCGGGTGGTGGATCAGTGATTGATCTCACCATCATGTGGTCTGAAGGACAGTAGTTTTGCCAAGAAATGGAGGACATTATTTGGAATAGTTTCATAGGTGTGGGTATAGTAATTCCAGCGATTTCTTGTATGTAGGGAAGTTGCTTTCTTCCCGTTTCCAAAGCATTGAATATGGCAACCAATACTTTAGTACCAATTTCATTTTCATTTTCTTCGATAAAGCTGTACAAGATATTCGATGATCCACTCTGAATAGGAATTGGTCTGGTACATGATATACCTTGATCAAGAGGCAAGATATTGAAATATTGACAAATTGGAATACGAGTTAATTCATTTGGGCGACCAGTATTGGAGAGCTCTATGATGACAGTATCTTTTTCGTGACGAGGGAATGTAAATCCATTACTATCACGCCAACTTGAAATTAAGAGGTATTGGAATAGGAAAAGATTGGCAACAATTGGATTAACAAGATGACTAATGTTAAAGTGTATGACAATACCTTGATCCGATGTGATTGGTCTGGCAGCCAACAGTCGATTCAAAATTACATCCATAGGTGTCATATCAATAGAAAATTGTGCATGGAGTATAGGTCTTCCTTTATCATCTGCTTTACCACAAACAAGTTTACGAATGGAGCTAGTTGTTTTACCATCAGAGCAACTTGGGGAGTGAACCACCATGATATTCAATGATTTGGCAAATGGATAAATCAATTTAGATAGATCGGAGCATGTATCAGATGACAATTCTGTTTCGTTTCTAACCAGGATTGTGGAAATGTAGGATTGACTCTTGCTTTTGGTGACAAAGAAAAGTTTGGGATGATCGTCTCCTTTGATATCATTGTTTAGTGCGAATAGCTTCTGTATGCATCTAGTCTGTGTTGAATAGGGGAGGTCTTCAATTTTGATGATCCAGAATGTAGAATTCTTATTGTTGCATATCTTTGGGAATAACATCCACCTATTAAGGAAGTCCTCAATATCAACTACGGTAGTTTGTGGAGTGCAGAAGAGAATTTCAATTGGCGATGGAATACGTTTGTTTAGAGCAATATGGTTTCCACAAACTTCTTCTTCAAAAGTATTTTCATTTGAATTGATACGGACTAGCTGATAATTGTTCTTCACATCAGAAAGTGGAGTATAAAAAGTTGGTATATTAGCAACTGTAGAGACTTCATTAATTCTAAAGAATGTCTCTAAACAATTTGCCAAAATATTAAAAAGATCGGATGCTTTGTTGATATCCTTTGCTTGTTCGAGAGATACTTGAATCTTGTCTCTCATCAAGGTAGGATCACAACCAACCGATTGAAGTATTGCAAACAAAACATCAAGATTTTGTGTACGGAAAGCAGTTAAACATGATACCAACTGCGATCGAGAAAGCAAAGATAGGAAAGGATTCTTGTCTCTGTACCCATCGAAATACTTTGTCCATCTCTCAAGGATACTCTCTTGATCTTTGATGAATTGGAGTAATTCGCTTACTTTGAGAGTACAATTAATCTTGAAATCCTTTGATTGATAATCAGGTTGACCTGCTTCACATATCTTTTGAATGATATCGGCAAGATGGAAACATTTGTCAAACATGGTATTGAAACGAAGAACGTATCGTTCTCTATCTTCAGGTTTGGCAATGTTATCTGGTAGAGAATCATCAACATGACTGTAATCTTGGTTCTTTAAGGCAACACCACTGGAGAGTAACAATTGTGAAGGTAAAGCTTCCAACTCCTCCGGACTGACGGTTACCAACATCTTATGAGTGAGGTCAAGGTATTCTGCAGATACAGTGACTTTTTGATGTTTGGCCTGGATGTTTATGGCTCCATTTATCAAGATATTCTTGACTACTGCAATAGTTTGTCTGTCTTCCGATTCACTTTGTAGAGCCTCTTGGATGACATGCACATTTGATCTTTTGATGATGTAGTAGAATCCGGCCAGAGAAATGGTGGATCCACCACATGATTTGAAAAACTCTAATATTTCTGTCAAGGAAATTGCATAAGAAGTCTTTGACTTTATCTTGTTATAAAGTTGGTGTTGTAAAATTGACTTTGGTTCACAAAGAAGTCGAAGTAAATGGAGAATGACATGTGTATCATCAGTTAGGTCCTCTGACTGTCTGTTATCAATTCTAGAATTGAGTGATGCTATATCCTTAAAATACGACAAAATGGTCATGAGATCATTTTGGATCATAACAGTATGGAACAATGAAGGGAATCTAAGTATGATTTGATTGAAATCTGGATGTTTGTTCATAAGAGTTGTGTATGACTGATCAAGCTTGTTGTACATGGTTGTCTTTTTCTTGTTATCATCTCCCAAGACTGTACAAAAGTCAACAATGCTAGAATCCATATCTTGTGATACTTTGAGATGAAGAAGGAGGCTATGTATTCCATTTATATCATCGGCCATGATCAAAGCCAAAATACAATTGTGAACTTTCTTGAATACAGTCTGCCATTCAAAGGTTTTTCCAGGATGGATCTTCATATAGAGTTCGATTTCCTTCGATATAGTCTGCTCGAGATCAATATTCTTCTTCAGAGATTCGATCTCCTTTCTAACCTCTGGCTCATCCATGGTATTCATTTTTAGTTGTAATCCATGTGTCAATGAATAAATGTACGGATTAAAGAGATTCTCAACCATTGAGACTGGAAGTGTACCAGTGCATAGCTCTTCTATCACATTAAACCATGCATTAAAGTAGAGATGGAAGTAATCGACAACTTTGTCTGTAAAATCCATATCCTCTTTGAAAGTGACATGTTGACCAATGGATTCATCATTCCACAGCGTTCTGAAAATATAGGAGGCTTCTAATTCCTTAAATGTTTGTGGTACTTTACTAAAATATGAATTATATTTCGGTTCAAACCATTCACAAATTGGTTTTTCTAAAAGTGTTTTGAAATCTGTTGCAAAAGTAGTGTACATGTTGCCAGCTTCCACCTTAAATTGAGGACAAACTTGAACGGCTAAATAAGTATCCAAGAAACTTCTCCACACATTTTTAATGTTTGTGGCATGTTTTTTTCAGCGCAGTGGAGAGCGCCTTGATTTCATCAGCCTCTTCTTCAAACAAATAAGTCAAGCTCTCGATTATTGAATCAGAAAGAAAATCCAATGAATCGTTGGTTATTGACTTGTTTTTAATTTGATTCACAAATGTGATTGCATCTTCTTCAAGCGCTTCATTTCTATCAGGTACATATCCTTTTGAATATGCATCATCAAACCATTGGTTAACAATTTCAAAATGGAGGTAGTAGAAAAGATCACAATCAGAGTTGGTAGATCTATGAATTAGGCGAAGGAATCTTCTATGCTTTTGTGAGTTAGCAGTTGAGTATTCCGAAATGAGAGCTTTCATGAAAAGAGTCCAACTCTTTTCATATAGAACCTGAACAATTTGATCCTTGATTTCCAATTTTCCTAGTGAAATGAGGAAATCTTCATGTTGTTCTTTTGGAATGGTATCCAGAATCAATAAAAGACTATCCTTTTCCAAATTGTAAAGGATATTGTGATCCATTCCAATTAGAAGTTTGACTCTCGATAACATGGTCTTTCCCGCCGTTTTAGGAAAGTGTGAATGAAACATCTTGGTCAAGATTTCATTGTCTTTCAGCTTCTCTGCAACCTCAAACATTCCTTTAATATATCTATCATCTGAAGCACCTGATTGTCTCTTTAATGTCTCCACAACTTGATTGAAAAGGTGATTGAACCACACCTTCTGATTGTTGGATAGTTTAACTTTTCCCGAAATAGATTCAATTAGATGGATCTCATCTTCATTGGTAACAGACTTGAATTTCACAGAATGAAAAGTGAATGGGATATTATCATCCTTAACATCTGGACAAGTTTCCAAACAAAATTTCCATTCTTGCAAGTATTCATCTTTCTTCATTGACATTAGGCAATCCTTATAAGAGACTGCTTTTTCTGTGAAGAAAAGTGGGAGAATTTCTTGTTGAGACATTGATATGGCCATTGCAATAGTATTGATAAACATTGACGGGTCGAGCGAACTATATTGACTCCAATCTTGGATACCATTGATGAATTCTGATTCATCTTTTGAAAACTGTCCATTTAAAGACGACCGATAGTTGACAATTGCATCCATAGTGCTTTGTTTGTTGAAAGAATAAACAAAAGCAGAAACAAGGTTGAAGAATCTCCATATTGTCTTACTTTTTTTGGTTACAAGGTTGTACTTTTTAGCCAAATCGATTAATCCGGGATTGGATTTGAAAACTGGAAATGCTTTTTTGATAAGATCGATTCCAACTTCCAAATGATCAATTTTGAAGAGACTTTGATAACGATCTTTTTCCAATTTAAAAAGAATGATTACTATGGGCAATATGTTTTCTTGAGGAACACCACTATCTAATTCCAGAAGTTCAATAGTTGTTCTTGTATTCATCTCATGACGTCCAGAATTCCTAAAAGTTCGGAGTTTGTCAAAAAGTTTGGTGGTCTCATCTTCAAATCTTGAAAAACTTAAATTATTTGCAAGGAATTTGACTATGTCGACGTAGGGTGCAATTGAATTTATAGGGGCAGTATCATGATAAATCCTTCCATCAAAGGTTTGATTGCATGCTCCTAAATATAACATGTTGTCATGAGCATGATCGGCAAGGATTGTTCTGTAATAGGCCGTTACATATTTCTCTGGAACATCACCGACCTTGATTAAAAATTTAAACTCCTTCTTAGTTGGAGCTCTGACGATTGCAAACAAAGCACTATCTTGAAATGAACTTTCAACTCTATTGTCATTGACATAAAGTGAAGGCCTTTCTCTCAAGGGTCCATCTGGATTAACTTTGGCAACAAAGTAAATGTAGATTCTCATACTAACAAGATCATCATTTTGCTTTGGTGGAACACCATTTTCTAGAGAAGTGGTTTCCAAAACTTGGTCCACAGGAGCTTCAATAGCTATAAAAAATAATAATAATATATGTTAATAAAAAAATGGTTCGAAATAATATCACAATTTACATACCAGTGTTCTCCACTGCTTTGGGATTTTCAGTCATAATCTCATCCTGATCTTGGGTAGATTCCATTCTAGTTTTGACATTTGGTTTAAAACTATTTGCTTTTCCACCACGTGTCATTTCTTAAAAATAAAATAGTAAATATTTAGCTATAAATGATATTATTTAATTCAACATACCTTTATAAATTTCTTATGAAATAACTAATTAAATTTATTATCTCTTTTAAAAAACAAAGAATTATTATGAATTAATAAAAAGGTTTTAAATAATATTTTGGTTTTTGATTTTTAATGCACATCCAAACTTAAAGATTTAAGTAAGTGAAAAAAATTAGTAAAATTTTAAAAAAAATAAAATACTAATAAGATATTTAAATAACCCAAAATTTTTTTTTTGGGTTATTTAAATCAAAGAACTTACTTAAATCTTTAAGTTTGGATGTGCATTAAAAAAATCGATTTTGGGCGCCGAACTTTCGGATGAGACTGAGCTAAAATTTTGCAACACAAAAATAAAAAGTTTTTATGAAGATTTTTTTTCTTTACTAATTTTTGTTTTTATTTTTATTTTTTTTATTTATTATTTATTATTTTTCATTATTTATTATTTTATTTATTTTTTTTTTGTTATTTTATTTTATTGTTTTTTATTTATTATTATTACTATTTTTATTATTGTTTTTGTTGTTCCTATTTGCTTTATATTATTTTTTTTATTTATTTTTTTTATTTTATTTTTTCATTTCGATTTTTAATAAAAAAAAACTATCAATTTTTGATTATTAATTTGGTAATACTAGAACTTGATTTATTCTCTTGAGAAACAGAAAAAAAAGTTAATTTTGTGCTTTTCATTTTTTTTTTTAAAAAAATTTCATTTTACTTACATCTTTCGATGAAACCATTTCATTTCGGGGAGATCTATTCAATCATCCTCCGGGTTGTCCTTTTTGAATGGACACAATAAAGTTGGACGGGCTTTACCTTTTAAATATGATTCGGCAATAGTAACCAAATTAAATATATCAGATACAAACATGAAGATGACCAACAAAAAACTAAAATATAGTATTGGATATCAAGATGTCCAAACTCAAACTACTACGTTTGATTTTTCTAGGTATAAATCAAATTAGAATATGAATGAAGAACTCTTTAAGCTACCACCATTATACACCGATGGATGGCACCAGAATGTATTTGCAAGGACATCTGTTGGAACAAGTAAAGATATAATCAATTCAAAGATAGATTGTGTGTCTTTTGTATACAATCATTATACTTGGATGGTCACTTGTAATTTCAAATACCCTAATTGGAAATGTGATGCTGCTTGCATTCATGACACTGAACCACCAAAAAAGACCTTGGTTGTGGATCATTTAACTGGTTGAATGACTAGTACTCATTTATAAAACTATAAACTTTTTTTATCAATCTTTATAATAAACTTCCATACAATTTTTTCGTGTTTGTGATGGAACAAATAATTTTCATCGATTATCTATCTTGGTTAACATGTTAATAGAGAAATATACTTCTCACACAAGCAATAAATTATATATTTAAGTTTTAAAAAACACAACTTGGATTTAAATTCAAATCTTTTTAAAATACATCAATGACACTATTTTGTGTTTTAACTAACCTCCCTCACCCCACAACTCTCACCTTTCATCGAATAATCTCTCAAAAATTGCAAAAATAAAAAAAAAAACAGGGAGAAAAAATAAAAATAACTTGCTAAAAATAAATTTTGATAAAACTCAGCCTTTTCTTCTGAAAGTTTCATCACAATTAATCATTGTTACACTGAATTCTTATAGAATATATAAATAAATAATAAATTAAGGTTTTATTTTTCTTTTAGTAGTATATAAATCTTATAAATAAATTTTAAAATGGGTGAACAAAATAATAATGAAATGTATCCACAACAGCAACCTCAGCAACCACAATATCCACCAGGTTACGACCCACAATATGGTGCACAACCACCACAATATCCACCAGCTGGTCAACCATACGGAGCTCCACCACAACAAGGTTATCCTCCACAACAAGCATATCCACAATATCCACCACAACAACAAGCATATCCACAACAGGGTTACGCACAACCAGGTAATTATTTGATCAAAACCATATAAATAGGTGACGTGACATCTTATGTCTAATCTTATTTTATATTAATTTTCATTATAGTTTACGTACAACCAGCACCAACTGTTGTAGTAGCCAGTCCAACTGTAGCTCATGGACACCACTCAAATTCTGATCAAGATGTTATTCCAGCTGTTTGCATTTTCGTAATTGGATTTTTCCTTTGTTTCGTTTGGGTATGTTTAAACTTTTATTTTATTTTATTTTGTTCTTTGTTCTTTGTTCATAATATCTTTCTAACACACACAATTTTTTCTTTAGGTTGCCGGATTTGCTTATATTAAATCAAAGAACTCATTGGCAAAAACCCTTGCCATCTTATCGGTCATCTTCTTCTTTATCGGACTTCTCACAATTGTCATTGTAATTCCAGTGGTTGTTATTTTGGCCGCAAGAACTGCTGCTGAAGTCGATAACTGTTACTACAATTGTTCATCAAATTAGATAGAGCTTGTTTTTTTTTTGTTTTAACAATTAATTAATCTATCATAATAAATTCATTTTTTCTGTGTAATATTAATCAAATTTGTTTGATGTCGCGTAAACACCAAAAAAGCAAAGCTTTTGATAAAAAAAAAAAAAGAAAAAAAAAGCTTTTAAAAAAATTCAACGTGTCAAAAAAAAAAAACAAACTTTGCAAGTTGTCAGTTGAGAAGAAGGGGAGGTGATCCAAGTAGTTTGCCCGCCATGCAAAGTAGATCGATGAAAAAAACAAAAAAAAAACAAAAAATAATAAGAAAGAAAAAAAATATCTTTTTCAGTTACATTTTAAATTTAAACTAGTTGATGAATGATCATTCAGTGATTTTTTTTTTATAATTTTTTCGACCACCTCCTATAATTTTTTTTGACAAACAAACAAATATAAGTCGACATTTATCAAAAGTTTACACCCTACCTTTTTTTTTTTTTTGTTTGACAGATTGACAGATTGATCAATAGTCAGTTATTTAATTAAAAATCGATCATTTCATCATATTTTTTTTTAATATCAAACACTGGTAGAATTATTAAACATCACAAGCAAACAATCAATCTGTCTATCATATATTTTTTAGATCTTATCTTATTTTTTTCAGCAATAACCAAAAACAACCGAGAAAAAAAATAATCAAAGTTGACTATTATTATTATTTCATTCACCTTTCCCCCACACATCACCACCACCACAATCACCAACACTTTTGTATAAAGATCATCTTATCATAAAAGATGGTAAAAATCATATCAGTTCGTAGTTTGATAGTTTACGCCAATTTCCTTTTAATTCCCACAACCATTTGTTTACTATGGCTACTGTTACCCATCGACACATATACCAGATACTCTGGAACTAGCATGGTTTATTTTGTATTTATGTTTTTCACATGGATTTCTTTTTATGATTTAAATTTACCAGGTAACTATAGTATAATAACAATTTCAGTCTAACAACTATTTAACATATTATTATTATCAGGATGTTCAAAAATACAGATTGTAGTTTTCTATGCAATATTTATAGCGATAGCAATTGGTTGGTTAAATGTAGTTACCAAACTAAATGTGGAAACCAATCGTATGTCATATTCATTCATTGATGCGATTGCCTGGTTGCTCAGCTCGCTGTGCTACTTTATTCATATACTTGTACACAAGATCAAGAAGCAATACTACTACCAGGATGACACTGTCATGGATGGCTATGGAATCAAGCGAAGAAAGAGACGTTCGAAGCCATGGACAAAGAGACTCTCTAAAATATTCTGTTATTACAAGCGAATCGATATGGATGAAGAGGATCAGCGTAAACAAATGTTCAACCAGCAATTGGAAGAGCATCCACAACTTCCAACCAACACCACTGCCAACGTACAATATCTAAAGAGTTCTGCTGAATTTAAATATTCTGGAAATAACAATAACAATAACAATAGTAATAGTAATAGTGATAACGGCAGCCAGAATAACAGTCAAAATGTTAGTCAGAAAAATTCACCGTCAACTTCACTCACAAATTCGATAAATAACAGTGAGGGAAATACTTCAGAGGTTGTCAATTCCGATGGAACAGTTACTGTTTCTACAGTTGTCGCCAATCCAAATGACGACAGTCTCGAACACAAGATTGAGCAAGTTTTGGGTGAGGACGACACCGCCATCGAGATGACTACAACACAAAAGAAAGACAAGACAAAGAACACTGTCCAATACTTTAAAAAACTGGACCAAAGGATGATGGATCGATCGGTGGTGATGTATCGATGCGTGCCACCAACACCAAGAACCTAAAGTTGTCGCCATCGGTCTTGTTCGATCTGATGCCCAAGCACGAATTGTCGTATCGTAATTTCTTCACCGTGTGTATCTACCAGCTGTTTGTAATTGGCACCTGGTTCTGGCTACACAATTTCACAACACTCATTTTCGATAACGATCTCTTCAGTACGCCATTCCTCGCACTCGTCTCCATTGTCGTTTTCCATCTAAGTCGTCTCCTACTCAGTGGTATTTCCAACGCACTGAATCGTTTCCTCAAACCGCGAGAAATCAAATATTTTACATTCTTCCAATTTCCAATGATGTTTTTCCTTTACTATCGTAATCTTTTCCTTAGTATTAATTGTAAGTGTGTCAAACCCACAATAACTTTCCAAAAAAAAAAAATAATTTTTTCTAATCCAACAAACTATTTTTTTTCTAATCCATTAAATTAATATTAGCATGGGGAATTGCAGTATTGGTTAGTTTTGCATTGTTTGCGTTCGATATTTTTTACTATTTGTTGCATATGACCAAGAGATATTGGTTCTTTAGACATCAGGGACTGATCGATATCTTTGACAGACATCCAGATTCCAAGTTCTGCAGACTCCTGAGAAATACGCTCGAGGATCAGAATCCATCGTACGACCAGCACGTCCGTGATCTATCGGTGGAGTACTACTACGACAAGATGGCCGAGTACGTCAGTATCATCACGATGGTAGTGTTCCTCTCGCTGATACGTGCACTCAACTACAAGACACGCTACTACCCACGCTTCTACGACCTCTCGGACGACACACTCCAGCAGCTGCTCTGGCGATACCTCTATCTCCTGCTATTCGAAGTCACCTACGACCTCCTGATTCGACTACTCACCAGACGTCTACTGAAGATCGACATTTCCAATCGTGGACGTAACGAAACCATCTCCAATTTCACAACTAGATTCATCTTTACTCTATTCTTACTCTATAATCTCATGGATATCTATCATACCCAGATCGTCTATAGAGAAAGTTTCGACGACAACACCAACGCGACTTCCAGCAACAACAGCACCAACAGCCCCATCACAAATAACTCAACACTGTCCAATCTTTTTTCATAATGCCAACTCCACACAATAGCGCTTCCCTCATTCACAGTTTTGGGGGAATTGTCAAAAAATACAAAATAAAAAAATGAATAAATTGGAAAAAAAAAAAAAAACAAAAAAAAAAAACCAACAAAGTAAGTGTTTGATTAATTTTTGTTTGTTTTAATTATCCGCAATAAATATTAAATCAATATTTTATTTTATTTTTATTTTGTTTCTTTTTTTTATTTTTATTTATCAATATAATATACAACAATCATCATCATCATCATCATCATGATAAAGATGGATTATAATGATAATCCAGTTGGTCTAGGTGGATTCGTACCAACTTTATTGGATATATGCTTGACAAGAGTAAAAGATAATATTGATAGTATGTTGAAGATATGATATTGTTATTAGTTATTGTGATAGCTTTGTTTTTTAACTAATAATATCAACTTTATCAATATAATATTATATTTAGCTATAAAACAGATTGATAAAATTAATGATGTATTATTGCTTAGAGTTTTTGAGAAATGTTCACCAGGTCAATTGGCATCTCTTGAAACAAAACTTGTTAGTATCTCATAAAATGATATAGTGATCATGATCATCACTGTGATTTATGTATACATGTCATGTGATATTAATAGACTTGTTTACTTTTTTTACTTTTTTTAACAACAACAACAAATCTATATATTAGATAAATAGAAAAATTGACACAAGTGATCTTTGGAAGAAACATTGTAACATTAGTTTTAACGTATATAAAGTAGAGCATGGTCTCACTTGGAAATCTATGTATAGTGTATTGTATCATACATCATAATCTCTTAATACAATATATGTTCTAACTTGTAATTTAAAAACAGAAATTAGAAAGAGAATATCAAGAAAAGAAAAATAGAATTGGTCAGGTTTTAAGAAAGAATTATAGTGAGAAGGAAAATGGTATGGTATCATAATGTGTTAATAATACAGTGATATGATATGATAATTATAATGATACAACTTATAATGATACAACTCAAAACAAATCAATCACACAATACATAAATATCTACAACCCATTAATAATACGATAGATGAATGGTATTGAAGAGTGAACAATGATCATTGTTTAACTAACCGTTTTTTCTTTTTCATTATTATTATTTTAAAACACGCACCATATAGAGAAAAAATCTAAACAAATTAAAGTGATTGACATGCCAAATACTAGAGCGAAACAAATCAACAATAGACCCATGGCTTCAAGAAACTATTCATCATCATCATCATCATCATCATCCTCATCTTCTTCTTATTCAGTATCAAGAGTTAGCTCCCCAAAAAGTACAATGAGTAAACCTAGTAGTAACACTCCCAAATTAATGGCAAAGGTTTTGAAAGAACACAGGAGAAGATAATATTTTGTTGTTATTGTTGATTATCATTTTTCATCCAAAAAAACAAAGCAAAAAAAAACAATACTTATCTAGATATTGTTAAGAATAAATATTTTCAATACCACTACCAATCTCCGAACACTTCAACTTCAATTCAATCAACAAATTAATCAATCATACCCCACACAGTGGATCAATAATATTATTAATCATGTAATGCAAAAAAAAAAAAACAAAAAGAAAAGAAAAGAAAAAAAATAGTCATATGATTGGCACCTATGAACAAACCCATTAAAAAAAAAAGAAAAAAAAAGAATAAAATAAAAAGACCAATATTTATTTATTTTTATTCACAACAGCAACAATTGATGAGAAAGAAAGCCACACATCAGACAGTCAGATTGAACAACACAAACTATTAAATGATGTTGTATAAAAAATAGTAATTAATTAAAAAAAAAAAAAAAAAATTGAAAGGAATTATGCAATTCCCCAATGCTGAAAAATAAGGGGCATGATGGTATCCAATTCAGATAGATACCAGGTATCTGATATTTTTTTTAAGAAGCTTTTTTAAAATCAAAAAAACTTTAATCATCCGACACAAAATTTAATTTATTTTTAATTTTATTTTTTAACAACAATACAAAGCTCACATTGATAAAAAAAAAAAAAAAAAAAAAAAACATATTAATTAAAACACACCCAATGTTTAGATAAAATTTAATTTGTTAAATTGCAATCGTCAAACATACTAATCAATAATAGTTCCAACATTATCTAATTATTATTATTATTGTTGTTGTTGGGTTTTACAATTGTTACACAATTTATTCATTTCATTTAAGAGTGAAAGTGAATAGGTCATTTTATTTATTGTGTTTTTTAATAATTTCTTTATATAGTTTTTTTTTTAATAAGCCATGATTTCAAATGACGATACGATTTATACTCCATCACAAGAGTACAGTCAACAATGTCATGTTAAATCTTACTCTGAATATCAAGAGGTATGTTGTTTAATGTTTGCAAAACAAAAAAAAAACGACATCACTTTGATGTTCATTCGTTTTTTCATTTATTAATCGAAAAATGATAATCAATCTAGATGTACCAACACAGTATCACTAATCCAAGTGAATTCTGGGGAAAGTATGGTAGCTCTCTTATCAGTTGGTTTCAACCATTCACCAATGTTATGTCTGGGTATGTAGCAGAGATTAGTATTAGAAGTATTAGTTGTTGTTATAGCCATATTAATTAAAAATGGTTATTGTATTCATATTTTATTTAGAAACTTTGTAAATGGAGATATAACTTGGTTCCAAAATGGCAAGTTAAATGTTTCCTATAATTGTATCGATAGACATTTGGAGACAAAGAAAGACAAGATTGCGATTATCTATGAGGGTGACCATCCAGACCACGTGAGAAAGATCACTTTCTACGAGTTGTTCTTGGAGACCTGTAGATTGGCTAATCTCTTAAAGTCGCTGGGCGTGCGTAAGGGCGACACCGTTGCCATCTACATGCCCAATACACCAGAGGCAATCTACTCGATGTTGGCATGCGCTCGTATCGGTGCGATTCACAGTGTTATATTTGCTGGTTTCGGTTTCGATTCGATCGTCTCCAGAGTGCAAGACGCCAACTGCAAGATCATCATCACCGCTGACGAGGGTGTTCGTGGTGGCAAGACCATTCCACTCAAGAAGAAGATCGATGAGGTTGCCATCCACTGTCCCTCTGTGCAAAAGGTGATTGTCTTTAAGAACACAGGCGGTCCAATCGACTTCCACCCAGCCAAAGACATCTGGGCACACGAGGTCATGCCAGAACAACCCCCCTACTGTCCATGTGAAGTGTTGGACAGCGAAGATCCACTATTTATTCTCTACACATCCGGATCCACCGGTAAACCCAAGGGTTTGGTTCATACTCAAGCTGGATACCTGCTATATACAACAATGACACACCGTTATGTTTTCGACATACAGGAGAACGATATCTATGCATGTGTTGCTGATGTTGGGTAAATTATCAATCAATTTAATTTGAGTTTTCTTTTAATATTCTTCATTGTTTTTAGCTAATGGTGTTGTTCTTTGTTATATATAATTATCATCAACAATAGTTGGATTACAGGACATTCTTATATTGTATATGGACCATTGTCGAATGGAACCACCACATTTATATTCGAGGGAACTCCACTGCACCCAACACCCTCACGTTATTGGGAGATGGTAGAGAGACACAAGATTACACAATTCTACACTGCACCGACTGCCATTCGTTCGTTGATGAAGTATCCAGTTAGCTATGCAGAGAAGTGCAATAAGAGTTCACTGCGTGTGCTAGGCACCGTCGGTGAACCCATCAATCCAGAGGCATGGAGATGGTTCTACAAGTATGTCGGTGAGGACCGTTGTCCTATCGTCGACACCTACTGGCAAACAGAGTCCGGTGGACATTTAGTCGCACCGCTGCCCGGAGGAATCCCCACTAAAGCAGGTAGCGCTACCTTCCCATTCTTTGGAATCAAGCTGTCGGTACTCGATCCACAGACCGGAAAGGAGATGAGCGGTAACAATGTCGAAGGTGTATTGTGTGTCAACAACTCATGGCCTGGAATCGCGCGTACCGTCTACCGTTCACATACTCGTTACCTGACAACCTATATGAAGCCATACCCTGGCTACTACTTTACCGGTGACGGAGTCAAGCGTGACCAAGACGGATACTACTGGATCCAGGGTCGTGTCGACGACGTCATCAATGTTGCCGGTCATCGTTTGGGAACGGCAGAACTCGAGAGTGCATTGGTCGGACACAATTCATGCGCAGAGGCAGCGGTCATTGGATATCCACACGATATCAAGGGTCAAGGTATTCTGGCATTCTGCACACTGAAACATGGATTCGAAGACACCGAAGACATTGTGTCGTCACTAAAGATCGAAGTCAGAAAGATCATCGGTCCATTTGCAACACCCGATGTTATCATCATCACACCATCACTCCCCAAGACTAGAAGTGGTAAGATCATGCGTCGTATCCTCAGAAAGATCGCTTGTCACGAATCAACACCGGAGCAACTCGGTGACATCTCAACACTCGCCGAGCCAGAAGTTGTTCAATTTTTAATTGATAAAGTAACAGCATGTCTACCAAAACATCATTAAAAAAAAAATAACAATCATAAAATAAAATAAAACAATTACAAATGAAATAAAGCAACTAAAATGATTTTACTTTGTTTAATTAAAATGTTTGAAGTTCTGAGGTTTATTTTTTCTAAATTAAATTGAATTAATTTTTATTTATTTAATTTTTTTTTTTGTAAAATTTTTTTCATTTTTTTTTTTTTGATTAAAAATTGTAAGTTCACACAAATGTGTTTTTAATTATTTTTTTCAAAATCAAATAAAATTTATTTAATTATTTTATTATTTGTTTTTAAATATTAATATATAAGTTTATTTTTGTAATTTTATAGTGTTTTTCAATCATATTATATATATATAGTTAATTTTTTTTTTAGTTAATTAGAGAAAAGATATGGGACAAGGACAATCACTTGGTAATCCTGATAAGGATCCAACAAAGAAGGTTAGTAGTTGATCAAATTATGATTACTTTGTTTGTTTACAATTTATCTTATATTTATATATTGTTTAATATATTTTGTTATAGGATCAAAATAAACAAAAATATCAACCACCACCTCCACCAACTCAAATGGGAAAGAAAAAGAGAAGAAGAGGAGCTGAGACTTCCACTAAGCTACCAGTTGTAGCACCACATACCAAATGTAAATTAAAGATGTTGAGATTGGAGAGAATTAAAGATTATCTCTTGATGGAGCAAGAGTTTCTACAGAACTACGATATCAGTCAACCAAAGGCTGACGACTCAAAGAATGAGATGACCGACGAGAAGACCATCGATGAGATCAGAGGTGATCCACTTACAGTCGGTAGTCTCGAGGAGATCGTCGACGATAACCATGCAATCGTCAGTTCGGCGGTTGGACCAGAGCACTACGTGCGTATCATGTCATTCGTCGACAAGTCCAAGCTGTTCCTCGGTGCCACTGTACTCTTGCACAACAAGACACTGTCGGTAGTAGGTGTCATCGACAGTGAAGTCGATCCAATGGTCAATGTTATGAAGGTGGAAAAGGCACCACTCGAATCCTACAGTGATATCGGTGGTCTTGAGTCACAGGTACAGGAAATGAAGGAGGCTGTCGAGCTCCCACTCACTCATCCAGAATACTACGAGGAAATCGGTATCAAACCACCAAAGGGTGTTATCCTCTACGGTGAGCCAGGAACAGGTAAGACTCTCTTGGCCAAGGCTGTTGCCAATCAGACCTCTGCTACTTTCCTTCGTGTCGTAGGTTCCGAGCTCATCCAAAAGTATCTTGGTGACGGTCCAAAGTTGGTAAGAGAATTATTTAGAGTTGCCGAAGAGTTGGCTCCATCCATTGTATTTATTGATGAAATTGATGCTGTTGGTACAAAGAGGTAAGTAAATCATACAATTCAAATTAGTTTTATAGATTTATTAACAATAATAATTTTTTTTTTTTGGATTATTTTTAGATACGATTCAAATTCAGGTGGTGAAAGAGAAATTCAAAGAACTATGCTCGAGTTGTTGAATCAATTGGACGGTTTCGACGCAAGATCAGATGTTAAAGTTATTATGGCAACCAATAGAATTGAAACATTGGATCCAGCGCTTATTAGACCGGGTCGTATCGATAGAAAGATTGAATTCCCACTGCCAGATATCAAGACCAAGCGTAGAATTTTCGACATTCACACAAGCAAGATGAACTTGGCAGAGGATGTAAATTTAGAAGAGTTCATCATGTCCAAAGATGAACTTTCTGGTGCCGATATCAAAGCTATTTGTACAGAATCTGGTTTGCTAGCCCTTCGTGAGAGAAGAATGAGAGTGACTCACTCTGACTTTAAGAAAGCTAAAGAGAAAGTATTATACAGAAAGACTCAAGGTGTACCCGAGGGATTGTATATGTAAAAGCGATCACATTTGTACATAATTATATCCATCCAATAAGATATAAGATTTAAAAATAATCATAAACTCACAACATATAAAACTATTAATAAAACACAAATCTAATGATCTTTACTAAAAATAAATTAACACTGTGATTTATTTTGATTTGTTTAGTTTAGTCTCGTTGTTTATTCATCGTTTGGGTTATCTTCAGGGTATAATAATTCAACACCAGATCTTAAATCTCTATATTTCTGTTCACAATTCTTCTCTAATAAATCTTTCTTTGTGATAATACCTTTTAATTTGTTTACGGAATTAACTTTAAAATAAATAAAGTATTAATATATCAAAGTTATATTTGATCAATATTAAAATATTATACAATATTTATACTATACTTACCCACCATCATGTGCCTAAGACCAATTGATCTGAAAATTGTAAATGCTTCACTAACTGCGAAATCTTCGTTCACGGTGAAAAATGTAAGGTTCATAATACCTGTGAAATCGATTTGCGTCGAGTAATCCTCTGGGTCAAATCTAAAGTCATCAAGATTCGGTAGTTTCCATGCCAATTTAGTAATGTATTGGTCGTGGGAATAGATTTGTTCGGTGTTGTAAATGTAGACATCAGAGAGACGTTCTAGGATCATTAAGAGTTGCGATCTTAAAACCAGGCCTTTCACACTTCTGTCGACAGCATTCGATACAACTGGGAAACCATTGTGAGATGTATTTCTCAATGCATTGAGAACATTGCCGAGGGTATCTTTCTCACAGAGGAAAACTGGTTTCTTGGCCATGATATGCTTACACATCAACAGTTTCATAGTTCTGTGCGGTTGGGGTTCGAGATATGGAATGTATTTCATTTGAATGAGCAAATCAAACATTGGATGAATGAAAAAGTCCGACACCCATTTGGCAACCATTACTGTTAGCATGAGAGGAAGGAGATACGGTAGTTGATTGGTTGTCTCTATCAGAATTACAGATAGCGATATCGTCAATCTTGAAACTCCAGCCATAAACGCAGCAGCTCCCATCAGAGCATAGACACCCGGATCGATTGTATCACTATCATTGAATATCGAACGGAGGATCAATCCAACGATTCTACCATAGGCAGCACCAATGATTAACATCGGGATTAAAGTACCGGACGATATTCCACAGCCAGCAGTGTATGCAGCGAATAGGAAATAGAAAATGCAATAGACAATTAAAACGGGGATGCCAATACGATGAGAGTTGATTTCATACAATCCATTGGTCGACAGCAAGTTATCAATGGCATTGTCGTTAGTAGCGAAAATAACAGATGCCATTGGATTGTAATAGTCATCGGGACATGTAAATTGTGCGAGATGTTCTTTTACTTTTTCCAGAGTGGTGTTGTAGCTCTGTCCCAAGGTGGTTCCTGGAGGTGCCTTAATAATGAGATCATCCATTGGTTGACAAGAGAACAACATTGGCACAAAGAATTGAAGTAAAGTGGAAACTCCAATGATGATGAAAACCTCCAAAACACGGTAGGATTTTACCTTGTTGATATATTTTCTTCGAAGTTCAACGACTTTGATATTGATGAGAGTGAAAAGTGCACCGGAAGCACCTCCAATTGCACCGATCAAGAGGAAAACAATGATCTGTACAAGACCGACATATTCACTCTGAGAAACTTTGGTTGCATCTTGAGCCATATCGAAAATGATAGTTGATACTGTTGAATTTCCAATTTTCTTTGCTGCAAAAGTGTAGGTAAACGATGCAATCAAACAGGTAAAGAATGCACGCCATGTCAATGTACTATTCCAGAAGGAACTTACTTCCTCCAACGAAAACAAACATCCACCAAGAGGTGCAGAGAACGCTGCAGCCACACCAGCTCCAGCTCCAGTAGTAACAAAATCACGTTTATCCTTATCGTTCTTGAATGATCTTAAAAATGGTATTCTAATTCCAAATTCTTTAGATTGTGCTTGTGAGAAACTATAATTTTTTTTTTGAATTAATAAAATATAAAGAATAAAATTATTGAAATTAAAAGTTATTGATAATTACCCATTTCCAACTATCGCACCAATATGAATCATTGGTCCCTCAGCTCCAGCTTGAAGATTGGATGAAACTGCAAAAATCATCGATACCAATTTGGTTACCAATGTTTTAAATTTCAAAACATGTGGAATTCTGGTACCATTAAGATAACCTTTTACCTCTGGAATTCCAGAACCAGCCGCTGTGGGTTCAAAGTAAACTGCTAACCAACTTCCAGCTAGAGCCAATCCGGAATTCATAAAAAAATAAAGACAAAATGCAACCCAAAACTCCATATATGTAAATGTACCACCCAAAACTAAATTGATCAATTTTATATTAATACTACTATTAAATTAAATAACAATTTGATTGGAATGCTAATTAATAACTTACAATAATTAACAACTTGAAATTTAAATTTAGAAATCGATTTTGTAGAGATACTGGCCACGAATGCAATGAAACCAATTGCAACACCCATGAGAAAACTGATGATCCAACGTTGCCATTCGTGATCGGAACCGAGTTGTTCAAACTTTTTGTACATCTCCTTACGGTAAGATGCATTGTAGATGGTGACATAATCGAGACATTCGTATTTAGAGATATGCTTTTTATCCTGAATCCAAATGGATCTCTCGTGACTCTCTATCTTCTCGATACGCTCCTTATTGAAATTCTCTACTGCATCCACTGCTTTTATTCCGACACCTGCGACTTGCTCCAATCCACCAATAATTGTATCTTCAATCTTTTTATTGGATTCTTTAATTTTTTCATCCTAATTCAAACAGGGTGAGTAAGATTACAACTATAATTTTGAAAATTCTATACATACAATTAAATGATTTGATTCCAATATAGTATGTTTAATAATTTTATTGGTTTTCCCCAGTGTTTTCTTGACTCTTGTAAAGATTTTATCACTTGGTTTGATCATATCTTCTGATGAAAATAAATTTTTTGGTTTCTTTTCGATAATTGGATCTCTATAAATTGGTTCCAAAATAATAGCACCTCTTTCATATTGTTCTTCTTCTTCCTCCTCCTCCTCCATATCTTCCTCCTCTTCTATCATTGGTTTATTATCATAGTCGTCTATATTATTATTATTATTATTATTATTATTATTATTATTATTATTATTATTATTATTATTATCACTAAATTCAATATTTTCTAATTCTTCCTCTTCTACTTCTTCTTCTTCTTCAATGATATTATCTTCTCTATCACTATCTTCGATATTGTTTATTAGATGATCATCTTGATCATCTAAATTCTGATACTTTGAATTATTCATTATGAGCAATGAATGAATTCTCTATATTTATATATTTAACTCTGTCTCTCTTTTTATCTTGTGATTTTTCAATATTGTAAAAATATTAAAGCATAATTATTGATAGGATCGTGACAATGAGGTATATAACTGGTTCAATTTTTAAACAATCAAATCACCAGTTGAAATCATAACCTACTAAAAAAATGTAATTTAAATTAAATTAATATTTTTAATTTTTTTTTTTCGACTCGATTGTAACTATAAAAAAATCACACAATCGCGATGATAAAACCAAAAAAATAAAAATCAAATCTCGGTAAATGCTCTTAGGAGATTAAATTAAATTGTTTTTTTTTTTTTATTTGTTTGAAAATTGTTCTAATTCTTCATTAAAGAACTTATTCAATAAAAGTGATAATGACATATCTGTTCTCTTGGTGGAAGTAGTCACGTGTTGTTCTATCATCTTTAAAATATCTTTGTTTTGTGTTGACTTTGATCCACTTTGTAGAATATCTAAATGATATCCTTGGTTTAACAATAAACTGAATTCTTCTAACATTTCGATATCTATTGTTAAAATAATAATAATAATAATAATAATAATAATAATTTTATTAGAATATTGCGATATTATTAATTTGTTAAATGTAAATACTTACTAACAATAAATTTAAAGAATCTTGGAAAGAAGAAACCTTTTTGTAAATCTTTCTTTGAGATGTTAGAGAGTGGCAATCCGTCGTCGTCATCGTCAAACACCAGTGTCTTGGTGTTTGTGGTCTGTCCTTGTGGTGTCTTGACTCCACTCTTTTGAATCTCATGAACGATCTTTTGGAATCGAGGTTTGTAGTAGTCCCAGTAGCATTGGAAGAGTACTGTCATCTCACCTACCATACCGAGACGCTCATAGCATGCAGCCAATGAGTCAATACACCAAAAAGTGATTTCCTCTAGTGAGTACACCGTGAAGAATGGCTTGATTGTTCGAAGTGGATGACGTGTAGGTGGATGCATCTGGTCAGCGAGTGGAATGGAAATGAGAATCTCCAAAAGATAGACGATCGAATTCTCAATCTCTGAGTGATTGGTCATTGCAATATGAAGAAACAATCGATTCACCCATAGATCTTCTGTTGGATCGAAACTAATCAAATGGTTTCCTCTAACGGGAATCAATGTTTTGAATTTAGTTTCCGTCGACAACTGTTGTTTAATTTGTTTATAGAATGTCAAAGCAGATGAATATGATTCCTAAAGAAAGAAAAGTATACTTTGTTAATTATATATATATAATGTTGTCAAAATAAAGTATAATATATAGTTACATAAAAGTAATGACAATCAGCTAAACTTGTATTGATCCAATAGAATACAGGAGAATTCCATGTCATTGATAGCTCTTTGAATCTATCATTCCATGGTTCTTGATTGAGATCACTGTAGCAATCCATGCAAAGAGTCAAGTATCTAATGGCTTCTGAGAGATTCTTGTCGTAGAAAGTGTTGTTGACGTCTTTAAAGTTCTCATCGGCATTAGAGTAGATCAAAACTTGATGTGTTATCATGTAGAGTGAGTTGTTATTGCTGCTATTGATGTCGAACGTAAGAGTATTATCACCGGTAGCCACAGCTGTAGAACTGCTACTACTATTATTACTGTTACTGTTACTGTTGGTGGTGGTGGTAGTGGTAGTCGACTTTGATATTGAAGATGATCCACTCACCAAGAACTTAAAGTAACGCCATGCACAAAGATAGAATAGACTGGTTAATAGGTAGATACCGAGTTCTATCTCGTAGTCGTAGAGGTCATCGCTGTCGTCTTCTTCATCTTCTTCCTCTTCCTGTTGGTGACGATCAAAGTAATCGTTACGCAGCTTCTCGACACTGTTTAACAAGTCGACAGACAATCGAGGTCGCGACGACCGATCACTATTTGCCAACTCCTGTAGGAATCTCTGTATACCCAGAATGACATCATAAGAAATGACAGGTCTTGTCACAGTGTAGCGCCAACACAACTCCACCAACTCTGATCTCTTTACCCCTTGTTGCTCTAAGAACTTCTTGTCCACCTTGAACACCTCTGGTACACAGAAATTATTGATCAACTTTAAGATTGTATCCGTCAACTTTGAATTATCTTTATATTGATCTCTTAACTTTAATATTGTTTTAACTCCACCAACCTATAATAATATGATTAAATACAATACATTAATATGTTATGTTATGTTGTTGTTGTTAACAGTTACTACTTACCCATAGATCATTTGATTTTATATAATTATTTGATCTCATTAGTATGTACAAAAGGAGGGAGTAGTTACTTTGTTGTATCGATTCTAAAGATTTACAACACCAACAAAGTATATCTAGATAGCTATCGTTACTCGCTGTTGCTGTTGCTGTTTGTTGATTCTTTAATGGGTTGAAATATTGTATTGAATCCTCGATGGTTTTAAAGAGATCGATGTGTCCATGTCGATTGTTGTTCCTCTCTAGATAGACAAGTAACTGATTCAAATTGATAAATGAAACATCTTTTAGCTCTCTATAGAATTCCAACTGTTCTATATCATTAGATAACAGATGTAATAGATAATATCTCATGAAATCAACATAATATTCATTGTTAAATCTATAGATTATAATTATAATTAGTTTGTAAACTATATAATATAATAGTTAAAACTTACAATTTCCAAAATAATACTATAGAAGTATTATAATCTTTTAATAATATAGATATAAAGTAATGATGTATCTTTTAATATATAGATTTAATGTTAGTCGTAAATGTGCTTTTTTGATGATAATTATGATAATAATAATTAATAATAATAATAATAATAAGTTAGTTACCAGTATTTCATTGTTATCTTTGAATAATGACGATGCAATAAGACACTGTGTCTGTGCTTCAGAGAGATTGAATTGATTTGGTCGGTATTGTACTCTTAGAGAAGTCAGTGAAGACTTTGATGTAATCGGTGATGTTATATATGATAGTTTAATTCTCTCTATCACTGATTCTACAGTTATTTGATCTACTACATTATATTCTACTTCCATCATTCATTCATTCATATACAATCTACAAATACAACATCAAAATCAACTGTTATTTTTTTCTTGAAAATTAAAATTATTGTTGTTCGGAATTGAGAAATTGTACAAAATAAAACTGATCGATCAAAACAAATATTTAATTATAAACAACTCAGATTTAAATGATAAAATAATAATAATGTTCAATATTAGATAGATTCTATCAATCTTGGCATTGTTAGTTGTATTATCAAGTGCAAGATATCTATCAAGAAGAAAAGCTTGTTCATTATCAAGCAGTGTGGCACAATGTCAAAATGGTGTTTGTCCATCGATTGTTGCTTGTATCCAAGAATATGAAAAATCATACTTCAATATCGTCGTTATTGTCCCAGATGGTAATCACTTTTGCAATCAAACAGAATCTCATACACTTAACTATGATTTAAATATCGAAATACAACCAAAGCGTCGAACATCTACTCCAACTTTTACTTGTCAAGTAAGTTTATCAATGTATTAACAAAACAAATATTGTTTTTTATTTCTTTCTAATCTATAATCTATATAATTTATTTAGGGGTAAAACATCATTCTTGAGATTGCAAACTTCGTACGTTTTTACAATGATGATTTCAAATATTATCATTGAAGCCACTGAAACTGTTGAGAATCGTGGAAGTTTAATTTGCATTGATTCACCATTTCACTTATACTCGTACGAAAAAAACAACATATTGATAATGAACAATGTCGTAATGAACAATGCTCATTCAACTCTAAATTATGAAGCAGAGGAAGCTGGTTCAATCACCCTTAATGCTGTCGATTTAATAATGAATGATTGCACCATTACCAACTCAAAATCAAGTGGAAACTACTCTTCCGGTAGGTATCATTTAATTTTAATAACCAACTCTCTTGAATTTCAATTATAAACTACTAATTATTTTTTATTCATTCCCATTCCACATAATATTATGGCTTCTGTAATGAAAATCTTTTCCAATCAGCTAGCTATTAATAACTCAACCATTACCAATTCTCATAGTTCTCATAATAATCATGACGGCTATGGTATCAGTTTTAGTGGATACGGTCTCAAAATCTACAACTCTATCTTTGATGGAAACTATGCCGAATCAAATTTCATCTCTGCATCTGCTAAAAGCTCAGTTTATGTACAATCAAACAAATTCACAAACAACAAATCACAATATGGAAATTGTTTTAGTATCGATTCTCCTAAATCTATCGAGTTTGATTCCAATGTTTTTGATAACAATATCGGTCACTTTGCATCTGCTTTGGTAAGTTAGATAACAGAAAAACAGAAAGAAATCTTTTAATCTTATTAACTCTTTCTTTCTTTTAATAAGAGTGTTTATACACATTATAACTACCTCCGCGACGCATACTACGGCTATTATTTCACCAACAATAACTTTACAAACAACGTTGCCTCAAAGACTACATTGGTAAATATATTGATATTTTTAAAACAGCATTATTAGAAATATTCTAAACTAAACAAACATAATAATGATAAAGTATATTGCAACCCAAGGTATTTATGTTCTATCTGGATCGATTTTTCAAAACAATGTTGCATTTGAAGCAGCTGATATCTATTTTCACAAACAAAGAATCACTTTACTTGGTGGTACCTTTATCAATTCATCGTAAGTAATAGTGGAATTATAAATAAATTGCTACTATATTATTACCACTTCAAAAATCAAGTTTAATTTAGTTTATTAAGTTCAAATAATAATAATAATAATAATTAAAAAATTACAAAATAAAATTAAATAAATAATTTTTAGTTTTTTTTTATTATTATTTTAGTTGTTTAAGTGAAAAAGAATAACTATTTGTTTGTGTGTATATATGATTCTAGAACAATGATTTATAACAATTTTTACAGTAGGGTTGTTTGTTTTTAAAGTGCGAGTCGGAAGGGTTGTGAATGGTATGTTTACAGTAGGCACATTTGAAATGATCGTGATGCCATTTTTTGTTTTCAAATGAGTAGTATGGCAAGTCGCCCAATGGCTTCTCACAGCCCTGACAAATGAGATCTTCAATCTCCAAAGCATAGTGATCTTTGCAATAGACTTTACCCTTGTGCACGAAATTGATCATCAGTGATTTCTGACATTTGTGGCAATTGCTCTCCTTGAAGGTCTTGTCGTGATCCTCCTTGCAGTAGAGCTTACCGTCACGCTCAACATATGGAATCTCCTCGAGACCTATCAGATGCTTTCCACACTGGCAACAGAGTAAATGGTGTGAATGCCACTGCTGACCAACTGCCTCGATCGATGTCTGGCCACTGGTGATTGGTTCTTTGCAAAGTCCACACTTGACCAAATTCACTGCGAAACTCGAGAACATCTTGTCGAATTCACTCAATACATCTTTAGTCTCGACACGTTTCAGTGCTGGACGACCTGGCGACAGTACTTTGCTTGGGGTGGTTGGCGCGCTACTCATTTGTGACAACTCTGACAAGTCGGTATCTATACTATTAATATTATTATTGTTGTGATTATGATTGATGGAAAGAGTTGGAACTACAACAGAGTTTTCTGTTGGTTTTTGTTCTTCTACTACTTCTTCTTTGGATGAAGGTGTGGCAACTGTTGTTTTGGAAGCGGTTGTAACAGCGCTGCTGCTGTCGTCTAAATTGGAATTGGTATCTGATGATTCTGAAATGTCTTTGGATGAAGAAGTGTTTGCGCCATTCATTAGCTTTGGCTCTGGTGATGCTGCGGATTTTACTGGGGTGGAACTTGGTGTGGTTGTGGTCGATGCCGACGATGCCGACGATGATGCTGTGAGATGCTTGTGATTCTCTTTGATGTTGTTGATCCACTTGGTGCGATCCTCTTCGTTCTCCGCTTGCAGTAGCAACACTGGATATGCTGGATGTGACAATTTAATACAGAAAGGTAGCGAATTGTCTGCTTCGACAGACCAGCCTGGAATCGATTGTTTTCCTTTCAACTTGGATTCTGGACCTTCGTAGTAGTAGAGAACCATGTCCTTGAGTACACACCAACGTTTCTTCCAACCCTTACGCAATCCACTGGTCGATTGTTTCTTTAGCCATCCCGAGAAATCAGAGATACCGGCTAGCTGCAATGCATCGGGTTTGAATGCGATCGACTTGGAACGTCCACGAACTGCCTCGACTTGCTCCGGTTCCTTCTGAATGGCGCAACACACCTGGAGTGTGGCAACCCAATCTTTCAACTCGTCGTCGGTCTCTGTCGAGAACCAATACATGATAGAGTCATCGAATTGATGGCTAATCTTGAAGCAATTGGCTTTTCCAGTTGGTCCCTTGACAGCGGTAGTAATAACACCACATCTTGCCAATGGAATGAAATGTAAAATCTTTGAATCTTCAACTTTCTAAAAATATCAAATCAAACTGTAATTAGTTTATCTATATCGCTCCAAAAAAAAAAAACGAATCCAATTATTATTATGACCTACAGTTGTTTTATTTTCATAAATATATAAAATTCTATCTTTAAGGCTACACTGTTTTTTCTTCCAGGCTTTGCCATCAGCTGACAAGATTGCTATATTGCCATCCTTTGATTTATTTTCCATTTTTCTTTTCTATTTTTATCAATAATTCTAATTTACTATTTTATGTTTGTAAATATTTAGAAATTAATAATTAATTAATCAATAATAATTTAAAAAAGGAAATGAATAAAAATGGAAAAAGTGGAATTGAAAACTGATGATGATGATGATGATGATGATGATGATGATGATATTAATTCAATGAGATATGATTGATTTTTGATTGTTGTTGTAAAGTAATTATTATTTAGAGTGTATTCACTAAAATTGGTAAAAGAATGATTGGTGATAAGTGATTAAAATTGATTTATAATTAAATTCTAATCTATTGATTTTGATGATCTAACCGAAATTTAACAATCAAACAAATAAATAAAATAAATAAATAAATAGAAATAATAAAGTTGATATATATGTAATTTAAAAATAACAAAAAAAATGGAAGGAGAAATCACAAACACATTAAAGCCTATCCATCAAACCAATAACCATCAAACCAATAAACCATTAAACAATTAAACAACAAAAACAAGTTTTAAAATATAAATAAATCAATGAGTTAAAAATGCACACACACATGTGATTATAGATGTAAAATCAACAACAACAACATATATATGTGATTACACACATATGCAGTATGTTGTTTTTTTTTGTTTTGGTGAGATTTGTGGTTTTATTGATTATTTGGGTATGATTTTTTTGTGATTGTATTTAATATTGATGGATGATCGTATTTTTTCGTGTGATTAATAGTTTAAGTTTGATTGTTGTTATATGGGGGTGATAAGTGTGTTATTTTATTTTATTTTTTGCTACATATCTATATCTTTATTTAGAACAAACAAATAAATTGAATTTTAAACAAAAATAAATAATTAATTCTTTAAAAAAAAAAACCTTTTTAGTTTTTTAATTATTCAACTATCTTTCTCTCTCTCTCTCTCTAAAAACGGCTTACCTTTATCTTTTTGATGATGATTGAAATAAATTTAAACTAACTATAATAGATAGATTAATGAACTATTTGTTTGATCAACTATTAACCAAAAAGGTAAAAATAAATACAACTTTTGTAAGCAAAATAAAAAATTAAGATAAAAAAAATTATTTTTAAACTAAATGATTAAAAATCATAGAATTGATTTTTTTACATGCAGATAAATCATATGACAACGAGATTCAGAAAAAAACATTAAAATTAACTTCAAGTTAATCCCACCACAATTCATTCAATGAATGGATTGACATTGGGTTTTTTTTGCAAGAAAAAGATCATTTTTTTTATTTTTTTGATGTTTGCGCAAAATTACCACCACACAAACATCTACAAAGCATCTAATATATCTTTCAATTCGGTAAGAATTGATTGATGTGTTTGTGGGCTTTTTTGTTGTGTGTGGTCTGATATTGGTGTGGAATCGTCAAGTTGTTGAAGAACACCTTTGATTTTCAACTTGTAGTGCGACAGTCTGGACCAACTGGACTTGAATATCTCCAACAGTGCTTCCAATATGTATTGTGTGAGGTCTTTTTCAAAAATAATATCGCTTAGCAATGTTGGCAATAATGTCTAAATAAATATTTGTTTTTTTTTTTTTTTTGAATATTATTTCAAATAAAAAAAAGTTAATTATAAATATTTAAATATCTTTTGTTTTTTTCTTGTGTTTCTCTTTTTGTGTTTTGTTGTTTGTTGTTGGGTGATGCGTTGGAGTTGATTTAATTCAAATCGAATTAATTTAATTTAATCAATTCTAATTTGAACCATCGAAAAGATATCAATCCAACCCATCAACAAAGGAACCGTCCAAAACATAACAAAAAAAAAAAAAAAAAAAAAAAAAAAAAAAAGTGTTTAGTTTAATTTAAAAATAAACAAAACAAACTTACCTTGAAACAAATAGTAATATAAATACCCATCCTTTGAAATAAAACTTTGGAGTGACTGAGTAAGCACTTCTTCTTGATCATCAGATTGGTTTGTACTGATTTGTGTTGTGTGTTGGCTAAAGTTTGGATGATTAGATTTACAATATGTATGTACGGTTCCAATTCATATTGATTTTTAATAGAGTTGTTGTTAAACTTTGTGGTTGTTGTTGTTGTAGGTTCCAAAAACAATGAATGTACAATTAAACTGTTATCTATAGGATATGTCAGATATAACAATCTAAACAAAAGATGACATCCAATTTCAATCACCATTTGATTTTCCTCTTCTGTTTGTACAAGTTGTAATATTTTCTATATTGTTATCAGGGAATAACTTGAAGTTAGCAACAACTACTTATTTATACAAATTTAATTAACTTACATCATATATACTATTTTGGTTTGATAATATCAATGTTTTAATTTGTTGATCGTTCAGTTGATTCAAAGTATAATCTAATATTCTACATGCATGTAGTTTAAGTGATTTATCTGAGCAATGTATCAGATTGATTATGATATTGGGAATATGTGGATTAAAAAGTTCTAAGAGTTGTGCTGTTTCATATTTCTTTTGTTATAAATTATAAGGGTATTAGTACTAAAAAGATATATATAACTATTAATATATATTGTTATGCATACACTTGTTAATGATACTATAGTTGTAAACGATTGAATAACAACGATATTGTATAACCATTTACTTTCATTGTCGGCTGAGAGTGTCAATAACAGCTGTTTCAATATAAGATTCTTCTTTTGACTGAGAATTTCAATGAGTGACGATGTATCGGTCAGTTGTAGTAGTCTATCTAACAATCGTTTGGCGATAGAATCGATTGTTTTGTTTGTCCAATAAAGTCTTTTTGTTGAAAATGATTCAATATCTATGTTGTTGTTGTTGTTGTTGTTGTTGTCATTATTATTGATATTATAACTACCAATATACTGTAATAGAATCGGTAGGAGTTTATCACCTATCAGTATCGACCAATGATATTTCTTTGTAACTAAATAGCTATCACTCATCATCAATGTCGATAGTGCATCGATAAGCAATTCATTTGAATTGACCAATTGCTTTGATTTTGTTATTAACTCTTCATATTCATCACCATTGTATATTCCTTTATTATTATTATTTATAGTTTAATAAGCTAATTACTTAATATTGATACATATATATATTTAGTTAATTTTTAATTGAAACGTACTTTGTTGTTCTATTTCGCATATGAATGAAGGAACATTCAATAAAGTGATAAAACAATCTATGGATTGAGTGTATATTTCTAAAGATCTGTGGAAATCATCGTCATTCTCTTTCAAACTATTGAATGAATCAATACTACTAATGACACCTTTCAATAATATATTGTAAACAGATAGTAATTTGATATACTAAAATATAAAATTAGATAATTAATTGTTATCATACAAAGCGATGTAATATACATACTTTAAATGATTCGAAATTATTTACAACTATTGATTTTAAAAGATCTAAATAAACATTGAATACCAATATATGATTCTGTTTACCAAAGTATTCCAATGCTTTAATTAGCTGACCATATAGCTGATCATTATCTTTATATTTCAGATACAAGTAGACAAGTTGATTATCAATATAGATCTTACAGTCCTCTAATGTTTGAAATAAAGATTGACTATATATTTGTTGTAGATCTACATTATCAGTATTCTGTTCTGACATATCTGCATTAAATTACTTAACTAATCTTCAAATCAATTTGAAAGATGACAACCACTTTAAATCTCTTTTTTTTTTTTTTTTCACACAAAAGGAAATATTAACACACAAAAAGTTGTGACTTTTTAATTTTGTTGTTGAAAGTTCATTGTTGTCATATCATGTGATCACATGTTAAACTTATATATAAATCAAATAAATTTGCTAAAGAATCGATTCTAATTTTGTAAAGATTTGATTAATTTAAAGTTTTCGATTGTTTTTTTTTTTAATTTGTATAATTTATAATTTAAATATTCTTTTTGGTCCCTAAGGCTTCGGACAAGAAGATTTCTTCTTGAAGCTTGTGAAGAGAATGTGAAGCAACAGCCGGAGATGCACTGGATGGACGTCCAGCGTATTGGAGGTTGAATGGACGGTTGACTGATTTGAATGTTGAGTTGAAGTAGTGGTAGACGAATGACCATGGACCCATGTTCATTGGTTCCTCTTGACACCAGATGACCTTGGCATTTGGATAGTGTTGGAGTTGATCAGCAACCAAATCGAATGGGAATGGATGGAGTTGCTCGACACGAATGATGGCGGCATCCTTAACCTTGGCGGCCTCACGAGCAGCCTTCAAGAGGTAGTAGACTTGACCGGAGCAGAAAATGAGACGTTGGACCTTCTCTGGTGCAACCAAATCCTGTGGGTTCGACTCACCGTAGACACGGGTGAACGAGTTGACCTTGGTGAATTCGTCAATCGATGAGAACGACTGAGTCAAACGCAACAGCCATTTTGGCGATGCCATGATCAATGGCTTACGGAAGTCACGGAGAACTTGACGACGGAGTGCGTGGAAATAATTGGCTGGGGTGGTGCAGTTGATGACTTGCATGTTCGAGTGTTGAGCTTGTTTGCGTTCGGCTTCTTCACGTGGTGGAATCTTGTTGGGATCACCATCGCAGAGCTGCAGGTAACGCTCTAGACGGCACGATGAATGCTCTGGACCGGCACCATCGTAACCGTGTGGCAACAACATGACCAAACCAGATTGACGCATCCACTTTTGCTCACCGGATGAGATGAATTGATCGAGGATCACTTGAGCACCGTTCGAGAAATCACCGAATTGAGCTTCCCAGAGGATCAACGATTTTGGATTCTCCAAAGAGTAACCGAGCTCGAAACCGAGTACGGCAAACTCTGACAATGAAGAGTTGGAAACGACGTATTCGGCGGCGTCTTTCTTGAGGACGGAGCTGACGTTCTTCAATGGACAGTAGGTGGATCCGTTGTTTTGGTCATGCAAGACAGAGTGACGATGACTGAATGTTCCACGCTCGACATCCTGACCGGACAAACGCACGTGATTACCTTCGAGGAGCAACGATCCAAATGCCAAAGCTTCGGCGGTGGCCCAATCGAAACCGGCACCCTTTTCAAACATCTCATTCTTTTCCTTCAAAATACGTTTCAGGGTTGGATGCAGCTCGAAACCGGCTGGCACATTGCAGAGGACCTCACCTAGTGCCTTGACCTCTGGTTGGCTGATATTGGTACTCTGGACTTCGGCGAGTTGAGTGGTATTCTTTACACCGACCCAACGGTTCTCGAACCAATCGGATGGCTTTGGAGTATACTTCATACCCTCTTGGAATCCCTTTTCATAGGCATCACGAATCACCGATCTCATCTGTTGGTATTGGTCACTGGTCAATACTTTCTCATCGATCAATTGCTTGGAATACTTTTCCATAACTGGTGTTTGTTGTCCAATCTTGGTATACATAAGTGGTTGAGTGAATTTTGGTTGATCAGTTTCATTATGACCGAATCTATATATAAAGATGATAAATAATAATAATATTTAGTTAGTTTGATGGATTGTTGAATTTGATCAAATTATTATTATTATTATTATTATTATTTACCTTCTATAACAAACAATATCTACAATAACATCTCTCTTGAAACGTTGTCTCCATTCGGCAGCAAGTTTACAGACACGAACTACAGCCTCAACGTCGTCACCGTTGACATGGAAAATTGGGACGTCGATGGTCTTGGCAACGTCGGTACAGTACATTGAAGATCTGGAGGAGGATGGATTGGTTGTGAAACCGATTTGATTGTTTACAACGATGTGGATGGTACCACCGGTAGAGTAGTTGGCGAGTTTCGAAAGGTGGAGAGTCTCGTAGACTACACCTTGACCGGCAATCGAGGCGTCACCGTGCAAGATGATGGCGAGTGCAGTGTTCTGCTCGGTGTCACCGGCGTATTGTTGCTTGGCACGGACCTTTCCTTCGACGACTGGATTTACGGCTTCCAAATGCGATGGATTGGCGACGAGCGACAAATGTATCTTGTTGCCGTTGGATGCGACGCGGTCGTATGAAGTTCCAAGATGGTACTTGACGTCACCGGTTCCAGAGTATTCTCCCTCGAGCGAGACGACACCACCGTTGAATTCGTTAAAGATGGCCTTCAGTGGCTTACGTACTACGTTGGCGAGCACGTTGAGACGACCACGATGTGGCATACCGATGACGACGTCACGCACACCCATCTCGGCAGAGTCGTCGATCATGGCCTTCATACCGGGGATCAACGATTCACATCCGTCCAAACCGAAACGCTTGTGTGTCTTGTATTTGAGACCGAGGAAGCTCTCGAATTGGTCGGCCCAAGCGAGACGCTCAAGAATCTTGACCTTCTCGTCGTGCTTGTACTCTGGAGCCTGTGGAGTCTCGAAATTCTCACGAATCCAATCGCACATCTCTCTGTCTTGAATGTGCATGTATTCAACACCTACATTACCGCAGTAGGTTTGCTTCAAACGTGTCAAAACCTGTCTCAATGTTGTCTGTGGTGCGTTGTTTGTCAAGAAACCAGAAATCAGTCCATCACCAACGAAAATTGGTTTATCTAAATCTGCCTCTGTAAATCCATATCTATTTGATCAATTATAAAGAATAAGTTTATCTATTCATGATCATCATGATCATCATCATCATATCTATATACTTCTGCTACTTCTAACAACAACTACACTACAAACAACTTAAGTACTTACTTGGAGATGTTTAATTCGGGTGGTTCTGGTCTGACCATGAGATTGAGTGGATCGAGGTTGGCCATGGCATGACCACGTACTTGGTATGCACGAATCAAGAGGAGAAGACGCATGCTCTCTGAAACTTGTTTGAGATTGGCAGATCCACCAGCGGTGGTGGAAGTGGCAGCAGTTGGTTGGGCGGCAGTTGGTGCGCTTGTCTGCAGAGTTGGTGGCGACATGTAGGCTTCGCCGGCTGGTGCGTCAAAGTCGGCGGATTGGAAGAACGATGCCCATGACTTGTGGACGGACGATGGATCTTTCTTCCATGCGCTGTACATGTCCTCGACGTAGACGAGTGAGGTACCGTCGAGGAAGGTCTCAGAGAGCTCCTTACGCGACTTGGGTTGCTGTGAGAGTGGAGTACCTGGTGTTGCCGAGGCGAATGGACGAATCATTCCGATCGCCGATCTCTGTGTTGTCGATGTCCACCGTTGACTCGATGCGACAGTCAAGTTTTTCATTGACTGTCTCAATGCTTGTTGTAATGATATCATTCTTATATTATCCTATTGTTGTTGTTGTTGTTGCTATTATTATAATGATGATGATGATGATTTGACCTATCTTTTGACATTAAAGAAAGATAGAGAAAAAAAATGAAATGAAATGAAACAATAAAAAAAAAAAAAAAAGTTTTTTGTTTTTTTTTAAAAAGTTTTTTAAACTACTATTACTTTTCTTTTTTGTTTTTAAAAGTTTGATTTGTTTATATATATATATATATATAAATAAATATATAATATAAATAAGCTATAGTGATTTATAAATAATATATATATATATATGTTTATAGTGATATTATTATTAGTTTTTTTTTTTTTTTAGTTTTAATATTAAACAGATAACAGTTGATGATTTAATATTAAAAAAATAAAATAAAACTCAATATATTAATTAATTGAGAGTTTAGATACTATAATTATCTGTTTGTATTTGTAAACAAGGCTAGCAAAACCTATGATTATTGTAAAAAAAAAACAAAACAAAAATAAAAAATTAGAGTTCCTTTTATGAAAAAACAACTATGTTCATCATCAACACTGGGTTGTAATACAAAACAAAAAAAATGAAATTTAAAAAAAAAATTAGTTTTTTTAAAAAAAAAAAAAATACAATAATTAGTGTTTTTTTTCATCATTTTTATGTATAAATGGAAATGAATTTAAATTAATTTTGTTTTATTAATGGTTCAAGTCTGTATGACGCACTTTAAATGTGTAATATGTCGTTTAATTTATTCTTGTTCGTTATTTCTTAATCGATGATTATTTCAAGATATATCTTGACAAATATGAATCAAAAAGTAAAACTAGTAGTAGTAGTAGTAGTAATCAAATAAAAATAAACAAACAAACAATTAGTCAACAACCTATTAGTTCAATCATATGATAACCATACTTTTTTTTTATTCATTCTTAACAATAATATGAATGCTATTTTATTTTTTTAGTGAAAATCTTTCCGAATTGAATTTATTGGGCAATTTAGGTTGAAAAGAAAAATGAATCCGGATTCATTAATTGTTCCAATACAATTTCCAAGTTTCAAAAACAAAAATGAATGATCAACCAGATTCTTTTCAACAAAAAGTTTTGTTTAATTTTTGTTGATTTTTTTTTTTTTTTCGTTCGGTTTTTCAATTTAGTTTAGTTTTGAAAAAATTGAATAATAATAATTTTTGGGAATCAAATCAATCTTTTTTTTTAACAATTTAGTTAGTTGTTAGTTAGTTCTTTGTTAAAGTGAATCAATTCTATTAGACAAAGCAGCGCTGCTATGAAGACACCAATCAAAGAAGTAAAGACTGATACCGAAAACAGAGATGGTAACAGTATCAGTCCCATTCTCAACTCGATGAAAAAGATGAGTCGTCGTCAAGATACATTGGATCTCAAAGCGATTCTAAAGTTACAGACACCAAAGAAAGCAACAAGAACACCAAAGAAGAAAGAACAACAGGAAGAGGCACAAGAAGGTGAAGCTGAACAACAAGTAGAGGCAGTTGAAACAGAGAGTGTTAGCGATGTTACATCTACACCGGTTGCAGATTACAATCAGAAGAAGAACAAGAACAATAGCTCTGTAAAATCACAACAAAACTATCCTGTTACACCAAGTAACAAAGAGCAAGAGGATGACGATGACGATGACTATGTAAATGAAGAGGAAGAGTTAATGAATAGATATATTACCAAGTCGGAACCACTCAAGTCTGGAGATCAAACACCGACAGCCGCTAAAAAGACACCAGCCAAAAAGACACCGGCAAAAAAGACACCAGCAGCATCAAAGAAACCAGACACTCCATTCCCAATGAAAACTAAATCAAAGACTGCACCTGCTGCTTTCGATGATTTCAAAGTTCCATTCCCAAAGTCAAATAGTAATTTATTAGAGTCAACATTAACTTCTACTACTGCTGCTGCTATTGTAGAAGAATCATCAACAACATCAAATACAACAACAATAACTACACCAACACCATCATCACCAATTCAAAAACTTACAGAAAGATTAGAAGAAATTGTAAAGGAGACTACACCAAAGAAATCGACTACAAACGAACAACAACAACAACAACAACAACAATCAGCATCAAAATCAACTAAAACAAAGACACCCTCAAAAACACCATTAAAACAACAGCAAAAGAAAGTAGAGAAAGAAGTAGAAGTAGAAGAAGAAGAAGAAGAAGAAACAAAACAATTATTACCATCAATGCCTGTTTTAACTGCTGAATTATTGAAACAAGCTCAATTACAAAGGTAAGAAATAATTCAATATAAATATCTGTTATGATATATAGTTTTATTAACTTGGATGTTTGTTTATAATCAAATAATATAGTAAGAGTATTGCAGAGGAGAAATTGAAAATAGAGGAAGAAAAGAAAAGAAAGGTTGAAGCATTGGAGGAAGCAGAGAGAAAAGAGAGAAGAAAGAAACAAAGAATGGAAAAGAGAAAGAAGGCTAATCCATCACATATTACTGCAGTTTCAATCAATGACATCGATCAAATGGTATTCAACGCAAAGCAAGCACAAAAGAAACAACAACAAGAAGAGCTGGATGTAATCAACAAGGTTGCCTCTGAGAAGCTATCTAAACGTGCAAAGACCAGAAATAAAATCAATTCTTTTAGAGCCGGTGCAAGAGTACCATCGTCAGTATTAGCATATCAAAAATAAACCAAATCAATAAATAAATAAATATATATATAATAAAGCAAATAATTAATTATCATTTGAGAACACTTTACATTTTTGTTTTTGTATTAATATTAATTTAATTTTGATTATTTGTTTGTGATTGTTGATAATTATAATTAATTAATTAAGATGTTTAGAATGGAATACAATATGATCTTCAATAAAGGTTTGAATGAACCAATAGTTGTGTGGATAGCCTTCACGATGATTGAATGTAAGGTTGATGTTGGCGCTGTTTGATTTGCATGCGTCAATCAATTGATCTGGATATAGTTTGTATAGGAAATCATCGGCAGTACCTTGATCAACGAGAATATCGAGTTGTGGTCCTTGATAGGACTTGGCCAACACCGAAGCATTGTACACATCCCACTTGGTCTTGTCGCCACCCAAATAGTGTGTCAGAGCATTCTCTCCGAACGTAACTGGATTGCAAATCGGTGCGAACGCCGAAACCGATCTATATTTCGATGGATTCTTGAATGCACTTATCAAAGCACCGTGTCCTCCCATACTATTTATTGTTTTGTTTTGTTTTGTTTATTTATAACAAATTGGAATGGTTGGCGGATTCATCATCAAGTAGCAGATATTTAAGATTATTAATTATTTGAAATACATTAATGTAGAGTCAAATTGTAGTCAAGTTACTTACCTATGTCCAAAGATAGATTGTTTGTCTTTAATGATGTTGAATGAAGTTGAAACCAGATCATAGAGTTCACTGGTGATATAAGTATACATGTTGTAGTTGTTTGACCATGGTTCGTTGGTAGCGTCGACGTAGAAACCAGCACCCAATCCGAGTGTCCAGTCAGCCTGTTCACCCTCGATTCCAGCACCACGTGGACTGGTATCTGGACATACCAACATGATACCCTCACGCGATGCAAATTGCAAAGCACATGACTTTGTAATGAAATTTTCATCTGTACAGGTAATACCACTCAAGAACCACAATACCTAAAACAACAACAACAACAATAACATAATAATAATAATAACAATATTATTAACATTTTATATTAACCAAATGATTCAGTTGTTAACAATATTAATATATACTTACAGGTACTGCATTCTTACTGATAGTGGCGGGTAAATATACATGAAATTTCATTTCACAATTGTTACATTTCGATTGATGACTATTTGTTTTTATAGTATTTTGTCAATGTTATTAATTCTTTTTAAATGATTTCTCTATAAAACATGTTATTTACTTACGAATATCTTTTAACTTCACCATTGTAACATTTTGAAGTTGATAATAATTGTAATGACATTATTTCTTATACAACAAGATTGTTTGATTCAAATAAAAACAATGATTAAAAAAAAGTCAAATCAGATGACCAAAAAAACCCTTTTTTAGCAAATTTTGATGTGATGGGTTGGTGTGAAAAATGATTAAATAAAAATAAATTCATCCGATGAAAAAAAATTTAGTTTAAATCAATTAAGATATAATAATTTGTAAACAATGAATAATAATAGAATTATAAATGTTGGTGTATTAGGTGCAACTGGCGCTGTTGGTCAGAGATTCATTCAATTGTTGGAGAAACATCAGTGGTTTCGAGTTGTAGCTGTCGGAGCATCATCGAACTCCGTTGGAAAGCTCTATAGAGATGCTGTTCATTGGTTGTTGCCAACAGATATCCCTGTGGAAATCGGACAGTTGAAAGTTGTCGGATGTGATGATCCCTCGCATCAAGCCTTTGCGAGTTGTCAGATTGTATTTTCAGCACTCGATTCCAATGTAGCCACTGAGATCGAAGAGAAATTCAGAGTAGCCGGTAAAGCGGTCTTTAGTAATTCAAAGAATCATAGATACGACAGTGATGTACCGATTATGGTTTGTTCGGTAAATCCCGAACACAGCGAAGTCATTCTCAAGCAAAAGGCATATCAGCAAAACAAAGGATTCATCATTACCAACCCGAATTGTTCTACCACAGGAATAGTAGTTGCACTCAAACCAATAGCGAATCAATTCGGTCTACATGAAGTTGTAGCATTTACAATGCAATCTATATCTGGTGCTGGATATCCAGGTGTACCATCATTAGACATAAGTAAGTATAATAATAATTAATTGTTACATTTGATTTTAATATAGTATTTTCTACTTCTTTATAGTTGGAAATGTTGTACCATTTATCGGTGAGGAAGAAGAAAAGATTGAGATTGAAACCAAAAAGATTCTAGGTGGATTGGATTGCAATAATGTTAAGAGTGAATATTTCAGTAATTATCCAGTTATGGTTAGTGCACATACCAATAGAGTTCCAGTTGTAGAGGGACATACCATTTGTTTATCGATAAAACTGAAGCAATCAGCTACTATTCAACAGGTGAAAGATTGTCTGGAGAATTACTATCCAAAGGAATTGCAATCACTTCAATTGCCTACTTTCAATGGAAATCCTATTGTTGTGCTGGAGCAAAACAATAGACCACAACCCAAATTGGATGTCAACAAAGGCAATGGATTGAAAGTTTCGGTAGGAAGAATAAGAGATGGATCTACATCACCTGGTGAATCGTCATTTGACCTCAGAATGACATTATTGGTACATAATACAGTATTGGGTGCTGCTGGTTCATCAATTCAAAATGCTGAATATTGTATTGCCAAAGGTTATATTCAATAGTAATAATCAAATCAATTATTACAATAACAAACAATAAATAAAAAGATAAAATTATGTAAATAAATTCATTATTATTACTTTTTTTTTATTACTTTTTAATTTTGTTGATGGATTGGTTGATTGCCGGTACCAATGCAGAGGAGACAGCAAACAGTAGGAGTTGCAATATGATAAAGGCATTGGAGATGGCATAATGAGAGATACTGATACCTATTTCCAACCAACTACCGGTGTCTTTGACCAAAAAGAAAAAGTTTATATTCATAATATCGGTGAGTGCAATGACAACAAGGAAACTTGCTGGTCTTGGAATATTCAAGCAGTTGTTCAGCAGTGAGAATGACAGTGCAACGATCAACAATGGAATGAAGATCTTTATCAACAAGAGGAAGCCCATAAGGAATGGGTTGAAAATGGTGGTGAATCTGTAAGTGGCAGAAAGATCAAAACTACTGATACTTGCAATATTACCAACACCAAAGAATCCAATATAACAAAAGAATATCTAAATAATAATAATAATTAATAATTGAATAAAAACTATTGAAAAAAAGATAAAATTGATAAGCCTACATAAATAATTGCTCTCTTAATATCATTTTGGGTAATGTTATCGGATGCTTTATCACTATCCAAAGTAAACTCGGTATACATCCAAATCGATAATGTTACAATGAAAATAGCATAGAATAAAATTTCATAACTAAAAAATAAAGACATGTGAAAAAGTATTGGTTAGTTTGATCAATATTGAATGATTAATTTTGGGTGATAATATGACATACGAAACACCAAATAGTACAAATGGTATGGCCAATGTTAGACAAAGATATACCCAATGATCAAAATAGTGTTTTCCTTTGAGTAAAGTAACTACAACAATACTGGAAATAGATAGTCCCCAAGCTGCAATTTGATTGAAATAAGGCAAACCAATCTTTCTTTCCAACGATTTGTCAGTGGAGTAAACAATCCAAGTTGCAAATGCAACGGTTGCAATCAAAGCATAGACAATCTTTTTATGTGTTGAACTTCCCTTATTATTAGGTGAACTGAAATATAAACTTGATAATCCAATACCTGAAGTTAAAACACCACCAAGGCATCTAAAAAAAACATAATTTTTTGATATTAGTTAGTTATTTATCTATTGGTAGTTAGAATATCATGTTGATTTGTATGAATATTTACACTAAAAGATTATCATTTCCATAATCAACTGGCAGCATTGGGAAAACAGACATTGCAAGACATGCAATGATCCAATAGCTACGAAGTTGAGCTGTGATATTAAAGGTGAATGTTGAAATACCCAACACGATGAACAAGATGCTAAGGATTCTTCTATCGAAATAGGAGACGACCAACAACTCCATGATCAATACAGCGGTGGTAGCCAAGATGATAAAGTTTTTGACGATACCAGACTTGCTGATATCCTGTGAACCTGTGATGTGCGATGACTTTGCAACATACGATCTCATAAACATATAGAGTGGCATAGCGTTCGATGGGATTGTCTTTCCCCAGAAGAAAATAACAAAAGTACAATAAATATAATAGAGAATAGGTGATTCATTTACCAATAGATATCCATACAGTCCTATTGATAGTACAATCAATATATAATTAGAAATTTTATCCTGAAAAAAAAAAAGCAAAGTTGGTTAATATTTGCAATGAAAACTCTCTTTTGTATAGATATAATATTTACAATCGATGGTATCTTTTGTTTAATTAACTCTCTATCCAATCTCGATCCAATAATAGTATAGTTATTCATGACATAGAGTGAGAGTGTGATAATCCATCCAAAGTAACCGAGTGTAATCATTGCCATGAGGAAAGGACGGTCGTATGTTTGGAAGTAATTCAAACCTTGGAGACACAGCTCGATGAACGCAATACATAATACCTGTGTTTCTTCGTGGTGTCCATTATCGAGATTCCACTTGATCGAATCCAGCATCTGCTGTGCATTGTTCAACTTGGTGAACGGTGAGAAAATCAAACTGTTTTGCTTCTTGGTGTCTGACTTCAACTTGAACATCTCCCAGATCTGAAGAGTGTTGGCGTAGAGTGCATACGATGTATATTGCTGGTCGGTTCCAAGATAGTCGGTTGGCAATACACCGACCGAGTTCAACGGACATGGAACACCGATCAACGAGGTCATCAGTGGTGCAATGTCAGCCTGGCTGACATCGGAACGCATCAGGTGACTCAACTTCCAGTTGGCCGGAGTGGTTGCGTCGACCGGCAAAGATTCACGTGCTTTTCCACGGAGTTTAGTGATTTTCTCCATTTGGAACTCGTAGCTCAGTGGACCACGAACACCGGCTCCCCACGCTACCAGCGGAGTCTCGGTGTTGGCACGCTCACCGTCACCGTGACTTCCACGATTCGACATTCCGTGGTCACTGGTAAAGATGAATGCAGTCTTGCCGTCGTCTCCGTAGAACTCCTCGATCTTCTTTGTTATCTTGGCAATGCCACGATCGACCAACTTAATATTATCGTAATACTCCTTTGAGTTTGGACGATAGGCATGTCCATTCGTATCCAAACCAAGCAGATGCAAGAATATAACGATCTTGTCGGATCTCAACTTCTTCTCTAGCGCGACATCACCGCCAACACTTGCATTTCTCAGGAGATCTTCAATCTTTTCAAACACCCAGGTGTCAAGCTGCGATGCATCACCACCGAAATCCTCTGCTTCGGGTGGGTAGCTCTCTGTGTGCATATGTGGCACCTTCTCTGAGAACATCGGCATGATGTCGGGACTGCCATATCCCCAGGAGTGAGTGGATTGGTTGAAGAGATGGTCGAAATCGACAGGGTTTGACTTCCAGCCTTTGGTGACTGCCGACACGTCCTCGTAGAAGCCGGCTATCATCGCGACATGTCCGGGACGTGTCTCTGTTGGGACACGCGTGTGACTCACACCCCAGCTACCGGTCTTCTCGATGATGTCACGCATAAAGGGTGCGCGACTATTGCCAGTCTGCTCTTCGATCTCAAAGAACTTGTCGGCACGAAGACCGTCCGCCACGAACAGAACCAAACGTTTTGCCGGTGGCGAAACAATCGTGTCGTCCGGACGGTGTGGAGTCATACCGTGGACGAGCGGCGAACGGAAATAAATATCAAAGATACTTAGTGTGAACACCGCATGAAAAACGATACCAAACACCACAATGAACATGATCTTTGAATTGAATTTTCGTTTCATCTCCAAGTGATGTTGATGGTTGTTGCTGTCAGCATTGTTACCGCCGCCGCTTCCACCACTACCTATCGAAACTATATTAGATGAAAAAATATGATACATATTTAGAATATATAAATAACAAATAAATATAAATCAAATTTTAACTAAACTAATACATCTAAATAATTAATTATCTAACTACTAAATTAAATAAATAGATTAGATATATTATCCAATTATTTTTTTGTTAAATTTTTTTTTTTTAAATTTCAAACATTTGTCGTACTGTGAATGAAGTTCTTAAGCAGTTTTTAAAAAATTCTATTCCGTTAAGTGTGTTTCGAAAAAAATTTTGAAAATTTTGAAAATTTTGAAAAAACTTGAAAATAATTACTCAATCTAATTGTCAAATTTTGATTAATATAGATTGTTTTGTATTGTTGTTTTGTTAATGTTTTGTTGTTGTTTTGTTGTTGTTTTGTATTAATAATAATAATAAAATTAAAAATACATTCATTATAGTAATAGCAGCAATCAATATAAAACAATATAATATAAATAATAATAAAAAAACAACACATTCTTTTTTTTTGTGTTGAAAATAATATAGATTTTTTAAAAAAAGTATGAAAAGTACAATAAAAGGAGGTGTTTGGAAGAATACAGAAGATGAAATATTAAAGGTAGCCGTTATGAAGTATGGAAAGAATCAATGGGCAAGAATTTCATCTTTGTTGGTCAGAAAGTCACCTGCTCAGTGTAAGGCACGTTGGTACGAATGGTTAGATCCATCCATAAAGAAGACAGAGTGGAGCAAGGAGGAGGAAGAGAAGTTGCTGCATTTGGCAAAGATCTTTCCGGCGCAATGGAAGACGATTGCACCGTTGGTAGGACGTACAGCATCACAGTGTCTCGAACACTACAATCGTTTGCTTGACCAGGTGCAAGCGCGTAACGATGCCGCCAACCCAGATGCAAGTGGTGCAGCTGCTGGCGACGATCCGCGCCGTCTTCGCGTGGGCGAAGTCGAGGCGAATCCAGAGACAAAGCCGGCCAAGCCCGATCCAATCGATATGGATGAAGACGAGAAGGAAACATTGTCAGAGGCGAAAGCACGTCTATCAAACACACAAGGAAAGAAGGAGAAGCGTAAGTTCCGTGAGAAGCAGCTGGAGGAAGCGCGTCGACTGGCGCATCTCCAGAAGAAGCGTGAACTAAAGGCAGCGGGAATCATTGTGCACGACAAGAAGAAGGCAAAGGAGAAGCGTTTCGATTACTCCCAGGAGATTCCATTCTATCGTAAACCGATGGCCGGTTTCTATGATACCGCTGAGGAGCAGAAACAAGCTCCCGACAAGGACAAACAGTTTATCAATCAGCGACTCGATAAGATTGACGGAGAGTCGCGTGCTGCCGAGTTGGAGCGCGCCAACAAGCTGGAGGAACTCAAGAAGAAGAAGCGTGAGATGACCAACTTGCCCGATGCAATCAAACAGATCAACAAGATGAACGATCCAGAGATGACCAGAAAGCGAAACAAGTTGGTGTTGCCAGAGCCACAGCTGACCGACGACGATCTCCAGGAGATTGCAGAGTTTGAGAAACAGAGCAAGTCATACAGCGCAGCAAGTGGCGATGGTAGTGGTGGCGAGCTGACGGCAACAACAGCGCTGGTTGGCGGCTTGATGCGTCCGCCAACCGAAGTACCACAGTCGCGACTCAACATGGTGGCGCGAACACCAATGCGCGAGGATGTCGTTATGATGGAAGCACAGAATCTGCTGGCGATGACAACTGCACAGACACCGCTCAAAGGTGGTGCCAATCCCGTATTGAATCCCTCGGATTTCAGTGGCGTCACTCCCAAGCCACAAAACATGGCATCACGCACTCCCCTCAGAACACCCAATCCTCTCGCACAAGGAATGACACCAAGACAACAGAAACAACAAAACAATGAAGATGCAATGGCAACTAAACACTCGATTGCCAATGGTCTGAAGAATCTGCCTGCACCGGTCAACAAATTCCAGATAAGTCTGCCCGATGAACCGACACTCGAGGAGATCGACGAAGATGGACAACAAATATTGGATCAATCGGAACAAGAAATTAGAGAACAACAAGAGTTGAAACATAAAGAGCAGTTCCGTCTTAGAAATAGATCACTTCCATTGAAAAAGTCATTGCCACGCGCCACCACACTGCCGACACAAACCGCCGGACTAGCCATTATTGGAAAAGCGGAAGAAGAACAACAACAACAATTATTACAAAAAGAAATAGACAATTTAATATTGAATGAAATGTGTGGAATTATTAAACATGACGATAAGTGCTACCCTTTGGAAGGCGGCACCAACGACGACAACGACTATGAATACTTTAGCGAGAAGGAATTGAAAGAGGCACAGAAACTACTGGTAACGGAATTGAACGTGGTCAAACAGGAGCAACAGGAACAGTTGGATGAGAAAGAGTTGATTGATAAATTTGTAAATATTTGGACGAGTGTTAGAGACGATTATGTTTATCAATCGAACCAGTTTGTGGAGCGAGCCAGCCTCTCCACCGAGCAAAAGATCGGTTCACTCAAGCAGGAATACGATGCCATTGTCAACGCGATGAAGACGAGCGCCAAGAAAGCACAGCTCATCGAGAAGAAAATGACCACCGAGTTGACTAGCTACCAAGCATCACTCGCCAAAGTCCTGAAACAAATCGATGAGATCTCGCAGCAAATCGAACAGTCCAGTATCGAGCTATCATGTTTCCAACAACTCCGAATCATTGAACAACGTGCCATTGAAAGTCGTGTCAAATTCGTCCAAAACCAAGTGTACGATCAGTGTGATCGTGAAAATAGGAATCAAATGAAATATTCAAAACTTATCAATGAAAGAAATACATTATTATCACAGCAACAACAACAAAATGGAAATAACAATAATAACAATAATAATAATAATCATCCAAAATAAACATTGTTACAATAATGATAACTATTATTATTTATTTATTTACATTTAGATAGATTTCTAGAAGTTTGTTGACTTGGTGAATCATTTTGAACTTCATGAAGTTTTCGTTTTTTGAATGTCAAGAATTTATTTAATTTTTTAATTTATTATTTTATTTTTTTGTTTTTTTTTTTTTTTTTGATTCAATAGGTCATTTTTGAATCACAAACAAAAAAACAAAAATTTCAAACAAAGTAAAGAGAGAGTAGTAATATTTTTGATACCTTTTAAAACCACTCATATAAATGTAATTATCAATTATATTTCAATGAAACACACCTGCAGTGTTTCGCTTTTAGTATAAATACACTATCTACCCTCTACATCTCGTCATCAAAACTTTGTTTGACCGGTCAAACTATATATCGTTTTTTGTTTTTTTTTTTTTATCTAAATTTGACAAACTATCAATTATCATTTGCAATACACATAATCAAAACAAATATATAAATAAAATAAATACTGATAAATAGATAGATAGATAGATAAAAGATAGAGAAGATAAATTATTAAAACTAAAGTAAAGCATAGGGAGTTAAATTAGTGGTTCTTTTGTAAGAAAAAGAAAGTGGTTACAATTCAAATTCAGTTTACAATAAATCAACATCATTATTATTATTATTATACATATTTTACATATGACAATAGTACATTATTATTCAATCTAAAAACAACAGTCATAAATCAGACAATAGAATCTAAAAAAAAAGAGTTTGAAAATTCTAAAAATGTTTTGTTTTTTTGAAAATTTTGTCTTTTTTTTTTCCTTAACAATTGTGTACGTCTCTTGCAAAGTAAAGCAAAAGTAAGAGTAAGAGTAAAAATAGTCGTCGCGACTGTCAAACTCTTTCAGTGTCCTTTTACCTTTTTATTTAAATGTATGTGTGTGTTGTGTGTGTGTGTGTTGGGTGGTGTTAGTTCATTTTTACTTATAGTCATTCATTCATTCAGTAGCAAGCAATAACAACAACAACCCATCAAAAATTTTGTTTTATATTGCCAAGCAGTTTGTTTGTTGATGTATATGTTTGGTCAACAACACATTTTTCAAATATATACATTTAATTTTTTTTTCAATTTTTTTTTAGACATTAACTTTTTTTTTTTTTTTTTTTTTTTTTTGGGGTGTTTTGTTTTTTTGAAATCAAAAAATTAGAATTTATCAAAAATATATTCCAAACCAAACAAATAAATATTAATTATATTTTAAATATATATATATTTTTAGTTAGTTAAACAAAAACAAAAAAGAAGATCAATTTTCAAAAAAGATTAGTAGTAGTAGTAAAACAAATAATTATTAGAAGTACTTCAAAGTCAATATTAGCAAAACAAACAACAATGGCAACTAAAAAGTTAACGGTAAATAACCAACAGCAACAACAACCATCAATGGTCAAGAAAGATGATATTTCATCGTATTTCAATAGTATGCAGCAACCAACAAGACCAGGCAGTACTGGTCAGCTACCACAGCAGCAACAGCCACAACAAGCAGCTCCTTTGGCATCGTCAAAATGGGGATCTCTTTCATTGAGTCAATTATCGCAACAAACAGCGAATATGCCTCTTTATCAACAACAGCAACAGCAGCAGCAACAACAGCAACAACAACAACAACAGCCACAACAAATGAATCAATCAAAACAACAGTTTATTCAACAACAACAGCAGTTTGGTGGTATTCTTCAACAACAACAGCAACATCAACAACACCAGCAACAACAACAACAACAACAAAACTTTATGAGAAGATCTACTGATTATTCAGGAGCAACATCTCCGATCCATCAGAATGGTAACATCAACAGTGGCGGCAGCAATAACAGCGGTGGAAGTTCAAAGATTCAGACATTCTATGCGAATAGTAATACAAACAAGTATACTACCACCACAACAACGACCTCTGTCATTTCATCGACGACCACCAGTTCCACCTCACCCAACAAGGCACGTTACACCAAAGAGGAGTTGTTGAATCTGTTTAATCCTGCCGCGAAAATACCCGATAGTCTTTCAACACATTCACACATCATCAGTGAGGAACTGCAATCACCTGTAAACAACAACTTTGTTTACGATCCAACAAACAATCTCAACAAGTCGAGAGATCGAACCAGAATGATGAATTCTCCTGGTGGATTGAATCAAAGAGGTTTGAGAAAAGACAGTAAGTTAAATCATATTAGAAATAGAGTATATACATATACATTTAAAACTAACTATTGTTATTTATCATTGTAGTGGATGGTAGAATGAGATCGAGAGATGAGATGAATGGTTTGACTCCAAACAAGAGCAAATGGAATAGCAGTAGCGGCGGTTCGAATGCTGTATCATGGCGTAACAAGGACGACGAGAAGAAGTTGTCGATGTGGTACTATCTTGACCCACAGAGTGTCACTCAAGGACCATTCCCAAGTCAGGGTATGGACGACTGGCACAAGGCTGGATACTTTACACCAACTCTTAAGGTCAAGAGAGGCGAGGATGGTACCTTTATCGAACTGAGAAAGCTGTTGGCTCAGTTTGGATTGGAATCTCCATTCAGTTCTGCCATCAGCATGTCGGATCTGCGTGAACTCGAGGAAGACGATGTCATTCCACACGACGAGTTGGAGGAGGAGTTGGAAGATGAGATTATCGAGCCAAACGACGAGGATGAGTTGGAGGATGAGAAGATTTTGCACGGTTTGAATTCCAATGATGAGAAGAAGCAGACAGAACAGACTCACTCACCAGTTCAGGTGCAACAACCACAACAACAAGTCCAACAGCCACAACAACCAACTCTCCAACAACAACAACAATTCTTCAACCAGTTCCCACAACATCAACAACCATTCTACCAACAACAACAACAACATGAGAATGAGATGAGACAACAACAACAACAACAGCAACAACAACAACATCAACAGGCTGGTGGTGCTCCATTCCAAAATCAAGGTGGATTCCCAAATGACAACATGCACAACCAGCAACAACAACAAGTTCCAATCGAGGCACTTCTCTTCTCAGGAAAGGCAATGAGTGGTGGTATGAATCCAGAGGCAATCGAAGCCTACCAGAAATTCATGATGTTCACTCAACAACAACAAAAGATCGAACACAACTTGAGACAACTCGTTGAGCAACAACAAAAGATTGAAATCCAACTCAAGCAATTCTTTGATCACAACTCTGCTGCCAATCAACCAATTCCACCACAAATCCAACAACTCCAACAATTCTACCATGTCAACCAACAACAACAACAACAATTGATGCAACAATACTTCCAATTGAAGTATATGCAACCACTTCAATTCGGAATGCAATTCCCACAACCACAAATACCACAACATCAACATATACAACAACAAGCACTCCACCAACAACAACAGCAGCAACAACAACAACAACAACAGCAACAGCAACAACAACAAGTTGAATACCAATCATTGGTACGACAAGAAGATGAGATCATTAAGTCTCCACAACCAACACTTGAATCAACTGTTCATCCAACCCAAGAACAGCACATGCTCTCTTCTGAATCTGTAAATACAGAGGAAGAACAACAACAAATTAACAACCAACTCGAATCTGCCTGGTCAAAGAATAACAAACACACTAGTGAACAACAAGCACCACACAAACTTAATATCCTACAAGATATCCAAGTAACTGTCGAGCCAAACTTAGTTGGCGATGACAACAACGAGGTCGAAGAAGTCACTGTACAATTAGAACAAGTCGTAGTTAGCAACCCATGGTCTATCCAGGAGCAACCAAAGTCTGAGATGAGATCAATCCTCGAGATCCAACAAGAGGAGAGAAAGGAACAAAAGAAACGTGAAAAGGAGCTCGAGGAACTCAAGGCCAAAGAGGAGAAGAACCAACAACAAGCCAACATCTTGAAATGGGCTGCCACCAACAGTCAACCAACCTGGGGTACCGTTGACTTCAAGCCACCATCCATTAAGGACATCCAAGAGCAACAATTGAAAGACAAGGAAGTCGACACTGCTGTTGCCACCCACGAAGAGCCTGTCGTTGCCAAGAAAAAGCCATTGTCATTCACCGAGGTAATGAAGGAGCAGGCACGTGAAGAAAAGAAGTCAAAGCTCGAACAACAAGCTCAACAGGCTCAACAAGCCATCCAACAACAACAACAACAACAACAAAACATGAGACCACAAATCAATCCACTTTCACCATGGGGTCTCCCAGATGAGAAGAAATCCGTTCCAAACTTCTCAGCTGTTGTACAACAAGAGGTCAACAAGCAACAACAACAACAAGCCAAATCAACTCCACTCCAAGTCAGATTGACTCCCCAATCATCCGCTGCCGCCAGTCAGCCATCTGAAGAATCGTTCTGGGAATCGAAATCATCATCTTCCTCCTCCAGAAATGGTAACGATTACATCTTGAATATCCTCCCATCGAAGCAACCAAGTTCGACCAAGAGTTCATCGATTGTCGTTAAACAAAAGCCAGTACAAGCTCCACAACCAAAGGCTGATTTCATCAAGTGGTGTCACCAACAACTCAAGCCACTTACCAACATGGACGTCGCCACTGTCACCGAGTTACTTTGTAGTTTAAAGACTGAAAACGAAATTAGAGAATGCGCCAAAGAATGTTTGGGTTACTCTAGTGAAGTTACCAACTTTATCAATGATTATCTCATGGCTAGAGGTGATGAACCAGGATTACAATTCGAAGCTTCCTCGCCATACATCACCATTCCAATGAAAGGAAAGCCAAAGGTCTCTCAACCAACCAACAACAAATCAAAGAAGAACAAGAAATAAATCATTACACCAAACAACTAGCTCAAAAATGGTAGTATAATCTAGAACTTCAAATAAATAAAAAATATTAATCAAATAAAATTGTGGTTGTTTTCATCATTAAATTTTTTTTGTTTGATTGTTTGTTGACACACACACCACACATTAATTCACATTGTGTGTGAAAATAACGAATAAATAAATATTCATCTGTAAATTGTCAATTCACATCAATTTATCTATCAATACCTATATAGATATTTATATAATTTATGAAAGGATGAATTGATTATCATTTACAATGAATCTAAATATTTATATAACTAGATAAGAATGAAAAATACAAGTTATAGGTTATATAGAATTTTATTTTTATTTTTAATTATTTTTATTATTTTTTACTTTTTTTTCTTGGGTACAACTATACATTCAACTAATCAGCTTTCAAAAGTTTCATTTGGATCAAAAATAAAATCAATCTATAACAATTATAAATATAAAGATAAACTTGACGCTAGGAATCAAAATAAATTAAGAGAGAACGAAACAATTGAAAAAATAGAAAAATCAGAAATTAAACAATTATCATCAGTACTCAATAAACACCATCAACCGCAACTTTCAATAGTTATTCCTGTCTATAATCAAATAAGATTTTTAGATTTCACATTGCAAAGTTTAATCAAACAACAAAATACTTCAGATTGGGAAGTCATTATAGTTGACGATGGTTCTACAGAGTGGCTTACCAAACAACTGCTTTACCAGGTCTTTCAAGAGTACTCCCAGTTGATCGACCTTACCATACTGTTTGAAGTGAACGGTGGGCTATCATGGGCAAGAAATCAAGCTATTAAAGTTGCCAATGGAAAGTGGATTTTGCCTCTTGACTCTGATGATACACTTGCACCTGATTTCCTTACCAAATCATTCAATGTTTTAAATACTTTAGATTCAAACAAGTAATATTTTATATACTTATTTATATTTAGATTCAATATAAATTAACATTTTAAGTTTATTTAGTAAACATACTGTAGTTATATCTGATTTACAAGGATTTGTAGAGAATGAAGAAGAGGCTGGAGGTGTAGAAAGATTAATGTCTTGGAGCATACCCGACTGGGATAGAGAATCATTGAAATTCAAGAATCTATTACATTGTTCAGCTTTGTTTAGAAAGGATCTATGGGAAACGGTTGGTGGCTTTGATAACAATCTGTGGTTTGGCTGGGAGGATTGGGATTTCTGGTTAAGATTGGATCGCAAATTACCTGATGGTCTTGACATTAAAGTGATTAGAGAGGAGCTATTTAACTACCGTATGAAACCAGGAATGCATTCTTTTTGTAAAGATAATTTCCAACTATGTTTCTCTATGTTTCAGACTCTGCATCCAGAGGAATACTCTTTATCTGATATTATACATGCTCATCGGAGAATTGGTGCCGAAGGTGCCAAGATACTACTTCCACTCAAAAGAAGAATTAAACAGTTTCCAAATTCATATATTTTGCATATGTGGTTAGGATTAGTACACGAATATCATAAACCAAAGGATGTTGTCACTGCTAGAAGAGAATACGAACTATCAATGGTAAGATTTTAATATAGTTTTTATTCATCTATTCTTATGTAACTAACTAATCTATTTATTTAACATTAGACATTGGGGCATGAAAAGAATGATTGGCAACCAATTATTTTGAGAATATTGGTCGATAGAGGTACTGATATGTTTGATGAATCCAAGAGAGATTTACCACATATTTTCGGAAAGTACGATTCAAATTTAAAGAATGAATTAATCAATGTTTATGGAGATATATTCAAATGAAAATGTAAAAAGAAAATCATAATTATTTGTTATTTTTTTTTGTTTATTCGAATAAACATAAATATATAGTTAGAATTAATTGGTTGTATCAATATTATGTAAATGTTTACCAATGAGGTAACGATCATCTCTAATACTATTGTGAAGTTTGATGAGATACACTTTTGCCTTGTTATATAGACTTTCGATGATCAGAAGAACTGTGAATGCAGGATATCCAAAACGGAATGTGAAGTTCTCCAGAATTGCACTTCCTCCTAGCCATGGTACGAGGCCACGTGAAACGAAATACGGGACGGTAAACAACACCATGAGGAAATGGGCAATAGGGAAAACAATCTTTTTCATAGTAAACATGAGATCGACATTTGCAAAACCATTTCTCTTTAGGGTTTCGAATCGGTCGAACCATCTGTCCCTTTCGGTTTGTTCTTCGTCTTCAATACGATTGTGTCTGATATTTCCTTCGTTTGGAACTGCTGTTGCCCATCTATACCAAAACTTTAATATTAATGCACCAATACACCAGCTCTATAGAATTGATTTAAAAAGAAATTTGATTAGTTAAAATAAAACGATATAGATATCTTATCTACACTTACATAAAATATGTCACTTGAGAATATATAGAATGTTTCATCATAGGAGCTGACAAATGGAATGAACAAAATTAAATCAAAGAGAATACCAACTAGGACAGGGAGGAATATACAAATACTGAATCCAAGTATCAATACCTTGAATGCAACTGGTATCCATTGAATTATATTGATGGTGGAACGATGGAAGATGACCAGATTGACAAGTTTGGATAATACCCAAACCACGACGACACCAACAAAGAATGTAATTATATCGTTTGGATTGCTGATCGATGCCAGACCTGCAAGAGATCGTCCAATAGTGATAGGCATTCCAATGAAACAACAGATAATGGTAAACAGCAATAACCACCACAGGAAGAGGAATCCAATAATTCTAAATTTATAATGTGTTGGTTTAACATCTGGGAAATCTTGTGGATTTCTAATTGGTTGTGGTTGGGGTGGTTGTTCAGCTCCTTGTTGTTCTTGACCATCTTGTTGCTGCTGCTGCTGTTGTTGTTGTTGTTGTTGTTGCTGCTGTTGGTTGGGTATTGCAGGTGGTAATAGTATATATTCATCAATACCAAGTGTACGTGTAATTATATTGTTAAAGTATTTAATAAAGTTTGTAAAAGTTAACTGTGGATGGAACTTTGGGAAATAAAATGTTGAAATAAAGAATATAACATCTGCACCAATACCAACTTTATTCAATGGATCTCCAAAATCAACTGGTAATAAATTTGGTATCTATAGAAATAGTTTAATATTAATAAAAAGTGTGTATATAGTATTTTGGATAAAAAGGTACAACTTACCAATGACAATGCCTTTAATGGTAGATATATCAATAAGATAGTGACCACACAATAAATCAACAATGATAGATTAATATTAATTAAATGTTTAACAAATGGTACCTAAATATTTATAAAAATAAGATATTAAAGTTAATATTGATATCTTTAATTATTGGTTAATCAGCTTTTCTTTTTACCTTTACTAGGTCTTTAATTACATCTAGATCAGGATCGTTTGGATCTCTAAGGAACCAGATTACTTTACGTCTGAATATCTGGTGGAGTATCTTACAGAGAGATGATATGTTGATGATGCAAAAGAAACCGACACCCCATCTCGTGATGATGAATGGCAGAATGTGGTGGAGAGATCCCTGTAGTCTTGTATCGAAAGTACCACCAAACAACTCCATCGATGCATAATCAATGAAGGCACCAAACAACATCGGGAATACACCGACCTCCAATATAACAATGATGCAAACCTTTATAAATGAATAAAATATTCTTGAATATTTATAATAAATAAAATTCTTTATAAAGTTACTCTAAATAAATTAAATTAATAATAAAAATTAGTTGATTGTTGAAAAAAATACAAATCTAAATCTAGACTTTCGTAATTATAATATACTTACCAATATAAACATTGTTAATGTTGAAGCAATGATATATCCAATCGATATGTTCAATAGATATTTTGAGATTATTGATGCCGGTAGTTGAATATCGAACAACGTCGATACTGCATTGGTTGATAGGTATCCAATGAAATATGGAATGAACAAGAATACAACTAAGAATATTGTATTATAAATGATTAAACATACACCTTTTGCTATCACCTCTAACTTTGGACCTGATAAACCAACTATTTTAAATAACGAACGATGAGTGTTTAGTCACAAACTACTTTTCTTTCTTTTCTAAATGTTTTAAAATAAACTTACTTAGAGTATTTAAATCCATTTGATCTACTTGATCTACACCATTTGCCGGTACCTGTTGTGGTGCCTGTGGTGCTTGATGTTGTTGGAACACTTCGAATACACCACCAAACAAAGGTTGACCATGATTATTGGCATGTTGATTTTCTTGCTGATGTTGTGGACCTAGCCATTCTTGCTGATTATATCTTATATCTTCATCGTCATCTTCCTCCTCCACATCAGTTGCATCATCGTCATCATCACCATCATCTTGATTGTTTACATTGTTATTATTATTATTATTATTATTGTTATCTAGATTCTCTTCTAGATCCAACTCTGAATGCTTGTGATCCAATATATCGAATATCAAATACGAAGAGATGGTTACGATGATGATCCAAAAGAACAACATGAATCCCAAGAAAAAGTCACGAGCTATTGTATTGACGTCGTAGATACTATCTGGTAACTTCAAGTAAAAGTAGGTCTGGAACGACCAACTCGTAAAGAAAGGCACCAAGAATAGATAGCAAAACACAACGTATAACACACGAACCAATCGCTTTAAGAATCCACTCAACCTAATGATTGCTTCCAATATAAACTCTCTGATTGGTAATACATCTGGTGCATTTTCACTATATACTATTTATTTATTTTTAAATTAATAATAATAATGATATTAATAAACAAATATTTTATTAATTATTAAATAATATAAATAACAATAATATATAACATACTTGGTGTAAAACGGAAAGGATGACCACATAGTTCACAGGCAGAACTCTTTGAGAATTTGATCCAATCCAACAGACAATTCTGATGAATAAACTTTATAGATCCATTACATTTACAAGGATAAGAGAGTGGGTTGTTTGTAGTCGGTCCATTTCTACAAACTCTACATACATCTCCTTCTTCCTCCATTGTATCTAAAAAACACTAAACAAAACTAAACTAAACGAAACGAAATGAAACGAAACGAAATTGCTAATTTCTATGATATTGAATATTTATTTATCTATCTATTTATAAATAAATAAATTATAAAGATAACATTTATTAATGACTATAATTAAATATAAATAAATATCTTTACTACTACTATCAATCTATATAGTTTGATGGTGTAACAAACAATTGTATTTATTTGTTTAACCAAACTTTATTATCAAAATTTTTTTAATTTTCACTTTTTTTTTTTTCTACACATTTCTTCAGCAAAAAACACACATTTTTTTTAATGAGTCACCATTACCTTTTTTTTTTTATTTTTTTTTTATTTAACTTCATTTTTTAAATTAATAATCAATCAATCAGTTGTATTATACTTTAATTTAAATATAAAAATATATATATAAAAAATATAAATAAAGTAAAATGAATGATATAATAAGAAAGATTAATCCATTTTCACAAATACCAAAATATCAGGTAATCTTCTAGAATGAATGCCAAGCATTTTAAACATATTAAAATCACTTATTAACCAATGATAAATTGATCATATCATCATATTTATACAGATTGCACAACAGATTGTCAATTTCGGATTGATTGTATCATCAGCTTTGATGATATGGAAGTTCTTGATGATTGTCAGTGGTAGTGAAAGTCCAATCGTAGTGGTATTGTCAGGTAGTATGAGACCAGCGTTCGACAGAGGTGATCTATTATATTTGAACATGGACGACGGTCCATTCAGAGTTGGTGAAATCGTTGTATTTAAAATCGATGGTAAAGACATCCCAATTGTACATAGAATCTTACAAATACATGAAAAGTATGAAAAACAATAACAACAATAACAACAACAAATCATCATACTAATCAAATCTATCTATCTTATTTATCAATCAGACCGAGTGGTGATTTCAATATCTTAACAAAAGGTGATAACAATACAGTTGACGACAGAGGATTGTACGCAGAAGGACAGATTTGGTTGAATCGTGAGCATATCATTGGAAGAGCTAAAGGTTTCTTACCCTACGTCGGAATGGTAACCATTGTAATGCACGACTATCCTCAATTAAAGATACTCTTGGTTGGTGTATTAGCATTATTTGTATTATCAACAAGAGAATAAATAAGAATAAAAAAATAATAAAAATTTAATAATATTAAAAAATAATATAATAATATATGTTTTTTGGTTTAGTTTGTTTATTGTTATTAAATTACATAATGATTAATGATAATGAAAATGGTGAGTGATGAGTGATGATGATGATATAATTGTTAATTTGATTATTATTATTATTATTATTAATTTCTTATTAATTTAATTGGGAAATTCTCTGTAATTAGATGACCATCTTCCAGCATGATTACTAGATTAACTTCGAATTCTATCTTGAAAGTACGTGCGGCCGTGGTGATACAAGTGAACAATCTTGGGAATACCATCCAGATTGGTATATTCAATCCTCTACACATATCGCCATCACCAATCTGAATATTTTGAATCTCTGTCACTGTAGATTATTATTTAAAGATATATAAAAGATTAGTATACCTCTTATAATATAAGAATTATTATGAATCTATCATACATTCTCTTGCATAACCATCTGCACATCCACATGTTTCAACTCTAACGAGTTGCAATTCAACTGATTTAATGATAGCTTCTGCCGATTCGATGATAAGATGACCTTGGAATGCATCGTTGATATGACAAATCGCTGATTTAAGTTGACCTGATACTCTAAAGTTTGGAATATCCGATTTAGAAATCTATAGAATTAGATACCAATTGGTGTTAGTTAATCCCACTTTCTTCCTACATTCTTTGTTCATTCTCTCTCTCTCTCTTTGTTAATTAATTTACTTTTTTAAATGTTGATAATGAATCTGGTGTAACCAAGAAGTTTACTGGTGCTGATTCTTTATTAATTAAACTGGTTGGTGTCTATTAAATGTAATTTTAAGTAAGTAAGAATAAAGATCATTATCATAATAAAAAAAGATTCAAAACAATACTTACTGGTGTTTCAACTACAAATTCGATTGTCTTTTGTAAATCCTTTGATAGAATACCTCTCTTCATGTCGCACTTGATAGTGTATTGAATATTTACAAATACACCATGATATGTATCATACAATTGTTGTCCTGCTGCTGGTTCCAAATTGAATTCGAATGGAATCTCTGTAACACCTGAAGTAGTATAGATAATCGTCATTCCGTCTTACAAATTGAATAATAATGAAAGTGTAAAAGTATAAAGTAATATAGTAGTAGTAGTCGTAGCAGATATTCAGTTTTAAATCAAGCGGATTTAAAAGAATATCATGTTTTGAAAGATAGGGTAGTTAAATTGTAAATGAGAGACGAGAAAGAGAGAAATCGATAGATATTTAGAAGTGTTTACTTTGTTGAATTGGTATAATTTGCCGGATGGAGCAACATTGAATGTATAATGTAACATAGTAATTGGTTTCAAAGAGTTGTAGAATGCCTCGAAAATACCGACACTCTTTGAACTAAGCTGTAATTGTACACTTCCCTCGACGGTAAGTGTTAAACCACTGTGTGAAAGGTCTTCTTTTGTACTAACAACGACATATCCTGCTACTTTATTCTAGAATATATATAGTTGTGTTTGTTTTAATATCATATGTCATTTATAATGTGTATCATGGTATTTAACTTAACAACATACACCTGGTTTATAAATCTTATCGATCTTTTTTAATTTTATATCTAGAGCATTGGCAGCTGACATTGTGTGGTAATAAGTATATATAAATAGTTAACTAACACCTTTGTTTTTCTCTGTGTGTGGGACTAATTAATAAATAAATTAAAATTTGCTCATAAAAAATGATCATTTTCGAAAGCATGATAAAAAAAGCTCATTTTGAAAAAAAAATCTTTCTTTGGAAAAATCATTTCATTCTGTTTGAATTAAAAAAAAATTTAACAAATTGTTTTTATTTAATTAAAAGGTAAAATCATGTTCATATTTCTATCTTTAACTTTTGAAAAATATTATTTATATGAGAGTGAAATATATCTTTTTTTTTTTTTTGGAAATTTAATGATATTTATTTTATTTAATTTAATTGACATGTTTGAAAATGAAGATGAATATTCATTCAAGTGAATGTCGTGACGATCTTTTTGACACAGTTGTACCAAAACAGTGCAATGAACACATTGTAAACTATAATCAGATAAGTTTGATTGTACTACTTTGTGTATATAATACAAAAATTTTTTAATTCCTATTCTATTTTTTTCTAATTATAAATCAAGAATTCAGTTGCAAGCATTGGATTGAATGATGTGCTAACTGATTAATTACGGAAGCACTGCAAAGACACTCAACTTGTATGTTACACAAAATAAAAAGTCTTAAATATTAAAATAAAATAACCTGGTCCTCAAGTTACAAGTAAAATGACTAAAAACTCCAATTCCTATGAATTGGAAGGTCTTTTTTTTTTGACTTGTTTACATCCGGTGAGTATCCTGAAAATCATCAAAAAAAAAAAAAAAAAAAAAAAAGTAAAACCAAAAATATCTTTTGGTGTTTGAAAAAAAGGGTTAATTAAACTTTTTGATCTTTTATTTTAAACACCAATTTTGTTGTTGCGTTTATTTGGTTGTTACATCATTTTCTAAATATCTTGATGAAGCATAATCCAAACAATAATGATTTAGCTTTGGTGCATGTCAATATTAGAGTCCCACCCAATACCTTTTATTATATAATATGTTTGTCATATAATGTATGTGATACAAAAAAAAAAAAAAAATAGAATGAAAAACACACACTATGGTTACCCATTTCCTGGTGGTCGACCGACACACACACAAATAGATAATGATCAAGAAGCCGTAAAAGTAGACCTCTTCAATTTATGAAGGAGCGGTTGATTTTATTAAAATTTTAATAAAATCTGAAATGGATTAATTATGATTTGGAAATCGGTAGTGTGAATGTAACAACCTCTAGTATATAAAGGACCAACCTTTATGTTATTTTATTCAATTCACTCTAATTAAATATTTAATAACAGATACATTCAAATAAAATGTTCAGATACGTTGTTGCTCTTGTAGTTCTCTACGTCGCTTTGGCTTCTGCCCAAGTAATTATCAAACAAATAGGTTAACAAAAACTATTGAATGTTTATTAACTTTTTATTGTTATCTATTTCTTTTTATTCTATTTTAGTCCCCAACCTGTGCTACTTACAGCTCTGGTTACCAATACGGTTACTCCAACATTGGTTTCAACTTTGTCAGACGTGACCACTTGTTGTCATACGCTGAGTCTGGTGGTTTCGTTGCTGATGTCGCCAACCAACGTCAAGCCGCTTTCTTCCGTATCCAATTCAACAACACTGATAACATCCCAATTTTCGAAGAAGGTCTAGAGATTATGTTCGCTTCAAACAACACCATGTACATCGTCTCCAACGGTGTCTGTTTCCTCCAACCATCATACGAACCAGTTGTCAACACTTTGGTCCCAAGCAACGTCAGATACTCCAACCAAGTCACCCTCGGATCTGCCAAATTCAACAGCTACACCTCACCAATCTTTGACGGTCAACACTCCTTCTTTGGTGTCTACGAGCCAACCACCTGTATCCCAATGCACATCACCCTCTCCAATGTAGACTTCACCCTCGTATGTATTAATATTGAATAAGAATATTATTATTTTGTTAAAGATACTAATTGAGAATTGTTTTTTCTTTAGGGTGAATCAACTACTAATTTCTTTGACTTCTCCACCACCATCGACGAGAACGTTTTCGTTTTGCCACCACCATGTATGCACCCAATCAAGGTCCACGAATATAAGGGATTCAGATCTCACGTTGCCGAGATGATGGCTTCATTCTAAATTAATTTAGATTATAATGTATTAGAATATAATAAATTTATTTATTTCTAAAATTATTAGTTATTTTGAGAAATGCAACCTTAATTTAAGGTGAAAAAGATTTATATAAAAAATTTTGTTTTTTGTCAGTTTGGTACTCTAATTATGATGGAATATATTTATTTAATTTGTTATTCAGTCTTAAGATTACATCAGATAAATACACAAAGATTGGTTTATTTTTTTTAAAAATCAACACTTGTTAATAAATCACCATTTTACTATTTTTTTTTGAAATTCTCAGGGAAAAAATATCTCTATTTATGAAAAACTTAAAATTCAGTCAAGTGTAATTTGAAATTCTAATAGTTCGTGGTTAGAAGAATCTGTGGTTTTGAATATAAAGTTTCGCTACTTTGCAGAAGTCAAAACGGTTTTTACGATAAACTTTTAAAAGTGTGGTTTTTACATGTAAACTAAAGTTTTTCATTGATTTTTATCAAAACTTCCAAATCTCCTTTATTATGATACTATTTCCATTTTTTGGAATTAAAAAGTAAAAAATTTCAAAATATTTTGATCTTTTTTAGGAACTTTGGTACGCTGAAGTTATAGCTTGACTTCTATAACGTTTTTTGACAGATTAAATGAATAATGTTTTGAGAGATCAGATAAATTTCTTAATTTTTATTTATTTCTCTAAATTTCTGCGATTTAATCCTGTAATAATACTACCAATTGTCAAATTAGGAATTTGTGAAATTGTGAACAAATCTTGTTCAATATTCGTATCTATAAAGAATTTAACTTGAACTGTCATCAATGAATCGACTCCAAAATTCTTGAGTGGTGTCTCGGCGTCCAGTTTTTGTTTTGGTATTGAAAGTAATGAGGAAAGACCTTCCAAAAGTGTTTCAAGTGGATCATAATTCTGATAAGATGTGTTTAATTTTCCAGTTTCTCCTAATACCAGATGATCTATTCCATGTTGGCTATGATCATGATATTCATAACTACCAACAGAAGTTATATTGGAAATCATTGGAGTACAATAAAGAGGTTGAGAAAGAATAACTTCAAGTCCTCCAAAGAATTTTGAAAGTGGAACTGGATAAACTCCTCTTGAAATGAAGAATTCTTGGATTCCAGCAGATTCAGCAACAGTTCCTTCACCAAGAATTGGACCTAATCTGATTGATTTCGATTTCATTCCAAGAATATTGTTTCGATATTTACACAATGCATCAACTGCAAGACATGCTGAATTATATGATGGTTGTGATGCTTCTCCACTAAATCCAGATATTGATGAGAATACAATGAATTGTTTCAATGGTAATCTTAAATCAATTGATATTGTGTGAAGATTATGTGCTCCAACAACTTTTGGATCATGAACTTTCTTGATATTATCGAATGTCACTTCATTGATTGGGAATGATTCAAGAATGATTGCAAGATGGAATATTATTTCAATTGATGGCATTGAATTTGAAATTGATTCAATTCTTGATTTCAATTCATTGATATCAGTGATATCAGTTTGATAGAAATGGATTCTTGTTGATTTCGTTGAATTAATGATATGATTCAATCGATTGTTCAATTTTGATTTTGAAAGAACAACAATATCAGATGCATTTGTATGTTTTGCAAGCCATGGAACCAATTCAAGAGATAATCCACTTTGACCAGTGACAATGATTGTATTCGAGATATCAAGTTTGAAATCAATCTTTGGTAATGGTTTTCTATCTTTTGATTCAATCAATGATTTTAGAATTGATTGTTGAATATTTGAACAGTCAATAACAATTTTACCAATTTGTTTTCTTAATTTCATAAAATTGAATGCTTCTTTTGTTTCAGAAACATCAAATACTTTGATTGGTGTCAATTGAAGTCTTCCACTTGTTATATCATTCAAGATAGTTTTCATTAAATTTCTACCATGCTGAATTCTATGTTTAAAAAAATATTGTATATCAACAGAACTGTATTTGACATCATATCTGAATTGACCATATCTAAATCTATTATCATTGATGATATGAGTGACAACCAAATCAGCAATTCTTCCATAAGGTGCCATTGATTTGAAATTCTCTTTCATAAGTTCAACAGGTAAAGTATTGATAAGAACATCAATACCTTTGCATTGTTGTTTGATTTTATCTGCAAATTCATTTGAATATGAATTGAAAACATCAATTAGAATATCTGAATACTCTGATTTGAGATAATCAATCTTTTCTTGAGATCCAGCAGTTGCATAAACTCGTTTACATTTCAACATTCTCATCACATTCATTGCCGCAATTCCAACACCACCAGTTGCACCATGAATTAAAATTGTATCTTTCTCTGAATTGAAATTACAAACTTCAAACAATGAATGATACACAGTTGCATATATAACTGGAATTGAGGCACATTCATTATGAGAAAGTTCTTTTGGTTTTGGAAGAAAGGATCTTTGATCATTTATTGAATGTGAGGCTAATGAATTAACTGTATGTAATCCAATAACTTGATCACCAACTTTGAAATCTTTCACATCTGATCCCAATCTTGAAACAAGACCTGACGATTCTAATCCAAAAGGTGGATGATAAATATCACCACCTGTCATCAATTCTTGTGGAAGTAATTGATGATTAAATAAATAGTCTTTGAAATTCAAACCAACAGATTTGATTTCAAATTCTATTTCATTTGGTTTCAATTCTCTTCTGTTTCTGAGTTTGAAATCAAGATTCAAATTTGCCAAAGTTGATATATTTTCAATATTTGTTTCATATGAATTTGAGTATTTTAAAATATCATCTTTGATATTGAAATCTCTATATACCATTATATGATTGTTGATGATACCATAATGAAGTTCGCCAAGTGATTCTTTATTTTGTGATAATTGCATTATTGAATGAACATATTCAATTTTCAATGGTGAATCAATACTGATGATCAATAAATCCAATTCACGATGATCAACAAATGCAGTATTTAAAAGTCCAATAATTGAGTTTGATAAATAATTTGATGATTCATTATCTTTGATGACAGTTGTGATTCTAGGTTGATTCTCTTGATATGTGAACATTTGTAATAATTCAACTAATGAAAAAATTGTTTGTTGATATTTATCAATTGATTGATGTTCAATTGTTGGAAGGAAGAGAATATTTGTTGAATTTTTAAGAATATCTGATTTAAATTCAATTTCATTTGTTTTAACCAATGATATCGATTGTTCAGAATATCTTTCAAAATATTCAATTGGAATTGTTTGATTTTCTTCAATGATGATAGATAATTGTTGAATATTATTGATCTTGAGTTTTTCAATCAATGGTTTTTGACAATGAATAATGAATATCATTGCCTCATCTGGTGAAAGTTGATTTCCATTTTCATCATTTGGTCCATAAATTCTGATATTCTTGAATTGATCATCTTCAGAAAGTAATTCAACCCATTGATTTGGTTTAAGTGCACAATGATCACGAATATCATCATTATAACTCCAATATTGTTTGAATCCACCAAAAAACATTTCAGGGAAGATATTTTTATAAGCAGGTTCTGCAAATAATAGTATTCCATTTGGTGAAAGAATTTGATGACAATTTGAAATTGGAGATCTGATATTTGGACAAACATGAATAACCAAAGACATTACAATCATATCATATGATGATTTCAAAAGTCCTTGATCAACTAAATCTTGATCCAAATCGATAACTTTGAATTTCATTTTCAAATTTGATTTAAATTTGAATTGATTTGAATATTTATCTTTCATTGGATTCACAAAGAATGATGAAACATCAGAGAATGTATAAACAACTTCAACTTGATTCTGATCACCAAGAGAATATAACATTTCATCAAGTTGTGGAATCAAATAGTTTGTTACTGTTCCAGTTCCACCTCCAATTTCAAGAATCTTGATGATTCTCTTTGAATTTGATTGTTTGATTGATTTTGAAATAGATTTCACTGCAATGAATGATGTTTGTTTGAAATAGTATTGAATGAATTGAGATGTATAAATATTTGAAATAACACCATCTTTGAATAATTGTTGACCATATTCATCATTTCCACGCAATGTTTCAATTATTAATTGAACTCCTTTATCAACAATTTCGGATAATGATGGATCATCATTGATTATCTTTAAATCTGTTAGATTACATGACTGTAAAAATTCTTTAGCTTCATTCAAAATTTCAATCATTCTTGAGAATAATTTGATATTTGTTTCGTTTGAAATGAATTTGAACCTGATCATTGATTCTTCAATTGATTGATTTAAAACTTCATCAAGATTGAATTCTGGAATATTCTTTGAAAACATTGAAAAGATTATCTTAATTGCATCTGGTCTATATTCATTAATTTTGAGAGAAATCATTGAATCTTCAACGAGAGGAGATGGAGTGATTTCATTTGGATTTGAAAGTTGAGATTCTTTTAATTGATAGAAAGATTCAAAAAGTTCATCATTTGGATATTTGATTTTGTTCATTTTCAATCTTTCATTTGTTCCAACTGTGAATCTTTTCATTTCTAAAATCAATTGACCATTTGGATGAATAAGTAAACAATTTCCAATACATTCATAATTATTGTAATCAACAATTTTGGTTAACAAAAATAATTGATCTGGTGGATTTGATTCCAATTCTTGAACAATTTGATGATTGATTCTCATTTCATCAATTGATTTGAAAATAAAGTGTCTTCTATCATCAATAATACCAATCAGTCCTTGAGCACAATTATCAATCAATGTGGAATTGAGAATCTTTGAAGGTGTATTTGATGTTGATTTCGTTTGTAAAACTGCAAATGACATTTGATTTCCAATCGAAATCGATTTAATATGTTGGAATGCAGGTCCATATCTCAGTCCAAGTCTGAGAGTCTTCTTGTATAATTCTTCTTGTGTGAATGTTGTCAAATTACATTGATTCTTGAATGATTCAATATCAATAATTTGATTGTTTGCATTTTGAAGAAGAGTAACTGATGATTTTGCAGATTGGAACCATTCATCATTCAAGTCGTAATATTCAGAATTCTTGTTGAAGAAATCAATTGAATATTCAAATTTTGAAATCTTTTCAATATTTGTCATCAATTTTTGAGATTGACCATTTTGATTGAAAAAGAATGGTTTGATGAATTCCAATCTATCAATGAGAATATCTTGTTGTTTCGATTGGAATATTTCAATGATTGCTTCAACATATGCAGCACCTGGAAGAATTGGACGATCTTTCACTTGATGATCTTTCAAATATTCAAATGGTTTGCTTCCAATATCAATATCTGAGAGATAGCATTCATTTCCATTGAAAACTGATCTTCTTCCAAGAATTGAAGTTGATGGTCCATTCAATCTTTTCGATCTTGAAAAATGAGTTTCTCTCCAATAGATATCAGAATCCCATTGATATCGAGGAAGAATTGAAACATTATCTCTCCAAATTGGATTTGAAATATCAAATTGATTGAATTGTGATTTGAAATCAATATTGACACCAATACAATGAAGTGTTGCCAATGATGATTTGAATAATAATTGTTCATCTTTGTTTCTTTGAATTGGTGAAATCACGTTTGCAGATGGAATTGTTTGTGTTATCAATCCAGATAATGTTGGATGTGGTGATATTTCAATGAAAACATAATCTTTCAAATCATCTTTGAGATCTCTGACAATTGAATCCAATGTCTTCTTGAAATATACTGGATTTCTGATATTTTCATAAATATATTGAGAATCTATTCCGTCTGATTTCAAATCACCAGTTACTGTTGAATACCATGGAATCGTTGATTGATTTGATTTCAAATCATTGATTTCATTGATTACTTTATCTTTGATAACTTCTTGATGTGATGAGTGGAATGAACATGGTGTTCTGAGGAATGTATGATAGATATCTGATTGTTTCAATTGTTTTGAGAATTCATTTAAATTATCATTGCTTCCAGTGATTACAATTGAATTATCAGAATTAAAACATGCAATCTCAAGATTTGGAAATTGATTTTGATAATTATTGTTGAATTGATCAGAACTGATTCCAACAACTAACATTCTTCCAGATCCAATTGTTTCATTTTGGAATGATGCTCTCAAATGAACAACTTTGATTGCATCTGATAATGTCAAATTTCCAGAAATATATGCAGATGTGATATCTCCAAAACTAAAATTATAATTGTAAATTAGTATTTAATTTTAGATAAAAACACAATGAATATAAAACATACCTATGACCAAAAACAATTGATGGATTCAATCCCCAATATCTATAAAGTTCAACCAATGCAACTTGGAATAAGAATAGTGCAGGTTGTGCAATAATTGGTTTGTGAATAACATTTGATTCATTTGGAATTTGATTCATCTTTTCAATGAGACTATATCCTGAATATTCTTTGAGTAATGAATCTAATTCATCAACTGTTGATTTGAATATTGGTTCATTCTCATAAAGATTCATTCCCATTTGATTCCATTGTGGTCCTTGTCCACAAAATACAAAAATCAATTTCTTTCCAATTGAATCTTTGATTGTCGACTGACCATTAATCTCAATTGATTTTGAATTGAAATCATTCCAATCTTTTGCAATGATCACTCTTCTTTGATAATGGAATGATTTTGTCAATGATTGATAAAGTGCAAATTCTTTCAATGATATTCTATCTTGATATTCTTTTATTGATTCAAAATATTTATCATTTGATGTTGATGAATTTGCACTGATTGGAATCAAATAAAATTTATCATTCATATTATCTGAAAAGTTTGTATCATTTTTTGTACTGAATTTTAAGTGTTAGATTATAGAAAAAATTCATATTTAATTATAATTACTTACAAATGATAGCGATCATCTTTATATTCTTGAAGAATGAGATGACTATTTGATCCACCAATTCCAAATGAATTGATTCCCATCATAATCAATTGATCTTTTGGAAGATCTTCAATTTGAGTGACAACTTGAATATTCGATTGTTTGAATGGAATCTTTGAATTCAAATTTGATAATTTGATTGTTGGAACAAGTTTACGATTCTTCAACATCAGTGATACTTTGATGAGTGACGCTATTCCAGCAGCACTTTCAAGATGTCCAATATTTGATTTCACAGATCCAATTTTCAATGGTCTTTCTGGTGAATGATTTGAAGAGAATACATCAATCAATGCACTCACTTCAATTGGATCACCAACAACAGTTCCAGTTGAATGTGCTTCAACATAATAGATTTGTGAAGCATCAATATTTGATCTTTGAAGTGTTTGTTTGATATTCTGAGATTGAATTGTATTTGATGGTGTTGACATTGTATCTTTATTACAATGACCATCAGCATTAACACCTCTTCCTTTTATGACTGCATAGATTCGATTTCCATCTCTTTCAGCCAATGAAAGTTTCTTCAAAACAACAACACCACATCCTTCACCTCGAACAAATCCATTTGCATCTTGATCAAATGGACGACAATGTTCTCCAAGAACCCCAAGATTATTATATAATCTTGAAGTATTTGGATCAAAAATTGCATTTGTTCCACATGATAATGCAATATCACATTCACCATCTTGAATGTATTTGATTGCAAGATCTGTTGAGGTTAATGATGATGAACATGCAGTATCGACACACATCGATGGACCTCTGAAATCGAAACAATATGAAACTCGATTTGCAATCACAGAATGTGTCAAGAAGTCACATAAAACTTTTGGGCTTGGATCGAGTTGACAATAATTGGCTTGGAGTTGGGAATAATCAACGATTGAAATACCAACAAATACACCAGTATTCGATTGACGAAGAGATCTCACTGGGATTTGAGCATCTTCCAAAGCTTCATAAGCAAGAGTGAGCATCATTCTTTCTTGTGGATCAAGAACAACTGCATCTTTTGGTGATATTTCAAAGAATAATGGATCAAACTTTTTCCATTCTTCGAGGTCTAACAAACCAGCATTTTCGGTTGAAATCAATTGATGTTGGACGTAAGTATCTGACCATCTTTCTTTTGGAACTTTCATGATTCCATCAAATGATTTTTCCAAAGCCTCCCAAAATTGTTGTGGTGAATTTACATTTCCTGGAAAACGTAAACCTATTCCAACTACTGCAACATCATTATCCGATGAAAAATTAAAATCCATGATAATATAATCGAGTTAAATGAAAACTTATATTTTAGTAAATATTTATTACAGATCTTTTATAGAATAATTATTTAATATTAAGAAATCTATTTTTTATTTTTGATTGAAGCTAGGTATTTATAAAATCAAAATATAAGAGTCAAACGGAGGTAGAGAGACATTTTCAAAAAAAAAAATATATTGTGAAAAAATAATCCATATAAAAAAATTGTTTTAAACCTTAAAAAGAAATATATATAAATAAACATTTATTCATCCCTACTAATATTGAGCTAAATTGGTATCTAAATTTAGTCATTATATCTCTACCTTCATAGATTTGAACATATTTAGTTTGAAATTAAACTTCTGATCAAAAATTTCTACAGATACTATGAAAGAGTGCTCTATTTTTTTTGAAAATAAATATGAATTCAATAAATCTTTATCTTTTTTACTATATTTTAAATTTTGTATGCTACCAGCAATGGTGTCTAATTTTTTGTTAACCGACAAAATAAATAATCTTATTGAGAAGAATTTTAGTTACCAACGTTGAATTTTTAAAAAAGCAAAATAAAAAAACTCGTGATATGATATTAAATCACCACTAATTTTTTAAATTCTTGCCTAATAAAGGAATTGGCGGAGGGGTTTTCGTACTACAAAAACTCGTACCTCAAAATTGCCAAAAATAGGGCTATTTTTCAGTTTTTTTGAAAACAAATATGAATATTGCTAGAGATGAAGGTAAAATCATTTTTTATTTGGTACTAGTCACTGAAGTGCAATAGCGAATTTGCAAAATTGCCCAAAGATTTATCATAATTCAGTATTTATTTTATTTGACCAGTGAACACTTTATCAATATTAACATATTGCATTATTTATTTCACTGTAACTAATTGTTGAGATATCTATTCGTCCATGTGAGCGAAATTTTTTATTTTTTAACACCACTTAATCTCATACAGATATTTCTTTATAAGTGTGTTATTTCAATGGATTTAGATACACAACTACAGGTGGTGGTCGAAATACAACTATTAAATAAATCAAAAATAATACATTTCCTTTTATTTCAACTTGCTCTAGTATTCAATGTTTTAATCAGTAACACCCCACCACATTGGTGGTTGAAAAATTAAATAACACATCTATAAGGAAACACCTGTACGAGATTAAGTTGTGTCAAAAAATAAAAAATAAAAGTGATTTTCACATTTTTAAAAAAATAGTATTTGTTGTTCGCTTGGAGTGATTGCTATTGCTATTATTATTATTGTTGTTTTGTCAAGAATAAGCTTTAGGGTCTCCAAATCTATATGTTGGTATCGAGCGACGGCGGGGTTCTTGGAGATAATAAGCTGGCTGATCTCATCTAGCTCCTTCTCCTTTTCGTCTCTGAGCTTCTCTAGTTCAGCTAGGCAGATCTCGTTTAATGATTTCTTTTCCTGGACGGCAGATTGGTCATCTGCAGCGGCTGTATCTCTTGGTCCAGACTAATCTGATCCCAGCTCACCGTCTCTGAATTTGCCAATCTTGGCGAAAATTCTCTCCATTGGCTTTAAAGAGAACGCATCGGACTGTGACTTGAGCAACTCTTTGACGCTGTCGATAGCGATATAGTTGCTCTTGGCATTAGCAGGGGTAGTAGACCATCTTTTAAAAACAATATTTAAAATTGTATTTACTTTAGCTTGACGATCAGGATAATTGTCCTCTTCCGTCGACTCTAAATCCTCTTCTTCTTCTTCTATTATTTATTTTTTTCTTTTATTATTTTGTTTATTACTTGGAATAATCATAGTAGAGGTTGAGGTTGTTGTGGTTGTTGTTGTTGGTTCCATCGCAGAGCAGGGTTGATTGGTGGTATGACGTTGATTGCATATTTGACAGATTGGCATTATAATTGATTGTAGAGTTTGAAAAAATTATAAATATAACTACTGTATTATTATTTATTTGTTTATATAATTAATATTCAGCTCAAAAGAGTTATTGATTAAGTTGATTAGAGAGGGATACAACTGTTAATTTTATTCAATACTCTGTTAAAACTTATGTTTCAATCAATTGTTTTTATTGGCAGTGCATGTGTAATCCAGTGCTATATTAATTTGATATTGATAGATACAGTCCAAATATCAATCAAATCAGTATCACTTTACTATACAATTTAAAAATATACAAAAAACTAGGGTATTCTATTTTTTATTTTAAAAGTGTTCATATTTAAATTTGTGTTTAATTAAAACAGAATTGGTTGATTTAGTATGTTGACTTCTATTGGACATTAGTTTGATTTTTACAGTTTTAACCCTTGCAAGTGGCTGATCAGGCTGGCTGTTCCAGTGATTGAGGTATCAGATGATCTTATTTAAAGTGTAGGAGTGGTCTCTGATGTCTAGCTGCTTTAGATAGTAGGGTAGGTCGTGGACAGTAGGTTGACCTTCTTTGGTTGTCTCTGTGTTGTATGTACCAATGATTCTAGGTAAGACTGCTACATTGTGGTCTGAGTTACTCTTCTTAAGTGCGGCTGCTAGTGGTTGGTATTTTTCAATCTTATCTCGGCTTCTTTTAACAATGTTGCTATCATATGGTACTGATATTTCGATGATTTTGATTGATTTCTTGGTTCAGTTCTTAACGATTAGATCTGGTTTGTTGGTTTTGGTCAGTGCATTATCTATTCTGGCTTCATGTAGGATCTAAATGGTGTCAGACTGGTAGATTGCGCCTGGCTTGTAAGGTATTCTGTGGAACTCCAGCATCTCTTTGAGCATCACTTTCACTACCATGTTGTGTCTTGGTATTATACATAGTAGTTTCATCTTGTGGCATGAGGATACAATGTGCTCTATGGACTCTCTTGCGGAATGACACTTTCTACATTTTAAATCTTTCTCTCGCCTCTTTGTGTATATTAAAAAGTGTTTTTTTCTGATCGATTAATCGGTGTTGTAACATTCCTAAGTATTTATATAGATTTTCCTCGTCTACTATCGGTATCTCTTTCATTTCCTCTGGTAGCATATCCATAGTAATTCCTTTTCCATGAATTCCACATTACTTTTTGTTGATCTTCATTCCAATTGATTTGAATGCTTTGTCTGTTTCCATGAAGGTGTTGATTATCTCTTCGGTCTTACGAGAGTACATCTTGATATCGTCAATGAATATAAGGTGGGACAGTTGGGTGTTACTTATTATTGGCGCTTTAGTAATTATCTTTATATAGTATCCGACTGGGTTTATGGTAAGGCAGAACAGAAAGGGACAGAGGGCATCACCTTGGAAGATTCCATTGGTAATCGGTATTGTAGTTGTGGTTTGATTCTTGGATATGAATATCTTGGTGTTCCATTTGCTCATGAGTCTTTCAATGATTGATCTGGCTTTCAGGTCTATCTTGTGCATTTGTAGTATGTACTTGATCCACCTGTGCTTCGTTGAGTCATATGCTTTGGTAAGGTCTATCCATGCCACCATTGATGTCTGGGTATTTCTCACAGAATAGATTGTCTATGAAGAGGTTCTCGTAGGTTCCCCATACATCGGTCATTCCACCTCTCTGTACTTCTTCCATCAGTTGGTTGTTGACTTTGGTGTGCTGGTGGAGGTGCTTGGCTACTATTCCTGTTAATATCTTACATGTGTTGTTAATGCATGTGATTGGTCGGTAATTGGCTTCGTCCTCTTTGTCACCTCCCTTGTGGATCCGGTATGTTATTCCTTCACAGAACCATTTAGGGAACTCCATGATATCCAAGTGTAGGTACTTGAAGGCTTCGGCTAAGTCCTTATGGTATCTCTTAATCCTCTTGATCCAGTAGTTGCAAATTCCATCTGGGCCTGGAGCTGACCAGTTCTTCTTGTTTTTAATGTAGTTGGATATGTCAGCTCCTTCGATTTCAAACTTGGTCTCTTTGATGTTCTTGAATTGGTTGCTATCTTTCACTCTCTGTATCCATTCAAGCTCGTCGTAGTTGGTAGCTTCCGTAGATGGTGGGTTCCAGAGTTGGCTCCAGAACTCAAATGCTCTCGTTGTTGTCTGTATTTCCTGTTGTTGCGTGTTGTTTTGGTTATTGGTTGTTGTTCTCTTCCCAGTGATTAATGAATATGCTTTGCCTTCATCTTTTAGCATCATTTCATTAATGTATCTAAACTTTGCTTCTTCTCTTATCTTTTTGATGTAGTCTATGTATCCAGTCTTCAATGCTTGTAAACTCTTTATCTTCGCTTCTACACAGTGCTGCTGTGGCTGCCGCATACAGTGCTACATTGCATGCTTCTAACTTAGGTATATTCTTCGCTATTAGGTATTGGTAGCTGATTGTGTATTGAATTTCAATATCCTCTTCTTGATCTTTAGTCATTGGCTTCCTAGCTCTAGTAGTTGATCTGGTTAGGCTGCCATTGAGGTGCTTAGTTACAATCTGGTCGGCTAATCTTCCCATGGCGAATGTAAATGCATTGTCTCGAGTTGGTGTTGGTACTCTTCTTGTCAGTGTTTTTACGGTTTTTGCAGCTTTCGATGTTGGTTGTACGGCTAGACCTACTTCTCGTAGTTTCTCTTTCTTATTCGCTCTATTGAATACCGACGTAATTTGTCGTTTGTTGCTTAGGGGTGGTAAGTTGGTGTTCTGATTCCACATATTCATCGCCTTTTCTCGCCATCTTTTCATGCCATACTTGGTTTGGGTTAGTTGTTTAATTCTCGCTAATTCTTGCAATAGTTCATCATTCCATACGAACTTTGTATTTGCACCCCCTTCCATTGTTGTTACCAGCTTGTTCACCTAGTGGTGTTCTTGCCTCCTGATTGGTAATGGTGGTGTTGGTGCTTTGTGTATTTCTATTTCTTCTATGATTTGTATTATTTGTGCTTGTACTGTTCATTTCTGATTTAGTTGACATATCTTAGCCTAGTCATCGACATGATCGTCGAGCTAGTTGCCCAGATTGTACCACGAGGAGGTGTATGTCTAACAATCCGGTACATTTAAAGACCTCTAAATGTCGATTATCTGTAGAAGACACAAGCTTGAGCGTTTGAGCAAGGTAGCAACCACTAGGTTCCTCACCTTTCTCAATGTCAAAAGTATTTGAACCATATTCTACTCTATGTTCAAGAGCTTCAGGTTGCATTTCTTCTTTGACTGGAAAGATCATAGGTGCAGTACTGTTAGATGTTGATGTAGTGCCAGTAACAGAACCTAGTGAATGACATGATTGATCATCATCCATGAAAGTACAAGAAGTCGAACCAATAGACAACTTTCTTTTCTTCTTTGCTTCCAATTTAACTTTTAATGCTACTATTTGTTCCTCTAACCGCTCATTCTTTGTGCCTCCAATTTTAATGCTGCTATTTGCTCCTCTAACTTCTCATTCTTCTTTTGTATCTCCAATAGTTCAATAAATATTGTTTTTGAAAGTCCAAAGTAATCTAATACGAATGGTATGCAGCTTTCAACTGCATGGTGTTGAAACTCTTTAATTGAAGTAAATTCAGTAGAACAAATCTGACATGTCTGTTAATAAGTTAACAGCATTTTATAGAATATCTTTTATTACTATTTAATTTAATATTTATTTGCTAAAATCATATTAATCACATAAAAATGTTAAAATGCTATTAAAATTAAAAAAAAAATTTGAAAAATATTTTGATCTTTTTTAGGAACTTCGGTACTCTTAAGTTTATTGCTTGACATCTATAAAGTTTTTTGAACAGTTTAAAGATCATAGTAAATGAATATTGTTTTGAGAGATCAGATAAATTTCTTAATTTTTATTTATTTCTTTAAATTTCTGCGATTTATTACTGTAATAATACTACCAATTGTCAAATTAGGAATTTGTGAAATTGTGAACAAATCTTGTTCAATGTTCGTATCTATAAAGAATTTAACTTGAACTGTCATCAATGAATCGACTCCAAAATTCTTGAGTGGTGTCTCGGCGTCCAGTTTTTGTTTTGGTATTGAAAGTAATGAGGAAAGACCTTCCAAAAGTGTTTCAAGTGGATCATAATTCTTAGATGTGTTTAATTTTCCAGTTTCTCCAAATACCAAATGATCAATTCTATTTTGGCTATGAGCATGGAATTCATAGTTACGAACAGAAGTTATATTGGTAATAATTGGAGTACAATAAAGAGGTTGAGAAAGAATAACTTCAAGTCCTCCAAAGAATTTTGAAAGTGGAACTGGATAAACTCCTCTTGAAATGAAGAATTCTTGGATTCCAGCAGATTCAGCAACAGTTCCTTCACCAAGAATTGGACCTAATCTGATTGATTTCGATTTCAATCCAAGAATATTGTTTCGATATTTACACAATGCATCAACTGCAAGACATGCTGAATTGTATGATGGTTGTGATGCTTCTCCACTATATCCAGATATTGATGAGAATACAATGAATTGTTTCAATGGTAATCTTAAATCAATTGATATTGTGTGAAGATTATGTGCTCCAACAACTTTTGGATCATGAACTTTCTTGATATTATCGAATGTCACTTCATTGATTGGGAATGATTCAAGAATGATTGCAAGATGGAATATTGATTCAATTGATGGCATTGAATTTGAAATTGATTCAATTCTTGATTTCAATTCATTGATATCAGTGATATCAGTTTGATAGAAATGAATTCTTGTTGATTTCGTTGAATTAATGATATGATTCAATCGATTGTTCAATTTTGATTTTGAAAGAACAACAATATCAGATGCATTTGTATGTTTTGCAAGCCATGGAACCAATTCAAGAGATAATCCACTTTGACCAGTGACAATGATTGTATTCGAGATATCAAGTTTGAAATCAATCTTTGGTAATGGTTTTCTATCTTTTGATTCAATCAATGATTTTAGAATTGATTGTTGAATATTTGAACAGTCAATAACAATTTTACCAATTTGTCTTCTTAATTTCATAAAATTGAAAGATTCTTTTGTTTCAGAGACATCAAATACTTTGATTGGTGTCAATTGAAGTCTGCCACTTGTTATATCATTCAATATAGTTTTAATTAAATTTTTACTATAATGAATTCTATGTTTAAATAAATATTGTATATCAACAGAACTGTATTTGACATCATATCTGAATTGACCATATCTAAATTTATTATCATTGATGATATGAGTGACAACCAAATCAGCAATTCTTCCATAAGGTGCCATTGATTTGAAATTCTCTTTCATAAATTCAACAGGTAAAGTATTGATAAGAACATCAATACCTTTACATTGTTGTTTGATTTTATCTGCAAATTCATTTGAATATGAATTGAAAACATCAATTAGAATATCTGAATAATTAGATTTGAGATAATCAATCTTTTCTTGAGATCCAGCAGTTGCATAAACTCGTTTACATTTCAACATTCTCATCACATTCATTGCCGCAATTCCAACACCACCAGTTGCACCATGAATTAAAATTGTATCTTTCTCTGAATTGAAATTACAAACTTCAAACAATGAATGATACACTGATGGATATATAACTGGAATTGAGGCACATTCATTATGAGAAAGTTCTTTTGGTTTTGGAATAAAGAATTTTTGATCATTTATTGAATGTGAGGCTAATGAATTAACTGTATGAAATCCAATAACTTGATCACCAACTTTGAAATCGTTCACATCTGATCCCAATCTTGAAACAAGACCTGACGATTCTATTCCAAAAGGTGGATGATAAATATCACCACCTGTCATCAATTCTTGTGGAAGTAATTGATGGTTATATAAATAGTCTTTGAAATTCAAACCAACAGATTTGATTTCAAATTCTATTTCATTTGGTTTCAATTCTCTTCTGTTTCTGAGTTTGAAATCAAGATTCAAATTTGCCAAAGTTGATATATTTTCAATATTTGTTTCATATGAATTTGAGTATTTTAAAATATCATCTTTGATATTGAAATCTCTATATACCATTATATGATTGTTGATGATACCATAATGAAGTTCGCCAAGTGATTCTTTATTTTGTGATAATTGCATTATTGAATGAACATATTCAATTTTCAATGGTGAATCAATACTGATGATCAATAAATCCAATTCACGATGATCAACAAATGCAGTATTTAAAAGTCCAATAATTGAGTTTGATAAATAATTTGATGATTCATTATCTTTGATGACAACTGTGATTCTAGGTTGATTCTCTTGATATGTGAACATTTGTAATAATTCAACTAATGAAAACATTGTTTGTTGATATTTATCAATTGATTGATGTTCAATTGTTGGAAGGAAGAGAATATTTGTTGAATTTTTAAGAATATCTGATTTAAATTCAATTTCATTTGTTTTAATCAATGATATCGATTGTTCAGAATATATTTCAAAATATTCAATTGGAATTGTTTGATTTTCTTCAATGATGATAGATAATTGTTGAATATAATTGATCTTGAGTTTTTCAATCAATGGTTTTTGACAATGAATAATGAATATCATTGCCTCATCTGGTGAAAGTTGATTTCCATTTGAATCATTTGGTCCATAAATTCTGATATTCTTGAATTGATCATCTTCAGAAAGTAATTCAACCCATTGATTTGGTTTAAGTGCACAATGATCACGAATATCATCATTATAACTCCAATATTGTTTGAATCCACCAAATAGCATTTCAGGGAAGATATTTTTATAAGCAGGTTCTGCAAATAATAGTATTCCATTTGGTGAAAGAATTTGATTACAATTTGAAATTGGAGATCTGATATTTGGACAAACATGAATAACCAAAGACATTACAATCATATCATATGATGATTTTAAAAGTCCTTGATCAACTAAATCTTGATCCAAATCGATAACTTTGAATTTCATTTTCAAATTTGATTTGAATTTGAATTGATTTGAATATTTATCTTTCATTGGATTCACAAAGAATGATGAAACATCAGAGAATGTATAAACAACTTCAACTTGATTCTGATCACCAAGAGAATATAACATTTCATCAAGTTGTGGAATCAAATAGTCTGTTACTGTTCCAGTTCCACCTCCAATTTCAAGAATCTTGATGATTCTCTTTGAATTTGATTGTTTGATTGATTTTGAAATAGATTCCACTGCAATGAATGATGTTTGTTTGAAATAATATTGAATGAATGGAGCTTTGTATAGATTCAAAATAACACCATCTTTGAATAATTGTTGACCATATTCATCATTTCCACGCAATGTTTCAATTATTAATTGAACTCCTTTATCAACAATTTCAAATAATGAGGGATCATCATTGATTATCTTTAAATCTGTTAGATTACATGACTGTAAAAATTCTTTACCATCTTTCAAAATTTCAATCATTCTTGAGAATAATTTGATATTTGTTTCATTTGAAATGAATTTGAACCTGATCATTGATTCTTCAATTGATTGATTTAAAACTTCATCAAGATTGAATTCTGGAATATTCTTTGAAAACATTGAAAAGATTATCTTAATTGCATCTGGTCTATATTCATTGACTTTGAGAGAAATCATTGAATCTTCAATGAGAGGAGATGGAATGATTTCATTTGGATTTGAAAGTTGAGATTCTTTTAATTGATAGAATGTTTCAAAAAGTTCATCATTTGGATATTTGATTTTGTTCATTTTCAATCTTTCATTTGTTCCAACTGTGAATCTTTTCATTTCTAAAATCAATTGACCATTTGGATGAATAAGTAAACAATTTCCAATACATTCATAATTTTTGATTTCAACAACTTTGGTTAACAAAAATAATTGATCTGGTGGATTTGATTCCAATTCTTGAACAATTTGATAATTGATTCTCATTTCATCAATTGATTTGAAAATAAAGTGTCTTCTATCATCAATAATACCAATCAGTCCATGAGCACAATTATCAATCAATGTGGAATTGAGAATCTTTGAAGGTGTATTTGATGTTGATTTCGTTTGTAAAACTGCAAATGACATTTGATTTCCAATCGAAATCGATTTAATATGTTGGAATGCAGGTCCATATCTCAATCCAAGTCTGAGAGTCTTCTTGTATAATTCTTCTTGTGTGAATGTTGTCAAATTACATTGATTCTTGAATGATTCAATATCAATAATTTGATTGTTTGCATTTTGAAGAAGAGTAACTGATGATTTTGCAGATTGGAACCATTCATCTTCTAAATCATAATATTCAGAATTCTTGTTGAAGAAATCGATTGAATATTCAAATTTTGAAATCTTTTCAATATTTGTCATCAATTTTTGAGATTGACCATTTTGATTGAAAAAGAATGGTTTGATGAATTCCAATCTATCAATGAGAATATCTTGTTGTTTCGATTGGAATATTTCAATGATTGCTTCAACATATGCAGCACCTGGAAGAATTGGACGATCTTTCACTTGATGATCTTTCAAATATTCAAATGGTTTGCTTCCAATATCAATATCTGAGAGATAGCATTCATTTCCATTGAAAACTGATCTTCTTCCAAGAATTGAAGTTGATGGTCCATTCAATCTTTTCGATCTTGAAAAATGAGTTTCTCTCCAATAGATATCAGAATCCCATTGATATCGAGGAAGAATTGAAACATTATCTCTCCAAATTGGATTTGAAATATCAAATTGATTGAATTGTGATTTGAAATCAATTGACACCAATACAATGAAGTGTTGCCAATGATGATTTGAATAATAATTGTTCATCTTTGTTTCTTTGAATTGGTGAAATCACGTTTGCAGATGGAATTGTTTGTGTTATCAATCCAGATAATGTTGGATGTGGTGATATTTCAATGAAAACATAATCTTTCAAATCATCTTTGAGATCTCTGACAATTGAATCCAATGTCTTCTTGAAATATACTGGATTTCTGATATTTTCATAAATATATTGAGAATCTATTCCGTCTGATTTCAAATCACCAGTTACTGTTGAATACCATGGAATCGTTGATTGATTTGATTTCAAATCATTGATTTCATTGATAACTTTATCTTTGATAACTTCTTGATGTGATGAGTGGAATGAACATGGTGTTCTGAGGAATGTGTGATAGATATCTGATTGTTTCAATTGTTTTGCGAATTCATTCAAATCATTATTGTTTCCAGTGATTACAATTGAATTATCAGAGTTATAACATGCAATCTCAAGATTTCGAAATTGATTTTGATAAGTATTGATGAATTGATCAGAACTGATTCCAACAACTAACATTCTTCCAGATCCAATTGTTTCATTTTGGAATGATGCTCTCAAATGAACAACTTTGATTGCATCTGATAATGTCAAATTTCCAGAAATATATGCAGATGTGATATCTCCAAAACTAAAATAGTTTTTTAAATTTAATAAGTATTCTTATAACTTTAAATAAATATAAAAACATACCTATGACCAAAAACAATTGATGGATTCAATCCAAAATGACGATAAAGTTCAACCAATGCAACTTGGAATAAGAATAATGCAGGTTGTGCAATAATTGGTTTGTGAATATCATTTGATTCATTTGGAATTTGATTCATCTTTTCAATGAGACTATATCCAGAATATTCTTTGAGTAATGAATCTAATTCATCAACTGTTGATTTGAATATTGGTTCATTCTCATAAAGATTCATTCCCATTTGATTCCATTGTGGTCCTTGTCCACAAAATACAAAAATCAATTTCTTTCCAATTGAATCTTTGATTGTCGACTGACCATTAATCTCAATTGATTTTGAATTGAAATCATTCCAATCTTTTGCAATGATCACTCTTCTTTGATAATGGAATGATTTTGTCAATGATTGATAAAGTGCAAATTCTTTCAATGATATTCTATCTTGATATTCTTTTATTGATTCAAAATATTTATCATTTGATGTTGATGAATTTGCACTGATTGGAATCAAATAATATTTATCTCTCTCTTTCTCTGAAATGTTTGTATCATTTTTTGTACTGAATTTTAGGTGTTAGTTTATTAAATTTTACATTTTAAATTTCTTACTTACCAATGATTATGTGAATGTTTATATTCTTGAAGAATGAGATGACTATTTGATCCACCAATTCCAAATGAATTGATTCCCATCATAATCAATTGATCTTTTGGAAGATCTTCAATTTGAGTGATAACTTGAATATTCGATTGTTTGAATGGAATCTTTGAATTCAAATTTGATAATTTGATTGTTGGAACAAGTTTACGATTCTTCAACATCAGTGATACTTTGATGAGTGACGCTATTCCAGCAGCACTTTCAAGATGTCCAATATTTGATTTAACAGATCCAATTTTCAATGGTCTTTCTGGTGAATGATTTGAAGAGAATACATCAATCAATGCATTCACTTCAATTGGATCACCAACAACAGTTCCAGTTGAATGTGCTTCAACATAATAGATTTGTGAAGCATCAATATTTGATCTTTGAAGTGTTTGTTTGATATTTTGAGATTGAATTGTATTTGATGGTGTTGACATTGTATCTTTATTACAATGACCATCAGCATTAACACCTCTTCCTTTTATGACTGCATAGATTCGATTTCCATCTCTTTCAGCCAATGAAAGTTTCTTCAAAACAACAACACCACATCCTTCACCTCGAACAAATCCATTTGCATCTTGATCAAATGGACGACAATGTTCTCCAAGAACCCCAAGATTATTATATAATCTTGAAGTATTTGGATCAAAAATTGCATTTGTTCCACATGATAATGCAATATCACATTCACCATCTTGAATGTATTTGATTGCAAGATCTGTTGAGGTTAATGATGATGAACATGCAGTATCGACACACATCGATGGACCTCTGAAATCGAAACAATATGAAACTCGATTTGCAATCACAGAATGTGTCAAGAAGTCACATAAAACTTTTGGGCTTGGATCGAGTTGACAATAATTGGCTTGGAGTTGGGAATAATCAACGATTGAAATACCAACAAATACACCAGTATTCGATTGACGAAGAGATCTCACTGGGATTTGAGCATCTTCCAAAGCTTCATAAGCAAGAGTGAGCATCATTCTTTCTTGTGGATCAAGAACAACTGCATCTTTTGGTGATATTTCAAAGAATAATGGATCAAACTTTTTCCATTCTTCGAGGTCTAACAAACCAGCATTTTCGGTTGAAATCAATTGATGTTGGACGTAAGTATCTGACCATCTTTCTTTTGGAACTTTCATGATTCCATCAAATGATTTTTCCAAAGCCTCCCAAAATTGTTGTGGTGAATTTACATTTCCTGGAAAACGTAAACCTATTCCAACTACTGCAACATCATTATCCGATGAAAAATTAAAATCCATGATAATATAATCGAGTTAAATGAAAACTTATATTTTAGTAAATATTAATTACAGATCGATCTTTTATAGAATAATTATTTAAAATTAAGAAATCTATTATTTATTTTTGATTGAAGCTAGGTATTTATAAAATCAAAATATAAGAGTCAATCTGAGGTAGAGAGACATTTTCAAAAAAAATAATATATATTGTGAAAGAATAATCCATAAAAAAATTGGTTTAAACCCTAAAAAGAAATATATACAAATAAACATTTATTAATCCTCACTAATATTGAGCTAAATTAGTATCTAAATTTAGTCATTATATCTCTACCTTCATAGATTTGAACATATTTAGTTTGAAATTAACTTCTGATCAAAAATTTCTATAGATACCATGAAAGAGTGCTCTATTTATTTGAAAACTTGTATGGTGTCTAATTTTTTGTTAACCGACAAAATAATCTTATTAAGAAGAATTTTAGTTACCAACGTAGAATTTATATTTTAAAAAAGCTAAATATAAAAATTAACAACTCGTGATATGTTCACAGAACTAATGATAATCACGACAAATTTGTTAAATTCTTGCCAAATAAAGGAATTAGCAGAGGGGTTTTCAATAGTGAATTAGTAAAATTGACCACCATTAAAGATTAACAAATATGATAAGATTTATCTTAATTCAGTATTTATTTTATTTTATTAGTGAAAATCTTATCAGTTTATTAGCATATTGCATTATTTATTACACTACAACTAATTCATCAGATATCTATTCGTCCATGTGAGCGAAATTTTTTATTTTTTAACACAACTTAATCTCATACAGGTGTTTCCTTATAAATGTGTTATTTAATTTTTCGACCACCACATGTAGTGGTGTATTTAAATCTATTGAACAATGGAAATACCAACTAAATGTGGTGGGGTGTTACTAATTAAAACGTTGAATACTACCACCTGTTGCTCTATAGATTTAAATACACAACTAAAGGTGGTTAAATAAAACAAAAATGTGATACATTTCCATTTAAATCAACTTGCTCTAGTATTCACGTTTTAATCAGTAACACCCAACCACAGGTGGTGGTTGAAAAATTAAATACCACATTTATAAGGAAAAGATAAATTGTTTTAAAAAATAAAAAAAGTTCGCTCATATATACGTCCAGCTGGAAATGTATTCTAACAAATTTCAGCTAAACACATATTTCTTCATTCAAAACATGTGGTGACACGCAGCTAGAAAAACACACAGTTATTATATTTATTCAATCCAAGGAAAAAATCAAAATTATGTGTTCTCATTTGACAACAACAAATGGGAACAAATTCTCCAAGATGACCCATCACTCAGAACAAATTGTGCAAACATATTAGACCAAAAATAGATTTTCAACAAATAATATAAACAAAATAAAATTAAATAAAAGATGAATAATTAAAATGTTTTAAAAATATAAATTTTATCTATCTATAATTCATATTCTAGTATTTTAAAAAGATAATATTATCGTTATTAACATTAAATCAAATAATAATAAATAATAATGATAGCTATCTTATGAATTTAAATTGAGATTCATTTATAGGTTTAAATTGAAAGAGATTGATTAAATTTCTATTGAGTTGATATCGGTTGATTAGTGGATAGTGATATTTAGCATTACTCAATATAAATAGTTTAACACAACGAATAGAGTGATACTCAGCTTGTTCCAATGTTGAAAATATCAAGTTGATCTGCTCCAAGGTGATCGGTAATGGAAAGTTGCGAGCTTTAAAACTATTAGTTTTAATTGGAAGTTTGAAAGCAAGCTTTTTGATAGTCGGTTGGCTCTTGATGAATTCAAAGTGATTGGCATTGAGACTACCTTTGATTTTAATATAATAGAGATTCGGAGATCTTTCAATTAAACGAACTAAACTTCTTTGGCCATGGTCATGAAAGCTGGTAACAAACTTTGTAAGATTCTTCAGTTCGATTGGCCAACATCCAGTATGGGTAAGATATTGATCGTATTTGAACTTTGTTATCAGTAGATAGTCTTCTTTGGGAATGACAGGTTCGTCATCTAATACTTCCTGTTCTTGTTCTTGATCTTCTTCATAATCTCTGCAGAATCCTAGACGAACAGATACACCTGGTGGCACAGTAAAGCTAATGTCGATAAATGGCTTCTTTTGTTTGAGTTTTGAAAGAATGGAGAATGTATGATGAACCAATGATTCGGTTTCATATCGGAAGTTACTGAGAGATTTGAAATTTCTACCAACGAAATTAATAGATTGGAGTTGATCATTATCAAAATGTTGAAGAAATACATTCATATGATGACTTTGTTCCTCGTGATCGCTCAAGATGATATTTCTATTTCCTTCAACATCTGGATAGTAATCCCTACACTCCTTAAGAGTGAATAAACTGCTGTCTAACATTATCTTTTCATCTACAATTCCACTGTCGAAAACAAGAATGTTCGTATTAGCTTCTGAGTCGGATTCTGCTCTACAGGAACGTACCTCTCTGAAAGCCAAGTGTTTGATTTTAGTTGAATTCGCAAGATAGTAGTAATATTTATCGCTACCTCTATTCTTTGCATCGATAAATCCAAAGTATTGTACATATGATTCCAGTTTTTGAAGGCAAGAATGCATATGATCATAGGGAATGAATTGGATTTCTCGAGATGTCAAATGTAATGGTGCATTCTTCAACAAACAATATTTTGATCCAATCGGAACGGGCAACACTATGCTAATGGTTCTCAAGGGATAGTTTGATAAAATAGAAGAAACAATGCCGTGAATTTGACTTGATATCGTTGACATTGAAACAATTGATCTTGATTTGGGATTCTTATCCAAGATCAAATATTTGAATATTTCTTTTAAAATAAATGTACTTAATGTTGGATTTGTTGATGATGTAGTTGAATTTGAATTATTATCATCTGAATGTAGAGAGAAATAAGGTTTGAACTCTCTGATTCCTTTTAGAATATTGGACATTGGATGGGATCTTATGAGATGGTTGATTATGTTGGCAGACTCTGGTTTGTGCTGATATAGTCTTTCAATGAGCTGATCAATACATAATCTTCTTTGGGTTGAAAGCAAGGCCAACTCATAACTTCCACGAAGCAATTGTTCCAAATATAAAGATAGGAATTCGAGATTGTCTGTTTCCAAAAGGAATTGTGTTTCCTTTGCGATAACTAATGTATAATGTGAATTATTTGAACGCAATTGTTTTCTCCTGAATAAAATAAATTCGTTGATAGTCTCTCTTGGCGAACTAGTCAACATGATGATATCGGCAAAATCAGAGGATAATAATTGATCCCATTCATACTGTTTGAAGATCGATTGCATTGTAGACCATTGGATGTAGGGTGCAACCGATTGGAGGAAATGGAGATGTTCTTTCACTAAAACCTTGTAATCATACTCTGAAAATATTTGATGATGTGACTTGAATATAGATATAATATGTTGTGTATTGACCCTTAAATGGAGTGATTCGAAAATAGCTTTTACAATGTTTCTTTGTAGATTGGCATCTCTCTCAATACTCCAGAGATAGATCAAGCAATCGAGTTGAAGAGGGCTTTCCACGATAACTTTAATTTTGGTGTTATTGTAGAGCCCCAAGATAAAGCTATAGAATTGCACCGGCAATATCAATGCTCTCGATCGGTACATATCCAAAACCAACAGTGATTGCTCTTTGTTGAACGGTAACATCTTCTGAATCGAAGTATGGAATTCGGGCATTTGAAATATATCGTCACTGAAAGATTCAAACAATTTCAATGCAGACTCCACTTCAATCGATGAACTGGAAAGTGTAAAAAGCTCAAGCTCTGACTTGATAAATCCACTTAACAATGAATATAATGATTGAAAAGATTGCTTAACTTTTGGAACTAGGAAAACTGAATCTAAATATTTCAACTTTGATTTTAACAGTTCTACATTCTCCTGCGTTTTCAGGCTGACATCTGCATCATAATACTCTTTGAAATAACTAAAGTATTTGGCAAACGAAATAAGGTTATATTGAGATGCGCCAGTGGAATCAACATGTGGATTGATGAGATACCTGGAAAGGTTAAAAAACAAAGAGTTATTATTAATATTTGTAAAGTGCTTGTTATTAGATTATAGATTATATTCATTATGAATACATACTGAAATATTATTCTATAGTGTTTTGATAATTCATTGATTCTTGTTGGATTGATATTTACAATCGAAAGTATTGCGATGGGTGGCGATGCTATTGGAATGATCGTATTGTTTAACAAGTCGATGACACGCGATTCAATGTCGAACCAACTATTAAACTTGGACATTTGTGTATTTAAATAGATAATATCTTGGCAATCCGATTGGAGCAATGAAATCACAATGAGATTAGCTATATCGGAGTGATCGCACATTGACTTTAGGTAGTCAATGAGTCGATCATCTTCAAATAGAAATTTGTTATTTAAAAACACATCCTTAAAAGAAAAGTCTGGAAGCGATAGTTTGTGATTCTTTAGGAAATCAGACACAATAGGTTTCAATTGATCTCCTATCAACTTTTTATTTTTATCATTATCAATTGAATCATTTACATATCTATAACTATCGTATTCGTATAAAAACTAATAAAAACACAAAGTTTATAGTTAAGACTCTATCGTTTTATATTTTAATTTTGATTTTACTAACCTACCTTAACAGTTTGATATAATATATCATTTTCTTGAAAACAATATTGTGATAAACTATGAATAGGTCGATAATACTCTGAGAGAATAAACAAACAACTACTTTTAAACTTATTAAAACTGTATTGATATTTATCCATTTTAGTAAAAAAACATAAAAAAAAAGTAAAAAAGTAAATATAATTTAAGTGGTTAATAGTTCTGTTCACAAAAGAATCAACAAAAATTTTTTTCTCTGTAGAAAATTTGTGGTGACTATTTTTTAATTATTAACCAATATTAAATTAAATGGTTTTAATATCTCTTTCCATCATTAAAATGATTCATAATGGATATTTATTGAGTTTGATCTAAAATAGTTACAAAACGGTTCAAAAAAAAAATACCAATAAAAGAAGAAATGAGAAGCCAGCTTCAGTTATTGTAAACCACATCATATTTCACATAATACCAGTCTAAAGATTCATACAATTTAAATTAGTTTCAAAAATTAATATTCTTCAAATTTTCTTTTTTTTTTATTAAAAATTACCATATTTTTATTTGATCAAAGTTGGAATATTGAATGCTAAACATTAGAGTACTACTATTTATTTGAGTTCAATAATAATAATAATAAATAAAAATAAAAAAAATTGTTACATATATATATATATTTAGTTAATAAATAAAAAAATATAGATATTTTCTTATGTATACATGCTTAGAGCTTTCGCCATCGTGCTGTGTGCATGCTCAGAAGAGCTCTTACTTCGTATTGTAAAGACTTCTGATTTAATTGGCAAAATAAAAAAACTACTAAAAAAAAAAAAAAAAAATTTTCTGTTGCATTGATGTTATATGCTGGGATATAAGAGTAATATCCAAAGCGTACATCTAATCAACACCCAATTAAATTAAAGATAAAAAACACTGAGAAAGAATCTTTTCTTTATTTGAATAGATTTGTTTATTCATCATCATTTTCATCTGTTGTCCAACCTAAATCATCAAGAAGATTCGAAACTTTTCCAAAAAAGAATTTGTTACCATTCACCGCAACTGCTGGTGGTTGTTGTAGATTAGTTAGCACCATTAATGTTGATGATGTAGTTGTGATTGTTGCTGTTGCTGGTGTATCTTGTATTACTTTTTGTTTCTTTGTAATCTCTTTGTCATTGTCATCATTTACAGCATTGTCCTTCTTCTTCTTTTGTTGATAATAACCTTTATTGAATTTTCTTTTATTCTTTATCAAATTATTGTTATCTGTTCTTTGCTTATCTTTTCTCTTTTTATTTTGTTTATTATTATTATTGCTAACAATACCACTACCATTACCACTCAACTTTATATTATTTCTTTTACTTGATTCCAATCTCTTTTGTCTTAATTTTAACAATCTTTTTTCATTGTTATTTGAAAAATCAAAAGGTATTTCTTGATCATCATCTATTTGACGTTGTTGCTGTTGTTGTCGCTGTTGTTGTGTCTTTTGATGTAGTTGTGACAGTAATAGGTTTTGTTGTTGTTCACTTTTCGAATTGATTGCCAAAGGTGTAGTAGAGGTAGCTACAAATATCTTTTCGTGAACCTTACAATAGTTTGAAGATCTTTTTATCAATCGATTACATTGTCTGTTTTAAATTAATAGAAACTGGATTAGCCAATCTTATTATTTCGCTATATTATATTATAATAACTTACTCTAAATTCTTTGTTAAACCACTACATCTATGTTTATCTTTGGTTGTAGAGTCATGATATTTACATAACAACAAGCTGTTGTTGTTATTGTTATTGTTATTGCTATCATTTGCAATATCATTACTACTGGCTGATTTAATATTGATAGAGGTTCTACATCTTCTACCATTGGATTTCAAGTAATGACAACGATTTTCAATACCCGATTTACCGAATCTATCAAAAATCGATTTAGCTATCCATCGTAATCTTTTCTTTTTAGTATGATTATTATTATTTTTTTTAGATTTGCTATTGTTACTCTCTTTATTTAATCTATTTTTATATTTCTTTCTTTTTAATTTTAAAGATTTATTAAATGATCTATCTTTATTTGATTGTTTCTCAGTGAATACTGTTGTTGTTGTTGTTGTTTGATGATCATTATAATCACTATTATGATTATTATTACTATCTCTTTTTCTCTTTAAAGAGGAAATCTCTAACAATAATGACATACATAATACATATGAATACAAATATAGATATAGATAATAAATTATCTTTGAAAATCAATAAATTAAATTAATTAATAAAAAAATAAAAACCGAAAAAAACACAAAATAAAAAGGCAACAATTAAGTGGTGGTTACCGCTTTCACCACCCAATTCTGAACACAATGAAAACACCTAAAATTGAGTTGTTTTTAAAAAAAAATTAAGTTCTATTTTTTTTTTTTTTTCAATCGCAATTGTTGATTCTGCAAAACAAACATTAGTTGTTACTATTCTTGTTTTTTTTTTCATTAATTAATTAAATATATATAGTAAATGGGTTTCTATTAAAATATAAAACCTAAACTATAATAATAATAATAATAACAAAACAAATAAATAAAACATATTTAAATCATAATAATTTTATCACTTGATGTGTTAAAAATCGTTTTTTTTTTTACAACTAATCATTACCTTTTGTTAAAACACCTATCTTTATAATAATAGTACGATTATAAGCAATTTTAGGGGTTATTCTATTTTCAATTCAATAAATATCTATCTTGTTTATAATACCATCATAGATCTATCTATTTAATTAATATTACTTTATTTTCCTATATCATTACCTACACTTTTATTGTCAATAACAATAAATATTTTACTTTAATTTTATTTTTTTAATATATTTATAATACACATAATATAATAATAATGTTATTCGATACAATCTATCATACATATAAGTAAGTGTTATTATAAATATGAAGTTTGTTTCTTTTTATTTTTTGTTTTATTATATTAACAATTAGTTTTGTTATTTTACAGACATCTTTGGACTGATATATCGTTGGCCAGTTGGAGAAAATATCCGACACCAGATAGACCAGATGTATTAAGTGTAGATTTACTGTCAAAGGAAATCGATCCAGAGACAGGAGTGCTGACATGCACCAGATTGATTATATGTAAAGGTTCGATGCCGACTTGGTTGAAGCCAATCGTTGGTAGTAACGAGTGTTTCTTCTACGAGGAGACAACTGTCGATCCAAAAACACAAACGATGGTCTTGAAAACCAAGAATCTCTCATTCTCTAACATCTTGGGTTTGGAAGAGGTGTGCACCTACACACCCGATCCAAGCAATGCAGAGTGGACACAGTTCAAACAGGAAGCCAAAGTTACATCGAGTGTCTTTGGTGTCGCGCGTAAGCTAGAGGCGTTCTGTCTGGAGCGATTCAAAACCAATGCGACCAAGGGTCGTGCCATCATGGAGCAGGCCATCCAGAAGGTGAAGCACGAAGCAGAGGAGATCGAGCAGACCATCGACAAGGCAATAAACACCGTCGTTCACGAGGCAGAGGAGCAGTTGCACTCGATCGACAAGATCATCACCACAGCAAAACTCGAGGCCGAAGACACCTTTGCCGAACTCGAAGCAAAACTAGACAAAGCACTCAACAACGTTAAAGCAAGAGACGCATCGATGGAGGAAAGAATTACGAATTTCGATAAAGCATTTTCAAGTTTGCGAGCGGAACTGACTTCCGATCGTTTAGGTATTCCTTTTACAAGAACAGAGTTTACAAAATATACACCAAACGGTATAAATAAATCTTTATAAAAATATATAATAATATTATAATTATCAGAATAAGAATCTATTAACATTCTATAATAGAATAGAATGTTTATATTCTAAAGATTCGATCGATATAGTTTAATATTCTGAAAAATATCGTTGCAAATAATGATTTAAGATATTTAATTAAATAATCATTATTTGCAAAGATATCTTTTTTTAAAAAAAAAACAAAAAATTAATATATTTTTACATTCTTCTTACTTTAAATAAACATTAAAGTAATAAACAAATAAAGATAAATTATAAGTAAAACATAATAGGTAGTTATTAGATGAATATAGAAGATAAAAGGATAGATAGTTTATTTAAACAATTAATTAATAATTTCGTTATAAGAAATACAATCTTTCAAATTCAAAGAGTATTGATCGAAAGAGAAAAGTAAGATTAACATTAGAAATATTAATATTTTGTTAATAAATAAAAGATAATTAATTGATTAATTTTTCTTTTGTTGTATTTTCTATATATATATAAAAGATTGTTGGATGATGGTTATGAAAGTAGTTATTATGATATAGTTAGGTCTTTTGATTTAATGCCTCTCACTCGGAATCTATTGCAGGGTTTGGAGAGTTATGGATTCAACAATACTTCTCCGTTACACAGAAGAGTACTGCCACCACTGTTGAATGGCTACGATGTACTGGTTAGAGCGAATCATGGAACTACAAAGATATCTACTTATGTTGTGCCGATTCTCCAGTCGATTGATGTGTCGCTCGATGCATGCCAAGCACTAGTCATTGCCGCGTCGCGAGAGATATCATTACCGACCAACTTGATATTCGAAAGAATTGGAATTAAAATCGAAGGTCTTAAATCTTTTGGGTTTGGCGGTGCTTACAGGGGTGAAATAGAACAAGATGAGCTACGCTCTACCAACCATCAAGTATTGGTCGGTACGCCAGGTCGCATGTGGCATCACATTGAACGAGGTGATTTCGATGTGTCGCAAGTCAAGATTGTCGTCTTTGAGAGCTATGACGATATGATCGACCGAGGACATCTCGATAACCTTGAATTAATCCTATCGAGATTACCACCGAATAGTCGTCGGTGGTTCTACACCGATCGCGATGAGAATCAATCATCTCTGTCATTCACCGACAAATACATGACAGCCAACACAATATTCATCAAAAAAACTTTAATGTCAGACTGGACCAAAGAAAATGCAGCTCCAACCAAAATAAAGTATTTTGATTAACTTTAAAAAAATAAATTTAATTATTTCCGCCGTTTAAATCGGATCTTTTTTTTTTGTTTGTGTTGTGCAAATCATTTGTAGTTTATTAATACTTATTTATTAACAGAATAATAATCAATCGATCAAGCAAACAATCAATCAATCAATCATGTCGATGGTAGATGACTATAAAACAATGGATGCAGAGTTATTGTCTCGCTATGAAAAGGTAGTGAAGAGTAGATGGCAGAAACTATATATTTTGGTTAGATATGTGATTCTAGAGTTGGTATTTCTCGTACAGATGCTACCTAGAACCCTATATTCTGGATATTTCTACTTCTTTGGTTACAAGTTATCGTCATCACCGTGTACAATTCATAAAGATATTAGATACTCTTCGAATCGTTCGAGAAATGTAATGGATGTTTACGAAGCACCGCGTAAGGTACAGGGCAACCCAGTAGTTGTTTTCATTCATGGTGGAGCATGGGGTCATGGTTTCAAAATGCAATATATCTTGTTGGGTCGTCGTCTGGCGATGCACGGTGTAACAACTGTCGTAGCAAACTACACACTTTACCCACCAGGTCGAATTGAACAGCAGGTGGAGGATGTAGATGAGTTGATGCACTATCTCAAAGATCATATCGAAAGCTATGGTGGACGACTTGACGATATCACTGTGATTGGACACAGCGCCGGTGCACATATTCTTGCACAGTATCTTGTGACTGTACATAGTAAATCGACTGACAACAAGATAAAAATTAGAAACTATATCGGTATGTCTGGACCATTCGATATATCCGACCACTTTATTCATGAAACAAAGCGTGGAATTGAACATATGTCGCCGATGCGACCATGTTGTAATGGTCCATCAGGATTCAAACAAGCATCTCCAACCCATCTAATACAGCAAAGACCTGATAAAACTGTTGAATTACCATCAATGTATTTCCTACATGGGTAAATATATAGAGAGTTTTAATAATAGGGTTTAATATTAATATAGTTCATATTTATAGTGACTCTGATTTGACTGTTCCACTGGAATCAACGATTAAATTCTGTAGATTAGTTCAACAAAAATCGAAATGTCACACCCAAATATTGGAGTATGAACATGTACAACATATTGAAATTATATTCCTTCTAAAAGATGTCGAAAATTCTGTTGGAAAACCATTTATTCATGAACATGCAACACATACAAAGAGAAACAACCAGTCCGTATTAATCGATGTTTTACAAATTATTTTTAGAAATAATAATAATAACATTTAAATCAATGGATTAAAAAAACCTAGTCAAATACAAACGATCTATTTATTATAAACATATTTTATTTATTTCTTTAAATTTCTACGATTTAAAAGTATTGCATAAATACTTTTGAATGTCATTTTGTTCAATGTTTGTATCGATAGAATTATCGAGAGGTGTGAGAACAGAGATATGGAAATGGGGATAACCACAGAATATAAATTTACACAAGTTAGGTGAATATATTTAATAAGAACCACATATTAGTTATCTAATCTTTATTGAATAATGAATTTAAATCTATAGATTTAAATTCATAATTGAATGTCGATTTCATATCTTGTAGGATAACCGCTTCCGATGATGGGTTGGTTGCCATGATAATAAAGTTACTTTCAGACTGAAGGAACTGAATAAAATAGTTATTATATACTTGTTGAAGATCTTCTGTAGATACCTTTGATATTCTATCAAGATAATCTACTTGCTCCGATATACTTTTCAATCCCTATATTAAAAATTAATGATTAGTATCTACTGATTTTTCTTTTGTTTGCTTAAATATTTAAAACTTACTCTAAATAGTGATGTATATGCCTCACAAGCCATTTCCGATGCTGTAGATTTCACACTGTAAAAGTCATAGACCGAAGTGGAAACAGCAGCAGAGATTTCAAATGGCGATATCTTGTTGTTGGTTGGCAAATCCTTTAGATAGTTATAGAAGATCTCCAGTGCTTTGGTCGGTGATAATGTGTCAGTCAGAGAAAATGTAAGAGATTGCTTACGAAGATCCAAATACAAGCTGAAACCATATGCATAGCCTTTGGAACGAATCTCGCCTTCGCCTGAACAGAAAATATCGCAAAACACCTGGAGTTTGGCAAAATCTGGATGCTTCTGGTCGATTCTCATCGGAATCGATTGGAACAGTTGGTTGGACTCAGCACTCTTTACACTGATTGAGTGAAGCAACGGAAGTTGGTTGGAATCAATTCCCATCTGAGTCTTATCCATTTTGAAAAAATAGGGAATGGATTCGAAATGACTTCGCTTTCTGTCTACTGCAACACCGAGTGACTTTACAACACGATCCCATTGGCCGGCAATCAGCTTGATAAGATTGGTTCCATCTACGGAATCATTGTGTCCGACCTGTACAAAGATTCTCTCTGAATTCTTTACAATGTAATTACGAATGCCTGTGAGTGCATCGATGGTTGTCTGTATATCACCGCTATTGATTTCATCCAATACTTGATGGAGGAAATGCTTTTGACGGTAAATGGAAATGGCGTGGTTATTGGAAGTCGGAATGTCACGCGTCAGTAAACTTTCGTGGTGTGCATTGCAAATACAGGATGGATCACGACTGGTTTCCTTGAGTGATTTTATAAGGTTGACAACTACGGTCTTTAAAAGATTGGCATTCACTTGGATACAAAGAAATCCATGAACAATCCAGTAGATAAGTCGACCGAAATTCTCGACAGTACTGCTACCGGCGATTCTAAACAATTCACCATAGAACGCCGAGAAAGTTGCACCCGACAAACCCATTCCACAATCGAGCGAAATGGTTTCTCTAGATATTTTAGTTACTACCTCTTTAAATGGAATGACAATGTTTCTCTCTGTATCGTTGACATTCGATTCAAATACCAGGTGACTCAGTATGGTGAGATATGGCTTGAGTGCCAGCGGCAGATCTTTGACGTGGAAGAACCATGTTGATTGAATGAATTGTGTATTGATTATGACATCTTGGATTGTGAAACCTGTTGGATTGTCAGAGGAATTAGGTGGCATTGTCACTGTTTTAGGCTCGTCGAATTTTATCTTTTTGATATCTGGGATTGGCGGGAGCTTTGAACGGAACGACTCTGGGTAGGGTTTGTTTGCTTCGATTGCAGCTTTCAACTCGGTGTCCAATCGTGCTAGTCCTTCAGCACCTAGTGTATCGCAACGCTGCTTTACTCTGTCGAGTGTGGACTGTGACAACTCTGCTGCCAACTCTGCCGACGGTATCATTAACACCTCTGCATGTGGAGCATTTAAAAACCAAGTATCCAACAAATCACACCAGAATTGCGAGTCTTTATCCTTCAATGCTTCTATATATTGCACATAATTCAATTTCGATTCTATATCTTTGGTCATTGAGATTGCTTCTTCAAATGTGGTTGCATCTTTCGGAGGGAAAACGACTGTTGTCAAAAGCGATCCAGATACAAATCCAAGTGGATCCCTATTATTATTGTTAGTACTCACAATTGTGTTGTTTGGTTTCATTAAGATAGGTTTGATATATATTGACTTACTCTTCATATCCTTCTAAAATCTTTATCAATTCTTTTTCAATTTCGAAAAGCATATCTTCTTTGTTGAAACCATTCTTTTTAATATCTTCAAATACCTTGACAACTCTATTATACATTGAATATTCATTTAATAAATCTAGATCGTCTGTTCCTTCATCCAGTACACTTGTATTATTTCCATTTCCATTCTCATTATTTTCTTCTTTCTCCAACTCTTCTAATTCCTCATCATCTTGATCTTCGTCTTCATCCTCTTCATCATCATCTTCTTCTTCTTCTTCTTCTTTTTCTTTACTATCTTGATTCTCATGATTATAAACATTGACACCACTAAACTCTAATAATAACTTTGACTCTTTTAACTCTTGAATTGTAATAGATACATTACTGGCATAGGCGTGTTTTCCATGTACAAAATGCTGAGGCAGTGGTGACGATGAAATAGCATTGAGATATCGAATCAATATTCCAAGTGCAGCCAATGTTTCATTATCGTGAACAGAGGGCCCACGCCAACCAATGGTAACACTTCCAACTGATTCATCTTCGCATGGGAATCTAATTTTCTGTGAACTCGACTCGGTCATTGGTGGCAACTCGCTCAACCATGGCATCACTCTAGATTGCTCACCACCGTCAATCTCCTTATAAAACGGACTAGCAACAATCTCTGTTTGATCCAACTTATCCAACAATGCAGGTTCATCGATACAACCCTGCACAATGATAGTAATGATATCGGGATGATAGTACTTTCCGTGATACTCACGAATCTCTGCGTTGGTCAGCTTGGCAATCTCACGCACCGCGCCACCGTAGGAATTGGCGTAGTAGCTGTTGGGATAGAGTGCACGTGTAATATGGAAATCAGAGAGATCCTCACACGTGTTTTCTCGGGACTGCATCTCGCACATAACCACACCAGACTCTTGGCCGGTGGCATCGATATGGTAGATCTCGGTGGTGAAATCGGAATCCTTGAGTGTTGGACGCAGTACGAATCGGAGTAGCACCGGCAAGTAGTGGATTAGACCCTCGGGACCAACAGACTCCACTGAGTAGCATGTGTGATCCTCAGCGGTGTAGGCATTGGACGGACTGGAGAAGCAACGATTGGCAACCGATTCGATAAAGTCACGATACGGGTAGCTATCGCAGCCATTGAAAACGAGATGCTCCAGTGTGTGAGGTAATCCTCTGTTGTTGGGTGCCTCGGTCGGCACGATAATAGAGGCATTGACTTTTGGACCTGGACAATGATGTAAGATCAACATCATATTGGATTCGACATGTCTATACCGAACGATTCGATCATTCTGAGCAAACGATATATTAAACTCATCTACAAACTTGAAACATTTTGTATCTCTACTAGTATTGCTGCTATTATTTGTTTGTTGATGATCTGTCATTAATTAATTAACTAACTAATTTATAACAAAACGTTGAATCAATTAATGAATCATCAAATTTAATCAATCGTTAAATATGTTCAGGATGAAAAAAAAAGAAATTGCAAAAAAAAAAAAATAAAAAAAATAAAAAAAAAGAAAGAAAGAAAAATATGTTAATTAGAATGTTGTTTCAAGGCAAAGTCCTTTTTAAATCAAATAAAAAAACATATAAATAAATTAAAAACTTTGACTTCATTCGAAATCATTTAGAGCATAACGTTTTTCAATGGCTGCATGCCTATCGATTGCGACTTTATATAATCAATTTCAAATCATTCTTGGCCCACTAATCCCAAGTTTCATCTTACAAAAAAAAATGGAGAAAAAAATAGATATAAATTTTCATATCTCATCAGATATGTTTGATTTTACTCTAACAAAAAAAATAGCGATGAAAAAACCGAATTTTTGTGATTTTTTTGATTTTTCTTATTTTTTTTTAGGTTTTTGATCTACTTTTTTTTGCTCTCCCATTTTTTTTTTGAAAATATTTTTGTTTGATCAAAATAAAATTTTTTTGACCACTAAATCCCCCTGCCAAGTTAGTGTTAAACCGTGAAGTGGTATGACCCATTATATAGTTGTTGTCGGCAATTTCGAATACAAATAAATCGAATTTAAAAAAAAAAAACTATCAAAACTGAATGATACTAGCAATCAGACTATATCAATAGGAGCTTTGAAAAGCAACAAGAAAAAGACAAACATTGTGTAGGAGACATAGCCATACAACAACAGCAATAGCAATAACTACAACCATTTTTATTAAAATTTAATTTAAATTTAAATAATTTATATATTATCAGCTCATTTCAGAATTCTTGGACTTAAGTTTATCATTACATATCAAAAAATAATCATTCAGGTGTACAGTTTGTTGGTTAAACTATTATTGTAGATAAATAAGGTAGGAATTAATCAAATCAATCAACAATCAACAATCAATCAGTCAAACCAAATTATTTATAAATAGTCAAAAAAATTGTAAAAGTAAAAGGAAAAAAGTTTATTTATTATCCATTATTGTGCCATTGGAGTTTAAATTTCAGCAAACAGATGATGGTGACAAATAATAATTTAAATAATTAGATTTGCACATTATTTTATAATTTTGAAGTGTACACTTCACACTCACATCAACAAAATCAACAACAACAAGCATCAACACCTCATTTCTGTGTTAATTGATTAATCATCTGTTCTATTGAAGATCAGCACACTATTATTATTGTTGTTTTTGTTGCATTGGATTCTTTTTATCTTAATTATATATTATAACATCAAGAAAGGTTTAAAAGGAAAGAAAAGTATTAGCAAAGTTAAAAAGAGATCAACCTGGTGATATAATCAAAAATCTTTAAATACAATATTGTAATTGTTATTATTATTATTATTGCTATTATTTTTGTTATTTATATATATACCGCTAAACTATAAACAACTCAAAACTCATTCATTGTAAATAGCTTATCTTAAAAGACTGTCTTAATTCATTGACATTGTTTACTTGTAGATACAATCATAGTCGCACTATTTATTTCTATTTATAAAACTATCTTAATATTTAAAGATATTAATTACCATCTTGTAAATCTTTTATTTTATTTTTTGATTCCAAATTAATTAATAGTCTCGAGAATTGGTTGATTGCTCTTGTTTGATTTCACCATCACAGCTGGCCATTGGTTTCATTTATAGGTCATAAGAAATCAAGAGTAATAATAACAGTAAGAGATTTAGGTATGTGTTTTGATCTAATCTGACCTCTACTATAGTAGCAACAACAAATTACAATTATAACCACCTCTCAATCTCATATCGTAATTGTTCACCTCTTTTTCTCTTTTCCTGTTCTATTCTTCACTTCTCTCTCATTTGTTCATAACATCTGTAACTATTCAATTAAATAATAGCAACAACAAAACAACAACCAATAACATCAAAATATTGTAATAGATGTCAGTAGACAGTTCTGTAGTGCCTGTTGCCTTTCTTATAAACAAGTGGTTAGCCAACTACACAACTTGTGTTTATCGTGTGCCAGTTATTATAATCAAAAATTTTATAACTGGTTTTTTTTTTTTGTTTTTCTGTTAAGAAGTGGTTAGTGCGTGTGTGTTTGTTGTTGTGAGTGGTATGAAGATAATATTATAGATAGATAGATGAGAATTTATTATTATCACATTCCATTGTCAATCTATCTCCAATCTTATCAAACGCTAAAAAAATAACAAAAAATGGTTGTTCCAAACACACTTCTCTGCAAAGAAGCACACCGGAAACAAACATCCAATTCATTCAAGTTCAACAACAAATTTTTTTGATCAAAAAAAAACACCCCCCAAAACAACAAACAATCCAATAATTCAAACCCTTTTTTTTTTTTTTTAAATTAAATTAAAAAATTAATTCTGGAAATGTCGAGAAATTATTTAAATTTAACAGTCTTACAACAACAAGCAATCCAATAATTCAAACTTGTTTTTTTTTTGTGTGTTTATTAAATATGCACATATTTATTTATTTTTAAATATTTTTATATGTACATAATTTTATTTTTTTTTGCCCAGTGTCAACAACCATTAGCAATATTATCATTTGTAGAATATATTTAAATAGCAACACTTTCACCACACAATCAATAAACATTTCATTTTATTTAAATAACAACTTTTCATGAAATATATAGTTCATGTTTTAATTTAGAATAACATAAAAGCAAAGTAATCAATAATTATAAACAAATTTGTAGAATAGATAGTCGCAGCGTCGTAGTAACATATATTGCATCACTACTTGATTTTTTTTTCACTTGTTCACTTTATTGTCAACAATAATATATATACACTGTACATAATAACCCTTTCTTCACACTTTCTCTAATAACAATAATCTAATCTATCATTCCTCTTACTGTGACAATAATTTTTTTTTTTTATATATATATATAATACGCAAATTAATAAACATTGTAAATAAATATCCACTATAGTAATTTTTTTTTCCTCTTCTTCATATATATCAAGTAAAAACCGGCAATAACCAACACTATAGATCTTATTACAGCAGCAAATTATAAAATATATGATAATATAATTTAAAGGTATTTATACTAAATATATATATATATTTATTTTTATTCTTTTCACATAGTAGTAGTTAAAATACATTTATTTGTAAGTGGACAACAATAATAATTACCACATACGCACACCCATTTCTCACAATTTTCAAACCAATTTACCAATTTAAATCACCACCAACACGGATAACTATAATAATATGATAACAGCTTATGGCAATCATGGTTTGGGAGAAATGCAATTTACATAAAGTAAATTTGAATTTATTTAAATTACGGTCATTTCTCAAACCAATTCCATACTTTTTTGTATCCAAGTGTCGCATATTCAAACAAAAAAAGTTGGTTAATATTTTTTTTTCAATTTTAATTTTTTATTTTGGTTTTCCTTTTTTTTTTTTTTTTTTTTTGATTTAATGTGACGAGCAAACATTGTTTTTTTTTTGTCATCCTGGTTTTGTCAGATTTAAATATATATAGTTAGTGCAAGCATTTGACGCTTGTTTTCTTTTTAATTAGTTGTAAATTTATGTAAATAGCTCTCTGTGTATGTATCTGGTTTTTAAATTCGACGCTTAACTATAAATATAAAAAATGCCATTTTCATTCACACATCTAATTAAAAACAAATCATATAAAATGAAAACACACAACATAGAATTTATTATAAGAAATAACATTCAAATCTACGATAATTTAAACAGACATCTGTCTGTCTGTCTATCTGTCTTCTATTTGTGTTTATTTGTTTGTCTGTGTGTGGTGGAATGATTTTTATCTCATTTTATTTTTAAATTGTGAAATGGTGGTATTTAATATGGTGTGTGCATTATATATATGTTGTGGTCTTTATTAGATTTACTGCAAGTAAGCAAAAGGGGGAGTGAGTGAGAGAGGGAGCAGGTGGGTTATAACAATTATATTGTATGATATTTATCTCAGCAGTATAACAAAAATAACAATAATAATAATAAATATATAAATGTTAGTGTGTATAACAAAGCAAAACAAACCACATCAATATAAATTAAATTGGATCTCAAATTAATACAGCTATTTAATTGTTATGCATCTCTGTTTGTTTGTACAGTTTGTTTGTTTAAATTCAAAATATAATAAAAACATTTTCACTAGAGTGAGTGAGTATACTTTGACAATTTTATTATTATTAATTATTGTTTATTTAATTTTCAATAAATTTTGTTTCAGCTGTTACTTCCTTACTTCTTTACATTAATCTTTTTTTAATTTATTTATTTCTTTGGGTCGACCATATTGCTGTACATACATATAATAAAACATCATAACAATAATAGGTTGTGATTATTTGCACCAGTAATTTATTATTATCATCATTTCACCACCTTTATTGTTGTTGTTGTAATAATATAATATTTTTAGTTTTTTTTTTATTTCATTAGTTAAAGTACCAGTTGGTGTTTATCATTATTTATATGTGTAGCTGCATCTGTCACCCAAGTTTAACTCAATTAAACTATTATTGTTATCTATCTGTGTCAAAATCCAATAGTTTATCTTATTTGTTGTCTATTTATAAAATTGTATCTTTATATTTATTTAAGAAGAAGGATAACAATATTCCACCATTCATCCACACCAACAAAACTACTACAATATAACCAATCAATCTCATTAACAATAACAATAATAATAATTATATGATTTACTAATATTAATTTTTAATTTTTTTATAAAACTCTCTAGTTTAATAATCTATTGTAACAAATACCTACTTTTTCTATTTATATTTATATATTTATATTTCTCAACTTAGTGTTTATACTACTATACATCAAAAACTAAAATATTCGATTTTAAATCTCAGTTTTTAAACTCTAATATTTTTGTATCACCTCTCTGTGTTCTCCGTCTTTACCGCTTATTCGAACACATAGTTGTATTTTCTCCAGTGGTTCATCCTTATTTATAAACATATACATACTCTATCTTTGTTTGTACATACAATTCTTTCAAATCTTTAAGTTTCGCCCTACATTTTTATTGTACTATACTTTTTTTTTTCTTTTTTCCTCCTCTTCACTTTATTGCATTTAGATATTAATTGTCAAATTAACAAAACAACCTAAATAATAATATACATATAAACATATAATCAAATATTTACATATCCAACAAATAATATGAACAAAATAATGCCACAAAGAACATTTTCACCACGTACTTTTATGGGTGATCGTGGAATCGTTCTTGATAGTTATGGCAGGGTTTTAAAGAATGAATCCTTCTCATCTATATATGACAATGATAAGAAAATAGTTGCACCCAAGCCATGGAAAACATCAAACGTTACTCATTTCTCAAATAGGTATGTCAACAACACAACACACTAACGATACAATAGAGTTTTGTTATTAATTTCTTTTTTTTTTATCTTATCAACAGTCAATTTGAGGAAGCAGGTCAAGAAATACAGACGATTATTTTAAACTCTTTTATTGGTGATTTCGATGATTTGGTAGGGCACAACGATTTCTTTGAGAACCAACAAAACAACTTTGGCATCGGTAAAAACCATTTGAATATTAGCAATAGTAGTATTGGTACAACAATTGGTCACAGCCGTAACAATAGTACTTCTTCATCAACAACCACCTTTAATAGCAGTAATAACGTAGTTCAATGCAATAGCAGCAACAGCAACAACAACAGCAATAGCAATAATAGTAGTAGCAGCGTCAAAGCAACCAACAAGAGTTCAGATAATGAAAATAACGAGTGTAAAGTGAATATAAATGATTTTCCTATCAACTCTCTCAGTATAATAGAAAACTACGCTCAAGATTCAACCTCTTCAATAATCGAATTGAAGATTCCTCTTTTTACACAATCGCCTGGCTTGATCACCGAGCCAATCACACCACCAACACGTACACATAACCCAATCACACTGAATCAAGCATTTGCCTCCGATGTAGATCCATTGCAATACGGAGCCGAAATTGGTCTTTTATCGATTTCACCACCACTCATCTATAAGCACTAGCACTGGTAGTGAGCACAACAAACTTCATCCAGATCCCTATATAAGAATAACCAACAACCAACAACATCCATCTCCCCTCCTCCTTCATTTTGTATCAGTCTAATGTATCGCAACATTTTAACAACAACAACAACAACAACAATCAAGATATTCAAACGATTATTTATATTGATTTGATCAGACCCAACAAACTGATCAACCAATATCTTTAAAAGGAAAAACAAAAAAAAACAAACAAAAAAAAACAAATAATCATACCTGTTTGGTTTCATCTCCAATATTATAATAAATATTTTGTATAATTATTTTGACACGTTTCATCAATTACTTGAATTTGTTTTGGTTCTTTTTTTTTTGAGAAATTAATTTATTTTTGAAAAAATAAAAATAAAAAAATTTTAATTAATCACCTGGGGTTTTTATTAATGAATGGGGAATAATCATTTTATTAAAGTAGTAGTTATTAAAATCACAATAATAATTTAATTAAAGAAAGACAACTAAAAATTAATATAATAATAATAATATAAATTATCTTTATACACATATAGATAGAATAATAAAGTTTTAAAAATAAAAGATTAAAAAGTATGTTGTTATCTATACTATATTGACTAGTGTCAGTAATTGTTTACAATTAAGATTGATATCAATATAAATGATGAAACTAAATATTTATAGTAGTATTGAGTATCGCATTCAGGGTTGAATCACTTTTTTATAACTTTTCGTTTCCTTATCAATCGATATCTAAGAAGAATTCTTTAATTATCTAGAATCTGAGATAGATAGTATTATAATGAACAACAGCAACTACAACTACAACACATACACACACACAATACATACAATGATGTTGTAGGTGCTTATCTGATAATGATATATTCACCATTTACACACCAACCACAAAAAATAAATATTACAATATTTTATGCAAACTAAAGATACACAAACAAACAAACAATTTCAATTTATACATTCATATTTTGTTCAAGTTGTGTGTTTTGTTTTTTTTTTGTTAAATATCATTATTTTATTTTTATTATTTTTATTAGAGAGTGTATTTTTATTACATTTAATATGATAAAAATTTTATTAATTTACTCTCTTTTTATTTATTTATAAAATATTAATTTATTTTCTATTTATTTGATTTTGTTATCATAGTCATCATCATTCTTAATAGTTTTTTTACCTAATTTGTTCATTGTTCTCTCCATCACCCAGCAAACAACTCAAAATATTAAATAAATCAAAATTTTAATTTCCCTCAAATCGAAATCTTGAAAAACAAAAAAAAGCTAATACATTACATCCCTCAACAGATTTCTAAAGAAAAACAGTGACATTCTTTTTTACAAACGATAAAACAAATCAATAGGACCAATTATTATTCAAACCACCATTATAAAAAAAAAACAAAAAGAGATATTAGATAAATCCGATTATTATCTATTTCACACAACTCAACAACATTATATATATATATATAAATAATTAGATAGATAAATAGGATGATGGAAATCGATGTGGAAAATGACATTGAAAATGATCTATACGATATAAATAGTTCTTTGATAGAACAATTGCCGAATACAGTAGAAGAACTGATGCAACACTCTGCAGTGCAAAGACAACTTAAAAACCAACCTGTATATTTAAAATATGTAAGTCTGCCAGAAAAAAAAAACAATAGAAATAGCAACTAATCAAAAAACAAACTAGTTTTGGAAGATATTGTTAATTATATCAGTTTTTTATTTTCTACCTTCGATTCAATTTGTATTCTTTCAATATGAAGATAATGCTCAATGTTATTTCAATTTTAAATGTGCCCACGAGTTTTTAGGATTAAAAGCGTTCAACAATGGTATGTTAAAAAAAAACAAAATGATAGCTTTTTTTTTTTCTTAAAAACATTGTGTGTTTTAGTTTACTAACAAATGAATCAAATCTCTCTCTCTCTCTCTCAGTCATTAGTAATTTGGCATATATATTAGCAGGAGGATCATTTTTACTTATTTTACATTTCACTGCGCCCAAAGAGGATGGAATCAATGGATTGCACACCGATATGTCACTCTACTATTGTGTAGGTGTGTCTGTGCTATGTGAGGGTTTCTCATCGGCACTCTACCACGTTTGTCCATCGAAATTGAATTTCCAATTCGATACCACCTACATGCTGATAGGCTCAGGACTTTTATTTTTCACTGTTCACCAAAAGAGACATGCCACCTTTACAGCTGGTGCATTCCGTGCGTACTCTTTCTTTGCAATGTTTATATTTTTGAACTTTTTATCATTGACCGCCATTAGTGGATATATGTAAGTTGAAATTAAACTGTTAAACTATTTGTTTTTTGTTTTTTTTTTTCCACAAATTTAACTAACATTATAATATATATGTACAGTTTCTGGTCAATATTTTTCATATTATTTGCATATATTTCTATATCCGGATCAGGATATTTATTAGCACACAAGAGATTGTCGATCAATCCATCAGTATCTGTACTTTGGAACTATGTCAAGAAGATTCGTCATCCAAGCGAAGTGGAGGACAAACCACGTCTTTTTGCAATCATTTTGGCATTTGTATTGAATTGGGGAATTGTTTTAGCTTCATCCATTGTTGGAATTGTATATAATATTTCAAGTAATTTCTCTAATCTAATTCTGTAAGTTTCTTTTATTTCTAAAGTTATCATCGTTCGAAAAACAAACTAATCATTTTATTATTTCATCTTACCGAATCAAACAGAGGAATTATTATATTAAACTTTTTGATATATCTATTTTATTATATTGCTATGAAGATCAAATATAGAGAACGTATCCATTTTATGATTTGGATAGTATTTATTATTATGATTGTTTGCTGGGTAAGAAAGATTTTGAATATTAAATATATATATAAAAATGAATAATTTTATTAACTTTATTTTATTTATTATTATTATTTTTAGGGACTTGGATTCTACTTTTTCGAAATTGCTGTTACCAATAAGTTCCTACCATTTGACGAATCGAAGGAATTGAATAAGCCATGTGTAGTGTTTGGATATTTCGATACACATGATGTTTGGCATTTCTTCTCCGCCGTTGGTTTATTTACTGTGATGTCAGTCGTTTACTTTATCGATTATGATTTGCGCAATGTTCCAAGATCTCTAATTCATGTATTCTAAAAATAATAATAACATTAATAGTTAGCCAGTAATATTAGTAGAGATTCCAATGGATCAATAATTTTATATATTTTATTTATTTACACATATACACGTATAATTATAAATATCAAAACATATACACACGATTACTTTTGTAAACTTTACAACCAAATATAATTATATTTACTATTAAGCTAAATTAATCACATATTAAAAATAAAGCTATATTAGATAAACAAAACAATAAATATCTATGGATTGTAAATAAATAAGAAACCTAGTATTGGTATTGTTAAAGAAAAATATACATTATATTTATATTTATTAAAGCTGGAATTGATGATGGTAAACATAGATAAATGAAAGCTGATAATAACTTAATATTACTATATTAGTTTAAGCATCATCGACAACCAAATAGTTTGAAGAGGAAGATCTCACTTGGTGTGCAGGCAAATCGTTCTTTACAGCAGTTGTTTTTGACTTTTGATTTTTCAGTGAGGCATCGGATGTCTTTGAACTTGGAAGAATAGGCTTCTCGAGTGGAGTCTGTTTCTTTTCGATGACTCTGTGTACTGGTGTGTATTGCATATACAAAGGTTCACTCTGTGTACTCAGATATCTTATCTAAAAATCATTGCCAATAAGAAAACAAATAATTAGAATTAATTTTCGTTGTCTTAATACAATATTATCTTTTAAGACTTACAGAATTAGAATTCAAAGACTTTGTGAAAAGGTATCTATATACTTGTTGTGACATTTTGTTGTATTATTATTTATTGTTTCTACTATATATTAAAAAAATAAATTATGTTTGTTGTTTATTATTATTGTTTTTTAAAACTTTGAATTTCTAATTGATAATAAAAATAAAGTAAAAGGTTATAACCAAAAAAAAAAAGTAAATAAAATTAGTATTTATATTATGTATAATTAATTTAAGCATCAATTGTCATTCAATTCCATAAATGGTTAAAAATGAAATTTCCAATTTTTATTTTTTATATTAAAATTTTGTGTGTTAGTGTGTTATTACAAACATTAATGTGTTTTATTAATTAACCTTTTTTATTATTTTTAATTTTTTTTGACATTATGTGTTTTCTATATAGATTTTCAATTCATGTGAATTGTATATGGTGTATTACAATAATATGAATCTTACAATGGTTGTGTAAATTAGTATTATTATTAAAATAAATTTGACTAACTTATGTATGGACACCAACAGATGAATGTTTAAATATTTATTATACACACTTTTGCTCTCCCCAGCTATCGGAAGAAATAACTTGCGAATAGAATAATAGAGTCTTTATTAACATACATAAACAAATTTACCAGATGATATAAATAGTGAATGAGTGAAGGTCTACTAAACCTTGTCAAATATGTTCATTTTTAAAACAAAATACAAATACTTTGAAAGATCAAGTGATATCTCCGTCATGTGTTATTATTACTTTTGAGACCAAATTAGTGTTTTAAATATCTAAAAACCTACCCAAAATTGAATAACTTTTTTTGTGTTAAAAAAATATTATTAATTTACAAAAAATATATAGGTGAAAATATTATTTATTATTTAATCGAATGTTGGTAGTACTTTATTGAATGATGATATGATAAAATCATTCTTTATAGGATTTATTTATTTAAAAAAAAATCAGTTTAAAATTAAAATAATAAATAATTTTAAAATAAAAGAATAATCAAATGAAATGATAGTTTGTTTCACATTCATTCAGGATTCTAGAGGAATCCTGAACCTTTTTTTCCCAAGAGATTAATTTCTGTTGTTGTGGTTAATAAAAAAAAATAAAAAAATCCAAATATTAATTAAATCATTTTTATGCGGTGACTTATCAAATATATTATCATTATCTCCCCAATTTAGTAAGCACACTACACGACTATGATTAAAACCTTTCTTTACAAACAACAAAATAGATATTTCTATCTAAAATTTAATATTAATGTTATGTTAATGTGAAAGCTTTCAATTTTGTTTATTTAAAAAGTCAAAATGACACTCCCCACAAACAACCTTGTTGAAAATAAAAGAAAAGGGGGGACTTGCTTGTTATTTGGCCCTCTTTTTTAACTACACCTTATTTAATTTTAATCAAGGTGTGTGGTGTGTGTGAATGAAGTGATCTTAAAGTTGTTATTGTTTGCAACCGATGTAAACTACTGTAACGAATTCAATCTACCTTCAACATATTCATTTGCCTCTGTTTCAAAAACCAATATAATATTTACAACAAAATTTAATAATAAATAACTCCTACAATAATAGTTGATATAAATATATTTAGAGCATTAGTAAAATCTATCACCTTTTTTGTTTGATCTTTTAAAATGTTGTTTTTACCTCATCACCAATAAACATTCAATTGCGATCTGTGGATCTTTTAGAGAAGCACCGTAAATCTTTATCATATCATCTTGACCTTGAAAAACACCTCTATCATTCTCTCTTGAGTTCTAATAGTAGATAGATTTAGTAAATACATTAGTATCTAATCAATGCTATTGTATATGATAACATAATAACATACTGCTAGATGATTGAATAACGTTGTAAACTTATCACTATCACCGGTAACTCTGATCAGTGATTCTGTATCTTTAATCTCTACACAAAGTGAATCAGATAGATTCGAATATTCAGGTATCTCCTCCAATTCTTCGATCGATGCTAATACTAATGCTATTTATTTTCAATCGTTCGTTTTTTTAAATGTTAAAACATTGACATAATAATAATAATAATAACAAAAGAAGACGAATCATTGAAAAGAGTCAGTCTTTATAGAGAGAGATCTAGTTTTTTGTTTTTCTTTTCGATTAATACCAACCTCTACGAATATCCTCAATCGATGTTCTCCACCAAGCTAAAAACAAAGACTTTGAAGGTGAGAGACAGAACTGGTTGAATATAGATCTCATTTTATCACGTTCCTCTCTCCACAAAGCTATAGAGTTATGAAATTGGTTTTGCTCTGACAGTGAATCGATCTTTGACTGAATCTCTCTCATTGACTCTGCTACCAATCTATCAATTGCATCATCATCCATCTTTATAATATATATAAATATATAATAATACTTTAATAAATAATAAAACAAAATAAAAATAAATAAGCAAAATAATCAAAAAAAAAAAAAAAAAAAAAGAAAAATCAACCATCTAAAATTTAAATTAAAAATATTTTAATATTATTTTTATTTTTGACAAAAAAACGAATATTTTGTTAATTGTTTTTCATTATTATGGATCATCAAATATCTGTACAGTATTTGTTTATAAATAAATACTTGAAAACTTATCCAAAATATAATTAATAATGTCTAGAAATTGAAAACTATTTCTATATTATTTATTTTTAAATTAATAACAATTAGTATTATTATTAATAATAAATGAATATATGATCATTTTTTGTCACTTAATTAAATCTCCAAAAACATGTTTAATTAAAAGAACCTGGTGAAAAAAACGAAAACAAACAAGCTTATGGATATTGTGGTGGTAGGAGTAAAAAGTCCTGGTCAATTGAAAAATAAAAAGTGAAAGAAAAAGAAAGAGAAACTAACTCATTTTCGATTTATTGATAACCAGGGTCAACTCTTTTTTTTGTTTTTTGTATTTTTTTTTATCACACTCAGATTTTTTTTACTATTAATCAATGCGCAATTTTTGTCAAGACTAATTTTTTTTTGTTTTTTTTTTTTTTAATTTTTTTTTGGATTTTTCTATTTTTTTTTTGTCATTCCTCCTGCTGTTGCAGCTACAGCTCAAAGAACTTTTTGTTATTTTTTTATTTTAATAATTTTTGTTGGTTTTTTTTTGTTCAACTATTTATATAAAAGTATTTGTATTATTTATTTATATAAAAACATAGTTAACATTTAATTAAATATAAACTATTTGTTGTTTTTACCTATTTTTCTAATAATATAATATCTTATCTTTATATAAATTCAAAACAAAATGGTCGAATCAAACGGATTACCATCTTTTGCCTCCACTGAGGCCGATACCGAATATGGTTACGTTCTTTCAGTATCAGGTCCAGTCGTAATTGCTAACAAGATGTCTGGTGCTGCTATGTACGAGTTGGTAAGTGACTTATCAGATGATCAAGAGATGATTGATGAACATTATTAGATTTACTGATCATAAAAAAAAACTTATACTATACATCATATAGGTTCGTGTAGGTAAATCAGAGTTGGTAGGAGAAATTATTAGATTGGAAGACGACACTGCAACTATTCAGGTATATGAGGAGACTGCTGGTCTCACCGTTGGTGATCCAGTCCGTAGAACTCGTAAACCACTCACTGTCGAGTTGGGTCCAGGTATCATGAATAACATTTTCGACGGTATTCAAAGACCATTGAATGTATGTAATAATATTACTTTAAACATCAAACAACTTGAACATCAAACAATTAGATCTTCACAAAAACATAATACTCGACTAAAGTTAGATATATGTTTGTGTGAGTTGATTGGTGGTTGTTCACTTTTGTTTTTTTTTTTTTTTACTTAAAAAAAGTTCTGATATTAATTTTATGTTATTTTTTTTTTTTTTTGTAATATTTTTTTTTATGCGAATCATAATTATAGGCTATTGCAGAGATTACAAAGGGTATTTATATTCCACGTGGTATCAATACACCATCATTGGACAGAACAAAGAAGTGGGCTTATGAACCAGCTCATGGTATCAAGGTTGGAGATTTAGTTACAGGTGGTGATATCTTTGGTAAGGTCGTCGAGAACAATCTCATTATCCATTGGATCATGGTTCCACCAAAGGATATGGGTAAGGTCGTCGAAGTCACACCAGCTGGTGAATACAATTTGGATCAAGTCCTCTTGACCATCGAATTCCAAGGTCAATTGAAGAAGTTGACTATGGTTCACCACTGGCCAGTACGTTCTGCCCGTCCATGTATCGAGAAGTTGCCATGTAACTACCCATTGTTGACTGGTCAACGTGTACTCGATGCCCTCTTCCCATGTGTACAAGGTGGTACCTGTGCTATTCCAGGTGCTTTCGGTTGTGGAAAGACTGTAATTTCTCAATCTCTCTCCAAGTTCTCCAACTCTGATGCTATTATTTACGTCGGTTGTGGTATGTAACTTATTATTATTATTACTATTCAAACAACATTCTAATTCTTTATTTCTTTTTTTTCTTTCTCTCTCTCTTTATTAATAATAAAGGTGAACGTGGTAATGAGATGGCTGAAGTATTGATGGAGTTCCCAGAGCTCCACACCAAGATCGGTGACAAGGAAGAACCAATTATGCAACGTACTTGTTTGGTCGCCAATACCTCTAATATGCCAGTAGCTGCTCGTGAAGCTTCTATTTACACTGGTATCACTTTGGCCGAGTACTTCCGTGATATGGGTTACGATGTAGCTATGATGGCTGATTCCACCTCCCGTTGGGCTGAGGCTCTTCGTGAAATTTCTGGTCGTCTTGCTGAAATGCCAGCCGATTCCGGTTACCCAGCCTACTTGGGTGCTCGTTTGGCTTCTTTCTACGAGCGTGCCGGTCGTGTCTCATGTATCGGTCACCCAACCCGTATCGGTTCCGTCTCAATTGTCGGTGCCGTATCACCACCAGGTGGTGATTTCGCAGATCCAGTAACTTCCGCCACTTTGGGTATCGTACAAGTTTTCTGGGGTCTCGACAAGAAGTTGGCCCAACGTAAGCATTTCCCATCGATCAATTGGTTGATCTCTTTCTCTAAATACATGCAAGCCCTCGACCCACATTACGAAACCATGGATGCCGAGTTCGTACCACTCAGAACCAAGGCCAAGGAAATTCTCCAACTTGAAGAGGATCTCTCTGAAATCGTACAGTTGGTCGGTAAGGACTCTCTCGGTGAGTCTGAGAAGATCACCCTCGAAGTTGCCAAGATCATTCGTGACGATTTCCTCCAACAAAACGGTTTCACCCCATACGATAAATGCTGTCCATTCTACAAGACCATCTGGATGCTCCGTATCATGATGACCTTCTACAATCTCGCCCAAAAGGCCGTCGAATTGTCAACCCCAGATCGTAAGGTCACCTGGAATCAAATCAGAAACGAAATGCAAGACACCCTTCACAAAATCACATCAATGAAGTTCCAAGACCCAACTGACGGTGAGCCAGCCTTGACCGCACATTTCACAGGTTTGTTGGAAGAAGTTCAACAACGTTTCCACAACTTCCGTGAAGAGTAAACCATTCTTGTTTTTTTTTCGGAATAAAAATAAATATCAAATAAACCCTTTAGTATAATATAAGTAAAATTAAAAAAATTAAATAAAATTTAAAAAAATATATAAATATCTAACTTTATGTAACAATTATTATTGGACATCAAAAACTTTGATTGAATTCAAATGCGCCAAAAATATTAATAATAATATTCTTAATTTTTTTTTTCTGTTTTTTTTCATCTTTTAAAATTACTTGGAAAAAATAAATTAAAGTTGCTTATTAATATTAAATTGGTAATTTAAAATAGGTTCAAGTTTATTTAGTTAGTTACTTATATAAGTAAACTTGTTGTCAATTCAAATTAAAATATGACAATCAATAAATTCTCTTGGGTAAACACATCGATTCCTGGTCTTCGTCCATGTCCGGGCACTTATCACAGATATTTCGATGTACCTTCAATACCATATGCCAAAGAGTTGGATTTAGATTCTGTTGATTCACCGACTGCTTGCTATTCCATTGTAGATATGTCAGGATTTTCAAGTGCCACAGTCGATGGAGTTTTATTTACTCCATACTACAACGATCAACAAAGCTGTGTTACTTGGTATCTGGGTTCCGATGGCCGTGCATATTACTCGTTTGACAACGAAAAGTTCAACCTCTGTGCAGAGTCGCGTGCAGAGTTTGACACTAGAATATCGATTGAGGCATCTCTCTGGTTCAAGCTTTGCGATGCTGTTGGCTACCAAGCAATATCACCGGAGAAGGTCAAAGCAACCAAGGATAAACTTACAACAGAGGAGGCACTCTACGTGGAATACTATCTGTCCAAGACCAAAGAGGAATTGAATGATCTTCCACCATGGGATGATGATGAATAGTTTTTTTATATGTATATTAAATAATAAAAAAAAATTAATTAAATCACATAGTTTTGTGATATAAATTTTCAAAATCTTCAAATCAATTCTATTATTATAATTATAAGAATGATGGACTCATTACCGGATAATTGTGTTGTAATCGATGCAAAATCAAGTCAAACTGCAACAGGTAGATTATAATATCTATTAAATATCATTATTTAATTATTTAGTAAACAAATAATAATAATTATATATCTATTTATTACATAGTTATTTTTTGTCATGGACGAACGCAATCAACCAATGACTGGAAAAGTGTTATCCAAACTATTCAAAGCATGGGAAATCAGCATATAAAGTTTATATTACCAAATGCGTATGTAGTTGTTATTAGTATTCCTATGAATATCTATCTAATGGCATCTTTAAATGTAGACCAAGACAACCGGTATCATTCTTACAGGGTGCTGTATTACCATCTTGGTTCGACAATACAGAGTTGTCGGTGAGAGGTATCATTAAAAAAGAAGATATTGATAAATCTAAAAATTTAAGTATGAATATTATTAATAATATAAAAGTAAATTTATCTATGATAAACTGTCTAATTCAAATATCTGATATGTCTTATAGTCGACAGAATTATACAATCGGAATTGGATCAAGGAGTTGTTTCAAATGATAGAATCATGTTGGTCGGTTACTCTCAAGGTATGTCCATTCTTTATATTGTCTCTAAGAATAGTGGTCTATCAGCCTTTACTCTTGACATACTCACACAAATATTTCCTCACATCAGGTGGTGCACTTGTGATCTATACATTCTATATGTCAAAGTATCGACTTGCAGGATGCCTTACATACGGTGGTATCTTACCGATGCACAATGATTTCGCAAAGCTTTTACAACCTGCCAATGTGAACCAACCATTACTAATGCTTCAAGGTACAGAGGATGAAGTTATTCCAGCCAGGTAAATATATAAATATAATCAGTTAAATATCAAATATTTAAAGGTTTGCTAATAATCTCTCTTATAATGTTAATGCAGTTGGGGAGAGCATTCTTTCTCTACCATCAAAGCCAACCAAACAAACGTCAGAATAGAACTCTTCAAAAATGGACACGTACCAAATACGGACGTACTCACAAGAATGACTAGTTATATTAGTGAAATATTACCATGTTACACTCCAATTTAAATTAAAAAATAAAAATAGATATTTTTTTTTTTTAAAAAAAAACAGATTATTTTCTTTTTTGCCATTCATTTATTTATGTATTCGGGTTTTTGTAATAGATTACTTTTTTAATAACTATATATATAAACGATGAGTTTAATACAAAGTATATTGAAAAACTCAATCATATTAAAGAGTGTAAAGAATCATACAGCCACTGTTATCTTTTGTCATGGGCTAGGTGACACTGGTGATGGTTGGAGCGATGTCATGGAGATGGTTCAAGAGAAAGACAATGGTCACATCAAATTTATCTTACCAAATGCGTATGTTGTACAATCTAAAATGGTCTCTTTATATTATATCAATAGTTTTATTAATTTGTTTTATAAATAATAATCATGATTATGAATGATTAGTCCAGTGCAACCAGTTACACTCAACAATGGATACAGAATGAATTCATGGTATGATATTAAATCGTTATCAAAGAGAGGCGATGAAGACAAAGACGATGTCGATAAATCTAGAAATATCAGTATGTTATTGCTTTTAATAATTATTATGTCGGTCATCTTGCTTAAATTAATCAAACTATTTTACAATACCGATCAGTTGAAACTATTATTCAAAGCGAAATAGATTCAGGTATTCCATCAGAGAGAATCATGATCGGTGGTTTTTCGCAGGGTGCAGCACTCTCTTTGTATACATTCTACCAGACTAAACACAAGTTGGCAGGTATGGTTGCATTGAGTGGTTATTTACCATTGTCACCAGTATTTGCATCGTTTATGCAACCAACAAACAAGTCACAGCCACTTCTGATGTGCCACGGAATGCAAGACGTCGTAGTAAGATACGAGTGGGGAAAAATGTCTTTCGATTTGCTCAAATCAAATGGTGCCACCGGTGATTTCGTCACCTATAACTATATGGGACATTCATCTTCACCAGAGGAAGTCAGAGATGTCACTTCCTTTATTTCAAAGATTCTACCAAATAAATAATAAAAATACTCAATAGATTTCACATGTTCAAATTAAACTCTCAAAGGAAGATCCACTTGAAACACTTTTAGAGGGACTTTCTTCTGTACTTTCAATCCGAAAACAAAAACTGAATATTGAAACACCACTCAAGAATTTTGGAGTTGATTCATTGGAGACATTTCAAGTTAAATACTTTATCGATACCAACATTGAACAAGATATTTTCACAATTTCTTCATACAATATCAATTAATTTAAAATTACCATTGAAACAATTCATTGTATTCTCATCAGTATCTGGATATTTTGGAATTCATTGTTTGTTGATATTTATCAATTTATTGATCTTCTATTGTTGGAAGGAAGAGGATTTGCATTTTTAAGAATATCTGAATCCATTTGAATCATTTGGTCCATAAATTCTGATATTCTTGAATTGATCATCTTCAGAAAGTAAATTGATTCATTGATTTGGTTTAAGTGCACAATGATCATGAATATCATCATTATAACTCCAAAATTGTTTGAATCCACCAAATATTACAACATGAAAGAGAGATTTATAAACAGGTTCATTTTCAAATTTGATTTGAATTTGAATTGATTTGAATATTTATCTTTCATTGGATTCACAAAGAGTGATGAAACATCAGAGAATGTATAAACAACTTCAACTTGATTCTGATCACAAAGTGAATATAACATTTCATCAAGTTGTGGAATCAAATAGTTTGTAACTGTTCCAGTTCCACCTCCAATTTAAGAATCTTGATTATTCTCTTTGAATTTGATGGTTGGATCGGTCCCACAGTAATGAATGATGTTTGTTTGAAATAATATTGAATGGAGCTTTGTACAAATTAGAAATAACACCATCTTTGAATAATTGTTCACCATATTTATCATTTCCACACAATGTTTCAATTACTAATTTAACTCCTTTATCAACACCCTCGAATAATGATGGATCATCATTGATTATCTTTAAATCTGTCTGAAAGACATGATTTTAAGAATTCTTTACCATCTTTCAAAATTTCAATCATTCTTGAGAATAATTTGATATTTGTTTCGTTTGAAATGAATTTGAATTGATCATAGATACTTCAATTGATTGATTTAAAACTTCATCAAGATTGAATTCAGGAATATTCTTTGAAAAGATAGTATAGATTATCTTGATTGCATCTGATCTATATTGATTAAAAGTTTTCTCAAAACAAAAACAACACATAATTTACCTCGAACAAATCCATTTGCAACTTGATCGAAAGGACGACAATGATCATCCAAGAACATCACGACAGTCATAAAATATTGTACAATTTTTTAAGTTTCTTGTATATCTTTTATTAAAATATTACTTCAGTTCATTTAAATATTTCTTACACTAGAGTTAAAAAAGTGGTGATAAATAACTGTTAATGTTAAAACAAATTATCATAATGAATTTTTTTTTTGAGAAAAAATAGAAGTACACATTTTAAAAAAAATATTAATTGAGGAAGACTAAATATTTATATAAAAATTTAATTGTCCATATTGAATCATCAAATTCTGATATGACATCTAACAGGTCAAAACCAACACTCCAAACAATAAATGTCAGCATACCGATGTGCAATACTTTAGAAAATGTTACCTAGAAGAAACCATCAATGGAATAATTGTACAATAGATCAAAAATAACATTTTTTTCACAACGAATTTTATTAGGAATTCTTATCGTTGGTTGATGTGGGGTAAAAAAAGTGAAATAACCTCACTCAAATTTTAAAAAAAAAGCAGTATGCAATAATTGTTATTAATCATGTCATCAAACAAAGAAAAAAGAAAGATTGAGAGTGAAACTGATGACAAAAGCAGTGATAATAACAATGTAAAAAAGAAGAAAAAGAGTGATAGTGATGGAAAGTTAGATCGGAAGAAAGAAAAGAAGGAAAAGAAGGAAAAGAAAGTAAAGAAAGAAAAGAAAGATAAGAAAGATAATAATAGGAAAGATAAGAATGATGATGATGATAGCAAAGATCAGAAAGAAACAGTGAGAAATGGAAATGAAGAGAGACAAGAAGTAATAGCAGTCGATAGCATAAACAACAATGATAATAATAATAATAATAATTTAGATATAGTTAATTTAATTGAAAAGAAACCTTGGTTGAATTTAATAAAGGATTTTAAAAAGATAATTTGGTCAAATGATGAAGATGTTCCTAATATCGTGGTGATAAGATGCGTAGAGGAATGTTGTAAATTCATATCGATTCTTTCCTCTATTTATTGTCAAGAGCAAGGAATAAACCCAGATGACGTCAAGAAGAGTGTCATAGCATTTGGAAAGAAGAATAAACAGCTATTGGAGCAGGTACCATCAAAGTGTGTCATTGGTTTCGATATTGAAGGTAGCGATATGCCCTATTGCGTACAGCTATCAACACTCTCGGTTAGTGGTGTCATCTACATCAAGGAGATCGGAACACTGCCGGAGCCTCTGGTTACTCTGCTCGAAAGCACAGCCATCTCGAAAGCGGGTGTCGGTGTAACCAGCGATTTCGATTCACTCATCAAATTCCACCCATCTCTCAAACCAAAGGGTGCGTTAGACGTGTCGTGTGTCGCCGGATTCAACGGAATCACAAAAAACTATCTTTCACTCAATATTTTGGCGACCGACTTGCTTGGAACAAAGAAGTACAAGAAGCTGGCGGCACCTCTCGAACAACGTATTCAAAACGATGAGTTTTGCAAGTATGCCGCTATTGACGCTTGGCTTGGTATCAAGATTGCTCACGTACTCTATCAGCATCTGAAGAACGAGCTTGCATTCTACGAGTGGTCGCACAGTCAGCTAACAGGCAACTATCGTATACCGAAACAGAGCGACAGCAAAGACAAACAACCCGGTACAACAGGCAACATCTACGATAAGAACAACACACCGACGAGAATTCCCAAGTTTGAAAATACAAAAGACTACAAGAAAGACTATGATTCATCGAAACCGAAAGGACAGAGATTCACCAACAATATCTTCTATGCCGAACCCACTCCCAAGACTCAAGAGGATCAACGTAAAAAAGAATCAGCAGAGAATCATTTCTATTTACAGAAACTACAGCATATAAAAGAAGGTCAGAAACGACCTTTTATTTAATAAACGAATAATAATATTATGTAGTTGGATGTTGTTCATTCTTGTTTGTATAGATAGTTGGTTGTTTAAGTAATCTATCGATATAATAAAGTATTTCTCTCTTTTTAATCTGTCTTCTCGAAAGTGACTCATCTGGTTGTAATATTGGTGTTGTCGAATCTGTGTATATCTTTACTATAAATTCGATATGTTGGTAGTTTTCAAATTTAAAATATCTAATATTCGATAGATTAGTAGATTTTCTTTTAAGAGTCTCAAAGAACTTTAAGGATTGACTTGATGGAAATATTCTATCTGGTTCAGAGTGAATCATGATAACATTGGGCTGTAAGGTAATGGTGTTATCTTTATATTGTTGTAGAATATTATTAGGTGAGTATCCATTCATCTGAGCGAATCCACCATACACCTTATGAGTGGGTAGTATCTCTTCGGTTCCATTCTGGGTTTCATAGATAAATAGATCTTCCAAGTCATAGGCTCCACTTATTAGAAACATTGATTTTATCCAATTTATTTTGATAGGATTAGATATATTTCTTGCCAGGTAAGAAGACAACAAAGTAGCTCCTACAGAATGACCTATTAAATTGATATTATCTTTTGATCCACCGAATATTTCAACTGTTTCATAAACATATTGTAATAAAGTATCAACTTCCTCCAAAATTCCAGAGAAGTTTGCTTTTGGGTACAATGAATAGTTTGGTATGATAGTCAGATAACCAAGTTTTGAAAAAACTTTTCCTAATCTAGAGTAATCTTTCTTATCACCCGATAAATAATAACCACCTTTAATAAAAACAATGGTCGGATTGGGTTTATTATTCTTTTTTTCAGGTTCATAAATATCCATCATCATAGATTTAGAATTCAATGAATATTTAATATCTTTATGTACATGAAAGGTTCTCCAATATGATTTGTATCTATATTTATAGAATATACTATCTTTAATATAAGTTGGAATGAATTTTATAGATTTCCTTAGAAAAATGGATTTCCATTTCTTTTCTAATTTCTTTTTCTCACATCCACTCTTTACATTCAATATATATCGATTAAAAAGAAAATGATTCATATCGGTAGTATCCACTGTCATTTTTTTTTTATAAAGTTTAAAAACAATAATTGAAAAAACTTTAAAAATTAAGATATTAAACTAAATAGAACGAATTATTTGAAAACAATATTTATTCTAAAAAAAAAAAAAGATATGAATAAAAGATAGATAATTAGAATATAAAACAATTTTTAAAAAAAAAGTGAAAATTTTAATAAATTATTAGAGGTGAATCAAATGGTGTTGTTTTTACATAAAATTTAATGGCAGGATGTTAGTGGGATGCTAACGATCTTTTATTGTACACATTAGCTATTAGATTTAATAAGTTATTTACATCGATAATAGGAAGAATAAATAATAAAAGAATAAATATTTTATATATGAATTTCTTAAAGTCATAGAATATCAAGACTATCAGATTGTTCCTCTCTTTTTCTTTTTGTAACATGTAGTAACTCCATCTTGTTTCTAATCTCTAGTGATGGGAACTGAGTGTCCAATTCTTTGAGTCTGTTTTTGTTTTGTTTTTAATTAAATAATATTAAACAATAAAAATATTAATAGTTAGTTAAAAAATAAAAATACATCAATTGGTAAAATTATCCATCTAACAGGTTTGAAATCTTTATAGTTGTTTTGTTTAGTTGGTTGTTGTTTTTAATATTGTTGTAGTTATTGGCAACAAAGTTAATAATAATAAAGGATTGAAATATATATAAGAAAATCAAATAATAAAACAATTACATTATTCTTTCTAAAAAGTTATCTTTATTTATAATATGTGTGTTATTGTTACTGCCAAGATATGTTTGGATAAACAAACTTGATATTTATTATTAGTTAATTATATTTATTTATTTTTAGAATAAGAATATTTTACAAAAAATATAATAATGATTTGATTTGATTTGATTTGTTGTTTTAAAATATATTGATTCTTAAAATATAACAACTATTTATAATAAATAATTATCAGAATCAATTTAACAATATTTATTTTAATTATTATTTAATGATTTTATTTTATTTGTAAATTAAGAATTTTTGTTTAATCACAACAAATAATAACGACAAAAAAATCAATTATATTAAATTTCATATTTATATGAGTGTCAGCATATGAGTGTAGCTGTTCAGATATTGATTTTTACTTTTTAAAGTGGATATATAGTATTGATTTAAGTTTATTGTTAATCCATTTTTTCAACAATAAATTTAATATTAATTTCATTTTAAAATGGAAACATGATAACAACATCAACATCATATCAATATCAACCAATTGTGTTATATTTTATTTATAATAATCATTGTTTACAAATAATTTTTGCAAATAAAAATTGGCAATGGATAATAATTGTTAAATCCCAACCAATAGAAATGTTTTTTGTTTAATGGATATGAATAATCATGATTAAATAAATATTAATTCATGACGATCAGTAATATTTGTATTTGGAATATCTAATACAATTTTTTCTTCAATTATATCATATCCAATTAATCTTGAAGCATTTGAAGGTAAGGAATTTACTTCTTTTTTAACCAACATATAGACTGTATTATTATAAACTCCCCCAGAAATAAAATCAACTTGATAGTCTGCTAGAACCTTAAAGCTATATGCACCAGTTAATACATCTAAAGTTATAATTGCACCTTTGAAGTATGCTTGCATCACAGTTGGTTCTCCAGGTCCAATTAGTGTACCATTTGGTAGTAAGATTGTAGTTGATATGGTGTATCCTATTCCACTTGGGAATTTTGTAATATCAAGTGTCTTTACAACTGATTGACTCGTTAAATCAATTGTGAATAAATAGGCACATCCACTCCAGAATCCACAAGCCAATGTAGTTTCACCATAATCTATCCTGATGTCTTCGAGGTCATTATCTTCAACAATATATTGTCCTGGACCACCAACCATAACATATGCCAATTGGTTAATGGGATCGATTTTAATCTGAGTATAGGTGTATGATACAGCTGGAAAATTAATTTGAGGTAGAGATACACTGAAACCAGTTGGTGAACCATCGGCCAAATTGAATGCTTCGAATTTCGAGGTTCCATCATTTGCATATGATACTGCAAAGAATTGACTTTGGTTGACTGCTGATATATCTCTGCTAAATTCCATAGATAGAGGTATGATCCCGATCCAATGGGCAAATTGAATGCCGATGTTGTAGATTTCGCTTGTAAATCGTAATGATAGAGTGTACAGTTTTGAACAGATCCATTATCCCATATATTACCAGTCATAAACACAACCTCTGATGGTGTCAACAGCAGAGTATCGACAATAGATAGTTCTGTGAATGCAGGGTCATTATTAACTATTACAGTAATCTCTCCTGTGAATTGATCGTAGATTGAAACTGTTAATCCCATTGAATAGAAATCACCAATTACATAGATTGTTGGTTGGGATGATGTTGCTTTAACACCTTTATCAATAAAATCAACAATTCTAATTGATAATGTTAGTGATATAAGTGATAGTAATAATACTAAAATAGATAATTTGATCATTTTATGATAATGAATTGTAGTTTATTGAGCTGAATTAATATAAGTGAGTTCAAAAAATTAAATAAAAAGTAAAAAAATGAGGAATAAAGCCTTTGGTTGTAAAAACTATTCCAAAAACATTTCATAAATGATCACACTACTACAAAATATCTTTAAATTTTTCACCCCTCATTTTCCATAAGTTGTATCAACAGACATGCCAACAATAGATCATCAACTACTACCATCGACCACGAAGATTATAGTTAATATTCAGCAACACTTGTACATTTCCTTTTAACTTTAATAAAGTTTATAAGATACCAATAATTGGTGGTAATTCGGATATATCTAGTCCGTATCCAATGATATAATCACAATTCTTATATCTAATAATATCCTCCTATTCTGTAAGGGGTACCCCAGTTAGTGGAAACAATGTAACATTCGAAATATATGATGGAACTTCAAGTGCATATGGATTCAATGCTCAAGTACAAATTCAAGTAGACAAAGAAATTATCGGGGTCAGTGTTGATGGTTCTATTTACAATTGTATATAATTTGATACCAAAATATTAATATTAAATAATGTTTAATATTTATATAAATTATCTAATCTTTGATTAAACAAATAATTTAGCTCCTAATATAAGGGATGTAATTCAAGGAGATGAATCAAATTACAATATTAGGAAGTGATTTTGGTAACAAATTAAAACAGTTGAAAATTTCAATTTGTGATATACAACTAAGAGTTACATATGTTTTTCTTGGGACAGTTACTGTAAATTCAACGGGTTTAGAAAAGGAATTCGCATATGCTGGATTAAAGAAGGTGCAAGTATCTCTGGTTGATTATGCAAATGGACACTTGGATGATTAAAGTAACTTCATTATCAATAGAAAATTTTAATGGAGATGAAATTTTATATAATATCAATCCAGTAAAAAATTTAACAGGAATTTTATTTGTTAAAAAATTGATGGGAATCGTAGAATATTATTTCCACAATTTTCAATATTAAATAAAACAGCTGTAAATATAACATTCACCCCAATATGTTGATACATTGTATAATAATTATTCTATGGCAGGAATATATAATGATGAAACAAATGATGAAATAAAAAGGTGTCCTTTATTAAATCTTCGATGCCACTGAGTGGAGGTCAAATAACTATTTCTGGTCCTCATTTGAAAACATATTATCTGACTATTGAGGATGACCAAGGTGGTTTTCTAGAGTATTCTTTTAATTATCAAATTAAAATAATATTTTTAATATCATTATCACAAAGATATTAATTGATTGTTTCGGATAGCTATCCATTTTGGTTTCAATTTCAATTGTTAATAATCTTTGTATTGGAGAATGTCGATTTAAATCAAGTGATTCTGTAATATGTAAGATTACAGCTCTAGATCCACTTAGAAAGATAATCTAATATATGTGTAGAGATCGGAATGGTATGCATACTTAACGATACCGATGTTCAGTAGATACACGAGGTATATTACCTTTGAACAAAAAATTCAGAATGGCCATGTTCATTTCCAATCCGACTTCACGAACGGTCTCTTTCGATTGCATTATGATCTCTAAAATAAACCCATTTTCTCACCATTTTGTCTGGTGTGATAACAAACGCTTGTAATGATCCATTATACCGTTATCAATGATATATTGTGTGATGATCGTCGCCACCGAGCACTCTAACAATTACCAGCAGTGATTTTCTTATTATACTTATCGAGTCGCACGTTAGGTATTCCATTAGCTTTCCAATACAATTCAGTTGAATGAAACAATCGCAATCTCAGAGCTGAGGAAATGGATGATCGTTGAAACTATTCGTTAGATTGTAGAGTATTGTCAATACATGCTCCAATGTACTCTCGATTTTCGAATGATAGAGGCATTCTAATACTAAAGGTATGATTGGTTCGACCTTTTTGTTATATATATATATAAAGGTGGTAGAGGCACCATTGTAATACATTAATAAATAAAAAAGATATACTAAAACAAACAAAACATACATACCAAATCTTTAGGCAAGGGATGTATCGTTATCTCTTTGAAATACCACATGCAATAGTCAATGACCGATCGATGATACTGCGATTTCTTAAAAACTTTGATGACACTATATACAACATGTCTATATCTTTCCACACTTGCCAAAGGTTGCTACCATATTACCAAAACACCTGATCACTTCTTCATGAACAAGTCTATCATTGTTTATATCTAACACATTGATTAAACTTGATAAACATTACATAAAATCATTATGTATATACTGAACAAACTGTGCTAAGAGTAGTTGTAGCTATACTTACATTGGTATTGCATCATTACTATTATATAATAGTCGACAAAAATCATTATCCAATGAAGCAATCTAATAAAAATCTAATTAATTTTATCCTAGCTAATGATATCACCTCTTTGTTAACTATATAAAATCGGTAAATATTTCCTCTGCGAATACAGATGAAACATCAAGACAAAACTTAAACAAAAAAAACTATTAATATCTAATAAATGGTACAACAATAATATTGATCTAAACAACCTACTTTTGATCGATGTACTATATTTAATAATAAGGGAACCATTAAAAGTCGAAAGGTTTCACCATGATAATCAATAAACTCTCTGATGGTCCTATAATTAGAACATATTACCTTCAATTGCTTTTCCGAGTATAAGATCATCATCTGAATGCAGTTGTAAAACCAACTGTGGTATGTCAACTGACATCTCTTCTGAAAACATTGCTATATTATAATATTAGAGGTTTGTGCAGCTGCGATCAACCAAAAGAGTGACCTTGAAATTCAAAATGTTTTTTTAAAAAAAAAAAAAACTAATCTATCTGATGTTATTATTGATGGTGAATCTCCATGTTTCATATTTTTTTTTTTATTTTTTTTTTTAATTTATCCTTGTACTAACATTACTTGTGTATGGCTTTGCACGCGTTGGCAATTGGTGCTATATTGTGGCTCTATTCAAACACAATGTTGACGTTAGTCGTTTGCCATTGAGTCTACGTTGCCGGATAGAATTCATCTCAGACTTTACCCAGCTAAAAAAAGAGATGTTTCGAGGGTTCCCCCTTTGGAGCCTCTGATTCCCTCGACAGCTCCTGTTGTTGCTCCTGCTCCTGGTGGCGTTGGTGCTGTTGTTCCCGCCGCTGACCCCACTGGTTCTCAAGCCTCTGATGACAGCAATTCTTCTGGTATGAATTTTTTTTTTTTTAAATTATCCTTGTACTACCATTACTGATAGTAAGTGTAAGTGTTTTAAACACGTACCCGCTTAGAATTCTTAACCTGCTAGTTCGTGTTTAATATTATATTTACATTCTCACACAGGCCGTGAGAAATATAGCCATATTGGAGCCTAGCCACAGGTGGCTTTTTTTTTATAATAACTAAAGTGGTATACATGTTTTATTAAAAGTTGTATTAAAAGGATGGATTTACCATCAAGTTTTTTTCGTAGTCTATTTTTTTTCTTTTTAGTTGTTGGTTGATTTAATTAATTAGTTGGCATGTTGGGAAGAGAGTTAATTTCATTTACTTGATTAGTTGGCTGGTGTTGGAGTGTTGTTTATTAATTTTAGAATGTTTCTGTGGATATCGAAGTCGGATATAATAGATTGGTTGGAGAAATCGAGTATTTTGTCATCTTGACTGAATAGAATTGAACTGACATGTTTCCAAATGTTGTGGTAGATGATCGCTGTTAGGTCTGATGATTCATCGCAGAGGTAGAAGTGAGTAGTAGATTTTTCCAGTGACCATTCGTCTTCGTAGTTGGCAATTTGTAGATGTTGTGTGATGTGTTTGAGGTTGAATTTGTTTAGGATGACTCGACAATTAAAGAAATAATGTGTGTGTGGGTCAAAGTCATTTGCTGAACATAGTTTACAACTGTCTTGTTTGATGTATGCCATACCAGGAAGTGATCTTGAGAAGAATCTGAATACTGTGTTTCTACCTCTGTGGTGTTTGATGGAGTTAATGTAGTAGAAGATGTTTCGGGTTGATGTAAAGTCTATTTTGGTGGGGGGAAGAGATAGTTGGAATTGACCTGATGTAAGTACTGGTTTGTGGTGATGGTTGATAAGGTTGTGGTATATGAGTTTAAGTGGTAGTGGTTCGTCATTACTCAATATTGGTTTCATTTGATGTGGAGGTAATTTCATGATTGGTCTGAATTGTTGCCAAAGAAGGATGGAATGTTTGAGTGTAGGTGAGGTTATCTTGTTATGTCTGATCTGGTTACGCCAGCTTTGGTAGTATGGGGAATAGACATCTTGATTTGCAATTACTCTATTTAGTATCCAAATGTGTTGAGCGTCATTTCGTAGTTTCATATCCCACAATGAAATGCCACCATTTTTCCAATGATGTACTGCTCTGGAGAGTGTCATTGTATTCTTAAATGATTTTGCATCTTCGAAAGGTCTGAGATTGGATGACCATAGGAACCAAGTGATTATTTTGTTGAGTGATTTGATATCTGATTCTGTGAATTTGTCAAGGTACATGTGGTAAGAGAGTTTTGATAGTGTGTATGACTTGAGTATTGACATTTTAGTCCTTAGGGTTGTGCCAAACTTCTTCCATTTGATCAGTGATGATTTAACTTCGCTGACTATTGATGAAAGTGAATGATGTAATCCTTCGGAGTTAAAGAAAAGACCGAGATATCTTTCGTTGACAATTGACTTTGGTATTCTTGTGTCGCCTATGATCGGGGGGTGGTGAAGATGATCGCTACAAGGTAGCCACAGGTGGCAAAGAAAAATAGGATTTTGATAAAAAGGAATGGTATCTATTCTCTCATACTTTATTTTTCGCAAATTGAGATGTTTAATCTGCTAAAGAAAATGATGGAGTCTTCATGGTTTGTTGAGAGAACGGCCACACCCAATCCACAAATGGAAATATTATCTAATTAAATTTTTCAATTTTAACAAAAATCAAAATTAAGGGTTAATATTTGCAAAGTTTCTGATTTTTTTCCGAAACCATACCAATAAAATAAAATAGCAATAATACTTTATTATCGCAGATGGAAATGTTTAATTTGCTAAAGAAAATGATGGAGTCTTCATGGTTTGTTGAGAGAACGCGTTCGCCACACCCAATCTGAAAAACAAAAACTGTCTGCTCAAATAATGCACATAATATTTATAATATTTATTTTATTTGTTGTAAACATAACTATCTTATTTAAAGCCAGCCATAGATAATAATGAACTTGTAGATTTATTAACCAAATTCATAAAAGGATTATTAGCAAAGACACCTTCACCTTTGACCATCTCTTGTGAGATCATTTGATTAATTCCTTGTGTTTGACCGCCACTTAATACATTATTATTGTTTACAGATGAAATCGGTTGTGCCATACCAGTCATGTTGGCTATTTATTTATCATTAAAAGTTATAATTAATATTTCTCTTACATTGTACTTAAATAATTTTACTTACAAAATAAAGCCATTTTTTATTTTTATACTAAAATAAAGAGGTAGAATATATAAAATAGATTAATAGAAGTGTTTAGTAGTATAAATATTATTTATTTATAAGATAAAGTTTTATTTCTATTAAATGTAGAGCAAACAGTTCAATTTATATATAAATTTTGGCCTCTATCAATCATTTGTTAGCTTATATCAACTATCATCTTCATTCACCCTTCTCGATAAATCAAATCGTTTCATATACTGTCATTCTTTTATTGTTTTTCTTTGTAATTACCTTTTGTTTTTGAGAATTTCAACTTCGAATATCTAAACGATATAAAATTAATTTATCTTTACTGCATCGAAATGATTATTGGGTTTAACAATTCTATCTTGTGCTGCAACCACTTGAAGTTCATATTCACCCATCTCTTTGGTTGTCAGCATCACCTCGTAAACAGCTGCGGTAACATGCTCCAATGCATCTTTCAGTGATTCGCCTTTAAGAATATTTACAAGTAACAAACCACTAGTCAAGTCTCCGACTCCTACAGGCTGACGACTGCCAAAGTCAACGAGTGGTCGGCTAATGTGCCACGCATCACTGGCTGTCACCAGTAACATTTCAAAGCGATCCTCTTTGTAGCCTGCGTATGCAAGATGCTTGACTAGTATCAATCGTGGACCGCGTGCTATTATACTGCGTGCTCCTGCAATGACCTCTTCTACGTTTGTCAGTCGTTGACCGGTCAGCTGATCCAACTCCAACAAGTTTGGCGCCATCATGTCGCTCGCTGCAACCGCTTGGCTCACAAAGAACTCTGCAACTCCAGGTGATACAATACAACCTTTTCCTGGGTGACCCATTACAGGATCGCAAAAGTAGATAGCGTTTGGATTAGCAGCTTTGACTCGGCGTACCACCTCGAGGATTTGACTGCCTTGGTCTGGCGAACCTATGTAACCACTGAGCACGGCATCGCACCGCTTCAGTTGATCTATATCCTCTATACCCTTGACAATATCCGTTAGATGGTTGGCAGGCATAACACAACCAGTCCATTTTCCATATTGTGTGTGATTCGAAAACTGTACAGAGTTGAGCGGCCATACATTTACACCCATTCTACGCATAGGAAACTCTGACGCACTATTTCCTGCATGACCAAAAACTACGTGTGATTGAATTGAAAGTATATTCTTCATCTATCTAGATACAACAAATAATGATTTTTAAATTGTAATAATGACAACAAAATTAATATATTAAAAAAATATATTATAAAAGAATAAAAAAATTAAAAAAAAATTAAAAAAATTTGGTGTTTGTGTGGTGGGGTGATCTACTATTGTATCTTTTTTGATTCGGTGTTGTGAAAGATCATTTTATCGTCATTGTTAATCTTTTAAATTAGTTTTCATTAGTAATAAAAATAATTATATTTATTAGTTAGTGTTAGATTTAATTAATAAATAAATAATAAATAAAATGAATAGAACAATGTTTAGAGGTATTCAATATTCAAAGCAATTCAAAAGTGTTTCTTGCAATAACTATGGTTACACTCCGAAATCAATCAATATCAATAGTAACAATTTTAGATCGATTGTATCAAATAACATAAATGCTATTCAACAACAGCAACAACCACAAATAAGATCATTTTCAAGTTTAAATATTAATAATAATATTAAACAAAACCAATCAATTTTCAACCAACCAATGACCATCAATAATTTAAGAAGATACAGTACTCAACAACAACAACAACAGACACCAAAGGAAACAGAACAATCGAAACAAACAACATCACCAAAAGAAGAGTTGAAGACAGAGGAGAAAATAGTGGATCAATCGAATACCAATCAACAACAACAAGAAGATCCAACAAAGAATCTATCGACACCTGAAAAGATCAAATATCTATTCAAACAATATGGTTTGTTGGCAGTTGTCGTTCACTTTAGTATCTATGGTGCAACACTTGGTGGACTCTATTTGGCATTGTCAAACGGTGTAGATGTCGAGCAAGTGTTCACCTATTTCGGAATCGAACAAACCAAATTAGGAAAGGGTCTCGGTGTCTTTGCATTGGCATTCGCGCTCACCAAACTCACTGGTGTAGTACGTGTACCTCTCACTTTAATTTTAGTTCCCGTTTTATCACGTTATATTCGTCGTGCCAAACTTAGTAAATAAATAAATAAATAAATTAAAACTAAATTCTAAATTTATTTAAATCTTAAAAAAAAGAAACAAACAAATATAATTAAATATCAATTCAATTCAATTCAATTTTCCTTTTTTACTTTAAAAGAATCATAAGACTGCTAACTAATGATAAAAAATAAGCAACATTTTGCTTATTTATGATGATCATTTTTCCTTTTTTATCCCACACACTTTTAGACCCATGGGTCAATTTTAAAAATTAATTGGATCAAATTCTTCTTCTTCTTCAAACACAACACATAATCATTATTTTTTTGTATTAGCATATTAGATAGTTTATAATGTTTTCAAAGAAATTTCATTTGTTTTTGATAGTATCTATTTATGTTTGAGTCATGTCGATTCATTAACAGGTTTATTAGTGCTTTTTCCTTCATAATATCAATTTATGTGACCAACAATGTGCTCATTGAGAATAGAATACAAAACATGTTGTTTGTTAAAATGAATGTTAGGTGAAGATGCTTTTACTATAAATAATGTAGTTTCAAACATATTTAAGTATATATCAAAATTATAATAAATTTAAAACAACATATAAATAGAAAGCAATAATATTAATAATAATAATAACTTTATTTTAAATACTTTATTAAATAAATAAAATGTCAACTTTAGAAATTAAGTCAACCGATAAGGTCTGGTATGTTACTGGAGCTTCAAAGGGAATCGGGTTGGCGATAGTCAAGAAACTGTTGACCTATGGATTCAAAGTGGTTGGTACATCGAGAGATAAACAACAGTTGATCGATGCTGTCGGTACACTTGGAGAGAACGATCGTTTCTTGGCGGTAACAGTAGATTTGGTGAACGAAGAGAGTGTCAAGCAATCGTTGAACGATGCACTCTCGAAATTCGGAAGAATCGACGTTGTTGTGAATAACGCTGGATTCTGCATCTCTGGTGCTTTGGAGGAGAACACTGACAAAGATGTTCGTGCCAACTTTGACACCAACGTATTCTCTGTATTCAACGTTCTTCGTAATGTTTCGCCAATCTTGAGAAACCAACAATCAGGATATGTATTCAGCATCTCCTCGGTTGGTGCTCTCAAAGGTGTCCTAGGTCATAGCACATACTGCGCTACCAAGTTTGCTCTCGATGGATTGACAGAATCCTATGCTCAAGAGGTTAAACCATTCGGTATTAAAGTGACCACTGTCAATCTTGGTTCATTTAGAACCGGTATTTTAGGTGTAATTATCATTAATATTATTTATTATATTACGAATAATAGATATTAATTTATTTTTATTTTTATTTATTATAAATATATATAGGCTGAAGTTTATAAACCAACTAAAAAGATTGAGGCATACAAACAAGTTCATGGTGCATTGGATTACATTATCAATCAATATAGTGGTAAGCAAACAGGTGATCCATCGAAAATATTGGATATTTTAATTAGAGTCTATGAAGCAGAGGGTGACGATACCATGCATTTGTTTGTCACTCCAGAAGCAAACAAATTGGTTGTTGCTAAAACTGAATTGTTGCTCAAAGATCAGAAACGATGGGAAGAGTTCACCACAAAAACAGAGATTGAATCATCAGCTGGAGGTCCAAGCTCGCAAAATGTACCTGATGCAGTAAATTTAAATTAAAAAATAATACTTACTTGATTGCACAGTGCAGAATTATTTTGAAAATCAAAGAAATAAAGTTGTAGATTCTTGACAAAATCTCAAAAACATAATAAAAATATCTTGCCAGATTTAAGATGAATGAAAGTGTTTATTATTATTTATTTATTTTTTGATTTTAATAAATATGTAAAGATAATTATAAACTATAGGATGAATAATAATAAAGAAATAGTAACAACAATAAAAGATGTATTAAAACCAATATATATTCAAAAAAAGATATTCAGTTTTGTACATGAACTAACAGAGCACTATTTGATCAATCATCGAGATCTCTATTGGTATAAGCGACCAGAGGTATACCGATGGGATCAATTGTGTGATCGTCCTAACCAACTCGTTAGATATGGATACGTTGATACATTTTTAGAGAGGCTGAATCAATATGTTGAAGGTGGAACAATGACATATGTAGTTAGAGATAAGTATGCGAGTTGTTATTATGATGCTCTACAAACACACAATCTAGAGGTATTGAAATCTGTTATTCCACGATTCAACGATCTTATATCAAAACAAGACAATGTGATAGTGCATGCTGTTTTCTCGGGCGATTTGGAATGTGTAAAGTATCTAAGTTGCAACGGGTATCCTCCCAGCAATAAAGCAGTTAACATTGCATTGAACAGAGGCAACTTTCCAATAATCAAATATTTCATTGGTGAACTTGGATTGAAAAACGATCAATTTATGGACATTCCTTGCACCAGAGGAAACTTGGAAATTGTAAAGTATATTCACGATAATAATGCAGGATGTACTGCCTCTGCTGTTGACATTGCATCGTCCAATGGTCATCTGGGAATTGTCGAATTCCTCTTGCAAAACAGAAGCGAAGGCTTTACAAGAGAAGCCGTCATCAAAGCAGCATCATTTGGATATTTTGAAATCATCAAACAACTTTGTACTGTACGACCAGACATTGTTAAAGAAACCAAAATTGCAAGAGCAGCATCCGATTACGCATATGAAAATGGTTATGGAGAAATCTATGAATATCTCTTAAACTTTGGAAAAGAATCTGAATTAAAAGAACAAGATATTCTTGGCAGCTATTTAGAAAATCAATATAAACAATAATAAATAAACCGCTAGTTTTTTTTTTTATATATAAATAATATATTTTATTTTATTACTACTACTTTTTTTTAATAATTTTATAATAATCAATAAACTAACAACAAATTATTGGATATAACCTTCTTTTTGTAAGAAACTCAAAATTTGTTTAACTGATTCTGAAACTGTAGTGTCGGTTGTGTCGATCTTTAGTTCTGGGTTGACTGGAGCTTCATAGGGATCATCGATTCCGGTGAAACCTTTCAGTTGACCGGCACGCACCTTGGCGTACAGTCCCTTACGGTCTCTCTTCTCGCAAACTTCGATTGGAGTGCTGATGTGTACCTCGACGAATCCACCTTGGTTGTTGTTTACCAAGTCACGTGCGAATTTTCTGGCAACTTCGTATGGTGCGATTGGTGCGCAAATGGCAATTCCACCGGCCTTGTTGATTTCCGATGCGACGAAACCGATACGCTTAATATTGAGATCACGGTGCTCCTTGGAGAATCCTAGTTCTGATGAGAGGAAAGTACGTACGACGTCTCCGTCCAACAAAGTGATCGATCTCTCGTTGGCAGCCAACAGTGCCTCGTGAAGGGCGTTGGCGATGGTCGATTTTCCACTGCCACTGAATCCAGTGAAGAATACTGTGAATCCTTGTTTGACACGTGGTGGACACGATTGACGAAGAATTCTCACTACTGATTCGTAGGTGAACCAATTTGGAATTTCACCACCGGTTCTGAGCAAGTGACGCAAAGTGGTACCAGAGATATTCGAGGTTTTTGCACCTTGTGGAACTTGGTCGACTGGGTAGTATTTGTCTTCGGCTTCGACGTAGACCATCATTTGGAATGGGAGGATCTTTACACCGAGTTCCGACTCGTATTTCAAAGCGTTCTCTTGTGCTTCGTATGGCTCGTAGAATGGCTTTCCAGACTTATCTTCTCCTGGGCCGGCATGGTCACGACCTACGATGAAATGAGTGGCACCGAAATTCTTACGGATGATGGCGTGCCAAACGACCTCACGTGGTCCACCCATACGCATAGCCAATGGTAGCAAAGAGAGCTCTGCCAATCCCTCTGGGTACGATCCCATAATCGATTGGTAGCACTTTACACGAGTGTGATAATCGATGTCACCTGGCTTGGTCATACCGACAACTGGATGAATCAATAATTTACAACCTGGATTGAGCTCGGCGGCACGAACAGTCAACTCACGATGAGCACGATGCATTGGATTACGAGTTTGGAAAGCAATGACATTGGTCCAACCGCGCTCGGCCAACATAGTTCTCACTTCCAATGGCGTTCTTCTCAATGAATTGTAGTCGTAGTGTACAGGCAATTGAGCACCTTCCAATTTACCGGCGATATAATATTCCTTTGACTTTAAGATTTGGTCGACACCTGGGTGATATGGATCGACCGATCCCATTGATAATCTACATTCTTTTTCTTTATTTGCTTTAAAAATCGAACTAACATTCATAACTGCAATTAAATTTCCTTCTTCGTCTCTCAAAGCAATATCTTTTACATTGAGACCATTAATAATATCAACCTAATTTTTTAATCAATCTATTTGTTAGTTTATGAAATTACTTCAGAACTGTCCAAAAATAATGGTGGTGGTGGTGGAATATTTTAATATTTACAAATTCTTGATTTACATCCAATGTGATTGGCATTGGGAATAGGATTCCCGATGGAAGACGCATCTCTTCGACGACACGATTGTAGGTTGGTTCATCCATGAATGAAGTGAGTGGTGAGAAACCACCATTCAAAATCAATTCGATATCGCATTGGTGACGACGAGTGAGGACCAAAGATGGCAAAGACAATGAACGCTTCTTCAACTCTACCAAATCGTCGCCCTTCAACAACAAATCTACCAATCTACCACCATGTGGAACAGAACCTGGACACTTTTGTTCTGCTTCATCCAATGATTCAAATCTAATAGGGATCATGATTGACTTAATCTTATGTATATTTAATCTAAAATTACAAATTTATTAATAAATATTTATTATTATTTTTTTAAAAATACAGATATATATAAATAAATGTTATTCTATGCTGCTTAAAAGTTGTAGAAAGACTGATTTGAAAATAGTGGAAATATTGAAATTGTTGTTTGTTTATAAATAGAGATCATTCAAACGTAGAAACATTGTTATTCGTGTAGAACTATACAAATAGAGTTGAATTGAACAGTAAACACTGATATGGGAATTTAAAGGATGTTCATGTTGGTCTTAAATTCTTGTAAGAAACAACTATGTTTGGTGGGGTACTAGGACCTAATAATAATTGTTATTGTATCGATGTCATGACTGACTTTCATTTAAGTGAGTTGTGTGTGGTGGGTAAGTGGGTGAGTGGGTTTTTGTGAATGTTGGTTTTGCTAACAGTTTTATAGATGTCTGAAAATTTGATAGGTTTATATAGTTAGAAGTTGGAATTGAATGTGTGTGTGTGTGTACTAACAATTAATCCTGAATTTTAAAAAACAAATTAAATAACAAATAAAATCGTTGTACATGTGTGGTTGTTTATTTGATTGTTTACTATTTCAAATATAAATAGATCCAATGTTGATTATCCCCACTTGTTTTTTTTTTTAACAGATTCTGTTTTATGATATGGTGTGCAATGTGAAATGATCATTCAAAGTAAAATTAACTTGATTTCTCATTGTAATGCTCCAACCTATCTATCTATATATATTTAATATATTTATATGAAAGCTTTTGCATACTTTTTTTTCTTGATTTCCTTTAAAAGTTCAAAAACGGATTGTAGAGATGGTGCACCAGTACAATCTATTGTAGTTTTAATAATAATATAAAAGTTGTAATAGTAGCAAAATAAAAAAAAAAAAGATAATAATAATAATATATTAATATCAAATTAATAGATATTTAATAATAAAAAAAAAACAGATAAATAAAAAGTAAAGAGAATTAATTATTATTCTAAACAATAAAAATTGGTCAACGCTTTTTTTTTTTTTTTTTTTTTTTTTTTTTAAGACTTATTTGTCAGTTTTTTTTTTTTTTTACCTACTGTCATGCCCACCCATTTTACATACATGGACACTGGATTTTTCGTGTTCGACTTTATATTCATCACACATTTCTTTGGCACTTGGGTATCTATTTTTCATGAGAAAAGTCAGATTTTTTTAAATTTTTGGGGTGAACATAGAACACAATGATAATGAAAAAACAAAATAAAACGTGAGGACCCATCAAAATCACCAACAATTTCAATTCAGGACATGGATATGACGTTTTTTTTTTGTTTTGATATTTTTTTTATTATTCTTAGATATGATTGTTTGATAATATTCAAACAATAATTATTTGCCAGGGAGGAGAAGAATGTGTGAAGGAGTAGGTTGGTTGATGACGAAGGAGGAGTTTCTTCAAAGTGCGAAGATGTGAAGTGGCTACACTATGAAACAGTGGAGAAAATTGTGGAGAGGATTTTAAAAAAAGAATAAGAAGGGGAAGAGGAAGAGGTAGATGTCACCTGCAGCTCGGGAGCTCGAAGAAGTTGATAATTAAGATGGGTTTGGGGTTTGTGTGTGGTTTATTATTGATATTACAAACCTTTTGAGTAGTGGATATTATTAGATTTATATTTGTGTGACACGACATGTCAAAGATGTTTTCTTTTTATCTGTAAATCATTGACCTTTTCCAATTTTAATTTTTGGTTACAATATATAATGTTAGATGTTAATCGCTTGTATTAATATTAATAGTTTAAACTTAATATATTTAAAGTTTAGGTGATTGTTGTTGTTGTTGTTGTTGTTGAAACTGTTTATCTTGAGCTGCTTTTAGCTCGGCAGTCATCGGTTCTGTTGGTTGATTATCGCATGGACATATTCTCTTTGGATTCTGTCCGATGGTTGCTGCTCTACAAATGATTCCACATGCTATACGTCTATCCAATGATCTACCATCGTCTTTCATCGAATGCAAAACAATAGATCTTCCAATTAATGACCAAAAATCAGGATACTCTTTATTTAAAACTCTAAATTCAACTTTTCCATCTTCATTTGCAATTGATGTACCTATATTGTTTTAATAAATATATATATATATATATATATATATTAGTAACATAAATTATGAAAGTCTTTAGTTGATTTTATAATCCTACCTAATATACCATTGAATTCTGTATTTGTTGTTGTTTTTGCTATCGGTTTGTATATATCACCTACATTCTCACAACCATTGGTCAAGTCACCATATTGATGTATGGCAATGGAGTGTTTGGTATTGGGTTTCAATCCACCGATTCTACCCTCGAATAGTATACCATTGTTATGTGTTGTGGTGGTGTTAGTTGTGTCTATTTCTACTACTCGAATCACTCCGTGAACACCTTCACTTCCGACACCACCGGCACCTCCACATCCTTTCTCCCAACCCTCGGCTACGCCAACCGAGCATACAGCACTGCCCTTTGTACCGAACCCACTCAATGTTGCATTGCGCCCGGTCGTTCTATTGATGGTCTCGATAATATCGACTGCCAGATCAGCACCACTCTTTAAAAACAATCGTTGCGCACCTATATCGGCACCGGTTATCTCTGTTTTCTTGAGTGAACTCGACTTTATCTTCTCTGTGATATCGTCGACACATCGATGACATGACATATCGACCATCAACTCCATCTCTGTAACAATGTCATCATCCAACAGACTATCCATAATTATGAATTATAAATATATACGTATATATATATATATTAACTATTTACAATTGTAATGTAATGAATGTTTTCATGTAAAACAATAACTTTGAAATCTCTCTTTAATTTAACAATAGAATCACCATACAAAAAAATTCAAAAAATTCAAAAAATTCAAAAACTTTGTTTCTATTAAATTCTATAGATTCTTTGGACCTGTTTGAATAAACAACGAATTTATTACAATGGTGACTTCACTTTTGTTTTTCATTCTAGAATAAAATATAATATTTTTTTTTTTCGAAAAGATTATTTAATCTTTATTAAATGAATTAGATAAATTTACATATTATTAAGAAAAGAAAAAAGTTTCAAGTATTTAAACACTAACCAACGAATATTTTTGGTTTAAATAGATTTTTTATTTTATTTTTATTTAAATGTTTAAAAAATCAGAATTCAAATTTAAAAGCAAAAAAATATTAAAAATAAATTGGCATTCATTGTGAGATCGGCTTACCCAATACAATTAAATTTTGCGTGATTTGTTTTGATGCAAAAAAAAAAGAAAAGAAAAAAAAAAAAAAAGTAAAAAAAAAAAATCCAAAAAACCAACAATGATTTTTGCACAAATTTTGTCCTCATAAAATCAGTTATTTTTATTTAAAAATTGTAGATACATTACTTGTAGTTTATTTAAAAGACACAAAACAGAACATAGCAAAAAAGTAATATTACAAGCAATTTAAAGATTTGTAGCTAAATTTTAAACAGTAACAAAAAAAGATTGATAGTTTATTTGATATAGTATCACACCACAAACAAAACAAACAAACATTCTCAAGACATACTATCACAATAATACAAGTAGAAACCAAAAATAGTTTCAAACTCTTGCCAAAAATTTGAATAATTTATTCAAAATTTTTTTTGTTCAAAAAAAAAAAAACAAAAAAAAAAAAAAAACGAAAACAATCTACTACTATTTATATCATTGACAAGTTAGGATTACATATTATTTTCAGTTCAAGATCATTACCTAAGGTATGAATAGATATACTGATTGGAATTTGAGGAAAAATCAATACAACAACAACAACAACAACAACAACAATACCAATGACATCAATAAATACAGCAAAGTGTAGTAACTACAACAACTTGACAATGAAAGAATAAAATATTGCAGCAGAACAATTGAACAGAGTAGAATAGAACAGAGTAGAATAAACAGAACATCATATCATTACTACTGTAGTTTCTACTCTGATATACCGAACAACACCCAACCCAACTCTCTCCTCCTATTTACTGTTACCTTTTTTATGTATTTATTTTTGATTGTAATTTATAATCGCGATAATACTTATAATGGATAAAGATTAGATAAATACGGTATTCTACTATAACCACAAACTAATCTGTGTTTCCTTTTTATTGTGTTTATTATTTTTGTTTTGTTTTGTTTTTTTTTTTTTTGTATTTAACATATCACTTTAGATATTCAGTAATTGTTATTTTCAATTAAACAATATATAATTGTGATATTAATGCAGTAGCCAAAACACACCCGACATATCTCAATTTCTCACTACAATACCGACCACATTAGATATTGAACACCACAAAAACCAACTCAAACCCAAACACACACACACACACACTTTTATTTTCATCCTTATAAAATTAATATCATTACACTAATGTTTATTATTGTTGTTAGTTATAACAATTAATTGTTTATTTTAAAATCAATTTAATCTTCTCCTGCAACACACAACAAACTCCTTGATACTACTACTGCTTCACTTTTTTTTATTTATTTCCTCTCTATCATCAAAATTATATTTACAACAGTAGTTATAAACAAATTCAAATTTAATAACAAAAAAAAAAAAAAAACAAAAAGATCTTTAAAATAATAATAATATAATTAAATAGGACTGTCATGTCCTTTAGTTACTAAACATATTTAATAATATCAGCATAGTAATAATAAAAATAATAATAGTAATAATATCAAGAAAAATAATAGCTTATAAATATCAAGGTCTTAATTGCTTGTTTTTTTTATTTATTTAAAATATAGCAATAATATTAATAATAGTAATAGTAATAATAATCATTTTTTTTGAATTGGTTCAACCACTCTTGCTTTGATACGAAAGATAGAGATATATATATTACTTTTGATTTTTTTTTAATCAATCATCTATTTGGCCACTAATAATTAATAAGCATCTGTTATCTATTGCGATTCTAGATTGGATAGATTGTACAACTATTATACTAGATGAAGGAGGTAATTCAAACTCTTATTACATGATACATCAATAGTCGATAGTTATATCATTCACCAAGTTATTGTCTTGTTTCTTCGCAATGAATCATATATTTAAAATATTGATTATTATTCAATGTGTTTTAAATTTAATCAATCAACAATCAATCAATCAATCAATCAAACCTATACAATCTATTTTGTCTATCTACTATTTTAATTAAACTATGTTGTTGTTGTTGCTGTTTGAAACATTAGAAAATCATGTTTACATTAATGATACCTTCATTTACTAACTTTTATATCTGCAATTTCGAAATTATTTTGAAATGTCTAGGACATTGCCTTCTTATCTATCAAACTAAAAGAAAAATGAGTCATTTGCTTAGAGTTGCAGTATCCAAGCAAAAGAGGAGATACCAAAAGAATGGATTCGATCTAGATTTAGCTTGTAAGTTTAGTTAATAATATTATATAGATGATTCATCATATTCATTGATTTAACTAATTAATTATGTTATTTTCGACACACAGATATCACAGATAGAATTATAGCAATGGGATTCCCAAGTGAAAAAGTAGAGGGAGTATTCAGAAATCCAATGAAAGAAGTCCAGAGATTCTTGGATCACTATCATAAGGATCATTATAGAGTTTACAACTTGTGCTCGGAAAGAGACTACGATCACAGCAAGTTCTACGGACGTGTTGGTTGCTATCCATTCGACGACCACAATGCACCAGAGTTTGCATTGATCAACGATTTCTGTAAGGATGTCGACGAGTGGATGAAGCAGGATCCAAAGAATATCGCAGTCATTCATTGCAAAGCCGGTAAGGGTAGAACCGGTTTGATGATTTGTTGTTGGTTGCTCTACTGTGGAATGTGGAAGAACACCGAGGAGTCATTGAAATTCTACGCTGCATTGAGAACATACAACCAAAAGGGTGTTACCATCCCAAGTCAGATTCGTTACGTTCATTACTTTGGCAAGCACCTCGTTCAGAAGTTCGAGTTCCCACGTCCACAAGTCTTGAGAAAGATCGTACTCAAACCACTGCCATTCGAAGTCAATCTCTCTGAGATCAATTTGAATATTTGTGTTGGAAAGAATCCAGTCTTCAATTCAAAGGTAAAATAATTCATATATCAATTCAACTTGTACTTTTTATTAATCTTGTGTTTCATAAATATTAGGATGACTTTTTAAATGTTACTATCCATAGAGTAGACAAGAAGAAAAAGAAGAAGATGGCAGCAGCAAAGAAGGATAAGGGATCATCTTCATCTTCATCGTCAACAGCACAACTAGAGGCAGGCAAGTCATCACCAACTTTGTCATCATCACAGAGCAGATCGAATTCCACCGTTGGAAAGAGTGGCGGTTCCACTGTGAAGCTCGACCACACAGTGTCGCAGAGCACCATTAGCAATTTCGACTATCAAACCTACAACCAAAATCAAATCCTCGCTGGAAAGAAAGAGGAGAACGAAGGAGACACCGACGAATATATTGGTTTTGAGATTGGAAAGATCGAAGTGAGCGGTGATGTGCGTATCGAAGTTTGCGAGAAGGACGAGCGTCTTTTCATGTTTTGGATCAACACTGCATTCACCAATGCACACGAAGTAGTTACCAAGCCAGGCTTGGACAAGGCCCACAAGGACAAGAAGCACAAGGCCTACCCAGAGGACTTTAGAGTCGAGCTTTTCTTTGACGAACCAGAGCATAGCGATACCACCACTGTTGTCGCCACCAATGACAATGTAAATGTAGTATTACCACAAACAAAACCAATCATCTCATCAAATAATAACAACAACAATAACAATACCAACAACAATAACACTCCTATCAGTAAAGACGAATCTGACAGTGACTCTGATAGTTCAAGCGAAAGCAGCGACCACTCGAATGGACATATTATTTCCGAACAATCCAATGGCACCAACACCACACAAACTCAAATAGAACCATAATAGAATAGTCGACCTTACATAATTGTTAACAATACAAAATCATGTTATATTATATTAAAATCAACAAACAAACCAATCACCACTTTGAACAATTCAATATTAGAAATAAATAAAAAAAGGTTCTTCCTTTTTTTTTTTGCCAATTTTTAAAAAAGAAATAATCAAGATCGCAAAACCGATTCTATTTTTATTTTTAATTTTTTAATCTTTTATTATTTACATCAAATGAATAAAGATTTATATTTACGTGTATTTAATAACAAATTCTTAAATTGCTTTATCTTTGACATTATTTATCAATATCATAGGGCAATACCATATCAAAAAGTATATAGATGGAACGATTTAAAAGAATGTCCACTTGCAATCACCGCTAATGGTTATATAGAGCTTCTCAAACAATACTACCAAAGGCATCCAATCAAAGATGAGCAATCATATGATATTTCTGATGTTATTGTTCGTGCGATAATCATGGGTCGCTTGGATATTGTAATGTTAATCATTGAAGGTCAAGGTTTAGAATCTAAACAAAGGATTCTCGAGACTTCACACTCTCACCAAATCGATTACTTACACTTTGCTGTCGTAAATAATCGATTTGAAATCCTACTGTATCTTGACTCACTGCCTAATATATTCAGAAATTACCAATTCAATTTGTCTATGTCACCACATTCTAATAATCTAGAGATGGTTAGATACTTCTCGGACAGAGTCAACGGCACTAAGAAAACACCAAATCTGTTCGATAATGCAGCTGCTTCAGGAAATCTCGAAATCATAAAATGGTTGGCTACTAACCGAACACAAGATAGAGTAGGAGTGTCAATGTATTTCCAAGCGGTATTTCACAACAGGATGAACGTGTTGGAGTTTCTGAGAAAAGAGAAGCGTGATGCTCATTGCACCAAAGGTGTCAATCTACTGGATACTGCGGCCAAACGTGGAAATTTCAATATTTTAATGTGGTTGCATCGATATCGAATAGGCAAATGTTCCAAAAACGCAATGGACTACGCTGCAGGAAATAATGATCTAGGTATTGTGAAATGGCTGCATGAAAATCGGACAGAAGGATGTTCTAGCAAAGCAATGGAGTTGGCTGCAGAAAATAATCATCTAGATGTTGTCAAATGGCTCTTTGAAAATCGGACTGAAGGAAATATCCAAAGAGTTATAGATATCGCTACTTTTTATAATCATAATGATATGGTTGAATGGTTAACTGAGAATAGTACTTTTCAATAGTAGTCAGCACCAATAAATTTTATAATATTTGGACACCAGAAGCTTATCTTTATTAAATAAACCCAGCAAATGATATCTTTGTAATAATCATCTTCAGAACTGTTGCTGAATCTGCTGGAATTCATGAATTCTTAATATCAATTGGTGTTTATCCAATTCCAAATTCTTTGAAGGACTTGAAGTTATGCTTTCTCAACCTTTCTATACAATACTCCAATGATCACCAATATAACGTACCTATGAGGTACACCACTATCAATACGGAATCGAACATTTGGTGATTGGAGAAACTGGAAAATCAAGCTCACTCGATATGAATATTGATCCACTTGAAACAATTTCACAAATCCCCAATTTACCAATCAATACTATTATACAACACTTATTAATTGTACGAAAATTAAAGAAATAAAATAAAAATGTTAACAAAGTTATTTTGAATTTATTGTGAATGGTGCAGTTGTAGGACCAGCAAAAGGCACATCCAATTGCCAATTATTTTATAGTTGTAAATTTGTAATCCATTGTTTATCTTTAAGTATTTGAAAGAGATCATCATAGAGCGGGAATGAAGATAGTGTACTTAAACTTCCTATGATCAAGAGTTTCTTTTTAGCTCTTGTAAATGATACATTTAATCTTCTCCAATCCTTTAATAAATCGCCAATCTATAATATAAGTAAAGTTGTTGTTAATTAATGTACAGTTATTATGATATCATTAAATTAATACTTACTAATTCTTGATTATTATTCCTAACCATTGATATAAGAATGCAATCTTTATCTTTACCTTGATACTTGTCAATGGTAAATATATCGATATCGGCATAGGGCAGAGCTTGTGTCGTGGATTTATCGAGATCCGATTGACGCTCAAAGATATCGGCTATTGCTCGCTTAATGTTTCGGAGTTGTATTCTATTGGGAGATATGATTCCAATGTCTGATTGTTTGGCACCACTGTACAAGAGACATTGTACAATCTGTGAGACAACAAGTGCCTCAGTGCTATTAGAGTAGAGATCACCTATTTTTTGCTCTTTGCTATCAGAGAGTTGGTCGGTATTTAAAAATTGAACCTTGACCTGTGGCTGACATACTCGACTGACCCATCCAGTTGGTGGATAGATGAGTGATGCACGTTGGCAATTGACACTGGTCATTGAGGCATTGGCTACCTGGTAGTTTCCACATTTCAGACGTCCATTATAGATCAATTCGTTTGAGAGGTACATAATATCACTGCACATTCTATATTGATAGTGGAGGTAGGTGACTGCTGATGGGTGTGCACTGCTCAGACGCTTGAAAAGCGAGTCTTCCATACCTAATTTTTTTGCTTCCGAGTTTTGCACCAATGGTGGAAGTTGGTAGTTGTCACCGACCAAAACGAATTTCGAGCAGTATTTCAATACACCAAAACACATTGGTTGCGTCAACTGCGATGCTTCATCGATAATACAATAGTCGAATTTACGTGATTGATTAAAGTAGGCGTGGTTGGTTCCCAAACATGTAGTAGCAATGATTCGATGACTATCGAGAAATTTCTTCATCTCTGTGATTGACGAAAATTGTTGACGTTCTAAACAGAACTTTTGAAGTGGCTCTGCAACCTGATTGATATTGGAGGCTATACGTAGCATGTGATTGACACCTGCACCAACACATTTTTCAAGTAGCGAATCCAAAGATGTATGTGAAAACGAAGTCAAAAGAACGGATTTACCCAAAGAGTATAAGATGCTGACGAGATGTGCTATGGAATTTGACTTTCCAGTACCTGGCATACCCAGAATCAAAGAGTAATCCTTTGCCAATATTACTCTTTTAATTGCATTGGATTGGTCGGGATTCAATGATCTTTTACTAATTAATTGGTCAAAGTCATTGTTGTTGATCAATGAGCTTAGTCGGTCTTGATAATCAAACTGAGGTTGTTCCAAGTCTACTATCAAATCGCGTAATCTCGAAGAGGTTGTTGGCATAAACAAGTTGAATAGATTCGATTTTAATATTGAGAAACTCGAAGAAGATCCTTCGTCCTTATCGATTCTAAATGTCATTGGTTCATCTCCACCGGTTCTGCTGCCAAAAAGATTATAATTCTTTCTGGATCGATTCATAATGGTACGTTGCGCCGATACACCAACTTTTGGCTTGCCACCACTAGCATTCAACTGACTTGTAATGAACGAGTTTGACTTTGATTGGAGCAGCGGTGATTTACTCTTTTTCTTTTTCATCTCTTGACTCTTGATATCATCGTTTTCATATTCTATCTTTAAGAGTGGTTTGATCCGACGGTTTGCATGAACATGTTTGCAATCACTGTTGATTGAACATTTCGACATTTCATTGTTGATAAAAGAAAAGTCATCATCGTTGGCAGCATCTGATTGTACGACGACTGGTGGTTCTGTTATCTTTTCACGACAGAGTACTTTGATAGAGTTGGCAGAGATCTCGGTTATCTGGCCTATGGCAACACCATAGTATTTCCTCTCGATTGAAACCGTAACATAGTCACCTTGAAACAGTAGAGCATTGGCAGCCTTTTCACTGCTGGGCAATCCAAACTTGTAGATTACACCACCTTGTATAAACTCTTCTCTTTCCATTGTCAAAGAACCAATACACATTCCTTTGTCTTCTCTGAATCTACTCGGAAAGTTCCAAATTAATTTTCTATAGTTATTATTTGATTCTAATTCTAAAGAAATTAATCTAAAAGTAATTGTTAATATAAATTACAACAATAATATTATTGGTTATTATCAATATTTACTTGTTCCATTTTTTAAGATATTCAATATGTGATTGTTTAAGATGTAAAGTCTTTTCGTCGAAAAGATCACCAAGTCCACTGGTGTTACGATCTCCATTCTCGACGGCACGATGATGCAGCAAACATTGATCGACCAAATAGCATTTCGAACAGGTTCTCTCTTCTTTGAGCATTTTAGGTAAGACTGGATTTGGATTCAAAACGAATCGCGAATTCAAATTTAAATAGTATGCCAATAGATTTCTCGATACAATGAGTGATCTAATTTGATTTCGATCGGGAACAATTGGATGCAGGATTCCAAAAGATTTACCAGCTCTCTCTTTGGAGTTTTTCAAATAGTAGAGCAGTCCCAAGTTGGTATGTTGTTCATATCGATCGTTCATCATCAAAGTGTAAATCAAAACCTGTGATGTATGAGCAATGTTTGGTACTTCATAAGGTTTACCTGTCTTTATCTCGAATGGTACATTCAAATAGATTGGTACTCTATTCCTGTTGTTTTTGTTATTATTTTGTTGCTGCTGCTGCTGCTGTTTATATGGTGAATTATTTGTTGTTTTTCTTTTTCTTGTGGTTGATGGACTGGTTGCCTTTTGGTAGGGAGGTGTCAGTTTCACTTCAACAGAGGAATCAATCTTTCCTTTCAATCCATACATTGGCGACCATATATTCTCTTCGATGTCCAACACCTTTGTAATCTGGAGATGCCATTGCTCACCATTGATTTCGACAATGTTTCGTTTTCCATTCTGTGAATCGACGAATATCGAACTGAAACTCTGGATAACTGACTGCCATCCACCGATATGCTCGCTGGCGACCTGGTGTGTTTCGCCAAGAGAAGACAACTTTAGCGCGAACGAAGGTTGCAAGAGAATGTCACGTTTGAATCTCTCGATATCATCGCTACCAAATGAATTCTCGGTTAGACATTGCTGAAAGATTTCATGTACTATCGAACCGTAGAGAGGAACTGTCGAGTTGAACTCACTGGTCAATTGTTCTTTTAGGAGTGCACGCCGAGAACAAGAGAAACTTCCACCAAGCTCGGTACCGGTGATTAGGAAATCTGGGTGTAAAACTAGCAGATTCTTGACATTGTCAATGACAATCAGACCGTTAGAGTCAAACTCTCCTATGACATTGAAGATATCACCTGCATGCACCAAGCTGTAGATCCACTCGCCAAACAACAACACTGTTCTATTCAATTGTAGCTCTTCATTGAATGCATTGATTGTCTTTTTATGTATTGAACTATTTATACCTTGACTTGGTGCACTTGAGAATATCTCATAGTTTACATCTATAACTATTAATCTTTCATATCTTTTATTATTACTGTTTGATGATGATGATGATGATGATGTTGTTGTTGTTGTGGTTTTAGGAATATCATTATTATTATTATTATTATTGTTATTATTAGTTTGTTGGTTAAATAAATCTATTAGATTCTGTGATTGTCGTTGGGTATGACCACTACCACCAACACCACCGGTGAGACCAGAGAATGAGAATTCAAATGATGATTGTACTTGTGAAAGGTAACTGTCATCGTTAGATTCGATATCAAACAAACCTTTTGGTTTGAATGGTGATGATAGTAATGGTGCTGAATCGAGTGAGAACGGGGAGAATTCATTCTCTACATCATAACTATTACTTGGTGATTTTGTAGGTGTAGCAACAGATGTATTATTAGTTGTAGCATTTTGATTCACTGGTGGTGTTATCTGGTGTACTGATTTCTTAATAGGTGATAATTGACTTGGTGCTATTAATTGTGATACCTTGTGTGATATTAACTTTGGTGATATACTATTATTATTATTTATTATTTTCATTGGACTATTATTATTATTATTATTATTTGATATTTTAGTTATTACTCCATTTGGTTGTTGTTTTTTCTTTGAATTTACTTTACTATTATTATTGTTATTTGGTGTTATAAAGTCATCTGCATTATAATCATTATTATTATTGTTGTTGTTGTTATGATTAAAGAATAATCTTTGAAACTTTGACTTGTTGTTGTTGTTGTTGTTATCATCTGTAGATGTAGAACAAGTTGTAGTAGTAGTTGTTGTTGCTGCTTTATCTATATCATTATTTATATTTGAATTTAATCTTTTCTTATTATTAAGTAATATATTTAATTGATTATTGCATTCATCTCTTCTCTTGGATGCTCTTTCGATATCATAAAAGTTTGGTTTAAAAGAAACTCGTGCTGTTGATGATTGAACTGTTTGTAGTGTTTTTTTAACTATGATGTCATTGTCATCTATAATAGGTGTTGTAGTCTTTCTAATAGTGTTTGTAGAGCATTTATGCTCATAATGATTACCGTGCTCTGGTAGATCATCATCTGAATCTGGTTTGACATCTGGTTGAAACCAAAAGTCTAATAAAGATGATGATGATGAATTGGTTAAACTCGAATTATTTATCAATGGTTGTGATGATATTGTTGTAGATCTATTATTAGTTCTATTTCTACTATTTGTTGATTGTAATTCATCATCTACATCAAAAATATTAAAATTATTATCATCATTATGATCTATGTCATTGAATAAATTGATTCTATTTCTTGTATTGGTTGACTTGTTATTGTGTTTGTTATCATTTTGCATTGGTTTAAAATAATATTAAAAGTGGTTGGGTAAATTTTTTTTGTTTGGAGAAATGTTTTTAATTTCTTGGAAAATCATTGGTAATATTGGAGTGGTTTTAGGGACTAGTGTGGGGGGTTCCAATTCCACAGAATTTGTTCTAAAATAAATTTAAGTATGTTGGAGAAGTCTTAATTATTCTATTTAAAAATATAAATTTCTTGATTTTATTGATTTATTTTTTATTTAATCCCTACAAAATATCATTGATTTTAACATTTAATTCCAAAGATTAAATAAATGATATATATATTGATCTTTTTATATATTGAAACAAGATTTCTTATTTGTGGATTAAAAAATTAATAATTTAATAATTTAAAATTAATTTTTAAAAATAACCAAATTTGAAAAAGTTTCGAGTACAAAAAAGGAAAAAAAAATTCAAATAATGGCTATCCTTTAAGAATGACTCTCATTTTATTTAACTTGACATATTTGGTTAAAAAATTAAATTTTAAATTAAAATTTTATTTTAATTGAAATCGTTAATGATATATTTTTTAAAAATAGATAATAACATATTCAAAAGTCTAAATTTTACACAATGAATAACTTAATATCTCTAGCAGACACAATGTTGGCTGCTGATGATCTGATCTCAAATAACAATAATGAGATGAGAAAGTAGTATAGTAGAACACAACCAATAGTTATTAATAGGTTGCCTGCTAATAATATGCAAATTACACCAACCAATTTGATCCAAAATCCACCAATTACAGTCTAATGGTGTGCTGTAATCAATATCCATAAATAAGCCAGTTACTGTTCTCAAATCTCCCAACGATGGTCTAATGTTTCTTATTTATCTTGGTGACGAAATCTTCTCTGAACTGAAACAACAGTTATCTAAATTAAATCAGGAAGTTAAAGAATTAGAATCAAATAATAAGATAGATATTACCAAATAGACTTACTCTACACATTCGATTTGAAATGTTGGCTCACGGTAATGGGTCTTGGCGGTCTATTTCATTGGAACTCGACATTCAGGTGTCCTACTTGCTTAGGTACTGGTTCATCTGGAAAAGTGGATCCTGACACTCAAGAGAAGATCGACCATTCTACAATTGGGAATGTTGCTGGATTCTTTAAGCCACGTACTAGAGAGCTTATGAGGAAGGAAGGACAGAGAGTCAAGAATAAGAAAAGTCTAAAGCCAAAAACCCAAAGGTCGAAATGAAGAGCTTCTCTGGTATGGCTGCAGAACCGAGTCTTGACATTGATCCAACTAAAGTTCCACCAGACACGTTATACATGTTCATGTCCATTATTAAGACTGTTTGTAAACCGATACTACTGCTATGTGACACCAATGAAACCTTACGAAAAGACATCGAAGACTTCCTCAAGTGTACGGCTAAACTGACATTGATAACGGTCTCACCAGGTACACTCTTGCATGTACAGCCTTATACATTCTATGACCGATTCAAACAGTCAGCTGTTAACTATATGGAATATATAAATATCTTGATCAATCAAGATATTCTTATTAAGACCTTGTCGAATCATTCTGTATATAATAATGATAAGTTAGAATTGGTAAGATGTGTAGTTTGTTAAAAAATAAAAAACAATTAAAACTAATGTCTTTAATTAAAATATAGATAAAGAAATATTGGAAACAACTTCATTGCTTAATATCTTGCATGATATCTGATGAACCTGTCAAAGAATATCAATGGAGATATATGTCATCACAATTTGGTTCCAATTTAATTCTCGCTGATATTAAGATATCGACTTATATGCATATTTTCATTGTACATGTTGGATTGTTTTTGGAGAGATATGGCAACTTGGAGTATCTCCACAAAGTAAATAGAATATGAAAGCAATTTACAACAAATAGTTACAAGATTAATATAAACAAGCCACAACAACAAGAGCAACAACAAGAACAACAAAAACATGAACAACAACAAGAGCAACAAGAACAACAAAAACAGCATCTATCCAACAGATTTCAACTGTAAACCAAAGTTTCTTTTAAATCAAAGAGTATCTGTATTGTATGGTGTTGACGAAAATATAGATAGTGCTTATTATTCTTGGTGGGATGGTCACATTATAGATTATAATAAGAAAGATAATACATATAGAGTTGCATTCAAAGAGTAAGTAAAAATACAAACAAAAAAATATGTTTATAACTAATCTAATGTTTAATAAATTTAGTGAAGTAATTGCTAACTATTACAGTGTTGATTATATTACAAGACAAAGTGCAACAGAAAGTATTTCGTATGATAGATTGGTAGAAGGTAGATATGTATTGTATACTTACAAAACTGATAAAACCCATTTTTCTATGCTGCTGTTATAAACTCTATAATAACTAAGAAAAACAAAAAAACTCTAACAATTAGACTATTAAAAACTAATGAAATAATTGAAAATGTGAATCCTGATGCTTGTTATGAGTTCTTTATCGAAAATTATCAAGTCAAAGCATTTTTTCCTTGATTTTCATTAAAAATAAAAAAAAATAAAAATATATTACAAAATTAATTAAATTTTATTTATTTCGATTTTTCACTGACAAACTAACTTCCAAATATAGAATAATTTGTTTTTACATGACTTTCACCCACTTTCACCCACGATATATTAGGAATGTGAATGCAAATGATATTTTAGAGGGTAAAAGTAATTTCATTTTATTGTATATATATTTGAATAATATAATTTGAATAAGAATTCATTTAATATTCATTCCAAATGCTGACGAAAGATACTTTGACATGGCTCACTTTCTAAAATACAACTACGGAAAATTCTTGATTTTGTAGATTTCATTTGCTTCATCCATTCCATTGTAAGGTTGTTTGAATGATCTTTTAATTTTTGAAGATCAAGTTCATTTACTATTTTTTAAAAAATTATTGTTTTGAAATGAATGTTGGAAAAAGTAGATTCTAGAATATACTTTGCATATTTATGAAACTAAAGATCAGGTGGGAAATAATCAGTATTGGTTATGGAGGGTTGTCAGACTGATGAATTGAAATGTTGTTGTGATTAGATCCATTTGGAATCCGCCTAACAAGAAGCACATGATTGAGATCCCAGTTCGAAGCAGATCAATATCGTGTCATTGCCCGAGTGGTTTAAGGGGCTAGTTTTAGGCAAAATAAAGGGAGTGTTTTTAAATGAGTTTGTTGAATGGGAAGCAGATCAATATCGTGTCATTGCCCGAGTGGTTTAAGGGGCTAGTTTTAGGCACTAGTGTAGTAATACGCGTGGGTTCGAACCCCACATGACACATTTTAAAATAGAAAAATATCGAAATTTCGATGAAATCTCATGGAAAATAAAAATAAAAATAAAAATAAAAATAAAAATAAAAATAAAAATAAAAATAAAAATAAAAATAAAAATAAAAATAAAAATTATGAAAAATTAAAAAAAAAAAAAATAAAAAAATGTTTGCTTGTTAGATCTTTTCTATTCAAATATTAAATTAAAGATAACTATTCAAACACGAACTAGCAATTCTGATCACACTGAACAAATCTTTTTTGCAAAAAAAAAAAAAAAAAAAAAAGATAACTATAAAATAATGATAATAATAATCTTTTATTGATTACTTTAGTTTATGCTTTCAAAGATTCGATTTTGAATGATAATTCAATCATTTTGCTGAAAGTGATTGGTGAAATTAAAAACAAATTTTTCATACAACCCAATCGAGAATAAATAAATACGCAATAAAAAAATCAATGAATAAATAATAAACACCTTAAAAACTTCTTTAAGCAATATAATTATACCTCAAATAAGAAAAACTCTAACAAATTTAGAAAATTCTTAAGTTTGAAATCAACTTTTATTTATTACTTGGAGCATGTCCCGTCAGTAAAAAACTGTGTCCAATAGAGTGGTCCATTCTTGGTTTGTGCTACGCCAACTCCAACTTGAGTAACCTTTTTATTGAGTATATTTTCTTTTTGGGGACCTTTCATAAATTCTTCAATGATATCTTTGTCATCTTCATAAGCATATCCTATATTTTCATATACATTATTTACTTTTTTTTGTCCATAAAAACGAGCAATTGAAAATAAATCACCATGTGGATTACTATATGTTAAATTTTTTTTAGATAACATATATGAAGATTGATCTTGAGCAGCTTCCATTAGACAATTGGAGTAGGTCAATAGTCCTAACTTTAGTTTAGCTCTTTCTTTATTCAATAAAGATAAGTGAAGATCTTTATTAAAATTCCCATTTACTAGATATAACTGAAAAATAACTAAAACTATAAACAAAGTAATTATTTTCATCTTGAAATTTATTTATTCTAATCAATAGAGAAGTGAAGAGATTATTAAACTATTTATACATTATTAAAATAAAAATTTAAATTAAATATTTATATATATTCATTGAAATTAAAATATTAATTTATAAAATCTCGTTAGTATTATCATAATGCAGTATTAGTGTGTTGATTTAAATACAAAAAGATTTTTATTATTTTCGAATTTTATTAAAATTGTTAAATAACAGATCATAGATGGATCTTTGATATAATAGAAGGATGAATCATTAAAATTTTAACCATATTTTTTTATTTTACTCATCTATTTTTGATATTGTTAGTCAAACATTGAACATTTGTGATGTACACTACAATCCAACTCTTTTGACATGACTTACTTTTTGCTTGATGAAAGGGTAGATTATATTATTTTTATTAACAATATTCTATGATAACTACCTCCATTTTTATACTTTTCTAGAACATTTCTGAGAAGTTTTCTCTTTCAAGATCAAATCAAGCAGAATATGGAGGAAGATTGATAACGGAATTAATTGAAATTTTAAAAAAAAATTATCAAATTATTTTTAAAACTTTATCAATTAATAATTTGTTTTAAAGTTGTTAAATTTCCATATGGAAAATTTTATTTAAGCTTTGACACACTCATGAGTGTCACAACCATTCTTGTCCTTCTTAACAATTTGTTTTTGTCCGGCAGCACACTTAAGAGTTGGTGGTGCAGTACAAACTGGCTTCTTGGTTGGTGGTCCCGGTGAACAACGTGGATATTCACATCCATCTGCCTGTTTCTCATAAACTAGGACTTGATCCTATTGATATAGCAGTCAATTAATAATTAAATTGTTTTGAAATCTAAATAAATAAGGGTAATCATTTAAACTTACACCCATACACTTTGGAAGAGAATAGTTCTTTGGACAAACCTTTGGTGGAGTAGTAGTTTTGGCTGGGGTGGTTGCAGTTTCAATGGCTTCTTCATGACTACGAACAACAGCTACAACAAGTAGTAATACAATTGCAAAGGAAAGGAATTTCATTTTTGATTTTAATTTGTTAGTTTTAGTTAATTGTTTTTTATATATATATTTATTTATTTGATGATAAGAAATGAATTAAAGTACTTCCTTTTATAGAGAGAGAATTTCAATTTTAATATCTAAATATTAAATAAAATGTGTTTTATCTCTATATTGTCAATTACATTTTCAGATATCTTTGTTGATCAAATTACAGAATGTAATAGTACTGGGGGTTATCACCAAATCAATGGTAAACTACTTTATATTCGTGATTGTTTATATGTATATCCTACACGTGTCCCGATGTCAACAACAATATAATAAGTGATAATGTGTGAAAAAAAAAAAAAATAGATTGGAAAACAAGAATTGTTGATCTTATAAATTACATATTCACATAATCTTAAATAATAATGTATAAAGATATCTGTTGTTACTACATTATTAGATCAAATGATCATTTGATAGATTCTTTACGACAACTCACACTTGTGTGTAAAAAAAAAAAAAAAGTGTGTTTAATTATAATGTTTGTTGTGTTTTTTTAATTTTTAAAAAAAAAACAAATAATGTTTTATTTTATTTGTTGAATAAATAATTAGTGATCCTATTACTATTTTTAATGTTATTTTTGTTTGTTTAACATAATAATATAATAATAATAATAAGGTTGATTTTGATTGGTAAAAGTGTAGGAGATTGTTTTGATGTTTTTTTTTTTGTTTTGAAGGTAGATACATAAACAAAAAAAAAAAAAAAAAAAGTGTCTTATAACTATAAATAAATAATAATAAAAATATTATATAGATGTAGTTTGTAAATTATTAATAGTTTGTTGTTGTTATAATTGTTATTGTTATTGTTAATTTGTGGTTGTTTGATTGATTATTATTTTGATACAAAAACTGTTGAACCTTTGTAACGCTGATGTTTGAAATTACCAACTGGATGATCATCCCATTCAAATGTTATTATACTAAAACGGTACACCTTTGAAAAACTTTCTTTTGTGTTGGGGTTAGAACCACCTACTAAATATACATAGTGACTGCCGTCAAAGAATGCAGAGTTATTGACCATCATGGCGATTGGCATTGACGGCTCGACCACCTCCCACTTGTTGTGCTCGATAGAGTAACGTTCGACACGATTCAAACATTGGTTCGATTGCGATGAGAATCCTCCGAATGCATAGATGTAGCCGTTCGACGAATCAATGACAGCGGCGCCGCTATACATGCCGTGGTGGAGCGGTGCCATTTCGTACCAACGATCCTCTTCAATGTCGTAGCGATCGACACAATCCAGTGATTCTCCAGACATGTTGCAACCACCGATCGTGTAGATCGAGTTGGACACTGGATCAAAGACTGCCGATTGCTTCCAGATGTTCTTCATCGTCGAGAGCTTGCTGAACTCATGATTCACCAGGTTGAACCGCAGAACAACATTGGCGCGTGGGAATCCACCCAGTAAATATACATATTGTTTGTTGTCGTAGACCGATGTGTGCAGGAATCTTCCACCCTCTGGAATGTCCGCCTCCAGCGTCTCCCAACGATCTTCGGCCAGAGAGTAACGTGTGATTTTCGAAGGTGATAGACTGCCACCAAAGTTGTAGATAGAGTTACGACCATCGAATATCGAAGTGAAATCATTGTCCATCTGGTGTAGCGGTGCCATCGATCGCCACTGATGCTCCGACATATCGTAACGCTCTGTTGAATATTGATCGAATCCATTGAGATGACCACCAATCGAATAGATCAAACATTGCTTCGGCAGCAACTGACTCAACTCTTTGTATTCCGGGTGTACACGAGTGTTGAACTCCAAACGACCAAACACATGTACTTGTTTTTCGCGCTTCATATGACGACGCGCATACACAGCGTAGACACTACTATCGACATCGCAATCGTCGAGCGACGATGCCGATGTCTCTTTTCTCTTTTGCGTCGCACTGCTACTGCTTCTGCTTCCAGCGCTAGTGGTGGAATTGGAGCAACAGTTGTCGTCGTCCAAATTGATTTCTACCACATCCTCGTGCTGCTGCTCATCGGCAGCGATCGGATCCCTCGAACTCTCGACAACAATTGACTTTGTTTTACTTGAGTAAATGTTGGAACTCACCGTCCCAATTCCACTCTATAATATCGATCGATTCCTTCAGTAGCTGAATCTGTTCATTCTTGAGATAGGTCTCTGAGAGTTCACCGCCGCTGCTATTGCTACTGGTACTAGAAGACAGCAGCGATCCAGTTGACAGCAGCGATCCAGTTGACTTTGAAATCAAAGCCGGTACTTTGAGATTAACATTGCTATTACTAATGTTTTGCGAAGCTGACAATTGTGGAGAAGACGAGCCTGCGCCACCCATGCCGCTTGTAGTTTGTCTGAGTTTTCTGTCGATCGATTCAATGAGATGTTGTGCTTTGTCTCGATTCTTCTCGAGTTCCTGTTTGTGTGATTCCAGTTCCACTGCCAACTGTGTCAGCATTTCCACTCTTCGATCGTTGAGATAGTTGATCATTGTATCGAAATCCGACATGATCATTCTCTTTGTATTCATAAAAGATTGGTCGCACTGCTCCAGTGTCTTTTCACTGAGATCTTTATAAAGCTCGAGGTGTTGTTTCGAACGACCAAGCGGTGATTCCGATCCCACCATCGAAGATACACTGCTACCAAGACTACTAAGATTACTAGTTCTCAGTGTCGGTGTTGTAGATGTTGAATGAATCGGTGATAAAGTATCATTACTAATCATTTTTCTATCTTTGCTATTTCACACTTATTAAAAGTGTTCTAAATGTTTGTTTTTCTTTCTTTTTCCTCTTCTAACTAATTGTAAAATACTAAACTAGATTTGAAATAAATAAATTAATATATATATTTTGATTTTAAAATCAATCAGATTCTTTTTTTTGTTTTTTTGTAAATGTTTACTTTTTTTTGTAATAATTTAAAAATGATGCAATTAAAAAACCATTTTAATTAGAGAATAAAATAGTTGAATGTGATGTGATGTGATGTCAATAATATTAAAATATTTGCTTAAACTTGATTAACAAATATAGAAGGTTATATATGTATGTAATAATTATAAAAAAGAAGCTAACAACAATTATTAATATTATTATATGTCTTGAAATAATTTAAATTTGCGTCTACTCAAAGAATATGTATGTCTGTCAGGTTGGTTGGCTGGAATTATGATGAGTACATGTGATGAATGAATGAATGAAATAACTTTAAAGGAATAAAAGATAGCGATTAATAGTTCATAAACAAAATGTATGATGTGTGTTTTGTGTAACTATTTTTTTTATCTACTTGGTGGTGATGATTAGAATTAATGGATGGTTTTGTGGTGAGTGAATGTTAAGTTATTTTTGTTCTTGTGGTGAATGCTGTTGCTGTCGTTGTTGTATCTAGATCAAAAAACAGATAATCAATCAAATTATGTTATTGAAATGGGTTGTGTGTTTGCAAGATTATGACTGTGTGATTTTAAAATAAATAAAAAATTAACAAATCAATTGATTGAATAAGAATGTTTTAAAAATTTATGTTATGATATTTATTTATGTATTAAAATGTAAAATTTTGTGACCACTCCTATGAAAAAAACAAAAAAAGATGGTAAAAAATAAATGGTATGCTCTTTGAAAAAGGGGGTCATGCAAAAAACAAAACAAAAAACGGGTGAATGAGTCTGTGTTTCGCCTTAAGTTTTTCATTGATGTAAGTTTTTTTTTTTATTTTTTTTGGTGATATTTTTAATCAGTTAACTGATCCATTGATGGTTTAATAAATTCCACACAACAAAACTTTGATCTACCTTAGATTTCAATACAAGATATCGAAAAAAAAATATGAGGATTTAGAATTGTTCCAAGAACCCTTGTTTTGAAGTAGTTGAAGAGTTGGTTTTTTTGTTAATATTTTGGTTTCGAGATGACATCATATTGATTTTCATTAACCAATTTAAACAAACTGTTCAGTTAAATATTTTAAACTGAACTTATTATTATTATTATTATTATTATTTTTACTAGTTAACTCTAATTGAACACTTACTTTAATAAAAATACATGTGATTTTTCAAGTAGTAAGCAAACTATGTTGATAGTCTAAGTTTACTACTCTTAGATACCAAACTCTATTATTTATATATTTGATTGATTTTTGATTTTTATTTTTGAATTTAGTTATTGGTGAGGTATTAATTAATAAATTCTATTATTGTTATTATTATGAGAATAATTCTTTTATTCTCATATTTTTGTCTTTCTTTTTCTCTCTCTCTTTTTTTCTATTTTTCACTCTGTTCTCTTTACCTGGGTGTCCCTTTTTTTTAATTATATTATTGTGATGATGAATTCAAATTATTGGATTGTATTATTAATTTAATAGTATATTAAAAAATGTGATTGTAATTGTTTTGCTAAAATTTGTTCTTATTGGTTGGTCAGTATGTCCGTTTAGTAATTTTCAATTCATTCTCTACTCACTAAACAACAGTCGTTTTTTAATGAATTCAATTTACACATGCATTTAAATACAGGTATACTACGTTCTTCAAAACACACAAATACTACAAAAAATAAACCCCACAATCTCATTCATAATATTACCAAAAAAGTTGATAAACACATATGTAGTAAAAAAAATAAATTAAAAATATTATTAAAAAAAATAATTATAAAACTAATAAAGATTAAATTAAAACACGTTGTTTGGTTGGTGTTTTCATGCAAAGTATTGTTGTTTGTTGTTTTTTTTAATTTTTATTCAAACATCCTTTAATTATTTACAATTGCGCAACAACAACAAAACATGGATTTACACTATGATCCTTTATATCATGTGGAGCCAGTGGCTGACAGTGATACAGATGATGATGGTGAACAAGATTCACAACACAGTAATAGCAACAACAACAATGAAGAATCGTCATATTTCAAACTACCTACCATTACGACAAGTAGTTTCTTTAGTTCGTTCTCATCGATTGTCGATTCTGTCAAACAGAAATCAGAGGATATAATAAACATATATAAAGAGGATCTACAAGGATTCGGCTCTAGTTTAAATGGTGAAGCAACAGAGGTTTTACATAGAGACAACCAGGAAGCATTAGAATCTAATCAAACTACTACTACTGGTAGCAGTAATAATTCCGAACAACAACAACAACCATTACAACAATTGAAATTTTTGAAATCAAAGATTTCAAGTAGTATCACTAGTTTCATTGGTGAATATCCTGCACCAGAGTCAACAACAACAACACCAGCAACATCTTCAGCATCAACTACTACAACAACAACAACTAGCAACACTTCATTTTCACAACCTACAGTTAATACATCGAAAGAAAGTTCAAATTTGACAACACCTTCATCTCCAGTGATTATAAACGAACCGTAAGTGTTTATTTATATTAATAATTATGTTTGTACTAATTTATATATTCTATTATAGACCATCTATTTCAATACAAGAAGAATATAAGCTATATTTAAATGATCCAGACAATCGATTGGAAGAGTTCACCAATTTCAAACAAAACTTTAGCTTGCAAGTCTATCGTGAGAGAATAGTAGAGCTGTTGACATCAAATAAAAACAAAATACAGAAACACTACAATCTTTTGGTTCCTCAACATGTTAATGAACTTAATTTTTGGTCTAGATATTTCTTTAATCTGTATGTATTATTACATTCATTAATTATTATTATTATTATTATTATTTAGTTTAATTATTAACTTTTTTTACTTCTAATTAGCCAATTAACTAGAGATGAACCATTAAGAAAGATGAAAGCTCTATCAGAGACTCTTGACAATGAAGAAGAGGTCAATTGGGATGATGAATCAACATCGACAACAACAACAACAGCAGCAACAACAAATACAGAGGATTTAATTGAAGTAAACACAAAGCTTGAAGAGTTGACTACAACCGATAATAATAACGTAATTAATAATGATAGTTTAGAAAATAATATTGTAGATAACAACAGTGATATAGAAACAAAATCAGATGATAAAGATATTATAAACAAAGAGATTCTTACATCATCTGATATCGATATTGATAATAACAGTGTAAATAGTAATGAATGTATAAATAATAATAATAATAATAATAATAGTAGCAATAGTAGTTTAAAGGAGAACTCTTCTTTCCAAGAAGTTGGTAAAGTCTTAAAGAATGGTGAAACTCTGAGTGATTGGGAAGTTATAGACAAAAAGTTTTCAGATGAAGAAGAGTGGACTTCTTGGGAATAGAATAGAATAGAATAGAAATAGAAATAGAAATAGAATAGAAAAGTATAGTTAAATTAATTAATAGTTTGTCGAAATAAATCTATAAAATGTATAAAGAATACTTTTTTTCAAAAAAAAAAACAGTTATCGTTATTATTATTATTTATCATCAGGTGTTATTTTGAGTTTTTGTTTATTAATGAATTTGTTCTGATCATCATTGGTTACCCCACATCTTTAATGTAGAATCATCAGAGGTTGTTAGGAAATATTTAGAGTTTGTCGACCACTTGATGTCGGTGTAAACGATAGAGTCAGAGAATGTCTTTACTTGGTCAAACTCTCTCTTTCCTTTGTGGTTGTAGATGGAGATGACCGAACCGGCAATTGCGAGGTAGGTACCGCTTGGATCCCATGAGATGTTTCCGATTTGTCCGTCGGTAAAGTCGATTGTCTTTATGCTTTTTTCTGTTCTTCTGAGATCCCAGATCTTGACGGTGTTGCTATCGCTCGATGCCATATGATAGCCGTTCTCTGAGAATGCAATCGAGTTGACAAACTGGTTGTGTTCGGCGAGCACGATCTCACATTTCTTGGAGTTTACGGTGACGATTGCGATCTTCTTGTCGTGAGTGCCCAGTCCGACGACTTGACCGTCCGGATGGTACTGCGCGCAGTGGTATCCGCCATTGTCCTCGGGTGTCACGGTTATGAGTGTCTGGCCAGTCAGGATGTTGTGCATTGCCCAAGTGGCGTCGGTCGATGCTGACACTACGTAGTCACCGAGTGGATGCATAGTCAGACCACAGACATCGCCGGCATGCTTCTTGATGTTGTGTAGTTGCTGACCGTTGTGATTCCAGACACGAACGGTCTTGTCGACACCAGACGAGCATACAACTTGCTCGGTTGGGTGGAAAAGTACACGATTGACCTTCTTTTGGTGACCTTTGAATGTGGTGACAACTGCAGACTTGTCGACATCGTACAAAGTAGCCAAACCATCGTTGGAACCAGTGGCAACCAACGTTTGATTTGCATGGTAATCTAAACAACCAAGTGAACCAGCTGTATTATTAACATTTGTAGACAACAACACTGACATTGCCTCTACTTCTTGTGCTTTTGGTAAATCTACTGGAATACTTCTCTTCTTTCTTTTTTGTGTTAATCTATAATATATATAAATAATAAAATCAAACATATATCTATATATTAGTATAATACTTTACTTTCTATTTTATTTGAATGTATACATACTCTTGTGTTTTTTCTGTAATTCTCTTTATATCTTGTTCACTAAGATCATCTATTAACATTGCTAAAAATAAAAGAAAACCATTAATAAAGTTATATTAATTAACAATATTATATAGATTGATTCAAGTTATATTTATACTTACAATCTTGTGAATTATTACTATCTACTTTAATCTTGGCATTGGCAAGTGCACTGGTAGTATTAGGAATGGTAAAAGTTTTTGTTTGGTTAGTAGTTGATTCATTAAAATAAAAAAAAGATTGTAGAGAAAAGACATGTTAGTAAAGATGTAATTGTTTTGTTTTGTTTTTAGTTTAATAATAATAATAATAATACAAACTTTCTAGCTTGATCTCTCTCTTTGATGAGACGAGCGATGACACGACACGATGCATCGTATTGATAGAGAGAGTGTGCCAATTCCTGACGAACCTGTTCAAACTGTTGTTTGAGTGTGAATGTTTCGAGCATGAGAGCGTCCCATTCGTTTTGGAACATCTGTAACATCGATGGAATGCTAGTGGCATTGCTGGTACGTGGCTTTGCACCACCGACACCACCGCCACTCATCGATTGTTTGCTAATAACGACGATATCGGTGATTGACAATGGTTCACCTGTAGTTGGTTCTCTACCATTGGTATCTATATACTTTTCGATCAATCGTTTCTCATATACATTTCCTGTCTTTATCGATACCACTGGTTCTTGTGGTACATCTCCAGATACTATAATATTATATTAAAAAAAACAAAAACAAAACAACACAATTTTTTAGTTAGTTATATATTATTATTATTAATATGAAGATAAAAAAATTACATACTTGAACAAATCATTGTATTATAGATATATATATATTTTAAATCTAAAACAAACTATAGTTAATGATAATACAAAGATGGTTGCTATTGGTTCCCACAATGAGAGTGAACTTAGTTGGTGTCAAAAGAATCGTTAAAACCTAATGATTTGAAAATTTCAAAATTTTGAATTTTGTTTTTGTTTGTTGAAATTAAAACAAGAAAGTGAACAATGAATAGTTAGATACAGTATTTTGTAGAAGAAAATAAAAATAAAAAAGTATAATTAATAAGCAGGTGTTCTTTAATCTTCTTATTCTAATAAATTTTTGGTAAATTGGAATTAGATACACATTAATATTTCAAAATTGGAAGAGGTAATATAGGATTGTTTTTTTTCTAAAGATAATGTTGGTCAATTAAATAAATATATTTTATTTTTATTAATGAATTGAAAATATAATTTAAATAAGAGTGATTGAAAAGAAATTTTATTAATATTACAATAGGTGGAACTTATTGATTGAGATAATAGGTGATGCAACTTGGGGTGATTTCATTCTGGTCGACGGCTTGGATCAACATTGGAATTCCAACGTCTTGAGAGAATGGAGCTCTTGCATTACTGTAGAGTTCGATCTCCTCAGCTGAGATGGCATGTGGGTACCAGAATATGAAGATTGGCTTGCTGGTGGCAACGTTTTCTTTGTTTGTGTATTGGAAGTCAACTACCAAGAATCTTCCGTGGTCGTCAACCAAGTTTGAGATGACATCATCGTATTGTGTTCCCTCTGGGAATGTACGGTCAACAACAAGTTCTCTGGTTGCTGCATCAGCTCTGAAAATAACGGCTCTATTTACTTTTTGTTTAAGAACATCAACAGCAGCCTTACATTCTGGATTAATTACAACTGACATTATTACTATTTATTTGTTAACTTTAAATATTATATACAAATAATAAAGATATTATTTTTTTCAAAATTATGAAATGTCAAGATTTTATAAGGATGTTCAACCACCACGATGGTTTCAAGCAAAAATCAACTATTTGCATATTTTAAACATTTTTTATTTATTTTTATTATTATTTAATAAAATATCATGATCATTTGTTTTGCACTACTTTTTGTGAATGTGGTATGTGATGATATCATGGTTTTCTATTTGCGCGAATTTAGATTTTAAAAATATCAAGATAAATCTTTAGATTTTTGTTTTTTATTAAATTTTTAAGTAACAGGGTATTTTTGATGTAAAGAAATATCAATCTAGTTTGGACGAAAATCAACTAATCTATTTTTTGTAAATCCAAACAATGCTTCATTCATTTTTTTTTTTAAAAAAAAAAATCATAGTTTAATAATGTTTTAAATTTGAAGTTGGTTGTTATAAATGTTATTTATAATTATGCTGAAAAGGTATCTTTACATGTACATTTTTGTGTGTATATAAAATAATGTTCATTAAAAAAAAAATAGTGATAAAAGGGAAAAAAAAAAAACAGTTTTGCAAAAATATAAAATAAAAAAAATTGAGAATTTTAATTTTGTAGCAAAGTTGCAAAACACAGCAATCAATCTTTCAATCAATTAATTAACATTTTTATTTATTTTGATCAAAATTATTTTTTTTAAAAAAGATAGTTTTAATAATTGTAATCTATAGATTCTACAATCAATTCCTATATTATAATAGAGACAACAAACAACATTTATAAATAATATCAAAAAAAATAACCAATAACTACTTAGATATAATAGTTTGATAGTTAGATAGATCCATCATTTTTAGAGATAAATAAAAAAGATATATATTCAAATCTAATAATAATAATCAACAACAAAAAATAAAAAAAAGTATTCTGTTGTTTTTTTTTTTTGTTAAATTAAAAAATTAATTTATTGGTTGGTTGGTAGGACAATTTAAGAAAAAAACAACGACAGTTAATGGGAGCATCGGAGAGTAAATCAAAAGAGAGGGCATTCGATGCCCTACGCTCAAAAGACTCAACCTTTAGAAAAGCATTGCGAAAATTGAAAAAGATCAATATCAATGAGGTGAAAGATGCCAACGGGTGCACTCTGCTGAACCGTGCCGTAGCGATCGGTCGCAAACCACTGGTCGCTCAGCTGCTCCAGATCGGCGCCAATCCAAACATTGCCAACAACATCGGTGTCACTCCGATACTGAACGCAGTGCTCAACAACGACGAGGAGATGGTTTCGCTGTTGTTACGCAACGGCGCCAATCCCAATGTCGTGTCGGACGCCGGCGTCACTCCGCTTGGTGTCGCCGTCAAGTCGGGCGACGAAAAGTTTGTGGAACTGATGTTTGCCGATTACACGCAGATCGGTGTCGACGTCAACTTTTGCGATCACAAGAGTTCAAAGATGACTGCGCTGATGTGGGCAGCTAGCGAGGGAGACGACATTCTCACGCGATTCCTACTGAATGTGGGCGCCGACGTCAATCGTCGTGATACATCGGGTCGCACAGCCATCTTCATGGCCAAAGCAAACGGACATCTCTCCACGGTGAACATGTTAAACGACCACTTTTGTAAGGTGAATAAAGTCGCCAAGATAGTCAGTTCAGTCTCGAATACCTGTGTTAGTTTACACCAACATCATAGTAATAATAACAATAACAATAACAATAATAATAACAACATAGCACTTCAACATCAACAATTAAATACCAATATTATAACAACTGCAGCATCTGTAGCAACAACAACAATTATAACAAATAGTAATAATAATAATAATAATAACAATAGTAGTAGTATAGTCAACAATATTAACAATAATAATCAAACAAATAATACAACAGCAACCAATCCAATTCATAATAATAACAATACTAGTAATGTAAATAATCATACGGGAACCGATAGTTTGGCATCTTCATGGTCAAGTTTAGATTCAGGTTCTGTATTCAATCCTTCACAGCCATCTATTATTGTTACCAACAACACCACCAGTATTGATAATTCACAGGATTCCAACATTAATAATAACAGTAGTATTAATGGACTCTCAACTTTAAATAGTAATGGTAATGGTGGTGGTGGTGGTAGTAGTACAATCAATAGTGGTAACAACAACAACAACAACAACAACAACAACAACAACAACAACAACAACATCAACAATAGCAGTGATATTATAATCAATAGCAGTAGTAATAGTATACCACACAATGTATCAAATAATAATTTATTAAATATAATCACAACAACAACTACAACCACAACTACAACGACAAACAACAACAACAATATTAATAATAATCATAATAAATTTAATAGTACAATTCAACATAAAAGAGAACATAGTAATCTACACAGCACGATTTCAAGCAGTTCGAGAGGAGACGATAAATATTGTAAGGTTTGTTGGGAGAGACCTGCCGATTCTGTTTTACTCTGGTGCGGTCACTATGCAATTTGTATCTATTGTTCACAGTTCCTTCAAGTTTGCCCAATGTGTGTTCAACCCATTGAAAGAGTTCAGAGAGTTTTTATTTCTTAACATACATTCAATCATATAATTTTTTTTATATATTTGAAAAACCTTTTTTTGTATATATTTATATATTTAGGAAAAATAGTAATAATAGATATTTAGATTTCTTTTTCTTTTTTTTTCTTTTTTCTTTTTTTTTCTAGTAGTCAATAATTATATCACAATAATAGTTAACTATCTATCTAGCACAAAGTCATAAGATTGAACATCACACCACACAAAATTGTATAATAAATTAAAGTTGAAAAACCACACATTTCCTTTGATTTTTTTTTTTCTTCAAGTTATTTTAACTGAAAGTTTGCGTTATGATTTGAAGTTTCGGTAATGATATCAAGTTAACTATATAAATAACCACTTTATATTTGTATATAGAACTTTGATTTTCTACCAACCCCTTTACCATATAACTTCCAAATAAGGAAAATTCTTTACTCGGTTACTATCATCATATATCATTCGATTAATTATTTTAATTGTTTTGTGTTTTTTTCTATTTTTTTAAACTAACCCTAATCACATATAACATACACATATAAATACTTATTGTTCAATAAATCCCAAAATGAAGAAAACAAAATCAACTTTAGAGAAATATATAGATATATAGGATAGTTATTTTTTTATTTAATTTTAATTAGAAATCAATAAATATAAAAATGTCGAATATTATTAATCATCAGGATTTAGATAGTGAAACGCTGGCTCGCTATAAATCACTGGTAAAGACAAAGAGAGAGAAGTTTTTTGCAGCAATCAAGATAAGAGCAATAGGTTTCTATACATTCATATTTGTAGCATACAGGGTAATAAAATCGTTTTACTTTTATTTGATTGGAAGTACCTTGAGCTCTTCACCATGTACCATTCATAAGGATATCCGTTATTCTAACAACAATCCAAGAAATATTTTGGATATATACCAGCCTTACGAAATGAGAGATGGTGGTAGTCCTGTTGTGGTATTCATTCATGGTGGTTCCTGGATGCATGGTTTCAAAACACAGCATATTAAACTTGGAAAACTGTTGGCTGCCAACGGAGTCACTGCGGTCTTGGCTAACTATACATTGTTTCCAAATTGTGATGGCGATCAACAAGTGGAAGAGATTGGACAAATCATGAGATATGTAGCTGACCATATTGAGAGCTACGGTGGTGATCTCTGCAATATTACATTGATGGGACATAGTGCCGGTGGCCATTTAATAACACAATATCTCTTGACAACTCACAACACTCCAGATAATTCAGAGAGAATCAATATCAAGAATTGTATTCCAATGTCAGCGCCACTCGATATGAAAGAACAATTCATTTTCCAAACTCAAGTTGGAAATGAAGATACTTGTATGATAGTTCCATACTGTGGTGGTGTTAAAGGATTAGAGAGCAGATCACCTTTATATTGGATTTCATTGGCAAAAGATAAATCAGTAGAGCTACCATCAATGTATTTAGTATATGGAAACCAAGATTATATCGTTCCACCAATTGTAAACTCTCGATTTTTACATCAATTAGAAAAGAAATGTCAAGAACATGTTCATCTTCAAGCATTGGAATACGATGATGTTGCACATGTCGACCTAATTACAGACATAGAAGATCAAGAAAATAATGTTTGTAATTCCGAACCATTCAACGAGCATCGTGGAGCTATCACTAAAAGACATAAGAAATTCATGTTGGGTGATATCTTGAGAATTATCTTAAATTAACAATTTCCACTAATCAATTTTGTATTTTGTAAATATGTATATAAAATTCATAAGAATAGTATTTTTCTACAATAAATAAAACAATAATAATAAATGTAAAATCAATTTATAACTGGTGAAAAAGATGAATTTATCCTTTTTTTTCATTATTATCCAATTGTTTTTCTATATCCCCTTTAATATATATGAGCTCTTAATTTTGCAACTTTTTTTCCATTTTTTACAATGGAATCATAATAATAATAGGTATATCTATATAATATTAGAGTCGTATAATGGTTAAAAATTTTAAATTAAAATCTTAAGTTTAAAATAACTATTAATTTCTAATTTTAAGAAATTTTTTATTTTATTTTAAATTTCTCTGTTATACTATTTTCTAAGTTTCTTTACAAACCTTCCAAAGAAGGTAATATTCTTTAAAGAAATATTTAATTGGATTACTTTAATTTTTTATATATCTGGTTTTTTTTTTGTTTTAAATTTGATTTTTTAAAATAAAAAACTTTCAAAAAATCAACACCAATCCATAAAAGAAGAAAATATATTATCACTCATAGGATTTGAATAAATTTTTTAATCAAATATTTTTTATTTTTATTTATTATCACATTCTTAATTCAAAAAAAACAATGTCAATGATTGAAGATTATCAAGATTTAGATAGTGAACTGTTGACTCGCTATAAATCATTGGTTAAAACAAAGAGAGAAAAGATCTTCATTGCAATCAAAGCAAAATTTATATTTTACATCTCTGTACTTTATTTATTATTCAGAATATCAAAAACTTTTTATTTTTATTTTATTGGATGTAAATTAAGTTCATCGCCGTGTACCATTCACAGGGATGTCAGGTATTCGAAAGAGCGTCCAAGAAATATTATGGATATATATCAACCTTTGAAAACTAAGAGCGGTGGAAATCCTGTAGTTGTATTCATTCATGGTGGTTCTTGGATGTACGGGGTCAAAACACTTCACATTAAACTTGGAAGATCATTGGCATCTCAAGGAATAACTACGGTTTTGGCGAACTACTCTTTGTACCCAAACTTTAGTGGTGATCAACAAGTGGAAGAGATAGGTCAAATCTTGGAGTATGTCTCCAATCATATTGAGAGCTATGGTGGTGATACCAGAAATATTACATTGATGGGACACAGTGCAGGTGGTCATTTAATAACACAATATCTCTTGACGATTTACAACAAAAACACCAACATTAGAGAGAGAATCAATATCAAGAATTGTATTCCAATGTCAGCACCACTTGATATGAGAGAACAATTCATTTTCCAAACACAGCTTGGTAAAGAACATACCAGTATGATAGTTCCATATTGTGGTGGTGTTAAAGGATTAAATTATAAATCACCTTTATATTGGATTTCATTGGAAAAAGATAAATCATTAGAACTACCATCAATATACCTAATTTATGGAGACCAAGATAACTTGGTTCCACCAATTGTAAACTCTCGATTTTTACATCAATTAGAAAAGAAATGTAAAGAACACATTCATCTACAAGCATTGGAATACGATGATGTTGCACATGTCGACCTAATTACAGACATTGAAGATCAAGAAAATAATGTTTGTAATTCCGAACCATTCAACGAGCATCGTGGAGCTATCACGAGAAGACACAAGAAATTCATGTTGGGTGATATCTTGAGAATTATCTTAAATTAACAAATTCCACTAATCAATTTTGTAAATTTACTATTTTTTTTTTTCAGAGAGTTGGCGCCTTTTTCAAATTTTGTTCAAGTTAATATAATTGGAATTAAATAAAAGGATAGCAATTTTATAGTATTTTAGGAATACATTGTTTATTTTATTATTATGATTACAATTTTATTTGAACAAATTAGATTATTTTTTTTTCTTTACTTGTTCAATTTATTTTTTTTCTTCGATTGTCTTCTTTGGGTTGGAAGCAGCATTCACACGGTCAAAGAAAACCAATGGTGAACTCATAAAATTACCAACATTATCCTAAAAAATATAGATAAAACAATGTTAGATATTAAAATTGGTAAATGTAATAAATAAAAATAATAGTTAACATACTGGTGTAATGTAGATGGTAGCACTGTTGAGTGCCTTGGCTTTGATCTTGGCCATCTTCAACTCTAAGAGTTGTGGGTACTTGGAGTAGAGCTCACCCTTCATTTCTTGAGCCTTACGGGCAGCATCGGCAGCAATCAAGAGTGCTTCGGCTTCACGTTGAGCGGATTGCAACTTGGCTTGAGCCTCGGCAATGATGGCATTGTTCTTTTGGACCAAAGCAATGTTGTCGGTCTCAGCCTTCAACTTGGCCTCGGTAGTCTTGATATCGTACTCCTTTACCAAGGTAGCTTGCTTGGTGGTGTACTCGGCGGTGGTGACGGATTGACCAGCCAACTTCTTGGCGATCTCCTCATCGAGAACCTTCATTGTCTCAATTTGGAGTCTGGCCAATTCAATACCGTACTCTGACAAATCCTTGGCCAAATTGGTCTTGACACGATCTTGGATGGTTTGGAGTTGAGTTTCCTCTGCGTTGGCAGCACCTGGCTTAGTGTTGTTGAAGTACATGACCTCTTGGAGGGTGGACAATTGAATGGCTTTACCCATGTCAGCAAAGGAAACGTTTTCAATGTGTGGCAAGATTCCCTCCTTTCCGAGCTTGGTGACAGCGAGCTCTGGATCGACAATTTTGAAAGCGACGATCAAAACGACACCGACTCTCAATGAATCTCTGGTTTGGAAGATCTTCAAGTTGATTTCATCGCTGTTGACAGACTTGTTGTTTTTGTTGTCGTCCATGGCTTGTTGTTTGGTCTCCTTACTTGGGAACAAGCAGGTTTGGAGTGAGGTTGAGATGAAACCGTCAAAGTTGTGAGTGGCGCTGTTGATGATGACTGGCTTACCGTCCTTTGGTGGTGGAATGACGGTGAGGATACCGTTGTTGTAGGTGATAGCGACCTCACCAGTGTGTGGGATGATACGCTTGATGGAACCATGCTCAATGTAGGTGTCGATCGAGTTGTAGAACATTCCGGTCTTCTTTCCACCGTCTGGCGATACCAAACGGAATTGAGCGTCGACAAAGACGTATGGATCACGACGTGACTCCAAGATGACTGGTTGAGTACCCAACCAAACCTTGGCAACCTTACCGGCTGGAATTCTCAAGATATTGATAGTTTGATGCTCGATGACTGGCTCGTTGGAGCTGATGAAACCTGATCCTTCGTTGAACTCAAAGGTTGGATCGATAATAACATGTGGACCCTCACCATAGAGAATTGGTCTGTTCTTTGAGAATGCCTTTGCGTAGTGACCGGCTGGAACATTCAATACATGCTTACCGTAGGAACCGAAATAATGAGCAGTCTTGGCAACCTCACCCAAATACTTGATAGTAACAGTTGGATCTGGTGTTAAAGTCAAGGCAAATCTTTATAAAGATCAATATTAATATCACCATCAAGTTTGCTAATTATTATTATTATTAAAAGTTAGCTAACTCTTACCTTTGACCTCTTGGATCGAGCAACTCTGCGACTTGATTACGGTGACCCATAGCAAAGTAACTGACATCTACACGATCCAAAGCTCTACCGAGTGCTGGATTATCAGTGAAAGCAGAGTTCTTGATTCCAGCATTGAAACGCTCCAAGATGATTTTGGCTTGCTCCTGAGCTGAGACATTGGAAAAGTCGGATCTAATTACAATTTGACCAACGGTAATCTCCATCTTTGATTCAAGATCCTCATGATCGTGTTCAGAGCTAAAGGTGGCAGCTTCATTCTTGTGATGATCGATTTGATTGGAAATCATTATTTCTATATAGATAAATAGTTATATATAAATATATAATTAGATTGATATTATTAAATTGTAAGGTTGGTTGATTGACTGATTGAATTCAGTTGATGCCAAAGGCAGTCTCTATATATTAGTTTTCACTACCAAATTGAATCAATATTAAAGAATTCTTTGATTTTAAAAGATTTTTGTTTTTTTTATTTTTTAGAGCACCATATTTGAGGTCAACATTAAAATTGGGGGTGTGTTTTTTTTTTTTTTTACCACTACCAATTCTGACTTTTCAAAGTTTTTTGGTGAGTATTTTTTAAACCGTTACAAAAATATCCAATTTATTCCGATTTATTAATTTATTTTAACCATTTTGTGTGTGGGTAGCAAAAAAATTCAAAAGTTTACCAGACAAAAAATAAGAATCTTGAATAACAAATAAAAAACAAACACCAAAAAAAACACAACAACCAAACAACATGATCAAAATATTTTGATCAACAATAACATCATCAAAAATAGCAATATTATTTCATTTTTTTTCAGTTTGGTTTTAAAAATAGTGTTAAATGATATCGATCTTTTATGAGCATCGAAATACATGATCTTTTTGTTTGATTAATAATGTTTCAAACCTTTTTATCATCCAAACAAAATGGATGATATTTTGACTTTTTTTCTTTTTCATCATTTTAGACATTTCGATTCGAATTTTATAAATATTTAACTTTATTCGATATGATAGTGCGTATTATTTCGATTAATTATTTGTATGATATCACTTAGTTGAAATAGTTTATGTCTTTTGGTGACTGACCCACATTCGTTACTAAATGGTTCACACAATGGATTGGCAGTATCTTGATCTTGCAAAAGAATAATAATATCAAAGTGATTCATACCATCGTACTGCAGAACTTGTGTATGACTTTTAGACTTTTGTTGAATCACTTTACATAAACCAATAGGTTGATCCATTGACACAACTGTATCTTTATTACTACAATATATATAAATAGAAAATATTCAAATCAATAATAATTATTCATTATGCTAAACTAAACTTTAAAACCTACCCATGTAAGAAATACATTGATGGTAAATCAACTGATTTATCGGGATGTTGTAAGAGCTGGTAGGTAGTAGATGCTTTTTTGAATCCTGTAGGACCGTTGCAACATCTGGTCATATCCGATTTCTTTTCGAATGCCATCTTGGCTTGATGGATAAAGTGGTCGGGTACGTCGAATATACCTGCTATTCCAATGTAGTTCTTGATGGCAACGTTCTTTGGATCGTACTTTGTCGCCAGATACAACGATGTAATGTGAGCGCCAGCACTATGTCCCATCAGTGTAATGTCATCGACATTACCACCGTACTTTGTTATGTTATTGCCGATATACTTTATGAGCTCGTCGATGTCTTCGACTTGCTGTTCGATTCTGCCCTGTGGATAGAGCGTGTAGTTGGCAATCACCGTTGTTATGCCGTGCAGTGCGAGTCGTCGACCCAAGCAGACATACTGCGTCTTGAAACCGGCGGACCAGCCACCGCCGTGAATAAACACCATCACCGGATTGTCACGAGTTTCCTCACGGCGGTTCGGCATGTAGATATCCATGATATTGCGAGACCGGTTCTTTGAGTATCGGACATTCCTATAGATGATACACGACGACGAATTCAACTGGTAGCCAACCAAGTAGAAAAGCGCAGAGAACCACATCCTCGGAATCAACATTGCATATATGATTGTCTCACCTATCGATTTACAAAGACACATAATAAACTTGACAGACCATGGTCTCACAACTTTTTGATATCTACTCAACAGTTCATCATCCAAAGATTTATAATCATCTATCATTTTTGTTTTATTTTTATTTTTTTTTTAGTTAGTTTTCTATATTAAAAAATCTATTCAATATAAAATAAACCAATAAACTTAAACTTTTATATATATATATATACAAATAAAAATACAAATAAAACAAAAACTTGCTTTATTAATAAAAATTGATTTTAAATTTAATTTATTTAAAGTGTGTGTTGTTTGTTTTTAACTTATTCCACATAGTGGGTGTTATTAATTAAAAAAAATATCAACCCGCTTTTAATTAAGATAATTAAATTCCGAATATAGATAATTACATATAAAATAATAAAAAACAATTCAATAAATAAAAATTAAGATTTAGTAAATATCTAATAAGCAATAAGATTGCTAGTAGCCATAATGGTAAAGTTACTTTAAATTTGGTATTTTTTTAATTTAATTAATTTTTATTAATTGTTAACAATGTATTGAGATACCTATAAAAAGATAAATAAACAACTATATATACGTATAGGATTTTGAAAAATAAACAAAATGAAATTGAACTTCAAATTAAACAAAAATCAAAATTTGATTGCGAAATTTAAAAAAAATTAATTCAATTTCAACAACATGCGAAACCAAATTAGGGATTGTTTTTACACATAACATGCTATGCTGACTGCAAAAAGATTTTTTAATTAAAGTTTTTTTTTTGATATTATAAAATAAAAGGTGATTAAAAAGTTTTAATTTTTTTTTAAATCATTGTATCTATTATAAAGGTAATGTAAAGTTATAAAATTAAATATATGTGTTTATTTCTATGTTTGATAAATAAGAGCAAAAGCAAAACATAAAGTTATATATATATATCATTTTCATGACATAATAACTGAATAAAAAAATAAATAAAAATGTTTATAATATGATAAATTTATGTTACAACAGAATATCAAAAAAGAAAAAAAAAAAAAAAACCACTTTAATATAAAATACATAAATTTTTTTAAACATAAATTTAACACATTCTTTCTGTGTATTTCCAATTGAACAACACACATTTTTTTTATTCAATTCAATTAAATCAAATAATAACTTTTTCTTTTCTTCAATAACATTTAATATTTATTTGTTCATTATTGATTAAATCAAAGATTCAGAGATATCTTTTTTTTGAAATAAAATATCAAGGTAATTGGGTAAATAAATAACTTTTTTTAAATTTTTATTTAAAAAATAAAAAAAAACCAAAAAAGATTAAGATTCATCTGTTCAGTTCCATTGACCTTCACTCAAGTTTACCTTTTTTTTATTTTTTTATTTCATTTCAACTTTTTTTTTTATAAACATACATATATTTCTTTTTTTTTATATTAATATAATAGTTAACGTTAATATTATATAGATAGATAGGATATATATAGAATGTCACAACCAATTTTAACAACATCAAACGGTGCACCCGTTGATAACAATCTCAACTCAATTACCGCTGGTAACCCAGGTCCAATCTTGCTTCAAGACTTCCACTTGATCGACAAGTTGTCACACTTTGACCGTGAACGTATTCCAGAGCGTGTTGTACATGCCAAGGGTGCTGGTGCACATGGTTACTTTGAGGTTGTCAACGCTGACCTCCCAAAGTGGTGTCGTGCAAAGTTCTTGAATAAGGTCGGAAAGCGTACTCCAATCTTTACCCGTTTCTCGACTGTCGGTGGTGAGAAGGGTTCTGCTGACTCTGAACGTGATCCACGTGGTTTCGCTGTTAAGTTCTACACTGAGGAGGGTAACTGGGATATGGTTGGTAACAGTAAGTAGTTTAACACCTTTTAAATAACATACAAATCAAATCAAATCAAAACATAAACAATTCTAATACTTTGTTTACTTTTACCTACAAATATAAATAGACACTCCAGTCTTCTTCATTCGTGACCCATCAAAGTTCCCAGATTTCATTCACACCCAGTAAGTTTCTTCATTGTCTTTTTATCACCTAACTTTTCAAATCAAACTTTACTAATTAAACTATTATTATTGCTATTGTTATTATTTAATAGAAAGCGTAATCCACAAACCAATTTGAAGGATCCAAATGCATTCTGGGATTTCGCTAGTTTGACACCAGAATCAACTCACCAATTCACAGTTTTGTTCTCTGACAGAGGTACTCCAAAGTCCTATCGTCATATGGATGGTTTCTCATCACACACCTTGAAGTGGGTCAACCAACAAGGAAAGCAATACTGGGTTAAATTGCACTTCAAGACTGAGACTGGTATTCAAAACTGGAATGCTGAGGAAGCCGGTAAGCTCGCTGGTTCCGACCCAGACTCTGCTACCCGTGATCTCTTTGAGACCATTGCCAACGGTGGTGAGCCAGCCTGGAAGGTCTACATCCAATTGATGGAGTATGACGACGCTTTCAAATACCGTTTCGATCCATTCGATGTCACCAAGGTCTGGTCGCACAAGGACTACCCATTGATCCCAATCGGTCGTATGGTCTTGAACCGTAACCCAGAGAACTACTTTGCCGAAGTCGAGCAAGCTGCCTTCTCGCCATCCCACTTAGTTCCAGGTATCGAACCATCGTTGGACAAGATGCTCCAAGGTCGTCTCTTCTCATACCCAGATACCCACCGTCACCGTCTCGGTGTCAACTACCAACAGATCCCAATCAACTGTCCATACGCCGTCAAGGGTGGTCTCAAGAACTACCAACGTGATGGTCAGATGGCTGTCAACGGTAACGGTGGTAAGGGTCCAAACTACCATCCAAACAGCTTCGGTGGTCCAGAGGTCCTCCCAGAGGCCGGTATTGCCAAGTACAACATCTCTGGTGTTGTCGGTCGTCAAAAGTATCAACATCCAAACGACGATTTCGTTCAACCAGGTGATCTCTACCGTTTAATGGACGAGGGTGCCAAGTCTCGTTTGGTCTCCAACATCGTTGGACACATGAAGGGTGTATCCGTTCGTGAGATCCAACTCCGTGCCATCAACAATTTCTACAGAGCCGACAAGGACTATGGTACCAGAATTGCCAAAGGACTTGGTATTGATAGTAAGTTTTATTTATTTTTTTCAAACAAAGTTATTTAAATACTAATATCATATTTTTTTTTTTTTTAGTTAACGATGTAATTAAATCCAATGCTAAATCCAACTTGTAAACATTCTATTTAAAAAAAAAAAACAAACACATTTTATCAAATCAAATCAAACAAACAAATAATAATAAAAAAAATCTATGTTTTTTATTAAATACTGGTGTTATATCATAAAATTTTCAACATAAAAGGATTGCAAGACCGCAATGAGACAAGTCAGTGTATGTTTTTGATCTTAGTCAACAAGATTGTGTGTTCCTACCTTATAATGACATGGTTTTATGTAAAAAGTAAGTTATGAGGAATACCCTTAGAATTTCTGATTATTATCAGAAATCTGTGTGATATATGACCATTTTTTTTTTTTGAAAATCGATCACACAATTTGATGTAAGTGCCTCACCACTAAAAAAATTCAAAAAAAATCGCAAAAAAAAACCAAAAGTTTTTTGCTGTTGTTTTTTTTAAATCAACCAAAAAATCAAAATAACTTTGATGATTTAAAATTTTATTATTTTTATTTTAATTTTTTTGTAAATAATTTAATTAAACAGTTAGTCAGTTCAGTTAGTAATTGTAGTAGTTAGTTGATAAAAAAACAAAAACAAACAGAACAACCAACCAACTAAATAATCAAAATAAATATATATAGAATATATCATCTTTCATTTATACACAAAAAAGGTTATTTTTTAATATAAAATGGGAAATAAACAAGCTAAAGGTTCATCCTCTAAATCAAAGAACCCAAATGCCAAGAAATATAGTATGTATTTTTATTTATCATAATGAATATTGAAGATATTAATATTTCATTTCTTAAATAAAGAATTCGATCCAGATACCTTAAAGAAATTACAGGAATCAACAAATTGTATGTATATTAAATAATAGGAGGCTTTCTCTTCCACTTAAAATTTAAGGTGGTGAAGCTGATCACAAACCTGTGAAACAAAAATTTGCAAAAAAAAAAAACAAAAAATTATTTCGTTGCACCTCAAGGAATCTATTTTTAACTTTTACAATATTACCCACATATATAGTTGACAAAGTAGAAGTAAAGAAATTATATGAAGTGTTTTCAGAGTTGAGCGAAGGTGGAAAGAAACCATTGAATCGTGAACAATTCAGACAAGGTTTGGTTCGTTTGGAACAAGCAGGTCTAAAGAATCTCGACAATACACCATTCCCAGATCGTCTATTCGATCTTCTCGATGTAAATAAAGATAATACTGTCGATCTCCAAGAGTTTGTTGGTGGTCTTTCAATGTTATGTAAAGGAACTGTCGATGAAAAGTTAGAGTGTAAGTGTTTTAGCTAAAACAACAACAACAACAACAAACAAACAAACAAACAATGAATGATTGATACTAATCAGTTAACCAATTGATTGTATACTTTAGTATCTTTTAAGGCATATGATATCGATGGAAATGGATATATTTCAAAGAGTGAACTTTCATTGATGTTCAAACAAGCTTGGATCAGTGGTTTCAAGGCATTGTCCTACCAGACCAACGACGAGTTGAATCCAGAGGATCTTCAAAACTTTTCAGAGGACATGGCACAGATTTTCGCAGAGGGTGCATTCTCATCGCTCGATGTCAACGGTGATGGTAAACTATCGTTCAGTGAATTCAAACAGTTTGCATTATCGCACCCCAAGATCACAGCAACATTGAACGGCTCAAAGAAGGATGTTCCAATCACATTCGGCTAATTTTATTTCAACAACCAAATACAACAACAACAATCACCAAACAAAACCCAACGATCTTAAAATAATATAAATAAATTATAACTTTGACTTGATTCAAAAAAAAAAAAAAAAACTAATAAAATAAAATAAAATAAAATAAAAAAATCAAATTCAATCTATTTGTTTTTTATTGATGATGATAATTTGACTTTCAAAGTTCCCATTTTTGCATGCAAAGAAAGCAAATATTTTGAAAAAACTATTTAGTATTTATTTTTTCCATTATTGGATAAAAACAACAAGATAATAGTAATTTATATATAAGTGTTGGTGTTCATTCATTCACCATTCATTCTATTTATGTACATTATCATTCTTTTTTTTAATTAAAAAGAACAAATTGAAAAAAAGATGAACATGAATAAATATTTAGATATCTCTGGTATTGGCAAAGCATTGAAGAATGCAAGTAAGAGTGTTGAAAAGTCAATCGATGGTTTAATTGGTATACCTGGTAAGTAGTAAATAGCTATAGTTAGATAGTTATTATTACTATTTAAGTGCTTACTTATTTTCAATTTGATAATAATTAATTTAGATACAGATCAGGCTAATAATGGTAATACAGATACAGTTCCGCTATCATCATCACCATCTTCTTATTTTGGATACTCATTCACTCAACAAACTACAAGCACTCCACAACAACAGCAACAACAAAAGACAACTACATCTACAACAACAACACCACAAAAAGTAAATAATAATAATAATAACAATAATAGTAATATATTGTCACCTAATCCTACTGATAAAAAGATAGAGAGTGCATCAACATCAGCATCATCTTCAACGTCACCACAGAAACAAACAACCACAAGTTTAGATGTATCACCTATATTCTCCAGAAAGAATGTCATCACTGCAACGACTGAGAGCAATACAAATGATGATTCTGATGATAGCGATGAAAATAATAAGCCATTATTCACCGTTAAAGATGAAGACACCAATGAAACCAACGACAATAGTAGTAATAACAATAACATTAATAATACATCACATATTTCATCAAAATTTATGATGGATGAGCAACTTGATATTAGTAATGCTTCATTTGGTGATGATGATTTAGACATACCAGATGAAGTTATAGCAACCAGACCAATCGATAATAATAGTAATGATATACCTAGTGATAATGGTATTGATAATAATGTAGATAAAATAGATAGTAAAGAGTCAATAGTTATAGATAGTAGTATAAAAGTAGAAAAGAGAAAGAAATAGAGAAAGTAAAAGAATTGGAAAAAGTTGAAGATAATCATCAACAACAACAACAGCAACGAGAAGAAGTAAAAGAAGATAGACAACAACAGCCTCAACAACAACAACAACAACAACAACAACAACAACAACAACAACAACAAGTACAAATAGATAATAATTTAAATGTTAAAGAGTTGAATGAATTGAAACAAAAGTTATTAGAAACAGAGAGTAAATTATCAGCATTAATGATTGTCAATCAAGAGAAAGATAGAATAGTGGTAGAGCGTGAGAAGCAGTGTCAGAATCTATCATCTCATGGTGCAAAGTTACAAAAGACAATAGATCAGTTGTTGGTTGATATAGGAAAGCTAAATTCGGATCAGAAGAAAGAGGATATCGAGAATCTAAAGGAGGAGTTCTCAAGGAGAATAGCACAGATGGAAAAGAAACTGTTGGCTGCACAGAAAGAGAGAGATTCGCACAAGAGTGGTGCTGTCATGTCTGAGCAACTCGCCACTACCATCAAAGAGAAGGACGATCAGATCAATCAGTTGATGACAGAAGGTACTAATCTCTCACACAAAGTACTACAACTGGAGAATATCATCAAGAAGCTGAGGGCATCCAACAAGGAACAAGATGAAACCATTCAAATGATGACCGAGAGAATCAAGTCTACCGAGGATCTACTGGCGACCAAGCAAGATAGACTGAAAGACTTGGAAGAGACTGATAGGAAATATCACGATACACTGCTTACAATGAAGGAGGTCACTGAGATGACAACAAAGAAGTACGAGGAGAAAGATATTGTTGCCGAGAAGGCGTCGAAACAAGTGACAGAACTTCAGAATGCACTGGAGAAAGCATGGAAAGATATATCAGAGATGACAAAGCAACAGGCTCAAGAACAAGATAGATTCAGTAGACAGATTGAAGAGGCTAGAGGACGTGTGAAGGAGGAGATGATTGCTGCTTTTAGGGAGGAGAGAAAGGAGATGGCAAAGAGAGAGGAAACTCTGGAGATGGTCGTCCAAGAACAAAAAGCATCGATTCAAAGGATGAATGAGCGTGCTGTTTGGAAAGAGGAGGAGCTTAACAAGGAGATTCAACATCTTAACAATCGATGTAGAGAAGCAGAGATGAGAAATGACCAGCTGGGTGCATCTATTCCCGATACAACCAGACCACTGATCAAGCAGATCGAAGCACTGCAGAATGCCAATGATGCACGACAACAGACTTGGGAGGCACTCGAGAAAAGTCTACAGCAACAACTGAAAGAAGCAAAGTTAACAACTGAACAAGCAATACAAAATGAAAAAGAAGGATTGGAAGAGCTTGAAGAGATTACAGCGAGAACCAATCAGTTGGAGATTGAGTTGAAGAAGGAGAGAAACAATGTGAAATTGACACAGACTGATTTGACTACAGAGAGAAACAAATCAAAGGAATTGGATAGTAAGCAGAAAGAGTTGGTTGGACAACTGGAGAAACTTCAACAATCTAATCAACAACTTCAGAAACAACTGAGCAACTATGAAGATAAGTTGGAAAAGTCATACAAAGACAATAGAGAAGCAGAAGAGTTACGACAGAAAGAGAGAGAGATGGAGAGAGAGCGAAAGGAAGAGGAAAAACGATCACCATTGAATCAATCATATGAGCATACACCTTCAAAGCTCTATGGATTGAGAAAGAACTCGAGTCAATTGGATTTCATTCAACTTCAACAGCAACAACAATCACAATCTGGAAACACCAACTCTTCATTACCAATGGAATTCTATAACTCCAACATCAATCAAAAAGATGGTGAAATTGCAATATTACAATCGAAGCTTCAATCGTCTGAAACTTTAAAGAGTAACTAAATAATTAATTAATTAATTTTAAAACATATTCTATCTAACTTTTATATTTTTATTTTTAGAAAAACTAGAAGAAGAGCTTATAAAGTTGACAACTTCAAACGAACAACTTTTATTAGAGTCAAAAGAATTTAAAAATATTAGATCAGAGATCAACGATATGCAAAAGAGATACAGTACCGCATTGGAAATGCTCGGTGAAAAAGAAGAAGCTGTAAACGAATTAAAGATGGATATAATTGATATGAAAGAATTGTATAAGACTCAAATTAATGAGTTACTTGTTCAAATAGAATCACAAAAGAAGTTAATAAATAAATAATTTTAGCCGATTTCATTAATAAATATGCTATCGTTTTTTTTTTGCTTTTCTAATCTTTAAAAAATACAAACATTTTCAAATTGATTTAATATATATAAACTAGTATCTTTCTATTATTGATCAATCGTTTTTTGAGTTTGAAAAATAATTTGAACAAATTTATCATTTGTTGTCTCATGATCAGTCAACAAATTGCAGGTATTGATATTAACCTGCTAGTTCGTGTTTTATATACATTCTCACACAAGCCGTGAGAAATAGCCAATAAAATATTATTATTAATATTGTTTATAGTTATTATTAATTAATAAGTTGAGTAGCATTAAGATAGAATAGATTTAACAGTAGTTGCGTGTTGATGAACAACAGTATAAAGTGGTGGCACGTAGTTGGAAGGATTTAGATTCCAATCATATTAAAATCTTTTTTTTAATAATTTTTATGTACCTCCGCATGCGGGAAAGGGATCTTTAAAAGATTTCGACCAATGAGGGGCTCGAACCCGCGACCTACAGCTTAGAAGGCTGTCGCTCTTCCAACTGAGCTAATCGGCCTGTCATGTTGGAAATGTAAGACATTTCCATATTTATGCTATTATAAAAATGTTTTTGGAAAATATCTAAAAGTATTCTGTGGATCTGTTTAATGCGTTTATTGCTTTTGAAAAATACTTGAGAATGTATCTGATTTCATCTTTTTGTTTGTTAATTCCTTTGCCTGTTCTATTGTCTTTTTTGTGAAACTTGATGTTTCATTTAATTGATTGTCTTCTGTCGATTGTCTTTTTTTACTACTTTGTGATTTGGTTGGAAGAGAACTTGTTGATACTGATGTTGATGTTGATGTTGATGTTGATGTTGATGTTGATGTTGTTGATGTTGTCGATGTCAATGCTGGTGCCACTACTGATTCTTTATCTTTTGATTTATCTATTGATTTCTTTGACTTTTTGGATGATTTTGAATTCTTTTCCTATTTTATGTAAATAAACAAATAATTATTAATATATTAATTAAAATACAATATATAAATGAAAATATATCAATAATTACTTCTTTTAATCTTAATTTAATTTCTATAAGTTCTTCGTTGGATGGGTTCAGAAGGATAATATCAGATGGTTTATATTCTTTCGTACATAATAAACATTGTTTGTCTTCTTTAACCTCTTTCAGAGCTTTCTCTGCAAATACATGTCCACATGGTTTCAGTGCAATGAATCTCTGTTGATGACCTTTGATTTCGACTGTCGATACAGGGCAATACCAAGGTGATGTTGATAGATGTGTATTTTTATTGAAATCTTTATTCTTTCGAGCGGGATTCTCTGCAAAGTGTACTGTGTACACTGATTTCAAAGTACGAATGTGTGAGAGTGTAGCATTGCTAGAGAGAGTACCATCTAGTAATGCTTGTATAACGTTTGCCTTATTAAACAAATTACCATAGTCATCGACAACTATAGGATCCACCAGATCATCTTGTAACAAAGTGCATTTAAACCATCTATTCTCATCCAAATCATTTAGATTAACTTTTTCGATCTTCTTTGGATGTTTTACCAAATCTTCTCTTTTTGCTATAATAATAAATAATAATAATATTATTATTAATAATAACAAATAACAACAACCTATGAAAAGAACAACATACCTATAGATCCACCGTCATTACCCATTTTATTTACTCTAAATAATAATAATATAAATAGATTTAATAAATTTCAAAATTTTTAAGAATAAAACAAATTGTAAAAACTTTATATTTTTTGAATCGATTACATATGAATTATTTGTTTGATACAACAAAAATTCAAACAAATAAATCAATATAATATAACAGTTAATATCAATATATTGATGAAATATTTAATTTTTAAAAAATTTAATAAATCCAATTTGCAGAACTTCGGTTCTTTCAATTCGTTCGTTTTTTGTATTTAAAATTTTTTGTTTTGAATTAATAAAAAAATAATCGACAAAATTTAACAAAAAAATTAAAAATAATTATTATATTTTGTTTGGCGAATTTGATCATATTTATAAATTGTTAGACAGAGATGGTACCAAAGATTAATAATAAGAGAAAACAAGAGGAAGAAGAGGAAGAGGTCTACGAAGAGGAAGATGATCAATTAGACGAGGAGGATGCTGAAGATTATGATGGAGAAGACGGTGGAGATGATGATGAAGAACAAGGAGAAGACGAAGAAGATGGAGAAGATGGTCCATCCGATAAGAAGAAACAGAAATCAGATAAAGAAAAGACACCAAGAAAGACAAGAGCAGAGAAACGTGAAGAAAAGTTAGTAAAGAAATCAAAATTCGACACTTCCTATGAGACTGTATATCAAGCCAAGCTCATTTGGGAACAACTAAAGCGTGTAAACTTGAAAAAAGAAGAAAGAGAACCACTGGCTGCTCAACTCTTTGAAAAGATTCAAGGTAAAATTAAAGAGGTAAGTTGAATGTTCAAATAAAATATAGATATGTTATGTAATTTCATCAAATTTAAACTAATTTTAATAATCATTAATATCCCAAAGATTGTTGTTAAACACGATGGTTCTAGAGTTGTACAAACCCTATTAAAGTATGGTAATGACCAACAGAGAAAACAAATATATAAGGAGTTGAGTGGAGAGGAAATGAGATTGTCTGCAAGTCAGTACGGTCGTTTTTTGGTTTTGAAGATGTTGAAATACGGAAACAAAGAGCAGAGAAACGCTATTATCTCTGCATTCTATGGAAGCATTGTTAAGCTCGTGAGTAATCGTGAGTCTGCTCAAATCGTAGAGTACATCTATTCAGAGTTGGCCGACAAGATCCAAAAGACATCGATCATCGAGGAGTTCTACAGCGACGAATACAAGCTTTTCAAGTCAAAGGAAGCTCGTACCTTGGAACAACTGCTTGCCGCTCACCCCAACAAGAAGGAATCGATCATCAAGAATCTCTCAAAGATCTTGACCAAGTTGCTCTCCACCAAGGGCAAAGGTGACATGTTGGTTCAGTACACACTGATTCAACGTCTCTTGGTGATCTTCTTTGAGTACTCGACACCACAGAACAGCATTGACATGGCAGAGACACTCTCTGAGATCGTACTGCCAATGGTGCATACCAAGGATGGTGCTCTTGCCGCCTACTACGCAGTCAGCTATGGATCTGCCAAAACCAGAAAGACAATCATCAAATCACTCAAGGGATTCGTCGAGAAGGTTGCCAACGAGGAGCACAGTTGTCTTCCACTCATCCGTATCCTCGATGTTACTGACGATACCCTCTACGTAACCAAAGCACTCCTAGGTGAACTCCTTCCTAAATTACCTGAATTGGCATCTTCCAAGTAAGAACTTTAAACAGAAAATTAATTTCCAAAAAAAAAAAAAAAAAAAAAAAAAAAAAAAGTAATTTAAACTAATATAATTTTATCCTATTTTATTATCTATTCATTCAGATATGGACATTTATGGATTCTTCATATCTTACAACCATACAGCCCAAGATATTTCTCACAATATCAAATCGGTCTTATGAAACCAAATTTAAAGAATGTCGATGGTGTTGAAACACCAGTTGGGTATGTATAAAAAGAAAAATAGAAAAAAAAGATAAATATTTATTAATATAATATATAATTATTTATTTTTTTCAGTAAAAAGACACAAGAATTAAGAAGAAAGGAATTATTGGATTTCGTTTCACCAAAATTGATTGATTTGTGCTCGAATTATACAGAACAAATGTTTAGTTCAATGTGGGGTGCTAGAGTTTTGAATTTAACATTAAAGGAAGCCACCGGTAACAAGATCATCTTGACCAACAGAATCCTCGATCAGATTACATCGAATGTCGAACTTTTAAAGCAACACGGTCCAAATGTCCAAACATTATTCAAAAACGATTATATAAAGAATTCTGGTATGTATTATTATTTGAACCAACTGAAAAAAATTTAATCACTAACCATTTTACTTTTTAATCAATCTACTATCTATCTATATAGATTTCGCAGTCAATATGTTTGCAAAAGTAAAGGATAACATCATTGAATACTCTAAACTTCAAGATAATAATTTAGCCTATGTGTTAAAGGATATGATTTTCAATTTGCCAGAGGCACAACAAAAGGAAGCCGATGCCATTATCAAGAAGAATAATTTGAAAAACTTGGTCAGAGCACCACCCAAGCAAAAAAAAATAACCAAATAAATTAAATTAAAAAATTTTTTTTTCAACAACCAACGAACATATTTTTGCACTAGCGTGATGGCACTGTTGATCAAAAAGGTGCACAGATCTTTAAAAAATCCAATTTTTTTATGAAAAAAAACCTTTTTTTATTTTGCAACTCTTGTTTTAATTTTGATCAAAAAAAGACCCTAAATAAAAATAAATAGATCGGGTCTGAATCTTATAAAGTCGAAAAACAAATATAAAATGTATAATAAATTATACATTTTATTCACATTTTTATTATTTTTCAAATACATATATACAGAAATATCTATACCAGCTAATGCTGCTAATGGAGTCTTAAATTCATATTTGATCTTAGATGGAACCTATTCATACCAAGACGCTGTTGCTCAGGGTCTTTCAAGAAGTTCAGACGGTTACAAAGGGTAGGTTGAATTTACATTTACTTGTTTGTAAACTGCGATTTTATATTAATCCAAAAGTACTACTTTTTAGATATATTCTAACGATCGAGTCTAAAGAAGAAATGGATTATATTAAAACCTCTATTCCTGTATCAGCCACCAGTTTCTGGCTTGGAGCTTCAAAGTTAGATACCTATGGTAATCAATGGGGTTGGAACAACGGAGTTATGAGAAACCAACCGTTCTATCAGACATTCCCAGAGCGATGCTTTAGTTATTGTGGAAATTTCCAAGGTTACAACTCTTCATTAACCGGTACACCAGGAATTATTTTCAACCCAAACAACGATTGGTTTGTAGTAAACAGTAATGAACCACAGATGGTTATTTTGGAGTTTGGACCTGACAATAGTGCTATACCAATCTTTGGCTATCTCGATTATAATAGTCAGGATTTTGAAATCTCTCAATTCGCAAGTTGGAGAGGTACTTTTACAGTCAGCTTTTCTTTTAGTTTTGGACAGGTTCCATGTACTCAGATTACTGTCTTATCGGACACCGATAGAAAGGTACGATGCACTCTAGTTCCCAAACCATCGAGTTATACAGGAAAGGTGAAAATCACAATCGCTATTACAGGAGGAAGTAATAGTAACTATTTCTATTATTTCAATTCACCCTATTTCCAATCCTTTCAACAGTCAGGCCCTCAGTTGTCGGTTTTTGGTCTAAATTTTCAAGCAATTTCAACAAGCACATTAAATATTGGAGGTGTTACCGTTAACATTCTTACAGATACATCCAACACTCCAAATAGGATGACTATTAATATGATAACAGCTCCATCTATACTCAGACCAGTTATTTTATCTGACACCAACTACATTTATGTAAATAGACCTTCATTTAGTATGTATTTATTAATTGCTAAATATAATCATTTTCTAAATCATTTAACACATTGTTTTTATTTAGTTAAAAATGGATTGCTTTATGCTTACAATCCAATTGAAATGCTTTACCAAGATGCAGTAACAGCTTCAACACAGTCAACATTATTAAATTCAAATGGTTACTTGGCATATATAAATACAGAGGAATTGGTTACTTTTATTAAAAATTATTTTGTTCCTTCTTTTTTTAGAATATGGACAAACATCCAGTATGCTTCAGGATCAGGCTTCAGCTACTACAATACTTCAATTGGTGGCCCCTCAGAGATACCAATCATCTCATCTGGAGGAACTACATGTTTCTTTTATGATCTTTTTATGAACCAAACAATTGGCTCAGCACTGAATCCAGCTCTTAAATATCCTACGATCGTTGCATATGGTGTGCAAAAGCCTCAAATTGATACATCTATTCAAGTTGGCACAGTACCAACTATCGGTGGTGTTTTGACTCTAAGTATGCTTTCAAATAATGGTTTGCCAGGTGGAAAAATTTCAATTAAGTTGCCGACGTCGACTTCTACTGGTACTATTACCTATGATAGAAGACTCCAAATAGTAGTTCCTGCTGGAACTGGTAAAAATATTCCATCTACAATCAAGGTGTCAATGGACCAAAACATTAATCCTTTCAACGGTCAATTTAATTATGCTTTTAGTTACAATGGTAAATGATAATAGATTTTTAGAAGAGATTAAAATATAGTTATTAATTTATTATTGAAAAAATAGGACCAACAATCACAGATATTTCATCAACCGGAGCTCTACCTGGAAACCTCACTATTACTGGAGTAGATCTGGGATTATCGCAAACTACCCGATCGGTTGGAGGTTTTCCATGTGTAATTATAGACTATTTATTGGTCCCCCAACAGAAAATTGTTTGTCAGTTTATATCATTACAACCAAAACAATCGAAATACTATATCAATGTAACCGTAGATGGACAAACTTCAAATTCATTGGAGTTTTCACCGATTTGGATCGATGGATTTAGTCCTTCAGCCTTATCATTGGATGGAGGTCTAGTTGAAATAACTGGTAATGGATTCGTTAAAAACTATACGGTTCCACCTACCATCCCTCTCCCACCGGTCTATGTGTTGGTGAAGGAATCAAACCAAAACTGTACCATTGTAAATGTATCCTCAGATAAGATTCAATGCACACTACCCCCACACAGTTCAACGCTTTTATTCAGTATCGTTGTTGTACTCGGTAGTGAAAGAGTAGAAACACAAAGACAATTTTCATATCAGGGTATGGTTAGAAAAACTATTTTACAAAAATATTATTTATAATGTTCTAAAACAAATGATTTTTTTTCTTTATTATAGAATTTGAAATAACTAAAATAGATAAATCTGGTGGTATGGTAGTCAAATTAACCGGTTCATACTTTAGTTTATATCACCCGAATTGGAAGTTCTCCGTTGGTGCAGGTATTCCCAGTTTGGTGAATATGATTGATGATGAAAATGTTGAAATTACTTTTAGTTCTAATTGTACAAATGGGTTTTTCGAAATTAAATCTAAAGGTGGTTTCTTCACTTATCAATCTAACCAAAATTGGTGTAAGTAAAGAATATAATGATTAAATAGATTAAATATATTAATATTTATATTTCAAACTATTAATATTATTATAGTACCTCAAATATTATCAGTAAATTCAACTATTTTAGATCCAAATCAAAACATCATGATCACGACTCAATTCATGGATTATCTAACGTATTGGAGAATATCGTTAAACCATAATTATATGACCAATATTTCTAAAGTTTCGGAATCTGTATACACCTTCTATCCAGTGTTGGGAGTTGGAAAGAACGTCCCACTCCAGGTACAAAACGGTGGTGATTTGACATTAATAAGTAGTAGTGTTATGATGTCCTATAGACCACCTCAAATCAATACTGCCAATTGTAATGTTAATATGAATCCACAATCCGGATTCACTGCAACCGTTGCCGTCACAGGATTGCATTTCGGTCCAAGCAATAGCTCCATTTTAATAGATGAAGGTGTATATTCAGTTCCTACACTTTTGGCTACGACATCTTATGACGACGGCAACATTTTTTTCAAGGCAAACATGCAAATGAGATCAGGTAATCTATCAGTTGTTATTGGTGATCAGAAATCAAACGAAGTCTGGTTGGATATTAGTCCGTATATTACACTGGTGCGTCCACTCAAAGTTATGGGTGGTCCGGTGACCATCTATGGATATTATTTAGCACCAACATCATATAGACAAGAGAAGATATTGGATATCTATTTTGACAAATCAAAGTGTACCAGTATTAGAATGGTTGGATCCAATATGAATCCTTATACTTTGATATGTAACGACGGACCAGCAGGCTACGGAAATATTAATTTAACATTTGCTTATGGAAGTGGAAGTTCGAATATAATATACACTGCTCAATATGAAAAACCTGTTATAGATAAAGTCTCATCTACTTATTACCAGGAGCCAGCTGATGTCACTATATTTGGTAGTGGTTTCGTCAATGTTCAGCTAGCTGTAAATATTGGTGGATCGGAATGTACCAACCCTGTAGCATCGAAGGGTGTCACCATTGTCTGTAGATTCCAATCGGATGTAGATATGTCGAAAACCAAATCTTTGTTGGTCAATGTGACTGCCAATGGATTTTCATCTTCGTCGTACTCGTTCATCTACCTTGCTCGGTCGACAACTTGTCCAAACTGTGAGCACGGTGTCTGTGATACCAAACTTGGTGTTTGCAACTGTAACTCTGGTTATATTGGTGCGACATGTAACAACAAACTAGCGGAAATACCAGTAGATTCTCCAAAGCCAATGGAGAATACAACTCAAGTCGAACTTGGTTCACTTCAAAAGAACATTTTGTTCAATGTTAGTATTACAGAGATTCGTGAAGTCAATGACTTGGGTGTCATTCAAAAACAGGTTTTCCTCAAGGACATCAAGTGGTTCCATTCGACAGAGATAAACAATACTTATACTTTTTCTGGAAGATTCAGCGACGATCCACAGCTACAAGTAGATATCTCAATGCAAGTATTCACAGAGCAGAAAGAATACAACTTTTACGGTGATATCTTCACGGTAGATGCAAACTCTGTTAAATATCAGGTCACAGTTTCTAATTGGACATTCGTAGACAAAATCAATTCCATTCAAATATTGTTCCTCTCGCAAATGCCTATAAGATCGGAATCTGACTGTGTCAACTCAGAGATTACTGGTGAAACTGTAGATACCGAGAAATCACTGAGAAGGCTTGAGGTGCAGCAAGGCAGTGGTATTTTGACAGCTTACTTCTCGGATCGTATGCTTGTCGATGGCAGAGTTATACGTAGCTCCGTAAAGAACCTTCCATTGGACGATCCTTCTGTGATTGCACTTGGAAACAAAACCGAAAATCTAAATATCCTTACGGCTATTTCCGTTGGTAAATTCGATCACAACGTTACAATCGATCCCAACTTTGGATCGTTGCTCATCCAATCCGACTCCCAATGTCCTGATTCCGAGAATAAATGGAGAATACCCGTCATTGTCACAGTCTGTGTGGTAGGTGGAGTTGCCATAGCCATCACAGCAACAATCGTTTTGAAAAAGAAATACAAATATAATATAATGGTTCAGACTATAAAAATGAAGAAAGTTTTTGGAAGTCGAAAGGATCATTAAACAATAACAATAATTATTAATTAAAATTTAAAGAAATAATATTATTTTTTATCATGTATTATAATAATTATAATGTTTAATTTTTTTGTGTTAACCTAACCACCATTTTCTTCAAAACTTTTTTGCCCATTCTCGAAAAGTTTTTTTTTTAGCACTTTCGCTGATTTCTAAATAAGACGAATATCCAAAAATAATAAGGGGTGGATTTATTAATAAAAATCAACTAGTCATGACTGATCATTTTTAAAATCGATGTTATGTTACTTTTTTCAAAAAAAAAAAATAACAACACAAATAAATAATTGAAAAATGTTTAAAGATAAATCTTTAATTTTTATTATTCTTTGTACTTTATTATTATTATTATTATTTAATAATGTTAATTGTCAAATTAATTTTGCTAGTATCACCCCTACACAACTACCACTAGAAGGTGGAATAATATCGATTCAAGGAGGTATTTTTACTTCGGCAGAATTAAGCACATTGTTTTATTTTCATGATGCAATCGGACTTATCTCTTTACAAACAACAAACAACGTTGTAAAGAGTACCACGCTGATGACCACTGTAGTTCCAAATGTAACTAAAGAATATGTTGGTCTTACTGCTAAAATCAATTATACAGAGTATCCCTCTCTAACTCTAAGTTTACTAAGTAAGTAATAAAAATTAAATAAATAAAAAAATTAAATATTTATTAATATGTAATTATAAATAGATTTTACTGTAACAAATGTTAAACAAAACTATTTTAATGTCGAGTTGATTGGTACCAACTTTAAATTATATGATTCTGGTTGGACTATATCTCTTGGTGGTGTCACTCAAAGTGGAGTGAATTGTGTCAATCAAACCTATTGTAGTTTTTCAATTGCTCCTGGCAGCGCAAATAACAATTTCTATATTAAATCGAGTAGTCAATTGGCAGTTTATTCCAATCCTACTAAAACTTGGAGTATGTATTTAATATATGAGAAAGAGAATAGAAAGAAATTTGTTATCTAATTAAAATGTTTTATCTTTTAGCTCCTTTAATTTATTCATTATCAAATACAACAGTAACATCAGATTCTGTAATTGTATTAAATGGACTATTTATCAATCCAACTACACAAGCTACAGTATTGTATGGTGGTACGATCCAATTAAATGTACAGTATATCAATTCATCTGTGATTCAAATATCAAACTTCCCAAAAGTAGTTGGTTCTGCAACAGTCAGTATATTCAACACCTTTTTGTCACCATCCAATACAATAATTGTAACATACCCGCCTCCAGAAATTTATACAGTAACTTTGGATAACAGTGGACTATTGGTGATTACTGGAAACTATTTTAGAGATTTTGAAAACAACCCAAATTTACCAACCATAACTGGATTGTTATCAACCACTTTACAACTATCTACAGATCAAGTCGAATACTCTAGAATCAACTTTACACTTCCTTTAGATTCTAAAAGTGGTAAAATTACACTTTCGGTAGTTGGTAAATCAGTTAGCTATTCTCTGGGAATCAGTAAGTAAATATAATTACAATTTATTCAATTTCTGTACAATTTGTTAATTTATTTACAAACAAACAGAACCAAATGTAACAAAAGTATCTAGAATCCCACTTGAAGGAGGACTGGTGTATATAAATGGTTACTTTTTATCTCCTCAATCAAATGATGGAAATAATGTTTTAGACATAACAATTGGTTCAGAACCATGTATAAATATCACAAGGATTGGAACTTTGTATAATCCATACACAATCTCATGTGTAGCACCACCTGGTCATGGTTTGAAATCTTTGAAAATCAATTCCCTAGGAACAGAGGTACAATATGATGTTTATTATAAGATGGAAATATACAGTGTATCTTCTAGAATGGTCAACAATTCTGGCTTAGTTACTATTTTCGGTGATGGTTTCGAGCAAGGAACCAATGTTACCATTGGAAATAGAGAATGTACCAATCCACAGGTACCAACACCAAAAGAAATGGTTTGTTATCTACAGTCCACTGCTGGAGGAAATGTTGACAATGCAATGTCTGTCAATATTACATTGAACGGTGAGAGTGTAACACTCGATCTGTTTATGTATGAAGCCGAAGTTAAATGTCCAGATTGTGGTGTCAATGGCCATTGTCAAAATTCAACTGGAGAATGTAACTGTTTAGAAGGATGGGCAGGAATGAACTGTGATATGAAAGTAGATAAAGACTCAAAGTTTATCAAACCTTCCATCGATAAGATAACATCCAACATTCAAGAAGTAGATAACATAAAGATTACCATTACCGAGTTGAGAGAGGTTGCGCCAGACAACTCAATAGTGAATCGATATACCTTTGACAAGATAAACTGGATTCTCGCCACTCCGAGCAACGGAAGTTTCTACAGCTATAATGGTGTAGTCTCGGACAATCTATTTGCAATTCAAGTCAACATTACAGTATTCAATCAGGATTCCACCTACAATTTCATGGGAGACATTATGGAGATGAAAGAGAATTCTTTGAAATATAAAATATCGATTTCCAATTGGAATTTCAAAGACCGTTTGAATATTCTACTAATGCTATTCCTTTCACAAACGACTGCGAGTGAATGTAGTGTAGCACCACAACAACAATCGAATGTCGACAACTCTGTTAGAAGAATGCAAATGTACACGGGAACCACTATGATGTCAGCATACTTCTCCGACAGAATGTTATCAGATGGACGACTGGTACGCGCCAATGTCTATATGACCGATCCCAACGATATCGCTTACAAAGAACTCAAAGAAACCTCACCGGACCTAGTAAACCAGCTCATGTCGATTAGTATACAAAATTTCGAGAACACCACTGTCATCGACCCGAACTTTGGTGCTCTGCTTGCAATCAATGAGAACAACGACAACAGATGTGGTTCGTCAGAAGAGCGTAAATGGTTACTACCAGTAATCGTCATTGCAAGCGTAGTCGGTGCACTCGCTATAGTAATCACTGTATTTTTAGTGTTAAAGAAGAAATATCATGTACAATACAAAATAGTTACAAGTAAATTAACAAGAATGAGCAAAAAATAAATTGTATTTTTTAATGTGTATTATTAAGGACCCACTTTTAAATTTATGACTTTACAAAAGTTGGTGTTTAAAAAAAAAATCTCGATAAAAATAAAAATCAGAAAAAAAAATCGAACCACCAGTTGATCAATGGTTGCACCGATTAAAATCAAAATCTATTGTTTTTGTTTTTTGATCACTAGCGGTGGCTTTTGGTTTTTATATTTTTGTACAAATATAATTCATTTAAAACATAAAGTTATAACTCCATATAAAACTATTATAATATATATATATATATATTCTCTCTATCTGTTATGTATAATTTATCTTTATTTTTTATTATATCTTTTATATCTATATTATTAATTAAAAATGTTGTAGTTGGAATTGTAAATCCTGCAAACGGACATTCATATACATTTGCTACCAATACCTACACCTTCGATGAGGCAATAGCTTTTTCTAAACAATCACTCGGAGTACTTAATGGGTAAGTTTGAAAATAGTTTACGCTTGAAAATAAAAACTATAGTTTATTCATATTAAAATAATAAATCTAGTCATATCTTACAATTAGAAGATTCGGCCGAATCTAAATTTATATTAGATAATTTCATTTCACAAATAACCCCAGATACATATTCAACTGTATGGCTCAATGCAAAAGCACTCGATGGATTGCAGATGGAGTATGGTTGGTTGAATGGAACCACCAGAGGACAGCCTTTCTACCAAACTTTTCCAGAGCGTTGTCTGAAGTACTGTGGTGATTTCGCCGGAAATATGAATTTATCAACTCCTTATCTCGCTTTGGATATAGTTACAGTGCAGGGCGGAAGTTCATATGTACGTTGGAGACCTGCTTCTCCAACCGATAAATTCCAACTAATCATAGAGTTTGAGCCAGCAGACTATCATATGATCAGTCAGCAAGAACCTGGTTCACAGTCATTCGTAATAACTTTCCCATTTTTGGATACAGGATCTAGAATAATATATATCAATGGTTATACATGTTATATCGACACCACCAACGGTAACTCTTACTATTGTTCAATTTCGCCCCAATATTCTATAGGTGGAATGTCTTTTCCCATTGTAATTAGTACGAACGGTGTGAATGCAACCTATTCATATTCCTACAACAATCCTCAGGTTCAAGCAATTAGAATACCAGCACTTGGAGTAGGGAATACCTATTGTACAATAATTGGAAATTCTTTCAATTTCCTAAGTGGTTGTATGCTCTCTATAAACGGTGGACCACTAATGACAATACCATCATCTAATGCTCAATCCATTTCATTAGTTGTTGGAGTAGATATACTTCCAATGTTATTCTCTTGTCCAGACATAAATATTGAATATTATGTACGAAGACCAGCAGTTTTGGAGCCTTCAACCTCACTGCACTATGCCTATCTTCCTTTCCCAGTGACATATTCAGATGCTCTTACAATGAGTACAACATACAAATTGCTCAACGAGAATGGTTATATTGCTCAGATTAATAATACTCAAACCCTCAACTTTATAAATACAGTTTTCACCAATAACAATCCCAACTTTTCAATTTGGTCTGCTGTTACCTATGTAAATAATATCTACTACTATAATCAACAACCATTACAAACAGCGTTTGAACTAGTTGCAGGATCAGGTGCTCAATATTCCTTTACTGGCAGCAACCAAATGACAACACCCACAAGCCAAAATAAACTACCACTTCTTGTAGTCTTTGGAGTACAGACTCCGACATTCAATGCTACCGCTACAGCCTCTGTGCCAATTCAAGGTGGACCTACTACAATCAAAATGCTCTCCAACTATGGATGGAAAGATACTCCAGTAACAATCACAGCACAACCAAACATTGTTTTGCAATCAACTTTAAGTTATTCAGGTGCAAGTATATCTTTCCAAGCTCCTAGTGGATATAATAAGCTATCTTTGGTAGTGTATTTGGAGAAAATAGGTTACAGAACTTCTTTTAATTATAATATAATCTATCAAAGTATGTATTTAAACAAAGATATCAATTTTAATCATTTTATTAATAATGTTAAAATAAATCATATTTTCAGCTCCGGTTATCAATAATGTTGTTGTTAACACTACAGGATTAACTATTTCTATTACTGGAACTGGATTTGTAAGTCCTATTAGATGTGATTCTTTCGACATTTCTTTCACCAGCGTCAGTCCAATCACAGTTACTGGAATATTTACATCCTCTGCATTACAACATATATATCCAAATTTCTTTTTGACTACAGCCGCAGGAAATTCCACTGTTTTCCCTCTTGATCTTACAACATTTTATATTACTTCAATTTCACCTAATGTTTTACCTAGAGATGGTGGAGAAATTACTGTAAATGGTTACAGATTTAGTAAAAATATAGACGCGAACTCAAAAGTAACATTCCCAAATGGTGTAGAATGCTCTGGTATTACACTAAGCCCAGATACAACCTCATTTACATGTACTGTTGGTATATCACCTAACAATGGAACCTACGATATACAAGTGAAAGGAAAGACCATTGCAGGAAATTCTAACACGGCATCTGTTACATTCACAGGTATTTTGATATTCTATTTTTAAAAATATATTATAATATTTCTAACTAAATTACTTCTATTAATAGATTTCGTAGTATCAGATTTGGAACAAAATGGAAGATCTGTGACAATACTTGGAAGTTCATTTAAATTATACTCTCAACTACCCGGATTCACAATCAAAGTTGGTAGTGGTATTCCGTCATCCATTTCCTGCCCTCCAACTCTCCAAATTTGTTCATTCACATTGAATACTCTCGTAACAAATGGACCAGTATTTATTGGAACACCAGCATTCAATGTATCAATCAACAGAGTTTGGAGTAAATATCATATTATTAAATATATTTAATTTATATTCATTTTAAATTAACCAAATTTATTTTTACAAAATCTGTAGATCCAATTATTTCAATCACACCATCTGATATTCTTGACCCAGAGGTAACATCAACAATCAATGGATTGTTATTTGGTGATCAGACTTTGGTTGCCAAACTTAATGGTACCACATATCCAATCACAATCACTAGTTCAAGCTCTGGAACTTTCAAACCACCTAAGCTTACAGGAAAAGTAACATTCCAACTTGTTGGTCAAGGATTTTCCAATGTCATTCAAATGAAATTCCCATCGCCATCCATTGTTAACCTAGTTCTCGATCAAAGTTCACTGACTTGTCAAATCTATGGAAATTATTTTGGATCATCCAACGATTTAATTAATATTCAAGGAATCACAGCACAACCAATCAAAGCAACATCATCAAACTATACAAACATTTCATTCAAAGTTCCACTGAGTGCCAGAACTGGACCACTCAATGTTTCAGTCAATGGAGATGTTTCTTTATCAAAATTCTTTATGATTGGTATGTAGTATTCAATATTTTACTTTATATTGATTTTCAACATTTTATTAATTTTTTTAAATATCAGAACCATCACCAACAACATATACACCACTCAGATTCCTTGGAGGTAAATTGACAATCACAGGTCAATTTTTAGCACCAATCAACTTTGCCAATGAAAATATTCTCAATATTTCAGTTGGAGGTGTTCCATCGCAAATCTCATTGATGGACAACAATTTCGATCCATACCGATTGATTGTTGATTCACCACCAGGATATGGAACATCGAATTTCACAATTCAACAATACAATGCTAAAATAACCAGAGACTTAGTATTTTCACCACCTTCAATAACATCATGCTCATCAACTGTTTATTTAAAGCCAGATACTGTGACGATTGTTGGAGATAATTTCGGAAGTTTCAATCTCAGTGTCACAATTGGAAACCAGACTTGTGAAAATCCAACGATCAACCTAATTGGATCACAAATTACATGTAAATTCAGCTCGAATATCAGTTCTACCGAATTACTTTCAGTTAGAGTGAATGTTGCCAATCAATTCGATCAGAAAAATGCATTCATGTATTTGATTCCAAGTGATTGCAACAAATGTAGTTCAAATGGAAAATGTAATATTGCAACTGGAGTGTGTGAATGCAATGAAGGATGGATTGGAATGGATTGCAGCAAGATAGTATCAAAAACAACAACTCCTGTTAATCCACCAACAGTCGTTGACAATACCACAAGTGTCGAACTTGGAACAACAAAGAAAGATATCACATTCAACGTCAATATCACGGAGATTCGTGAAATAACAGATCTTGGAGATACTGTGAAACAATATTTCATCAAAGACATCAAATGGTTCGATGTTCAACAAACCAACAATTCATACACATATTCTGGAAGATTCAAGAACGATGACAAACTCCAAGTTGATATCATCATGCAAATGTTTGTCAATGACACTGAATACAATTTTGCAGGTGATATCTTCAGTATTCCAGCGAATTCCGTCAAATATCAAGTTCATCTTTACAACTGGACATTCAGTGATAAACTTAATTCACTTCAAGTATTATTCTTGACACAAGCACAACTCCAAGTTCAACAAGGATGTCAAACACAACAATCTGGAATTGGTGACACATCATCCAACACAGAATCATCACTAAGAATGATGGAAATCAACCAAGGAAATGGAATTCTTCAAGCATATTATTCTGATCGAATGGTTGTCGATGGAAGAATCCGTAACAGTAAAGTTTCGATGATCAATTCGACCGATGACTCTGTCAAACAAATTAACTCGCTGTATCCGAATAACCTAAACATCTTGACAGCAATCACAATTGAACATTTTGACAACGATGCAATTGTTGATCCAAATTTCGGATCACTTTTGATTCAAGACGATGACAACCCCGAAGAATGTGGTTCCAATGATGACAAGAAATGGAGACTTCCAGTGATCATTGTTTGTTCTGTCGTTGGTGGACTTGCATGTCTTATCACTGTTGGTATTCTTTTCAAAAAGAAATTCAGATATCAATTCAAGTTAGCATCCATCAAATTGAATTCAATCGGTGGAAAATCGAGGAAATAGAATAAATTAACAAAAACCAAAAAAATATATGAGCACCGAAAAAAAAAACCGTTTGTAAAATAATAAAAAAAAAACAGATCTCATTTTCAGATTTTTTTTGTAGATTCGTTGAAAATTTAAAAAATGGGGGGTCGACCCATTTAAACACCTACCGATTTTTTTCGCCATCAAATTTTCGACCTTATATCCTATTTACAGTTTTTTTTTTATTTTTGTGCGTACCATTTCGTGACAATCATAAAATTGATTAATTTCATCTAAAATCAATGAGACAAATCTTTTTTGATTTTGCAATAGAGAACAACAAATAAAATTATGTATAATAAATATATTGTTTGTGTTATCGTTTTCTTTTATTTGTCTAAAAATATACAGTTTATAGATGCAGCTACCTATCTCCCTACTTTCAACACTGTCAACGGACATTACTATCAGATAGTTGATGCACAACTAACTTTTTCTGAAGCGCTAATCAATTCTTCGCTAACTACAGTATCAGGTTTTAATGGGTAATGAATAAAAAAAATAAAATAAAAATACTAAATAATTGTCAAAATATTAACTCACTTAAAAATAAATTTCAATAGACATATTCTTTCGATTGATGATCTGGATGAAGCTACTTTTGTTAATACAAACTTGTTTAATATTTTGCCTGCCACTGCTACAGTATGGCTTAATGCTAAATCATTGGACACTTTGATGTTGGAGTACGGATGGTTGAACGGAACAACAAGAGGACAGCCATTTTACCAAACTTTTCCAGAGCGTTGTCTAAAGTACTGTGGTGATTTCAAGGGTAACACTAGTCCTCTCGCTCCTTATCTGGCAGTCACCGCCAATGGAGGAGCAAAGCCACACTGGAGATCAGCAACGGCAATCGATAAATTCTATCTCATCATTGAATTTGAAGATCCCGACTATGTTAAAATCCAGCAAGAAGAGATTGGCACTACATTTTTTACTATCCAATACCCTGGAAGTCCAGGTGCTCTATTCATATATGCAGATGGCAAGCGATGCTACGATCAAATGGTTGGATCACCATTACGTACCTGTAAACTCGCAAATACAGACACCATCACAGCGATGTCATTCGACTTTATCTTTACGGAGGGAGGTGTCAATCGTACATTTAAATATTTCTACAACAATCCAAATATTCAGGCTTTAAGACCCGGTATATTTGGAACAACCACTTCTCTCACCGTTGTTGGTAGCTACTTTTCAGTTATGGATGCAAATAGATGCTCTTTCTATATAAATGGAACTTTGGCAGCTTACAATTCAATGCAAACACAAACACAAATCAACTCAATGGTTTTTACACAAACTACTGAAATGGCTTACGTACTACCATTTATTGTCACATGCCCTACATTGAATATCGAATATACCATCTATAGATCTGCCTTATTAGATCCATCGTCGACTCTCCACTATGCATACCTACCTTTTTCAGTGTCCTGGGACAATGCTCTCAATCTAATCAACAAATACACACTCTTTGCCGAGAATCCTTATTTTGCTCTCATCAACGGTAGTGCAGTCAATAGTTTTGTTAAAAACTATATCACAGGTACCCCCAATTACGTTGTTTGGTCTGGTGTTTCTTTTGTAAACAATGTGGCAACCTACAACCAACTTAAATTCCAGACACAATATCCAGTTAATCAATTGACAACAGTTGATACCAATTATTTCTTTAATGGAACTGCTTTGGCAACATTTGGAGCACCAACATCGATTGATCAATATCCATTGCTTTTAGTATTCGGTGTTGCCAATCCAATTATCGATGCAAGTGCTACTATCCCTGCACCGATTGTAGGAGGACCAACTACCCTTAAATTGCTCAGAAACTATGGTTGGAAAGACTCAAGAGTATCAGTTGTTACAGTTCAACCTGTTCCAATGACTTATACTGGAACTCTCAACTTTACTGCAGCAACCATTACATTCAATGCTCCGTCTGGAAACTTATCTATCCCATCCAGAATTTATTTAGAAAAGTTAGGTTATAGATCATCCTTTGACTATAATATCACTTATTCAAGTCCTCTTATTTCAAGTATTGTTATTATAACCCCATCTAGAACTATCAACCTTTCGGGCTCTGGTTTAATTGGAAATATAACTACATATCCTTTCCCAAGTAACTGCACAGTTTCCTCTTCAAACGTACAATGTATCTATGGTATCAATGTTCTTCCGATTTATTACCCTATTTTCTACTTAGTTTCTGACGTGACAGGACAATCGAATACCAAAAGTGTAGATCTCACAACTTTCTATATATCATCGATATCTCCGTCCGTGCTACCTAGAGATGGAGGTATTATTACAGTTAGTGGATATGGGTTCAATTTCATCGACAAAACCACAGTGGTATCATTTTCAAATTCTGTAACCTGTACCAACATAGCTAGAGGCCTAGATGCCAATACAACATTCACATGTACTGTTGGTGTTTCACGAAGCAATGGAACCTATCCAATAGAAGCCAAATCAATTGGAGTCACTGCAACAGTACCTCCTGGTGTTAATGTTACTTTCCAAGGTAACTATAAAATTAATTCTATTAACATATATACTAGTTTACTAATTATAACACTATAAAATTGGATTAAATAGATTTTGACAATATAGATATAGAACAAGATGGTAGATTTGTGACAATTACAGGAAGGTCATTCAGATTATATAACCAATTACCTGGATTTACAATCAAAGTTGGTTCTGAAACTCCATCAATCTCATGTCCTCCAACAACCCAAATTTGTACTTTCACATTAAGCACATTATCAACTAATGGAGTAGTATTTATTGGAACGCCAGCATTCAATGTATCAATCAATAGAATTTGGAGTAAATATAATATTTAAAAAAAGATATATTTATTGTAAATTAACCAAATTTATTTTTACAAAATCTATAGATCCAGTAATATCAATCACACCATCTGATATTCTTGACCCAGAGGTAACATCAACAATCAATGGATTGTTATTTGGTGATCAGACTTTGGTTGCCAAACTCAATGGTACCACATATCCATTCACAATCATTGATTCAAGCTCTGGAACTTTCAAACCACCTAAGCTTACAGGAAAAGTAACATTCCAACTTGTTGGTCAAGGATTTTCCAATGTCATTCAAATGAAATTCCCATCGCCATCCATTGTAAACCTAGTTCTCGATCAAAGTTCACTGACTTGTCAAATCTATGGAAATTATTTTGGATCATCCAACGATTTAATTAATATTCAAGGAATCACAGCACAACCAATCAAAGCAACATCATCAAACTATACAAACATTTCATTCAAAGTTCCACTGAGTGCCAGAACTGGACCACTCAATGTTTCAGTCAATGGAGATGTTTCTTTATCAAAATTCTTTATGATTGGTATGTAGTATTCAATATTTTACTTTATATTGATTTTTAACATTTTATTAATTTTTTTAAATATCAGAACCATCACCAACAACATATACACCACTCAGATTCCTTGGAGGTAAATTGACAATCACAGGCCAATTTTTAGCACCAATCAACTTTGCCAATGAAAATATTCTCAATATTTCAGTTGGAGGTGTTCCATCGCAAATCTCATTGATGGACAACAATTTCGATCCATACCGATTGATTGTTGATTCACCACCAGGATACGGAACATCGAATTTCACAATTCAACAATACAATGCTAAAATAACCAGAGACTTAGTATTTTCACCACCTTCAATAACATCATGCTCATCAACTGTTTATTTAAAGCCAGATACTGTGACGATTGTTGGAGATAATTTCGGAAGTTTCAATCTCAGTGTCACAATTGGAAACCAGACTTGTGAAAATCCAATGATCAACCTAATTGGATCACAAATTACATGTAAATTCAGCTCAAATATCAGTTCGACCGAATTACTTTCGGTTAGAGTGAATGTTGCCAATCAATTCGATGAGAAAAATGCATTCATGTATTTGATTCCAAGTGATTGCAACAAATGTAGTTCAAATGGAAAATGTAATATTGCAACTGGAGTGTGTGAATGCAATGAAGGATGGATTGGAATGGATTGCAGCAAGAAAGTTTCAACAACACCAATTCCTGTGAATCCACCAGCAGTCGTTGACAACACTACAAATGTCGAACTTGGAACAACAAAGAAAGATATCACATTCAACGTCAATATCACGGAGATTCGTGAAATAACAGATCTTGGAGATACTGTGAAACAATATTTCATCAAAGACATCAAATGGTTCGATGTTCAACAAACCAACAATTCATACACATATTCTGGAAGATTCAAGAACGATGACAAACTCCAAGTCGATATCATCATGCAAATGTTTGTCAATGACACTGAATACAATTTTGCAGGTGATATCTTCAGTATTCCAGCGAATTCCGTCAAATATCAAGTTCATCTTTACAATTGGACATTCAGTGATAAACTTAATTCACTCCAAGTATTATTCTTGACACAAGCACAACTTCAAGTTCAACAAGGATGTCAAACACAACAATCTGGAATTGGTGACACATCATCCAACACAGAATCATCACTCAGAATGATGGAAATCAATCAAGGAAATGGAATTCTTCAAGCATATTATTCTGATCGAATGGTTGTCGATGGAAGAATCCGTAACAGTAAAGTTTCGATGATCAATTCGACCGATGACTCTGTCAAACAAATTAACTCGCTGTATCCGAATAACCTAAACATCTTGACAGCAATCACAATTGAACATTTTGACAACGATGCAATTGTTGATCCAAATTTCGGATCACTTTTGATTCAAGACGATGACAACTCCGAAGAATGTGGTTCCAATGATGACAAGAAATGGAAACTTCCAGTGATTATCGTTTGCTCTGTCGTTGGTGGACTTGCATGTATTATCACTGTTGGTATTCTTTTCAAAAAGAAATTCAGATATCAATTTAAAATAGCATCCATCAAATTGAATTCCATGGGAGGAAAATCAAGGAAATAGAATAGTTATATAGCAAAAAAAAAAAAACGATTGTACAATAAAACAAACTTTTTTAGATATACATTTTGTATTATTTATTTTCAAAATCTAAAATCGATTTCCAAACAGTGTAAAGATTGTTATACCATTTCATTAGATTGATAACAATCATTCTAGGTTGTTGGGCAGCAGGATCGTTGGGATGACAATGTGTCCTTATCCAATCATTGAATGAACCTATGTTATCCTTTCCTTGAGCTATGACATCTTGTAGTTGTTTTGATAGAACTTCATCTTTAAGTAAATCTATGGATCGTTGTTTTAAATTGGAGATACCACCTAGTAGTTGGTTAATCTTTGCCAATGTCTCATTGAATTGGCCAGTGCTTGAGAACTGTCGATAGTAATCACCAAAGACAGTTTGCAACTTGGTGACAGGACCAAAGAGTTCGTTGTGCAAGACACGTATCTCTTCGAAAATTTCAATCAATTCTCTTATTGATTTGTTTTGTTGTACATTTTGTTGTTGTTGTTGAACGTGAATTGATGGAATATTTGAAAAGCTATTGTTATTGTTATTGTTGATGTTTGGTGGTGGATATACATTTTGCAATTGATTCAAAGCATTCAAATTGAGTGATTGACTTAGATTGTTTGAAGATGACAATGATGATGTTGATGATGACGATGAAATCGACGAAGGTGTAAATGATTGAGACATAATCCTTGAGTTTCTCTCTATTACCAATGGTTGCGCTGTTGTCTTTTCGCTCGATGATGAGGAACCAATTGAGTGCTCCGATAGTTTCGCTGACAGCCTGTGTGGATTGATCACCGAATTCTCCTTGACCATCAAACTCTCTCTGGAGTGCTCCTTTACCATTGGCATGGGTTCCTCTTCCTTTCTGAGTGTCGATTGATTCGCTTCCCACTCTTTGACCAACTGCTTCAGTATTTCAATCCATTCAAATTGCTCGACGGCACCACGCGCATAGAAATAGAGATGTTCATTGCCAAGAACAGCGAAACCATGTTTGATCTCCTGGTCTTCGGCCGGCAATATTATACAGTTCTTGAGGTTCAGATGGGTGACCACAGAGTACCGAGCAGAGTTATCAAAAAGAGTCGGAACCTTTTTACAAACCAAAAGAGAATCATTAAAGAGGAAAAGATGTCTCTCTTTCAATTGACCTCTCTTTTCAAACAAAACAACACCATCTTTAATATGTCTTCTATGCGGTTGAACCAATTCCTATAATTAAAAGTTGCAAATAAATTAATAAAAAACAAAAACTTTTAAAAATTTACAACAAAGAAATAATAATAACTTACAATGTTTGTAGTTAAAGAACCTTGAATCTGTATCATCTTTTCTAAACCTTCTGCATTTCTCTTACTTTCATTAATAGAAATAGCTACATTCTGTATTGCTTTTAATGCTTGACTGATTAACTCATAGTCACTATGAATAGTTGGTGTATTTTGTAATAATTCCTAAAAAAAAGTCGATAAACAAGTTAATATTAATGTTATTATTTTAAAAGTGATTTAACTAACTTACTGTAAATAAAAGTTTATATCTTGGTATTCTTTGAACTGGTTGAATCTGTAAATCCAAGAAATCTTTATTTTGAAGTAATGGATTACTTTTACAATCCTATAAATAATAATAATAATAACAATGAATAAATTAATAAATAATTAATAAATATAATACTTATTATTATTACTATTATAGGTATAGATATCTAACTATCTACTTACTTTAAAGAAAAAGTTGTTTACTTTTGAATCTCTCTTTTTACATTCGTTAAGTGTTGTTAGAGATTGATTAAAGTTGTTGATGTATTGTGTGTAGAGTTTAAGATAGGGTGTAAGTGTCAAGAAGCAATCGGCAATCGATTGCTTGTTACTCCATTGTGACCATCTCGATTCGAGTGACTCTAGTAACTCCTTGTGAACGCCATACAGTGCAGAGCAATTCGAAAAGATCGATGAAATCTCACTGCTGCTTAGCAGGTCTTTCTTTGCGCCGCTTTGCAGTGGTTGCAAGAATTGACTGATGATCAACTCGAGATTGTGGACGTAGGCACGCTCGGTCTCGATGATCTCGAGAGTGCACTTGGTTCTTCGCTCGATTCTCAATCGCATCTTTTGGTAGCGACGCTTTGCTAGCCAGCCACGCACAACCGACTGAATCAAGGTGATCTTGTTGTGCATATCGATCTCACGCTTCCTCGTGGAGATCTGTGACTCGAGTGCATCGATCGATGCATTCCTACTGCCAAACAAACGTTGTTTGGCTTCGTCTAGTCGCGACTGTTCTCTTGCCATGATATCGGACTTTAGCGATGGATCGAGCTGGTAGCGATCGAGTAACGGTTCAATCTCTGAGAGATACTCTGAGAACAGTGCGTCGAGAGTATTCGACTTTCTTCTTAGTAGCTCCTCTACCGATTGCACATAGCTAGCTTTGGTAGATTCCCAGTGCGCCACCTCATTCAAGAGTTGATCCGATACCTTGAAATATAACTTTTCTTTCTTTGTTGGTTGTTGTTGTTGTTCATATTGATATTGTTGTTGTTGATCATAATCTCGTTGTTGATGTATTTGTTGTTGTAAAAGTGAAAATGATGGTTTACTTGATTTATTGGGAACGGTAGGTGAGTCTAACCGTTTGAAGTTGGCAGGTGCCGAGATAACTATATCTGAATCACCAGATTTCTTTTTCTTTTGCAAGTCTTTCTCTTTTTCATCTTTTTGTTTCTTCTTTTGCAATTCTTTCTCTCTCTCTTTCTCTTTCTCTCTCTCTTTTTCTTTCTCTTTCTCTTTCTCTTTTTTTGTTAGTTTTATTTGTGATGTTCTTAAGTTATCACATATCTCTTCGATATCATCACTATCATTCATCATGATAATAATTTGAATTATGATATAAATAAATATAATGTTACTACTACAATGACAATTACTATTTTTTTTTTATTAATAAATTAATTAACCTTTTTTGAATGATTAATTTTTTTGATTTCTTTTTTATTTTTTTAAATTTAAAATTTTTTTGTTTGATCTAAAAAAAGATATTTGCAGATCTGAGGTTATCTTAGAACCATTTTCTTACACAGATAATCTTTTTTTTTTTTTTTTTTTTGATATTTTATCTGCACCCATCGTTTCTTAGATTTTTTTCAAAACAAATATTGCTATTGAGAAATAGTGATTTTCGTCTTAACATTTAATAATTTATTCAAACCAAAGAATTATTATTAATAGTAAATTATAAGCGATTTGCTATAGAAGTTTATCTGGAGGAATCGACACTGGGTCATCAGTTAACGTTCTAAACGATCTAGTGCCAAAAATGCCAAAAAGGTGAAGCTTTATTTATTCAACAAATTCATTTCAACGACTCTTTGCAGATGGTTCCACTAACTCTTTGGTAAAACATGATTAAACTCGAACAGAACTTCACGAATCGGGCCTAAACACCTCACCTTTGTAGGCCAACCAAAGATCTAGTTCTTCAAAGGATGATCGCTGATGGATAATCTTGTTATACTTCAATGTATCTATGATTGACAACGATATTATGGATGGGTACATAATTGAAGAAAATTTATTATGAGTCTGGAGGCATTGAACATCGATGGGAGCAGAGACGTCTTTATCGCTAAGACTCATATCTATTATTAATCCGTACGTGTTAGCTGATTCTATGTTTCTAACTATAAATATAACAATTTTACTAATTTTCTCTTTTTAATTATTTGTTTCTCCATCTTCCAAAATGAATAGTGAGATGGGATGGCTTTGGGAAGTTCCAGGTTTGTTGGTTCCAGATGAGTTTGAATTCGTCTAGCTTCTTCGGCCATTTGGATTGATATGCTTGAATGTTTGAGTTGTTTCGACCGAAGTCTTGTTTTGATTTTCTGATTAGTTTGTGGTATTCTAGTTTAGCTAGTCTGTTAATGTTATTTGTGGTTGCGAGATTTAAGGTGTTATAAAATAGTAAAATTTCATATCAGCAAACAACAACTCCCCTTTGGTCTAGTGGTGAGGATTTTCGCCTGTCACGCGAAAGGCCCGGGTTCAATTCCCGGAAGGGGAGAAAAACTTTTTAAAAGTGCTTACCCCGCAAGCGTAACAGGTCTTGTTGATCATGAGACAACAAATCTTTTTTTGAAAAAAAAAAAAAAAAAAAGATACTCTTACTCGATGAACATGATCTCATTGATAGATAAACCAACGTGCTATTGAGCAGCGACTGTCATATGGTACAATTATAATACAGTGCCATTTCCCAATGTAAAAACAAAGTACGTACTTTGTTAATGAATATAGCTAAACAATTCATTATTCTTATTATTTTTATACTCCACACATCAACATATAATTTAAATATTTGTAACATCATTAATATTATATTACTATGTCTTTATTACCACAATTAAACGAAGCTTCTAACACTAAGCCACATAACATGGAAATATTAATATTAAAAAAATAAATAAAGAGATTGTAAAGTTATCAAATTTATATTTATTTATATTCATATCACGCTATTATCAATTGTACAAACAAACTTTCTTAATAACCGTCAATAATGAAGATCATTTTTAACAAATATAAAGAGTGATAACAATATTGTTTTTAAAGTGTGAAGTACCTCAATTTGGTGGGAATCGACCAGCAAAAATTAAAAATTTAAAAATCGATCCAAAAAAATAATCACCACCACAACATTTAGCTAACTTCTATCACTGCTATTATATGATTTTGAAAACAATCATTTTTGATAAAATAAAGAATAATATTCAAAATGAATACAAGTGCATATAGAATCGAGAAAACAGATAGATTAATCAATGGAAAGAATGTTTTGAAATTTAGATGTAATCGAACTAATTTTCATGATAAACTAATAGTTTTAGTTCATAATCATTTGAAAGATAAAGATAATGAACAACACACAAATATCATATTAATCGGAAATTTTAAAAAGAATGATGAAATAGTAGTACCAGATACAGTCGATACTCAATATCAATTAATTATCATAACATTATTAATAATATCAGATTACAAACCAATATGCACTTTGGTATTAAACAAATCAGAATCATACACAATCAATATTCAAAAAAGTCAATTCACACACACATTTGACTATTTCAAACAAACACACATCATTAATAACAAACGATATCATTTAATATCAAGATTTCCAAACAGTAATAATATCAATGATGTATATTTAGTGTGTGATACTGATGATAATAGTGCTTTTTATAAAGGTTTCGTAAGATCATTTATCAAAATAATTAATCAATTGACAATCATAAAACTAACATAATCAATTCAAAAGTATGTTTATAAAAAGATAAACTATAAAGATAATCAGAAATCTTGTGAAAGAGCTGAGAATGAAATCAAGGCAATGATTTTACTCAAAGGTAAATTTGTTCAACTTTTTGATTATCATCATGATATAGACAATCAAATCTTTCATATCATCACTAAATATTGTGAAGGTGGTGATCTTTCTCAAAAGTTTAAACGTTTAACTGATCTAAATCTGTATGTATAAAATATTTATCAAGATATGAATATATTACAATTAACCACATTTATATTGAACATAAAAATAGAATCTTTAAAGAATCAGAAATTATTAATTATATTTCACAACTTTTCAATATTCTTTTGGAACTTGATAAACATGGAATTGTTCATTGTGATATCAAACCATCAAACATATTCATTGATGTATATGGTACTTTGATTCTTGGTGATTTTGGATGTTGTAAATTCATTGATCAATCAACAATCATTGAAGATCAAGATTCAAAAGTATTTTTTGAGCCATCTGTTGCCATAACAAGTGTTTCAAATTCGAAAGAAATAACAGATCCAACTATTTTTGATATGAATTCAAACACTTATAAATGCAACTCGTGGAACAATCGGTTATATTTCACCAGTATGTATATTCTATTAATTGATTTTTAAATATATTTTAAACTAAATCAAAATAATAATACAATTAGGAAGCAATGAAACGACAATATGCACAATCATGTGACATCTTTTCAATTGGATCAACAATTCTCAAATTATTATGTTGGTAAATACTCGAATAATCATTTTAAAATATTATTATCAATCAGATATTAACTCTGTATTTTTGAATATTTAAATTGATCAGTCATCAAGATGATCGAAATAATCATCAACTATTCCAATCAACTGGTGAAATTAAGATTTCAGAATACAGATATTCAAAACAATTGATTGAATTTATTCATCGATTGTTGGATCAGAGTCCAAAGAATAGAGAATCATTGAATCAATTATTAAACCAATATGGGAAACCATCACCAATCAACATTTAATTACATTGAGACATTTAAAACAAAAATTATTTGCAATATTTCTGAAGGAATAAAATACTTTTTGTTTTTATAGATTTAAATTTATTACCAGGTGTCATTTCATATCACCTCTATTAACATTTGTTAAGAGCTCTATTGAGTTTAGAAAGGATGGCATCTAATTGTTTGACTTGGAAAAAAAAAATTTTATACTGCATGCAATTTATGTATATAAAAAAAAAAAAAAAAAATGATTTAAAATATTTTTCTAAATAACTTCATATTATCTTATTTGAACTCATAAATCTATTTTTTTTAAAATTTAATTCCATTATTTGTTGTGATACAAAAAGATCGTTCATCTCTAGTATCTGCTATCATTCTATTTGCTTTATATCACCTTCGGTTACTTAAAATATACATATTCAAATACTATAGGCCCACTATCTCCACCAATACAAATTCTTTACAATAAACACTAGAACGAATAATATACATTATGTATCTAAATTTAAGCACAACTGGAGCAAGTGGCTTGTAATCTTATTTTGATATTGAGTATTCACAATGTTACTAACTAAGAAAATTAATTTGATTTAGAATCTGTCTGCTTCTTTCATCATATCAAAAATTTGTTTAAAAAAAAAAAAAAATAGAAAAGAAATTGTAACTTCAAAAACATATGTATATAGAAATTGAAACTACTAAAAAGTAGAAAGTAGAAATGATACATAATCAATTTTAGAATAGATTTATATATTTATATATAAGATCGAAGTTCACTATAAAAAAAAACTCATGTTTATAAAGATGATACTTGGTTGGAAATACATTACAATAATTGATAGGATGTGAAGTTTATAACCCCAAAAAAAATATAAATAAAAATAATTATTATTCTTTTATTTACTTTTTTTTTATTCTAAATAACATTGATTAATTAATTAATTTATACAGTATTGATCAATATTTGTACAAAAAAAAATGAAAGGTAAAATTATTTTAACTTTATTAGTTTTGTTTGTGGTCGGACTCTATGCCCAAGGATGCAATAGAATGGCTTGTCCACAAGTTTCAAAATCACATTGCAACGCCAACAATGGTCAATTCATAGAGAGAAACCTCGATGCCAGACCTGTTCACCATTGCTGTTCCTTCTGCTTGTATCGTGGTGAAGTAAGTTAAATAAAAAGAACAATAAAGTTTTACAAAGTCTAAAATTATTAATAAACTCTTTAAATTTAAAAAAAGATTGGTGAGCGTTGCAATAGTACCTCTGAAATTACTCCCGAATCTCGTGGATATCGTGCATCATGTCAAGATCAATATGCTGTTTGTCATAAGAATACTGGAAAATGTAAGCATTTACTTCTTTAACTGATTTACTTAATTTTAATACTTTTAATTTCAAAAATACTTAATAGGTGGACCTTATGTTACATAATTACAAAAGAAAATTAAAAAATAAATAAATGAAATATTTATTTTTGAAAGTTACAAAAACAATTTTTTATTTTGTATTCATAGTAGTATATAAATAAATAATAATTGATGTTTTGAACTATAGTAAAATATTCCTCAACTATTAACTAATATAATTGATAAGATACTATAATAATAAAGTGGTTAATTATATAGAATTCTAACCCCAAAACACAAATAAAAATAAATATTTTTTGATTTAATTTAAAAATTTTCAAAATGCAAAAACTAACTTCTTGAATGAATTTAAGTTCATTGTTTGATCAACCAAACCTTCAACGTTTAATTCTTACCAGACATTTACACTTTAATAATGGAGAGTACAAAGAGTGGTGTTACTTCAAGTCAAATCGCTCATTTCTTTTATAAGTAGAACTATTAACTATTAGATACCATCTGTATATCCAGCGACTGTCTGGTGAGATGTCTAAAGTTGATTGGCACAATTGGAGTGTGGCTCTGTTGGAATCTTACATGGCGGAGGATCTTCCATATTCCTAACATTGCCGTTGAGTATGGGTGGGTACATCTCTTTAATTTTTAAAAAAAAAAATAGTAGAAAATTAGAAATATTAAAAAAAAGAATTTAGAAATAAAAAAAAAAGTTTACTTACAAGTATTATGATATGATCCTTTGATCCATATCAATCACCTCAAAACTGATTAAAAGGAATGATTAGATCACCCTTTTATACTTTTTTTTTTAATTATAATTATATTTTTAAAAAAAAAAATCTAATTTATTTAAAATTAATTAAAAATTTAGGAGAATTAAAGAATGATTTCTATTATCTAATTTTTATTAAAATCCAAGTAGGTTTGATATTTTATTATATTTTATAATATTAATCTCTATTGCGACAACTTAGAAAAAAAAATTAGTGAAAAACAGCTCAGCCACTATCATTGAAAAAAATTTAACATATTTTGAGGTTGCGCAAGTCGGTGATGTAATAACATTGATATCCTTTTTTTTTTGACCAGTTGAACAAAAAACAACAAAAAAGTTGTAAACTACTACAAAGAATAGGTGTTTGTTTAATATTGGTTTGAGTTATAAAAATACAAATCGAAACAGCATCCGCTGACTGTGAGATATCCAAGAGATTCGCCAATACAAGCTGGATTTTGACGTAGACCATAAAGTTTGAAACCAGCTTCTCTTAGACCTATAAATAGATTGATCCAAACGAGATGTACGGAGGGATTGATTGGTGGAAAAAAATGTGCTTCAAAAGAGAGCAACTTGATACGCTTTGTAAAGTTTGGGCCTTTACTCAGCCATTCTCCAATGACTGCCCATTCACTTCCTTCGATATCCATCTTTAGCATATCGATGTATCCGACATTCAGGATCTCCATCAAGCTCTCCAAAGTATAGACTTCCCATCGCTGAGTAATTTTGGTTCCATATGCAAAACCGGTGAAATTCTTATCGTCCTTGTATGACAATCCTACGTTCCAGTAATTTATCAATTCACTTCTTCTCCCGCTTTTCATCGTCATAGAAGGATCGAATGATTCTATAAATATTATATATGTTTAAAAAAAAACAAACATTAATAACTTATTATTATTATTATTATTTCAAAACAACAACATACCAACTGAACAACCCATCGAACTTATTTTATCGTCAAATGTAAAGTCATTGGCAATACCGAAAGAGAAACATGTACATTGTGTTTCATTGTTGTTTTGGTTGTAAAGATGATTGTTGTCTTTGTGAGTCATCCATTTGTCTTCGTCGATGCAAACTGGCCATGAACCCTCCTCCGGCAGTATAGAATAGAGTCCACCTCCGGCAATCTCTGTCTGATTACAAACTCCGTCTTTTGTTACAACCAAGCTCAAAAGCATAAAAGACAGCTCCTGTACATGACTTTGTAACTGATCTTGATTCTCTGAAATCTCTTTTGCTCGTTGCTTTATATTGACTATATAATTATCGAGTTTCGAATGACCAACAACGGTAGATATCTTGTTTTTCAATTCTATATGTACATCTCTTTGTTGATCTAGTGTGACGACATCATTATAAAAATAAAAAATTGAACTATATACTATGATAATAATAAATACGATATAGATCTGTTTTCTTTTAGTAATAGTCATTATTAGATAAAAATAATAACTAAAACCATATAAATAAAAAAAAGATAAAATAAACAACAAATAATAATATAAATTATAATTATTTTATAAATTCATTATTTATAGTTAACTAATATAATAATTATATATATTTTTAAAGTGGTTTGTTTGCTTTGTTTTAAGATAAAGAGACTTTTTGTAGGTTATTGGGCAACGATGAAAAAAAAAAAAATGGGTTCGGAGTAATAATAAATCCGAAACTTGGATCTCTATTTTTTTTTTTTTTTTGAAAGATAATTGATTATTTAATCAATATAATATATTAATTGAGATAAATGTAAGATCAATAGAAGAAATTCTTATTGTTTTTTTGTTTTTTTAAAGTTTTGTAACTTTAAAAGTAGTAGTAGTTTTAAATTCTTTTTGTTCGCTTATTAAAATTTGAAGGTTTTATTTTCATTACAAATAAATTCTAAATTCTTAATTCTTAATTCTTGATATGCTCAATTGACAATATCATAATGATTAAGTAATACTCTGAGAAAAAAAATTTTCATAATAAATCACAAAAAAAAAAAAAAAAAAAAAACGAATCAATTGTAAAAAAAAAGTGATCATATGATCGTAATAAAGTTTGAATAGTGGATACTCAATCAATTAGATAATATTTCATCGAAAATAGAATGGTATTCAGAAAGTTATTTGGTAACTTGACCCCAAAGATGGGTAACAAGCACTACTATAAAGGAAGAGGCGTTAGAAACCAGGGTATAATTAATTCAACAGGTAATCTATCAACACTTTGTTTTTTTTCATTCACTCAATGTGAAAAACAAAACATAGAAACAAATCGTCGAACAACTAGACTAGTTCAGTTAGTTTAGATTTAGTTTATCTTTTTTTTTAACTCTACTACATAACATTTAAACTAACTTTTGACTATTTATATATTTATTAAACCTACCTACAAATAAACAGCTAGATTTCAGTTAGATTTAAGTAAAAAAGAATATATACATACACCAGATTTGACAAATTGCGAGGTATGTATCAAACGATCTTATGATCTAGATCATAACAATAAATATTGTTTCATTGTGGTAGAATAACCCGTTTTAACATCAATTTTAATTAATACTATGATATAGCTTAAACCATACGTATCTAGACATTATTTTTTCAATACTACCGAACAAGTTAAAGAGAAGCAAGATCAAAAGATTCAAAACAGACAAAAGAAACTCGAAAACCTAAAGTTTTAAATAAAATATGAATAATAATATAGAATATTTAAATATAATCACAATGTCATTGTAGTACAAGTTCAACTTTAAATTATTATTGATGTTTGTTGTAAAGTAAAAAATACATTACTTTAATACTCTATAAAGCGTACAAATAGATCAATGATTAATAGATTACATTTATATATAATCAAGATCAAAAAAAAACAGTAAAGTACGATCGTTATTATAATATGATTGGTCTATATTAAATTAAAGTGTTTATTTTATTGTTGTCGATTAACATTTGATTGATGTTTTGTTGTCCTATTAATTAGTTAATTAATATTTAATATTTTAATGCACTCTTCAATGCAACTAACCAGTCATCCATTGACTTTGAAGAGTCACAACAAAGGTGCCAAATTCTCTTGGGTGTTCGTATATCTATTCCAAAGTATTCTGAATCTTTATCCTTGTCTTTGCTGGCAGAGCTACTATTATTGTCAAAGTTTACATTTATATTACAATTGTTTGGTTTGATCGCTACAAAGATGGCCGTGTGCAAATCGATTGATCCTTTATACTTTAAGTTCTCGTAGTTGATTTGTTCGGACTGATGTGATATCGTATTCGATCTATCTTTATTACTTTCATTATCTTTACCATTACTATTACTATTATTATCTTTACTATTACTATTGCTACTGTTAATATCATTTATATTGCTATTACTATTATTATTATTGCTATTACTATTTAAATCTAAATCGAATGTACTTGATGTTGTTAGTTGTGGTGTCGTTATGTGTGGTAGTTGTTCTTGTTGGTGTTCTCTTAATGATGACGTCGGAAGATCGTAATAGATCATTGTCTTTCTCATGTCCAATATGAAATACCTCTTCTTCCAAGACTTTACTTTATTGCCACGCTTCTTCATCCAGCCTTGTTTGATAATGCCACCCGAAGGTACACCTTTACTCATTGCCTCAAGTGGATTCGATTGGAATGATACTGGTTCATTAAAACTACTACTAATATTACTATTATTACTATTACTATTATTATTATTATTTACAATGTTTGTTGTGTTGTTGATGTTGTTTGCAGGTGGTTTCGATACTACTGCTTTATGCCACCCTCCAACAGAAACTACTCTCTCTGGTTGCAGAGGTGTCATTGATGCAGAAGCAGCAGCAGCTAATGCACTTGCTATACTATTATTATTGCTATTGGTTGTGTTGTTATTATTATTATCTATTGATACATCGACCAATTGTAACTCTGGGGAACTATTGCTATTGGATGTGCTAATGGGTACGGGTGGTAGTGGATATTTAGGTGGTGAATGATAACTATTGGTTTGTCTTTTTAATATTTGAATATGATTAGTAGTATTATTATTATTATTATTGTTGTTGTTGTTGTTGTTTGTAATTGAAATGGTAGATAAATCAACATCTATTCCACTGAATAGTGATGAATTTTCATTGGTTTGTTGATTTAGGTGATGATTGGTTGGTACGCCGATTGGTGAGGAGATGAATGATGATGAAACCTGATCGTAGATGTTGACTTTCTTTATCTTTTTGTCTTCGTTAATGATCTTTTGACTGTTTGCTAGCATGATTCGCCATTCTATCACTGAGAATACTAAATTGTTGATGGTGGACTCCAAGTAGAACAAACGCTCAAGATCATCGTTGATCTTTGACAGCAATGTCATAAACTCCACCCATAGCAAAGCAATCGGTCCCAGCATTCCAAAAGATCCATCCGACTTTAACTTTGATCTAGCTGCCGACACTATATTCGGTGATACAACCGCATTGCTTGTTGTTGTCATCGTTGTTGTTGCTGACGATGGATTGGGATTAGGTCTTTTACTTCCTATTATTGTTTGATGTTGTTGTTGTTGTTGATGATGACTATGTTGTTGTTGCTGTTGTTGTTCATCTATTAATATTGTTGTTGTTGTTGTATTTGTAAGTGTATTATTAATGTTTGTGTTATGGTTGTTGTTGTTGTTGTTATTTGTAGTAGAAGATGGTCTTCCTCCAATATCAATGATTGCCTTTTCCAGTAGTATTCTTTCGGCTTCGATGAATGTGGAGAATGACGATTGGTGTGCTTCTATTAGAAGGAGACGGTCGATGTCGTAGCTCGACACCTCAGAGAGTGCACGCTCCAGTGAGAATCGCATTGTTTGGTATTGTCTGTCCATCGCCATCACTGCTTCTGCCACCGGTAACAATCTAACATTGACTTTCTTCATATTGACAGCAGAGATATCGTAAAAGTTATTCTCAGTGTTGAATGTCTGCTTGACATACGGCAGGAATGCAATCGATAGCCATTCATCTAGATAGGCATTGTGAAGTGTTGCGAATGTTCCTGTTCCCTCCATACTGTACTGTGACCCACACAACACTTTTAAGTAAAACAACTAACTATTATTATTGAACTTTAATTTAATTAAATTAATTAAAATATATTATTATTTGTTGATTGATTGATTTGTCTTTTACAAAAAAAAAAAACAAAACACACTGTTTTTTTTTAATAATTATTTTCCAATGAGGATATCTTATAAATTTGATTTTTGAACAAAACTTCTTTTTTATTTCTTTTTTGGTTTGATTTTTTTTTTTTTTTGTTTTTATAAAAATTTCCAAAAACCCATACCCACCCGATATTGATGACCCCACTACTTTTAAGTGTGGATATTTTTTTATCCATCGGATAAAAGTGCCTAGATCTATTTGATCATGTCAACATTTTCAATAAAAGTGACGTTGTTGTCACTATTGAAAACTTTAAAATATGTTTTAATTAATTCTTTACACTCATATAAAAATAAAAATCAACTTATTTACTTTTTGAAATTTTGAATTTAATAGATTACTTTTTATTTTAGACCATTGTTGTTTTTGATTTATTCTTATCTTTTTTTATTGTTGATATCGTTGTCAAAATAAATATTTTTTGTTTGATTTTTTAAAATCTTTGACTTTATTGTTCAACAACAACATCCAATTTTTATTAATCTTTGAAGTATCACAAAAACAATTAATCTGTGCTTGCCTAAAAACAGTCTAATAAATCAACCACAAAAAAAGCCAATATCTGCAAAAAAACATAAAAAAGATACCAAAAGAAACGACGAGATTTGCCTCCACGCACCCTTTTTGATTGAAAAGATTTTGATTTGATTGTGATTTGATTTTTGTTGTGATCAATCGTTTTTAATTAATTTACATTATTTCAAAATTATAATAATATTCATCTAGAGAAAAAAAAAGAATCATTCCTTTTGTTTTTTAGTTTTGTTTTTTATTTAATCGTCAAACAAGTAAATAAATAGAAAGATAAGAAACTTTGTTAATTATTTATTATTTTAGAAAACCATTTTTAGATATTTTGTTTTATCTTTTTTTTTATTTTTCTTTAGTTGCTTAAATAGGAAAAAGAGAAATAGTAGAAAAACAAATATAATGGTTTTACAAATAAAACTTGTGAATATTTTAATATTCATTGTTGTTGGTAGTTTTCTATCAACTATAGGGTCGGTGAAATCTCAAGTAATCACTTTTTATTCACCACTCTTTGGTTACAAATTTGGCGTCACCGAGTTCACTGTAAGGGGAACTGGTTTTGGTGCTGCACCTGAGCTCTATATCGCTTCTATCAGACAACTGATGATAGAGGTAGATGTCAATCCATCCGGTACCTCTACATTCGTATGGGAAATCAGGAATCCCAATAGATTGGATAGAAACTATATGAAAATTCAATATGGTTTCACAGTGGTATTTCCAGTTTTGCCAGTTGAAGAAATTTTCTTTAATTTTATAAGTAAGTTAAATATTTTATTTAAATTCATTCTTTCAATTTTTTTTAATAATTATATATTAATATATTTATATTCTTATGATAGCTGCAAAAATAAATTCTTTTACACCAGAATTTTATTATCCTAGAGCTCTGGATAATCAAGTGACATTGACCATTTTTGGAGAGAATTTAATTTTGTTTGACAACGATCCAAAACCAATGGTGAGATTTGAAAATAATGAAAATCAAGGAGAATTAAAAGTTGTCTCTTATTCAAAAACTCAAATCCAATGTACCATACCAAACTTGGAAGAAAATGTTGCTATGGATTTCTCAATCGTAGTCTACCCTCAAAGTCTTCCGGGTGGAGTTATTGCACCAAGTCTCTTTTTCTATACAATACCACTTCAGAATCGAGTGGTTCCAACAAGAGGAATGTCAAACCAACAGCAAATAACAATTGTTGGAGGTCCCTTCCTTGAATTCCCACAAAGCTATGCGATTGTTGTTGGTGGTCAAAACTGTGTGATTAAAAAACGTTCCAGCACAAGAACTATCTGTGATTTTGTTAACACTCAAAACGTCCAACCTGGCACTGAGTTAGCTCTTCCAATTAAGTCAACCATCGATGGTCAGTTTGTCCTTGGTCTAGTTAATTATGTTATTTTCAGTAAGTTTTAATATTATAAAAAAAAACAAACAATTTGTGAATATTTCTAAAACTAATAATATTAATAATATAAAAGAACCAAATATCTTAAGTTTTAATCCAAGTGCTTCATATTCAAATACCGAATTTGATATATCAATCAAAGGAAATTATCTTTCAACAGCTACCTCTGTTTTAATTGGACCGTCACCATGTACTATTACATCGATTTCAGACAATGAAATTATATGCAATTTTAATACTATTGGTGACGATCTTATTGGTGATCTCGATGTAAATGTTTATTTTGATGGAGATACTTTTGTTACCGGTGATGAACAATTCATATTCGTAGCCAGACCCTCGCTATTAAAAATCACACCAACCCAAATCTTTACGGTAGGAGAATGGGAGATCAACGTAGTTGCACAACACTTCATTGATGACAATTACATTGTTATCAATGGTGTTGAGATGGAGGCAGTCCCTATCACCGACACTCTTTACAAGGTTAAAGTAGATCAAAATACGCTGAAATGGGCATTGGGAGATTATGATTTGACCATTCATTCCAAGTATGATCCAAATGTAGTATCGGAATCATTGACTTTATCAGTTGTGGATTCTGACATAACAATTAGTCCCAATTTTGGATATTACTTCTCACAAACTCCAGTTGAAATTGCATTTACAAATTTTCCAATTCAATTTTCCCCGACTGTAGCAATGGTTGCTACTCTCAACAATCAACCAATAGGTGGAAACATCATAATTCTCAGTACCCAAAAATTAGGTGTTACTGTTCCTCCATGTACATCTGATGACAACATGGTTTCTGTTCTTACCATAGATTTCACCTATTACGTTTTCACAATTTCATTCAATTTCAACTATTTGCAACCCTCCTACGATAGTTTCATAAAGCCAGATCTAACACTTTGGCAGGGTGGTGGTTATTTCGAAATTCATGGTGCTAATTTGCAAGTAATCACTTCTATTCAACTGGGTGATTCACTTCTCGATATGTCAAAGTGTACTCATACAACCAACATTTTGATTCGATGTGAAATTCCATCTCGTACTCCTGGTAAATATTTCATGGTTTTGATTGCCAAAGACAGTTTCAATATTGATCACCCATACTCAAACGATGATGAGTTGTTCATTGAATACATGGGTCCTTCCCTTATTTCAGTATCACCAGCACGTGGATCAAAAACAACACAGAATACTCTTTACATTGATGGCACCAATTTACTTGACGACCCCACTCTTATTCAAGTAACTGTTGGAGGATTACAATGTAACAATATTCAAATTATTAATCCTGGATCACAGATTTCTTGTGTGATCGATCCAATGGATAATGTTGGAGAGTTGGATGTCATTGTCATTGTAAATGGTGTTACATCTGATGTCATTGGAAAATATTTGTCCTACTCGATTTCTTGTCTAGGAAGAACTCAACCAGACGGAACCAATGAAGTTGTTGACTGGTGGTTTATCTATAAACTTGGGGCAAATGCACCCGGAAATCCCTATTTATATATTGACTCGAAAATGGAAAAACTTGAATTGTATAATGATCTTCAACACCAAGCACCTATTCCAGATACACAACCCAACCCCACTTTCAGTCCTCTGGAAGCTACATTTGGACAGCCTGGAGTCACTTATTACATGTTCTACAACGACCAAACTGGAACGAGAAAAAATTCTGGCTACAGAGATCAGTCTACATCGCATGACACCTATGGTCATACCAAAGGATTTACATTTTGGGAGGAAATTGGACAGACAATCAATGGTATTCACATTCACCATTCTAACCCATTGTTTCCATCAAAGGCAGACGATGGCAATGGATACAATGGACCCCAAAAAGGTATCAAGTTTCTTGGTAAAAATGATTTCAGCCAACACTTTTTTTGTTATTCGTACAATAATCTCGAATTGGTAACGGAATATATGGTCAAGAACTATGCATTTATTTCGGGTGCTAATGTATTCCCTGATCTAGCAACATCGGTTTCAAGACAACAGGCATTCCCATATCTCTATGACTTGATAATTACCAAGACAATGAGACAAGATTTGCGTAACAACCAATGTGAAGATCAAATAATAAAGGGAAATAGAGATCTCCTAAATTACTGTTATTGGATCTCAAATACTGAAGTAATTGGCAATGGTTTGAAAGCCAAATACTTTAGTAAGATTGGAACCGCTGCAAACGAGAATAATAAATTGTTCAAGGATCCATCAAGATCATCCTATATCTTGTACAAGAGACCCGATATGAAATATGTAGATGGAGTCGATCTCTGGATGGTCGTTGCAGATACATTTGCAAAGAGAATGTTTGTTCAAATGTTTGCTTCCCAAAATAATTATGATGGAGGTCGTCCTAAATACCCAATGCAACCAACTGAGCAAATTCTGAATGTGGCTCACTTAGAATTGCCTCGATATTTATGTCCTAATTCAATGTTAGCCAGTGGCCCAAGATTTGCTTATAGCAGCAATGAACACGCCAAAATAGCTTTTCCAATCTATCCAACATATTCATCACAAATTCGAAATGATAATGGTAACTCTTAAAATGATAATTAATAATACCAATGACTAATTTTTAATTCTATTTGCAGATAATTACTTCTGTGTTGGTGATAATAATAGACATAATGGTCAAGGTGAAAGAGGAGGTGGAGCGATATGTTTCCAGCATGATACTCTAGTTTATCAATTCAATAGAATGGTCAGAAAATATGATACCTTAAATGGAGCGAACAAACAAACAGGACTTTCTACGTATGTCCTATCTATATTCCAAACACTCGAACAATTATAGGAAAATTAATATAATTTTTTTAAATAGTGCTGTTAGTTTATTCTATTCGATTGCTGTACCAATTAAGCTAGAGAGACTAGGTCAACACCCAACTATCAATTGTGAAATTAAAGATTTCATTGCCGGAGAACACTTTTCCAAGTATCCAAGAGAATATACTACAGTTTTGCTAGATACACTTGATGATGTGTCTGATACTACTCTCAATCTCCAGGTTCTCAGAACAACTAATAACAACGTTGCCCCTGAAGGGCAAAGTGCGGTGCTATACGTTGGTGGTGATAATCCAGTTGAAATGGATGTCATTAACTATTATGCAGATGACATATTCTCTTTACATTACATTGCTTTTGATGAGCAAGTGGGATCTATTTGCGACTACGATGGTCAGGTATCTGAATGTACAAAAGAAACAGCTCGTGTTTCATTAATACCAACTACCGATGGTCCTCTCCCAGATTATCCTCCAGCACCCCAAAAACCAGCTACTATACTCAGATACAACATGGCAACAGACAAGAGAAACATTCAGCCTCAACGACAATGAAGATTTCAATATACTTTCGTTCACACAGAGTTACAAGGCAAAGTTCTTTCCAAGGTGGTAACATTATATTTAATTATGTGATCAATGAAAACATTGTCGGTGGAGGTTACTATGATCCTCCAAGAATCTTTAGACAAACTAGTGGTATGTGTGATGAGGAATTAGCATACTATATGACTCTCCACTTCCTTTACACTCAATCCCCCGATACCAATTCATTGATTTATAACGTTGGAGAGAATGCATCACCAAATTGGGCAAATGGTGTTGTTTATGCTATTTCCAAGAAGTTGCTAAATGTAAGTAATTCTTATCAATTATTAATAATAATTATTTTACTAACATCGTAACTATTTATAGCATTTTTATGGAATGGATACAACTCAAATAGAGCCATGTTTTTCAGTTGTTGATGGTTTCACAGATATTGAAGACAATCAAGAGTAAGATTAAAAAATTATAATATATTTAAATTTCTGTAATATTAATTTATTTATTTATTTTTTAGTGATGGTTCAATGGAAGATCCAGATGATTCAGTTCTTTTCAAGAGAAGTGCTAGTGCTGCTTGGGCTTGGATGAACCCTATTTATGACGATGGTAGCAATGCTGGTAGAGCTTCAGACGATTCAGTTCCATTAGTAGATTTAGCAAATCTATTGATAAATGTTCTTCAAGATCAGGATCACACCATTGTGTCCCTTTCCAACTTTTATGGCGATATTGGAGTTCAGTACAGGACTGATTTAAATTTCATAACTATTCTACAAAGATACTACCTTATTCCAGTTGCTGTAAATGAAGGTTCAGATTTTAATATGGTTCAAATTAAAATGCCAGTCAGTTCCTTCTTCAAGAGTGAAAACCTTGCTTCGATTAGTACCGACTCAACAATTACTAAAACTCCACTATCCATTGACGAAATTTCTACAAAAACTGGAGTTCAACAGCTCATTGCAACTCAACTGGTCAATGAAAGCGATATTGTTTCCTTGAATATCTACCAAATCGAAAAGCTTGAAGTTGCAATAGACAAGTGGATTTCGATTAATGGTCAAAGTCAAGCCATTCAAGTACTTATCAAGAACCCAGTCACTCAGTATCACAATCAACCAATCAAATTTATCCAAGAACTGAATCATTATCAACATGGAAATACCATCGATCTTAAATCTCAAGCGGTTGGAACTACAGGTACCAAAATTACATTGACATCTCCACTTTCGATTTCATCGATTACTTTCATTTTGGAGAGTATCATAATGAGTGAATCAACTACCAAAACAAAATTGGGAGATCTCGAGGTATATTACCTTCCAAAACCTGAAGCCTATAAAGGATACATTACCAGTGATTATGATGGAATGATCATTTCAACAATCAACTCTCAACTCTGTGATATCCAAATGGTACAACAATCAGATTTCCTATCAAATAATTTCGATGTTACCTGTTCAGGTGTTGGTCCAATTATTACATCTGTCAACATACTTGATGGAATAACTGATGGTGGATACCAGATTACTTTAAGTGGTATCAGATTCAATTCATCGATGATTATTTCAATCGATGATAAAGAATGTTTATCTACTGTATTTATTTCATCAGAGCAATTGGTATGCCAGGTTCCAAGTGGTATTGGAAAATACAAGGAAATTCAAATTTCAACTCAACAAACCATTTTCAATATTCAAAGATCCAAGTTCTTATTCTCTTATGGTGCACCTGAGATTACCAATGTAGAACCAGAAATCATCAAGAGCTATGGTAGTGATTTCATGACAATCACTGGATCAAACTTTGGAAATGATATAACAAAGGTACAAGTTTTGATCGATGAAAAACTTGATTGTACCATTTATGTACTCACCCAAGAGTCAATCATTTGTTTGACACCTCGTGCAATTGGTGATCACAGATCGGTTACTGTCATTGTCGATGATCAAAGAACCATTTTGAACATCGATACACTCGAACAACAATCATTCAGTTTCAGAGGTCCAGAAATCATCAAATTCGTTCCGGCTTCAGGTGATCCAAACGATAAGATTATCATTCTAGGTGATGGATTTGGAAGTTCAGAGGACAATGACCTCCCACCACTCCTTTACATCGGAGATAACTTGGTTCAAATCGATAACTTTACTTATGATTTTATCGAATTTGATTTGGAATACGATACCTCAACACAACCATTGATTATTCAATCGGGCGACCAAACTATATCTTCACAATTCACTTATTATCCAGCAATCTTGACACAACTCAATAACTCTGATATCACAACAACAGGAGGATTGATTGAAATCCAGGGTATTGGACTTGGTATCTCCTATGATGATGTAGAAATCTACTTGAACTCTGTCGAAATCAATTGTAATGCATTCAACGAGTTCATCGAATGTATGATTCCAGCCGGAATCGGAAGAAACATTATCTTAACTGCAACACTCTCTGACGAACCAATTGACTTGGCTGACAACTACACTATCTCCTACAATGCTCCCAAGATTCTCAGCGTCCATCATTCCGATGCGCAAACTCTGGAAATCAATGGATCGGATTTCGTTCCAGTTGAGCTTGGAGTGGCAGTCAACCCTACAACCTCGAACATTAAATTACTATATAACGATCGGACAGAAATATGTACCACATTCAAATCAAGTGAAATTGCTGAGTGCCCATACTCAGACGACATGCCAACAGCAGTTCAAGTGATGGTAGGAGGACAACTCTCGAACACCTATGGTTTTTAATTGAAATAAATTCAAAAAATAAAATAAAAAAATAACAACCAAAATTTAAACAAATTATTGGTTCAATCAAAGAAATTTATTAAAATGTGTAAATGTTTATAAATACTTATCGCAGATCATGATTATCCAAAAAAAAATTTTACTTTAAAGTTTATTTTTCCATTCATTATCTTAAAAGTTTTTTTTGAAAGATAGATAAAAGAATATTCATTAGTATTTAATAATAGTTTTATAAAAAATAATTGATAATGCCTTGTCAAATTCAATCAGAAACAACAGGATTCGATATTTTCAAGTGGCTGTTAGATAACAGAGATCATGAAAACAACAATGTCATTCTTGATGTTGATTATTTGATTGATTTAGCAAATCAAAACGGAAATTTAGAGGCCCTCAAATATATGTTTGAAAAAAATAATTTCTTATACAGTGGAGATGAAATGAATTTAAAGGATCTAGCAATCGTTGAAGGAGACATTCAAATGTTTCGATACTTGGTGGAAAGAGATGGCCTTTCCGATGAATATTGTCTATGTTTGGCTCATCAAATGGTCATATCGAAATTGTTGTCGAATCTATGTATATCTTTACTATAAATTCGATATGTTGGTAGTTTTCAAATTTAAAATATCTAATATTCGATAAATTAGTAGATTTTCTTTTAAGTACTTATTTACTTCAGCTATCACCATATTTGCCACTTAGGAAATCAATTAGTTCTGCTATTAAGAATGAACATTTAGATGTATTAACGTATCTGTGTAGATATGCTACAACAAAAACTAGTGAACCTAGGGATTATATCAAGTCAGCAGTCAAGTATAACAGTATGGAAGCACTGATATGGATTCATGAAAATGTTCCAAACTGTGGCACCGTCACATTCATTTCTTTATGCCAAGCAATAGAGAATCGTAACTTTTCAATGGTTAAATGGATCATTGAACATTTGAGCGAAGTTGATTTTGTATCTATCAACGAAAACAATAATATCAACTTTGATAAATTTGGTGACTTATTCAGATTCAATCATTTTGAAATAATCGAGCTACTTCTTGAAACATTCAATACAATACCAATGAGCCATCTCAAATCACACCTACTATTCTTGGAATCAAACTATCAAAACTCAATTGAATCAATTGAAATAATTAAAAAAAGTATTTTAAAATAAAATGTTTGTTGTGTTGTTTATTAAAAATCTGTTTTGTTTTAAAAAAATAATCTACATGATTGATTTCTGGTTGATGTTTATACAAAAAAAGAGTTGGTTTGATTTACATGTTGTTGAGGATATGATCGACAATTTCGTCGAGATTGTAGTTGTATCTCTTAATGATTTCAGCAAGAGATTGGTGGCTTCCGAATCCCATGGAGACAAGAGAGGAAACACATGCACGTCTCTTTTCTTCGTTTGGATCGACTGGGGATGGAGCTGCGACTGGCTCTGGAGCAATGATTGGAGCTGGAGCAACTACTGGAGCTGGAACAACGATTGGCTCTTCAATGATTGGTTGTGGAGCAATCAATTGTTGGATTGGTGCTTGGACAAATGCTGGGATATTTGGGTAGAGAGATGCAGCGACAACATCTTCTTGTGCTGGTGACTTGTCGATAATGTTAAAGTCATCCTCGTCGACTTCGAATTCGTCGAGCTCCATCTTTGGTTCTGGAACTGGCTCTGCCTGTACGACGGCTGGTTGCTCAACGACTTCTGGTTGTTCAACTGGCTTCTCTTCTTCTTGTGGCTTCTTGTCGTCTTCGACAACAAAGATGTCAACGTAGAGTCTTTGACCGAATCCCAAACCCTCTGGAGTAACGAGCTTCCAGTAACCGATGTAACGACCTGGTGCAGATGGAGTGGTGAGGTTGAGACCGACGTCAATGTCTTGACCTGGAAGAACTGGGTCGACAGTGATTCCATCTGGTGAACCAAGTCTGTCACCGCTGGACCAGACAAGAGTAGAGTTTTCTGGCCATGCTTCACGACCGTCGTTTCTAATTCTCCAGATCTTGGTGAATGGCACGTTTGGACCAAATACTGAACCATCCTTTACAGTGATATCAGAGACATAACGAGCCAAGTGCTTGTTCTTGTGGCACATCCAACGTGAACGAGATGGACCTTGTCTTGCGACTGAGCAGAAACCTGGGGTGGTGATCTTGATCAATGGATGTGAGGTTGGATGAATGACATCTCCCTTTTGTTCACACTTTGAACACAAGTCATAGTTATGGCAGATCGCACACTTGTAACGAATTCCAAAGATTGACGATTCACATCCATCGCAAACAACATTAACATGTTCAACAAGTTCATCTTTCTCTGATGGTTTTTCCTCTGTATTATTATTATTGTTGTTGTTGTTGTTATTTTCATCGGTATTCTTGGTTGGGTCAATGTTTAAACCTTTGAAAACATCGTTAATCATATCGTTCAACCATGGTTGATTCTGACCAAAATTCTTAATGAGATTCTGAATTTCCTCTTTGGTCTTGTCAGAGTTTTGACATCCACCAGCACCAAAGAATGCACCGAATGGGAATGCACCTCCTTGTTGTTGAGCGTTTTCAGATTTGAGACCATCGGCTTGTAAGATTGAATTGATCAATGATTGGAAATTGAATGGGCATGATTGTGGTTGTGATTGTTGTTGTTGTGGCTGTGGGGTTGATCCTGCTGATGGTTGTTGAGCAGCATCCTTTGCCAACACAGTCAATCTAAGTAATCTTGGTGTTTTATATCCAATCAAAGAGAGTGCTTCCTTGAATTCAACTTCACTGGTGACCGAAATTAAATCACCATCGTCATCAGTGTATTTCAACAGCAAAGAAGTCAAAGAGAACAAACTCTTCAAAGTTGAAAACAATTCTAAATAAGATGGAGTTCTTTCAAATGAACTAAATTTTAAAGAATAAAAATAAATAAATTAATAATTTAAGTTAAATAAAAAAAAAAATATATTTAAAATAAAAAAATTTTATTTTAATATTTTTATACATACATTCTTCTAGTATCACCATTGTACGTAACTTTGATAGATAATTGATCCATTGTTGATTATGAACTAGATTAATTAAAATAAAATAAAAAAAATAAAAAATGATTATATATTGGTTGATTGAAGTTTAAATGTAACTGTTTGTAATTATTATATCTATTAAAGTTGTTGTTAAATTTATTTAAATAAAACAAAAACAAATAATAGATAAGTGAAAATAAAATGTAATTGTTGTGGAACTAGTTGGGGTTTTTATAATTATTTTTTTCGAAGTGTAATAAAAAAAAAAATGAGAAATTAATTAAAAAAAAATTGCAAAAAATCTTATTTTCGTGGGAAAACATCAAAATTATGCAAAGGTGAGTCTAATGATTCAGAGTGAATAACAAAAAACTCAACGAATCGATTAAAAAAAATAGAATGAGGTTGTAATTATTTATTTGAAATTTCGTCTAATTATCATTTAATTTTTATTTATACAAATAATTTTTTTTTTTTCAATTAATTTTTATCAAACAAGGGATTCCTACGACGATCTATTTATTCTTTTCTTGTTGACAACAAGAAAAATTGGATTAAATCGATTATCCGGATTATTTAAAAAATTAACAACCAACTAAATTTATTTTATTGTATCTAAAGTAAGTTTAGTTAGTTATCTAGATCCAAAAGATAAAAAAAAAAAATAACAATAAAAATTAGTTTGAAATTTATATTAAAATTCGAAATAAAACAAAATAAATAAAAAAACTGAAAATTCAATTAAATTTTGGAAATTAATTATTTAATTTGTTTATTTTTTATAATGCTTAATTAATTATTAGTTGGTTGTGATTGATTTCCTCTTTTTTTTTTTAAAACTTTAATTCAATGTGCTTTAAAGATGCTTTAGCGGTTGTCATTAAATCTTGATAGGAGGTTTGTTCTTTGGATTGAGCAAGCTGTTGGTTGATATATTTGATTGCTTTGGCGATTGACAATTTCCATTGCGAGGAAATTGGTTGATAGTGAGTCTGGAAGAAAGCGACAACCAGTAAGGTAAACCAGATGTTATCGATGACCTTGATCTTTGGCTTGAGTGTATCTTCGAATTCAATGAGTGGCTTGATCTTGTCGTCCCATGTTCCGTTGGCCTTTTGGAGAGCCAACAACTGGTTGAACGGTCCTGGAGTGGCCTTCTCGACGACGCCGTACGATCCTGGGTACGATCCTGGGTATGGCATGGAACGAGAGTACGATGATGGAGCAGCTTTACCATAGTGGAATGGTGATGGTCCGTGGCTGGGTGGTGCAGGTGGTGGTGGTGGACCACACTGTCCCATTTGGGGAGGTGGTGGTGGTGGTGCAGAACTGAAACATGTATCACCTAATGAAGCGGTTGGGCGTGGGGGTGGTGGAGCACCTCCTGGTGGTGGTGGAGGAGCACATGGACTGATTTGTGAGATCTTTGGTGATGGTGCACTTTGTTTGGTTAAAACTTGTTGTTGTTGTGGTTGTTGTTGTCTTAATCTTGGCGATAGCCTTGAGGTTGTGTTTGAGTTTGATGGTGGTGGTGGTGGAGCAAAGCTGTCAACTTGTGATACAGCTTCATCGTTTTCAGTATCGTTGATCTTCACCGACTTCATTGTGTCTTCGATGACCTCCTCCGATTCGTTGGTGACAATGTAGGAGGTATGTTTGCTAACCAAACCGAATCTCTTTGACAATCGGATAATCAACTCCTTGTTATTCTTACCCTTTTCTTCCTCACGTTCCAAATCGTTGATACGCATGTAGGTTGCCATCGAGTGGAGATTGACAGTTGCGTCGTTGTCTTTGGTGAGCACGATTGGAATCTCGTATTTGAGGGTTTCACCGGTTGGACCGTCACCTGTGATGGTAACAGTGGTCTTGTGATTCTTGAAGTCCTGTTTGTTCAAAACACCGTAGATCATCATACGTTCACCGGCGTAGATAGGACGGATTGCAGCTGGCGACTGGATAGTCTTGAGTTGTCCCCAGTCGACCTTGATATTGGAAATCATCGGTTGGAATGAAATCTCCAGCAGTTTCATTATTTTACCTTCGTAGTCGGTGTCGTTCTCCGCAATGAAATCGTAGAATCCTTTGCAGCTGTTCGATAGACCGATGACGAGTTCACGATCGACTTGGCCACCGATACCAACGGTGAAGATACGGGTGGAGCTCGACTCCTTAGCGACGTAGCTAATGAGTTGTTTACGATCGTAGATCTCACCGTCCGTCAGAACAAACACCTGTCTTGGGTAGGCAGGATCGGCTTCTGTGCTAAGGATATCACGAATCGCTGGGAACAACTCGGTACCACCCAAATCTGCATCGAAAAATTGAATCTGGGTGGAAACCGAGCTTAGAGTTTCGTCATTGTAAACAGTGGACCGTGGATAAACTTTAACAAAACTACTACCGAATCTGACGATGTTGAACTTGATATTCTCGTTGAGTGAACGCATAATAAGTTGAAGTACAGCCTTTGCCTTTTGGATACGGCGACCGCTCATCGATCCCGAACAATCGAGAACAAAGATAAACTCTGCTTTTTGATTGAGAAACTCTGGTTCCAATTCGAATTTTGGATAAAAGTTGATTCCGACTGCATAACCTTCGTCCTCTTGGTTGTACTCAACAAAGTATTGTGGTTTCTCAGACTTTTGTGGGGTGATAGCGACCAAGATGTTACCGATGCGATTGATAGTTGGAACAGGTGGATCGACAACTTGGTATACCAACTTGGCATAGCTTGGTCCGTCAGTGATAAATTCGTTGACAGCCAAACGATCCATACCAATCTCGACAATCGGTGTGGAGAGGTGTACTTCGGCAGTGAATTTAAAGTTGTATCTAGAGTTGGCTGGGAACATACTCTTGTGAATGAAATAATGGAGATTCTCGAGTGAAGTACAGATCTCAGAGATGATTGTAACCTCTACAGTGACCTCTTTCTTTGGTGGAATGTTACCGAGTTGAAGATTGAAACTGCCACTATCGCTCTTCTCTGCCATAAATGCTTGTCCACCCGAAGCAATAGCATCGTTATACTCTGCCTTTGCAGTTTCCTTATCCTTGATAATTCCTTTCAATACTTTATTATCAAATTCAACTGATATTTGGAAGAAAAGTAAAAATAACAGTTAGTTTCCCATAATATTAAAATTTCAATAACATTTATAGTTACATACTGGTGAAAGCAGAAACAGTGGCATAGGATGGAAGTGATAGTTGGTAGGTTGCTTCAACTGGAGATTCATAGGAATTGGTGTACTTTTGACGGTAAACAGAGATGGAGCAGGTATCGTTGATTTTGGCATGAATGGTAAAGTCTTGCAAGATGAATTGGTTGGAGGATTGGAGTTGTGGGAGGAGACCAGTGATAGGGGTGTGTGCCGAAGCCAGATGTTTATCGATATCACGATAAAAGTCATAGTAAACTGCATTCATTACGACTTCATCACCCAACTTCAACACTTTGCAAGCCTCCAACATTGATTTCGCTGGTGGTGGTACTGGATTTGGTTGTGTCTGTTGTCCGGTTTCTCCTTTCTCTGGGTGAGCTGAACCTTCAGAGTCATGGTGTTCTTTGTCGTGATGATGATCATGGTCATGACCATCTTTATGTTTATCTTTTTTGAATTGTTTAATTAACCACATGATAGATTGTGTTATTTACTTTCAGTAGTTATTACTTTTTAGAAATTAATATAATACAAATAATAATACAAGATATTTTAATTTATAGATTTGGTTTGGAATTGATTTTTTTTTTCGATTGGTTTATAAATCAGTTATTTTTGAAAGATTGGAAGATTTGTTTTTTTTTTTATTTTGATCAAAATTTAAATCGATTTAAATTAAATGGCACATTTCGATGAAGGGTTTTCAAAAAAAAAAACCAAACAAATTTTGGTGCTGTGTATATTTTTTGTTTCAATTTATTTCTGTTGTTTTGGTACTGAGAATCAAGTTGTTTGTATTTGATTTGTGAAAATAATCCTTATACAAAAATAAAGTTGTCTTAAAAATATTAATAATTTAGTTGGAATATATTATTATAACAAATAAAATGAGAAATGATATTATTGATTTTTGACAAATTAATTAATTAATAATTAATAAAAAAAAAAATAAAGAAAAGATTTCAAAAAAAAAAAAAAAAAAAAAAACAAAATTATTTTAAATATTTGTTTAATTAGTTAGTTCTGTTCTTTTATCAACATTTACACCTCAAGAAACGAGAATACTTTGTAATATTTAAATTGTTTATTATATTATTTTTTATTTAATATGAGCGGACCTTACAGAGTTTGTATAGTATGTGTTTATTATGTTTAGGTGGCTGTTTTTAAAATAGGTGTTAGTTCATTCACTCATTCATCTTTAATTTAATATTAGAATCGTTTACAAAAAGAATATCTTGAGATTCAACGTAAACCTGAGAAGCATATCTTAGCAAGAGTATGTTATTATTATTATTTTAATCGTTCCTCAAACAACAAGAATAATAAGCATTGACACTACATTCGTTATTATATTATTATTAGCCTTCACCTACCAATCTTTTAGAATGGCATTATATTATATTTGGACCTGAGGGTTCTCAATACGAGGGTGGTGTATATCATGGTCAACTTATATTCCCACCTGAATATCCTCATAAAGTATGTATTTATTTCAACCAATAACATATCAAAGTAGATCTAAAGCAAATATTAACATAATTTATTATTTTAGCCACCATGTATGTATGAATAATAAACAACATAGGTTTCAGTTAATATAGATTTTATGTATATATTTTTAACACTGATGATTGATAAATCTTTCTAGCAATTCTTATGTCTACACCATCAGCAAGATTTGAATGTAATACTAGAATATGCGTAACAATGAGTGATTGTAAGTTGTACTACTCTATCAGACACATTCCTGTTTTATTGATAATATTATATTACTAGTTCATCCAGAATCATGGAATCCATTTTGGAATGTTTCAACTATATTACTTGGTTTATTATCATTTATGGTAAGTAGTACTAGGTGTTTGTAAAGATCATTAATTATTGATTGGTTGTTCTATGTAGACTGAAGATGTACAGGGTAGTGTTGGATCAATAACAGCACCAAAGTCAGTTAGAATGAAATATGCAGCGCAATCAAAGAGTTTCAATTGTCAGAATCAAACTTTCAAAAAGGTATTTCCAGATCTATATCAAGAGTTTAAAAAAGAAATGAAAGAAAAAAGACAAGCTTCATCATCTTCATCATCGACATCATCTCCACAGAAACAAACAATACAGAAACAACAACAAGATCAACCACAAACATTACAACAACAGTTACAACAACCAAAACAAAATATAATACTCATTATATCTTTATTTATTGTAACATTATGTATAATTGGTGTATTCATTGTAAAAAGATAAAAGATAAAAGTAGAGTAAACATTTAGTGAATTTATAAAGTTTAAATAGTTGTACAATTTTATTATTATTATTTTTTAGTGATTCGAATTAATTCTAAAGAATTTGATTTAAATTATTTAGTTTGTTTTGTTTTCATTATAATATATATATATTAATAAATGGTTAACTTGATTGGTTTGTTTGATTCGATTCGATTCGATTCGATTTGATTATTTATTATAATGTTTTGAGATGTATGCAACATGATCTACGATGACTGCGTCTACACCAAGAGTTTCTTGAAGATCTACTAATGCAGGATCGTTGTTTTCTTGACCCCAACTGCATAGCATTAGACCTGCCATCTTTACTTCTCTGATGATTGGTGTACCCTCTGTGAGAATACGTGAGTTGGTTACGATACCGAGGAGATGTGCGGATTTCGAGAAACGGATGGCCTCTGAGATCGAGTTGGTACGTGGATCAGAGTGTTGTGAGAATCCAGCGTTGTTCAAGAAGAACACCGGGTAACGTGGTTGTTTCAATGAACATAATATACAGATGTCTGGGTCGAACGATGAGAACATCACTTGACGGTCACCGGCATGCTCAAACACCACACCCAAGATGATGTCGACATAGGCGTTACGATCGACCGAGTTGAGACGTTGCTTAGCCTCTGTCTCTTGGCAAGGATATTTGATCTCAATGTTGAATCCAGTCTCGATTGGGACACGCTTGAATGTCTCCTCGAGTGTGGTCATCGAGTCAGAGATGGTTGTCGATGGCTGTTGTGACGAAGAGGGTGGCACGCTTCCACTGCTGAGCGATAGCGGATTCTGATCTTCGTTGGAGAGTAGATCTTGCATGGAACGCGATCTGCTGTGTGGCGACGCTAGAGGTCTGCGTTTCGGTTGGATATTCGAGATCTGGTCGAGTGGAACCTTGTTGACTGGCACCTTGATGCCACCGATGTTGATTTCAAAGTCGTGGTAGATTATCGGTGCATTGTCACGCGATAGCTGCACGTCAAACTCGATATATTGTGCACCTAGCGATGCCGCTGTAACAAATGAGAGAATGGTATTCTCTTTGATGTGTGTACGTTTGTAGCGACCGACATTACGTGCATTCTCAGCACCTCCACCACGATGACCAATGAGTAGGGTCGACTTCCAATAGGTGTTGGAAAGAACTTGGCTGATGTTTGGATGGGTGAATGGTGTTACGATCAGTGGGAATACTGTTAGTTCACCGATGGTTGTCAATGTTGAGTTCATAATGGGGACGGTTATCTTGGCGGGCTTGGTGTTGAGCAGATCCGATGCCAGCAGGACAGCTCTACCAATGAGGACGTGCGACATTCCCATACGATACATATCGAATTGCACGGTTTGGAAGTTGTTGAGTTGCGGTGTCTGGAAGGTGATAGTCTGGTCTTTGGTGCATGGATGTGAGATCTGCGTTGGCGAAGTTCCCTGGAGATTCTCGTTGTTATTGTTACGCACGGACACCACGATTCTTCCAATCTCTGCGTCGTTGTACATCTTGATTGGCTGAATCAACTTACGTTGTGGATCGACAGGCGATGTCTCACCGAATCGAATTCTAATTTGGTTGTCGTTTACCAACCAACCTTTTTCGACAAACAGTGTCTTTTGTTGAGTGGATGGCAGTGGTACTACGAGCTGTGATTGCGAGAGCGATGGCAACGATGGATCCATTGAGAGATCGCCGTGTGTTGGCGCAGAGTTCAAGTGCTCCTCAGAGATGGCACCAAACACTCCGTCGTTGATCAACTCTTCCTCTTCCTCTGGCGAGAACTTTCTGTTCTCCGGTAGTGCTTCCCACATCTCGAGACGACTCTCCTCACAGATAATGTATTTGTATTCCACCTGGACGTTGGTTGGCAAGCTTGCCTTTCCAACCCAGACACTTTCTCCTGAGGCACCGTTGATTGACTCGGCGAGATTCAAAAAGAGTGCGTGAGCTGGATTCCACTTGCCCAGAGCTTTTCTGTTACCGATGATACCGACGCGATATCCTGGCTTGACGGTAGCAATAATCTTGAATGTCACATTGGAAATCGATGATTTCGGAATCTTCTTTGAGAGAATAGTAGAGGCATTGGCTGGATTGATCTTTGGTGTCGATGAACCAGAGGTGGATGCACGCAAGTCGATTTCACTGGTCGATCTGTTAAGCTCAATCTTTGGTGACTGTGGAATACCTTTGGAATCCTTTAGATTCGGTGTCGATGAGTAGGTGGTATCTACAATCTCGTTGGCTTTGCAATACTCCATGATGGTAATGGCTGTCTGGATGTTTCCACGATACAGCGAATGAACGATTGGCGACCACTCTTCCTTGTCTTGAATGAATGGATTAGCTTTGTTTTCGAGCAATATCTTTGTACACTCCAAAAAGTTGAAATAGGCAGACTCGTGGAGAGGTGTCCATCCGTCGTCGTCTTGCGAATTGATAATCTTTGATATTTCACGTGTCGATTTGTCTTTGTTGAGTTGCTCAACGAGTATCTCAATGATTTTACGATGACCGTTACCTGCTGCCATGTGAATGGGAGTGCGCTTGTCCTCGTCGGTCAAGTCGACCAGCGCATCTTTGGCGAGCAGCAACGAGATCACCTCGGTGAAACCACGCTTTGCGCATTCAAAGAGTGGAGTGCGACCGAATGAATCGGTAGCATTGACACTGATCTGTGGATTCTCAAGGAGCACGGTCATGTTGTTGACCGAACCCTGGATGGCTGCTTCGTGAATCAAGTGACGTCCGTACGGTCCCGGAGTGATTGGCGAGTTTGCTTCGAGCAACACCTTGATTACAGCGGCGTTGTCGTTTGGCTGACGACTTGCCAGATAGAGAGGAGTGCATCCCTCACGATCCATTGTGTCGACGCGTGCCGACTTTGATAGTAGAAGCTTAACAGTGTTGATATGATAGTTTTGTGCTGCAATGTGTAGAGGTGTTCGCTTGAGGTAATCTTCACAGTGAATCGAAGCACCCTTTTCAATAAGGAACTCTACGAATTCTGGATGACCTCTTCCCGCAGCAATATGAATGAACTGCTTATCAATCTCATCGATGAAATTGATATTAATGATTGAACCAAACTTTTCAAACAAAAACTTTCCAACATCCAAATGTCCCAAATAAGAAGCTTTGTGAATACATGAATGAACTGTTTCCTTCCACATCGGTTGATCCTCTGCTAACCTTAGTTCTTCCATCAACACTTTAATATCAGAAATACATCTAAAATGTTTATAAACATTGTTGTTAATTATTGAAAAAGTAAGTTTAATTGTTTTTTCCATAAACTTACTTGTTTAATGAATTTACATCATTTGATATTACAAGTTGACAAAGTTGAGTAACTGTTTGTGATAATTCTTTTTGTTTTGGCTGTGTTTTTTATGTATTTATGTTATGTTAATACTTATTATTATTAATAATAATAATGATTTGTATCGTAATACTTACACTTAATAAATTAATGTATGGATTATTTAAAAAGTTTAATCCAGATTGTGTCATGGTTTGGAATTCACGTTCGATTTCCAATGTGATCTTCTTGAGCTGTGAACATTGTCCGAGTTCGGTGCTGTCTACTTTGCTGCTAAAGAATGCGTCGATGTCTTGGTTGTTTGTCAGCTTGTTGTTTCGTGAGTTTGTATGTGGTGTAGCTCCGTCCGTTTGCAATACAATCGGCGAGCTCGGGTTAGAGTCGTTGAGGCTGCTCTCCTTCTTCAACTTGGAGACCGCCGGCGAGTGCACTGTCGATTGCGACTCACCGATGCTACCCTTGCGACGCGATGTCTCACTCTTGACCTTCTTCTTGGCGTAGGTGTTCATCAGTTTCTGCACGGCCCACACATTGATCTTGGCGTACTGGTCGAGGTCGGCCAGCTGCTTGATGATGTCCTCGAACGCCTTCTGATAGGCAAGCATCGAATTGATCTCTTTGTAACCTGCAATGGTTGCAGGTGTTGCAGTGGTGGTAGCTGCAGTAGTCGGCATCTGTACGAGGTAGAGAAACGAAGAGAATGGCGAGGCGAAATCGACACCACGGAAACGCGAAACCAGATATTGATATCGCTGATACAAGTCGTTCTCCTTCTCACGAATGAACGAATCGATCTTGTTGATTTCATTCTCGATGAGAACGAGGAACTCGTCGTATCCGACCATTGGCGAGGGTGGTGGAGTGATCATCGCATTCGAGTTGGGGTCGCTCAGTGACAACGCTGGTAACTGCGGTGAATACATTGCTCTCAGCTTTCTTTTCAACCTCTGATATGGAATGTAATTATGATTCCACACAGTCATAGTGTTTAGATATTTAGAGAATTTCATGGTGGTGTTCTATTTTATTTTTATTTTAATATTAACTAATATCTAATAATCGATTCGAATTTATATTTTTTAGTACTAAAAACTCTATCTAAAAAAGGAAAAAAGAAAAACCACTCACACACAATGAATGAATGTCACAACAACAACAAGAAGAATACAAAAGTAGTAGTAGAATGAATGACACGAAGACTAAAACAACTTGTTTGATTTAAAAATAAGTACTTATTATGAATAAATATAAAAAATAAAATAAAATAAAAAAGGTATATATCTATATGTATATTACAAATTATTTGTTATGTTTTAAGAAAATAAAGTAATTTAAAGTTTATTAAGAAATTTGGGTAAGCTTCATCTAAAAAATCTTAAAAAGAAAGTTTTTAAACACAAAAAATGTTGTCAAAAATGGAAGGGTGTCACAGTGATAAAGAAGCTAAAAACCTCCAAATAAACCAGTTTTGCAGTTTTTGTTCGAGTTTTTTTTTTTTTTTTTTTAAATAAAAAAAGTGAGACCCCACCACTCTAATTAAAAATAATTTTTTTTTTTGCTTTGATCAAGTTTTTTATTTACATTTTTTTTTGGAGTGACAACATGATTATCATTTTTTTGTTCTGATTGATCGACACTACAAAATCGTCACCATTTATAACCCCTTTTACACTTCATTTTTTTTCTCTTTGCAAACAAAATCATTTCTCAAATTCGCGCTTGTTATGTTGCCAAAGCAAATCGGTTCATATTTTAAATTTAAATTGGTATTATTATTGTTGAGTCAAACCGGCAAGTCTTTTAGCAACACGGTTTGTTAATTAAAACAACCAGTTTCTTTTCATCGTACCCGGAATTCCACCTTCGAAACAGCATAATATCCCGCTTGCCGAATGAGATGAGTTGTCTGTCTCTCGGATCTCACATTTTCTTTTTTTCTTTTAAAGTCATATTATCAATCAATACAACTCTTTGCTGTTGTTGGTGCATATGCATAAAGAACGGTCGATCCTCACAGATCACTCTGATTGATCTTCTTTTAACCCAAACCACCAACACCATCGTATGCCAATCATTTTTAACTATATATTTAAAGGAAGTAATAGTAGTTAATAATGTAGAATAGATATAACAATAGAGAAGTACATGTTGGCTCTTTATAGTTTTACTTTAAATTTTTATTGTTGACAATTGTATACAATGCTTGTTGTGGAAACATTGAGTTTGTAAATCACACAATGGCTGTATCAAATTGTAAATGAAAAGTGAAGAGTTTTTATTTTTAATAAAAGAAGATATAAATTAATATTTATTATAGATACAGCAGAAGTAAGTAGTTTGAAAAAAATTTTGATTCAAGTTATGATTATAGAAAACAAAGACAAATTATCAGACAATATCAAAATCACACTGTTAAAAAAATCATTGTCGAATATATTTGATAATTTTAGATAAAAAATATCATACAGTGTATATGGAAGTGATAGCATTTAATATCTTGAATAATGCAACTACAAGAATAACTATTGTGTTTTTGTCTTGGTAAATCATCTTAAGATCTTGCAAAAAAAAAAGGTGTTTTGCTTAACAACATTTTGTAGAATGAAATGTTCTTTAAACAACATTGGAAAATATCAAAGTTTATATGAATGATTATAAAAGATATATCTTACAGGAGCATCTGGTATATATATAACAAATATATTGTTGGTTTTAGTTTTTTCAAATCTAAAAATTTATCTCCCCTCTAAAATATTTATTGACTTTTACATGTAAAAACAAATTATTCTATATTTGGAAGTTAGTTTGTCAGTGAAAAATCGAAATAAATAAAATTTAATTAATTTTGAAATATATTTTTATTTTTTTTTATTTTTAATGAAAATCAATGAAAAAATGCTTGTGCTTGATGATTTTCAATAAAGAATTCATAACAATCATCAGGATTCACATTTTCAATTATTTCATTAGTTTTTAATAGTCTAATTGTTAGAGTTTTTTTGTTTTTCTTAGTTATTATAGAGTTTATAACAGCAGCATAGAAAACATGGGTTTTATCAGTTTTGTAAGTATACAATACATATCTACCTTCTACCAATCTATCATTCGAAATACTTTCTGTTGCACTTTGTATTGTAATATAATCAACACTGTAATAGTTAGCAATTACTTCACTAAATTTATTAAACATTAGATTAGTTATAAAACATATTTTTTTGTTTGTATTTTTACTTACTCTTTGAATGCAACTCTATATGTATTATCTTTCTTATTATAATCTATAATGTGACCATCCCACCAAGAATAATAAGCACTATCTATATTTTCGTCAACACCATACAATACAGATACTCTTTGATTTAAAAGAAACTTTGGTTTACAGTTGAAATCTGTTGGATAGATGCTGTTTTTGTTGTTCTTGTTGCTCTTGTTGTTGTTCATGTTTTTGTTGTTCTTGTTGTTGCTCTTGTTGTTGTGGCTTGTTTATATTAATCTTGTAACTATTTGTTGTAAATTGCTTTCATATTCTATTTACTTTGTGGAGATACTCCAAGTTGCCATATCTCTCCAAAAACAATCCAACATGTACAATGAAAATATGCATATAAGTCGATATCTTAATATCAGCGAGAATTAAATTGGAACCAAATTGTGATGACATATATCTCCATTGATATTCTTTGACAGGTTCATCAGATCATGCAAGATATTAAGCAATGAAGTTGTTTCCAATATTTCTTTATCTATATTTTAATTAAAGACATTAGTTTTAATTGTTTTTTATTTTTTAATAAACTACACATCTTACCAATTCTAACTTATCATTATTATATACAGAATGATTCGACAAGGTCTTAATAAGAATATCTTGATTGATCAAGATATTTATATATTCCATATAGTTAACAGCTGACTGTTTGAATCGGTCTAGAATGTATAAGGCTGTCCATGCAAGAGTGTACCTGGTGAGACCGTTATCAATGTCAGTTTAGCCGTACACTTGAGGAAGTCTTCGATGTCTTTTCGTAAGGTTTCATTGGTGTCACATAGCAGTAGTATCGGTTTACAAACAGTCTTAACAATGGACATGAACATGTATAACGTGTCTGGTGGAACTTTAGTTGGATCAATGTCAAGACTCGGTTCTGCAGCCATACCAGAGAAGCTCTTCATTTCGACCTTTGGGTTTTTGGCTTTAGACTTTTCTTATTCTTGACTCTCTGTCCTTCCTTCCTCATAAGCTCTCTAGTACGTGGCTTAAAGAATCCAATTGTAGAATGGTCGATCTTCTCTTGAGTGTCAGGATCCACTTTTCCAGATGAACCAGTACCTAAGCAAGTAGGACACCTGAATGTCGAGTTCCAATGAAATAGACCGCCAAGACCCATTACCGTGAGCCAACATTTCAAATCGAATGTGTAGAGTAAGTCTATTTGGTAATATCTATCTTATTATTTGATTCTAATTCTTTAATTTCCTGATTTAATTTAGATAACTGTTGTTTCAGTTCAGAGAAGGTTTCGTCACCAAGATAAATAAGAAACATTAGACCATCGTTGGGAGATTTGAGAACAGTAACTGGCTTATTTATGGATATTGATTACAGCCAATACTCCTAAATATGACAAATTCTCTCAAATATAAATAATAAATTTTAAAATATTTAATTTAAAAATATTTAATATTTAATTAATATTTACAAACAAATATAATAAATAAAACATTTATCAAATAAATAATAAAGAAAATTCAATAATAAATAAAATGTTTAAACACAGTTATAAAGAATAATTGTTAAATAATCTAAATTTATTTATTTTAATGTTTATTTTCAGTGGCAGTGCATGCACATCTGTGGTGTTGTCAATATACTCAAAGGTTTATATTTGGGTATTGTTGGCAACATGCTAAATATGGAAAAAAGAAAAACAGAAAATAGATTCGAATTAGCTTAAATATTTATTAAAAAAAGAATTAACATACCATTAATATGAGAGGTTGCACAATGTCCAACCTTTTTGTTTGATAATGAAATTGTGAAACATTCACATAAATTACATTCGAATCTGCTGGTGAGACGCGAAAAAGTAAAATATTTTATTAATGTTGAAAATTTATTTTTTTTATTTTCTAATATTTTGTTGAAAATATAATCTTCCAAATCAGTGATATAAATCATAAGATTCCTCTTTAAATTAAGTTGGAATTGATTTATATGGATGATGTTGTTGTTTATGTTGTTGTTATTGCTGTTGTTATTGCTGTTGTTATTGATTTCATATGTGAGATCAATGATTTCTTCTGTATACTTGTTTTCCTTTGTTAAATCAATTATAATCTTCATTCTTAATATAAATTGTTTTTTCTATACAAAAATGAAAATATGATTTGCTATTTATATTAAATTCTATACTATCAAAGTAATGAATGAGTTTACAGTAAAAAATAATATTTTACAATATTATATAAAAAGTTAAAAAAGTTAAAAAGATTACAAAATATATTATTCAAAAAATAAAGTTTTACAACAAAAGATAATTAAAATGATCAGAAAATAGTTATTTTTGAAAATTCTGTAAGTTAACATGAGATAGAGTTCTAAATAGTTTTGTAAACAAGTATATATCCACATTAAATTGTGAACAAATACTCAAGCAAATCATATAAAATAAACAAGAAGTGTGAGTAATGTTTATAAACACTGAGAAAAAAAAATTGAAAAGAAGAGAGAGAATATATATATATATATATGGTTGAAATAGGTGAGTAAATAAATTTAAATAAATCAATAATTCTCAATTTACAATTATATTTATGATAAAACAGAAAATAAATAAATACAGATACAACAGTGAATGATATTTTAAGTGTTATATCACAGTGCTGTGATTTGGATTATTCAACACTCCTCAGTACTATTAATAGATGAATATTATTAAATTTAATTGATTTATTTAATTGATTATTTGATAAAATCTAATTTAGAAATGCTGTTAGAACAGACTTGTGATTTGATAACTGTTTTCCCAAGAGACCACCTATTTTTAGTGAGCATGTCAGAGCTGTAACGGAATTCAATCTCTGCAGGTGTAGATGTGCATTGAATGGCGAGATAGTCTCTAGCAATCCTAGATAGAACTGGGAACTCAATTTGATTCTCTTTCCAATACTGCAATGAGTCATTTGAGAATGTAGTTGGTAGATTTTTATATTTTGATAATTCATTCTCATTTTGTTCAACAATAATCTTGTTGAAATAAAAATAAAAATTAATAAATATAATAAGAGTATTGATAGTGTAGATATAAAAATTAATTTAACTTACTATCTTTTGAGTGGATAAAATAAACTTCATTCTATCCATCTCTGGTTTGACTGATTCTATACTGGTTTTATTTCCCTTAGTACCTCCATATTTAGTATAAATTGATTCAATTGAATTGTTTATGTTATTCCAATAATCTTTCCAAAATTCACTTTTAAATACCTCTAATTTGGTGAATGGTGCAAGAAAAGTTGAGATATAAAATGGTTCTATTCCATAATCAAGTGTTGTATAGTAACCCTAAAAAGTTTATGAATGTTTATATGATTAATAGTTTTCAAAAAAAAAAAGTTTTTTTAAAAAACCTTCAAATTTGAAAATGCAAATGTTAATAAAATATGATTACATACATCTATTTCTTTCCAAAAGGCTTCAGCAGCAGTCTTGAGAATCTTATTGGTTTTCCATTCCTCTCCAATGTCCAAGAGCCGACCATACACAGGTAAACTGCAAGACAGATTAACATCAGCTCCTTGTAATGCCAAAGTAATAAAATCCACACCATCCAAGAATTTATTGATTTGTTTGATGATATCCCATTCATCGGTAGTGAGATGGATATCATGTTTCGTAATCTTATATTTAATGTCGTAATCAACTGCATCTTTGATCCTGATGAATCTACTAGTCATCTGAAAAGCAGATGACCAACGGATTGGGTTCAATACTTTTGGCTTTAACCTGTCCTTCTTTTCAGTTTTTAGAATTTCAAAAATTCTAAAATTTTAAAATTTTTTATTAATTATGTAAAAAAAAAAATTATAATTGTGTTTCTTACCCAAAAAAAGCATCTGTTTGGTTACTGGAGTTTCTTAAATTTGAACCATAGGAGTGAATTTTATCGAAAAGATATTTCGTTGATTTATCTCCTATAAATGCTTTTATTGCTGAAAAAGAAGGGTTAATAAATTCAATGATGTATAGGAACAAATTGTTTGTTTAAAACAAAATATTAATATTTTAATATTTTTTTTATTTTTATACAACTTGAATAGCTAATGTATTATTTTTATTATATTCACTTACCTAAATTAATCACATGGTTTAAACATAAAATATGTCCACCCTGGAATCCTTTGTAATCATTGGAAGGATCTTGGTTTTTGACAATGTTCTCCACTGTAGTGTGGTTGTTCGAGCAGTTGTCAGAAGTGGTGCACATTATCTTTTTGGAGATATCAAACTTTTCTATAACATCAAAAAAAAGTTTTGATAGAGTTATACCTGAATCATGTTAATAAAATAATATTTGATTGAATTAATAAATTGTAAATTAAAAATTCATTTTACAATACCTACCTGTTTTATCGCTTTTTAGGCTCTCCATTCCTAACAAACACTTTCTAGCTTTAAATTGACTATCGATCCAATGACCAGTTACACCCAAAAAAGAGATATCCTTGACACTCCAGATATCGAAACAGAAACTGATTTTGGAATCCATAGTCTTGAAATACTCTCTGAGTTGTACAACTTGATCATCATATCTTTTTATTATTCTATTTTTAATAGTATCTCCACCAACTAAATTGAACTCTGGTCTTAACGATGAAATAAAATTTTTAAATCTCTCATCCTCTGTTAAGTTGAAGGGAAGATTTTTTTTGATTACTAAATCTATTAATAATTCCCTATTTTAATATAGTTAATAATTGAATATTCAATTTAAGATCATATATACATACTCTGATACACCTTGACTAAAAGGTTTTGATATAGCAAGTGCAAGTGTTTCTGCTTTTTTCCTTTTTTGTTCTGCGACATACGACCAATCTATTTCACTTTCTTTGTGGCAAGATAATCTCACATCTATAAAAAAATTAAAGAGAAAGAAATATAATAGGACAATCAGATCACTTGAAATTGTTATTATTTTGTTAAATTTAAAAATCTTACTCTCAAGATGTGCCCATCCTAAACCACTAGACACTGATTTTTTGTCTACCTTATCGTATTTAAAAGAAAATACTTGACAGTATTTACACTTCATTTTAATTAAATTCTTATCATTCGAATCTATAAATTTAAAAAAGTGTTCATAAATAGAACTATTATATTTATTGGATCTTTTTTTTATTTCTTTATCAGATGAACTATAAGGGTGATATTTTTCACTCATTTTATAACTATTATAAAATTAATTATTATTAATAAATTCTAAAACTCTAACACTGAATCAATCAAAAATTTATAATTGTAATAAATGTGAAATCAAAAAATAAATTTAAAAAAAATTCATAAATATTGTTAAATATTTGATAAATATTTTTCAAAATCTTGAATTTACCTCCCCATCGCACATATACCAAATTTATGATCAAAGTTAGTGTTTGAAAACATATTATTCAAATAGTTACAAGAGTTAAATAATAAATCAAATAATATCAGTAATACTATTGAAATTAAAAAATTTATACTACATTTCACATGTGAATATGTATGTCATATATCATATATAGTTTATAAAACGTTTTTTGATTTTAATCACTTGACTTTATGTATTTTTTGGTGTATTAGCAATTTAAATACTATACACCGACTACTATATAGTCTCACAGACTGTGATATAACTATTTTATTATATATGTAATTAGTCAATGACTGTATGACATATAGTATGACATATGTAGTTTGAAATTTCTACACACTGGTATGTTTTTCAAATAGATTAAGTTAACCAATTAAATTCCGTACAAGTACAACGCACCACGAATCAATTCAACTCCTAAACATTCATTTAATATCTTGATCCTTTTATAATGGTATAAACAGTCAATGAACTATATATATATGAAAAAAAAATAATTTGTTTTATTTGTATTTTTCAAAAAAATCATACAAATATGAATATATACATATGTATTTTTGTATGTCAAAGTGAAAAATGTGTTAATTAGTGTTATTATAAAATTAAATAATTCAATTCAATTATATCGTACTTCAATTCATTCACATAGTGTTGTTATATTAACATTTAATAATAATTTTATTGATATAACCGATCGAGGTTTAGAAAATTATTTAATTTATAGATCTATAAATTTAATAAAGTTTATATTTATTTAATATTTATATTAAAATATATTTGATATATATTTATAATAAATATTAAATATTCAAATTTAATATTTGAGTTGAGTATTTATTTATTATATTTAGGAGTATTGATTACAGCACACCATTAGACTGTAATTGGTGTAGTGGATTTTGGATCAAATTGGTTGGTGTAATTTGCATATTATTAGCAGGCAACCTATTAATAACTATTGGTTGTGTTCTACTATACTACTTTCTCATCTCATTATTGTTATTTGAGATCAGATCATCAGCAGCCAACATTGTGTCTGCTAGAGATATTAAGTTATTCATTGTGTAAAATTTAGACTTTTGAATATGTTATTATCTATTTTTAAAAAATATATCATTAACGATTTCAATTAAATAAAATTTTAATTTAAAATTTAATTTTTTAACCAAATATGTCAAGTTAAATAAAATGAGAGTCATTCTTAAAGGATAGTCATTATTTGAATTTTTTTTTCCTTTTTTGTACTCGAACTTTTTCAAATTTGGTTATTTTTAAAAAATTAATTTTAAATTATTAAATTATTAATTTTTTAATCCACAAATAAGAAATCTTGTTTCAATATATAAAAAAGATCAATATATATATCATTTATTTAATCTTTGGAATTAAATGTTAAAATCAATGATATTTTGTAGGGAATGCTTATGCTTTTTATTCAAAGTAATGATTTGTTACTGTACATTTAGAGCTAAAAATAAATAGTAGTAACTTGGGAATAGCTTAGATTAGAATTGGTGGACACTTGTCAACTTGATAAAATAGTGTTTGTTCTACCACTTTAAATATCAAGTAAGAGGAATGGATTGAATAGAGTTTGGAAAGAAAGATGGATCCTTACCGCATGCGGGGACAATTTTGTCATATTAAAAATGCCATCTGTCGGGATCGAACCAACGACCTTAAGATCTTCAGTCTTACGCTACTACCAGCTGAGCTAAGACGGCCTTTTTATGTGAATCTATAATCAAAAGTCCTGGTTTTATTTTGTCAAAAAAATGTAAAAATATTTGATAATTTATTTCGGCTTCACATCATTAGTTGGCAGTCTAGCTCAGCTGGTAGTAGAATGATATAATAGGTTTACAATTTCTATTTCATTTTCAATCTTGATGGCAGTTACTCTTCTCAAATTGAAAAAACGAATAAAACGAATCTTTCGATCAGAATCCAAACAATTTAATTAAATTTTCACAAGCAATGAATAGATATATTGTAAAGTCATTGTGTTCATCTACAAACAAACATTTATTTGGATATCGTTCAATTCTGTTTGGTAATACAGCAAGCACTGTTGTTGGTGGAAAATCGACAACAATCTTTAGTAGAAGATCTTATTGTAACAACCATAACAATAGCAATATTAGTAATAGTAATAGTAATGAATTGACAACAACCAGTAACAACAACAATGATACATCCATTTCAATAGCACAGAGATTTCAAGATTCATTGTTGCCAGCTGACATTTCAAAGCAGGCAAGAATCAACATGAGATCACCCAAAGTCGATAAATACATTCATCAGGCATACGACGAAGCACATCAAGCATTCGACAGAGGTGACTATGAAACTGCACTCAAGAAATACTATTGGATCATTGGTAAACTGCCATACGACACCACTGCCTATCTCCAGCGTTCACTCGTCTACGAAGCAATCGGTAGATTCGACGATGCAATCGAAGATTGTAATACTGTTATTAAAATGTCAAATCAATCCGATTCATTAGCAGAGTATGTAGTGATAATAATAATAATCATCATCATCTTTTATAATAAAATATATATATACTTATCAATAACATCTTTTATTCCATCTCTTATTTCCCAAAATTAATAATCATAGAGGTCATATGATTAAAGGTGTAAATTTAATGAGAAAACAAAAGTTTAATGAAGCAATTGCATCGTTCGATTTAAGTTTGGGATTGGTCGAGAATGAAGTTGTATTTGGTTTGAAAAAGAAAGCATTGACATTGGCCAATCCAGATACTATTATTGTTCCAAGATTCGATGATGTATGTTTTATGTTATTGTTTATCAACTTGTTCTTTAGAAACAGGACGAAAGGAGTAATTTAACTAAACATTCTTTTTTGTTCTTTTAAAACAAGGATTATCAATTTTATGAATATCTTAGCAGAGAAATGGAAGGATTAGTACAGATTAAACTATCGAATATACATGGTCGTGGTTTGTTTGCAACCAGAGATATCGGTGCTGAAGAATTAGTATTTGAAACAAGATCTGTTGTTAGTACTTCATCTGCACAACTTAAAGAAGATGTAAGTTATGTTTTTTTTTTGAAAACAAAGATGATAAACAAGATGATTGTCATATTAATATAACCAAAATAATAATAATAATAATGTTTAGGATCAACATTGTCATAATTGTCATATTGCATTTAAACCGGTGGAGATTGAGAATGAACAAGAGATTTCAAAGTCTAGAGAATTCAATCGTTTGGCACAAACTATTACGAGAATGACTAGATTGCCGGTCGGTAGAATTATCCCAGAGGGATGCACTCAATGTAACACAACATTGTTTTGCAGTCCAGAGTGTAAGGAAGACGGTATTCACAAGCACAATTCACTATGCTCTTCAAACATTCTCACTCGTGCACAACTGGACAAGTTTGAGAGAGAACTGACCGGTTTGACACAAACCGAGCGTGTTGGATACACTATGCTTCTCAAGTTGATGGCATCGCAATCGGTCAATGGCGATCCAAACCAACCACTCAGACAACTGGAGTTGGACGACTTTGTCAAGCGTCTCTCCTATGCCATGCCAGCCAGCGAAACCGTTCAACTATCTCGCAAAGACAACAGAGTATTCAAGACACTAAAAGATATATTCCATACTCGTAAGTGTAATGTGTCTATTATATATTTTGTTGTTGATATCAATATCAACAACAAGCTTTTATTTTACCTTATAACAATACGTTAGAATATTAATATTAATATAAACATATATTTATAGTGACACCAGAGATATTCTATAGATTAAAATCAATTGTTACTTTGAATCAAACACAAATGTTTACCAGTAAGATTAAAGTACATTGTACACCTGCACCAATGGATGAATTGGGTTACAATTTCGAATTTGAAGACAAGGTGTCAAAGTATATCAATACCATTCCGCTACATCTAAGTTTTATGAATCACTCTTGTGATTCCAATGTCTTTATTGCATCGCCAGTAATCAATGACAAACAGATTAGAATAGTATCGAAGCGACCAATCAAGAAGGGTGAGGAAATCTTGATCTCTTATATCGACGGTATGCAACTTACCACCGAAAACCGTCAAGAGATGTTGGGAGAGTCCTACGGATTCCAATGTACCTGTCCACTTTGTAGATCGAATACAACCATCCCAACACTTAATAAAATTCAATAACACAGTAATACTATTATTTAAAAATAGATTAGATAGTTTAGATAATGAATCAAATCATCTTTTAATCTTTTATAAATATCATCATATCCTTATATTTTTTTATTTTAGAATATTACATTGTGTTTGTATACAAATAAATAAGTTTTGTTTTGTTATTATTGTTATTGTCTTTTTAAGTCGAACGTTTGGAATATTCACTCTCACTTTATAAGAAATCAGAGATTGACTTCTTTGGTGGTGGTCCTTTTGGTGTTTCGGGTTTCTTGGCCAATTCTTCAAACATTAAAATCCTAAAAAATAAAAATAATGGATGGGTGATTGTTAGTAGGTTTATTATTAATTTTAATTTGAAATTGAATTTAAAAGTTACATACTTTTGAAGAATAGAACTCTTCTTTCCAGTCATCATTATAAGGAAATCTCTAAAGTTAATAGTTCCTTTACCGGTGGAGTCGACTTCGGCAATCATCTTTTTCAATTCGAGATGGGTCTTGGTTTGACCAATCTTTTCCATCATCAATTGGAGCTCGTATAAATCGATATCACCACTGTTGTTGACATCGTACAACATGAACTTTTCTTTATATTTCTGAATGGTAGCATCATCCAATTCCTATTATTAGCAAATAAAATTGATTGAAATTAAACAATGTTAATAACTCTTTGTTAATAGATGTATACAATAAATAAATCTACTACTAAACATACAGTTCTAAACTCATCGGCAATGGAATCTAGAGAATTTTCTTGTTGCTTCAAGACTTGTCCATGTACTTTACCACCTTGGTAGTTTTTGGTTGCCATTATTATTCTTATTTTTTATAATTTATTATTTATGATATTGATATAATGTGTAATAACACTTTGTTTTGATTCTTAATTTAATATAAAATCATTTTTGGTTAAATTTACCAATCAGTTGGATATTTTTTTTTAATATTTTTTTTTAAATTTCAATTAATTTGTGGGTAATTTCAATGGGTTTGATTGATTTTTATTTGAAAAATTTAAAAACATCATCACTGTTAAGATATGAACTTCAAACTTATTTTAATAAGATTTTTTATATCTAAACCCAGTTTGTTATATTATAGATTAGTTTTAATGATTTGTGAATAATATATGATTAGAATAAATAGAAGTATATATTCAATTGAAATGAATAATTATTTTGAAATTAAAAAAAAAAAGAAAAATAATATTTTATTATTATTTTTTAAAAAAAGAAATAAATAAAAACTTTTTAAAACCTTTCTAATAATCTACAATATGAATTAAGTAGTTAACTCATTAGATTTAATAAATTTCAGTTTATAGAAAAAAGGGACGAAAGAATTTATTTAGTTGTTTTTTTTAAAGAAAATATATTTAAATAATAGATGAAACCTTAGAGAGAGGGAGAGGGTATTATTTGTTGTGGATTATAAATCAATACTTATGATTACACTACACAAAAAATATTGATTTTCATTGGTTTTAATTTTTTAAAAAAAATTTGTTCAAACCTCTTTTGATATTTTTTTCTATATTTCTATCAGTTGTACAATTGTAAATTATTGATCTTTATAACAAAATCAATAACATTTTTAATTTTATTTGAGTAAAAGCAAATGTGGGAAGTTTAAATTTAATAACTTTTTGGAAAAAGAGGCTTTTTTTTTTTGATTTTTTTTTTTCTTTGGGAACTTTTCAAAGAGACACATTTTTAAAAAGCGGTTATTTTTTTTTGTTTTTCATTTTTAATTGGAAATAACCCTATATTAACAATGGATATATCGATGAAGAAACCATTAAAAGTTCAACTACATTTTGAATACCATCAAAAATCAATAAACTCCTACTAATTTTTTTTTGTTTCTATCAATTAGGTTTTTTGTTTTTGCTTTTTGTTTAATATAATTTCTATGATTTTAAATTAAAATCAATTGGAAATGTCTAAAGATCTTTTAAAGATAGGAAATCACCCCACCACAATATTAAACCCAAATAGATTGTGATAGTTGGCTACAAGACCTAATAGATTATAAATAGTTCAATTCCAGGATCTTATTTTAATTATTATTTGATTATCAAATAGATAAACTATTATTATTACTTAAAAATACTATTACAAATATTTAAATATTGAAAAACAAAAAAGCATAATATTATTTAAATATTATTAGAAATATAATTGTAAGTTTTTGAAATAAATGTTTTAAAAATTAATATTAATTATTTATTGGAAATATTTAGAAAAAAATTAATTATGTATAAACAGTGTATATTTATATTAATTGTTTGTATAATTGCAAGAATTGGAGTGTATGGACAAGGAGTTGGAATTCTTACTCCTGAAGTACATCCAGCCATGACTTGGCAGACTTGTAATGAAGGTGGAAAGTGTACTACAAACAATGGTGAGGTTGTTATCGATGCAAATTGGCGTTGGATCCATACCTCCACCGGACAAAACTGCTATACCGGAAATACATGGGACTCCACTGCTTGTCCAGACGACAAGACCTGTGCTAGCAACTGCTACTTGGACGGTGCCCAATATGAGAGTACCTACGGTGTCTCAACTGACGGCAGCTCGTTGAAACTCAACTTTATCACTCAGAGCTACGGAAAGAACATTGGATCGCGTCTCTTCCTCATGGCCAACGACTCTGCCTACCAGATGTTCCAGTTGTTGGGTCAGGAATTCACTTTCGACGTCGATGTCTCCAATCTGCCATGTGGATTGAACGGTGCTTTGTATCTCGTTTCGATGGATGGAGACGGAGGTCAATCCAAGTATCCAACCAACAAAGCCGGAGCCAAGTACGGAACTGGATATTGCGATTCTCAGTGTCCAAGAGATTTGAAATTCATCCAAGGTCAAGGAAATGTCGATGGCTGGGTTCCAGCTGCTAACAATCCAAACACTGGAATCGGTGGTCACGGATCTTGCTGCGCCGAGATGGATCTCTGGGAGGCCAACAGTATGTCGAACGCTCTCACTCCACATCCATGTGACACCTCCTCCGAGACAATGTGCGAAGGTGACGCCTGCGGTGGAACCTACTCGAAGAACCGTTACGCCGGAACCTGTGACCCCGATGGTTGTGACTTCAATCCATATCGTATGGGTAGCGAATCGTTCTTTGGTGTCGGAAAAACCGTTGATACCAGTTCCGTCTTCACCGTGGTAACTCAATTCCTCACGGACGACGGTACCCCCTCAGGAAAACTCACTGCCATCAAGAGATTCTACGTGCAGAAGGGTAAGGTGATTGCTCAGCCCGATTCTCAGATCGGTGGAGTCGGTGGAAACACCATCACCGAAGAGTTTTGCACCAGCCAGAAGAAGGCATTCAACGATGTGCCCGACTTTGACAAGCACGGTGGTTTGCAACAGATGGGCAATGCCATCTCCGGTGGAATGGTACTCGTTATGAGTCTCTGGGACGACTACGCCGCCAACATGTTGTGGTTGGATAGCTCCTATCCAACCAACGGAACCACCGCCACACCTGGAGTTGCCCGTGGTGCTTGTCCAACCACTTCCGGTGTTCCCACCCAAGTGGAATCACAGTATCCCAATGCCTATGTAATCTATTCCAACATCAAAGTAGGACCTATCAATTCAACCTTTACCCAATAGATCTAGTGCTGCTAACTATTCATCCGACTGACCATAAAATTCATTCAAACAAAACAAAACAAAAACCAAACACATATATGTTATTTTATCAAAAATATATTCATTCTAAAAATCTTTTAAAATAAAATTATTTAACAATAATATATATTTTGGGTAATAAAGTAAGTTTTGAAACAACAATAATTGAAAACTATTATTTTTTTAAATTCTTACCTCATATTTAATATAAAAATTTTTATAAAATTTATATATATAGAAATATAAACTATATATTCATAATACGATTGTTATTTTGAGTATTTTAAACTATTAGTTATATCTCTAGAGTATAATTTGATTATATAAATATATGTTATAATATTGATGGTTATTCGCATGTCCGGACAATTGAATTTGATAACTATGTGCAGTTTACCTGTATCTTGGTCATAGAGATTTTTTTAATGTCTTTGATAATTTTAATTTTTTAAAATTGTTTTGATCTTGGTCAAAAAAAAAAATACCAAATAAGTGTCCTATTTATCACCCACCAAAAATAATTTGAAAAACACACTAATTTTTAATTATTACATTGTTACTTTTTGTTACAACAAAACAATACAAATTAAATATAAACTAATATTTACTATTTATTTGTATTTGTCTGTCTGTCTGTTCTTACAGTTTTTTTTTAGAATAATTATACAAATTATACAAATGTATAAATATTGATAGTATAGATAAATATAGATAGTTCAATATTTCAAGAAATAGATTATATACAGATAAGATAAGATTTTTGTAGTTTAGATTAATAGTTTAAGATCTTAGCTAAGATTGCAAAAATGGATGAAGATATACCACCAACGATTGTTGGTGGTGGTAGTGATGGTAATGGTAATGGTAATGGAAATGTTAGTAGTTTCTTACCGAGATCATTGTTGAATGATAGTGAAGTGCTGGATGGTGGTAGTGATTCTGATTGCAGTGTAAGAGTTGCTCTCAGAGTGAGACCACTCAGTACGAAAGAGTTGAACGAGCGCAGTGAAGAGGTGGTTCGCTATGTCGATGGTGTACCACAAGTAATCATTGGAAAAGATCACACATTCACATTCGACTATGTATTCAGTGGTAAATCGAAACAACATCAAGTCTACGACGACTGTGTCACCTCACTAGTAAACTCTCTCTTTCAAGGTTACAACTCAACCATCTTGGCATATGGACAAACAGGTTCAGGTAAGTTATCAGTTATCATTATCTAGTTATCTTGACAAGCAAACAAACTAACAAAACAACAGGTAAAACATATACAATGGGATCGACATCGACTGTTGGAGTATCGATTGATGAATTGGGTGTTATTCCTCGGGTGATCGCTAGTGTTTTCGATAGGATCGATCGATTGAAGAGCACACATGCAATCGTTGTAAAGGTTTCGTTTTTGGAGTTGTACAATGAGGAGATCAGAGATATGTTGAATCCGGATGCTTCGGTTGGCGGTCTGGCCATTCGTGAGACGTCGGGCGGCGAAGTTCACATTCCGGGACTGTTTGAGGAGGTCGTTCGTACGCGTGCTCAAATGGAGGATTCGCTGATACGTGGTTCGCAATCGCGTACCATCGGTTCGACGCTGATGAACGTACATTCGTCGCGGTCGCACGCCATCTTCACGGTCATAATCGAGCAGACCGTACTCGACCAGAACAACGAGGAGAACAACATCTCTGAGGAACGCAACCCAACGATCCGCTCGAAATTCCACTTTGTCGATCTGGCCGGTAGCGAACGTGTAAAGAAAACCAAAGCAGAGGGACAGCGACTCAAGGAGGGAATCAACATCAACAGTGGTTTGCTTGCACTCGGTAATGTTATCTCGGCACTCGGTGATACGCGGCGAACTGCCAGGCCTAAACACGTTCCCTACCGTGACTCGAAACTCACTAGAATGCTGCAATCTTCACTCGGTGGTAATTCACGTACACTTATGATAGCTTGTATCAGTCCTGCTGATTCAAATTTTGAAGAGACATTAAATGTATGTATTATTATATTATTCAAACTAGAAAACAGACTGACTCAGTAAATGTTTAACATCAATTTGACAACGACACAACAAAACAGACATTGAAATACGCATATAGAGCAAGAAATATTATGAATAAACCAGTGGTGAATGTAGATCCTCTGACAAAACAAATCAATATGTATAAAGGACAAATACAGATACTTAGAGATGAACTGTTAGTTAAACATAACTATAAAGATAGTGATATCGATGCTCTCATACAAGATGTCGATATTAATAGTATATCAATTCATGAAGAAATTAATAATAACAATAATAATAATAGTTCATTTATTTCAAAGAATAATAATAGTAATAGTAATGGAAATAAGATAAATAGTGGTAGTAGTAACAATGGTAATAATAATAATGGAAGTAATAGTAATAATAATACAACTTCTAATAACCAATTGGAAGGAGGAGTAAAGAAAGTTCTTCCTATGACACCTTCACGTATGGCTGCGAATGCATCGAATCACTCAACTTTTGAAGATAGTATGAAAGTATCACAGCTGGAGTTTGAAAACAATATGCTTCAAGAGATATCCAATAAGATTACGAACAAGTATAAAGTTCTGCTTGGAAAGTACAAACAACTGGAGGAAGCATCCTATGGTTTTGTCAATTCGTTCTCTCCCAACAAAGAGTCTGGCGAATATCTCGAATTGTTTAATAGCTTCCAAAGGATTCTGGTAGAACCAAAAGAATCTGATAGTTCACAACAACAACAACAACAACAACCAGGAGATTCAAGTGTTATTGTAGATGGAGCAACAAGCGGACAATCTTTAGATCAACAACCACCACTGCTTCAACAACAAGACGATTTAATTGAAGATATTGAAAATGTAAAAGAGCTGTTGGATGACAATGAAAAGCTGTCGGATTTGAATGATTATATTGTTGCCAAGGAAGAGGAGTTGGAGTTGATTGCCAAATCACAGATGCAATATCAACAGATGAAGGAGATGTATGACAATCGTTTGAAGGAGTTGGAAGTTCAGTTGCTTGAGATGAAGGAGGAGCGTGAGAGTGTGATGCGTTCACTCGAAGACAAGCAAAAGACTGTTGTCGACAACAGCGGCGGTGCAGCTTCGGCACTCGAGGAGGAAAAGGCGCGACTCACCAATCACTACGAGCGTAAGCTCTCAGAGTTGAAGCGACAGCTCGATCAGCACACTCGATCGATCAAAGACCACCAGCGACTGATGGATCTAAAGACAAAGAGCGATGAGAAGATCATCGATCTCAACGAGGACATCAAGGATTTGAAACGACAAAAGTCAGAGGTGTTGAAGAAGATGCGTGACGAGCTCAAGAAGCGCGACGACCAGAAACAGAGTCAGAACAAGGAGCTTGAAGCACTCAAGAAGGAAGCGAAAAAGTCGGAGCAACTCATCGGTCAACTGATGAATCAATCCAAGAAGAAAGATCAATTGCTTCAAAAGAAAATCGATGAATCCGAGCAGATCAAGAAGAAACTGAAAGATTTGGAATCACACAAACAAAGAGTGATTCAAAACAAACCTGGTGTTTCTTCTTCACTTCAAGCCAATAGCAATGCATCGAACAAGCAACAACAGAATAACAACAATAGTGGATTTAGAAGTAAAACAGCAGCTGTTGCAACAGCGACGACAGCGACGACTACATCGACAACGACAACAACAAATACTGCTGCTTCGACGACAACGATTCACTCACAACATCATCATCAATTTAGTGTACCAGATTGGCGAGAATGGTTGCTGGATCAAATCAAGAAGAATCTCTATAAGAATGAGTTGACAGAGACACTTGACAAACACTTTGGCGAGAAGGATATCTTTGTGAGGGAGTCGGCACGTCTCAAACAACAGAGTGTCAGCAACAAGATCACACGTGCAGAGTATCAGGAGCAGTCGGCATTCCTGGAGATGAATATCAAGCAGCAGAATGAGAAGATTGCCAAAGTTCAGAAAGAGTTGGCGTCAATGTCCAACGATTGTATGGATTCCACTGAGATCATGCGAAAGGTTTCGACTACTCCCTACGAAAAATTACCACATTTGATTCAGGCTTCGTTTGAACTGTGCATTGAGTATGCCGAGCAGAATCGTACAAAGAAACAGACTTTGACAACGACCACAACAACAACAACAACTCCAGACTTGTTTGAACAACGCACCAAGACATCAACACTTCTCGACGGAATCAAGCAAGCTAAATCCGAATATTATAAACAACAACAAATGCAATCGCCAATCATTGAATCGAAGGAAATCAATAGTTATCCAACATCAACATCTTCAACCACCCCAACAATAACACCTACCATTGGAAGTAAATTAAAAGATATGCCACCTATTTCAGCACCAATAACAACAACAACAACAACAAACAACAATGTAAATAACAATTCAAAATCAAACTCATCTTTTGTCTCTAAACAACCATTAAATATACATAATAATAATACACCGCAATCTTCAACAACCAATACACAAGCATCATCAACATCAACACCAGCATCATCTTTTAGTACTGCCGATTTCATCAAGGAGATAGAGTTACTCCAACAACAGATTAGACAGTCTTCCCTTTCTTTTGTATCACCCTCAACATCTACAACAAATTCTTTATCACCCACCTCATTAATTGAGAGTGAAATGGAAGACGAAAATCTGCAACAACAACAACTACCATCCGCTTTTATAAATATACCAACTGCAACCAACACAACATTTACTGCCATTACTGTTACAGGTACTGGTAGTACTTCATCACCAAATCACAATACAAATAATAATAATAATAATAATAATAATAATAATAATCAACAAATCAAGTTATCTGTAGAATCAAAGGTTGATCAACTTTTGGATGATTTGAAGTCTTCCAAAGAGAGATCAAAGATGACAACAACAACAACTAACATTAATAATATTAATGGACGACCAAAAGGAAGAAAGAATAACACTACCACTACAACAACAAATATGAGTACTTCCTTGACTATAAACTCAATCATGAATAATAATAGCGATAACAATAATAGTGGATATTTAACAAGTAATATGAGTCAGAGTTTAGAACCTTTACCAACATTTGATAAAGATATTTTGGATGTCGATATCGATTTGATGAAGAAACCAAACAACACTTCACCAAAGTCACGTAAACAACTACAAAACAGCGGGGACAATGTCGTTTTATCACCAAACTCTGCATCGGCAGCTGCCTATCTGGCTTTTGATGGTGATGTCTTTGCGAGACTGTCAGCACCCCGACCAGACTCAAGACTTCGTCGATACCGTGATAAACTAAAAACCGATAACTACAGAACAGCGATTCTCCATACACGTCGACAAGAACAGCTACTCAATGGCGACAGTGAAACATTCATAAAGTGTAACTGGAGTTTCACTGGTCACGAGGGTTCAGTGTTGGGTCTGCTTTTCAACGAGCAATCGCAGCAGCTCTATTCCTGTGGACAAGATAAACTTATCAAAGCGTGGGATCTTGTCTCTGGCGATTGTGTCTCCGATTTAACTGGACATTCCGCAGCAGTAAAGGCTATTGCCTATCACGCCGGTAGTGGATTGCTGTTTTCTGGCGGTGGATCCGACCGTCTTGTTCGCGTTTGGGACATGAGAACTGCGCAGACCGGCAACGTTGCTCAATCCATTAAGATTCAGAACGAGGTTCTCTGTATGTCGACGCACGGACACTACATCTTTGGTGGCCTGGAAAATCAGACCATTAAGGTGTGGGACACTCGCCAGCTCCGACCAGTCAAGACTCCGCTTTCGAAGCGCGAGAATCTCTCGGGTTCCATCTTTGCGATGACATTCAGTTCCAAACACTTTATTACGGGTTCGCGTGACCATTCCATTACGCTCTACAACAAAGACACGTTGGAGATGGTACAGCGTTTGCAACCGCATCATCTGGACGGTGTCAATGCACTGGCTGTCGGAAGCGACGATATCATCTACTCGGGATCGCGTGATAAAACAATCAAGCGGTGGGAGCCGTCGCCAGCCGGTATCTATCAGCAGCAGTCGCGACCCACCAATACCAACCATCAAGATTGGGTAACAGCACTCACCGCACACAACTCTATGATTTTCTCTGGCTGTAGAGATGCCACAATCAAAGGATGGGATTCACAACTCAATGCCAACACTATGCATCTCATTGGTCACGAATCCTCAGTCAATTGTATCATATCCACTGGCAACGTTTTACTCTCTGGTTCATCCGATCGTTCAATTAAATTATGGAAAATTTAAAGAAATATCAACAACAACAACAATAAAAATATATATTATTATTATTATTGAATTCAAACTAGTCAATATATTTAACAAGGTCAATGTTTTATTTCAAACAATAGAATCAAATACCCCTTTTGAAGTTTTTAATTTTTTTTTTTATATTTATATAGTAATAAAAATCTTTAATTTTTGATTATTTATTGAATTCCACTATCCTCAATGAAGATCTGTAAGAAAGTGTATTAAATACTTTTTTTGTTTATACTATCTATTATATCAATTGAAAGTATTTTATTATCACATTTAAAAGATTACTTTATATATATATAACAATGTATGACTATTGACTTTGATATTTGTTTTGAAAAAAGTGTATTAAACAATCATATTAGATTAATTATATTAAATATTTTTCATAACTATGATAGAACCAAGATAAATCTATGAACCAAAAAGCTTTGTTTGTTCCAATCAACCCACCTTTCTACTATGAAGTTGGAGTTGGAAAATATCATTTTTATTTTGAATCAGCTGAAATAAATATTATACTTTTATTTTTTATTCTAATAAAATATTTATTCTGAATTTTTATAAAAAAGATATTGGCAATCAAGAGTTAATAGAAATGATTTACTATTTAATTTTAAATCAACTAATATGCCTAATTAGGCATTACCAGACATTAAATCATCGTGCATTCCATTTTTTTTTCAATTTTCTAAAGTCAAGCTTTTCTTGAAACTTATTTTAATTCCACTCCAAAATTCTATATATTTATAAATAAATATTACTTGTACAAAGTTTCTATTCTACTTGTTCTTCAAGGAGTTTGTAAATGAATCATTTCAAATCAATTTAATTACTGGTGAAGTTTATTTTTGTCCTAAATTTCAAGTGTCTAACATTCGCATCTTCGATCAGCGACGATTGTAAATCAGCCTCTCTTTCTAAAAAATATCTTATATAAAAAAAATAAAATAAAATAAATAAAATAAAATAAAATTATATATAATTATATGAAAAAAAAAAAAAGATCAATTAATAAATAAAATATTAAATTAAATGAATATTAAGTCAAAAAAAACAAGGCATATCTCATACTAATGGTAGAATATAATGATCATACCTCTTATTAAAAAAAAGAAAAAAAAAAAAGGAGTTCGCGATAACCACGAATCCCCACACTTTGATGTTTAAAGCATGGCATTTCTTTTATTATGTTAAAATTGTAAAAAAAAAAGGATACATTTTCTTTTTTTTTTGGTTTTATATTTACCTGATCACATAAATATATTTATAAATATTATACAAATGAGCTTACAAGTCGAACCTAGTAAACATACTTCTGAAAGCATTGAAGATCTTATGAAATTGATTAAAGAAAGAATAATCAGTGCCCTTCCGAAATGTTTATTTTGCGATCATCAAATGGATCCACTCGGTGAAATTGATCATTTGAATAAGTGTGTAAACGCTTGTCGAAATGTAATTTCAAATTTTAGCAATGAATTTAAGTCAAAGCTAGACGAGTGTGATAAGCAAATCCAGGATAAAGATCAACAGTTACTTGATAAAGATCAACAGCTGCATGATAAAGAGCAACAAATAGCTCTCCAGTGTATCAATTCAAATGATATAGATGCACTCATCCGACTTTCAAAGACACTTGATTATCAACAATCAATGACAAAAGAACAAGAACAACTTAATATTGAAATCAATAGAGTGTGACCCATCGATTGGTAGATCATATTATAACCTGGGAACAACACTTAAAATGGGTGAATCAATTACACTTAATAATGGTCAGTCGCTGACAGTTCAACAACTATACTTGAAATCAATAGAATGTGATCCAACCTATTCAAATTCATATTATGACCTTGCATTAACACTTTCAAGTGGTGAATCAATCACACTTAATAATGGTCAATCAATGACAAAACAACAACTATACTTGAAATCAATGGAATGTGATCCAACCAATTCCCGATCATACCATGGCCTTGCAAATACACTTCCAAGTGGTAAATCAATCACACTTCCTAATGGAAAGTCGAATAACAAACAACAACTACTATGGAAATCAATAAAGTGTGATCCAACGCAACCTTATCCATATATTTGCCTTGCAAAGACTCTTGAAGAAGGGAAGTCTATTATACTTCCAAACGGACAATCAATGACAGCGCGCAAGCTCTATTTGAAAGCAATAGAGTGTAATCCAAACGATTTCTATCCTTATATGTACCTTGGATCAGTCCTCAAAGCATATCAATATGTCACACTTCATAACGGTCAATCAATGACACAGCAACAACTATACTTGAAATCAATAGAATGTGATCCAACCAATTTCAGACCATACTGTAACCTTGCAAATACTCTTTCAAAAGGTATATCGATCACACTTCCTAATGGTCAATCAATGACACAACAACAACTATACTTTAAATCAATAGAATGTGATCCAACCAATTTCAGACCATACTTTAACCTTGCATTGACACTTTCAAGCCGTGAATCAATCACACTTCATAATGGTCAATCAATGACAAAACAACAACTATACTTGAAATCAATAGAATGTGATCCAACCTATTCATATTCATACTTTAACCTTGCAGTGACACTTTCAAGTGGTGAATCAATCACACTTAATAATGGTCAATCAATGACAAAACAACAACTATTCTTGAAATCAATAGAATGTGATCCAACCAATTCCCGATCATACCATCGCCTTGCAAATACACTTCCAAGTGGTAAATCAATCACACTTCATAACGGTCAATCAATGACACAACAACAACTTTACTTGAAATCAATAGAATATGATCCAACCAATTCCCGATCATACCATCGCCTTGCAAATACACTTCCAAGTGGTAAATCAATCACACTTTCCTAATGGAAAGTCGAATAACAAACAAACAACTACTATGGAAATCAATAAAGTGTGATCCAACGCAACCTTATCCATATATTTGCCTTGCAAATACTCTTGAAAGAAGGGAAGTCTATTATACTTCCAAACGGACAATCAATGACAGCGCGCGAGCTCTATTTGAAAGCAATAGAGTGTAATCCAAACGATTTCTATCCTTATATGTACCTTGGATCAGTCCTCAAAGCATATCAATATGTCACACTTCATAACGGTCAATCAATGACACAGCAACAACTATACTTGAAATCAATAGAATGTGATCCAACCGATTCCAGACCATACTGTAACCTTGCAACTACACTTTCAAAAGGTAAATCGATCACACTTCCTAATGGTCAATCAATGACACAACAACAACTATACTTTAAATCAATAGAATGTGATCCAACCTATTCATATTCATACTATAACCTTGCAATCACACTTTCAAGTGATGAATCAATCACACTTCCTAATGGACAATCAATGACAAAACAACAACTATTCTTGAAATCAATAGAATGTGATCCAACCAATTCCATATCATACTATGGCCTTGCATTTACACTTCCAAGTGGTGAATCAATCACACTTCCTAATGGACAATCAATGACAGAACAACAACTATACTTGAAATCAATAGAATGTGATCCAACCTATTGCCACCCATACTATGACCTTGCAAATACACTTCCAAGGGATGGATCAATCACACTTAATAACGGACAATCAATGACACAACAACAATTATATTCGAAGGCATTGGAATTGTTGCTAGATGAGTGATTGTACAATTAAGTATTCCACCACTACCTGATTATAAAGAGTAGAAACTTTATATTAAAATTCTATTGTTTAGCTAGAATTTCAAAATAAAATCTCTAGCCAAAGTTATTTTAAAAATTAAATATTCAATGAACAGAAATAGATTAATTATTATTTAAATTTAAGACCAATCAAATCAAAAGAAACATACATCTAAGCTCATTCTTTTAAAAAATAGATATAATTTTATTATTCACTAATCGGAGTATTAGATGCAAAATTTTGATTTACAATCGAATTTTTAACGAATAGTACTAGTATGATGGAATAAGCAGTTTTGAGAACCTTGGCTATTCATCTTTAACACCCAACCATTTGGTACAAATCTAATTGGAGGTATTGGAGATCAAAGACAACACACCATTTTTGACCCTTGGGAGCCAAAGGTATCACTTGAGAGTAGACGGCGAAGACTTTGAAGGACTGACCAAGATGAGTGATAGTTACAAGAATATTCCGATCTTCAGGATCACAAGTGACCACCTTTCAGTATCTATCTAATACTTATTGCTTTCAAGTAAAAACTATGATCAAATAGCAAGCAAATCAGGATATCGATACCTGTTCTACATCAAGAAAAATAAATTAACAGAGTACTCAGTTAATAAATGATTGTATCTTTCTTCATATTTACTTCTGTTGCTCCACTAAATACATGATATCATTGAAACTGCTAAAACATTTTATTTTAATTTTGAATATATCGAGATTCTTAAATAAAAAAAAAATAAAAATAACATATTATTAATATGTCGAAAATTCATAAACTAAAAAAAACAAAAGATATAAATTTTTGATTTCAAAGAAAAACAAAATCATATTACATTCTTTTTATTCAAATAGATAATTATTCATTTTATAACTATATTTCAAATATTACGATTCTAAATTATAAAATAAATATTCAATTAAAAAGAAAAAAAGTAAATGGGGAGTAAGAAATAAATTAAGACTTGTAAATCAAAAGGGTTCTAGTTTCCCATGTGGTCTTGTTCGATATAGAGGAAAAAAAGCGACCGATCTTGTAATTGAATCATCAGGTGAAGTAGTAACAGCAACAACAACAACAACAACAACAACAGTGGCATTGGTAACAGCGGCAACAACAGCATTGATAGAGCTGCAACAACAGCACCTACTTCGAGGTTGATAGAGATGAAAAAGCATATGAACCCACCGCTACCAAAGTAAAGTTTTACGAGGTATTCAAATTTTTTCTTGGCATTGACGAACTGCACTCTACAAGTCAGCGATGATAGAGTTTTTCTGAACAACAGTATTCACCTACATATCGATTGGAATTGTAATTGCCACTGTTAATTATTACAATTTCAGTGTTCCTTATCCAAGTACTGCTCATTCATATTATTGGCTTGCACGTACACTTTCAAGATGTCACACTTAATAACGAACAAAACACCAGTTATTAGATAAAACAATAGAGTTTGACCTAACCAATTCCGATTTTCATCAAAATCTTGCAGCATCACTGTCAAACATTCAAAAGGTTGTGAATCAATCAGATGTGAACTTTGTTAAATAAAAATATCTCATTTAAAATATTCATTCCTCTATATTTATTATCTGACGAAAATATTGTTTGTTTTGAAAAAAGGGTTTACAAAAGATTAATATTATTAAATATTTTTCAAAACCAAGATTTTAATTCCATTCATTGAAAGAGTGGTTGCAACCATCAAAATTACCAAATACAACCCAATATAAGTAATATCTCCTCAAATTAATAAACTTTATTTGATTTTTTTTTTTGTAAAAGTGTTTAAAAAGGAAGATGATTGTTATTTATAATTGAATTATTTTAATCTCTGTTTTCAAGCTGTGGGGGTTTGAGATGGCTTCCACTGTGACAATACAAGTTAAGTACGAGTGAAGATTCATGAATCCTATAATATATACACATTAAATATTAAATATTAAATTATTTGTTCGAACAAGTAAATGTAATTTAAAATGAATGATTTTTCACCAAAAAATTAAATCGGTATCACCTCAACCTGAACGTTACTGTAAAAACTTGGGCAGAGATCATGAGGAAAAAAAAAAACAAATGAATGAAATTCATAAAAATTTTAATTTTGTTTAATTATACTTTTTTTCACTTAGATTATTATAACAACAGTTAGTTAAGTTTAAGTTTATACTATCAAATCTTATATCTTGATAATACTATTTTCGAAAGAATATTAATATAAGAGTTAATTTCAATAAAATAAGAAAGAAAGAAAGAAAGATAGAGATAATTATCAAACAATTTGATCTACAGCCAACCACTTCTATATATATTTATCTCTATTTTTATATTTTTATCTATAAATATTGTATAAATACAATTATCTTAAATATTTTCACACAACTATAAAACAAATATAAAAAGAAACAATAAAACCTAAAAACAACAACAACAAGTACAATTCAAAAAATGGACCCAGATCTCCTTTTAGCAATTGCATTATCAGAGAGTCTAATGGTTCGAGGCACAGACGTATGTATATACAAATACAAAACAACACACACATACATCTTTGTTTTTTGTTTGACTCTGTAATTTCCAGCCTCTTAATTGTTTGTTTTTCAAATTCTTATAAAATTCTTCTCACTCACACACAGAAAAACTTTTTTGGAATTTAAAATTGTTTTTTTTTTTTTTTTTTTTTTTTTTTTTGCAAAATTAAAAATAATAGATTAAATTAATATTTACCTTCGCATCCACCTAAAACTCAATAACAACAACAACAACAACAACAAAGTTTTATTGATTTTCGCAATATATTTAAATTTAATTTTATTAATAAACTAACTAAAACTTCAAATTACTATATGAATATGAATATACAGGGAGGTGCTCAACAACAATCTGATAACAATAACAACAACAATAGTAATAGTAATAAGAGTGAGAAAGCAATGGATACGAGTGAAGGAAATAAACCAAAGGCTGCCGTCGATAACTTTAAAAACTATTTTACAGAGTTATCAAAGCAATTGAAACAAGAGAAACTCGGTGATCTCTCTGTATTATTACAATTACTAAGGTCACAGGAAACCTATTGTAAAATACCTCCTGCCAATGTATTCTACCTTACCAAGGTCATTGAATTCATTTCACTACTCATTATAGATAGTAAATTAAATAGTGAGTTGTTTTTGATAATATAAATAATATAGCAATCTATCTTTAATATATTAACATATGTTTATTGTTAAAACACACATAATACTACAAATATACAGATGTCGACAAAGAGTTGATTCATTCATTTAGTAAAAGTTCATTAGATTTCTGTTTGAATTCACTTGAGAGATGGTGTGATTCAGAGAGAAACATTGGTAACAACAACAACAGCAACAATAATAATAATAATACAACAACAACAACAACAACAACATTTAAATCATTGAATCAAATCTATCTTCTATCGGTTATAGATATGTTATGTTGTATAGAGTATCCATCAACCGATTTCGACAAGTCTGCACTTGATGACATACCTTCATTTCTTGATTTAGATATTCCATTTGTTACTGCTGACAATGAAAGTAAATTGACATCAGTATCAGATTCCTCGAAACAAACAAAGTCGGATAGTGTTGAAACCAATACATCAACAACAACTACAGCAACAACTTCAACAACAGATAACTCTACAAATATCTTTGATCAATTCTTAAATAATGGATTGAAAAACGATCAGTGGTTGTTAGAGAAACAGAAACAACAAACAGATTCAGTTTTGAAGACACCGGCAAATGCCGCCACTGATTCTTTAAAGTCCAGCAACAAAAACAACAAGCTCACTAGTGGTAGTGATGACTCTGATGACGAGGAAGACGAATCGTCGTCAGATTCCAACAACGAGGAGTTGGCCAAGATCTGTTCGAATCACTTCAAGTCGATTCACGGACCATCACGTCTCATTGCAATCTGCTCGGGTCTGTTGCTGCCATACACCGACAAGTTGGAGGTGCAAGAGAAGTTCGAACACATCAAAGAACGTGAGTACAGCTACGCAAACTTCATTGGCAACGTACTGGACATCATGTTCTCTCGCGAGTTTGACTTTATGGACAACACTGCCATCGCCTGGATGATTGACTTTTTGGGTACTCTAATCGGCACCATCAGATCGTATCAATCTCATCACCTCAAGCAACAGATTACCCTTATCAAAGGCACACTCTTCACCACTCAAATCTTTGAAAACATATTCACATTCCTCAGTGGAAAGTCACAACATCCAGATTTGAAAGCAAAAGCAGAAGTATGTTAATTAACCAAATCATTATTTTGTCACTAGAGTGTAGTGACTAGTATCTTACTAACTAACCAACTTACAACTTACTTATAATTAGGTGTTTTTCTCACTTTGTGTTTTGACAGATATCGAAAAGATGAATGTTAAATTGGATGATTTGATTGCATCCAAGAGAGATTCGTTGATGCAAGATCCTGCAGCTGTTGCTTCTTCTGTTCACTTTTGTTGGAGTCCGCAGTTGGTTATATTGGCTTTGGATTTGGTATTTGCACATTTGGACAATGCCTCTACCTTGCAGGATACTCAGTGGAGTGCGGTGGTCGGAAGTGATATCACTGCAGCAAGTCTGACATCTACACTTCTCAATCGTGAGCCAACCACCAAGTTTGTAGTCTCATCTTCTTCTGAGAAGCAATCGATTAATTTCGATTTCTTCTTGTCAAGATCATCATCATCGGCACAAAAAACTGCCACAGCTGAATTCACCAATCAAGAGTTGTGCAACCGATTCATTGCACCAAGACTTTTGGATTCTGTATTTACTATCTTGTATATCTCATGCTTCAAATTGAAGGATCAACATGCACATCTACCACCAAGTAACAACACCGACAACAACAATAATACTAATCAACTAACATCACCATCTAAACAACAAGCAACATCAACATCATCGACAACTGTAAATAAAGTTACATCACCCAACAAAAGCTATGGCGAAGAGGACAGTCTTTTCGGTGTGTTGTTCGAGCCGGACAGCGAGAGCGATAGTAGTGACGCCGAAGAGGAATCGAGTTCCTTGAATTCATCGTCCGATCATCATAATATCCTATTACAAACACCAGGTGCATCATCGTTATCGGTCTCACAACAGTATCTTTCGAGTGTTGGACTTTCCAAAGACGACGACACCGAGCTTAGTTTCTTTAACTTTATCAACGATTTATTTACAACAACAACATCACCATCGACCAGTTCCAATTCATTTATACATCTTTTGAAGCATAGTTTGACAATCAATCATCTCCAGGTGTTATCGGAGCTTCTCTTTATGCAATCGCCCTTTGTCACCATTGCCAAGGGTGTGGTCGGTCCATTTGTAAATTCGAAAACCTTTACAACACTGTTGCAATCGATCTGTTTCAACTTGGTGAAGCGCGATTGTATACCAGAGGCGTTGTACGATCCTTTGATGCGCTTGATCCTCACCCAGCCAAAGGAGGCACTGTCGAATGTCGCCACCATCATTCCACGCGAACAAATGACCTGGCTTGGTTGGATCTTTGTTAAACGACAAGCAGCAGCTGCTGCCAACCAAAATCAAAACAATTCACTGGCATTTGCTTTGTGGGAGGATTTCTTGAATCGTGTCAAATCTACTTGCTCCAACACTACCAACAACAATGAGAACGATCAATTCAAAGAGGTATTTGCAATCGAGTATATTATATTCCTCCTATTCTCATTCCATACATTAGATCTTCAACATCGTACTGAAATAGTCAAGCAATCCTACACCCACATTCAACAAGTCATCCAAAGAAACAAAGAATCGAAATTCATTCCAAATTCTTTGATATTCTCAAGACTCATAATGATTTTAAATTGTAAGTAGTAAAATTTGAATCAACCTGATTAAGTTAACTAAGTAACAAACTAATCGATTACATTTCACAAAGATATAATATTCAATTTTAAAGCACCATCTACACAATTATCAAATATATTCTTTGATTGTATTCTTACGCCAAATCCAAAGAACAATGTTATCCAACAGGAGGTACATAACTCAATTATCACTCGTAACTACAAGTATCTGGTGGATCAACAGCCAATCATCACTACCTACAAGAAACCAGATCTCTATGAATTCAACTTTACACCGGCATCACAATCCTCAAAGAACAGTTGGTTGCAATCATCGAATTTAGATACAGTCTCACTCTTTTTTGAGCAACAATGTTCTATTCCCTATGAAGAGTTCTACAATACCGTTTGCTTTGGATTGTCAGCTTTGGAGCCACCAACATTCACATCAGCCATGGAATCAATGTACTACGACTATATTATTTCTTCAAGTTGTTTGTTAATTAGCTCATTGCCACCTTCCAAATCATTCCAACAATCACTCAAAGATAAATCATTATTTGATCATGTAAGTAGAGTTGATAATCATTACTTTTTTATCAACCCTTTTGACTAATTTTAATTAATTTATCTGACAGATCGATTGTAAATCTATTGTTTATGTTTCATATCTTCAATCTTTGTTGACTACACACTCTACAAATCCATTGGTTCAAGAGATTCCTTGGATTGCTCATGTCAAGAATATTATTGGTGGATTGTCGAAATCAGTGTCAGATGATTCCAGTACCCTTAGATCCAATGTTAGATTCCATAGTTTGGTGCAAGTAAGCTTGTCATTCTTGGCCAACGTCTTTGAGAAACAAGAGAATGTAAAGATGGATAGTGAATACTTTGAAGGTTGGGACACTCTCTTTGATCCCGATGTCGGAGAGAACGACGATGAAGTCGAAAAGATGGAAACTGACAAGGTGAATAGTGCCGCTTCTCAGTTGCCAACTCTTGGATTGGCAAGTATAGCCGCCGCCAGTATCACTCATTTGATTCCTCAGCTCTATGAGTGTTTGATCGATTTGCTCCAGTTCTTCAAGAGAGAACATAAGACCGCTCTCACCAAGCAACTCTCTCACGAATCAAAGAATCACATAGAGTTGATCAAAGAGTGTTTCTCATTCTCAAACAAACCCGATGTTCTCAATCTTATGGAGCGTCTTGGCTTTGTCAAGTCAGATCGCGACGTTGTCGATAGATGGACCAAAGAGATCAGAGTGGACGCGTCCAATCTCTCAAAGGTGCACGACGACACATTTGGTTGGCTCATTCATCCCTATCGTCCTACCGACTACCAGCCGGTAAAGTCTGCCTCACAGACACTGGACGTCATCTCCACCCAACAGATTATAACCTCCATCAGTGAGCTGGCATTCATTGCCACATCCAACGAATGCAAACTTCCAAAGGCTGCATCGCTAAAGTTGGAACTCTCCTACGAGCATATGTACTTGAACATCGACCAGATGCTCTCTTTCATGAAGGAGTCGAAATACCTGGATTTGTCAACCAATCAACTGGCATTCCTCATCAACCTCTCAAAGTTGCAATCATTCGAGAAGATCGTTCGACTCATTGCCACACTGCCGGCAGAGATCAAGAAGGGATCTGCTCTCGAATCGATCATTGTGCTGCACCTGGATGCCATTATCCTGGTGGCAAAGAGCTATCCAAATCATCTCTATTGCCACTATATTTCCTCCAAGAACGCTATGCCAATGGGTGAACAATTCACAGTCACATTGCCACTAGGTGATATCAGTGCATTCTTTTGGTTGACTCTCAACAATCAGAATCCAACCATCAATCGCAAGGCGCTATCTACATTGATTCAACTCATGACCATTCCAATCCCACCCGATTACACAACCTCATTGAGAAGTCACGCAATCTCGGCATTCACTTCGATTCCAGCTGACGATCTTAAACTGTGGTTTGAACAGAAACTTCTTGGAACCATTGTTGTTAACAATACAGAAGATAATGATGCTGTTTCATCTTCTTCTTCTTCTTCTGTCGCTATCGACGCCGATTCCATGGTGATTGACAACAACGATAAGAAATCATTGTCGGTCACTCCGTCGTCTGTACAGATTCAAGAGTATGTTGTCCGTCTAATTGGATTGATCACTGGTAACAAAGACTTTGCAAACTTCTCTTTGAATGCCACAGACAAAAACAATGAGGATAAGAACAGCGATGATGAAGATAGTAGCTCAAGTAACGATAAGAAGAGCAAGAAGAAAGCAAAGAAGCCGAATGTCTATGGAAAGAAGACACCACCTGTTTCACCGGTTCTCTCGTCCACGATTGTAGATTGGGAAGAAAAAGTGAGTGATTTTGCACCGTCGCTCTTTAACTATTTGCTATCCTCTTTGGGATCGGCTTTTAATCAATGGATCGACTACCCACACCTGCTCAGAGGTTACTTTGGTCTACTGCAATACATTGCGATCAAGCAGAATCAACTGGTACTCTTGTTTGCTGAAGTGTCACGATTGAACTCACCATCGTTGGTCAAACCAACATCCGAACAAATCGAGTCGCTCGACATCATTCTCGAATTCATTGAGAGTTTCCTCGAGATCTTCAAATCGGAAGTGCCATCTCCCAAGTGCAGTCATCACCATCACCACAAAGATGGCGTTGCTATCGATCCAATGATAACAGAAGACCACGATTCACTCATGGAAGATGAGGAGGAAGACGACGATTTGTTGGACGAAGACAGAGAATGGAAGCAGTCGAGCTACGGACAAAACGATGCTTCAAGTACCTCAGCCGCTTCTCCAGCATCTGATGTTGGAATCTTTGGAAATGCCACCGGTGAAAATGAAGAAGATAAGGAATCAAAGTTGGCATCGAAACTCTGTACTTACACTGCTACAAAGAGCGAGTACATGGAACAACATTGGTATTTCTGTTACACTTGCAACTTGAAGTTGTCAGAGGGATGTTGCTCTGTCTGTGTAAAAGTGTGTCACAAAGGACATGCTGTGAGTTACAGCAGATTCAGTCGATTCTTCTGTGACTGTGGTGCCGGTGCCGGAAAGGGAGGTGCTTGTAAAGCTTTGAAGCCACGTGCATATCAACCACCGAAAACCGACAAACTATCGGTTCCAAAATTACCGGATCTTCTTCCATCATTAGTCTCTGCTGCTCCATCATCAGCTGCTGCTGCTGCTTCTACTTCCGACAAAGAAGTATCGTTCTTTGCTCCCTATGTCACTCAGCAAGACAAAGAGAAGCTACTCGCCGGAATCGGAGAATACTCTGACATTATCACAAGAATATCCGCTTTGTATCCACAGTTGATTCAACTGTACAAATCAACTTCCAAACCAACAGTTGATGTCGCTGCAAATCCAGTTTACAACATCTTCCCGAGTGGTGGAGAAACTGTTACCAAGTCAACCAAAGAGATGGTCGCCAAAACCGATTTGTTCTCAATGAAGAAAACAACTAAATACAATTCATTCGAAGCGAAACTAAAGTATGAAGGAACTGAAGGCAATCAAATGAAGAATCACATTGGATCCGGTCACATTCAGCGTCGTGCCATCACCTCGAATTCGCGTGGTGTTGTTGCGCTGGCCGAGGGTGAGAATGTCAGCATTATCAATCTCTCAAAGATTCTGGACGACGACTCCACCGTCGACAAGACCGCCATTAAAGTACTCTCAAAGTCATCGGTACAATATCCGGTGGTGAGCATGGTATTCAACCCATTGAACGAACGTTATCTCGCTGTTGTCGGTTACAAAGAATGCAAGATTCTAACTGTCAATCAAAAAGACGAGATTGTCGATCAATTGGTTGTCGATCTCTCACTCTATTCACTCGGTGAGAACATCTACATCATCAAGGTCGAGTGGGTTGTCGGTTCGCAAACCGAGATTGCCGTGGTAACCAATGAGTTTATCAAAATCTATAATCTCGCTCAGGACAATCTCTCACCGATTCACTTTTACACTTTGGTTGAAGACTACATTCGTGATATGACTATTGTCCGTCGTAACAATACCAACTATATCGTTGCGCTTGCCGAGTCGGGAATGCTCTATTTCCAGGCCATCCAAGACAGTATCGATGACGAATCGTGTATCATGATAGAAACCATCCAGGTGCCGACACAGAAGCAATCGAGTGGTGTCACCGTCTTCAATGCGCCCGACTTGGATATGCTCATCTGCACCTACACCAACGGTGAAGTGCACGCTCTTCAGTTCGATGATAACATGTCGGTCACCTCGACATTCCCCATCCAAGATCCAAACCTAAAGATTGCCATGCCATCAATGAATTTCATCCAACTCTCTCCGAATCACTCGAACATCTTCTCTTGTCTCTCGGCAAGAGGTGGTTTCTTGTTGACCATGAAGATTCTCGCGAATGAAATTCAAATGCAATCCGTCAAGCTAACACCAAAAGTCGAGGGTATGACCTGGGTGAACAAAGCATCACCAAAGCTATTGGTATTGCTGGAAGACGGTTCACTTTCACGTTATGACTACTCCATTGAAACACCTCTGACAGCACCAACAGCAGCCAGCAAGAGTCAATCGGTTGAAACCAAAGAAAGTGGTATCGATATCCTTTCGCTATTGAAGAAATCAAAGAAGCCAACAACCTCAACTGCAGCAACCTTGTCAACTGTTTCCACAGCTAGCAGTAAGACTTCTGAAAATCCTGTGTTCCCAATCGATTTCTTTGAGAAAGTTGAATGTATCACTCCACAAGTAAAGTTTGGTGGTGATCCACTCATGTGTTACTCACAAGACTTGATCAAGCAACGTCTTGCCAACAACGACGAATACATTGCCTGTCAGAATCTCGACTCACTCTCGCTCATTGCTTATAACAACGATCCCGATGTTGTTATCTGTGGTATTCGTGTGCTGCTCGGTCACGCAAGCTTGAAGCACATTCCCACTGAATTGCGAGTGTTTGACCGTGTCATAACCACAACCGAATCTCTGAGAAGATGGTATGACATTCCTCTCACCAAAGAAGAGTCACTCAAGTCCAGCAAGAAACTGACACTGATTGCATCTTCCGCTTACAATCTCGGCAACGCTCCAATCATTGATTCTGTCGAAATCTATGCCATATCCAAGGAAACCATTGGATGGGATGAATCGGCTGAACACAAATCGACACAATCCGTAGAATCTCAGAATCCAACGGAATCGGTACTACTTCACTCGATGAATCTATTGAAATACTACTTCTCTGTTGCATCGCCACAACAAGCTGGTCAACTCACTCAATTCCAACAGTTACCAGCTATCATGACAGATCCACAACTACTCTTCTTACAGCCATCGGTAAAGTCATTGTTGAAGATGATTCATCCATCTCACGAAGAATACATTACACTCAAGTACTCTACGTTGCTCCAGTACGCAAGTGATTCAATCACCAAGATGATGAAGTTGGCAGCACCGCGCTCACCGATGTTGTCATCTAGCAACGGTGCGCTCAATGCTGGCGATGTTGAGAGCTTGGATCATATCATCAAGATTCTCAAGAAGATCTCTTGCAATCAACCAGCTAAATTGACACAAAACATTCTTTCAAACCGTCCTTCGTTCCTCAGCGATCTCCTATCGGTCTATCTCTCGGCTACCAACTCTGGCGTGTCGAATACACTCACCAACGAACAGGTGGTTTCCAATCTAACTCATCTTCTCTGGAATTGTTTACGCTCGAAATCATTCCCTACATCGTCGATGTTTGAGCTCATCAAGAAACTGTTGTCTCATCCTTCAGAGGCAGTGAGAACACGTGCATCACTCTCACTATGCGCATTGATTACCAAATCATCCGGTAACTCGTCGATCCCCGTCAACAATGCAACTGGCCATTCCAACGCCGATGACAAACAACAATCGTCATCAACACAGTTCATCGATGAAGTTCTTTTCAGTTGTGACAAATGTTCGACCAGTCCAATTCTCAACAAACGTTGGCATTGCGATGTATGTGCAGATTTCGATCTATGCGACAACTGCTATCAAGAGATAAAACAAGGAGATTTACATCCATCCGACCACAAATTCACAGAGTATCTATTGGATGAACCAATGAAGATAGATGAACCAACAGCAGCAGCAACTACAACAGCAGAAACAACAACAGGTGTCGTATCTTCATCCAATGAACATCAACAACAACAACAACCTAGTTCAGATTACGATGAAGATTTACAACGTGCTATTGCAATGAGTTTGGATGCTCCACAAGAGACGACCACTACAGCCACTCCAGATAAGATGGAAACAGAGTCTACTGCAGCTGAAGATGCTACTCTCTTCCTGTTCAAGTATGTTCTCGATGAAATCAATCAACTCTATGAGAAGGGATTCAACACTGTGTTGCCCTACTTCCAAGTGTTAAAGTCGTTGTTCATCCACCTCAATAACAAGTTGGTATCCTCTAGCCACATGGATCATTTCATCAATTTGGTCGTTCAGTATCTCAGCAAGAATACTGCAACACTCGGTAAGTATCTAACTCACAAGAGTTTGGCACTTGAATCCGATACCATGGTGATTCTATTGCTAGCTGTGCTGTTGGACACCGAAGAACACAAGCAGATGAAGTTGAAGGACCCATCGAAGCCAAGCTCCAGTTCGCCAATCACTGCCTCTTCCACCACAAGCGCACCCATTCTTTCACACCAAATCATCTTTAAGATCTCTGAGATGTTGGTGAAGAAAGGATTCGTTGGAATTCTCCAAACCTGGCTGCAACAACTATTCGAAGTCATTTCCAAACAACAATTTGCTCAAGACGGAAACAACTCGCCATTCGGCGCACTCTTGGTTGCAAACAGCCAAGATGATCAATCACTTTCCAAGAATAGATTCTACCCGTTCTTCTCGAAATCATTGCCACAATCATTGAACACATTCCACCAGATCATTGCCAAGAGTATATTCAAGATAGCCATTACCTTCTATCGTTGTGATCGTCGTAAGAAGAAGATTGATAACAACAGCAACAGCAGCAATAGTAACAACAATAACATTGTTGACGAAAAACCAATGTTTGTTGTATCTGAATGGGATTCATTGGTATGCAGTTATATTCACTCCAAAAAGACTGCCTCCTTTGTCAAATATCCAAAGAAACTTCTTCTTCTCCTCAGTCAAACCAAATCCTCGTACTACTCGATTCGTGACGAATATCTATTGCGAAACAAGTTCACCAAGATTCAAAACTTGGAGTCTCAATCCAATGGATTCACTGGCGATATCCATTACGATCACTTAATCAAATTGATCAACTATCTCTCTAGTATGTTGGAAGTTGCTTCAAATCGTCCAAACAGCTGGCAATATTTCTGTGATAACAATGGTAAACTATTATTAATCATTTGATAGTTCTTTGATAAAATATGATTACTAATCTAATTCTATTTTATTTATCTTTCAAAAAAAAAAAACAGATGTATTGGTTGTTCTATTCAATAATCTATTCACTCTTCCAGAGGAATCTTCTTCGTTGATTCTCGAATTGCTGACCTATGCTTTCGTCACTGAGAAGGTTGACCCAAAGAAAGATCAATCAAAGGTTGAATCCTCAACCTCTGAGAAAGAAGTAGCAATGGATGTTGAAATGGCAAGTGATAACTCTGCGTTCATCACCAAGATCATTCCAATCTTCCTTCAAGACAATCTCTTAGATACACTGATCAACAAACTGTTGTTGGAACCAAATGCACTCGATTTGCGAACCAATACCAGCAACTTTTTGTACTATCTCTGGAAATCTTGCAACGATGAACAAAAAATATTCATCAACAGAGTACTTTGGACCAAATTAGACAAAGTTGTCTCCTATGGAAAGAATTCAAATGAGTTTATGGAGCTACTTACCTATTTCATCAATGAAATTGATTCAAACAAATGGAAGGATCAATATAATGGTATGTTATTTACAAATATTTATATAATCTTATTCGATTTTGAATACTAATTTATTTACCTTCAATAGAATTCGCTGATAAATTTGTAAAGAGTTTCAAAACACAGAATAATGTTATTTGTAATCATCCAAACTCACAGATCTACAATAGTCTTGGAACTATTTTGGAGTTGGATGGTTACTATTTGGAGTCGGAACCATGTCTTGTGTGTAACAATCCAGAGGTACAATATCAAACCTACAGGCTGGACACTCTCAAGCAAGAGGTCAAGTTCACTGAGAGTGCACAACTGATAAAGTTCAACGGTGTATACAGCATCCAGAAACTCACTATCAATATCAGTGATATCAAGAAGGCAAGAATGATCAAGACCATCAATCTCTACTACAACAACAAGATCATCTCTGACATTGGCGAACTCAAAGGCAAGTTCCAACAGTGGAAGAAGTTGAAGCAGATCCACTTCACTCCGAACCAAAACGAAAAGACTGTGAAGTTCCAAATCCCAATTGCCGCTACCAACTTTATGATCGAGTACTTTGACTTCCACGACAACCTGCAAGCGTTGGCATCGGAGAAACTTCAGTGTCCACGTTGTAGCAGAACGGTGACCGATAAACATGGTCTATGCAAACACTGCCACGAGAATGCCTATCAGTGCAAGCAGTGTCGTAATATCAACTACGACCATCTCGAAGCATTCCTCTGTAATGAATGCGGTTACTCTAAACACGCTCGCTTCGACTACTCCTTCACTTGCAAGCCAACCGTCTCGGTTGAGAAGATCGAGAATCAAGACGACTATGCTCGTGCCGTTGCTACCATCGACAAGGAATCGGAGAATGCACACAAGAAGTATCAACGTCTCACTGGATTCAAAAAGATCATTGCCAATCTTATCACTTCCTTCCAAACTCAGGAAGCATGGCCCAAAGAAGAGATGTTTGCCAACATGACAGCGGCCGCTGCTGCATCGAGTCAAGCAGCCGCTGCTCCCGCTCAATCATCCGCTGCCGCCAGCGGAAGTGCATCGCAAGCCAACAACTTTATCTCACTCAAGATCAACCGAAAGATTGGATATCTCGCCAAACTCTACGAGAAAGAGTGCAAGTCGATCTTTGAAGGTCTGAGCAAGAGCGTTCAAATCTTGTTGTCCACTCGTATGGAGATTCTCAAGTACATGAACTCACTCTCCAAGAAACCAAGATCGAAAGACACCATGATGCGTGAAACCAGTAACTGTTTCGGTTGTTCCAATTCATTCGCCGAGCAATCGCTTGCCTTTTTGAATCATCTCTCGAGAAATCCTGCTCTCGTCGACCTGAGAAATCTCTTGATTGCAAAGGGTCTGACAAAGGAACTCTTTAAGAACAATATTCATCAAGGAAAGAGTGATTCCAGAAACAACGCTCGCTTGGCCATCTCCTATTTGACCAAGAACAATGCTGACGCAACCGTCCAGCTCAATCAGTGGATTCGCAACAAGATTGACTATGTCATTGAGAATTGCAGTTCACTCGATCTGCCAACCATGATCTCCAGTCATATGATGTTGGTCAAGGAGTACAGTCACCTCACCGACAGTCTCTGGCAAACCAGATTCCGTTTCATCATGGAGATATTCTTCAAAGCGATCGATGTCGGTTCCGACAGTCCTGTCATCTCTGAATTTATCATTCTCCCATGTCTCAAGATCATTCTCTCGCTTTGCACACTCGATTCACAAGCTAAAGCCGCTCAAAAAGATCAAGACAACACTGAGAACCAAAAGTTGTTGCAGCTCAAATTCGAACGACTCAAATCCAGAAAGAATCCAGCTCTCGGATCACTTGAGACCGCCAACAAGGCAACTGAGATTCTTCCAGGTGCACATCCATCGAGTGCCACCAGCAGCGCCACAGTCAGAGCAGCCATCTCCACCTCGTCCGACTCTTCGTCGCTCTCCTACTTTGACAGCGCCGATCCCAATGTCAAGTACGATGAATGGTTGAATTCCGATTCATTCGAATCGTGGTCACAAAAGTACCAACCATCGATATTCCTTAGCAATAGCACTGATGAGCAACCAACCCTAGTCGATCATTCTCAATCGTCATCATCGGACAACAAGGAAATGAATCGTCGTGAAGTCAGAGCACGTTTCCTTGCAACCAAGTACGTTGGCAAGTGGAAATCGATCTTGAATGCCAAGAAACTGAAGGCTGGTATCACACTTCCAACCAGTCCACTCGAAGGATTGTTTGAAGACAGTTGGGTCAAGAAATTGCTTTTCAATTCGACATCATCGATTCGTATTGAAACTATCAATCTCATGAACATACTCTCTAGATCCAGTCCAGCTAGAACACTTAGATTCCTCGATCTCTTTGAAAAGATGATTCCTCACGCTGCACAAGTCGGTGAATACAGTGCCGAGTTCTTTGCACTCTTCAACAAGATCACCCAGAGCGACGAACGAAAGATCTATCTCACTGTGAGAGGATTCCTCCCTTACATCTGTGATCTCATGATCAACCAAATCGACCGTATCTACTCTATGGAATCATCGTTCAATACTGATGTCTCTCAAGGTTTCGTATTGAAAACATTGGTATCGATTCTAGAATCATTCGTTCAAGTTCCATCGATTAAACTCAAGATGAAACGTGACAATATCATTGATAAGGTGTTGGATGCATTCCTCTCACTGCGTGGAATTATCATTCAGAAGAACAAGTTGACTGAGGATTCCGTCAAACAACTTCAAGACATTATGAAAGCACTCAATTCCGAATCGAATGAAGACAACAAGAAGTTCATTGCCGCCAATATCAAGGCGTTGTCCAAGCATGTCAACAACGGTCGCACTCCAATATTCATCTTTGAGCAGATTTCCAACATTGTTTGTCCACTCAAACCAGAGCCAATCTACCAAATGATATTGACCAAGGCATCGACACAGGAAGACTATATTCGTGGTTCCATGAACAAGAATCCATATCCATCGAATGTTGTCGGTCCGCTGATGCGTGACGTCAAGAACAAGATCTGTAAGACACTCGATCTCGGTTCATTCTTGGATGACGACAACGGTATGGAGCTGCTCGTCGACAACAAGATCATAAAGCTCGATCTCCCAATCAAGAAAGTCTATGAACAAGTCTGGAAACGAAGTGCACAAGCTCAACGTGCTGCCAATGTCAACATTCCTATGAATGTTGTCTATCGTCTCCAAGGTCTCGACGGTGAAGCCACTGAGGAAATCATCGAGAATCTCAGTGATAACACCAACGAAGAGCGTGATCCAGAGGAAGAATTTGAAATCACAAGTGTCATGAAAGAGTGTGGCGGTCTCGATGCAATGCTCAACATCATCGAGAGAATCAACGATTTCTCTACGGAGAAAGAGTTGGCACAGCTGGTCATCAAGCTTCTCTACCACTGTATCAAGATTCAAGTGAACCGTCAGCAACTCCTCTCACTCAACGGTGTAAGTCGACTCCTCGAGAAACTGAAACAAGCTTTCCCACAACCAGATCTCGCCGAATCACTGTTACTGATAACAGAATCGATTGTTTCCGAAGCCAACAGAACCTACCTGAGCAACTCCAATTCCGACGTCACCGCGCTCGCTCAACAAAAGAATAGCAAAGAAGCACAAGAACAAATGACGCTATTCCTTGACAAACTCACCAGTCCACTGGTTCGATCGAATGCCAAGTTGATTCAAGCAATGACAAGAGTCATTCCCTTCTTGACCTACGGACACGTCGAGGTAATTCAATCGCTCGTTGAATTTTTTGAGCCATCACTCCAATTCGAGGCACTCGATGAAAAGAAACTTTCAAAGGATAGTCAGGTCATCACCAACATGGATTACTTCACCAAGATTGCAGACTCAACACGTCCCGATGAAAATGGCTACAAGTTGAGAACCTTTATTCTCGAGCGTGGCATCACCGAATCACTCTACACCTATCTAGACACTCATTTCGCTGAGGATAAAGACAAGTCTTCGAAAGAGTGGATTGATTCCCTTGAGAAACCTGCACTCCCATACGTCTTAGTATTGTTGAAGGGTCTTGCCAACGGTCACGAACCAACTCAAACAATGGCCATCGAAAAGAATATTCTCAAGCGTGTACACCTTATGGAGCAGACCACTACAGGCGCCAAGATTGGTACACTCGCAGAGAATCTTTTGGAGGCACTCAAAGAAGACAATCCAAAGGTGACCGCGGTAATCAATGAAATCCGAAAGGAGTCGAGAAACGAAAAGATGAAACAAGCAGAGAAACACAGAGAAGGTGTCCTCAAGGAACTAGGTCTCTCGCAACAAGGCAAACACATCACTGCCACCTTTGTTCCAGGCAGCATTGAAGAACTCGAAGACGAAGAAGGATTCACATGCATGGTGTGTCGTGAGGGTTACAGCTTCAAGCCTGAAGATGTACTCGGAATCTACACTTACTCCAAGAAGATTCCATTGCTTCCGATCAATGAAACCACTGTCAGTTCGACCACTGGAACACCATCCGGTGTATCCTATGGTTTCTCGACCGTAACTCACTTTAATATTATTCACTACTTCTGTCATAGAGATGCCACCAAGGCCGACAAGAGTATGAAGGTTCCAAAAGAGGAGTGGGAAGGTGCAGCACTTCGTAATCAACAAACCAAATGTAACAATATCTTCCCAATTCAAGGTCCAATGATCACCAACGACGCGTTCACTCCATACTGCGATAAATATTGGAGTAACATCAACAATATCTCTAGAATAGATGGACCGAAATTCAGATTGTTGGCACACGACCTCAAGCTTTTGCTTGTCCGTTTCGCCAAAGATGAATCATTTAGCCAAGACTCAAAGGGTGGTGGTAAAGAAAGTAACATTAGAATCATTCCATTCTTTATTCAATTCGGATCTTTCCTGTTGGATCAAAAAGTTGTTGGAGGATCGTCGAGTGCCAATCAACTAAGAAGACCACACTTTGACAAGCTATTCACTCAGTTCATTGCGAATACTGTTGACACTGTCGCCACTACCTCAACACAATCCGACAATGTTCCATACTACCTGGTACTCACACTCTATCTACATACCTACAAGGAATGGCGAACCAATAGATTCAACTTGTTGTCCAAGTTGATTGCCTACAGCTTCACTGAAACTCTATCGACACCTGTCACTGCCAACATGGCAACTCCAACCTCAACAGCACCGCTATTTAATGCATTGAGACCGTGGTTGCTCTTCTTCACCTTGATCGACAAGATTCAAGACATCGTAAAGACACAAGACTTACTTCTCACAAACCTCAACAGTCATCTCTCAAGCAACTACACCAAGATTCAATCGGAATTCAAATCACTTTTGACAACATTCGAAGAATGTAAATACTATGAAGATGAAAATGAATTCTTTGATGACCTTGGACTCCTTAAAGATATTCTTGACAATCACAAGACTACTTCAGAATATGTATTAAATATCTTTTCACAAGTTAAATCAACAAAAAATAAATAAATAAATAAATAAATTTTAAAAATACTTTTAATTTAATAATTTTTTTTTATCAACCAAATCCCTCTATAAATTCAACAGACAGCGTTGAAATCATGTGAGCTTTGTGAAGGTGTCTGTCTACAATGCCAAAGGTGAGTGTTATGAAGCTGAACTAAGTCTAAAATTATAGCAGATTTAGAAAACAACCAGCGCCATAAAAAAGAAGGGTCTACCTTGGTATTTTCAAAATCCTCGGAATCCAAACCACTAACCTTGAATCCACAAGCTTGTGTGATTGGAAGGAATCTTCTTTCTGATGTTAACCCATCGATACTGAGTCACTATCATTTCCTATCACTAAACTCATCATGCTTTATTAATGTAACATCGGTGAAGATTACTTTTTCCAAAAAATCCATCGGAGCAAATACAAGCATACCAATGTTATGATTTCAAAATGTTTCTTAAATCCATGTATCTTGTTGTTCATACCAACTCTTTTTAAAATTTCACTTTTTAACTGCCACAACAACAACAACAAACAAACTTAATAAGATAAAACCAAATCCTTCATCACAATTCCAAATATTGCATTCAGATTGTAATAATCTAGATTGTACTGTTACAACCTGTAAAGAGAGTAAATCTAGAAAATTAAAAAATAGAATCCTAGGTGGTCCACAGAGTTAATGGATTTGGTTTTATCTTATTAAGTTTGTTATTATTGTTGTTGTTGTTGTTGTTGTTGTGGCAACAATTTTAAGAACGTGCGATTTCATATTGTAGATGCTACTGGTGTTCGTTATTATGGGTGTCTATATGTCGTGACGACAATGATTTGTCATCTTTAGTATTAATATACAATATATTGAAAGATAATTATATTTAGTTTAAGTTGAAGAATAAAAAATCATTTATGAAACATGGTTGAATTTGCTTTTCAAAAAAAAAAATGAATTGGTTAAAAAAAACTAAACTTTTTTTGATCATTTCAAATAAAGATAAATGAATAGCAAGACAATAAAGGATAAGATATCGAACCTGATAGATGGCGAGAGTACTGATGAGTTTACCAATCAACTTTCGGAATATTGCAATAGTTTGGAGAAGAAACTGGTCGATGAGAAATCAAAGAATGATCAACTAAAGAAACAGAACGAGAAACAAATCGAACTGACTCTGGCAGTGGAGAAGGAGTTGGCTGTGAATAGATCGAAAATATATGAACTAGAGAGAACAAACACTCTACTGAAAAGTCAACTCTCTGAATCAAAGATAAATCTCGAGGAAACCAAAGACGATATAGAGAGAAGAATATCTTCACATAACAAACAATTAGATGTAATTATTAATTTGAAAGATTAGATAGACTATAGTTTCTAAATCATTATACATTTTATTTTATCTTTAGGATTTACTATCGAGTATTCAGATTATAAAGAAAGATGAAGATGATCATAAAAAGAAATATGAAGAATTAAAAGAAAAGGCTGCAAATGATGAGGTAACTAATTAATTAATTAATATATAACAAAGCTTTTTTTTGTTCAAATCATTAATTTCTTATTCTCTATCTTTTCGGATTTAAAAGAAAAACTATCAATTAAAGATAAAAGCATTGGAGAAAGAGAGAAATAAATATAGAGAAGACGCATCTGATCTAAAGAGAAAGAATTCAACATTGGAATTAGATAGTTTTAAAGATACACAGATTCAATCATTAAAAGATCATAACTCTTTATTATCTAAAGAAGTATGTATTTTATTGACATTCATCTATTTATATCATCTAACTAACAATGTTATAAAAATATATATAGATACAAGATTTAAAGAAGAAACTAGAATCAACAATTTCATCTTTAGATAAATCAAATTCATTAATATTACAACAACAATCATCACTATCATCATCCTCTTCATCTTCTTCAGATACAAAACTTCAAGAATCACTTAAAGAATGTGAATTAATGAAACAATCATTACAACGTAAGTAGAGTGTTATTGTTTATCTATCTTTTTTTTTAAAAGTTATATTTCCCGCTCTTTTTTTTAAAAGTTTTTTTTTTTCGTATTAATTAATTTTTACTTTTTTTAATATTTTATTTTTTAGGTGAAGTTGTATATTATACTGAAGCTCATAATAAAGGTCAACTAAGAGTTAGTGAATTGGAATCACAGTTACGTTCAGTTGGTAATCCAGAGTTGGCAAAGTTTGAGATTGCATCGCTACGTGATAAAGTTGCAAGACAAGAACAAACGGTTGAGAAATACAATAGATTGCAAGTGGAATATCAACATTTGTTGGAAGAGAAAAAGATGGCATCAAACACAATGTTTAGTTTGCCTAGCACCGGTGGCCTGAGTGTTATGGAGCTAGAGCAGAGAGTGAGAGAGTTGGAGTCGGACGTTCAGGTTCACATTGCCAAGATCGGTCAGTTGAGTTCAAGCTTGCGGCTCACAGAGAATCGTTGTGTTGACCTCGACAGCCAGATCGCCGACCTGAAAGAGACACTTGTAAAACTTGAATCGCGTAACAAAGAGAAAGATGACCAGATCTCGAGAGAGTTGCAAAAGACCAATATGTTCAAGAGGGAGCGTGACGGTATCAAGCGAATTCTCGATCATTTCGATGTCGAGAGCATCGTTGCCAGTGGCAATGTAAATGAATTGTATAAAGCACAGCAAGCTCGTATCTCAGAGTTGGAGCGTGCCAACACCGAGAAGGAGAAGTTTATGGAGGAGTTGGAAAAGTCGCTGAATGCGCTCGGCGCCGATGCCAGTCTGGCAAATGGTGGAGCCGTTGACTACAAGGCGGAAGTTCAGAGTCTAACCAAGGAGATCGAACGTCTCATTCAAGACAATGCTATTTTGGAATCTAGATTGGGTAAAGGCGAATTTGACACTAGCAAAACCAAGGTGTTGCACATGACATCGAATCCAACCAATCCCAATATTTCGTCGTCGTCGTCAGCAGACTCACCAAAAAGTCCAGAATCAGACTCCAAGATTATCCAAGAGAATCATGGACTGAGAATGAAGATTACAGAGACCGAAAAGATTATGGAGCGTTTGAAATCGGTTTTCAAATTAAAGATCAGCGAGTACAGAGAGGTCGTCTATGCTCTCTTTGGATTCAAGATGGATATGGAAACCAACAATCTATACAAACTACAATCGATGTACGCCGAGCACGAAAACGACTACCTCGTATTCCAGCGTGTCGTTGAATCCAAGAACAAGATTGGTAAAATGGAATTGATGGATACAGACTATACACGTGCACTCGACAAAGAGATAAGAGCATATCTCTTTAGCTGTCACTCTATCCCTGCATTCCTCTCACAATTAACATTGGATTTATTTAGTAAACAAACCTTCTACCCATCATAAAAAAAAAAGAAAAAAGAAAAACAGATGAAACATTACATAACCACATTATTACTTTAAATAAAACAATCTGATCACATAAACAATGGTCAAGATGTTACATTACACTTTTACAAGAAGAAACACTTAATTATCTATATATATTGAATTTAAATTCTATTTATTGTTGGTGAGCTGCAGTACCATTGAGAGCTGGCACAGGTGAAGTTGCCAGCAGTGACTTGGCAGAGTCCAAAGCTACTTCCAACATTCTATAGGTTCCTTGGTGTACAACATCACGATTTGGTTCGTATTTCTCGGTGAGTTCTCTTTCAAAAATATAGTTGTCAATGTTTACGCAACAACCTGAACGGATACCACGGAGTGAGGCGATAATAAAAAGAATGGATGCTTCCATCTCGATGGCAAGAACACGTGATCTTGCCCAGAGTTTATTGTGATTTCCAAGTGGACCATCGAAAAAGTGACCGACAGTTGTGATGATACCAGTTCCGAAATTGACACCCTCAATCTGCTTGGCAGAGTCAATGAGAGCTTGGACGACCTCGTGGTCGGCGATCGCTGGGTATCCGAGTGGGACCAAACCCTCGGAGACACCATCGCTACGGACGGCACCAGTGGCAATGACGAGTGAACCCTCACGATAACGTGGATCGAATGAACCGGCTGTACCGGCACGAATAATGGTGGTGATTCCAGCTTGAATCAACTCTTCGAAGCAAACACTGGCACCACCACCACCGATACCGTGTGACATGACCAAAAGCTCTGTATCCTTCCAGGTACCAACGTAACAGTGGTACTCTCTGACCATAGAGACTGGACGTGAATTCTTTAACAATTTCTCGGCGACCAATTTGGCACGATTTGGATCACCAACGACAACACATGAACGTGGTAACTTTCCGACTGGCAATAAACAAATTGGTGTAGTTTTTTCCATCTTTTTATATTATATATTATGATTCTTTTTTTTTTGGGAATAAATATTCTATATTTCTGGATTATATATATATTAATTTGTTGTTGTTGTATTTCGACACTTTTTCAATTTTAACAAATATTTGAAACAATGCAATTATAAATATTTAGGTTGAATATCGGTGATGTTTTACTGTCTTGGAACCTAAATAGCTGGTATTTACAAACTGTATAATAATAATAATAATAATAATAGTAACAAAAATATATTAGTATAAAATGATATAATATTAAACCAATTTTTGATCTATTAATAAAATAAAAACATATGAAGATCGAATATGTAAAAGAAAAAAAAAAGTCAACAGCAACCGTTTATTGCTACACAATGTTTCATTATTAATATTAATGTAATGACGACTCACAAAAATGTAATTTGATGATGCCAAGATAAAACTCATAGGAGTTATTTCACTTTAATAATATTTTTTAATCTTATAGTTTGTCTTCTTTAAATATTATTATTATTTATAATATAAATTTTATAAATGTTATTTCTAATGGTTTAGGTTTATAAAAACAAAAAGACTATCGTCTGTTAAATTAATGAAGGATCGTTTTGTAGTTTGGAGAGAGTATTGATTTTTGATTTGTTTTTTATAGTTGTTTGAAATGTATCGTTGTTATTAATTGGTAGGTTTAACATATTAATGGTATGGAAATAAAAATATCTACCTGATAACCCTGCTAATCGATAAAAATATTGAATAGTGTTTATTTGTTGTCGCTGTTTTTATTTTAATTTTTTTGTTGCCGCTGTTGTTAAACAAATATACACTTCTACTTCCTATTGCTAAATTTGGATTTTATTATGTGATTAAGTTTGTTTTTATGATAAGATAGAATAGTTAATTGGGTATTAATAAACAAAACGAATTGTATAAATTTTGTTGTAAATTTGGCAAAAAAAAATTAAAAAAGAAAAAAAGAAAAAAAATGATAATGTGTTGTGTGTGTTGTGTGATCACTGAGAGTGTGTGGTGTTTGATTGTGACATGATGAATATCAAGATATTATCACTTGTTATCCAAGTTTATTTGTGTACAGGCACAAATGAAGCAAACATCTGTCCATCAGTCATATTCTTGAAAATCTACAAATAATACTTGATAAACAGTTTGTTTGGTGAGAATGAGAATTTTGATTGTGACAAAAAGGCGTGTATTATTTAATAAAGTGACATTTAATTATTTTTCTCGAACAATAATTCGTCCTATTGAAGTTGAATGTGATTAAAAAAAAAAAAAAAGACAAAGTTTAATAATTACAAACTTATTGTTTATTTTACTAAATTATTTATGATTAATAAGATGAAAGTGAAATGAATGAAAAAAAAGTTTGTTTTTGATTTTGTTCCTATCTTGTAAGCGACTTGCTTAACATAACGAATTTAAAAAGTATCGGGGAAAGTAAAAGATTCGTCAAAAAAAAATTTTGCACAAAAAATTGTTGTTACAAATAAGGGTCGAAATGATCATATATGTCTTTTATATTGTGTATTGATCAAAACTATTCTATTACTTTTTATTTATTATCTATTTTATGAAATTAAACAGGAATAAGGAGTTGGGGGTAAAAAAAAAAAATATGATCAGATGAAAAAAAAAACAATTTTTTAAAGAAAGTCTAAAATAAAAAAAATAAAATATAAAAAAAATGAAAAGAATTATGAAAAAATATGCATATTTTTTTAATCAATCTTATGTTTTTTTAAATTTTGATCCATTCCCAGGCCCCAGATATAATCTGGGTCTTTTTTTCACACAAAACCAAATTGAAAATTGATTTCTTTGTTGTTAAAAACAATGCAAGTTTTTGTTGAAAATTTGGTGGTTTAATGTGGAGCCTATTGACCACAAAACGTTGATCTTGACAACATTTGACTTTGCTCTTTTTTTTTTAGTCAATTTATGAAGCAATCGAATTTAGTAGGAGCTTTGCAAAGAATTGTAGATATTTTATTTTTTACAAAAGTGCAAGATGATTGGTGGTCTTCAATTGTTATGAGGATGCTCTTTTTCTGTTGTTGTTGTTGTTGTTGTAATATGGTTTGGAGGAGGTGAACGAGCTGTTGCTTGATGACGCTTGGGATTTAGCGTCGTTAATCGTAAAGTTAAAGAAATCAAAGAGTTGTTTGGCCTCCTCTTCCGACCCCAACAGTTGTTGAAGATCTTCTTGCGACTTTTTGGAGAGTTCATGCAGGTCTTGGACACCATCCATCACACGCTTAATATTGAGATCTGTAATGCCAGGAAGTTTTCTCAGTACATCTTGTGGACCATAGTTGTATTCGGAATCCTCTCCATTGCCAGCGACACTTTCCTCAGTCAATTCATCGATGTTCTGAGGATCGGGTTCCGGTTGGAGTTCTTTCAGTCGACGGAAAATGTTGACTGTGGAGTGAGCGGATCGCGACCAAAGCACTCGGAGTTTCGGGAATGATCGGCATAGCATAATGAGTTTTGAAGAAAGAGTGAATCGAGGGTATGTTGTATACGCCAGTTCTTCAGGTGAAATGAGTGAGATGAATGGTTGTTGAATATCATATTCAATGAGTAGCAGTGGATTCCTATAGATACGCCCCATTGCTTCGATTTGTGCGTAGAGACGACCGGATTGGAACGAACCAATCAAATCGGGAACGGACTTTCTCTCGGCGGCGAGTGTCGGAGTGATTACATAGTCAGCAACTGTCAAACGCTTTGGAATGATTTCATAGCCAGCACCATGAAGTGCCACCGGCAGAGAACTCTTAAACTCGTGAGAGTCGACTATTATCTTGGGATTGGTCGTGGGGATGAGGGATCGACGCACAATACCACCATATCTCGAGTCCACTCTTGTCGAACTCTCGGGATCCAGCAATTTATAGGCTTCGGCTGCATCTACATGCGTGGAAGTATCGACAACAAGGTTTGCTTTCTCACGAATCAGTTTCTCAAATGATGATTTCTCACGATTGAGAACCGAAAGGTATTTCCTCTCCTCTGTTGACTCTCCATAGAACAGTAGATAGACACCGATTTGGATGGCAGGGTTTTCCGCTTGATACACTTCAATCTGACGGGTGATGCTTATCTCGAGATCATATATAACAATGAAACGTGGGCGTAGCTCATTGAGGATGGATAGTGATTGGTCCAATGGATGAATGACTACATGCGGTGAGTGAAGTATACCATAGAAATCCATCAGGTCATCGGCATTGAAGTTATTCTCAAGTTCATAGTCTGCAACGGTATCGGATATGATTTTTGGATTCGGAATGAACATGTTACCGCCATTGCTAATCACTGAAACGCCCATGGAAAACAAAGAGTTACCGGCACTGTCTTTTTCTACTTTCTTTCTATAGTTGGTTTCCGATATCTTTTGCTTTCGATTGGATTGATTGATCTGTTTGCTTCGATAAGAGAATCTATTACTATTACTCGTGGATCCATTACTATTATTCTTCTTATACTTGAATCGATTGTTTTGATGTTGCTGTGGTGGCATTGTTGTTGGACGATCTGGTGGATATAATCTATCATATCGATTCGACAACATATCATATCCACCAATATTCAAATAGTCTTGTAGTTGCTGACAGGTTCTCTCATCCTTAACGATTACCAAAACATTTTCAGGTTCATCCATTCGTTTTCTATTGATATCCTCTATCTCCTCCAATACCTGAAGTAATAGATTCCATTTTGGATTCTCTTCTAATATTAATTCTCTTTTAAATATATTCTGTGATTGTTTATTATTATTATCATTGTTGTCACTATTATTATTTTTTGTTGATGTTGTTGATTCATCTTCACTATTATTATTATTATCATCTTTATCTTTATCTTTATTATCTTTTGTTGTTTTCTGTTTCTTATTAGGACTATGATTATCTTTATCTTTATCTTTTTTGTTTAAATTAAGTTTAGTTTGTATATATACACGTTCTCTTGCATGTCGAAATAGAGTGTTTGCTGTTTCAGTGTGAATCCAACTGTTTTCATCTTCAGCTTCGGTTATGGCAACTGATTCCAATAGTTTCAAAAAGGTGATACAATCGTAGGCGAGAAGCGATGTTGAAAGTGTCCGCAGCACTTTGATGTTGCCAATGGTTTGTTTGGTTTGCTTGTTGATATCACCCCATATCGGTTTCAACTGTTGATGTAGCATCGAATCGAAAGAGTTGAAAAGAGTGTCGTCCATCGATATCGATCGGTTGTCACCGAGCTTACTGCCCCTCTGAATGGAGCCGAGTGCCGACTGGATGGTGGAGAGCAGTGACTTCTCGATGGCTTGCATCGACGGTGTCGGATGTATCGAGAGTTCAATGAGATTCAGCTGGTGACTGTCTAGCACCTGCGATACGGACGCGTGGAATCGCGGCCACAAATAGAGTGCACTGACATTCAAGTACTTCAAGAGACGTTGTACCTTTGAGATCTCACCGAGCATCGCAGGTGCATCGCTAGTGAACGCCTTTACGAAACCATTCTTATTGGTCTGCTTGAACAACCTGATCAACATTGTTTCACACGACAAGTCAGTCAGTTTATGTGCATTGTTAACAATGATTCCACTGATAAGATGAGAGGGTAAACGTTTCGTAAGGAAATCCAAAATGAAAATAGATGCAGGCGCAAAATAGAATCCTCCTTTTTTATACATATTTAACCTATATATCATTTGTTATATATATATATATATTAGTTTATGTTTTATGTTTAACTAGTTATAAAAGATAGATATAGATTTAATGTTGTTTATTTACTTTGAAGTACCAGATTGTTCTTGATTGATTAATGTTGGTAGATTTTGATAGTTTACACCGAATGCCAATAGTTGTTCTGTGTAGAATACATATGATTCTTGTAGAGAATCATTGATTGGATCAAGATAGAGTACCAGATGATCGCTATCAGAGTAGAGTTTGAGGAATGCAAGTATAACATGTTGCAAACCCAGACCCTTTGCCATAACGACAAGACCATCTTTCTCAAAACATGATTGAAATACTTGTCGATGAAAATCTAATGTCATTATTGTTGTTGTTGTAATTATTCATTAAATATCAACTTAAAGCATTCATTCATATTATAAGTATATATATATATAAATATATTAGATAAAGATTGAAGATTGTTTATTTATCTACTTTTTTTTTTTTTTTTTGACAAATAATATTAAAAATGATGTTCCCAAAACTTTGGAAAACATGTATGCAAATTCCAAGAAATAGAGGTGCATAAAAACAACAAAGTTGAGTTTTTATTTCTATCTTTGTAGTTCGGCTTGTTTCAATTAATATTAAATAGTAATGTGTATGTTTGTTAATTAACCACTATCTATCTATCTTTTGGGAGGTCTATACTCTTTTAACTAAAGTAGCATCCAATTGTTTAAGTTGTGGGAACATATTGATAAATATTCTTCTATATTGTTGGTGTTGAGCCAATGGATTTCTCTCAAAGTATAAAACTTGAATTTGTTTGTGAATCTGTTGTTCTATGTTATCCATATCGTCGCATTCATTATCATTACACTTTAATAATATAGTATAGATAATAATTGTCGGTCAGTCATTTATTTTAGATATAATACAACAATATTGTTGTTGTTGAGAGCTACTTACCCATAGATCTTCGAGTTGGGTCAACTTGTCGATGCCAACCAGTTTCTTAATCTTATTGGCAGAGATGTCGAGAATCTGAAGTTGTGTCAATGTTTGCAGACCATCGATATCGGTGATACCGTTGTGTGAGAGATACAGTTCAGTTAGGTTGGTCAGTCCGACAAGGCCATCACCAACTCTTGTCAGTCTATTCGATTGTATCGACATGATTCTCAATGGTGTCATATGTGAAATATTCTTTATCTCTGTAATCTTATTTCTACCAAGCCACAATGTTTCAATCTTTGTTAGATTATCTAAATTTTTAATTTCCTAATAATGATAATGATAATGATTATTAATTAATGTAAATAGATGATAGTAGTAGTAGTAGTAGTATTGATTAATAATAGCAATTATCTATTACTTACTCTTAATCTATTTGAACCTAATTCAAGATTTGTTAAAGTATCTAATTGATCTAGATTGATGATCTCTGTTATCTTGTTGTTAGCAAGATAGAGATCCTTCAACTTTGGTAGTTCTTTTGCAAAGAGATTCTCAATTCCTCTGATTTCATTGAATGATATATCAAGATATCTGTAATCGATAATAATAATAATGCAAATGCATTCATTAGTTATATATATTGCTAATATGTATATAGTAACAAACCAAATACATACGTTAAATTATGAAGATTATTCAAGTTTTTAATATTTTTTATTCTATTGTCGTACAAGTCCAACGATTCCAATGAAACTAGAGTATCAACACCTTCGATTTCCTCTATAAGATTCTGTCTAAGGCATAGTTTCTTTTATTATAGTTATCAATAATAACAATAGAAAAAGTTGTTAGTTAGAACATCTAATTAATTAACAAACAAACAAACAAACAACAAACATAATAGAACACTATTTTAATTACCTTTAAACTTAATAGATGAGATATATTCTCAATCTTTTTTATTTTATCATTTGTTAAATCTATATCCTAAATGGATGTTTAATAATATTATTAATACAAATGAATGTAAATCATCATCTAGATGATTATATTTGTACATACAGTTAATGTCTCTGGTAATGAATAACCTTGACCAATAAAGTCATGAGGTTGTCCTGTAAGATCTAATATTTCATCATGTTCTACATAGTCCAACTGTGGTACATTTGCAGATTTCTCTATCTCTGTATTATTATTGCTGTTATCATTATCATCGTGATCACTGTCAATGTTGTTGTTGTTGTTGATATCACTATTTTCCGACATTTTTTTTTTATAACTATTATTCTATATGTGAACTTAAAATCATTAATTAAAAATGTCACCAATTATAATTGGGTGATAGAATCGACTTTTTTATTTAATTTTTGTTTAAAAAACAGAGCAGATTGATTGTAGTTTTATTTATTTAAAACAGTCTATTATCTACTTTCTTCTCAAATTATTAATTTATTGATCGAGTTGAACAATTATTTAAAGTTTTAAATTAAATTAATCAATTAGTTTTAAAAAAGATAGATCTGTAAACTCTGTAATTTGTTATATTTTCAACTCTTTCTAAAAATATAGATATTTATACACCTAATCTATAAATAACTGTGAGATAACAAAAATTAACAAACTTTTCTCTATTTATTATATATTAATGTCAAATCTTATAGATTTATTTATTCTTTTTTTTTTATATTTTTTTATTTTTAAATTTTGTTTATCTTGTTTGTTGTTGGTTAGAAGGAAGAAAGAATGATAATTATTATTATAATAGTAGTAGTAATAAGAAATAAATAGTTTATAAGTTAAGTTAAGTTAGAGTGTGAAAAAAAAAAAAAAAGAAAAACAAAGATTGAACTTTGTTTTTTTGATGTAATGATATTATTGTTATATTATATATATATTATGTAATGATTGGTATAGTATTGTGGCAAGAGCATTGTTAGTTGTGGTTAGCTATCATCGAATTGATGAGAATGTTTTTTTAATTCACTCATCATCATCGATGTTGCTGTTGATCAGACAAGATGATTGTCTGAGTTCATCGAGGGTTGGACTTCCTTGCCATTTGTAGTATTGAATCTTGTTCTTTGAGGCATCGTCTTTGGTAATCAGGTTGATGCTATCCAAGATCAACGCCATATCATAGAGTCTTCTAGACTTGGCTGTTGTCAATTGAATGTTATACATCTCCTTGGCATCCTTACACGATACATTTGGCTAATAATAACAACAACATTGATAAATTTATATTAGATTAATATAAATAGTTATCTTGATATCTTGTTACTATAATACTTACATGTAAAAAGAACTGTTTAATAAATTGTTTATAAATATGTGATAGTTTTGGTGAGGCAATGGTAGGTGGTTGTTTGGTTGGAGTTGTTGCTGCTGCTTTAGAGGTGGTTGTAGTTGTTGATGAATTGGATGTCTGTGAACTTTCGGTCATTTCAGAGTCATCTGAATCGGATTCATCGGAGTGATTCAATTGTTGATCTGGAGTGGTTGTAGTTGATTGTTGATGTTGATGATGTTGTTGGTGAAGTTGTTGTGAAGATTCACGTTGTCTACATTTCTCACAGGCAAACTCGGGCTTTCCGGTGAGGTAGTTGGTGGTGCTGTGAAAGATCGCCTCGATGGCGGCTGGGATCGCGTCCAATCCGATCCAGTGGTAGGAGTTGTGTCCACGCTTATCGATGATACCGATACACTTCATCACGTGGAGGATCGAGTACATTCTGGTGAGGTCGACACCGTGCTTCATGGCAAAGAGGTCGATGTACACTTGGTTGTTACCGAGGAGTGCTGCATTGGAATACTCTTTGATGAAGAGGTCGCAGATCTCAATGAGCTTTCTTGGTTTGTTGCCACTCTTGTTGGTTCTTGATGCCGATTGAGAATTGGTGGTGGTGGTTGGTGTTGCTGCTGATATTGCAACTGTTGGTACAGACGACGATGAAGTGAGTGGTGGTGGAGTGGATGATGTTAGCTCTGGAGAGTATGAATATGGTGTTGTGGTGGCAGAGGACGATGGACAGTATTGTTTTTGATCGATGACATTATTATTGAGAAGCTTTTCTTGAGCCAACTTTTGTTGTTCAAGGAAATCGGTTGACATTGTGAATTCTTTCTTTACTACAAGTGTTTGTTCGGTGGATTGATGGAATTGTTGTTGATGTTGATATTGGAGTTGATGTTGTGAGATTTGATAATATTGTGGTTGCTGGTTGTTTTGTAATTTGATGGTATTATTAAGATCATAGAGTGATAATGGTTGTATATATACATTGGTTGGCTGATGGTATTGTTGACATTGGTTACTATTATCAATGGGAATCTTATTGTGAACGTTATTGAAATTAACTAGGTGTTGTTGTTGATTTTGAGAAAAGTAAGCAGCTTGTTGTGCTTTTTGGAATTCGATTTGTTGCTCATAGTATTGGAGGTGTTGTTCGTCTATATTTGGTATTCTTTGTGGTTGTGGTGAGCCAGACTGGAAGGTTGGCACAATCGAGGAGGAGGAGGAAGTCGAGGTTATATATGGGGAGGATGTTAGTGACGATGGTACAGAGTAGGATCCAGACTCGGACAATTGTTGTTGTGGTTGTTGAATATTAATGGTTTGCGTGATTTGATTGGAGATGGATGGTTGTTGTTGTTGTGGTTGACAGCCGCTACTTTCAATGTACTCAGAGATGAATGTGGTGTCTTGCTCGTCGAGGAACAATGTGTAGCTCGAGGAGGGTGGTGGTGACGATACCGACGATGGACTTGGATAGCCTTCCTCTGGGACGGGAGGAGATGGAATCAAGTTTTTTGTATAGTGGCTCTGGCAAAAGCTGTTGTAAACAAATGGAGAAAAGGGAGTGGAGTCGTCATCTTCGCCACTGGTGGATCCGCCCGAGTGGTTGAGCACAGCCAACGAATTGCTGTTCTTATTCGAGTGTAGAATGTTGTAGTCCATTGCGACACCGAGTAATGGACTGTCTGGCAACTCTTGTGGATTTCCCTTGTTCACCTCACTGGAGTGATTGATCCATTCAGAGAATAAAATATCTTCCATTGTTGATGTTGTTGTTGTTGTAATAAGCAATACAAGTCAAAAAAGACAAAAAACGAAAAGAATTTAGGAGTTGTGTGACTTTTAAGTTATAAATAAAGGTAATAATAAATAAGATATATAATGGATTTTTGTTTGGTTATTGGTTTGTTTGGTTTTAAAAAAACAAAACTTTTGTGGAAGTTGGGATAAGTATGGAAACTTGTGATATATAAAATATTAAAACTCTTGAAGATAAGATGGAAGATAGACAAGATATAAGTAAGTAATGGAGGTGGAGGAGGGTGTGAGTGAGTGAGTGAGAAAATAGATGAATCAAACACAAATAAACATTACACTCTTTAAAGTTCAATAAAAAGCTATCGGTATCAATTGATTGATGATAGTAATATAGGTATTGATATATATATATATATAAAGATATATATATTTTATATTGGTATTACAATACACACTTCACTTTTTTTTTTCCAAATCCAAACTGCTAAAACGAAACAAAACACAACACAATGTGTCACAATATTATATATAAGTAAATTATGTGGAATGAATGTTTTTTATTTATTTATATGTATGCTTTATGTTATGTATGTTTGGTAGGTATGATTGATTGATTGATTTTGGTTTTTGATAGGTATGTTGGTTGTTGCAAGTTTAGATAGGGAGTTTGAGTTGGTGTTTGGAGGTAGCAGGTAGATTTATACAAGATAATATTTTTTAAGTGTTTGTTTGTTTGTTGGTTGTGTGATTGATTGATTGTTGTATGTATGTAAATATTAAAAGAGAAAGAGAGAGAGAAGTGGAGTTATTTATTAAAGAAGTGAAGTTTTTATAAATGAAGTGGTATTAATGGTGGGAAAGCATCCTGTGATCGCCTTTTATTACCTTGGCACAGTCACCACTATTAACACCTACTTCTAATTAATTCTACCACAATTATCATATTGTCAGTGTAAAATAATTATAGGTGATGTTAATGATGATGGTGATCAACAAACACACACACACCACACACTCATCTAAGATGAAATTATTTACTAAGCTTTTTATTTTTTTAAACACCCCATCCCTATTTTGGGTGTTCATCAATTTTTAGAGTATTTTAATTTTACCATTATTGCCATGAAAGGAAATTTGGGGTGTTTTAAATATAATCATAAATTATGCTAATGGGGAGGAAGATAATAAATTAAAAAAAAAAAAAAAAACATATTTATGAAAATAAATGAAAAAAAAAAAGGAAGCTCAATTCATTTTCATTTTTTAAAGTGAATTCCCAATGATTTACAAAAGGAATGAAAAAATACTTTCTTTTTTTTTTTTTTTTGATCACCCCTCCACACACTCCCATATAATGATCAATTTGATTTTATAAATTGAGAGTGTGTTGTTTGTTTGGCTTTTTTACACTAATGATTTTTTTTCTTTGCTTCCACTTAAGTCACAAAGATGTGAGATTGACTTCTCACACACATTCACACAACAAACTATTTAATTAGTCTTTATAAATTTGCTTGGTAGTTTATTGTTAGAGAGAATTAAGTTTTTTTTGGTTATCGAATTGCAATTCGTTGTCGTTGTGTACATGTGCCAACTTTTCAAATTACAACATGTAGAAAATTTTCAGTGATCAAAAAAAAAAAACAAAAAAAGTTGTACTCATCCACAAACTGATATCCCAGAGCACCCAAAAAAATAAATAATCAAATCAAATGTTGTTGTTATTGTTATTGTATTTTTTCATCATTTATCATGACCGATAGTTTTTTGTTTGACAGTTAGTATTCAAACTCTGTGAGTGGGTGTGCAGTTGTGTTGTTCTTCATTTTCTTATGGTCACACTTTTAAAAAAGTGCTACGGTTTTTTTTTGGTATGATAGGAGTACTACTACAACGACAAACACGATTCATTCACAATACTCCAAAGCGATTGCTTTTTATTGATTATTGCTCTTCCAACCATCACAAAACATCAATATCAACAACAAAAACTCAATTCACTTCAGTTCAGCTTTGTAGTATTAGAGAAAGAATTAACTGAGAGAGATATACAGATATGAGAACTCATAATTTAGAAATACTTTAGATATTAGATTTTGGAGTGTTTTACATAGAGAGTAAGATAGATTCATATTTATTGAGTTTTTGGATGAATTTTCTAATGGGTCAAGTTTCTCAAATTAATGTTGATGTTATTGTTGTTGATGTTTTCCAATGTTTGTTAATACAGATGGAATGTTTTGTTGAATCTTCTTACTCATCTGTTCCATCAATGAGTAGGTTTTCGATCCAGCAGTATTACTGGATACAACGGGTGATTGGGTATTAGATAGCGGTCTATTGGCATTGGGTGAAGTGATTGATGGCGAATTCTGTTGTTGCTTCTTCGATTGAGAGACACCAACCAGGTTGGGCGTGCCACCAGAGGGAGAGAGCGCAGACGCAGCAACAGCCTGCTGTACAATAGGAATAGACTCCACTGAGAACATTTGAAACTTTACGGTCGATTTAGCAAGCGGCATTATATTGGGAGATTCTGTGTTGACCACCCCATTCGAGGCTTTGACAGCCGCGTTGGACTTATACCTAATAAAGTAAAATCAAAAGGATTAGAAAGAGCCCGGGTGCGACGCCAGATCAATGGGATATGTGGGTTGGGCTTTGAAGCTTTATGAGTAAGTGCATGTGTGTGTGTGTAGTTTGTTTGAATCGTGGTATTAATAAACAACAAAAACAAATTTAGAGTTTTGGTGCATTTAAATTTAACCGTTTTCCAAATATAAACGTTTATATTTGGACTGTGCCCGAAAAACCAAATTATCATTATTATTTTTGCAGCAAACAATAAATGTGTGGTGGTGTGGTGAGCTTTTCAAAGTACTTAATCTTCACAACAATCTGAGATATATATATTCTTTTTTTTTTTTTTTTTACAAGCAAAATTCACAAAGAACACAAAAATGAACTTTAAAAGAATGTGGTATGATTATGTGTGTGTGTTTGTTGTGAAATATCTTTTTGATTGTGTGACACATCTCCATCTCTAGATATATTATAACATAGATATATTTAATGATTCCAAACTATTATTATAATAATAATCATAAAATTGATTGAATCACTTTAATTGGTTGATTAATTGATTGATTGATAATGGTAGTGTTTATGTTTATGTTAAGGTGGTTCGATAGATAGGTGGGTGAATTTAAATAATGAATAATGAAATTTTGAATAGTATTGCTAATTTGTTAAGAATGCCTTAGAGGTGGTTCTACTTACGAATTATCACTCTTGATTATTGACCTATGCACCTTGGTGAAACCACCAAACAATGTTGTTGTTTTGTTATAAGATGTTTCCACAAACTTATTTACATATTCTTTATATAATATAAGATCAATTGGATCGATCTTTTTTAATGATAATAATAATATTGTATTCATTATTATAATGGTTAGTTAATATACGTTTATCTTTTCTATATCTCTCTTTCATATAATATTACCTTTTCTTCGAGTAAATTTATAACATCTGACATTGTTTTCATTTCTGGTTCTGTTGTTGTTGTTGTCGTTGTTGGTGTGGTTGTCGATGCTGGTGAAGTAAGTGTTGGTACACTAGCACCTGTCGTTGTTGCAATATTATTATAATAATATGATTTTGAAGTATTGAATGTGTTATCTTTAATTGGCTGTAGTTTCTTATTGCCAAAGAGTACAACATTGAGATACTTCATATCCAAATATAGTTGAAGATAACCTTCTTTACATATTGTAATAAAGTTTGATGCTTTCTCACTCAGAAAACTATTGATAATCTTATAGATCTTATTTGCCAATGATATAGATAGATATCTTTGTATATTCTATTTAAATGTTAAAATTAATGATTGATATTAATATTAATGTTTGATATTTGTACAAATAAATGAATATACCTTATCAAGAGTATTAAAACTAATCTTATTAGTCTCTAATGAGAGTTCAAAGAGTAAAGATAGTATAAAATGTGATGGTTGATATGGCATGTAAATTTGTGTTCTACCAGTACTGTTGTTATCATCTTGAATCAAATGTTCTAAAATAAATAAATAAATAAAAATTAGTTATAGTTTATAATTGTAATAATAATACTTTTACATACTCTCCCATGATCTTGTTAATTGTTGTGAGTTATCCCATGATTCATTGTTTAATCTTTGTTGTAATGATGTACAGTGTGTTGGTAATATCGATTCTATCCATACAATGAATCCAATATAATATACTTCTTTAAGATAATCAACTACTTTGTTTGTTAATGATTCAATATTATTATTATTATTATTATTGTTATTAAAATTTGGTGATAATGATGATGTTGTTGTTGTTGTTAATCTATTTGTAATAGAGGATGGTGATGTATTTGTATTTGTTGATGGTACTAAGAATTGATTAGGATTCACTAGTATATGCTTATAGAATAATTTCGATAGTTTTGATATGAATAGTAATTCTTGTAATGCTGACGATGATGTTTTGTTACCATTATTAATATTATTATTACTATTATTATTATTGTTATTGTTATTTATATTATTTTGATACAATGATTTAATTGATCGTTGATTGTTTTGACAGAATAACCGAATGGAATTGTAGAATGATTTTCTCATAAACTCTCTTAGTTCGTTCTCTTTCATCTCGTAACGCTCTACTATCGATTTGGCATGAGATTGTTGTTGTTTCTTTGAGAGTATCTTACTACTGTTGGTGGGTGATGTCAGTGTAGTGACACCACCAACCGACGACGACGACGAGTTACCGCTTGACGACACTGTCACTAGTTCCTTGTCGGCGGGGAACAAGTTGAGAAAGTCACCGATACAACTGGTATAGAGCTGTGAGAGATGCGAAAGGAATGCTTCGGCAACCGGTGTGATTCCATTGGTTTTGTTCTTTATCGATTTTACGGGATCGTCGTGATACGACCAGAGATACTCTGAGTAGTCTTTGTCTTCCTGCTGCATCGCCGACAGCCGACTGGCGAGTAAACTGGTCAGGTTGATATTGTTAAAGGTCGACTCTATGATGGTTTCGGCGCGGAGCAAGAACAGCTCTTCAAACATGTCGATGAGCATCGTGTAGCAGTCGGCACGGTTGGTGACGCGATGCAGTAGCGACACCCAGCTGCAACTGCTGGTCGGCGACAGCTGCTCGACCGGCAGCTTAAACTTGGCAAGCTCGTCAAACACCTCGGAGCGAAGCAGCGACAATTCCTTTGCCGACTTCACCTGACTAAAGAGCTGTGACGACAATTGCTTGATCTTGGCAACGACCAGCTCGATCCACTCGACAGACTTTTGATGGATATAGTCCAACGAGAGAGTGTGTTTCTTTGTAAAGTCACTCTGCCAACTACCGTCGTTCTCCCATTGACTCGATCGTTCACATCCTTTCTCCACTTGATCCAAGAATACCAATACATCGTTGATATAGGGTGTACTCCAAGTAAATGAAATCTCCAACAACGAAGACGTAAACGACAGCTTTGGGTTGCCACTGTTAGCATTGCCGTCATCTTCCATTGACAAGCTACCAGGGTAGAACATCAAATACAAATACAATATCGTTGTCTTGATCGACTCCAACGCTTTATGTATACTTAACTTTGTTGGATACTCTAGTTTGATGGCACGATCCAACTGATTGACGAGCTGTGACAATCTAATATGTAGAAACTCATTCATCGTTTGATTGATAGTATAGTTATCAAAGAGAATCAATGTGGAAAGTGCTCCTATATATTGTTCAATTGATATGTTGCTGCTGTTACTGTTGTTGTTGTTGTTGCTGTTGCTAGTGTTGTTATTGCTTGTATTATGTTGTTTCTTAAGAAAGTCACGTGCACTTTGAATTGTTTTCGATGGGAATTGCTCTATGGTTTGCCAGTGATTGTAGACGATTGGCAGTCGTTCGATGACTAGCTGGCCACTGGTGGTGAGCTGCGAGTAGATGTATTTCGCTTTGAGGAACTGTACTTCAGCCTCAAAGAATTCGTTCTGATCGATGGCACGCCATATTCTCTCACTGATCTCAATGAGGAACTTGGCATACTTTGAAATGATCGCTATATTAAGATTGCCAGATTCCATCGACGACGACGAGGTTGTTGTCGATGTCGATGATTCCAGCATGACCTGATTGTTCCGTAGACGTCGCTCACTGAATGACTTTAGCCCCGATTGCATCTGTTTTATATTATCTTGTATTGATTGACATGATTTTTTCATCTTTACAATTGAATCTGATCCTTCTACTAAATCTCTATATTTATTACTATAATATTTATATATATAATTAAATAATATTCATTAGTAATTGATTAGATTATATTATTTTAGATCTAGTTACCCTATTAATCTTCTAAGTTGTCTTTTCTTTTCTTCGATTTCATATCTTGTATTTGATTCTATTGTTTTCATTTGATCAGGCATGTTTCTCTCAAACATCTGTACCACTTCATTATCATATTGTTTGATTAATGATGGTGGAATTAAAGATAATAAACTACTTCCACTACTACTACTACTAGTAGTCATATTATTATTATTATTATTATTATTATTATTAGTAAAAGAGGATGAAGATGAGCTTGCTAATTGATTTAATGCATTGTATGAATTTGAATGTGGTAGACTACTACCATTGTTGTTATTATTATTATTATAATTATTATAATTTGACATATTTTTAATTATTTAATTGACATCATAGATTATAATAATAATATATGATCATTAAATAATTAGATATTATTAAAGGAAAAAGCAATGTAAGTCAAGTCAATAATAAACTTGAACTACACAAATTTTTTTGAAATTAACAATTTATTTTTAATTTTTAATTTTTAATTTTTTGTTATTGTCAATTTTGTGGTTAGCTTTTGCTTTGTTTGCTTTGTTGCTTTGTTGGTATGATGTTGTATTTGATTATGGCTTGTATCCAGTGGCAATAATAGAGTCAGTATCCATTGAGAAGAAAGAATGTAATAAACGATAGTCATATCTTGAACAAAGATCATTTTCTGTGTTATTCTCGACTTTGTCAGTAAATCCACAATCTTTGATGTAGTCACATGGTGTGTCAGTGGTTGATTTGTACTCGTCCTGCAAGGGCGATGGTACCATTGTTGAAAATATCTTTCTAAAGAATCCTTGATTTCCAATGGATTGAATGACCATCGATGATCCACTGGCAGAGACCGACGATATCGCTTGACACAACACGGCGACATCCTCTTTTGGCAAGTAGTTGACAAGACCTTCCAAAATCCAGACTGTTTTTTTGGTTCTATCGAATCCAGTTTCTTCAAGACTTGAAATCCATTGTTTGGTTTCCAAGACATTGCTTGTGACACGGTGGAGTTTTGCTTTGGAGATAGGTGGAATCACTTTGACCGCTTCGTTCAAAACCATCTCTTTGAATTGGAAAGTCTGTGGGAAATCAACTTCCCAAACGGTTGAACCTTCTGCAAATGGCATTCTTAGAGCACGTGTATCAAGACCTGCTCCCAATATCACATATTGTAGGATCGAAGGATCTTTCATGTTGTTCAGAATAAAGTCATCAATGAATTTATTTCTGACGCCAAGTCTTAATTCCATTGAATCCATAAAGATAATGCTTAGTGATTGAATTGGTGTACAATTATCAATCAAGTGTTTCTTTAGTTCTTCAACAGTTTTACAATCCAAACCTTTCCTTGCAGCAATAGTTTTCATAATATGATTTCTAACATATTGTATTGGAATCATATTTAAATAAGTTTCCGCTATATCCAAGAGAATTTCAGTTGATTCTTTGGTACAACAAAAGAAATAAGCATATCTAAATAATATTATTAAGATTATTAATCTCTATTTTATCTTTTTTTTTTATTATCATTTTTATTATTAAACTCACGGGTCATAAGTTGCAATTTTATCATTTACCACATTTGAAGACCATGGTTCTTTCTTGTAGACATTCTCATAGTATGGAATCAATGATTCGTCGAGCTTCTCAGAGATCTTCAATTGTTCTTTAATGAAAGAATTGGTTGCCAAAGTTCTACCACCTGCAATCAATACTGATGTTCTTGCAACTCCTGCTGTAATACTTGGTTTATTATTTTCTTCCATTTTAAATATTTTACAAATTTATAGAAAAAGAAATTTTTAAAAAAATAATTAGTTTGTACTTGTTTAATTTAATTTATAGAGTGTTTTTAAAATTGTTAAAAATTAAATGGATTTTCACTTAATTAACTTACAGTAACACATTTTGGAAGATATGAAGGGGGAATTAAAACCCCTAAAAAGAAAAAAACAATTGTATTCATATTAAAATCAAGTGATAAAATGTTAAAAAAAGGAAATTAATAAAGTAAATCATAATATATATATATATATATATATATACTACTCCTAAAATTGAATCGGCAACATAATTTGAATTATGTAAAGATTGTTATTCATGAATAAGGCATAGTAGGATTTTTCAAAAAAAAATAAATTGATCTCGATTTGTTTTAGTCGAGACGGAGATTTTAAAATAATCTTTTCTTTTAATAATATTTTATTTTATATTTATTTGTAAAAGATTAAAATGATTTATTAATTTTGGATAACCCAAAAAAATGAATAATTTATTTATTTTTTAAAAACATAGTTATTAAAAGTAAATTAAAAAAATTCAATTAGAACAAGATCTTTAATAGGAATTTGATTATGGTTTGAATCCAATACCAATGACAGAATCACTATCCATAGATGTGAAAGAACGAGCGAATTCAAAGTGATATCTTTTGCATAAATCATTTTCAGTAAGATTTTCAATTTTGTTGGTAAATCCACATTTACTAATATAATTACATGGTTTGTCAGATTCTGATTTGAATTCATCTCTCAAAGGTGTTGGCACCAATGACGACATTATTTTGCTCATGAATCCTTGTTTACCCAAAGTTTGAATAACCATAGATGATCCACTTGCTGAAATCATTGATATCTCTTGACACAACATAGCGATCTCTTCGTCAGTCAAATACATGACAAGACCTTCCAAAAGCCAAACGGTAGGTTTAGTTTTGTCGAATCCAGTTTCTTCGAAACTAGAAATCCATTGTTTGGTTTCCAAGACATTGCTTCCTACACGATGAAGCTTTGCTTTGGAAATTGGTGGAATCACTTTGACCGCTTCATTCAGAACCATCTCTTTGAATTGGAAAGTGTGTGGGAAATCAACTTCCCAAACGGTTGAACCTTCTGCAAATGGCATTCTTAGAGCACGTGTATCAAGACCTGCTCCCAAGATTACATATTGTTGAGTTGAAGTGTCTTTAATATTTTTCATAAAAAAGTCATCAATTAAAATATTTCTGAGAGCGATTCTGATAGTCAATGAATCCATATACACTATACTATAAGTTTGGATTGGTGTGCATTGTTCAATACAATATTTCATTGACTCTTCAATAGTTGAGAACTCTAAACCTTTCTTTGAGAACAAATATTTTACCAACTTATTTCTTGCAAATTTAGTGGGAATCATGTTTAAGAATTCTTCGGTCTGGTCCAAGAGAAATTCAGTTGATTCTTTTGTACAACAAAAGAAATAGGCATACCTATTTTGTTATTAAATAAAAGTTTTTTATTAGTTTCTTTTATAATATTTTTTTGGATTTATACTTACGGGTCAAAACTTGCAATTTTCTCAGTGATAACATTTGAGTAAAAAGGTTCTTTCTTGTAGACATTCTCATAGTATGGAATCAATGATTCGTCGAGCTTCTCAGAGATCTTCAATTGTTCGTTTATGAATGAATTGGTTACCAAAGCTCTACCACCTGCAATCAATACCGATGTTCTTGCAACACCTGCTGGAATATTTGGTTTAATATTTTCCTCCATTATTAAAAATAACTAAGAAAAAAGAAATATATATTTTTATATTTTTTTAATTAATAATGATTATTTATAAGTAGAATATAAGAAATTTATTGATTTAGAATACAAAAAATATACAAAATAATGAACTCGCACATATTATCTCCTTCCAGATATAGATCTCATTTCAAAAGTTAAAAGTTTTTGATCTAACCTTAACCCCCATATATAAAATTACTAATTAATTAATCAATATAAAAAAATACATATTTATTAGTGGTTTGATTGTCATTAATAACAAATTTCTATTTTAATTCGTCGAATAACACTATTGGTATTGAAACATTTTGTACTTTGAAACCTTTTATATTATTAATTTTTTTTTTACAAACAGATTATATTGTACCACAAAATAATAATAGCGAATCACTATAAAAAAATATATTATTTGATGTATTTAACATTTTCTTTTAACTTACAAAAATTTAATAATCACTTCACTAGCACTTCTCTGTAATATTTAAACAAAAATAGTTGTGCGAATTCCCACCTCTTTAAAATAATAGTAATATTCGACTTAATTTAGTATTCTTTCACTAATTAAGATAAATAACTTCTACTATCCTATTCAACACATAATGATTATAAAATTTAAATTAAACTCTAACATACTTATTTGTGTTATTTCATTTTATTGGTTGGGTTTTTTTGCACAGCTATTTTGGATAGCTTTTGTGTGCATTTTGCAAAAATATATCGAGAATACCACAAAAGCTATGCATAATTTTTTCATTTTTGGGGGAGGGATAAAATGAAATTACACAATTTTGAATGATGAAGAAAGAAATGTTTCAGAGTTTTTTTTAATTAAAAAAAATGAATGAGAATTGGAAAAATAATTGATTAGTTATATTTCTACGGTTTGTATCCAACTGCAATTACAGAATCAGCTTCAATCGATAGGAAACCACGAACTGTACTAAAGTTATATCTACTGCTCAAATCATCTCCTTTGAGATTTTCAATGTTGTTGGTAAATCCACATTTACTAATATAATCACTTGGTTTGTCAGTTAAAGATTTGTACTCATCTTTCAATGGCAATGGTAATAATGATGATATTATTCTGCTCATGATTCCTTTTTTTATACACAATGTTTGAATCAACATTGATGATCCACTGGCAGAGATTGACGATATCGCTTGACACAGCATGGCGATTTCTTCGTCAGTCAAATACATGGCAAGACCTTCCAAAATCCAGACAGTCTTTTTAATCTTATCGAATCCAGTTTCTTCAAGACTTGAAATCCATTGTTTGGTTTCCAAGACATTGCTTCCTACACGATGAAGCTTTGCTTTGGAAATTGGTGGAATCACTTTGACCGCTTCATTCATAACCATCTCTTTGAATTGGAAAGTGTGTGGGAAATCAACTTCCCAAACGGTTGAACCTTCTGCAAATGGCATTCTTAGAGCACGTGTATCAAGACCTGCTCCCAAGATTACATATTGTTGAGTTGAAGGATCTTTCATGTTGTTCAGAATAAAGTCATCTATGAATTTATTTCTGAGTGCAAGAGCTATAGTAAATAAATCCGAATAAGCTAAACTAAAACTTTGAATTGGAGTACAGTTTTCTTTTAGGTATTTCTTTGATTCTTCTACAGAAGAAATATGTAAGCCTTTCTTTGAAAAAAGAGAATTTATAAACTGATTTCTAAGAAATTGGGTTGGAATCATATTTACAAATTGTTCAAACTGATCCAAGAGAATTTCAGTTGATTCTTTTGTACAACAAAAGAAATAAGCATACCTGTTTTTAAAAAAATAGTTTTAATAGTTTATTATGATTATGTTTTTTATAACGAATACCTACGGATCGAAAGTTACCACTTTCTCATCCAGTACATTTGAAGACCATGGTTCTTTCTTGTAGATATTCTCATAGTATGGAATCAATGATTCGTCGAGCTTCTCAGAGATCTTCAATTGTTCTTTAATGAAAGAATTGGTTGCCAAAGTTCTACCACCTGCAACCAATACTGATGTTCTTGCAACTCCTACTGTAATATTCGGTGTATCACTTTCCATATTCTATAACTTAGAACTGATTTTAAATACAATTTAAATAACTATAAAAATTAAATAAAAAAAATTTAACTTTTTTTTATTTTATATAAATAAAATAATTACAAAGAAATTATTTGTATTTATAATTAAAGATTTCTTACTTTCCAAACAATTCTTTTGATTTGTAATAAAATTTGAGATCTAATATTAATTCCATTCAGTGACAGAGAAAAAAAAAAAAGGAATTAAACAATTAAAATTTTCAACAAAATATGTGTTAAACAACGAATATATTTAACACCGAAAAATGTCATAGGTAGACATAATATTAGATATCTTATCTTATATTAAGTCAATTAATTGTTAGTTTATTCAATTTCATTGGTTGTAGTTTTGTAGATTAACTTATCTTTTTTATTATTAAATTAATCATATTTATTTGATTGATTGGTTGGTTGGTTGATTGGTTGATAATCGTTATGTATGTCTATGTGTGTATTGTGTAGTGATATGTGTGTGCTATACGGTGATAAGTGAGTGATCTAATTACAAATTAGCGAGGTAATCTTTTATTTCGGATGCAGATAAAATCTTAAACTTCTTATCGGCACCGACAACAGCCAACTCCATATTTGTCTCTAACAACTGTGTCTCAAAGCCTTCCTTCAAAGTGATAAGTGCAGTCTGTACAGCATCTTCAATCTCTAAATCATCACTATAACGTTTCTCCAAGAATGTCTTTGAATTAACCATATTCTTACTGTAAGATGATAATAATAATAATGATTGTATAAATATTGTAGTTGTTAGTTAGTATTTTTATTGATATTTTTAATAGTAACAATAAACTAAACAAAACTAATCTCTTCTCCTCCCTTCTCTTCTTTTCTCTTCTCTATCAAACAAACAAATAAATAAGGTGAAGTAAATAAACTTACCCAATAGCAGTTGCTTTCCATGCGAAATAGGAACCGGATGGATCGACTTGATAGAGGTGTGGTCCTTTGTCGTCGAAACCGGCAACCAACAGTGAGACACCGAATGGACGTACACCACCAGACTGAGTGAATTCCTGCATGATCGAGGCGATCTCACGAACCAATTGGAGTACAGGTATCTTCTCTTTGTAGAGTTTATCGTATTTCTCAGCTTCCTTTCTTGCCTTCTTTATCAAGACACGTGAATCTGGTCCCATACCTGCATATACCAAACCAATATTCTCTGTAATCAATGCTATCTTTTGTACTGATGTAACATCTACCAATGGATGTAACTTCTTTTCAGTTACAATAACAACTCCATTCTTTGCTATAAAAATACATATACAAATAACAAATATAATTAATACAACTTGAACAATATTATAAATGATATGAAGTTAGGTTATGTTATGTATGTTACCTTTTAAACCGATAGCAGAACCACCAGCACCAGCAGCGTGTAAAGCATGTTCGATTTGTACTAATTTACCAGATGGACTGAAAGTTGTCAATGAAAATGAATAATCTGAATCCATATCTATTTATATTATGTTATTATATTATATATATTATCTACAAAAAAATTTAATTTAAAACAACAAACTATACAATTTTAAAAATAATTAAAAAAAATAAAAAAGGGTTGATCAAATTAAAAACTTTTTTTGATGTTCAACTAAATTTTAAATTTTAAATTTTAAACTTTAATTTTTTTTGTTTATTTTTTGTTATTCTTTTTTTTTTTTTTTTTTTGATTTATTTTTTTTATTTTTTATTTATCTACTGCTTCTTGTATTTGTTTACTTTCTTTATCTGTAGACATTTTTAGACGTTAAATATATCATTGTTTAAATTGTTTTGAAATTTTAAAATTAAATATCATTAACTTCAATCTAAATTTGTTTATTTAATTATAAACTAGATATGTAACTCCAATCTAGATTTGTATAGTTTGATGCGGGTTCTGAAGTGATTTTTGTGATGAAACCTCTGTCGTCGTTGTCAACATATGTGTAATCATCAGGTCTAAAAATAAAATGGTTGGTTGCAAAGAGAAATAAAAATAAAGAAAAATGGATGGAGCAATGTTAGGGTATTGAAATTGATAATAACAAGCATTGTTAATTTTTGATAATATTTACCCAATACCAGCTTGTGTATATGTATCGAAATAGAATCCACGGTCATTTTCGGATTTGTCGATTCTGAGGATCGATTGTGAAACTTGGTAGGTATTGTAGTTCCACTTGACCGCTTGATTGTTAAAGATAACGAGGAATTGGAGTTCGGTGGAATCTAATTTGATTGCGAATTTATTGTAGGCAGAGTTGGTACCGTTGACAGTGAAGAGCAGACGGTATTGGCCGTTGAGCAACAAGAAGAGACTGGCGGTGGAGTCATCCTTTACGTCGACGTAGAATCTACGACCCTCTGGCCAAATCTGACCGAGAATACTACTGACACTAGACAATAACATAAGGATACCCGATGACTTTGGTGTGGCAGAGTTGACATCAACACCATTCGTTACAATACTGTTTACTTGCTCTGCAAGTCCATCTCCAATAGCCTTCAGTCCATCTCCAGAAAAATTTGCTTTTCTAAGATCCAATTTAGTTGAAATATTACCCATATTTATAATTTAATATTAATTATATTATATATATATATTAATTGTTATTTATTTATTTTGTTTATATATTTTAAATATTTATAAATTAAAATCAAAACAGGTCAGCTTAACAAACTTTTATTATAACTTTTTAACTTTTAATATCTAAAATAAACAATTATTATACATATAAATAGTTGGGTAAATTTGGTGCAGGTTTGCAATCAGATGATCAATCAGGTGATCAAATCAAATCAAAAGAGAAATAGTTTTGTTGATATCGGTTGTGTAGATTCATTGCTTCGTCGAATTCGATGCAACATTCAATCATTATAAGCAAATCATATGAAATCTGATGTTGTTGTCAAAATATTGGGGTTTTTTAATGTCTGGTCAAAAACTTTAACTATATTTTTCAATTCGTTAAACTATTAATTAATTTAAAAAACACCTTTTCGTTGCATGTGGACCACACCATTTGGCTGAATTCATTTGACTTTTTGGAAAATCAGATCTTAAACCATTTAAAAGATCCAAATTTTTGATGTTTTTAGTTTTTTTTTTGAAATGTAACCTAGCAAATTGATTACCATTGGGCGATCACAAAACAAATCAATCAAAATATAATTATAAATGTTACCAGTTACCAACATTTCGCTGAAGAGCGAGATCTGGTGAACCAATGATATTTATTTCTTTCTAGAATTTCACCAAATCAAACCAAACTAAATAGAATAAAAATAAAAAAAATCTGATCAAAAAGTTAATTACTTTTTTATTTATATTTATCTTTGTTTTTTTTGTTTAATCAAATCATATTTTAAAATTTAATAATCAATATTTATTTCTTATATTTATATAAATATACATAATTAAATCATGGGTAATATTATTCCAACTGCTTTAGATGTTAGAAAAGCTAGATTTCTTCAACCACAAGTAGCTACTGTAGCGACTGCTTTCGACACCAAAATCAAAGCCTACAAACAAGCAAACCAAATACCATTGAAAGCCAATGTAGTTGCCAGCTTGACAGGCATCGTCAATGCCAACAAGACTCTTCCTGCACTAGCAAAAGACAAGAGAATCATTTTCAATGTTCAAGACGATTCACGAGGTCATCTCTTTGTAAAGTATGCAGACAAATACGAGTATTTGTTCACCATCAACGGACGTAACTCCCCACTCAATAACTTTGCCATCCGTATAAACACCGACATCAAATTCATTTTCGTTTACAATACCAACCATGTAGTTAAGTGGTCATTCCAAACATACCCACACGATCAGACCATCGTGAACATCAACAAGAAATTCCCCAGAACTTTCCAATGTGACGTATACAACGAAACACCCACCATAGATCTCTACCTATGGGTAGACAACGATGAAAAAGGAGTTATTACCAAACAACAACCAGCTGTACTTGCTAACTTTGTACTCGATTGGACTCATTGTCAAACTACCCATTAAAAAAAAACAATAAATAGTTACTTTTTTTTTACCAATTAAACATTATACTATTCGATTATATTTTACAATAATATTAATCTTTATCATAATTAAATTTTACAAATCACCCAATAACAAATATAATTATTATTTTAAATATAAACTTTTTAAAAAATTGATTAAAGGTAAACTATGATAATTAAATAGTACCGTCAAATTTAAAAGAGTGTTATAATCGATATTGGTTTTAAATTAATATTAATTTGATACATTCAATTTTAAAAATTAATATTATTTGTTTCCCGCCTTTTGGTTTGAATGATAAAAGAAAAAAAAAAACAATATAGTTTAATTTAATTTAATTTAAATTGTAATAGAAATAACTTAATTTAATATTTTAATAGAAATAATTTAATTGGTGTTGGTGAATACTTTGTATACAGCGTTGATGATTGAGTTTGGATTGTTGATTGGGACGTCACCAGAGTAAGTCCACATCATGATACCGTTGTAACCTCTGGTAACAACGAATGTAGCTTTGATTGTAGCAGATGCAGCATCATCGTAGGAGATGAAGAAATTTCCGGATGGGTTGTAACCGATTGGTTCCATCGAGTAGTTGGCAATTGGATTTTGAGCGGCTGGCAACAAGGTGGTACCAGCTGGCAATGGTGAACCATAGCATTCACCGGCAATGATACAACGGTAGTCAAACAAACCGGTGGAGTCAAACTCTCCACTTGGACAACCGGTAATTGGTTGCCACAAACCGTGAGTGTTACCCATCGATTGAACGGTGACGGAACGACCGTACAATGGAATACCCAAAGCCAATTGCGACTTGTTGAAACCGACGTTGATCCAATCGTTCATACCATCGTTACAGTCGTACTTTCCAATGGTGGCGTTGTCAATGTATGGATCGTGTGGTGAGATGTAGAGTGGAGCCAAGAAATCGGATGGATTTGGCTCGTCAAAGGCACCGTGGAAATCGTAGGCCATGACATTGGCAAAGTCAACAGCTTGTTGAACTTGAGCCCATGCACCTGGATTCAACTTGGAGACGGCTTCAATCTTGTCGATACCGGCGGAAGCGGCGAACGACAAGTAGTATTTGACGGCGGCACCAGTACGGAGTGACTCGGATTGAGCGGCGGCATCGATGGCTTCACGGATGGCGCTGAGGAAGTTGGGGAAGTTCTTGGCGTCGGCTGGTGAACCTTCACGAACAACTGGATATTCCCAATCGATATCGATACCATCGAAACCGGTTTGAATCAAAGCATCAGCACATTGTTTGGCAAAGTTTTGAGTGGCACTGGTGGAGGCAGCGACAGTCGAGAAGTCATTGGACAAAGTCCAACCACCGATAGACAAGTAGAGTCTCAAGTATGGGTATTGTTGCTTCAACAATGAGAGACGTGGGAGTTGTTGTGGGTCGGAATTGGTATCATACAAAACCAAGTTTCCATCCAAATCAAAGTTCAAAAAGGCATAGTTAACCTCATTGATCTTATCAATTGGCAAATCAGATGGTAAATATGAACGTTCATACATGTCCCAATCTATTAGAAATTATAAAGAGAAAAAGGGTGGAAAACATATGAAATTATTAATAAACAAACTATAAATTTGGGTCGGTTGAAATTATCTACTTACCGGTGTAATAACCAACTACACGGTATCCTGGAGTTGGATTGTTACATGCTGATCCTTTGCAAGCACCTTCGACACCGGCGGTGATTGGGTTGGAAGCACCCTTTGGAACGACAGAGACAGAGATTGGGTTCATTCCCAATGGTTGGAGTGGTCCACCGTTGTTGGAGAATGTGTAGGTCATCGATGAAGATTGACCGGAGGAGAGTGTGAAACCAGAGGTACCCCAGGTTACAGTGTAGATGTAGGTGACACCGTTTCCAGAGGAGGTGGAACTGATGGCAGCATTGTTGTTCCAGAGGTCACCATATGGTGTTCCAGAGATGACGGCGTTCGACTCAAAGATGAGCTTGGCCATCACGATATTACCGGAACCGGAATTCTTGATCGACAATTGATGTCCACCAACGTATGGCACGGAAAAGTCGTAACTTACCGACTGTGCATTTATCAATGCAACACATAATAAAAGTAAACAACCAATAGTTGCTCTATACATTTTTTATTTATAAATATAATGTATATCTGTATAATAATAATTATTTGATGTGATGAGAATCAACTGAATGATCTTTCACTCTTTAAATAGAGAATTCTTTTTTTGCAGAGGACCAATTCCAAAGCTTGATTGTTTCAAAACCACACTGAGTGTGTGTGGAAATCAAACCAAATCAGGAGGAACTGTTCATTTGTTTTTTTGATATTTATGATTTTGTTGTTGATGTTTACTTTGTTATCAGCATTGTATTTATTCAATTTGAGGTGGATGGTACTGAATAACATACCACCCTAACCACTTCTGATTCCGATTCGAACCCATATAACTTTAAAAAAAAAAACTTTTTAATGGGCACATCAAAATTTCAAAAAAAAAAAAAAAAAAGAATCTTTTTTATAAAATTAATTTTATTTTATTTTTTTTGATTGGACTTTTGATGGGTTTGGGAGGGCTAAAAGGTTTTAGTAAATTTCATTGTTCTTCTCATTTCGAAACATTTGGTACTTTTAATTACCGATTGTTTTGGTTCCTAAAGCACATTTGCCCATTAAATTGAATCAAATAATTAATCAACAACAATGGCTCATCTGGTTACAGGCTTTGAATACCACCTAAATACCATGGTATTGAAAGAAATAAATGGGCAAAGAGAATAAAGATATTATTAACTTTTATAATGGGTGGTATTGGATAAAAAAAACACCAATAACATGTACCAACCTCATTAAAAATAGTTACAAAAGATAATGTTGTCTTACATTATCATGGTTAAAGAAAAAACCATTATTCATGAAGTTTAAATCTTTTGAGATTTAACAACAAAAGGTAATCTGTCTTTTTCTTTTGAAAGTTCAATCCATTAAATCCATCTTTGTACGAAATTTCTTCAAATTGATCTTATTTGTTTAATAGTATTAGGATTTCCAAAAGAAAGGTTAGTGGTTTCTTTTTTAATTGTAAAGTGAATCCTAATATTAAAATAAACAAAAAAGTAAAATAAATGAATATCAAATTATTTAACAGTATTACTTTAACAATTAATAGTTAAAAAAGAATTCAAAAAAAAAAAAGTCTGTTTCATTAAGTTCTCTTTTTATCAATTATTCATCAAGGAATGAATCATATGATTAGATTTAGATATATAAATACATAGTTAAACAGATAACTTTTATCTTTACTTTTTCAACATTAATAACGATTTCTTCACTATCTTTCTTTTATACTTAATTTCTTGTAGTTCATTAAAACTAAATAAGAATAAATCTTAATAGCTGAGAATTAATTGAAACTGAACTCAAAAATTAAAGTATTTTTCTTTAGAAACCCCAAAAATCTCCACAGCTGTTTTCTTGAAAATTGACATCAGCGACAATTCTTTAGAGATTTGGCAACAACTAGGCCAAAGGATTTTATTCGTGCATTGAGATTGTGTCTTGAATCTCTATTTTGTAGACTATCTTTTTTTTATTTATAAAAATTATCTTTATTGTAAATATCGTATTAAAGATTTGTTTTAAGACAATTGTTAATTTAGTGGTTTCTGTTAAAGATTAAAATATGGTCGTAGGAGTATACCAATAAAGAATCATACAAAAATAAATGGGAGCAAATATTTGCGATTTTTATATTTTTTTTATAAAATTTATTTTAAATGTTAAATAATTTCAAAAATTAAAAATTAAAGATTACAATTTTTTTAATGGGAACTTCTTTTAAAGTTTAAACTTGTTATCTGTTTGTTTTATGTTGTTGATTAAGGGTTTACCTTACCACTAAAGCAACGGGAAATTATAAAATCCAAATTTAAATAACACACAACTTTCAACCCATCTCTCACATATGCATGTGATTTAAAAATAGTTTTATTAATATTATTGCATGTGATTTAATTAAAGTATAGAGGAAATTTAATTTTTCGAAAAAAATGAACAACAACAGCATTAATAGTAATGATTTAAATAGTAGTAGTAGTAATACTTCTTCAGAGTATCAACAACAACAACAACAACTGCAACAGCAACAACAGTCTCCTTTTAGATATATTAATAATAGTAATAGTATAAGTAGTAATAATCTTTATAATAAATCAATATTTAGTAATAGTAATAATAATAATAGCAACGGTAATAATAATAACGGCAGCAACTCAATCTACAACAACAACAATAATATTAATAATAATAATAATAATAATAATAGCATAAATGATCATCTTCATGATATGAAACGGAGTAAAAGTACTCCATTTTTAAACTTACAGCAAATGCAGTATATTCAACAGCAACAACAACAGCAACTAATGCAGTCGTCATCTTCCTCTTCTTTACTCTCACCCAATTCATCTTCGCTCAACACCAACTATCCATATACCACCTCTTCACTATATAAAAGTAATCTTTACAACAGTACAAATACGACTAATAATAATAATGATAGATATAATAATAATAATGGTAAGGTTTTATTTTACTTTTATTTATTGGAGAATCAATAATTTAACTAACATTATTTATGTATAACTTTATAGATATTGTAAATAGACTTGAAAATCAAATACAACAGATCTTGAATGAGGTCGAAGAACTGAAAAAGAAGATAAAGATAATGGAGGAACAACAAGGAAACACAAACAACTGGGGTTTAAAATATTCAAGAAGAGTTTTAATTACTTCAAATTTTTTATTAGGTAGGTAAACTAGTTATTATTATTATTATAATATTGGTTTAGCTCTTTCTTCTTTTTCTGATGGGATTATTAATAGATTGAGTTTGTTTTGTATATATACCTATCTATCTCGAATTATTAAACAGGAATATGGGTTAGTATCTCAAGAATTATAATGTACATTGGAAAACAAAAGAAACTTCGATTACTTCATGTGATGGTACCGTCTTTGAATGCCACGGAGGCACGCAATCATATTTCGTTGCTACTGCTGGAGGCGATCTCCAATGCAGCGAGAAAGAGTTGGATCTTCTTCCTCTCGTCGTTCTTGCTCACCAGGAACAGTGCATGGCGTAGACAGACCGGTTTGATCCTATCGACGGTGTACTCACTGTACCTGGCGTTCATACCACAGTACCTACCTTGGACCAACTACTTCAACGTCTTTGCCAGTCTACTGTACATCACTGCAGCATGGTCTACCACGAACAATAACAACGGTAGATTTAAAGATATTCTAAAATTACTCTAGAGATTATACTATTGTGTACATCAATCATCAACAAACCAACAAACCTCACCTTACGATCAAAACCAGAAAAAAAACAACCGAGTACTTTCTTTAAATCAAATCAAATCAATTAAAAATGTATACTTTTTGTAATTTATATAATCAAACCTGATGATCATTCGTCATTCTCTAACTACTAAAAAATAAGATCAAACCAACATTAATATCTTTGTTGTTGAAAAAAACTGAATAATGCAGTGATTGGTTGTTAATTAACTCATAGATTTTCTCAAAAAATTAAGCTATTTAAGTTTTGGTTTTTTTTTTTGTTTTTTTAATTTTTTGATCAAATTTTTTTTTTAATAATTGGTTAATTTTTTTTGAATCAATATTATTATATATTACACACTCTTTGTATCTCTTTCGAAAAGACATAATTTTATTAATTATCATTTATTTTTATAAATATTATTATTATTATTAATTATCATAACAAAAAAAAAAAAAAACAAAAAACTAAAAAAATTAAATAATACATATTTTAATTAGATTGACAGGTTATTATATATAACAATAGTAATTAAATTAGTGATGATGTTTCATTGAATTAATCATATAAATAAATTTATATAATAACTATAGCCTAATTATATAAAAACAAAAGAGAAAAGAAGAGAATAGTAGTAGAGTAGAGTAGAAAAACAAAAACTATAATTATACAAAACAAAACAAACCATCATCATCATCATCTTTTACACCATTTCATTTTGATATTTTATTATCTATAATTGATATATAGATATATATTATAATAAAATATTAAAAAATAAGATCTATAATACCAAACTTTATCATGAATTGTCTCTATATATTTAGAGGTGCTGGAAGTAAGTAGTTCATTCAATTCAATATTTTCTCTCTATACACAATGATATTGATTGCTTTATCTATACTTCACACTAAAAATAATAATTATAGATGTACTTCCTCAATTTTCAGATTCATCGATATGGATGTATGGCAAAGAATATAAACCACCAGATCCCAACGATCAAAAGTCAAATATAGATAGTAGTATCAGCAGTGACAGTAGTAATGTTAGTGCTGATGGTGTGAGTGTATCTGAGAAACAACAACAACAACAAGGGCAACAACAGATCAACAACAGCACAGACAACAACAACAACAACATCAACAGATCAATGATGGTGTCAGTAAATTGGTGATAAGAGATGAAGAGGATTCTATAAATCATAGTAGTAGTATAATGAGTGGTTCTTTTGAGTTAACAAATATCATAGATAGTAGTAGCACTGGAAATAACAATACAACAACTACTACTACCACCACCACAAATAACAATAGTAATAATAATAATAATAATAACAATAATAGACAACCTAGTTTTATAAATGAATTTCTTGAAGACTTTTCAAATAAGATTTGGATGTCATATAGACAGGGATTCCCATATATTGGTGATACAATGTTTGAGAATGACTGTGGATGGGGATGTATGTTAAGATCCGGTCAGATGTTACTCTCTAATGTTTTGGCGATAAATCAACTTGGAAAAGGTATATATCATTTGTTAGAGATATTATTTGATAAGTAACTTACTAATTGCCAATTCTTTATTCTTATAGATTGGAAAAAGAGTGGACAAAATGAATATCCAGAGTTGCTTTATAATATTGTTAGAATGTTTTTAGATAAACCAACAGCACCATTTTCAATTCACAACATTGCTCTACACGGACAGAATCATCTAGGTAAGAATGTTGGCGAATGGTTCGCTCCATCCAATATAACTCATGCCATAAAGTAAGTAAAACAATGGAATTGAATTCGATTCAAGAAAAAAAAAACAAGACAGACATTAATTATCAATCAATCAATCAATCAATTTTATTAACTAACTAATTAATTATAATACGATAGGTCACTTGTAAATAAATTTAATCTTCAATGTAATATATCGGTGGTTATTTCAGAGGATGGATCGTTGTATGTCGACCAGATGTTGGATGCAGCGCTACAGCCAAACGGTAGTTGGTTGCCACTGCTGATTTTGATACCAACAAAGCTGGGTGTTGACACGATCAATCAGCTCTACTATCAGCCGCTTCTCGAGCTCTACCAATTTCCACAGAGTTTAGGTATTGTCGGTGGAAAACCAAGAGCATCACTCTACTTTATCGCTGCACAAGACGACAATCTATTCTATCTTGACCCACACACTGTACAACAGGCAATTGATAATGAAGTCGAATTTTCTTTATCAGTAAGTGTAGAGTTAGTCTATATATATATATATATATATATATTAAATGTAGGAGTAAATGAATGAAACTAATTAGTAATTACTTGATTTGATTATCAAATCATATCATATCATTATAGACATTCTTTTGTGGTGTACCACAGGAAAGCAAATATATCAGAGGTGGATCCTTCTCTTGTGATTCCATTCTTTTGTAGGACCAAAGAAGACTTTTTGGATTTCCTCGAAAGATCTAAAAAGTTGGTTTCAAAAAGTGAATTCCCATTGTATAATATCGCAGAGAGAGTGCCAGATTATCAACTTCAAAAGACAATGTCAGTAGAAGGTGAAGAAGAAGATTCATCCGATGACATTGACTTTGAAATGGAATATCATATGCTTTAAAGTAAGCAAAATAGTCGTCATACACAAATATTACACCATCCAATCAATCATCTCCAACCACCTTTTTTTTTAAAATATATAAATAATAATAATAGTAATAACTATAATAAGTAACTTTCATCAGTTGTTAATAATAATTGTAAATAATCAATCATATAATAATATAATATAATATAATAACTAAAGTGTTTATCAAACAAACAACTAATCGTAGTAATTGATAATACCCTGACTTGATGAAACAAAGACCCAAAAAAAAAAAAATAATTAATGAAAAAATAAAAAAATGATCAAAAATTTTATTCGATTTTTTTTTTTTTTTTTTTTTCATTGTGTAATGTTTGATCATTATTATTAGACGAATAACATTAATATCAATCAGTGATCATATCATATTATATTTTACCCGATCTGTAGTTAGTTTTTATAGATTAAATTAAGATGTTATCACAGATTTGGTATGTCATCAACAGAACAGATTAAGATCTTATAGTTAGTTTTAGAATACAGAATTTTGATATTGACTCTCATCACTTATTACACACACACTGATTTTTAAATTAGTTATAAAACAGGAACATCAAGATTGTTCAATCAAGCTTTAAATAACAATGTTGTTGGTCAAATCAGAAACATTTCAAAGTCTGTACCAATCATTTTAACACAGAATGTAGAGGGTGTCGGTCAAATCGGTGAAGAGATGGCCGTCACCAAAGGTTATGCTAGAAACTTCTTCTTTATGAAAGGATATGCTGTACCTGCAACTCATGAATCAAGAAAGAAATACGAAGAATACTCAAGAGTAATAGAAATATAATAACATCTATAGATAAAATAACAAACTAAACATATTTGTTTATTTATACTCTATTATAGAATATCGATTATGGAAGTAGAAGATCAAATAAAGAGGAACAAAGTGCATTGAAAAAATTGAAAAAGAATAATTTGATTTTGGTTATGCGTAAACCAAACGCAGATGGATCAGCAAAAATAGAAATCACTACAGACAATATTTCCTATAGTTTAAAGAGAAGAAAGTCGATCAACATTGAACCAAAAGACATCACACCGGAAGGACCAATCGATCAATTTGGAAATCACAATGTCAACCTCTTGATCGGTGAAACCACAGTACCAATTATAGTTAAATACGAAGCAATGATTAATAATAATTAATATAACTTTACGAAAAAAACAAAACAAAACCAAACCAAACCAATAAATAATAAAACGAAAAAGTAATATAGATATAAATAATAACAAAAAAAAAAGAGTTAAAGATATGTATGTATGTACAGTATAGTTATTTATTAGTTGTTGTTGTTGTTGTTGTTTTCGTTGTTGTTATTATTATTCTTCAGCAAGATGTTGTGATGATTTAGACATGTATATTAAGGTGGGAACGGTGAAGAACGAACTTGCCAAAAATAAAAAGTCGAACCAACGGTGATAGAAATTGAATTCGATGTCGCCGAGAATCTGGGTGATGATGACACGATAGTCTTCGTGGAGACTGGTACGCATGAGCAGTACCGATGAGATAAAGTACATTCCCATGATCTGCGCCAGCACTAGAACGATGTTGTTCGAGGTGATCGAGCTAGAGTACTCGTGGAAGATCTTCATGAGCTGGTTCAGGAAACCACGTACCGAACTGGCTGTCATCAATCCAATCATCAAGAACGAGATGTGTTGCGACCAGAACGGAACGTTCACCTCGATGTGCAGATACCGCAGCATAATATCAAAGGTACGACTGACCGGATCCATTCCGGAGCGTCGGTCGTACACGATGTTCAGCACGCTCATCACCACCTTGTAGACACAGTAGATCGAGAAGAAGTAACCGAGCCAATTGTAGAAGCGACCGAGTCGGGTTCGTGAGAATATGATCCGCTCTTTCTCGAGTTTGAGTTCGTGTAGCTGCGAGAAGAGATCGCGGTTAAGATCCTCCAGTGCTTTCGTCTCTTGTTCCAGCTGGTAGATGTCGTCGGTCGGTGACGACCGAATGTTCCACAACGATGTAAACCACGAGCGTATCACGCCCGAAGTGGAAGTCGGCTGTGCGGTGGCGGTGGAATGGCGTTTGGCCGACTCTTTCTTGGCCAGCAAGATACGACGCTTCTTGCTAAATAGCTTGTCGACCGAGTGTGACAGCTGTCGCTCCAACTGTGCAATCGTGCTATCCTTTACCGGCTTTAGAAAGTAGGTAATATAGAGATAGGGTGACATCACCGCACCATAGCCAGAGAGCAGTGCCATCACAGTGACACCGATGATTCCAATACGACCGACACCCATCTGCAACGAAACAGTTCCATTATCCTTCAGAATCGGAAAAGGATTACCTATCCACCAAAACAACATTAAATACAAACATAATGATAGTGAACTCAGTATATGAGTTCTAAGTTTACTACCATCTTAAAAAAAACATAGTTAGTTATGATATAAATATCTATAATTATAATACGTATATATATATAGTTACTTGATGAAAAGATTAAATAAAATTGATAATATGGTAATATTAGAATTAAATCTATTAACATTACGATTAAATCAAATTCCCAACACATATATCTCCAACTACATTACATTACATTATTGTAAATAATAATAAATCAAACATGTTTATAAATTGAAATAAATAATGATAAGTTATTATTATTAATTCTAATGTATGTTGTTAGATGATAATACAAACTCTCTATCCATTATATCCATTATTTCAAATATGATCAACTCAAACATTGTACAGGATAATGCAAACATCATAGAGAATGATAGTTGTACGGTGACGAGTTTCACTTCATAGTCACGAAACAGTATCTTTAGAAAGTATATCCAACCAAAGATGAAGAACGCTATGAATGACAATGAGAACACCGATGTATTATAAGCATAGTTTATGAATGAATTGACCAGTGCCGATGACTTTATCATCGACAGATAACCAACAGTTGTTCCATTACTACCAATATCAACTACAATATTTTCAATACCACTACTAATATTTACTTCACCAATTGAACTAATAACTAAATTAAACATCTATAGAATAATAATAATAATAATAATTTCTATTTACAAACAAAAAGTTTTTGGTAAACAAAACATTAAAAAATAAAATAAAAAAAATTAGATTTGCAATGGTAAAATTAACTTCAAAGTTTAATAATATAAACTTTAGATAACATTATTTATTTACAAATAATAAATAACAATGAAACTATTTGAACATTAAAATTTAAATATTATTATTATTATTACTTGTAAATATCTACGCTACTACTACGTAAAGTAAATAAATATCTATAAAATCTGTGATTGGAGTAGGAAATGGGGGATGTATTTTATTGATCATGTGTTGTTGTTTTGTTATTGATAATTTAATTAAATGAATACATTAGTAGTAGGTTGTCAATCACTGGTTCACTTCATTTGCTTTTTTGTGTAAAAATCATTTCACTTTTTTATTTATTGTATTTGCAAATAAAAGACTGATATTGGGCGCTGTTTGATATGAGGGCTTGTGATTCCAAACCATAGAAATAAAAAAAACAAAAAGATCTAAGAGATTAAAATATTGGCGGAACAAAGTAGACTTGGTTTTAAATGAAAATTTTTGTCATTAAGAGAGAGTTCAATCCAAAAATGGGCTCGTTTAAACAGTATTTGATCAAAAGTTACTAAAAATGCGATGGTAATTGCCAACACGCCATCAAAATGCATAGCTTAGAACGAAATTTTTTGTTATTCAGATTGAAAAAAAAAAAAAAGAGATGATGTTTTTTTTTAATTAAATATCGAACACACATAAAATGAATCAAATAAAAGTTTTTTTTTGATGATGCAAAAAATAAGACCGTTGGAGAAAAATTCAAATGTTTTTTGTTTGTTGATCAAAGGTGCGCATGTTGATGATTTTTATAGTTTTTTTCGCTAAACCAACAGAACAATTAACAATTTAAATTTAACTAAAGTTCATTTCTCTTTCTTTTTATTAATTTTTATTTTCAGTATTTTTTGGTCTGGTGTGTTTGCTTTATAAAGTCAGCCTGTATTTTAGCTTTTTTACAAAAAGAGAACATACCTCAATAAATAAAAACATTAACATTAATTAAACTGTTGTTTATTGTTTTATTTTAATACTTTTGTACATCTATCATCAATAGTTTACTTACTATTTAGTTAGTTAGTTAATTCTGTTTAGTTTTAATCTATTATTATCGGTTTCTATTTGTTTGTTACCTTCTATTATTGGTTAGTGTGTTTGATATAGGTTGCTTAATTCATTTTAAACAACGATAACAACTCAATATTCTATTTTCTTTTATAATTCTTAAAAATTCGGTTTTTTTTCTTCTATTTTTATTTAGAATATTATATCTATCTTTATTATATATATAGTTAGTAATATTCATTCATTATTTAGTAAACACATTACATTATTTAACATTACACTTTGTCAATCCAATATTTAATGATTGATTCAATCTATCTTTGTCATCAACATCACCAATCACCTGATAAATACCAAGTACTATAGCATTGATTCAATCACTTTTTCACTCATACATTAATACATTATCAAGTAAGAGTCCTCCGAAATCATTCAAACAAACTTAATAAACAATAAGGTAACTATCTAATCTCTACTATCTCTATCTCTCTCTCTCTCCTCTTTCATAGTTATCTTTCATCTTCAGTCTCTATTCGTATTACATAGTAGTAGTAGTAGTAGCAGTAGTAGCAGTAGTAGTAGTTAAGCTCATTAGTATTCATTCACAATATAACATTCCTATCAATAAAACAATATTCGGAAAACGAAACTCTATCATCTTTAAAGTTAAAACAAAGATAGATCTCATTTGTTTTTTTTATGTTTTATTTGAATCATAAACAATAGCTATATCTCAGATTATATCATATATATATATTCAAAAAAGGTGAACATCACATATGAATAAATGATGGTTCATTATCTCAAACATTACACAAATCAAAGTTTTCGTATAAAAATAAATTTTAAAAATTTTCGTGTTTAGCCTAAAATAATAATTGCGAAAATAGTGGAAAAAAAAGCCTTTTTACAAATGGCACACACCTCATATCATTGTCAATAATCTTCACAAAAAACAAAACATTTCTTTTTTTATATTAAATGGTCAAGGTGTCAAACTCGTTGACAGAAACACCTCTTGAACCACCTATTCAAAAAAATCTGCACTTCTCCCACACCACCACACTTTCTTCTGTTTTTTTTTAATTTTTTTTCCAAAAAGTAATTTTCGTTTTTAAAAAAAACTTTTGTTTTGCCCACATCACACACTTGAAGATCACCATTGTTATTGTAATCAAAATGACCATTATGATCATACCAAAATTCTGGTATTAGAATTAATTCATAAAAAAAAGTATCATTTATTTTCGAAAAAAAAAAAGAAAAGTTTCATTTAGAATCAGATGATCATACCGTATTTAGCAATTACAAATACCGATAATAATTTAATTTAAATCTATAGTACCCAGACAATTATCATAATTAAAAATCAAATTTGTATATAAAAAACATCAGTTTTTTTTTCCCTCCCTCCAAAAACTTAAAACTAAAACTTCTCTTTGGAAAGATAAAGTTAACTCTTTTTCGTTAATTACACATCGGATGATTCCACAGTGTTTGTTATCGTCGATCACAGTTTGTTGTTAGTTTAGTTTAGTTCTGTTCTGTATGGTGTTTCGATGATTATCTTCTTTTACGTTTTTAGCGGTCGTCATCGACATATGTTGAGAACTTGTACTTTGTTTTGTAACATTTCAAACCATGGTTTGTTGTGTGTATGTGTAAACATTGATTTCTCAAATTAATTAAATATCATACGTTGTGGAGGGTCATTTCAAGGTTTATATACTCTATTATTGTCATATGTTTTATATAAATGTCGACACGGCAATGTTTAACCATGGTTGTTAGTTGGGTGATGGACTGACAAACCCTAGAGTCCTGCACATATGCTGTTATTATTAGTGTATGTTTGCGTGCGCCCACGGTTTAGAAGGGCAGAGTGTGTGCAAATCTATAAAATACCCCCATCATCTAAAAATCACACTGAAATCAGAAAAACAAAAAAACAAAATATCGAACATCACAGCCAACCATTTTATGCATAAAATTTAAAATTTATTCGTTTTTTTTTTTCACTCATTCACACACAATCACAGATTCCATATTAGATTCGGTGTGAGAGTTTGTTTATTGTTGCATTGGTTTTTTTTTTTTTAATTAAATCAATGCAGATTTTTTTCATTTTTTTATAAACAAAATCAAAACAAAAAACATAAACAATCTTGGCGCCACGGACTCATCTTTCAATTGCAAACACTACATCACTTTTCAGCCAAGCACACACCAATCTCGACTCAATAATCAAATTAATTACAAAAATTACTTTGATAAGGCGCGCCTTTATCAATTTATCTTTGAAATTGTAAAACTACAATATGTGCAGTGGCGCTGGGTTTTTTTTTTATGATGTGGTGTCGTGAGTTTTTGCAAAGAAGTCAAAACTTCCAAAATCAATCTGATGTTGTTGCTAATTAATGTTTTTATCATCCTCCATACAAAGCAATCATCAATCACACTCCACCACACACACAACAAGGCGGTATCAAGTTGATCATTCATTCATTCAAACTCATTTTCATGATAACAGTGTTTTGTTTTTTTTGATTGTGAACAATATTATTTTTGGCGGAACAGCAACCTTCACTCATTCTTCCTCTTATTTTACTTTAAAAGACAATGTTTTGTTTTTTTTTTTTTTTTTTTTTTGAAAACTTTTGTTATTTTTTCAAGTGTAACTTCACCCATCACTCTTTATTTTGGGCTTCCCAAGCACATCAATTTCTGATTTTTGCATTCATATCTTTTTTTCAAATTAAAATATATTTTATTTTAAAGTTGGCGATATCATAGTTTACCCAAAAACTATTAACATATTTATATGAATTACTTTGCAATTTATAAATAAATAAATAATAGTAATCATATATAATAAAATAGTATATACATATAGTTTAACATAATAATAAACATAAATAGTTTTTTTATTTCTCTGTATTTTTAGACCAAAGTCAAAACAAACCAGCCAATCATAATAATAATATAACATTATTATATATTTAGTATTATAATTTGTAAAATATATATAAATTTTGCTTTAAATCAAAAAGGTGTGTTCTTCTTTTACCATCTATCATCATTATCGTCATCACAGTCTTCTCCACATGACAAGCTTTACTTTAGTTCCTAAAAATAAACTTTTTTTTTGGTCATTTGCAAAATTAATTTAAATTAAAATAATGATTACCAAAAAAAAAAATCATCACATCAGATTCAGCAAACTTCATTTCACCCTACGTTTTTTTATTTGTTTCTAACATTAATTTTTATCATCTTCACCATGTTCATATTCATTCTACTACACTTTAACCATTCTCAATCAATCAGTCACAATTTATTGGTTTCCATCAAACATCAGCAACAATTAATTCTAAATGTATTACCACTGACAATCAGTGGTAAACGTTTAATTAATTCAAATGAGATGAGATGAGAAAGACTTGCAGGTCACCGATCTTGTTGTTGATTTGTTAATTAAAGTTGAAGATGGATGAATTTGAAATGAATGAATGAATGAATAAATGAATGAATGAAAAACTAAAAATGTGTTTGTTTTTTTTATGTGGTTCTTACTTGACGTTTTGATCATCATCAGATGGATATACAGTTGTTTGTATGGTATGTGTGATGGTTGAAGCATTATCATACCATTTTTGTCAACATACACACAAACTCACACTAAATTCTCACTTCTTCAATCATTGCTTTAAACAACAATAAAAACAACAATCAAACAAGTAATCTTAAAATATTAGTTATGACACCAATAATCAATAGCAAGCAATAGTAACAGTGTAAACTTTTCGCTGATTTGATCATTTGATCCATTCACTTCACCCAATCATGAATTCTACATTTTCTGTTACTGTTGTTTTAAACTACTCTGATTGTTGAGTAGCAACAGATTTTGATTAAAATATATTTATTTTTGCACTATATCAGATGTTTTTCTTTTTCTTTTCTTTTTCTTTTCTTTTTTTTTGGGTGTGTTGGTTGGTGAGCTGTAACATTGGACTCAACACTATTGGCACATGACAATCATCATTCCAAATAAATCAATTTACATTACACAATTTGAGATGTTTGGCATCTTATCGGTGTATAATGAACAAGAGTGGTGTTAACATCATATAAATCAAAAACCACCCATTTAAAATCAATCAAAATATGTTCACACACACTCACACACACAGTATCCACACTCAGACCATCCATACCAAATATGAATAGTAAATCAACGTTTTCAATTTCTTTTTTCATTATTTAATTAATAATATTTTTATTGGTTTGAATCTACTTTCAAATCAGATGTGTTCATCCTATAAAGATTGATTACAAGATAAAACAAAAACAAAAAAAAGTAATAAAATGTTGAAGTGAGTGATGATGGTATTGTATTTAAATACAATACAATAAAATCACTTGACAATAACAATCAAAACGATTAATCACTATTACTACTACTATTACTACTACTACAAATTTCACCAACACTCACTATCGTATTATTATTTTTGCTTTTACTACACTACAATAACACTGCATCTTCATTCATTCATCCACACAATTAATATAATGAGAAGGAACTCATTTGCAAATATCACAAAATTTGAATTATGATGGGCTTTTTCACCATTTCTGTATTATAGATATCCAATCAAACTCTACCTCTACTTGTACTCTTTACCTATTATATAAATATAACTTGTGTTTGTTTCCATTAAAATCATCTCAATTGCAATTTAAATATTTGTAATTTTGATATTTCTTTCCAAATACATACATATCTATATATTTCCAACATTTATTGGTTACTAACATAAAATTCTATTTATTTATTATTATTTTAATACGATTATTTATTATTTATTTAATTTATATATATTTAGATTTCACATGTAAAACTCAAACATTTTATCCACCAGCAATTAATTAATTTCTTTATATTTCCATTCCAACACATACATAAATCATAAATCGATAATCAACATCGTCGGTCATCAACAAAAAACAAACAAACAAACATAAAATACATCAATATTATATTTAATATATTATATACATACATACATACATAATGGTATTAGTAGTGACGTCAAAGGATAGTTCAACAACCATCAACAACAACAATAATAATATAAAGTCGGTCAAGTTGGCCGAGGAAAACTATGATTCCAACAAGGAAAATAACTTTAACCAAAATAATATTCCGCCAACCCCGCTCACACCAAAACAGTCGGCACCAGTCCCTGTTTTGCCGCCTAGCCAACAACGTCAAACATCACCAAGACAACAACCAGCTATTCTGATTTCCAACACAAATGTAGTAGCGACAGTTGCAATTCACCACCAACACCACCACAATCACCCTCACAACCACCACCAACAAACATCACAATTCACCACCAGCAGTTTACAACTTCCAAATAATCCATTTATAAATTGTACTGCTTCCGCTTCCTCGAATTTGGTGGGATCGACAGGCAGTGGATCGTCGCATTCCGACTTCCATCCAAGACCTTCCAACCACAAGAGAGACAGCCAGCTATTGAGCAACTCGATGCCATCGCTAACCACATTCTTTAACTCAAATAACACCAGTCAACTCCATTCTTCAACACCACCCGCCACCCCAAGGTTCATTGAGGACGGTCCGCACGACTACATTGGCAGTCCCGACAGAGTCAGCAACTGTCAGGAGAAGCCATTCTTGAAAAAGTCGAGAAACTCGCAAACCATATTGCGATTGGATCATCTCTCCATCGACCAAGGCATTCCCTCACCGCTATCTCGTTCCACCTCGGAGTTGTCGATTGCCGACTGCAACGACAACAACACCGACTATACTAACAGCTTCACCACCTCATCAATCACCCGTTCCAATACATTCTGTGGAGAGTTCCCATCGTCTTCCACCAATCTAAGACGTTCACTCTCGCGTCAACTCGATTTCTCAGCTCCTCACATCAACATTCCCAATTCGAATCATCTACCATTCACAAGCTACTTGCAACAATCGATCTCTTCGCCATCGTCACCATTGATGGCACCATCCCAAGTCGAACCATTCTCACTCTCTGCACCAAACACCTTCCTCTTGAGCGGTGCCTATCCAAGCAGTCCAGAGGCATCACCCGCCTCCACACCCATCAAGGATCATCATCTTAACAACAACAACAACGACAGCATCACTGATATCACACCCATGAAAATAATGACATCGTCATCAGCATCACATTCACATTTATCACATCCAGTAACCCCAAACATAACAATGACAAATGATCCATACGATGTAGACTCACCTATTTCCTCTTCACCATCACAACCTTCCACTCCGTTGATGGAGTTGTTGAACAACTGTGACTTTGCTCAACCACAATCATCACCCTACAAAACACCATCGAAATCACACTCACACTTTGTTTCGAGATTCAGCGATTCCAGCTACATTGCCACACAATCACTCTATCAATCGTCGGATTCCATTCTCAACTTTAAGAAGAGAGGTAGAACCGATTTGCAATCTTACAACGGTTTCATTGCACCATCGCTACCGACTTCAAAGAGTTTTATTAACTTTTCAACAACTTCATCCGAGCTTTGCAATAGCAACAACAACATTGTCAACAGCACTAACACCAGCAACAGCAGCAGCAACAACAGCAGCAATAGCAATAGTAATAACAGCACTAATGCTAACAATTCGACAACAGTCTCACCCAACACCTGGAAGAAAGCATCTCCAGATGTCTCTAAGCCGCTACCATTCGAAAAGAGTGTATTTATTACCAACTCGAATACCTCGGTCTGTGACGAAACAGAGTATAACTTAAAATTGCCATTATGTAATGGCAAACCTGGATATAATAATATCACTCCTGAAACTGTATGTTAATTACTTTACTTTATAGTTTGTTAATTATAGTTTCAACACTTACTAATAGATTTTTATTACTTATTAATTAGTTGGCAAAGTTAATGGAAGATGTAAAAAATAATATTACAGTTGTAGATTGTAGATATACTTACGAATACAATGGAGGTCATATTAAGAATGCAATTAATATTCCTCCACATCACTCTTCTGTCTCTTTGCAAAAGAACTTCTTTGACAAGCCACCAGCCAACAACAAAAGAATCATTATCTTCCATTGTGAATTCTCTTCAAAGAGAGCTCCAGATTGGTATGTATTTTTTGTAATTCAACATTAATTGGTATTGGTATAAAAGAATACTAATTATCTTTATATTATAATATTATAGCTATTCTTTATTTAGAGATATTGATAGAAAATCGAATTGTTATCCAAATGTTCACTATCCAGAGATTTATCTTTTGAATGGTGGATACAAAAAGTTTTTTGAAACATTCCCCGAAAAATGTACAAAAGACTACATTAAGATGGATGACCCAAGATTCACCAAAGAGAAAAGAAAGGAAGAAGAGAAAAAGAAAAAGGAAGAAGCAATCAAATCAAAGCTAGGAAGGTCACAATCTTTCCATGGTTAAACATCAAACAGACAGATCTTATCTAAGCATTGGAATGTCGATTTGATAGATTTAATTAATTACCTTTTTTTCTTTTTTTGTTTTTTCACAACATATATTTATAAAACTAAACCAATAAAAAACACCGGATTGGATCTGGCTGTTAATAAACCATTTAATACTAATTAAAAAAAAAAAAAAATTCTATGAATTCTATTAATTTTTGTTTTATTTTTGAATAAATAAAGAATCTTAAACAAAAGTATTTGTTTTCTTTTGCTGAATTAATTATGACACAAATGCAAAAAATCAACACACACAAATGCTCACAATTTTTATATGAGTTAAATAAATAAAATTTTATTGAGAGATTTAAAAAGATAAATATTTGATGATTTAAATAAATAAAAGTATTTAAATGAATTATTGAGGGTTAGTACTGAGGTATGAGTGTGTGAATATTCAACTTTTAGTAGTATTCATAGACAGAATCGAGGCTGTAATCTTGAATTTCAGGTTTGGTTAGGGTGGCATGGCTGGGCACAATAAAGCGGTTAGACAATGCTGATGGGAGCTGATCAACAAATTCACTGAACTCAAACTCGTCTCTGTTTGATTTTACCATGTGTATTGCGAATATATTGATGTAGGCTGAATGTAGGATACCAATAGCCCTGAGTTGTTGGTAGTTTGGTAAATGCTTTGGAAGACCGAGAGCATACAAGAAATAATCATGTCTATCGACGGAGTTGAAGCACTTCCTATATAGCAGTGATGGTGGAAACTCCTGTGAACGATAGACGTGATTATTAAGTTCATAGAGCAAGTACTCTTTCTGTTGAGCTCCGCAAAGCAGTCTTTGAATCAACTTATCTCTAAGGTCTGTTGTTTTTGCATTTTTAGCAGCCTTTCTCTGGTTTAAACTGTCATATAATGTTCTAACTTTAGGAGCAGGCAACATTTGAATGCATTTAATGAGTCTGGTGATTTCCTCTGTATAGGCTGCTGACGTTGCATTCTCTAAAATGAAAAAAAAAAAAAAAAATTAGACCGTGTTGACCAAGACTCGACATCATCAAAATTTATACATTACCCTTTTCTGCTCTTTGGAAGATGTTCAACATATCATCGATAGTGCTGAAGTTGAAAGATATGTCAATTCCGGTTATTATCCGTATATTCTCCTATATATTTTGAGAATTACCTTTGGAGAGCAACTGTAGCAATGCTGGGGTGAGTTTGGAGAGCTCTTTGGCATGTTCAATTGTAAACTGGGTATGGGGAGACTCAAGAAGTGATGATGCATTTGGATTGTATTGAAAAATACTAAAGCATCTCTCTTTTCTTTTACCATTGGTCACGGTCACCTGTCTATACCTATAAAAGGTACCACCTTGAGTATGAACACCGATGAACGTGTTGTCTTTCAAAATAACCCATTCCAGTATATAATGAAGCTTTAAAAGATATTGGCTGGCAGATAGAGTTAGTGCTATCTTCTGACTTTCGGCATACTCAATGATCTCTTGGTGGCAAAAAGCAGAATCGGCAATGAGATGTTTTTGGGGGTCGCGAGAAGGGTTGGCGTTTACGTGATCTTTCAGGAGCTTCTTGGCAACTTCAAATGGTTGCTCACAACCAATATGCTTGGGAAGTGTACGAATGATAAATGGGACGCAATGCACATTATCAAATTTATCGTCAACCGTATCAATTTTGGTGGCCAAATGATACACCAAGATTCCTGTTGGATGTGGCTTCGGAGGAATGACAGTGTAGAAGGCAGGTTCGACCTTTTGAGCATTTTCGTTTCTTGAAGTACAATTCATTCTTCTGGCCAACATGGTTTCATCGATACTAATGAATGTGGAGTTTTCCAGGCATCCTTCATACACAGTGCTCAGAGCGCTACACAGTTTGAGTATGACTGCTTCAGAAAACATAAAGAAAGATGAAATCTTTTCGTATCTGTTTCTGACCATGTAAACTTGATCGCCAGTTGTAATGTGGCTAAAATAGCAGTCATTGGACATGTCCCACCTGGCTTTGTGTACCGTAATAGCAAGAAAAAGCATAAGCTCTTCCTCAGTCACATCTTTGTAGAGATAAGAGTTTTTTACTGGTACTAGCTTACCAGCTTTTGAGCGGTGTGTGTTTCTTGTTGAAGTTAACCTTACTGGATTTGTATTATTTGTAGTAGTTGTTGTGGTAGTTATTGTAGTAGTTGTAGTAGTTGTTGTTGTATTTGTATTATTGTTATTTGATGAACGATTTAAATTATTGTTATTGTTGTTATCTAAGTGTTTTTTGAAGGAACTTGTGTGATGTTTTGGTTGTTGAGATGTTTGTTGTTTCGATTTAGTTGCTTTCTTTTTCTTTCCACCACGTTTGGGTTTACTAGGTTTCGGCCTATTCGTATTGCTTCCATCCAATATGTTTTTTCTTATTTCCTCTAACTGGCAACGTGCATTCAAGTTAATTTCTGCCAATAGAAGCTCTCTAACCTCTTTTGATAATATATAATCGATTATATCCGGCATTTCACTTGGAACAGTTCTTTTTAAGTGCGATGGCCTATAGAAAAAACGCTCAACAACTTCCTTTTTTGAAACATCGCATTCTTTACCAAAAAAGGCAATGTTCTCTGCATCTTTTTTCTTTGGTTTTTGTAACTATACCCAAAAATGAACATATCAGTTACACCAAATCGCAAAACAAAAACTATTTAAACAAAAAAATCTTACCTCTATTGGATTAGTATTATTCATTTTAATCTCATAGTTTCATATTTAAAATCTAATGATATTTGAATAATATCTGTAAATATATATATGAATTATGTTTATTTTTTATTTTATTCATTATTTATCTCAAGAATTCGATATATTTGTGTAAATAAATCAATCACTCTTCTTTTTACAAATGAAATTTTATTAATTTTTTTTTTGAACAAAAAAAACTGAAAAATTGTGAGCATTTGTGTCTTAAATTAAGGTTGCAAAAAATATTTAAATTTCAAAATTCCAGAAATCTTTTGGAAAATAATTTGAAAAACTGTGGACAAAAAAGATGAAAAAAATTGCTTGTGTTTGATTCTATTGTTTTCAAAAATCAAGCTTGTTTTTTTTTTTTAGCAACTAAATATGTCAGATGTAAATAACAATAATAATAACACTAGTGTTATCTTTAATGTATTAAAGAATAAATATTATTTTAAATTGTTTGCCGGACAATTTAAATATTTTAGAGGTGAAGTTAGACAATCATTTTGGAGATATAAATATGTTCATTGGAATGATCTTAAAAGTTTGGTGTCTGCTAAACAATTTGAATTGTTGAGATACAGACTGAAGATAGGTGATCATATACATATCGAGCAAGATGCACTTCCACTGCTGTGTAAGAGTGCAGTCGACTATTACCTCTTTAGATCGATCTATGACCGCTATCAAGAATACTTTGTGGAGCCCAGTCTGTTGATCGATGCTGTATCGGTTGGAAATATGGAGATTGTAAAGTTGTTGGCTGCACAAACCTATCCTGTAATGTTGATGCGAACGAGAGGCTACCTGAAGAAATCGAAAACCTATGACTACGAAAAATATTCAAGTGCGAGTGTACTCTCTGTGGCTTGGGACAACGGTCACTACGAGCTGTATTTCTATCTCTTGAAAAATTGTTTCGATGAAGATATACGTCCGTTCAAAGTCAGTAGAATCTATGAAGGTGACAAGCAGATAGAGAGGTTGGCTCACAGAGATCCTAGAAAACTATTGGAAGTTGGAAAGCTATCGAATGATCCCACCTACAAAAAAGCTATTCTACAGTATCTCAAGTCGAATCCCCATATTGCCATACAAATCAACGACGCCAAACTCAATGAACTACTGTCACTCAAACCTCTCTACTCAGCGGAGCAATATGATATGGCTGTACGAATTGCACTGGAGATGAGTTATTCGAATGTTCACAGTCGATTCGATTTTGTACAACAGTGTCATAAATACAAGGTGGAGTTACTTCACTCTGTCGATACTGCTACCAATATGTTGAAAGTACTCAACTACCCTGCTGAGGTAGTGGAGAAAGAGTTGGAGTTATTCGAGCAATATAGAGCATTGTTGATCATGACAGAGATTGTGGATGCAGCGAAACTGACCGTACTAAATAGATCAGGTTTTACAAGTTTGGTGAAATCCAATAGAATCGCGCTAATTGAGAGTAAGAGTTTATTGGTATTGCTGTATCTACTAGAGAATCAAACGTTGTCTGAAATATTCCCGTTCATTGTTAGATATTCAACAGAGGAGCAGCTAGACATGACAATTCAATATCTGACTTTGAACGAACTGTTTGGCACCATCAAGAAGTATGGGATTACCGGTATGCTGGATCATCTGTGTGAAATGGATTTTATCAGTCATTCCCGTATTCAAAAGATTCTCTCATTCCTACCAAAGCTAAGGGGACTACAGCAAAATCTTACACACAAAGTTATTCTTACCACTCACATGATTCTGTTATGTGATCCGCTTCATAAGAGTACTGCAATCGAATTGACAATGGCTAAAGATAAAAAGTGTAAAAATATTCTGATTGACTATGAACTGTTGATGTATATCGTTACAAGGGAGAGAATTACTTATATGATGTCGAAAGTATTGGACTCGACATTGAAGCTTGCTTTTCTCTATGGCAATACCGAGTATATCGAAGCGATTAGGAACTCGAAACACGATATCACAGAGAAAACTTGGCAAAAGGGATTCTTACACGCAATCAAGAGCAGGGATATCGGATGCATTCGATACCTATTGGAGGAGATCAAAGTACGACCAAAATTGTTAGCTTTTCCCGTGCGAAGATTCAGTAATAATAGCGTTAGTCCGTTCTCACTGCTATTGAGTCAACTCTGTATTGTCGATGATGCCAACATTTTCAATTTGGTCATCGAACACTGCGAACTTGAGCAAAGTCAGAAGATTCTAAACTACATTGCATCGTTCTCGTCGTTGGAAACGGTACGCAGATTCTCAGAGATCTTCAAGATGCGACCAAGCTTCACCTTCGATGAGCTTATGCAGGAAAAAGGATTCGACCGATATAGGATACTCAATCATTACAAATCCAATTGGATTTTCGATTTGGAGAATGCAAAGTATGCAATTAGAAATCAGGAGTTGTTCCTCTTGTCCACCATCTACGAGAGTTCACTCAAGTACGATAGTTATTTCCAAGAGTTCAACCAATCAATCTCGAGCACAATACGAAACGGAATGATTCCGAAACACCTACGAAACATGATCGATGGTGGACAGGCATCTGTTCTTGCATTCAGCATTAGAATCAATGCACCAATCGAAATCACACCGGAAATCACTAAAGCATGCGATAGTTTACCAAACCTATCGATCCAATTGATGATCGACCAACGCAAAAGATTAATGAATGTAAAAAGAAGTGTAATTCGAAACAATAAGTTAACCAAAGATAATCTAACAGTCAAACATTATCTATTACCAACACCAACATCAACAACAGAAACAACAAATGATAACAATAACAATAATTAAAATAAAAAAAAATTAACTTGTTCACATATTATTTTTATAATGATGACTTTGGTTTGGCGGATGAGATGATTGTGATAAAGTCGTTAGCAATTAGCGATGCACCGCCAACGAGGAATCCATCGACGTCGGCTTCCTTTGCGAGGTCGTTGCAGTTGGATGCAGAGACGGAACCACCGTAGATGATACGTGTGTTGGTTGCAACCTCCTTGGAGACGTTGCTGGCCAGCCACTCACGAATGAAGTGGTGTGCATCCTGTGCTTGTTGTGGCGAGGCAACCTTTCCTGTACCGATAGCCCACACCGGTTCGTAGGCAACGACAACCTTGGACCAATCGGGAACCGATCCGAGAATGTCTTTCATTTGGCTGGAGATAACGGCGTCGGTCTGGTTCAATTCACGGTCGGCCAACTGCTCACCGATACAAAAGATCACACCCAATCCAACTTCGATGGCGTGCTTCAACTTCTTGGCAATGAGTTCACCGCTCTCACCAAAGATCTTTCTACGCTCAGAGTGACCCAAGATAACCCATTGATTTCCGATGTCCTTGATCATCTCTGCGGCGATCTCACCAGTGAAGGCACCTTTAGCTTCGGAGTAACAGTTTTGAGCAGCCACTTGAATGCGTGGACCAACTGCTTTCTGAGCGGTCTCCAAATAGATTGATGGTGGTGAAATTACAACCTCTAATAAAAATAAATAAATAAATAACAACAAACAATTATTATTATTTATTATTTTAAACAATAATAACAATACAATACATACCAACAATATCAGATGATGGAATTGTAGCATTATTCAATGATTCAATCAATGTATGTAATGATTGTCTGTTACCATTCTAATAACATAAACTATGTCAATAAATGTTCTGCTTTTTATATATATATATAATAACTTATACTACTTACTAATTTGTGATTACCACCAACAAAGAATTTTCTTGTTCCAGTCATTTATGTTTAAAGTTTAAAGGGTTTTTATATTATATGATTTATTAAATTAAATGCAATGAAATCATATCACTCAAAAATTAATCAGATCTTTTTTTTTTTTTTTTTTAAATTTTTTTTTAATTTTCACCATTAATGAAAATCAGATAAAGTTTATTATTTTTTTATTTTAATTACAGTTGGAGTTCTACAAACATGGAGTTTTTTGATTTAAATCTTGTTGATTCTAAAGCCCAAGCTATTACTGAGGAAGTGATATTATGAAGTTGTTCAATAACCTTATAGAACTCTTCGACCTCTTCTTTATCTTTGAGAGTTGGGACAATCTTTTGAATTATCAATTTTTCATGCATAAAATATTGATCATAACAATAATCAATTTCCTTTTCACAGTACTCCATACACTCCTCAAAACACATATTATGTTGGGTTTTAATAAAATGAAAACTATTCATTCGGACATCATTTTCTCGAAGTTCTTTTTCATATGAGGTGATGTCATTGAAGATTGCACATATGTTTCCAATATTGTCGACAAGATACTTCCAAAGAGGGTCAGACATAATTTCGGAATTCAATCTTTTTACTACGAAAATCAAACTAAATCGGAAATGTGATCTTATTCCAACATTATCTCCTCTTAATAAGTAATATAAATCCATATTTATATCACCTTCTAGAGACTATAAAAAAAAAAAAAAGTATTTTAAAATAATCAATGAATAAATGAACAAAAAAAACTAAGATTAATTAATTACCTTCATATTTTCAAATGGAATAACGTTATCGATAAAATCTAAAATAGCAGTCTTTAATAGATTCATAGAGTGTTGGGTACCAGCTACGTTTGTTAAGCTCTGATTTAAATCCATTGCAAGATTTTCAAGAGGAGTTGGGTTGTCTTCTATCTTGTTCAATTTGAATATATTACAAAATCTATTTCTGAGAGAGATCACACTTTCCTTTCACAAGTTTCTATAAAGTCATCGAAAATAATTGCAACAAACATGTATTGGGCACCCAAAGATAATTGACTTGGATCAAGGGTAGGCCACATGTGACGAGCAAAACTGGAGACATTATCGATGACATCTAGATATTTCTCTCTATTCTCTTTGTCAAAACAGAATTTATCAATCTTTTCAATCATTTTTTCCTTTGGATCATATTGGTTCGCCTTTTTTATCCATTCTTTAGGCATTTTATTAATTATATTCTTTATTGATAGCATTTGGAATTTGTAAGAGAATTGTATTGAGAAAGAAATAAAATAAAAAAAAGCGACAAAACTGTCCAATTAACTTTAAAGGTTTGTTTTTAATGATTTTTGAAGAATTAGAGTTGTTTCTTGAAAGAGTTAATTTAATTTATATTGTTACATTTTCATCTAGGAAAAAAATAATAAAACCTTGGCAAGTCTCAATGATCTTCAATCGATAATGAAAAAAAAAATATTCATTAAAAACCAATTAAAATATTGTAAAAAATATACTATTATAATCCAAAAAACACCCACGTCGTTTTGCTTTGTATGCAATTAATTAATTAAACTTTGATATGTTTTTATTACAATTCTATTGAGTTTTGAAATCATTATTGATTAATAATTAGTTGATGAGCAATGGGTTCATATTTAAGTAGGATGTATTCGTTATTTGGTGGTGAAAAGGTTTATAAGATTAATATGTTTGGTATCGATGCTGCCGGTATGTATTCATTAAATAACATTATATATAATGTCGTCGTTATAGTATTATAATACTATGTATATGTTGTTTTTGTTTGTTTTTTTACATTATTAAATCTATAGATATTTTTTTGACTAATAAATTTGATTGGATGATATTATTATTATTATTTTTATTATTATTGTTATACATACCAAGGTAAAACAACATTTCTATATAAATTGAAATTGGGTGAAGTTGTTCAAACTATTCCAACGATTGGTTTCAATGTGGAGGAAGTAAACTATCGCAATCTGAAGTTCGTTCTCTGGGATATCAGTTTGAGCTGTGTCGCGCGGCAGCTCTGGAGACACTATCTGCCTGTCGATGCATTCATAATGATTGTCGACTCGTCGGATCGCGAGAGAATCAGCGAGGTCAGAGATTACCTCTGGACGATGCTCAAAAGCGAGTACGCTGAGCAAATCAAGAACACACCGATACTCATCTATTGTAACAAACAAGATATACCTCACGCCATGTCCGTCAAGGAGATAGAAATACACCTCGAACTACATATGCTAACCAGTCAGCCGTGGATGACACAATCACTCATTGCAACCACTGGCTACGGTATAACAGAAGGTCTAGATTTTCTTTGTAATTTATTACCATTAAACATAGATAATTATAATAATCATAATAATAACAAACAACAACAATCACAAACTGTATAAATAATAATAACAAATAATAATCAATCGAAGCGAAAACAAACATTATAATTATAGATAGACTATAAAAAGGTCGAAAAACATAAACGAAAACAGAGTCATTGCGCAATCATTCAAATCTGATGTTTTTATTGATCAACTCTCGTCTATGTTTTTTGGAATCTGTTTAGCATGTTTTCTCTTGAAGGTCCTAATTATATACCCACAACTTTTTTTTTTTGGTTTGTTCCACAAAATCTTTTTGTTCCCTGCAAATATTCGTGATCTGATTGATTCACCATCCATCATATGCAACAACCATCGTTGCAACAAACAAGGAAGATATCTCGCAAGTTAATTACGAATCGACAACTTGAATGTTTCTCGAAAAGAAAAAAACTTGATTATCATTTGATTTAGATTTATAGAGTAATAATATTATATAATAAATATATATTGTTATTTTTAGTATTATTATTATTATTATTGTTTATTATTACTATAATAAAATGAGGATAATATTTGAGTGTTCAATCACTCGAATATACTCTTTTTTTATAATATTGTTTTTGTTTTATCAGAGTGCTAATGCTGGTAAGTGAGTGTGGTGTTACTAAAAGTGATTTTGGAAAAAAAACAACAATCAATTTAAAAATGATCATTTTTTTATTAATTTTAATTCATTTCTACTTCTACTACTTCTGTTACTTCTACTTTTACTACTATTGATTTAAGTTACACAACCAATTTCTCAGGTAGCACCAGCTGATGGACTTTATATTAATGAACGTCAACTTATCACTATTACTGGTACTGGTTTCGCTACCAATGGAAACGCATTGGCCACTGTCAATGCAACCAATATTTGCCCGATAACCAGTGTCACCTCCACAAGGATCATCTGTAACCTACCGTCGATCGCCACTCCAGGTTTCTATACTGTTTACGTTAGAAACAATCCAGTTGACCTTATCGTTGCTACCGATAAGGGTTTCACTATCCATATCGGTAAGCGTGTCGCTTTCGTCACGCGAATCGACCCATTCGATTATGCCAACGGTCCATCGAATACAATGACTTTGTCAGGTACCAATTTCTTCAGTGGCATCGTCGTTAGAATTAGAGTAGCATCCGACTACTACGGTTGTACACCGACTTCGCTCACTCTCAACCAAGTGATTTGCACGTTCCCGGCAATCCCTGCATACGGTCATTACAAAGTGTTTTACAATAATCCTGGTGATACTCCGGTGGCAGAGGAAACCGGTATTTTCTTGAGAGCACCCACACCAACACTGAGCACTATCACGCCAAATTCTATCGATATAACCAAGAGTTCCGTTGTCACATTGACTGGTACACTTTTCGTTTGTTCATTGGACGCGTCTAACAATGCCACAATCAAAGTCAATGGAAATGCAGACATCCTGGACATACAAACATGTTCGCCAACTCAACTGATTACACAATTCTCACCCAGTGTAGTTCCTACTGGAACTTTCAACGTTATAGTATCCAACGGTGCTGTAGCATCCACCCCTAAATCTTTAACGTTTACAAGTAAGTTGTTTGGCTTTAGATTTACTTATAATAATAGTTTATATATTAATTTATAAATATTGTTATTATAGAACCAATTCCTACAATTACTTCAGTCACTCCCAATACAATGCAATCGAATACTGCTGGAAATATTGTTATCACAGGTGCTGGTTATCTTAATGGTCTAACAACAGTCACTATCAATGGAGTTGCCTGTACATTGGTTAGTGTTACTCAAACAAGTATTACCTGTACAACACCATCACAACCAACAGTCTTTGGAACAGTTCCATTGATTGTATCAAACTCTGGTACCAATTCAAATAGCTTTAGTTTTACAAGAACTGGTAAGATATTATTAATATTATTAAAATATATAATTAGTTGATTGGTCACTCACGAAGGAATTAGGTGTGACACTGGTAACGCTAGGTGTGGAAACGACTTGACTAACTGTATAACTTGCAGAGTTAACATTTCCATTGACAACAATCAGAGGTCGAGAAATAGCAGTTGTAAAAGATGGCGATGTACACATTAAACTTGTTTCACTTGAGACTACCAAGCTTGTACATAGTTGACCGTCAATTGTAACACTAGTCAATCCACTAAAGAATAAGGTACCAGTTACAGTTATTCTGGGTGTAGTATAAATAGGATAAGAAGCTGGTGTAACTGAAGTAATAGTTGATTTTGGTGCTATTATAATTATTATTAAAAAACGATCTCTGTGAGTGGTTCTAATTTCGTTGCATCGCTATCGACTGTTACGATTGGTGCTCTCAATTGTCCGGTGGTTGTAGCTCAGTCATCGACAACTCTATTGGTATGCAACACTCCGGTCACAATAGTACTGGGTGCTCAACAACTCAAGGTTCAAACCTACTCTATTACCTCGAATTTAGTTAGTGTTACAGTCAACGCTCCAACACCAACTTTGACAAGCGTTACTCCAAACACAGTTGTATCAAACGTCGTTACACCGATAACAATCGTTGGTACCAGATTCCAATCTGGAGTATCATCACCCGCAGTTGGTACTGTTTCATGCCCTATTGTTAGCATTACTTCGACGCGTATCATTTGTAATTCACAACCTCAATCGATTGATTCAGTTTTACAGGTTTTGGTTAACAATCGTGGCATACTATCTAATACCCTTCCACTCACAATCAAACCACCAACACCAACCATCTCATCAATTACACCATCATCAGTTCCAACCAATTCGACAACAGCCATATCTATTGCCGGTACCGGTTTTGTCAATGAAATGGTTAAAGTTTATATCAACGGCGCAGTGATTACATTGAATTCAGTTACAACTACTTTGATTATTGGTGTTGCACCAGTTCTCAATATTGCTGGATCCATTCCTCTGTCAGTCCAAAACTCAGCATCTGTAACTGATTCCGATATAATTACATATGTTCCACCAACACCAATCATTCAATCAGTTACTCCAAATTCAATGGTATCAAATGTCATTACACCAATCACGATTGCAGGATCTGGATTCCAAACCAGTTTATCAGTTGTTAAAGTTGGTCAATTAAATTGTCCAATTACAAGCATTCAGAATACCAGAATCATTTGTAATTCACAACCTCAATTGGTTGATTCCATCGAATCAGTTGTTGTTATAAATAATAATACCATTACTTCGAATGCAGTTCCATTCACCATCAAACCATTGACACCAATCATTACACAAATCACACCATCTTCAGTTCCAACCAATTCGACAACAATCATTTCAATTTCAGGAACAAATTTTGTCAATGGAATGGTTAAAGTTTATATCAACGGTGCAATAATCACATTGAATTCAGTAACAAGCACACTAATTATTGGTGTTGCACCAGTTCTCAATGATGCTGGATCAATTCCTCTGTCAGTCCAAAACACACCATATTTTGCAGATTCCGATATTATTACATATGTTCCACCAACACCAATCATTCAATCAGTAACTCCAAGTTCAATGGTATCCGATATAGTTACACCAATCACCATTACAGGATCTGGATTCCAAAACACTTTATCAGTTGTTAAAGTTGGTCAATTAAATTGTCCAATTACAAGCATTCAGAATACCAGAATCATTTGTAATTCACAACCTCAATTGGTTGATTCCATCGAATTAGTTGTTGTTATAAATGATAATACTATTACTTCGAATGCAGTTCCATTCACAATCAAACCACCAGCACCAACTATAACAGCGATTACACCATCTTCAGTTCCAACCAATTCGACAACAACCATATCTATTGCCGGTACCGGTTTTGTCAATGGAATGGTCAAAGTATATATCAACGGTGCAGTAATCACATTGAATTCAGTCACAAGAACATTAATTATTGGTATCGCACCAGTTCTCAATATTGCTGGATCAATTCCACTTTTCGTTCAGAATAATGCATATTTCACAACTTCCAGTTCAATTACCTATGTTCCACCAACACCGATCATTCAATCAGTAACTCCAAATTCGATGGTATCCGATATAGTTACACCAATTACGATTGCAGGATCTGGATTCCAAACCAGTTTGTCAACTGTTAAAGTTGGTCAATTAAATTGTCCAATTACAAGTGTTCAGAACACTCAAATCATTTGTAATTCACAACCTCAATTGGTTCATTCGATTGAATCAGTTGTTGTTACAAATAATAATACAATTAATTCCAATGTTTTAACTTTAACGATCAAACCACTTGCACCAACCATTTCGTCAATCAATCCATCGTCAGTTATCAACAATCAAACAACAACCATCTCCATTACTGGTACTAATTTTGTCAATGGAATGGTCAAAGTTTATATCAATAATACACTAGTATCCTTTAGCTTTGTGAGCAAATCATTGTTGGTAACTTCCACACCAAGTTCTACATTTGTTGGACAGGTTCCAGTTTCCGTTTCAAACACTCCATCGTTGATTGCCAATTCCAATATCCAGTATCTGATGGCATCTCCATATATAACATCTCTATCATTATCGGGTGTTTATACAAATGATAATATTCCAATAACAATAAGTGGTTATGGATTCATTCCAACAATTAGTAAAGTAACAATCGATTCAATCTATTGTCAAGTTTTAACTGTTACTCCAAATTCTATTATCATCACTTCACCTATTTTAACGACCATTGGAAACAAGGTTGTTTTGGTATTGAATGGCGATGCTGGTCCAACTTCAAATGCAGTCACCATTGCCTACTTCCCACCAACACCATGGATCTCATCAATTTCACCAAGCTCAGTACAACTGGATAGTTTGCAAACTGTTACCATCCAAGGAAGTAACTTCCAATCGGGATTGACAACTTTGAAAGTTAGAAACATCGTGGCAACAATCTTATTCATCAATTCAACACAGATACAATTCACAGCACCATACATCGTATCGATAAACACAGAAACAGTTAATGTTGCCAATTTCTATTCTCAAGCAACAACTTCATTAAAATATAATGCACCCACTCCAATTATTAATACGATCGATCCTTCTTCATTGGCAGCTGGAACATCCAATATGATCACGATTAGCGGTTCTAATTTCATTCCAGGATTGACAACAGCAGTTCTCTTGGGATCCAAACCTTGTTCCTCTCAGTTTATCAACTCAACCACATTCATTTGTCTTGCACCAATCATCAACTCTAAAGGTCCAGTAGAAATTCAAGTTAAGAACGACATCAATGTATTTGATAGCTATACACTAAATCTATTTTATCCAGGTCCTGTCATCACCGAGGTTGATCCAACCACTGCTTACATCTATGAAATGAGACCTGAGGAAAGAGTTGTTACAATCACAGGTTCCGGATTTATCGATGGAGTTTCAACAGTGACTGTCGGTGAATATTCTTGCAAACCATTCAATACCAATAGTATGTTCATCTTTTGTGATATGCCAATTGTCACCAAAGAAGGAATGCTCCCAGTAAATGTTCACAATGGACCGGACTTGATTTCCAACACCAAGTACATTGAATATATCAATCCACTGCCACTCAATTATATTTCACCATCATACGTTTATTACCAACAAGATCAGCAAATCTCGATTGTGATTCACGGTGAGAATTTCGATTCAAACATGGCAAGTAGTGTTGAAATCAAAAATTCCGGTTTATCATTTAATTGCGCGATTTCATCAGTTACTTCAACTGAAATCCAATGCTCATTAACAATGATACCAGTTGGTACTTACGATGTATTTTTCCATTCAAATGGTCTTCAATCAAACCCACTCACTTTTGCAGTTCTCGACAGACCACTCTCTTGTTTGTCAGCAACAGGAACACCAGTATCTTGGTGGTTCGCCAGAAAGATTCCACAATCTCAAAACTACATCTACTTTGACAGTGAATCTCAAGATATGCAGTACCTTGCTTCCATTTCCTCGACTACCAATTGCTTATCGTTGACTCTTGATCAGATCAAACAAGACCCCAACACTCACAATGGATACGTTGCATATAATGACCATGCTTGGTTAGATAACATGTCAGGTGAATTGACTCGTTCAATCAATGGAACCTTCAACATGAATCATTCACTTGGAAAAGGTATTCTCGTAGCACACACCTATTTCAATGCCACCTATTCACCTGGATTCCATATTAAACATTCACTCGAAGGATTCCCAGTTCCTGCTGGCGACGGTTCATTTAAAACACCATCACAATATCCAACCAGTTGGTTCCCTAACGACTATCGTCTTCGTCCAAAACAAGCTGATGATTTCTCATTTGGACATTCTTTCCTATGTCATAGCTTTGTTGATTCATCAGAAACTCTGAATGCAGTCCAAGCAACCAAACCATTCATCTACTCCAGCAACAGATATAACTATCGTATCAATATTATGTCACCGCTGTTTAATGACAGTACAATGACATCGTTCCTCTCATCGAGTTGGTCAAATAGTTACTTTGTTTCCTCTGGATACAAACAGAATATCTTCACACCAATCGGATTAGTTCCAATGTCGATTACTCTCCCATCCAGATACAGAATACCACCAGGTGCTGTTGCCGTAATTGAAACCAAGTTACCATTGAAATTCGTAAAACAAAACAATATCTCATTAGCTATTTCACAGTGGAAATCAGAGGTTGATCGTAGTTTCCTTGGTTTCAATGATACTCATCTCTGTTTGGGTGACTACACTGCCAAGACTACTATTGGTGGTGGTATTGCAGTTTGCGTCAAACCAAAGGCACAATTCGCTCAATTCTTTATTGAAACAATCTTTAAATATCAAATAGAGAATTGCACATCACAGCAGTGCTCCAACAAAGAGATTAAGAATCAATATCTAATCTCAATTAAATCTAAATTGCTATTGGATAATACCTATGGAGATGCCGATCAATTGCTTTCACAATATTTAGAATCGGTCGATCCACTTTTACCAAATACCAAACTCTCGATAACCAGTGTTGAATGTACCACTCAGTTCTGTCCATTGAATCAAACCAATCCACAGACCTACCAAACAGATTCAGTTGCCATATTCTCATTCCGTGGTATCTACCAACCTAAATTCACTGTCCTCTTACAAACAATCAATGAAACCATATCAGTAAAGAGCTTGGATGGAAACGTTTACACATTCCCAACCTACAATGTATCAGGATCATACGTACCACAAACAAACAACAATGTAAAGAGTCAAAATATAATCTATATCTATAAACTATTGCAACTATCCAAAGCCATAAGAGATAGTCTTGGTTATGGATCATTAGGTAACTTGGAATTGGTTATCAACAATGATAATAAGGCAATTCTAAATCAGCATCAATCGATTCCAATCTCGGTTGATCCATTGGATATAGAGTCGTTGTTCAGAGCACTAAGTTATGATCTTTTGTTACAATTGAATGGTGGTATCTCAACCACTGATTTACCAGTGACATTGAACGATTTCGAAAGTTTCGGATCATCTAAACAATCAGCACTTCTTGGTGGTTTAGTCAACTATGTCGCTATGAAACTACGTGAACTTACTCTACCAACATTACCAAAGAGCACAGTTCGATCACTCATTGACCAAAATGGAGAATCAATCGATCTTGAATGGTTCAATAGTTTGAGATTTAACAAGAAGAACCGCTATATACTCACACTCCTGGATAACTGCATACCTCTGGGATTTGAGTGATTCCAACAACGATGATTACCAAGACAATGCACTTAGAAGACCACCATACAGTGACAACAACGACGGTTATCAAATTGATTTCATCTCGATACTCAACAATACAAAATCGATTGTATCAACCAGCGATATCTTAACATTCTCAGAATCACTTTTCGATATGCAAGCCTCGCATCCGTATCACCAATTAATCATTTCAAATGCAAGATCAATCATGAAATACAATAATATCTTTGAGTGTAATTATTGTAAAGTTTCAGCAAGTACTCCTTCGGACCCATCTGATTTCAAGAATGTTTTACAATCACTTGGAATCTGTCAATCGACAATCGACGCAACTTTAATTCCACCAATTTCAGAAGTACAGAATTTCGCATCATCTTGGATTTCCTCAGCAGATCCACCCAGTAATTGGTTAACAAACCAAGCTATCAATGTCGTATATTCTCAACAATTTGCCAAATTCTATAATAATTCAAAGCTTTTGGAATCATTGTTACAAGTTGTCGATCCAACACTCTGTGAGTTTGGAATTGAAAATGGATACCTTGTCACACCGAAAGGTTTGGAAATACTCACAAGAGTTCTTACCAATCAAATCAACATTGCCAAGAAGCGTTTAGTTTATAACGAAGTTGAAACATTCTTTGTACCAACAAATAGCTCAACTGGTTTGGTAATCATCACCTACAAAAACTATCTATGCAATTTCAGCATGTCAAGTGAATCTGATTTTGAAAGTGGTGCCATCCTTTCGATATGTCCCAGTGGTCCTATTGTAACAAATATCACAGGTACCAACGGACCAACTCATTCCAACGACAATGCCATTACATTAGTTGGTCACAAACTATCGGAAATAGGTGTTCAAGTCAAGGTTGGTTCAAAGATTTGTCAAGTTCAAACAGCAACAGATAATCAATTGATTTGTACTGTTGGTCAAGGTGTTGGTGTATATCCAATCACCTATTCCAATATCAATAGTAAACTACCTCAAGAAACACCATTGTCACAATATATCTATTCCTACGATATTCCAGTGATTAAATCTCTCACAACAGTGAGTTGGCCAGTTAAAACAGTTGGTGATAGAGTAACTATCAATGGAAGAAACTTTGGTTTCGATAATATTGATACAACTCTTATTGTTGATAACTATCAACATCCAATTGTTCAATTCTTGTATGATGCGAGCAGTGGTGTTGAATCACTGGTATTCATTACCAATGGAACTGGTCTGGATAAACTCATTACCATTAATGTGGCCAACCAAACCACTGAAGACAATATGGATTTCTCAATGGATTATAAAGAACCAGTGATCAATTCGATTTCAATTAATACATACCCAAGTCCTGGTGGAGGTGAGATGACTGTTACCGGAAACTATTTTGGTGAGACAAACAGTGCAATCACCATCTATATCGGATCAGCCAGTTGTGATATCTCCCAGAGAATTGACGATAGTACTGCAATCTGTATCATACCAGCACATGTTGGAGTCAATACAGTTTCAATCTTTGTAGACGGTCAGATCTCGCCAGATGGACCAACATTCACTTATCCAATTCCAAAGATCGAACAAGTCATACAACCAAACTCAACCAACACATCGACAGGTGGAGTGTTCTGGGTGGTCGGATCTGATCTCGGACCTCTTGGTATGTCCGATTACAATGTCACCGTACATCTCAATGTTTTTGTTGAATGCCAAATGGATATTGATTGTCACTATAACCAGAAATACGAAGATAAAGATGGAAATGAAATAGCAACTCCAACCGATCCATATTTCTATGGAGAGTTCGATCCTTATATCCTCATAAACGAAACATACAGAACCACCGTTAATTTCGATTGTATCATTTGTTATCTTCCTCCAGGTGTTGGATATAATATTCCAGTCAATCTCTCTTATCACGAGTACTTCTCGAATATTGACTACAGTGGAGTTGCATACAACAGACCAACCATAATGAATCTAACAGAGTATCAATCCAATACTGATGGAGGTGGTGATATTACTATTTTCGGATATGATTTCGCTCCTAATGAAATCAACATAACCGATATTTATTCAGAGTATATTCTCGATCCAAGATATGATACTTTCGAAGGACCTATCACCTTCAGTAACTCCAGCATCGGAACTTATCTCATTCACAACATCTCATTTACCAACTCATCAATGGTACATGGTGTAATTCCACCTGGTATTGGTGCAAACTTAACAGTTTCAATATTTGTTGGTGGTCAAAAATCATTAGAGTCTATCAATTTCTCATATAATCGTATGTTTCTTTTTTTGTTATCAATATTTCATCAATTTAATACTTATATTTTATTTTTTATTCAATAATATAGCTCCAACAATAAACAATGTAACAAGTTCAAATACAACAGGTTCATCTATAACCATCGAAGGATTAAACTTTGTTCCAAAGAATGTTGATCCACTTAACTCCAACATAACAATCAATAATATATTGTGTTCTGACATTGAATGGATTGATTCATCTAAAATCATTTGCAACTCACCATCTGGAATTGGAAAAGATTTACCATTAATTCTCTTTGTCGGTAATCAATCTACAAATACAATGTTTAGATATAATGGTAAGCTTTTTTTTTATTTTTTGTTAATTACATTACATTACATAATTTATTACATAAATTCTTACACCTTTTTTTAATGTTTAGCTCCAACTTTGGATAATACAAAGTATTATGGTGATCCATCAGGAGGTGATTGGATTACAATTAAAGGTGAAAACTTTATACCATCTGAACATGTTGGACCAGTCAATCAAAGACAACAAGATTCCAATAATTCAATTTCCATTGATGGACAACAATGTCAATCATTTGAATGGATAGATCACAACACAGTTCGATGTCAAATCCCAAGTGGTACAGGTAAAAACAAAGAGATCAAGATTATTGTCGGTACTCAACCAACATCAGAACCAAACCAACTCTTTGATTATAAATCACCGATTGTCACTTCAATCTCTCCAAATACAGCTGATCGTGACCAAAATACATTGGTAACGATCACAGGTAATTACTTTGGACAAGACCCAACTGCTACCATTGGAAATGCAGGAGATTGCACCAATCTAGTGGTATTAAGCAAACTAAATGGAAAGGATAGATTGCAATGTAATGTTCCTGTTTATGATAGAAACACCGAGGAAATTATCAGTGTTACACTTGATGGTGAAAAAATCACAAGAAACCAACGTTACATACACCTATACTGGTGAACCAACTATTGATTATATCAGCCCAGAATCTGGATCAGTAGATGGTACTTATCAATTAGATATTTCTGGTAAATTCTTCAAGAATGGTGAAATCTCTCCAACTGTCAATTTCAATTTACAAGCAGCTACCATTGTATCATCTTCAGATACTTCCATCACAATTACAGTGCCTTCAGGTGGTGGAAAAGATATTCCCATTACAGTGTCTGTTGGATCACAAACCAGTAATACAAACACTGATTTCTCATATAATCCACCTTCAATCACTCTGATCACACCCAACCAAGGAAAATACAACCAACCAACCTCAGTTGTAATTTCAGGTTCCAATCTTGGTTTACCAGGTCAGTCATTGCTCACTCACATATTAATTGGTGCAGTATCATGCTCAAATATCCAAGTTCAGTCATCACAAAGTGTATCTTGTACAATTCAACCATCTGGAGTTCCAGGAGAATTCCCAGTTGAACTTTCTTTCTATTCACAAAGCACAACCAGTCAGTTTACCTTTACAAATGATAATCAAGACTCAACTACAACAACAACTTCAACCACAACTACATCAACCACTTCAAATCCAACAACCGATACTCCAACTACCGGTACAACTTCAACAACTTCAACAACTGGAACAACTACTCCAACTACAGCCAATCCAAGCACTGGTACAACAACTCCAACTACTGGTACAACTGCATCCCCAACCACTGGTACAACTGTATCACCAACTACTGGAACAACAACACCAACTACTGGTACAACCGCAACACCAACAACAGGTACAACTGTATCACCAACTACTGGTACGACAGCATCCACATCAGTTACTACAACAACCACAACACCAACAACAGATGTTCAAACAACAAGTACTACTGGCTCTACCGAAGAAATTACTGAACAAGTGATTTATATTCTTCGTGTTGAGAAAATCATTTGGGGTGTAAATCCATCTATTAAAGTGAAAATAATGATAAAGACTACAATAGCTCCTTGCTCTGGATGTCCACCAATCGGAAGTGTTGTAACTGGACCATCAATATTAAATTTAGTCACACCTCCAGATTTCCCTTACCCAATTACTGACATCCAATGGTTTAAATTCATGAGAGTAGATATCACTGGATGGGAACTCGACAGATACAGAATTTTATCAAGATTCAGATTCAGATTTGGATTCAAACTACTCAGTGGAAATGGATGGTTCTGTGACTTTGACAGTTCCTCCTCAGACGATAGACCTGGTGAAGACGACCCAGAACCTGAATTCCCAGATTGGATGAATCCAACACCAGGAAGCATTCCAGATCCACCTGCATTACTCTTTGAAACCAAGATCACAGGTAAACTCTACGATGACAGAAACTTCAATGGTCAATTCGATGGAGATGACATTCAACTGAATGGCGATGGTTTACAGATTGGATTGATCTCTGATGATGATACTTACACTCAAGGTACAATCAAAGATGATGGAACCTATGAAATTAAAACAACAAGACAACTTGGTTACTACGCAATCATGGTCAGTGCATCACCAAACTTTGGAGAAAACTACTTCTTGCCACAATCAAGATTCCATGCTCCATTCACATTCGAAGGCTATGAACAAGACATTCCAGTTTTCAAGAAAAGTAAATATCAATATCTCAGACCAAATTATTTATAGTCAAGATTGATTTACCAATTTATTATTCTTTTTCCTTTTTTTCATTCATAATTATAGCACCAAATGGATGTATTGGTGTAGCTTCAACAGCATCAAAGAATGTTACGTTACAATATGGACAATATGATTTGTTGAACTTTGATTTCTTCTCATATGAAACAATTACAACAAGTTTCCCAGATTATTGTCAAGTTACTCTATCTGGTACTGATATTAATATCAACTACAGTATGTTTTAAATTAATTTTGTTATAACTTTTAATTATTGATTATTAACATTCAAAAATTTCTAGAAACCAATTTGAACATGTCTTTATACATTGATCAATACTTGAATGGAAGTCATACACCAACAAGCTCACCAGTGAATTTCAACATTATCTCTACAGTTGAAGGCAATAGTTTGATTCGTTCATATTCCTACCCATTGAACAATCAAATTGATATTCCATCAAGCTCCCACATCGATTTTATGAATTCTGGTGAAATGACATCAATTGTAAATCACTACTTTGTCCAAGTTACAGACCCAACAGTTGTCTCTTCGATTGATAAATCTATTGGTTTCATTGGTGTGTCACCATCAAAGACAATATCATTTACCAGCACAGAAACCTCTGAAATACTTTCATTGACAAATGCCAAGTATAACGCAAGTTTCTTCTCAAGCATTGGATGGAATCAATCATCATTATCGTTTATCGTTGGAAATAACCAAACCGTCATATTTAATGATGCTCGTACCTTTGAGACTTCCGAAAATGAATATTCAGTTACTGATATCAATTATGGAACTGTTGAAATTGTAAATCCAAGTAAGTTAGTTATTCATAAAAAATAATAGAGATCAAAAAATATTAATCTGATTGTTTTTACTTTTAGATTTATTTGTCAATCCAGTATCTATCAATGGTGGTACATTCAACATCTCTAATGATTATCCTTTCGGTGTTCCAATTTATTCAATTGATGGTGTTACTTTGACATGCAATCAATTAGGAGCTAATCTTGAATGTGTCATTCCACCTTGGACCTCTGGACCACTCACCAAGCAAATCACCTCTAAATGGAATAACATTGATTTATACAACATTCAAACTCTTACATATGTAGATTCATCGACACCAAGCACAACAGGTACTGGTTCTACAACAGATGTAACAACTGGAATCCCTACAACCAGCACAGGATCAACTTCAGGCGGATCCACAACCGGAGGAGATCCCATCATCAGTCATCTTAGTGCATTGATTTTTAATGATACCAATTTTAATAATCAATATGACGAAGATGAAGTTGGATTGCCAAATGTAGCTATCAAGATTATGAACACAATCGTTTACAGCAATGCAAGTGGTTTCATTGAATTTGGTTTCACACAAGCCGGTACCTATAGCTTATCAGTCATTAGTGTTGCCTCCACTCCATACTTCATGCCACTCCAATCTATTGTTGTAGATATTGTAAATCAAATTGATGTTCAAAAGAATATTTCAGTATTCTGGAAATCATCATTTGGATGTTTAGGCTCAATATCAAATTCACAGAACCAAAAACTTACAATCCAATATGGAGAGCTCGATTTATCACAATTTAACTATAATTATTCAGCAACCTATCACAGCTTCTCACTTCCACCAAGTTGTATTGCCCAAAAGAATGGTTCAATGATTTCAGTTAAATATAAATCGGTGCTCAATCTATATCTATTTATTGATTACAACTTTAATGGTTTACAAGATGGTCGTGAGAATATCAGCCAACCTGTGAATGCAACTGTTTTCATTTACTCTGTGTATAATGGTATCAATATTACACGTTCATTCAATATCAACGCCACACCTACATTAATTAGTGTCGATATTCCAAACAACAGCACTGTCACTCTCATCGATAATTCTGAACCCAAAAATATTACAAGCATCTACCATAGTAAATATTATACCATTGCCAAACCAAATATTGTATCGACTCAATTCGACAACATTGCCCTCTTGAATGTAAATCCGAATAATACAATCAGAATCTCCAACAACGACACACTATTCATTTCTTTAGGATATGGAAAATATAATTGGACATTCTTTGAGAATATTGGATGGAATAACTCATTAATTTCTTTGTTACCAAACGCAGACCAGTCAGTAATAATAACATCGATCAATCAAACTTTGAATGTTAGTCATACCAACCAATCAACAATCATTCAAAACATTACTATCTCAACAATAGAAATTATCAATAATGGTAAGTTAACCATATAGATTATTCATACAGACTTTTTTTACTTATCCTACGATTTTAAATCTTTAGACTTTTTCAATGGTCTTCCAAGTATTCCAAACAATGGAAGTGTCATTCAACTAAAGAATTTATATTGGAGCGATCCTCAAGCAGTGGCTCTCAAATTAGATAATTCACCAATTAATTGTACAATAGAAAGTTCATTCTATGTTAACTGTACAATTCCAGCATATTCAAGTGGATCATACACAAAACAATTGAATATATTTTGGAATGGAATGAAACTATATCCAAATAGTACAATCACCTACCAAGAAGAGACGACACCAATATTATAAACAAAATAAACTCCAATCTTTATAAAAGATCAATTATTTCAAAAAAGACAATGATTAAAATATTTTCATTTCCTTAGTTAAGAAAGTTGTTCAGTCATATTGAGCGATTAGTCTAATAAATTGGTTGCATTTATTTAAACAAAAAATGTTAAGCTTGATTTATTTTTATTAAATAATTATTATTAAAAATTATATTCTAAAAAAGAAAGTCAGTTTGAAATCATTAATTATAAAAACATTATTTTAATTTAGAGTACTTTATGTTATTTGAATAATTTTTTTCAAGATTTAGTTTGTGGAGAATCACATATTCTTACTAATACATTTCAAGTAATTACTTTGGTGTAATTTGAATATAAAAATCAATAAGATTTAATTAATTCAGACCGATCCGAAAAAATAAATCAATTTATGGAAGAGTGTGGGTAAAATTAATACCTTTTAAACAATATTAAAAAGAGATGTACAAATATTTGTGGTAAGTCGACTTTCGGAACATACTTGACCGAAATTGATTGTCATTTGAATATAAATAGAAATTTTTATTGAACGATAAAAATCATTAACTACAAATAAATTTACTAAATTTGAAAATTTAAAAAACAATGTTAAAACTATCTTTATTATTGGTTTTTGTTTTATATATTTCTAGTACTTATGTTTTGGGAAATAAGTTGAATGAAACTGAAGTTCCTGCTTATTACACTGCCAGGTTCTTGGAGCTAAATTGTGAAGAAGGAAAACCATGCAACCGAATTGTATTGACTAAACTAAATGAAGCTTCTCAAGAGCGTGTCTTTGCCACCCGTTTGATCTTTGGAGATGGTGAACAACATCGTGAATGGGACGGTAAAGAAAGAAACGAATCCAGAGGAGAGCATCATGAGTGGGATGGTAAAGCAAGAAATGGTTCTAGAGGTGAACACCATGAATGGGATGGTAAAGCAACAAATGAATCTAGAGGAGAGCACCATGAATGGGATGGTAAAGCAAGAAACGAATCCAGAGGAGAACACCATGAATGGGAAGGAAAAGAGAGTAGAGTAGATCATCATGAATGGAATGGTAAAGGATCAGAGGCAAACAAGACTCGTGAACATAAGTTTAATAATGGAGAGATCATCGTCTATGGTTCTTTACATCAACTAAATGGTAGTAGTACTCATCATGTCTTTAAGGTAATTACTCTATTCCATCGTGTTCCACTATCATTCAATGAAACCAAGGATAAAAAAGAAGAAATTAAGGAAAAAGAAAGCTCTGGAAAGTTCTATCGTGTACAAGGCGCTGGATTCGGAGTTTGTAAATCATTGAATTGCTCATCGTTGGCACTGAACGAGATCAATTCCAGCAATAGAGTGTTGATAAAGAGCATCTCTTCGCCATACTCTGAGAAACACTTTGACCAGAAATGGATTGACACTGAACTATTTGTTGTGAAGTTGCCAGAGACAGGCATTGTTCAAGCCACAGTTGTAGATGGTGTAGCAAGCATCACTTCAATCTACTTTACAAAACAACACAAGTAAAGTATTTTGAATTCAAAACAAAGATTTGAACCTACATTTGCTAATGTACTATATTAAATATTCCACTAGTTATAAAATTCAAAAATAAAATTATTATTAAATTTGAGGCACTTTTTTTTTTTTTTTTTAAAATCTCTCTGATTGATTATGATTATCTTTTTTTTTTACATGTATTTATGTCTAATAGCAATAATAACGTTATAACATTTAAAATGTGTGAAATGAATCAAATTTTATTAAATAAGATTAAGTAACTGCATGAGAATAAAAAAAAAAAAAAAAAAAAAAATGAGTTCAACCAATAGTGTGCATCTAAATGATCTTATTATCTTTAAGATTATCGATATTTCACTAACATATCGTGGCTACAAGTCATATGCCATCACCAGTTGTAAGAGATGGCCGAGAAAGCGTACGATTCAAATGTGGGCATCTCAATGCGTTGCCTTGGTCTGTCGGAAATGGTTCGCACTCGTAACCACTCATTACACAACTTCATTCAAACTGGACACCTCCTCGCTGCAGAGTGTCAATCGTCTGACCACTATTCTACGAAATATCAATAATCAAACAACAACTACAGCGAAAACTAAAACTAAACAAACAACAAATTGGAACGACCGAAACTTGACTTCTCTGACTATCTATACACCAGAGTTCACTCGATCGTTGCCGAGTAAGAGATTCACTGAGTTGTATCGACTACTGGAACAATGTAACACGATCACCGACATAAAGACTAGAACACAAGGTAGCTGTTTTCGCTATTGTGACTATTGGTTCAATACTTCGACCGTTACTTCACTGTCGATCGATCAAACGCGAATGACAACCGGTGAAGAGTCAACAGTCGATTGTGATCTCTGGAATCATCCTTGTCTTCAATCGATCAATCGATTACATCTCCGAACTGAACGTCAGGCACACCGCTCCTACTATCCATTCTTTGAGAGTGACAATATTACTTCAGTTTCTGTAGATGGGCCAAACCTTGTCGCTAGTTTGTGTGATCAACAAGTCAGTTCCAATCTCTCACAAATCGTGCTTTGGTGTTCGTTCAGCATTGACCAGCTCATTGCCATACTCAGCCAAGTCAAGAGTTTGATATCGCTCGGTCTACGCAGACATGGATCGACCAGAACCGATTGGATATCTGCCGACAAAGACCACCGTGCATCGGTGATCAAGTCATTGATTGCAAACCATTCGAATCTAACTGAGCTAGCATTGGTACAAGATAGATTCCGTAAGGAAGTTAATATCGGTATGGTCTGGATAGACGTATTGGACACTCTGTTTGCCGAACCCAAGCTAAGACTTCAACGTTTCGAATGTCGCTATCAAAAAGACGTCCTCTATTGCTCAGCTTTGTTTTTCGATGCTCTTTGTACCAATAATACACTTACCTATCTATCGATTGGTCATCTAACAAGCAACCAGTTTGAATCGATCGCCAAAGTAATCGCCAAAAACGTAACCATTCGAACATTGTCGTTGGATTGCTCCGAGAGCAGCAGTAATCCATCGAAACTCTTTAAAACAATCTATCCTTCACTGCTTGCCAATCGATCGATCACAGAACTATCATTCCCATTCAGTGTATACTACCTCTCTATCGATTGGTCTTTCATGGACGATGCAATCATCCAATTGGAACTTTGTAACCAACTCAATACTGTCTTTATGTTCCAAGGTAAGCACCGTAAAGTCTACATTCGTTCCCCGACAATGGAGTACTCCGAGCATCATCTTCATCAACAAGAGAAGAAAGCAATCAGATTTACCGAAGAGAAAGAACTGTTTGATATCAATAGCTACGCATTACCAGAAGACTCTGATTCGCAGAGTGATATTGGCAACGATGAATCACGTGACGATGAATATTCATCTTGTGAACAAGACGAAAACGATTAATATGCTATTTATTATTTAAATAATAATCAGAAGAAGAAGAGCAACAACTTTACAAACAACAATAATACTAACCAGAAGAAGAAGAAGAAACAATGCCACTTGGTCTTAAATCAATATGGTGTAAAATATTCTATTGAACACACATGCATCCAAGTTTAAATAAGATCTCAATAAAGTTAAATAATCGACAATTTATTTATACACTTCTGTTTCTCATAGTCTTTTTAGAATTTAACAACCAGAAAAATAAGATAATTTGTTGGGAGGTGGTAGTCAACTGGTTTAAAAAATAAATAAAATAAAATAACACACAATTGTGTGATGGTGATTGTGTGTTAAAAAAAAAGTGAAATTTCATATTATTTGATTGATTGACGCAATTGTTTTCTATTTTTTTTTTTAGTCATCTTATTCCACATACAAAATGTTAATTAATATTTGTTTATATTATTAGCAAAGGAGAACATAATTATTATATAAAAATACTAAATTTACACTTTTTATAAAGATATAATAAAATCAAATCTAATGTTGTATATATACTTAACCACTAAATAGTCTTATCATAAACACTCTTTTTTTATCTCATCATAATCTATTATTAAAAACGAAAAAAAAAACATAATAATAAAAAGATAAATGATATAATATCTTGTATCAGTCAGTTGACCATTTTCATATCAATCACAATCAAATCATAAGTTTATATTTATATATCTTTTTTTATTTATTTATTTATTTATATTGTGTTTTATTTTCTATAAATCTCTTTAAAAAAGATAGATAGATAGATAGATAGATAGATATTTATACAAGTTTTTGTTTTTGTTTTTGAAATGAAAATGTTACAAACTGAATTATCAAATAATAATTCACCCTTTTTGTCGTTTTCAAATGATTCATCGCTTGTGATTGATAGTAGTAGCGGTAGTGCAGTGGATGTTTTGAGAAATTCGTCAGCGACCACCATTACATCGGCAGCAACACTTCTTTCTACGTCAACATCGGATCTTCTTTTAAACAGGTCTTCACCACTTCAGGTATCAACTAGTTCTTCGCCAACAATATCGCCGTATTCTAGTGACTCTACTACTACTACTTTCAATAGTCAATCGATATTCAATGAACAAGAACATTTCGATTTGGCGAATCTCTATATAAGATCGACCTGCTACCACCATGACCATGAAGGAACGACCATCGATCATAACCATCGGCATATCGACAATATCCTAAGTTTAACCAGTAGCATCGGTATCGATATCGACATCGATGATGAATATGAATTCTATTTAGATAGTCTTTGTTTGAATATCGATCATCATAATCATCAACAAATACAACAACAACAACAACAACAACAACAACAACAACAACAACAACAACAACATCAACAACATCAACAATCACCAAACCAAAAAGAAGAGGAAGAACAATCACCAATAACAGATAAACAACTAAGAGAAAAAGAAAAAGAAGTAGAGGAAGAAGAATCAGATATAATATCAAACCTACCATATGAATTAGTGTTATATTTTCTTTCATTTCTATATCCTCTCGATGTGATTAGAAATGTTAGTCTGGTGTGTAAATACTTTTATAGGTGCTCTCGAAGTAATTGTCTTTGGCGTGATCTGATCTACAATGAATATGTAAACAGCAGAAATCAACAAAACAAACAACAACAGCAGGTTATTAATCTACTGAATTGTTGTAGACATGATGGTCGTGCCAATGGTAACAGCTTGGCAACCAACCAACAACATCCTGACACCATAGATTGGTATAGTTATTATTCTGAAAAAACAATGTTAAGAAAATCTGGTAAATAACATTCAATTGATTTTATCATACTTTAATGAATATTAACAACCAATCCAATTGTCATAATTGAATAATAATCTCATTAGTAAATTATATTAAATGGAAATCAATACAATATCATGAGCAACATCATGAAAAATCAAGTCGGTATCGACACACTGCAACAACTATAACCGATAGTAAAGGAAAGAAGATGATATTATTACTTGGTGGAATATCAACAAATCCTCAACAACAACAACAACATAATCATAATCATCAACAATATTCACATTCTGATATAAATATAATCGATCCGGATTCATGTAATATAATTTGCCCAACTATCAATATTGAAAACCGATTGAATCAGACCGTCGATTTGGGATTCGGAATCAGTCGGCACACTGCCAACTACATCGATGCACTCTGTAGTGTATTCGTGTTTGGTGGAACGCGAACCGATTTCGTGAGTGGCGTTTCCAAGAAATCGAACCAACTCAACCAGATTATCATTGGCAATCAATTCAAACAAGTGAAATGGTTGACCGTTGAGATGTCCTCTGCTGACGACTCCTGTGCTGTTGTGGTGCCACCGGCTCGATCCGACCATTCCTCGTGTGTAATCGGCAGCACACTCTATATATTTGGTGGTTCCGACGAGCGTGTACAGCCACTAAACGACCTCTACTGTTTTCAAGCCGATCGACCAACAGCGGGTTGGACGAAACTAGAGACCAGCGGCGCCATTCCATCGGCGCGCTCCGGACACTCGATGTTGGCGGTTGGCAACCGGTCGATCTATGTGTATGGTGGCGGTGTTTGGGATCACAAAAAGTGTTGGGTCAATCGCAACAGTCAGCTATTCCACCTGGACACCCAGACCTTGGTGTGGACCGAGATCAAATGTCTCAGGCCACCCTCGATCTCCACGTTCTCATCGATCTTCTCAGTTGGCTATCATCTATTCGTATTGTTTGGTGGCGGCTACGACGGTTTAGTTACTAACGGTGGCTACTACTTTGACACGATCGAAAACGTTTGGTATCCACTCAAGTCGAAAGACACACCGACACCAAAGAACTCATCGGCACTCTGTATTGTAGGTGCATCTACTATCTTTTTTATTGGTGGTGAAAAGAGAAGATCCACTTCAATTCAAATATTAGAAATGGTAAATATAATAATAACGAATTATTATTAATGATTAAATATACAAAAATTGATTATCTAATACACAAATTTCAATATTATAATAATATTCATATTAGGATTGGATAAATTTATTAAATCAATCATCAATAGATATAAATTTATTTTAATTGAAATCAAATAAATGTTTGATTATTTCAAATAAAATGAAGTTCAAAAGAGTATTATAATAATATTCATTATGTATTTTAGTGTTCTTTCTCTCTTTCTTTGTTTTTAAACATTACAAAACTACAATGAATGTAATTGTACAAAAGTAGTGTATGTAGTAATACATCTGCAATAATAATAATATTCATTTGATGTAAATTTTATTCATTTTTGAAAATAGTGTGATTTTTTTATTTAAAAATAACATGTACAAATATGGTAATTGAAAGGTAGATGCAGTCAAAAGTGTGAGCAAGAAAATCTGATAAAAATTTTTATAAAAAGGTGTGATCACTTTGGTGTGATCTGAACGAATTATAATTATTATTTTTGCATGTAAAAAATATTAATAATTGTAAATCGGGTGTTCATTTATAAATTCATAACACATTTGATTCACAATCATTTTAATAATGTAGTACTAGTATTAATATTTATATTAAATCATACATTCAAGAAATTTTATGCATTTTATCTATTTTGTTTATAACAACACATAAAAAAACATAGCGACAACAAAGTGTTGTCTAAATTTCCACACCTCTAAATATTTAGTTTGCTTTTAGGTATCTATTATTGTTATTACTTAACACACATTCATATTCATTTTTATTTCATATATATATACATGTGTGGGAGAAACAAAGTAAAACTAGAATAAGAATCGATAACAACACAACAACAACAACAACAACAACAAAAAAAAACAAACAGCATCAGCAACCAGAAAACACCACAACATATATAGTTATAAATAGCTGGTTCATATACTCATTAGTTATATACCCATTCTTTAGCTAGTGCACCAATCATTTTTGCTTAGAATATTCCGAGGAGTCAGTTGTTTATTTGATATATTTATTATCGAAAATAAATTAAATTAGTATAGTAATATTTCAATCAATTCCACTCTCTTGTTAAAACTACTCCACAATCTATCATATGTTAGATCGAGCATAAATAGTTTGATCAGGAAATATCATTTTTTATTCAATCAATAACATTGTTGATATTATTTAGTTTTCAGATTGTTTGTTGTTAGATTGTTTGTTCAGTAGTTCTACATGCTTGATAATTAGAATAATAATAATTAATAGGAGATTCTATCACACCACAAAATAATAAAAACAACAACACTATCTAGTAAACATCAGCATCATCATCTAACAAAAAATATAACTAGAGAGTGAGAGAGAGAAAGAAGAAAAAGAAATCGAACAAACAATAGAATCTAAAGTTTATAAAATACGATTGAATTTAATCATATAAGTGTTTAAGAATAGATATTATAAAAGTGAAAAAAGAAGTAGTTATATATATAGATATAGATATTTCTAGCCGATATATTTAATTATCGCTCGATCAGCATTGGCATTGTCAGCCAAATTTAAAAGCACTGCTGGGTGTGCTAATGCTGTTTCGTTTTTGGAATTCCAAGATAGGCAAAAAAAAAAAAAAAAACAGTCAGTATCCAATCATTTTCATTAAAAAACAGAATGGCTATATCAACACCCACACATTCATCAAATTCCTTTTTGAAAAACATATAAAACTCTTCACTTGTATAAAATCCGTTTTTTATATATAAAATATAATCCAATTTAGTAAATTTGATTTGTACCTGTTGTTATTGTGGTGGGTGCAAAACTAAACTTTAAAATTGCAAAAATCGATTTGTATTTATAATAACAATAATAATAAAGTTGATTGGACTATACTTTTAGTGTTATTCTTTAATTAATTAAAACAAATCAAACCAAGTTTTTAAAATCTAAAAAAGAATATAGTTTTTTGTTTTTCCTTTATCTTTTTCTTCTATTTTTTATTTTAAATGAAAAAGCCTCAATAAAATTTATAATTTTATATAATATTATATAATTATTGGTCAATAAACTATAGTTTCTATTAAATTAAATCATAACCCTTTATTTTTTTTCTATTTCCAATATCAAATTAAATTAGTCAACATATTTTTTGATTACTTTCAAGAACAACAACAACAATAATTATTAAAATTAAAAAACAACCAAACTCATCAAATTGTTTTCGCTGTTTTCTTTTTCTCAATTATCATCCAACCAAAATCAATCTTTTAATTTCCCATTTGGATATTTCCAGTTTTTTATTTTTTTTTTTTTCTCCAATTTTAGTTTTCAACAATAAATTTTGAAATCCAAGTTAGTGTCAACATTTTTATACTTTGACAAAATTTCAACCAATATATTTTTTAATAACCATAAAAAAAACCAAAAGACCTACCACACATACAAAACACTTTCCATCTCAAATATATACTGTTTATGATAAAAAAACTTAATTTTTAAACAAAATAAAAATAACATCATTTCAAACCACCTCATAAAATTTCTAAATAATAAAATTTAACTTATATATTTAATTTTTTATAGACAAAAAAAAAATAAATAAAAAAATAAAAAAAAAAATAAAAATCTTTAAATAATAATAATAATAATCGATAAATATCACATTTTTAAAAATCAACAAAACATTTTATAAATAATAATATTAAAATAGATAAAATTTATTATTATTTTTTTTATTTTATTTTTTAAAATATTAAAAATTAATTAAATTAATTAAAAATGGTTGTTTCAACATTAATTTTAAAAAATCAAAATGGTATTCAACAATCACAACAACACGAATATCTACCATTTCCAATTATAAAAAATATATTTGATTTCTATTTCAATAATGAGGTTCACTACAGAATTTCTCAGTTGGGTAGATTGTCAGACCGTTTCCTCTACCATAAGCTTGCTCCCATCGCACAGCTGTCACATCGTTACTTTGATTTGGTGAGTGAACGCTATGTCGTAAGGTTTGTCCAACCAAAGGGAAATGAATTGCCCAACCACCTGCAAGACATCTACAAACACCTGACCAGTCCCTACTGTTTCATCAAGAGAATTCAATCGTTGGAATGTACTCCACCCACATTCGACCACCTGCTCTCTCGCAAGGAGCACATTGTGATGCGAGACCAACTCTCGAACCTCAGTCTACTCTCGCAGGTCACAGAGGAACCAGATTTCTTCTCGAGTAACACTCTCAATTTGCTCTCTACCTTCCAATCGCTCCACACCCTGAACCTCAGAAATATTGCCTTCACTAAAGAGCTGTTTGAAGTACTCCTTCGACTGCCTTTGAAAAAATTGTCTATCCAATCGGTGTTGATGGTTGAGCGTCTCACTGAGCAAGAATCGGAGCTGCTCCTCGATTATATCAAGCGGGAGCCAAACCAACTGGAAGCTCTCGATACTGCCGACTGCATCCGTTTGTCCGAAGACTATCTCCCGACGGTGACACTCAAGCCCAATATCCACACCATCACGGTCTCGCGTGTCAAGAGTATGATAAAGTTCCCAGATCATGTTAAGTCACTACGTTTGAATAGCTGTCGTAACAAATTCTTTAATATGAACATTGGCTGTTGTATTCAATCTCTGACACTGCCATCGATCAACGCCAAACACATTGATTCACTCAGTGACTTTATACGTTCGTCCAACACTCTTACCAATCTCAATGTGTATCTTTCGTACTGGGACAGAACTGAACTCAGTGCAAACTGTGTGGAGATATGGTTCGGTGCATTCGAGAGACTGTTTGTCGCCATCAACCAGTCGAATACCTATGACCGCATGCAATTCCTGTTCAGTGCATACCCCAAGTTTTTGAAACCTCAATTGGAAAGACTATTCCAAATGCTCTCAAAGATCAACTGTCGCTGTCACTCTTTTGTTATAGATTACCACACCAACAAAACAGATTACAATCAACTTTTGAAGGATTTGGAAATCGTAGACTTCAAGGACTACACCTACTCTGGAGTAATCGATCCAAAGGGTCAACTTTTCATTTATAATCCAACAGAATCACTCACAACATCAATACAGGATATATATTTAAATTAAGATGTATTCGTAAACAACTCCACAGAAATACTAGTATTTTTGCATTATCGATTTTGTAAATTTTAATAAACGTTGTAAATAGATTATTTAGAAAGTAAATATAAATAGAACACAATCATATTTTAACTACCAATAAATTGATTAAATATACTTATGTATTTTAGGATTGATGTTGTTTAACTTCCTTTCTCTTATTAAAATAAATACAATATTCAAATGGATTTATTGTTAATCGTTTATTGGTTAGCGAGGTGGGATGGCGTTGGGAAGTTCCTGGTTTGGTAGTTCCAGATGAGTTTGCAGTCGTCTAGCTTATTCAGCCATTTGGATTGATATGCTTGAATGTTTGAGTTGTTTCCACCGAAGTCTTGTGTTGATTTTCTGATTAGTTTGTGGTATTCTAGTTTAGTTTGTTAATGTTGTTTCTTGAAAGATATGGTGGGTGATATCTAGAATTAAAAAATTAATTTTTTTTGACCAAAATGTAATGAACGGTATAAGGATTGACCAGATACCTTATGCCATACCGCACCATCGTCACACTCGCCCCTCCTTCAAAGAGATTAGTCTCATATCTCCCGCAGATCCTTTTACGTGCTATTCCACTTACTGGAATCGAACACACGCCCTTAAGGTGTCGCCAAATGTAATGAACGGTATAAGGATTGACCAGATACCTTATGCCATACCGCACCATCGTCACACAAAAAGTCATCAAAGGCTCCATAGCATAGTTGGTTATTGTACTTCCCTAGTAAAGGAAGAGATAGGAAGGGGTCACGAGTTCGAATCTCGTTGGAGCCTTTATAAAATCATTATTCCGCATGCGGTAAAGACTAAATTTTAAAAATTCTTTAAAATTGACTTCCCAATAATCTGTTTTTAAAATCTATAATAATGGATATAAATGCTTCCAATTGAAACTCTTGAATTCAAAATTATATCTACAGTCATTTTTTATCTTATAAAATCTAAGGAACGATATATTTAGATGTATAGCATTCTACAAACTGTAAAATAAAATAAGTGAAATTTAGTCATTAAAATTTTAATAAATTGATGACAAATAAATGAATTTTGTATATTTTTTAACAATTATATAAGGCTAATAATCATACATGGTTAGACAATCATAAAATGAATTAAATTCTAAGTTTATGTTTTCTGTTGTGACAAATTCTATGTAGGTGAATCTATTTAAGATACGGTGTGATGTTGATTGTAATAATACGATTGGATCTAGTGCTTGTGCTATTGTTGTTAACCTCTCTCTTATCACATAATACCTGAATCAAATGACTATTCTTCATATTTCTTTTATAATTGTATTTTTACACTACATAATTATTAAAAATCTATTGATTATGATAAAACTATTCTAGATGTTTTCATATAATTTAATTTTTTGCATAAAGCATCACTTCACTTTGAGTCAGAGAGATTAAAAACAATTTTAATTTTATTTTTTGATCTTCAAAAATTTAATGAGTCAGTTTTTTTTATTTTTTTATTATTTTTATTTTTAGATTAACAGATTAAAACAACTAAAAGAATATTTAAACTCAAATGTTATTAAACCTTTAGATATAATATATACATATATTATTATTTATTATTAATATCATCATTATTTAAATCAAAATAAAACAAGATAATAATGAAAGCAACACATTTAGTATTATTGGCAATTGCATTGTCGTTGTTTATATTGTGTTTAGTTGTGATGCTCTCAATGACATTGGCATTCTTCACTTCTATATCAGTAGTACTATTGCCATTGGTATTGATCATTACCGGTGTTGTATTCTTTGTCAGACAAAGATTCATCAACAAAAGAATAAATAGACCATTCACTGTTGGTTTCTTTCATCCATATTGGTATGTAAACAAACTATATAGACCTTATCAATCCAGTCAATATATATCAATCTAATACAAATACAAATATATCAATAAAACAACAACAACAACAACATAGTGCTGCAGGTGGTGGTGGTGAAAGAGTATTATGGTGCTCTATTAAAGCGATTCAAGATCAATATCCATCCATTAAATGTGTTGTATACACAGGTGACAATGTAACAGATCAACAGATCTATCAAAAGATAAAGGTAAGTAATCATCAATGGTTCGTTCAACCAACCTTAACAAAACATGAATTTACTTAATAATAATAATTGTTTATATGTTGTTTAGAGTCAATTCGATATAGATTTAAATAGAGAGAATTTAGAGTTTGTAAGATTATCAAAGAGACAATATGTAGAGGCACATATGTATCCGAGTTTCACTTTGTTGGGACAATCGTTGGGATCGATGGTTCTCGGCTGGGAAGCACTGAACCGTTTGAATCCTCATCTTTTCATTGATACAATGGGATATGCATTCACCTATCCGATATTCCGTGTGTTGGGTGGCTGCAAGGTGGCGTCGTACACTCACTATCCGATTGTGAGCAGTGACATGATGTCGCGTGTCGGTCTCTCTACACACAACAATGCATCGGAGATAACAAACAGCAAGGTTCTGACCACCGGCAAACTACTGTACTACAAGCTATTCGCGCTCATCTACTGCATCGTTGGAAACTTCTCGCAGCTCACCTTTGTCAATGGCACCTGGACCGGCAACCACATCGCTCACATCTGGAAGAAGCGACTTGGCGAGCGAGGATTGTACAAGCTATTCCCACCGGTAGATACGCGAACACGTAAGCAACTTCCACTCAACTGGATGGGAAGAAAGAACATTGTTTTGTCGATCGCGCAGTTCCGTCCGGAGAAAGATCACACTCTCCAGATTCAAACGTTGCATCACCTCTTGGAAAACCATCCAGAACACCGTGACAATGTGAAATTCATCTTGGTGGGATCGACGCGTGACCAAGCGGATCGTGACCGTGTGGACGCGCTCCGCAGCCTGGCGGCAGAACTCAAGGTGGCCGACCACATGCAACTCGAGGTCGGTGTGTCCGCCAGCATGTTGAATCAACTGCTGAACGAAGCATCCGTAGGTATTCACACGATGTGGGCAGAACACTTTGGCATTGGCGTGGTCGAGTTGATGGCGGCCGGTGTCATCACGGTGGCACACAACAGCGGTGGTCCCAAGGAAGACATCATCGAGCATCGCACCACAGGATTCCTCGCCACCACCAAAGAAGAATACGCCGAGTACATTCACGAGATTCTAGCAAACAAAGAGAAATTCATTGAAATGCAAAAGGCAGCACGTGACTCCACCGATCGATTCTCAGAGGAGAACTATTATATTCAGTTCATCGATAAAATACAACAACTATTACCAGATAATCAAAAGAAAAAAGATTAAATTAAACTTATTTTTAAATTAGATTTTATATTTTCATTACAAAACAAAAAAAAATCAACATCTTTATTATTCTTTAGTTATCACCTAATTTTCAATTGAATGACATGCTAAATTTAAATTTTTTTCAGACACAGATATGTGCAAAATCTGGGCTTTTCTTTTTTTCACTTGGTTAATTTTTTCCTTTATCGTATGTCTAATATCTTTTTATCAGCATCACCAACCTCTAATCCCTCCCCATCTACAACATCACCAACAACAACCATTTCATCTACACAATCATCCAATATCTTACCAAAACTACCATCAGCATTAAATAGTACAAACTTCCACTTCCATAGATAGTCTAACATATCGACTCTACCCATATATGCAGCTGTATCAAATACTGTATATTGACTTTCTCTATTCTTGGAGTTAATGAAAGATTGATGATATTTTTTGACAAAGTGAGTCAATATTTCAATGCTTCCAGAGAAAGGTGCGATTACCATAGCTCGATAGTGCTTCCATTTACACTTCGTGTATTTCGATTCGAGATGCTCTACAATGTCCATTCTCCCACTCATCAATGCATAACACATTATACTGCGAAGGTTGCTGCAAGCTTCAAGAAATTGTACTGTAGATTACTCGAATTATCGTGTTAGGTATAAAATGCATCCCCTACATAGGAGTTCAGATCTATTTTGAATCGATTCAAAGGTATAAAGTCATTTCTAGATCACCGAATCTGATTGAACTCTGCAGAGTCGAAGCTCTTTCACAAATCTTTCTCTTGTTGGCTGATAAACATTGTTTTAGTTCTTGAAAGTAGTTGTATGATGCCAAAACATCTGGGGTTTCAAGTTTTTTAGAAAACTATTAATACAAACGAATATATTCTTTTGTCCACTTCAAATTTGAGATTTATAATCTTTTAAAAAAAAAAATTAAGACAATGAATGGAAAAATACACATAGAAGAAAAAAAAATTTTTTTTGGATAATCAGGATCTGCGATACGTATTTATAAATTTCTTATCTAGATTGAACCAATAATTTATTTATATTTTGGTTGTTATTTTATTTTATTTTTTGAATTTATTTCAATTAAAAAGCATGGGTGTTCGAGAGTTGTCCTCCTACCATCACTTGAACTGCTGTTGGCATGTCGTCTGAGAATGGGCACTCAGCAAATTCACTTGATTTGAATGAGGTACATATTTCTGTACGATCGTTATATAGTAATTTAATGTTCGAGGTTGTAGGGTTGACTGCCACTCCAAGATCAACTGGAACGAAATCCGATCCATTGATTTCCAGAGTTTGCACATCGGAACGAAGTACGCTGAGAATCTTGGGAGCATTGTAGGAGATAGTGTAGTTGTCAGCCAAGTCAATTGGTTCGTCAGAGAGTGTTGCAGTTAAGATAATATTTCTTCCGATTCCGGCTGGAATCATACATTCGATGAACTCGTTGAATGCATTACAATCGATTTCGACAGAGTTCAAGTAGATTTCTACATACTCATAGGAGATACCAAGTCCAATACCCTGGATTTCAATCAATCCTCCTGTTGTTGTGATATCAGAGTTATTGAGTTGTGTCAAGATTGCTGGATAATAAGTGAATTGTGAAGATATAGTTTGGTCGCCCGATTGAATAATCAATGGTTGTGTTGAGGTGTCGTATTCCAAATCAAATTCGATAAAATCATAAGTAAAGTTATCGATTTGAACCAAGTTATCTCCGATGTAAAGGAGTGGTGGGAGGTCATTGTCCTCTGAACTTCCAAATCCATCACCTAGAATGATAATCTTATCGTTTGGATCACCTGAAGCCGGAACGAATTTGATGATTTCTGGACCTCTGAAACTGAATGATTGTTGTTCGAGTGTATCGATGTTCAAAATGGTTCTTTGATCATCGACAATGACAGTAACCGATCTGTGATCACCAATTGCAGGAGGTGTCAAACAAATGATTGACTCTTGGGTGAGTACATCAATGGTACAATCAAGTTTTTCATCGATCAAAACTTGTACCTTTGTTATATCATTTCCAAAGTTTGATCCAGTGATTGTCATGAAATCACTACCATAGCTCTTGATGATTTCTGGTTCTACATTGGTAATCACAGGTGTACCATAAGAGAATAAGAACTTGGATCTTTGAATATTGAAAATGGTTTGTTGAGTTGAAATTTGAATTTCCTTGTATTTTTCAATACCACTTGGAACCTGGCATACCAATTCCTCTGATGAAATAAATACAGTAGATAAACATTCTTTATCATCGATTGAAATAATCATCGATGAATTGAATCTGATACCACTTAAAGTAATCTGGTATCCACCATCAGTTATTCCATCAAGTATGTTGACAGATGTAATAATTGGACCAACACCTGAACAGGTAACATCGAAATTATTTGATAGGAAATCTGATTGTTGTACCATTTGGATATCACAGAGTTGAGAGTTGATTGTTGAAATGATCATTCCATCATAATCACTGGTAATATATCCTTTATAGGTTTCAGGTTTTGGAAGGTAATATACCTCGAGATCTCCCAATTTTGTTTTGGTTGTTGATTTACTCATTATGATACTCTCCAAAATAAAAGTAATCGATGAAATCGAAAGTGGAGATGTCAATGTAATTTTGGTACCTGTAGTTCCAACCGCTTGAGACTTAAGATCGATGGTATTTCCATGTTGATAATGATTCAGTTCTTGGATAAATTTGATTGGTTGATTGTGATACTGAGTGACTGGGTTCTTGATAAGTACTTGAATGGCTTGACTTTGACCATTAATCGAAATCCACTTGTCTATTGCAACTCCAAGCTTTTCGATTTGGTAGATATTCAAGGAAACAATATCGCTTTCATTGACCAGTTGAGTTGCAATGAGCTGTTGAACTCCAGTTTTTGTAGAAAGTTCGTCAATGGATAGTAATTGTTGAGTCGGTACTTATCGAAGCAAGGTTTTCACTCTTGAAGAAGGAACTGACTGGCATTTTAATTTGAACCATATTAAAATCTGAACCTTCATTTACAGCAACTGGAATAAGGTAGTATCTTTGTAGAATAGTTATGAAATTTAAATCAGTCCTGTACTGAACTCCAATATGGTCATAAAAGTTGGAAAGGGACACAATGGTGTGATCCTGATCTTGAAGAACATCTCTCAATAGATTTGCTAAATCTACTAATGGAACAGAATCGTCTGAAGCTCTACCAGCATTGCTACCATCGTCATAATTAGGGTTCATCCAAGCCCAAGCAGCACTAGCACTTCTCTTGAAAAGAACTGAATCATCTGGATCTTCCATTGAACCATCATCACTAAAAAATAAATAAATAAATAAATATTACAGAAATTTAAATATATTATAATTTTTTAATCTTACTCTTGATTGTTTTCAATATCTGTGAAACCATCAACAACTGAAAAACATTGCTCTATTTGAGTTGTATCCATTCTATAAAAATGCTATAAATAGTTACGATGTTAGTAAAATAATTATTTTTTAATAATTGATAAGAATTACTTACATTTAGCAACTTCTTGGAAATAGCATAAACAACACCATTTGCCCAATTTGGTGATGCATATTCTCCAACGTTATAAATCAATGAATTGGTATTGGGGGATTGAGTGTAAAGGAAGTGGAGAGTCATATAGTATGCTAATTCCTCATCACACATACCACTAGTTTGTCTAAAGATTCTTGGAGGATCATAGTAACCTCCACCGACAATGTTTTCATTGATCACATAATTAAATATAATGTTACCACCTTGGAAAGAACTTGCCTTGTAACTCTGTGTGAACGAAAGTATATTGAAATCTTCATTGTCGTTGAGGCTGAAATTTCTTTTGTCTGTTACCATGTTGTATCTCAGATGGGGTGCTGGAGGATAATCTGGGAGAGGACCATCGGTAGTTGGTATTAATGAAACACGAGCTGTTTCTATTGTACATTCAGATATCTGACCATCGTAGTCGCAAATAGATCCCACTTGCTCATCAAAAGCAATGTAATGTAAAGAGAATATGTCATCTGCATAATAGTTAATGACATCCATTTCAACTGGATTATCACCACCAACGTATGGCACCGCACTTTGCCCAGCAGGGGCAACGTTGTTATTAGTTGTTCTGAGAACCTGGAGATTGAGAGTAGTATCAGACACATCATCAAGTGTATCTAGCAAAACTGTAGTATATTCTCTTGGATACTTGGAAAAGTGTTCTCCGGCAATGAAATCTTTAATTTCACAATTGATAGTTGGGTGTTGACCTAGTCTCTCTAGCTTAATTGGTACAGCAATTGAATAGAATAAACTAACAGCACTATTTAAAAAAAATTATATTAATTTTCCTATAATTGTTCGAGTGTTTGGAATTTAGATAGAACATACGTAGAAAGTCCTGTTTGTATATTTGCTCCATTTAAGGTATCATATTTTCTGACCATTCTATTGAATTGATAAACTAGAGTATCATGCTGGAAACATATCGCTCCACCTCCTCTTTCACCTTGACCATTATGTCTATTATTATCACCAACACAGAAGTAATTATCTGCAAATAGAATTAAAAATTAGTCATTGGTATTATTAATTATCATTTTAAGAGTTACCATTATCATTTCGAATTTGTGATGAATATGTTGGATAGATTGGAAAAGCTATTTTGGCGTGTTCATTGTTGCTATAAGAGAATCTTGGGCCACTGTCTAACATTGAATTAGGACATAAATATTGAGGCAATTCTAACTGAGACACATTCAGAATTTGCTCAGTTGGTTGCATTGGGTATTTAGGAGGACCTGGATAATAATTATTTTTGGAGGCATACATTTGAACAAACATTCTCTTTGCAAATGTATCTGCAACGACCATCCAGAGATCGACTCCATCAAAAAATTCCATACGGGGTCTCTTGTACAAGATATAGGATGATCTTGATGGATCCTTGAACAATTTATTATTCTCGTTTGCAGCGGTTCCAATCTTACTAAAGTATTTGGCTTTCAAACCATTGCCAATTACTTCAGTATTTGAGATCCAATAGCAGTAATTAAGGAGATCTCTATTTCCCTTTTTTATTTGATCTTCACATTGGTTGTTGCGCAAATTTTGACTCTTTGTCTTGGTAAATAGCAAGTCATAGAGATATGGGAATGCCTGTTGTCTTGGAACCGAATCTTTAAGATCAGGGAATGCATTAGAACCCAAAATATATGTAATAAATGCATAGTTCTTGACCAAATACTCCGTTACCAATTCGAGATTATTGTACGAATAACAAAAAAAGTGTTGGCTGAAATCATTTTTACCAAGAAACTTGATACCTTGTTTGGGTCCATTGTATCCATTGCCATCGTTTGCCTTTGATGGAAACAATGGGTTAGAATGGTGAATGTGAATACCATTGATTGTCTGTCCAATTTCCTCCCAAAATGTAAATCCTTTGGTATGACCATAGTTGTCATGCGATGCAGACTGATCTCTGTAGCCAGAATTTGTTCTCTTTCCAGTTTGATCGTTGTAGTATATGGAATAAGTGACACCAGGCTGTCCAAATGTAGCTTCCAGAGGACTGAAAGTGGGGTTGGTTTGTGTATCTGGAATAGGTAGTTTGTGTTGAAGATCATTATACAACTCAAGTTTTTCCATTTTCGAGTCAATATATAAATAGGGATTTCCGGCTGCATTTGCAAGTTTATAGATAAACCACCAGTCAACAACTTCATTGGTTCCATCTGGTTGAGTTCTTCCTAGACAAGAAATCGAGTAGGACAAATATTTTCCAATGACATCAGATGTAACACCATCTACAATGACAATGACATCCAACTCTCCAACTTTAACCATTGGATCGATCACACAAGTAATCTGTGATCCAGGATTAATAATTTGAATATTGTTACATTGTAATCCCCCAACAGTTACTTGAATAAGAGTGGGGTCGTCAAGTAAATTGGTACCATCAATGTAAAGAGTATTCCGTGTTGTTTTTGATCCACGTGATGGTGATACTGAAATAAGGGAAGGACCCATGTATTCAATGAACAACTCATCGTCGTTTGAGTATGGATGATCAATATTGAAACTGTCTTTGGCAAACAAAACCATGAAATATTTACCAGGAGTACGAGATGGAATTTCACATCGAATCAAAATGTTGGTTGTATCAGTACACTTTGACATATCGAGAAGTGAATCACCCAGTTGAATAGAAGTGATTACTTGTAAATTAGCACCATGAATTTCGAAATAACCACCACCCAGCCAAAGTGTTAGATCTGGCTTTATGAAACTATCGTAGGAGGGTTGCAAATAGTTGAAATAGAATGAAATTGTGAAAAGGTAATAGGTGAAATCTATGGTAAGAACAGAAACCATGTTGTCATCAGATGTACATGGAGGAACAGTAACACCTAATTTTTGGGTACTGAGAATTATGATGTTTCCACCTATTGGTTGATTGTTGAGAGTAGCAACCATTGCTACAGTCGGGGAAAATTGAATTGGAAAATTTGTAAATTCAATTTCAACTGGAGTTTCTGAGAAGTAATATCCAAAATTGGGATTAATTGTTATGTAAGGATCCACAACTGATAAAGTCAATGATTCCGATACTACATTTGGATCATAATTGGAATGAATGGTCAAATCATAATCTCCCAATGCCCAATTCAGGGTATTTTGATCTACTTTAACCTTGTAAAGAGTGTCGGTGATAAGGACTGCCTCCATCTCAACACCATTGATAACAATGTAATTGCCATTAATGAAGTGTTGTGCAACTAAGTTGATCTCCCATTCTCCTACAGTAAAGATTTGGGTTGGTGTGATTTTTAATAGCGAGGGTCTCGCTACGAATATGAATTGTTCATCACCGGTAACAAAAGTATCTCCATCAAAATAAACATTAACATCGAGATCACCAACAAGATCGTCACCAATAGTATTAAAATTGCATATAATTTCATTGTCTGAAATCGATGTAATAGTACATGGTGACGGTCCAATTAAAACAGAGGTAGCTGTTGAAAGATAATTTCCTTTGATTGAAATATCAAATTCGGTATTTGAATATGAAGCACTTGGATTAAAACTTAAGATATTTGGTTCTTTTATATTATTAATATTAATAGTTATAGAAATATTCACAAATTGTTTGTTTTTTTTATATTATTAAAACTTACTGAAAATAACATAATTAACTAGACCAAGGACAAACTGACCATCGATGGTTGACGTAATTGGAAGAGCTAACTCAGTGCCAGGTTGGACGTTTTGAGTGTTAACAAAATCACAGATAGTTCTTGTCTAGAACGTTTTTTAATCACACAGTTTTGACCACCAACAACAATCGCATAGCTTTGTGGGAATTCAAGGAAGGGACCTCCAACAATTGTTATTTGCTGTTGGTTTGACATTCCTCTTGTTGGAACCACTTGATTCTGAAGTGGTATTGTATAGAAAAAGAGACTTGGTGCAATAACTCCACCCGGAAGACTTTGAGGGTAGACTACGATTGAGAAATCCATAGCAACATTTTCTTCCAAGTTTGGTATGGTACATTGGATTTGAGTTTTTGAATAAGAGACAACTTTTAATTCTCCTTGATTTTCATTATTTTCAAATCTCACCATTGGTTTTGGATCGTTGTCAAACAAAATTAAATTCTCTCCAAAAATGGTCAATGTCACTTGATTATCCAGAGCTCTAGGATAATAAAATTCTGGTGTAAAAGAATTTATTTTTGCAGCTATCATAAGAATATAAATATATTAATATATAATTATTAAAAAAAAAATTGAATGAATGAATTTAAATAAAATATTTAACTTACTTATAAAATTAAAGAAAATTTTTTCGATTGGCAAAACTGGAAATACCACTGTGAAACCATATTGAATTTTCATATAGTTCCTATCCAATATATTGGGGTTCCTGATTTCCCATACGAATGTAGAGGTACCGGATGGATTGACGTCTACCTTTATCATCAGTTGTCTGGTAGAAGCGATATAGAGCTCAGGTGCAGCACCAAAACCAGTTCCCCTTACAGTGAACTCGGTGACGCCAAATTTGTAACCTAAGAGTGGTGAATAAAAAGTGATTACTTGTGAATTCACCGACCCTATAGTTGATAGAAAACTACCAACAACAATGAATATTAAAATATTCACAAGTTTTATTTGTAAAACCATTATATTTGTTTTTCTACTATTTCTCTTTTTCCTATTTAAGCAACTAAAGAAAAATAAAAAAAAAGATAAAACAAAATATCTAAAAATGGTTTTCTAAAATAATAAATAATTAACAAAGTTTCTTATCTTTCTATTTATTTACTTGTTTGACGAATAAATAAAAAACAAAACTAAAAAACAAAGGAATGATTCTTTTTTTTTCTCTAGATGAATCAAATCAAAATCTTTTCAATCAAAAAGGCAAATCCCGTCGTTTCTTTTTATGTTTTTTTTGCAGATGATGGCTTTTTTTGTGGTTGATTTATTAGTCTGTTTTTAGGCCAGCACAGATTGTTTTTGTGATTCTTCAAAGATTAATAATATCATGTTGTTGAACAACAAAGTGTCAAAGATTTTAAAAAATCAAAAAAAAAATATTTATTTTGACAACGACATCAATAAAAAAAGATAAGAATAAATCTAAAACACCAATGGTCTAAAATAAAAAGTAAACTATTAAATTAAAAATTTCAATAAGTAAATAAGTTGATTTTTATAAGAGTGTAAAGAATTAATTAATTAAATAAAATTAGAAGAAACTAAATATAATATATAAGTGTATAAAATGTAAATTTATTAATTTTATCTAGAAAACAAAGATTAATCTTTTAATTAATATTTCCTTTTTTTTTTTTTTTTTTTTTGATGTTTTTGAAAAATCAATGAACACTATTGTTTTGATTATTTTTATTTTTTTTTTTGAAACCATATGTGTTATTTTTATTTTTGTTTATTAATTAATTATAGTGTATTTATTTAATCGTTTATTTTATATTTAGATATTATTTATTTTATTTTTATAAAATTAAGAAAAAAAAGATAAAGATTAGTTAATTTACATTTAATTTAGTTTAGTTTAGTTTTGTTTGTAAAAGAAAAACAAAACAATAAATAAATAATAGAGAGAGTGTGATGGATTCATTTACAGAAAAAGTATTTGAATTTCAACGAAGAGCAACACAAACAGTGTTGGAGAAGATGGGTGCTGCCGATAAGACTGTCGACGACCAATTCGAATATCATTTCTCAAACTTTAAGCGTCTCGGTGATTTCCTTCAGCATGTAGAGGAATCTTCGGCCACCTCCATGTTGAACATGGAGAAGCTCTGTCAGAACAACACACAACTCGTCTCGTCACTCTGTAACTTTGTCAGTTCGGAGCTGTCCGAAGACGACATGGAATTCTCCACCGGTCAACTCGACACCTTCTTCAAAGCGAATCAACAACAAAATCAAATGCCCGATAGTCTATCATCTAAATTTCAAGAATCTATTCAAAGAGTAAGTAATTCCTATTTATTCTTATTTTTGTAATCTAACTTTATATCAATTATTATTATTATTATTATTTTTATATTATTAACTAGTTATATGATGCAATGGGAACAATGGAACATGAATTCTTAAAGTCTACCATTGATGTCATGGATCACAAGGTGATTCAACCATTAAAGAGAGATCAAGATTACAATAGAATGACTAAACAGCTATTGGACAAAAGAAAGAAACTTAATTTAGATTATGATTCTATAAAGAAATCAAAGTATGTTTAGTTTACTGATTTTCGATCTTTATATGGTAATATTAATATATTTTGTATTTTTTGTTGTTGTTGTTGTTGTTGATAAATATATTTAGTGATGCAGGTAGAGTTAGTTCTGTAAAACAAGAGTTTGATTTGGTATCGAAAAAGACATATAATCATTTGCATGCCAGATCAAAGATTCGTTGTAAATTGATCGTTCATAGCATTGTCACTATGATCCAACAGTTCTGTATGTTCTACGAGTCGAATGCACTCCTGTTGGAGGGTTTGTTGGAGATGGTAGAACCACTCGTCAACAACTATCAGTTGTCATCCAGTGATTTGGCTGATCTCTACTCTGCCAAGAAACAACCAACAACAGGAACAGGAATACCAACAACAGGAACAGCAACAGCAACAGCAACACCATCAACATCAACATCTGTACCAATAAACAATAGTAATAATAATAATACAACATCACCACCTCCAACATATAATGAAGCAGTTAGACAACAACAACATCAACAACAGCAGTCACCTTATGGAAGTACACCTCCACAACACTCACCTCCAACCACCAGACATCAACAGGAGAAACTATTCAACGTATGGGAAGATGACAATGAAGATAGTTCGACAACTACATCTACAAACAGTAAAGCTAGTGTTGACGATTGGATGTATCCATCATCGACAACAACAACAACAACAAACAATAGCAATAGCAACAATTCATCACCATCCTCTTCATATACTAAACCAAATGTTAATACTACAAATAACAATGGTAATAACAACAGATCATCAGGTGATTTCTGGTCACAACAACAGCAACAACAACAACAATCATCTTCACAACAACAAAATAATATCAATTCGAATTTTAATCAACAACAGAGATCTAACTCTCAACAGACACCTAATCCACAACAACAACAACAACAACAACAACAGACACCACAACAATTTAGACAACAGCAACAACAAAATAATTTCAATAATAATCAAAGAACTTCTTCACCTATTGATGACTGGATGAATCAATCACAACCACAACAACAACAACAACAACAACAATCACAGCAACAACAAACAACACCGTCACAACAAAAACAATCAAGTGGGTATGACCATATTTTTGGAGACTTTGACTTTACTTCACCACAACAAACACCGAAACAGCAACAGCATCAACAACAACAGCAACAAAGTAACACAACACCTGGATTCCAATCTGCTTTCTTCAACGGTCCTTCAAGTGGTCCAATGCCAACGTCATCGACACCTGGATTCTCACCACATGTCGATCATCATCAACATGCCAGACAAACAATTGAACCGGGTATAAGTGATCGTGTTAAGCACTGGGCAGAGAAGAACAACCGTCGTAATAACATCCGTGTACTACTTGCAACTCTACACGAGGTACTCTGGGAGGAGAGCGGCTGGGAGAAAATCACTCTAGGTGCTGTCATCACACCGGTCCAAGTCAAGAAGGTCTATCGAAAGGCTATCATGGTAGTACATCCCGACAAGGTTAACAATGGAACTCTAGAACAAAAGATGATTGCTCAACGTATATTCGAGAGTCTACGTGAAGAGTATGAAGTATTTAGAATTGAATCTGAGAAACCATAATAATCGTAATAAGTTTGGAATCAATCATATCTCTCAAAAAAAAAAAAACATCAAATCAAATCTGTCAAAACAAACAACAACAAATTAAATCAATCTTTGATCAATCATTTATTATATCATATTATTATATTATTACAAAAAAAATAAAATAAAATAAAATAAAACATATAAAAATATTAAACTGATAATATTATTATTAATTTTTAATATTTAATTAAAAAAATGTTAAACCAACTTTTACTGCTTTCTTCATTCATTCTTTACTTTACACAAATTTATTTAAATATTATTGTTGTCAATTATCCAAGATTCATTGATTTATTATATTCATTTCCCATGAGCTTGGCAGAGATTATAAATGTTGAAGAGAATGAGACAACTTCAACATCATTGTCAACTGCTCTCCTTATATTGAGGGGTCGATGGATACCAGACAGAGTAGAACAATTGCAAAAAGTAAGTTAAAACTAAGAAAATTGCATATATATAACCTAATGATCATTCTCTTAACATCAATCTTTTTTTGCATATATATCTATTTCATTTCCAACAACCATAAGAAAAAAAAGAAAGACTAAATATGGATCATGACCTTCTGACTGTTTCCTCTTTTCTTTTCAAACTATTTTTTTACTTTAATTTAATTAAATCTGATTTTCGCAAAATTCAAATCTTTTTTTTTTTTTTTTTTAGATAAATTTGAATTTCATTAAATAAATTAAATTAAAAAAATAACAATTTTAATTTTTGATTTTTGATAATTAAATAAATATGGTTATTTTTTAATTCAACCAAGAAAAATAAACATATTTAGATAATATTATAAATCAACCCTTCAAAACAGAGAAATAAATTAAAAAAAATTATCAGTTCACATTTTTTTTATCATAGATTAAAAAAAAATCAATTATCAAATAATTCTATTCTGTCTGTTTGATTTTAAAAACAAAACAAAAAAAATAGTGGATTGATTTAATTTAAATTTATTAACTACTTTGTTTTATTATTTGAATTAAGTTTATTAAATAATATCTTATTTCTTTCTTTATTATTTTATTTATTTATATAATATTTATAAATATATATATATTATTAGAGTTAGTTTAGTTTAGTTTATTATCTATTAATAATTATTGTTGTTGTTGTTTATATAAAAGTGTAAAATAGTAGTATATAGTATAGTATTAGTAGTTTTAAAATAGTACAATCAATAGAGGTCTAGAAAGAGAAAGAGATTGAAAAGATAGATCAATGATAATGCAAAATAATAACTCACCAAATAGTAATAATAATGGTTTGAATAATGGAAATAATGGTGCAGTTGCAGTAGATAACAATAATAATAATAATAACAATGGTGTTTTAAAGAACGATGTAAATAACAACTATTTGTCACCCAATTCAAATGGTGCAACGGACGACAAGATATCAATGTCACCAGAGTTTCAACAACAGAAGCCAAGCATCACTCCACAACCAATGGCAGCAGTACAACAACACCAACAACAACAAACAAAACTAACATTCATCATCAATGGATTCTCAAAGTTTGAGAATCAATTCTATACTCAAACTAACACCCTATGGGGATTGACATGGTAATATAATTTATAACAACAAATCACAATAATGATGATTAAGATCATTTTCATGTAGTAAGAGTTGTTGTTAATATTATTTTTATTATTATTTATTATTATTATTATTATTGTATAGGAGATTATATGTTTTTCCAAAAGGAAATACATCACCAAACGATTTATCATTGTTTCTTGATATGAATGAAATTAAACAACAGAATTTCCCAAATCAAAAGGTCAATTTCGTCTTGGAGATGGTAAATCAAAAGAATCCAGAAGAGAATGTTCGCAAGACTGCCGACCACATCTTCAATATCAGATCTGCAGATTGGGGTTTCAATAAGTTCATGAAGATACCGACTCTTCTCGACCCAAAGAATGGATTCATCGTTGACGATACCATCATTATTCATGCTCACATTCTAAATGTTATACCAGAGGTCATCACTGCCAATGGACAAAGAACATTTATGTAAGTATAGTAATAATGTATATATACATTATTATTAGAGATAATTTATTAATGTTAATCATCTACTACTTTCTTTAAACATTTATAGGTATAATTACAAAAAAAGTAAACAGGATTTGTTGGATTAAAGAATCAAGGTGCAACATGTTATATGAATTCATTGTTACAGGCATTGTATCAGATCTCACCATTTAGGAAAGCTGTGTATGAATTACCTACTTCGCAGACTGAGGAGAGTATTCCACTGGCTCTGCAACGTCTATTTTATAAGCTTCAGTTTGGAAGTGTTGCCGTATCGACTAAAGAGTTGACCAAGAGTTTCGGTTGGGGAACTCATGACATCTTCACTCAACACGACGTACAGGAACTCAATCGTGTGCTCTGTGACAACCTCAATGAAAAGATGAAGGGTACCAAAGCAGAGGGTACAATCGACAACCTATTCCGTGGTAAAATTAAAAACTTTATAAAATGTGAAACCGTAAAATATGAATCAAAGAGAGAAGAAGAGTTTTATGGTAAGTTTAATTAGATAGTTAGTCTTGGACATTTAACATACGTAATATCTAATTAATTATGTTTTTTTATTCTTTTAGATTTATCATTGAATGTTAAAGGTTGTTCGACTATTCATCAATCGTTTGAAAAGTATGTAGAGGTTGAGCGATTGGATGGATCAAACAAGTATGATGCCGAAGGATTTGGTTTGCAGGTTGCCAATAAGGGATGCAGATTTCTATCATTTCCACCAGTGTTACATCTTCAATTGAAACGTTTCGAATACGATCCAATCAGAGATGCCAATGTTAAAGTCAATGATAGATATACTTTTCCAGAGGTTTTAGATCTAACTCCTTATTTGGATGAAGAAGCTGATAAATCTTTACCTTCTATTTATCATTTACAAGGGTAACTATAAATAATTAGATTGTTAAAACTTATAGTATCTTTATTCATTAACATCCGTATTTAATTATCTATCTATCTTCTTAGTGTTTTAGTTCATTCAGGTGATTTGCATAATGGTCATTACTATGCATTTATGAAACCATCAATGGACGGTGAATGGTTGAAATTCGATGATGAAGATGTTTCAAAATGTACATTTACACAAGTTACAGAGGAAAGTTTTGGTGCTGAAGTTGATCCAACCAAAAGAATGCCATTTATTAGAAATTTCACCAATGCTTGTAAGTTTGTTTTGGTTTATAAAAAAAGATGTTTATTATTAATTATTTTTTAATTTATTTATTTAGATATGTTAATTTATTTAAGAGAGAAAGAGTCGAACGATCTTTTGAAACCAATACCAGATTCAGATATTCCAGAGCATCTCAAACAGAGAATTGAAAGCGATGAAAAGAAGACCAACAATCAATACTTTAGAATCAAACTAACAACGGACGAGGATTTTGTAAATAACCCAGGATTTGACTTGGCAGATTTCACGAAAGTGCAGTTTCAAATGATTCCTCTAAAGCCTGGTGAAGTCTATAACGTCGCATACTTGAAGCGACAGATAACCACTCTCATTGGAATTCCACCAGAGAGACAGAGAATCTGGTCTTGGTTTGTAAGAAGAAACAAAACCTTGAGAATCGATCTGACCCCGGAATATGATGAAACTTCACTCGCTGAGATCCGAGACAAATTCAGACAACAAGAAATCAGACTTTATCTTGAAGTATCATATATTCCTAGATCATTAAACATGACAGTAAGTTTTTTATTCAAGTCATTTAATTTATAAAGAAATTAACATATACCAATCATTATTTAGGAACAGAATTCATATTTCCAACCAATTGCACCAACTCTCTCGAACGGATTGATTTTCTTTAAATATTATAACCCACAAACAACAACAATGAAATTCGTAGGATCAAGAGTCATCGATCTTAACTGGAAAGCATCGCATATCGTGCCTATTTTGAATCAGCTTGCAGGTCTTCCTCAGAACACCAACATTGCTTTGTATGAGGAGCTCTCAGAGTCAGATATTGAACCATTGAAACTTTCAGAGACATTGAAGAAACTGGAAATTCAGAATGGTGATATCATTGTCTTCCAAAAACCAGTTCCAATCAAGTATGTAAACATAGATAGATATTTATATATTTATATTAATCAATATACTCTGTTTAGTGAGAAATATCATTATCCAACAACTTTAGAGTATTTCGATTACATCAAACACAAGACTACAGTAAAGTTTAAGCAGGTTGAGAATAATAGTGTAAACTTTACATTGGAGTTGTCAAAGGATATGAAGTATCCAGAGATTACAAACATAATTTCTCAACAAATCAAAGTCGATGCAAACAAGATTAGATTATTAACTGGTCCTAAATATTATGGTTCCGATTTCACACCCATCAAACCAAATGACAACATCCCATTGAAAGATATCTTATTGTCTGGACAAAGATCAACAGACCAACTTTACTTTGAAGTTTTGAACATTCCAGTTAGTGAGTGTGAATCTAAAAGAAATTTCAAGGTCAACTGGCTCAAACCAAACTATGAATATGTAAGTGTTTATTTGATATCTTTACGTTTTTCAACTTATTTTTCTAATTATTTTAAATTACAGGAAAAGGTTTCTATTTGGGTTCCAAAGATTGGTGATGTTAGTGACATTAAAAAGACATTTGTAGATATTATTGCAGAGACAATGCCAGATATACCTGCCATGAATGTGGACAAGTTGAAATTGCTAGAGATTAGATCGCACAGAGTCGATAGAGAGCTTAAAGATGAATTTATAGCACAGATCATGGATAACATTAATCTAAAGATTGAAGCCATCTCTGAAGAAGAGCTGAACCGTTCACCAACTGATAAGCTCGTTCAAGTGGTTCACTTCTCTAATGATTCAGGTTTTACATCATATCACAGTATTCCATTTTTGTTGATCATTAAAGAGGAAGAGTCATTTGCACAGATTCGCACTAGAATTCAAGCAAGACTTGGCACATCTGTCAGTCCCAATGAGTTTGCTCGGTGGAAACTTGCAATCATTCAAGATGAAAAGCCAAAGTTAATCAGTGACGACACCATAGTCAGCAAAGGTAGCGATTGGAATAATGTAATGCTCGGACTTTTACATCATCCTGCACTCCACACGAAACACAATCAAAAGGCTATAAAAATCAATAAATAGATAATTGTTGTATAAATAAAGAAATTAATCATTGTCTATTTTTGAAATAATAATTGATCTTTTATTAAGATGGGTTTATGATGTTGTTGATGTTGTCTCTTCTTGGTAGGTGATTGTACTATTTGGATATAGTTTCATTCCATTCCAAAATATATTCAATTGTTTTGTGTATGATCCACTTGAATATGCTGGAATTGTACAGTTAACATAGAATGAACTTTCTATGGTACAATTAAGTGGTGAATTATCTAATTTGAGAGCCACTGCTTGAGGATCGCTCCAATATAAATTCTTTAGTTGAATGACACTGCCATTGTTTGGAATACTTGGAAGACCATTGAAAAAGTCTAAAGATTTAAAATCATAGGATAAGTAAAAAAAGTTTTGTTTGAATAATTCTAATCGGTTAACTTACCATTATTGATAATTTCTATTGTTGAGATAGTAATGTTTTGAATGATTGTTGATTGGTTGGTATGACTAACATTCAAAATTTGATTGATCGATGTTATTATTACTGACTGGTCTGCGTTTGGTAACAAAGAAATTAATGAGTTATTCCATCCAATATTCTCAAAGAATGTCCAATTATATTTTCCATATCCTAAAGAAATTGATAGTGTGTCGTTGTTGGAGATGCTGATTGTATTATTCGGATTTACATTCAAGAGGGCAATGTTGTCGAATTGAGTTGATACAATATTTGGTTTGGCAATGGTATAATATTTACTATGGTAGATGCTAGTAATATTTTTGGGTTCAGAATTATCGATGAGAGTGACAGTGCTGTTGTTTGGAATATCGACACTAATTAATGTAGGTGTGGCGTTGATATTGAATGAACGTGTAATATTGATACCATTATACACAGAGTAAATGAAAACAGTTGCATTCACAGGTTGGCTGATATTCTCACGACCATCTTGTAAACCATTAAAGTTGTGATCTATAAATAGATTTAGATTGAGCACCGATTTATATTTAATGGAAATCATTGAACCATTCTTTTGGGCAATACAGCTTGATGGAAGTGAGAAGCTGTGATAAGTTGCTGAATAATTATAGTTAAATTGTGATAGATCGAGCTCTCCATATTGGATTGTAAGTTTTTGGTTCTGTGAATTTGATATTGAGCCTAAACATCCAAATGATGATTTCCAGAATACTGAAATATTCTTTTGAACATCAATTTGGTTTACAATATGTTTAACATATCTACAACAATAGATTGGACTGGCATGAAGTATGGAGTGGAGGCAACACTAATGACTGATAAGCTATAGGTACCGGCTTGTGTGAAACCAAATTCAATGAAACCACTTGCATTGCTGTAAACGATTGTGTTCATAATCTTGATAGCTACATTTGGCAATCCAACTTCATCTTCGTCATATTGATTATTAAAATTGGTATCATTAAAAATCAATGCACTAAGATGACTGATGATGGGATCTCCTCCGGTTGTGGATCCGCCTGAAGTTGATCCTGTGCTGGTTGTAGGGATTCCAGTTGTTACATCTGTTGTAGAACCAGTACCTGTTGTGCTTGGTGTCGATGAATCTACATATGTAAGAGTTTGAATGTTGTATAAATCAATGTTATTCCATTTAGAGGTGATTTGCTTGGTGAGTGGTCCAGAGGTCCAAGGTGGAATTACACATTCAAGATTGGCTCCTAATTGATTGCATGTCAAAGTAACACCATCAATTGAATAAACTGGAACACCGAAAGGATAATCATTAGAGATGTTGAATGTACCACCATTGATAGATACTGGATTGACAAATAAATCTAAAAGTAAAAAAAACAGATTAATATTTTTCTAATCTCTATTATTTTTTATGAATAACTAACTTACTTGGATTTACAATTTCAACAGTTCCATAATTGATATCAATAACTGAATATTCATTTTCGGAAGTCTCGAAGGTACGAACATCATTAAATATAACAGTTTGGTTATTTCCAACGATAAACGATAATGATGATTGATTCCATCCAATGCTTGAGAAGAAACTTGCGTTATACTTGGCATTTGTCAATGAAAGTATTTCAGAGGTTTCTGTGCTGGTAAATGATATTGTCTTTGATGGTGACACACCAATGAAACCAATAGATTTATCAATCGAAGAGACAACTGTTGGGTCTGTAACTTGGACAAAGTAGTGATTTACAATTGATGTCATTTCACCAGAATTCATAAAATCGATGTGGGAGCTTGATGGAATATCAATTTGATTGTTCAATGGGTAGGAATATGAACGAATCAAACTATTACCTTCAACTGTAGAGATAATGTTGAAATCCATTGGTGAACTTGTTGGTGTATGACTTCCATTCAAGTATTGATCAATGTATAAAGACATGTTCAAATTGGTTTCTAGAAATTTTTGAATGTTAATAATCAATAATTAAAAGTTATAACAAAATTAATTTAAAACATACTGTAGTTGATATTAATATCAGTACCAGATAGAGTAACTTGACAATAATCTGGGAAACTTGTTGTAATTGTTTCATATGAGAAGAAATCAAAGTTCAACAAATCATATTGTCCATATTGTAATGTAACATTCTTTGATGCTGTTGAAGCTACACCAATACATCCATTTGGTGCTATAATTATGAATGAAAAAAAGGAAAAAGAATAATAAATTAGTATATCAATCTTGACTATAAATAATTTGGTCTGAGATATTGATATTTACTTTTCTTGAAAACTGGAATGTCTTGTTCATAGCCTTCGAATGTGAATGGAGCATGGAATCTTGATTGTGGCAAGAAGTAGTTTTCTCCAAAGTTTGGTGATGCACTGACCATGATTGCGTAGTAACCAAGTTGTCTTGTTGTTTTAATTTCATAGGTTCCATCATCTTTGATTGTACCTTGGGTGTAAGTATCATCATCAGAGATCAATCCAATCTGTAAACCATCGCCATTCAGTTGAATGTCATCTCCATCGAATTGACCATTGAAGTTTCTGTCATCGTAGAGTTTACCTGTGATCTTGGTTTCAAAGAGTAATGCAGGTGGATCTGGAATGCTTCCTGGTGTTGGATTCATCCAATCTGGGAATTCAGGTTCTGGGTCGTCTTCACCTGGTCTGTCGTCTGAGGAGGAACTGTCAAAGTCACAGAACCATCCATTTCCACTGAGTAGTTTGAATCCAAATCTGAATCTGAATCTTGATAAAATTCTGTATCTGTCGAGTTCCCATCCAGTGATATCTACTCTCATGAATTTAAACCATTGGATGTCAGTAATTGGGTATGGGAAATCTGGAGGTGTTACTAAATTTAATATTGATGGTCCAGTTACAACACTTCCGATTGGTGGACATCCAGAGCAAGGAGCTATTGTAGTCTTTATCATTATTTTCACTTTAATAGATGGATTAACACCCCAAATGATTTTCTCAACACGAAGAATATAAATCACTTGTTCAGTAATTTCTTCGGTAGAGCCAGTAGTACTTGTTGTTTGAACATCTGTTGTTGGTGTTGTGGTTGTTGTAGTAACTGATGTGGATGCTGTCGTACCAGTAGTTGGTGATACAGTTGTACCTGTTGTTGGTGTTGCGGTTGTACCAGTAGTTGGTGTTGTTGTTCCAGTAGTTGGTGATACAGTTGTACCAGTGGTTGGGGATGCAGTTGTACCAGTAGTTGGAGTTGTTGTACCAGTGCTTGGATTGGCTGTAGTTGGATTAGTTGTTCCAGTTGTTCCAGTTGTTCCAGTTGTTGAAGTTGTTGACGTTGTACCGGTAGTTGGAGTATCGGTTGTTGGATTTGTAGTTGGGGTTGAAGTTGTACTAGTAGTTGGTGATACAGTTGTACCAGTGGTTGGGGTTGCAGTTGTACCAGTAGTTGGAGTTGTTGTACCAGTGCTTGGATTGGCTGTAGTTGGAGTAGTTGTTCCAGTTGTTGAAGTTGTTGAAGTTGTACCGGTAGTTGGAGTATCGGTTGTTGGATTTGAAGTGGTTGATGTAGTTGTGGTTGTAGTTGTTGTTGTAGTTGAGTCTTGATTATCATTTGTAAAGGTAAACTGACTGGTTGTGCTTTGTGAATAGAAAGAAAGTTCAACTGGGAATTCTCCTGGAACTCCAGATGGTTGAATTGTACAAGATACGCTTTGTGATGACTGAACTTGGATATTTGAGCATGATACTGCACCAATTAATATGTGAGTGAGCAATGACTGACCTGGTAAACCAAGATTGGAACCTGAAATTACAACTGAGCTTGGTTGGTTATATTTTCCTTGGTTGGGTGTGATCAGAGTGATTGAAGGTGGATTATATGAGAAATCAGTGTTTGTATTACTGGTTTGTGATCCAACAGACACTGTAATGGGAATATCTTTTCCACCACCTGAAGGCACTGTAATTGTGATTGAATTATCTGAAGATGATACAATGGTAGCAGCTTGTAAATTGAAATTGACAGTTGGAGAGATTTCACCATTCTTGAAGAATTTACCAGAAATATCTAATTGATAATTACCATCTACCGATCCAGATTCTGGGCTGATAGAATCAATAGTTGGTTCACCAGTATAGGTGTAGGTAACGTTGGTTTCTTGTGATTGTTCACCATCAAGTGTAACACTGACAATTTCCTCGGTGTTTCTATCATAAACAGGAACATTACATTGCAATCTATCCTTTCCATTTAGTTTGCTTAATACCACTAGATTGGTGCAATCTCCTGCATCACCAATGGTAGCAGTTGGGTCTTGTCCAAAGTAATTACCTGTGATCGTTACCAATGTATTTTGGTCACGATCAGCTGTATTTGGAGAGATTGAAGTGACAATCGGTGATTTATAATCAAAGAGTTGGTTTGGTTCTGATGTTGGTTGAGTACCGACAATAATCTTGATCTCTTTGTTTTTACCTGTACCACTTGGGATTTGACATCGAACTGTGTTGTGATCTATCCATTCAAATGATTGACATTGTTGTCCATCAATGGAAATTGAATTATTGGAATCTTGTTGTCTTTGATTGACTGGTCCAACATGTTCAGATGGTATAAAGTTTTCACCTTTAATTGTAATCCAATCACCTCCTGATGGATCACCATAATACTTTGTATTATCCAATGTTGGAGCTAAACATTAAAAAAAGGTGTAAGAATTTATGTAATAAATTATGTAAATAACAAAAAATAAAAAAAAAACTTACCATTATATCTAAACATTGTATTTGTAGATTGATTACCGACAAAGAGAATTAATGGTAAATCTTTTCCAATTCCAGATGGTGAGTTGCAAATGATTTTAGATGAATCAATCCATTCAATGTCAGAACACAATATATTATTGATTGTTATGTTGGAGTTAAGTGGATCAACATTCTTTGGAACAAAGTTTAATCCTTCGATGGTTATAGATGAACCTGTTGTATTTGAACTTGTTACATTGTTTATTGTTGGAGCTATATTATTGAATAAAAAATAAAATATAAGTATTAAATTGATGAAATATTGATAACAAAAAAAGAAACATACGATTATATGAGAAATTGATAGACTCTAATGATTTTTGACCACCAACAAATATTGAAACTGTTAAGTTTGCACCAATACCAGGTGGAATTACACCATGTACCATTGATGAGTTGGTAAATGAGATGTTGTGAATGAGATAAGTTCCGATGCTGGAGTTACTGAAGGTGATAGGTCCTTCGAAAGTATCATATCTTGGATCGAGAATATACTCTGAATAAATATCGGTTATGTTGATTTCATTAGGAGCGAAATCATATCCGAAAATAGTAATATCACCACCTCCATCAGTATTGGATTGATACTCTGTTAGATTCATTATGGTTGGTCTGTTGTATGCAACTCCACTGTAGTCAATATTCGAGAAGTACTCGTGATAAGAGAGATTGACTGGAATATTATATCCAACACCTGGAGGAAGATAACAAATGATACAATCGAAATTAACGGTGGTTCTGTATGTTTCGTTTATGAGGATATAAGGATCGAACTCTCCATAGAAATATGGATCGGTTGGAGTTGCTATTTCATTTCCATCTTTATCTTCGTATTTCTGGTTATAGTGACAATCAATATCCATTTGGCATTCAACAAAAACATTGAGATGTACGGTGACATTGTAATCGGACATACCAAGAGGTCCGAGATCAGATCCGACCACCCAGAAAACTCCACCTGTCGATGTGTTGGTTGAGTTTGGTTGTATGACTTGTTCGATCTTTGGAATTGGATAAGTGAATGTTGGTCCATCTTGAGAAATCTGACCGTCTACAAAGATTGAAACCGTATTGACTCCAACATGTGCTGGTATGATACAGATTGCAGTACTATCGTCAATTCTCTGGGAGATATCACAACTGGCTGATCCGATATAGATGGTGATTGCACTGTTTGTCTCACCAAAATAGTTTCCGGTAACAGTCATCTCACCTCCACCAGGACTTGGGTATGTATTAATTGAAATCGAATTGATCACTGGTTCTTTATAATCCATTGAGAAATCCATATTGTCTTCAGTGGTTTGGTTGGCCACATTAATGGTAATGAGTTTATCCAGACCAGTTCCATTGGTAATGAATACCAGTGATTCAACACCACTGCTCGCATCATACAAGAATTGAACAATTGGATGTTGATAGTTATCAACAATAAGAGTTGTATCAATATTATCGAAACCAAAGTTTCTTCCATTGATAGTTACTCTATCACCAACTGTTTTAACTGGCCAACTCACTGTTGTGAGAGATTTAATCACTGGAATATCGTAGGAATAGATATATTGTGACAATGGTGTTTCTTGAGGTAGTTTACTATTGATATTGGAATAGGTGATTGGATATACACCAACACCTTGACCAACAGTACAAATCAATTGATTATCTGTTGCTGTTTGAACTTGACAAATCTTTGAACCAACCTTGACTTGAACACCTATTTCCGATAGTTTGTGACCAACTAATGTAATGGCATTGTCGTTGGAATGAGTCGGTCTGTTGGTACCTGTGATATTTGTTACAATAGGACCACTTGGGCATATCGAAAGGATGGCACCACTTTCAAAATCAGATTCACTTGACATACTGAAATTACATAGATAGTTTTTGTAGGTGATGATTACCAAACCAGTTGAGCTATCTGTTGGTACAAAGAATGTTTCAACTTCGTTATAAACTAAACGCTTCTCGGCAATGTTGATTTGATTGGTAAGAACTCTTGTGAGTATTTCCAAACCTTTCGGTGTGACAAGGTATCCATTTTCAATTCCAAACTCACAGAGTGTTGGATCGACAACTTGTAACAATGATTCCAAAAGCTTTGAATAATTATAGAATTTGGCAAATTGTTGAGAATATACGACATTGATAGCTTGGTTTGTTAACCAATCACTGGGTGGATCTGCTGAGGAAATCCAAGATGATGCGAAATTCTGTACTTCTGAAATTGGTGGAATTAAAGTTGCGTCGATTGTCGATTGACAGATTCCAAGTGATTGTAAAACATTCTTGAAATCAGATGGGTCCGAAGGAGTACTTGCTGAAACTTTACAATAATTACACTCAAAGATATTATTGTATTTCATGATTGATCTTGCATTTGAAATGATTAATTGGTGATACGGATGTGATGCTTGCATATCGAACAGTGATTCTGAGAATGTTAGGATATCGCTGGTTGATACAATCGATTTTGTATTGTTGAGTATCGAGATGAAATCAATTTGATAACCGTCGTTGTTGTCACTGTATGGTGGTCTTCTAAGTGCATTTTCTTGATAATCATCATTGTCGGAATCACTCAGATCCCAGAGGTATGCAGTTATCCAGGAGTGTGAGTATATAGCGTTTCTTCTTGTTAATCTCAAACTATTGAACCATTCAAGATCGATTGATTCTCCATTTTGGTTAATGAGTGATCGAACTGTGCTCTTTGGTAATGTTGGTAGAGTAAGTTCACGTAGTTTCATAGCGACATAGTTGACTAAACCACCAAGAAGTGCTGATTGTTTAGATGATCCGAAACTTTCGAAATCGTTCAATGTCACTGGTAAATCAGTGGATGAGATACCACCATTCAATTGTAACAAAAGATCATAACTTAGTGATCTGAACAACGATTCTACATCCAATGGATCAATTGAGATTGGAATCGATTGATGTTGATTTAGAATTGCCTTATTATCATTGTTGATAACCAATTCCAAGTTACCTAATGATCCATAACCAAAACTGTCTCTTACAGCTTTGGATAGTTGCAATAGTTTAAAGATATAAATAATATTTTGACTCTTTACATTGTTGTTTGTTTGTGGCACGTATGATCCTGATACATTGTAGGTTGGGAATGTGTAAACGTTTCCATCCAAGCTCTTTACTGATATGGTTTCGTTGATTGTTTGCAAAAGGATATTGAACTTCGGTTGGTAGATACCACGGAATGAGAATATGGCAACTGAATCGGTTTGGTAGGTCTGTGGATTGGTTTGATTCAATGGACAGAACTGAGTGGTACATTCAACACTGGTTATCGAGAGTTTGGTATTTGGTAAGAGTGGATCGACCGATTCTAAATATTGTGAAAGCAATTGATCGGCATCTCCATAGGTATTATCCAATAGCAATTTAGATTTAATTGAGATTAGATATTGATTCTTAATCTCTTTGTTGGAGCACTGCTGTGATGTGCAATTCTCTATTTGATATTTAAAGATTGTTTCAATAAAGAATTGAGCGAATTGTGCCTTTGGTTTGACGCAAACTGCAATACCACCACCAATAGTAGTCTTGGCAGTGTAGTCACCCAAACAGAGATGAGTATCATTGAAACCAAGGAAACTACGATCAACCTCTGATTTCCATTGTGAAATAGCTAATGAGATATTGTTTTGTTTTACGAATTTCAATGGTAACTTGGTTTCAATTACGGCAACAGCACCTGGTGGTATTCTGTATCTGGATGGGAGAGTAATCGACATTGGAACTAATCCAATTGGTGAGAAGATATTCTGTTTGTATCCAGAGGAAACAAAGTAACTATTTGACCAAATCGATGAGAGGAACGATGTCATTGTACTGTCGTTAAACAGCGGTGACATAATATTGATACGATAGTTATATCTGTTGCTGGAGTAGATGAATGGTTTGGTTGCTTGGACTGCATTCAGAGTGTCTGATGAATCAACAAAGCTATGACATAGGAAAGAATGTCCAAATGAGAAATCATCAGCTTGTTTTGGACGAAGACGATAGTCGTTAGGGAACCAACTGGTTGGATATTGTGATGGTGTTTTAAATGAACCGTCGCCAGCAGGAACTGGGAATCCTTCGAGTGAATGTTTAATATGGAATCCAGGTGAATAGGTGGCATTGAAATAGGTGTGTGAGACGAGAATACCTTTTCCAAGTGAATGATTGATGTTGAAGGTTCCATTAACTGAACGAGTCAATTCACCTGACAAATCATCTAACCAAGCATGGTCATTATATGCAACGTATCCATTGTGAGTGTTGGAGTCTTGTTTGATCTGATCAAGAGTCAACGATAAGCAATTGGTAGTCGAGGAAATGGAAGCAAGGTATTGCATATCTTGAGATTCACTGTCAAAGTAGATGTAGTTTTGAGATTGTGGAATCTTTCTGGCGAACCACCAAGATACTGGTGTTCCTGTTGCTGACAAACAAGAGAGTGGTCTGTCGAGAACTGCAAAAGTGAGTGGGTTTGATTGAAGACCATTTGAATGGAAAAATACATCGTAAGTACCAACTGGCATCATTGTTAATGAACATTGGATTTCAGTTGAAGTAACCGATGAAATCACGCAATTAAATGATAAACCGGAATTTTTGATTTCAACACTACTTGCCATGTTTGAATCGAAATTCTCACCGTGAATCACAATCGAGATTTGCTGATCTTGTTGGTAATAAACGTATGATGGTGAAATATAATTGAGTGGTAGTGGATTGATATATTCAATGTACTTGGTGTTGGAAAACAAGTCTGGTCCATTGTGAACATTTACTGGGAGCATTCCTTCTTTGGTGACAATTGGCATATCACAAAAGATGAACATACTATTGGTATTGAATGGTTTGCAAGAATATTCACCAACAGTCACTGTCGATACTCCATCGATAAATCCGGAACCTGTGATTGTAACAACTCTTTCCTCAGGTCTCATTTCATAGATGTAAGCATTGGTTGGATCAACCTCGGTGATGACAGGACCTGGGTAATAGAGATTTAGTGTATAGCTATCAAATACATTGATGTCGTTCTTTACTTGAATTTCTACTGGACCTTTAGAGTTGATGATTGGTGCAAGACAAATGAATGTGGTTGAGTTGATAAACTGAGAGGAACAAGGTTTGGATCCCAAGAGAACTGCTGTTGTCAATCCTGGAATGAAATTCGAACCGCTAATCGTGATCATATTGGATGTTCCAGCTGCCAATGAAGAAGGATCGATCGTATTAATAATTGGAGTGGGTGCATTATATTTTAATGAAGTTGTTGCTTGAGAATAGAAATTGGTAACATTAACTGCTTCTCTGTTTGTTGATACGATGTATGGTGCTGTGAATTGTATCTGTGTTGAATTGATGAATAAGATTGTTGCCACGATGTTTCTAACCTTCAAAGTTGTCAATCCCGATTGGAAGTTAATTCCTTGAACGGTAACTGTTTGCAAACTATCCAGTTGTACTGAGCTTGGTGAAATTGATGAGATCCATGGTGGTGGTGCGAAGTAGGCAATGGTGACTGCATTTGAAGTTGGACCAGCATCGCCATTCAATACCAAAACAACCTTGTTTCCAATGGTCGTTAAAATAGGTGAAGTGATGATAATAGCATTTGGAGTAACAGTTAAAACTTGACAATAGATTGAATCGATTGTTACTTTACTAATGGTTGGAATGAATCCATAACCACTTATTGTTATTGGAATATTATCATTTGTATAAACACCCGATAATGATAGAGATGTTATATATGGAGATGCCATCAGATACTGGATATTGGAATTGGCAATCAACGATGGAGTGTTTGAAACGGAAACTGGAACCTGTCCAACAAATGTAGAACTTGGTGTGGAAGTTACCAACAATGTTTTGCTCACAAAGCTAAAGGATACTAGTGTATTATTGATTTTGACTTTGACCATTCCATTGATAAAATTAGTACCAGTAATGGAGATGGTTGTTGTTTGATTGTTGATAACTGACGATGGATTGATTGATGAAATGGTTGGTGCAAGTGGTTTGATCGTTAAAGTTAAAACATTGGAATTAATTGTATTATTATTTGTAACAACAACTGATTCAATTGAATCAACCAATTGAGGTTGTGAATTACAAATGATTTGAGTATTATGAATGCTTGTAATTGGACAATTTAATTGACCAACTTTAACAGTTGATAAACTTGTTTGGAATCCAGATCCTGCAATAGTGATTGGTGTAACTATATCGGATACCATCGAATTTGGAGTTACTGATTGGATGATTGGTGTTGGTGGAACATATGTAATTGAACTGGAAGTTGTGAAATATGCATTATTCTGAACGGAAAGTGGAATTGATCCAGCAATATTGAGAACTGGTGCAATACCAACAATCAATGTTCTTGAAACTGAATTCAATGTGATTATTGCACCATTGATATAAACTTTAACCATTCCATTGACAAAATTAGTTCCGGCAATAGATATGATTGTTGTCAAATTGGTTGGAACTGATGATGGTGTAATTGATGAGATGGTTGGTGTTGGTGGTTTGATTGCGAATGGAACGGCATTCGAGGTAATGGTATTGTTATTAATAACAATAAGAGATTCAATTGAATCAACCAATTGAGGTTGTGAATTACAAATGATTTGAGTATTCTGGACACTTGTAATTGGACAATTTAATTGACCAACTTTAACAATTGATAAACTTGTTTGGAATCCAGATCCTGTAATGGTGATTGGTGTAACTATATCGGATACCATCGAATTTGGAGTTACTGATTGAATGATTGGTGTTGGTGGAACATATGTAATTATATCGGAATCAGTAACAGCTGCAGAGTTTTGAACGGAAAGTGGAATAGATCCAGCAATATTGAGAACCGGTGCAAAACCAGTAATTAAAGTACCTGTAACTGAATTCAATGTAATCACTGCGCCGTTGATATAAACTTTAACCATTCCATTGACAAAATTAGTTCCTGTAATGGAAATGATTGTTGTCAAATTAGTTGGAACTGATGATGGGTTGATTGTTGTTATGGTTGGTGCCAGTGGCCTGATTGTTAATGGAACTGCATTAGAATCAATTGCATTATTATTTGTAACAATAACTGAGACTACCGAATCAATCAGCTGAACTTGGGAATTACAAATAATACGATTCGATATAATGCTAACTAGTGGGCATGCGACTGTACCAACTTTGACAGTCGATAAGCTAGTTTGGAATCCAGATCCATCGATGGTGATTGGTGTAATAATATTTGATACCATGGAATTTGGTGTGACAGTTTTGATGATTGGCGTTGGTGCAACATCGGTAATTGTACTGGAAACTGCAAAATATGGATTATTCTGAACGGAAAGTGGAATTGATCCAGCAATATTAAGAACTGGTGCGATACCAACAATCAATGTTCTTGTCACTGAATTCAATGTGATTATTGCATTGTTGATATAGACTTTAACCATTCCATTGATAAAATTAGTTCCTGTAATGGAGATTATTGTTGTCAAATTGGTTGGAACTGATGATGGTGTAATTGATGAAATGGTTGGTGTCAGTGGCTTGATTGTGAATGGAACGGCATTGGAGGTAATGGTATTATTATTTATAACAATAAGAGATTCAATGGAATCAACCAATTGAGGTTGTGAATTACAAATGACTTGGGTATTCTGAATGCTTGTAATTGGACAATTTAATTGACCGACCTTGACAATTGAAAAACTTGTTTGGAAACCAGATCCTGTAATAGTAATTGGTGTAACTGTATCGGATACCATCGAATTTGGAGTTACTGATTGGATGATTGGTGTTGGTGGAACATAGGTAATTGAGCTGGAAGTTGTGAAATATGCATTATTCTGAACGGAAAGTGGAATTGATCCAGCAATATTGAGAACTGGTGCAATACCAACAATCAATGTTCTTGAAACTGAATTCAATGTGATTATTGCATTGTTGATATAAACTTGAACCATTCCATTGACAAAATTGGTACCGGCAATAGATATGATTGTTGTCAAATTGGTTGGAACTGATGATGGTGTAATTGTTGTTATGGTTGGTGCTGGTGGTTTGATTGTGAATGGAAGAGAATTTGAGGTAATGGTATTACTATTTATAACAATAAGAAGTTCAATGGAATCAATCAATTGAGGTTGTGAATTACAAATGATTTGAGTATTCTGAATGCTTGTAATTGGACAATTTAATTGACCAACTTTAACAACTGATAAAGTGTTTTGGAATCCAGATCCTACAATCGTGATTGGTGTAATAATATCGGATACCATGGAACTTGGAGTTACTGATTGAATGATTGGTGTTGGAGCGTTGACTGTAACACTTACTGAATTCGATGGAACAGTGTAGGTTTGAACCTTGAGTTGTTGAACACCCAAAACTATTGTGACCGGAGTGTTGCATACCAATAGAGTTGTCGATGACTGAGCTACAACAACCGGACAATTGAGAGCACCAATCGTAACAGTCGATAGCGATGCAACGAAATTAGAACCACTCACAGAGATCGTAGTTGATTGGTCACTCATGAAGGAATTAGGTGTGACACTGGTAACGCTAGGTGTGGAAACGACTTGACTAACTGTATAACTTGCAGAGTTTACATTTCCATTGACAACAATCAGAGGTCGTGAAATAGCAGTTGTAAAAGATGGCGATGTACAAATTAAACTAGTTTCACTGGAGACTACCAAACTTGTACATTGTTGACCGTCAATTGTAACACTAGTCAATCCACTAAAGAATAAGGTACCAGTTATAGTTAAAACAGGTGTTGTATAAATAGGATAAGAAGCTGGTATAACTGAAGTAATAGTTGATTTTGGTCCTATTATAATTATTATTAAAAAACTGTTAGTATTATATTTTAGGTTTGTTCATATATCTTACCAGTTCTTGTAAAACTAAAGTCATTTGAATTGGTACCAGAGTTTGATACAATCAAAGGAACTGTTCCAAAGACTGTTGGTTGTGATGGTGTTGTACAGGTAATACTTGTTTGAGTAACACTAACCAATGTACAGGCAACTCCATTGATAGTGACTGTTGTAAGTCCATCAAGATAACCGGTACCTGCGATAACAATATTTCCAGCAGTATTCGATTGCATTGTATTTGGAGTGACTGAAGTAATTGTAGGAATTGGTTCTATAACAATATTTATAAATTAATATATAAACTATTATTATAAGTAAAGCTAAAGCCAAACAACTTACTTGTAAACGTTAAAGATTTAGGGGTGGATGCTACAGCACCGTTGGATACTATAACGTTGAAAGTTCCAGTAGGAACTACACTGGTTGTGAATTGTGTAATCAGTTGAGTTGGCGAACATGTTTGTATGTCCAGGATGTCTGCATTTCCATTGACTTTGATTGTGGCATTGTTAGAGGCGTCCAATGAACAAACGAAAAGTGTACCGGTCAATGTGACAACGGAACTCTTGGTTATATCGATAGAGTTTGGCGTGATAGTGCTCAGTGTTGGTGTGGGTGCTTGCAAGAAAATACCGGTTTCCTGTGCCACCGGAGTATCACCAGGATTATTGTAAAACACTTTGTAAAGACCGTATGCAGGGATTGCCAGGAACGTGCAAATCACTTGTTCGAGAGTGAGCGAAGTCGGTGTACAATCGTAGTAGTCGGATGCTACTTTAATTCTAACGACGATGCCACTGAGGAAATTGGAACCTGACAAAGTCATTGTATTCGATGGACCGTTGGCATATTCGAATGGGTTGATTCGCCTGACGAAAGCGACACGCTTAGCGATTTTGATAGTGAATCCCTTATCGGTAGCAACGATAAGGTCAATTGGATTGTTTCTAACGTAAACAGTATAGAAACCTGGAGTGGCGATCGACGGTAGGTTACAGATTATCCTTGTGGAGGTGACGCTGGTTATCGGGCAAAAATTGTTTGCATCGACGGAGGCCAATGCGTTTCCATTGGTAGCGAAACCAGTACCAGTAATAGTGATAAGTTGACGTTCATTAATATAAAGTTCATTAATAGAAATTCCATCTGGTTCTACCAGAGTAATTGGTTGTGTAACTTAAATCAATAGTAGTAAAAGTAGAAGTAAAAGAAGTAGTAGAAGTAGAAATGAATTAAAATTAATAAAAAAATGATCATTAAATTGATTGTTGTTTTTTTCAAAAAAACCTTTAAGTAACACCACACTTACCAGCATTAGCACTCTGACAAAACAAAAACAATAATATAAAAAAAGAGTATATTCGAGTGATTGAACACTCAAATATTATCCTCATTTTATTATAGTAATAATAAACAATAATAATAATACTATAAATAACAAATATATATTTATTATATAATATTATTACTCTAAAAATTTAAATCAAATGATAATCAAGTTGTCGATTCGTAATTAACTTGCGAGATATCTTCCTTGTTTGTTGCAACGATGGTTGTTGCATATGATGAATACTGAATCAGATCAAGAATCTTTGCGGTGCATAAAGATTTTATTAAAAAAACATGAAGTTGTGGGTATTTTTAGGACATGCAAGAGAAATAGCTAACCAGATTCTAAAAAAACAGATCTTTTTCGTTTTTGTTTTTAGACTTTTTTTGATGTAATGTTTGACAACATGGATGTAATGTTTGTTCGTTTATTATTATATTTGTTTAGATAACTAAATAAATTTTATGAAAATCAAAAAATTTTGTTCAAAACGAAACTGGCTCCCAACCACTTTCGCATGCACATTAATTTAAAATTAAAAATAGAGGGTTAATATGATCATAGTGGTTTTTTTTATTTTATTTGATTTATGGTTACAAATAAGAGCCAGTTTTGTTTTGTGTTTAAAAAAAAAAATTCGATTTCTTTGAAACCAACAAAACAAAGATTTAATGATAGCCGTTTCTAATTTGTAGATAAATATATTTAATATCTTTGGTGAACTTGTAAAAAAACCAATAATTATTTAGGAAATGATCATTTTATTTCAATATAATACAATGATTATTGATTAAGATTTAAAATTTTACAATACAGTGGCATTCACCTTAATACCTAAAATACCCAATACAGTTGCAAGGATATTCAAATCAACAAGTGATTGATTCGAGTTTGATGTTTGACCAGTTAGAGTATTGGTACTGTTTAACATCATTTCATTCTTCATTGTTGTTTGATTCGCTTGGACAGATGATCCAAGTTTGGTGATTGAAGCTAAGATATCAGAATATATAGATTAGAATTTAAGTTTCTTTGGAAGACCTTATATGTTTTTAATATGAATTACTTACCAATTAAAGTCATTTTAGATAGTTTTGATTATAAGTATTGTATATGATTATATATTAGCTCTTATATGTTGTTTTTGATGATATCTATCGACTAAAAAGTAAAGTATTTATAGTTTCTTATGATTTTCATTCTGCTATCATAAGAACGGTGAAATCTTGTAGAATCTTGAATCAAGATCATCAAATTATCTCTAGTGTGTCAAGATATGTTGGTTAAATAATGAATAAATAGATATTCCGATATCCAACAAAAGTCACATCCAACCATTTCAGTTAATTGCCTTGAATTAAATTTCAGTTGCTAAAAATGATCATTGGATTAAATTACTTTTGATTTATTAAAATATTGGTTATCCACCATCTGATTTATAATATTAAACATAAAGATATGACTCTGATTATATTTGTTCAACTGATAGATTAAGATTAAATTAAAAATAAGTACACTGACTGATTGAAATGTTTTAACACATACACACACAAATCGAGTGGGTTATATAAATTTCCTTTTTAAAAATAATTGTCATCATTTTAGTTTCAAGAGTAATATGTGTGTTTTGTGTATGTTGATGTGTCAGTGTGTCTATCAATCACAATTCTTACTAATATATCATTGTCTACTGAAATCTGATCAATATCTTTGATCATATCTGACATTTGATAAATTATAATTTAAAAAGCACTACCCAATTCAAACAAAGATTAATATAACCTCTTTTTAGAAAATTAAAGATATAAACAAAACAATTATACTCTTAGATTTTACAATTTTTAAAATTAAATACATTTTATTTTAGTCCTTTCTATTAATTGTCACTTTTATCTATGAAATAATATTAATTCAATATATCCAAAAAATAAATCTAAAATGACTTAATTAGTATGGAAATAATTAATTCCACATAATATATAAATTACAATGTAAATTTATAGGATTATATTAACTATTGTTTTTCTTGATTAAAAAAAAATCTTAGATTATTTTCTGTAGTTTAATCAAATCAAACTTTCAAGAAGCAATTGATATAATCTGGATAAATAGGAAACAGTTAAATTGGACAATCCTCCAGAATCTTTTGTTAATTTGAACATTCTGGCAAATGTTTTTAGTATCTTGTGAATAAAATGTTTGTGTTTTTATATTGAAAATCCAAAGGATAATAATATTATAATATTTTTATTTGGTTCCGCACTTTGCAAATTTCTTCAACATTTTTTGCAAATCCCTGCTGACATATTACACCAACCACTTTAATTGCACACAATTTATATTATAAATAAATGGAAATAGAGTGTTCAAAACATAATAAAACACTTGAATATATTTGTTTTCAATGTAATTTGTTGTTTTGTTACAGGTGTTCGAATGATCATCCAAAATCACATCCCAGACATACTTGTGAACATATCGATGATATCAAATTACAGTTGTTAAAGACAATAGATAACTCAAAGCCCATTAATAATAATAACAATAATATTAGTAACAGAGATAAAAATAGTAATAGAAATGAGAATGTTCAAGAAAGTAGTAATAATAATGATGATAATGATAATGATAATAGTACAAAAGAAACAGAAAATAACTATATACAATCACAAATTGATAATCTATGGTTAAAAATAAAAGATTCATCAAAACAATACAGGTCACTCGAAGATAAACAACAAAAGATAAGCGATCACTTTGCAATATTACATAAATATTTGATTGAAGAAGAACTTAAATTAAAGAAACCGATTATAAATGATATCGATTTACTTAAAGATCAGATTAATCTTAAATTAGATGAGTTTAAATCACTTATCAAAATAATTAATACTTTAAAACATAATAATAATAATAACAATAGTAGTATTAGCAGTAATAATAGTGTTACAGATGATAGTTTAGATTATCAGATTAATGATGATAGTTTAGATTATGATAATGATAATGATAATGATAATGATAATGATAATGATAATGATAATGATAATGATAATGATAATGATAATGATAATGATAATGATAATGATACAACTATTAGATATTCTATTGAATCGATTATTAATTCTGCTCTATCGATAGAATCAGTACAACAATTCATTAAACATCATGATCAAACATTGTTTGACTATCGGTACAATAACAATAATATTGTTAGTTTTATCAAAGATCATACTACTAGCATCGATATTATCATCCTAAAGTTAATCAATATTCATAACAATCAATATAAACAATCAATTTCAAAGAATAATGTTATCGATAATCAATCAACAACAAATAATAATATGATCATCGATAGTTACAATATCACCACAACATTAACACCGAATGATATTGATACTTATCAAAAATTTGTACGACTATCAATAAGTGTGACCAACCGAAATGATATTCTCAAGACAACTAAGACCACAACAACTACCGTAGAGAGAAGAATACCACAACAAAGAACTGATCCAATAATAACATTCAAACAAGAACTATCAAAGGAACTCGTTAAAGAAAGATATCTCCAGAATCTAGTGCCAACCACCAATTCCGATGGCATTCCGATTTATATATTTAAATTTTTGTTACTTGGAGATGCCTGTGTTGGAAAGGTAAATACATCCAAATATACTACCATCGATTAACTTCATTACTAATCTTTACAATATAGACACAAATGATAAATAGATTTGCACATAATGAATTCGATAGTTCACCTGGACATGGCACTAGTTTGGATTTCAAAGTGCGTATATTCATTGAAGATAAATTTACGATTAGGCTACAACTATGGGATACCTCTGGAACATATTCATTCCACAGAATGAACAGTCTCTACTTTCCTGGTCAACTAGCCATCATTATTGTCTATGATGTCACCGATATCGTTTCGTTTGAAAGTAAGTTATAAAAATAATATTACCACTTATGGGTATCAAAAGAGTGACACTCAATTGTTTTTAATATTCATATCATCCATTAACAATATTATAAATCTATTTAGATGTAACAAGATTGTTTAACTTGATCAACGAGAGCAATGGAACGATGGCATATAAAATATTGGTTGGCAACAAATGTGATAGTCCTAAAAGAGTGATCGACTATGAAACCGGTCATAATTTGGCGGATTCGCTTGGAATATCATTTATGGAGACATCTGCCAAAACTGGACAAGGAATTGAAGAGCTATTTATGAAGCTATACAACATCCATAAAAATATGATTTTGAACAAAGCAATACCAAATCAACAAAAAAACGATGATAATAATAATAACAATAAACCTCAGGCAAATGGTTTATTCTCATTTTTCAAGAGATAAATAATAATAATAAAATTTTTAATTTTAGGAAATGATCATTTTATTTAAATATAATACAATGATTGTTGATTTTTAATGATTTACAATACAGTGGCATTCACCTTAATACCCAAAATACCCAATACCGTTGCAAGGATATTCAAATCAACAAGTGATTGATTCGAGTTTGATGTTTGACCAGTTAGAGTATTGTTACTGTTGTTCAACATTATTTCATTCTTCATTGTTGTTTGATTGGCTTGGACAGATGATCCAAGTTTGGTGATTGAAGCTAAGATATCAGAATATATAGATTAGAATTTAAGTTACTTTGGAAGACCTTATATGTTTTTAATATGATTTAATTACCAATTAAAGTCATTTTTGATAGTTTTGATTGTAAGTATTTTATATTTTTATATTTTACTTTGTTTTTGATGATATTTATTGACTAAAAAGTAAAGTATTTATAGTTTCTTATCATTTTCATTCTGCTATCATAAGAACGGTGAAATCTTGTAGAATCTTGAATCAAGATCATCAAATTATCCTAGTGTGTCAAGATATGTTGGTTAAATAATGAATGTATAGATATTCCGATATCCAACAAATGTCACATCCAATCATTTCAGTTAATTGCCTTGAATTAAATTTCAGTTGTTAAAAATGATCATTAGATTAAATTACTTTTGATTTATTAAAATATTGGTGATCCACCATCTGATTTATAATATTAAAACATAAAGATATAACTCTGACTATATTTGTTCAACTGATAGATTAAGATTAAATTAAAAATAAGTACACTGACAAACCAAAATGTTTAAACACACACAAATCGAGTGGGTTATATAAATTTCCTTTTTAAAAATAATTGTCATCATTTTTAGTTTCAAGAGTAATCTGTGTGTTTTGTGTATGTTGATGTGTCAGTGTGTCTGTCAATCACAATTCTATATTTTTATATCATTGTCTACTGAAATCTGGTCAATCTTTGATCATATCTGACATTTGATAATTTAAAAAAGCTCTACCCAATTCAAATAAAGATTAATATAACCTTGAATCTTGACATTAAATCTCTTTTTAGAAAATTAAGATTTCAACAAAATAAATATACTCTTAGATTTTACAATTTCTAAAAAATTAATTACATTTTATTTAGTCCTTTCTATTAATTGTCACTTATATCTATGAAATAAAAATTAATTCAATTTATCTAAAATTTATCTAAAATGACTTAATTAGTATGGAATTAATTCCACATAATATAAATTACTATGTAAATTTATAGGATTATATTAATTTTGTTTTTCTTGATTAAAAAAAATCTTAGATCACCAAACTTTTCTTTAGTTCAATCAAATCAAACTTTCAAGAAGGAATTGATATAATCAGGATTAATTGGAAATAGTTAAATTGGACAATTCTCCAGAATCTTTTGTTAATTTGAACAAACTTGCAAATGTTTTTAGTAGCTTGTGAATAAAATGTTTGTGTTTTTATATTGAAAATCCAAAGGATAATAATAAATAAGATCTTTTTTTTAAAGATTTTCTTCTTCAAAGCATAAACACAGTTTTTATTATTTTTTGAAATATTAATATAATTATTTTTTTCACACATTGCATTTCTTCAAAGTTTTTTCAATCCCTGCTGACATATTACACCAACCACTTTAATTGCACACAATAAGTAAATGGAAATAGAGTGTTCAAAACATAATAAAACACTTGAATATATTTGTTTTCAATGTAATTTGTCGTTTTGTTACAGGTGTTCGAATGATCATCCAAAATCACATCCCAGACATACTTGTGAACATATCGATGATATCAAATTACAATTGTTAAAGACAATAGATAACTCAAAGCTCATTAATAATAATAGTAATAACAATAATAGTAGTAACAGAGATAAAACTAGTAATAGAAATGAGAATGTTCAAGAAAGTAATAATAATAATAATGTTAATAGTACAAAAGAAACAGAAAATAACTATATACAATCACAAATTGATAATCTATGGTTAAAAATAAAAGATTCATCAAAACAATACAGGTCACTCGAAGATAAACAACAAAAGATAAGCGATCACTTTGCAATATTACATAAATATTTGATTGAAGAGGAACTTAAATTAAAGAAACCGATTATAAATGATATCGATTTACTTAAAGATCAGATTAATCTTAAATTAGATGAGTTTAAATCACTTATCAAAATAATTAATACTTTAAAACATAATAATAATAATAACAATAGTAGTAATAATAGTGTTACAGATGATAGTTTAGATTATCAGATTAATGATGATAGTTTAGATTATGATAATGATAATGATAATGATACAACTATTAGATATTCTATTGAATCGATTATTAATTCTGTTCTATTGATAGAATCAGTACAACAATTCATTAAACATCATGATCAAACATTGTTTGACTATCGGTACAATAACAATAATATTGTTAGTTTTATCAAAGATCATACTACTAGCATCGATATTATCATCCTAAAGTTAATCAATATTCATAACAATCAATATAAACAATCAATTTCAAAGAATAATGTTATCGATAATCAATCAACAACAAATAATATGATCATCGATAATTACAATATTACCACAACATTAACACCGAATGATATTGATACTTATCTAAAATTTGTACGACTATCAATAGGTGTGACCAACCGAAATGATATTCCCAAGAAAACTAAGACCACAACAACTACCGTAGAGCGAAGAATACCTAAACAGAGAACTGATCCAATAATAACACCCAAACAAGAACTATCAAAGGAACTCGTTAAAGAAAGATATTTCAAGAATCTAGTGCCAACCACCGATGACAATGGCATTCCGAGTTATACATTTAAATTTTTGTTACTTGGAGATTCCTGTGTTGGAAAGGTAAATACATCCAAATATACTACCATCGATTAACTTCACTATTAATCTTTACAATATAGACACAAATGATAAATAGATTTGCAAATAATGATTTCGATAGTTCACCTGGAAATGTCACTCAATTGGATTTCACACTGCGTATATTCATTGAAGATAAATTTACGATTAGGCTACAACTATGGGATACCTGTGGAAATAATTCATTCCACAAAATTAACATTTTCTACATTCCTGGTCAACTAGCCATCATTATTGTCTATGATGTCACAGATATCGGTTCGTTTGAAAGTAAGTTATAAAAATAATATTACCACTTATGGGTATCAAAAGAGTGACACTCAATTGTTTTTAATATTCATATCATCCATTAACAATATTATAAATCTATTTAGATGTAACAAGATTGTTTAACATGATCAACGAGAACAATGGAACGATGGCATATAAAATATTGGTTGGCAACAAATGTGATAGTCCTAAAAGAGTGATCGACTATGAAACCGGTCATAAGTTGGCGGATTCGCTTGGAATATCATTTATAGAGACATCTGCCAAAACTGGACAAGGAATTGAAGAGCTATTTATGAAGCTATACAACATCCATAAAAATATGATTTTGAACAAAGCAATACCAAATCAACAACAAAACGATGATAATAATAATAATAATAATAACAATAATAATAATAACAATAAACCTCAGGCAAATGGTTTATTCTCATTTTTCAAGAGATAAACAACCAATAATTATTTAGGAAATGATCATTTTATTTAAGTATAATACAATGATTGTTGATTTTTAATGATTTACAATACAGTGGCATTCACCTTAATACCCAAAATACCCAATACAGTTGCAAGGATATTCAAATCAACAAGTGATTGATTCGAGTTTGATGTTTGACCAGTTAGAGTATTGTTACTGTTGTTCAACATTATTTCATTCTTGAATGTTGTTTGGCTGGTTTGAACTGATGATCCAAGTTTGGTGATTGAAGCTAAATAAAAAGTAATTTAAATTAATTTTATATTCAAATGATCTAATGTATAAACTACAAACCAATTAAAGTCATTTTAGATTATACTAGCAAATTTAATAATATTTGATTTGTATTCTTTTAATATTTTGAAAATAAGTTGGTCGATATTTATAGGTTTTTTCAATATCTTTTTATTTATATGAAATTTATATCAGACAAAGTACATACATTGAATCTTATAGAATTTAAATAAATCAATCACAGATCTTAATCTGGAATAATAAAGATAAGAATGGATTATTCAAATAATGTGCAAGCTGTGACCTATTAGAATAATAAATGGTGATCACCAAATCATTGAAATCTCAATCTATTATTGAGTACTGATTATTCAAATTTAAATGACATAACTTTCCAATAATTAATATCTACAACCAAATATTACCCATATCTTAATTTTCCTTTAAGAGATGTTTTTATGATTCCAGGTTTTATTTTTCTATGTTTGAAAAGGGGATAGTGTTCTTTCATAATAAATCAGAAAATTGATATGCCATATATGATCAAAGATATTGATCAGATTTCAATAGAATGATATAAAAGTATAGAATTGTGATTGACAGACACACTGACATATCAACATACACAAAACACACAGTTTACTCTTGAAACTAAAAATGATGAAAATTATTTTTAAAAAGGAAATTTATATAACCCACTCGATTTGTGTGTGTGTTAAAATATTTTGGTTTGTCAGTGCACTTATTTTTAATTTAATCTTAATCTATCAGTTGAACAAATATAATCAGAGTCATATCTTTATGTTTTAATATTATAAATCAGATGGTGGATAACCAATATTTTAATAAATCAAAAGTAATTTAATCTGATGATCATTTTTAACAACTGAAATTTAATTCAAGGCAATTAACTGAAATGATTGGATGTGACATTTGTTGGATATCGGAATATCTATTTATTCATTATTTAACCAACATATCTTGACACACTAGGATATTGATAATCTTGATTCAAGATTCTACAAGATTTCACCGTTCATATGATAGCAGAATGAAAATGATAAGAAACTATAAATACTTTACTTTTTAGTCAATAAATATCATCAAAAACAACATAAAAGAACTAAAATATAAAAACATTCAATATCTACAATCAAAACTATCTAAAATGACTTTAATTGGTAAGCTATTCTTTATTAGAATTATTCTTTTCTATTTTAATGTATTAATCTATATATTGTAATAACTAAGCATCAATCACTAAACTCGGATCATCAGTTCAAACCAGCCAAACAACAATGAAGAATGAAATAATGTTGAACAACAGTAACAATACTCTAACTGGTCAAACATCAAACTCGAATCAATCACTTGTTGATTTGAATATCCTTGCAACTGTGTTGGGTATCTTGGGTATTAAGGTGAATGCCACTGTATTGTAAATCATTAGATCATGAGATACATCAACAATAACATATAATTCATTGTAAAACTAAATATCGTAAATGATCTATTTCTCCTTGTGAAAATAAAAATAAAATAAAAATCAAATATATATTCGTTCATTGAATTCTTAGACGAGTCTAACAAAACGTCGATTCTAATTAATTTAAGAAAAAATTCCCCAAAAAAAATTCTGAACATATGCACTTGTGTTTGGATTGAACACAAAAATTTAAAATTAAATTGTTTTTTTTAATTTAAAAAAAAAAAAAAAAAAGTAAATTAAAAATTGATCATCAAAAAACAACAACATTTATTTTTTTCATTATTCGTTTAATATTTCACATATATATACACATACATAATAAATTTTATATAGAACTTGACATATTATATCATTCTATACATTTTAGATATATTAAAAAGTTAAAAAAAAACAAAATGGATAATGATGAAAAGATTATGTTATTCTTTCAACTTACAGACTCTTCAGATCCAGCTGAAGCAATACAAATATTAGAGGTATTGATTGATCAATAATCATCATAACAAACAACAGTTGATTAATTAACAATGAAATTACATTATTATCATTCAACAATTTGAAAACTATTGTAGCAAAACAATTGGGATTTAGATGCTAGTGTCAATCATTATCTTTTATTACATGACAATCAAGATATATCGACATCAAATAAATCAAACAACAACAATGGTTATAATGATATATCACATGGATATAGCGGTGCCGCTGGAAGTGGAAGTGGAAGCGGTAGCACCGGTGGAATCAAAGAGGATGACTATGTCGGTTTCGACGATGAGAATGTTCGTGCACCGATTCCATCGACAATAGAGACGCTGGTCGACGGTGGAATCTACGACGATCCCTACTATCCTGCGAGTCGTGTTCGCTCGAGTGCCGCGCCGACCACCAACGTCTTTGAGGCGTTCCGTGACTTCTCGGCGGAGGGCAAATTCGGTGGTGCCAACTCGATACCCAAGCAAACACCGAAACAACAGCAGTTGGCCAAGCTTTTCGAGCCACCCTACGATATTCTCTCGTTTGGAACATTCAATCAGGTCAAGAAGTTGGCTGCCGACAGCAAGTTGGTGCTACTCGTAAACATCCAGGATATCAGCAACTTTGATTGTCAGGTACTCAATCGTGATACGTGGTCGGACAAAGGACTGAAAGGCTACATCAAAGAACACTTTATCTTTTGGCAGATTGCACACAACAACCCGGAGGGTGTCGCCTACTGCAGTCTCTACCCGGTCTCTAAATATCCACACATCTCAATCATCGAACCACAAACCGGAATGAAAAAGGCAACTCATGAAGGAATGATTGATTCAAATGATACATATAAATTTTGTAAGTTGGCTAACAAAAAACACTTCACTTAAATAATAACATTTTAACTAATATTCAAATTGCTATTATTACTGTTACATTAGTACAACACTACATAATTGGACAATCAAAAGAAGTAAAGAAACCAAGAAAATATACTTCAGAGGAAGAGGAATTGGAATTGGCGATTCAGCGTTCGTTGGGTCAGGACCCTGCTGGTGCGCCAAAGAAGAAACAAGTGAATCTCGAAGAGGAGGAAGAAGAAGAGTCGAGTGGCGACGAAGCCAAAGCAGAGGAGGAACAGGAGGAGGAAGAGGATAGCATTGACGATGGTTTAGAAAAGTTTGAGAATCCACCACCAGTCGTAGTTCCACCGATGACCCAACCCGATACCATCGGCACCGTTGGTGACTGTACAATTCAAATTCGTTTGCCAGGCGGTGAAATTCTCAAAGGTCAATTCGCAGCCAACGACAAGATTCAGAAACTCTACTACTTTATCTCTGTAAAGAAAGGAATCAACAATTTTGTATTATGTACCAACTTCCCAAAGAAAGAACTCTCTGGTGAAATTTTAAATAGAACTCTGGCAGAAGAAGAGTTGGCACCAAGAGCAGTTCTAATCTTGCAAGAGAAATAGATAGAGAGTGTGAATAATATCATAATAATAAAAATAAAAAATAATCGAAATGTGTAAATCAATTAACAAATTATATATATTGTTTTGATTTGAATATGTATAATAAATAACTTTGGGAGGTTTAATAACTATTTACATGTAATTTTTTTAACTATTATAAATCAATGAGAAAGGGAGTGTGTAAGTGGGAGGAGGATGGGGAGGAGGAAGAAGAGGAATTTTCAGGAAGAATAAGTAATAACCATTAATATGGTTGGTAATTTTGATTCCCATTTAAAAAATATACATAGAAATGGTTTATTATCAAAATTTTCATAGTGAGGTAAATCGCTATGTGGATTATGATAATTAATCTCTTTGAATAGTTTAAAGTTGAATAGTTGTTGATGTTGCTGCTTCTGCTGCTGACGATCGATGATATTATTGGCGATAGGTTGTTGTTTACCACCAATTTTGTCTACCTTTGAATCCACCACGATATTGAGAGCAGTAGTTAGTGGTGTTGTAATTGAAACTTTGTGAAGAATCGTTAGAGTTGAATCCATCGCTGCTGCTAGAATAACCTCCACAATAATTTTCGTTTCTTGCTATATTATATTATACCGATAATAAAATTAAAAATCTATTTACTTTGCATTATTATACTTTATTTTAAAACAACACATACGTCTCATTATTTTATTTTTTTTATTTTATTTAGTTATAAATTAATTAGATATTTGGCGAATTTGATTAGATATATATATATTTATTTTTATTTTTTTTAATTTACAAGTTTAGGTGAGAATACAACAAAGACCATTTTGACCAATCTTTGCGAATAAAAAGTTGTAGATTGAATTTTGTTGCGAATTTTTTGATGAATTTTTTTAAAAAAACTTGTTTAATTTTGATGTTGTGTTTGGGTCTCTCTGTTTTTTGTTACAACAAAGCCACCCACTGTTAAATTTCTCACCCAGATTTTTTATTCAAAAACCTCGCAAATCAAATAAAGTTGCACGAAACGAAAGGTCAGGTTGTTGACCTGACCCCTTTCGCGGAATCAAATTGTTGTTGTAAAATAATTATTGCTTTAAAATGACTCGTAATTAAAAACGACTTGAGTTGTTATAAATTTTAATTTTCTTTCAAAGATTATACAAACAAATCTGAATTTAATTGATAATAAATAAAATGATAAATAATCATAACAAATTTGCAAATCTAAAGATATCTATTTTTTTTCCTGGTTAACTTTTTTTTTTTTTTTTTTTTTTTTTTGATAACACATATATAATATTTTAAATTTTATTTATTTAATTATTTAATTTATACACTGACAGCCATTAAACCAGCAAACAAAGTCATCATCATCTTTGGTTTGACTTCAACGATATCCTCTGGGAGTGAGAATACGACGGCACCAATCTTTCTGGCGGTGGAGATTGCCAGCTTAGCGTTCAAAAGGTTGTCTTCGGCGGTACCAGAGGTGGTAACCAATGAGCTGTCAACAGATCCTGGACGGATTGCTTCGATCAAATCCAAAATTGGACGAGCATCGGCAAGCTTACCGTCTTTGAATCCAGAGATGGTCGACTTACCGGCGGAACGAAGCTTGTTGTTGGCCCACTCGACAATGTCGGCATCACCGATTGGCTTACCGGTGGTGGAGAGTGCGTTCAAGATGGAGAGTACGTGAGCTCTCATCAGCTGCCAGATGATCGACAATGTCAAAGTCTTGTTCTTGTCATAGATGTTCTTACCGTCGATTCCGACCAACGAGAAGTTCATCTTCTTACCGAGCTCGATGGCGTAGTTGCAGTTCTCGAGCTTCTTCATCTCACCACCCATCGCTTTGTATGGTGGATAGTTGACACGCTTGTTGTCTACAATTCCTGGCTTGACCTTCTCAAAGAGTTGGATCAAGACGAGACCGTCGTAGACACCTTCGTAGAGGTTGTTGACGTATGGATCGACACCGAGTGAGTTCATCCAGTTACGGAATGTCTTTTCCTCACGGGTCTCCTCGATGACGATTGGTACGTCCTTGACTGGCTCGAGTGCTGGGTGAGTGTTGAAGAGATTGGCGACGAATGCCAAATTCAACTTTTGATTTCCGTTGACAATGTCCTTGGGACGCAAGAACTTACGACATTGGATCTTGTCGGCATTGTCCAACACCATACCGGCACGACGCTCGAGGTTCGACTCGTTCAGTGCGTTGGTGTCGACACCGGCATTCTTTGGTGCGATTTGCTTCAACAAGATAGTGTAGCACTCGGAATCCTTGATGTCACCAGTGAAGTTCTTAACACGACGTGGGTGTCCGGCTTCACGGAGGTGGTAGTTGAACCAACGCAACAAGATCTCCTCGACCGAGAGCTTCAAGAGATCCTCAATGGTTTCTCCTGGCTCCAAAAGACGGTAGAGCTCTGGGTGATTGGTAAGATTGATCTTGGCGAACAAACCAATCTTGATGATTTGCCATACGAGACCCATAATCAAATGGGCACGACCTTCCATCAAGTCGGTGGCACCAATATTAACGATGGAACAACCGATGGCTTTGGCAGAGTTGACGCAGAGCACTTGATTCTCATTGATACGGAAGGTGTTCAAATTCTTCTTGTTGAGAACACGCTCGTCGATTGTCTCTGGTACGGCGTCGTTGATCAACTTACACAACAAGAGACCGTCGTGACATGCCTTGAAAAAGGCATCTCCCTCGGTGGAGATTGGCAAATGACCCTTCAAATCGACATCCGACTTTAAACAGGTGTTGATCCAATCGATAAATGCGTACTTCTCCTCATCGGAGTAGGAATGAGTGGTTCCTGATGATGTGGATCCAGAATATCCACTCAATACATTGACTTGACCTACTTTCTTAACGACTATGGAAATGAAAAATGAAAGTGAAATATGGAAGAAAAAAAAAAAGGAAATTAGTTAAAAGTAATAATATATGTTAAAAATAATAATAATAATTGTTTACCATTTGCAAATCCAGTATCACTACCAGACTTTTTAGCAATTTCAACTACTTTGAGGAACTCATTAAAATCTATTCCACCGGACTGATCAGTATCGACCTCCTTCATCATATCTCTAACTTGGATACCAGTGACTTTTTCACCAAGTGCGGTGAGGATAGAGGACAACTCGGTTGCTGAGATTTGACCATCACCATTCTGATCAAACTTGGCGAATGTACTTCTGTATTCTTGAATTTCAGATGCTGAAAATGTCATTTTTTTTTCTTTTATAACCTTTTTCAAAAATAAAAATATAAATATAATACAACAAACAAATATATATAAATGTTACAATAAATAAGATATTAAAATGTTAATTAAAAAAAAAAAAAGATGATATTTCAATTTTTTTTTTTGGTTGATTTTAAATGAAATCATCCCAACTTCTAAATTTTAATTAATTTTGTTTTTTTTTTTTTTTTTTTAGAATTTATTTGAAATTTAGCTTATTGATGGTTTTTATTTCAATCAATGGGTTTTTTGATATTTTGGTGGTTTGTTTTTTTTTTCAAAATTTCAAAATTGCTCTCCAGCCAAATTTTCTGTTGGCTATTCTTGATCCATTTTTATTCATTGAATTTTTTGTAACAAAAAAATAAAATAAAATAATAGTTAATTTTAACTTGCGCCAATATATCATAATACAAACAAAATAAATCTGATTTATCTATTATTACTCTTATTAATATTAATTTATATTATTTAAGCTGGAGTGTTACATTTTTTGATAATAATTCACAAACAAAAAAATATGTGCTGTGAAAACAAAGCACAAGGAAAGTTGACATTAAAAACAATAAACAACAACTTCAAACACACATAATTACTGTTTTGAAGTCAAAAAATTCACTGTTCAAATTGTCATTAATGATTTTGTTTGTAAACTGAAAAGTGGTCTAAAACAAAAAAAAATAGCTCAATTAATTAATTAATTAAACCCCCCCAAAAAAAAGAAAATTACTGAGGAAAATGATTTCGGTTTGTATTTTTCTTTACCGGTGTGTTTTTTGGATGCGAATTTTTATCACTTGACACGTATTTTAAAATTGCGTGCCGATCTGCAACAGCATGTTTGTGAGTGCATAAAAGAAAGAAAAGAAAAAAAATAAAATAAAAAACAAAAATAAAAAAAAAAACAATCTTTAATTTAATTCCACCTAACATTAACAAATCGTCTCAAGTGAATAAATCAATTTCGTCATAATCCAATCAACTGAACAAAATAACAACAACAATAATATAAATAAGCAGCAATAAAAGATAATTAAAACAACCAAAATTAATATATATACTAACAAATATAATATATATACATTGATAAACAGTTATAGTATACAAGTACATATATAAACTCAAAATATTTTAATAGTAGTAGTAGAAACAACAACAATAATAATAATAATCTTTTCATCATTATTTGCAATTTTTCTCTTTTTTAACTATATATATAGGTACATACTCATACCAACCAAAATTTTTATTTTATAATTTTATCTTTACTTTTTTTTTTAATTTAATTTTTAATTTTTATTAACAATTTAATTTTATTTGTTTTCGTGAGAGATAGAGATAGAAGAAGAAAAGAACAATTTAATCTCGCCATCTATCTCCATAATTTGTAATCTTATTCTTCAATTTGCTGCTGTTCATTGTAATTAATGTTTTTTAAATTAATTTATCGTAATCATTATATTTCTATCATCATCCGGTGACACATTGAGCGATGTATACTTCAAAATAATAAACACCACCCATCTAAACAATACTTCTACCAGTAATAGTCAGAGTCGTCAGTATTTTAAAGAGTGTTTATCATCCTTAAATTTTCCTTTGCAATTGTGATCACAAAATTAATTAATTATTCTATACTCTTCCAACCTTTTTGGAAGTAAGTGAAAATATAAATATGTAATATAAATTAATAAAATATAAAGAATATTATTATTAACACAACAACAATCATTTTCATTTATCATTCCCTGACTGTTTTGTTGCAAGATTCAAAGTTTGCATTTATTAATATGTCAACACATGATCATGTGTTTATATATATATAAATGTGTGTGTGTCTCTCTTGCATACTATTCTCTTTGAATTGACACAAAGTTATTTTTTCTAAATTTTTTTTTTTTAGAACAAACATAGCTTTTTTTTTCTTGAAATTAAATCAAAGAGTAACAACAATAATATTTTTATGGAGTTTGGAATCGACCTTAATAGTGTAATTCATAATTTCATATGGACGTTTGTTTTTTTTTTTTTTTTTGTTTTCATTGCACCAAAAAACTTTTCTTTTTTTTTATTTTTATTTTTTTTTCTCAATTGAATAATAATACATCCCTACCCTTAAACCATTATCCTTCTATATTTCCAGAAGTTAATCATTCATTTGTGTGTTTATTTAACATTCACTTTATTTTTTTTAATAGCCAAACAGAGTAGCAATCTAAACTAACTTGTTATTTATCTTTCTATTTTTTTTTTATCTTCTTATTTGCATTTTGCCTCAAATAAACTTTTTTGATTTTATACAGTTTATTTTTACCTCTCTTTCTAATCAGTGGCTGCAGTTCTGTTCATTTTCTATTGTCATTACAACAACAACAACAACAACAAGTTAGTCGTCAAAGTCTCAAGTTTAATTAAACTGCATTAAAGTAGATAGAATAGTTAGATAGATAGATAGCACAGATTTTAGTCAGTAGTCATATATAGGAGAAACAAAGTAAATAGATAGATAGTTAGATAGTTAGGATAGCTAGTTTTAAATTAATTATAATTATCAGTACTACAAGCTAGACGACAGTAACAAAATAGCACTAGCAACTGCACAAGCAAGCAGCAGGTGTCTGTGTATTAAGAATCACACTTTTTTAGTTTTTCATTTTTATTTTTATTTTTTGATTGGGTGATTATTTTAGAATCAAAAAACAAAAACAAAAACAAAAACAAAAAAAAAAAAAAAAGACAATTTGGAAGTGTTATTAACATTATTGTTATAATATATTTATTTTTATTTTCTCTCCAATATTCTCTTTTTTCTTCTTTTTTTTTTGACAACTCGCATTTTTATTTATATTTATATTTATTAATTATTTAAAAAGAGAATTGAAGCGATATCGGCGTAATGAGATTCAATAGAGGCAGTACTCTAACTCTTACATATTACTACTACTCTTCTCCCACCCAATCTTTTGTTTGCAGACGGATGGCGGACAACAGAGTCATCTAACATTTAATCACCATAAAACAACCACGTCAATCAACAACATATTAAATATATACATACAATCATATTTTATTAGATCAAATCAAATCAAATCAAATCAAAATTAGAATAAACTACAGCAACATCAACAACAACAACATATTTATCAATATTTATTTAAAAAATACATTTATTTATTTATTTATAAATATAATATATATATATATATATATATATATACAATAATATGAAATCAAATAGTAGCAATCAATCAAAGCAAAAAAGTAGCAATAGTAATAGTAGTAATAGTAACAGTAATAGTAGTAGCAGTGGCCGACTTGCATCTTCTCCCACTTCTTCTATCATAACACCCTCGTTCAATGTCGACAGTTATTACCAGCCTAATTGCCAGACACCAAACCATCTCTCCATTTTCCGTTCACCTCCTTATGTCACTTCTGGTGAGCATTCTATCAATATATCACCCAAGTCTCCGTCGACTGTCAGTTCACCTCCAACTATCAACTCACCACCAACAACAACAACAGCTACTACAACAGCAGCACAATCAAATGACATATCATCACCACAGTCACCACCTCAAACAGTTACCCAGCTATCAAGTCCAGTCATAAGTGCCACTACAACTACAGCAACAGCTACGACAGCAGCATCTACTACGACTACTACGACGACTACTACTACACAGCAGCAGCAGCAGCAACAGCAACAGACACCTACTGCAACCTCCAGCGCGCAAACAGCATATCCAAAAGAGGTCTATGAATCATCACCTGCCGTCGGAGGATCTGGTTGCGAAGTTGGAAAAACTCAGTGCGATGTATGCGTTAAAGGATCACCAAGTTGCTTGAATTCAAAATCATCATGGTAAGTATCAACCAACATTATAGTATATATAAATAGTTACAAATGTTCTTATATTTATATTGTTATGTTTTTTTATATTTTTTTTAGGGCAACTATTCTATGGGTTGTATTTTTTTCATTAAAGGAGAAATCCAGAGGACAAGAGTTTTTCTCACTAAAGCGCGATGTTTATCCATTTGTTTCTCACCATTGGGACGTGTTGTGTCCAAAGCGGAGTAGATCACACAAATGGAAGAAACAGATACAAGTATTTAACTTATGTTGTAAAGTGTTTTGTTGATTATAAGATATCTATAGTTATTGGTTTACACGTTATAGATATTTTTAAAAGTATATGGTTCTTTTAGGTTACAAGTTTATAATTTTATTGGAATAACATCATTCCTTATTTTACTTTATTATTATGTCGACAATAGATTCTGGTTATTTTCTTTTTTGTATCCAAATGTTAATTCGGTACAACATGCAGCAAAAACAAGAGATACGAAAATACTCTACGATCCAACAATGATGAATTTCTTTATTATTAAACGGTCTTTCCCTATAAAATTGGGATACAGTCGTTGTGTAGATCTTGTTTTTGTTCTTGGACAAACAAAAAAGGAAAAAAAGGATGAAAGAAAAAAAAAAAAACAAACTTAGGAACTATATATTTATCTATACTGTGTTTTGGAAAAAAAAAAAATAGATAGGTGTTTTTTTATTTTATTTTATTTTATTTTTAAAATTTATAAATTTTATAATGATGTTGGGTCAACATTCTTTTTATATGAAATTAACATTGTAGTACTTTCTTTCTCTTATTAGGATGCTTTATCTCATTCAAAAGTTTTCAAATCTGGAATTCAGAAATTAGGATGTAATGGATACTGGAAATTAAAATCATATACCAGTCCGTGGACGACATTGAAACCTGCGGATTTGGATGAGTTTCAACCCTCGACAGACGACGAAGATACCTCGTCTGCCGCTAGCAACAAACGTAGTCGTGACATCGTTAACGAAGAAGACGATGATGAAGAACAAACAAAACGAATGAGAGGTGAAAATTCTAGAGGTAAAATATATTTATAATATATATATTATTAAAGTTGATATCAATTAACACCTCCTCTTATTTTATCTTATTATTACTTTAGAAAATCATCATAAATCAACTTCCAATCACGGAAGTGGAATGGTTGGTTCGCCATCATCTCAAAATAAATATTTATCACCACCAACGGCGGCATCGTCCTCTTCTACCTACAGGAGTGGTCATCGTGTACAAACATCACATCACAACCAAATGGTTGTTGATCACCACAACCATCAACCGAGTAGCAGCAGTGGTATGCAATATAAACAGGATTCATCCATGTTCAACTCGGTATGGGATGCTATCATAGGGTTGACTAAAAGATTGGATTCGATTGAGCAGTCCGTCTCAGAGTATCGCAACTCGACGAATTCAAAGCTAAACGATATCTATAATTGTATTAGCACTGTAGTTTCTAATTTACCACAACAACATCAACAACAACAACAGCAGCAACAGGATAGTCATCACCACTTTCGTCACCCAGAATCGCCACCTTCACACCAACAACACCCAATCTCTTCACCAGAGTCACCACCGCAGCCAGCCTCACCACCGCAACTCTCCTTTCATTTTCAACACCAATACCAACAACACCTACAATCCCACCAATATCAACAACAACAGCAACAACAACAGCAGCAACAACAACAACACACAAAGTACCAGAGCGGCCCAACCCAACCCAAATCTTTCACACCTTATTCTCAGTTTCAACAACCATCTCCTCAATATCAATCAAGACCGAAACCATCTCCCTTCTCCGCTAAATCAGCGCCACTCCCCAGAGTAGACAACTCAAAGCCCGATCAAGTCAACCTGGGTGATTGGCTGCAGCCTGTGAACACACTGACTTCTCCTGATCTCCCAAACCTTACCACCAAACACTACAGTCCCCAATCCACCAGATTAACCAACCAAGATTTTCCAACCAACCACCAACCACAACCGAAACAGACGCCACAACCCCAACACTTCCAACATATTAACACCATCGCTTTAAAATATCAAAAGTACTCTAATCACCATATTCTAAATCAAAATGAACTTTTGAAATTTGAACAACGATCAAAATTCAATATTCCAAATTCAAATACCGACGAACCAAATCATCAAACCCAGCAAATTAAATATATCTTAAATTCTTAGATGAATTAATAAAACTATTATTATCTTGACGACGTATATGTGAGTTGAATCAAATTCTGTAAAGATTTGATCATCTTCACTAATACCAAAAATATCAAAATCAATTACTGGAAATCCTATTTCTTTCTGTTTTTTTATTAGATTCTTTTTTTTTTTTAATATAGATATTATTTTATTCTAGAATAAAATGGTATCATTTTATTGATTGATGTTGAACATCCAGACATATTGCAGATGTCTAATAATACAAAGAATAATATTCCTATTGAATCATTACCTTATGATTTTACAATACCAGGTTTGTTAAAAGAATTTAGTACCATTAATGATTATTTTTTAAAAATTGTTAAAATTAATAAAATATAGATCATATTCTTGATTATGAAGGTATCAAGTTGGATGACAAGTTAATTTCTCCTAGAACAGAAATTGTGACATCTATTACAGATCATCTAGATAAAAATGGTACATTACTCTTAAACTCAGCTCCAAAAACCGGAAAGACACATATTGCTCAATTTGTTGAAAAGGAGTTGATAAGATCGAAGCCAATGGCCTATATAAGAAGGTTTTCATTCAAATGGCCGTCATCACGATCAGAGTCCTCCGCTTCTTCAAGTGAACAAGACTTTATCAATCTATGGGTTCAGTACACTGGAATGTCTTTCAGTGATTGGATGACCCTATCGGATAGTCACCCAGTATACTTGATCATCGATGAAGTTCATAAGCTCTATGATAGCAGACATCGATTTCATTCGTTATTCTGGCCATTGATTGTAGCTAAGAAAACAGCTCACATCTTTTTGTTGGCCGGATATGATGTATTGGTTGAATTAGAATTTCCATTCGATCTCGAGAGTATCATTTCTAAACAGTTTAATTCTATGAGTTTACTTCTAAGTGAGAATGCATACCTTGACCTCATCGGTAGTTTCGAATCGCTACATTCAGTGACATTCCCGAATACAATCATCGACAAGATCTGGTGTGATACAAACGGACATGTTGGATTGATCAGGAGTATACTTGAGTACATTTCAACTGACAACAAACTTTTACAAGCTATGAAATCAGTTGTATCTATCAAACAATTAGAGTCTACATTGTTTATGTTTTTAATCTCAAGTGACTATAGTGAGCTAGTTAAAAACACAAGTGCAGCTCCTACTCTGTCAAACTTTAATAACCAATGTCATATCGATGATCAACCACATTGGGGATTTCTGGATGTTGTAATAAGTGGCATTGAAATATCTTCGTATCGGTCACCGGCAATCGAGGTGTTCAGGCTAGGTTACCTCATCACCGTACCCATCAAACCAAGGATCGAGCCGAAAGTATGTTTTATAGATTTCAGCCAATCTATTCGGTTTGCATCGCCGCTCTACTATCGATGTCTCCTAAATGAAAGATACTCTAGAGCCAGTTTGAATTTGTTTAAGATCGAGCCTACTGCTTCCGATGGAGTCAAGCGATTGCTCATTGAATCACTCAGACACTTTAGCTCAGAGAACATCGCAAAATACAGCACATGGACATCTCTTGATGACAAAACACTGCCGATATTCGAGGAGATCTGGCATCAAGAGTTCTTCTACTCAGCTACTGCTGCTCAGGGACCGTCTTATATCTGTCCAAACACTGGTACCAAATTAAAGGCTGCCAAGAGAGATGTCGATTTCTTCATTTGCAACAATAACAACGGTGTTGATGATAGTTTTGTTGACACTTGGGCAATTAAGATAATATCTAATGGAGAAGATAGACAATATTATGTAGATAGAATGAATTTATTATCGTCCGATAGTATCGATTATGACAACAAGCAGGCAACTCAAAGAAACCTTTCGGATCCATCAAAATTTTCATCCATTCGACACATGATAAATGATTGGTTAGTTGTAGACTTCACTATAGCAAGTAATATTCAGCTTCCTCCAACTCACGACGAGCATCTTTTGATCGTAGCATATAGCGATGATTTTAAAACATTCACAATCTATGGAACAAACTTTGGTGACTATCAATTTCCCTACACCATTTCCATTAACTAATCATTCTTAAGAAAAACATTTTATTATTAATATTAAATGTTTAATATATATTTTTAAAATTTATCAATGATCACACACAATAAGATATTACTCACAATTAATAAAGTCAATAATTTACTAATATTTTGGAGTTTATTCGAACAACCACATTTATATATTTGTTTTTTTTAAATATCCAATTATTTTTTAATTCTAATTTTTTATATTAGTTGATTTAAACATTTATAATATAACCTTGAATAATAGTATGATTATAAATGATGTAATTTATTTTTTAGCAATAATAATTGTAAAGAAACTAAAAATAACTAAGCAGGTCTACGTAGAACTCAAAGCAACTGGTTACAACTATCTTTTGTAAAGGAGAATCTTACTTTCAAGAATCTATTTAAACAATGATTTTTATTGCTTTTAAATCATTCAAAACAATAAAAACTTAAAATAAAATAGTTTTATAAATAATTCTATTAATATAAAAATGAAGATTGCTTTATTCTCATTGTTGTTTGTTGCATTGACATGTTTATCAGCAGTAAACTCAACATTCATTGTTGGAACATGTGATTCAAGCAAATGTGGTGCTGGTCAAGTTTGTATCTGTGAAGGTGGTGTCAGTCATTGTGTTTTGTTGGATCAATGTCATGATGTTGCAATCGTTCAAACAATTGAACGTAGTTGGGTTGAGAATGGTCAATCATTCACTTTATACCGTGTTCACATCTTCAACTATGGTCCAAGAACCTTGAAGAACATCGCCATTCAAACTGATTGCACTTTGGACCCACGTGACCAAAGCTCAGTTTGGAACATCGAATATCACAATGGATTCTTCTCACTTCCATCCTATGGTCAAGGTATTGCCACTGGTAGAGAATTTGTCTTTGGATACATCGATCGTGGAATGCGTTCTCCAAATCTCTTTATCCGTGCTCTCCAATATTAAATTAAATAAATTAATTTTCTCAATATTTTTCTTAAATAATTGCCCAAAAACAGGACTGTCTTTTTTTTTTTTCTGTGAAGGTTTTTCTTTTTTTTTGATGAAAATATTCATTTTATTCAAACACATTTTTATTTATTCCTTTATTTTATAATAAGATCTGAGAAATAGATAAAAATAATGTAATAATAATATTCTCTATTTACTTTATTCTTTTATCATTCCTTGATTAGAGAATTTAATACAATAACTAAAATATAACTTTGTGATCTTTACTAGAATGTTACAACTTATACACTATAAAAAGCTAACGATCAACAATGTTTTCAATCAAAAACAAAACAATCAAATAAAATATTAATTATTAATTATAATCAACAACTATTATTAATCAAATAAACTAACAATGCCATTCCCATTAGTAGCAAGAAAGAACTTGAAGGAGAAAGAACCAGCTCTAGCCAAATACTCAAAGGAAATTGCCGATCTGGTTGGTCAAGAATGGGAATATCAATTCGATTTAGATGGTTTCTCAAACTACTTGGAAGGAAAGACATTCTCATGTTACTCCAAAGAAGCACCAGGAACATTCTTATACTCTCAAGTGATGGAAGCACTTCGTGATTCCTTGAAACAATTCTTGACTGGTGAGAATCCAACCTTTAGAAAAGAAGCACTTTTGGATGCCGTTTCTGCAAAGAAGGTCATTGTCACTGTTGACACTGATGAAACCAACAAATATGAATACTATCGTCTCAGATTCGATGGCGGTATCATGACAATCCTCTTCAAATGTCCGGTTAATTCACCAAATTCCTCACACTTCAAGATCATTCAATCACTCCCAGGTGCTGGTGGATATCCATTCGAAGTCGCACTCGAAATGACCAGACTCCAACCAAGATTCGACAACTACCTGACCAACCTCTCAAAAGCAACCGGACAATCATGGTCATTGATGGAACCAGCAGTTGCATTGAAGTTATTCCAATCATTCAATGCTGATCACCAAAAATCATTCGCAGGAATGTATTTAGATGCATTGGAGAAGACCTCTGGTAATATTATCAATCGTGTCAAAGATGAGATGGTCAAGGAGGCATTCGCTGAGAAAGTACCAAATGCCACACTCACTTTCGTTTGGAAGAGCACTCAAACCAACTGTGATTGTATTTACGAGTATGTCAATGGTGGATTGGTTGTATCTTTGAGATACCAAGGTTTTTGCAATGTCTCAAGAGATTATGACTTTGAAAGAGATCTCTAAATACAACAATCAATTAATTTATTCATTGTAAACTTATTAAATAAATAATCTTATTTAATTTATTTAATTTTATATTGTTTTTAATTTTTATGAATACTAATAACAGACAATGAGTAATAAGTTTGAAGTGGTGGTTATACAATTTTATAATTATTGTTTTTAAGATAGTTAAGAATAGTGAAGTATCCCATTTTGTTGGCATATCTGTATGAAATTTTGGAGCAGATCTTCTGACTCTGAAGTGAACCAAGATATTTTAAAGTGGGAAATTGTCCAAATTCCAAAGCCAAATGAAATGCTCTTTGAATTGTTGCTTCATTAATTTGAATCTTTTCCAAAATGAACTTAAGAGAATCCAATTGTCCACTTGAAACAACACTGTCAATCATATCTTTTGTGAATAAATTTGGAAATCTATCATATATGAAGCGATATGATTCAATAGAATGTAAAAGTCGATTAATTGGATTGGTATCGATCAGTTTGAGTTCTTCATATAAGTAGGTTGCCATATCTATATCACCATAGCTTAACGCTCCTGCAATTGCATTGATATGAAATGTGCTGGGTCGGTATACAAGTTTTTTATTTTTTATCGTTATATTTGCATGATCATATTTATGTTGATACTTTATCAACAACTTGAGCATATCTATATCACCACTTTTAACGACAGGTCTAATATCCAATCTAAGCGTAGTTTTGCTTTCGATTAACAGCTGTTCAACGACATCGTAGAGACCAATCATTTTGATCTTATTTACATTCAAACAAAGATCGATGATTTCCTCGAGGTCGTTTGGGCAAATCTGTTGATCAATAAGATATCTGAACATGTCGATGTGTACATTGTATGATACATTAAGAATAGATTTGTGATACGTAATTTTGTTGCCAACATGTTGGTGAATATACTTGACGAATTCGAACTGCTTGTACTTCACTGCATAAGTAAAGTGAAGAGAATTGATATCACATAGACCAAGCTGGTGAATAGTTTTGAAGGAGTGAAATCTACCAAGTATAATGACATCGAGAATCTTGGATGGTTTCTCTATCTTGTAGAATACTTTCATTTCTATAAACAAGAAATCAATGATCTCTGGATAGTCGTAGTTGAATACCTTGTTGATTGCTCGGTCAATTATCGTTAAAGGATGGGAGAACAGATACTTTACAATATTGATATGTCCAAAGCTAGCGGCATTGAGCAGTGCTACTTGAAGTTGATCTTTTATACTATCGATATAATTGGCACACATGAATTGAACCACTGAAAGATGACCGTTTAAAGATGCTTGATTCAATGCTCTCCCAGAACAACCTTCACTTCTATTTCGAGATAACCATTCTATCGTTTCGAAATGACCATTTGCTGAAGCATTGTTCATCGCTGATCGATCACATCCTTCTGTTCTATTTTCGTGTAACCACTTGACCAATTGGATGTTTCCATTGGTTGAAGCATAGATCATTGCTGCCTTTGAACATCCTTCAGTTCGATTCTCATGAAGCCATTTGACATTATCCAATCTATTGTGTTTTGATGCAAGATCCATCATTTTAAACGAACTGGTTTGTGATTGATTCCTGGTGAATAACCATTCTAACATTGCTACGTCACCATGCTTTGCAACAGCTGCCACTGTATTCTCTGATAGAATAATACTGTGAGGAATAAAGCTAGCCATATATCTAACTATATCAAACTGCTTTCTGCATGCTGCATACTCGATACTCCTATGCCAATCTGTTGTTTTGAGTTTAAATTTCGATTGAAAATAGTCGACGATTTCAGTGTCACCATTAGATGCTATAATCTTTATATCGAACCTAGATTGGTTTTCCTCCAAAAATTGGCTGGACACACTACCGAGAAGAAGGTCCATCATGATTAGATCTGCATTCTTGATAGCCTGTAAAATGGCGGGAATGATTTTTTGGTCTGTTCTGTTCTCCAATAGAAATCTAATGGTCTCGGTGCTACAACGTCGTTGTACTGCGCTTGCCAAGATATTGCCTTGCCAAATGTCATACTGATATTGTTTATGTACTACTTTGAGCAACGGTAAATGATAAAGGCAATCATGTATTGGAAAAAAAGTCACATAATCATCACCACTTTCCACTAAAATAGCCAGTTGATCAAAGTACTTATATGAAATCAGTGATTTATGATTTCTTATTAAAGTAGACCATCTGATAGATGTGTTACTGTCACAGTAATTTATATATCTAATAAAAGAGAATATCTTTCTCCAAATTACTTTGTTATAATAAAATGATAATAATAATTCTTTATTCATAATTTAAGTTAGATCTATTGGGAATAGAATCAATTAATCCATTGTAAAATGGAAATCAAAAAGATCAAAATTTTAAGTTGTTTTTTTAAAAAAATCAAGATATAAATAATCTTTATAAAGGCTAAAAATGTTGGTAACGTTAAGTTTTTTTATTTTGTTATAGGTTCTAAGTAAGAGATAGTTCTCTACAAACAAATATTAGAATAGTATAGCTCAAAGATCAATCAAGATTGTAAACCAATTAATATCAGTTCATAAATTATACCAAAGAAAATTTTTCTCTATTTTATCAATTGATAATTTTAAATTTATTTAAAAACTTAACAACCAAGCAAAACAAATAGAAAATAGATTCAAATATTAAACAACTATCAAAATAAGCAATTAATTATATTTAAAATTAAAATATTAAGTTACAAATCAAATTTCATTAATTATATTCATTATTAATATATTAATTTTCATATATCCTTATACTTTAAATTTATTACTTATTTGACCAACTATAAGAAAGTAATAATTGTTGTTCTAAATTTATTTTTGTCTAAATATCAGATGAGTATAAAAAACAATTAATACTAATATTTTGGAGTTTATTCGAACAACCACATTTTTTTTTTTTTGTTTACATCTAAAAATAAAGATATATTAATCATTTTATAAAATATAACCTTGCAACATGAGTATAAATGATGTAATATCTATCATTATATTACGTCAATGATCTTTTTATTTTAAAATATTAGAAACTCAAAACAACTAGTAGTAACAATTAGTTAAATATCGTTTGTAATGAATAATCAAACATTTGAAGAATCTATTTAAACAATGATTTTCATTACTTTTAAATCATTCAAAACAATAATAATTTAAAATAAAATAGTTTTATAAATAATTCTATTAATATAAAAATGAAGATTGCTTTATTCTCTATGTTGTTTGTTGCATTGACATGTTTATCAGCAGTAAACTCAACATTCATTGTTGGAACATGTGATTCAAGTAAATGTGGTGCTGGTCAAGTTTGTATCTGTGAAGGTGGTGTCAGTCATTGTGTTTTGTTGGATCAATGTCATGATGTTGCAATCGTCCAGACCATTGAACGTAGTTGGGTTGAGAATGGTCAATCATTCACTTTGTACCGTGTTCACATCTTCAACTATGGTCCAAGAACATTGAAGAACATCGCCATTCAAACTGATTGCACTTTGGACCCACGTGATCAAAGTTCAGTTTGGAACATCGAATATCACAAAGGATTCTTCTCACTTCCATCCTATGGCCAAGGTATTGCCACTGGTAGAGAATTTGTCTTTGGATACATCGATCGTGGAATGCGTTCTCCAAATCTCTTTATCCGTGCTCTCCAATATTAAATTAAATAAATTAAATTTCTCCAAATAATTGCCCAAAAACAGGACTGTCTTTTTTTTTTTTTTTCTAAGAAGTTTTTCTTTTTTTATACAACAATGATCTGCTCCCAAGCATCACCCAGATGTACCTTCTGTCAAATAAAAAGTGAATTATGCGCGCATATTGGGTTATTGTTTAATAAAGATACTCCCCTTCCGGGAATCGAACCCGGGGTATCAGTGTGAGAGACTAATGTGTTACCACTACACCAAAGAGGATTTGGATGAATATTCAACCAAAATATACAATCTTAATCACCTTTTGTATACACTGCTTACCATTCGTATTCACAGGTCTCCCACCGATCAAGATCACCGAGCACCACCTCTTCAAATGCAAAATACTCAACACCTACAAACCCATCATAAAACGGATCATACACATATTTACCGGGGAAACTCTCGACTGGGAGTTCGACATCCTCAAGATGACAAGCAAAAACGAGCTAAATCAAAACGTAATTGCTATCGTACTGCACCAGGTCTGGATTCTTCACTGCAAACTCACGCACAACTCCCTCATCACACCCACCACCTTCTATCACGCAACAACCAACAACATTAACAAACTAGCTAAACTTGAATACCACAAACTAATCAGAAAATCAAAACAAGACTTCGGTCGAAACAACTCAAACATTCAAACATATCAATCAAAATGGCTGAAGAAGCTAGACGACTTCAAACTCATCTGGAACCACCAAACCTGGAACTTCCCAACGCCATCACACCTCATCAGCAAATAAACAAATAAAAATAAAATCCATTTGAGTATTCTTCAAGATATGAGAATACTTTAAAAAAAAAAAAAAAAAAAAAAATATACAATCTTAATTTTTTAAAAAATATATTAATCTAATTTTCTTAAAAACAAAAAAGGAAGGTTTACTCATACAAATATTTCATATGTTTCTATAAAAAAAATTATATTTAGTAATATAATATTTCTCACCAAGGCCTGGAATCCTTCCAGAAACAAAAAATATTTATTCTCAATTAATTGAGATATTAAAGATAACTTTATTAATATTTTTGTTGTTTCTTATATTGTATGAATCTTGTTAAATTGATTCTAGACTCATCGAGACGGTCGAGCATTTGACGATCTAGTTTCTTCTTGTCTGTTTTTATCTTATTTCGCAAGATTGGTACATATTGCTCGAGAGTAGACATCATGTTGAGTTCTTTAAAGACCTGATTGACTGGTGGCTCAGCAAATACATCGAATATCGAATTCAAAGTCTCTGCAATGACCTCTGCATTCTGATCGTTGGCCAAACAGTAGACGAACAACTGACCGATCTGATTCAATATTGATTTACACATATCTTTTTGTCCCATCAAACCAATCATACCAATTAAATTGGTCTTTACCAAAGTAGGAGCATTACTTGTAATAAACAATATATTTTTAATTTCATCTAAATTATTCTATTATTAATTAATATAAAAACCAATTAGTTATCTATCTCTGTCGTCACTCTAATAATAAAGCTTAATAACACTTACAAAACCAATTGAACTATTATTTCTCATGAGTGACCAAAGTGAGCTGGTTGCAATCTCTAATTGTTCAATCTCGGTCTTTGCTTGTGAGATTTGGCCGTTGTGAATGGAGTGTGCAGAGATCTTCAACATCAAATCCCATAGTCTTTGGTGTGAATGTATCTTCTCTTTACTGAATGAGATTAAAAGATTCGATAGGCATTGAATTGCACGTTTATACATTGTCTTTAATGAGATTGCCAATTGCATCAACTCTGTACATTCCTTTACAATCTTTGTAATATCCTGTAATTCAATTGATTCAATCAATTCTATTAACTAAATAAATAAAATAATAATAAATAAGTATACATACTATTTAAAATAATAATCTATCTTTATAACTTACATTTGCTAATAAAGTAGTACTTTCTAAGTATTTAATTAATGGTGATACATCTTGATCTTGTGCAGATTCAATGTCTTGAACATCGAGGAATTTGTCATCTTCGTCGTATGGATTGTCCGATGGTTGTTGCTGGCCATCGTCACTTAGAATGTTGGTAAAGATTTCGATGGCTGTTTGTTGTGCAGATAATGAATCACGCCATTGCTCTTCCATCTTTTCTGCTTCATTCTCAAAAGTAACTGATTCACTCTTTGCTTTCTTTGGTTCTTTAGTATCACCATTATTATTATTATTTGATGTTGTTGATGTTTCACCCATTTGCTGATCTTCAACTTCATCATCGTCATCACCATCCTCTACGATTGTATCTTCTTCAATTGGTTCATCCTCTTCCTCCTCTTGGTTGTTAGATGAAGCGGTGACCTCTTTCAATGCCAATCTCTTCTCTTTGATTGCGAGCAACGATGCTACCGGTTGGAAGTTGGTGAATGCTGGCAAGAGGAGTGGTGTGATCAACTCTACTACTTTGTCACGGTGGTAGTGTGATCCAATATTGAGAAGAGTGACAGAGATGAGAGATAACAACTTGATCGACATCTTTGATTCGCTGACACACTTGTAGAGTTGCATCAACAAGTCATTACCAACGGTCATCGATAGCTTTGCGTTATTCTCTGTGATGATCGACAAGAACTCGCAAGTATAGAACACCAACTCCTCCAAAAACAAACTGTGTCCAATGAGCAATTGGAACAACTTGCTGAAATGTTGACCAACTGAATTAGAAACAACTTCGAATGCTGAATCTGATAATTCACTATTTATTGATTGATTGAATCATTATTAATATTTAAATATTATATTCACATATTATCAATCAATACTTACCAAAGATTTGTTAATAATGATAATGATTGTAATAAGATATGTTGATTCTCCAATGCAGGACCTGTAGTATATTTGTTATTTTGAATTGTACTGATAAACTCTAGTGACCTGTTAAAGTTTGAGATCAAACTAGTAAGAATATCCGATGATAACAATAGATCACATGATTCTGGATTGACAATTGTAAGGTTTCTAAGATTTTGCAATTGATTGAAATTACATAGTTAATATATATATATATATATATAAGATACAAATAATAACAATAGATGCTAATATTATTCTTACCTTAATGCACCCATTGCGGTGACGGCAACTTGTGGTTCAGGATCGGATGATCTCTTTATGATCTTTATGAGATTATCTTTATTATCGAGGAGATTGTTCTTATTGAACGATGTGTTCTCTATGATGAGTTCTGCCACGGTTCTGAGTGCGAGATCACGTTGATTGGCATCCTTGTCATCGACCATCTTCAATAGTTCCTGAGGATCATCGACAAGAGTAGATGCAGCATTCAACACCTGATCATAAAGCATCTTGGCAGTGTCATCATTCATCACTTCAGATGCTGATCCATTTCCTTCGTCATCGTTTCTGGTATTAGCACCTGTGATTGGATCAACTCTATATACTTTTTTATTATTTGTAATCTTTCCCATCCTTATACTATCCTAACTTTTAAAATATTTCTAAATTTATAGTGTTTAAGAATTGAGATATATTATAAATTGATTGATTCACACAACACACACAGAATAGTCAAGTCAGTCGAATCACAAAAAAAAAATAAAAAATTAACTTTCGTTTCGTTTTTTATAAATAAAAATTAAATTATTTTAATTAAATATTTTTATTTTATTTTTTATCTAAATTTGTAAATGGTTGAATAAAATAAATAATATTAAATTAAGATTTATAAGTATTTTGTTTTTTATTTTATTTTATTTTATTTTTAAGATGATTGGTTGATTTATTCATCATCTTCGCTGTCATCTTCGTTCATGTCTTCGGATTTGACATCGGCTGATGGCTCTTGCAAAGCATAGTATTCGGCATCCTTCCAGTATCCGAGTAAGATAAATTTAAACTCTGAAATCTTGTGGTCAAACAATTGTAAAAGTCTGGCTTGGTCTGGGGTGAGAACGGTACCCTTCTCACAAAGATCGTAATCTCTCTCCAAAATGATAACACCATTCTTCAGTGAAGTTGGCATACCTAATCTACGTAAATATGGTTCTTGTGTATGTGTCATATCGATTGGTCCTTGTTTTAATGTAATTGTTTCCTCTGGTTCAAATCCTGCTCTTGCAAAATCAACTTCTCTATATGTATTAAAATATCTATAAAATAATTGATTAATATTATTATTCACATTAATCCAAATATATATTTCTTATATATAATAACCTACGATAAAACGGTATCTTTTGGATCATTTGTGAAAAATAAACAACATTCTCCTGAGCTTTGTAAATTCTATTTGTTTGTAAAAATTGTTAGATAACTATATATATTTGAAAATGGAAATTTATAAATTTTATAAATACCTGTGATAATTTTGAAAGACCTGGCTTTTGTTCGTCACTGTCGGCACGACCCAAACCGATAGATAAAACTTTCTTCTTTCCGAAAAGGAATCTACTGTTGGACCAATCGGCTCTAGCTTGTTTCAAATGATTGTTACGAACATTGTCAAAGGAGATCAAATAGATATCTGAATACTCTTCTACACACTCTCTGACTGTGCTAATCAATTTCGATTTCTTTTGATTTGGGTTCTTTGTGACCTTTGTCAATGAAACTGCTTTACTTCTTTTTGATTGTACCATTCTATTTTTTAGTTTTTACTTGTTGTTTGTAAAAAAAAGAAATAAAAACAATATAAAAATTAATTAATTTAAAATAAATAAAAATAACTAAAAGATTGAGAAACGAAAGTTATAACTTTTGATCGAGTCTGAAAAAAATTGAAAAAAAAATTGAAAAAAAATTGAAAAAAATCAATTAATTCAAAATTAAATAAAATAAAATGGTGTGAGAGAAAAACGAACGAATATTTATTTATGGTTTGTATATTGAATTTTGATTGTATAATACATTAGTTAAAAAAAAAAAATTAATAGAACTTCACTCTTAACTATTATCTAATAATATGACGATTTTCTAGTTGTTTTGTGTTTATAGTCTAAATACCTGTTTGGCCAATTTGAAATCTAAATATTAGAAAGATTAAAATGAATTATTTTTATTTTCTATTTCTGTTAAAAAGCTGTGATGCCGACATATCTATGAGAATATATCGTTGTATGTACAGTTGATATTATATGAAAGTAATTCTATAGCGACTAGTTTACAATCTTTCCAGAGGAGATCATAGTTTTTCAATCCTATGACTCAACCAAGGAGATGTACTCTCCGTCTCAGAAAATCATTGGAAAAGATCACTTTAACCTTGGGAGTATATTCAACTCATTCCTTGGATTCTTTGGATCTCGGTCAGGTCGAGGAAAGTTAAAGTACCGATGAATTATTATCGATAGAAATTGCATAAATTACCAATGACCTCTCAACCAATCACAGTTCTGAGGCCATTTGATATTTTAAACATTAGTCCACTGCTACGTCTAATGTTTAAAAAAAGTGACAAGTGCCACATAAAATACTTTTATACATTTTTCATCCTTGACAAGATACTGAAAAAAAAAAAAAAAAATAATAAACTAGATAACATTTGTATTACTTTTCTAAAAACTTTTTAAAATTTGTTCACATACTCATTAATCTTGTTCAATAAGAGAGAAATGTTTGATGCTCTGTTTGCAAAGCAAACAAAATAAATTAAATTGAAAGGTTTTGAATTATTACTCGATCAATATATTTAATTTAATAAATCTTAATGAAATTTCGATGATGATGATGATATTGACCAAGATAAATTGATAAAAAATCTTTCGAAACCAAAAAAAAAGAAGAAAAGCTTTCTAATAAATTTTGAATTCTTTTTTTTTTCCACACACTATATTTGAGTTGGCAGCACGATGAGTGCCTAATGAGGGGTTAAACTTTATGATCAAAATTGATTTTTAAAGCTTAGGCATGCTAGGTGAGAAAAATTTGATAAAAAACTAAATAACCCAATAACACACGACCTATCTTTTTTTAAATTTTAATAATTATTTTTTATTTAATTTTTAATTATCAAATTTTTAGAATTTTTTTTTTTTTTTTAACCTCCAACTCTTCACCACCAAATTTGTTTTTTTATTTTTAATATCATTTCTATTTCTTTTTTTTTTTCAATATACACAATTATATATAATTACACAGAATGACCACCGTTAAATTAGAATCATCTGATGAAAAGGTTTTCGAAGTCGAGCGTGACATCGCCTGTATGGCCGTCACAATCAAGCATATGTTAGAAGGTATAGTTTTTGTTTAAATATTTTGTCTATCTGAATTATTTATATAATATAAACAAAAAAATAACAATCAGTAAATTAAATTAAAATAAACAAACAAAAAAAACAAATATACAGTAATAATATTTTGTGCGAACGATTCAATAGCAATCTTTTAATTACTTTAAGATAATTTTCAAGATTAAAAACGAGTTCATAGCAATACCTCATTAATTATTACTATTATCACTTTTATTATTATCAAGTTTTTTGTTAAAAGATAATATCTAAACATAGATAAACAAAGCAATAGTTATAATTATTTTTAGTGTAGAAAAGAAAATATAGATTTTGGAGGTAGATTTTTTTGACAGTGGTAAATTTTTTAGTAAAAAAAAAAAATTCAATTTTTTTTTTATTTTTTTTTTCTTCACAAATGATGATCTTGCCAATATTATTATTATGCAATATTAACAATTAAAACTTGTTTTTTATTTATTTATTTTTTAGACATTGGTGAGACTGACACTGCTATCCCATTACCAAATGTCACTGCTGCCATTTTGGAGAAGGTTTTGGAGTACTGCAAACACCACCACGAACACCCAACCCCACAACAAGACGACAAGAAGGACGAGAAGCGTTTGGATGACATCCCACCATGGGACCGTGAGTACTGCAAGGTCGACCAACCAACTCTTTTCGAGTTGATCTTGGCTGCCAATTATTTGGATATCAAGCCACTTTTGGATGTCACATGTAAGACTGTCGCCAACATGATCAGAGGAAAGACCCCAGAGGAAATTAGAAAGATTTTCAACATCAAGAACGATTTCACCCCAGAAGAAGAGGAACAAATTAGAAAAGAAAACGAATGGTGTGAGGACAAGGGTAACTAAACTAATCCTATTTAGTTTATTGTTTATTTGATACGGTAATCTCTTTTAAAACAAGATTTTATACAACAAAAAAATTAAAAAGAAAAAAAATAAAGAAAACCAATCATTAAAACTAAAAGTGTATTCATAAAAAAAAAAATCTTGTTCTTATTTATTTTTATTTTTTTTTAATTTGTTATTTTGTTGATTGATTATCCTCACAAAAGTAAGATTTAATCAAAACAAAGTTATACAAATCTGTTAGTATAACTCTAAAATAAAAGAAAAAGGACAAACAAATAAATTATTAATAAGAGTGTTTATTTATTTTTGATATATCATTTGTTGTTATTGTAACCAATCAATTGTTTATTGGTTGTTTGTACAATGAAATAGGTTGTTGATTTCAAAAGTGTATCTTTGTTAATTAAAATACCTTTGTCTTTACTGTGGGGTTCTCGATACTATCTAATGGAATGGATAGAGTCTTTGCAATGGCTTGCTTGTAGTCATCGACGGTTTCTTCTTCTTTTTCAACTTTAAATGCATAGAAGAGTTGTGGATCGCGGTTAGCCAAAGCAAATTTGTAGCCGGGGAGTTGATCTTCAATGTTATCACCTCTATATTCTTCAAAGTCCTCTGGTAATTCGTATTTCGAAACAATTCCCATCTCATTAAGAAGAAACTGTCGATTGATCACGAGAATTGAAATCAACCATCAAATTCCAAGAATTGCTATCACCTCTTCCACCTCGACCTTTACCATATAGTGTCCTATCGATCCAGATTCCTTAACCAAGTTCCATTAAGAATTTGATTATTATTTATAAATAATATTTGTTTCATTTTAAATAAAGATTTTTTTTTTTCATAAATCATTCATTTTCTTGGAACTTTTTTTTTTTCACAAATTAATAAGAAGTATGTTTGATTTTCATGAATAATGTTTAAATAAATCATCGATCGATTTAATTATTTTGTAAATAATATTTATTTATTTGAATTGTATATAGTAATAATAATAATGCAGAGAATTAGAAAAAAGAATTGTAATGGTTATGATGTTAGTGTTTTCGACGGTAGTGCATCTGTTGAAAATGATGACTTTTTTGATGAAGACAATGGCCATAATGAGGATGGTAATGACAACAATTCCGGTAATAGAAATAACAATAGCAATAGCAACAGCAATAACAATAACAACAACAATAACAATGGTGATGACACATCAGAGACAGTCAATGCATTAGATTTCTTATTAGAAGATCAGCCAACTCAAACTCAAAGATTTCAACCAACACAACCAACATTAAATAATAATAATAATAGTAAACAAACATTAGAAGAAGATGAAGAAGAAGAAATATATAATCCAATTAATATAGTCATTCATAATAATAGTAATAATAGTAATAATAATAAGAAAAGTAAATTAGATGAATATGATTTACAATATGAAGATTTTGATAATGATGGTGGCGGTGGTGATGATTATGATTATGAAGCTGATGATCAACAAGCCAATAGTAAAGAGAAAAGAAATAAGAAAACAGCCGCTAAAAGTAAAAGATCAACGAGAAAAAAGAAAGAAAAGAAGAGTAATCTGGATTTTATTGTTGGTGTAATAGATGAAAGCGCAATCAATAGTGTATCTACAGATACTGGTAAAAGAACAAGAAGAGCCACTGGTAGAAGCATAAGATTGGTTGACGAGGATGAGGATCAAAAGCAACAACAACAGTCAATAGTATCAAGAACAAGATTACAAAGACAGAAAGAAGAGAAAGAGAAAGAGAAAGAAAAAGAAAAACAAAGAAAGATTAAAGAGAAAGAGAAGAAGAATAAGAAGAATAGTAATAACAATAATAATGAGACAAAGAAAGTAACATCTAGAAAGAATGGTAGATTGATATTGAATGAAGACGAAGAAGAATATGATGATGATATGGTTTTAGATTATGAGGAGGAAGAAGAAGAAGACAAAGAAGAGAATGAGGAAGAGCGAGTTGAAGAGCAAGAGAGCGAAGATGAATCAGATTCAATGGATATCAAGCAGAATGAAACAAAGAATAGTGATGATGAAGAACTATCAAATCTATGGGTTGGTGGCAAAGTTGCAGAGATCAATGATCTATCTTACTATCGTGGTATCAAGTTGAATGGAATAGACTACTATGTTGATTTCACTATTGAGGCAGACGATCTCATTGCTAATCGATATGCATCTGGACCATCAATGATATTCAAGCTATCTGCTTTGTGGCAATCGAACGACGATCAAATACCATATGCAGAGTTGACAGTCATCAATAGATTCATCAGTAGGAACAGCAACAACAACACTAGTCAAAGCAGTCAGAATAACTTCAGATCTAAACCAAGACCACCTGTTTCAAGGAGTAGAGATATATCGTTGGATCAGTGTGTAGTGCCAACCAAAGAAGTTATCATTAGAAAGATATCGAATCTCGGTGGTGTTAGACACTGTACTGTCGAGCCATTGTCAGTGTATCGCACAAGAGAGTACTTCCCAAGGAATGCATACTATTGTGACGATTCCAACGATAGGCTGTTGAGCTACAAGGGACCAAAGAGAAGAGCATACGACTCGATTACATTGGTATCACCACCTGCATCACAAGTCAATGCCTCTGGTAGTACCAGTCTAGAGTATGACATATTCATACCGATCAATAATAATAAGCAACTGATAAAGAAACTGAACAGTAATACCACAACTAGCCAGGAAGTTGAACAAGACTCGTCGGATGAACTTAATACTACTTGGGGTGGTGGAGGTGGTGATGATAGCTATGAAGATAGTGATCCATTTCCAACTAGTGATGAAGAAAATGATAGAGATAATCAGTTGGATAGTGATTGTCAGGTTAATAGTGATGATGACAATGACAATGATAATGATCAGTTACTATTATTGGACAATGGTGGTGGTCCAGCAAAGAAAGAGAGTAGAAAGAGACTGCGAAAGATAATGCCAGAGGATATTTATGCAAAGGAAGATTCACTGGATTTGGGTGGAATAGACAAGTCTATAAAGTTGAAGGATAGAGATAGGAAGAGAGTCAAAAGCGCAATGTCAGACCTTAAAGATAGTAGAAAACAACGTGCAACTCAACAAAAGAAACAAAAGAAAGAACTTCTACAACAACAAAAACAACAACTACAGATTAGTGATAAAATGGATAGTGATATTATTGTTCTAGATGAAGATGATAACAACAATGACAACTATAGTAATAGTAGTGGCAGCAGTCTACATCTACCTTCACCAATGCTAGCTTCCAACTTGAATTTGGGTGATAGTCACACAACTGATGGTGTCAACAGCGGCAACAAAAAGAGTAAGAGTGGTAGTAAGAAGGTTAAGGTTACTAGTAAACCTACTTTGGATTTCAGTGGTGGTAGCAGCGAGGATGAAAGAAGAGGTGCCTATCAGAAAGTGGAATTGACCGAGGAAGATAAAGAAGTGATAAAGAATTCAAAGTTGAATTGGGAGTTGAGCGGTTTTGCTAACCCGCAGAAGATGTCTGTCAGGAGAGCGACACTGCAGTTTGAAGGTCCGTCGTTAGCCACTCAAATGATGGACGATGCAATCAAACAGTTGGCACGTGAGCAACACGCAAACAGGAAGCAAACAAAGATTCATAGCTTTTTCAACAAGACCAACAAGTCGCCATTACAGCAAGAGTTGGACGACCATCAAGCTCATCGTGCGTCACAACCTACACATTTCATTCGACAGATCTTCGATGTCGATAACGATACATTCTTTATACCAAAAGATAAGAAAGATAAGGAGAAAGAGAAAGATAAAGATAAACAACAAAAGAATGTTTTCAGTGGTGGTAGTAGTAGTGGAAGTAGTGGAAGTAACAGTGGAAAAGTAGAGCAAGATGAACCCTATTTCAAAAAGGTGAATGAATTGACATTCCTGTTGCCAAACGGGGAGGTTGCGCCAAAGTCACAATCTACCAATATATCGCCGACCAAGAAGAAGTTGTCTGGAGCCGGTGTTTTGCTGGGTGGAAGTCAGCGACGTGTGTCTAGTGGCTATTTCGTTGATAATATCGTTAGTGACGATGAAGGTGATGATTACGAATATGACGATTTTGTTGTCAACGATGAAGATGCGTCAGCCAGTGAGAATGAACAAGAGGAAGATGCTGAAGAGGAAGAAGAAGAAGAAGAGGAATTCAAATTAAAGACCAATACCAAGAATAAGAATAATAAGAAAAATAGTGAAAGAAGAGGAAGTAGATTGATAAAGAAGAAGAATATAGATAAATCACCAATTAATTTTGATGAATTCGACATTACAAGCAAGAGTAGTAATAATAATAAAAAGTCAGGACCTGCAGATATCGATCTACTAGATAACGAAGAAGAAGACAGAGCAGCAAATCATCAATCAACATTCTTGGATAGGTATCTAAATGAAACAGATAGCCAGATTTACCAATCACAACATCAGAAGGTCGATGAACAACCAACCAACAACATTGATCTATCAGATTCAGACAATATACAAAAGATTAAATCTATTAATAATTATAATTCAGATGGAGAACAAGAGCAAGATGAAGAGCAAGATGATGATGATGAAGAAGAAGAGGAAGAAGTAGATATCAATTATTATAGATCGTTAAATAAGAATTTGACACCAACAAAAATCAAAGAACAAGTTAAACATCAGTTCTCAAAGAAATTTACAACCAAAGAATCATTCGATATCTTATTGCAGTATATTGTTAGTTGTATATTAGATAAAGACTTTATTAACTCTGTATTTGATAGTGATGGTACGTAATGTTTTTATTAAATATATCTATTTTTAAGATTTAGGAATAAATATTAATTAAATAACTTTATGTATAATATAGATAATTATTTCTTAGATGCAATTGAAAAGATTGAAATGACAGTGGTCGGTAGAAAAGATACATTGGTTCGAAGTAGTGTTTGGCAAACGGGTTTCTTTGACGACTTGCAGTACAGACCACAATATTCATTGCTATACAACGATGATATCAAAGATTCAACTGAAATGAGATGTCAATCATGTAAGCGTGCTACTCATTCCGTTACCGCAGCCATCGTTCTCTCTGGTAAATCTTATGAAGTCGGTGATTTCTGGAAAGGCTATTTCTGTGTAAGTTTATCTAAAGAATTAAGATATTTATCATCATCATCATTATTATTATTAAATAATTAACATAATCATTTATATAAACAAATAATAGAGACCCGAAAAGTTACAGATAAACTTAACTGAACCAAAACAGAAAATGTATCATCTTGGATCTCATTGTTTTAAGAAAACATCGTTGTTCCACGAGCTGCATCACTATCCGTTTACTCTTTATAATACGATCAAGAAACAAGTTAGAAAGTATCAACATATCAATCCAGACTCTTCAATACCCGATATACTGGATCATTTCATTTCTGATGATCATTGGACTAATAGTGTATGTATATTTAATTTCAACCAACCAGTTGTTTTAGATAATGATCATAGTATTGAATATTAACAACTTACTCTATCAATAGTTATTCCTACAATTAGAATCACTTTTACAATCAGCGGATGAATTAGGTTTATTAAAATGAATTTGAAAGATATCTTTATTTGAATAGCTTATCGATCTTTGCAATAAAATCAATTGCTTTGTAAAAATGTTTATTATTAATAATATTATAATTTAGTTTGTTGTTTGATTTAAATGTTTGTTCTTTAGATGTTTGATGTAATTAATGATCGATGAGAAGTTGATTATCTTGGCGTTGAATGGTGACATAATTAAGAATCTCTCGTTGTCTAATCTTCTCGTTTTGAAATCAATATGATCGCTAAAATAAACGCTCAAAGTAAGGTCCATGATCAGTGATTCTTGAATTGATGACTGTGATGTAGGATATTGATTTTCAAAGTACTCCAATGGAAGTGTCAATGATCTAATGGAGGGTGGCAGCCAATCGAATGGGTGATTCTCAATATCATCAATCTCTAACGATTCCAATGTAGAGGGTGCATTTCTCATTTCTCTTGAAATATTTGAACAGTTCCATGTGTTGGTATACTTGAGGTGTTTCACTCTTGGAAATCCACTGGTAGTCGATAGTTGCATCCAACTATCTACTACCAATTGGACGTCACCAGGAATGAAAACGTCAACGTCATCACCTAGTGATTGCTTAAACGAGCTCGATAGTTGCAATGACTTTAGAGTGCTTGGTATTCTTTGTTGGAATTTAGTATTCTCCTGACCAACTGGTGTTCCAATCTCGAGTGATCGTATTGTAGATGGAATGAATGTGTTATTATTATTATTATTGTTATTGTTATTGTTATTTTCTGATTGGTTGTTGTCGTTTGGATAGTAGAATACAAGATCACCAACATAGGATTTCAAACATAGTATCTTCAGTGTGGATGGTAATGTTCCTCTAACCAAAGGATGTGAATAGTTGTCGTTGTTAATGGTGAATTCGGTAAGTCCATGCGGAAGCAATCCTGGTTCGAATAGCTGATTATAGTTGTTTCCAAGTAGTAGTTCTTTCAAGGTAGGTGGGAAGAATCCTTTTTCAAACTTCTGATCGCATTCTAAAAGGTAAAGTATTTCTAGTCGAGGAGGTAGCACTGCATTTGGACCGAATAAGGGTGATTCCTTTCGACTAAGGACAAGTTTGGTAATACTATCGGGTAATGAATAGTCAACTATTGCCGTCAATGGCCTGGTGATGATCAGCTTCTCCATTCGATTGATACCTGGAAGAGAAGTTATAGGAATACCCAAATGGAAATGTAATACCATTTCATTGATATCCAAAGCGATATCATGATCACCCCATGTTAAGAATTGATCTATTGTTTTTATAGAATATGAAAAGTTTGTTTAAAATGTTTGCTGTTTGAAAATAACTATAGATTGTATTTAAATATATATATATATATTTACGTCTATTTACAATAGTAGTTCCTGGGTTTGGATTGGTTGAATAATAAGTGTGATTGGTCATCACAATTATACATTTAATTAGTTGTTGAGTATCTACCGCAGGCAATCTAATAATCTCTGTTTGATTTACAAATTGCTTGAGCATGAGAGAACTTTCATCGTCAAGGTTTTTGAATTTAGAGTTGATTTTCAACTGTAGATGAAGATAGGTAGATCTATTATCATACCATCTCTTACAAGTAAGAGCAAAGCAAATCTTATCTATATTTTCATCTAACCCTTCAACTATCTTTTTTATTAATATAAAAGGAAAATTAACTAATAAATTAATATTATTATTATTTGTCATATTTAAAAATATATAAATCTGAAAAATAAATCTGTTTTAAGAAAAATGATAAACAAATTAGATTGTATGAATAATTATTAAGAAAGATAATATCTAAAAATTATCTTTTTTTTTTTAGAATTCTTTAAATTCTTTAACTTTATGTCTGAAGATATAGATACTTTACAAACAAAATCAACAACAAATATTAATATAAAGAAATTAGATGATTTAGTTGATCTTTCAACTAAATTCTTTTTTAAATATAAGAATAAAGCAGTAGAAGATCATAATGAAGCAACACAAATACTAAACAAGTTAAATAGTAGTAGTAGTAGTAGTAACTCAACTGAAACAACTTATGTTTGCAATACTCCTTTACCTTCCAACCCCTCTAGAGCAGATCAAGTTTACTTCTTAAAAGACAGAGTAAAAATCATTCCGCTTCAAGGGTACTATGCCTTGAATGAATATGTAAATGATCCATTGTTTCTTGTTAATAACCCTGGTGATACAGAATACAATGATGCTGTCTCCAAATCAATTACAACATATCAACAATCTAGAGCTATAATACTAATGGAGTTTCTAAAATCTTCATGTTTCATACTTAGATTACAACTCAATGATAATAATAATAATAATAATAATAATAATAATAATAATAATAATAATAATAATAAAAATAGAATAGTTGAAAATCTAGTGTTAGGTAGTGCTTATACACCAAGTAACCTAATCGATTACTTTGAAGCACAATCACAAACTAATTCTAAAAGGATATGTAAGCCTGTAAATGTAGAGCACAAGTTCGACCGACACGGTATGATGGGTCCTTGTGAGTGTTATCTTCATACGGTTTCTTATGAATTCATAGGTGATGACAACTACGGAGACGGTCTTCCACTATTAGAGACTGCAGTATGGCAACAAGTGGTCTGGCCAGAAGGAGATGACAGCCAACTCATTCAATATATCTATACGAAAGCAAAGTTTGACATCAATATGGTCACTGGTCTGGTTACATTCTCTGGCGAGTTTAAAAAATTCAAATTAATATGTGAATCTATCAACAACGGTCATAATCAACAAGTAATCGATAGAATATCAATATAGTTTTAATAAATATTTATAAAGATTACACTTGATTAGACTATTGTAAAAGACTATTGAAAAATAATCAGTCTAATGACAAAGAGAGGCAGTGACATAATATTTTTTAATAATGATAAATAATATAATATGGATTTTACCATATAACCGTGCAATTCTTGGAATTTGGTTCCATTTTGTTTATAGTGTGGAGATCCTGGACTGTACCCTGATATCATTTTAATGTTCTACAACGAGCAGAAAATCACAGACATTTTTCTATGTCTCCAAATAAAACAGATTTATCTGTCTAGAAAATGCATACTTTATACATGTTGGTGGTGTTATCATGTTCATTAAATATGTTTATCTTAAAAAAAAAGTGTAGTGGTCTGTGTTACTTTATTTTTTTAATTTTGTTACCAAATTGATAGAATTCACTGTTTTTTTTGATTTCTAATAAATCTCAATTTTGAGTTCTGGAATAGTGTAAATAAATTATCAAATGTCACTTTTTAAATATTAAAAAATAATCATCTCCCATTCACTAAAATTCTTTTTTTTCATTAATTTTATAAATATTTTAAGAGAGTAAATACAATTTTTTTCTACTAGAATGACGACTAATCTTCCACAAATCAATATTAGTTTTTTTTTAAGATAAACATAATTTTCAATCAAAAAGGTTATAAATTAAAACAATCTAAAGTCCAGATTTAAATCTTTTTTTCATTTCAACCAAAAAATCTAGTTTGTTTTGACGTTCAAAGGATTGGCTTTGGGAAACCACAAAAAAAACCGCTAAAAAAACAAAAACTGTAAAAATTTTTCTCAAAAGTGGTCTTTGGACAATGAGTTTAATTAATCCTGCAAATCAATTTCAACCCTGTTATTGGGTAGTTTGGTTCGAATCCAAGTTTACAATAGTAACTCGAATCTTTGGAGATATCAATCTTTAAGAGTAACCTATCCCTATCTAATAAACGAGAAATAAATAATAATTTGAATAAAAAAAAATATTATATTTATTCTTTAATATTATAATGATTTACATCTAGAAAATTAATAAATGAAAAACTATTTAAAATCAATAGTTGGGTAGAATTTATCATTTCAAAACAAAATCAAATACCAATTTAACAAACAAACAAATAATCAAAATGAATAAACTAACTCAAGCTTTATTATGCTCACTCCTCTTTGTTGCTATTGTCAGTGCTACAGATTGTGGCTACTATTGCACCAGCTGTTGTGATGTCTTGACCAACAGACTCATCGATCTCGAAAACAGAGTCACCGTCCTTGAAAACTCAAAGGTTAAGACCATCTCTATTGCTTCCCCTATTCAAAATAATATCATCTCCTCTACAACATGGACTCTCCTTCCAGGTACCACCACCAATGTTGAAATCACTCGTCCAAGTAATTTGATAGCTAATATCCACACTGTCTCTCATTCCGATAATTTGGGAACTGGTGCCCAAGCCGTCGATATTACTGGATTCCTTAATGGTTACTTAATGAGCCTTGGTAATCCAGGAACAGTGGCACCAACTGGACTAGGAATTGATCACACCCTCCAATGGTCCACCACTCCAGCACTCAACCAACAATACTTGAGCCCAGGTAACTACACCTTTGACATCAGATCAAGATTGAGAGGCTCAACCGCCAACCCAGGAGAAGTTAACAACCCAGGTGCTGTCCTCTTTATCGTTCCTTTGTAAACTCCTTCCAATATAACATTAAATAAATAGAAGGAATTTTCTTTATCCTAAAAATCATCAAAAATTACTTAATTTTATTTATTTTGAAAATTAATGTATTTCCTCTATGATTGAATCGTAACAGTTCCATTTATATTTAGACTTTTCAAAAATTGAATTAACTTATTGTGACCTATCGACACGGGAGAGTCGAATTTGAATGTAATTCTTCGAAGTGTATTACCAAATCGTTCCACCATCATTTCTATCACATCGTAAATTCTAATACCAAGTGAGTCACGATATTTATCTTCAGAGATTAAAGATTTGAAGGTATCTACATATAGATAGCTAACATCCATATTCAAGACAAATTGAATTATATCCAAATCATAGGTATGAACAGCAAGCTCAAATATTGATTTCGAATAGTTGATGTTCTTGCAATTGTTGTAAATGAAATCCAAAATATCAAGATGCTTTTGTTTAATAGCCAAATTCACCAAAATACCTTTGAACAACTGGTCACCACACATTTCATGCACTAATCGAATACTATTTAGACAACCAAGTTTCACTAAATCTAACATGTCTGCTTCCTTTAGATGTTTTAAAGACAATCCGTTCTCTCTGAAAAAGAAATTGTTGACTTGCTTGTGGTTGTAATATAGAGCTTTTGTGATACTTACACCGACTGATGATACCTTGGGGAAAAGGAACCTAATGATATCCATGTGTCCATTGATCGATGCACTCAGTAATGCAGACATAAGATTACACTCTCGTTGCCGGTGAGTAAAGAGGTAGACGACCACATCAAAGTGTCCATTAGTTGCGGCGTCGTTCATTGCTCTTTGATCACAGCCTTCATTCCTATTTTCTTCCAAAAATTTCACCACCTCCAAATGTCCATTGGCAGCCGCTATATTCATTACCTCCACAGAACAACTTTCTTTACCATGCTGATGTAGATATTTCACAACATCAATATGATTGTTGGCAGCAGCTTCGACCATTGCTCGAATAGAATATATTGTGAATCTTCGGTTCTCATTCAGATATCTGACCATCTCTAAATATCCTTTTGCCGCTGCCTTTTCCAAAGCCCTGCCACTGCTTCCTCCCTTTCCATTCTCACTCATCCATTTCACCATATCCATGTTATTATTGGAAGCTGCATAGTCAACTGCGTGATCAAGTCCATGTGCTCTCGTCAACATGGCTGTCTTTGATGAATAAAGTTGTTTGAGAAGATCCAAATCACCGTGATTCGCTACCATATTGAATGTATTGACTGTAAGCACAATTGGAGGCGATGCACTCTTAAAACAGTCAATGAGATAACGAACTATATCCATACGATTGCTAACTGATGCACCATCGATTGCCAGATGTACATTGAGTGGTGTTATTAATCCATTCTTCATAAACAATCGAATCGTTTGTGAATCTGCTTTCTCCGCTACAAATTTTATTTTACTTGTAATTCCACTAAATTCCTTTGCCAAAGGAAAGAGATAACTGATGATTTCATTATTGTTGGGTGTCGCAACACAAGCATTGTAGAAAGCCAAAGATATTTCTGTTTTCGTTGATTTAGCAGCCAATATTTTAACAACATGGAGATTTCCGGCAGATATTGCATTGGTCAATAATAATCCTGACGGCCACCACTTTTGATATCCGTAACTCTCCAGAATAAATTGAACAAAAGACAAGTCTTGAATAACAGATTTTTGTTTGAAATGATAATCTAGCATCGAATTCATTATCCAATGAATTCATCAAAACTCTTAACTGATCGAAATAACCATAACTCCATAAAGTTCTTGGAATACTAGTAACTTGATACCATTTATAACCTTGATTACCTCTATTTCTATTTAATAACTTTACATTTCTCCATATACATATCATTATGTATTTATTGGAAAAAACATTTTTAATTATTTGTTCATTTAACATAGATCTTGGTTATTATATTAAAAAAGATTGTTTTGGCGTAGAGCATTTGGCGTACTTAAAAAGTAATTATCATGATTCTATTTGGATTGTTTTTTTTTTACACAAATCAGAATTTCCAGAAATAAATAAGAAATTGTTTGTTTGTTTTTTTTTTTGTATATTACAAATAATGGTTTTATTAAATAAAGTAGTAGTTTGTTTTTTTTTAGTTTTTTGTTTGTTTTTTTTTCGTTCTGAATAGGTTGTAAAAAAATAAATAAGTTAAAGTTAAATGGCTCCTGCTATTGTTGTAACAACATCATGATGTGTTTTGTTTTGTTGTTGTTTTTTTTTTTTTAAGATTGATTTTGATTCTGTCTATTTTTGAGCTCAGAGTTGAGTGCTGAGAGATTGAGATTACTCTGTTTGACGGCAGGGTTGTTGTTAATCGATGATAGCGATGGTGTCGATTTCGATTTAGATGTTGAACTACCATCTTTATCCTTGGATGACGACGAAAGATTGATGGTTGAGAAGATCTTGTTGAGTGAAGGTGCACCTGTTCGCTTCTTCTCTGGCTGCAGTGTGGCTGTTCCATCGATATGATGATTCAAATCCTCTGACGATCCTCCACCACTAATATTATTATTATCTTTCTTAGCACCGGTTATCATCGTTGAACGACCGACAGTTCCAAACTTTATCGAAGAATACTTGTTGCTATCATTTTGTTGTTGTTGTTGTTGTTGTTGTTGTTGCTGTACAGATTGATTGATTGTATTCAAATTGTTATTAAATGTTTGTTGTTGTTCCGATTTCTGGTGTTCCATTTTCAGTTGACTTGTTTCCTCGGCCATACCTTTCAGACGTTCCTCTCGCTGGAGAATAGTCATGTTGTGGAATGTCGCTTGTCTTACCATCATTGGTTGACGATCGTTTCCAGAGGCACCGCCACCACTGCCACTGCTACTGCCATGTGCTCCACCGCCACCTTGTAGATCACCACCACTGCCATCTGCTGAATAGTCATCCGCTGACTCTGGTGCTTGTCCTCTGACAGTACCACCTCTTGTGACTCTACCCTTAACCATGATGTTTGTGAAATGATTCTCAATATAGGTCTTTGCTTGACCAGCCTTCTCGACTGCTCTCTTATCCAAAGTTTGATTGTTATTCTGCTGACTATTGATATCACTGAACACCTTTCTGAAATTACTCATCCAAATTTGTTTTGAATCTTCAGACTCTGCCAAGAATGTACAAGTAACCGATCTCAATTCAATATCGAATGCATGTGTCATAATTGCTGCAAACAATATTTAAATTATTATTATTAATTAACATCTTAATCATATACAGATGATTCTTTTCTTATCTAAAATCTGAAAAATACATACGATTATTTGGTATATCAGTTAAAGCTGGTGATGGTAATAAATCTTCAATCTTTAAAAACTTAAATTTAGATTTACTAAATATTTTGTTTGATGATGGCTGTAATAATAATAATAATGATAAATTATTGTTAATAAACTTTCATTATCTTTAAAGATTTGATTAAACTATACTTACTCTTGAGAAAATAATAATATCATTAAATAGGAATATATAAACTTTTTTAGTCTTAACATTGGACGGTCCACTTAAAAGATATCCTTCATGAACATATCTACGATCTGCTACAACCAAATTCTAAAGATATAACAAGATAAGATAAGATGAGATTATTAGATAATGTTAGCTATCTTTACAAACAAAGAACAAAGGTTATACATACAGGGAATTTACCAACTAATTTGTTTTGAACCTCAATTACTTTAAGAGAATTATCAGCACGTCGTTTTGTGTCGTTGATAGAGATGGCAACTTTCTTGATGATTTCCAATCCCTCTGTGATATGTGGGAAGTCAGGATGTGATTCCTCAGTGTGTTTCAATAGATCCTGTAGGAGAAGTACGTATCTTGGAATACGTTGAACCGGTGTAATCAGCAGTGATTCCAATCGGGAGCGCGGTACCGTCTTGTCTTCGGCCTGCTTGATGAAAGCAACGAATTTCATCTCTTTCGAACACGCCTGGAGTCGACGCAGCGAAAAGTCAAAGTTCTTCACATAGTCGGTGTACGCCTTGAGGAAGACACCGAGCGTAGTGAATGATTTACCCAGAATGGAGTAGGGCTTCCAATTCTCGAGAATCGATTCGATGTCACTCATCAGCGTCGTATTGATGGCAATGATCGCATCGATACCACCGAATATCAACTTTACATCCTCTTGACTAATCAATCCATTCTTTCGCAGTGGGTCGATGAAGAGCTGTGAGAGTTGCCTCAAAGTACTTAAATAAGTCTTCTCAGTGTTATATATCTCTTGTACAATATTCCATCTATATCTATATAATATTTCTATAATTATAACGATGATAATAAAGGGTTAGTTAATTAACTACAACAATTATGAATTATCATGTCCAACTTTAACAACTATCTACACTACTTACTTAATTTCTTAAATGGTAACATTTGTTGATATCTACGCCAACATTTTTGTATTTTAATGGCAGCTTTAATTTGTGTATCGTTGTAGGCTTTGGCGACTGGTTTACGAGGTGGTGGTGGTGGAAGTGGTTTACGTGGTGCAACAGGTCTGTAAATGGAAAAACGTGGGTTGAAAACAGTCTTACGATTTGAATTTTGTAGTGTTTGTGGTGGTTGATTTGAGTTGGGTGTTGTTGTTGATGATGATGATCCATTGCTTTGTAATCCATTGGAAGCAGCTTGTTGCTGTTGCTGCTGTTGTTGTTGTTGGGTTGGATAAATACTCTTTCTCATTTGTGAGGGTGTGGATGACATCATTTGTGAGGGTGAAGTTGAGAGAGGTGATCCTAGACCAACGAAACATCGGGTCACTCTGAATTTGGTACCACCTGCAAGTAGTTCCATTTCTTTCTTCTCTTGTTCTTTGAGTTCGTCGCGATTCTTGTTGCCAAGACCGAGCTCCTTGAGGAAGTTCTCGTGCATCTCTTCCTCCTCCTCGTCGGTGTCGTCATCAGAGTCTTCAACGACCTGGTCGACGTCCTCACCCATGAAACTTGAAGCGTCTCCCATGAAACTGCTGGTATCAGAGTCCGCTTCACTTAGATTGCTGTTTCCACTTCCTAGGAGGGAGCTACTCGATGAATTCGGTGATAAATTGAAAGACGATGGTTGACGTGGTGCTAATTTTGGTGGTGGTGATTTTATTGCCGATTTTAGAGGTTGCTGCTGTTGCGGTGTTGGAGTGGATGCCTGTAGACTAGGTGATAATGCATGTCCATTTACAAATGCTTGATTTCCACCATCTTGTTGCTGTTGTTGTTGTTGTTGATTATTTCTAGGTGATACATTGGGTGGTTGCTGTTGTTGATTATTTCTAGGTGATACATTGGGAGGTTGCTGTTGCTGCTGTTGAGGGGCAGGTGAAGGTGTTGGTGTTGGTTGATGATTATGACTTTGTTGTTGTTGTTCCAAATTCTGAGATGAATTCATTGATGCAGATACATTTACAGAAAATGTTCTTGGTTTTGGCATGGGTGGGTGGTGATTTCCATTTGAATTTCCATTTTCTAATGGTGGTGACTTTAAAATGTGTGAAGTTCGCAATGGTGCAACACCAATCTGTTTTGAATTTCCAAACGATGATTGTTGATGTTGTAACAATGATGATGGTGGTGCTGTTTTCCTTTTATCGTCTGCAAATTCACTCATTATTTAAATTTACTCTTTTTTTTTTTTATTTAATAATTACACTTTTTTTTTGATTAAATAATATATTTGTTTTTTGTTTTTGTTGGTTTTTTTGTTTTATTAAAGGTGATGATAATATAGATACATAAACTAATAAATAAAATAAAATAAAATAAAATAAAATAAAATAAATAGTATATATTTATAAATATTAATTAATTACAAAGTAAAGTAAAGCAAAGCTAAATAAACAAATAAATATGGAAAATAAATATATATATATAAATAAATAATATATTGATTGTTATTATAAGAAAATTAGATATAAAAAAAGTCGAAAATAAGAAAAATTTGGTCAAGATTGGTTGAAAGATAGATAAATAGTAGTGATCGAAAAAAAAACCTTAAAATAACACCAATTATAATCTAGTTGTATTTAGTTGGTTATATTCAGTAAAATTAAATGTTTTTTTTTGCAAAAAAAAAAAAAAAAACAAAAGAGGTGAAGGTTTGATTGTGTTTTAAAATTAGAGCAATTTCAAATAAAAGTTAGTTGAAAACAAACAATCAATTAGAATGTCGACTGAATGAATTATTATCTAACAATTACAAGTAATAATAATAATACTGTAACTACAACTACCTACCAATTATCAATTTTTATTGTAAATGGTTGGTTGTTGGTAGTAATGTTGTTAAGATGCCAACAAGTGTATAAAACTGAACTATGATGATTTGGTATGTTGTTATATATAAAGTCAAAAAAAAATAATAACTACAACACAATTGCACCTTTCCTTTTATTGAGAATTGGTTTCTGTTTTCTGTTTGCTGTTGTTTAATTTGATGGCTGTTTGCTGGAAATGTGAATAATAAAAAAAAAAAAAAGAGTAGTCCAGTGAATGAGTTGTATTGCAACTACTATTATTTATTATCTATCTATTTATGATTGCTTTAAACCGACCAAACAAGGTAAAAAAGCCCTGATTATACCTTAAACCCACAAAAAAAAAAAAAAAAAAGTTTAGATTAACCACCCAAATTCCAACAATCACAAAATAATGGTTTTTATTAAAAAAACATTAACACCATGCAAAAAAACATATCACAATTTTTTTTTTTGATTGATTATTGCAACCATTCAAATAATCAAATTTTGATCGATCATCCAATTTTAGTGTTTTTTTTTAAATCAAAAAGTTTTTAAGTTTGATCAGACGGATAAAAGATATATCATAAAGAATAATAATAATAAACAAAACCAGCTTCATTTTAATGATCTTTAGTTAGTTTCAATGACAGAGCTACAATCTACAAACTATAAATTTACAACATAGAAAACGAATAAATTGGATACACACTAACCAAAAAAAACAATATAATATAATTTATAAAAACAACAAAAAAAAAAAGAATTAATCACTATTTAATCAAAACACACTCAAACCATACACACACAAACATACAAACACACACTTACAAACACACATACAGCTCACTGTCATTTAATCACTCACACTCTCACCCACTTGGATAAAATGTAATAGTTTTGTATTCACATTCATGGTTTATGATTATCAGTGTAAAAATGAAAGAGAAATAGGTGTAGATTATGAATTGAATGAAATAAGTGATGAATATATATATAACTTATACTTTCAATATAATTATACATATTGACACTCTGTTTGCAAACATGGGTGAGCGCTTAAATTATTTACTTCACAGCGCACTATTTAATATCATCTACTTCACAGCGCACTCATTAATATCAACTTCACTTTACTATTTATTCAATATGAAAAAACAAAAAATGTAAAGAATGATCAGTCATATATTATGATCACATTGGTATGGATAGATATATGTGCACATATATTCATACTCTTATTGTATTATTATGTGTGTTCTTGATTCACATGAATGAATATTAATCATAATAATATTAATATTATTGATTTGATTTGATTTGATTTTGATTTTAATTTTTTTTTTATATTATTATCAGTCAATATTAATATTATTATTTCTATTAATATTTATTATTAACAAAAAAAAAAAATTGAATAGTTAATAAAAAAAAATAATAATAATAACATAACATTTTAATTAACTTCTCCAAACACAATATCTATTAAATTAACATAGCATTTAGAGATAATAGTATTTGTTTTTTTTTCTGGAAATAAAATTGATCAAACAATTGTAAATCATCCAGGTCAACAAAATTAATAACTAATCAATTTGAAGGCTCGTGAATAAATTTTTCTATATTATTTATTCGCAAGACAACAACCACAACACCTGCTCCAACCGGAACAAAAAATATAAATAACAACAAATTAAGATTGTCTTTTATCATCTTTATCTCATCTTCAAGAAGATCTTTAGTTTGTTTTTGTTTTCAATTCGAGTTTAATTTATAAATAATAACAATGAAAATCTATAGTATTATTTTATTGGTATGCTTTGTCGGTGTAATTTCTTGTCTACCCGACGTCGTAGTAGAGTGGACAGAGGACAACAATTTCCCATCGCCACTCAATATTCTAGTGGGACAAAAGGTAGTTTGGAAAGCAGTGAACTCCGATAAACATGAAATTCTGTTGGTAGAAGATAACGTCCACGAGCCAATGATCAACAACGTTGCCAGTCACGTTTTCAAAAAGGCAGGTTGGTTCTCATACTCCTGCACTATCCACCCAGGCAAGCGTTTCTACGTCAAGGTCGCCGAGTCTGAGAATCAATCCGCCCGTGACTTGGCTCTCAAGGAAATCGAAGACCAACAACGTGCCAAAGAGAATCTCAAGGCTTACGAGAAGCGTGAGGTACTCTACCGTCTCCAACAACAACAGGCCGAGCAAGAATTGAAGACCGGAGTCAAGGCACCAGCCGGACCATTTGGTGCAATTCCAGCCGATATCGCTGCAACCAACCAAGCACCAGCCACCAACAACGCCGTTGAAACTCCAGCCACTCCATCCAATCCATCCGCTGCCAGCTCAGAACAACCAGCTGAACAATCTGGTGAGGAAGGAACCACCTCTGGTCGTCCATCCACCAAGCCTGTCAAGCCAACTCCAAAGACATCGAACAAACCAACCGATGCCACCACTGCCTCACCAACTGACGACAGCTCAGCACCACCAACACCACCAAGATCCACTCCAAGACCAACCACCAAGACAGACACCAATGTCAAGCCAGGCGAAACCAAAGATCCACTTGGATCAGTAAAACCAAAGGTACCAAAGAACTCTGCTGCTGACTCTGAAGACAAGCCAAAGGATGAAGATAACGGATCAGGATCAGAAGGAAAGAATAGTTCATCAACTGTCACCTACAGTATTGTATTACTTGTATTATCTTCCATTATCTCTATTATCTTCTAAGATAATATTCTATTCTTTTTAATTTAAACTTTAATTTATAAAGAAAAGAAAAGAAAAAAAAAAACTAAAAACCAAAACATATATTATGGAAAACCAAGAAAATAAAACATTCAATGATTTGTTCAAAAAAAAAAAAAAAAAAAGAAAAACAAACTATAACTTAAAAGTTTGTTGTTATTTAGTATTAATTCTCCTTTCTTTCTTTTTGATTTTATTTGAATTGATTCTGTTTGATTTAGATTTAGAGTTTAGAGTGTTGGATCTTCGTGCTCTTGAAAGGAAATATCTACACATTGCTCGGAACCAGGGTATTTTGGTATTTCGATATTCATCTCTTCGAGGAATGACTTTGGTAGGAAACGACCACCTAGATAATGGAATCCTTTGTAGTTCTCTGCACATTTCTTTGGTGTTGCCAGCGAGATTAGCAAACCTGGTGTGAAAGTGTTACGAATATTGCCTTGTTCTACATCCCAACCTGATGGAATATCAACTGATGCAATCGGTACCAAATCACTCGGTAGCATACTTAGTGTGTTGATGATAGAGTCAAACGGTGCACGAATATCACCCTTAAAACTATAGCCAAAAATTGAATCCACCACCAAACTATAAGTATTAATAATCTCTTCCAAAGTTGGTAATGATCCAATCAGTTCACATCCAACATGTTCACATTGCAATGTTAAATTCTAAAAAGTTATATATAACTTTACAAATTAGAATTACAAAAACAAAAGAGTAGATTGTAAATATCGATATTTTTAATTACTTTGTATAAATCTTTATCGGTTCTCTTTGGATATAATATATCTACTTTATAACCAAAGTGTACAAGATGTCTTGCTGCTACTAAACCATCACCACCATTATCTTGTTTGTTTTTAATGAACGTTAGTTAAGTTGTTGTTGTTGTTGTATTGTAACAATGATAAACGAATAATGTACATACTTCCTGGACCACAAATAGTTAATACTTTCTTTGATAGTGTTGAAGGATTGTAGACTTTATAGATTGAGGAAGCAACACTCAGTCCAGCCAACTCCATTAGTTGGTCGACAGAGAATCCATACTCCTTACCCATTAGCAACACATCCATTTTAATTGCTTCATTCTGACCTAAATATAATAGCTTCTTACTCATTTTTTGTTTATTCCTATTATAGGTTACAATATTATAACTATAAAATAATGATAATGATAATAGATTAAATAAATTTAAAACCAAAAACTTTTATTTAAATTTTAATTTAAATTCGGTGAACTTCAAACAATGAAATTTGCAATTTCAAAAAATTTAATTAAATTTGGCCTGTACAAAAGTAAACATAATAATGTTGTTACTATTGATATTTATATTATTATTATGTTGTTGTTGTTGTTGCTGCTGTTGCTATTATTATTGTTTATTGTTAAGGTTGGTTGGTTGGTTGATTGGTTGGTTTTACTGTGTGAATAAATAAATTTTACATAAATAAACCTTGTTTCTCTAATAATAAATTTTGTAATTCTATTAGTTGATTCTTCTTTTTCTCGATGATTGCAACGTTTTCAGTCATTGCTTCATAGTAGACTGGATCAGGATCCTCTATGTATGCACTAGCCAACTCTACATTTGATTTCTCTAGGTTTGCAATGAATTTTGTGACATCTTCGATGTTGAACTGCAGTAACTCTTCTTCGGTGCTGTAATGTGGTTTTATACTATCGATTCTACGTTGATACTCTTGTTCATCTTCATCTGAATTAATATCATTACTATCTTTCATATCATTCATTATTCTTTTTTATTTACTAGTAATCTTTCTATATAACAAACTACACAGTATCGAATTGAATCGATTCATTTAAAATTATGGAACAAAAAATTAAATTAAATTTAAAAAAAATTTTAAAAAAAATTTTGAACTTATTTAGTATATTAGTTAGTATCGATACTACACGCACTTGAATCACTTAATATATTATATTTTAATTGTATAACTTATTGGTACAATATGTACCCAATAAAATGATCTTACTATAGGAGATAATAAGTATTTGCTTTTTTAAGAACCTTTGATCTAAACATTTCTAATCTATTTATCTTAAACATTCAGATTGATAAGTTTAATTAATTAGCAAGTGATCAACCATTTATTGTTGGTTTAATATCAACCTCTGTTGATCTCCATGCTCTTTCAACTAGTTTTTTTTATTATTAAAAAAATAAAATAAAATTTAAAAACCACATAATTTTGATTGTTAACAAAATTTATATTTTTTTCTTTTCATATGAAAACTATTTGTTGATTTCTGTTTTTGTTTAATTAGTCAATCATTCAATTAGTCAGTCAGTCAGTCAGTCAATAAATATATTTGTACACCAACAACTGTTGTTATTTTTAATTTTGTAAAAAGTAATAATAAATAATATATGATTATATTTATATAAATAAATTTGATTATATTTGTAAATAAAATAAAAATCTATAAATGACAATAACTCATGGATCATTGTCAGCTTGTGACATTTCAAAACTAAGACAATGTTGTGTGGTTGTTCGTGTCAAGGGTAATGATATATCGACTGCCTCTAACTATGGATCAAGTAGCAGTAGTTCCGCTCTGAAATCAAATAAATCATCATCATCACAAGTTCCTACTTTCTCACATTCAAGGTAAATTGAAATTGAAGCGGAAATTGAGATTAAAATAATGAAAACTTTTAGTTACTAACAATAGATACATATATATATATATATATATATAGTGAAGGTAAAATTACATTTAGTTGTAGTGGATTCATTATTAATAGAGAACAAGGTATCATATTGACATCGTCTTCTATATTCATGCCATTTCTGAGTAGGAGAAATGAACAGGCACACTATGAGATACATAGAGATACAGAGATAGATATTATGTGTAATAACAACAGACAAATAAAAGAAGAGGATATCAAATCAAGTAATAGCGGTGGTAGTGGTGGTAGTGGTAGTGGTCAGTCAATTTATAACAAGTCATCCGATGAGAGAATCTATGATCCTCTGAAAGATTGGATTCAATGTAGATTTCACCAGTTGATCGAAGTCGATCAATCGATCATGGATATAGTGGATTTGCTGAAATCCTACTTTGTGATTGGCTCGAGTAAGTCACTGTCGCTCGTCTTGCTCAAGGCGTCGTCACCGCTCACCGTCGATCCGGCAATCGATCAAGTTCGTTTTGCACAATCAACACACATCAAGACGGGCGAGCGGATCTCAATCGTTGCATCGCCATTCGGTTTCATCTCACCGACGATCTTTCTCAACTCGGTGTCGAGTGGAATCATCTGCAACAAGATAGCGGCGCGACCCTATTCACATCCGAGCCTGTTTCTCACCGACGCCAGATGTTTGCCAGGCAGTGAGGGTGCGGCAGTGTTCAACTCGCGTGGCGAAGTCATCGCCATCGTAACACCACCCATCAGAGCAAAAGATGAAAAGACACCTTTCAACTTGGCAAGTCTGCTCCCCACACACACATTCCTCGAGTATCTTCTCAAGACTGACCTGGTTGCAAAACCTTTGATTTCCAACAGCGTGCTGTCGCTCTCACCGCTGCAAACCAGTCTTTCGCTTCTCGACCGACAAAAACATAATATCGTACTGGTGAAATTCAAGGATACATGGGGATCCGGTGTTTTGATATCTTCGAACGGCTACATCCTGACGAATGCACATATATTGGCACCGTCGATATCGGCATTGCATAAAGCATCGAACGACTCAAACAACGCAGTTGGCTATCCCGCTCACATGTTTAAAGACTACCGCGTTGAGATACGTGTCGACTATGCTGCGTTGATTGGCAAAGAGACAATTGGCGGACACATGTGGTACAATGGGCGCATCGAATACATCTCACATACTCACCTCGATATTGCACTGCTAAAGATTGTTTGTGATGATTCGCTTGTATTCCATCATGTTGAATGCAACACACTGCTGAACGTCCAACACGGAACCGAGGTGGCTGTCCTCGGATATCCGCTGTTACCACCCTCACAGGAACCGCCAGTCTCTGTCACACATGGAATCATATCGAATGTTGTTTGTGTCGACGGCATGGCCGTGAGCTACCAGACAACGGCACCGGTACACTCTGGCAATTCCGGAGGTGGCTTGTTTGATGAACGCGGCAACTTCTTGGGCATAGTAACTTGCAATGCCAAACAGCGAAATGGATCGATCATCACCGATCTCAACTTTTCAATACCGGCAACCTCGCTGGTCCACTTTTTCAACTATGCAAACGGTCAAGATATCCAAGGCCTGGAGATCATGATACGTTCAAAGACAAACAAATTCCTGAGAGCTCTCTGGAAACTACAAATCACTTCATCACCTCATTCCTCATCGCAAAACAACATCAACCAAAAGCATCTACAACCACTTCAAAAACAACCACCTCAAACAACCGGTAATGGAAGAAAATATGCAGAATTCCTTGAAAAAATTACAAATACTCCACAAACCTCAGCAGCAAACTGTAATACTGAAAATATAAATTCACTAATGGCGAAACTATAACTACTTCTAATATAAATATACATATATAGATATAAGAAAAAAGTAAATATAAAACTAATAAACTTTTGTATTATAAAATAAATTAAATAAACAAAAAAAAAACATTAATCAAACACTTTCGCTTTATTTGAAAAATTATTGGTGATCGTTGGTGATCGTTCGTTGGAATGATAAGAACTTCCAAATTTGCGATCTACTAACCATTGCTGAAAAGCTGGGTGATTGACCAACAACGATAAAATGATCACCAAATCTTCGTATATATATTTTTTCTTTATCTTTACAATTGAGTACAAGACTATTGGGAATACAATGAATTGGAAAACTCCATGATGGATTCAAATTTCTAAAACCGCTTCCACTCGAAAATAGTGGTTGATCATAGTTGATCCTCAATTCCTCTATGGAGCTAGTGATAATATCTGAGGAAAAATAGTTCTCAAAACCAACGAAACCATTTAGATTAGAGCCAACAATCAACTTTTTCACTGATGGAGGAATAGCATTGTGAAAAGTAAAAGGTTCTGAATACAAAATGATACCCAGTGTCTCAACATCGTGCGGAATTTCGACAGTACGGCTATCATTGTCAATTTCAAGATGTTTGACACTTATATTTTCGAGTGACACTGACAATGCAAGCTTTAAGGTTTCAAATTGATACTTTGAGGCTTCATTGAATATGCCATCTGCTTTACATACAGCAAGCTCGAGATATTTGATTGACGGAGACAACACTGAAGATAGGGTGATATGTGTATTTATACATAGCTTGGTTAGAGAGGTTGGCAAATCACTGAGACATAATATTTCATTCTCAAAGATATCATCGATGTATGGTTCCCAGAATGTCAGTGATTTCAGATTTGGATGCGACTGTATTGCTGGTGCCCATGATATCGGAATAAAGACCAGGGTATGTAGAGTGGAAGGCAATACTTCACTGGTGATGGGACCTCTAAATCCTGTATATTCAAGTACCTCTAGATTCGGAGGAAGTGATCCAACTTGAAGATTTTGCTTAAAGGCAAGACCTTTAAATACGAGGACTCGTAGAGATGCTGGTAAAACACCAGGTTCAAGTGGTTGATTAAATTTACTTCCGAGTATCAAATTCTCCAACGTGCTTGGAAGGACACCTGCCAAGATAGGGTGGTCGAATTTGGTCTCTCCCAAATCAAGTGTTCGTAAATTTGGTGGAAGATAGCCAGGCAATAGTGGTTCATTGTGTAACATCCATCAAACTTGTAGATATTTGAATTCGATATCAATCTATACAGACTCTCGAGATCTTCATCATTCACAAATTCCGACTTTACTATTAGTTTTGTCAACTGATTGCTAAAATTGATACTATCTAAAAAATCTATTAATTAAAATGAAAGTTAAACTTTCTGATGTTTTAAATGTATTTACCTGGTGTCATTTGATCATTATCAATGATTAGAGTACATGTATCCTTGCTTTCCAATGATTTGCTCATTAAACATTGATATGATTTCAAATAGAATTGGTCATTCTTTTGTATAATATCAACAAGTATTTTATCTTTATTAAAAGATAGATATTTATCTCTTTCACTGAACCATCGACTACAAACTAATGTAAAACATATTCTATCTATATTATCTTTTAGATGATTTGTAATCTTTGATAATAGAATATGAGGTAGATTTACTAATATATGTAAAACATTATCCATATTTCTATTTTATCTAAATTTAGATTATAAACAATTGAACAATGAAGGACACTTTTTTTTTTTTTTTGATCACATGATTTGTAAAAGTGAAAATTAAATCAAATCAAATAATAAATATTTGTATAAACAAGTTTTTTTTTTGGTTTAATGGTTTTTATAATATTGCAATAATTTAAATAGTATATATTAATTTATTTAATTAATTTAGTTGGCTTGGATTGTGAATGATGGTCTGGCGTTGGCAGAGGTACAGAGACCAACATCAGTGCAGATGGCGAGTGGGCTGACACCGCTGATGAGACGTTGAACGATGGCTGGACCGTACAAAGCAACGATTGACTTGCAGGTGGAAGCGAGTGGACCGATATCAGCACAGTCGTTCTCCAAAATGGTGACGATTTGGTTGACGGTCAATCCCTTGTCCAAGTAGGTCTCGATACGACCGACCAAGTATGAGCAGAGAGTGCATTCAGTGGATCCCTTGACGGACTTCTTGGCAGCCTTTGAGGAGCAGACACCGAGGTCAGTGCATATGGTGATTGGGTTCTCGTCGTTGATGATTGAGTTGATGATTTGTGGGGCGTAGATGCTGACAAAGTTTTGACAGGTTGAGGCCAATGGACCCAATTCGTTGCAGTCGTTATCCAACAAAGCGACGATTTGAGTTTCGTTGATGTTGAGACCCAAGTATGATTCGATCTTACCGACCAAATAGTTGCAGAGTGAGCACTCGACGTCGTTCTTGACTGGCTTGGCAACCTTCTTGGCAGAGGTGCAGAGACCAATATCAGTGCAGATGGTGGTTGGGCTGACTTCGTTGATCAATTGTTGGACGATTTGTGGACCGTACAAGGAGACGGCGGTTTTGCAGATCGAGGCAAATGGACCCAAATCAGCGCAGTCGGTTTCCAAGGCAGAGACGATCTCTGGGACAGTCAAGTTACCTTCGATGTACTTCTCGGCACGAGCAACAATGTAGTTGCAGACGGCACATTCAGTGTCTCCCTTGACAGCCTTCTTTGGGGCTGGCTTGGCAACGGCAGTGGTGCAGAGACCGACTTCAGTGCAAACGGTCAATGGGTTCTCTTGGTTTTGGATCTTTTGGATGATGGTTGGACCATAGATGTTAACAACATCGTCACAGACAGAGGCAACTGGACCCAACTTGGAGCAGTCGTTTTGCAAAAGTCCCATGATTTCAGTTTCGTTCATGTTCAAGTTCAAAGCAGACTCAATCTTACCGACCAAGTAGTTGCAGATATCACAGTTGATACCACCCTTGACGGCTGGGACTGGCTTCTTGACGGCAACCTTTGATGAGCACAAACCAATGTCAGTGCAGATGGTGATTGGGTTTTGAGCGGCTTGGACTTTGGCAATGATGGTTGGACCGTAGACAGCGATGAGGGTCTTGCACTCACCAGCCAAGGCACCCATGATGGCACACTCGTTTTGGAGATCGATGATGATTTGAGCTTCAGTGATGTTCTTTTCGACGGCATTCTCTACCTTTCCGACAATGTAACTGCAAAGGGTGCATTGGACACCTTCTTCACCGTTCTTTTCAACACGAACGTTGGTTTGTTCGTGGACAGCGACAGCTGATACTGAATAGACTGCCAACAAGGCAAATAATAAAATAGCAACAGATTTCATATCTATTATATTTTTTTATGTATATATATATCTGATAAAATAATTATTAAATCAGGTTAGGAGTAAATAACTGAATATGATATCTTTAGTCAATGGTCCTTTTTGATGTTTTGGGTGCCGGCAAACTTTAAAAAAAAAAAATTAAAAAAATTAAAAAATATAGAAAATAAAAGTTGTAGTAAGTATAGTACCACACACTAGTGCTTTTTTTGATGATTCATTCCGAGCACGGTGCCTCAAGAAAGGGTATCAGGAGGAAGAGTTTTTTTTTTTCTAGGACCTGGAAAAATATAATGACAAATCTTTTTTGATTATTTTGTGTCTTGTCTTTTTTTTTCTGCTGTAGTTTTTTTTTGATTTCATTTGATTTTACAATATTTTATTTTTGCAGAAAAAATCAAGGGGTGATGATATCATTTGGTGGTGAAGATTTTGCACCCGATTGGCAAAGAAAAAACTAGAATCATAAAAACAACACACCTTTTTTTTTAAAAAATAAAATATCTGAAATCGACTCAATTCACCACTAATCACAGCAATTCAGTTCATTGAGGTTCGTTCCCATTTTCCATTTTCTCAATAACAACATAATTTCTATTTTGGAGGTTTTAGAGTTTTTCTATGATTTTTTTGAATTTTCTTGGAGAGATATTTTGCTAGAAAATTTCTAACGCACTTTATGTAATGTGGGTGGCTGTTGAATGAATAGAAACAACATGCACCAACAAAAATATATATGTGGTATGGAAGGATAAAAAAACAACAATTAAACAAACCCATTTTAATTGATTTTTGAATTGTCATTTTAAATTTCTCAATAAAAAAAATATTGATAATAATAGATATTTAGGTAATTTTGTTTTTTTTTCGACTATTTACTATGATACAATACATCCTCATCAACCTCAATTTGATCGAAAATATCAGAAATTTAATTGGAAATATCAATATCATCGGATATTAATGATAAATTTGGAATCGTGATTTCTTTCTAAATCATTTAATTTACAGATTAGATGAATTGTTTTTTTTTGTTGTTGGAAACACCATTCAACAAATTGATATTGTTTTGATTTTGAAACCAAATTTAATTTATTTTAATTCTAAATCTTTTTCTCAAGAAATTGATAATGGTTTCTTCAGAAAGTTCAGGTTTGTTATCAGTGGGTCTGTTGGTCGGAGGACGATACAGCAATGGCTTGGGAGGTGGTTTGCTCGAATAGCTTGTAAGAAGAAGCTCGGACATGTGGATCTTTTACCATTTCGTTGTCACCCTTGATCAAGATTTGAATGGCAGGAGTGATGCTTGTCATCTTCTTGAGATCCATTAGCGATTTGAAGAAACGGCATCGCAATGCCGGTTGACCCTCCAGCACTTTCATAATCAGTAAGATGAGATCTTGGCTGAGCGAGTTCGTGGTTTGCAGAGTGTTTTCAAACATCAGTGAATCAAAGTACTCTCTGATCAATCTGGTTTGATTGGCTTGGTGGAAAATCTTGAATACAGTTGCATATTGCTGTTGAGAAAGGTCGTTGGAAGGTGTCGAGTCGGTCTTTCTATCGATACCAAAGAATGAATCGAATTGTTCCAAGCTCAATTCAGACGATGAAGAGTTGTTTTGGTTGTTTGATTCATGTTGTTTCAAGAGGATTTGAGCTGCCAGTTGATAGGAAAGTTGATCTTTTTGTTGCATATTTTGAAAGAGTTCTGTTGCCAATGGATACTCGCCGCGCTGGATGACATTGGAGAGCTTGAGGTTGTGAAGTGGAAGTGATTCGTGTTGCTGTGGGAGTAGAGTGAGGACAGTCGACGCCAACTGTTGAGCTTGCTGATCTTCTTTGATATTTACAAGTAGATTGTTGGCAATGGCGTCGAGTGTACGTGTCTGAAGCTGTGGGAAGTGTTTCTGCTTCATCTCCAAACCGGCAGCCAATATTCTAGTGAGCAAGGTATATCGCTTGCTTCCCACGAGACTTATGAGGATGTCGTTGAATGGTCCAACGTTTCCGACTGCCTCGCGACCCGGCAGCATATTGATTCCACTCATCAAGTCGGATTGAAGACTGTCCGAGAAGAATCTAGGGTTGGAAAAGAGTGGCGCGAATCGATTCGGTACCAGTTTCAGGAAGTTGGGATAGTGTTCCGGCACCGATTCGTAGATGGCAATGGCGCAACGGATGATCAGTTGGTCGCGTGGCAACTCTTTGTTGAGGAAGTAGAACTTCTCGAGTTTCTCAATGATCTGGTCGATTTCTGACTTCTCGAGGAAGGCAGCCAATTGGTTGTCCGCGTTGATCGCAGCGAATCCACCACGGCGCACAGCAGCTTGTCGACGGAATGCTTCGCCTTTTATCAGGGGATCGATCGAGTACGAGAGGAAGCTACGCATGGCAGCGACGTCGCCAATCGGGGCGGTACTCACAGCTGACCAATGACGCGCCAGCTCCTCGTCACCACGCAACTTGTGATACGCCACAAATGGCTTGTAAGCAAGATGTCCAACCATATTCGCGCCTCTAGCATACCAACTCAAAGCATGATGATAGCAATCCAATTTCAAATAGATACTGATGATCGACTCTAGAAAAGTAGTATTCTTACTTCTCCACATAAAATGTCTCAAATGACCAAACAATTCATAATGAATCTCTCTATCTTTATCTGATTTTACTTGACTACTGTTATTACTGTTATTACTGCTGCTGTTGTTGTTATTGTCATTATTATTTGATTTTGGATCGAAAAGTGACATTGCTTCATTGTATACTATTAATGTTGAAAGTGAAGGTAATGATGGTAAATCAAGTTGATTGATAATGCTATTATTGTTATTATTGTTATTGTTATTTTGTTGAGATTCTGTTAAATTATTTTTAAAAAGAGTGAATAGTGTATATTGTGATATATCTGATCGGTTAAAGAGATGCAATATTTTCGGTTCGGAATGCATCTTGGTGAATATATAGTTGGCTAGTTTGTCGAGTAGTTGATCATTGATACGAGGAATGTTGTGCCAAGTGTATTGCTCTATAGTTCTCGTTATCCACATATGATCTTTAATCGCGAGGAAATATGACATGAAATCATCGATGATCTGTACCACTTTGAATGGTTTCGCCTTTACTATCCAAGCAAACAAATGTCCAACGTGTTTAGGTCTATTAAACTTTACATTTTCATCAAGTAATATACTACTTGATAGAAACTCTTTCAATCTGATTGATCGATCAACTTGTACGTTAGTAAATAGATTTGATATTGGTTCGATGATTTGATTAATCATCTATTAATTACCTTTGATCTGCAAGCACATAGTTGTTTACTTCATATAGTTTCTTAATATGTTGTATTTCAATATAAATAGGATGTGATGTATATAAATGTTGTTGTGGTGATGATGATGATTTTGGTGAGTCGATTTCCTCAAAGTTCAAAGAAGATGCATTTCTATTAAAAAGTATATTGTTGCTACTACTGCTATTGTTTGAGTATGATCTTGATATTAATGATGATGATGATGATGATGAAGGTGATGTTTGTGAAACTGATGATATATTATTATTATTTCTAAAACAGTAAGGAATGATGTGTGTTGTTGATGATGATGATTTTCCTATAACTTTAAATAAAGAATTTACAATTCTTTTATTTGTATTATTGCTATTCCCTATTTGTTTGTATAAGATCATTCTCTAAATTAACAATCTGAAATAAATAAACAAACAAATGTATTTTGAACAAAAAAAAAAAAAAAAAAACGAAAATTGTCTGAAATGAATCAATTAATTGCCAAATTTGTTTTGTTTGGAAAAAATAAACAGATATTAAATTTTATTGTTCAATGAAAATCAAGAAATTATATAAATATGATTATAAAATATTTTTTAGATTCTCTAGTAATACTTTGTGAATTCTTTAAGAGAGGCACATCTTAATATTCATCTTATAGGAGAAATAGAAATACCTTTTAGGATTTTCGGACTGTGGGCGAGCAGGGGTAGATATGTTTAGTTTGGTTCCGATCTCATTCATGAGAGCTTTATAGTAATTGGACGTGAATAACTTATCATGGTCAGAGATGATCTTAGATGGTAGTCCAAAGTTAACGAATACATATATCATTTTGTGTTGATGGTACTCTTATACTCTATCATCTATTGTTTTAATGTATTTTTATTAATAAAAGTAAATATTAGTTAACTATTGCCAAACTACAGTTTATATAATGAGAATGTTAGACTCTTTTCTACATTGGAGTCTACAACACAGTTAGTGTACTTACCTCAATCATCAATTCTTGTTGAGGTGAATGAAATACTTTTGAATTTGAAGCTATATTTCTTGATTTTAATTGAATTAAAAATTTATATATCTGTTCATTAATTTCGACTATTAATAAATGAATTGTGAATTATAAAAAAAAGTTAGATGTCGATTTTGAAATAAAATATATTAAATTAATTTTAAATAAATTGATGGATGCATGTTAATAAAAACGGTGAAAGTGAATTGTTTTGAGAGGTGATGGATGTTTAATCTGAATATTTATCTTCCACCAGTGATATTTATTAAAAATAATTATTGTTATTACTATTATTATGATTATTATTATTATTATGATTGTTATATTCATGAATTATATCTTGATTGATTCTCTGTTGTAAAAACTTATTCTTAAGATAGTCTATTGATTGTTCTGAAAGTGTACATGTTGGTTTGGCAGGTAGAATCGGGTGAAGTTTATATTCGGTGCTGCTCTTGAGAATGTCAGCAACCCATGGATCATTCACGATGTCATTGGCCATATATAGTATACGCTTCGTTTCCGCTGGATATTCTCTGAGTGGTTTGAGTGCTTTGAAAAGTCGCACCAGACTCTGTGGGTCGTTATCCAACACACTGATCTTTATCAACTCGTGTAAAACAATTGGACTGATTTGTTGTTGCAGCTGCTCATTATCAGTGGCGCCAATCAACTCCTTTATGTATTGACGAATGATAGTTGCTCCGGTGTGGATGGCAGCACTCTCAGGGTTGTTGGCTTGGGCAAGTTTGAGAATCATTCCACTGTCGAGTTTGTCGACTCTGGCGAATTGGAGGAGTTCTTTCAACGATGGTGCCGACTCGGTGAGTGAGGAGAACGATGATTTATGACGGAGATAGATATGTGTTGCCAGTTGATTGGAGAGAGCATTGCGTATGTGGTCGGTTTGTTGTGAAAGGAGAAGAGCGGCGGTTTTGACGTCGCCAGTATCAACCAGTGCCGCCAGTCGACAATTAAGCATCGACTGTGTCCATGTGGAATTGGGCAGTCCACTCGGAACCAGTAAATCCTTGAGTGTTTTCAATGTATGTTTGTCGATAATGTCGAGATTGGCGAGTGTTTTAGCAAGACAGAATTCAATGGTCGATGGTTGTAGCTTGATCTCCGAGTGGCTGGCACCGGATATGACTGCTGCAGCCATGTCGAATCGACATGCATTGACCAGACCAATGAGCAGAGCATTCCAAATCTGGTGACTGTGAGAGTAGAGCAGTTGCAAATCATGCTGATGGATAAGCAGCAACTTCAGTCCACGCTCAACATTTCCAATGAGAAGCGGACTTACAAATGCGGGTGTGGCAATCACCGATTTCAGCAGCGACGGCATTGACTCGACGAACGCAGCGATATCAATGGATTCCGCGAGGTGAATGGTGCAGATTGCCGGCATCAGATTCTCACAGGACGGCAACATCGAATATACATCTTTCTGATTCTTAAAGTAGTGATTCTTGAGCAGAGTCGCCACTTTCATGGCGTTGTCAGTGCGGATCTTTCGGCAGTAGAGACGCAGTTGCTCGTCGTTGTCAGACGGTGCTGGCTCGGCCAGATCGAGCAGCATTCTGTTTGGTTTGAACTGAAGAAACTGCGAGATGAGCAGTTCGATTGCAGGCAACCGCTGGTACAGCGAGAGATAGTAGTTGTCCCAGAATTGCGCGGCATTGGTGTCGCGTCGCAGTCGGAAGTAAGCGAGGAACCAGCGCAACTCGGAAGCACACGGCAGCAGCTGGTGGTGCTGGTAGCGTCGCGCCAGCCACAGAATAGCCAAGTCATGGCGCTGTATCTTTAGCGAATCCAATATTACCTTTTCGAATATATGTTGAATGGTGTTGTCCTTGACCAGCTTGAGCAGCGCCTCAAAGATACGCGAGTGGAACTGGTGTTTCGGCAAGACCAGCGAGTAGCCCGTTCGGTCGGAGTTGTTTAGCGGATCGACTGGGGTGTCTACGATGACGTTCGCTTTCACCTCGTTGTAGAGCAGCAGTGTTGCAATGGTGTCTTTGTTACGCACGTTTCGCAATACCTTTGTAATGACACGGTAGGAGCAACGCGGATGTTCCAGTATCGATTGTATGGTTTCCGCTTGCAGCGTTGCAACATCTGATGTCTTGTCGTCAAAGAAGTAATTGTTGATCATCGCATCTATCGTTTGCTCGTTCAACGAGAGATTTCCAAAGTTGACATGATCGTTCAACAACTGAATCAATGGAATGAAGAATCGTGAATTGTTCTGAGTGATAGTCAACTGAAACAACAGATTGAATAAAGCATTACTAAGATATCGATTGTAAACCACCCATTTCAAAACAGGTACAAGATTATTACTTCTTTCTTTAAATAGTTGTGATACACTAATTTAATAATGATTGTTAATAATAGTTATCTTGATTGATTGTTTCGAATATATCTTATGTAGATACTTACAAAACTTCAGCGGTATTTGGTTTAGTTTTGAAATACTCTTTTAAAACTTGATAGTCTTCAGAGTTGTAGTTTGTATTTTTGTCGAGAGTTGTTAGATCCAATGGGTTCTTTCTCGTATAGTTTATATCATCACTATACTGATGATGATTATGGTGATAATTGTAATTCGAACTATTGTTGTTATATTCACTATTATTGTTATTATCATTTACATTTCTAATATTATTTAATCTATTGCTATAAAGATTACTATTACTATTATTACTATATCTATTTGTATTTGAAGTAGAATAATTAAATCTACCTAATAAATTAAAATTACTATTATTATATATATATTTATAGTTTGATTTCAATGGTGGGGATGTTGTTGTTGATGTTGATGTTGATGTTGTAGGTGTAAGTGCATGTGTTGTTGTTGATGATGTATTTGAAAATATAGATGATTGATATTGATGTTTTATATAATATCGAATGTATTGATAGTTGTAACTACCACAACCACTACTACTTATTTTTGTAGTGGTATTCATTCGATTTAACATTATATATCTATATATAGGTTGTTGTTATCTATTAATTAAAAGAATTACTCAAATTATTCAATTTGTCATGCATTACAAAAAATCTTTGACTAAAAAAAAAAAAAAAACTAACATTTTTCACGAATCAAGTTTAGATTGGTAACTTTAAATCTACCAGTCACCAATAAATAGATTTATAAAAGTCGAATAAAAAATAGAAAGAAATAGATATATAATTAATTAATTGTTTGAAAAATATTTGTTTATTTATAATTATTTATTAATAAATTTAAAATGAATTGCTTTTTAACTATAAAACTTTTAATTATCTATATTGCAATTTTAAAAACTGTTAATGGATATGATATTGTTTGTCAAAGTTTTTGTAATCCATATGAGATATGTAATAGGTATGAAAATGGAAGAAGGTGCATAAATAGAGGTAATATATTTTAAACTGTTAAAAGGATATTAAAAACTTTTCTAAACTGTTTTAATATTTAAAATAGAAAATAATGGATTAATAGATTTAGAAATAAAAGATAAACAAAATTGGAACAATAATGGAATTCCATATCATCTGTATGATATAAATGTTAGAAATACCAATTGTAATGAAACAATATATGCCTTTATAATTGGAAGTGATATATGTACTCGACTGAGATCAAAAGATTCCTCTAGCTATTGGAACATTGATTTAATGATACAATTGGATCGATGTATTTTAACTCCTGTTGGTGGTTTTTCAATCTCTCCTAAACAAGTTTTGAATTTCGGATTTATCATAACTGGAGACACTCCTCCAAGCTTGAATTTTAAAGGTGTTCGTACTTTTCCTCTTGTTAACGGATCGATGGCTCTGAGTGACTAAATTATAATAAAACCATATTTTTATTGTTTTTATTTTTTAAATATTTATTTTTCAAGTTCTTCTTATGTTTAGTTTTACTTTAAAAAATAGATAATGAAAGAAATTTAACAAATTAGGTTAATTAAATAGTTTGTTTATATTATTTTTTTTCTGTTGTTTTATTTTTTTTTATTTCTTTTCAGAAAGTTTTAAAAGATAATTTCGAAATTATCTTTTTTTTTTTGTAATTATATATATGACAGTTGTATTATATGTATATGAAGATAAATAAGTGTATTGATTGATTAATTTTAAAATATTGTTTGTTTATATTTTATATATTTTAAAATAAACAAATTATATTTTTTGATGGTTGTTGGTTATTTTTGTTGTGACATTTTCAATTCAATCAAATTCGATTAAATTTACTTCTTCTTGTTGATTTGATCAGCAAAGACCAATGGTGAATTCATAAAGTTACCAACATTTTCCTGAAATATAACAAAAGAATATTAGTTTATACATTGTTATTTAAAATTGATTGCTGTTCTTTAAAATAAAACTTACAGGTGTAATATAGATGGTTGCACTTTGTAAAGCTTGAGATTTGATCTTTGCCATTTCGATCTCGAGCAATGCTGGGTACTTGGCATAGAGTTCACCCATCATTTCTTGAGCCTTTCTTTGAGCATCAGCAGCAATCAAGAGTGCCTCAGCATCACGTTGAGCCGATTGCAACTTGGCATTGGCCTCTGCGATGATGGCGTTGTTCTTTTGGACCAAGGCAATGTTGTCAGTCTCTGCCTTCAACTTGGCTTCGGTGGTCTTGATGTCGTACTCCTTGACCAAAGTAGCCTGCTTGGTGGTGTACTCGGCGGAGGTGACAGATTGTCCGGCCAACTTCTTGGCGATCTCAGTATCGAGAACCTTCATTGTTTCGATTTGGAGACGAGCCAACTCAATACCGTACTCTGAGAGATCCTTAGCGAGATTCGATTTGACACGATCTTGGATGGTTTGCACTTGAGATTCCTCGGCGGAGAGATTTGAACCTGGCTTGGTGTTGTTGAAGTACATGACCTCTTGGAGAGTGGACAACTGGATGGCTTTACCCATGTCGGCGAATGAGACGTTCTCAATGTGCAAGAGGATTCCCTCCTTTCCGAGCTTGGTAAGTGCCATCTCTGGATCGACAATCTTGAACGCTACGACCAAGACAACACCGACTCTCAATGAATCTCTGGTTTGGAAGATCTTCAAGTTGATTTCATCGCTGGTGGCAGCCTTGTAGTTTTTGTTGTCCTCGATAGCCTGCTGTTTGGTCTCCTTACTTGGGAACAAACAGGTTTGGAGTGAAGTCGAAATGAATCCCTCAAAGTTGTGAGTTGGACTGTCGATGATGATTGGCAACGAGTTCTTTGGTGGTGGAACGATGGTGAGGATACCGTTGTTGTAGGTGATAGCGACCTCACCGGTGTGTGGGATGATACGCTTGATGGAACCGTGCTCAATGAATGGATCGGTGGCGTTGTAGAACAACTGAGCCTTCTTTGCACCCTCTGGCGCGACCAAACGGAATTGGGCGTCGACGTAGACGTATGGTTCACGACGCGACTCCAAAATCACTGGTTGAGTACCCAACCAAACCTTGGCAATCTTACCGGCTGGAATTCTCAAGATATTAATAGTTTGATGTTCGATAACCGGTTCGTTTTGATTGACGAATCCAGTGTGCTCCTTGAACTCAAAGGTTGGATCGATAATAACATGTGGACCCTCACCATAGAGAACTGGACGATTCTTTGAGAATGCCAAAGCGTAATGACCGGCTGGAACATTCAAAACATGTTTACCATATGCACCAAAGTAATGAGCAGTCTAAAGATTGATTTCAAAAAGAAAAAAGATATTACAAAAAAATTATTAATAATTTGAAAAGTTGGAAAAACAACAAACAAAAACCAAATGAAATGATGGCAATAATTTACCTTTGAGACTGGACCAATGTATTTGACGGTGACGGTTGGATCTGGAGTGTAGATAGTGCTGAAACGTTTACCTCTTGGATCGTACAACTCGGCAACTTGATTACGGTGACCCATGACGTATTGTGAGACATCGACACGAGTGAGACCACGACCCAATAATGGATTGTCTGTGAAGGCAGAGTGCTTGATACCGCTGTTGAAACGCTCCAAGATGATCTTTGATTGCTCCTCAGCAGAGGCATCGGCAAAGCTTGAACGAATTACAATGTCACCAACGTTAAGAGGTTTGGTAACATCCTCGTGGTCGTGCTCCGAAGACATAGTCGATGCTTCATGTGGTGAGTACTTCTTTGAGGAATTGCTAGAGTTTGATTCAGTTGAATTTCTACGATTGTCAATCATTTTTATTTTATTTTTTCTTTAAAAGATTATAACTAACTATACAAAAATATTATTATATGTAACTGTTTTTGGTTGACTGACTAATTTAATATTATTATTATTAATTTGTCGATAAAAAGTCTTGCTAGAAAAAAAAATAACTTTTTTAAAATCTGATAATTATTAACTGTGAAAAATTAATAAAAATGTTGTTGTTTTAAAGATTTAGGGGTAGATGATTGGCAGAGAGTGGGTGGAATGCAAAAGTTTGATCAACTGTAATATCAACCGTTATAGATATCTACACTTAATATGTATTTTACTTTTGTGATATTTTTTGTTTTGTTTTGTTTGTTGTTGTTGTCAGTTAGATTGGGTATTTATAAAAGTAGCGTTGGTCAAAACAAGATGATGGCTTTTTCTGCCATTATCATTATCATTAAATTTATTTTAATTTAATTCACACACTCAATTTACACCTTAAATCAAAGAATTGGAAAGATTTTTTTTTCATATTTTCAAAAAAGTCAAAAATAAATTAAAAACATTATCCAAAAGGGGGGTAGAGTTGCAGTCATCACCAAAGTTTCTCATTTTGCAAGATTTTTTGTTTTCAGACCGTTTCAAAATTTTGTGTTGCGATAAGGTTTTTTTTAATGCATCGAAAAAGGTTATTTTGATTTGATTTTATTTATTGAAATTTAAATTTTAATAAAGTTGTTAGCACTTGAATACACTTGACATTCTACCAGGCTAGAATTGCAATTTTGTTTTTTTTATTTTTGTACAACACCTTTATTAATTATTTCAATTGATGACCAAAATCTAAGCTATATTAGGAAGTGAGGGATTGAGGTGATTTGAGTATTGATGATTGTTGCTGTTGAGAAAAACACACGACATTTCTTATTGACCAGAGTATTTCATTGTCACTCGAAGTGGTGTTTGGTAATCAGAGGAGTGTTTAATTGATCGTTTCTTGATTAATTCTCAAAAATTTGGGGGTGGTGGTAGTGGTAAATTTGGGGAGGGTGTGTAAAAAGGGGAATCATTATTGGGGAATCATCAAAGATGATTATTGGTGAATTAGGGGAGGGTAGTAGGAGAATGATTAATAGGGATCATAATAGATTATTATTAGTGAATTTGGGAGAGTGTGTAAAAGGGGAATCATCATAGATGATTATTGGTGAATTAGGGGAATAAACTGTTTAATTGACTATTTATCTTTTCTCAAGAATTCAAGGTTAGTTACCAGGTGATCTTCTTAACAAAAAAAAAAATCTAATCTATAGTTTGTTTATTGTAATTGCATTTAATCTTATAAATATCTTTGTTATTAATCACGGAGGTGAACAATTATCAATGTAATTTAATATAGATGTTTATTGTAGTGTAGTTAACTAGATAGGTTCCTATGATAATAATAATATAATAATGTAAAAGAGAAAGATAGGTAAAAGAAACTCTGTTTGATTAATTTTTTTTAAATAAATCATTATTAGTTGTCTAATAAGATATCAAAGCTTCGAACTAATGAGTAGTTGAATATATACTTGTTATCTTAATTGAATTATGTGAAACATTATTGAAAGTTCTTAATTATTATTTAATACAGAAACCTAAAAAACAGATAATAGTCCTTCAGACAATATTTAATAGTTTGTGCTAAATTAACGTTTTAAGTATATTGTTAAAAAACTTTATCTAACAGTTAATTATTATTATTCTTTTTCTTTTTCTTTTTGTTTTTGGTGCACTATTTCTTAAATTTAAATTTATTTAAAATATGTTTTGCAAAACTCAATTTATTTTAATTTGCTTTATCATCTTTATTACTACTATTGCTAGTCGTAGTAGTTAACAAGATCCTTCAATAGTTACCTATTTGGTGAGAAACATCATCTATTTTACTAATAATACTAAAGATGATATTTTATTGTTATTGTCGATATTATATACATTTTTATTATTATTATAATTTTTTGTTCCAAACAATAAAGGTCGTTTTGAACTTGTATTTTACAATAAGAAAGGACTGTTTCTTTTCAAAAAAAATAAATAAATAAATAGAAAAGAAAGAAAGTATTCAGGCATTAACCATTGTACTTTGGAATTCCCTAATATATTATTAGATTTATTAAAAAAGGACTCGAATCTTTTGTAGAATGAGATGGTTCAAGCTATCGACCGATCAACAAAAAAGAAAAATGATCTTTAATATAACAATATAAAAAGAATGATTATTCTATCTTTATTTTACCCAAGGTAAATGTAAAACAAGATTGTGATTAACGTTTTGGGTCACAAAAAAAAGCCCAAAAAAACAATTTTTTTTTTGAAAATAATAGATTAATCTAAGATGCTCACGATTTTCAGTTTAAAAAACCAATTTTTACATCGATGATCAAAAATTACAACCCCCATCAGCAATAATAGATCAGAAAACTTTTTGTTTGTTTGTGGGTAGCAACACTCACAATCTATCATGCAAAAATATTCATATCATGTTGATTCTATTCATTATTGTTATATCATATCATATTAGGTGCAGTGTTTGTGTGTGTGCACTTGTGTGTGTGCACTTGTGTTTGTTTGGGTATTGACTCAGGTGTTGTGATTATTGGTGGTTTTGTGGTGGTAATTTATATCATCACAAAATAAATTTTTAATGATTGCTCAATCAGGTCAAAACAAATGTAATTTTTTAATTTATAACTAGTTTTTTTTTTGTTTTGTTTTGTTTATTGTTAATTTTGATCATTATTTAAAATAAAATAATCAGTCAGTCCAAACAACCAAATAAAACAAGTAACATTGTTAAAGTGTGTGCTTTATCATATTTATTTATATACATTAATATTAACACCTATTACTACATACTACTACTACTATCATCAACATCATCATCACCACCATCATCATTAACAACAACAACAACAATTGTCCAACTGAGAATCAGAAATCAATCACAACATTAAGATATATACTAATATAATTGTTGGAATTGAAATATTAACTTTTATTTATTTATTTTTTTTAATTTTTTCTTCATTTTATAAATCTTTTTGTTAAAATTAAATTATTTAACAAACTATTATAATAGTACTGTCCATAGATATACATATACATATAAAAGAGTTAAAGTTTATTTATTTTATTAAATATTTAATATATTCTTGCAAAGTTTACCAAAAATTTAATTAATTTCAGAGAAAAACCAAAAACAAATAAAAATAAAGCGACAATGAATTATTTCGAAGCTATAGCAATAAAGGATCACAAGGCAATTCATCCTTCACAATTGTCATTTAAGAAGGGTGAAACTATATTGGTATTTGAAACTGCACCAACTGGATGGTGGCGTGGAGAATTGTTTGGAAAGAAAGGTTTGTTTCCCCAATCGTTTGTTGTATACAACAAAGAACAATATGGTGAGAATCCACTCGGAAATAATAATAGCAATGCCAGTACAAGCAATTCATCATCATCTTCACCAGGAATCATACCGACAACTAACACCAATTCACAAACATCCAGTCCAACCATTGTAAATTCAAATGTAAACCATCATCATCATCAACAAAACAACACACCAATTGTGGTGACAACAAGCACAACTTCAAATGTCCATAGTAATAATAGTATTGGATCATCTCCACATTCCGCTGCATCGATAATAGATTCAATTGAGGATGACTTTGATGAGATCGACCGTATCATCCAATCGACTTCTCCACATGCCAGCTCACCACCTCAACTCAAAAGAAATAATGCTCCACCACCCAGACAGATCTACAATACCATATCACCAAACTCACCTATGCTCTCTGCCAAGCCAGATCCATCAATCAAGCTATCGCCACGATTCAACATCACAAGAGATCAGATAGTCGATAGTCTTCAAGGTTTAAACAACGCAACAAAGTTATCCAATTCCAACAGCAGCAGCAGCAGCAACAACTCAACCTCAACAACAACAAAGACAGCTGCCAATACTCACATTCGTAAAACATCATCTCCACCTGGAGCCATCTCAGAAACTCAACCAAACACAACTCAACCCGATGAAAGTCATCTCTCCTCAAAATCGACCAACAATGCTTTTCTCAACATCAACAATATCCATAATCATAGCTCAAGCTCGCTTGGAAACAGCAGCAATGAAATCGGACGACTCGAGACAAATGTCACCGATAGCAGTAGCAGTAGCAGCAACGACACCAGATATAGAACGCTGCCAAGTGCATCAGCAGCAGCCATGAAAGTTAGAAAACCCATCTCCAACATCCTCAATAACAGAACCACCGGAAAGATATCGATTAACGACGTCAACACCGATACACCCTATTATATTGGACGTGCCGTCCTGCCGTATGCCAAACAGGCATACGATGAACTGGCGATCAACACCGACGACCTGATAGTTGTGTACAACAGTCGCGACATCGAAGGCGACTGGTGGGTAGGCAAGCTAAAGAACGTATTCGGTGTATTCCCAAAGACTTGCATCGAAATCATCAGTGAGATACAACGATCCAGTAAAGATTCAACACCTACACAATCATCACCTTCATTACAATCACAACAACAACAACAAACACCACCAAATAAAACACCAACAATGACACCACTTAAAAATATTAATAGTAATTCGACACCGACTACACCAATAGTAGCAGCAGCAGCAGCAGGAACAACAACAACAACACCAACAATAACACCTGAGGAACAAGCGATCGCCGCCAAAATAGAGGCATCGTTCTCACAGTTCAAGACAATGGAAGACATGCTTGAAGCAGTAAAGAACTTGGCTGTCAAATTCGTTCGACAGACATCGACATTGAAACAAGAGTTGGAACAGGAGCGATTGAAATACGAACAAGAAAAGACTTTGAGAGCTGCATTCGAACGTGAACTAATGATAATTAAAAATCAAAAATAAGACAAAAAAAAAAATTTGATAGATCATCAACTTTTTCAAACTTATATATAAAGAGTAAACACAATATACATATTTCTTATTTATAAAATATCATTAATTATAATAGATTTATCTCTATTAGATTTATTAATAAAACAATAATAATGATAATGAAAATTATAAAAATCGTTGTAATTGAAGTTATGAATAAACTTTTTTTGCATAACCACCACTTTTCTCAAATGGTTTAAGTGCAAATTAAATATTTATTTATCCCCAATAAACAGTTTTATTTTTATATTATTGTTTTTTTTTTTTAGTAAGATGTACAAAGCTAAATCATTATGTATTGTTAGGTCGAGAGTTATTGGTAATACTTCTAATTTTTTTGGAGTTGGATATAGAAATTATATTACTGCAACAACAACAAAGTCAAATGATCAGAAATTTAGAGAATATAAAGATGAATATAATGAAGCTGTTGTAAATAAAAAGAAATATTGGGATGAAAAAGCATCTAAAATAACTTGGTATGTATATAATTGAATTGATTTGATTTGATAGAGTTATTAATAAATTAAATTGAATTGAATTGATTTGATATGATATGATTTGATATTTATTTTTAGGAATAAGAAATATGATGATGTTTTAACTGGCACACCAGAGAGTCCGAATTGGTTCGACGGTGGAAAGCTGAATATGTGTTATAATGCATTGGATAGACACTTGGTGGATCCAGAGTCACGCGATCGTCTTGCATTTATACATGAGACACCGTTGTATGGTACCACCTTGAAATACACCTATAGAGAGTTGCACGAGCAAGTCTGTCTGGTCGCTCAGGCACTGCTGAATCTTGGCGTGCAACAAGGCGATCGTGTTGTAATCTATATGCCTACGATGCCGGAAGCGTCGATGGCAATGTTGGCATGTGCAAGAATAGGTGCGATTCACTCGGTGGTTTTCGGTGGTTTCGCAGCGCCACAGTTGGCAGCGCGTATCGAGCATTGCCAAGCAAAGGTGGTAATCTCTGCCGACTTTGGTGTTGAGGCGTTGCGCACCATTGCATATACTCCGCTGCTAAAGGATGCTCTTGAGATCAGTAAACATAAACCAGAGTCTGTTATTATCTACGAGAGAAAAGATTTGGTTCCAAAGGATCTTCCGGTGATACCAAAGCTGGACGGTTGTCTCTATTGGTCGGATTTGATTCGTAAGGTTCAGCCAATGAGAGATTATGTTGAGGTCGACTCAAAACATCCGCTTTATTTGTTGTATACTTCGGGTACGACCGGTAGTCCAAAGGGTATTGTTAGAGAAACCGGTGGTTACGCTGTAGCGCTGGCGCACACAATGAACAACATTTTCAATTGCGAGAAGGGGGATGTGTTCTTTACTACTAGTGACATTGGGTGGGTTGTAGCGCATACTCTGGTGACATACGGACCGTTGCTCAGTGGAATGACAGCGTTGTCCTACGAAGGAAAACCTGTGATACCGGATGCAGGTGTTTTGTGGCGACTCTCTGAAAAGCATAGAGTTAAAGCGTTGTTCACTGCTCCCACCGCTGCCAGAGCGATACAGCGTGACGATCCACAAGGTTTGCTTCCAAAGAAATACGATCTTTCCAAGCTGGAGTCGGTGTGGCTTGGTGGTGAAAGAGGAGATCCAACCACACTAAAATACTTGGCTGATGCCACTGGTAAGCAGCACGGTATTTTCGATTCGTATTGGCAAACAGAGAGTGGTTGGCCGATGATAACCAATGCGCGCGGTGCAATTCCTATTCGATATGGATCGGCTGGAATGCCTGCTCCGGGCGCCGACTTGCATGTGGTCGGTCCTGATAACAATAAACTTGATACCGGTGTCATGGGTGAAATACTGGCGACACTTCCACTTCCTCCTGGCTACTGCACAAAGCTCTACAAGAACGACGACGGTTTCAGAAAATCGTATTACGCCGGATACACCGGATACTACAGAACTGGCGACGCCGGCTATCAAGACGACGACGGATATTTCTATATTATGACACGTGTTGACGATGTTATCAATACCAGTGGACATAGAATGTCGACATCGGCAATTGAAGAGATTCTCTATTCGCATCCCGATATTGTAGAGTGCGCTGTCATCGGTGCCCACGATGAAATCAAGGGAGAGATTCCATTTGGTTTCGTTGTAATGAAAGAAGGCAAATTGTTCACACCAGAGACAGAGGCACAACTCATCAAAATGGTGAGAGACAAGATCGGTGCCGTTGCAACATTCAAACGAGTGATGCCAGTCAGCAGATTGCCTAAAACCAGATCCGGTAAGATCGTAAGAAACATTCTGAAAGCAATTTCCAACGGACATGAGCACTATGGAGTACCACCAACCATTGAAGATCCAGAAGTTCCTAAAGAAATTGAAGCACAATTCAAGAAGTATATGAACACTCATCAATTTTAAAAAAAAAAAAAACAAAAAGAAAAGAACACCAATGATTCCGGTCATTCTCACCAACAAACAGATAGTTATGTTGACATGACTGTATTATTTATTCAAATCAAACTAATCAAGTGTTACAATAATATTATAATCATTTCTCAAACAACAACAATTAAATTTATTTATCTAATTTATTAAAATAATCACAATCACATATGTAATAATTATACAAAACAATTCAATTCAATTTCAATTTCAAATTATATTAAATTAATCACAATAAATAAAAACCAAACCATGTAATTAAAATAATAATAATAAAATAAAATAATGATATAGAAAATAATATAGTTTGATTGAACAATTTTATTGGTAGAGTATCTCTTTACACTATATTGTCAATCAAAATTGAATTGAAATTAAATCGATATAACTTTAACACCAACTTGCAATTATCTTGATTCATCGCAACATATATTCGATGTTCTACCATTCCATGATAAAACACATTTGATAGACATGTCTTCCAACCAATGAGTACTCGTTGATAAACGATCAAATATTTGTTGTTGGGTGAAATCATACCAATTAAAATTAATTTCAATTTGATTTGGTGGGCGATAAATCATTTTTCTTCTTTATTTTGTGTTGGTTGGTGGGTGATAGGTTATTCTAGTTTTATGGTAAATCAAACAGACAGTCTGATAAGAGTAAGGTAAGATCATTGGTTTTTTTTTTATATTTTTATTGGATTCGAAATACTGTGATCTTTTGATATAGATAAATTAAAATATATACTTTTCAAATCAGATAGGGACACACCGATTATCGATTATCCCTATTAAACAAAGACAATATAACTAACATTTAAGTATATTTTCATTTTTACTAAATATAAATTAATTACTAATTTTAATGATCTACTAAAAATAAACCTTCTAACAATCAGTTGGACATTCTTTTTGTAAAAAGGACAATTAAAAATGTTTCTTTTTTAGATACATATGTTTTATGATAGCGATATCTAGAATAGGTTCTAAACTTGGAACAGAGAAGTTTGATCGTTCAATTTCGAAATTTACTAAGGGACAGGATTTCTATAAATACCGAGTAACTTGATACTACTTTTTCATCAACAAACAAATAAGTATCTTAAAAACTAAACTAAAAAGTTAATTACTTCAAGAAATTTTAAAATGTTATACAGTAGGTATTAACTAAAAAAAATACTAAAAATAAGAATATTTATTCTAAATACTAATTTTTCTTTTTTAATTATTTAGAATCACTTGCCAATTTAACAGCCTCCACTTCATCAATCACCAATATCACTGTTAATGCTCAAGGTGGTGCTGGATCAAGACAAGGTGGAAATAAAGCCGCCACTATTGGAGTTCCAGATTGGGTTGATACCGTCAACGATCTCATCTATCTCGGATATATTGATTGCCATGGAAATGTTATCTGTCATAATCACTGCGGTTGTTAAGTCAATGGATTGATTAAAAAAAAAAAACCAAAAAAAAAAAAATCATTTTTCCCCTACTACTACAATTATGTATAGATTTAATTCTGAAAGATTAAACCTTTAGAATTCCTATTATTATTATTATTATTAAATAAATTTTATTTTATTTTATTTAAATCGTTAAAATTAATTTATTAAAATTATTTTTAAATTTTCACCAAAAAGAAAATTGAAGTTCATTTGTTTTTTTTTTTTTTTTTTAATTCTCAATCAATCAATTTATAAATATATGACTGTTAACAACTTTGAATATGATCAATAAAAAAGATAAAGAAAACAATGATCAATCGAAAAATGTACAAACAACCAATAGCAACAATGATGTTGAGATGAAAGATGTTCAGGAGGTAGTGGAGCAATCAACAAAAGTCGATGAGAATGACAATACAACAACTACGATCACTACGACAACGACAACAACTACAACTACAAACACCAGTCCCAGTGGACTGAACGATAGCGATCGATCTAGATTGGAGCTCTTGAAGATGAGATTCGAAAAGGAGATAGTAAATAAAGAAAGAGATACATCGACGTCGATGGGAATGGGTTCGCCACCACCTGGTTCTGGCGTTGGTGGCGGCGGCGGTAGTGGAAACAACAATGAATCATCATCGTCATCATCATCATCGTCAGATCGTAAGCAATTCGGTGATGACGTTGAGGTGCAGATGAATATTCAATCGATCAAACAGAGCATAAAGAAACAGCATGCTAAACAAGCGCCGACACTAGACTATCAGAGAGCACCCAAGCATATCGTACCGAAGAACATCTACTACGGTATCAACATGCCTGCGAATGTGGTGAACGACGACCGTGCACTCGAAGCAGTAGGTGGTCTTTCACAAATCACAAAAGTATTCAAATCGAGTGAAGCTGAATATCTTCAATTCAAACACCGTCCAAACAACCCAAATTGTCGCCCCGCATTCGGTGATAAACTACCCACCTGTAATATGTTACTTCGCATAAGAAAGAATAATAATCAACAACAAACAGCATCAACATCAACATCGACATCTACAACACCAAACACATCTTCACCAATATTATCTTCACAAACATCTACACCTATAAGTAAAAAACAACAAAAGCAGCAACAACAACAACAACAACATAGACAACCACAACAACAACAATCTTCACAACAACAAAAATCTACAGAACAACAACAACAACAATCATTTAGCGCAGATATTATAGCTATTATACCAAGTACAATTAAATTCGATGGAATGTCTGATTTTCAATATATTGTTCGGCCAGAGGAAAAGAGAGAAGCAGAGCAGTATTTCGAGGTGAAAGATGAAGAACTCAATGTGTTACCAACGATATTCTCGAGAATAGATCATCCGCAACCCTATTATTTCAAGACGAATCCTCTGGCTACTTTCATACCAGAGACACATCAATTCACAATCGGAACGAAACCTTCGACTTTTGCATCGATCCAAGTGTGCAGGTTCGAATCGACAGATCCGCTGCCAACCGCCAAGAAGACAATCGACTCGATAAAGACGGTACAATCGATGTTGGTATCACATCGTGTGCTTCAGCAGCTGTTTGAGGAGCGGCCGTGCTGGGCATCGGTGCCTCTCAAAGACTACTACCAGAAACGCGGTGGATCGCTACGCTACCTCAAGATTCTGATGCCATTCGTCGCATACAGCTTTGTCAATGGTCCGTGGCGTCTGTGCTATCTCCGATACGGGTACGATCCGCGCGTCGATCAAGAAGCGAGAATGTATCAAGGCGTAGACTTTCGTCTCGACAAGGAGGCAAACAACTCCAAGATTCGTCGAACATTCGTCACACCGCGACGTGGTGCAACCAAACTCAACACCTTTAACTACCAGAACATGGAATCATCGGGAACGCCACTGCTCGAAGGCTACTCGCCACCCATCTTTGACTACACATTCAAAGAGATACCGACACAATCTAGATACTATCAACTCTGTGATTTCGAAGTGCCCAAGCTAAAGACACTTTGTGAATCATTGACACCATCACCCTATTGTACAGTATGTATTATATATATCATATCATTTCATATTCAAAGCATACATATCTTAACATAAATATGTAACATGTTAACACAGGCAAAATCTGGATGGTTTACAGAGAATGATTTAAGGTTGATTACGAATGAGATGAAACTAAGATGTGGTATTCAACCAAAGAATACTGGTTCCAGTGGAAGTACGCGCGCCCGATCCAACAGCGGCAGCAAGTCAACGACACCAAAGAAAGGCAAAGCAAGTCAGAAATCAAAGAAATCTCAAAAACAACAGAGACAACAGTCGCAACAAACTCAGTCAGCAGTGACGGACGACGAGGAAAGTCTCTACCATGAAGATGAAATGTCACAATTCATGCAAAGTGGAAGTGGTATTGGTTCACCACCTTCACCTTCACCATCACCACCACCACAATCACAATCACAATTACAACAAATAGTGCTTAGTACAAGAAGGGAGGAGACGTCAACAACAACAACAGCGGCAGCAGCAACAGCAACAGTTAACGACACCGATACAGAGAGTGAAATGCATCACACCGACATCAATATGCACATGGATATGCACTTTCCGACACTCAAGACCAACGAGCAGCTCGAACAAGACGCCTACGACATCCTCGACGAGGAACGAGACAGCGAGATCGAAGGACAACTCGACGAATTCGAATCCGATCAGGAACAGAGCGATCTCGATGAGGAAGAAGAGAATATGGGTGACGACGAAGATGACTTTAACGAATCGCACTACGATGATGATGAAGATCACGAAAATTCATTCGATGTTGAAGAGGCAGATAATGATAATTAATTAATGAATGAACATGTGTGTGTTTAAAAAACAAAAAAAAACCTTATATCAAATAAATCAAAAAATTTACTTGTTTTGTAAAAAAGAAATTCAATTAATTAATTTTTTTTTTTTTTTTTTTTTTTTTTGAATCTGATTGAAACCCACTGAGATAGATGGTGTGGTGGGGTTTTTTTTTTTTTTGTTTATTAATTCAAATCATTAATGGGGGTGAAAATCACCGTTATAAAAATTTTAAACCTTTTTTGTTCATTCAAAATTTATTTGAATTTAATTTGATTTTTTTGTTTTTTGCAAAATTAAACCCCAATTTCTTTAAATAAATTATTAAATAATCTTTAAAAAAAAACTAAACAATAAAAAATTAATAATAATAATATAGATAATTAACAATAACAATAATATTAACACACAACACAGCTAACAACAACACAACATAATAATAAAAAATAAAACAAATAAAAACAGCAAAAAAGATAACAGCAAAGCTCAACTTAGATTTGTATAGAATAGAATAACAACAATAACAATAACTTAAAAATTCAATTTATTTATATATATAATATTTATTCATTATAAAAAAAAAAAAAAAAACAAACAACAGACAATTAATTGCAAAAGATTTGGAACAACAACAAACCTTTTTTTTTTTTCAGGTAGGGCCTCTTTTACCTCTTCAGAATGTTGCATGTTTTTTGATGTAGTTGTTTTGTAGACTTTGCTTACTCTGGTTACCAGTGTCATTGCGTATCAATCAAATCATGTTTCAAAAACACAAGTGTCTGCAATCATTAGTAATGTTGATTTTAAATCTTGTAGTAGTGGTGGTAGTAGTTAATCAAACATTTATTGTTGTTGAAAGCAGATTTCAAGTCACTCATATAAGAACTCAGACTGAACATAGTAGTTCATACAATTGTAGATCATTCTAAAATCATCATTACATCAAACATTAAAATGGTGACAATAACAACAATTATTATTATTAAATGTTGTAGATGAGGAGAGTCTCTTTGATTTTGCTTTTGTCTTTTTTTTTTTTTTTTGGAAATTATTTCTTACAATTTTCTTCTCATATTATCAAATCTCCAATTTTGGTTGGTTCCTCCCACTTTTGTTTTTTTTTTTTTCATTTTTTTAAAATTTTCAACCTCCACTTTTTTTTTCAAATTTGCTTGCTTCACAGAACACCTATAAAGTCTCAAAGTCCGGTGTATCTATATCAAATTTTGTACAAATTCTTTTTTCAATGTAAATATTGTTTTATTTGTTTTGAAATAATGTTTTATTTATTATTTTGTTGTCAACATATATCATATAACAAAGTTTTGTTTCCCCAATTTGACAACAACTTTATATTAAAAAGATAAATTAAATTTAATTTAAAATCAAAATCGGTGTTCCAACACGGTGTATCAAAGCAAAAATGCACCTGTGAAAATATCATTTCAAACACCCCACAATCAGTTGATTTCAACAAAAAAGTTTTTGGCGCTAAAATTTTTAAAAGTGTGATCATGTTCATCAAAATGATTGATGATGGGTGTGGATAAATTTAAATCCAACTTCCCAACTTTACAAAATCAGCTGTTGCCTGTCTTTAATATAAATTTAATTTAGAAAACAAAAAAAATATAACATTCAAATCAATCATTATTTATTTAAAACATATATAAAACATCATTTCTGTATACTTTAGTAGAATATTGTCATTGTTGACACATCAACTCAAACTGTAAAAATCAATTATATCTTCAGAAATAATATATAAATATTATCGACACTCAACGATAATCGAAACAATATTGTTATTGGTCAATAAGAATCAGATTTAAATATTACAATGTGCACAATGATTATTTCTTTAATTTCCCAATCCAATTATAATCACTCATTTATATAAATTAAGCATTGTATCATCAATCACTCACCAAACATATAACAAAATAATAATTTTTATTATTGGCTTTTGTTTTTTTTTTTCAAATTAAAGTTAAGATTTAAGAATATTCTTACTCTTTTTTGTTGGTAATAAAAAAAAAAACAAATTAAAATCATTACTAAAAATATCATCAAATAACCAACCAAAACAACATTATTATTGATCATAAAAAGCACACACCGGTTTAATTTGATTTGTGGTGGGGTTAAAATTTATATTGGTGGGTTTCAAGTGGGGGTACCTCTTTAATTATTATTATTGTCAGTCTTTTTATAAAACTTGTTCTTCACCTATCATCCTACTACATTACTTCATTCAACTCTTCATTAATAATTGAAAATATAACTGTGTTGGAATCATGATATCCACTCATCAATATTAAATGTGTGTGTGTGAGTGTGTGATATCAACTTAACATGTTATAAATATAAGTGTTTTATTGGCAACCACTACTACTATGTGTTATTTAATTTTAATCTACTTTCAAAATTCGGAGGTGGAATATGAAAATTAATTTCCAAATGTAATGCATTACACACTGCTCTACCTCTTCTTTCTCTCTAACTCTTTTTTTTTGAGTTGTTAAATTTCATCAAACACTCCCTCCTGTTAGTGAGTGTCACACTGTGCACTACGCTATATTACTGTAGCTACTGTCAACAAAATAGATTTAGTTGTGTATTCTTACTAAAAACACAAACACTCTCTTCTTCTTAACCTTTTCTTTTTTTCTTTTCTTTTTTCAATATTAATTCATATTGAAAAACCATTTATTTTTAATTCACTCAAACTCAAAAAACAACAATAGACAAAAACAACAATATATAAACACACTTTACAACACAACACAACACAAAACCTCACACAAACACATAGCCAATATTTTATTTTTCATCACATGCAAAAGTAATAGCAACAGCAGTTACTCTATAGTATAGAAATAATAATTGTTTTTTTATAACAAAAATAATAATAATAGATTATTTAAATATATAAATATAATATATATATATAAATATACACATACACAACATAGATACATATAATAATTTAATTGGTAATCTAAGGATAATAATATTACACAATAGCAGTTTTATTTCAAACAAAAACCCCTCTAATATATTAAATTTATTTCCTTTTTTCTTCCCTCACCCACTTATAATTCAAATTTGGTTAACCTCCAAAGTTTCTTTTGTTTTCAACTTCCTCTTTTCATATCTAACCAAAGGTAATCCCATTATCTTATCATTCTCACTAAATACTCAACACAAAATCACATGTGATTTGACTCCTTTTTTATATGCTTAACATTAAATTATCATCATCATCATCATTTTTATCATCACTGTCAGAATCCTTCACCTCTTAACAGTTGTCGGGGTATATGATTAAATTTAATTAATTAAATTTTTATTTTTTACAATCACCTCACTTTTAATAAGCTAATAATAATCAATATCACTGTTGGTTTTTTTTAATATATTAAATTGTTTTTTTTTTTAAAAAAAAAAGCTCACTAACACTCTCCCAAATCTTGACTTCTTTAGAGTTAACAGTAATTGATCAAACAATAGATTGATAGAAGTAGGAGGAAAGAGAAAGACGCGCGGACATTTGAATATTGTGTATTAAAATAATAATAATACTAATTTGTTGTAGTAACAAAAATAGTTATAAAAGATCAGCAACACAACAACAAGCAACAAAATAATAATAACAATAGAATAATTATATTTATTTTTATATATAGTATATATATATATATTTTTAATCCAACCAACACATGATGTCTTTTCCTTTACATGAAAGGAATCCACATCATATGAATGGTGGTTCCAACTTTTCAAACAACTGGAATGCAAATGGTGTCGTTGGTGGCAACATGAATATGCAACAACAGGTCAATGGAAATTTGAGATACTCCAATGGCATGCCCCAGCCATCGATGCAAAATAATATGATGAACCCAATCGACTCGCTCGACTATAGAAATAAATTATTACAACAGCAACAAGCACAACAACAGCAACAACAACAACAATATATTGGATATCAACAACAACTGCTCATGCAACAACAAGCACAACAGCAGCAACAACAGATGCAACAACTTCAACACCTGAAAAAGCTTCACTATCAATCTGAATTGAACGATGGATCTGATATTTTATTAAATGGTGGTGGTGCTGGTGGTGTACACAAGAATGATTTGGTTTTGGACAGATTCTCGTTCCTCAAGATGGAAGAGAATGGAAATGGTCATCTAAATTTCCAACAACAACAACAACAAAATCAAAACAACAATAATAATAGTAAATCTTATTTAAATCAAAGCAATGGCATGATTAATTCGATGAATGGTCTGGTTGGTGGAATGAATGGCATAAATTTAAGTTCCCACGATCCATATTCAAATTTTAATTCTATTCCAAACGGACAGCAACCAAATAATAGTAATAGCAATAGTAATATAAAGTTAAATAGTAGTACCAACGGTACAAATAGCAATAATAGTAATCACAACTCTGTAAATACCAATAATATTAATAGTTCAAATAATAGTCATATGAGTGGCTCCAATGGAATGCAACCAAATCAATCGCCATCACTCAGTATGCGCCCAATATCACCATCGAATCTCAGCCAACTCTTTTCGATCTCCCAGATTATGCCATCGCTAGCATCCAATGACTTTATGGAAAAGTTTAGTAGCTCCTTTGACTTTGGTATTCCTTCATTCCCACAACCACAATTCTTCCAACCACCTCAACAATCACAACAACTACCACCATCACAACAACAACAACAACAGCAACAACAACAAAACCCACTTTCACTTTCACAATCAAAAATACAAACACTCCGTCAATCCACACCGGGAATGTCTGGACTCTCACCAACATTGCAACAACAGTCACTTTCAAAATCTCTAACCTCTAGCGATCTTTTAAATCCACCTGTACAATCAAATCCAATGTCTCCTCTCTTAAATACATCCAATTCAAATATATCAACACCACTTCAGCAATCCCAACAAGCTAGAATGGTACAACAACAAGTTAGTGTAAATCCATTGATCCCACAACCACAACCAACTACACCATCATTACAATCATCACAAAACATTCCACAACAAATACAATTACAACAACAGCAGCAACAATTACAACAACTACAACAACAATTGCTATTACAACAACAGCAACAACAACAACAACATCAACAACAACAACAACAACAGCAGCAACAACAACAACAACAACAACCATCTTCACCAACTGCTCTATTGGATGATGCAAACTTCCCAACTTTAAATGCAAACAAAGAAGCAAAGAAGGTCACTGGAGATACCAAAAATCCATTGTCTGCCTCACAGGAGAAGCTTAAAGAGGAAAAGCTTAAAAAGAAAAAAGAAGCCAAAGCAACAGCCGTCGATAGTTTAGCCGCCCAAGAAAGTAAAGTCAAACTCTCATGGTTTGAGTTCCAAAATCTAAGCTCAAGTGGTGTCGACCCAATCATGGAGGGTAACAGTGACGAACAACCAAGTCGTATACTCTGGGTTGGTAATATAGGTATGGATGTCTCTGAGGAGGAGCTCAAGTCTGAATTCGGTGTCTATGGTGAGTTGGAGTCTGTTCGTATTCTCCACGACCGTTTCTGTGCATTTGTAAATTTCAAGGATGCTATCAACGCCGCCAATGCCAAGCGTAACATGCACAACCAGGTTCTCGGATCACAGTTTATCGTTGTAAACTTCCGTCATCCAAAGTCGGACGAGATGTTCCCCAATGGAACCACCGGTACCACTCTTATCACCACACCAGAGACTTTGAACTCTTTGTCACGTGCCATCTACATTGGCAACGTCAGTGACAATCTGCCAGAGAAGGAGATTCGTAAGGAATGCGAGAAGTACGGTGAGATTGAGTCGGTGCGTATCCTTCGTAAGAAGGCGTGTGCATTTGTCAACTTTATGAATATTCCCAACGCAACGGTCGCTCTGCAAGCACTGAATGGCAAGAAGCTCGGTGATACAATCGTTCGTGTAAACTATGGTAAACCACAGCCACCTTTCGGATCGGAGAGAACCTCGAGCCAACAGGAGTTGAACAACAGTGGCGGTAGCAACAACACTTCGCCGGTGCTTAGCCAACCACATTTAAATGTTAACTTGAGTAATATAGCTAGCAACAACAAAATACAACAGCAAACACAAAACTCGCCAAGAAGTTTGGTTTCCGCCAACAGTTCCTGGGGAGGTGTTATCACCAGAAACAACAACAATAATAATAGCAATAATATCAATAGTAATAATAGTAATTTAAATAGTAGTTCGATCAATAGTATAAATCATTTGCCAACCAATAATAATATAGAACTTATTAAACAAGATGTTTGTGAATTTTGTTCAATCGGACCAAAATCTAAACTACTAGTACCATGTTATCATTCCTGTTGTGATTCTTGTGCCTCTATGCTAATTCGTCATTCTCCAGATAAATTTGTTAGGTAATTATATCATCTTTTGTTTTTTTTATTTGTGCACTTCACTTCATTTTACTTACAATTAAAAAAAAAAAAAAAACGATGTCCATCATGTAAAGATTTAGTTAAAGAATTTTTAACTCCATCCCTAAATTATTAAATTATATACATATAAATTATTAAGCTGTTTTTAAATCCATTAAATTTTAATATATATAAATAAATACATATAAATAAAACTAATATATAATATAAAAAAAAAAAAAGAATAATATTTTTTATTGTAAAAATTAAATTTAAATAAGACGAGCCGACAGACAACCAACTAAAAAAGGCTGATGAAACAACAACCCATCAAAAAAAGACCCAGTTGCATCACAATTATGATTCATTTCAAAAATTAGATTAAATTTGTTTGTTGTTTTTTTTTTTTTTAAAAAATTAAATATATTTACAACTAAAATGGATTAAAGTTATTTATAATGTTTTTTGTTTGTTTTGTATTATTTTTTTCTATTTGTTTAATTATCACTGTCATCGCTAGCATCATCGTCATCATCGTCGTCGTCATCACCGTCCAAACGTGCTGGGAAAGCAATGAATGCCTTGGGTCTGGTTCTTGATGTTGGCATATCTTTGAATGGATAAACTAATTCTCCGCCAGAGTCATCGTCACTCTCACCCGAACCATCGTCGTCCTTTCTTCTCTTTGAAGATGATGATTTTGAAGATGATACAGATGATGATGATTTTGAAGAAGATGACGATGGTTTAGATGATGATGATGATTTCGATGGTGTTGATTTTGAAGAGGATGATTTCGATGAGGATGACGATGTTCTTGATTTCTTCTTCTTTCTCTTTTCGTCTTCGGAGGAATCATCCGATGGACTGTAATCTTCGTCACTCTCTGAACCGTCTTCCTCGCTGCTGTCGTCTGGCACGACGAAACCGTCGCCTTCATCGTAGCTGTCTTGATCGCTGTTCTCCTCTTCCTCATCTTCTTGTCTTGCCTTCTTTGATGACAAAGAGATTGAAGTAACTCTTCCGGCAGGTGGTTTCGAGCTGCCAGACTTTGGTGCTTGCTTTTTCATGCCGGGGTTGGCCTTTGCCAGAGCCACTTCGGTGGCGGTGGTCTGTGCCTTTTTCTTTGCGGCCAACTCTGCTAGTTTTCTCTTTTTCTCTTCAAGACTTGACATTTTATAATTTCTTTCCTATATCTATATATATATCTCTCTATATAATAAAGAATTATATTTTTAAAATAAATAAATAAATAAATAAAAAAGAATATGATAAATCTTAAAAAATAATATTATAAATCTGTTCAAAAAAATTAAAATGAAAAATAATAAAAAAGGTAAAATTTTAACGGTTTTTTTTTAAATTTTTTTTTTTTTTTTAGTGGAAACAGAGGTATCTAAAAAAATTGGTAATTAAAATATTAAGATTTATCAAATGAAACTTTATTGTTCAATAAAAAAAAGGAGAATTAATTAGAAGATTTTTTGTTTCTACGACTTAGATAGGCTGTGTGCATTGTGTTGATGGTTAAATTGGGTATTTGTGAAATGGTGAAAACATCCATGCCGAAATTGTTGTCTAAAAAGTATTTGACTTGTACGGTCATCAGTGAATCGACTCCAAAGTTCTTCAGTGGCGTTTCAACATGAAGTTTGATTTTGGGAATGGAGAGGAGATTGGATATACCATCCAATATCAATTCAAGAAGGTCTGCAGTTTTGTCTAACGATTTTTTGGTGTTGCCTTTCTCACCAAACACCATATGATCGATGCGATGCTTGATGTGTTGGTGTATCTCGTATGCTCGATTCGAAGTTACTTGACTCAGAATTGGATTGCAATAGAGTGGTTGTGAAAGAATCAATTCTAAACCTCCAAACAGTGTAGCTAGTGGAATTGAAAAGATGCCTCTTGAAGCGAAATACTCTTGGAGACCTGTAGATTCTGCAACGATACCCTCGCCGAGAATCGGACCTAGTCTTATTGCCTTTGATGTCAAACCAAGAGAATTTCTATATTTACACAAACCGTCGATAGCCAGACAACTAGAGTTGTAAGATGGCTGTGAAGCCGCACCAGTGTATCCAGAAATCGATGACATCAAAACGAATTGTTTCAATGGTAAACAAAGATCAATAGAAAGAGTATGAAGATTATAGGCACCGATTACCTTTGGATCATGAACTCTCTTGATGTTTTCAAGTGTTAGTTCATTTAGAGGAACTGCCTCAAAGAGTACTGCAAGATGGATTATCGTTTCGATGGGTGGTAGATTCTTGATGGCCAATTCTATTCTTGATTTCAACTGCTCATTGTCTGTGATGTCAGTTTGATAGAAATGAATCTTTGTTGATTTTGTCGAGTTTATAATAAGCTTTAATCTGTTGTTCAATGTTGATTTCGAGAGTACAACTATATCAGAAGCATTGGTGTGTTTAGCTAACCATGGAATCAGTTCTAGGGCTAAACCATTTTGACCTGTAACAATGATTGTGTTTGAAATATCCATCTTGAACTCTTTCTTTGGTAGTGGTATTTTCTTTTCAATCAGAGGCTGCATAATTGATTTATTGAAGTTCGAACAATCGATAACAACTTTTCCTAATTGCTTCCTTTCTGCAATATGTTTAATGGCTTGTTTTGTCTCTGTAACATCAAATACCTTGATAGGAGTCAATTGAAGTCTTCCACTAGCGATGTCATTAAAAATAGTGATCATTAGGTTTTTACCATATTCAGTTCGATTCCAAAAAAGTTTCTGTAAGTCAACACAACAATAATTAATATCGTTATCAAATTGACCATAACCAAAAGTATCGTTGTTTACAATATGTGTAACCACAATATCAGCAATTCTTCCATAGGGTGCCATAGCTCTGAAATTCTCCTCCATATATTCAATTGGTAATGTATTAAGCAGCACATTTACACCATCACATTGCTCTTTGATACTCTCAGCAAACTCATTTGAATAAGAATTGAAAACATCGATCAAAATATCTGAATAGTTTGATTTTAGATAATCTATCTTCTCTTGAGATCCAGCAGTTGCATATACTCTCTTGCATTTCAACATTCTTAGAACATTCATTGCTGCCAAACCAACACCACCGGTAGCACCATGAATCAAAATAGTTTCATCTGGTTTGAATTTACAAACTTCAAACAAAGAGTGATATACTGTGCCATAAACTATACTAACTGAGGCACATTCATTGAACGAAAGTTCTTTTGGCTTTGGAATAAAGAAATCTTTTTCCATAATTGTATGGGTAGCTAATCCAAGAACAGAATGAACCGCAATTACTTCATCTCCAATTTTGAAATCGTCTACGTCTTTTCCTAGTCTTGAAACAACTCCTGATGATTCCAAACCAAATGGTGGATGATAAATATCACCTCCGCTCATTTGTTTCTCTGGAAGCATTTGAAGATGGAAAAGATAATCTTTGAAATTCAAACCAACTGCTTTCACCTCTATTTCTACCTCTTTGGAATTCAAATTTCTTCTATTTCTCAATTTATAATCTAGATTAATATTGGAAACAGAAATAATATTCTCTGGGTTTGTTTCATATGCCTTTGAATATGTAAATGCTTCATCTTCGATATTCAGTTCTCTTGCTATCATAACTTTGTTGTTCATTATTGCATAAGAATATTCACCTAATTCTACCTTATTTTGAGAAATAATCATTATTTTTTCTAAATATTCGTTATTTAAACTTGAATCTATATTGAAAAATACCACATCCAATTCTCTATGATCCACAAAAGCTGTATTCAAAATTCCTACAATAGAGTTTGAAAGGTAGTTTGAAGATTCACTATCTTTTGCCACTACAGTTATTCTAGGTTGTTTTTCTCTATCCATTAACATTTGTAATATTTGAACTAAAGAATAAATGGTGAGCTGATAATTCTCAATAGTTAATTGTTCCATCGAAGTCAAAAATAGAATATGAGTAGAATTTCTAAGGATATCTTTTTTTGATTGAATTTCATTTACCAAAATAAAATTAATTTCATTCTTGGTATATGATGACAAAAGATCATTTGAAACATTTTGATTGTCACCTATCACAACTGAAAGATGTTCTACATTTTTAATAGGTAAAGATGCAATTTCAGTTTTTTCACAAATTAACATATTATAATTTTCTGAATCAGTAGTTCTAATATTTGTAAATTGATATGATCCTGTTACAAAACTCTTCAAGTTATTGAAATCTCCAATATTTTGATCTATTAAAAGAGAATCTGGGTTTGACTGTAGAGAAATGAAGGTTCCTTTTGGTGATAGAATTTTAGAAGTAAATAAAAGCGATGATTCATAATTATTTTTATGCATGGTGGGATTGGAGAATACCAGATCATAAGAGGAGTGTAAGAAACCTTGTTCTTCTAAATTCTGACTAAAATCTACTAAAGTAAAATTAATTTTGAGATTTCGATGAATTTTTAATGATTGGTATATTTCCTTTTTCTCCTTTACAAGTATTTCTGAAACATCTGATATTGTATAAAATATTTCTACAACTCCTTTAACAATTGTATCTAACATTTTATCTATTAAAGGAATCAAAAGAGAAGATAATTCACTACAACCAAGGCACATAATTTTCAATATGTTCTTTCCTTCCATTTGGGATATAGATTTTGAAATGGAAGTCATTAGTGATTCAGAAGTTTCTTTAATGATATCCAATTTGTTTTGGTTAGAAAATAAATCTTTTGGAATAGAAACTGGAGATTCTTTTGGTTGATAAAATGTCTCGAAAAGTTCATTTTCTGGATATTTTATCTTTTTCAATTTCATTCTTTCAGATGATCCCAATATGTATTTTTTGATTTCGAAAATAATTTGTCCTTTTGGATTAACAAGTAAACAATTTCCAATATTTTCATAGTTATTGAAATCTGTCATTCTTACTAAAAGGTACAGTTCCTCTGGGGGATTATTTTCTAATTCTTGATAATTTTGATAGTTGATTTTCATATTTTCCAATGATTTATATATGAATTGTCTTCTATCATCCATTAATGCAAACAATCCATGAGCACAACTATCAAATAGAGTAGCATTCAATATCTTTGAAGGTCTATTAGAAGACCTTACCTTTAAAGCTCCAAATGCCATCATATTTCCAATTGAAATATTTTGGATATGTTGAAAGTGTGGTCCATATTTTAATCCAAACCTCTGGGTCTTCTTGTAAAACTCCTCTGGAGTGTAAGATGTTAAATTACATTGACTTTTGAAAGATGATAAATCTATAGTTCTAGATTTTATTCCTTTTAAAAGGGTTACTTTTGATTTTGCAGTTTTTTTCCAATCTTCTTTCAAATCATAAAATTGACCATTTTTGTGGAAGAATTCAAAAGAATATTCACTTTTCGAGAGTTTTTCAACTTTTGTAACTATTTTTTGAGAACTTTGTTTTAAGAAAACAGGTTTCAAGAATTCCAATTTGTTAATTTGAATATCCTGTTGATTATGTTCAAGAGCTTCGATAATTGCTTCCATATATCCTGCACCAGGGAGAATCGGTTGATTCTTTACTTGATGATCTTTGAGATATTCAAATACTGGGCTTCGAATATCAATATCTGATTGATAACAATTTTCACCATTGGTTACAGATTTATGACCAAGAATTGTTGTTGATTTACCAATTAATCTTTTATATTTTGATTGATTTGATTCATTCCAATACAAGTCAGTATCCCATTGGTATCTTGGAAGAATTGCCACTCGTTCTCTCCAATTTCTATTTAAAATATCAGAAGGTGAGAATTGAGAGGAAAAATTAATATTTACTCCAAGACAATGAAGAGATGCCAACGAAGATTTAAATAATAAAGTTTCATCTTTCTTTCTTTGAATTGGAGATAAAACCTTGGATTTAGGAATTGTTTGGGTGATAAAGCTACATAAAGTTGGATGAGGCGAAATTTCAAGGAAGACATAATCATTCAAATTTTCTTTCAAATCTCTATAAAGTGATTCTAAAGTTTTCTGGAAATAAACTGGATTTCTTATATTTTCAAAAACATATTGTGAATCTAATGGATCGGATTTCAAATCTCCAGTAACTGTCGAATACCATGGAATATTTGATGATTTTGAATTTAAAGAATTCATTTGATTAATGACCTTCTCTTTGATAATATCTTGATAGGAAGAGTGGAATGAACAGGGAGTACGAAGGAAAGTGTGGAAAATATTTTCCTTTTTCAAATGATCAGCAAAATCTTTAAGATTGTTATTGTCACCTGTGATTACTATGGAATTAGAAGAATTAAAACAAGCAATTTCAAGAGATGGGAATAGTCGTTGAAATTCCAAACAATATTTCTCTGAACTAATTGCCACAACAAGCATTCTTCCAGTTCCAATTGTCTCATTTTGAAGTGATGCTCTAATGTGTACAACTTTAATAGCATCAGATAGATTTAAATTTCCTGAAATATAAGCAGAAGTTATATCTCCAAAACTATAAAATAATTAATATAGATTCAAAAAATAAAATAAAAAATAGTATTATATATACCTGTGACCTAGTACAATTGATGGTGTTAAACCCCAGTGTTTATAGAGTTCATATAAAGCAACCTGGAAAACAAATAGAGATGGTTGTGCAATTATTGGTTTATGAATCTCATTAGAATCGTCTGGAATGGATTTCAACTTTTCAACAATACTATATCCAGAGTATTCTTTTAATAAATTATCCAACTTATCAACATTTGATTTGAAAACTGGTTCATTCTCATATAGGTTCATTCCCATTTTATTCCATTGAGGACCTTGACCACAAAATACATAAACCAATTTCTTTTCAAAAGTATCTTTTGATTGAACTTGACCATTAAATTCAACAATCTTTGAATTTAACTCTTCCCAATTTTTAGCGATAACTACCTTCCTGGTTGAATGAAATGATTTAGTTAAAGATTGATTTAGAGCAAATTCTTTTATGGTTATTTTATCTTGATAGTTTTGAAGTAAATCAAAATACTTGTCAATGGAAGAAGTAGAATTAGCACTGAAAGGAATCAAATAACTATCATTCAGATTTTCATTATTTTTTCTTTTTAAAAACGATTTAATAAAAGTATTTTTTTAAAATAATCCTCTTTTATACTTACTCAAAATCTTTTTTCTTATATTCTTGAAGTATCATATGTCCATTTGTTCCTCCAATTCCAAAAGAATTTACACCCATTATAATTAATTGTTCATTTGATATTTCTTCATTTTTAGTAATTACTTCCATATTTGATTCTTTAAAAGCAATTTTAGGGTTCAATTGTGATAATTTGATACTTGGAACTAACATTCTATTTTTTAACATCAAAGATACCTTAATGATAGAAGCAATTCCGGAAGCACTTTCAAGATGACCCAAGTTTGATTTAACTGATCCTACTTTTAATGGTTTCTCTGGAGAATGGTTGGCAGAAAACATATCTATCAATGCCTTCATTTCAATTGGATCTCCAACTACTGTTCCAGTGGAATGGGCTTCGACATAGTAGATTTGAGATGGATCAATATTTGATTTTTCTAAAGTTTGTTTTATGTTTTGATACTGAATATCACTTGAAGGAGTTGATAAAGTATCTTTATTACAATGACCATCATTATTAATTCCAATTCCTTTGATCACAGAATAGATTCTATTTCCATCTCTCTCAGCTTTTCTTAATTTCTTCAAAATAACTACACCACAACCTTCACTTCTAACAAAACCACTGGCATTGGCATCAAATGGCTTACAATGATCACCGAGTACTCCAATATTGCTATACATTCTCGATGTATCTGGATCAAACAATGCATTGATTCCACAAGATATAGCAATATCACATTGATTATCCTGAAGATATTTAATTGCCAGGTCTGTCGTTGTCAAAGAAGATGAGCATGCAGTATCGACGGTCATGGATGGTCCTCTGAAATCAAAACAATATGAAACTCTATTGGCGATAACACATGGAGTGAACACATTACTCAATACTTTTGGTAAAGTATCGAAATCTGGGTATGCAAGTTGGAGATGGTGATAGTCATTATTGGACATACCAACAAAAACTCCAGTGTTGGAGGATCTAAGTGAATTTGAAGGAATTTGAGCATCTTCCAGTGCTTCATAGACTAGAGTGAGGAGAAGTCTCTCTTGAGGGTCAATATAGTCAGCATCCTTTGGCGATATTTCAAAGAATAGAGGATCAAACTTTTTCCATTCATCAAAATCCAATAATCCTGCGTTCTTTGTTGATACCAATTGGTGTTTTTGAAACGAATCCGACCATCTATCACTAGGTATTTTTACTACACCATCAAATGAATTTTTGAGTGCTTCCCAGAAATCAGTAGGTGTTGTTATTTTTCCGGGGAATCTTAAACTAATTCCAATTACTGCAATATCATTCTCTTGAGATGATAGGATTTCCATTCTATTTTATAAAAATATTGTATCTTTTTTATTAGATAAAAATTTCACAAATACTTAAATAAACCAATATATAGTTAAAATCAATTTAAATACAAGAGGATTCACTCGTTTTATTTTTTAACCAAAAAAACGAATTAAATTTAAATATCTCTAAATATTTAAAGATCTCAAAAAATAACTAACTTATTTAAAGAATTATTTGTAACTTTCTAATTTGTTTATCTTGTGAATTAAAAAATCTAAACTCAAACCAATTGTGGTTGAATTCTTAATAAACCATTGATATATTAATTTTTATTGTTATATTTTATAGATATATTAAGAGATTTATTGATTTTAAGTAATCTTTTTTATCTTACTTAATCCCATCCTCTATTTGTTATACGATAACATTTTGATGTCCTTATATATAACTATAATCTTTATATAGAAGTTTAAATAGGTGGAAAGTTTTAAAATAATTCAAACTAATGAGATTTTTTTTATTGAATTCAAAAACAAATTTGTGCTAATGTGTCGAGCGACAGAGAGATTAACAAAATAGTGGTGGTTTTTTATAATATTATGTTTTAAAAAGTTTATTTTTGTTTTGATGTGTATGATTCATCAATATATGGTGTATACTAATTTTTTTATTTTTTTTTTATTACAAGATTTAGTTTTAATTGCAATCTTGTTTAAAACAGATTTATTTAGTTTCATAAAATTGGAATATTCCAACTATATAATTTAATGCAATTGTTAAATGAAAAAAATGAATAATTAAAATAAATGAATTAAATATGTATTTTCAAACTCTTGAGATTTTGGTACAATATTACTTGAGTTTCTATTTTTTTTTTTTGTTGTGTTCTTTGAAACTTAAAGATAAGTGTAACTACTCTATTCTATTGTCACTTACATACTAAAATTAATATTGATAATCTTTTTTTTTTTTTTTAATAACTTAAATTTATATTTAATAAATAATAATTACAAGTCGTCTTTTATAATTTCTATTATTGTTTTTATTATTATTATTATTTGTTTGTTTGTTATAATAATTGATTAAAAATAATATACCCCCTCCCCATATTTCCTTATATTAAACTATTGATTGATGTGTTTGTGTGATATGTAATTATTTGATTATTGATCGTATGGATTTGTTGGAGCAGACCAAGCAAAAGTAAAGGTGGTGTAGGGGCGAACATCATAGTGAGCAAGTGTCTTTGAATCCTCTAAAATTTTACCGCAATAAACCAAACGACCTGTGTATCCCGGGTAGTTGCCAGTTGTTCCTTCCTTTTCTCTTATCAGATTCTTTACGTGCAAGACTCTATCAGTATTTTCTACCTCCAATGAAAATTGTTTGTTTGTTGCATTTACGTAGATTAACATTTTTTTGATTGTTTTTTTTAAATATTTGTAACAAATATATAATAACTATAATTCTAGAGAACATAAAATACTTTTTTCAATAAATGATATTTTTTTTTAAAATCTTTGTAAATTTTACAAAAAAAAAATGATATTTTTTTTGACCATCAAAATCATAATTTTTTTTATAAATAAACAGAGAATAATATCAGAGAAAATTATGATACTCAGCTCTCCCTGTATGTTCTATTCGATTTGCAAATCAATTGTTGTACTGGTAGTAATACTACAAGTCTTTTAATCCATTAAAAATAGAATAACTATAGAATAATAATTAAAGTTAAACCTAAAACTAGTTTAAACCTTATAAAACTTGTTATTTAAATAGAAGAAAAGTTGAAAAATAAACAAATAAATCAATTACTATATCAGGGTTAAGTGTGGTTGGTATTTTTGATTATTGTGGTTAAAAAACAACAAAATATAAAAATTAAATTAAATTAAAGAAAAACAATGAAATTAGATAGATTCAATTTATTTTATAAAAAGAGGAGTGTGAACAATAGTGTAATTAAGTGTGAGTGGTGGTGAATGTGTGTTTGTGTGTGTTTGAGTATATATGCAGTGTGAGAGTCAGAGTTAATATAAAATGTTTTCTATTTTTTATAAATTAAATAAGACGATAAAATATGAATATGAGTATCTCCAAATCATTGTAACAAATAGCGGAAGAATAAAGCGAGACATTATCATTATCTTTCTATCAATCTTGTCGTCTATATTTATATGGTTATGTTTTTTTTAATAATAATAATAATAATATGAAATTTAAAAAAATCTAGAATAAATTGTTTGATAGTATTAAAAAAATTGGATAATAGAAAATAATTATATTTAAAATTAGAATAAATCAAATGAATGTAGATAATATATAACTAATTTATAACAATCAATCAATCTAATAATCATTTCTTAAATTATTCATATTAACATTGGAAAGTAATAAATAATATTTAGTAAAAATTATTGTTTTTAATCAATCATAAATAAATAATTGGAAAGAAATAAAGAAATAGGAAGTAGGAAGTAAAAGGAATAAAATAAAATAATAATATTAGGAAATAATGTATGTGAAATATAATTTAATTAAATGATAATTGGAAAAATTTGAAAAGTATAATATTAATAATAAATTTGAAATAATAAAGATTTTGTTTTGTTTTGTTTTGTTGTTTTTTAGATATATTTAAATATGATATCTAAAATATTACCTAATATTCTACAGAAGCTACTGAGTGGATATATAGAGAATTTAGATACTCTTTCGATACCGTTCTGGAAGGGTGAGATCGTCTTGGAGAATTTAAAGTTGAAAAAAGATGTTTTCGATAGCGAGTTGCCTTTCGAGTTGGTGAGTGGTGTCATTCAGCGAGTGGTAATCAATGTACCGATTCTCAGATTTCTATCCGATAAGATCACTGTGAATGTCGATGGTGTCTTCCTGTTGTTCGGGCGAAAAGACATTGCGAGTGCTGCTGCCGCTGAGAAGAAACCGCGCGTCGGTGTCTCCATGGACGACCTCGCGCAGATTCAACGAACTCTCGAGACAGCGTCGTCGGTTGGATTGTCATCGATAAGCGGTGGCGGTGGCGAAACAATATGGTTTCGCATGTTGAAATCACTGATAAAGTGTCTGTTGTTGCGTGTCACCAATGTCCACGTTTGCTATCAAGACCAAAAGACGTCGCCCGAGGAGCGATTCTCCGTCGGAATGACAGTGGAGTCGTTCAACTTTGAGTCGACCAATGAGCTATGGGTTCCTCTACAGTCAAACAGTGTCTACAACACATCGGAGGCATTCAAGCTGTGTTCGCTATTCAATTTCTCTGTCTACTGGAACTCTGCTTTCGGGGTGACAAAGTTGGTGACCCCAGAAGACATGGAAGTCGTACTGATGCATTCGATACCTCGACAGCGTATCAAGATGGATCACAAATATATTATACAACCGTTTTCCGGTTTCATAAAGATCTGTATTAAAGACGAGGAGAACGAAGTGGTGACAAACAGCGGCGTGATGAAGCGGCTGTTGACAAATGCCGATATCAACATTGGACTGAAGCAAATCGATTTGCACCTAATGGATACACAGTATAGAGATATGCTTAATCTTCTGTTTTTCTTGCATGACTGGCGTAAGGTGTTAAAGTACAAAGCGTTTCGACCGAGTGAGCCGATCAAAGGAAACGCAGCGAAATGGTGGCGTTTTGCATATCAAGCCATTCTATCCGACCTAAAGAAACAGAGAGACGAACAATCTTGGAGTGCAATCGAAGAGAGTAAAAACATAAGAAATTGTTATGTTAAAGTTTATACCGAGAAGATGTTACATAGAAGAGTATGTTCAATCTTAATAATAATTAACTAACCTAAATTCAATTTAACTAACATATATATCTTATTCTAAAAAATAAAAGATAACAAAAATAGAAGAGAATATATTATCTGAAATCGAAAAGATATTATCATACGAAGATGTAATTTTGTAAGTTGATCTACTTCATTCCCATGTTTTTGTTTTTTTTTTTTTTTTGGTTGATCAATCAATCCATTTCTAAACACTTGAAAATTACTTACTTTTTTTTATTATTTAATGATCATTTAGATTTAGAAATATTGCACAAAGAAAAGTAATTGAAATTAAAAGAGATGAAGTAGATCAATATAATGATAGTGAAGGTTGGTGGATAAGTGGTTGGTTCGGTCTGAAGAATCTCGGTTTTGGCAGAGCATCAAGCGGAAATGTCGATAAATTCATTCTGAGCAATGATGAACTTCATTTCTTGGATAGAGTACTGAATTTAGAGTTGTCAGCGTTGGCCGGTGCCACTCCAAAGAATTTCGTAACATTTACCTTCAAAGCCAACATCAAACACGCTTGTATTTCTATTCTCGATTGGCGAGACTCTGGTATCATCGTGCCGTTGGCATCGATTGAAGCGACAGAGCTCGACTTCTCCGTTGACTATCAGAATTATGGAAATACAAAGTTTGACCTTGCGCTTCAGACATTCACCGTGTTGGACAAGTGCAGCAAGAACTCAAAGTTTGAGAATATCATTGTGGAGCGTCGCGGTTTCGAGCTGCCGTCCGGTGGACTGCTTGCCAGCGCCACCGCGCAAAAGTTGCTAACACTCACCTTTTGGACGCGTCCGCCAGAGACTGACACCGATTGGCTGATGCGGGTGAAGCTACTGCCGTTCTTCTTGGTCTATAGCAAGCCGTTTGTCGACACGATGTTTTCGTTCTTTACGCACGCCAGCCAGGAAGCGCTCGACACTTTGAAATACTCTTTCTTCAAGAAGCTCAAGATTCTACAGGATATGATTGTTCAGGAGTTGAGACACTTGGTTCGCAACCAAAAGTCGGCCGATCTCGACTTTGATATCGCTGTTCCAACCATCGTTTTCCCAGAGTCTATCGAGAAGGAAGATACACTGCTGTTGGTTATCAGCAGTGGTAATATCATTTTGAAGAGTCAGCCGTTGGATCCAGCTTGGGATTGCAAAGCGTTGATCGAGATGATCGAAGAGGATGAAGAATCCGAGCGGTTCTCGCGCGCCAAACAAATGTTAGTCGAGAGAATCAAGTGGTGGCGTGACAACTGTCCAATTCACTTTGTCGACACACCGATCGATTTGAATCAGTTCTTTAAACGCACACAGATACACAAACAGATTGTCAAACACAATTTGGATCACTCGCATATCCGACCGGATTCGCCAGAGGCATCGGAACCCGCCAACGCCACCTCAAAACACTCGGTATTCCAGGAGGAAGAATGGGATATCGAAGGTCTGAATATAAACAACGCACAATTCTACGAAGGTGTAACATTCCAAGCATCCAACATATTCGTTAAAATCTGTAAGTTCTCACAGATCTCTGACTTTAAATATCTTGTAAATCCAACCAACTTCCAAGTATTCCTACAACTCTGTTCCGATCCATTCAATCTTAATATTCCACAAGTTATGTAAGTTGTTAACTTTAAAACTTAACATTTCATCTAGATCTAATTTAAATTGATTATTAAATCCTTGTTGTTTTTTTTATTTATTCTAGATGCCATTCATTATTGTCAGATATTAAAGTTGAGGTGTCCGATACGGATATTTATAATATCTCAAAGATTGTTGGAAAGAATGGATTGTTAGAGTATTTCATTGATATGGAGACTAAATCATCGAAAGAACTCTCAGAGATGTACGATGTGGTATCGATTGAACGACCAAAGAATAAGAATAATGTCGATTTGAAACTCTCTGTCATTTCAGACACCAAGTCGATTTTGCACGCTCGCAAGAAGACCAAAGAGATGCTTACGAACTGTGTACTGTTGAAGTTCTTTTTCAAGACTGCCAACATCGAAGCCAAGGTGAACTACGAACGAACCGAATCTATAGTTGTGACACTCTCCAATATCCGATGCAAGAGTTTGGCCAAGTTCCTACACATGGAAGTACTACTTGACATGGATCACGTTGACATTACCGATTCAAACTCGATCATACCGGTGCTCTCGATATTCCCTCATCCGCACGGCACTCTTACCAGTTCCAACTCGAACCTGGCTAGCTGTTCCTCTGATTTCAAAAGCGGTAAACAAGGAATACAGACTCATCCAGTATCGATCCATTTGATAAGTATCAGTAAGAACTCACTGGAATATGATTACATCGATTTCGTGGCATCGCTCTCCACCCAATGTGTTAGAATCAGTCTCCCGAAAGAATGTATTAAATCTCTATTGAAAATCGTTGGAAAATCTATTTCCGATGCAAACAGATTGTAAGTTTAAATTATCATTAAAATAATATTATAATTTTATTAATCTATTTAAAAAAACCACAGCCATGAAAAGAAGAAATCAATTCTTACAATCGAAGGATCTAGGTATCATTCTTTAACTAACGATACTCATCATGTCAAACACAAACACAAAAAGATATCTGAAAAGTTGGATGCCAATGAATTTGATCCAAACGATCTGAAATCAAAGATTGTTATCAATGTTCCAAAGTTCTCACTCATTTTGTGCTCCAAGGAGAATGACTTGGTATCATTCAACTTTGATGAAGTTCATATCGTTGGTGTATTCCAACTTCCTCTTTATGATTGCACAGTAAATTTCAAAACATATAACCATCTACTGATTTATTTACTTATTTAATAACTTATTAACCATCTTTTGTTTGTTTTATAGTTAAGTGTTGGTGATATGAAATTCATGGATCTAACAATGGAGAAAGGATTACATCAAAAGATGTTGGAAGCACTGCCATCGCAACCAAGGAATGTACCGATTGTAAAGATGCATGTGGTCAGTCATAATATTAGCAAGGCAAAGGAGTGGGGATATAATAGAGTGGTAGCAATTGCCATTGGAAAGATAAAGCTTACTCTACTGCTCCAAACTATCAATACCATTCGTCACTACATCGATGATATTCAGAGGTGTTCAAAAGAGTGCTTCCCAACACTCTATATCGTGCAGGAGAATATTGAAGAACCTGAACAATCGACAACACCACTGGGAAACTCGACATCCAGTTCTATATTGGCCAATGAACCAAGAACCACCGTTGTCAGAGAGGAAAACTATCCATTCGCCTCGCCAAGCCAAGAAGTTATATTCAAAAGAAAAACAATTACAAATCTTGATATAACTATTGATGAGAATCAATTGTTTCTACCAAAGAATCCGGGATCTAATGAATGTTTGGTTTTGGGCGTTGATCAGATTTCGTTGTGGTTGGATCAAACCGATCCATTGGCAGACGTAATTCATATCAAGATCAAAGATGTGACAATCGGTACGACCAGAGATGATACTATCATGGTTAGTCCAATGCTGTTGAAAGCAATGAAAGTGGATTGTACATTTATCAAGAAGTTTGAGACATCTCTATCAACTCAAATGCTAAAGATAAATATGGATATTGAAGATATCTTACTAAAGATGACTCAATTCCAATACAATCTATTGTATAATGTTATCATGCAAAACTTCAATCAAAAGGTTGTTCCTCCTCCGCTATCACCTGCATACACCAAAGAAAGACAATCAAAGGTAGCAACACTTTCCATCAACATTGGAAATACATTGGAATTACATTTGGTAGATGAGAAATTACCTGTTGAGTAAGTTATTACTATTAGATTATTAGATTAGTTAAATTGTTAACAATTTCTTATATTTAAAACATTTATAGTAAAGAGAATTTAGTTTGTTTGATTATGGGTGAACCAACTATTGTTTTGGATTATTTTAATAATGGTGATATTGAAATCGGTATTACAACAATGACACTTGGATTCAATAATAAGAACTTGGTTATCGATGGAAGAAGTCAAGAGATTCTCTCTATCACTGCCGAAGAGAAATTCAAAGGTAAATTCCCTGTTCTTAGTTTGGAGGTAATTAATGGTGTCTCAAAGTTGGAGTTACCCATTGATAGATTGGTGTTCTTTATCGATTTGGAATGGGTAGATCGTCTCGCATTCTTTTTGGTGCCTTTGACCGATCCTGACAATATTCCTGTACCGGTGCAACTCAACCCAGCGGGTGAATGGGAGTTGGTAATGTCCATCAAGATTCATGTGAAGAATGCGGATCTGATGATTGGTAGCTACACCGATCACAGTGCAATCACTCTGATGATGTCGGCGGGTATCAATATCGATATGCAATCGGGATCCGACGGTCTTTTCAAGATTCTCATTGGCTACAGCTGCAATCGTGGATCGCTAAGCAGTCCAATCATTCCAGACATGAAAAAGAAATCAAAGCAACAACATGTCCGATTCTTTGGCCAACGACACACTTGTATCGATCGATGGGATCGATTGAAACACTCTGCCAAACTCTTTATTGAGTCGTTCCAAACGACGCTGTGTATCTGTTTGGTGTCAGAGGGTAATCAATTCTACTTCTGTGAGTTGGACAAGATGTTGATTATTCTTTTCGGGTCGTGCCTATCGATATCTCTTGGATCTGTATGAAACCATACAGAATATATTGTATCGTAGATCGAAAGGAAATGAATCCAACGGTAATCCATCGGTGGAAGTTGAATCACCACCTGGCTCACCTAATCCACTGCTAATGTCGCCATTGACACCACTGTCACCAACAATGTCACCACGTCCAAAGTCATCATTGACGAATGCCGTTGGTGCTCTCCTTCCAATTCCTCAGCATACACGCACACTTCTCTACACTCCATCACCATCATCTTCGCCAGCCAAGATGAATCAGCTGTTCCACCTAAAAACCAGGTCAGCAGAGATGATTCGTACGCACCAAACCAAGTTGCAAAAGAAGCAGTTAACCGACAGCTCCAATGCCACTATCATCCAGAAGAAACCATTCACTCAGTTCTCGCTATGCTTGAAAAACATTGAGGTTTTGGTGGTTGACGATCTTAGTCCAAACCAAATGAACTCACCGCTCTTCAATTTCAAACTGACCTATGGATTCCTAAAGATGTTGATCAAGACAAAGATGGAGATCGAGTTGGACAGTGTCATCAGTCTCGATTACTTTAACAATCGTATTGCATTCTGGGAGCCATTCTTGGAACCTTGGCAACTCAAGACCAACGTCATATTCTCCAAGGAGTTGTCAGTGGAGCTGTTCTCAAAGGATTTACTCAATATCAATGTAACTCTTCCTCTTATGGACAATGTAAGTCTGTTCCTGATGACCTACAGTCAGGAGTTTGGATATCCATTCAGCATGATCGCTAAGCCACCGATGCAAGCCGACGATCTTGCCAAGAAGAGCTCACCCAACGAAGTACAAAAGAAATCGCTGATTGGCAGAATTCGTAAACTTCAAAACCAAAACAAAACTACCTATGCACCGTTCTATGTTCGCAACCAAACCGGTTCAAAGATCCGTTATCGTTTGGAGACACACGATGGCAAACCAGTGGAAGGTGTTCTCTACGAGCAGATGGACGGTCGTCGCTTCGTCAATGTCGACAACTATGGTATTTTCTTTGATTTGTATCCAGGCGATTCAATGCCAATCAAATTCTCTCAGGACATTCAAATTCATTTGGATACATTCAGCCAACTCGTGCTGAATGTCGAATTGCTCGGCATTGAGAAATCAATAGCTGCGCCACTCGATAAGATCAAAACCTACGAATATCCAGTGACTCTTGACACTACATCGTCGACCACACTGCTTGTCACCGTTGAGATTAAGAATGGCACGAAATTCATTACCATTCGATTCCCTGTGGTTTTCAAGAATCTCACCAAGTTCCCCATTGATATTGCAACGGTTGCCACTGGCTACGGTATGCAACAACCACCCAATCTCTCGGCAATCATTCGTGAAGGTGAAATGAAAGCACCGGTACCTGTGAATCGAATGAAGAATGCTCTGTTGAAACTTAAACCGGCTGGACCAGACTACCGGTGGAGTACAGAGACACTGAACATCAGTGAGTTGAACTCTGTTGAGCTGTTCACCTCACAGTCACTGGTTGATGACAAATACACTATGATCAAATGCTATGTAAAGGAAAAGAATGGTTGTTCCATCATCAAACTATGTCCAATGGTGAAAATCAAGAACCTGTTACCCTATCCAATTGTATATCGTTTAAGTTCAAGATTCAACAATCAACCGTATTCCATTGAGAAAGCACTGGATCCAGAGACAAAAGAGGAGGTCTATGAACTACCGATTATCGATAAGTTCAGAGTGCAAGCCAGAATGCATGGTATTTGGACTGAAGAGAAACCGATTTCCAATACCGATAATATCCAGATCATCGATATTCTAGCCTATCAATTGGGATCGCAACATCTTCATTTCAACATTGAATATGACTCTGAAGGTGGAATGCGTAAACTTGTTTTCTACAATCAATATTGGATTTTTAATAAGAGTGGATTGAATCTCTATTGTAAGAAGCCATACAAATCGCGCGATCACAACGAAGGAACCGTTTCACTGAACCACGTTGCAGCGGAATCGAAAACTCAGCCAATCATTGTCAATCCCTATGAATGGTATGAACACCATCGCCAGAAGGTCGATCCAATTATGTTCTCCTACAAGAAGACCAAAGACATTGAGAACTCCATTCGTATTCGTGTGGGTGACTCTGACTGGTCCGATAAGATATCGATAACTGCCATCGGTGATCGTGGTATGGTCAATGTGCGATCGAAGCGTGGTCGTCCTCTCTGTGGAAAGAGTGAAACTGGCTACATCTACTCACTGGGTGTATCGATAGATGTCACTCCAAACCTGAAAACAAAGATCATTGTTTTCGCACCACGCTATATCTTCTACAATCAATATCCATTCGACTTGGTCTACAAACAAGTCAATACGGATTATGAAATCAAGGTGAGGAGAAATGAAAAAGTACCGTGCTATTTCTTTGTCGATAACAAAGAGCCACCAAACTTGCTGGTTCGTATGGACTATCCGGGTGCGCAATGGTCCAGTGCATTCTCGATTCTCAACGTGCAAGACTATGCATTCAAGATGTACTCGGAGAACGATGAGAAAGCACGTGAATTCCACTTTGAACCATTCATAAGAATACAAAATTGTTTGGAAGCAGCCACTATTTTCATTATCACCGTTGAGATGAAGGAACCTCCCTATAAGATTAGCAATATGACTCGATTCCCACTGGTTGTTAATCAACGACGTTGCGGTGCACCCATTCATATCTATCCGAGAGAGATTATCTCGTTCACCTGGGACGAACCATTACAAGAGCATGTCCTTGAAGTCAATGTACTGTCGGAGCAACATACCCACAAGACTTCGATCAAGGTAGACAAGATCAAGGAATTCAAACCTCTGGAATTCAATCATCACAATACTCATACCATTATCAAGGTCAATGTGGAACCAGAGGAATCAACAAGAGTTTTGAAACTCACTGATTCCACCTATAAGGAGAACAGGGTTGAAGAGGAGGAAACATCGAGACAATATTTCAAAATGAATTTTGCTGGTGTTGGTATTTCTCTTATCAATGCAAATCCTACTGAGATCCTCTATGTCGCTGTCAATGATATCGTTATGGAGTATTACTTTAGTAATTTCATTCAATCGCTGGAAATGAAGATTCAATCGATGCAAGTCGACAATCAACTTTCCAAGGTGACACCATTCTCTCATCCGGTATTGATGTTCTCTGAGAAAATCGGTGAGCAAGATTCATTCCTCGTCTTCAAACTTGTCAAATCCAACAAGTTTAAGAACATTGATTATTTCCATAATGTATCTCTGGAGATGCAGGAAATCAATGTCAAGTTAGAGGAACGCTATCTCTATGTCCTCTTGGAATTCTTTAACAGTTTGGACTTTTCATTCTGGACGGGAAGGAAAAAGACAAAGATGGCTCTGCAACACGTCGATGTTTTGAAACCAATCTACAGTGGAGACATTGGAGATGGTTTCATCGATGAAATGTTGCAACGTGCAATTCCATCGCTTCATGGCAAGAAGATGTACTTTGAGAACCTCTCTATTGAACCAATCAGTATGTACCTTACATTCGATCTCTCAAAACAATCCGGTGCTTTCCAAAGCTTAGAAGCACCAATGGTCCGTGCATTTAGAAGAATAGGTTTTGTTTTAGTTAGTTTCCAACAAGCTCACATCTTTTTGAACTCGTTTAAACTGACACATGCATTCGGTACAAATGACGAGCTTCTCAACCCACTATTCAGACACTATCTATCTGAGGGTCTCTCTGAGGTCTACAAGATTCTAGGAACCTTTAATTTCTTGGGTAATCCAATTGGATTGTTCAAAAACTTTGGTGTTGGATTCAAAGATTTCTTTGTTTCCACTGGTAAAGGTATTGTTGGCTCTGACTTTAGAAGTGGGGTTTCAAGTGGATCCAAGAGTCTTGCTAAACATACAGTCTATGGATTGTTTGACTCTGGTACGAAATTCAGTTCCAGTGCTGCCAAAGCATTGTCTACACTCTCAATGGATCAACAATACATTCTTGAGCGACAATATATCTCTGCTGAAGCACCGGGTAATGCCATTCAAGGATTCTCTTTGGGTGGTCGTATCTTTGTGATATCATTGCAGAGAGGTTTCACTGGAATATTCCGTTTACCTTATTACGGTGGAAAGGAAGGTGGATTTGTTGGTGGTCTTCAGGGTGTCGGCAAAGGTATTGTCGGTATCGTATTGAAGCCGCTGGCAGGTAGCTTCGACTTTGTTTCAAAGTCGTGTGAGGGTGTCAAGAACTCGACTCACCTCAACATGGAGCGCAAGAGAATACGTTATCCAAGACCATTGTTCTCTGATACCCCGCTGAAAGTCTACGATGAAGCCGAGGCATATGGACAATTCTTGTTCATTACCAATCTGATTTCCTCTGGTAGACTCAAAAGACTGTCACCCGATCAAATCAATATGCCACTCTTGGAAATGGTTTCCAAAGATGAGCGATACGTTAGTCATCTTATCTACAAGAATCGCAAGACACTGTTGTTCACCAACAAGAGAATCGTTTATCTCAAGGATACCGATGGATTCCGTAAGAAATTCGATGTGAAATATACATCGATTCTCGATGTCATTGAGGAACCATCGGATATCCGTGTTAAGGTGAGTCAAGCTCACAAAATCCGTGTGTTGAATCCCAGAAAGAGAAAGTCATACTATATCAAGTGTCAAGGTGAAGCCAAGGTGTACATCTACAACAAGATTGTCGAGTACCTCAAAACTTACACACCCTTCAGCACTGACGATGAGATTGTTGCTGCCGATGCTCAACATGTTGATCAAAGACAGTATGACACTGTCTATTCGGATGCCCCTCTTAGATCGTATAGACAACTGAATCGTCCAATACCACCTCCTCCTCCATTACCACCAACAGCTCCATTGGGTAGTGAGAAGATTGAGTTTAGAACTGTCAAGCCTGGTGAGCAAATGATTCAACCCATCATTGTCCAGGGTGTTGGCGACGGAAAGGTCGATGCCACTCTTGAATATCTACTGGATCAACCACATAGACACAACATTGCTCAGCCAATCTGGATATCACGAGGACCACCTCCACATGACCAACTCCACAACTTTAGTCATCGTCAATACCTGGATATCCCACCAGTGTTGTACCAAAGAGAAGGTCCTGCACCACCTCCCAACGTACAGTCATACGTTCCTCTACCAGCAGCTGCTGCCGGCACATCTCAATATCAGCAGTATGCCAATACACAATACCAATATCCAAATCCAAACACTGTGAACATTATCACCAGTCACCCAACTATTCATCCGCTGCCATCAGCACCATTGCTTCATGACTCAACCAGTGGATATCATCCACCTCCTCAACCTCCCATTCCACCAGCTGCTTACACACCACCAGCACCCCCATTACCACCTGCTACCTATAATCCTCCAGCACCACCTTCACCAAACAGCAATCTCTCAAGAACAACAACAGTCAATTTGGTTACGACACCAGGAACGACTCGTCTCACTCAGAGTCAATACAAATCGCCAAACTTGAGAAAGACGATTGTCAATGCAAATCGTGCATACGATCCAGCGTCTCAGTTCCGTACACCGCTACACTCACTGTATAGCTCAGAAGGTCAGAAACTACGTTCCTCAGGCTCAGTAGCTCCTCCGACTACCACAACCACTACGACAACTGTCAATAGAACCGCTGTGGAGCCAGGCTATGAATCAGACTATTTGAAACAAGCTAAAAAGAATCAGATGGAAAGACAACTACAGATTGAGCGATACAACCAGCAACACCAAGTTGAACAGTCGGTTGACAACATGATGAAGATCCAACAGATGCAAATTCAACAAATGCATCAATTACAAAAGAATCAGATGGAACTACAGAATCTCATCTTCCAACATCTCATTCAAGATAAACCAATTGCATCTGCACCAACAATCGTAATGCCAACTATTGAACCAAAAGAAGAAATAACTACAACAACCACCACTATTACAACAGATTCTCAAACACAAGGTAGTGCATCAAAGTAAAGCAAAGAAAGGGAAATCAATTAAACAAAAAAAAACAAACAAACAAACAAACAAAAAGAATAAATAAAAAGAGTAATTTAAAAATATTACATTGAATGTATTCTATCTTCTTTGTGTGAATCTGATAATCCAATCTAACTAAACTTGGCATTACTAAAATCCATTTCTGGGTGCTATATATATATAGATAGTTATTAATAAATCATTATCCACTAGAGTTTGAAATCAATATTAAATGATGATCATTATAAATCTTACCTGTGACATAAAATTCTCTAATATCTTTTGTTTATTTTCTTCATCTGATGTTGGTAATCCCATCGCTTTTTGACGTTGATCATACTATTATAATCATGAATTAACCAAATATATATATTAATATATGTACTTTATATATAATGCCTAAGCGTCGGTTATATTAACTTACCATCATTTTCTCAACCATTCCTCTTGTATCACCATCTAGATCGGACAAGTTGGTGTTCTCTGGTTCAATCGATTGAACGTCGATCTCTGGATGTCCTTTAATGACACAACTCCACCATTCTTGTGAAGTAGTTTTATATAACTCTATAATAATTTCATTTCCATTATCTTTTATTTTATATGCGAATAGTAACCAACTATTAATATAATAGTTTATAAACTATTGATATCAAATGTAACTACATACCAATCTGCCAAATACAATCAGATTTATTTACAGGTTTATAAAGATCACCATCAATATAGACAGTGTTCAAAGTTTTGTTCTTAACAGTGAGGTGTGTCTGTGTGATCTTGATATCTAGATCTTTTCCTCTGACAGGCTTCTCTGTCTTTATAGTTACCGATACTTCACTCAAAGTTTGAGTCCATGTATATGGTAACGAAGGATCTGAATTAACTTTACTACTCTTTGTCATAACTAACTAACAAACAAACAAACAATTATCTTATTTTCTTTGAAATTGATAAAAAAAAAAAACTATAATAATAATTCATATGATATCAAAGAAAAAATATGTTTTTCACAAAATGAATTAACCACGTTTAATAAAACTTCAACTATTGAAGTTCAATCTAATTTTTTTGTTTTGTCATTCATTAATTTATTCCATTGTATTAATTAACAGTAAACATTTGATATTATTATTATTTTATATTAAATTATATATGATTCTACTTTTTATCTTTTTTATCGTTGGAAACTTCGTTCATAAGTGTTTGAACACTTTGGAACATATTTGATGGTACAAAAATGAAGGATTTCGATGGTTCTTTTGCGATTTGTTGCAGTGCATCCAATTCCTTCAAACGAATAGCAATTGGTGATCCTTCTAACATCTTTGCTGCTTGTAAAATCTATAATATTATTATATTCATGAATTGTTTGATTGATTGATTTAGTTAGTAAATAAACTTCATTTTGTTTTTGTTTTTAAATAGTATTTACCTCTTTTGAAGTTTGTACTTCAGATTGAGCATGAATGATCTTTGCTTCTCTGAGACGTTCGGCTTCGGCTTTCTTTGCCATGGCTCTACTCATACCCTCCTCAAACTTGATATCCTTCAAATTGATACGCTCTACAAACAATCCCCATTCTGCGGCGATCTCTGCAACACTCTCGTTAATCTCAACACCAAACTTCTCACGATTATGCAATACCTCATCCAAAGTATTCTGTGATAACAACTCTCTAATTTTAATTTGTGCAAGTTCATGAATAATCTATTAGATAGAGAGATAAAGAGTTGTGATTGATAAGTAAGGTTGTTTTTGGTTAGTGGAAATTTAATTTGATAAATGAACCTCAGTTTCATTGTGTTGTTACACAGTTATGTACATACTCTATCGTGATCTGAAACCTTGATGACAGCCTTCTCTGGATCGACAACACGGTAATTGACGATGGCATCTACAACCAGAGAGATGTTATCTCTTGTGATGATCTCTTGCTTGTCGAGACTGATTGAGACGGTTCTCATGTCGACGACTTCCATCTCCTGGAGTAAAGGAATCAACAAACGAATACCTGGTTTCTTTACACTGGTGAGACGACCCAATGTGAATGTAACACCTGCCTCATACTGATTGATAATGGTGAAGAATGAACGAACACCAACTGAACCACTCTGACTACCGACGGCTACTGTTGCAGCAGCACTGTTCAGCAACAATCTTTGTTGTTGACCCACCATCAATCTTGACATTGGTCCAACCAAATTCTTTAATCTATTAACTCTACTCAACATGATTGATTACTGTTATATTATAATTTCTTATCCTATCTTATCTAAACTTAACTTTCTTTTCTTTACTTTACTGATTGATTATTAAGTTTGTGCAATCAATTATCTATTTATTTCAAATCAAAATTAAAAAAAAAAATTTAAAAATTTAAAAAATTCAACACAACTCAACTTCATAATTGTGATGCTTAGATGGCATTTGATAATATCTTCTTTGAATTAACAAAACAGGTCATAATTATCAAGCAAATTAATTAATAAACTATTTATTTTTAAACTTTTTTTTTAAAAAACTTGGTTTTTCAAAACATTCAGTAATAAATTAGAATGAAACTGATTATTTTTAGAACACATAATTATTATGAAAGAATAAAATTGATTTTTTCATTCTAGTTGGCTCAAAACTCAGTGATGAATCTAGTTACATTATCATTAATCATAGATAGATTTAAGAGGACAGTAATATTTAAGAAAAACACAAATAATATTATGATTGGAGATTTTAAAATAAATCACTTTTTAGATTAACAATTAAGAAGATTCAATTAATATTGATAAAACATTTGGTGATGATCGTTTACTATAACAATAATAATCAAAACTTTAGTGTAAACACATAATTATGATGATATGATATTCGAAAGCAAAAATATTAATTATTTACTTTTTCGTTTTTTTGACTTTTAAAAATTTTTTTAATAAAGTGATTGTTTCATTGCTTAATTAATCTGTTTTGTTAATTGTTCAGGTTGTTTAAAGTTGATCAACTATAAATATGTCAGAGGATCATTATATTCACAGTGATAAAGATTTAAGAGTACCACCTTTTTTCCCTGCAGTTACATCAGAATGCAAAGAAGTTGCTGCTAAATTCTTTATTTGTATAGAAAAATCTACTATTCCTTTGAATGAACAAGTAATATATAACAATTATTATGTTGTTGAAACTCAAATTTATTAACATAATCAATCAATCAATCAAATTGGATGATAATTAGGATAAAGATGCACCAAGAAGAGGTTTAGTTTTATGTGAAAAGGAATTGAATGCATATACACAATGTATGCTAAAATATCAACAAAAATAAATATATAATAGAGATTCGATTAATCAAAAAGATAAAACAAAAATATAATGAATGTACTACTACCACTACTACTACTATACTAGAGTAACTATTAAAAAAACTATATTATTTAATTTATAATTTTGATTTTGATGATGAGTGAGATTGATTTGATTGATTTTTGGTAGGTTTTGTTTGATTGATTAATTAATTAAGTAACTATTTATCTTATTATTATTATTATTTATGTATTTTTTACAACTTCAAAAAACTTGAAATTTCGTCTTGGGTTGGTACGTTATCGAGGTTTCCACGAACGGCCAAAGTTGGTCTGGAAGCGAGGATCTTTGATGCGACTCTCTTGACGTCTTCGGCGGTGACTTGGCTGACAGCAGCAGCAAACTCTTCTGGTGTCAAAACCTTGGTGTTGTAGAGTGCTTGTTTACCGACGAATTCGAGGGCCGATGAACGTTGCTCGCACAACTCAAAGTAGTGTTTCTTGGTCAATTGCTTGGCACGCTCCAACTCTTGGCCAGAGGTACGCGAGGCAGCGACCAACTCGGCAACCAATTGCTTGACGATGGTGGCGGCATCGGTGGTGGCGTCGGCAGCGCTAGCGTAGATACCAAACAAACCGGAATCGGCATAGTTGAATGAGAAGCACTCTGCGGATTCGACGGCACCGTTCGACTTCTCGAGGAGGTTGAAGAGACGCGAGGTCTTACCGGCGCCTGGTGCGGTCAATGGTTGGACGGAACCGCTTCCCAAGATGGCTTGGAGCACGGCCGATGCGACCAAATCCTTGGTGGAGGCGGAAGCGGCGAAACCTTCGAATGCCAAAGCGACGGAAGTCGATCCGGTTTGGTAGGTAAGTGAGTCACCACCGACGTATTTAGCTTGCGAACGTGGGATTTGGACGTTGGCGGCAGAGGAACCGGTGGAAGTTTGACGACCGAATGTGATGTGTTCGGCTTCGGAGACGAGCTCCTTGTGTGCAAGACCGACACCGACGAGAACCATGTTCGATGGACTGTAGATTTGGTTGGCGTACGATTGGACTTGTTCGTGTGACAAGTTACCCAAGTTGCATGATGGTGCGACCAATGGACGACCGAGGGTACGACCACGATAGGCAGCTCTGTGGAGATCCTCAAACAACGAAGTCTCCGAGCAGTGTGAGAGTGACTCTGACTCCTCGTTGGTGAAGCTGGCGGTGTCACGAACCTCGTGGTATGGGAGGGTTGGGTTGGTGAGTTCACCGATGATCGAGAGCATCTGGAGCGATGAGGTTGGCAAGGTTTGGGTGGAGATCAAGAGGTTGTCACGGCTGGCTTGGGCGAAAGCAGTCGATCCCATAACTTCGATCTCACGTTGGACTTCCAAGTGAATCTTTGAGGCATTCGATTGGAAAACCATATTCTTCAACAATTGGTTGACACCGGCGGTCTGTTGTGTTTCGAATCTGCTACCGGTGTTGACAAAGAGACCCAACGATACAGCTGGTCCAGTGAATCCACCTGACAATGAAACAACCTTTAATCCATTTGAGAGTGTTGACAATTCAGCTACTCTCTTTGTCTCTTGAAAGCTGCTAGATGAATACTATAATTATTGGTAGTATGTAATTACAGTAGTAGTAGTAGTAGTAGTTGTTGGATTAATATATATGATCAATCATAGTGCAAACTTATAAAATAAAAAAAGGAGAGAGAGTGTGTGAAAAAAAAAAAAAACTGAAAAAACAGTGAACAATAAACACAAAACAAACTATGACGTTTTAAAAGAGAATTGTTGTTATATTCACAACAGGTTGATAAAGCTGTCTTTTTATGTCGATTTCCTGTAGATAGTCATTTACTATTTATGATAATAATATATTCTTCTTTTGCTGTATTCTTCTTTTATGTTGTTATTGTTTCATGTATATTTATTTTCATATGAAAAAAATAAACCGTGGAACCGCTCTATTTTTTTTTTTCTCTGTTTAAATTTGTTTGTTTGTTGACGTTTCATTTACTTAATGTATCCTGTATTATAATATAACTATGATTGCTAATTCTTCTAATATATTGTCGTTGTTCTTCCATTATATTATTTTGTTTGATTACGATGATGATGATGATCATTCGTAACTGAGTTATATAAATTGATTATGATTCTAAGCTGAGTAGTAAAGAAATAGAAAGCTGTATGGAAAAAAAGCTATAAAAAAATATGATATTGTTTTGAAAATGACTGATTGTTTAATGATGATGATCACCTACATATCTGGCAATGAGAGTTGATGGTTTAGATAATCTTGATAACATTTTACTATAGTATTATTATTATATTATTATTCTGTGTTATTGGTTGATCGATTCGATTTTAATATATTAAATTACTATTAGTAATATGTAAATATATGAAAGAAATCACTTTGCGAGAAAAGAGATTATAAAACACAATGATATTAAAAAAAATAAATAAAATAAGAAAAAAAAAAAAATAGTGCTCACTATTGATCTTTTTTTTTTTTAGTTGAAAAAACTTTTGTTGATTAGGGTGGCAAAATGCACGACTCAGGCATTGAAAAAAAAAAAGTGATTAAAAAAGAAAAAAAATTGTTGAAAATCAAAAATATGAACTACGAAATTATTCTGGACTCTGTTTAGTTTATTTTTACTTACACTTTATCATTTATTTATGCATTTAAGGACTTATTGTTTATTATAATGTTTTGTGCGATTTTGTAGTTTACCACTATCCAATTCAAATATTATTAGGTTTGGCATATATATAATGACCCTGTGTTATCATTGTCACACCAGTTGCCACCCCACATATGCATCATAAATATGTTAGTGGACGGCAAGACTTATCACAAACGTCTGCCACGCTTAAATGTAATAGTCTATTATCGTCAGTCGAGATCTTTCTCTAGAAATCAATTTAGGACATTTAAGAGGGTTTTGGACATATGAATGTTCAAAAGCATTTGGACATTGTTGCACATTTGTTTTCTATTAATTTTAAATATCTATTAGAAACATCATTACTTAACCTCAGTGCACCACTTCAAAGAATCATAAACCTCTCGGCATAAAGAAAACAAAAGATATTATGTTCAATTATGCCGAAGCAAATCAATAATATTATTATAAAAATATCTACAATTGTGACGATACCTATCAATGTAAATATATAAACTATAAAATCGCACAAAACATTATAATAAACAATAAGTAATCAATGAATTCTTTTGAAATTATTATATTTTATTTATTAGTTTGTTTGTTTAAATATGATATTTATATCTATCTTTATCGATAATTCTTCTACAGATACAAATTTTCATTGTATCTGGCTCGGGAGGATGAGTGCAGCTGAGATGTGAAGGATCGGTTGGAATCACACATGTGTAGTTATCGTGGCGGAGCGGTGCATAGTCCGACTTGACAACTTCGACTTTGTCACATGATTTCTCAAAGAGATAGAGCGTCGCCTGCTTATCGAGAAGTAAAAGTTGGTCAGCTTCATGACAGAACAACTCGACTCCTTTTCTATTCTTGGCGCAGCCATCCCTGCAATTCTGATTGGTAAGTGATAGTAGTTGGACCAACAGCTTATCGTTTGACACCTTGAAAATATTGGCTTTCGATCTAGCCGTCCTAATGGAGATATCATACTCCAGTTTCTCAGAAAGCGTATCGGATTCACGTATTGTTTCGAGCGATTCAATATTCGCATAGAACTTTGAGTATCGTCCAACAAATACAAGTCGCCAACCATGAATAATAAAACTCAACACTCCTTTGTAGATACCACGTACATTTCCACCGTTACCACGGCCAACCAGTGCCAGTGGATTCAAATGCTTCTCCCATGCAGGATCATTGTCAAATGCAACATCATCTACCACTATACTATAGACCAATTTTGGATCTGAAGCCGTTGAGAATTGATCAAAAAACGGTAGTAAATCAATCGATTCTATTTTGATGGATTTGTTCAACATGTCTGCTACCAGATTGTCATAGTCATTGGCTACAAGGTAGTCGAATTCATGTTCACAATATTCATCCCAAGTTACTTTTGGTAGAGACAATTGCATGTAAGACCATCCATCATCTTCAACTCCATTGTCTAAATAATACAATTATTTAAAATTGTTGATTAAGAAAGTAAGTATTAAAGTATTTAGTTTTGGAAATTATAATATTTAACTTACATATATCTGAAAGCTGTTTGCTTGCATTTGTAGAATGTTGAACTCTTGGTATTTCTGGATACAAACAATAGTCTTTCATCTCCATTGAATTCTGGACAAATACATCCCATGGTGTTTCCAAGTCACCCCAAGTGGGAGCAATCTTTTCATGGTAGGTACGATTGCTGATCATCCATCCCAGTCCTCCAAAGTGAGATTGGCGATTGACCGAGTACATATTTCTTGGAATACAGCTCTTTTGTACGGCATGTGTTCTCTGCTCCATATAGTTTTGTACCGGATAGGCTGCCCATCTAAAAGCATTGTCATTCCAAGAGCTAACACAAAATAGATTGCTGTCCTGCCAGAGCAACGGTTCCATCTTTGTGAAATAGTAGATGAAATCCATTGACGGAATGAGATCGTCTTCCAAGAAGATGGCAGCCGGATACTTTTCGAAAACGACAGACATCACTTCGCGATACAAACGATTGGAGTATCGGTATTTATCGATATCGCTACTAGCCACTTCATGTTCGGTGATATTCGGTTTTCGGAGTGGTTTACTATCATATAATTTCTTATTCTTTTTATTTTTATTTGTCGTCGATTTATTTTGTTGAATGTTTTGAATATCGTATTTCTCCAATATGGAATCTATTGGTTGTAGACCATCGTTGAATACTAACACTCTGTCTCTGTCCAACTCGTTAATCGACACCAAAGTTGCAAGCAAACGATCTAGATGTTTTGGTTTATTTGAAGTCAAGACAACAATTACTGGATGACTTTTAAATGGTTCTTTTTTCTTTGTCGAGCCAGCCTTCCTCGAATTTCTATAAATTGATTCGGTATTTATTACTATTTCATTTTCTTGTCTCTCTTTATATTCAAATTTAAAATAGTAAAATATATTTAAAAATAAGAATATGGAAATCAATAAAAAAAATAAATGATGTGATTTTAATATCATTATATCTATCTATCTACTACATATATAATTATTTATATTTTATATAATAAAGAAAATTTAAAACAAACAATGAATCATTTTTTTAACAATAATTATTTATTCTTCAAAAAATTATATTATTGATGAGTGTGGTGTGTGTTATTTGTTGTGTTGTTACAGGTGAGTGATCAAATTCATCAATAAAAAGGGGTGAGTGGAAAAATATAAAATAATAAACACACCCTTTAGAATATTTTAAAGTCAAACAAATAATATTTTCCTTAATTATTGAATTTACAAAAATTTATTTATATATATATTTTATTTTATTATTATTATTATTTCAATTATTATTTAATATAAAGTACCAACGAATGTATTGTAATCGTAACCTTCGGCGGTCTTTGGTAAGTTGGCCAAGAGGTATTCGACCTTTTGGGCGTCTGGAATGGCGGCACGGATTTGAGCTTCGGTGATAAAGTCTTTTCCGTCGGCCATGGTCTTGAAAGCCTCTTTGGTAGAGTCGGCGGTATCCGATCCCTTTCTGGATTTCGAGAGGTAGTCGACGAATGGCTCGAAAGCGACGTCACCGTTTTGATCGGCGATCTGGGCGATGACTGCATCCAATTGGGCGTCGGTGAGCTCCTCTCCGAGTGCCTTCAAGCACGATGAGAGCTCCAAACGGTTGAGTGAGTTGTTGTGATCCTTGTCGAAATGGTTGTAGCAAGCACGGAACTCGGCGAGCTCTTCGGCGGTGACACCGGTGTGCGACTTGGAGAGAATCTCACCTTGGATGACTTGCTCTGATTTGTTGGCGAGGGTGATGAACTTCTCCCATTTCATCTTGAGTGACTCGATGGTGAGTTGAGTGTAACGGTTATCGGTGATTTGAGCCTCATCCAATTGGTGTGACAATTGTACACAGTCGTTGAGGAGTGATTCGTTTTGTGAGGCGGCAGCCAAGACGGATTCGACGACCTTCAATTGCTCCTCGGCACTCGATGAGTTGTTCTCTGAGAGAACGCTGGTTTGTTGAGTGCAAAACTCGTTGACCTTTTGGGCGTTCTCGGCGAATGATTGGCAGAGAGCGTCGTTGTTGGTTTGGACTTGGAGTTCGTTGGCCAAAAGTCCCTTACGCTCCTCGATCGATGCCAACAAGGCGTTCCACTTGTTGCTGACGTCCTCGTAGGAAATGATTGAGTATGAGTTTTCGGCACGTCCCAAATTTCTGAGTTCTTGAGTCAAGTTGGCGAGAGCCTCCAACTCGGCGTACTGTTGAGATTGCTCTTGGAGGAACAAATCAAAGTTGGCCTGAATCTCGTTGACAACCTCAACAGAGTCGGCGTTCAATGGGTCGGAAACAGTGTCGTCGGCAGACTCGATCCAGACATTCAATTGAGCGGCACGCTTGGCAAACTCGACCAACATGTCTTCGATCTTTTGGAGCTTGGCCAACTCTTCCAACAAAGAGTTCTTGTAGGTGTCGGCGGTGGTTTGAGTCTGAGCCCATTCGTTGGCAAAGAAGTTGTCCTTCTTGGCAGAGAGAGCGGCAGTCTCAGAGTAGGCAAGTGCTTCGAGTTGTTGGAGAATCGAAGTCAAATCGGCGTTGGATTGTTGTTGCAACGACTGGTATTCACCCTCGAATGCTTCCAAGTTCTTCAACTTGGCTTGGACGGCGGTGATCGAGTCACCCAACTCGGTGGAGGTCAAGTAGGCAGACTTGGAGGCGATCCATGATTCCAACTTCTTGATGATACGGTTGTACTTTTGGAGGAGATAAGCAATTTGCTTTTGACGCTTCAACTCCTTACGGAGAGCTTCATTGTGTTCTTGCTCGTCCTTCTCCAACTTTGACCAACGTGAGTCGATGTCGACTGGCAACAAACCTTGTGGTGGAACGAATGGTTCACGGTGATTCAATTTCAATTTGGTTTGCAACGAGTTGAAGATGGTCTCGAGTTCGAGTAACTCTTGTCCTCTTGGTGGCTTCTCAGTGCTCTTGTAGGTCTTGTAGGCGGCCATGTGTTGTTGGACCGACTCGACAGAGTCACCGAAATCACGTGCACCCAAACGGTTGCTGGTGGATTCGATCCATTGGACGAGGTTGGTGGCACGGTTGATGTAGTCGGTCTTGGTTTGCTCGATCGACATGATAAAGTCGAGAACCTTGCTGACTTGCTTACCGGCGGACTCGGCCTTACGCGACGAGGCAAAGTGATGGTAGTATTGGGCGACGTAGGTCATGACGGAACGCTCGTCTGGCTTTGGGACATCGAGCATATCGCTGACGTCCAACATCTTTGGGATGTCCAATTCACGCTCGGCAATGTCGAATGCCAATTGGAGGTTTCCGGCCTTGTCTTCCTTGTTGAGTGATTCGTAGTTGATCAAATCTGGACGGTGCTTGGCGATGAGTGCGCAGAATGCCAAACCATCTTGGAAGCTTGTGTGGAAGTTGCTGACCTTCAAGTTGAATGGTGCTGGTGTGGTGCAACGTTGGACCCACAACAAGAGAGCCTCCTTGGCGGACAACTCCTCGAGCGAGATGTCTTGGATGGCGAAACGCAAAATGATGGTCCAGATCATACCGAGAGTCATCTTGAGGTTTTGGTCGACCAACTCCTCAGCACCGATACCGGCCAACTTGACACCGTGGGCTTCGATGTGCTTCAAACACAAACCGATATTTTGAATGTTGTGAATTCTCAACTTTGGATTCTTGTTGATCTTGAAGACTGGATCATTGGAGATGACCTCCAACAATTGAGCCAACTTGATACCATCGGCAAAATCTGTACCAATATTCTCAATTGACGATCCAAGCTTTCTGAGATGTGAGTTTACCCAACTTGTGAAAGTCTAGTATTAATGATAATATATTCAAAATATTAATATATAACAACTCTCAAAACCATATCATATTAGTTTATTTGATTGCTTACCTTGGTTTGAGTCTTTTCCCAAGCTTTGTCCAAAAGTGATTTATCAGCCATTGTTTATTTTATATGTGTTTTTAATTATTTATACAAAAAAAAAGGAAAAAGTGTACAAAAATATTACAAAGCTAAAAAAAAGTAAATAAAACAAAATTGATTTGAAATTAATAAGGTTAGATTAACTTGAATGAAGATTTATAAACAACTGAAATACATACAAATTAATAATATATTTTTTAATTATATTATTATTGTTATTATATTATATATATATAATTGGTTGTTGGGTTTGGAGAATGATTGATTTGTTGAGAATAAAAAAAAACTTAACTCTCAAGCTCATTTCATTTTATAAGATAAAAAATTATTGTTGTTTGAATCAAAATTTTTATTAATTGAATAAAAGTGGGTGTATTTTCAAACAAAATCGAGATTCACTTAATTTGATTGCCTAAATTAGAGGCTACTGAAAAAGAGGGCTGTTTCATCATGGAGGGTGAACTTTTTGTTTTTGAAAAAGAGTTTAATCAAAATTTTGTTTGAAAATGAAAACCCAACAATTTTTTAAATGGTTTGTTTTTTGTTTTTTTTCTACTCATTTTTTTTGATTGTGACAATTACTTTTTTTTCATTTGAAACAAATAAAATAACACCATCATCTGAAAAAAAAAAAAAAACAATTATTATGTTTTGTTTGTGATCATCATCAATTATTGTGAGCATACAATACATAATCTACTATATCTTGTTTTTGATTTTTTTTTTTTCAAACTAAATTAAATTAATTAAACCCATTAATCATGTGATTAATAATATCGGGTTTGTGGGGGAATCAAAAAAGAAAGAAAAACACTTCTGATCAATGATATCACAAAAAAGAGAGAGAGAATGAATCTCCAATTTCTCCTATTCAATTAAAATATATATTTTCATTTAAAATACTATTGTTATAAAATCGATTAGTCGATTTCATTTTATTTTTCTATATATTGTTTTCGTGTGGAAGTTCAACTTTGTTTTTGACAAACTTTAAATATGTTATAAAAATTTTTTATAAACTTATAAAGGTTTAATAAAACTTTTTTCAAAATGGTTTACATTTGATTTACTCATAAAACAGTTGACCTTTTTGCAAATTTTTAAGATTGGCACACAATATTTAAAAGTTTTTCAAAAAAATGAAAAAAACAAAAAAACCTTTGCCTCCATTTTTTTAAAAAATATTGCAACCAAATTTTAAAAAAATCTAAGTTACATAATTTTTAACAAAAGTCAGTTGGTTGTCACATTCTACAAATCAGTATTAGCATTTTTCAAGTAGTGATAGTAATAGTAGTATAATTAATATATCAGTGCAAGTAGTATAGATAATACCATTAATAGTGTAGTAGTTCGTTAAAATATAGTATTATTAGTAGATATCAAGCAAATAATAACAAAAAGAAATAAACACAAAAACAATTGCAAATCAAACTTACCAACTTAACCATAAATATCCAATATAGAGTTGGTGTTGATGCAAAAAAAAACAAAACAAAACTCACCACCCACAACATAATAACAACACACCTCAAAACTCAAACACGATTTGATTAATTTAATTTACGATCAGTCAGTGAGAGTGGATATATATAATATTATTTAATAAATCAATACAATTTAAATTAATAAATAAAGAGCAGAGCAAGATAGAAGTCCTCTTTACATTGATCCCATCTAAATCTTATCAACATAACAACAACAACAACAACATTACCAGCAACAGTAACAATATTTGCAATTAATAGTATAAACTATTTTATTATACTCTGAAATCTTCAATTCAACAACAATTGTATACATATAAATATAAAATTTAAAAAAAAAACAAAAAAAACAGAAAGTTTACGCTATTTTTTTTTTTAAAAAAAAATATTGTAGTTTTTGTTGCTTCAAAAAAAAAAAAAAAAAAAAGTTTCATATTATTTTTTTTAAATAATAATAATAATAATAGAACAAACAGATAAAACAACTATACAATTCTATAAATAATATTACTATTTAAATCAATCTCAAACTCAATTTACAATTTAAAATTTCTATTTATATATATATATAGTTGAAAATATATATTTATATATTGTTTATATATATATTTATATATCATATTATAAATAAGAAAAAAAGAAAAAAAAAAAAAAAAACTTAAAAATCAATCATCAAAAACTGGAGTACATAAAATCTTGTTTTGGTTTTTTGTTTGGTGTGAGCAATTCATCGACGACGACGCCCGCCGACAACAACGAATCTCAAAACAAATCTTCACCAAACAACGACGATATAGCCGAACAACAACATCAAAAAAATAAAAATCAAAATCAACAACAGAACGGTGATTTAAATCCAAAATCACCTGATGTAAATTTAAATAGTAATAAGAATAACAACAGTAATAATAGTAGCAGCAGCAGTAATAATAGTAGTAGCAGTAATAATAATAATAATAATAATATAAAAGATATGTTTTCAATTGATTTTTCATCTTGGTCAAGGAATAAAGATGAATTGGTAGATTTTTCAGTTTCAATGTTTGAGGAGGTCGGACTCAACAAAGAGTTCAACTTGCAGCACGATACACTGGTTTCCTACATCTCAACGGTAAAGACCTTCTACAGAGACAATCCATTCCATTCTTTCTATCATGCCGTCACTGTCACGCAAATGGTTTTTCTCATGATCTCTCAAACCGAACTTAAAAACTTTTTATCACCTATCGTAAGTGTTACAACAATTTGTTAACAATGTTTATGTTCTTCTTAGTATAGTATATGACAGACAACCTAACTAACTAACTCAACTCTTGTTTTGTTTATGTTTTTGTTTTTTTTGTTTTTTTTTTTTAAACTAAAGGAAAAACTTTCATTGTTAATTGCAGCGATATCACACGATTTGGATCATCCAGGTTTGAATAACAGATTCCAAATCAATATTAAATCAGAACTTGCATTGCAGTACGATAACAAGTCTGTGCTGGAGAATCATCATTTGTCACAGTGTTTAAGATTACTCAGAGATACCAAGGCCGGTCAATCACTACTCTCCAGTCTGACAGAGGACGAAAGAGCTATCATCTTTGAAAAAGTTAGAATCATGATTTTGGCCACTGATATGGAGCAACATTTCGCCTATAAACAGAAATTCGATGAACTGATACCTATTTTCTCGTGGGATAACCAAGAGCATAGAGATTTGTTATTTATAATGTATGTTAACGACAATATTGCTATTTTAAATAGTAGCATGTTCATTCTTTCATTTATTAATTAATTATAACCTTTTTTCTTGTTAATTATTATTATCATTGTTTAGGTTATTAAAATCAGCTGATATCTCCAATGAATTAAGATCATTTGAAATTTCAAACAAGTGGGCCAATGCTTTAATGGAAGAGTTTTTTGCACAGGTAATTACATTTATCTTATTAACAAACTACACGAGTTTGATTTGTCTAATTAGTATATTAATATGATCTTCTATTTTTGTTATATTTTTTTATTCATTGCTAATTATTAACAGAGTGATCTCGAAAAAGAGAATAACCTGCCTTTGACACCATTTATGTTGAGAGAGAAAGTAGTATTGAATAGCACACAGGTTTCTTTTATCGATAAGTTCCTGTTGCCTTCGTATCAAGCTTTGCAAAACATACTACCATCATTAGGTGTATATGTAGATAGAATCATTCAAAATAGAAACAACTGGTTGAGCACCGAGCAATGAACGAACAACAACAACAACTTTCGAAACCAACTTCATACCAAAAACTTTGCCAAATAGTCAGTCAACCAACCAACCAACCAATCAACCAACAAACTCCAGCCACCAATTATTATTTCATTCAAATGAGATCTAGCCAATTAAACCATTTATAAATCAACAACAAACAATTTCACTACGAAAAGGATTTGGTCACAAAGTTAACTTTATATCAAAAAGTTGACTGTGTGTTCACAACAATCATGCAATCCTAATATAAATCAAAAGCAATACCATTTTGCTTAAGCATCAAACAAGCAAACAAAATCAAATATCAATAGAAAGTAATCAATTAAAACAATCAAATAGCAACCTTCTAATACAATCTTTCAACAAAACAACAAACAAACAAACAAACAAACAATTATTCACATTTCAAATGTTTATCAACAACAACAACAACAATCTTGGTTTTCTTTCTTCGAGAAAAGGGTTGTGCTATGATAACATCATCATCATTTTTTGTACAAGAAGAAATAACTTCAAAATTATTATTATTATTGTTGTTCAATAAAATAATAAATTATTTGTAAACAAACAATATGATTTAAATGATATTGTAGTATATATTTTATTTATCTTTATTATTCTCCAACGTTTCATTATCAATGTGATTAACAAATGCTTGTGATTCATTCAAAGGATAGAAAAAGTGTTTTGGTTCTAAAGTTAATGATAATGATATAGTTAGTTAAATGAAAATAAATCTGTACTATCTATCTATTTATACATACCTTCTTTAGGTAACCATTTCAAAAGAGTACTCTTAAGTGAATCAATTTTAACTGGTTTTGCCAAGTAATCATCCATTCCAGCCATTTTACATTGTTCTTCGGCCGATGGCTTTGAGTTTGCTGTCATTGCGATGATTGGAATTCTCTGGTGTTTCGGCTCTAGCTCTCTTATCACCCTGGAGCAGGTGAATCCGTCCATCGAAGGCATCTGGACATCCATTAGAATCAAACTAAACTGACACTCTTGCGTGTTGGTCAGTATCTCAAGAACCTTTCTTCCGTTGCATCCCACGATCGGGTAGTAACCAAGTTTATCGAGTTGTCTAACGATCACCTTGATATTGACATCGTTATCCTCGGCAACTAAAATACATCGTTTATCTTTACGCTCGATAGCAACTCCCATTGGATCGTCGATCTTCAAAATGCTACTTCCACTGCTACCACTGCTGATCGTTGCACTCGATGCATTCGAGAGTCTTCTAGTGATAGAGTGTATCAGTTTGGTGTATCTAATCGGTTTGAGAAGATACGATGCAATCTGAGGGTGAGCCGACCACGATGACTTGTAGTCACGTCCGTATATGATCACTCGCTCGGTGGTGACTTGATCCAACATTGACTTTATTGCGGTGGATTGATCCGAGATGATCAATGCATCGAATGGTGCGTCGGTAGTCTTGGCGTGATTGAACAAGTTCAGTGCAGTCTCCATGTTGTTGGTTTCGATCGATTCGAATTGCACTGTGCTCAGCATCGAGTGGAAAGACATTCTAAGTTTCTGATTGGCTTCGACAACCAAGATCTTCTTTCGATCCTTTGAAAACTGGTTGAATTCAGGGAAGAAGAATTGGTTGGCCGCCGGCACACTGCTCGGCAAATAGGCAGGTGCAGCAACCAACAACTTGAGGGAGAACCAAAAACATGAACCTTTTCCTACTTTGCTTTCATAGCTGATGTTTCCGCCCATCAAACCGACCAAATCTCTACAAATAGAGAGTCCAAGACCGGTTCCACCGTACTTTCTTGATGAAGATCCATCGACTTGGCTGAAAGGTTGGAACAGCTGTTCAGAGACAGAGTCCGGTATACCGATTCCTGTATCTTTGACAGAGAATCTAAGTGAAACTTGATCACCTGATTCATATTCTGTCGAGATCTCTAGAACAACATGACCAGACTCTGTAAATTTGAGTGCATTATGTACCAAATTGATGAGAACTTGACGGATGAAACGACTGTCACCATAGAGCATTGGAGGTACTGGGGACTGTCTTCCAATAATGAAAATTAAATCTATTCCTTTCTTGTTGGCTAGTTCTCCTTGTAGATTGAGCACTTCCTCTACGATGGAGATCAACTCAAACTCGACAATCTCCAGGGTCAGCTTGCCAGCTTCGATCTTTGAAAAGTCAAGAATGTCGTTGATCAAATTGATGAGGCCGTCGATCGATCGCTTAATAGTCTCTGCACTGTCACGTTGATTCGGAGTTAGACCGGAATCCAGGAGCAATTGGGTCATACCTAGAATACCGTGACACGGTGTTCTAAGCTCATGTGAGATGTTTGCAATGAACTGTGACTTTAGCTTGGTTGCCTTGATAGCAGACTCCTCAGCCTGTCTATATCTCGACAAGTCAAATACAAATGTAATACATTGCTCGTCACTACCATCAACCATTGCTGCGGTGATCAAGATCGGTACTTTCTTTCCATTCTTATGGAAATAGGCTTTTTCAATTGGTTGGCACCATCTCTTTGCTTTCAATTCTTGAAGAGCACGCGCCGAAATTTCAAAGTACTCTGGTGGAGTTATCAACATCCAATCCACCTTACCCTGTTCCAAATCCTGTCTTGAATATCCAATAATCGATAGCAATGCATCATTTGCCTACAACGGTTGAACATAACAAAGCAACTTTATTAATATCCAAAAAAAATAGTTTCGTTTGATACAAAGCATTGTACTTACATCCATAACTAATCCTTTTAATGTTGAAAACATAACACCTAGTAAAGATAATCTAAATAAAATATTATAGGTATCTCTACACTTTTGGAATGTTTTCAGGTGTTCCTCTGCTAGTACTATTTTCTTTTGTTCGATCATACTCTCGAATGAACCTGAACTGATGTTATCGAGATCCAGCGAAAGTACGGATTTAGATTGTTGTTGTTCGTAGAGTTCCTTAAAGTTGTTGTACATTGAATCGAGATTGACTTGTGACTTGACACTGACAATCGATCCCTCGTTCATCAGGTAGCTATGAGAGATACCGACCCATCCTATGATTCTATTCCTAGTGTCACGCACAGGATTGCCTTTAAACACATAGAGAATATAGTTCTTATCGGGCAAGTAGAACCAGTAAACGAAATCCAAATGATTGGTTGACATCTTTCGTATAGTGTTGAATTGCTTTTTGAAAATGAGCTGGTTCCTCGGGTGTACAAATAATATGAAATCATCGAGTGACTGTCCTTCACACTTAAATTCGTTGCTTCCCAGTTTCTTAAAGTGAAACAACTCGCCCGAGAGATCACAACGCCAAACAATAGCTGGAAGTTTCGCCATTAAATTGGATAGAGTATCGAATTGGTGTCTAACAGCAGGATATATAAAATGTGAAATTGGTAAATTATTATTGTTATTGTTATTTTTTAGTTGGTTGTTATTATTATTATACAAAAGTTGTTTATCTTCAAAAATAGTTGGTTGTATTGATTTTAGAGTCGGTGAAGTTATTATTCCATTACTGTTTAGATACTGTTGGTTTTGTTGTTGTTTGACGTATTCAGGTTCGTCGATTACTTCCTCTATTGATTCGAATATACATGAGCAACCATCTGAGAAAGCTACTACGTTCATGATGGCGCGATATTGTTGCTTGGTGACCAGATTGTTCATGATTACATCTTGTTTTATCAGCTTCTTCTCTTCGTATGCAATTTGGATGCATTCCACTACCGATTCAAACTGGCGTTGTTCCGCTGCTTCTGCTGATGACGCCGCGCGATAGTTTTCATACGACCGTTTATTGTCAATCGAGATAATAGGATCGAATCTACTGATGATGAATTTCATGTGGCTGGAAGGACGTCTCGTTGTTCTGAAAGGAGGCGGTGAATTTGTATTGGAAAGAGGTGTAGGAGTAGAGGTGGTTGGCGTGCTCTGTGTATTTTGATTTGGCGTTGAACTTAATGAAAATGCAGGAATTGGATTGGAAAAAGCAGAGGATGATGACGATAGAGTTGGTGATGTTGTTGTGGTGGTTGGCATCGATGATGACGATGCCGATGTTAAAATCGGTGATTGTGGAGGTGTTGGCATTCGAATGATAGAATCAATCAGTTGTTCCGATGTACACTCCAGCTTAGTAGTTATATTGTTATTGGCGATGCCAGAGAATATGAAATCATCGTGATCCTGCTTTATATTGATTAGTAACATTGGAATTTCCAAAACTTGAATTAATTTTTGCTGAATTCATCAAATCTGATTGTGAAGCAACACCACCACCAACTCCACTACCACCGATTGACTGCTGATCAGCGACAACACAATCCAAATCTGTAATAGTGAATTGTGATATACCATTGATTGTATCATTTGCATCCAATGGATAATCCATTGTTTGTTTTTTTAAATAAAAATATTAAAAAAAAAATATATATATATATATAAATAAAATAACGAACGACTGTTGTTTTGTTTTGTTTTGTTTTTATTACTAAAAATACTAATACAATATATGTATGCTACAATAATAATATTATAAAGATAAAGATAAATTTAAAGATATATAAATAATATATATAATATTCGGTTTTGTTTTGTTTTGTTTTTAAAATAAAAAAGAACACTGGTGTTCTATGGTGGACCTAATGGTAAAACATGTTTGTTTTTTGGTTTGTTTGTAGATTAACTAGTAATTACTCTATTTTATTTTTCGTTAATTTCATTGACACATTCAGAATGTTTCATTTCACAATTTGAGGTTGTTCTGTTGGTATCACAAGTTGACTCAACTGTGGTTGTGGCGAGATGAATGATTCTAAACATATGTCTAGATGGCAGTGGGGGAGGTTCCCCTTTTAAAATCACACAATATATGTTAACGTGGTTGGTTCAAGATGAAACATATCTCAACTAAACCTCCCCCTTTTCACTTTTTTTTTGATTATTTATATTTATTTTTTTTTTTTTTTTTGTTTTTTTTTTGTCTGAAAAAATAAATAAAAACCCAACCACAATAAAACTAAAAATCTTTGGAAGAGAACACCTGTGATGTTATTCTGCCTATGATTTTATTCACCATATACAAAAACCAATGCAAGCCCCAAAAAAAAAAACGAGATATATTAAATTATCTTATCAACAAATTGCAAAAAATTTTTTTTATTTAAATAATTATCAACTTTTGTTGTTTTCAATATAATTCTTAACTTCAATCAATCAATATTATATCTATTTTTGCAAAAACATAGGGCTTAAATCGATCTAATTTTAGAATGCACATATTATTATCTTTTTAATTTATCAATCATACAAACAAAACTAATAAGTTCACAAAAAAAAAAAGAAAGAGAAAACTGCAATTTATTTAAACAAATAGTTGAATAGTAGATTAATTTCATTAGTTGCTTTTTTTAAAGGGAAATGAAATTTTCAAAGGAGTGGTATAAAAATAAGTATTGATCAAATATTTGAGTTGAGGAATAGTCAAGATAACTGACATGAGTAAAATCATTGGTTTGGTCAAAATTTAATATAAAAAAACACACACACAACACACATTTATGAAAAACAATAAATTTGTCAATGTGTGCATTATTTCAAATAGTAGATCTTTTTTTCATTAACTCACTATTTCTTATTCTATTTGATTTTAATAGTAATAAAATAGAAGTTGTAGTTGAAATTAAATTTCTTGTTTTACAAATTGACGTCGGAAAGCGAAGTGTATTGAAATAAACAAAATTAAAAATTTTATTAAACTAAAAAAAGATAATAAATACTGCTAGCAGATTTAAATTAGAATATTAATTTAAATAGTAGTATAATACTAATAATAATAAATAAATATAATAATAGTAATCATACATCTTTAGACCTAGTCAGGGAGATATTTTTAATACAATACTATTAAATAATATATATTTGGAATTTAAAAAGATAAGATTCACATTTTTTTTTTATTTAAATTTAATATTATAATATTTATAACTCGAGTGGTCTTAAAATTTATTGATTAATAAGAAAAATAATAATAAATAAAATTATTGTAAATAATAAATTGCTAGTTAGTTATTATTTTAATTATGATTAGTTAAATTAATAAATATATACATTTTTATTTATATTTTTTTATAAGTAATAATTTAAAAGATAAAAAAATAAAGAAGGTATAGAAAAAGAAGAAAAGATTGGTATGTTTTTATTTAATATTTATATCCAGGTTTAATAAAAATTAATTTCTCATTGCTATTTAGACGAACAGTGTTTGGAGAATGACATTGTCAACATTAGATATCAAATTGATATCGATATGTTCATTGTTTACCTTTAGTTTAATATTTGGTTTGATACCTTATTTCATAAAAAGAAGAAAGAACCAAAGTAAAACGAATGTAGTCCTATCTTTTTGTAATTCTTTTAGTGGTGGTGTTTTCTTTGGTGCCGGAATGTTACATCTATTTGCTGATTCAACGCTAGGTCTCTATGTATATAGTCAACGATTCAATAATTATCCAATATCGTATTTATCAAAATATTAAACCATTGTAAACTTTAAACTTTAAACATATTAATATAATCAATTTGTTTATTCCTTTTAAAAATAAAATTATAGTGCATTTTGTTTATGTATTGGATTTCTATTTATTTTCTTTTTGGAAATATTTATACATTCACTTTTAAAAAGAATATCAATTAATAAAATCAAAAATAGTAGTAATAGTAATAATAATAATAGTAGTAGTAATAATAATAGTAATTATAGTAATAATAATAAAGATAATAGTATAAAAACATCCGATAATTCTACAACAATAATATATTACGATGAAAATGAAGCTTTAAATAAGAAACAAATCAATGGTGGTTGTACAGATGATGAAGATCAAGAGTCGCTACTTGGAAATAATATTAATAGCAATAGTACTAGTGATGATTACGATGATAATGTTGATAGTAATGGTAGTAGTCATAATCACCACCACCACGACATATCTAGGAAGATGAAGGATAGTTATATACCATATATTTTAGTGATTGGATTATCAGTACATTCACTATTCGAAGGCATAGCACTTGGTGTTCAAAATACACAAGTTCGAATTCTAGATATATTGGTGGCTATTTTCGCACATAAATTCCTTGCCTCATTTGCATTAGGTGTAAATATTGTACAATCAAAAAGTGATAATACGTATGTACTAGATTAAATTTAATCCTTTTAATCAAAAAATAAATATAAAGTACTAACAATTTAAATTAATCACAAATAAATATGTCAATAGATCATTCTTAAAGATATTTACATTAATATTAATATTCTCAATAGCATCACCTATTGGATCTATCATTGGATTGTTAGTTTCCAACTTGGATTGTACATTGGCATCGTCGATACTTCAAGGAGTAGCGAGTGGAACGTTTCTCTATATATCGGTGATCGAAATCATACCAAGAGAAATCAATCATCAGAGTAAACATCTGGTGTTGAAATCGATATTATTACTCTTTGGTTTTTCGATCATGGCAATCGTTGCACTCTGGATATAATAAATATTATATATTATGTACATTAAACTAAACTTATCCAATTATAATAAAAATAATCTATCATGATTTTTAAACTAACTAAAGTCTATTAATAATAATATTATTTATAGTTTTACTATTTTTAAAAGTTTATTTTAAATTATCGCGGCTTGTACAAATTGAAAAAAAAAAAAAAAACTTTTGATTCCTTTCTAAACATCTTTCTAAACAGGTCCACATCTCATGATTTCAATTGAACCAGCGGTATTTGAGAAACCGATTCTCTTTTTGTTGACTAATCTTAACTCTTTCATAATTGCCAACTCACGTAATGTTGACTATAAATGATGGTGATTATATTATTAGTTAGTTATCTTTACTTATATATATTTATAAAATAGTAAGTATACTTACAACACCTGAACCAATGAAATCATGATTACCGTTGGAATCCCAATCCCAACATTCAATTTTGATTGGTCTCTCCAAGTTACCTCCACACAATTGGTAGAGTGACAATGTGATTGGTGCAAACGTTGGATTCTGATTGTCGTGATGAGTCTCTGTTCTGTGAATGACGATCCAATCGCTCGATGAACCACCACCACGTTCATCTACATAACCTTGATGTCCTTTGTTTGCATATTGGTTTCTGGGAATGGAGATGGTAAGGAATGGGTCACTCTTTGAGAATACGTCTTTACGATCCAATCGACAACCACGGAGATGCAAGAGGTATGGAACGTCCGCTACACCCATTACAGGTGCAACGACACCGACACCAACACCGACACCGATCGACGGTGTGACAACTGGCATTGGCGCGGCGACACTCATCGGTGCCGACAATCCGTACGATGGGTATGGAGCAGAGACGGCACCGTATGTGTTGTATGGCTGTTGGTATGCACTGTATGCACTGCTTGTGTAACCGGGATAGGCAACAGGTGGTGCAGCAGTGCTAATAGAGGTGGCAGTGGAGTATGATGTTGTCGAGCTACTGTAGGGCGATCCATATTGCTGTGGTGGGAGTTGTGAAGGATTATATTGTTGTTGTGGTGGATATTGTTGTTGTGGTGGATATTGTTGTTGTTGTGGTGGGTAACCTCCATATCCTTGTTGTGGAGGGTATCCTGTATTCTGTGGTTGCTGTGGAGGATAGTTATATTGTCCCGGTGCACCATATCCTCCTGGCTGTTGTTGTTGTTGTTGTTGTTTCGCCAAATTAGGTGTTTCCTGTGACGGATAATTATATTGTCCTGGTGCTGGATAGTTTGACATGTTATGTTCTAAGATCTTTTATATCTACCTTTGTTTGGGTAATTTATGATTGTGTGACGATGAAATGATGTATGTGTTTGTTTTATAAAAAAATAAAATAAAAATAAAAATCGATTTATCAAAAATGTGATTTTAAAAATAAAAAGTATTCACAATATAATGTATATAAATAAAAATAATAAATACAAATATTATTAAAGTTTTAATATACAAATAATATTTAATTAATTTTAAATAAAAAAAGAATGAATGATAGAAAACAAAAAAAAATTATAAAAAAAAAAAAACAAGAGGTTGACACAACCAAATTTTGGGTAAAATTGCAATTTTTTTTTAATCACATTTTTGCACAAGTGAAAGCAACAAAAAATGACACTTTGTATTTTTTTATTTTGGGCTACATCATCTTGAAATATTGGGAACAAGATGTTTAGATATTAGACATTCAGAAGTGAACATCTTTTTTTAGTTTATTTAAATTAAAATTTTAGTAAAATGTTTTTATTTATGTTTGTTTTTTTTGTTTAAATCTGTACATTTGTATTTATTTGTGTTTTGTTGTTGTTTTGTAATATTAAATAAGTATACATTTAATTATTTTTATTATATTTGTATTTTCTTTAATTTAATGTGCAATACTACATTCTAAATCTTTCTTTAAAAAGTTATCGTAGAATTGAGGAGTTAGTTGGTTGTAGATACGATTGGTTTCGAAGAGGATGAGATGACCACAGTCAGAGAACCCGAATGTTAGGTTCCAATGAGTATCTATTCCATAGAAATCTTTTCCCGGTAATTGTACTTCTAGCATGTAAAGACTACACTGTTCATCGGTATGTATTGTTTTTGGCTTGAGTGAATGTCGGTCCAACAATCTAAGAATGTCACGTCGTTCAATATCGAATTCCGAGTTCTTCTCACACCAGTCCAATATAGTTTTTTTCAACTCCTTATCACTAGAGATTAACTCCCAATTGATTTTAATTACACGATCCATCTTTTCTATCTACGAATAATAATATTGTTGTTAAGTTATTGTTTTAAAAAATTAAATTAAATTAATGGTTACTGAATCAATATTTTATAATAATTGGTGATAGCAATAGAAATAATTTATTTTAATTTAATTAAATTTAATTTAAAGTGTGAACTATTAATTATTTGCAAAAAAAAAAACCAAGAAATTTCCTGTTTGGGAAGAGAACACGTTATAATTAATTATACATAATATGTATGATAATTTTGATTAAATAAATAATCATTTACAATAAAGCATTGGAAACTATTGTAGTAAATATTATGTTTGTAATTTAAATTTTAAAAAAATAAGGTTAAATATCAAAAAGCTTTTTTCCATTTGATCAATATCAATATCTCCCCTTTGGTCTAGTGGTGAGGATTTTCGCCTGTCACGCGAAAGGCCCGGGTTCAATTCCCGGAAGGGGAGTAAAATTTTATTGGAAACTGGGAGATTTCATTACCGCATGCGGTTAATTGAAAAAACAAAACCAAAAATTAGGGAAAGATAAATAAATAAAATGTAATTAAACAGATATTAAATATAGGTTAATATACCTGCAATTTGTTGATTGATCATTATTCAACAAATCTTTTTTTGAATAAAAAAATATTAAATATGTTTAATTTTTTTTGCAAATTTTTTCAAATTTCTCTGTAAAGTTGATTTACGTATTAAAAATAATTTTAAATTGTTTTTTTTTTTTTATTTTTGTGTGAAGTTGTCGATGAAAAAAATACCAAAAGAGGTAATAATGTGTGTTATTTTATGTATTTTATTTTATTTTATAATTAATTTATTTTCATTTATTTACTTGAGAGTTTCATTTACTTAAATTTTATAGATAGAAAACAATAAATAAATAAATAAATAATAAATAATATAGAAAAATAGATATCAATATTAATAATGGCTAGTAGATTACCAAATGTAACCAATGTATTGGTAAAACATTTAATGACAAAGACAATTTATAGTGTTTCTATGGATTCTACTTTAGATATGGCATTGAAATGTTTGAATACTCATTCAATTCATAGAATTCCAGTTATTGATGATGATGGTAGGTATTATAGATATATATATATATTTAAAGTTAATATTATTTTTTTAATATTTAATAATAATCTTAAATTTTTATACTATCTTAGGAAATCTTAAAGGAATTATTACAGATAGAGATTTAAGATTAGCATGCGATAGTCCTTTCCTACCAGAATCAAATGAAGAAAGAGTTATGAAACTATCTCAACATAAAGTAATTATATATTTATTTTTTTATTTAATTAATAATTTGAAACTAATAGATATCTTATACAATCAAAAATAGGTTTCTCAAGTAATGAAAAACAATCCTTTGACAATTGAAGAGAATTCACCAGTTGTCGATGTTGCTAAATTGCTTCGTGTTTCTGATGTCGGTGGACTTCCTGTAGTAGATAACAATGGAAAGTTAGTAGGAATGTGCACTCGTTCTGATCTATTGGATCTATTAATTAGAATCTTAGAACCAGTTCCACCTGCACAATAAAAAAAAATACTATCACCCCAATATTTTTTAAATTTTAATTGTTATTCTTTCATGATGGTCTTCAAACCTATTCTTATATAGTTTCTACTAAAATTAGATTAAATAATGATTTTAATGTGTAAAAATAGTGTTAATAGTAGTGGTATAACTTAAATTTAATAATTTAAAATTTTAATTTTTTTATTATAATTTTTACATCTTTATTTTACTTTTATTACATATTAAATTGTATTGATTATATTATCATTTTTTTAATAGATATAAAATAACTATGAAAATCTTTTTAACAATTATTTTACTCTTTTTGATATTCAATTTATCATTGACAGCCCAAGGCGAGTCTGCAATTGAATGTCCACAACTTCAAATGCCAGAGTGTAAAGGCGACCAGGAGTTGGTTTCTAAGAAAGGTGCCGATGGTTGTACCTACTCAGAGTGTGTGCCTTTGGTAAAGCATAGACCATGTCCGCAATATAGAATTTCAAAGTGTCCAGAAGGACAAAGAGTACAAACAACTATGGATAGAGGATGTAGTATTGATAAGTGTGTAAAGATATAAATACAAGTATAAATCACCTGTCTTTTATTATCTCAAAACAAACAACAACATTTATTAAATAAAATCATCATTATTATTTTAATCATTCTGTAGATTATTATAATCATTTAAATATAAAGATAATGTTTTTACATTTTGTTTTATAAAGGTTTTATGTTATTTTATTTATTCAATAAAGTTTTACAATTATGTAATCGACGTCGTTTGATGAGTGGATGAATGATTGATTCGTTTGTTTGTTTAAAGATCTCTTTCAAAGTCATAATCTCTTGAGACATTGCAAAAACCTTGGTATCTCAAAGATACAACCAATCCACCATTGACATACTCGTAAATACAATCACAGTTGGTTTGAGTGCTCTTCCAAACGAAAGTGAGTGTGGCATTTGGTACTTTCTCAGCGAATGCTTCTTTGACCATTTCATCTTTGACACGATTGATGATATTGCCAGAGGTCTTCTCCAATGCATCTAAATACATTCCTGCGAATGATTTTTGGTGGTCTGCATTGAATGATTGGAATAACTTCAATGCAACTGCTGGTTCCATCAATGACCATGTTTGTCCGGTTGCTTTTGAGAGGTTGGCCAGGTAAGTGTCGAATCTTGGTTGAAGTCTGGTCATTTCGAGTGCCACTTCGAATGGATATCCACCAGCACCTGGCAGTGATTCAATGATCTTGAAGTGGGAGGAATTTGGTGAGTTCACTGGACATTTGAAGAGGATTGTCATGACTCCGCCATCGAATCTGAGACGATAGTATTCATATTTGTTGGTTTCATCAGTGTCGACTGTGATAATGACCTTCTTGGCAGAAACGGCATCCAAAAGTGCTTCTTTTCTAAAGGTTGGGTTCTCGCCATTCAAGAATTGTTTGAGAGCATCACGAAGTGCTTCCATCACTTGAGAGTATAAGAATGTTCCTGGTGCTTCTTTGGAGTAACATGAGAATGTCTTTCCTTCCAAATAGTTTGAGAAACCATCCAAATCGAATTGATATTCCCATTCTTGACCAACCAGATCAGCAATTTCCTTTGAGTATTTGGCTAAAGCTGGTTCTTTCTCCTTCAAGTTCTTTCTTGCTACTAATGGGAATGGCATTGTTGTTTTATTTGTTTGATAATAGTTGTTGATATTTAATAAATAATAGATATTATTTGATTTGATTTGTTGTTGTTTTTGAATGAAATAATGTTGATCAATCATTAACTATTTATAGTTTATAGGTTTATGAGATATTTGAGCAATACAGTATTACATTCTTTAATCAAGGAATGATAAAAGAATAAAATAAAAATAGAGAATATTATTATTACATTATTTCTATCTATTTCTCAGATCTTATAATAAAATAAAGGAATAATTAAATATTATATTTATGTAAAATGAATTGATCATCAAAAAAAAAAGAATTATCTTCAAAGAAAAAAAAAAATTTGGTCTCATTTTTGGGTATTTATTTTATAAAAAATATTAGAAATTTAATTTAATTTATTTGAATATTAGAATTCTATTAACATATTTATTTAATATTGGAGAGCACGGATGAAAAGATTTGGAGAACGCATTCCACGATCGATGTATCCAAAGACAAATTCTTTACCAGTGGCAATACCTTGACCATAGGATGGAAGTGAGAAGAATCCATTGTGATATTCGATGTTCCAAACTGAACTTTGATCACGTGGATCCAAAGTGCAATCGGTTTGAATGGCGATGTTCTTCAATGTTCTTGGACCATAGTTGAAGACATGGACACGGTATAAAGTGAATGATTGACCATTCTCAACCCAACTACGTTCAATGGTTTGGACGATTGCAACATCATGACATTGATCCAACAAAACACAGTGACTGACACCACCTTCACAGATACAAACTTGACCAGCACCACATTTGCTTGAATCACATGTTCCAACAATGAATGTTGAGTTTACTGCTGATAAACATGTCAAAGCGACAAATAACAATGAGAATAAAGCAATCTTCATTTTATATTATCTATTTATAAAACTATTTTTACTATAAATATATTATTTTGAATGATTTAAAAGTAATGAAAATCATTGTTTAAATAGATTCTTTAAATGCTTTGGTTCTTCATTACAAACGAATATAGTTTAACTAAATTGTAACCTGTTGATTTGTTTTAATATTAAAAAGATCATTGATATATAATAATGATAGATATTACATCATTTATAATCATATATTACAACATTATATTTAATAAAATGATTAATATATCTTTTTTGTTTATATATATGAATAAATTTTGTTTTTTGTAAGCAATTTTAAAATGATTGGATACTGATAAAATTTTATTATTTCTTTTTTAAAATGTGGTTGTTCTAAATTTTATTTACTCATATTTAAAACAATTTATTAGTTTACTTTGTCAAATATGTAATACAAATTCAAACTTATTTGTAATAAACTTTAAAATATTACTAAAAAATATTATATAAAAAAAAAATGTGTTATAAGAATCCATTCTTTGGTTAAAATATCAGAAGTAGATTTGAATTTTAGAAAGAAAACAACAATGCTATCCTTGATACTACCACTTATATCAATTACTACAATTTTAGTAAACAATTTATATCAATTGTACACCACTGCAACAACAAGATATTATAAAAGTGCCACCACCAGACACTCACCCTTATATTCTACTTTACTCATTGTCTTACCAAAATTAAAAGTGACATAGAGAAGGATCATATTGGATGGGACTCTCACTTCAAGACCTGTAAACTTTGCCAACTTTCTGTCGCTCCAAATCCTATTTAGAACAGACTATGGCAGATTGAACAAGACTCTTATAATGTTCTTATTGGAAGAGTAAGTTTTAAAAATTTCCAGTTTAATCAGTGCAAAATTTTCCTTTTTATTAATGATTATCTATCTTAACAGTTTAGAGAAATGTTAAATTTTAAATATAATTCTAATCTTCAAAATTGGAAAATTAAATAGTATTGAATTTGTCACTTTTACAAGAATATACTTCAACCATTTTCAACTCATCAAACTACGACGGATCTCAGCTTTAAATTATTTAGCCCCAATTTTTATTATCCAAATCATAGGTATTGATAAAGAGGAATTGTTTCAACTTTTATTAATCGTGAAACTTCATTCATTCTTAATGTTAATATCAAATACTAGAGACTTGAGTGCTCTGTCTATTTATAAAACTGTTTAAATTATATAATCTTAATAATCTTTATTCCAAAATTAATAACTTGTATTGCTCATTTAGTTAATAAAGGAAAGATTTTACAAAAAATAAATGCTTAATCAACATGTGACATCATTCTTTAAAATTTATAATTTTAATAAAATTCTTTGATTTTGAAGAGATTTTATTACATTTTTTTTGTTTTTTGCAAAAACCAATAAGATATTATTATTTTTTATATCTTTTCTTTCACTTTATCAAAACAAGTCAAGAAATCAACTACCTAACCCAGGGAATTATGAACAAATCAAAGAAAAGATAGTGTTTTATATTTTATTTTTACAAAAAGCATTTACTTTTGTTTTTATTGTAGTTGTATTAATGTGTTGTATAAATATAAAAGAGATAATCAATTATCTTTAAATTAAATTTCATCAGAGTAGAACATGTTCAGAGATAGATTTACATTGTTTCTAGAGTTGAGAGACAAGTCGAAGCTCGAGAAGAAAGAGAATGACAAACGCGAGTTCACTCAGTTCATGAGAGAACGTTCGTTCAAAGCCGCGCAAGTAGCTCCTCCTCCGACCGTAACACAATCGTCATTTCCAAACATCTTTTTCAATAAGAAGTCGGTGCAGCCGCCTGTAGCTAACAACCAGCAGCAGCAGCAACAGCAGCAGCAACAACGTGATAACCTGACAAATAAACCATACTGTTTTACATGTGGTAAAGAGTTTGGAATATTCACATCAAAGATTGCCTGTGATCTTTGTTTCATTAGTTTCTGCTTGCCGTGTATCACCAAGCTATCGAGTAAAGACATCACAGGTGTCTTGCGTGAAGGTCAAACCAAGAACTACTGCAGTGGCTGTGTATTCATTGTGAAGCGCGAAGAGAGCAGTCGTCGTCACGAAGCAATGTTACAACAGGCAAGAGACGATCCACTCTATCAAACCTATTGTGAGATTACACTCGTAAAGAAAGCAATTCATGCTGGAATGCCAAGGTAACAATTATTATTATCTTTTTCAAAGATATTTATATAAATCATTTACTAATAATAATATCATTCCATTGCTTTGTTATTTGGTTATTTATGTTTAGTTTCGAATATTTAGCATCTTCAGTAACAGATTTTACGAGAGCATCGTCAAAGAATAAGGAAACATTCATCATTGTATATAACGAGGTGTTGAGGAATCAGTCAGAGTTGTCTACGCTATTCAAAGAGTTTGATAAGTCGTTAAAGATGATCACCAGTATGAAACCTAGACATATGTTGGAAGACATCGTTAGAAACAACATGAAACATATATACGCATTATTTTTACAACAGAATCTACCAAAGTTTAAAACAATTCAAAATGTAAATAGCTTATTAACTATATAATATTAAATGATAATTATTAACATTTCTCTTTATTATTATTGTTTTTATTAGCAAATTTTACATTTAGAAATGAATACAGCAACCAATATATATACAGTTTTATGTAGGAATGCAATAGATAATCAATTGAACAGAGAGTTCTGGGATAAATATCAAGTTCCATTCCAAAATGCAATTAGAATCTGTAGGAGTGATCTATTCAATGCTACCGTACGATGCGGTGAGGATTGGGAGAAACATAAGAATTTAGTAGATAAATCTATTTGTCAAACCGATTCATCTTTTTTAGGTTTAGCTGTAAGTAAATCACTTCTTTTATTTTTATTTTTATAATTATATATATTAATTTTATTTATTTTATTATAGGATCATCCATCAAAAGAATTCGAAGCAACATTAATAAGAAAGAATGCAGAGCTCATCAAAAAGATGATGGAACAGATAACAATGAGAGTGAAACCCGACGAACTAGTTCAATCGAAAGCTGTTCTAAACGAATTACATCAATTATTAACGAATGCCTATAATAAAGGTTTACAATTTTAATAAGAATAAATTTCAATTTATTTCTTTGTTTTTTTAATTTAATTTATTTAATTTATTGATGTTTTTTTTGATTTACTCAAATTTTTTTAGCTGAAAATTTGTGGTTGAAATTATTTTTTGCAAAATCGAATCTTTTAATTAAAGTATTTTGATCAAACTATTAATGTATACATTAAATCTATACTAAAAATAGATAAATCAACTAATATAAAATGTGAATGTCAAATCACTTTATTTGATCAAGCAATCAAAGCAAATATTAAAAAAACAAATAAAAGTTAATAACTTATTAAATTAAGATTATATATAATAATAAATAAATAAATAAATCAAGAATGATGCAAGCTCTCAAATGTGTAGTTGTCGGTGATGGTGCAGTCGGTAAGACTTGTTTGCTTATTTCATACACCTCCAATGCATTCCCAGGTGAATATATTCCAGTATGTAATTATTATATTATTAGCAAGACAGTTTAGTTGATTAATATTATTATTATTTATTATTTTGTAAAGACTGTTTTTGATAATTATAGTGCCAATGTAATGGTAGATGGTAAAGCATATAACTTGGGATTGTGGGATACTGCCGGTCAAGAGGAATACGATCGTCTTCGTCCATTGTCATATCCTCAAACCGATATCTTTTTATTATGTTTTTCAGTCATTTCACCATCATCTTTTCAAAATATTTCATCAAGAGTATGTTTATTATATTATTCATTGTTGATATTAATGTTAAAATCTGTTTATTAACTATTAATAATTAATTGAAAACAATCTAGTGGGCACCAGAAGTTCAACATTATAATGGTCAGAACGCACCAACCATATTAGTTGGAACCAAAATTGATATGCGTGAAGATCGTGAAACTCTCGAGCGTCTCAGAGATAAGAATTTACAACCAATCAAATATGAACAGGGTCTCCAGAAAATGAAGGAAATAAATGCAGCCAAATACGTAGAATGTTCAGCACTCACACAGAAAGGTCTCAAAGCAGTATTTGATGAAGCAATCAGAATGGTTGCAAATCCACCATGTAACAAAAGAAAATCAAAGAAACAACATGGATGTTTAATCTTGTAATCACAGCCATCTAAATCAATCAATTAATCAATCAAATCGCTTATTTATATAACATCAAAAAGACTATATTAAACAACATAGTTTTTTTTTTTAAACAATCCTCCTAAAGACAATCAATCCCACTTCTTATTTTTAATTAATTTTGTAAAATACTTAATAAATGTATATTGCACTATACCTGCAAAGATTTTAAAAAATTCTTTTTATTTTATTTCGATATTCAGATGTAAAATGTTATCATTACTTGTTTCTCTGATATATCATCATCTATTCAAAGTAATTTATTCTATATATAGATAATTAAAGATTTACACTTAATTATTACTAATATATATTTCTAAAATTTATTTCACTAATAAACTATTAAATTGTTTTAAATATGAGTAAATAAAATTTAGAACAACCACATTTTTAAAAAGAAATAAAAAAAAAATTTAATCTGTATCCAATCATTTTAAAATTGCTTTCAAAAATTGATTTTTTTTTAAAAAAAAAAAAGATATATATTAATCATTTTATTAAATATAATGTTATAATATATGATTATAAATGATGTAATATCTAACATTATTATTATGGTCTTTTATTATTAGAAACAAATCAACAGGTTACAATTTAGTAACACTATATTCGTTTAATGAAGAACCAAAGCATTTAAAGAATCTATTTAAACAATGATTTTCATTACTTTTAAATCATTCAAAATAATAAATTTATAGTAAAATAGTTTTATAAATAGATAATATAAAATGAAGATTGCTTTATTCTCATTGCTATTTGTCGCTTTGACATGTTTATCAGCAGTAAACTCAACATTCATTGTTGGAACATGTGATTCAAGTAAATGTGGTGCTGGTCAAGTTTGTATCTGTGAAGGTGGTGTCAGTCATTGTGTCTTGTTGGATCAATGTCATGATGTTGCAATCGTCCAGACCATTGAACGTAGTTGGGTTGAGAATGGTCAATCATTCACTTTGTACCGTGTCCACGTCTTCAACTATGGTCCAAGAACATTGAAGAACATCGCCATTCAAACCGATTGCACTTTGGATCCACGTGATCAAAGTTCAGTCTGGAACATCGAATATCACAATGGATTCTTCTCACTTCCATCCTATGGTCAAGGTATTGCCACTGGTAAAGAATTTGTCTTTGGATACATCGATCGTGGAATGCGTTCTCCAAATCTCTTCATCCGTGCTCTCCAATATTAAATAAATATAAATAAAATATTAATTGATTATTATTTTAATAATAGATAAAATATTTGTAAATTGTTTTTTTATTTTTATATATTTTGATCGATTTGTTATGATAATTAATTGATTAACAATTAAAGTTAATTAATTACAACTTTAAATTAATTTTAAAAAAGATAAACTTGATAAATATAATTTAATTTGTTCATGATCACCATTTTAATAAATCTGCAGCTTCCATGTTTTCAAATGAAATTTTAATTTTTTATTTTAATTTATTTTGTTTCCTAGGATTATAATTGGTTATCACGATCATTTTTATTCGCTATATTATCAATAGAAAACGCTTAAACAATGAGAGTTCCAACATCTAAATGTGTAGTTGTCGGTGATTCTGAAGTTGGTAAGACTTGTCTTTTAGTTAGTTATACAACGGGTGGAATATTGCCTGATTGTCATATTACAGTATGTATATTAAACATGTTGTTTACATTCATATGTATTGATTTAATTTCTTTAGGTATTTGATAACTATACTTCAAATTTAAATGTAGATGGTAAACCTTATGCAATTAATCTATGGGATACATATATATCGAATTCCGATACAAACAACTTGACAAGACTTACTTATTTTCAAACCGATATCTTTTTATTATGTTTTTCAGTGATATCTCCTTCGTCTTTTGAAAATATATCATCAAAGGTATCGTATTTATAAATATATCATTTCTTACATTTAGTTTATTTATATTACATTTCACTTTTAGTGGATTCCAGAACTTAATGAACATCTTTACAATAATGAAACCAAACAAAATGTATCGATTATTTTAGTTGGAACTAAAGTTGATTTACGTGATAACGATGAAGTGATCGCACTTCTTAAAACAAAGAATATGCAACCAATAACATATGATCAAGGTCTCAATAAAATGAAAGAAATCAATGCATCTCTATATATAGAGTGTTCAGGACGAACACATACCAATGTTAAAGAATTGTTCGATGAAGTAGTAAGAAAAACTTTAAAACCGAACCAGAAATCAAAGAAGAAACAATGTTTTATCATGTGATACCATCTTAAAATAAGACAATTAAACCTACTTTATAATGTAACACTACAGGCCAACAAAACATAACAAAACATATTAAAAGATCAAAAAAAATTGTACAATTACTGTTAAAATAAACAAATTGATTAGTAAATAGTTATATTCACTTTTACAAATAAAAAGTTTAAAATGTATTATACATTTTTAATAAATAATATTTTTAGTAATATTTTAAAGTTTATTACAAATAAGTATGAATTTATTACTTTTTTGACCAACAATAAACTATTAAATTGTTTTAAATATGAGTAAATAAAATTTAGAACAACCACATTTTAAAAAAGTAATAATAAAATATTATCTGTATCCAATCATTTTAAAATTGCTTACAAAAAAAAATATATAAACAAAAAAAAGATATATATTAATCATTTTATTAAATATAACGTTGTAATATATGATTATAAATGATGTAATATCTATCATTATTATATATCAATGATCTTTTTATTATTAGACACAAATCAACAGGTTACAATTTAGTAACACTATATTCGTTTGTAATGAAGAATCAAAGCATTTAAAGAATCTATTTAAACAATGACTTTCATTACTTTTAAATCATTCAAAATAATATATTTATAGTAAAATAGTTTTATAAATAGATAATATAAAATGAAGATTGCTTTATTCTCATTGTTATTTGTCGCTTTGACATGTTTATCAGCAGTAAACTCAACATTCATTGTTGGAACATGTGATTCAAGCAAATGTGGTGCTGGTCAAGTTTGTATCTGTGAGGGTGGTGTCAGTCATTGTGTTTTGTTGGATCAATGTCATGATGTTGCAATCGTTCAAACCATTGAACGTAGTTGGGTTGAGAATGGTCAATCATTCACTTTGTACCGTGTCCATGTCTTCAACTATGGTCCAAGAACATTGAAGATACATCGCTCAATTCAAACCGATTGCACTTTGGATCCACGTGATCAAAGTTCAGTTTGGAACATCGAATATCACAATGGATTCTTCTCACTTCCATCCTATGGTCAAGGTATTGCCACTGGTAAAGAATTTGTCTTTGGATACATCGATCGTGGAATGCGTTCTCCAAATCTTTTCATCCGTGCTCTCCAATATTAAATAAATATGTTAATAGAATTCTAATATTCAAATAAATTAAATTAAATTTCTAATATTTTTTATAAAATAAATGCCCAAAAATGAGACCAAATTTTTTTTTTTTCTTTGAAGATAATTCTTTTTTTTTTGATGATCAATTCATTTTACAAATATTTAATTATTCCTTTATTTTATTATTATGTTAGATCTGAGAAATAGATAGAAATAATGTAATAATAATATTCTCTATTTTTATTTTATTCTTTTATCATTCCTTGATTAAAGAATGTAATACTGTATTGCTCAAATATGTTATAAACCTATAAACTATAAATAGTTAATGATTGATCAACTTATTTCATTCAAAAACAACAAATCAAATCAAATCAAATAATATCTATTATTTATTAAATATCAACAACTATTATCAAACAAATAAAACAACAATGCCATTCCCATTAGTAGCAAGAAAGAACTTGAAGGAGAAAGAACCAGCTTTGGCCAAATACTCAAAGGAAATTGCTGACCTGGTTGGTCAAGAATGGGAATATCAATTCGATTTAGATGGTTTCTCAAACTATTTGGAAGGAAAGACATTCTCATGTTACTCCAAAGAAGCACCAGGAACATTCTTATACTCTCAAGTGATGGAAGCACTTCGTGATGCTCTCAAACAATTCTTGAATGGCGAGAACCCAACCTTTAGAAAAGAAGCACTTTTGGATGCCGTTTCTGCCAAGAAGGTCATTATCACAGTCGACACTGATGAAACCAACAAATATGAATACTATCGTCTCAGATTCGATGGCGGAGTCATGACAATCCTCTTCAAATGTCCAGTGAACTCACCAAATTCCTCACACTTCAAGATCATTGAATCACTCCCAGGTGCTGGTGGATATCCATTCGAAGTCGCACTCGAAATGACCAGACTTCAACCAAGATTCGACAACTACTTGAGCAACCTCTCAAAAGCAACCGGACAAACATGGTCATTGATGGAACCAGAAGTTGCACTAAAGTTATTCCAATCATTCAATGCAGATCACCAAAAATCATTCGCAGGAATGTATTTAGATGCATTGGAGAAGACCTCTGGCAATATCATCAATCGTGTCAAAGATGAAATGGTCAAAGAAGCATTCGCTGAGAAAGTACCAAATGCCACACTCACTTTCGTTTGGAAGAGCACTCAAACCAACTGTGATTGTATTTACGAGTATGTCAATGGTGGATTGGTTGTATCTTTGAGATACCAAGGTTTTTGCAATGTCTCAAGAGATTATGACTTTGAAAGAGATCTTTAAACAAACAAATCAATCATTCATCCACTCATCAAACGATAGACAAATCAGTCATCAACGTAAAACTTTATTGAATAAATAAAATAAATATAAAACCTTTATAAAACAAAATGATATTCTATTTTTTATTCGAATACTTATATAGATTGTACTATTGTTTGAAAAATTCAAATGGATATTTTTACGCATATTGAATAAATCATGAAATGAATTAGATTATTTATTTGACTTTAGTTCTAACCAATTTTATAATTATTGTCTTTAACATAATTGTATACCGTTCTGTATCCCTTTCTATTGGCAAGTGAGGATGAAAGTGAGGAACAGATCTTCTCGCTCTGAAGTGAACCAAGATATTTTACCATGGGAAATTGTCCAAATTGCAAAGCAAAATCAAATGCTCTATTAATTATATCTTGACTAACAGTTAACTGAATTCTTTCCAATAAGAACTTAAGAACATCCAATTGTCCACCAGAAGCAACTTTAAAAATGATATCTTTTGTTAACAAATTTGGAAATCGATCATATATGAAATGATATGATTCAAGACATTTGAAAGGATGTTTAATGGGACCGGTATGGACCAGTTTGAGTTCTTCATATAAATAGGTTGCCATTTCTATATCACCAATGTCCAATGCGTTCTTAATTGAATCTGAATGAAATGTGCTGGGTAGGAACTTACGCACTCTACAACCTAACATTCTATCTGCATGCTGATATTTATGTTGATACTTTATCAACAACTTGAGCATATCTATATCACCACTTCTGACCACTGGTCTAATATCCAATCGAAACGTTGTTTTGCTTTCGATCAGCAGCTGTTCAACGACATCATAGAGACCAATCAACTCGATCCTATTCACATTCAAACAAAGACTCATGATTTCTTCAAGGTCGTTTGGACAAATCCTAATAAGATATCTGATCATGTCGATGTGTACATTGGAGAATGCATTCCGAATAATGGATTTATAATTCGTAACTTTGTTACTAACATGTTGGTGAATATACTTGATGAATTCGAACTGTTTGTAGCTAGCTGCATAATTAAAGTGAAGAGAATTGATATCACATAGACCAAGTTGGTGAATAGTTTTGAAGGCGTGTAATCTACCGAGTACAATGACATCAAGAATCTGGGATGGTCTCTCTATCTTGTAGAATACTTTCATTTCTCTAAACAAGTAATAAATGATCTCTGGGTAGTCATAGTTGAACACTTTGTTTATCGCTGAGTCAATTACAATTAAAGGATGGGAGAATAGATACTTTACAATATCGATATGTCCAAAACTTGCAGCATTGATCAGTGCAACTTGAAGTTGATCTTTTATACTATCGATAAAATTGGCACATAAGAATTGAACCACTGAAAGATGACCGTTTAAAGATGCTTGATTCAATGCTCTACCAGAACAACCTTCACTTCTATTTCGAGATAACCATTCTACCGTTTCTAAATGACCATTTGCTGAAGCATTGTTCATCGCTGATCGATCACATCCTTCTGTTCTATTCTCGTGTAACCACTTGACTAATTGGATGTTTCCATTGGTTGAAGCATAGATCATAGCTGCTTTCGAACATCCTTCAGTTCGATTCTCATGAAGCCATTTTACATTATCCAATCTATTGTGTTTTGATGCAAGATCAATCACCTTAAAGCAACTGGTTTGTGATTGATTCCTTGTGAATAACCATTCTAACGTTTCTAAGTCACCATACTTTGCAACTGCTGCCACTGTATTATCTGATAGAATAGTGTTGTCTGGAATAAAACCAACTAGATATCTAACTATATCAAACTGCTTTCTACATGCTGCATATTCGATACTGCCAATCCAATCTATTGTTTTAAATTTCGATTGTAAATAGTCGACGATTTCAGTGTCACCATTAGATGCTATAATCTTTATAGTCAATTTTGATTGGTTTTCATTCAAAAATTGGCTGGACACACTTTTGAGAATTAAGTCTATCGTGGCTATATCTGTATTCTTAATAGCATTAAAAATGGAAGGAATGATATCTTGGTCAGTTCTGTTATCCAACAGAAACTTGATGGTCTCTGTGCTACAACGCTCTTGCACTGCAAATGACAATACATCACTGGGCCAACTATCATACCGATATTGGTTTTGTACCACTTTGAGCAAAGGTAAATGATGAACTAATTTACGTATTGGTAAATTGTTGAGTGTAATAAAAGTATCGCCACTCTCCATCAAAATAACCAGTTGATCAAAGTACTTATATGAAATTAGCGATTCATATCTTCTCTTTAACGTAGACCATGGGATAGAGTTAATATGCAAATAATTTATATATCTAATAAAAGAGAATATCTTTCTCCATATTACTTTGTTATTATAAAATGATAATAATAATTCTTTATTCATAACTATCTAGATATAGATATATATATATATTGGAATAAATGGAATTTACAAAAAAAAAAAAAAGTTTGCAAGATATTCTGAATTTTGGACAATTTAACTGGGTGTTTTACCAACGATTATTATTTATTCTCAATTGATAATAGTTTTTGTTTTAACTTTAAAAGGGGTAATACAAAACCTTCAGAGGGTGGCAATGTTATACCCAAAATATTATGATTACTATTGTTATTATTATTATTTTCATTGTTGTTGGTATTATTGCTTGCTACTGGATCTGTTGATGAAGTAGTTATTGGTGTCTGTGTTGTGTTAAAGAAAGTATCTATTCTATTCAATATGGTCTGTTTGTTTTCGTTGATGTGTTTGGTGATGATATCTGCAAATACGTGTGGTTTGTTGGAGTGATAGAATAGCAATGCCTCCAATGTGAGTAGGTATGCCTCTTCGTTGTAGAGCGATGTATTTCTGATTCCTATTTTCGTGCCAATCTGTGCTTCGTATCCCGCTTCGAGGAAGTACGGTTCTTTACAACCGAGAATCAGACCTTGGATACTGATTAACACTTGCAAGAGATTCGACAAACCGGGCTGCCAAACTTCGTTTTTGTTGCCGTGCCACGTACCGAGCAGACTCAGACAAACATTGCCATTGACATAGAGATTGGGATGCAGTTTGAATGTAACGCTGTGATAGAATACCTTGGGTGGAACGAATGGGTATTGATTGGGCAAATAGATATCGAAAATGAAAACACCGTTCTCGTAGACGGTATCGCCTGGACCGACTATCAGTGCTTGCAACAGATTCATTCTCTCACTGTAGCCCTTAACGTAGATACCTTTTGGCAATGAAGTTTGCAACAATTTGATTTCCTTGTTGATTGCACTTAAAAATTTAGAAGTCATTGAAACTTTCTCGTTGAAAAAAGCATGATTATCTATTGATGTCAACAATTCAAATTCACCTCTTTCTTCATTGTTGTCATCAACTTCTACTTCTTCTTCCACTTTACTTGATTCTTCCAATACCTCTTTATCATTAACTTTAACATTATTATTATTATTACTATTATTACTATTACTATTATCTATACTATTACTATTGTTGTTGTTATTATCGTTGATTGATAATCCAGCTAATCTTCCAATATCATCTTTATACTTTTTAATATAGTTTAAAACATTTTGAAGGAAACTGTTACCGGTTGTTTGATGCGCTTTGACCAGTTCATCCTCGTGATCCATCATTCTTCTTGCAACTTTACTGATGTTGGCTTCGTCGTTGATGTCATCTTCGTAGTCAGCAGGATCGTATGCATCCATTGTGTCGCTATCTTGATCGTCGTCGTCATCCACCTCTTCATCGTCTTGCTCGACGACAGCCAAATCCTGTGGATATAGAGTCTCCTCGCATCCATTGTTCCATCTGACAACGACCTGACAAGTCTCATTGGATTTACCGATGACCTGTCCAACTACGTCGGCCAATGGATTAATGCTAGCACTGTCTTTTCTCAGTACAAAGTCGGATTCATCGATATTATCATCTTCAATATACTCTATCAAATAGACCGATACATCCTCCTCCAATTCCACCGGCAACTCACTATCGCTCTTTGACTTCCAATAAACTGAGCAAGTACGCTTCTCAGGGTTATACTGTTTGATGACACCCCACTTTGTTTTCTTCTCCTTCTCGGCAGGCTCTACCACATCACCCGGGAAGTAATCAGTCGATAGATTATCCACGCATGTCAAATCCAACGATGCCTCCAAAGTAACCAAACCATCTTGCCACAATATCTTATATTTTGTCTCTGTATACCAAACCATTCCACCCTGTTCAACACCTTCTTTATCTAAAATATACATATTAATTTAATTTAACGCAGTTCAAGTTAATATTTGTTGGTAATATTGTTATAGCCAATAGTACATACCTCTATATAAAACTGATTCACCCATAATAGAATAATCATAATCATCTTTAATTAAAATGACATCTTGTGTCTTTTGTTTTGGATTTGGTTCATCTGCATCTAAATCCTATTAATTTAAATGATAATGTTAGACAAATATTATATCCAGTAGAATGAAATTCAAATTGATTTAACATACGATATAGAAATACCAATTGACATCGACATTGACAGATTTAACATCCATAATCAAACCTTTTCCTCTGACACTATTAACTATTTTACCTTTGCAAACCGATTCATCGTATAGACCTTCCACTTTAATCATTTTACTCATTAAGAAATTTCCAACTAAATTTGGATCATCCAATGATTTTATCTTTAATTCAACTCTATCCTTTAATTATTATTATTTATGAATAAAATATATATATGTTAATAACAGGATGCTGAATAATGATGATGGATATGATATTTAATGAATAATGGAATATGATTAATTTACCTCTGTAATACTACCTATAACTTTTGATTCTTGATCCATTACTAATACACCGTATTGATACTCGGTTGGTGGTCTTACATGATCGGTGGTAACGAACCAAGTCTCGTCAAAGGTTCGGGTTGTGTCGATCAGAGTATTCAGGAATTCAAAGGGTATTACGTGATAGGTCTTTTTCATTGAGAGAACCTTTCCGAGTTGTGCGCTATCACTCTGATTCCTCTGAACGTTGTCACCGATGTACAGTGTTCGATCGACCATCGTCAACTCGCTAAAGTCCAACTCGAGCAACGATCCATCCGGTTTCTGAATGAGAACACCACTGACTTGATTCTTGAATTTATAGGTATTGATTGTTTCGTCCATATCAACGAATGAATCACTATCCTCACTGTTTAAACTATCTTCATTTTCACAATCGTCGCCATCTTCTTCGTCGTCGTCGTCATCTTCATCATCTAACTCTTCATCTTCACTATCTTTATCATCTTTACCATCATCCTCTTCGTCATCATCATCTAAATTATCATTATCTTCCCAAGATAGTTTAGCAACAACACCAAATTCTTGAGACTGATGAGTAGGATTTATAAATGTAACAATATCCTCTTTAAATATATTCTAAAATGATAGATTCATTAGTAAAATAACCATGATGAAACAATTAGGTGATAATTAAAAATAAACATACTCTTTCAACTTTGGTAGTTTCTGCCTGTTGCTGTTGCTGTTGCTGTGGTTGTATTATTTTCGAAGTTGATGAATTATCATCATTTGTACTCATTATTTGTTTATTAAATCTCTGTTTTTGTTTAATATAAAAAGTGAGATACTACTATTATAATAAAATCAATTGACAATAATTATATATATATAATACTAAACAATATATAAAAATAAGTCTAAAATCAGTCAACTTTATTTTTTGTTCGTAATTTTTTTTTAAATTTAAATTTCTTATAAAAGTAATTTTTTTTTTAATAAAAAATTTAGATTAAGTTTATACAATACCAAATCTTTGGTTGTTTAATAATAAACACTGGTGAAAAAGAATAGGCTAAGCGATCGATTGAAGAGGATCTTTAAGTTCCTGAAATGGCTGTGCTACATTAAAGAAGATACAGCCGCTTGGGAGAAGAAGATAACTGTCCATATAGGTATCCTGTCAACGCTATTTATCCAGAAATTGAAGTTTTAATCCATATGCCTTTGATGTGTATTTATCGATGATAATAAAGTCAATTGAATTTTAAAAATACATGAATATTACAGTGAATTAGCTGTACATTCATCACTAATTAATCATCATTCATTATAATCAGACTTGTTTATTCAATAATAATAAACTTTGAATATTTTAAAAACTAATAATACATTTATTTGTTTTGTTTTTTGCTCTGTTAACATTTAAGTATTACTTTGGTACTGGAATCTTGTAGGATGACTCATGCTTTGGATCCAATGCGAGAACAAAGTTTACTTTTTTGATTTCCTTAAAACCTTCGCTGAGTTCTGGTGCCTCGAAATTCTTGTTGTACATGTGATATACCATGGTTGGAACGTGCTTGACATCGAGGGTTCTCTCACGATGATAGTTGTTGTGGTAGGAGGTTTCACGGTCGGTCTGCATGTGGAAGCAACGCACTTGAACACCGTGTCGCTTGGCGATGTTGATGTACTCCTTACGTGCTGCCTTGGTTGGATTGGTGTTGTCGATCACCACCGATTTGCCTTGGGAGAGCTGTTCCTCTGCGAACTTCTGAACTTTAGCTTTCACCTTGAGAGTGTCTTGATTGGCCCACGCGTAGCCAGCGGCAATAAAGTGCTTCTTGGTGAAGGTGCTCTTACCGCTTGCCGGCCAACCGACCATGATTACCAACTCCTGAGTTTTCGAGACGACGGTTTGGTCGTCGCCTTGCAGCTCTGGACCAGAAGTGGTTGCTTTGGGCACGACGAATTTCGAGTTGATGGCGGTGGTCGGTGCCTCTTTGAGGAAGAACTCTTCGGGTGTTTTGAAGTCGATATTCGATGCCATGGCGAAACCCTTGTCAGAGGCGGCGAAATCCTTCTTTTTGCCTGGCTTCCAACCGTCTGGACGACCGGCGGCATCACCGACGTAGAAGGAATTGGCGAGATCGAATTGCACTCCGGTGGTACATTGGTCCTGGAGGAAGTTCCACATCAGTGAGTTTGGCTTACGCCAGGCACCGTTGACGTCGCACGCCATGATGGCAATACAAGGGATACCGATCTCCTGGCAGAGATCTTCGATCTTACCGGAGACCTGACTGAACTTGGTCTTGTCGAATTTACCCTTGACACCGATACCACCTTGATTGGTAATAACGATCACCTGATATCCATCGTCGTGAAGCTGTTTCATCATGGTTGGTACGACTGGATTCCACCATTGCCAATCGGTACGAGACTTGGCAAACTTGGCACCGGACTTTGGTTCTACCATTGTGTCATCCATATCGAAAGCGGCAATCTTGGAACGTGAGATATGTTGTTCAAGGAAAAAGTAAGCTTCATCTTTGTGAATGGTCCATTTTCCAAGTGGTTGAGTTGATTTGGCAATGGCTTTTGTTACTTTTGAAACATTTGATGTTGTTGTTGTTGTGGTAGTTGGTTCTTCTTCTTCTTCTTCTTCTTCTTCTACTTCGGATTCAGATTCTTCTTTCTTTGCTACTGGTTTTTTTGGAGCGGCAACTGGAATTGCTTTACCAGTGGCAGTTCTTGTTCTCTTTGTTGGTTGAACTGGTTCCTCTTCTTCCTCTGCTTTCTCTGGAAGATCAGCACCATCTTTTTCCTCTTCCTTCTTTTCTTCTTCCTCTTCTTTTTCTTCGTCTGAATCTGGTTCATAAGCTTTTCTTTTGGGGTTCGCTTGATTCTTCTTTGGAGCCGGAGCAGCTACTTTCTTGGCAGTGGTATCCGGTGAGGTGGCATCTCCTTGATGCGCCATGATCTCTTTGATCAAATATGCTTTGGTACTCTTTACTTTGATACCTAATGTTTTACAGATGTCAGCGACCTGTTTATATAACATATTCTCCAAGGCTTCTTGTTCGTATGCCATTGTTTTTTAATATAGTTTAAAGATCTAATATAGAAAATAAGTAATAAGTGGAAAGAATAAAAACTTAAATATTTATATATGTATTGTATTATTATATGATGAATTGAATTAGCAAAGGCAAAAGACCCAACTTTAAATAAGCTTGGTATAAAATTTATTGCCAATAAATTATTAACATTTATTCGAATTTTTAAAACCAGATGCTTGAATCCCTCATAATCAAAAAAAATATTTTTCTTAGCAAAATTTGATTAATTTTTGACTTTTTTGGGAATCAGGGGATGTGTGTTAATTTTTTTCAATGATAGTTGTTGTGGCTGTTATTCAAAAACATTTTTCAAGATATCGCGATGGCGGTTAATAAAAATAAAAAAAAATATCAAACCTTGCCTATATGTATCTACTAAAAAATGCTTTTTTTTTTTTATCTAATTTTCATTAAAATCAAACAAGGTTCTTTTATTCTTTAAAAAGAGTTTGGACTCTATTTTTCAATGGGGAAAATGAGTTTTCCAATCTGCATCGGAGTTCGGAGCAAGCTACAACAAACCCGAGAGATCAAAGAATACAGAGACAGACATATTTATCAATGTTATGAAAGATTCAATCAATTTCTCAAAGATCTTCAATCAAAAATTGGTGTTCAAAAAATGGTTATTGTAATATGGGAAATTTATATGAGAAAATCAATGATTGGCTGAATTTCTATCGATTTCTTGAATAGAGTGGATTTTAGCTGGTTGCTAATCTTTAAAACTACGATAAATATAAAATTTTTGGATTTGGAATCAAACACAGCCAATTCCAAAAAAATTGTTTTAATATTTATTTATTTATTTACATTTGTAAATTTGAATGTCAAACTAAGTGTTAGAAAGGGCTGTTCAAACCTAAGGAATCAGGAGTACATCGATTTTGTTTGGATATGAATCGTTGTTGATTGTTTTTGTTTGGCCAAGATATGACTATGGTATTGCCTCTAACTTGACTGGTTGGATAATTTCTATCGGTGATACGTTCGAGCAAACCTAGATCCTTTGCCTTCCAGAATGAAAAGAGTACATTTGGTTTCGTAGGATCAATTGGGAATGACACTGAACTATAATTGATACCACCAGAATGAGGGAAACCATCTTTATAGCCAGAGTATATCGAATATGCAACGTCTCTATTCAAACGAATTGTTAACATCTTTGTATAGGAATTTACAAGTGTCACCAATGCTACTCTAACCATATTATCAGGTTGATCCTTTTTTTTTATTTGTTTAAAACAAAATGTATTAATTATATAAATTTCTTTTTGTTTTAGTATTTATTTTTTTTTATTTCTTTTTCTTGTAATTACTTTAAATTTTTCTAATATAGTACCACTTATTTCTTCATTTCCAACAAATATATCTAAAATATTATCATCCATATTCAAGTTTAGTTAGTCGCGATAAACCAGTTGTGATTGTTTAATGTGGATTGTTGTTGTTGAATAAAATGGAAATCACAAAAATATCAAAATAACATTGTAAAGAAGTACATTATCAATATATATTGTTGGTGTTTAGGTCAAAGACGATCTCACAGTAACATTATCATAAACAGTAAAAAAATCAATTGAGTGAGAGAATTTAAAACTATACAAATAATCTTACTTTATTTGTTTAAAATAATTGTTGTTTACTTGGTTTTTTTTTTTCTTTTTTTTTTTGTGGTTGTTTTTATCTTCTTTTTTTTTAATTGGTATGTTAGTTGATGATCCAATACTACACTCCTTACATTATTTAAAAAAAAAAATGTAAAATGAAATAAAGTGAGTGGGTATTTTATCATCACTAATGATTTATTTGTTGAATATTGTAGTTGTTATTGTCATTTTTACTTGTTGTTGATGTTATTGTTGTTTGTTTTTTTATAAGGGTGTTTTTATTGTTGTTGTTGTTTTTTATTGAGAATGTAAAAGAAAGGAATGAAATACAATAGTTATAATGATAGATAGATTGGATTAGATTGATTATTGAGTTGGATTATTATTATGATAATTTGTTATTATCTTCTATCTCTATCCCTGTCTCTGTTGTCGTCTCTTCTGTCTCTAGTGTCTCTGCTATCTCTGTAGTCTCTAGTGTCTCTGCTTTCTCTACTGTCTCTGTCTCTATTGTCTCGACTATCTCTATGGTCTCTACTGTCTCTGCTATCTCTGTCTCTATCTCTTCGGTCATAGGAAGATCTTCCGTGTTTTGACGAAGGTGATTGCGCTCTTGTTGGTGAAGGTGATCGTGATCGACTGTAGTTTGATTTATTGTTGTTGCTACTGCTATTGTTGTTGTTGTTGTTGTACGGTGAATATCGTTTATTGGTGGACGATGATGATGGTGATGGTGAATATTGGTTGCTCGGACCTGGTGACAATGATTGGTGTCTGCCAACTGTTGGCGATTGATAAGAATTTGGTGTAGGACTTTGATGTTCGACTTTGTTTGTTGTTGCAGTCGATGAAACAGAGTTGCTATTATTTGATTTTGAAGATGATGATGTTGATGTCGATGATGTTTTCGAAGAAGAAGATGGAGATGCTATTTTCTCTTGTGAATTGTGTTGTTGTTGTTGATGATGATTATTATTTTGTTCTTGTTCATTATTATTAGTATTACTATTTGAATTTAATTCATGTGAATTTTGTTGTTGTTGTTTAGATGGTGTTGGTTGTTGTTGTTGTTGCTGCTGCTGTTTTTTAGGTGATATACTCGAGTTTCCATTGTTATTATTATTATTATTATTATTGTTGTTACCGCTATTACCGTTGTTATTATTATTATTTTGTTGTTGATTTGTATTATTAACGTTGTTTTGATCTTTTATCAAAATATTTGAAGTTGATTCGTAGAGATCTAAAATCTGGTTGCTAATATCTTCGAGAACCTCTAGTTTGATGTTGTAGTTCTCCCACCATTGTTTCTTACCCTCTGAACCTGTGAGAGGATAGCTTAAAAATTTAGATGCAAGGAATACCGATGCATACGAAATGTAATCCGGTGGATAACGTAGGCAAAGGTTGGTTCTCAAACTATCATTTACAAAATTCCATGCGACTTGACATAGATTTTTACTTCCTACAAAACATCGCGATAACAACAACAATATTATTAGAGGTCGTTGCTTTGTCGTTAAATATAATATTATAGCTAGGCTAGTTTAGTTATAATTACCTTGAATCATTTTCATATATTCAAGTAGATATTTATAGGGATGTTCGACCGTCAGCTCGAATGCGATTGTGGTCAACAATAAGTGTTCGTTTTGTACTATTTTAGTGGCGAGTTCTCCCACCTCCTTTTAGTTTGAAAATAGATAGATAGATAGATCTTGTAAGTAAAACTAATAATAGAGTGTATAAATATATGTTTGTAATACTGTACAGGAGAATTTTGTGCAAGTTCTGAATTCTTATAACGAGCTTTATAAGAATAATATGATACATCAATTAGCTTTCTTGGTTTCTCTTCGACTTTACCTGCTAAAAATAAACATGTTGTAGCGATAACCTTTAAGATGAACAACAACAACAACAACAACAATAAAAATAAAAAAAACATATTTTATTAATATTAATAAATAATGTTCGGTTTATAGATATAAATATATTCATTAACATAAAACCTACAAATCTATCATGATCTTTCAGTTGATGTCGTATAAAGAATCTATGAAAATATGTTGTTGCTGTTGCAATGATAAGTTGTGATCTAATAATTTATTATTAATAAAATTAAAAAAAAAAAAAGTTAATTAACTACTAACTAATATATATAGAATAAAACGATAGAGTAAACATTCACATACAATTTTAATTTTATTCCTAGATCTTGAATGAATGCACAGCTAGCTTGTCGCGATGTGATCTCTGATTTAACATCATCACCATAGTGCTTCTGTATCTGTTCTTTGGTAAAGTACCAATGTGCATTCGTATTGTTTTTGAAATCTACGAGTGAACTTGTATTTGTTGTTGTTGCTGCTGCTGTTGCTGCTGCTGTACCTGTTCCATTGCTATTGTTATTACTACTACTGTTTTTTTCAATTGTCAAAGAGGATGATGACGATGTTGTTGTTGTCGCAATCGTCGATTGCTGCGATGAAGATTGTATATTCGATTGTTGTTGACTGTGGCTATTTGTTGTTGATTGATTAGAATTCATCGTTCTATATCATCGGTCGATAAATAACACTCTGTATATTAATATAATATAATATATATAAATAATAATAAATTGAACAACAAAAAAAAAAAAAAAAAAACAAAAAATAAAAAAAAACTTGAAAAGAAATAATTAAAAAAAATAAATAATAAATGTTTAATATTAAGATGATTTCATATAATATAATATAATATAAATAAATAAATTTTATAAATTAAGACTTTTTTTTTATATTTTTAAATAACAAAATAAATAAATATAACAAATATAAAAGTTATATATGATTTAATATTAAATTTATATATAGTATTAATATAAAAAAAAAATGAAGAGTTTATTATTTTTAGATATCTTGTAAATGTAAAGAAAATAAAGTTTCTTCAAGTATACTATAGTATAGTTCAACGATATTTGCTAAACTTGATAGAAAAGTTTCTTAAAAAAATGTAATGATTGTTGAAAGCGTTTTGATTTTTGTTTGTTGTATACTATTTATTCATAAAAACTGTATATAAATAGAATCAATACTTATAAACAACATGTAGCTAAAAAAACAACAAGTTTTTTATTTATTTTCTTTTTTGTTCAGAAATTTTCGGTTAACTTATTTTATTAACTTAAACCATACTCAAAGTTAATAATTGTTTTTTTTACTTTTAAAAGTCGAGTTTGGATATTTTATTCTTTATAAAAAAGAAATATTGAAAAATAAGGTATAAAAAATTAAAAGGTAAGGTTAATTTTTGTTTGGAGTAGCATTTTCTACTCGTGATTGATGATATTCAAGCAAAAAGTTATTCCATTCATCGTTTTCCTGCTCTTTCGATACTATTTCGAATGGGTTGGCTTTTCTCTTGACAATTCGGAATATTCTACCAAACAGACGTGTCTGTAGAATTTGGTGTGGCACCGCTGGATACAATCGATCGCGGACGGTGATCGGTATGATGAACGATACTAACAAGCCAACAAACAGAGTGGCAACCGCCCAGTAAAGATTGGTGGTGTACAATATCGGATCACTTACAGAGTGACCATTGTTTTTCAGTGAATCGTAGATACCGGTGAACAGGAATCCACCGAAAACACCGGATAAATTCCAAACCGTGAGGATAATCGCGTGACACGGACTGATGTTCTTGTTTCCAAATTGGTCGGACAGGAATGCCGGAATCGTTCCAAAGAATCCACCGAAAAACACGTTGAAAACCCACACGAGTATAACGAATGCAATGAAAACTCTTTCGACAATGACAACGGCAAACGCCGAGAAAATCAATGTCGACGCTGCCATGATAACAATGAATGTCTGTAGACGACCAATGCGCTCCGATACTGGACCAGAAATGACACGGCCTACAAGATTGAAAACACCATTGATTGTTATGACAGTGGCGGCATCGCCAGCAGTCTTTCCAAAGATATCTTGTACCAGATTGGATATACGCGATCCAATGATAAGTCCACCAAATCCATTTGCGAAAAACATAAACAGTATCAACCTGAATTCCTTGGTATGAAGAGCTTTCTTGATGGACATTTTACTCAAATCGGGATCTGCCAACACCGTCACCTCTGACTCAGCTATTGACTTGGTAAATTCCAATTGCTTCTCCTCCTTTTTCAAAAGATCAGATATATCTGTTTCGCTACTCTTCTTTAGTACCTCTTCTTTCTCGTTACCAGTGGGCGTGTTTGTATCATCGGCTGCTGCTGCTGCTGCTGTTGTTGATGTCGATTTCTTTTCTGGCTGGTAGCCAGGCGGTGGCAATCGAAATAGGAATGCTTGAATCATGAATACAAAAAAGAAGAAACTACCATATACTATGAATGTATTGATTAGTCCGACTTTGTTGAGTAACGGTAGTGTTACTTGTGAGAATGAAATAACTCCAGCACTAACTCCACACACGGCAAAACCAGAGGCCAAACCTTTGTGGTCAGGAAACCACTTTTGTAATGCCGAGACCGGTGCGAGATACAAGAATGCATGTCCTATGCCACAGAACAAACCGTATCCAATATAGATGATTGAAATCTGTTTGGTATGTGCACCAAGTGCCATAACGAATTGTCCAAGACTAAATAGTATTCCACCCACCAAAATACCTTTTCTTGGTCCATTTCTTTCCAACCATGGTCCAACATATAGATATGTTAAACTATTTATGCACGCTATAGGAAAATTATTAATTACACGAAAACCATTTCATTTTTAAACAAGTTGATTAAAAAATAGCTTACTCTCTAAATAATAGGCAATAGGTGCTCTTCCTTTGGTTGGATCATCAAAAATATGTTTGTCTATTGGTTTATTGAAAATCGACCAAATCGAACTAAATCCCAAGCAAAACTGAAGAAAGAATGCACTTGCAAACAGAATCCATCTGTTAAAAGGTATATTGAAGATTAAATACTTTTCATCTTCTATTTGTTTCTCTGATTTCGGAGATGATTTATCTCTATAATGATATTTCACTAACTTGAAAAGCCATGAATCTATAAAAATAAAAAAAAAAACAATTAATTTTTTTCAGACATTTACCCGCCCTTTTTCTTTAAATTTGATCTTACTTTTCATATTAAATCTAAAATTTATTTTTTAAAAAGATATTATTTTTAATATAAATTTTATTCTTTGAAAAAGGGAGTTTGTATTTTATAAATATAAGAATTTAATTGTATTTATATTTATATCCATTTTTAAATATTTTTTTTTCTTATTTTTTTAATTTTCTTTAAATTTTTTAATATAATTTATACTATGTTATCAATAAAGATTATCTATATTAAAATCGATGGATTGATTTGAGAATGCAGAAATTACAAAGTAAAACAATAATATTATTAACCAATTGAAAATGTTTAGCAACCCCACTCTATTTTTTACAGTGTTGGTTTTGTCAATTATTCTTAATAATACAATTAAAAAACAGTGAGTGTACAATTTTTTTTATCCAATAAATTGTTGATTTCTACTTTGCTTTCTAAAAATAAATATTTTGATTAGTGATTGAATAGTTATAATTAATAGATTCATAAAGAAAGTTGTATTTAATATTAATTGGATTTTTTTCACCAATCTAAACTAAGAATGAACAAACATTAATATCCGACAGATTTTATTAATTAATAATTAGTCACCTAATTTTTGATACTACTCATTGAGATTCTATTATTGTTGGTGTTACAATTGATACGTTTAAAGTTTCATTATGTTGAATGAAATAGTTATTCCATTCCTCATTTTCTTTTTCTTTGCTGACGATTTCAATTGGATTTCTTTTTCTCTTGATAACTCGTATGATTCTACCAAACAATCTTTTTTTTAAAATTTGTTTGGGTACCGCCGGATACTTTCTATCTCTGACTGTCACCGGAATTAAAAATGATACAACCAATCCAAACGCAACAATTGCTGATAACCAATATAAATTGGTATTGTAGAGGATTGGATCACTAATTGAATGACCTTTGTCTCTAAGTGAATCGTAGATACCTGTAAACACAAAACCACCTATGAGTCCAGATAGATTCCATGTTGCCATACAGACTCCATGTGTAGGAGCAATGTTTTTGTTTCGAAAGATTTCACTTAGGAAAGCTGGCAATGTACCAAAACCGCCACCGTAAGAAATTGAGTATATCCATGTAAAGGCAATAAAACCATTGTAGTTTCCATTATTAATAAAATGAGTCATAGTTAAAAAGCACACTAGAGAGAGTGACAGCAGTAAATTGAATGTTCTTTTTCTTCCTATCCTTTCAGAGAGAAAGCCAATAAAGCATCTTCCAAAAAGATTGAATGCAGCGTTGATAGTAACAACCATCGTTGCTGTTTTCGGATTTTTTCCATAGATGTCTTGCACCATATTAGAAAGATGAGAATTAAAGATATGTTCTGACATTTCATTGGCAACGAAGATAATTAGAATCATTCTAAACTCATTGCTAAACAATGCTTGGAAAAAGGATACATTCGATGGATTCGGTTCTTTTAGTACTATTTCTTCATTTTGCAAAGTTTCACTTTTAACAGTCTTAAGTTCAGATCCACTACTCTTAATATCGATCGAATCGATCACTTCAGGTGCTTTTTCTTTGTCACAAGGCGGAGGAAGTCTATATACCAATGATAGAGCCAGCAGAACACCTCTAAAGACACTACCGAGGACAATGAATGTATATATAAGTCCAAAAGCATGGACCATTGGTAGAACGGCTTGTGCAATTAAAATGTTACCTGCACTCACGCTGCAAACAGCAACTCCTGATGCCAGACCTCTATTGTCTGGGAACCACTTTATAAGTGTGGAAATAGGTGATAAATATATAATAGCATTGCCAACAGCAGAAAAAAAACTATAACCAAAGTATAAAATGAGTATCTGCTTTGTATTCACAGCAATAGCGGCCAAGTAATGACCAATAGCTAAACAGATTCCACCAACTATTATACCTTTAGTTGGTCCGTTTCTCTCTAAAAAAGGACCAGCTAAAAGAAAGAAAATAGCATCCATCCCCTCTAAAAAAATAAAATAAAAAGAATTATTAATGGTTAAAAAGTAGTACAATAAACAAATTATACTTTACGTTGTATTGAATATACATTTGGTACTCTTCCTTTGTTTTGGTCACCATAGATATAGGAATCAATAGGTTTATTGAAAACAGACCAACTATTAATTGAACCCAAAGAACTTTGTACCAAGAATGCACAAGGAAAGAGAATCCATCTATTAAAAGGTATATTGAAAATCAAAAACTTATCATTTTCTATTTGTTTTTCTGATCTTTGATATGGTTGATCTCTATAATAATGAGTAATTTTTTTCAACCAATTTTTGATCTCTTGGTAACAAATTAACAAAATTGTTTTTTATCCCATTTAAATTTATATCCATACTTCATTCTTTTTTTTTTATAAACTTACCTAGTAAGGTACTAAATGATTTAATATAATTAATATTCTAAACTTATACTAAATAAATACATTTTTCATATTTCAAGAAGAACAAAAATTTAATTAATATTTAAAATTATATTTAGATTGTTTAAACAAATGAATTTTGTTTTTCTACGTAAAAAAACAATAAAATGAACCCAACCAAGATTTAATTCCATAATCATTTGTAATAGTGAGATTCAGATTTATTTATTATTTTTTAATAAAAAGTTGTACCATTCCTCTTTTTCTTTTGTTTTTGAAAGTAATTCAAAAGGGTTTCCTCTTCTCTTTATTAAACGAAAAACTCTCCCAAATAGTCTTGTCTGAAAGATTTGATTTGGAGCAGCTGGATAATTTCTATCTCTAGTATCTGGCGTAAAGAAACACAATATCCAACCTACAAAAGCTAATGAAAAAAGCCAATAGATATTATAGCTATAGAGAATTGGATCATTGAAAGGATGGGATTTTTTAAGTGAATCATATACCGCAGTAAATATGAATCCACATAAAACACCGGAAATGCTCCACGCTGCGCTAACAATAGCCAATAAAGTATTTAAGTTTTCTATTCCAAATTTTTCTGTAAGATATCCAGCAACTATTCCTTGTGATCCACCAAAATTAACGGCATACAAGAAACTTATAGTACAAAATACTGGTAAATTATTATACTGAATAGCAGCGACCATGCCAATCAGGGTTGAAATTGTAAAACTCTGAATTATAATGAATGTCGATTTCCCTCCAATTTTTCCAGAAGTAACTCCATAGATAACTCTACCGAAAACATTGCAGGTAGCACATATTGATAGAAATATAGATCCCACTTTCGAGGTTTGATTGAAAATGTCTTGTATCAAATTAGTTAATCTAGAATTGATAGTATTACCTGTCAGTCCATTTAAAACAAAAGTTATCAAAATGAAGAAAAAACTTGAACTTAACAAGCTTTCATATAATGTCATTCTGTTGGGAGTTGGTTCAGCTACCTCTTTTTGTTGGGAATTATCGATTGGTAACTGATTCATTTCTATTCCTAATGATAGACTTGCTTTATATTCGGGTGGAGGTAGTCTGAATATCCATGACAAACCAAAAGAAATGCCAATATATAGCGAGCCAAAAGTAAGAAAAGAATTTACAATACCAATTCTATCAAATAAAGGAAGAGTGGTTAAGGAGAAAATAATAGTTCCAGAGGTCGTTCCACAAACCGATAATCCAGATGCGAGACCTCTGTGATCGGGGAACCATTTTTGAAGGGCACATATTGGTATTAAAAATAGAATAGCATGACCAATACCACCAAAAACTCCGTATCCAAGATAGACAACAACAATTTGTTTTGTATATAATCCAACTGCAGTACAAAATTGAGCTAAACCATAGAAAAAGCCTCCTATTAGTAAACCTATTTTGATATCATTTCTCTCCAGCCATGGACTAACGATAAGTAAAGTTAAACAATCAAAAGTCACTATAATATTGTTATTATTAATTTTGCAGAAATTTCAATTTTTAGAAATAAGTTAATTTATCTTACTTGCAATATAGTTTGTTATTGGAGCTCTTCCTTTTGTTGGATCTCCATAGATGTGTTTATCTATTGGCTTGTTCAGGATAGACCATCCCTGTAAACTACCAATACATAAATGAATTAAGAATGCACAGGGAAAAAGAATCCATCTATTGAAAGGGATATTGAAAATCAATATCTTCTCTCTTTCAATAGTATTCTCTGATCTTTGAAATGAACCTCCTCTAAAGTGATTCTTAACAATACTGATAAACCAATTCTCTAATTTATTTAATTTTTGTTAATAAATAATAACTAACTAAATAGCTATTAATAGCTAAATATACCTTTCATTCTTGTTTTTTTCAAATGAACTTGCGTGTTTACTTTGTATTTCTAAATATACCAAAACATTTTAATTTAATAGTTATTTTAATTAATATTGATAAACTACATTAATATATTTAAATAAATCTATAACCTTTGTCTAAATAGAAAAGGTTAGAGATAATTAACTTACAATTATTTTTGTATTATTGGAAGTGGGTGATCCAATCAGCTAAAAAATAAAATAAAATAAAATCTAAACAGTCATGAATATGAGTATTTATTTTGTTGTTGTTGTTTCCAAGAGAGATTCATTGTATTGAATTACAAAATTATTCCACTCCTCGTTTTCTTGTTCTTTCGATAGCAGCTCGAATGGCTTACTTTTACGCTTTACTATACGGAATATTCTACCAAACAGACGTGTCTGAAGCAGTTGGTTTGGCACCTTTGGGAACCTTCTATCTCTAACTGTCACTGGAATGAAGAAAGTTACAATCCAGCTATTAATGACAACCGCTGCCAACCAATAGAAATTGGTATTGTAAAGAATTGGATCACTGACAGAATAACCTTTCGCTCTGAGAGAATCGTAGATCGCTGTGAAGATGAATCCACCGACAACACCGGAAATGTTCCAACCGGTGAGAATGACACCGTGACAGGGACTGATATTCTTGCTACCGAACTGATCCGATAGGAATGCAGGGATCGTACCAAAGCCGGCACCGTACACAAAAGTATAGGTCCACACCAGAGCCACGAAACCCGAAAAGATCTTCTCAGTGATAATTCTGGTTATGGTGAAAAATACTAGAATCATCATTGTCAAGATGAAAATGAACGATTGTTTTCTACCGATTTTCTCAGAGATTATACCAAAAGACAAACGACCAACCAGATTGAAAGCACCATTAATCGTTACCACAGTTGCCGCCGTCTCTGCACTCTTTCCAAAGATATCTTGCACGAAATTCGAAAGTCGAGAACTAAAGATATGACTTGCAATACCATTCGCCAAAAACATAACAAACATCAAACGGAATTCATAACTCGTTAGTGATTCGATAATTGTCAAATCTCCAATAACAGGTTCAACCAATTTCGGCTCTGTTGTTTCTTTTTCTGTGTCATTATTATTGTTATCGTTTTGGGGAGTTGGTATAACAGCTTCCTCCGGATCGGAAACTGGTGAGGCTACAACCTCAGCAGCGGCTTTATTATTTTTTGTTGGCGGTTTGTATCCGGGTGGTGGAAATCTAAAGAACAGTGCGAGAATAGTCAGCGCGCCAAAGAAAGTGCAACCAAGTACAACAAAAGTATAGACTAGACCGATGTGTTTGGTCATTGGCAGTATGGCCTGGGAGAATGACATAGTTCCAGCACTCAATCCACAGACCGCGAAACCAGATGCCAGACCTCTGTAATCGGGGAACCATTTCTGAAGTGAAGACACCGGTGGCAAATAGCACAGTGCAAAACCGAAACCAACACAGATTCCATATCCCACGTATACCACTGCAATCTGTTTGGTATGGACCCCGATCGCAGCAAACAAATGACCTGCACCAAATAAAGCTCCTCCAATCATTATACAGTTTTTCGGTCCGTTTCTCTCGATCCATGGTCCACTCAATAACAAACCAGCTGAATTAATAATCACTATAATAATTAAAATAATTTATAATTTAAAAAGAAAGAATTTGTTATTTATATTATTATTATTATTACTATTATTGAAAGTTAAACATACTTGTTAAATAAAAAGTAATTGGAGCTCTTCCTCTTAGTGGATCATTATAGATATATGAATCGATTGGTTTATTAAAGATTGACCAACTAAAAAATATACCTATACAACATTGCACTAAGAATGTACATGGAAATAGTACCCATCTATTAAAAGGTATATTAAATATGAGATACTTTTCTCTTTCTAATAGTTTATCTGATCTTTCATATGATTGCTCTCTATAATGGTGTTTAAGTAACCGAATAAAAATATTATCTTTTTTTTGATCTTCACATGATTATGTCAAAAAAAAACAATTTTAATTTTTTTTGAATTAAAAATTTTTTGTTCTTCTTAGATAGATATTTTTAATAAAAAATTTGTATTACTACTTACCTAACATTTATTTTATTATTTAAATCCTATGACCAAGAATAGAATGCAATTATCCAATTACCATTTAATATGGAAATAAACATAATTTATAAATTAATTAATTAACATATTTTATCATTTTTTTTATTGTGTCTGAAACAAATTTGTATGATTGATATTTGTTGGAATCGGATCATCTAACCTTTAATATGATCAATACATTGATCAAACGAATAACACAATTTAATAGAGCGACAAGCTAAACAATACACACTCACCACACACACACACAAAATATATACCCTGATGATTTTAAACTATTTATAGTAAAAACATATAAATATTTGCTTAATTAAATATTTTTGAAAAGATACAGTTATATTTATTTGTAAATAATTATTGATTCAAAAATAATTTAATTTATTATGATTAATTTAAATGAATTGGGATGTGAATAATAATAATTTTTGGATTAATAAATTAATGTAGTGTAAGTGGTTGGCTGTAAAGCGCGTTTAGAGAGCGTTGACACATTGAGCATGACCAGCAACAACGACGCATGATTGACCAGATGGACATGGGACGATACCGCAGTTACCGTAGGTGAAACAACCTGGGGAACATGGAACAATACCGCAGTTACCAGTGACGAAGGCACATGCTTGATCGGCGGAACAGGTTGGGCAGACAGTTGGAGCAACACATTGAGCTTGACCGGCAATGACCAAACATGATTGACCAGATGGACATGGAACGATACCACAGTTACCGTAGGTGTAACAGGTTGGGGTGGCATTGATGGTTCCGTAACAGGCTTGGTTGGCTGGGCAACCAGTGGTGGCACAGGTAGAGGCAGATGCAACAGCAATGCAGATAGCGAGTAAAGCGACGATCTTCAACATTTTAGAATTGATATTTAGTATAATTGGATAATTAAAAAATTAATTTAATTGGTATTGTATGTATTTATTTATTGTTATAAATATAAGTATTTGATTTGTTTGGAATGAATTTTGTAATGTTTAAACTTGTCCAATTTATAGTAATTTAGAAACCTTTTTGACAATATTATTATTTATTAATTTAATTTTGTTTTTTAATATAGTTTTTGTTTATTTAAGTTTTTAAAGTGGTAAACAATCATGGTAATATGTAGCAGGGGTATAAAACATAGCTATAAAACTCAAAACTAGTAATAAAACAGTTTGCAAGTTAAAAATCAACTACACTCTAGTTATTCTGTATCTATATAACCTTATATTTCTCAGAATACTGTATCTTTCTTGTTCATATTTTCTGTTTTGAACACCAAAGAGAATGGGGTAAATATGAGTATGAGTATGTAGAAACTGGGTATCTTTGCAATCAGATTACTCATCACACTAGTGCCCAATCAAATATCGGTAATTGAAATGTGTTATTTAGTCTTGAGTTTTTACATTTTTTTATCACCTCTATGATTTTTCATCTGATTGAAAATGTTGATTTTTTTGTTTTGTAATTTTAACAAGAAATTTAGCTCCCCGATTTTTAAATGAAATTGAATGAATTCCTTTCATTGGTTGATTGAAGCCCGCTTTTGTGGATTTAAAAAATCATTTTGACCCAAACCTATTAATAACAAAGTAAAAGAGTGAATTTTGATGTTTTTTCATTTGGAGTCAACAACTTTGAACTTGCAGACCACACCTGCAAATTGCCCAATCATTATCAAAGGCTAATTACTATTGAACAATTATGTAATCAAAATAACAATAACAAGGTACACCTATCTAAACGAATTAATTAATAGATTAGATTTTCGTTTGAACAACAATAACAATGTTGCTAACACAATGTATTTATTTTATTGAGAACATCAAAATTCAAATTTGGACATAATTAAACCAACTTGACCACACTTCTTGTTTGTTTTGAACATGATTAGGACTTCAAATAAAGCAAATTTTAAACACTACACAAATAATTGTATGTTAGTTGTACAGTCAATGAGTTAATAACTTGTTTCGATAGATTTCCCAAAAAAAAAAAACTATTTTTTTATTAAACTCACTCCACTTAACCTTTAAAATTAAATAGGCATTCATAGATATTTCCAAACTAACTAACTTCTACTTCCATTTTCGATGACAACATAGTTTGTTTGTTTCCTTGAAGATTTAAGCCATGATTGGTTTCTAAAGAACATTTATTGTCATGGAAATTTATTCTAAAAGAAAAACTATAATCAGTGGTTATAAGAAATAATCTCTCGGAATGAATTCCCAAACAAAAGGTGTGGTGTGTGTTCACTCTCTGAGATGATTATAACCCACGTCAAAAAATAAAGATATTTTTATCGACTTTATGGTGACTTTTCGTTTAATGCGAAGGTTACAAACTATTTTTTTTTTTTTTTTTATTAAAATTAGATCAGAATAAAATCGACCTAATGATTGACCAACACATGACGATAATTTATTTGTTATTTTTTTTGTTTATTATTTATTATTCTATTTATTTGAGTGAATTGAATCGATAGTTGAGACACACTAATGAGGAGGTAGATGGTATCCACTTTCTACTGCTAACTAATCTATATATTTATCAGCAGTATATCATGAGGAAATGCATGCATTTAGTTTCATTCACTCTAATTATACTGTATGTTAAGTTGATGTGCGTAATGTTTTGGATCGGGTGTTGTTCGAAAAGGTAGTGGAATTACACTTTGAAATAGGTGCTATGATTTTGTGTTGGATTCAACACACCCTATTAGTATTGCACCTTTTAACAACGTAACGTATCGTGAACCATGAACTACATTTATACATCGATGATAACTAAGGATGGTGTATAATGAAATAAATAAAACTTAGACAATCTCAAGGCCATTGAAAATAAGGAATCAATTGTGTCCAGGATCATTACAACTAAAGTATTATTAGGTGAAATCTACAGCCTTTCTTCTTTGGACTTCGTCAATTGAAAATTTTTTAAAAACGGTGATTACTCGCTCTTTCGAATTCATGCGTATGTATTCCACATCACATATCTAGATATAAATATATTTATTTATTACTTTCACTTATATAGACATTCGACAGAAAGTAATAAAGATTAATCATCGTTATTAGATCCCAAAAAATGGAGTATTGGTGAGACAGAGGCATGGTTAGAAGCCTTCTAGGCGAACTACAAAGTTGGCACCGCATTTGACTTTAGCACTTATCACCAAAGGCTCACAACTTGTCATCCTCGAGAGGTGATTAAATCTATCATTCACCTATGGTTTTGACTTGTATCGTGATATGCAAGATCGCATCAAACAACATCACGATAAAGGTATGTAAAATAATAACAAACAACAACATCATCATCATTTCTCTGTTAAAACTATTACTATAACCCTAGAATCATCATTCTTCAAAGGATCGATCCTATTGATCGTATTTAATCACCTCTATAGATAATAATAATTTCAACTTTGAAAATGAACTTTATTTATCTATTAATACACATGATTAATTTGTTATTTTTATTAATTCTATATTTTATTTATTATTCTATTTATTTGAGTAAATTGAATCCATAGTAGAGACACGCTACTGAGGAGGCAAAGAGGGTGATAAATGTGAATACAGTTCCCAATACTCTGGTCGTTCCTACAAAGTTACGGTTTGTAATTCCAGAGATATGAATGACTCTGCTGAATGTGAATGCACCGAGTAGAACCTTTAGACTGAATTTGTCGGCACCTTGGAGCTCCAAGAGTGCTGCTAGAATCAACTGGATTGGTACGTATTCAATAAAGTTGGCGTGTGCTCTGACTGCTCCAAGCAATTTATTGTACTTTCTGACATCGACCTCGTCTCCATCCTTCTTTTTGGCAATCTCCTTGATGAGGTTGTGACTACCATCACCGATCGAGATTTGAAGTCCTCTTCTGTACTTTACGACATTCAATGCCAAACCAGTGTAGATAACACCCAAAGCACCTGCAAAAATAGTAGTAATTGGAATACTGATATTCATTTTTTTCAACAAAAAAGTTTAGACGAACTAATAAATATAATTTACAATAAATATTTTACAATACAATAATTTAAATAATACAAGTTAAAATATATATTTTATACCAATAAAAATCAATCAAAAGAAATCGAGTGATCAAAAATTAATTAAGACACCATGATGATTTTTTTTTAAGATTTTTTGCTAAAAACAACAACCTAATAAGGTGATAGAACACGCCAAAAATATTTCATCATCATGTTCACATTTGCGTCATTGTATAAAAATAATCTTTTTTCTGGTGAGTCAGAGAAGATATAAGATATATGTAACAAGCGTATCGAATAATAAGATTAAATTTATTTTCTGAAGGCAGGGTAGGAAACATAGATGTTGGCAATTGCAGAGATTAAAATAGTTCCAAAGGTCTATAGAAATAAGTGAGATTGTGATTCGAGAAACAATACAAAGTTAGTTTATTAGTTTTAAATAGAAATATGATACATACAGTAAAAGTACCGATTGGTCTTCCAGCACCAAGGAAATTGGATTTGGTAATTCCGGTTGTGTGTAATAATCTGCTCAAAGTGAATACACTAAGTAGAACCTTGAGCTTGAGCTTATCGACACCTTGGAGCTCCAAGAGTGCAGCTAGGATCAATTGAATTGGTACGTATTCAATAAAGTTGGCATGTGCTCTGACTGCAGACATAAGTTTGTTGAACTTTTTGAAATCGACAGTGGTTCCTTCCTTTTTGTGGGCAACCTCTCTGAGAAGCTCCAATGAACCGTCTCCAATCAACACACGACTGCCAAATCTAACCTTGACGACATTCAAGTTAAGTGCGGTATATACAACACCAAGAATACCTGCAAAAGTAGCTGTAACTGGAATACTGATAGTTGACATTTCTTAGAGTATAAATAAACTTATTTTAAATTTCTAGAAAAAATTGATTAATTGATTGATTGTTAAAGAACTAGATTGTTAATTTAATATAAAGCTGTTTGTGAAGGTGTTGTTTGGAATAAGTATGGGCTGATCATTATGATAAAAAAAAAATGTAAAAAAAAAACAATTTAATTTAATTTTTAATTTGGTTTTATTAAAAGTATCTTGAGACCCACCCACTGACGTGGTTCCATGATTTAATCAAACTAAAAACAGTTGTTAAACACAATATTTATTGTTTAGAACATATTAGGGGATATGCAATACAAATATTTGCTAAAGAAGAAATAACAAGTGTTCCAATAGTACTAAATAGTTTATAAAAAAATAGAAAAGTAAAATATTGTTGATATTAATAAATATATAGTAGTGTGATGACTTAAATAGATATAATAGGTATTTACCTTAAAGTACCGATTGGTCTTCCAATTCCTTTTGCATCGGATTTCATTATTCCCAGTGGATGAGCAATTCTACCGATTGTGAAGACACAGAGTAATAGTTTGAGTTTAAACTTGTCGACACCTTGGATTTCAAGAATGGCAGCCAATATCAATTGAATTGGTACGTATTCAATAAAGTTGGAGTGAGCTCTGATTGCTGCTAGAAGCTTTGCGTATTTTCTTGTGTCAATAGATGACCCTTCTTTCTTGTTGGCGATCTCCTTTAGCAGTTCGTTTGTACCGTCACCAATTAGAATGCGATATTGAATTCTATATTTTATGACATAAATAAGTAGAGCAGTATATACAAGACCAAGAATTCCTGCAAAGGTTGCTGTAACAGGTAGATTTATAAAAGTAGACTATTTTTTTTAATTACTATTATAAAATAACTAAAAAAATAGAATAATATATAAGTTTTATAGAAATAAATAAAAATAAAACAAGTGTACAAATAATATGTTTTGTTTTAAAAGTTAATTATAAGTTAATGGTTAATTTAAAATATCATATTAATAGTTGGTTTGTTCAAATATTCGTAAAGATTGATATCACTAATGATCATCTTCATTAAAGTATTCAGTATTATTAAATTTTAATTAATTAATGTAAATATGTGTTTGTGTTTATCTATTTTATTCCAAATATATCTTGTGTGATGTTTTTAATTAAGATTTGATTTAAAAAAATATGTGTTTTTTTAAAAGTGTTCTGATTTTTTTTTTTGTTCCACCCTTATATTTTGACATTCTGACGGATAGAATCTTCTTTGTAAAAGTATTCACACAAATATATTATTTTTTTAGTTAATGATTCTGTCAGTTGTTGTTAGATAGTTAGTGGGGTTTTTGTATTTATATTTATCTTTATTTATATATCTTATTTATATATCTGTTGTATTTATTGTATTAGTAGTAATATTAAAGTTTTAAAACGTTGTTGTTCAAAGTAAGAAGAAAAGTAGATAAAAACATTTCGAAAAAGGAAAAAAGATGAAAATAACCATTATTGTTTTGTTGGTGTTGATCGGTGTTGTGCTGGCACAATCGAATGATCTGTTTGTTAATTTTCAACCGAGAACCGATTCCGGTTGTCAGGGTGACGTAGCCGGTGTCGGCTATGCTACGTCGATCAACGAGTGTCTCGAGCTGCCCAGTGAGTCGTACTACTTTATTGTGACGGCGTTGCGTGCCGGCTGGAAGATCTACGACGACTCGACCAAGTGCTCCGGTAACTGGACGGACGACTCCTACAAGAACGGCACCTGCATCGAGAATCTACAGTTCATTCAGGCGGTAGATCCAACTCCCTATGCCACCATGTTCATCTCGCAGGCACCGATCACACAGATCGACAACGCCGCCATCATGGCAATGTATTCCGACGCCAGCTGCGAGTTGGACGCACTCGTTGCCTATTCCTACGCAACCAACGGTACCGAAGTGACATCGGACGACTCCACCTCAGTCGCCATCATATGCCAGGGTGATCAGCCAACTTCCGTTGCCTGCGAGAAAGGATGCAGTGGAACCGATTGCTGCAAAACCTACGACCTTTCTACCAGTTGTAAAAAGAGTGACAAATATTACATTAAAACAACATGTTATTCACTTTGAGTCAAAAATAGATTAAAAATAAAAAAAGTCAATATGTAAATTTAAAAAAAAAAAAAAAAAGCAATACCCCACAACCACCACGTGTTGATCATGACCATATGTTTTGATTGATCAATAATTACTTTTATTATTATTTTATTATCACTATATAATATATAAATAAAATATTAAAAGATAATTACTTTTATTATTTTCTTATCATTATTTATAAATAAAATATTAAAAGATGCAAGTTAATGAATTTGGATTCAGTGAATCTATAAATATAGATGATGGAAATAATAGTAATGCGAATACTTCATTTCTAAAGAGTACAGCAAAATTACCACATCCTATAGCAACACTATTTCATATTTTGTTTAAAGTTCTCAGTATAATGTCGTATCTATTTCCATACTTGTTTGGCAATGGTTTCATTATTAGTTTTATATTGTGTACACTACTATTAAGTTTTGATTTTTGGGCAGTAAAGAATGTTACAGGTAGATTGCTCGTAGGATTGCGTTGGTGGAATGAAGTAAGAGAGGATGGCACCAATGAATGGTATTTCGAACAAGCACCATCTGTAATATATCAATACAAACAATTACAATTTAGAATGAATGCTTCCACTTACTTACTTTGTTTATATATTTTTAGGAAGTAAAGTACAACTCTACGGAATCAATGATATTTTGGTTATCACTTTATTTTACACCTGTATTATGGCTTTTGTTTTTCCTATCCAGTTTAATCTCTTTGAATTTCAATTGGTTGATAAGTATGTCTTTGTTTTAATATTTCGATTCATTTATTTTTAATTAACAAACAACAACAACAACAACAACTATAGTTACGATTATTGCAATGTCATTAGGTTTAACTAATCTCTATGGATATATAAAATGTGCAAGAGGAAATAACAGTCCGACAGCTAGCTCACTTGCAACATCATACATTGGACAAGCAATTCTATCACGTGCCAATTCTTATATTTAAATATATAAGTTTTAGTTATATAAACATTTAGAAAAAGAAAAAGAATAACAAACAAACAAACAACATTCAAGAGCACAACCAAAAATAATAATAATAATAATATCGCGAACAAATAGCTAACAACAAAAAACAAAAATAACCTAGTTAATGCAATGCAATAATATCAATGTTAATAATAGAAAGGAGGAGGGATGATGATCAAGTAGTTTACGAATAGTAATGTTAAATATTAAAGATGAAACTTGATTCCGAGTGTAAATTAAATTATAGAGTAATGTAAATATACATCATAAAAAGAGATCTCTAAATGAGATTCAAGTCATTCATCAGTTCTCCAACCAAATGTAAAAGCTACCCACTCTGCCATTATTCATATACACTCATCATTGTCAAACATTGTCAATCAAACATCATCATCATCATCATCAACTCTTTACATTCATCCTTTACACTTTTTCACAACTTTCGAAAACTAAACAATTGAATTAGATAATTCAGATTGTGGATAAGACATAGATTACAATAAAATACAGATTTAGGAGCTTCTTTATTATTTGTTTTTCATCAAAAAAGAAAGAAAGCATGAATGAATGAAAGCGATATAGTTAGATAGATACCTTCAATTCATTTCATTATTATATTTTATGATCATTTTTGTTTTTAATTCTACTTTTTTGTGTTAAATGAAGAGTTTAAATGCAAAAGAAATAGGGAAACTGTAACCCACATTGCACATCACTCAAGTGCATCATCATCATTATCATTATCAGTCGGTAGACAGATCTTGTACAAGAAAGGAAATATACAAACCAAAGAAAATAGTACAACAAGAAGTGTTTAATAGTTTTGGTTTGTTGTTGTTGTTGTTGTTATTGTTGTTGTTGTTTTATTTTAATTTTATTAAAGTCGAAGAATTCAATCATGGGTAATAGTATGATTATCATTAGGATTTTATAATAGATCCATCCTGAAAATCATAATGATTGTTAACAACATTTATTGACAACATCATGTTGTATTATAAAACGAAACAAATCAAATACATCATCTCATCTACTTAATGTTAATCACCATTCATTCTTATAAGCAAGAGAACAACAACAACAACAACACACATTTTAATATATTGTTTATGACAATTAAGCAAGATCATGTCGTTTAGAAACTATAGAGTTGGGAATAGGTGAGTGGTGTTGTTAACAGAAGAGACGAGATCTAGTCTGTGGTGTTTGTTTGTTGTTTGGTTTTTTAATTAAAAATTAAATTAAAATGGTTGTGGGTTGTGGGTTGTTTAAGTGATAAGTGTGTTGTCACATAGATTTATATTAATATGATTTAATAAAACACCATCAACAACCACTACTTATTTGTGTATTATAATTTTAAATTTGGTTATGGTTAGTCCATGACCTACCACTCACCATCAGTGATACTCCACTTTAAATGATCAATTAAAACTGATCAAAAAAAACAACCAACAAGTTCAAAAACATTCACACATTTCACTCACACACACACACATCAGAAAGAAACACAATCAACACTAAATAAAAATAAACAAAACAAATAAACAGAACAAGAACAAGAACATAAGAAACAAAAACTAAAAAAACTTATCTTTAAATTTGATAAATCGGTGTTACTCAATTCTACAAAATGCAGATTCACCAAGTGTAGTAATTTTCTTTTGATTGATTGATTTGTGTCAAAACGGGGTTACCATTTTGGTACTCTCGTATTGTCAGTGTGGGGACGGTAAATGTCAAACCAAATCTCTAGACATGCCAAGCGTTAAATAAGATACCATTTTCACAGATTAAATTGTCAAAACACACAGTAAGAATTAAACAACACGATAACAACCACTATCACTTCAACCACAACCACAACCATTCATTCATCAATCTACCCCAAGTGTAATTTCTACTTTTACTATTAAAACTAAAATCAAACCAATCGATCACCATATATATATAGAACAGAATTGAATGAATTCAACTTTTCCATTTCACATTAGAAAAAATAAAAATATACATATATCTATCTCTATTCTCTAATAATCAACAACAAGCAATAGGCAAGCAATCGATAGTAATAGCTGATTGTTATTATACTACTTTGTTTGGTGTTTATTTTAAATTATAATTTTATTACTTTTATTCAAAAAGATATTTATTTCACTCAATCTTTTTTTTTTCTTTGACACCTAACTGACTTTGATTCTACATTGTTTCTGTTGTTAGGAAGACGTACGGACGGTCCAGACAAACAGACAAACCTACCCCACAAAAGAAAATCAAGAAAAAGAGTATTTGTTGATCAACATTTAAAGTAAGTTTTATTTGGAAACATAGATATATCAGAGTGTTGTTGTTGTTGTTTGAAATGGATTGTGTTCCAAGCCAAGCGAACAGTAAATCAACAAATCAATCACCCACACTGCCAGACTAATAAATCATAAAACACCCATTTTTGATATCATCCAACATCCGCCATTGATCGATTAATAATGACAATAAATCATCAACAGGCAGATAAGGAAGAAGCAGAAGTGCTACTGAATGTGTCGAGAATTGTTGTTTGCTTGTGAATTCACATATATAAATTGTAGTCACGTCACCGTAAGAACAGGCGAACAACAACAACAACAAACAACCAATTATAAAAATAATTAAAGGTATTGGAGTAGAGGATTTAATAATAATATTAATATAGTAGGAGTAGCAGTCGATGTAGTATTTGAATTTGTTGATTGATTTCATGTTTTCATAAAATCCACTACAACTAAAGTTGTTGATCAAATTTATTTATTTATTGATAAAAAACCATCATCATCATCATTATCATCAATCAATCATTAATTTTAATTTTAATTAAACTGGTTTTAGTAAAAACACTAATAGGAAATTAAAATCATTTCTACTACTATTTCCAACTGACTTTACTTATACTCTAAGTTTATTATTTTATTTAAATTTTGATACACCATCTTCAACATCATCTCATTATAATTGTCAACACAACATTAACAATAACCAAATTGGTAGTTTTTGGTAAAATTTAGTATCATAAAAAAACTAATAATTTTTGTTTTGTAATCCAGAATACAAACTAAAAAAATCATTATATAATAAAATATTATATCTGAAGATAACAATATAAAAATAATATCCACCCAACCAAATAATTTTTAAAATATTTCATCATCAAAATTGTAATGTCTATTATTGATTTAATAAATTTATTTTAAAATAATATTAATATCATTTATTATCTTAATCCAGTCCAATCATTACTTTCCTATCTAAATCAATTGATCAAGGCAATAAAAACTAGGATTTATACTTTTTTTTTTTTTTCCATTTTTATATTTATATTTTATTATTATTATTATTTTTATATTTATAAATATATATAAATTATTTTATTTTTAAAAAAAACACTAAAAAATGTCAACTGAAAACGATTTAGAAGCTTATCCAAATGGTAAATAAAAATAATTTGTGATTGTAAACAAAACAAACAACAATAAATTAATAAATAAATATAATATCTTTTTGTAATTTGTATTATTAGATCCAGAAATAGATTTAGATAATAATTCTGTTACTTTTAGTGCAAAAGACTATCACCATGCGAGCCTATCACCATCGTTGGCCACTGTTAATAGTGGCGCCACCACCGGTGACAACCAACAACATCACCAAACGCTTCAATTTCAACATCCATATCAACCTACCAATAGCAACAATAGTAGGTCAATAAATTCTACGACAATAGCTGACAACAACGAATCATTACATTCATGTCTTCAGAATTCCAATATTTCATCTTCCAACCAAACACCGTACGCCGAATTCTCGACAAAAGCATCGACCGATGAATTTGTACATATGACAGGTAATCCACCTTCAATGTTGGCGCTTTTTGGTCGAATTTTTATGTCCTGGTTGTTTGGTCTCGTTAATATGATTATTCTTATGCTTTTTAATCCACAGTTTCCAATGCATTTCATTTGGGGTGTGCTATCCGTCGGTTGTCTGATGACTGCCATTTTCGCCGTAACATGGGCGTCGCTTCTCTTGAAGTTCCGTATCACTTTTCTCATTATATTTACATCGGCCATCTATTGGTTGGGTACACCAATTACATGGCATATCCTCTATGCAAGCAATCAGTATCCTCCACCCATTGGAGTATTTACTTGTATCTTCCCATTCGAAGGTGTAATGCTTGTGCTTCTTTGTTTCCTGCTGCCACGTGTCGTCAGAAATCAAACCGACAACCGAAAGAAAATTGTCGCAGCATACTCATCGCTGATTGCACCGTATCTAAGTTTCGTAAGTGGATTGGTTTATTTCAGACTCTTCCAGTACTCAACAACCAATGTCGGTAGAATTTTGCTGCCACCAGCTTACACCGTCGTAATGAAGTGTATTCAATTGGGTCTGGATATTATTTGTGTGCGTTGTGCTCACTCTGCTTCGAATTTACTGATTATCATTGGTAGAGTCATCGCTTCATACTACTCATTTGCTGTGCTCAGTTATGTACGTAATCCAGTTGCCATTGTTTCCATTGTTTTCTCAAAGCTAGGATTGCATTTGTTCATGTCGATTTTCATGGTGTTCCCAAAGGTGGAACAAAAAATTACTGCATGGCTGCCAAGAGGATTGCTCGGTTGGAAGAGCAAATTTGAAAAGGGTGTGATGGAAGACCATGAGAATGACGGTGCCACCCAAGTTGTCATTAGAAATGAATTTGACAAGATGATGTTTGAAAGCGATGCCCAGTACTGTAGATTGCATTCCGATGCAACCAATCTTTGGTTCTCAATGTTCTCTGATCTTTTGGCGATCGTTATGATTTCCACGCTGTACACCATGGGTCGTTTCGGTCCAACCAATTATCACTATAATTTGATGTTCCCATTTGGTCCGTTGGGAGACGATACCTCCTCAAAGAATTTCAACACATTCCTCAGTTACCTCGGTATCTGTTTTGGTTGTTTGTGCGTAGCTTATTTCGGAATTTGGGTAGTTCTCCATCTAATCATAAAGAAATTAGAGATGAGAAAAGTAATGCATTTGGTCTCTGTCAATTGGTATCCAATCAACCATTTCTATGTTATGTGTATTAACTGTATGATGGCTTATGTAATTGTAGTCGTAGCACTGATGCCTGATCTATTTTATATACCAGGATTGGATTTATGGAGTTAAATTAATTAATAATCTTCAAAATAACTTTATCTGTTTGATTATTAATTATTTTTCTAATATTTAATAATAAAAATAAAAATGTAAATTTTAAAAAGAGAAATTCTAAATAAATATTAAAAATTAATTTATTTAAAGGATTCTCTGTGTTGATATCATGTATCATGTCATCATTCAAATATATCTTTGATTGGACAATCAATAGTTTATTCTTTGATTCATTTTATTAAAAAAAAAAAGAATTTTTAGTGATAAAAGTTAAATTTTATGAGGTTTGTGTCCTTCTTACAAATCTATTATTCGGATCAATAAGAATTTCTTTTTAAAATTTAACTAAGAGTTTTTTTTTTTTAAAACAATTCTCTTGGTTTAACAAATTTGTGTATTTAAAATTGGAATGATTTGAGGAGTGTTTTAAATAAACAAATGTTGTATAATCAAAAAAAACAATTTTGTCATTTAAATATTGGTTAGACAATATTTAATGTTTTATACTACTTTTAATTAAAGATTCAACTCTATTTAAGAATTCGATTTACAAAATAGAGGAGACTACATGTTTCGAAATCAGAAGTCAATAGTACGATCATTGGTTGGTTGAATGTCCAATGCACCAAAGTTAGTACAGGTGATTGATTCCTCATGAAATATTTAGTATTAGTGATATACCAATTTACTAATACTCATTGAATTTAATTATAACTCTAAAGATTTTAAATATATCATTTTCTTTTTAGAAAGATATTAATTAAAGAAAATTTTTTTATTTTAATCTCTAACTATGATTTAATTTATTATTTTAATAAATTGATAAATATTATAAATTTATTTTTTAATTATTTAAATGATCATCAAAATCCACAAAAAATAATAATTATATTTGTATGTAAGATACTACTATTCATTTTTGAACATCTCAAAATTGATTATTCATTTTTAAAAAGTTATATTGTTAAGGGCTATTAACAAATGTTTATTTTTTTAATCAAAATTAAAGTTGAACATACCAATAAATTATAATATATTCGTTATTGGGTTAATTAAACAAATAAAGGGTGATTAAAATCAAAAAAAATAGTGATTTGATAAAAAAAAATCAAATTTGTGTTTTTTTTTTAACAGATTAATTAAACAAATCAATCTTTTTAATAATATCAATCAAATAATAGACCAAGTTACAGCATCTCTTGACTTACTACAAAGTTATTGCAATTTTAGTTATGTAAAATGTTAAATCAGATAACTAACTGTGTTTGACATCATCAATCATTTATTCACAAAATAATGATAATTATCATGCTTAATTCATATCAAAACAAAACAAAACAAAACCAAAACTCAAACACAAACAATAGATGACATGTGTGAATCAATCATCATTTAAAAAGGTTATTCACTTATTTGGTCTTTAAAAAAAAAAAACCACCATCATCATCATAACACACATATTAAATTACTAGTTGAATAGGATTGTTTAATATTTAGAGTTTGATAACTGGTAACAGTGTTGTTGGTTTGCAATTTAGGTTTATAACAGAGTAGTAGTGGTGGTGGTTTAATCAGTCCGGTTTAATTTAAATGTCCAATGTTTTAAATATGTAGAGGTTTACTTACATTGTCTGTTGGTTTGTTTATTGGCGAGGTACGGTAAGATATTATGGATACCTACCTACTAGACAGTTGAACAAAGATATAGGGTAGAGTGTGTACAGTAAGAGAAAAGAAGAGGGGGGAGGGTTAATGATTAGTTTGGTATACCAATCGTTTTATCAATTCATTTGAACATACTGCATTAGCAAGAAATGAATGAATGACCTACTGAATGGAGTACTGCATGCCCATTTAGTATCTAATCATTATTACTGATAACTACTTAGATAACAGTAATTCTATCTCTCGTCAAGCAAAGGTATTTCAATTTTAAAGTTTCAATTTATGTCATTCTATAACAATATTTAAATTTTAATTACCAAAACCCAATCAATTTGTACTCAATTTATTTCTATAGTTTTCCACATTGGAAATATAATAATGTCAGAAAAATCAATGTCATTGGAGGATATCAAAAAAGCTGGTATGTCGTAATATTACTTTTTACATTCATCATAGCTCTTCATTGGTTGATTTATATGTCGTTCATTACCATTTGCTAATTTCGTTTTCTTCATGTTTAGAGTTGTTGATGCAATATATCGGTCGACTGGAAGATGCGGATCCAGCTACCAACGATCTACAGCTGTATTATGATTTGTTGGAACAACAGAAAACACTGTCGTCACTGCCATCTACAACTACAGAGTTAGTTACAGATGTAGAACAAATTATCGTTTCTACAAACACAGATCAGCTGAATATGCTAGTGTCAGAGAACATCGAAGCTACTTATACATCTAGATATCAAATTGACAACAATTCAACAACATCATCATCATCAAATTCATCTTCTCATTCAGAGGAAAAAACTAAAAACAATAACAATCATAACACTGCAACAACTATAAATGTTGTCGAAGACAATACTAATAATAATAATACTGGAACTACTATTCCAGACAAACAATCTTTATTTGATTACAATCTTCCGACTGAGGATGAAGTAAACGAAATTCCAAATGCATCGTCGCTGAGCGCGAGAATATTTTTTTCATGGCTCTTTGGATTGTGTAATATGATTGTGCTCATGTTGTTCAATCCACTCTATCCGATGCATTTTATATGGGGTGTTCTATGTGTTGGTTGCTGCATGACCGCTATCTTTGCTTTGGCATGGTCCAGTTTGCTCCTAAACTTCAAAGTTACTTTTCTTGTTTTCTTTAGTTCTACGGTCTACTGGATGGGAACTCCAATAACCTGGCACATACTCTATGTAAATGGCTATTTTCCACCGACAGCCGGAATATTCACGATCATCTTCCCATTTGAAGTATTAAATCTAGTTTTGTTAACAATGGTTCTTCCAAAGTCAGTTAGAAAACCCAAGGGAGCTACCAAGAGGATTATAGCAGCTTATTGTTCACTCTGGGCACCATATCTAACGTTTGTCACTGGAGTTCTCTATCTTCGTCTGTTCCAATTCTCCAATGAAGTTGGTCGTATTCTCTTGCCACCAGTCTATACCATATTAATGAAAGCCGTTCATTTCAGTCTCGATATTGTATGCATACGTTGCGCTCAGACTGGATCGAATTTATTTATTATCTTGGGTAGAGTTTTGCACTCCTACTACTCGTTTGTAGTTATCAGTTATGTCAAAGACCCAGTCTCATTGACCTCAATTATTTTCTCAAAGATTGGAGTGTATGTACTGACCGGAATAGCCATGAGGTTTCCGATTATCGAAGAAACCTTTGTTAGCTATCTTCCAAAGAATCTGGTGGAGTGGAAACGAAATTTCGAACGTGGAGTGATTTTGGACGATGACGATAAATCCGCTGGAACCTCAACACCTGTCATTAGAAATGAATTCGATAGGATGTATGCAGAATATGACAACCGATACAGTAGACTCCATTCCGATGCTACCAATCTTTGGTTCTCTATGTTTTGTGACTTAATGGGCATTATCTATGTCTATACCATCTTTATTTTTGGTAGATTCGGACCATCGTTCAGACATTATAATCGAATGTTCCCATTTGGAAGTGATATTGATCCATTATCGCTAGGTAAATTTATGATATTCATGAAATATCTTGCCATAGTATTTGCATCTTTATTAGTTGGATTCATTTTGATATGGATCGCTCTAAAATACACAATCAAATTACTGGATCTGAAAAAGGTATTCTTTTTAATTGCTGTTAATTGGTTTCCGATGCGACATTTCTATGTAATGTCATTTAATTTAATGATGGCGTACGCCATGCTCGTGGTATCTCAAATGCCCGATATTCTTTATATCCCTGGATTTAATTTCTGGGGAGAGGGCACTCAGTAATTGAACGTCAGCATCCAATTCGCTATTTTATTTTGAAATATAGTATCCACAAATTAAACTATTTATTATTTATCATTGTCCAACTACGAATTTTTATTTTCAATTTTATTTTCTATCTCCTCTATCTACCAATCTCATTCAAAAAAGTCTGGTTTAATAAAATCAAATCATTCAATGTTGTCACACTACTCTACCTAATACAAACATACTACCAATTTTTGAGTGAATACAAAATTAAACATTTCAAATGATTTCAACCTTTTTGTTTTCCAACAAAAATAGTATCCACTGATCCAACAACTTCCCACATCGTCTCTACCCTCCCTCATGCATTAATATGTTATATATTAACTGTAATTCTCCTCCCTCATTTACCCAAAACACTCCCACCTCCATATTACATATCTGTTTTTTTATTCTGTTTTCAAACATTCCCAAAAAGAATTTATTATTTTTAAATTAATTGCAATAACATTAACTTATTACTGATTATCAGTTTACTTTAATTTGACATTCAACATTTAACAAATACTCAATTTTGTATTACTTTTGGTTCATGATGAATTATGTATATCAAATGAACTACCGGCTAGCTCTATCCAATCATCAGCTTTAATAAATAGTTACCCCATTTTTTCACCCATGAACAACTACCAACCAACACATCTTCTACTATTTGGTTTTTTTTTTTAATTTAAAATTTCAAAATATTAAATTATTACACAACGATAGTTCAGATGGTGATAATTTAAAAAATGACTAGTATATATAATCATTTATATCTGTTTATGTTAGTTAGAAATTTTTTAAAAATTAATGTATCACATATTTCTCTTTTTAAAAGTGAAAAGATATTCATTAATATGTTCTTTCGTACGTGTTAATTTAAATTTGTATATTTCAAGATGACATGGCATGTCATGTGTTTGTCTAATTGATACTAATATTTTGAATCAATAGGTAGTGAATTAAGAGAATCATATATTATTGCAAAACAAATAATTATATATTAATGAGTAACCACTGAACAGTTATCATAGATAATTTGAACTCAACTTGTTGAGAGTATCATATGCGAAGTGTAGATACATAGAAGGATAGAAAAACCAAGTGTTGTTGTAGACAGAGAGCCAATACAATTTATAATTTTATTTCGTTATTTGGTTATGATATTTGTTTATATCTTATTGGTATTTTTATGATTACTTCTAAAAGGTAGTGCATTCTTTTTAAATCTTGATTGATTTGAACAAAAAACAATATAATCAAATCAAAAACCAAATCTAAATAATCAAATCAGTCCAACTCATTTATTTATAAATAATTTAAAAGTTAATTTTAATTATTTTTATTTATTAAATATTTATCCCCTAATTTTTGTTTTTATATATATTTGTATTTCTATACTTTTTTATTTTCTAAATGGAAAATCCAACAGGTATGGAATATTAATTTTAATTAAAAAATATAACCTGAATTAAATAATAATTAATTTTAAATTGCAATTTTTTAAACTTATAATTTTTTCATAGAAAGAAATAGTTTAACTATAGGGTCTTTAAATATAAACGATAAAAATATAAGCCATTCCTCTTTGGAAGAAATAGTATCTATTAAAAGTAATAGTATAAATAATCATTTCATTAAAGAACATAATACTTCTCTTGAAAAGATTTTCATAAACAACAATATCGAACCGAACCTTGATGCCGAGATACATAAACAATTAGATGGCGCCGATGATAGATCCATAAATTCCAATGCTATTGATGACAACATCAGTGTTTCCGGTTTGACTAAAGAAAATGAAAAGAAAAAGAAAGAAATCGTATATAGTGTAGATTATGTCGAAACTAACCCGCCTGCAGTCCATTCAGTCTTAATTCGATGTATAGTATCATGGATTTTTGGTTTGGTAAATATGGTTATTATGATGGTTTTTAATCCAAAGTATCCAATGCATTTCATTTGGGGTGTTCTCGTCGTTGGATGTTTCCAGACTGCATTGTTTGCTGTTTCATGGACTGCCGCCCTTCTACATTTTAGACTTACTTTTTTAATTATTTTTTCCACCGGAGTCTATTGGATTGCCGCACCAATCTGCTGGCATATCTTGTATATAACTGATAACTACCCACCACCCATCGGTGTTTTCACAGCCATTTTCCCCTTTGAGGCAATGGTACTCATTTTTTTGACCCTACTACTTCCGAGACGTATTCGTTCCCAAAAATCCAACAAAAAAAAGATTGCTGCTGCTTACTCTTCTCTTGCAGCTCCATACATGTCATTTGTTTGTGGTCTTGTCTATTACAATCTCTACCGAATGTCTAACAATACTGGACGTTTGCTATTACCACCAGTCTATACCATCATGATGAAAACCATCCAGATTGCACTTGATCTAATATGTGTAAGATGTGCTCATTCTGCATCCAATCTATTTCTTTTCGTCAGTAGAATTATTGCTTCGTACTACTCGTTCGCAGTACTTAGTTTCATTCACAATCCACAAGCACTCATCTCTGTAGTTCTTTCAAAAGTGGGTCTGCATATATTTCTTTCATTGTTCATGGTTTTCCCAAGCATAGAGGCGAGTATAGTAAGTTGGCTACCTCAAAAACTGATAAAGTGGAAGAAAGAGTTTGAAAAAGGCGTACAAGATGCAGACGAAGATATTATCCTTATTAAAAACGAATACGACAGAATGTCAGTGGAGAAAGAACCACACTATGTGCGTCTACACATATCAGCTACCAACCTATCGTTTTCAATGGTTTGTGATCTAATATCTATTGTTATGTTGTACAGTTTCTATACATTTGGTAGATATGGACCAGCTAACTCTCATTACAACGAACTTTTTCCTTTCGAGATCCAAGAGCACTTTAATATATTTTTTATATTCCTTGCTATTTGCTTTGCTACACTTTCATTCGGATACATAGTAATCATGGTCATTCTGAATTATATCATCAAAGAACTTGAACTAAAACGAGTTCTTCATCTTCTATCGGTCAATTGGTATCCAATGAGAAACTTTTATATTATGTGCGTTAATTTTATGATGTCATATGTAATTATTATTATTGCACAAATGCCTGATTTATTCTATATACCAGGATTAGATTGGTTTAAGTAAAAATAAAGATATCTCTATTCATTTTTTCATTAATCTGTGGAGGTAACACAAAAATTACTTTTTTGTCGTCACGATTTATTTTGAGGTGGCACGAAACACTTGAAATTTATATGATTTTCAACAACAAAATTGTGGGTTAACAGATCGGTTTTTACACCTCTTCAATCAAAAAACATTCTTCGAATCAATGATCAAGATTTTTTCATTTAAAATTGATTTTTTTTATTTAAATTTTTTTTCTATTTTGAATAGGTTGATCTTCGCTTGTGTAAAATTTCAAAAATAATTTTTTTTTTATAATAATTATTTATGTCAGCAGGTAAATTCATCAAAGATTTCCAAGCTTGGAGAATTGAACAAATCAAAGCAACACCAGGAACCAATGTACCTTTGGATAAGTTGACTCCACAGAGTTTTATGAAACTCAGTACCTTTACAAACAAAGTCGATGTCGTAAAGGATGAGTCTGACAAGTATTTTATGTCGGTTCTTCATAACTATCAGAGTGCATTGGGTTTGAAAGCAATGGGAATCGAAAGTAAAGTGGTTCCACTACCGGAAGTGATGGATGTAGTCGAAGGAAACGACCCAAATTTCGCCAAAACATTCTTCACCCAATACTCCAAGTTGTTCTTGCTCCAGTTGATCTACAATCAGAAGAAAGACTCTACCTTCCCCACCAAGATTGTTGGCGATGTAGTTGAAGAAGAAATGAAGGTACTCGGAAGTGACACCTACCTATCACAGGTCACCATGAGGCTCTACTTTCTTGCACTCAAGAAGCTGGTTCCAGCATTCCTTCCTTACATTTTGAATGCCAACACATTCATTCCAAAACTAAAGGAATATCTTCAAAAACCAGAATCCATTGTCAGTTATGTTAGTGAAACTTTCCAAGATCAGGCTACTGATGTTGACAAAGATGGTATTGGCAATACCCAACCTTTCAACGATTTGAAATCAAAGTTGGATATGTTGGATCCAACATTCGGACTTTCATCAGAGATTCTCGGCACCTATTACAACACAATGTTAGCTCAATATGCATCGCAAACTCTCAAAGATACACCACTCACCAATCAAATCTTTCAAAATACAATCCAATATTTTATTGAGCAAATCGAGAAGGATACCGCCCATGAATTCTATCAGACTGTCCAAAATATTAAGGCTCTCTACGGAGGCAATCTAGTCACACTTTATCAGAAACTTGCACAGGCATATGTGTTTGTCTCTTGTACACCATCTAGAAATGCATTGGAAATCTCTAATGATCATATGTTTACTTTGGATTCAACTGCCTATATTTCTAAAGTAAGCGCATCCCTACCTCCTGGACCGGAAAGAGATGAAAAAATAGCAAAGCTCAAGAATGATAAAGCTTTCTATAAACTATCAAATGGATTGATGCTTGGTTGTCAACTCTTTTCAATTGGATATGGTATTGCCAACTACGAAAAGCTCGGTACATTCCAAAAGGCTCTTCTGTGGACAGGTGGTGGACTTACAATTATTGATCTTAGTAATGTGGTTGTGGAATCTACCAAAAACACCAATATTTTCATTTACATGGGTCAAAAATTACGAGCATATTGCGTATGGAACAAAACATCATCAAAGTTTGCCAAGGCTCTTGTTAATATGAAAGAGTACGTTGGTAAAGGTATCAAATTCATTTCCAAATATGTTGCACCAGTCCTCATTCTCGTGTCGGTTGGATTATCACTTTATGATTGTTTCGAATCTGCCAAAGCTGGTGACTGGGTTACCTTTGGATTGTCAGTGTTGGAGGCTGGAGTTGGTTCTGCACTCTTTATCGTATCAGTATTTGTCACCACCGCCTGGGCTGGGCCAGCATGCATACTTTTATCCGCTATTCTTCTTTCCCTTTCGGTTGCAAAGATGTTGGTACCAATCATCAAGGAATTCATTGAAGATATCACAGAAGGAACACCACAATATCAATTCATTGAATCCGTTGAGCCAATTTACAGATACGATGAAAACTATTACTTTGCATTGTTTTGGAAAGCGGGCTACAATGCAAGCCCACCAGAGATAAAGAAATTATTAGACCAGTCAAGAAAAAAAATGAAAGAAGAAGATAAACAATCACTTCTCTATTATGAAGCATATCAACAGTGGGCAAGCAAAGCTGTTCCAAAATAATAAATCAAACAATATTTATCTATAAAGATTTACAAAAGTAACTTTAAAGAAGATCGATTTCTCTTTTATTTAACCCATTTTCAATAGGAGTTTTATAAGACATCACTCTTATGCTTGTTTCAAGAAGAAATCAAAAACTGCCGATTAAAACTTTCTATCTTTGATCCCAAACAAAATCCAAATCATAACATTACCATCGACCTTGTAAAAAATTCAAATTAAATGAACTAGATTCACCAATTCACATCTAAAATCATTCATTTTCTTTAAATTATTCGCAATTCTTTCATCAAAATCACCTGTTTCTTTACTTTACAAACAAAATTGAAAATATATTAATATTGTAACACTAAACAAATAAAAATATAATTAAAATCGATTTTTATTTTCATAATATAAATTTTTGGAGATATCCCTAATAGTCTTGAATAATTCTTCTTAGAGTTGAATAGCTTGATTGGTTGGTGATAAAGATGGAAATGTTATTCAGATGTCCAATTTCATTCGAATCGGTAATACAACTATCAAATTATTTCAAGCAAATAAGTTTTTTAGTAGAGTCTAACTATTGAGTTACAGATCAAAGTTCGGTATCATTAATCGAAAAGAGAACTCTTTACTTTTATTCTTTCTCAGATTATACTACTACAACGATTAACGTGTCTAGATTTTACAAAATCTTGAATGTTGTGCACTAATTTGATCAATGAAGGGATTTTTAACTAAAAACCATTCTTCGAATAATTGACTGATTTTTTTTTTTTTTGGAGAACAATTTTTTTATCAAATGTCGATTTTTATATTTTATATTTGACAATCACAAAAATATAAAAAAAATTTATATATTTATCAGAAATAGAAATTATTTATGTCAGCGGGTAAATTTATTAGTGATTTCCGAACTTGGAGAATAGAACAAATCAAAAAGCAACACCCAGGAACCAATGTACCTTTGGATAAGTTGACTCCACAGAGTTTTATGAAACTCAGTACCTTTACAAACAAAGTCGATGTCGTAAAGGATGAGTCTGACAAGTATTTTATGTCGGTTCTTCATAACTATCAGAGTGCATTGGGTTTGAAAGCAATGGGAATCGAAAGTAAAGTGGTTCCACTACCGGAAGTGATGGATGTAGTCGAAGGAAACGACCCAAATTTTGCGAAAACATTCTTCACCCAATACTCCAAGTTGTTCTTGCTTCAGATGCTCTGCAACGAGAAGAAAGACACTCGTTTTCCCACAAAGATTATTCCTGTGTCGGTAGAAGCTGATATGGCCGCAATGTCTAATGACACATATCTATCTCAAGTCACCATGAGGCTCTACTTTCTTGCACTCAAGAAGCTGTGTCCAGAATTCCTTCCTTACATTTTGAATGCCAACACATTCATTCCAAAATTAAAGGAGTACCTTCTCACAACAGATTCCACAGCCAACTATGTCGAAGGAATTTTCGATGATCAAATTAAGAATGTTGGCAAAGATGGTGTTGGTAATACCCAACCTTTCAACGATTTGAAATCAAAGTTGGATATTTTGGATCCAACTTTTGGACTTTCATCAGAGATTCTCCAGCATTACTACCTCACAATGCTGGGTCAATATGCATCGCAATCATTGATAGAAACACCACTCACCTCTCAAATCTACCAGAATACGATTCAGTATTTTATTAATGAAGTTGACAAAGATCCAGCTCATGAATTCTATGAGACTGTTCAAACTCTAAAGTCACTCTACCCAAGCAATATCGTATTATTGTCTCAGAAAATTTCTCAAGCATTTTTCTATGTAAGTCATACACCGACCAGAGAGTTTTGTAGTATCACCGACAATCATATGTACAATTCGGACTCTGTTAATTTTATTAAGAGGCTGAGAGAGACACATACTGGACCCGGAACTCCTTCATATGATAAGCTCCTCAATGATAGAAACATCTATCGGTTCTCAAATGGTTTAATTCTTGGTTGTCAACTCTTTGCAATTGGTTATGGCATTGTCAACTACGAAAAGTTGGGCGCATTCCAAAAAGGATTATTCTGGACTTGTGGTGGACTTACAATCCTTGACATTTGTAATCTGGTTGCGGATTCCACAAAGAATACCAATATTTTCATCTTCATTGGTCAAAAGATTAGAAAATATTGTTTATTAAACAAAACAACATCAAAGATTGCCCAGTCTCTTGTTGGTATGAATAAATATATTGGTAAAGGATTGTCATTAATTTCCAAATATGTTGCACCAGTTCTTATTATTGCCTCGATTGGATTCTCACTTTATGATTGTTTCGAATCTGCCAAAGCTGGTGACTGGGCTACTTTTGGAATATCCGCATTGGAGGTTGGTGTTGGTTCTGCACTCTTTATCATCTCGGTTTTTGTCACCACAAGCTGGGCGGGTCCGACCGCAGTGGTGCTTACCGCAATTCTTTTTTCTCTTTCTTTGGCAAAGATGTTGGTGCCAATCATTAAAGAATTCATTGAAGCCATTACAGAAGGATCTCCACAATATCAGTTCATTGAATCCGTTGAGCCAATTTACAGATACGATGAAAAATACTACTTTGCATTGGCTTGGAAAGCAAACTACAAAGCAAGCTCTCCAGAGGGAAAGAAATTACTCGACGATCTAAGAAATAGAATGACCGATGAAGATAAATATATTCTAAACTATTATGAAGTTTATAATACTTGGACAAAAGCAGTTAAAAAATAAATCATTATTATTTCAAACATGTGATGCTCCGTTTTGCCATTAATGCCAAAAGGTGATCATTTAAAAAAAGAATAAAGGTTGTTTTGTTCATAGCATCAATGTTCCAAATATTTGATAAACAAGATCAATCTTTGTATGATCTTCTGATGCAACTTTTTGCTAAAGATTCTGTCATCCTCTACTCATACTCCAAAAACTAATAAAAACTGAAATAAAAAAAAAGGAATCCATTTCAATTTTTAATTATTAATTATTATAAGATTAAAAAAAGAGTTTTATTTTCTTATCTTCTTCTATCTCTGTCTCTATCTCTATCTTTTGCATCTCTGTCACGAAGTTCTCTTGGATCTCTTGGTGATGGTTGAGGTTGGAATGGAGGTGACGATTTAGATGGAGGCGCATTGAAAGTCAAGGGTGGTGATTGATTGGTACTTCTGGTTCTGTTGAGCACAGTTCTTTCTTTCTTTTGTCTCTTTGATTCATCTTTACCTTCATCTTCCTTGTCTTTCTCTTTGTTTTCTCTTTCTCTCTTTTTACTTTGATCAGAATCCTTTTCGTCTTCTTTAACGTGACCTTCATCTCTAATATTAACTGGTGGATTGTTATTATTGGAACTATTATTATTGTTGGCACTATTGATATTATTATTATTAATCTCTTTTTCTTTCTCTTTTTCTTTTTCTTTTTTTTGTTTGATTAAATTCTCTCTGAGTGCCATTGCTTCTTTGGTATCGGCAACACTGTTATTATTACTACGAGTATCTCTGGGTGCTGACGACGATGGTGTTGAAGGTTGACTGCCTCCTCCACCTCCTCTGTGATCTCTATATTCATCTCTACTTCCTCCTCTTGACATGTCATCACGAGATGATGGCATGTTTGCTTCTTCCTTTCTCTTTCTCATTCTTTCCTCATCGATTCCACCATACTGAGTTATAGGAGATCTCGACAGGTTCTCTCTTCTCTCTCGACTGTTACCACGTGAATTGTTATCTCTATCGTCCTTCTCTCGGCTGTCTCTGATATGATCACGGTCAGAACGGTCGCGATCTCTTAGCTCTCTACTTTCTCGCAATTCACGCTCTCTCATTTCTCTTTCACGATCTCTGGCGTCCCTGTCACGGTCTCTAAGTTCGCGATCTCTCATCTCTCGTAGCTCTCTTTCACGCTCTCTAAGTTCACGTTCTCTCATTTCACGTTCACGCATTTCACGCTCACGTTCTCGTTCTCTGATGTCGCGATCTCTGTTATCTCTGTGACGGTCACCGTCACGATCCGATTCTCTGTCTTTGTCCTTGTCGACACGATCACGATCTCTATCCATTCTTTCCTTGAGGATTTCTCTCTCACGATTCTGTCGCTCAATGATTCTGTCTTTTTCGGATTTCTCAGGATGATCTACTCTCTCGCGATCCCTTAAATCTCTCTCTCTTTCTCTTTCGCGTTCTCTTTCTCTCTCTCTCTCTTTTTCACGCTCACGCTCCTTCTCTTTTTCACGCTCACGTTCCTTCTCTTTTTCTCTTTCACGTTCACGTTCTCTTTCTCTTTGTTCACGTTCCTTTTCCTTCTCGCGATCTCTTTCTCTTTCTCTCTCCCTCTCCCTTTCCCTTTCACGTTCTCTTTCTCTCTCTCTCTCTTTTTCACGTTCACGTTCCTTCTCTTTTTCTCGCTCACGTTCACGTTCTCTTTCTCTTTGCTCGCGTTCCTTTTCTCTTTCACGCTCTCTCTCACGTTCTTTCTCTCTTTCACGATCCTTTTCCAATCTCTCTTTCTCTCGTTGCTCTCTTTGTTCTCTTTGCTCTCTTTCTCTTTCTCTCTCACGTTCCTTTTCTTTTTCCAATTTCTCACGTTGATCTTTATCTCTTTGTTCTCTTTCTTTTTCTTTTTCACGCTCCTTCTCCTTTTCCTTGTCTTTTTCCTTACTGTCTTTGTCTCTATCTGATTTGTCACTACGAGTGTCTGACTTTTTGGATGATTCACCTCTGTCTCTGCTCTGTGATCGATCTCTCTTTAAAGGAGGAGGTGGATGATTGGTAGTCTTCTCCTTGGCAGCGGGCACATCCTTCATCGGTACATCTTTCATTTCTTTATCGATCGACGATGATTTAGATAATGAAGATTTATCGGAATGATCTTCCTTCTTTACCGATTTCTTTTCAGATGCTGGTTCATCGATTGCCATTCTATCAGAGTTACTACTGCTACTGCTGTTGTTATTGCTTGTAGTATTTGGTGTTGAACCATTCGACTTTGGAGTGGAAGATGATGGAGTAGTATTGTTAGATACCTGACTACCACTACCACTAGTACTACTGTTGTTTTCATTGTTTGTAGACTTCTTCTTTGCAGGTTCTTCAGAAATCATTTGATCCTTTACTTTTTCGAGAATTGAATGATAACGAGTTGCCAGTGTTTTAAGTTCTTCACGCTCCACTCTTACTTTGGAGACAAGTGCTTCGATATCTACATAGTTTTGACGGTGCAGTGGGAATACCTTGATGACTTTGGTCAGTGCCAGCAATGAGTTTCTAACGACCATGTATTCCGGTGATTTCAAACACGCACAGAATGACATGGCAATTGAATTATGCCACTGGCTGACAGCTGTTACGAATTGACTGTAGGTCAGCTTCTCTTGGAGAACAAAGAAACCTTGGCTGGATTTCTCTTTTTCGAAAGCATCGCTTGAACTTCTCCAACGAGTCAACATCGAGAGTGTCTCAGCAAGGAACCTTCCGAAACGAACCGCTTCATTCTCAGTACACGATGAAATGATACAATCGATGATATTGGAGAGACTGTCAAAGTAGGCGAGTGTCGAGAAACCAGGAGTATTCAACTGGTGAAGCAGCTGAATGAAACGCGCAGCATAAAGAGCATCGCTCTGTGTCATCGTTGAACGTGGTAATACACAATATTGAATAAACTTGATAGTTGTATCCTTGAAGTGTTCAGCGGTACCGGTTCCTTTAGCAAAGTACTTGTCCTTCTCGCTATTGATACGATCAATCACATGTTTATGGTTGATTTGCTGTAGTTCCAACTCATCTTTGAGTCGCTTGATGAGTCTTTCCTTCTCCTTCTTCTTCTTGCTGGCAGTCTGCTTGTCGGACTCCTTGTCCAACTCGAGATTCTGTTGTTGAAGCTTCTGGATTTCGGCGTGATACGTCAACTCTGGCACATGGATATCGTAGAGGGAGAGCGACCAGAAAGTGCAATAGAGCTCCGGACTGACATCGCTCCACACCTGCTGTGGGAACATCGAGGAGCATTGCGCGAGGAAGTCTTGGAGTGGTTGGCCGGCACCACGCTCCCACTTGGCTTTCTCCTTGCTGTCTTTCTCTGGTTCTACCAGCACGTAGTAGTGGATCGCTTTGAGGTAGCTAAGCAGCGGACGATAGATGTGGTAGGCAGTCTCTGGCTCCAAGCCATAGACAGTGAGTAGCTCTGAAAAGTTACCGAAAAATGCAGCATAATCCTTGGGAAGAACACTGGTCGAGAGAAACTCGGTGTACTGCAACAGCGTCTCTTGACACTTGTCATACAGATCGGCGATTCCTCTAATGTTTCCAGTCTGCTCGTTGCTATATACAATATTGATACGCTGTTTGGCGAGGAGAATGAACAGCGGGAATGCAAGCTTACACTCGATCAGCGTGTCTTTCAACTTGGTAACGGCACGCTTTATATTCCTCGAGTTATTCATGGTGTTTGATTCCTGTTTGAGTGTTTCTCCACCACCCTGTGCCTCTACCTGGTTGTCGGGTGGATCCTCAATGATTTCAATACCACCCATCTTTGAGAGCAGCTCCTTCAACACAATCAAATCGAGGGAGTTGTTATCCTTCAGCTGATTGACAATGTATTGAAGCAGTCCTTCCAGTTCGGTCTGTGGATACTTTCGGTAGAGGAATCCAACAAACTGTGAGAGCGACTGGTACCAACTGGCAATGTTGGTGCCGTCTGCCTTTAGTTTGGCACGTTGGATGGTGAATCGCTCCAAAAGAATATAACTGAGAACATCGAATGAGAGTGAGGTGCAATAACGCAGGGAGTCGACAAGCGGATGCACCAAACTGTCGTAGTTCTCCACGGACGAGACAACAGCCTCCAGAACAATCATCGGATGAAGATGACTTAGCTTTCCAATGGTTCTGCCCAGTTGTTTGACATTCTCCTTTGAGATTCTACGAAGAATCTTACGAATCTCGGCAGTCACCTCTGCTTTGGCAATGGCAAGCGGTAGATACTTTGAGTAGATAGCTCTCCACTCTGCATAGAGATTGTATCTGACGTGATAGTTCATTCCACCGAGTATACTCCACACCTCAAACGATACCGCTGGATTAGAAGTAGACATATAAGATAAAGATGGTAGAATTACATTTACAATTGCATATTCAACATCTGCTCTATATAATTGATTATAGTTTGGCTATCATTATAAAGATTATTATATATATTAATAAATAATATCTATCTATCTAATCTATCTATTTATTTAAACTTACAGATTTAACTAATTCTTTTAGTATTCTACATATCTTTATAAGCAAAGCAGAGTCATTCGATAAATAATTCTTTAGATGATTCAATAGACTGTATATTAGTTCTGATTTCTCTGCGAATGCATTGAAATCGAATACACCTGGAGTAAGTGTTGCTTTTAATACTGAAAATGATATTCTATTGTTTTGTTAATTAGATTGTATGTAACAATATATATATATTGTTTGTTAATTAAAAACTGTGTAGTAGTATACTTACGATTTATAGATTGGATTTACAATAGTTGTTAAACATTGAATCAATGCATTGGAGATGGCTGGATTCGAGGCTGGATCAATGGTAGATAGATTACAAAGTATTTGGAAAGAGAATTCGAGTTCATTACATTCGAGAAGTGCTACCAAAAGACCAAACTTTTGATTGTCCGGTTGCACTTTGGCAGCGGCGGCAGCAGCAGCAGCCGCTTCTTTCTCCTTCTCTTTTTCCTTATCGTCGCCACCAGTCAGCGAAATCATACCAATCTTTTTAGAGTTTGCCAATTGTTCTTCTTTCTTTGTTTGATATGCAATCTTCAAATCTTCATCAGTTGGACTCAACTAAATAATAATCAAAATAATAGTAATAACATAAAAATTAGAATATGTTCTTATATGATGATGATGATGATGATGATGATGATAGTAGTTTAGTTTTAACTTACATGTGGATATATTTGCTCTAATACAATTAGTTTATCTTTTAAGAGTGATGCCGTTAGTTGTTGGAGTGACTTTGGTGTTTCCAGGGTTGGGTTCAACTCTGGACTCTGATAGAATTGATATTTGAATCCTAAAAGCTGTGGAATGGTCGTAGATTTGAACTGTTTGATCAACGGTAGGAAACATTCACTGCTATCGAGATGACGTTCGTACGAATCCAACACAATGTCCAACACACGATTCGGATCCAAATTAAAGTAACCAATCAACGCCTTGATATTCCTTATCATATTATCGATTGTCTGTGGATTCGTCATAAGATAACCTTTGTTCAACTCTGCAATCACCTTGGCAAATCCTTCTGTTTCCTCTTTAAATAAATTAAACTTTACCAATGTGAATCTATTTTAAGTGTTATTATTATTATTATTATTATTATTATTAGTATAATGATATATAATATTCAATTATAATATTAATAACTTACGTATCCTTTACGTTTAATCTACCTAATCTTTTCATTAGAACATTCGCAGATTGTACTATACCAAGCTCAGTCAATGCATCGGTTTCTAATCTTTCCATTAGCATATCGTTGGTAACCAATGACTTTGACTTTATTGGTTTGGTTTGGTTTGGTGTTGATTAATTTAGGGAATAGGTAATGGGAATGAGAATGAGAATGAGAATTAATATGATTGTTATTATTATTATTATGAATGGAATGGTAAAGGTGAATGAAGTTGTTGTTTCGTGGCGTGGTGGGGATCATTGTTAATTGCTATTATGAATAGTAAGGTTGTTGTTGTGTAGAACTACGCACGAACTAATATAATACCAGTGCATGCACTCAGCAATTGATCTCAATATCGACGATGTCGTTTGTTTGTTTGTTTGTTTGTTTTGTTTGTATGTTGAAACTAGAATAAGCTATACTATGTTGTTGTTGTAGTTGTTGTTGTGTCTATTACATTACATACTTGAAATTCTTTGATCATTGACATCAATATCTGTCTTGTTTCATTCTTTATACCTTCTAAATCCAAAAACCATATTATATCACATAACATTGATGATAATCCATTGATTGTCTTTAAAATTAAGAGCAAGTTTATATTAATATTAATATAATTGATCGATCTTTAAAGATAACAATAAAGTCTATACATACATAGTGATCCGATATTAATATAGATATCAGCTGGTTGATTGATAGGTAACCTCTTATGATTGCAAGTGACTGATCGTATATCAACTTTTTCAAACTACTATAATTCTCAATGTTTCTTTCATCCTTACAATAATCTTTTATATGTTCAATTCTAAAATATTGATATTTATATGTTAGTTTGTTTGTTTGTTTGTTTGTTAAACATAATACTTTGTTAAAAATAGACTATTATTATAATTTTATTATTAATACATACAACTTTGGTTTAACTTGATTTTCCCATGAATTATTATGATTGTTATTCAATATTTGTTCAATATTCGATGTTGTTGTTGATGATGATGATGATGATGATGATGTTGTTGTTGTTGTGTTAGCTGCTGTTGTTATTGAAGACATTATTATTATTCTAAATCTATTTTTATTTTTATTTTTTTATTTATTATTATTATTTAAAAAATAAATAAAATAAAACAACAAATTGTCTAGATAAACTAAACAATAATCTAATTATCTGCTATAGTATACCAATAACAATGTTTTATTTACTTATTTATATTTATAATATATATTTATATAAAAATAATAAAAAAAAAAGATTAATTAATAAGTTCAAATTTTTTTTAAATTACTCTTTTTTTTTTTTCAAGTTGCAAAAACGACATTATGCAAAAGTAATCAAAATCATGTTAAACAATTCACTTTCATTCTAAATCAAAGATAATAAAGCTATCAATTCATTTTTGATCAAATATTGTATATAATTAGAATAATCATAAATAAAAAGACTAGTTTTAATTTTTAATGGTTAAAGTTCATGAAAGAAATTTATTTGAAAATTTTTAATAATATTAGTCCCCCGATGGACTAATCTAACAGATTAAGATAAAATTTGAGAGTATTTACAATAAAGTCGACCATATCCATGTGTTAATTGTTTGTACTTGGAATAAAGGTAGGGAAAAACTATTTACAAATTTGTGTGTTTTTGGCTGATCTTCATTACCCTTTTAGAGGTATGAGATATGTATATAAATTGTTACTATTTTGTATATTATTAGTTTTATATGAATTTATATAATGTATGTATATATATATATGATTTGGTTATTTACAAATTATTATTAATTTCTATTATTATTTTGTTCTTTGGTTTGTTTTTATATGTATATATATATTATAATAGAAATATTTAATTATTAGTATGATGTAGTATATAGATAAAAATAGTTATTGTTTGTGTGTGTGTGTGTTTAGTTATTTTTTTTTTTTGTAACAATTTAATTATGCAGCGCAATTTGCATGGTAGGTAGAATCATTGGTGGAAGTTCTCACGTCGTAGTCGCAGCTTCCTCTACGTGGAAACATCGGGGAGTTTGATCCGCGACCACGTGGTGAGCTAACTGGTGAGTGACTTCCGATGACACCATTGTTTGGTGGTAAGATCAAAGGACGTTTCTGTAGAAATCTGAGCTTTGATTGTTCGATCTGGAAGCGATACTCCTCAAAGATGGCATCGGGACAGACAGCACCAAACTTGATCAACTTTAAAAAGTCCAACTCCAGTAGGTTCATCTCACGCAACTGGATGCCACCGACCTGTGAATAGTATTCGTTGTTGTAGAAGACGTCGTCCAGATACTTGGTGGAGATGACCAGAGTTGTGATGAGTATACGGTGAATGTTGTACGAGTTGATCGAGAGTCCACACTCGACAGACAACTTATCGATATAGTACAGCGAGGCAATGAAACACTCCTTGGAGCATGGCGAGTATTTGAAAAGTCTTTGGAGGTAGTCACGAACGGTGATCGATGGTAGCTTTCTATTTGGTGGATAGAATTGTTCGTGTGTTTGTTTATTCTAAATTAAGAAATTTAGGAAATTGATTAGAAAATTTTATTTTTTGTTAAACTTTTTTTTTTTTCTGGATAGCAATACATACTTGATCACCGTTGGCTACTATTTTATTGATACATTGTGTAATAATTTCTAAGAGTAAATTGTCTCCCTCCTCAGTTGACTCTTTCAATGGAGAGATATTCTTCAACAAATCCAAAATAGTGATTATCATTTTCATTGTTTTATATATGTGTTATGAAAAAAATAATAAAAAGAAAGGATATATTATATATTTATATGTATAGGAAAGAGTAGAAGAGTATTTATATATGTAGTGTTATATTATATATTGTATTTGTTTGTATATATATATCAAAGAAAAAATAGATAATTATAAAATTGTAGTTTTTTAGATAGTTAAAGAATAGTTTGAATTTTACAAATAAGTACTAATAATTTCTTGTTGAGTTTGATTGCAAAAAGTGATTGGAAGCGATTCAGTTGGTTATTTAAGAGTGTAGGGAACCAACTACTATTGTTTTTGGCGATGTTGCTACTGCTGGGTACTAGTTTGATGGATGATCAGATCAAATTGTTAGTTTTTATAAAGTTGAGAAAAGGAAATTATTATTTGATCAGGTGTGTGATTTCTGTGTTATGTGGGTGGGGGTGATGTGTTATTAAAGTTTTTGGGGTTTAAATCTGTGTGTGGTGTGTGTGTGTGAAATTATATTTTTAGATTACTGGATAGTTATAAAAATTCAATGATATTTGAAAAAACAACCTTTACAACTAACTGATTTGGTATCTATTATAAGATTGACACAAACCAATCAAATATATAAATAAAAATAGTGAAGTAGTGAATCCTGATTATTGAATTTTTAAAAGAATATGAATGTATCAATTTTTGATTATTATTGGCAGTATCAAATTTGGGTCTAAATTTTCAATGTTTTGTTTGGTGCCTTTTTTGTGATTTTGGTAAATGTACTTTGTTGTTGTAATAATAATATTTGAAGTTGTGTTGCATTGAGTTGCGTTACGTTTTGAGTGTTTGAAATTGGATGTGTTGATTCGTTATTATTACTTGTTAATTGTTTTTGATAAATACCTTTATTTCACTTGATTGTATTGTAAGTGGAGGAAAGAATAGTTTGGCTATCTGTTGTGTAATAAGTAATAAAAAAATTCAAAAGAGTTAACAAAAATTATTTACAATGTTTAACAGGAGTGTATGTATGTATGAGGAGTGCGAAAAAGTGTTAAGTTCCAAATAAATATACAATTGGAATTTGAAGTGTAAATTAAAAAAAAATATTAAACAAATATTTTGTGATGTGAGGGATTGTGATTATGTACAAATAAATATTTATATAAAGCAAACAAATATTATATGTTTATATTGTATTGGTATTAATTAATGTTGTTTTTTAAGTGATACATCGAATCTATTAAACTTTTTCTCTTTTTTTAATAAATAAAATTTGGTTATAAATAATATTTTTTATTATTTGTTTAGTCGTAGTGTCTGTTGTGTGTGAGAGTTCATTTTTATTTATTCAATGATCAGATGGTTCTTCTTCAAGTGTGTGTGTGTGTGTGTGTGTGTGTGTGTGTGTGTGTGTGTGTGTTTTTTTGTGATTGATTAATAATTCTTTCTTGAGGTTTTATTTTTATGTGTGGGAAAAATAAAAAAAGAGTAGAAGTGTGATTTTAATGATTTTCACCAACCAACAATCAGCTGACTACTTTAGTAATAACTTAATAGTGTGTGTGTGTGTGTGTGTTGCTACTAATATTAAATCAATCATTGCTAATTAATATGAGTGACCACACGTGAGATTAAATTTGTGATGTACTGCCAAATATATTTGTTGTATTCACTTATAAATGGAACTAATAAAGCTATTATTGAACACAACACACACACAGGTTAAGGTGATCATGCGAATCCTTGAATTAAGTATATTGTTAACAAATGGATGGAATATATATCTTGTTGTTCGATATTGTCACAATCTGTGGTGCTGGTGGTTGTGGCTGATTCTTATATAGGGCATAAAGTTGATAATCTCTCACCTTTTTTTGCAATTTTTTTTTTTAATTGAATTAAAATGAAATCTCCACTACTATATTTATATATGATGTGAGAGAAACAACACAATCGACAAATTAACACATAACCATACATTACATAACATCATTTACAATTAATTTAAAAAAATAATGTCGACCAATTGAATGATTAAAGATTAAGTATTTGTTGTTGATTTAAAGTTGATCATTATTTTTTTAGCAATTGGTGTGTATGATGTGACCAATTTCAACAAACAAAACAAACCAAAAAAAAATACTTGATTAGAGTGTTAATTAGAATTCCACCAATTCAATCGATTCAAATAATAAATAAAGTTAGCCTAACAAAAACAGTATAATAAGTGTTGTAAATGTTTAAAAAAAAAGGTGGGTGTCATGTCATTCCTAATTAATATTGACTTTTGATATTTTTTGATTACTGGCTAGGGAGTATTCAATATCCTCCTTTCCATTAATGAACCAATAATATATATAGTAAAGTAGGAGATGAGATTCCAATGTGATTTCAATACAACAATGAAAACATCACTAAACTCTGAGTTTTCCAAATGTCAACATTAGAATGATTGCTTGATGTTTTGATCCACACACACTTGTTAGGTTGATGCTAAGCATAATAGATGTAGCTCAATGATGAGTTGAATTGGTAAATAAATATAAACATTTGGAAATGTTCAAGCATTTGGAATAGACATTACTACCCCTGTTTTTTATATCTCACATTGTCGTTAACAAAAAAATAAACACGCAAGTTGACAATTTAATAAAATTTATAAAAAAGGTATATATGTGATTTACAAAGATAACTCGTTTCACACCACATTAATAAATTATTGGAGTTGGTTAAGGACCAACTTTAAAGTTGAACTAACAAACCACAAATCTATTTTTTTTTTTGTTGTTTCCAAAACATAAAAAAAAATAAACTACCAACTGATTACACACCACGCCAATTAATTTAAATAGTATTTCTGAAAATGATTATAAATTGTATAAAGTATTTTATAATTACATACCTTTAATTATTTTTAAAACAGAATAATAATAGTATAGATAGTTGATAAATAAGATAATTAATTATATATGATTTTTATCTTTAAGATTCAACAATGATTTTCTTTAGTTGAAAGGTGAAAGCGGATGATGTTGTACAAAAGAGAGATAAAAAGTTAATCTATCTGATTTTCTTTTTGATTTTGATTTCTAAATTACTGAATGATTTAACTTGTCAAACTAACTATTAATACTTGTTGTTTTTTTTTTTTTAGTGTTGGTCACTGGTGTAAGATTCTGATTTACTTGTGTGTAAAGCGTAGAATATTGTTGACACTGCTTGGATCTCTGATGATACTAATAATAAGAAGGTTCTACCTGCTCGTGATGTGCGATAAGAATAGGAGTAAGTAATTTTTAGTTTTAATGGATACAAGCTTTAAATCCAAGCTCCCAATGTATTTTAGGGTGATCAGTGAGATCAAGGTTGGAGCATAGGCATCACGCATCGGGGCGCACCATTAAAAAAAACTTACGAATCAATCAGCAATACAAAAAAGTAAGCTCGACCAGTCTGTTTGGGTTGTGATTGAGGCTTGAACCACCTTTTTCTTTTGAAAGAAACCAAACCGCTCTCTCTACTATTATTAGTGAAATGTTAGATTTTCGTGTTTTTTGATTTTAGAGATGTTGATGATGTCGATGGACCGTCAGCTGATGGTTGCGAACGTCGTTCCACACACAACTAGTCCTCTTTTACAAAATAAAATGCAATAAAAATAATTAAATTAAATTAAACACTATAACAACGTGTTGATGTTACAAAAAAAAAAAAGTTGATTATGATGATGATTAATAAATAAATAAATAAATAATAATATATTTGATTAATGGGTGTAACTCCATTGAGAATCATAATGAAGTTGTCAGTGTGTGTGCAAGTCAGTGTTTGAGTAACATGTCAAAGCTTGAAAACAAGACTACCAACCCCTCACTCTTTGTGAAAGTATGTGTGAATTACTTTTCAAAGATTTGTTTGTTCTCTTTTGCTTTGTATTGAATGTCACACATTGAAATAGAGAGTATTGAGGCAACAACTGTGTGTGAGTGGTTTGTTGATTTGTAAGCCTTAAAAATGCTTATTGAAGAAAAAAATAATATCAACAGTGTGGTGCTAGTGTGGTGTGTGTATGAGTGTGAGTGGTTATTTCCAAAGGTGGTCAAATGAAAAAGTTAGATTGTAGAGATAAATCTGAAAATCGTTGTTGTATATCTCATTGTAGTTGATCATGTTAACTACGACCAAAGTCACGAATGATTAAGAGATTAGTATCTGTAGATGAACATCAACTGTGTGTGTGGCTTGTGAGATTTAACGTTAAGGTCGTGGACTGTTTTATTGTCATTTTCCTAACAACACTCCATGATACATGTGCCTCTAACAATATAAGAGGCAAATTACATGCTATTTGTTAAAAATTGAAAAACACAAAGCTAAAGCGATGCAAGAGATTCGGGGAAGTTAACATTGTGATTATAATGAGTTATTTCTTAAATCATTGAAAAATTTGAATCTTTAACATAATAAACAACGGCTGAATAAGTCAAACACACAACTTTTAGATATTTAATTTCAATTTTCATGAAAATTTAACTTTTTTTTTTATTTTTTGAACAACACCACTGTTTGTGATTTTTGTGTATGTGTGTGGGAATGAAGAATGACAAGTGTGTTTTAATCAATGGAGAGATATGAAAATTATGTATAAAAATGTCTTTTTATCTCAATCTCTCTCTCTTTTTTCTCTTAACACTATTATGTTCTATTGTTAACTCTTTCAGAATAAACAATGAGAAATCCTTATAAGTTTCAAGACTAGAGAGATTATTAGTGTTAGTCTGATTGATCAACAGAAGTTAAGAAAGTGAAATGTTGTTATTCATAGCTGATGGAACACTCTGACTATCTTTATTCATCAACGACAATAACAATCTTTCTCATTGAGAAACTACTATTGTTTTAATCGATCGGCAGACCAAGCACTAAATTTAAAAATAAATTGATTTCGTTGATCATTGAAATCATCAACCGAACAATAATTGAATTGTTACCAACACTATTTTTATTCGATCGACTTTTTTAGATATTTGCAGTCATTTATTAATATTGACATGTCAACTAAAACAACAAACACAACACCAATTGTTTGAATAATGAAAGTATAATTTAATTTAATTTAATAAAGTGACGAGTGATTAGATAAGATTGCTAAGATTTAGAAACACAATTAGACTAAAAGTAGAGTTTTCGACAGTTGTTAGAGAGAGAAACAATCACACAACAAGTTTTCAAACTTGAATTCCAATTTTATTTGAATAAGCACCCACATCTTCTTCTTTGTTGGTGTGTGTTATTTCTATTTATTAACTAACTTACATTGAAATATACTTTGAAACTAACGATTAATTTAAGATATTTATTAATGTGACAGAAATTACTATTTTGACAACAATGTTGAGAATAAAATAATGATTTTTAATTTAAAAGAAAAGACAATTTGTTAAGAGTTTATGTGCAAGGTTGTTATTTTTATATAATTATGATTTTATTTGAATGTAGATAATGCTTATTAATAGTAAATAAAATAATAATTCCACTTAAGTTACTATTATTTCTAAATAATAAAGATAATTAGATGTTTAAACTAATTTATAGTTAAAAGGTTCTGAAGATGAATTAGGTAGTTTAAAAGTCCGATTATTGTTTCTCTTTTATATTGGAAGGTTGGTTAGTTAGGTGTGTCACATGTCTGTACTTTGAAATACACCATGTGTCTATTGATTGATCATAAAAACTTCATTCATTCTCTTTTATTGTTGGTAGATACTCAATGGAGTTAGTAGTTCAGTAAAAAACAACTGTTCAGTGATTGATTGATTGATTGATTGATTGATTAATGTACTGATTGACTGATGATTGCTATCAAACAAGCATTGTGTGAGTGTTGTGCTGTGCTCTGCTCTGCTCTCTGGGTGTGGTGTTTGATGTTGATGATCAACATAAACATGGGAAGGTTGTATTGCATTGCAGTGTGCCTCTCTTTGATGCCTGCAATCAAACGACGTATCATAATAATAACAGTGCTAGCTGAAGTGAGGCTAGATCATCATCAGCAAATAAAGGGGAACCAAGCTGAATTATTGGATACTGAGTGCACTCACTCACCCACCCACACACGAAATTAATTAATAACACAATAATGGTTGTTTGTTTGTTTTTGCAAGACAATCAAAAAAATGATCATGAAATCAAAACAAAAAAAAAAAAAAAAAAGTAATACTAATAGTAAAAAACAAAAAACTGATTTTCAATTTGGATGGATTTTTAATTTTGATTTTGGTCAGCCCTTCCTTGTGGTTGTGTGATCAATAAAAAAAGTATAAAGATATTTTATCTTTAAGTTTCTGATCTATTATCGTTTTAGGGTTTTTTTGTTAATTTGGTTTTACTAAAACAAAAAAAGGAAAACATTCTTCTCATGTGACTCAATCATAATCTAAAGAAATAAGTATGGGCTCCAATTTTTGGTAAGTCAAAGCTCACTGGTGATTTTAACCTTTTTATTGATTATTTGAAGGTCACAAAATTGCCTATTACATCAAACTTGGTTTTTTCCTTTTTTAAATTTTTTTGTTTAATTGGATGGGTGTGTGGTGTTGAGAGGATAGGTAGGAGGAGAGGATGTGATCTAAGATCGGAATGATCTTTCTTCAAATCAGAGCAAAAGAGCTCAATACATTGGTATAGGACTGTTCCAATAAAATAGAAATTATAATAACAATAATGTTTTTGATATAAATCTCAAACAAAGTGAGTACACTCTAGAAAAGAAAATAAAAGATACTTTATTCAACAAAAAAAAGTATACTTTTATTAATAAAACACTTCTTAATTTTTAAAAGAGAACAAAATGAAAGTTAAACAGACAGATATATTGAAATAAAGATCACAAAGTTGGTTTTTCAATAGATAGCCATATATAATAAAAAAAAAGATTCGCACTGATTAAAATCGATACGACAAAAAATCTGATATTGTCATCATTTACCCACAGAAATATTAAAAAAATTGGATTTAATTAATTGAATTTGGTTTTGATGTTAGTAACATAAACAACATTCTTATTTAAGAGATTAAAGAGAAGAAGAACTATTAACATAATTCTTTTAAATCAACAACAAATTTGATACTTTTAGATTTAATAGGTTTGTTTTTTGGAGATCTAAGTGTAGGTTGTATACAACCAACTTGAATTTTAATGTAAACAGTTTGTTGAACTATCAAAAAACACCTAATAAAGATAATGGTTTTTAAGAGACAACTTGACATGAACATTGGATTTAGATATTATTGTTATTCACGTTGACAAGTCCAATATATTAAACAAAGAAAAATTGTGTTTTTTGGGATAAAGAGCTGAGGATGTGGGTGAAAACTACAAACATGTTCATTTATTTTCTTTGTATTTATTTGTAGTTTTCAATTAATAAAAACTTAAATCTTTGACAGATAACACTGCGCAGTGGAGATTGAAAATATCTTAAAAAATTCTCACTTATGTATTAATTAATAATTGGCTGAACTTTTAAGTAGGCTATTCCAAAAAAAGTAATTATATTAAATCGCGATACAACTAACTGAACTAACTAAAGATAGATCAATAAACTGCAGGTTTTGGTGAATGTCAAAAGATGAGGAATAGTTCTGTTTAACCACAAAACCGTGTAGGTCTTGACTCCATTTCCTCGAGGTATTACTAGATGGAATGATTCCAGTGTGTCATTGGGCATTTTTGTAATATTGTAAATCTATACCACCGATCAGAAAATAAAATAGAAGAAAACAAAAACAAAAACAATTAAGGATGATATAATTTTACCAATAATATCAATCAAACTTGGTGTTGATTCAATTTGTATAAATATAATAAAATATATATTGGTATATCCAAAACACAATATAAATTAGTATTAAATTTTTTTTTGAAATGTTTTTTATATATATATATATGATGGCTAAGTTTGTTGTGGGAGATTTGAAAAAAGTAAAAATATAGGTTGGTTAGATTCGATTTAATGTTCACCAACCAATGGAGCAGACTCTTCATAGAATCCATCGCCACTACTATGTTGGTGATGGTGGTGATGGTGACCGTCACCTTCAACCACCTTTCTAAATCTAATAACTAAAATTGATGAAATAATCTAGAAAATATAAAAACAAATATTAATAAATTATCTTTAAATTTGATTCAAATTCCAATATGTAAACCATATAGGTGTCTGTGTTCATTCCAATCAATATTATCTAATCTATGTCCAAAGAGGTACAATAACAATGCTAAATCGAGTGAATTGAGTTTTTCAATAAATGAAATGAAATGAAACGATCTGTAGATTGTTTTGATGGTGTTTTATGACTGACATTCCTATGTATCTGTTGTTTATGTTTCTTGAATGATCGACTGAATTTGTTGTTATTATTGTTGTTGTTGTGTTGATCTTACCATTAAAACAGAGGAGAGAACATTCAACATAACAGTAACAATGAATGGAGTGTATAGACATTCAATACCTGTTAGATAAACTCCTTCCATTCCAGCTTTACACCATTTTCTAAAGAGTGAGTTAAGGAAAATAGATATGTTAATAAAATGTTTTGTTTCATCACTCTCTCATTAACTTTGTTTATAAGATAATCATACCTTGATTTATACACAGCATTTGCATCGATAATAAATGAATAAACTCCACATCCTCCAATTGCCAATACTATCAGTGCGAACTATATTATATAGGTTTGTGTGTTTATGATTATTATTATAGATTTGTTAGTAAATTACAGAAGAATAAAGAAACAACTCTTTGAGTTTGTATTGTCTATTATATATGATAATTGTTTTCGACTTACAATCATAAACACCAACTTTCTTCTCTTAAAAATAAAGACGAGTGTAATGATTGAAAAGATAGCACCACCCAAAGTGTAACTGATTCTAACACCTTGATTATGAGTTGCCCATTTACATGCAATGACATGTTTATCATCATCTTTAAAAGTGAATTTCGTTGGCAGCATCGCTGACTTTCCATTACAGAAATCTTTATTTATCACTGAAGTAGTACCATTTCCTTTCTGTTCATGATTCTCAACCTGTGTAAATGAATAGAATGAACATGCGAAACCTGATAACTATAGTAATATAAAATCAATTAATATATAATCTAATCTAAACTAATCTAAAAAAAAAACAATTAGATTATTCAGATACATACAATAACGAAAACTACAACGGTAATTGTAATGTATTTTGCTAGAGAACTCATTGCTTCTTCTTGTTTTTTTCTATCTATCTATCAATCTATATACTGTATTTCTATCTACTATGTATAACTTTAAAAAGAAAAGATAAAACTTAAACTTTTAAACATTAAACACACATAACTAAAATATAAATTCAGCAAATAATTCTATTTATTAGCAAAAGTCTTGTGACCCCAGTTTTTTAAGAAAAGCAAAAATTTGAAAAAAAACAAAAAAAAATTGATTACCTCAAAATCGACATCTGATATTTCCAAAGACAATTAAGAAGATTTGTTTATTACTTTGTTTGGTTGATAGGTTGGTTTGGTTGAAATATAATTATATTTGTTTACAAAAAGAAAAAGGATAAATAGATAGGATAGATAGATTAGTTGTTGTTGAATTTGATTTGATTGGTGATTATTGTTTGGCAATTGGGGCAGTCTTTTTCTTTAAGTAGGTCAATGCTCTTGGGTCACTCTCTAAGAGTGGACCGACTGATAATAATACATTTTGGTGATAGTTGTTTACAAATAGGAGTTCTTCGTCGGTGAGCATCGAGACGTTGATGAGGTCACGTTCGTATGGCACAACGGTGACCGTTTCGAATCCGAGGAATTGCTTGCTGAACGGTGTGTCCACTGGTACGGTAACCATGACATTCTCGATTCTAATTCCAAACTTGCCTTCCTCGTAGTAGCCAGGCTCATTGGTGACGGTCATATAGGGTTGGAGTACGGGTGGGTTGGCGACCTGACGGTGTGTGATTCCCTGGGGACCTTCGTGGACGTTCAAGAACGAACCGACTCCGTGACCGGTTCCGTGGGCATAGTCGAGTCCGACTTGCCAGAGTGACATACGCGCGATGCAGTCAATGTCCTTACCGGTCACTTTCAGTGGGAATTTGACGATCGAGAGCTGCACGTGACCCTTGAGGACACGGGTGTAACACTCGACTTCGTGAGGGTTGGGTGTGCCGTAGTGGACGGTTCTGGTGACATCGGTGGTTCCGTCGCGATACTGACCACCGGAATCAACCAAATACATGGCTCTGGCGATCTTCTTGCAGGTCTCTGGCTCTGGCTTGTAGTGGATGATCGCGCCATTTCCCTCGGTCGACGAGATCGTGTCGAAACTCAGACTGACGTAGTGCTTCTGTTTGGCACGGTACTGCTCGAGAACCTCAGCCACCGAGTACTCTGTGAGACCGGTGTTGTTCTTGACCAACATCTCCTCCTCCATCCAGGCGAGGAACTGAATGAGAGCGGCGGCATCACGAATATGACACTGACGGAATCCCTCTACTTCGGTTGCATTCTTGATGGCTTTGGCCAGCAATATTGGATTGGTCTTCTCAAAGAGGTGTTCCTTCTGGACACTGTTGTAGATGGCCAAGCTAGATCTTGGGTCCAACCAGATCTTCTTGTTCTCCGAGCAATATTTTCTGAGCACGGAAAAGATGCTGTCATATGGCAGAATCTCAACGCCAGCCAACTCTTTTCTGACATCGGTTGGAATCTTTGTTTCATCGACAAACAACTGGACATTCTGTCTTCCAACAATAGCATATGAAAGGAATACTGGATTGAAAGAAATATCAGATCCTCTTAAATTGAATAGCCCTAAAATGAAAATGAATAAATAAATAAGCGAGAAAAAATCGTTAATTATCAAACTCTAGTTTCTTTTCATATGCGCGATTCCAACTTCCGCCGCGTCGCACGGAATCTTCAGGTACTTACATGCAATTTCATCGAGTGCAGAGATAACCATGTAGTCTGCATTCTCTTTGACAAGACTATCTTGTTGGATGTCACGGATTTTCTCGGACGATGCTTTTCCAGAGAACTCGACTGGTAAGAAGAAGATTGGGTTGGCTGGGTAGCCTGGTACTGGCTCCTCGCTGGCGAATTGCTCTCTCACCTGATCGATAAGGTTGACTTCGGAGGTTTCAACGGTTTGACCAGACTTCTCAACTGTCGATTTGAACTTGTCGAAAGCGCTCTTTGAGATGAGACGACTGTCCATTCCGACACGTGTGTTGGCGGGCATGGTGGTGGCGATCCACTCCTCGATCGTTGGTTCGCCGGCGACACGATCTTTCATTACCTTCCAGGTGGCGTCCAACTGCTGTGACGCTTGCAGCCAGTAGCGACCGTCGGTCCAGAGCAGACGGTGACCTTCGCTGGTGATGACGGCGGCACCAGAACTACCGGTGAATCCACTGATGTACTCACGACGTTTGTCACGCACCGTTATATACTCTGACTGATGAGCGTCTTCACTTGGAATCACATAGACATTCAGCGATCGAGCTGCCATCAACTCTTTCAATTTCTCAACTCTGCGTTGAATCGATACAATGGGTGGTGTCATTGTTATTGAACTACTATTAAAACTATTATTACTATTACTACTATAATATCTTATTGAATTGCTATATGATACTTTTAGATTATTAAATTTGTTGCCTAATGATCTTAACATATATATGTTAGATTCTTTATAAATAGCTTCTCTGATATGAATGAAATTTAATCAATTCCACAAAATTAATTAAATTTAAAATAAAATTTAATATTTTGATTTTTTGTTTTAAACACATCAAACAAAAATTAAATAGTGTGAAGTTCATTGTAAAAATTGATTAACTTTTCCAAAAAATAAATTAGATTTAATTTAATTTCATTTAATTTAGTAATGATTAAACCATTAATAACTCAATAATTCATTATTTTTAAAATTTATCTTTTATTAATTTTTTTTTTTTAAGATAAAATACAAAAAAATAAAGTTTAAATTAATTATTGTTTCATTGATAAATTCAAATTTATTGAGTTATTTTCTTTTTTTTACAACTTCACAAAAGTAGAAAAATAGATACACCAAATAAATTAAAAGGAAAGTGTAGAATCTATTCCAAAATGAAAAATCAGCTTTCTGTAGATTAATTATTATGATTTTAAAACATTTATTAAAAACGAATAATCTTTTATCATTAGATGGGATTTTCTTAATAAAATCAAATATTTTACCTGTATATCTATTGTTTTTGTATTAGAATTTTTCTGAAAATAAAGGAATAAGCTTTGAAATATCATTTAAATATATTTTTAATACAATGTCCAACAATTATGAAGAGTCTTTAGATTTCTAAATAGTTCTTTAAACCTTAATAATAAATTATTAATTTTATTAAAAAGATATTCCACTTTCACTCAAAAAGATTTTAAGAGGGGAATTGAAATTAGAGCTATCAATCCACCATTCTTCAACCGAGTAGTAGAAGGAGAAATTTATTTTTTTCACTTTTCTTCTGCAGAGGTAAAAGAACAACTATTCTTTTTTTTTCATGGACATGGTATGTATCCATTGATATCAATTTTACATTTTAACAAAATCATATGTATTGACTTCAGTTTTTTAATAGATGTAGGAGATCCAGTGTTTCATGAAGTAAATATACTTTTTGATTACAAAACAAAAAATAGTTCCAATAGGGAAAGAATTCGCCAGTCTAGCTTCGCAATATAACAAATAGTATCTCAAGTCAAACTTTTCTTAGATAGTCTCAAGCTCAAAATTCTATATCTTAATATAAAAAAATTTAATTTTCCTTTTCTACACTATTATATCATCCTCTAAAATTATTTTTTGAATAAAAGAAATGAGACAAATTTAATCTATATAAACAATTTTCAATTCAAATTATTCAGTTTATCTATTCTACTTCTATTTGTATCTAATCTTGTTAATCTATGTTATCTTTTAAACTAAAAAATTAAATTAGGAGTACCTTTGTTACTATAACAAATTATATTGATAATGGTAATGATACAATTAATTTATTCTTGTTCATCCTCTACGTTGTGAGCATGTTTTCTCTCTTCGATAGAGACAGCTTGTAAGTCCAATTTGGTTAGTTGAGGGAATCGACTTATGATATAAATTCTATAGTTATAATGATGATGTGGTACTTTATGTGGGCAAGGATACTCTTCATTGTCAATCAAATTTAATGATGTTAAATAAGGTGAACTTTGCATTAATCTAAATAAATAATTATAATGATATAGTCAATATGCATATTACTTAAAACTAAAACAATAAACCAATATAATAATATAATAACCAAAGCTTACCTCTCAGTAAATAATGATACCTTCGGGAAATTAATTAAATTGTTGGACAAGTCAAGATTTTGAAGTTCTGGAAGTGTCGGAAAAACTGTATGTTCTGTCAATTGATTGTTATTCAATATTAATGATTCCAATCTATAGAATCCATTTAAGAATTCTATATTACTAATAATAGATAGATACAATTGTAACAAAAAGATTAGTTAAATGTTCAATATTGATAGTTGTTGTTGACACTTACGTCAATGCATTATTTGAAAGATCTAAATGTTTTACGAAATGACGGAATTTCGGTATGATTGTAAATGGCTGAAGGAATGATTTACAACGATCGAGTGCAATCTTTAGTTTACCACGGTGATCGGACGGTGTGAAGCAGAATGGCACTGCCGTTGTTTGTTGTACAATGTTCTTTGATCCATTCTGCTTGCAGACAATATAGAAATGAGTGATTGCAGCGTCACCCCAGATGGGACTATTGAACTCGAGCACTCCAGGTGCGATAGGCAATGCCAATATCTCAATGCCACCTTCAAACACCGCCCAAAATGAAAAGTACATCGAAGATTGCTTAGAGTTCTTTGCAAAACAATCGAACCCATTCACCAAACATATAACCTTTGATTGTTCAAGAGATGGTGATGTATCTGGTGTATATGATGATATTGATGCTTGTTGTTGTGGTTGTTGTTGTTGAAGTTGTGATAGAATTGGTTGAGTTTGTGTTTGTATTATACTATTATTATTATTGCTACTATTAGCTAATATAGTATTATTATTTGTGGTAGATGTTGTAGTTGTTGTCGTTGATGTTGTATTATTATTATTATTATCATTGTTATTTATAAAATTAGATTGTACATTTAAATAAGAGTTATTATTGTTTGTTGTTGTTGTAGTTGTTGGTGTAGGTGATGATGTTGTAGTTGTTGTAGTTGTCGCTGCAAGTGGTGAAAGTGAAGGTGAAGATGGTGTGTTGTTGTTGTTGTTGTTAGTTAGTCGACCAGTATGATCATTCAGAAGTTGCAAGAAACTGTTGGTGTTGTCAGTGAAGAGTGAGGTGTTGCTCAGTGTTGACAGCAATGGTTGATTTCCACTAGTAGAGTTTGTCAGCATACCGCCTGGTGTTGAGAATACATTGTTGGCTACAACGCTATCGTGTGTTGACCAACCACTGTCTGTAAAATCTAAAAAGTAATTGTCGTCGGTCGTCAAATTCGAAGAGGGTGTTGAACTTGCAGTAGAATTGAAACCGTCACCCAATTGATATGGATTAGAACCAACACCACCAACACCACCACCACCACTATTTAGTCCATTATAGGCAAGTGGTGTGGGTGGCTGTGTAAACTCTGGTGACGATGAACTCGAAGATGATGTCATATTTGGTGAATTATTATTATATAATATATTACTATTATTATTTAATGTTGTATATGTTTGCTGCTGCTGTTGTAGTTGTTGTTGTTGTACATTTAGAATATTGTTATTATTATTATTATTATTATTATTATTGTTGTTATTGTTATTGTTATTCTTTTTCTTTTTAAATAGATTTAAAATAGTTGATGAAGATATAGATGATAAATTGAATGGTGATTCTCTCTTTTTACTATTGTTATCATTTGAACTATTATTATTATTATTATTATTGTTGTTGTTGTTGTTATTTATATTTGATGTTTGTGAAATATTTGATTTCTTTGTATTAATATTATTAATGTTATTATTTGTGTTTATGTTATTGTTATTGTTATTGTTGTTATTGTTATTGTTATTATTAATATTTTGAATTGATTCATCTGTATCAACTTCAATATTAATTGTATCTTTGTTTTCGGCTGCAGGACGTGTTAGGTAGTGAACGAGGATGGGAAAATCCTGAACACATAGTCGCTCACTGTATTTCTCCTCGTTGCTTGTACTGTCATCGAGATGTAGGTTGCTGTTGTCGTCTTCGAGCTTGAGCAGATACTCACGCTTGATCAACTTGTACTCAAACTTGCGCCAGAATATTCCATTCTCGCAGACACCGCCATAGGTCTGACGACGCATCACGTGTGATCCTACATCTTTCTTGTGTGTCTTCAACTTGTAACACTGTTGGTCGTCGTTGAATATGATCATTCGAACGTTGGTCTTTGTCTTTGCCCAGCGAATACCATCGTTGGCGTAGTAGGACGCCGCTGTCTTATCGAAAAGATAGAGGAATCCCTTGGCGACAGTGTTGTTATTTGGCTGGCCTGCAATCACCGCTGGCGAATGTGCTGAGTGCGACACCAGAGTAGCCGGTGGATTCTTCAGAACCGAGTGAAATATTGGAAAAAGCGTAGTTCTGATCTCACGATCCAACAACGAATGATCAATCTGATTCAACTCATCCGATGTCAATTCTTTATCTCGCAATGAATGACTTATTAAATTTGTAACATTTATACTATTATTCGTATTTGTATTTGTATTATAATTATAACCATTATTATTTATATTATTATTTTGATTCTGATGATTATTATGATTATGATTCAAATTCATCATATGATCTCCGAAATTAGGTATCATATTTCCATTAGCACTCTTTTTACCACTACTACTTTTCTTGTTTTTGATCATTAAAAATTAATTTAATAAATATATCTTTTTTTTTTCTTCCTTTGCTTACTATCTATACTACTATGAAAAAATGAAAAGAAAGAATAGATTGTTGATGTTGATGGTGATTGATTGATTGATTGATGATTTAATTTTCTTTTGTTTTAAGTCAAAGTTACTTTCTTTGTTTGCAAAGAAAATTGTTTGTTTTTTTTTGAATGGTGATTTTGATATTGTCAAAATAAAAACTATATGCTTGGATATCAATAGAATTAATATGACATCTGAATCGTATTAATAAACTATGAAGATGTAGACAAAATTTTGTGGTTGTTTAAAAGAGAAACAAATTCTCTCTCATAATTTGTGTTTTTTTTTTTTTTGTAATTTTTTCTTAAATGGTGGTTTTGAAAAGTTTTTCAACTTTTGAATTCTAAAAAAATCTTATTTTTTTTTTTTCAAAGATTTGATGATATCATATTTTGCACTTTAGATATACATTAATTTGGATCAGACAACGATACAAAGTCAAAACAAACAAATAAAACATTGAAAATTACAAATTAAACAAAATTAGAGTTTCTATTTTATTTTATTTTAATTTTTTTTTTTTTTTTTTTTTTTCAAAGATTACTTGTTTTTAAAAGAAAATTGTATTTTTTTTTTTGATTTTTTTATATTGAAGATCTATATGAATTTAAATAAAACAGTGGGTGCTTTATTAAGATTTGTCATGACTGATAATAATACTATTGATGAAGTTGAAGATCACGATGATGATCATCAGCTTATTGACAAAAGTAATAATAACAATAACAATAATATAAATATATTTCAAATAATAGATACATTGAAGAGATCAAATGATATTGGTGTTGTTATCGCTAGAATAGATCAATTATCAAGTTTAATAAGAGATAGCAGTAACAACAACAACAACAACAATAATATAAAAAATTATTCATCCATATTGGATGTATTAATTAATGATGTATATCCAAATTGGTATCAAGCACTTCCAGATAAACAAAGAACACAATTTCAATTGTTGTTCCTACCTTTCAATTCACCAAATCTTTATTTAGATGCCTATATATTTATAACGTATTATCTCGATTCAAATATCAACAACGATAACAACAATAGCAACAACAATGATCAACAATTATTATTTATTATAAATCTATTATCAAATAAATTAAATTATAATCATTTATTTGAATCTATAATAATAATATCAAACAATAACAATAGCAATAGCAATAATAATAATAATAATAAAAGTCAGATAGATCAAGTTGTAATATCAATAGCTACATTACCAGATAGAATTAGAAATATATTATTTAGATTAAAAAAGAATAGCAATAATAGTAGTAGTAGTAAAAGCAATAATAACAATGATTTATATGATAGCTTTGAATCAATGTTTGTATTATGTTTACACCAATATTCATTAATAAAATATTTCTTACTAATATTATTATAACATTTAAATGAACACTAGTGTATATTTCAATAATATATATAGATATTTAGTTACATATATCGATGAGCTTCCATTGATAGTTAAACAACGATCACTATCAGCAGGGAATGTTGAATCTAATTTAGTTGATTTTCTAAGTGCATTCCTATCAAAAGTTATAAAGATTGGTTATCATGGTATGGAGTGTAATTAATAATAATAATTTATTATATTAAGAATTGTTAATTAATATACATTCATTTCACAGATCAAATAGTTGGAATATTCATACAATCATTATTCAATAATCAAAAGTATATAGATGTAAAGATAAAGTTGATTTCAAATACACTTTTATCTATCTATGGTAGTGGATTAGATAGATTATTAGATACTTTAGTAATTTATTTACCTAAATGTATGTTGTTAATATAAAATAATTAATATTAACTTTCTATTCTAACTTTTGATTTATATCTAAAATTTAAAATCTAATAGTTAAACAATCAATTTATTATAATATTATATCTGTATTTAAATTAATATATAAACAACAACAACAATCAATGATAATATCGATAGTTACAAACAAACTACTGGTAAATAAATATTATAGTATAGATGTACAAAATTATCTTTTACATTTATTATCTTCCATTGGTATGTTAACATTTTATAATTTGTTTATATTATTATTCTTTAAAAGTTTAACATATTTTAACTAAACTCTTTTATGTTCAACTTATATATATATATATTGGATAGATAATTCGATTTTAAAGATATGTTTAAATAATATATTAAAGAGTTGGTCTGATAGTTATTATATTAGACATTGTACAGTTGAACATCATTCAAGTAAATACTAGTATCATATATATATATTATCATATGATTTCTCTTTATTAATTAGTTATTTATTGTGATGTATAGGTTTAACAAGATCATTAATTTACTTTTTAAAGAATACTAGTGTGGAACAACTTGAAGAGTATCAAGTGAAACCATTGTTTTTAAAGGGTATAGATGTACATTTAAAATCAACCATTCAAAATGTAAATATCGAGGGAATGCTGTTGGCAGAGGTATTCTCTAGTTTCATAAAGTCAGAGACACCATTGTTATTCGATCATCTCACCTCTCAAGAAAGATCTTCATTAAATTTGGATTTCAATTTGAATGATGATAATAATAATAATAGTACAACAGAAACAACAACAGAAACAACAGAAGCAACAACAATCATCAACAAAAATAGCAACAAAAACAAGAAACAACAAGAAGAAGAAGATAGAAAGAAAAAGATACAAATGAAATTGGAGAAAGAGTTTAGTAAATATGATGATCCTGATATGATTGTAGAGGATAACGACGACGACGATGATGAAGATGGCGATATTGATAGTATTACAAGAGTAACTGAGATTGATGAATCATCTGATGGTAAACAAATATTAGATAGTGACGATGATCTTAAACCCTATAATTTAGAAGATGATGAATCAGATTTGAAAGCTGTCAAAAAGAAATTGTATGTATAACAAAATAATGATTATATTTAAGCGATTGTTATCAACACAATTATTTCTGTTATTCATCTATTAGATATCTAAGAGATTGTATGATGGAGTTTCAAACAAATAAACATACAGCAGAGTCGTGGGAGAGCGCTTTGATATCGATTGCATCTATAGTTTGGTCGAATCCCGATGACTTGGATGAACTGAGTGAGTCTGTAACCAAGTCGCTGTTGCACCTCACCAATGAATATGGTGTGGATAATTTCGAGGTGGTTAGACACGAAGCGTTGGTTGCACTCGCTGTCAATTCCACCAAAATCGTTGTGAAATACTTGACCGATTGCTTCTATCAGAACACCTTTAGTTTGGGACAGCGACTTGAGATTCTCTCGGTGCTGACAGACGCAGCACAAGAGCTCTCTGGCTACAAAGAGGAGAAAGCCAAACAGATGCAAGACCAACAGAAACAAATCCATGAAAAGCTCGCAAAGAACAATCCATTTATTCTACAACAACAAAATAAACAACAACAACAACAGCAATCAAACATACCAACTCAGTTTATTGGAATTACAAGACGTTGGGGTGTTCCGACCAGACCAAAACTTCAAGCGAAAACCAACGTATTCCATCAATTGTCACCAATGTTTTTCTATCCATTTTTATCAAAATATGATAAAGTTACACAAAGGTAAGTTGCTCGTTATTATAATAGAAATATGATTGGTTGATTCAATCTAGATTCTAATCATATTTAAACTATAGTTATTCAATAGATTTGAAGGGATTCGATATATTCTTGTTATGTAGGTTAATACATGCACTAGCTGTATTTGTAGAGTGTTCTGGTAATTCTCTTCACACGAAAGACATGGCAAAGGAACTCTATAAATTTATATGGCCGCTTAGATATCATACAGACATATCAGTTAGACGAGCAATCATATTCAGTTTCTCAAGAATATTCTATACCATTTCCAATGATATCATCAAAATCGACTATCAAGATGAAATTGAAGAGTTAAGCTCATGGTTAATAGGTAATTTTATTATTACTGCTATTTTTATAGCGAATTATTTAAAGAATTATTAGGAGATTTAACTAATTTAAAAATTTTATTATTATTAACGACCAATAATCGAAACATTTATTTATTTATTGGCACCAATATAATTCTCATTTTTTTTTAGATATTGCAAATAATGATGCTGATAAGGATTGTAGAGTAATGTCAATGGGTGTATTATCAAAGATTTATGAATCTTTTCATAAATAATAATCGAAATAAACAATATCAATATTATTATGTGAAAGATCAAAATATATTAATCAAAATTAATCATATTAATTATCACGACAATCACAACAGGTAACAATATTTTTAAAACTGTCTTATTAACTTGAAACGAAAAGATAAAAAATATTTCATTAAATCGTTACTTAAAATGGTTATTGTAGTAATAAAATTAAAAATTTGATATGGTATTATAAATAGGTTGGTGGAGTGATTTTTTTAAAAAAGTAAGTATGAATACGGTTAGGTTAGGTAATACCTTTTAAAATTGGTAAAATCATTATCATCAATTATTCTTTTAAATTGATTATGAAACAAAAAATATGAGCTGTGTTAGCAGATAGTAGATTGGGTTAGTTGTGATCATGCGGATACTTGGAAAAGCTACTGATAAAAACAAACATAAATGCGATCCAAAAAAAAACAATTGGATTGACAATATCAATGGGTTTCTAATACCTCCCGATATTTCTTGATTCTCACATATCTCCCTCGAATATTTATTTATAAACCGGTAACAAGATTCTTGTTCTAAAATTAACATTTTAGAATTATAATAATCAAATCAACTGACACTTCAATAATTTATTAAGAATTCAACTATCACAATTGAAAACAGTTTATGGACACGATTTCAAATAACTTAAATTAATAGTCCAGCTATTTAACAAAAATTAAAAATATTCGAATAATATCAACATTCAGTGAATCAACAAAATATCAACCCAAAGAAATAACCAACAAGTTAATCTACAATGAACACCAAATTAGTTAATCAAGAACAGATTTCTGAGATTGGGCAACAACACTGGTCGAAGAAATCCAACAGTATAAATACCATGGAAATCCACTATGGAAATTAATTAATTATTCAAAATTATTCAACATTATTATATGTTTATATGTATATTATAATATGATATTATTACCATTGTAAAATAACAATTCTACATACTCTGGTCTTTACTTCTATCATTTCATCGATGTTTGTCTACCTTGTACCATCTGGATGACCTGTTAGTTTTCAACGCAACTAAAAAGAGGTCATTCCTTTGGATATGGAGATGGAAAGTAAGACTACGGAGATAATTAGTTTTAAAGCATTGTGTTGTTGTTAAGTACTTACTAATTAATATTCATTCAGATGTAGTGCTTGTTTTTGCCAAAATAAAAAGTATCCTTTCCACTGAGTCTTTTCATACCACCAAAGGTTTTACAAAGTTTCAAGCTTTTGATTAGAGAGCAGCTTGTTGGAAAGCTGTTGATTTTAAGTGTTGAGCTCAGTGGCAGAGAAATTAGTACATGGTTCCTTCATGCACTTGGCAGTGATTATATCTACGTGATAGTAACTGCTGGATCTAGTAGATTTATCTTGTGGATTGAGTGGAAATAGAAAGTAGGAGTTATCAATTTCAAATCTTACACTATTCTTTATGATAGGATTTTAAAAGTTGTTTAATGTTTTGTTTATTTAAAATTAAATTAAATAAACAATTTAAATTTAATTTGTTTAAAACTAATAAAAAAAAAAAAAAACTAAACAACTTTTAATAAATCTTTAAAATTAAAATAGGATTGTCTTAATAATGAAGTTGGTTTTGGTTGATCAACCCTATTCGATATCTCACATCTTGGCATTTCAATTTATAAAAATATGGAAAAACAAGTTTTATTCCATTATTTTTTTATTGATATTATATTTTTAAATTTTAAAAGGAGCAACAGCACATCCATTAATAAAATAGTGACGTTCAAATCTATGTTTATATCTATAATGAATAATAATTGGACTATTATTCACATTTACTATTTTAAAAGAAGTTGAAAAATTTCCAGCAGGAATAGTATACTTGTTAAAATTCTTGTAAAAAGGATATCTAGTACCATATTCATTCTTAATATCGTCTCCTTGTTGCACATAAAGCTCACCATGCGTAACATCAATTTTATCTAAAATATTATTTATTGTTAATTTTTTAGTTTTAAAATAAATTGTAAATAAATTCATACCAAGATATCCTTTTAAAGATATAGTTCTTTCATTTCCATTCACATGAATGACAGCTGAGGTAAAATTAACCTTTGGCGCACGGAATCCTCTATCATTGGTATGACATGGAGTCAACTTTAGATTATAATCTTTTGCTGTGATTACAAAAACCAAAAGAGAAAAAATAAATAAATTGAATATTAATTTCATTTTCAAATACTAATTAAAAGAAAAAAATAATTTTGAATTATAATTTTTATAATTCAATTTCAATTTATAGTTTTTGATAAATTGAAATACAAGTTTATAAAATAAAATAAACAAATCAATTTTTTTAGAATTTACTAGTATAGATGAAGTGTTGACCACCAAATTTTAATTTTTTTCCATCTGGTTTAAGGTTTAGAGTTAAACTATTAGAATTATTGATAAAATAAAAAGTAGGTGGATCTATTGATAATCGGATAAATTGGTATATTATTAAAAATGATAAAATAAAAGGAAGTATCTTGCTTGATTTAAAAAAATACTAGTGTAAGAAGGGTATTTTTATTGTTGTTTTTATAGAGTGAATAAAACATTGAGATAAATTGATTGCCTCTAACATCATATTGTACGGAGGGTTGGACATATGATCATTTAACACGGTGTAGATTAAAAGTAAAGTATAAATTATTATTTTTAAAATAATGAAGAGAAACAACAACAACTTGATCATTATCTGTTGGTATTAACATTATCCTTTAGTGTATACAGTAACATACCTCATGATATGCTTAGAAACTACAATCACTTAACATCACAACTATAGATTGAGAGATGACCAGATTGTCAGTTTATAACAATTTTATTTCTTGATTGAAATATATATTTAAAAAGTGAATAGTTACATTTCGTATTTAAATTTAACCAATAATCTTATCACAATTGTGCTGGTTAATGATGTTGACCATATATATTTATTGTTATAATAAATGTCAATCTCTTTATTATCACATTCTCAGTTTTACATCTTTTCAGATAGAAAACAACAACATCCAACCAAAACAAAAAATGCTTTTCAATTTGCAAGACATTTTAAAAGTAACCATTGTGGTAATAAAAGATGGAAGTAAGTTGGGTGTGAATAAATAACCTTATAAAATATCAGTCCACATGTACTTTATTTTGCTATATGATATCAGTGAGTTTGGTTGTTGTTGTTGTTGTTGTTGTTGACATATCAAATACATATTTTTAAATTCCCTTAATATTTGCATAACCCCTGATCACTGGGTGGTGTTGAGAGAGTGTACAGCGCTAATTTATATATGAGAGAGTGATAAATATTATATGATATGTGTTGTTTGATTCAATTTGATTTTTGATCGATATTGTGCTCATACAAGCTTCTATTTTTTTCAATTGTTTAGGGTGGTTAGTGTAATAATAATGATGATTAAATTTGAAATTAAAAGTTTTTTATCATATCGAGTGTTGTTGTGTGCTAATTTTATTTTGTGAGGAAATTTTGTGATTTGATTGTGATACAGATTGTGTATTGAGTTTTAAGTGGTGTGTGGTTTCACCAGAGTTTGAAATAAATAATCAAACTAATGACAAATCCAGAGACTGACGAATTAATTTATTTTGATGATTACTTTCAATTCTATTAATTTGATGAAAGGGAGGTGGTGATCGGGGGTAATATAATGAATATAAATGTGGACGTTTAAAAATAAATATGTGTAGGAGTAGAAAGATGTTAACTCCCATTTTCATTTAATCAAGATTGTTGAGCTAATGAGAAAACAGCTGCTTTAAAAATTGTGGTATGTTGAGGTGTAGGGAGAAACTAAAAACACAACCACTCTTTACCTTGCCTGTATTCATATTTTTATATACATTGTTTATCTTTTTAATTTGGTGGTTCAAAGTGGAAATGGAACATATGTGTAGTAGTAACTTTATAACTTGAAAATATCTACTGTTGTTGTTATTGGTAAATTGATAGATTTTCGTTTTGATTATCAGAGGAACAAAATATAACAACACCTAATATTATCAACAACAACAACTAAAAAACTCTGCTTATCCATACAAGTTTGTCTGTTGTTGTTAAATAACAATTCCAAAAATATGATAAAATTGATAAATCACAATAACATTTGTTGAATCTGTTGCTGATATCACATATGGATTATCATATGATCATAGGTTAAATAAATATGTTTAATGTGGGATGATGGATGGTGGCGTAATGTGGTGGTTTTAAATGTTAGTGGTTGATGGCACCTATTGATTTTTACCCTTTTTGTACAATTAATGATTAAAATTCAATTTCCTTCCGACTATATATAGAGGTACTTGAAGTCAATTTGAATCCATCAAATCATTATTTAAATTTTATATATTATAAATATATAAAAACAAAACAATCTTTTTTCCTTTAAAGAAATAACTAATATTTTTTTAAATAATATTAGAATGAATAAAAATAAAATCATTATATTAATAACCTTACTACTGTGTAGTTGCTTTGTAAAAGGTAAATATTTAAAAGAATTGGAATATTTATAAAATATATAAAAACTTACTTACCATTTCCATTATCATTGATTTTCTTATTTAAATAATTTACAGCTGAAGTTGAAAATACAGAAAATTGTGGAGAGAATTGTGGTCAGACTTGTACTTTTAATTTTGAGTGTGCCTCTTTCAATGCTTGTCAACAAGGAGCCTGTTTAGGTGGTAGATGTTCAGTCGTCAGTGTAAAATGTCCAGAATTGCGTTGCGGTGTCAATGGTACATGTAATGCCATGACTGGAAAATGTCAATACAATTGCGCAAGTGCCACCTGTTGTGACGACGGTAACGCCTGTACCAAAGACTCATTCAGTGCAACCAGTGGTTGTGCCAATACTCCAATCCCAGGTTGTTGTAATTCCAACAGCCAATGTACCAATACCAATCCATGTACTACCAATGCCTGTGTAAATAACAAATGTATAGCCTCTCCAATTGCCGGCTGTTGCGAGTGTGACAACGACTGTGACGACAACAACAAATGTACCAACAACAAGTGCTCCAACGGAAAATGTGTTTCCACCCCAATTCCAGGTTGCTGCAGCAAGAACTCCGACTGTCCATCCGACAAATGTAACACCGGATACTGTGGATTCGACAACAAGTGTTCCAGCCGTCCAACTGGTAAATGTTGTACCTCCGACAAGGGTTGTGACGACAAGAACTCATGTACTCTTGACAAATGTAACGCTGACGGTAGCTGCAGCAACACGCCAATTCCAAACTGTTGCACTTGCGACACTGAATGCAAGAGCGATGCCTGTTCCACTGCCTCCTGTAGCAACGGACAATGTGTCACCAAGCCAAAGAACTGTGATGACGGTAACAAATGTACTTCCGACTCGTGTAGCAACGGTAAATGTACCAGCACACCAATTCCAAACTGTTGTAACTCTGTCTACGATTGTAAGAACGGTCCATCATGTTCTACCGCCAGCTGTATGAACAACCAATGTTCCTACAAACCAAAGGATTGTAGCGATGGCAACATCTGTACCTACGATTCATGTAACAACGCCACCAACTCTTGTAATAACGTCAACATTGCCGGTTGTTGTAACACCGCCAATGACTGTGCCGCCAACTGTCCAGCCTGTTCCACCGCCGTCTGCTCCGGTAACAAATGTACCTACACTCAAATGGTTTGCAATGACAACAACGCCTGTACCTCTGACCAATGTGATGCCGCCACCGGAAAATGTAAATTCACCCCAATCCCAGGATGCTGTAGCAACGCCAACGACTGCGCCAAGAATGCTCCACCATGTACCACTCCATCATGTAACGGTAACAAATGTACCTATATCCCAATGGTTTGTAACGATAACAACGAGTGTACCAACGACCAATGTGATGCCGCCACCGGAAGATGTAAATTCACCCAAATCCCCAACTGTTGCTCATGCGACGACGACTGCAGAAACGGACCATCCTGCTCAGTCGGATCGTGTTCCAACCGTCAATGCGTCTACAAGACCAAGAATTGCAATGACAACAACGCCTGTACCTACGACAGCTGTTCGAACTCAACCAACCAATGTACCAATACCCCGATAAGCTGTAATGACAACAACGCCTGTACCACAGACTCCTGTGACAAGGTCACTGGCTGCTCAAACAAACCAGTCGACTGTGTCGCCAAGGATGCCTGCCACCGTGCATCATGCTCAAATCAAGCTGGTTGCGTACAAACTCAAATCACCTGTGACGACAACAACAAGTGTACCACCGACTATTGTGATGCCGTCAAGGGTTGCGTCTTTGTGCCAATGAACTGCAATGACAACAACATCTGTACCTACGACAGCTGCTCGAACAGCACCGGCTGCAGTCACACCAACATCGCCGGTTGTTGCGCTTGTGACAACGATTGTGACGACAAGAACAAATGTACCGACGACTACTGCAAGGACAACAAATGTTACCACAAGGACAACGGAAACTGCTGTAAGGTCGACACCGACTGTAAGGCACCAGTCGACGCATGTTCGATCAGAGCATGTGCCAACGGTATGTGTGTATACAACCAAATGAACTGTGATGACGGTTTGGATTGTACCAACGATTTCTGTTCCGCCGGTGTCTGTAAACACACTTGCAAGAGTTGCAACTAAAAACATTTAGAGAGTCATCTCCATATATATAAAAACAAAATATAACATAATACAACAACAACAACCAACTCTACAAAATTGTCATATGATAATAATAATTAATTTTTAAAAAAAAAAACAAAAACAAACAAAAAAATAATCAACAAACCATTTTTTTCTTATATTTTTTAAATGTATATTCAAAAAATTTGTATAAATATAATATAATGATATTTATAACATCAAAGCATAGCTTATATCAATAAATTCTTTTTTTTTAAATCTAATCTAAATTATATTTGCTAATTTGAGATATTATTGAACACCAATTAATTAATGATTGTGTTTTTTTTTTTTTTTAAGTATATAATAATTATATAAGTATATAATAATTATATAAGTATATAATAATTATATTAATATATAATTAAAATAGACAATTAACTTTTTTTTTAAAAAATTTAAAAATAACCAAATAAATTTGTCTTTTTTTTTTTTTTTTTTGGAACCGTTAATAGATATAATATTATAAAAGTTTAAAATCAATGTTATATTTTAATATAACAATCAATAACTTTGTATAGTTAAAAATAAACATGTTGTTTATTAATTATAATTATAATTATAGAAATATATTGTTTGTAATAAAGTTATTTCTATTTTTATCTTTAATTTGTAGTTATAGTATAGTTCTTTGTGATTTCTCACCGGATTCATACGATGATGGTAAAATATGTTATGGATCAAACGCTACTTCTAAACAATTAGTTGGTGATTCAAATGTATGTTGTTATAATAAAAATCATACTCCATTAAAAAAAACTTTGTTTTGTTTTTAACAACATTATTAATAATAATAATAATAATAATGATGATGATGTTTAGGTACCGGATATGTGTGAATTCTTATACGACGATGATAGATCTAAAAAGAAATCTGCAACGACATCGACTTCACATCATCGGCTGTCATGTTGTTTGCGTTCGAACAAAGAGAGATTCGAGAGGAGAATCGATAACATAAAGAAACAGATATATGCACCTCTCTATGATTGTCAGGGTTGGCCTCTCGATGACTCATCGGGATACAGCTACGTCGAGAGGAATGGCGATACACCCGATCTGACCACTGGCAACCAGACGGTGGTCAATGTTCTCGATACGCGTCTGCATGTCGCTACGTGCATGTCGCATCTGCTCGCTGTCCAGTGTGTGCTGTGCTCGCCCGACCAGCTCAGCATACTCGGTCGGCCCGCGACAGAGCTGATTCCGCGCGCCTGGGACAAAACAGACAATCGCACGAACCTACCACAACCACTGTTCTTCTACGACTTGGATCGCACGAGAAAACTCGGCAAACCGATGGTGTTGTGCGACAGCTACTTTGAGCAGCTCAGCAAGATCTGTGAGCATCTCACACTGAGGAACGAATCGTTTACCAACTCTTTCCTGTTGAACAAGTTTGGCGGGTTGATTACCACTGGGCCGGGACTGCCTTCCAAAGAGCAAGTCACAGAGATTCACTCGGCAGACGGCACTGACTATCTTTTGGTATCCGATCGCAACTGTTACACTCGGCCACTTCCCGAGCTGGAACCACCGAAGTGCACATTCATCGTCGACAGAAAATGGCGTGCACAATTCAATATAAATCAAACAATTCCCAATCACTCTTCAACATTGTCGTTGAGAAATAATCTGTATATTTTATCATTATTAATACTTTCAATATTAATAATAATTATAACATAACTTTACATATAATATAATAATATATATTTTATATAAAAAAAAAAACAAATGTACAAATAATACGAATAGTATAATAAAATAGTTTGTAATAAATTAATAAAATAACCAACATACAAACATGTTTGTATCTTCCAATTAATCAACAAATAAGGTGACATCAGCAACAGCACAGATCATAAAACTAAAAACAAATTAATTGAAAAAGGTAAAAAACCTTATGACCTTACACCAAAAAAAAAAAAAACAAAAAATAACACCAATATTATTACTGATATCACCTCATTTCTAAATTAAATTGAAAGTTGAAAGTTATTGATTACAATTAAAAATCATAGATTTATTTATTATTTTATTATTTTAATAACTTTGTTTTGAAAGATAATTATCGTCAAATGTAAATGAATGACATCTCAATATTTTTACTAATGCATCAATACATCAATCGGATGTTCAATCATAATCTCTAATTTTATCTTTTTTTTTTTTAAAACACGTAATTGTTGACCAATCCTATTAAAATTCCATAGAAGTGGAAAACGGAGTGTTTCTTGATTGGAATGGAAAAAAATTTTAATTAATTAATTTTAAATTGTTTTTTTTAAAATTTTGCAAAAATCTAATTAAGATAATAAAAAACACAAGAATCTGTTTATTTGTGTGTTTTAAAAATTATTGTCGTTTTTTTTTAAAAAAATTGTTAATGTTTTATTTATATTTAGTTTAGTTTAGTTTAATAGTTTTTTTGGGAAAGAAAGCAGCAAAGAAAGAAGAAAAGACATACTTTAATAAATTTAGTTGTTGTTTTTTTTTATTAGTTATAATGATATCATATAGATTACTACTGAGGACTTCGACGATATCATTGAAAGGAAGAAGAGGAATCATGAGTTCATCATCATCATCATCAACAACATCACCATCATTACCATATTCAACATCTGCATGTTGCTCAGCCAATCATATTAGCGAACAAAAGAAACAGGTCGAACAACTACAACAGCAACTCATTGAACAACAATTGAAACAACAACAACAGCAACAACAATCATCGGAATTCTGTAATCTCGATGCACAAAATCATTTGAAAAAATGTACAAGTATAGATAGTAATAATAAAACAACAACAACAACAGCTACTACAAATAATGTTGTATCACAACACAGTGCTGTACAACAACAACAAAAACAAGCGGTAAATCAACAGATACAACAGATAAAAGAGAAGAAGCTGAAGCCAAGTTTCTATCAGAGACCACTACCTGCACACCTCATTGCATTCTCCTCGGAGGAAGGAAGAAAACTCTTTAGAGAATCACTACAAGATGGTCACATGGAGGGTTATTTCTCATTGGCAGAACAATTTGTATCTCAAAGTGAACCTGCATGTATGTATATATATGAAATTTTTAAGTTTACAAACTAAAACAAACTTATCAATCAACAACCGTTCATAGTTTGTGGATTGGCAACATTGGCAATGGTTTTGAATGCTTTGAAAATCGATCCAAAGAGACTGTGGAAAGGTCCTTGGCGATGGTTCGCTGAGGATATGCTCGATTGTTGTGCACCTATAGAAACGGTAAAGAAGCGTGGTATCACATTCATGGAGTTTGCATGCCTTTCCAAGTGCAACGGTGCCAATATCAAATCGACGCGCGGTGACGACGCCACTCTCGAGCAATTCCGTCGCGATATTATCGAGGCGTGCTCCAAGCAGAGCGAACACCTGGTGATTTCATACGACCGAAAGGTTCTCGGTCAAACGGGATCCGGTCACTACAGTCCGATCGGTGGATTCCACGAGGGTCGTGATCTGGCACTCGTACTGGACGTCGCGCGATTCAAGTACTCGCCACACTGGGTTCCTGTGGAAGTTCTGTACAACGCGATGAAGGTGAACGATCCCGAAACTCAGAAACCAAGAGGTTACTTCCAGATCAAATCCGATCCAACCTACCAACCTTCGTTCTGCCACGTCAAGAACACACTGTCGTGGGCAACGATCGCCGACAAATTCACAAAGAATCTGCCCAAGATTCTCGAATCCGGCAATCCACAGACCATTCAGGACGTTGTGAAAATAACATTCAAGAATCTTCCACCGGAAACCATCTATGTTTTGTGTGCATACTCACATGAGCTGCACAAGAAGCTGATCAGTCCAGAGTCACGAATGACCTGGATCTCGTTTTTCGAGGAGATTTCCAAGTCGCCCGCTCACAAGCTACTGGACGAGATGATTAGAGCGGGCGATGTCGATTGGAGCATCACACATCAACACGACTCTCACAAGCAGCTGCGTGACATCTGCCATGACCATCCAACTGGTCTGGCCACCATTATATTCTTGGCATTCCCATCGGTCGTTTTCAACAAATTGCCCTATAAGCTGCGCGACGAGATGTCCACCCTCAGAAATCTCGATGGCATGAAGTCAGACTTGATTCACGAACTACTTACCATTCGTGAGGAAATGTTTCACGTGACACACAGACCATGTTTTTGTTCAGAGGAAAAAGATCAAACTTGTAATCCACATAGTAATCATGGTTGTGGAACAAATAATACTCATAGTTGTGGAACAACAAATAGTAATAATAACAATGACAACAACAACAACAACAATAATAATAGAAATTAATTTTAGTAATAGAGATATGGTATAGTATAGGAATTAAAAAGAATGGATATGGATAGGATAGGATTAGATTATTACCTATTGCGATTCTATTAAAATCTACAACAAACTCAACTATAGAAAGATTGAAAGATAGATAGCAATGAGATAGATAGAAGAAAAGAAAACAGTTTAGTATATCAATAATTATTATAGTAATAAATGTAAACAATTATATAAATTAAAATATCCCTCCTCTTCCTCCTTCCCTTCCCCTCCCTCCCCTCCCTCTCTACTACTACTACTACTTCAAACATCAACCTACCACCCTTTTTACATCCATTGTAATTGTAATTACATATATATGGTCCCTTTCCACTCGACTCAAACCAACCCAACCCAACACAACCCAACAACCCATCCCATTGCCAAATAACAAAAGATAAATAACGTTAAATCTTTTTTTTATTTTGTTGTTTTATTCTTTTTCGAAATGAACCAATCAATGATTCATTTCATATGTTTATATTATAAAATAATAATATTTCAATATAAAATTGAACAAATAAAAGATAATATAACATAATGAGCTTGCACATCATATCTTAAAGCAAACTTACAATTGATTGAAATGATTTTTATCTCCAAAACACATGTTCATTTACTAAAAAGGTTATAACTACACATGTTAATATAATATCAATATTAATGTGTATATGTTTTTTGTAAAATATAGAATATATATGGATAAATATCTTATTTACTATAAAAGGTTATATTGGTTTCAATAACAACTCTTATTGATTAGAGAACAGGTGATTCATCAATGATTATCGATTCTTTATTTTATCATCTATACTCTATGTTATAATGTATGATTGATTCCACTGCACTAATATAGTAAAAACATTCAAACTCTCTATCTTAATTTCATCTCAATAAACATTGGCTCCTTATAATAAAAAGATTTAATTAATTCAATTACCACATTGTCGGTTAGAAATTTGATCTTCAAAAAAATATTTATCTGATCACTTTTGAATAACAATAAAACACACACACACACAAAACTTTATCACAATAAAAATTGATTGTTAACAATCCCCCATTGTTTTTGTTGTGGTAATAACAAAAAAAATAAATAAAAAAGGGTGATATGGTATAGAAATAATTTTAAAACTTTTATAGGGTAAAATAATTTGTTTTAAAAATAATTCTTTATAGAAATAAATACAGATTAGATTTTAAAAGATATAAATATTTCCCATAAAATAATTATAATAAGTATCTGAGTTTTGATGATGAAATATTCTTTTTGAAATTTCAACAAAAATAGTAATAAAAAGATAAATATATTTTTTATCTACGAATTAATATTTATTATATCTAAAAAGATTACAAATGACGAGGAATAAAGTGATTTACAATCTTAAATTATCGAAATATTAATTTATTTTAAATGTAGCTCAAAGATATTGATAAAACATCTAATAACCTATTGAAAATGAATCTATCCAATAGGATTTTAGTTTGTTAATTCCTCTGTCCTATTAGAATTTAGATCAACTTTTCGAATCAATAGAGTTTTGTTTTTGTAATATAAATGATTCTTATCAATTTTATTGAATAGAATATACAAGGGAAAGTTGATATGAAAGGTTAACTATAAATTTTTGGTTTGATCATTATAGATCATCAGATAATGTAATTTTATCATTTTTACTTGTTACATTGTTTGTAAACTTTATTGAATACAAATTACATTCCTATATGAAATACAAAATAGAATAAACTAAAAATAAACCTCCCAAAGATATATATGATTTTAATTCCAATTGAAATGCTTTTTTTAGTAAATTAAATCAATTACTTATTATAAAAATAAACAACTTTTAAAACAAGAATTACTAAAATCAATCATTACAATATGAATGATAAATCTTTAACCTATTGATATTGTAAGACAAATATATGTGATCATGATATAAAAATCAAAATTCTTAACACACCTATAACAAAAGTACGAAAAGTGGTTGTAACAAGGTGGTTAAAATCGAAAGGTTATTTTTAAAGAATTTGTATTTAAAATGATTTATATAAAGAATAAATGTGGTGGTTGGGGTTTATTATAGTTGGTTGTATTTCTGTAACTGTTCCCCACTGCCAAATCTTTAAATTTAGATTTTAATTTCAAACTCTCAATAGATTACAACCAACAATATGAATAACGGGATTCTGTGATAAAGTTAATAAAAAAAGTTGGAAATAAAAATTACTCTGTAAAAACAATTTAAATATAGGTCAAAATTCTATTGGACAATCAAAATCAGAAATGGCTTATCTAGAGGATTATAAAAGGAATTTTTTTTAGTCTGACCATAACTCCATTTGGGGGGTGTTAAGGATAAAATAGTTGGTGATTTTCAAAGATTACTTTAGTTTGGGGTAATGTTAACTATTTGTTCTCTTCAAAAATAAGAACATTTCCACTGAGAGATCAACGATCACTATTTTTCGATGTATACAATCTCCATCTACTTAATATTACTAAACGAATTTGAAATTCAAAGCAGTAATCTCCTGATTCTATCACTGTTTATCAACAATTCATTTTTGTAGGTACACTATAATATTGTTTTCAAAATAAACAGTATCACTGGTAGAAATCAGTTACAACATTTAAATGTTGTTTGATTGCAATAAATACCCATTCCTTTGATATGTGATAAACGGATTGAAATCTTTTTAACAATTTGTGATTTATTAAAAAAAATAGTTGATCATTTTTAATTTTATATTAAAATAATTATTTAACTTTAGTAAAGATTCATCCTAATTTACTGGGGAGAGAATGATGTTTTTCTATATCTTTACAATCTATTACAAAGAGGTGTCTATAAAATAACCATATTTGATAATCTTGAAAATCAATGTTACTGGTTATTCACACCAAATGTATATGGCATTAGATACATTCATGTATCAATTTCATTTTATTCTGAAAAATGTAGGTACTTTTGAAGTAAAATGTGAAAACCCAATCACTTTATATATTAGAGGATAGATATTACCTTTAATTTAAATAATTGGATCACCACTCTGCAACAAAACAAAACAAAACTACCACTTCAAATTCAGTTGTGCGAGATTTATTTGTAAGAAATGTAGTGTCTCTTCATTTCTCTATAGATATTTGCTTTAAAGCAACATGTTTTATATTTATCACCAACCCCACTTTTATACAATTGACTGTTGATTTTCACCTCATATCAACAATCATCATCATCAATATCAACATCATCATCATTAATATCATTCTATCCAACAAATTATTCATCAATCAAATCATATGAATATAAGCACACTATATAGCCAGTGTTTGATTTGTGTGTTTACTATTTTTTTTTCTAATCACCACCCTGTTTCAAAATTCCAATATGTATAAAAAACAACCACAAGATAATTTCATAAGACATGACTCACACAAACACTCACACACATCACCACTATATCTAATACTATATATTCCCAGATAATTTTTATAAACAATTTCTTTTTGTTGCGACCGAATATAAATAACGAACCTGTGATCAGTTTCAAAACATAAAACAAAAACTCAAGAGAGAAACAAAACAAACAAACACTTCACCTAAAAAACTATAAAATTCCTGATTATTTTATATATATTTTTCCAAACCAAACCAAACCGATTTTTTTTTATATCTTTTATACTACACACATCCAATAAAAATGTTATACCGTAAGTTATTAAATATTAGAAAAGATATAATAACTATAATCAAATAACTAATATAATTATTTCCAAATATTATAGAAGCTTTGAAGAACCTCTCCACCTCATCCAACTCCTTCACCAACGGAAACAACAACATGAACACAAATATTGCCACAAATGTCTCCTCCTCATACAACAGCAACATAATGCAAACCAAGAATGCTGTTGCTTGGGGTTTCTGGTAAACACTTGTCAAAAAAATGTACTTTTAATCCAAAAAATATTTTCCAGTTTGAAAAAAGAAAAAAATATTTATTTTTGGTAAGTTTATTTATATCTAATATTAAATTAAGAATATTTTATTAATTCCAATTTTTAAAATTTATAGTTGCTACATTAATTACAAGTATAATAATCAAAAAAAAAAAAATGAAATTTAAATTAATATGTTTATATTTCATCCTCGAGTAATATGACTAAACAGTTGAATCAGTCATTAGTTTTTTAAAAAAAAAACAAAAATCATGTTGTTGTTGTTATAATATTTTTTAAATCCCAATTCTACTTTAAACCAATAAACAAAAAAACAAACAGATATAGTTAATTGTTTATCGTTGTTTAAAATCAAAAAAAAAAAAACTAAACCTTAAATTTAATATTTAACCTAAAATGAAATAATAATTTGAAAAAATCAATATTAATATATCTCTAGTAATAAAAAAAATAGAATTTAATAGGGGGAGGAGGTTTCAAATGTTATATTTGTATTTATATGTATATTTTAATGGGCAGACTGAGATTGAGAGCTTAGGAAAGCAGCCCAACCAAGATTTATTAGATTCATAAATAAAACTCTTTGTCTATTCGAAATGTAGCGGAATGAGATGATATTACAAAGCGGCCAAACAGCACAATCTACCAGATAGGTTTTTAGCCAATCGTTTTTCAGCTTCTCTTGAATCTGTGTCGACGTCTTGCCTTCCAAGACACCCATTCCTACGAAAAAAAATGCATCGAATATCGGTGCACACACCAGCTGATCTAGTCCGGATTTTATAATAACGTGTGTCATAACTTTCTTGGGGAAACTGGTATCCAGCAAGTGGTACCAATAATGGAATATAGGTCCTGTCGCAACCAAACCAAACACTGACATTCTCATCGCTCGCTTGTAATCGAATAGCCAGTCGGTCTTTCCTCTATTCTCTATATACTGTGACATTGTATCAGATACAAAATATAAAGTACCTGTTGTTATTGCCTATGCATATAATAATAATAAACGTTAAAATTTGATTAAATAGTATATGTTTTGTTTTGTTTTATTTTTTTGTATTGTAGTCATACCTTTGTCAAAACAGGTCTATTATGTAAAGCATTGATATATCCTTCATAAGTTCTCTGACCTACTTTACCAAGTCGAGGAAATAACTTTTGAAATGATGATCTGATTGTATTCATATTTATTCTCTTTATTCTCTATCTATTTGTACTATTTATGTAACTATATATATCTATATCTATGTTGATTGTAATTTTTACTATTATTATTATTATAAACAAATATCCATTATGTACTAATACTACTAATAGTGATTGATTGATTGAACAATGAAATGATTGATAAAACGAATTACTCAATTTCACAATCAAATGTAAATAGTGTTGTGAACGGGTGGGTGTGAAGATCGATCTATCAAAACTGATAAAGAACAATCAAATGTTAAACTTAAGTAAAGAACAATGTTGATAAATAAATAAGAATACTACTAAAATAGGTAATAATATCTAATCAATAGGACTCCTTTGAGTTAAGTTAACCAACCCTCTTAAAATCGATCATTCATTAAAACTCATTATTAGTCATTAAAAAAAAGAATTTTTTTTTTTTTTTTTTGTAAAACAAATTAATTTTTTATTTTAAAAAAATGATATCATACTTGTGATACACCTCAATTTTTGATCATTGTTTTTGCTAACAATAATCATATTAATTTATTCAAGTTGAACTGTTCTATCTGTTCTTTCAAAAGAAAAAGAAAATAACTAATAAATAAAAGAAAATATTTATTAAAAAATTTCTTTTTTTACAATATATTTGGTTGGATAAATCAAATATATACATTTAATAATAATATATAGTCTTTTGATTTTCCTTTTCCTTTGCTTTTATTTCATCTCCACATTTTCATTCAATATTGTTAATACAATCAATTTCTATTTTTTCTATTTTTTTATATCTTCTAAATCAGATCTTATAGATTAACAAACCACTTTGCGTTCATATTGACCTTAAAATCAGTCGAATCATACAAATCACCGTTCATTCATGCTAATTTAGAGTACAGATATTTAATGTTTAATCTTATGATTGTTGGTTCTATCTGACTTTAACCCAAAGACAACCCTTTTTTCACATACATACCCTTATTAATCCGTAACAAAACCACACTCACCAACCAACGATTAATATTGGTATCTACACAAATTAAATGATAACCTAACCTATCGGTAACTATATATATATATATATATATATATATATATAGGTAAAAAACAATCAAACAATTAAGTCAAAATGAATACAATGTGTTTATATATAAACATTGCTTGATGTGTGTGTTGTTTGAATGTGATGTGTGAGTGGTTTGAAATCAAATGAAAACAAATCAATCAAAAAAAATACATATACATATGCATTATATCACCTAGGTGTTAATAATGTAGTGTAGTAAACAAAACATATACAATTTAAACAACCCCTAAAAAAAAAATATATTTTAACCAAAAAAGGATATTTGTTTGATAACCCAACTAGATTTAAATAGACATAAATCAATTTAATATCAATATTTTAAAATATACTCTCTACTATTCTTATTCATATTAAAAACAAATTAAAAAAGTAGTGTATATAATAATCTATCTTACCATATTTGTGTTAAAAGAATGGAAAGATTGGGTCGTATAACTAATCCTTTAATTTCAAACGGGTTCCATAATTATGACTATGTTTAGTGCGTTTTGGGTTGTTGTCCGCATTTTTCTATTCTATTCTTTTCTATTCTTTTCTTTTTCCATTCTAACTATAATTAAAACACAACATAATCAAAAAAAAAAGAGTACTCTCTACAATACATTAAACATTCAAAGTTAATTCCACTGTACAAAATGTAAACTCAATATTTCAATATCAGCTTCAAAACAAGCAAAGCAAAAGCAAAACAAAGCAGAGCACAAGTGTAGTGTAGTGTGTTGTGTTGATTGATCAACAAACAAAACGACAGAGGTGTTGTGGGTGTTTTGAAAACATATGTCGAGTCAGTTATAATGACTGACTGACTAGATTGACAGAGTAAGTGATAATTCCTTTCATATCTCAAGTATATTGTTTCATTCAATTCAACAGTTTGATTTACTGACTTTAACTTTCAACAGTCGTCTTTCAAATATCAAATTCAATTCAATTCAAATCAAATCAAATCTACCACTACGACAATATTTTCAAAACATTTCCACAACAACAACATATGATATTAAAATAATAATATTATAATATCTTTTCTTGCAACAACAACAAACAACAACAATAAAAAACAGGAATAGTAATGACAATAACAATATTAAATAAATTGAAATTTAAATAAAATATTTAATTTTTTCCAATTGATTATTGAATTGTTTATTTATTTATTTTTATATTCTTTTACTTTATTTATTTAATTCATTCTGTTTGTTTGTTTGTTTGTACCAACAACTGTCAAATAATTAACACCACCGGAACCACATCATCAGCTGATTCTCACCAAAACACCTCATAAATAAATAGGAATTCTACCATATTTATATAAATAATTTATACATTTTCTTATTTATATTATTAACCCTTTTACTTTTCCTATTATTGTTTTTGATTAATTTAATTATAAATATTATTATTAAAGTATATCTATCAATCATTCATATGTATGCGGGTTAAATACAATAAATACTGCTTTGATTACAACAGTCATATGATTTAATTTTTGTTTCCTCTGACGTTAAGATTTATCAATCATTATTCATCATTAACAAAAACAACAATAACAATAATATATTTCCATTGATAACAATAATAAAAACTTGTACTACTACTATAATCAATAATTCTACAACTAATTTATATCAAATTTCAACTTTAGTTTTGAAAAATAATTAATAATATTTTTAACAATAACAACCTTAGATAAATAATAATAAATTGTCTTCACATATATAGTCTCCTTGTATTTTAATAAATATAATAAATAACCCTGTAATTTTAATTATAAACTTTTCCAAAAAAAAACCTTTGAACTGGAAATAATAAATAAAAACCCAAGATCTAGAAATAATTAATTAATAATAGTAATAATAATAAAAAATAATATAAACATAAATAGAAATAGAATAAAAGATGATGAATACTCCTATTGTTGAAATTATAAAGCAAGGTGCAGTGGCTGTTGAGGAGATTAGAGTCACACCTTCAAAGAACTCTGCGAATAAAACTAGATTTTTACCGACTTTTCATACCCCACCACCAGCCGGTGGTCACTTGATGCATCCGTTGCATTTGGCGGCACATCAATACCACCAACAAGCAATGATAAAGCAAGTACATGTCGTCGTAAAGAACACACCTTTCGGTATAACCATTAAATCAAACGATCCAACAAGAGTAAACTTTCACAACTATGTTGTGAAATCAACGTTGCTCTACGACTGCGATCCACCAAAGCCAGTGGATTTCATTCACCAGGAACCGCTACAGTATGTCGCCACTGTCAATGAAGAGGGTGACGAAGTAGTCGTCGACATTAAAATGAGTATCCTATCGAGTCAGCACCAAGGATCACTCTTCATTGTAGTACTCCACATCACCCATTCCACCGCGCCAACTCCATCGAACAGCGAGCCAATCAGCACCATCATGGCGCATCTCAATAACAATGCATTGACCAGCACTTCACTCCACCAGATGTGTGTAATTTCCCATCCAATTCGTATAGTTTCCAAAGTTGATCATGTCAAAAAAGAAGGTGTTCCAATCCTCAAGAAAAAGACATTCCACGAGATTCTCACTGACAAACTAAAAAAGTTACAAAAGTCGCAGGAAGGCCAATCGAAATGGATAAAGAATCTCTATGAACAACATTCTATTCAATTCGACTATCAACCATATATCAAGAAGGATTTAGACGACTGTAATAACTCAAACAACTCCACGCCAAGCTTTAGTGCCAGTCACTCTAGTCATGGCGACATCGATGACAACAACGAGAGTGACGACGATTCACCATCGACAAACTACAGAGACGACGACAACGATGAATTGAGCTGTCTCCAACAACAACAACAACAACAACAACATCTTCATCATCACAACCAACTGGCGAATCAACATGTCAGCAACACCACCGCTGCAGTCAACGGCGAAATGTATTTCCAAAACTCATTCAATCGTGTCGTCGAGGTCTACAAAATGGTTCCACTGGAAGACAAGAAAGATGCCATCAAGAAAATGGTGGAACTACTGAGAAGCGAGGATTTGGAACAGCTGGTAAAGATATTCATCGAGGAGCTGCATGGAATGGGTAATCTTACGGGTACCGGAAATTCGCCACTGAAAGGAAGCAGTGGATCGCCACAGTCCTACTCGATGATGGGATTGGGTGCCAACGACTATTTGGTGAATAATATCGGCCATTTAGCAGATGGTCAGCAGCACCACTTACACGGCTATCCAGACGAGGCGATGTCCGAGTGTCACTGTCCTGACTGTCCGTCCAAGAAAGAACTGGAGCGTTTTCAAGGTCTATTCTTGACGCCACAGCAAATGGGTCTGGCTATTTTCGATCCCAGTGCTACATCTCTATTGATGCCAATCACATCACCAACACTGACCAATCACAATACCACCAACACAAACACTGTAACAACAACAACATCATCATCGGCAATCACACCAACAAACAATGTAATATCACAACAACAAACAACAACAACTACATCATCTACATCAGATTGAATAAAAATGTATGGTTTAGTTTGTCAATAATTTAATCAAAGACTTTTCGAAATAAAAAAAATTTAGTTTTTTTTTCAAAAAAAAAAAGTCAGTTGCTCTTTTTTGTTTTTTGATGGTGCGATTCTCAGTCAACAAAAGGGTAGAAATTTAAGTTCTTTGCGCCCATTGCGCAATTCAGATTTCCCATCAATTTTTTTGTTTTTTTGTAAATTATTTTATTCATGAATTGCTGGTTAGGTGCTTATTTTATTTATGGAATCGATTGTAAAAAAAAAAGTGATTTAAATTTAGAATGATTTTTTTGTTTTAAAGCTGTTTTTTTGATGTTTTTTTGGTGTTTTTTGGTGTTTACCAAATCTTTGCTGATGTGATTTTGGGATGTTTTCGACAAGTTTGACTGAGCTTCTCATAACAAATTGGTATGCTACTTTCACCACCAATACACAACACATCCATCAAAGTAAAGTTATTTTTAAACTTAAGCAAAAAACTGTTCTCTAGATATTTGCAACATATATCTACTTTAGTTATAACTATTTTATCTATGTATATATTATAATAGTTATATTAAAACAACATAGATAGATACAAGTTAGATTAGATTAGATATAAATCAACATGTTGATTTCAAAATTATTATCCACTTGTCATTAGTTCTGTCATAGTGGAATTATTTTATTTTCTTTTTACCATATTTAAAAACTATGGAAGAAAACAAACATTCTCTTTGTAAGAGCAATAACAATAATAATAATAATAACAATAATCAAAATAACAATAATATACATACACATACTCATCCAAATCAACTAAATCAACAACAACAACAACAACAAGAAAATTGTGTAAATATAAATAGTTATAATGAAAATGGTAAAATTTTGGTTTCGTTTGACAATCAAGAACAAATTTCATGTAATGTTCCAAATACTTTGGCAGATTTTCTGTTAAAGTATATTTTACAGTTTCTCAGTTCCAATATCGATAGAATATGTTTGGTGCTCTCCAGTCGTAATCTCTATATGGCGAGAAACCGATTCCTCAGTTTCAACTTTAGCGAGCATCCAATCGATAATTGGGATGCTTTCGAGCGAAAATTCCGGCTGCGTTCCTTCAAGGAGATTTTGATTTCCTCTGTTATAGAATCGTCAGTGATCCACGGCTGCTCGGTATCTAACGCGCTCCTCGAGCGACAAGAGTCGCGTACGGGCATCAAGTGGACACCGCTCTCCAACGTCTGTCCTCAGCTTCTCACCACCACTTCACCGTCACACGAAATCATCCACGAAACGACGCACCTTAAGCTGGAATTCAACGAACCGATCGAATCCATGAGCATTCCGCCATCGGTGACACAGCTGCATCTCAGCCACAACTTTAACCAACCGATTCCCATTGGATTCCTGCCGGCGACAGTCAAGCACTTGATTCTCGGTCGCCAATTCCTCCAACCACTACACCCACTTGCCATACAATCGCTGACACACATCTCATTCAATCGCGCCAGCAACCTGGCCGTTCTCATTCCCGATGGATTGCCGGCTTCCATCCAACACCTGGAAATACAAAATCTCGACTCGCCCATCACTGTAAATCTACAACATATACAACATTTATTTATTGGACCTGACAGCTCAACAAATTCAACAAATTCACCAACAACTCAAACTCAACAACAACAACCACTTCACACACAACCGATAATCACAAAAATTCTAGACAATAGCATTCAACATCAAATTAAATATCTTACATTTACAAATAATTTCAATATTCCCGTGCAGGTAGATTCGATTCCCGACACGGTGCAGTGTCTTTCGTTTGGATGGTCGTTCAACCAGCCCATTCCAAAAGGATTGATTCCGGCGTCGGTCGAGCACTTGTCGTTCGGATTCATGTTTAACCAACCGCTACTCGAAGGAGTGATACCGGCGTCGGTAACACATCTCTCACTGGGCGACATGTTCAATTCCAAGATGGCGCTGCACAACACAGTTACGCACCTCACATTCGGTCGTAACTACCGACTTCCCATACTGCTGCGAGACTGCCTGCACTTCAGACGACTCAATCTCCACGGCCAAATCTACAATATCAGACCGATCTCTGAAAACTCATTGTTGATGGTTGACGACAGCCTACTCGGTGGTTTCTTAAAACTCGATGATTTGACCTTAAATTGGAATCTTCATACACCTTTTGAATCACTTTATAAATCACCAAAACCAAGTAATCAATCTTGTATTCAACAATAGAATATAAATATAATATAATAATATATAACAATCAATATTAATAATCGACTAAAGCCAAATGCCAATAAATTAAAGCAAAGTTTTCCTTGGCTTCAATTTTAAAAAAATCAAAAAAAAAAAAATCAAAAAAAAACAATTTTTAATTGCAAAAAAACGACGAATGTCTATTTCTTGAGAAGTAAACAACAACAGCTGTTAATCAATCTATATTAATAGTTTATTACTTATTAATATTAATAGAATTATAATATAATAAAATGAAGTTTAAAACACAAAAGAATTATAAGAAAATCATTAAATTTTATCAACTAAGTTATGGATATAGTGAACCTTATTCAGTTTTATGTATGTCATATGATTGACAATATTGTGTTATTCAAAAATAAAATAGAATGTATTTAAACTAACACCAACCAACTAATTTGAATTATATCAATATATATTATATATATATAGTGGAGCCAGAGTTTTTAAAGAGATCAAATGAGATCAATGTTATGTATAGAGAAGTCATTCCAAAGACATTAGAAGGACGATGTAATTTCTGTATGTATCTATATATAAATCTTTTTATTTTTTAGATCTAAAAAATTTAATTAACAAATAATAATATCAATTGTTTTAAAGATGTTACAACATGTGCAGTTGCAGAGTGTAAAAGAAGAGGTGAAGATTATAAACAGATTCTATCAATGGCAAAGAAGTTGGAATACTACAAGTGTGATCATGTACATGACAAAGATGAGGTGTATCTATCAAAGAAGTGTTATGCTGATTTGGCAAGTATGTTGTTGTTATCATATCAGATCAATAGTATATATTAATATTGTTCCATTTTTTCGCAAATATTACTTAAACTTTTAGTTAATAAACCAAGTACTTTTTATTTCGTCAATTCAAAACAATGATAGTAGATTCGATCTAAGACAACAACCAGGTGTACCTTTGCTTTTCCTCTTGACAAACAAGATCATTCTAGAGAAACCTTCAACTGCTTCACATCGTAGAACGCTTCAAACACATAAACTCTTAACAAAGACAGATGAAATAGATAAAGAACTCCTGCTGAAAGCAAAGTTTGGTGATAAATACATACCAAAGAGTATTAGAGATAAAGAGCATGAAGCAGAAGAGAAAGAGAAAGAAAAAGAAAAGGAAAAAGAGAAAGAAAAGGAAAATGATAAAGTTAAAGTAAAAGATATTGATTCCGAAAAGAAGAGAAAGAGAGAAGAGGTAGAAGGAGAAGAAGATGAGGAGGATGACGATAGTAGCAGCAGTAGTAGTGGTAGTGAAAGTGAAAGTGAATCAGAATCAAAAGATGGTGAAACAACAACAACAACAACAACGACAACTACAACAACAACAACAGAACAAAAGAAAAAGAAAAAGAAGAAAGAAGCAGGACCCAATCCATTGGCAGTCAAGAAGAAGCAGGTCGTACAGCCACCACGGCCAAAGAGAGTAGGTCAAAAGAAGAATCGTAGAAAACTTAGACCGTCGTCGGCAATCAAATACAAAGAGGCAAAGGCAGTTGAATTGGCAGCTAAAGAAGCAGCTAAAGCAGCAGCAAAAGCAGCAAGACAATCTTCAGCAATGGCAATGAGATCAAGACAACAACCACCACAACAACCAATGTTCGTTGAGGCACAATAAAATCGAAAAATATCTTATAAATTTATTTATATACATTTAAAAAACAACAACAAAAGTAACTTCATTATTATTTGAAAATTTTCTTTTTTAAAGCAAACAAAACAAAACAAAACAAAACAAAACAAAACAAAACAAAACAAAACAAAACAAATAACTCATTTCGATTTTCAGCGAAACGGAGATTGATCATCACGATCGACTAAAAAAGAAAAAGTCTAGACTTTTATTTTTATCAATATGATAAGGAATTGGAAAAGTCGATTAAATATACATCGGAAATTTCAATTTCTTTTTTTATTATTTTAAAATCGTTATTTGTTTTTTTGGATATTATTAGTTTTTAAACTTTAATTAAAATTTAATTATTTTTTATTGGTACAACCAACACTCTAGTCTATCTTAATCTGCTTATCAAAAAAAAAAAAAAAAAAAAAACCAATCAAAATTTTTGGAAATGATTCACTGTGAACATTGATAAACCCAACTTTTTTGATATTAAAATTAAAATTATCTTATTATTCTTGTCATTTTTTTCATACATTTTTATATATTTATAAATTTCATATATTCAAGAACTTAATCTAGATTAGGTTTAAACAACAACAACAACAATTAAACAATTCAACAATTCAACAGATTTGATCATTTCAATTTGGATTGTATTTTTAGATCTTGGTTTGATTGGAGACATTGAAATAGTATATAATATATATAGAAATATATAATAGTTGGAAATCGATGAATATGACATCAAAGAGAAATAAGTCATCTTCATCGTCTTCAACATCATCACCTTTAACTACTTCCGATGACAGAAATGACGTTAAGAGTTTAAAGGTTGCATTCTTACATCCGGACTTGGGTATTGGTGGTGCCGAGCGTTTGGTTGTCGATGCAGCGTTGGCGCTAAAGTGTAAGGGTCACGACGTCACCATCTATACATCGCGTCACGATCCACGTCGTTCCTTCAAGGAGACACACAACGGTGAGTTGAAAGTAAAGGTTGCCGGTTCATTCTTCCCGCGATCCATCGGCAATCGATTCATGGTGTTGTGTGCCATCATTCGTAACCTACTCTGTGCACTCTCGATTGTGTTCAGCGGCGTTCACTACGACCTGTTGTTCATCGACCAAATCTCAGAGGCTATTCCCATGTTGAAGCTGCTGATGCCACGCACCAAAGTTTTGTTCTACTGCCACTTCCCAGACAAGCTGCTGACACAGCGCGAGTCGCTACTCAAGCGTGTCTACAGAGCGCCAGTCGACTGGCTCGAAGAAAAGACAACGGGATGCGCCGATCGCACCGTCGTAAACTCTAAATTCACAGCTTCCATTTTCGCTCAGCATTTCCCTTCGATTCGCACGGAACCCGCTGTACTCTATCCTTGTTTGAACTTGAAGCAATACGATGAAACACAGGCTAGTCGTGAAGGACTGGACATCCCTAGTGACGACGACAACCGAATGTTAATCCTCTCGATTAACCGTTACGAAAGAAAGAAGAATCTGAATTTGGCGTTGGAAGCATTCGCCCTGACTCTGAAACAATCACCCACTACTCCGATTCAGCTGGTGTTTGCCGGTGGATATGACCCTGGATTGCGTGAGAACGTAGAGCATCTCCAAGAGCTAAAGGAACGCGCCAAACAACTGGGCATTGAGGATCGCGTCAGTTTCGTTTGTTCATTCAATGAAGAACAACGTTCATGGCTACTGAGAAACTCGTCGTGTTTGGTTTACACCCCGTCCAACGAACACTTTGGAATTACACCTCTCGAAGGCATGTATATGCGAATTCCAGTGATTGCAGTATCGAGCGGCGGACCTTTGGAAACCGTCAAGCATAAACAAACAGGATTCCTATGCGAACCAACTCCAGAGCAATTCAGTCAGGCATTCCTCGAAATCATCAATGACCCAAGTAGCGCCAAGTCGATGGGTGCCGCCGGTAGAAAATGGGTCGAATCCGAATTTTCATTCACTCACTTTTCAAATAGATTAGATCATATAGCTCAATCAATGGTATCAAATAATAGAAACAATAGTAATAAAGCTTTGTAATAAAATAAAATACAATAAAATATATAAATCATATTGAAAATCCAGAATACCTTCTTCTTTTAAATGATATTGAAATTGAAAGATTTATGACAACATAGCCAGGTTTTATTTTTGAACTATTCGTTTTGGTGTTTATTTGTTTTGAAAGAATAATTTTAATCATCATTTAAAGGAATATATTAAATATGGAAAAAATAAAATAAAACTAAAGATAAATCTTTTAAAAAAATAATGATTCTTAGAGTTGATTCTAGAACTTTTTTGATTTTTATTTTAATCCATTTTAGATATTTTTAAAGTATATTTTTGTTTTAAGAAATGTTTACAATGTATTAAGAGAAAATAGATTAATTAAGATAAAAATTAATTTTTTTAATAATTTTTTTCGAAAAACCCACCCAATCTGAGTAAAAAATGGATAGAAAATTGGTTCTTTGCATATCGAGATTGATGATTTTTGGGAACGTGGTAAACAATTATTTTAATAGATTGGTGGTTGTTCGAATTAATTCATCATTGGTGATGATTAATTATTTTTCATAATCATTTGGTGGTGATTCAATCAAACATTTAAAATGTAATTTTTTTTTGAATTATTCACAGCTTTTCATACATTGAACAAAACCTATAAAAAGGTGTATGTTTGATTACCTTATTCATTCATTAAATATATTTTGGTTTAAAAAGAATATCATATAATTATCACTTTTGATTTTATACTATACTTCCTTATATCAATATCAATTTGTCTACCTGTAAAAGAATTATTTTTAATTAAAGGGGAGAGAGATAAAAATTAAAAAGTGTTCTGTTACTGCGCGTGTTCTGCTTTACTACCACCTACTACTGTTCAATATAATTTATACATATCATAAAATTTCCATCGCAATACCAAAAAATATAAATTTAAAAATAGAATTTCAAAAAGTATTAATCATTTTTATTATCTTTATCTGTTTGTATTGCCAACAACAAATTACTGCTGCCACTGCCAACAACATAATGTCATCTACAACTTCTACTACTGCTAACACCAAGAGTAATGGTGATGCTTCTCCATCGCTAGACTTTGAACTTGTTGAAAAATTACAAGAGACCAACCTCAATACCTTTGAGGAAGTACCTCCAAAGAATACCTGCTGTGATCAAAGTACCAATAAGACTTGTACTGAAGATCAAGAATGCTGCGTAGATCGCTCCCAATGTAAGTTAAACACTATTGAGTGTAGCTCTCCAGCTGGACAAGAACTTTCCGGATTTGAATGTGGACCACACCGTCACCATGGATATCACGGTCACCACGGACATCATGGTCATTGTCCTCATGGTCGTCATGGTCATCACGGACACTATGGTCGTCATGGTCATCACGGTCATCACGATCACCATGGACACCATGGTCATTGTCCACACGGTCACGGAAACCATGATCATGATCACCACGGCAATCATGGTCATCACGATCACCATGGACACCATGGTCATTGTCCACATGGTCACGGAAACCACGATCATGATCACCACGGACATCACTGTCCACATGGTCATGGACACCATGGAAATCACGGTCATCATGGTCGTCATGGTCGTCATGGTCGTCATGGTCGTCACGGTCACCATGGTCATCATGGACATCACAGTCATCACCACAGTGCTCCAGAAGATCAACAACTAGTTGATATTCATAAGGTAAAGTGTGAGTTTGATGAGAATATTATCCATGAGATTACTTGTTATGCTCGTTCTAAAAAGTTGGAAGAGGAAGTAGCCAGCAACCAAGAACAAACTAAGGACGATAAGACTGTCCAGTTTGATATCAACATTGATATGGATGATGAAGAAATTGATTGTGGTAAGGACAACTCTTCCAAGTGCCACTTCAAGCAATCTACCGGTCCCTATGACCGTCCGTGTGGTGACAAAGAACAATTCCGTAGCCGTGGTTGGGGAAGAAGACATGGTCGTAGAGGTAACCATTTCGAAATGCCATTCCCAGAGGATTTCCAAGGTTTCGGTCACTCTGAATTTGCTCACCCAGGATTTGGACACCATCATGGTTTCGGTCATCGCGGAGGTTTCGGTCACCACGGTTTCGGTCATCATGGATTCGGTCATCGTGGAGGTTTCGGTCACTCTGAATTTGCTCACCCAGGATTTGGACATCATTATGGATTCGGTCATCGTGGAGGATTCGGTCACCACGGATTCGGTCATCATGGATTCGGTCACCACGGATTCGGTCATCCAGGATTCGAAGACTATGGATATGATCATCATGATTATCCATGCCAATATGAATCTCATGGAAATCCTCATTGCCAAAAGGAAAAGACATCCAACAACAAAGATGAAAACAACAACAACAACTAAATTGAAAATTTCGAATTAGAGTTGTCACCAATTGGTGAGAAGTTAACTGGTCCATCGCATCACAATTTAAATTTCTTTAAATAAATTTCTTACCTTTTTAATTGTTTTCAATCAATCAACTAATATATAACTATTTTAATATATCTATATTTTTTTTATATTTTTTTATATCAATAAATAATAATAAGTATTTATTTATTGTTGACTTGGAGGTTGTTTTTCATAGTCTACTTCTTTGTGATAGTGATTACAAAAATCATTTAACATCCATTTATATTGATTACTATGTTTACGATGATTGGAGAGTGTCGAGTCTTTCATTGATGTTTCATAGATTGCGAAATTCTGTTTGAGAGGTGGTGCTGCTGCCGCTGCTTCCTCTCTGTTTGAGGGTAGCCGGAATGTATACATCTTTCTAACAACTTTCGAACCTGGACAATCGGTGACATCGACATCCTCGAGCATTTGCAATCCTTGGTTTCTAGCGGCAGCCAACAAATCGTTGTCAGGCTGTGGCAGCGATACGACAGTGGTGAAAATACCGGTGTCCGGTCGTAGCAGTCGTACGACGCTTCCAATCAATTCGTCCATCGTTAGGGTGTGAGTGTGTCGCGCGATTCTCCTGCTCTTGTCCATCGACGGCACGAACTTGTCGATCTTGACCTCGGTGGGGAAGTAAGGTGGTGCACTGATGATCAAATCGTATTTCGAATCGGCCGGTGATTTCAGTGAGAGCAGCGCTTCGGTGTTCTTCTCCATCGGTGCAGTCGGAGTGACGTGCGGTTCGAACTGTTGAATCGGTGTATTGAAAACGAAAACATTCTTTATCCAATCGCACGCGCCTTTCTTGTAGATCTCATCGATGTTGATGGTCGCTTGTTTCACAGCGTTCTCGTCGATATCAATAGAATTTATAACGGCACCGCTACAAGCGAATCTCTGACATAACATTATACTTAGAACTCCACTACCAGTTCCAATATCTATATTTTTTTTTTATCAATTAGTTAGTTGGTTAGTTGGTTAGTTAGATAGTTATTTTATTTATTTTTATATTGTCATATGACTCATGTTGCTTTACGTTACCTAAAATATATTTTGGGAAATTGTTGTTTGTTGGTTTATTTACGATATCATCTGATTTTCCGAATTCATAGTTGTATGCTTGGTTGGACCAGACCAATTGATCTAAATCTAAATGTGTTTGATTGGGTGGATTCGGTTGAAATTTAGCTATTGATGTATATCCTGCGATTATAAGAGCATCGGTTCCAACTTTCTGTCCACAGTGTTCTTGATGAATCTCATAATGCTTGAAATAGAAAACACCTTTATTTCTTTTCTTTTTCGATATTTTATTTTCATTATCATTATTATTATTATTATTATTTAATATTTTATCGTCATTGTTATTATTATTATCGTTGTTGTTGTTGTTGTTGTTGTTACTGTTGTTTTGATTTATCATCTTCGTTTATTTGCTATTTATGTTGTTAACGTTGTTGCTGTTGTTTAATGTTGATGCTGTTGTTTATTATAATTGATCTTTTTGTTTGGTTGTTTTTCTATTAAAAAAGAAAGAAACAGAAGCAGCAATATTAATAAAGATGCAGCAAAGATATAATAATGGAAAACAAAAAACACTAGGTTAAATTCAAGTTGGAAGAAGTAATGGGGTGAATCTTCTGTGGTTAATTATAATCCATTAATCGCTATTTTTTTTTATTTTTTTATTTTATTTTTTAGTTTAATTGTTTTAATAAACACACTCTCTCTTTAACAACAACAAAAAACAAACCAACCAAAACAACAATTTTTTTTAATAATCTTTACCATTAGTTAAACAATATTGTTATGATGTTGTAATAAACAGTCACACAACATACACTAATATATATATTTATATATAAATATATTCTTTTTTATTATTTATTCTTTATTATTATTTTTATCATTATTATTATATTTTGTTATTTTTTGTATTGTTCAGTCAAAAAAAAACCAAACAAATATATTCAATTTCAAATCAAAAGTAGTTTTTAATAATAGTAATAACAATAGGTAGTCACGTTTTAGATTGGAAATTGTATCAACAACAATATAATAATAATGTTTGATGAATAATGATTGTAGATAATTTAAATCAACTTCCCTATATCATTATTATAAAGATATTCTCTTATTGTAACAACAATGTTTTATCGTCGAATTACTTTCAGATGTCTTTGGTATGTCGATTGTGGCGGAAGCGAACTTCTCAGACTATAAAGGTCATCGATTTGTCAGATATTGAGATTTATAATACACCTTGGGTCGACACATTCTTTCAGAGTTTTACATCGTTGTTGGTTCTCCGACTGAAACAATGCACGTTGGAGCTGAATCAACTGTCGGCGTTACTCTCTTACTTTCAGTCACTGATCGAAGTCGACATCTCATTCTGCAAACTGCATAGCGTTGAACATGCCATGGGCATTGTCGATACGGGACTGTCGGTGTTCCTCGAGCGCCTAGAGAAACATCCGTCCCTCGAGAATCTCTATCTCAGCTTCAACCATCTCGACACCAAACTGACACAGGACCTGCTGGTATTGTCGCGTATCCCCAATCACTACAAGATCAACCTCACCATCAATCTCATGTTTGCCAACGGCTTCAACATCATCTGTGAAATCATGAAATCGAATCAATCGATCATCAAAGCGCTCAATCTCAACAAATCAAAGATCGGCAGGGAAACCAACTCGCTGGTGGCATTCTCTGATGTGCTGAAACTGAATCACAGTCTGACGTCGCTCGACCTCAGCTCCAACCAGATCTCAGACTCGGCCGCCAAGATACTCTCAGAGTCGCTCGCCACCAACGACACACTGGTGCAACTGAATCTGTCATTCAACGAAATCAAAAAAGAAGGATCGGTCGCGCTCGCCAACGCACTGAAATCCAACCGATCCATAGAATCACTCAACTTTTCATATAATTTCCTCGGCGAGGAAGGTACACGTGCATTTTCCGACCTGATTGCAACCAACACCACACTCACTGATCTCAATCTTTCGGCCAACAAAATCACGTTTTTCAATGTACCACAAATAGCGAATGCACTGGCTGCCAACAAAACACTGCGATCTCTCAACTTTCTGAGGAATATGATCGACCAGGTCGGTGCAGAATACATCTCACAGGGACTACACTACAACCAATCCCTGACTTCTCTCAACATCTCATCGAACAAATTTGGTAATCTCGGTGCTGTCCTGATTGCCAAAGCACTGAGTAGCAACAGAGATACAAAGATCACTGAAATCAACATGAGCAGCAATTGTATTGAGGATGAAGGTGCTGCCTCATTTGCTGCGGTCGTCCTCCACAACAACACAGTGACCTCTTTGGATCTCTCGGTTAATTGGATCAACAGCGATGGTGTCGTCGAGATTGCCAATGCTTTTCTCGAGAATCCCAATTCGACAATCACATCGATCGATCTTAGTTGTAACACGATCTGTCCAAAGGGTGCTCGTGCCATGGCCGAAGCACTCTCTGTCGATTGCGCACTGCGACATATCAACTTTTTCAGTAACAACATCGAGACCGACGGTGCATACGAACTCTCGAAATCCATTATCAAGAATCATACACTGACGTCGCTCGAGCTATCGACCAACCTCATTGGCAACGAAGGAATCAAGTATCTCAGTCAAGCGCTACTCGAGAACAACACTATCGTCTCACTTTCACTGTCACAAAGTCTCATTGCCTACGAGGGAATCAAGTATCTGGTGTCACTGATCAGTCTCAACCATACACTTACATTTTTAGATCTCTCATACAACTTTATTGGACCTAAAGGAGCAGAAGAACTAAGTTTATCATTAGAGAATAACAAAACAATAACTTCTCTCGATTTATCGTCCAATTCGATAGGAGATGACGGCGCCACTGCAATTGCTGGAATCTTCCCCAAAAACAACACACTACAACGTCTCTCGCTTTATAATAATAAGATTGGTCCAAAAGGTGCTAAACCGATCGTTGAAAACCTACTTAAGAACCATTCTCTTTATTCAATTAATTTGTTAGCGAATCGAATCGATGCATACATATTAAAACCAATTGTAAAAAGATTAGAACATTTATTGCCTGCGCCATCATAATCGACTACAAATCACAACAAATCACAAAAAAAAAAAAAACAAACAAACAATATGTATATAATAAAAAATTAATCCAATCCCTCCTTCAATATTTATATTTATAATCTAAAAGTTAAAAGTTTTACTTAAATTTATTTAAAAATTTAAATAGTAATAACATTATCATTTGATTGTTGTTTGTTGGCTTTGGCTGCTTCAATCTTTTGACGATTCAAAAAGAATTGTTGTAACGATGTAAGAGAAGAGCTGATGTTCTTATTGTTCGTAATACAGACTCGCGCCCATTTCGAGAAATTAGTCCACAATGATGGATTGGTGAATCTTTCATCGATCAACAGAATTGAACCAAAGTCATCTTTATGTCTGATGCATCTACCTAAAGCTTGATTAAGTGCTCTATATGCTTGTAAATTATACCATCTACATTGTAGAATTTAAAGATAGAAAAATATAAGTATTTAGAGAAAGTGAAAAATATTAAATTGTTTATATAATACTTACGAACTACCATTCATCATTCCTTTTTTTGAATTTAATTCATTATATTTCTTTTTTAAATCAATCTTTAAATCTTTGCTATAAATTACAAATATTTTTTAATATGAAAAAGTTAAATTAGCTACAAATAAAAATCTATTTGACATTGAAGATTATATAACTTACAAATTTGGATAAGGAATACCAATGATTATGACACCTCTAGCGAATTGATCAGAAAAATTAATACCTTCACTAACTTTACCTCTATAAATCGAAAAAAGTAAACCACCTCTTTTTGATTGAACCGCTTTGTTATAATCATTTAAAACTGGTTGGAAATCTTTTGCAAATTTGGGTTCTTTCAAAAAAAAATATAATATTAATAAAGTTAGTTCAAATGTTATAAAATAGTATTTAGTTTAGTATAGTTACCAGTAAAAATAGGTTTAATTCTATCTATTAAATCGTAGACACCAGTTTTCTTCCATCTCAAGATCATCTTATCCATAAAAAAGTAGGATGGGAAGAATACTAGAACACCATCTGGGATTAATTCAATGTGTTTTAGAATAGCATTACCAAGTGCATCTTGAAAAACAAGCATATCAGATGATTTGAATGTAGCATCAAGTTTAGTATTGTTTGCACCAAAACCTAATGTACCGATCCAAACTCTTTTTGTAATATCTTCTAAATTACCAAGTTCAGCTGTAATTGGAAACTAAATGTTTAATTAATTAAAAAAAACAATATTAATTTAATCAACAGAAAAATAGATGATATTTATATTTAAAATACTTACAGGTGCACCCAATTCACTGGCAAACGAAGAGAGAGGCGACAGTGTACCGGATGTCAAGATGACGGAACGTGTATTTTCAGAGATTGATTTGAATGCTACTCTTGGATTCATTGACCAAATACCAAATACATGTTTCCACTTTGTACCTTCTCTAACTGCAATAATTATAGTTTTAAACAATTAATTTATGTTTTGAACTAATAATATTAAGTAAAATGACATTACCTATTTCAGATTGTTTTTGTAAAACAAATTTAAAATCCGGTACGTATTCAGGATATTCAAAGAGGAACCAAGCAGTCTTGAGTATCTCATTGAAAATGATAGAGGTTTTGGGTGTCAAGATATCTGGTGTATCTCTCTTGTTGCCGTTGCTATTGCCACCAGATCTGTTTGGAAGTGGTGGCATTCCCATTTCCTTACGTACCTTATTCATTAGATGTCCATTGACTTGACTGCCAGTTGTACTATTTCCACCGCTACTTCCACTACTACTACTACCACTATTATTATCTTCTGAATCCTCTTCTGTAATCTTTGTGAATGTATCTAAAATAAACCTATAATTTCCTTTATGAATACCCATTTCCGATAGAATTCCAAGTATTTGAACTCCATGCCACCTACATATAAATAAATATTGTTAATATTACGATGAATAGTGTCTATTAAAGAAAAAGTGTTCACTTTATACATACACATTTGCTTGTTTTTCAAAATCAATATCTTTTAATGTTTTGATCTTGTTTTCCAACCAATTGTTGATTCCTTCACCGAGTTGATAGATGATCTTTAGATTTCCAATCATACCGGCTGGTAGTAATGAATCGAGAATGTGTGGTTTCAAGTTGGTGTAGATCGATTCCTGTAGATCCTCTCTGACAATGTCGAAGCTAGCGGCAGACATCAAAGCATCTTCAATATTGTGAGCTTCGTCAAAGATCACAATCGAATTGGTGAATTTGTCTTTGAAATGCGAACGAATAGACATGTCAATGATATAGTTGTACGGACAGAATATCAGATTGGCAGTGGGCACCATCGATTTCGATGCAAAGTACGGACATTCTCTGGTTTCTTTACCGGCCACACGGAAATCCTCGATGTCCCACACCTGGTGAGGTGCACCACTGAATTGCGTCGCCAGATTGTAGGTCTTTGACTGCCGGTGGAAGATACACTCCTTGTCTTTGACCATCTTCTTGCAACGCTCTTTCTTTGAGTAGAGACCCTCCAGCTTTGAATTGACACAGTACTGATCTCTCGAACCGAGAACCACCATTCTCGGTCGGTACGGTGTCTTTCTCAGTTCATCTGTCAGCTGTTTAATCTGAGAGTGTGTTCTCGAGCAAAAGAAGATTGTCGGTACGTTTATCGAGCCATCTTCATCATCGTCATCATCTTCATCTTCTTTCTCCTCTTTCTCCTCTTCTTCATCATCATCAGTGTCACCAACATATGTATAGTTATTATCGTCCAACTTTGTCTTTTTCAAATTATTACCAATTGCAGAATCACTTAAAGCTCGCTTATTATTGTAGTTTAAGTTGTAATTACTGTTTGTCTTTGGAATGTAGATGTCCGATTGCAGATTCTGGTCGTCATCTACTTGTGATTCATCGTCGGTTCTGAACGTTGTGTTTACACTAACGTTGATAGGTGATGATTTACTCTTCTTTGGTTTGTTTGCATTTCCCTTTGGTTTGTTGTTGTTGTTTTGCTTTGCCAATTTCTTTGCAGCTTTGATCTTTGCCTTCTCAGCAGCGTTCACTTTAGCATTTTCTTGTTGTCTTACAAACTCTACCATTTGCCATTCAAGAGTAGCACAGAGCAATGAGAGTGTCTTTCCAGTTCCGGTTGCCGATTCCAACAGTGCATTATGACCACCTTTCAGCGCCTCTAGAATCTGATGCATCATCGTCGATTGACATTCATACGGTTGAAAAGGAAACTTTACATTATAACCATTGATCAAATATGTATTATTACCAAGTGATTTACATTCTACTTTAACATCACTATTACTATTACTATTACTATTACTATTACTATTACTATTACTATTACTATTACTATTACTATTACTATTACTATTGCTGTTGTTTAAAGGTGAAGTATTATTATTATTAGTTGTAGTAGTTGTAGTAGTGGTTGTTGTTGTTGTTGTTGTTGGTGTTGTCGAATCTTTGATATTTAAAGTTCCAGAGTTTAAAGGTGTATTTATAGATTTATTAACAATAAAGTTATTATTTAAAATAGTTGGTTGTGGTTTGTATGCAGATGATGTTAAAGGTTTAAGTGGTAATAGCTTAAGTAGTTTGGGTATTGCCGGCTTAGGTATTGGTGGTGTAGATGACTGTGATGATGAAGATTGCTGAGATGATTGACTGTTATTATTATTCATGACTAACTGTCTTATTATTTTACTTTTTGTTAAACAAACAAATACAATATTGTTTAATTAACCAAACTAAATTAAATTAAACCAAACTCTCAAAGAAAGATTAATCTCTCACTTAAAAAAAAAACAAAAAACACACATTAAAATTAATAACAAGCATTTACCAATCCTTTTCGGTTTTGCATCTTCGCAACTTTCGTTTTTAAAATTAAAATAAATTTTTATTTAATTTGGATGATTGATTGATTAAGAATAGATAGATAGATAATTAATTAATCAATTGAAATTTAGATTTTAGAGAATTGGTTTGTTTGTTTTAGAGATCTCTTTCAAAGTCATAATCTCTTGAGACATTACAGAAACCTTGGTATCTGAGGGAGACGACTAGACCACCGTCGACATACTCGTAGACACAGTCGCAGTGAGTTTGAGTGCTCTTCCAAACGAATGTGAGCGTGGCTTTTGGTACTTTCTCAGCGAATGCCTCCTTGACCATCTCCTCCTTGACACGATTGATGATGTTACCCGAGGTCTTCTCCAATGCATCTAAATACATTCCTGGGAATGATTTTTGGTGGTCGGCATTGAAGGATTGGAACAGCTTCAATGCAACTGCTGGTTCCATCAACGACCACGATTGTCCGGTTGCCTTTGAGAGGTTGGCCAAGTGGGTGTCGAATCTCGGTTGGAGTCTGGTCATTTCGAGAGCGACTTCGAATGGATATCCACCGGCACCTGGCAGTGATTCAATGATCTTAAAGTGCGAGGAATTCGGTGAGTTCACGGGGTACTTGAAGAGGATGGTCATGACACCGGCATTGAAACGGAGACGGTAGTATTCGTATTTGTTGGCTTCGTCAGTGTCGACGGTGACAACGACCTTCTTGGCAGAGACGGCATCCAAGAGTGCTTCTTTTCTAAAGGTTGGATTCTCACCGGCCAAGAATTGCTTCAGCGCATCACGGAGTGCTTCCATCACCTGAGAGTACAAGAAGGTTCCCGGTGCATCTTTGGAGTAACACGAGAATGTCTTGCCTTCCAAGTAGTTTGAGAAACCATCCAAATCGAATTGATATTCCCATTCTTGGCCAACCAGATCAGCGATTTCCTTTGAGTACTTGGCCAAAGCTGGTTCTTTTTCCTTCAAGTTCTTTCTTGCTACTAATGGGAATGGCATTGTTATAGTTGTTGTAGTTGTTGCTTTTTAAACTTTTATTTGTTTATATAAAGTAAATTTGATTTATTATAATCATTTTGACTAAATAGCTAACTATTTATACTTTTTAGTATCACCTCGAAACCAAAAACAATAACTAAATTCTTCATAGACATAAAAGTAAATAAGAGAATAATAATAATACTTTGTTTTTATTTATTTCTCAGATGATAAAATAAAAAGTTGGAATGATCCCAAAATTGATCAAAGAAAAATATTGATCAGATTTTTGTTAAATTTCATAATATTGGGGGAAATTAGGGTCGAAAAAGTCTAAAAAATTTATATGGTAAACCACATTAAATTAATATGAGTCAAGCAATACAAAAAAATTGATTTATTGCAAAAAAAAATACTTTATTTGTTATTTCCTCGTATCAACAAGCTATTAGTCAATAGTCCAACACAACACCAATTGTTTAATATTTTTAGCCTTTGATCTGAAAAAGTTACATGTAATTGCCCACTTTTTAATGTGAGCAAAAACATTTTCTATAATGATTCTAACAGATTATCTGCTTCTTTTAAGCTATCCTCTTTTCCATCCTTTCTATTTTCCCTGTCAATAACTATAAATTTTTAGTATAAATGGTTTGATCCTTGAAATCCTTTGTCTCCCATTATGTACTCCCATGAATCATCGAAAGATTTGAGAAATTCATCCACTTCGTGCATCATTCCTTGATCATTCCTGGAACCTGGTCGAGATTCAGCCATATTCTGAATCTTTCCGTCTGGACTTGCGAATACCAATTTGGTTATTGATGAAAATCCTTTTTTTCCACTGTAAAAGTTATCTCTTTGTTCGGATCCATCAACGACAGAGGTTACCAAACACGCATTATTATATTTGTCTATAAACTTTGATTGTCTTTCATATCTTTGTTCATTAGATGCGAAATGTTTAAAAGATTCCAGTGACATTTCATAGAGTAAATCGATTATTTCGTTGTAATATTCCTCAGCTGTTCTCCTTGATATTCCAAAGATTATTAATGTGATTATAGACTTGACATAGTGTTTTAAATAAACGAGAGTGATAAACATCTTCCCTTTTAAAGGATAGAGTGGCTTTCTACCTTGGTTAGATTTTTTTTAATTTCAATGTTTTTTTTATGTTTCAATACTGAATCAAATAACTTATTGAAGTCATTTAAAGATAAACCTATCAGTGACTTTAAGTCTGCTTGAGACAAAGTATTTAAATAATGATCTGTTACTATTTAAAATAAAAATATAAGGTTAATTTTTTTTTTTATTTCTTGCTGGATTTTTTCTAGTACCTTTAACTTGTTCAGTTTCTTTTTTATCATCTTTCACTTCGTCTTCATCATCTTCTTCGTCGTCTTCTTCTTCTTCCTCTTTCTCCTTGCACTTCTTTACTTTCTCTTCTTTCTCTTTCTCTTTGCTGTTCTTTTCTTTTGAATCCAATGGATATATTAGTTTATATAACTCGTCTGCTTTATTTTTCCATACTTCTGCAGATGTTTTGCTAAGATATGCCACCATACAATTATAGGTACAAAAGTGGATGTAGGATCCGGGAACAGGAGGCATACATGATGATTTAGCTTTGATTCTTGTGGTGCACTTCTGTCCACAATTGGAACACTTGTCAATTAATGATTTATCAACACCCACTAACGAATCTCTTGTATTGGGATTTGCGATATGGAGTGCAGTCTGCAATAATTGAACTACCTGCTGGTCATTAAAGTGACTTAATTTGCAGACAGTTGCCATATGGGCATCACCATTAACAACCATGACTCTGTTTGCTCCTTTTGAAGGAATGCCACATTTGAAGACCAGCTGAATACTCTTATCGTGAGAAGACACAAGCCTGAGCGTTTGGGAAAGGTAGCAAGAATTAGTCTCTTCACTATTATCAATGTCAATATTGTCTGAACCATATTCTATTCTATAATCAAGCTGTTCTTGTTTATTTTTTTCTTTGATTTTGAATGCCGCAGGAGCGTTACTGTTAGATGTTGATGTTAGTGCTGGTTTTGGTATTGGTGTTGGTGTTGATGATGTTGTTGTTGTTGTTGATGTTTGTGAATGATATGATTGATCCTCATCCATGAAAGTACTCGAGCTCGAACCAATAGACAACCTTCTTTTCTTAGTCTTTGCACTTTCCAATTTAACTTTTAAAGAATTTATCTGCTCCTCTAATTGCGCAACCTTCTGTTGTACCTCCAATAGCTCCATAATATTTGTTGCTTTTGGAAGTCCAAAGTATTCTAATAAGTTTGGAATGCATTCAGTAGCTCCATGAAGTGTAAACTCATGAATCGAATGCGTTTTTTTTTCACAAACTATACATTGCAAATTATTTGATAACTTGGACATTTTAAATAGAATATCTTTACTATAAAAGTTGATATGAGGAAATAACAACAAAAGTATTTTTTTTGACTTTTTCGATTTTTTTTTTTTACTTTTTCGACCTTAATTTCCCCATTATTATCATCGATCAAACAATTTTTTTCTTTGATCACACAAATTTTTAACCCCATTTTGTATAGATATTATGAAGAAAGAATTAATAGTAAATCTGTTTAGAAATCAATTTTTATGGAAAAAGATATTATTCAATATTAGATTTCTGAACTCCTGTCAAAAGTCAATTAAATGGTGTAATCTAAAGCGGTATCCTGATTCACTGGTATCGTATTGCTACTTTGATGAGCTTGCTAAACTACTGGAGAGTGGTGATGTTGCTACACTTCCTAAATTAACCGACGTTCTTCAACATTTACCAACACTCAAAATATTGGATCGTTTGATGGAAGTTAAAGCTTGGCCAAACAATCTATTACAGTTGGCAATAGAGAATCAATGTAGCTTTGAAACCATTCAGTTCCTCGTTGAAAATAGGAGAGATCAACAAGATATTGTTAGTGCTATTATCAGTGCCACTGAACACTCCAATCTCGATACCATTATCTATCTTATGAGCAAACTACCGGATAGTTTGTCAATCTCTAACTTTGCAGGCAAATTCAATCCTCCCATCGTCGCTGCTAGAGGAGATATCGGAATTATTAGATATCTGGAATCTGTAGATCCAAATATCGATTGGTTGAAATCAATTGAACATGTGGCATGCCGTAATCATTTGGAAATGGTTCGATTCCTGCTTGACTTGATTCCTTTCGATTCAATTGTAACATTGAAAACAGTGGAAGCAGTTGCCAAGTATGGTGATTTAGAATTATTGATTTTGTTGTTTGCCAGGAACCAATCGCAAATCAATTCATTTAAAACAATGGACATGGCATCCAAACACAATAGATTGGAAATTGTCAAATGGATTCATGAAAACAGGACTGAAGGCTGTTCGAAAGCAGCTGTGATATATGCTTCAGCCAATAGAAACATCGAATTAGTCAAGTGGTTACACGAGAATAGAACAGAAGGATGTTATAGATCAGCAATTAACAATGCTTCAGCTAATGGAGATTTGGAATTGGTTGAGTGGATTCATAAAAATAGAACAGAAGGTTGTTCTGGAAGAGCAGTAAACCAAGCATCTTTAAACGGTCATCTTTCAGTGGTTCAATTCTTGTGTGAAAATTATATCGACAATATCAAAGATCAAATTTTAGATGCTTTGATATATGCTGCGAGTAAGGGGAATTTAGACATTGTGAAATATCTGCTATTTCATCCACTTACTGTTGCCAACCAATCTATCAATCGGGTGTTCAATTCCGACTATCCTGAAATCATTGATTTCCTTTTCAAAGAGAGAAAGATACATTACAACATTAAGCCATCGAAACTCTACAATATCATTGCAAACGGTTGTGTTCATTCATTCAAGACAATTCACCAATTAGGATTATCTGAAATCAATGGCAATCATTTCAGTATTGCAACACTAAAAAATCAATTGGAAATAGTTGAATACATTCACCAACATATAGGAGACAAGATTCGTTATTCAATATCAACACTAGAGAAATCAATGATTAAGAATCATCCAGCCATAACTAGATACCTAGTCAATAATAATTTATATGATATCAACTACCAATCTTCTATTCAAACACTGATATCTTTTTGCTCAAATAATGTAACGGAATACCTTGATATTTTAGAGCTGATGTTAATTAAAACCAGATCTATTGTTGCTTTGGATATTCATTCGGTTCTTAGAGGTGGAAATATCTACATGCTAAAGATATTGATGAACTACCAAGACAAATATACAGATAAAACCTACAGTAGTACATGGCGATCGGAGGCAATTATGTATCAATTTGTAAACAGTAGCATGCATTTCGAAACACTCAGATATCTTGTGGAGGATCTCCAGATTGCTCCTTCAACTACCATTTCATGGAAGCTACCAACTCTCGAAACCATAGAGTATCTGTATGAAAAGTGTAGAGAAGTCATACCGAAAGATATATGTTATCATTATGCTAGAACTGGGGAGTTGGATGTAATCAAGTTCTTTCATGAAGAAACTATTAAAATAGTCACACAAAAAAATGGTATTATAGAATTTGATATTTCGAAACTCTTTGACAAAGCATTGGAATATGGAAGATTAAACATAATGAACTATCTAGATACTTACCAAAAGAGTAAAGTGTGCTCACAATCATCGTTTGAAGAAGCCAAGAAAAAAAAGTATACTCTTGCACTTAACTATATTATTATTAATAATTATAAAGATCAATTTGGAAACATTTTAAAATAAATATGATATATTTGAATATTAATTATGTATTTCAACATATTTGATATAAATTGAGTAATGTAGACTATTAATTTGTAAAACAAAAAAATTCTTGTTCTCTTGCTATTAAATAAATTAAAAAAAAAAACAAATTTTAAAAAATTATTTGTTATTGGTTGGACAACATTATGTGTTTAAAATCAAAAGGAGAAGAAAAGGGTGGATTTAATTTAAATAAAATGATCTAATGGCCATAAAAAGAGAAACTTTTGGCTCTTGAAATTAAATACAATGTTGTGGTTAATTTTTTTTTTGTTTTTTTTGATCCATGGTTTCTTTCTTTATTTCTAACCTATGTTATAACTTGATTATTATCTTTTTCTTTATAACATGAGTAGCTATACAGATTATGATGATCAGGATCTACTTGATGATCTGTATTTTCCTTGGGTAATCAATGATCAAGTATTGGTTCTTGTGATAAATGGGACTGCTCCCCAATATCCTGTACCTATATTGATAGAACACTTTGGTCAAGTTCAAGGTTTAATAATCGACCGATCATTCTTCCCAATGCCTTTGAGTAAAAAATAAACTACCAACCAGTAACGTGATCAATTCCAAAATTTGATTTTTTTTTGTCTCAAAATTAAATTTTTTAACAGACAAAAACAAAGGCTAAAATTTAATTAAGAATCTTAAAGTTCTTATTTTTATTTATGACCACTTATTCTTTCTGTTGCACAGAACAATAAACCAATAATTAAGTATCGTTTTAGTATTGTTAAAAGAATCAAAGAGGTAACAAGCAATAGGATCACAGATAAACCAATTGGGTCACTTAATTCAGAACATTTTTTTTCTTATACTCACCTTTTCTATTCACTTATTTAATGATACTTAGGACACAGAAATAAACAAGTACTTACTTTTCATCAGCAAAAACAACTCACTCTTTATAGTCCCGATGAAAACATGCAGATATTTTTAAGTTGCAAATTTTTGTAATTGTGATTGAAAAATAAATTAAAAATATCTTAGTACAAAATATTTATCTTTAGATATTATTAAAATTAAAAATATCGATATCATTTAATTAATAATAATTCTCTGGTTCTTTCATAAGCATATTTTTATTTTATTTATATCTAGATATGCAAAGTAAATATTTATCTATTTATGTTTTATATTTTTTTTATATTATTTTTTTTGTAAAAGTACACTCATTAAAAGGTATGTATTTGTTTTTTTAATTATAATTTAAGATTACTTGAAGTTAATTTTTTTTATCTAATAGTTATGAGTTATGAATATATAAGTGAGAATCCTACTTATTTCGATCTTCAAACAGGCTCATGTCTATCAAAGATGGCATTTAAAATTGATCCAACAGGATGTACTTCGCCAATCAACATAACTACTCAGAATGGCGTATCTTTATCTCTGGATTCAATGTATTCTGACATTGATTATCAATATCATTACTATACCATCGGTTACTACATTGGTCAATCCGGTTTGAATTTGAAAATCAATTGTACAGGAGGAGGGGATATTATACTTCAAAACAATGATGATCTATTTTATTGTTTAGGTATGCATATGTGAAGGATCTCTAAAGCAAAACTATATACCAACACTTTTACTTTAAATATTATAGAAGTACCAAACTTTAGTATCTCAAGAATATCACCATGGAAACAAACTTTTGATTTAGGATTTCAGAGCTATGAAAGTGTATTTGAAGTTCCAGAGTTGAATTATACTCTAAAATCTTTAGGTTGTTGGATAACAATAGGATTTAACTGTACAATTACACCAAGATTTTCAAAGTCTAAAGGTTATTTCAGTTATATTCTCACCCTTGTACCATTACCTTATCAAGTTAATTATAATGGTGCCATTCTTATCATTAATGTTGGTACAGATGTTAAATTCTCTCAATCTCTATCAAATATATTCTTTTCACCAAATGGTAAGTATGAATATTAAATATTTGTTTGAAATAATACGTATTAACAATCGAAAAAAAAATAAAATAATACTAAAAGATGGAACAATTCAAGTACTCAAGAATGTTTCTTATCCAAATATTTATAGCCCTCCTTTTAACTCTTATTTACCAAGTGTTCCTGTTTGGTTGTCAGTTGACGTACTCAACCCTGGACCATTCTATGCAACCAAAACGCAGATCAAAGATACAGCACTCTATCCTGTCAAAGGAAACAAAAAGTCAGCAACCTTAATCACTGCCGTATTACCAAGCTTGGGAAGTGTCTATTTCTATTTCAATGCTATTAATTCAACTTCGACCATTAATGAACCAATGACATCAATGCTATTTAGTAAATATAAATACAAATTTGATAGATTAATTTTTGTCTTACTGAAAAAAATTATAATTATGTTTTTTAGCTGACCAATTTCATAATAGTGGTGATGTTATACCAAATGGAATGTATTTAAATAGTGGATCTCTCAACTTTGCAATGTATTATATCAATAGGTTGATACCAAATCAAATGAGCACCTATGTAGATTGGTATGAGACTGGTGAAATCCCACACAAATGTTACAGTAAATTCAACTTCCCGTTTGGATATTCGAATGGAACTGCACTACATTCATTTACCAAGAGTCTTCATCCTATTGGAAATTTAACAAACTATGGTACTGGTGCTTTCTATATCGATTATAATCCGATTCAATATAATTTGAGAATAGGTAAATTAATCAATAATATATTAAATACTTAGCTCTTCTCAAAATATAAATTTATTTAAACTATTTTTTTAGAACTACTAAATATTAAAGTAGATAGTATCACATTAACACCATTTGGAACGTATTCTTTCTTTATTCAAATTGGATTGAGTGAACCAATCAGCGGAATCTATAAGATTCAAATAGGAAGTTGTAATCTTTTCGAAAAAGATATCATCTTTGGAAACTTATACAGTGGTATCTATGAGAAAGTTTGTCAATATGATTTGGTTGATGGTGCTGCTCAAAATCTGGTTATAGAGATCTATAGTCGATCAATGGCATTATTATCATTTACACCAAATAGATACATACCAACATTAGGTACATTTTTACCACCATATCAATTCCAATGTATGTAAAATTAAGAATAATATTTTCATTCATAACTATACACTAACATATTTAATTAATTATTTTTAGTTGATATTCCTTTAAATGAATTTACAAAGGTTGGATTTGCAAACAATATTGTTAATGTAACAAACTTGACAGTTTTAAACTTTTTCTTTTTCAACTTGACTTCCAACAATACCTTAAATTATAAACCAATTCTAGAGATATTCAATCAAGATTTCAATGGAAATAAGAAACAGTTCACTGGTGAATGGAATTCAACACTACAACTATATGTCATTCCAATAGCGATACCAATGAATTCATTTGAAGGATTAGTTCCTTACCGTTTATTAACTCAACCACCTATTAAAAATTCAGAATTCTATTCCAAATTTGGTGATTCATCACAATTAATATTACAATCTGAAAGTAAGGATAGAAATTAATTATTTAAAATCAACTTTTTTATTAACAAATTTTAAAATTGTTTAATTTAAATATGATTTTAGATGCAGATCTACTTGGTCCAATGGTAACTTCTCTTCAAACATATTATCAAGGTTATATTATTGGTTGGGATATCACAATTGAAGATGATAATGGCTTCAACAATGGATATGTTAAAATCAGTTCGAATTATTTTGGTAGAATATCTAATTCAGGTTTCGGTGATGTAAAATATCCACTCCATCTAAGTGAAGGTAACAAGTATGTTGGTATCTACAAAATCAGAATATCAATACCTCATAACGTTGCAGAAAACTATACTCTATCATTGTATGCTATGGACAATGGTGGAAATATTGCAACTTCATTTGTTGAAAGAGAAATTCCAGAATATGCCAAAGGTAAACAAATATTCGTCTATGCCGATCCATTTATGAAAATTTATGGCACACCTATAGAAAGAAATCTGACAATCGTTACCGATCCAGGGAGTAAGTTAAAATATTTTTATTTTATTATTATTTTTAAAGACTAATTTGTTTTTTATTATTTAAATAAAAATAGCCGAGACAGAAAGTGTACCTCCAAAACTGACAAGGTTTTCTGTCACAAATCCAATAATTGATGTTGGTGTCTTCAATGTTTCTACTAAGATATTATTTGAGATTGCAGATAATACAAATATTGATAAGGCTAATCCTCCTACGGTGTATATTTCATCGATGTATGAAGCCTTTGCCGAATTCAAACCGGAATTTATATCAAGCAACGTTACACATGCCTCATATTCCTCTCCGATCATTCTTCCTTATGGTTTTGGTACAGATAATCTTTTATTTATTTCAATATATGGTATATCCGATATCTATTATAATCTAGCCGGATACACTCCATTGGATTTATCAAGTGCCAAATTTTCTTTTACTCTATCAAGACAATTTTCAAAGAGTAACTATCTATTTAATTCAATATTATTAATTGAATTAATACTTTTTTTTTATTAACTTGAAAAAATAATCAAACAAACAAAAAAGGCTATCCATATTTAGAAAGATATGATCCTATTTCAAGAGATGGTGGACAAATAACTATATATGGATATCAATTCGGTACCGATATAAATCAAATTTCTTTCAATCTAGAACCGATAACTGGAGAAGTGAATATGAATCTAACAAACTCTGCAATTAGATCTTTGGGAAATTCATATATCATTATTGATTTCCCATCGTTTGGTAAATTCGATCAACTTCTACTGGTTTTAACGAAATCGGCTACTTTCAGTTCAAATACCTTTTCAATATATCCTACTGAGCAATTAGATTTACCGAATATCACACCTCTTACACCAACACCTCACCCAGTTACACCTACTCCGAAACAATGTCCAGGAAATCCAATATGCTCAGGAAAAGGTGATTGTAAAAACTCTGAATGTAAATGTTTTAAAAATTTCTTTGGTCCAGATTGTTCATCACGTATGTAATCTATTTCTAATATTTTGAGTCTTATATTAACATTTTAATTATTATTTAATAGAGTTAATTCCAACACCTCCACCAAAAGTAAATCCCTCGACACCAGGTACAAATACAACTGTTATCAGTCCGAATGATAACACTTTGATATCAGAGTTATCAATTGATTCTTTGAGAGAATTGAATGATATCGGAAATGTTGTTGCAGAATACAAGTTATCGAACTATTCATGGAATTTCGAGAATAGAACAAAGAAAGAAGGTAATATTGATTTCATTGAATATCGATATTCAACAATTATCAAAAACACAACACTATTCAACATCACCATTCAATATTTCTTAAATGAATACAACTATTCTTATGCCGGTGACACCTATACAATGTCGAAATCCTCTCTAAAATATTCAATCTCCATGTCGACCTATGAATTCCAGACGAATATCAATCAACTCCAAGTGATAATTTCTGCAACATTGATTGGATCGAACGGTGATTGTTCATCGAAATCATTTGGAACCACATCAACAACATCGGATGGTCAAGATCAACAACAATTACAATGGATCAAACTCAAAGTTGGATATGAAAGTCTTTATGGTCGATTCATTGAGAAAGCAGTTATCGATGACGAAGTTATGATTGTGATCAACAAAGTTCTTGACGACCAATATCAACCTATTTCAACAACATCAACAACACAATCATTCATTGGAATTAACATTCCACATTTCAATCAATATGTTCTCATCGATCCTGATTTTTCAATACTTGTCGATAATTCACCTGCTTCCGACGATCCAAATTCTAAATGCAATAGTAAATCGAATGGTCTCAACAAATATCAGATTGCAGGTATTGCCATTGGTGTTGTTGTTATTGCCTTATCGGTAGCAGGCGCCATCATATACATTACACTTAAAAACAAAAGACAGGCCAAAGCTATGGCAAATCTCAATATGAAAATGCAGAAGTTACAATCTGATAAACTATAAAACTGTTTTAAATACAATAAATGTTTTTGAATTCAAAATTTAAAGTGTACTTTTACTAGAAATAATAATCATAAAAAAAAGAATCATAATTTTAAGGTAAATGAAATGTTAAAAAAATAATAAATAAATAGAGTTTTTTTTATTTAATATTGGAGAGCACGGATGAAAAGATTTGGAGAACGCATTCCACGATCGATGTATCCAAAGACAAACTCTTTACCGGTGGCAATACCTTGACCGTAGGTTGGAAGTGAGAAGATACCGTTGTTATATACGATGTTCCAGACTGAACTTTGATCACGCGGGTCCAAAGTGCAATCGGTTTGGATGGCGATGTTCTTCAAGGTTCTTGGACCATAGTTGAAGACGTGGACACGGTACAAAGTGAATGATTGACCATTCTCAACCCAACTACGCTCAATGCTTTGAACGATGGCAACATCATCACATTGATCCAACAAGACACAGTGATTGACACCACCTTCACAGATACAAACTTGACCGTAACCACATTTGCTGGAATCACATGTTCCAATAACAAATGTTGAGTTTACTGCTGACAAACAGGTCAAAGCAACCAATAACAAAGAGAACAAAGCAATCTTCATTTTTCTAATTTTAGATATCTAAATTATACTATTTTAATTGAATTTAATGATTTAAAACAACATTCTACCACTCCTTAAATACTAAATTTTAGCTCGTTCCATTCCATAAATCTTAATTCTAATTACTAATACATGTTTAAAGTTAGAAATGAATAGAATACCCATAATACCAAATCATTCATAATCAAAGTTTTTTAACCCACAAACTTGTGTTTTAAATTTGCAAAATAACTAAACACTAGTAATAATTGTGTGTTTATAAGTATTTTATATTTAAAATTGAATATATAATTAATAAATATAACCTTTTAAATGTATTTAGAATAAAGAAAAAAAATAATTAAATTTTATTGGATAAAAAAAAAGAATTTTATTTTAGATATTTAATTTTAAATTTAAAAATAAGGATCTATAAAATAAATTCTTTGGTAATTTTTAATAGATAAATAAACAAACTCTGATAACTTGAATTGAAATATATTGAGAATTTCCAATTATGAATAATAATTAGTAAGCACTTTACAACAACACAATGCTTTAAAACTAATTATCTCCGTAGTCTTACTTTCCATCTCCATCTCCATATCCAAAGGAATGCCCTCTTTTTAGTTGCGTTGACAACTAACAGGTCATCCAGATGGTACATGGTAGACGAAACATCGATGAGATGGTTGAAGTAAAGACCAGAGTGTTTTCGACGATCTGTAGAATCTCGTTGTTCAAAATGACAGCGATGCTTACAAATACCAATGTAACAACGGTGACTAATAATGCAGTCACGTTGCTTACATGATATTCCACTTTCCAGTGTGCTTGTAGTGAGTGAGAATATTGTGGATTCTTCGACGAATCTTGGCATCTTCATCGTTGTGCATCTTCTCCAAGGTCTGGATGACGGCATCCTCTCTCCACAATGGACTGCCATCGCATAGGTTGTGCATGACTTGGTAACGAACCTTTGGGTCAGTGTCGCTGGCCATCTCCATGATTCTAGTCCACAACTGGTCAATGTCAGACTTGACCTTGCATGGGCACATAGTTCTGAGGACACGTAGACGAGTGGCAGCATCCTTGCTTCTGGTCAACCCTAAATACTGCTCAAAGGTGAGGTTTGGATCATTCAAATCCGGCTCGGCATTGGGGTCGACCAAGCAAACCAAATGCGACTTTGGCTTACTTTCGATTTGGAACTCAATGAGACCACGTTTCTTTAGAAGATGGATGAGATTCTCGATCAACTCCGATTGTTCATCGGAACTGGCAATCTCCAAATTGAAATCCTTGATGACCAGCTCGATTTGCTCTCTCAGCTCTTCAACCGATTCACTCTCGTGGATGAGACCACTCAAGTAACTGATAGTGTCAGTGTCCATTTGGTCTTGATAGTTGATAAAGATTTGATTGACTGAATTAATGATATCTTGATTCATTTTGATGAAATTGTTGTGGTTGATGATTTAGTAAAAATATTAATTAAATTTGAAATTTCTTTAAAAAAAATATAGTTATTTGCTTTTATTAAAATATAAAATGTTATTGTTAATTATGAAAATTTAACTTCCTATTCCAACTATTTTTATATTGTTCATGAAACCTCTATGTCATTTTAAGAAAATTTTAAGATTTACAAAATGAGAATTTTTCAAAATTGTTGGTGTGTCTTTGTTGAATTACAAGCCAAATATGTAACCATGCTTGTGATAGATTTCATTGAAGTAAGAATTTGATTGAACATTTGTTGAAATCTCATTGATTAATGGTTGAAATTTTTAATTGATCAGCAACTAATACTAAAATTTGGGAAATTTCCTAATATTTATTTTTTTAAAAGAAAATGAAATAGTTACATTAATAGATCTTTCTATTGACAAGATAAAGTTGGTATAATCTATTCTAAAGTATAAAATCTTTGGTAAATAAATAATTGAATGATAATTACTTATGATTATTCTGTCAATATTTATAGATAATTAATATTCTTGAATGTTTTCAGTAACTTTGGAAATCTTATGTTCAATATCAACCTACATCACTGTTACTAATGAAAAAATCGATTTGGTCTGGATACTGTATTATGATCATGGGATCTGAATTATTGGAACTACTTTTTAATTATATATTTGAATTTAAATTACTGGATATCAATAATTAAATAACAATTAAATATTGTTTGAAATTTATTTTGGTTTTGGTGTGGGTTTGTTATGTTTTTATCTATCTTCGTCCTCGCTGTGATGGTTGTGTCGGTCGTTGTGATGATGCCTGTGAAAATACTTGTTGTGAATTTGATCGAAGTTGTTGATGTTGTGGTTGCGATTGTTGTGATGATTGTTGTGTTCTTTGTGATGGTCTTGTTACAATTGGTATGAATTCCTGTTCTTCTTCGTCGTCTTGCTGTTCGTTCTCGCCATCGTCGATCTCCAGTTGCTTCAAAATCATTGGATCGATCTCCTCGACACCATAGATATCACCTACGACTCTAATAATATTCTTTTTCGACGTCTCTGCAAAAGCACGTGGTCCAAACCGATATTGGAACACCGCTACTCTGTCCTTCTCTGTCTTCTTTCGCGTCAAATACAACTCCTTCACGAATTTATCTATTAGCTTCTCCCAATCGCCGAAAACGACGTGTTGATGTCCAACTTCGAATCCAAGTCGTCCCAGGTAGACGTAGAGCTGATCGGAATCGATGAATCCACACTCCAGCAAGATGATCGCCAAGATGATAGTGAGCAGCGCTTTCTGCTGATGATTCAACGTCAGTTCCTTCGAGGTGATAGGATCGATCTGCGCGATCTGATTCAACAGCTCCAACGGCAGTGTATTCTTCAGGAGAAAAGTAGTGGAACTCGCTGGTTCTTTCTGCTCGGAACCGACGACCTTCTCCTTCTTGACGTCGATCAACTCGTAGCCAAAGACATCCTTCAGCTTGGAACGTCCTCTGGCAAAGACATTGGTAATGATTCGCTTATCACGATAGCTACTCAGTACTTTCGCAACTATATCGGCACGTGTCAACGGCATCTTCTTCCTATCGATAAACAGTACGTATCTAACGAATTCATCGACCAACTTGTTCAGTTCGCCAGTCGATAAATTATTGGCTGTTGTGGTTGAAGTTGTTGTAGTTGTTGTTGTTGTCGTTGTAGTACGACCAGCGCCCTGACTACTACCGCCACCTCTTCCACCTCTCGATCCTCTTCCTCGTCCAGCTTGTGAAGCGGAACGTCTCTGAACGGGAGCATCATCTTCCGACTCGTCTTCATAGCTACTGCTATCGTCTTCACTTCCACTCTCGCTACTGCTCTGCTCTGAATCCTCTTCCTCTTCCTCTCTATTTCTTTTGCCAGTTGCTGTTGCAGCACCACGACCTCTACCACCACGAGTAGCACCTGCTCTTCCTCTTTGAGACATTATTTTGATGATGATGGTGATGAGATTGTTTGATTACTTTTTATTTTTTTAATATGATAGATATTAATTATAACCAAAATAAAAGTTCGGAATTAGAACTTTGGCAATAATGATGATAATGATGGTGTTTTGGTTGTGAGTGTTGTGTGTGTGAGAGTGGTGTGTGAGTTCGTGTGTCCAAAAAAAGTAAAGAATGATGGTGAATCAATGTCTCAGGAGATTTAATTTGAAATTGTGAAAAAAATTTAACATATTTTTATTCTATTTAATTTTATTTTTTCAGTTTGATTATTATTTGTGTTTTTTTTTCATTTTTTTGCATTTCATTTTTTAATTTATTAATCATACTACCAGGTAATATATATATACATATTATATGTTCAATCAATCAATCATTCATTCGTTCATTCTAGATAATAATTAATTAATCATAATCAACCCATTTCATTTCTTTTCGAATAGAATCAAACAAATCTGTGTTTGATCACAATGACACTTGACAATCTTACTTAATACTACTATTCAATTCAACACAATCCGACATGATTTGATTCATTCAAATCACAATCAATCAAACAATCAAATCAAAGTTCTTCTTGAGTATCTATCACTTTAGTAGAGTGTTAATATAATGTATAATATCTATCATGAGTAGAATATAATAAGATCAAAAAAAAAAAAAAGTTTTTTTTTTTTTTTTTTTTTTGTAAATTTGTAATTTATTTGTTTGTCAGTAAACACTTAATGTTTGACGAAAAAAAAACACAAACAACAACTGCTGCTAGCATTTTTCGATTATCATTATCATTACAATATTACAATATTTGCATAACGATTTTATTTGTTTATTTCAAATTTATAGTTAGATTTATATTTTTATATTTTTATTAACCTATTTTTATTTATCTTTATTCAGATTTTTTTTTTTTTAATATAAAAATACAATACAATGTCTGCAACTGCCGTTTTCACTACTTTAGAATCAGTCCTCAAGAAGGATGGTGAGTCAGTCGTTAAATCAGTAAATGGTATCTACCAATTCGTTATCAACACTGCTTCTGGTGCTGTCACATGGGCTGTCGACCTGTATGTATAAAGTATTAGTACAAAACAAAAGCAATTAGGATAGATTCTAATTTTTAATGATGATTGATAATAAATAGTAAGAATGGTGCTGGTTCAATTAAGAATGAAAAGCATGCCAAGCCAGATTGCACTATCACAATGTCAGAGTCGGATTTCGTCGATCTCATGGCTGGTAAACTCAATGGACAAACTGCTTTCATGCAAAAGAAATTAAAGATCAGTGGAAATATGGCTTTGGCTATGAAGTTGAACAATATTGTAAAGAAGATTAAGGAAGCTGAGAAGTCTGCTCCAGCTGCTGCCACTCCAGCCACCACCACTCCAGCTGCTCCAGCCGCCGCTGCTGCCGGTCTCGCTGACGGTACTCCAGTCGGTAAGATCTTTGATGATCTCTCAAAGACTGTCGGTACCAGACCACAACTCGTCAAATCGATCAACGGTATCTACCAATTCAACATTACAGGCAGCGGTGCACCAAAGACCTACACTGTCGACTTGAAGAACGCCCCAGGTGCCGTCAAGAGCGGTGCTCCAGCCAAGGCTGACTGTACAATTACCATCAAGGACACCGACTTCCTCGATCTCTTCAGCGGAAAGGTCAACGGTCAAGTTTTGTTTGGTCAAGGTAAATTGAAGATTCAAGGAAATATGGGATTGGCCATGAAGTTGGGTCAAATCACCAAGCCAGCCTCAAAATTGTAAAGAAAATCAAAGTAGTAGTTGCCATCATAATAATATCTTTTTTTTTTAATAAATTATTTGTTGTTAATCATTCTTTATTATAAAAACAACATCCAACTAGACTATTTATTAGTTTTTGTTTATTTTATATTGTTTGATTCAATCACTTTGAATTATCATCTAAATCAATTGGATCTGTCATTTCTTTATCTTTATCGACTGAGACGGCATCATCAGTAGTATTGGTATTAGGCGGATTCTCTGATACTGGTGATGGGGCAATTGCAAAACCAGTTGATTTGGCTGTGAAGTTCATTGGCTTGGCTGTAAAATTTATTGGTGTAGCTGGTTTGGCTGTGAAGTTCGTGGGTGCAGGCTTAGCTGGCTTGGGTATAAAAGTCGCCGTAAAATTCATTGGTGTAGCTGGTTTGGCTGTGAAGTTCGTGGGTGCAGGCTTAGCTGGCTTGGCTGTGAAATTAGGGTTTGAAGCTGTTGGCTGAGGATTTGTTGTTGATCCCAAAGGTGTTGTTGTTTGTGTGTTTGACATTGATACAAAAGTTCCATTAAATCCAGAGAATGTGGGTTGCGAGCCAGCAGAGTTTGTTGCAATCGATCCAAAAGTTCCATATGATACATTCGTAGCTCCAGGTCCAAAATAAGGCATCGATGGTGCTGGTTGAGCCAATGAGTTTATTGGTACAAATGATCCGATTGTTGGTTGCTGTGAATTCGGTGTTGATCCAAAAGTTCCATATGATACATTCGTTGCCCCAGGTCCAAAATAAGGCAACGATGGTGCTGGTTGAGCCAATGAGTTTGTTGTCGATCCAAATGATCCGGTTGAAGGTTGTGATACAGATGTGACTCCTTGACCAAGCGTTGGCGGTGGTGTAATTGTTGGCTGCTGTGAATTCGATGTTGATCCAAAAGTTCCGTACGATATATTCGTGACTCCAGGTCCAAAGTAAGGCATCGACGGTGCCGGTTGGGCCAATGAGTTTGTTGTCGATCCAAATGATCCGGTTGTTGGTTGTTGTGAGTTCGATGTTGATCCAAAAGCTCCGTACGATACATTCGTAACTCCAGGTCCAAAGTAAGGCATTGATGGTGCTGGTTGGGCCAATGAGTTTGTTGTCGATCCAAATGATGATCCGGTTGTTGGTGTTGTTGTCTGTGGTGGCACTGAACTAACTCCTAATCCAAATCCAAATGGCAATGGTTCGTTATATTGTTGCGCTGGTGGTGGATATGGGATTTGAACTGGTTGTTGTTGTTGTTCTTGAGATCTATCTCTTCTTAGTTGTTGTGCATACAACATTTGATCGGCTTCATCTTCAGAGGTATCGTCACGATCCGAATCAATATATAGATTATAACATTTCGATTTACTATCGTCGTCCTGGTCCATAGATTCTACTTGATGGTCATAATAGACTTCTCCTTCTTCCGAATCAGACTCGTCTATACATTCGATCTCCTCAAAGAATGAACCATCCGATAGTCTTTTACTTTCTATATATCCACCATCTATATACTGAGAGATAACCAATGAATATCTATTGTCCAAACGTCTTATTTGTATTGAATCATAAACGTTGACTTTCATTTCGATGGTTGAACCAAATGGTTGTGTAGCAAACATTGAGTAGTTCAAACAACGTTTTGGACATGCAGTGTTCTCTAGCAACTTAACAGTCTTTACAAATGGGGGTAGATCATCGTTATAACCAATAGGCAATGCTAAGTAGGTTAGAGAAGCTGGCACTGCCAACGACAACTCTTTGCGTGTGTATCTACTTTTCTCTGTACCAAACTCAAGTGACTCCAAAGATGCTGGAAGTACACCTGGCACCAGCTTATGAAGATACCGGCCACCTAGCTGTAGTGACAGTAGTGTTGGTGGCAGCAATCCAGCATCCAGAACTTCATTGAATGTATTTCCGAAATCCAATCTGGTCAAACCATTTGGAAACACTCCGACTTTCAAGTTAGAGTTGAACCAATAACCGAATACAATCTCGCCAACAGAGCTAGGTATGAGACCAGGTGCAATATTGCTGGTATTGTAGAATCTATCGAAACTGATCTTTTGTAGCAACGGACCGTTGTGTTCAGCAATGAGATTTCCTTTGAGGTGTGTCAGCAGCGGTGTATTCATGTAGCCAATTGACTTGAGTTTATCGACCGATGGCAGTGCCAACAGATGTGGATAACTGCCGTGAAGAGTAAGACTGCGCAGTTTTGGAAGTAGCGTTCTCTCGGGAATCAGCTGGTTGAAATTGGCACCCACCGTCAGCTTGGTGATAGAGGGTGGCAGTTGTTCGAGTGTTTGGTTGAACTTATCACCGAAAACGAGCTTAGTCAATCCATTGGGTAGAACCGACTCTTTCAGTGGTTGATTAAACGAATGGCCAAAAGTGAGAGTCTTTAGTGCCGGCGGTAGTACACCGACTTCAAATGGAAGATCGTAGCCATCACCGAAATTTAGCTCCTCCAGCAATGGTGGAAAGTCACCGGCATAGATAGGCTGTTGAAACATAACTCCAAGAGTCAATACACGAAGCGATTGTGGAAGTGAGCCCTCTGTGAAATGCAAATTGAATTTAGCATACCGTTCGAACACCAGTGACTTTAGTGTTTCCGGTAGTTCATTCTCGTAGAAATCACGAGTATAAAGCTCGTTGATTGCCAAATGAGTGATTCCAACTGGTAGATTCTTTTTATAGATCTGATAATTGGTTTCATAAAAATAAGCTTTAAAAAAGATATTAATTATAATGATTATTATTGATGTATAAACAGCTGGATGGTGATAACATACATAATTTATAACTTTTTGTTTCAATAGATTTAAGAATGGGAGATTTGAAGGATTTCAATAGAAAGAATTCACCATTGTAGTGAGACGAGTCGTATAACTCTTTGTCTGTGGTGTTGAAAGTATACTTTTCTGGTAACTGATAAAAACATTGTTTACAAGTAAGAGTGAAACATATCTGATCTATTGGGTCATCGACAAAACTTATAATTTTTTGTAATAGAATGAGAGGAAATGTTGATAAGTCTTTCATTTTTAATAAAATTGCTTCTAGTGAAAAATAGGAAGGTGAGTCTAATTTAATTAATAGTGGTGTGATTTTCAAATCAAAAAACAAAAAAATAAACGACTTATAAGAAATGTAAAAAATTCAAATAATTACAAAATTGGGAAAAAAGGGGGGTGTCTTTAAGTGTTTTAATGGGCAACAAAGTCTTTGTTTTTTGCATGAATTTTTTGAATTTTATTTTTTTATTTTGGCGGGAGGTTTTACAATTTATAGTTTTGAAACTATTTCTATCGCTCTATCTAACTGTAATTTATCTATTTATTTATCTTGGTGAAATAGACTCTGGATCTGATAGGTAGAGTGATGGTGTATCTGGATCTTTTTGTTGATTTGGCGAGTTGATCAACTCTGGTGAGGAATTGGATGAATCACAAACACTGATTTTGGCTGCAGTGTTGTGTTTGTTGATGAGTGATGGTGATGAAGTTGATGAGTTGAGAGCAATATTGTTGTTGTTACTGGCAGCAATTTTTCTGGTACATTTACCACATTGAATGTAAACAGTTGGACGTGGTGTTTTTGGTTTCTTGTTATTGCTATTGCTATTGTTATTGTTATTGTTATTGTTGGTGGTTGTTGTTGGTACAACTTCATCGCCGGCGTTTGAATCTTGAATTGGCATTTCATTGTCGTGTTTGGATTCGCTGTATTCATGCTTTTGGAGGATGGTAATGTCATTGGGAAGACAGGTGATGCAATAGGACGAAGGACACTCCTTGCAAATGAAAAAAGATCCACCCGATTCATTCGGTGTCTTTCTGCAGCTGTGACAGGAGTGGCGTGGACACTTCCAACTTCTTGGGGTGTGGGCAAGTCCTGCGCACGATCTATGATAGATCTTTGGACACGATCTGCATTGTACGATTGAAGTTCTTCCTTTTGGATCTTCTTCTTTCTTACAAAGGAAACATGATCTGTCACACTAATAATTATTTTTTAGCAAGATTAATTAATAAACAAAATCGAATAGATGGAATTGCGAATAATAATGATAAATATAAACTTACAAGATTCTTTTGTCTTTTTGGATTTCTACGTTTCTTGTCTGTTTGAAATTCAGTTTTTGGATCGACAACGTTGTGTTCCGAGGAAACAAATGTAAAGTTGAATGGTGTGTTGGTCTTGGAATTTGTTTTCCAGAGATCTTGGTTGTTGTCTTTGTGGATCTGTGAGTAGAGTGAGAGAATACCTGGTGCATCGCCAATCGATGAGGACAATGAAGAAGACGAGGTCGATGGCGATGTCAAGATGGGTGTATTCAATTCACTGGCTGGTGGAGTGGAGGGAACTGGTGAGGCAACAGCTGTTGTGGTTGTTGCTGTTACTGGTGTGCTTGGTGCCTTGGCATTTGATGTACTGCTGCTACTACTATTAGTAGCGGCAGCGGCAGCAGCGGACATCTTTACAATACAAAACTTCATCATTTCAATCATATTATCTTTTTTAGAGATAACTGTATTCGATTGTGAGGATGACGATGATGATAAAGTTGATTTATTTTTGAATTGTTGATATGCCCATTCCTCAACGGAATCGACAGCCAACAATACAAAAGAAGGACAGATGGAACGATGGTCATTGGCCGATCCACACGATGGAAGAGATGAATCTGAAAGCTCAGTATTCTCTGTGGATTCCGATTGCCAATAGTGGTCAAACTCAACTACCAGATCATCGTGCTTAAATGGACTGTAAATCGATGACTCTAGGAAAGTTGATAGAATAATTTGGGTCTGATTATTTTCATCTTCCAAATCATTATTTGTACCAGGCTTGGTAAAAGTAATTGATCTATAAATAGATGATTAAAATATGGTTAAGTTAAATATTTGATTATCAAATAAAATATTATATAATTAATATACATACTTTAAATTAAAATAATCTTCTAATATCTTTAACATTGGTTGTGAAGATGATAGAATGAATAAACGGGTCGGTTTAGCAGATGACGATTGTGACATGGCTTCGAGTAGTTTGTCAAGCACCATGAGTTTACCAGAACATAGAATGAGATGATCGTCATTGCTGTTGGCGGTGGCGGTGTTCTTGGGTGGTTCAACACCACCGAATTGGTATGGGTGATTAGCACACTTCATTAGCATCAAATAGAGGCCATGTAGGAAACTAATCTTTTCATTTTCGTTCTGGTTGTGTGAGATCTTTGGAATATTGTTTTTTAAGAGATCCCTGTAGAGATTCTTTTGAGTCTCTGACATTGAGATCAACAGTGGAATTGAAACGGGTGACGTTGGAGAATTCTCCTTGTTGTTTAGTGTTACATTATTATTATAATTGGTGAAGAAGCTGTTGATTTCCTCTTGTATTTTACTGTCAATGGTAATTGGAGTGGAAGGAACAACAGGTTTCTCAGGGGCACGAGAACGCTTCTTGGATTTGTTGGTTGTTTTGTTGGTGGTGGTGGTGGTCTTGTCAGAGTTGTTGATTGTTGTTGTTGAGGTTGATGTTGATGTTGTTGGTGGTGATGATACTGGTGGATTGTCCAACGATGAAGGTTCATTGTTGTTGAGAAAATGACATGGTGTTGATGGAGTGGATGGTGTGGATGGTGGTGAGCTGTTGTTGGCGAGTGTTGTGGGAGTGACATTAGCAACAGCAGCTGTTTGGTAGTCTAGGGGTGATGAAGGATAGACAACCTGGTGGAAATGGTGTTGTTGTTGTTGTTGAATTAGAGCCGATGGATAGAGGTGATATTGGGTCAGTGTAGGTGTGGCGGCGCCATACGAGTAGTGGGTGGTCGGAGTATTTGGCAACCTTGGACTGATTTCAATATCGGAGGCGGCGTTTCCATTGGTGTAGGTCGAGACGTTTGCCGTGTGCAAATAGTAGGCTGGTGCACCATAGGGATGGACGACGGCTTGCGGTGGCGAAGTCAGGTGGTGGTGTTGTTGTTGATGGTGTGGCGAATGCATGTAGTGAGGTGAGTGTGGTGTGTGGATGGGTGACGACGATGAGCTTGAACTTGGTTGAATAACAATATATGGAATATGATGTTGTTGTTGATGAATTTGATGAGTTTGATGGTGTAGTTGTGATTGTGGTTGTTGTTGGTATTGATAGGCAGTTGTTGTTGATGTTGGTGGCGGTGAGTTGCAAACGATGGATCGTTGTGGTGGAGTTGCCGACAACTCATTGGAAGATTGGATGTCATCGATTTGGTCATCATCGGAATTCGAGAGGTATTCATCGATGCTGTCGTCGGTTTGTTGTTGATGTTGTTGTTGAGGTGTATAATTGCTACTGGATTGGCAACAATTTGAGTTTTGTTCGCATGTGGCATGGCTAGTCACATTATTATCGTATAAATCATGTGGATGTTGGAATGGAATGGAATGTATAGTTGGTTGTTGTTGAGAATAATAAAAGTGGTCTTCCATTTTTGTTGTTTTTTTTTTTATTTTTTTATTTTATTTCCAGGTTATTATTATTATTATTGGTTGGAAAGGAATTTAAAGAAAGGCAATTGAAAAAAATTAAATAAATAATTATAAATAAATTAAATAAATATAATGGTGAAAAGAAAAAAAAGGAATAGATAAATAAAGAGTTATTTTTGAAAGGAATTGTTATTGGTTTTCAAAGTATTATCTTGAAAACCAAGTTTAAATAAAATTACAGATGGTAGTGCGGTGTGTTATAACGATATGGTTGGTAGGACCAGGTGGGAGACACCCTCTCTCCAAACTTTAAAGGAAGAAGAAGAGACAATTGGCTCTTTTGATACAGGTGGTTGGGTTGGATCCAAATAAATAGGAAGCGTTTGGCCAACTAGAGAGTAATTATTTATTGTGCTACTCTTCTTCTTCTCTTCTTTTTGATGAGTGTTTGGACAAGGGAAACAAAAATTGATTAAACTTTTAAAATTAGAGAGAGAATGTCTCCGATAAGATATAAAAATACAAAGAATAATTTTTCAAATATAAATAATTAAAATTTATGGAGCGATGGTTTTTTGGTTTATAATATTGTTATAAAGAAAAACAACAAATAATTATTAAGTTAATTATAAATAAATAAATAATAAATAAATAAATAAGTTAAAAATTAAAATATTCTTTTTTTCTTTTTCTAGTTGTAACAATAATTAATATATTTTAATTTGAGAAATTAATAAAATAAATTAATAAATAAATAAATAAATAAATTAAAGATAAAGAATTTCTTTTTTTTTTTTTGGATCTTAAAATTAAAAATTTAGTTATTATTATTATTTATCCAATATGATGGAAACGAAGATGTAATATTACAGGTATAAAGATATAATTATTTTTTTTGAATTTGTTGAATTTGAATTTGATTGGCTTGGAATTGACTAACTTTGTTGGCTGATGAAGATGAATATAATGAGTATTCTATTATTAATTGAAATGAAATGGAAAAATGAGAACTTATAAGTGTTTGACTATAAGTTATTGTTGGATTAACCGATTAAGCTTAATTAGTGGGTAATTCTACTTTGGTGAAGAACCAGAGGATAATATTTCTTTCAATGGATGTTTAAAAATAAATGTGATAATTGAGATTCAAAAAGATATGTGATTCTAAAATTATTTGTTGTTGTTATTGTGTTTCAATTGAATTGTGTGTGTTTGCTGCTGTGGTTACTGCTATACTATTGATACTACTACTAACTTCGACAGAGTTTTTTCGAACACTGTTGATCTGAGTTTTTTGCTAACTAATTTAAATAAATAACTAATTCTTTACTAACTACTGTACTACTATACTACTATTTATATTATATTATATATATATAGTGAAAGATAACTTTTGATTGAAGTAGAGTCCTCTTTACTTAAAAACAATTGTTGTTTTTTTTAATTATTTATTTATTTTCTGGAACAAGATTTGGTTTTGATGGATTATTTATTGGATGAGTGTGTTGTGGTAGTGAGTCGATTGACTTGTGGTTTCAAATTACTATGATGGCTGCTGCTACTACTTTGTTTTGTGTGATTTTAGACTACTATTATTAATTATTTATTACTAATATTATTTTAGTGGGTGTAGGTGTGTGGGTAAAGATTATGATTTGACGGATGGATAGTGGTAGGCTATAGCTTAATACTGTATAATATAAAAAGTATTTTAGAAAAGAAAAGTTTTGTAATGTTTGCTTTGCAATGTGAAAAAACAAAAAAAAAAAAATTAAAATAAAAAATTTTCAAACAAAAAAAAATAATCAAAAAATAATTAATCAATTTAAGATGATGATGAGAGTGAAGTGAGTGGTCTTGATTGAGACAAAAGAACAAAGACCTTGTGACTTTGAGAGAGTGTTAGGGGTGTGTTAATTGATCAAATTTTTTTTAGTTTTTGTTGATTTTTTAAAAACATGGGGGTACCAAAAAAAAAAATTTCAAAAAAAGGTTTTTTTTTCATTCGCAAACAAGGAATAATGTTTTTAGAGTAGGCACTACAATGTTATTGGGTGTCGCTTGGTTCGAGCGAATGAAAGTGGTACAAAATTTTGCAAAAAACCCAAAAGGAAATTCTTTTTTTGCATTTGATCAATCAACTTGTTGCGGAAAATTTTTATAAACCCACGTTTTTTTGATTAATAAAAAAATATATAAAACAAGGTTCCAAAAGCATATATTTGCTTGTTAGAAAAAAAAATTTGTTTTATTTTTTACAAAAACAAAAAAGAGGGTATGAAAAAAAGGGAGAGGAAATTGATCAACAACAATGATGATGTTTTTAAATAATGATTATCTGAGATTATTTATTTAAGCGATGACCACAAAGTAAATTAACTATCCAATCCGCTTAGTGATAAATTAAATAATGATTAATAATAATTATTAACATATTTGGTAATGTCTTTAAAATCACCCACAACTTTGACAAATGGATAATTGAATAAATTAGGAAAAGGATCATAGATAGATTAAATAGATATTGTTTAATCGAATCTTTTATTTAGTTTTTTATTTCATTACTTTTTTTTGGTGGCTGATCTACTCTTGAATGCCAATATTTTGGTGCGAACCGTTGTGTTTTTCTTGGCGAGGAGGATCACCAGAGTGATTATCACTGCAAGACTCACCACTACCACTACAACTATGATCGCCACTTTGTAGTCGACCACATCATTCTCACCGCTGTTGTTGTGGTTATTGTTGCTGTCTGTGTTGAATCTTGTAAGTGTTGAAAAATCAGGATCCATTAGCAACGATTGTTGGAAAGCAGGTACTGTTACCACCACAACTTGTGTCGGTGATGGCGATGACGATGATGAAGAAGAGCCGCTGGTAGTATTCATTATTTTGTTGGAAATCTGAAGTGTTTCGCCATCCAAAATAATTTTACTGTTGAACCTGCTGAACAGTTGAACATTGTTAGTGCCCAACACAGTCCAATGGACATCGTTCATACCACTTCCTCCATAGTCAGTAGTGGTATTTCCATTGCTGTTATTGGTATTGTTGTTACTTTGTTGACTGGCAGCGGTACTCCATTTGAATTGTAAACGGTTTGAAGAAGCACCGAAGCTATAGCCTTGGAATGCTAGATTGTATTTGAATGTGTTGGCAGGCAGCAACAGTGAATCGTTGGCCCAGTCGAACGAAGTTTGATTCTTAACAATCATGACGCTGATTGTTAGTTTTCCAGTTCCAATGCTGTGTGAATACTCGTAGAGACTCTCGGTTTGAGTGGTTGTTTTCCAATTGCTTAGTTCATAGGTCTCAATTATGTTGTCGCCAAGATCCAGCTCGGTAACTTCCAGCAGATCCATTGTGAAGTTGGTATCGCGACTGAGCAAATCGATATACTTTCCTTCAAACGATGAGAATGTTGCTTTTGGCCGGGTTCTCGAGACTTCCATATCCACTTTGATATCGTTTAGAACGTCGCAATTAGGACCGGTATAGTTGTTCTTACACTGACAAGTCATTGCTCGGAGTTCACCGTTTGGTCCACAGTTGTATGTCTTGTTTTGAATGTCACATGCAATGCCTAGCCATCCATTATTACATATACATTTGTTGACAGTGAGATCACATCTACCGTTACCATTGCAATTGGCAGAAACACAACTCTCGATCATTACAGTATAGTCAACGTTGTTGCAAGTAATGTTAAAGTTGGTAGTTGGATCGAAACCTGTTCCATTCAAACTGAATATTCCACTGGTTGCACTGTGCATCTGGAAGTTCAGCAGATTCGAACCCATCTTGACGGGATACGCTGAGCCGTCGCCAAGAATAAGACCTAGATTATAACCAGTGATTGAGATGGTCTTGGTTAAAAAGCTGTATTTAGCAGTCCATATTTTTGGACCAGTGAAAGGTGCGATCGTAAGAACATCCGACAACTCAATATAGTTAATGGTATTGAGGTATTTGGCACCATGAAGTGACAGTGAAACATTGGAACCAACAGACCATCCAGGTGGAAGCACAATTGAACATCCTACTGTCGAACTTGATTTGCCTTGAGAGTTGTCAATGAATACTGTTTGACATTGAATCATATCGACGTTATTGCTGCTCACCAAATAAAGAATGGGTGGAGGATCTATAATTCCTGGAGTAACCGTTACTTTTGCCGAGAATGTTCTATTGCTTTTCGAGGTATCGATGTTTTTGGTGTAATCAATCTTGGCTGTTAAAATTGAATCTGGATCGGTGCTTTCTGGTAGTTTAAGTTGGTTGCTAGAAATACCATAGGCAGGTAGTTGCTCGCAGTTACTTAGAGTATCACAAATCTCTTCAATATAAACAAAATACTTGAGAGTCGATTGATAGTTTGGAATGGTTAATGTAACATTCTTTGCGGATTTACTGTTATCTCCAGATGCCAAAGTCCAAGTGAATCTCTGGATATCCGGGAAATAGTTGTTCAAAGCAACGAATCCAATATAGGATATCAATGAATCACTTGCTGGAATGGTAAGTGAAATGGTTGATTGTGTAACGATCAATATAGGTTTCGGGAACAATTTCAAATCGGTTGGTTTGATGGTGAAACTAATGGTTGGAATTGCCTCTGGATTCATTAAGCTGATTTCTTCATTCAGGAAATAGATTAAATCTAAAGTGGTGTATGATACTCCAGTGGAATTAAAGCTTATCGATGGATAAAAAGTTGTTGTTGATTCGATGTTGGAGAAAGTATAGTTTACTGAGTACACTGCCAATCCCCTTTCATTATCATCAATTTTCACCAGTGAATCTGTTCTACTAATCATATTTCCATAGAGATTGTCTGCAAGTGATATTCTTCCGACTGGTGGTGCTGTTGAAGATCCATAATAGATAACAATACTATATGACAATTCCATTGGTGACCGGAATTTAATTGATGAAAAGATTGGTCGAATATCTGTAGAGATTGTACATAATGAAGGTGTAGTATAATTGAATAAAATGTAGCTGAAAGGAGAGGTTGTATTGATAACTAAGGAATTTCCATATTTATCGGAACAATTTAAATTGATTGGTTCATAACAGTATGCAGGATTATAATAGGAGACAACATAGTAGATTCCACTGTATTGATCACCTTGAATTCTATTGGTTGAATTCAGTGTAAATTTCTGTGGACCAATCGAGATGAAGCAAGAATTCTCTAATATTCCAACACCAGTATCAGTAATGTTTACTGAAAAGGTGACATTGGTGTAGTCCTTGTTGAATCCCACTTGAACTTTGCCAAATGGATTGACAAAATCAATAGGATTTCCATTGAAGTTTGCGTTTCCCAAAGTGTAATTCACTACCAATCCAGGTGATATAAATTTAATTGGAATCAATGGAACTGATTTCTCATAAAAGAATTGAGATTTTCCATTGTACGAAAACCGTTTATAATTTCCTTTGAAGTAATATGGATACTCTCTGACAATTGGCAATCTCGAAGGAAGAGAAGTGGAGGAGTTAACATATTGAGTGTTTATATTACAAATCGGTTTGAATAGAGATTTCCATGTTGGATCGTTGAACAGATTAATTTGGATGGTACCATTGGAGTAGTCAGTAATAAATATCTGGCTGGAAGAACCAATTCCCGAGGAACTTAAACTTATAGATTTCGAGAGTAGTGTAGTTGGCACGATTTGATCACCTTTGGCAATTACATCCAGTTGACAGGAGAATGAATTTTCAGCAAGTATTATGAATGGAATATTAATTCTTTTTGAATATTGAGATTGTGTGATATGACGATCTACCTTGAAAACTCTACCATTACAAGAATATGTAAAATATGCTACTCGTTGATAGTTACTTATATAGACATCCATTTGATATGAAAAAGATAGATCCACTAGAGAATGACCTGGATTATTGATAATCGAAGGAGTACCGACAAGTAAACTACCATTGACAGAGGTAAAATCGAGGGCGATTGGTGGTAGAGGTTTTGAATTGTTCACATAGAGGGTGGTACCCAAGATTGGAGGTGCCCTAACTTCTACTTGATCATCAGTACTGTTTGAAGTGAATAAATATACATTGTCACCTGAAACCTGTCTCAAATTTAACAACCGGTCTAGTTCATAGTCTCCAGCTTTCCGAAGAGAAACTCTAGAGAACAATTCAACTGTCTTGAATAAAATAATCTTGAATGGTTGGGATGGAACGGAAATCATTGAAATGAAATCTTCTTCGGCGAAATTGTTAACTGAATAGGCAGGACAATGTTTTCCAGCAGAATCCTGTGAGGACTCAGAATTGGCTAGATTCCCAATGGTCTTTGTTGGACTACATGTCGATGTGATGATGTTAACATAGTAGAGATCTGGTTGTAGCATCATTGTTTGTAAGTTATCACCCTTGAGTAACGAATAAGTATTGCCATCTCCAGTCGATGAATTGAAAATGTAGAAAACCTGACAGCTCCGAGGAGAATCCATCACTTCTGCACACGATTCGTTCAATCCAACTACAGGTGGTCGATTGGAATCAATGAGTTTTTGGAAATTATATATAAAACTTGGATTTAAAACTGGTATGGTTACATTTGGTATTAATGTAAAGTTTAAAGTTCTCTCACCATTATTATATAATGACAAATCTATATATTCGGTAACTCTCTGATTGGAAATAGGAACAGAGCCAACTTGATAGTTTAACAAATTCGTTCCAACCGGCAAATCAAATTGAAAAGTTGATGATATATTTATCTTGAATACTCTGCTAAGAGGTGTCAATATATAATTTGAGTTTCCATAACCCATCATATTATTCCAATTTACTAAAATATTAAGATAATTTAATAAAATAAATTTGAATATATTTTTTCTTTATTTATACATACTGGTATAATTTAATTGTGAATTTGATAAACATATTACCAAAAATAAATTTAATATTAAAAAATGAATTTTTGAGGTAAGCATTTTAAATATGTATATAAATATAAATAGAATGAAAAAATATAAAAATAAATAAGAAGATCTTTAAAGAAAAAGTTTTAAAAAATATATATAAATATAACTAATTAAAATATTATTTAACTCGATGTTGATTTGTATTGAAATCTATAGAATCTTTCATAATCATAAGTCTCTAAAGTTTAAATCTAATGTTCAAAAGATGAACTTTCTATCTTGTTTTTAAATGAAAGAGAAAAAAATAGATGAAAATAAAAAAAGAAACAAAATGTCAATTTTGATATCTAATTTAAAATAAACTTCTTACATTTATTTGATTTGAAATTAAACAATTCTCTTTATTTCAAAACCTATTTGCACTCATTCAAATAATTGATAAAAAAAAATTAAAAATTAAATTGAATCTTTTGTTTTTCTATCACTATAGAATGACGATATGATAGGTGTGTGATCTATAATGGACCACCTTTTTTTTTTGATTAAACAATTTTTGATTGATTGATTAATAGAGGTCATAATTGTCAATCAATGATATATCACTATAAGTAAAAATCAACATCATCATCATCTTACACCACCACCACTTTTAATAAATTAAATTTATTTTTAATTACTACCAGTTAAAAGCACACTAATTAACTTCACACAAACACACAAATCTATAATCTGATCACTCAATACCTCAAAAAATATTCAACATTCTATATATTTTTTTTGATAATTAAACATTCCTGTGAAAATTTTATTATCTTTGAAAAATAATGTCTGATTAAAAAAATTATTAATAAAATTATAATTTAATTCTATTTCAAGAATTATAAAATAAAAGATTTATTTTTTATTAAATCTATTAAAATTTCATGGTATTACATTTATTATTTATAATATCAATGTTTGAAAAAGGAAAAAAAACGAATCATTCGTTTTTCACAATAAATTTTTTTTAATTTATTTTCTTTTTTTTATTTATTTACATATATATAATATATTAAAATAACATTATAAATAATATAGTATATATAAGAGAATGAGTGAAGAGAATAATAATAATAAACAACATGTTCCGTTGTTCTTTACAGATAGTAGTGAGGTGTTGCTGCATGATCACGATAAAGACAAGGCAGAGAAACAAGCGGCACTCGAAAAACAAAAGGAACAACAACAGATGTTTTCAGATGACTACTTTGAGATCGATACTAGTGCAGAGACTATAAAGCGGTTTTCATTCAAGAGAGTTGCTCTTCAACTCCCGGATAGTCTGTTGTGGGCAGCCAGAACGATCGTGTCACACATCGAATCACGTTGTGACAATCAATGTAAGGTATTCATTCTCGGTGATACTTCCTATGGTTCCTGTTGCGTAGATGAGGTGACAGCATCACATTTAAAAGCAGATTTTATCATTCATTATGGTCATTCTTGTCTTTCACCGTATGTATCATATCATATATATATATATGATATCTAAAAAGTAATGATGGTTAAACTTTTTATTAACTAAACCAACCATTTAAAATGGTTGTTGCTGGTTTTAGAGCAACTAAATTACCAGTTCAATATGTATTTGGAAAGAAGACCATAGATTCAGATGGTTTTATCAATAGCTATAAGAACCAATTCAAGAACGATGAAAAGACAATTGTATTCTATTCACTAGAGTATTCACATCAGGTTAAATCAATTTCAAATAGTCTAAAAGAATATCAATCAGAGAATGTTGTAATCACAGATATCGATAATTTTAATAATATATATTATAGTCAATCATTTTTAAATAATAATAATAATATAGATAGTGATAGTAGTATATGTAATAATAATAATACACAACAAGAATGTTGTGGTCAAAAAGATAAAGAATCGCAACAATCAACAAGTTGTTGTAGTACCGATAATAATAGTAATAGTAATAGCTGTTGTTCTAATACATCTACATCTTCATGTTCAACAAATAACAACAACAACAACAATAATAATAATAACAATAGTAATGATATAGATAGTAAATTAGTATTTGGTAGAAAGCTATCAATTGATCTAAAGGATATAGAACAATATAAAATACTATGGATTGGTGATGAATGTTTAACATTAACCAATTTATTGATGAATTTTAATAAGAATAATGTAAGTTATTAATAACTTGGAACCAATCAAAATCAATACAATTCATTATACTTATTATTCTTATTTATGTTGTTATATTTATATTTTAGTTTTATAGATATAATCCAGAGAATAACAGTATTCAACAAGTAACACTCTCAAGAAATCAATCATTGATGAAGAGATATTATATTTCGAATAAATGTAAAGAAGCGAATATCATTGGTATAGTAGTTGCTACTTTAACAGTTCGTATGTATCTATTTGATTATTCTAGAAACCATATTATATTATTTAACTTACAATTTATTATATATATAATTATTTAGAGAAATACTCTGAAACCATCGATAGTTTAAAAAAGTTAATCATTAAAAATGGAAAGAAACCCTATGTTTTTGTTGTCGGTCGTTTGAATGTACCAAAGTTGGCGAATTTCTCAGAGATTGACATCTTTGTGATTGTCGCTTGTCCAGAGAACACCATTGTCGATTCGAAAGAGTATTACAAACCAATTGCTACACCATTCGAATTGAACTTGGCACTCAGTGGCAATGAATGGTCCGGCGAATACGTAACGGATTTCGGTAAACTCTTCCCAAGACTAGTAGATCAATTAAGTAAAGATGAAAACAACGATAACAACAAAGATAATAGCAACAGGGAAGAGCGTGCAGAAGATGATGTCAGTGATGATGAAGGTAACAGATATCATTTCTCATTGACAACAGGAAAGATTATGAAATATTATAGTAATACAAGTGGTATTAACAACAACAATAACAATCAGAACAGCAATAATAATGGTGAAATAGTTTCAGTTGATAATAAATTTAAACAGCTGTCTACCACTGGTGCTGCTACCAATGCTAGTGAATACTTTGCCGGTCGTACCTACCGAGGTTTGGAAACAAAGATCGGTGAGACAGAGGTGATCAAAGCAGTCGTAGGAAAGACAGGTATACCAAAATCCTATGATAATGATATTGCCAATCAATAATAAGTTTAAATAAATAAAAGGATGATGATGATGATGATGATGTTATCTTGAAAAAGGTATTATATTATATTAAAAAATTGTGTTTTGTGTTTTGTGTTATGTGTTTTGTTATAGTGAAAAAGTTGGTTGTTGACTGACTATTGGTGGGATAGCAGATGACGATGAAGATGAAAGTCCATCTTCGAGAGAATCTTGTTGTGAAGCGAGTGAAACTGATTTCTGACCGTATGGAACGAAATCCTCTGGTCCGAGCAATGGACGTGGTGGATCATACGCTGAGAATCCACCGAGTCCAATTCCGGCAATTCCAAATAACATAAACAACAGGCTCATCACTCCTGTAAAATAATTACTGTCATTACTTCCCCAAATTAAAATACCAAGACTATAATCATTGTTTTATTGTGTTTTGTATTTAAACAAAAAGTTTGTTAGTTAGTTTTCAAAAAATCATATAATAATATGATAGATAGATCTATATATATGATACTTTACATGAAATAAAAGACACCTCTTCCAGAGTAGGTATACATAAAATAATATTGACCATAGTGTTTAGCATATAAAGCAGTTCCTATCATGAAGAAACATAGTAAGCTGTGTATATTTAATTAATGTGATGTATGTGTTTGAAGTTCGTTCGTTAGTTAAAATCAACTTCACTAAAAAACGTTTTTGAAGATCGATCTTCAAGGTAAAACGAACGTTGCTATTCACCACCGTGTGATTGAATGAACTTACAGTAAAAGTACTCCATTGAAATGAATTTCTGTACGAGTGAATACAACTATAGATGTTGCAAACAATAGGATTGCAAGTAGAAAATGAATCGCAGTCATAGCTGTCGACATTGAAAATAGTCTTGCCATGGCTAAATTTTATATATATAAATTTAATATTTAAAAAAAAAGATAATAAAGTTCTAACTAACTAACTACTTTGTAAATTTAAACTATAACTAAACAATAAGTAAACTAGTAAAAGCTTTAAGATATATTATTAAACAAGAAATTAGTTTTAAGAAAAAAAAAAAAAACTTTTATTAATTTAAAAAAAAAAAAATGAAATTATTTTTTTTTTTTGTTGTCATTCCTCAAACAACAATTGTTTTTGTTTTGTTGTGCCACATAGACATAAAGCTTCTTTTATTCCCAAGAACATCATATCGTTGCGTGTGTGTGTGTGTTTAAACAAGTTGTTGTGTGAAAGAAGATCTTTTGATGTTTATACTAAAATTTTAAATGTAATAATAAAATAATTTTTATTTAAATTAATAATTAATATAAATAAATAAATATAAATGATGATAATAATAATAGTAATAGGTTAGTTGTTGGTGGAATTAGATTGATTGTTGTTGCTTTGTTCTCATCTGCCATTGCGAATACATCTTTTTCAACTTCTGGTTCGCCAGCATATACTATTGTACCGTTATCGTAGTTGCAATGTGTTGCAAAGTTGGTATCCAGTGTAATGATGATCTCTGCCGATTCATCAAAGTTATCATCACCACCAGCATTAGCAGCACCACCAGCATTGAAAACGATATCATATACGATGGTATTACAGATCTGCCTGTTTATAGGTGTCATTTGATGTAGTTTCTCGGTGGTTCTGTTGTCCGATTTCAAATAGACCTGCAGCATTGTCCCCGGTTGCACCGAGGTTATCGTGAGATTCGATTGAAATCCATACTCAAAAGGTGAGTCATAGAAGATCTTATAGTTCCATCTGGCACCGGCATCCAACTTGAATCTGTGAGTAAAACTTTCACCCAACTCTATCTTTCTGTCGATCAGCCACGTTCCACTGAAATTCGAAGCTAACGATATCGATGTTGATGAAGGTGATATAAAACATCCAAATACTAATAGTAATAAAATATTAAAATAGTTTTAAAACTATACATTTTAATTGTTTTATTTTGTTTTGTTTTATTTGTTTATATTAATAATAGTTGTTACAATTGTTCTCTTTGTTTTTTTTTTATTTTCTATGTTTGTTAAATTTTAAATACATAACATAATATAATTGTATTTAATTCGTATTTTAATCAAAAAGATAATAAATCAATCAATCGATCATTAAAAAACATCAGTCAGATCAAATAATAATCTAAAAGTCTAACATTATTTATATTAGAAAAAATAAAAAATATTATCAGATCCACAACAGTTCGCATGTATTTTTTAAATGTATTTGATCACACTTTTGACATGTGTATGGTTTTTTTTGACATTCTTCATCCCCTTATCATTTGAAACGAAAAAACAATATCTGTGTGAACCACACATACATATAAAATTCCAAAATGATTGATCTGACATACCATTTAACATTCAATATTGATTTTAGTAACAAACAAGTGTAATCTAAAATACAAAATTGAAAATAAAATATCAATTTGTATAAATAATAAAATAATAGATAGTGGATTAATTTTCAATTCAAAAAAAAATGATAAATATTTATTTTCAAACAGGTATCTATAATTAAAATATTTGTATTGATCTATAAGTAGATCTCTTTCAAAACTCTACTTGATTAATTTTCTTTTTTTCAAGAGAACTTATTCTTTTATAATATTTATTCAAAAAAAAAAAAAAGTTAACTTATTTAAGTAAACCATTTATTTTTTATTAAATTATTTTAATTTAATCTGATATGGATTTATTATTGGGTTAAATTAACAATGTTTTTTTTGGTTTTCACAATGAGGACAAGATTTTATCTGTGTGGTATTATTATGATATAGTAATGTGAGTTATTGAGAAATAAAAATAATATAAAAATGAAAATCAACAATTGTTGTTCATATTCAATTTTATTTTTTTATTCATCTATTAGAAAATAATAATAAAAATAATAAATAAACAATGACAAAGAAAGTATTATTTATCTTATCTTCACATGATAAACTCGGAAATTCTGGTAAACCAACTGGCTGGTATTTATCGGAGGCATCTCATCCATGGGAATCATTGAAGAAAGGTGGATTTGAAATTGATATCTGTAGTCCCAAGGGTGGAGAAGCACCTCTAGATCCAACATCCGATGATCGTGTTAAAGATTTGGTTAACAAGGCATTCATGGAGGATCACGACATTGCCCGAAAGTTGAAGAACACTCTCAGACCGGAGCAAGTCAACCCAAAGGATTATATGGCTATTCACTTTGTTGGTGGTCACGGTTGTATGTTTGACGTGGTCACCGACCAGAAGATTCACGAGATCGCCATGAAGATCTATGAGGAGCAACACGGTGTTATCAGTGCTGTCTGTCACGGACCGGCTGGCATAACCAACTTGAAACTCAAAGACGGTAGCTATTTCGTGAGAGGCAAGAATCTCTGTGGTTTCTCCAATGAAGAAGAGGAGATTGTCAAGTTGACTCAGGTCGTTCCCTACTCATTGGAAGATCGTCTCAAAGAGAGAGGCGCCAACTACAAATCGAAACCAGCTTGGTCATCGCATGTCATCGTCGATGGAAATCTCATCACCGGTCAAAACCCACAATCTGCAAAAGAGCTAGGTGAGAAACTAACCACTCTAATTCAACAAGTTGGTCAATCATGTACTGCAAATCAATAAATTATTACAAAGTAATACCAATAATCTTTATCTATATAGATAAATAAATCATTCTTTTGCTAAATAAAAATAGATATTAAATTTTCAAAAAGATAATTTTACTATTATCTTATCTTATACATTCGTTTATTTTATTATATTTTGAATAATTCTGAGAATAAATCATTTTCCCCATTGTTGCAATAAAAATTTTGAGAATAAATTAAAAATGAGTCATCAAAGTTATATAATAATAAAATGATCGATAGTTAATGATTTATAATCAACAATTCTTCAAATTGTTATTATTATTATTATGTTTAAATACTAATATATTATAGATTGATCACTAAAAAGTATAGTTAGATCTACCAGTTTTAATTAAAAGAAAAGTACAACAAAAAAGTATGTAGTTGTTATATCACACACAAATAAAAATGAATTTTTTTTGTTTTTGTTTTTTTTTTTTTTTTTGAAATTAAAAATGTTCACAAAAGGTGGGATCGGTTGTTTTAATCATAGTTTGACTTCTTAAAACTTATTGATGTTTTCAAAATTATTTAAAAACCAACAACTTCAAATACAACAACAACAACAACCACTGTTAACACTACTTCTAAAACAACAACAACAACAACAACAATATAAAAATATATATTTTAATATTACAAATAGATTAAGTAATAATATTAACTTAATTAGATTTAATAGCATCAGTAACAGTAATAATATTGTATTTCATTGTCAGTCTTTTATTAATAATAGCAATAGCAATAGGAAAATGTCAATAAGTACCACACCAACTACAAAAGAACCAAACGTACGTGCAGGTGTTGAAGACCTCATGAAGCGTCGTTTCTTCATCACTCCAGCCTTCCAGATCTATGGAGGTGTCGCTGGTCTCTACGATTACGGACCTCCAGGTTGTGCCATCAAGGCAAATCTCATCAATTTCTGGCGTCAACACTTTGCTTTGAACGAAGACATGTTGGAAGTCGACTGTACCGCATTGACACCAGAGATCGTTTTAAAGTTTGTATTCACATGAAAGCTGCTGCTGGTTATTATTATTATTACTGATTGTACGTAAACTAACCTATCCTAAATAAAATCTATAGGACATCAGGACATGTTGCCAAGTTTGCTGATTTCATGGTTAAGGATGAAGTCACTGGAATGTGTTACCGTGCCGACCATATCTTGGAGGCTCACGTCGAGAAGCTTCTGGAAGGAAAGGACGTCAACGAAGAGAAGAAGGCCGAATACAAGCACGTTTTGGCACGTGCTGGTGATGCCGGACAAGAGGAGTTGCATCAGATGTTGGTTAAATACGGAGTCAAGTCACCAGACACTGGAAATGCCATCTCCGCACCATATCCATTCAACTTGATGTTCCAAACACAAATCGGTCCATCCGGTCAGTTGCTCGGATACCTCCGTCCAGAGACTGCCCAGGGTATCTTTGTCAACTTCCGTCGTCTTCTCGACTTCAACGGAAGTCGTTTGCCTTTTGCCGCCGCACAAATCGGTAATTCCTTCCGTAACGAAATCGCACCGCGTTCTGGATTGTTGCGTGTTCGTGAGTTCACAATGGCCGAGATCGAACACTTTGTACACCCCGATCGTAAGGCTCACCCCAAGTTTTGTGATGTCGCCACTCTCAAGACCAACCTCCTCACTGCCGAGGCACAGGGTACCACCAAGATGGTCGTCGAAATGAACTTTGGAGAAGCCGTTGCCAAGGGAATCATTAACAACGAGACACTCGCCTACTTTATGGCACGTACTCAGCTGTTCTTGCACACCGTCGGTATCAAGCCAGAGCGTATGAGATTCCGTCAGCATCAATCCAACGAGATGGCACATTACGCTGCCGATTGTTGGGACGCTGAAATCCACACTTCCTACGGTTGGGTCGAGTGCGTTGGACATGCCGATCGTTCATGCTACGATCTCAAGGTTCACTCTGAGAAATCTCAGGTACCATTGGTAGTCTTTGAGGAGTTCAAAGACGGTCCAAAGATGGTCGACACCATCGACGTCAAGATGAACAAAGGTTTGATGGGTAAGACTTTCAAGGCAACCGCCAAAGAACCAATGGATTTCTTGGATTCACTTTCCAACGATTTTGAAGCAGGTTTAACATTCAAAGAGAGATTGGACACTGATGGGTATGTTTGTTGTTATAATATATATATATAACATGTTTCAATTACACTCAATACTAATTTTGATTTCGTTATTCCATTAATCTTTAAAGACAAGCTGTTATAAATGTTAATACCAATCAATATACTATTACAAAGGAAATGGTTACTTTGACAAAGACACAAAAGAAGATCAGTGGAGAGAGCTATCAACCACATGTTATCGAACCATCGTTTGGTTTGGGTAGAATCATCTACTCGTTGATTGAACACGCATATTGGGTACGTGAAGGAGACGAACAAAGATGTGTTTTGTCTTTGCCAGCTATCATCGCTCCAGTCAAGGCATCGATTCTCCCATTGATTGGAAATGCCGAGTTGGCTCCATTCGTTCATCGTATCAATCGTTTGTTGAAGGAAGCCGGTATTTCATGCAAGGTCGACGACTCTGGTTCCGCCATCGGACGTCGTTACGCCCGTACCGACGAAATCGGTATTCCATTCGGTATCACCATCGATTTCGACACCCTCAAGGACGACACTGTCACATTGCGTGAACGTGACACCACCAAACAAGTACGTATCCCAATTTCAGATGTCACTCAAACTCTCAAGCAACTCTGTGAGAACAACAGCACCTGGCAAGATGTCGTTACCAAGTTCCCAGCTTTCGAATCAAATTAAACAACTTTAAAAAATTTACAAAACGACATATCTCAGAGATCCCCTTTAAATTTTCATAATGGAAATAATAAAACAAAACATATAAAATACATAAATTAAATTTATTTATTAATTACAATCATAACTAAACAAAAAAAAAAAACTATTTAATTAATTTTAAAAAATCCAAAACTTAAACTTCAACTCTAACTACTGTCAATGATTATTTGTTTTTTGTTTATAGTAAAAGTATGATTTTTTATAATAAAGATCAACTTCATATCGATATGTTTGTTGTTTTTTGTATAATATTAATATTTTGGAGCTTTAGTATTGGAAATCTCATGAGGTATAGGTTATATCTTCGAAGAATACTTTGCTTTATTTTACAAATTATTATAATCTTCAAACCTCTAAAAATTTTAATAATTTTTAATTTTTCAGTTATTGATCTTTTAAAACCGATCCAATAAAAAAATAGATGTAATATGATTGATAATAGCCAGTTTATTTATTAAATTTTAAAAATTAACTTTTTTTTAGCAGTTGGTCTTTTTTTTTTAAAAAATTAATTTTTTTTTTGAAGAGCTGCAAGTTGGATGTCCAACGGAATTTTGTTTTTGACATTTGAAATCTTAATTTGGCAAATTTGGTCAATCGAGCCCAAGTTTTTTTTTTAATTTAAAAAAAAAAAAACGAATATTGATTTTTTTGAATCAACATATCTTTAAACAATTTGAAATCATTGATATGTTTCATAATAGTGATTTTTTAGATCAGAATAGGCACATTGAGGTTTTTTGAAGCTCTCACCTCCCCCTCATTGCGAATGTCCTTTTGAACATAACATGGCAAGGTTTTTTAAATTAAAGTCTTTTTCAATTCTTTCGGTACAAGTCAAATTAACCATATGTTGTCCAGTAATCTTTTTTACTTTTCAAATGAAAAATAAAACTATTTTTTTTTAATTTTCTTTTTTAATAAACTTAGGTGCCCTTCCTATAAATTTAATGTTTGCTCAATGGATCAAGTCATTAGTTAAATTCTTAAACAAAACAACAACAATAACTACAACAAGTATCTATTTATTCTTAAAATAATAATTCGAAATCATGAAAATTCTGTATAGCATTTTATTGCTAGTAAGCACCTTAGGCCTGATACATGGATCCGTAGACTTGGGAGAATGTTTTCCCTCTAGATCCACTTGGTATGAAGCCATCGAACATGGTAACTGTGGATATGGTCCACTCTTAGGTCCAACTGGTCCTGGAAATCAATTTATTGCTGCTGCTGCCACTGTTTTATATAATGGTTCCTATGCATGTGGAACTTGTTACGAAAGTAGATGGTCCAATGGGTAAACAAGTTGTAACAGTATGTATATTAAATTTTTATCAAAAAAAATTTGAATAAATATTAATTATTTGTCTTTTAAATAAAATAGATTGTTGATCAATGTCCAGATCCAGGATGGTGTGATACTTCTTTCCCACATTTGGATCTTAGTCCAATGAGTTTTGATAAAGTTGGTGGTCCAGATTTGGGTGTTGTCATGACTTCCGCCAAGAAGGTTTCCTGTGACTATGTAGTTGGAAATATCAAGTTGTTCATGAAGGATGCCGCCACCTCCACTCAGTGGTTCGAATTTATGATTTTCAATCATAGAACCGGTTTGGATCATGTTATCATTCAAACTGCCGACGGCATTGAAATCAATCTTCCACGTACCACTTACAACTACTGGAGCTACAACGGTGACAAGGGTCAAGTGAAATTCCCAATTGTCGCTCAGGTCTACGATCAATACGGTAGTCGTGTCGATGTCTATGTCCAAGCATTCACCGGTGCTGTCACTTCACTCGGACAAGGCCAATTCCCAGAGCCAGTCACCAGCTTCGCCAACGATACCTGTCAATCGCCGTTCCCAGTCGACTCTAACGGTAATGTCTACCAAAACGGTTTGGTAACACCTTTGAATGTCAAGAATCCAAACCTCGGATGGGCAGACTGGAGCTACAGTGCCACTATCAACTGGTGTGAGAAGACCACCAGCGGTGCCACCGCCAACTCCTCATGTGTTGTATCCGCAACCATCTCACCGGGTGGAGCCATTCAGATCGGAACCATGTTGCCAGTCAAATGGGAAGGTATCTTCACCGGTTTGGAATTCTACGTCAGAGCCAACCAACCATTCACCGGATTGGCTGTCGGTTATGGCAGTTCTTTAGTGGCCACTCCAGTCACCTCCTCCTGGACTAAATTCACCTACACAATGGCTCAGATCGGTGCACCAGCAGACATCGGTAAACCAGCTCATTTAGATTTCAGAAACCCAACCAATTCACCATTCTCTCTTCAAATTGATGGAATTAAGTTTACCACAAATTAAAAAAAAAATAAATAAAAAAACATGTAAATAAAACATTAAAATTAAATTAACATTAAAGTTAGATTCTTTTTTTTTTTTGTTTTTTTTCGTAACACTTGGAAAAAAAATGATGACAACAAATTTTGTAAAATTTATGCAGCTAAGATATATCTCGATTTTCTGAAGTAAAATAAGATTTTTGCAATTGTTGTAAAAAACACAAATTTTTGGTACCCAAAATATCTTTTTAAAGACTCTGTGATCAACCAGATCATCAAAAGAATTTTAAATTTCATTCATTTTTTTATTTTATTTTTATCTCTTTGATATATATATATTTATTTGTAAATAGAAAAATGTATAGAAAATTGATATCTTTAATATTAGTAGTAACATTCTTTTCAGTTGTAGTATACTCAAGAGATCCTATCTACTTGTGTGCTGGAAGAGAAAATAAACATCCCATTTGGACTGAACAACCTGTCTATCAGGCTCAAGTTCCAAATGGTATTCTCTATACGACAGGACCTGTCAATCATACGGTTTCTGTGCTCCACTTGAGTGGAACACCCTACCAGATGGGTTTGGCACATGGACAACTGCTAAAAGAACAGGTTCAAAAGATGGTTCCACAATTTCTAGTGTTTGGTGAAGAGGCGATCCAAGAAATGCTGGGAAAGATCACTCACATCCTGCCGAAAACCATCGTTGAAATCATCGATAAGTTTGGACTGCACGTTGCACTCGACTTTGTCGCCGACGAAAATAAACAGTACGTGCCAGCCGAGTTCTTTGAGGAACTCCAAGGTTTGGCAGACGGTAGCGGTGTCGACTACAAAGATCTACTGCGTGTCCACATGTTCCCAGAGCTGGTCCGTGCCAGCTGCTCGATTGTCGGAGTCTGGGGAGAAAATACTAATGACGCGCGACTCTTGCAACTTCGTGCACTCGACTGGGGATTGCAAAGTCCGCTCAACAGTTTCCCAGCTTACATAGTCTATCACCCCAACCAAGGAAATGGAAATCCCTACGCAATTCTCGGTTGGTCCGGATTCCTCGGTGCTCTCACTGGATACTCGCAATACGTAGGTGTCTCTGAGAAGGTTTGGTTGGCATACAACGGAACCTACACCTACCGTGGAACTCCATTCTACTTGGTGATGAAGCAGATTCTCCAGTACGATTCCACTATCGACGAAGCAATCAACAGAGTGTACAACGCCAAGCGAACATGTGCAATCTTCATGGGAATCGGTTCAAACTCGACAAACACCGCAGTCATTCTCGAATACTCGTTGGATCGTGTCAATATCTTTAGTGACACCGTTAAATTCCCGGGATTCGCACAGACACCTGTTGAACACCCGCTCATTCCACAGATGGTCTATGTCGATAAGCATAGACAACCGTCGAACGATCCATGTATGGCTAGTTACTTGATTCAAGCTAGCAACATGACAGCTCAGTCGATTATCCAACTGTGTGCATATCAACAAACTGGAGATCTCCATATTGCAGTTTATGACTACCAAGCGAATCAAGTATACATCTCCGTTGCCAGCACCAACTTCGAATTCCCATACAAGAGTGGTCAAGTTTCACCCTCCTTTGCCAATCAATTCATTCAATTAGATATGAACACTCAATTTTCACTTCAAGTAAATAGAGATTATTGAATCGATCAATAAATAAAAATTATTTATATTATATATTTATGAAAATATGATAGTTTATTTGTACATTTAATATTATTTTAATTTGGAATAAGATATATGGTAATTAATTAATATATTCTAACTTATTAAATGATTAACTTGTTACTTTTAATTTAAATTTCAATTGTGTTAGATGTTGATGCTGTCTATGGTTATAGTTATTGTTGTGAAGGTGAAGATGGTGTTGTAATAGATGGTGATTGAAGTTGTTGTTGCTGCAGCTGTTGCTGTTGTAATAACTGTTGTTGTTGTAATAGAAACTGTTGTTGTGATTTTAATTGTAATAGCTGTTGTTGTTGTTGTTGTTGCTGTGGTGACATTCTGTGCATTGGATTGGAACCAGCCATATTAATAGAGGATGAAGGTGATGAAGATAATGGTGGTGTCATCGATGCTGACAATGCAGAACTATTACTATTACTATTATTAACGGTAGATGTTGAGGTAGAAGAAGAACCAGTTAAAGTAGGAGTTGCAGGTGTAAAAGATGCAGATAAAGAATTATTTGGTATTTGTGTTGGAGGAGATGTAGTTGACGTTGTTGAAGTTGATGATAATGTTGATGATACATTATTAAAATTATTACTTATATTGTTATTATTTATTATACTATTGTTGTTGTTAATTGACAAACCAGCAAAATCATTTAGATAAGATACATCAATATAACCCTTCTTCTTTTCATATTCAATTGCGAGTTGCATCAACTTTGGAATAAGACCCGAACAAATAGTGTAGTGTTGATGAAAATTCATACTATTGTAAGATTCACCACATATGATACAGATATTATTGGAACCTAGAATCCGATCGTAGATTTTCAAAAATCTACCTTTAAGCATTGTATTTCTAAAATCATCTACTACTCTCTCATTATTATTATTATTATTATTATTTGTACTAGTATTAACAATATTATTTTGTTGTTGTTGTTGTTGCTGATCCATTTCCATTAGCTAACAAACTAAAACGTTTACTTATTATTATCTTATAAATCTTATATATAATAAATAAAAATGTAATGAAAATATGATTGTCTTAATTAATCAAAATAAATAAACAAATTTGTTGGTGATTTAAATAAATATTATAAGCGACATGTAACCAGGTCATCAGCAATGATTCGAAGAATTGTCAGAAAACAAATTTTTTTTGTTTTTTTTTACTAAAAAAGGATAAATTTTTATATTTACACTTGATTTGCTTTTATTATAGAATAATACATGTATTTTAATTGATTATTTGTTTGTTTTGTTTTGTTTTAGTTGATGTTCTTGTGTTTTTTTATGTTTTTTTACATTTCAGCTAAAATTTTAGTTGCTGATTCTTTTTCTTCTACCAATTCTTTGGTGGTGAGATCGATCTTTTCACGTGTGTATTGGTCGATTGGTAGACCTTGTACGATGGAATAGACACCGTTCTTGATTGTCACTGGATAGGAGAAGATTACACCGACTGGCACACCGTAGGATCCGTCAGAGTGCACACCCATCGAGACGTACTCTCCCTCTGGTGTTCCGAGTGCCCAGTCGTGCATGTGGTCGGTGATTGCCTTGGCTGCAGAGGCGGCAGACGACAGCTTTCTCGCTGAGATAACAGCGGCACCACGCACCTGAACGGTCGATACGAAATCACCTTGCAGCCATGCCTCGTTCTTGATGACGTTGGCAATGGTTGCTTTGCCGGTGGGCAAATTGATATATCCGCAGCGGGTGTCCGGGTAGATGGTGAGCGAGTGATTTCCCCAGACAATGATGTTGTGCACGTCCTTGACGTTGACGTTGGCTTTCATGGCGATCTGAGCTTTGGCACGGTTGTGGTCGAGACGTGTCAAACAGCTGAAGTTCTCGGGTGGAATGTTTGGTGCGTTGAGCAGTGCGATGAGCGCGTTGGTGTTGGCTGGGTTGGCCACGACCAACACCTTGACGGTCTTCTTGGCGTAGTCGTTCAGTGCTTTGCCTTGGACTTTGAAAATGGCGGCGTTCGCACGCAACAAGTCGACACGTTGCATTCCTTCCTTACGTGGCATTCCACCGACTAGTACGGCGTAGTCGACATTGGTGAACGCTGTCTTTGGATCTGAGGTGATAACGATCTCCTGTACCAATGGATAGCATGAATCTTCGATCTCCATTTTCAAACCCTTCAAACCTTCCAACATTGGTTCGATATCCATCAGCACGACACGAACTTTCTGTTCGGTACCAAACATATCTCCTCTAATGATATTGAACACCAATGAATATCCAATTTGTCCTGCTGCACCAGTTACAACAATACTAATAAAATCATTTGAACTCATCTTTTCTAGTTTGATATATGTAAAATGTATATAGATAAATAGTATATATTATTAATTAATTAATTAAAAGTAAGAATATAAAAAATGTAATTTATAAAAAATGTATAAAGAAATTTATTGTTGGAATAATGTTAAGTTAACAATGAAAAATGATAAAGAGTAAAAGTCAAACACAAATAATTATTAAAAATTTAAAATTGATTATTGGTTTTGTGGGGATTAATAAAGGGTGGTGTGTAATCAATAACCAAAGAAAGATGTGAACATCGCAAACCACTACTAGGTTTTTGGGCTACATAACAAACTTTATTAAAAAAATAATTTAAATCAAAAATATCAACATCTCACCATAATTTAAATAGAAATTAATCAAAATTGGTGTGTGGTGAGTCTGGTGCTTGAAACCATCAAAAGCCCAAAACCATAAAAATTTGTGCTTTTTTTTTTAGTACCAGGCAATCTTATGAACATCATTTGCCTTATTTTTTATTTTTTTTGAATGTTTCATTTTTATTTATTTATTTCCCAAATGATACTTTTTTCTTATGTGATGTCAATACACATCAAGTCTCATTTTATTTTTTAAACTTCTGGACTTTGATGATTTACTCGATACAGCAACATCGTCACCAACAAGCGACGTTGAAAATCTTTTTGCGACATTCCACATTTTGATAGCATTGTCTTTTATCATATTATTCATTGATTTTATATTTGCTCTAATATTATTATTGTTATTATTATTGTTATTGTTATTGTTATTGTTATTGTTATTGTTATTGTTATTGTTATTGTTATTGTTATTGTTATTGTTATTGTTATATGAAGGTGAAGAAGAAGAAGAAGATTGAAGTAAAGATAAATGGTGGTCACATAACTTTATCAGGTAATTAGATAGTAACTTATCGTTTGCTCTACTGATTGGCTCGTCTTTGTAGAAAACATTTAAATGCTTCTCTGCATGCAACTCTATTTCATTCATGAACAACACTCTAAGTACAGCCAAGTAATTCCATGTAAATGGTAAAGTAGAATCATTTACCAATTCAAATTTACTAAACAATTGTTTGAATTTTTATGTTAGTTATGAGTTTGTTAGTAATGTGCTGTGTTTGTTGTTTGTTTGTTTGTTTATTTATTATAAAGATTATCTTTATAATACGCTACCTTTGAATTGTTAAACCATTAGCAAATAATATTTCTTTCTTTCTTTCAAGTAACTTTTCAAATTCTTTCTTCTCTTTGTCGGTTGCTGATTTCGAAGTTATCTTTATCAATTCGATGGGTATTGCTGTGTCAGAAGGTATGACAATCGAATCTAATGGGTTGTTATCGATGGCGAAACCATAGAAGTGCAACAGTGTAGCATTCGAATGATTACCATACGATATATAAACTTGTTCGTTCTTCTTAAACTCTGTTCCTGTAAACACTTGAAAGCATCTCTCTTCATCGTTGAACACAGCTCTAGTCACAACATCATAACGATGATTAAATAAATCTGCCATCGGTACTAAACATGAATTATCATGTGATTTCCTATTATTACTACTACTATTATTATTATTATTATTACTATTACTATATTTCCTTTTATTATTATTATTATTATTATTAACATAGTTATTATTATTAAAATAATATGTTCTTGTTTGTATTACTGCCCATGCCCATTTAAAATTATCTAAATTAGTTAAGTTTTGTTTTATCTCTTTAAGTAAAGTAAAACTATCTATACTATTATTATTATTATTATTATTGTTATTACTAATATTGCTATTGTTATTATTGTCTATATTAAAATGATTATCTATGATATCTATAAAACTATTATAGGATTGTAGCAATTCATGTTTAAGTTTGTATGCCTCTTCTTTGTAGTATGGGTAGGTAAGATCTTCGATTTCCTCGTCGGTGTACATAGATGATGTGTCATACTGCTGAGGTATATCATTGAGATAGCGATACCACTTTGATTTCTCACCGATAGCTTTCTCTACATTGATATGAAATATCAATCTCTGAACATTATCCAATAGATCCAATACTTTATCAATACAACTCTAAAAAGTATATAAAATATCAATTAATCAGTCAGTCAGTCAGTCAATCAATCAATCAATCAATAAATAAATAAATAAATCAATTTATATATATATATTAACATACTAATGATAAGAGTTGCTCGGATACTGGTTTATTGATATGAATTAGCAATGACTCTGGTACAGAGACCAACAATGAACCTGCAGCAATATCATTGATAGCTCTTACCGATTGACCACTAGTATTATCTTGATAGATTTCGAGGTGATCGTTCCACACTATGCCATTTTCTTTGCTCCACTCTAACATCTTTTTAAGAACTAAAAAATTTTTTTTTTTTTTTTATAACAGACACGAAGAAGAAACAAGCTCGTTTTTTCACGAATATTTCTATATTGGTTATGATTATTTTTAATAAAATCTTCTCTTTAAAGAGAAGAACAATTTTAAAATATTTTAAGAATCAGGTTTTTAATTAATTGAAAGGGTTTCCTTTTTTTTTCTATATGTTAAAATCTTGTATTTAAATACAACCAGAGTGGATATAAAAGCGATTTCCCAACATTTCTTCACAAATATTTCAATATGTGGAGCTGTTGAATTTTGTTACTTTTTCACCTGGGAGAAAAAAGTTAAATTTATCTTCTTGGTTTAAAAAAATTAATTTAAATAGGGTTATTTTTATTATTTTAATTACATATAAAACTTTGGGTTAGATATGTGTTTTTTTTCGTTTAGTTTGTTTTTTTTTGTGCGTTGAAAAATTTTTAACAAATGTATTACAAACAATTTAATCATACATTTACTTTTATTTAAAAAAATAATAATTTGTTGAAAATAGAAAGTTAGGATTTTTTGTTAGTTAAAAATGTTCTCATCAGAATCAGGTAAGTAAGATTAGTATTAATTTTCAAATCTCATTTTTAATTATTTAATCCATTTGGTAGGCTCAAATATTTGTTCATTATGCTCTAATGCATTGGAATGTGGAGAAAAAAGGTACAGGTGTTCAGAATGTAGTGATATAAAATTTTGTGAGGAATGTTATCACTCTCCAAAATCAATTGAATTTCATACTGATAAAGCTATCTTACCTCATCATTGTACAATTGAGACAAGTATATTTAAATACTAAATTAAATGAGTTAATTACTCTTTTCTTAAATAATCACAATTTTTTTAATTTGAGCATAGAAACTGATAGTGAATATTTACAATCCAATGAATCTGACAGATTTTATCAATGTTTTGAGAATGCATTCAATAGTTTTTCTCACAGGAATTGTATTGGTGTAAGACCTGTTGCAAATGAGCCAACTGTAAATTGGTTGACATTTAAAGATGTTTATCAAAATTCTGAAATGTTTGGATCTGCTTTAAAACTAAATGTTAAAGTAAATATTAAAAATATCTTATGTCTTTATTTTAATTATTAAAATTTTATTTTAATTTTTTACAGTATGAATCAAGAGTTGGAATAATGCTCAATAATGTTCCTGAATGGTATTTTGTAGAATTTGGATGTCTATTTTATGGATACACTCTTATTCCTATCAATCATTATATCAGTATGTTCAATAAAAAATATTGTTTTATTTAATTTGATTACTAATTATTAATAAAATTACAGATAATGATCAATTATTGAATATCCTTAAGATTGGAGAACCAACAATTCTTGTGGTTTCAAAGATAACATTTCCAAAATTACTAAATGTGATAAACAACTATTCAAACTTAACATTGATCATACATGTTGGTGATGATTATGATCAAAATTTGAAAAATCAACTTCCACAACAAATCAAATTCAAATTATATTCTGAATTCTTATCTACTGTTTCTGAAATTGCTCCACATTCACCATTGATCAATGGTATTTTATCAGTTGGTAAGTATAAATCTTTTTCAATATTTTATTTTTAAATTACTATTTAAAATAATATATTATCATTTATTAAAAAAGTATTTTCAACTGGTAGTACTGGTATTCCAAAAGGAGAGATATGCAAAGATAGAGATACTACCAATTGGTTAAAAACTTATGCTTCATATAAAAAATGTCCTATTTCTATCAGTTATCTTTCTCTTTGTAAGTTAGAATCTGTTTTATTTATTGATTAAATTGAGAAATATAACTGATCTTTTAAAATAGCTCATACACAAAGGTTAATGGATTTAACTAGCATATTTCTTGGAGGTAGATTCTTAATTTACTCTTTGGGTACAGAGATAGAACCATTTATTAAAGAGTGTTCAATGGTTAGACCAACATATTTCTGGAATTTCCCAACGTAATTACAATTATTTTTTTTATTATATCTATTTTTATTAATTAATATTTCATAATAGATTTTATAATCAAATATATTCAATGTATCAAAGAAGATTAGAAATATTAAAGAAAGAACAACCAAATCTTTCAAATGATGAAGTTGATTCAAAAGCAATTAGAGAAACAACAAATGTTTTTGGAGATAGAATTCAACATATATCAACAAGAGGTGCTAAAACAGCTCCACATATAGAAATATTTTTGAAGAAATGTTGGGGAAATCGCTTTTATAACAACTATGGTTGTACAGAATCATATGCCATTGCATCTAATGGTAGAATTAGAAGTGATGTGGAATATAAAATCAATGCAATACCTGGTTTCAGAGATGATAGTCTATATCCAGTTGGGGAATTAATTGTCAAATCACCAAGAACTATTGAAGGTTATATCAACAAAGATGGTTCAAATGAAAAGAATTTCAGAAATGGATGGTATGTCACTGGTGATATCGTTGAAGAATATGAACCTGGAGTCATTAGAATCCTTGAGAGAGTTAGTTACTCTTTCAAATCATCATTTGGAAGATTTATATCGTAAGTTTTACTTTTTTATTACAATTTTAAATGAAAATTAATTATTAATTTTAAAACCTTGATACAGACCCGAAATCATTGAATCAAATTTTTATTCATCATCTTTGATTAGAAATATATTCATTTATGGAACATCATTACATCCATTTTTGGTTGGAATAGTTGTACCTTCTCAATTGGCTTTGGAGAGATTCAATCTAACATATGATCAATCAAATATTGATCAACATCAAGATCTGAAAGAATCTATCATCAATGAAATAAATATCATATCAAAACAAAAGAATGTATGTAAAATTAAAAAAACAACCAGGATTTAACTTTTTTCTAATATATAAATTTAATAGATTATATTTTGGGAAATTCCAAAGGCAATAAAATTGGATAATACCATTTGGACTGTTTATAATCATCTTTTAAATGGATCTTTCAAATTCGATCGAAAAGAAATCACAAAATACTATCAAAAATCTTTGGATCAATTATTATCAGGTATAAATGAAAATGGTAGTTCATTCTTCTAAATAAATTAACTTTTTTATAAAATCTATCTTTAATAAAACTTTATTATTGAACCCTTAATCGAGGTTTTTTTATATGAAGAAATAAATACACATTAATTTGTTCTATTATGTATTTTTTTTTTTTGTCTTATTAAAATATTGATTGTTTTACATATTAAAACAAATAACTGTGGTGTGTTTTATTTTTTAAGGAATAATTATTTTTTTATCTTACAGAGTGATGTTACAATTTGAATGTCTATTTTATACACTCTTATTCCTATCAAATGAAACAGTTACATTCTACAACTTGTCACCTGTCATTGATTCACCTTAGTACTTCCAACAAGTGAATCAATGACAAAAGAAAATTATTCCATTTCATATTTAATGTTCGTAAACATACTGGGAGAAAACAATCGGTTATCGATCATTCTTCCTTCTTGTTTATCTTTAAGATTTGTATACGTTTTAGGGTGATAGTGCATTGATTGATATGACAGATAAATATATAAGATTAATGATTTGATTTTAGTTTAAATAATTGTATTTAGACTCACTGAAATCTATATACCGAGTAATTGGACTGACTCTTCTGAAAAACAAACAAACCATTCGACTTCGCAAATGGTGATCAATATCAAGAAGACAACTGCTTAAAATTTGTAGAATCAAGAGGTTAAATTGATGGTAGACCAAAATAAAAATAATTATTACAAAAGATTAAAATAAAAAAACAATAAATAATAAAATAAAAATAAAATAAGAACTTTGCCCAATACTACAAACTTTTTTCTAAAAAAATATCTTTTTGTTTTTTTTTTGATTTATACTCTGAAAAACATCCAGTAACATTGAACAACATCGAATTTTTTAACCACACCCAACCCAAAGTCTTAAAGTATGGATTTGTTTATTGTTAAATAACTTATTTCTTTTCTGTTGCTACACTCTGCCAAAAAGAAAATTTTTTTTGTTTATTATTTTATTTTAGTGTCACCAAAATTGGAGTAGACATTTCCAAACAAAACTATCCATTTTAAAGAAAATTTATTTTTTTAAACATAATAAAGAATATATAAAACAATTCTTATGAATATTAAATTATTATCTTTCTTCTAAATCAATTATTATTTTATTTTTATAGAATAGGAAATAATTTTAACTCATACAATTACAAAAGTACCCTACTGTTTTTTTTTTTTTTTGGATTCATATTTTTAATATTATTATTATTACAGATTTGTTATTTATTAAATTTAAATTATTAATTATTATATAAAGGTAAGTTACAAGAGATCGTTTGGCATTAATAAATATTATATGGGGGTCGGACTTATATTATTATTATTAGATTTCAATTTTACTGGAATTTTGGTGATTTGGCAAAGAATGAAGAGATGATGGCAATGAAACCGGCGGCAGAGAAACCAACACCGGCAATCCAGAAGAAACCTTGATGGATGTCACCTTGGGCGGCAAAGTTGTCCATGACACGACCAAGACCGAATGAGAGGAGCGAAATGATGACGGCGTAAGTTGTGAAGAGGAAACCAAGGACTGATGCCAATGGTGATCCAGTTGGTGGATCGTCTTCGTCGGCAACGTCGTCGTCCTTCTTTACCATCTTACCGCTACCCTTCTTATCACCCATTTCTTCGTCGATTTCCTTGTCAATGTCGTCGGCCTCTGAGAGATCCTCCTTGTCGAGAGCGATCTCCTCCAAACGATCTTGACGAGCGGCAGCCTCAAAGTTGTCGTTGGCATTGACATTCAATGGGAACGACGATTGGAGGAACGAAAGAATCGATACGTCACCGGCTGCCCACGAACTAGAGACAAAGATCCAGCATGGAATGAGAGTGGCGGCGACATGGATTGGAACACCTGATGGTGGGTAAACCAACACCCAAACAATAGAGCAGCAAAGACCGTCGACACGTACCCACCACATTGGATTCTTGACGTATTTACCGAATTTGACGACGGCAAGCGCACCGCACAACTCACCAAAGTTGGAACCTCCAGTCAAGATACCCGAGAGTGAACCGTCGTGGAGAATCTTCTTGGCAAACACAGAGAAGAGGACATTCTCCAAGATTCTGTGGAGAACTTGTGGAATGACGTAGGTTGGGATAACCCACCAGTAGTCTTTGGTGAGGATGTAACGTGCTCCACGACCAACGGTCTTGCAGTAATTGAGTGATTCCTCCTTGATGCTAATGAGGATACCAACCAAAGCGTTGTGTTTTGGTTTTGGTTCGTTGGAGATTTCCTTGACCGCTGGGAATGGCTCCGTGATGGTGAAGGCAATGATACTGGCAACCAAGAAGAAGGGTGGCATCAAAAACATTGAGTAGATGGGACCGAAGAACTTGATGAGTGGGGTCGAGAGGAAGGCACCGGAAGTACCTGATACTTCGTAGAAAACGTGGACGAGACCGTTCATTTTGGAGAGTGCATCGTTGTCGTTTCCGAGGATCTGACGTGGAATCAACTTACGACTGACTTCGATCATACCCAAACTCAAACCCATGACAATATAGACAACTGTGATCAACCATTTATCCCATCCACCGAGTTCAGTACGAGTACCTTTGTAACCGGCTTCCAAAAGGATAATGAAAGAGATGACGGCAAACATGAACAAAAATACAATTGAAGTGACTCTGGATGCTCTGAATTTTCTAATGAATGGTCCAACCATAATAGATCCAACAGACTAAAAAAAAGGTGTTAGAAAATATTATATTTATAATGAGATTGATTATCAACACTTACTTGCATCAAAAAGTATACAATATTCATAACTGCTAAAAGAGTGACACCATAGCTGTCGAATTTAGTTAGCACGTATAGACCGAGTGCTGGTGAAAGAGTTTCGAAAGCGAATTTGAAGAACATACTCATCAGGATGAGACGAGTTTCATTGATGTGATCTTCGGTGTAGAACTTTGGGTTGAAACGAGAGTGCTTTGGAACTTCATCTTTAAGCTTTGGTTTGTAGTCGTCCTTTTTTACAATCTGGACGTCGCTGCTATTTTTTTGATCGTTGTCGAAGCTGTTGTCAATACTAGAAGTGGATGGCTCGGTATATGGAACTGAACTACCGAGGTTTTGGATTTCAATTTCGTCGTTACTATTATTTTGATTTTGGTGATCCATTGCTTGTTATTATTATTATAATAATTATTTATATTTTACTATAAAAACCAAAAAGTAATAATATTTTTTGAATGGGCTGATTTGTTGTTGTTTGTTTGTTTCTGACAATAACAATAATAATAATTGACTAATTAATAATTATTAAACTATTGGAGCTGGATTGTTAAGAATTAAATAATTATTTTAAAATATTCTTTTAAGATAATCAAATAAAAATTTATGACTACACTGGTGATTACTACTTTTTTTATAAATAGAATAGGAAGGTGTAATATGGAATGGATTTAAAAATAAAAACCAGAGGTGTTGCTGCAGATGTATCGTGTGAGCGAGTGGGGAATGAGTTTAATAATGAATTATATAACTTGGTGAAAATTATTAAGTTTTAAAATGAAAAAACGTGTGGTGGTGGTGATGATGGTGTTTGTGTTAATTGATTGATTAGTTATTAAATGCAGTGAGATGAATGTAATAATTATAGAGGGTGTGAGCTAAACAATTGACTTATAACAGTTAATTTAAAACAGTTATAAAAAAAAATGAAATTTAATAATAATTTGTTATTATTGGTGTGGAAGGAGGAACAGTGTAAACGATTATAATAATTAAATGAGAAATAGGGAACAAACAACAATTTAATAAATATATAATATGTTTAAAAATAAGAATAGAAAAAAAAAAAAAAGATATATAAAAATAATAGGAACAAATATATAAAAAATTAAATTAAAAATAATTTAGAAAATTAATTTAGGTTAATAATTCCAAATCAATAGTTGGCACTGAATTTGGAAAGAGTTGATAACCAAATGGTTTTGCTTTAAGCAGGCTGTGTGTTGTTGTTGGTTGTGGCAGCAGCAACAGTTGCTTTAAAAGACAATCGTTCGATTATGTGTACTCTTCAGGCGAAGCTAAGCTACTGCAGGGCAAGGCGTAACAAAGTTATTATTAATCTAATTATTATTTGTTGGTTGGCAAAAAATTGTGGGTTGGAGAGGTGTTGTTTGGAACAGGTCTGAAACAAACAATGCTGGACAATCGTGAAGATTTATATGATTGACTGATTCACTCAGAGCAATCCAGCGCACAGAGAAAAATATTAAAAATAATATAATATTAAATAATAATTTAAAAATAATTGATTTTTATTCAAAAAAATATAATATTAATATGACATAGGAGGTGGTTGCGTTTAGCCAAAGCCAAAGCCTTCTATCACCTACACCACAAACACAAAACAACAACAACGAAAAACTACGGAATAATAATGGTGTTGTTGTTATTTAGTGTGAGTGATTTGTTTGTTGATGATTCCTTTCCTTCCTTTCTTCTCACAAAATAAAGTAGCGATGCAAAGTACCAAAAAAAAAAAAAAAGTAGTAGTGGTGTGGTTAGTTACACTTATGATGGTTTTGTGATTGATTGTCTTGTCGCAGCTGGCTTTCTGGGGTACAAATTATTTATTTGCAACATTCCATTCTCGATGTATAGTTCGTGGTGTTTCGTGTAGTTGTCGATTAAAAATATTGTTATTTTTAATAATATAATATCCTGTTTTTTTTTTTTCATTTCTTTGCAATTTCTTGGGAACCATTTTAGATCTCTTATTGTTGAGCTAAAAACAAAAAAAAAAAACAAAATTAAAATCATAATGGGCCAGCAATTGTGTGTTGTGTGATAGGTTTTTTTTTTTGCAACCGAAAACCCCCCAATACATTGAATCTGAACTGTGAGTTATTTTCATCGTATTCGTGAAAAAAAACAAAAAAATAAAAATAAAACTTTTTGCGGCATTATAATTAAAAAAAAAACTTAGCCAAAAAAAGACGTGACATGTCAAACAATAGTTGTTAGAAACACAACACAATTGTATGGCATGGCATGTCTGTGAGTGGAATGGAATGGAATGGTGATGGCTAGTTTTTAGATTTGATTTTGTTTTTTAGTTTCATTAGTTTTTTCCGAAGAGAGCAAAGTATGAAATATTTTACCAAAAACGAATTATAATTCATAGGGGCTTGAGTGGTTGTATTTAGGAGGTTTGAATTGATATGTTGTTGGGTCGGTGCAGTATGTAGATTGGTCATAGGTATGGAATGTTTAAACATTTTCTATCTAAATTTAACAAAAACCTTGATTTATATTTAATTATTGGGGATTAGGTTATTATGATGCACTGGTAATCACCTAACTATCTATTTGTTTAGTTATGTTCAATGTTACAAATGTGAGATTAGAATGGTTTTTCGAAAGATTAGAGGATCTTTAGTTAGTATTTTCAATTAATTTAATTTTGTAAAGATAGATGCTTGTTTCTTTATTATAAACTATTATTATTTAATTTATTTTTTATTTTAAAAATTAAGTTTGCTAATTATTAATTTTGTTTATAAAATGTTATATAACGTGCATTCTGATTTTTTAAACATTAATTAAAAAATATAAAAACTAAAAGAGGTATATGATTAAATATTTAATAATTTTTAATATGGTTATAAAAAAATGATTTGTTATGTGCGAATCACTGAAGATTCTTTGGACTTTGCTTGATTTTTCATTTTGTTAGTTTGATTTTTTTTTTTCAGTTTCCAAAACAACAAAAAAAACAAAAAGCTTGGCTGATTGGGAATGAACAGATGATATCACAGCGAAACACCAAATTTAATTAAGATAGTTTGTTATTTATTATTTTGTATTATTGTACTATAGTTTATAGTTATTATTCATATTTTATTATATTGTTTTGATATTATTTTAATTTCTTTTTATTCTTTTTTTTTAAAAAATTAAATAATAAAAATGTCAAAACCACACTCAAAAATAGTTCAGGGTGAAGATGATGAGGAAGATGACTATGATGAAGAAGAAGAAGAAGATGAAGAAGTAGAAGAAGTAATAGATAGTAAACAACAACAACAACAATCATCATCTCGTATTGTAGCTGGTGAAGAAGATGAAGAAGAAGATGATGGTGAAGTAGAGTATGAAAAGGTGGAAGAAGGAGAGCAACAACAACAATATCAAGAAGGTGAAGAAGATGATGGTGAAGTAGAGTATGAAGAGGTGGAAGAAGAGGAGCAACAACAACAATATCAAGAAGGTGAAGAATATGAAGAATATGAAGAACAAGAAGAATATAATGAAGAAGAGCAAATGGCTGGTAGTGATCTATTGAGTTTTATTCAGGATTTGGAAGTCACCAAAGGTGATGCTACTTCTGATGCTGTTGCTGACTTCAATCCAATGTCACCAGATACTGCCGACAACAATAGTGATAGTATCATTGTAAATCATAGTAGTGTAGAGAGTGAACAATCGTTATTGGCTGAACAGTTAGAGATTAAAAGACAAGCTGAGGAAGCAGAGCAAAAGCGTTTGGCTGAAGAGGAAAAGAGACTTGCTGAAGCCGAACAACTAAGATTAGCAGAAGAGAAACGTTTAGCCGAGGAAGCCGAGCAAAAGAGATTGGCTGAAGGAGCCGAACAACTAAGATTAGCAGAAGAGAAGAGACTTGCCGAAGAAGCTGAACAACTAAGATTAGCAGAAGAGAAGAGACTCGCAGAAGAGAAGCGCTTGGCTGAGGAAGCTGAACAACTGAGATTGGCAGAAGAAAAGAGACTTGCAGAAGAAAAGAGACTTGCAGAAGAGAAGCGCTTGGCTGAAGAAGCTGAACAACTAAGATTAGCAGAAGAGAAGAGACTTGCAGAAGAGAAGAGACTTGCCGAAGAAGCTGAACAAAAACGATTGGCCGAAGAAGCAGAGCAACTCAGATTGGCTGAAGAGCAACGTTTGGCAGAAGAAAAGAGACTAGCAGAAGAAGCTGAACAACTAAGATTAGCAGAGGAGAAGAGACTGGCTGAGGAAGCCGAACAACTTAGATTGGCTGAAGAGAAACGTTTAGCTGAGGAAGCAGAGCAAAAGAGATTGGAAGAAGAGAAACGTCAAGAAGAGGAAAAGAGACTTGCTGAAGAAGCCGAACAAAAGAGATTAGCAGAGGAGAAGAGATTGGCTGAAGAAGCAGAGCAAAAGAGATTAGCAGAAGAGAAGCGTTTAGCGGAAGAAGCAGAACAACTCAGACTGGCAGAGGAGAAAAGACTTGCTGATGAAGCTGAACAAAAGAGACTGGCAGAAGAGAAACGTCTAGCTGATGAAGCTGAACAGCTCAGATTAGCAGAAGAGAAACGTCTAGCAGAAGAAGCCGAGCAACTCAGACTGGCAGAGGAGAAACGTTTGGCTGAAGAAGCAGAACAAAAGAGATTGGCTGAAGAGAAACGTTTGGCTGAAGAAGCCGAACAACTCAGACTGGCAGAGGAGAAACGTCTAGCAGAAGAAGCCGAACAACTGAGATTGGCAGAAGAGAAGAGACTAGCAGAAGAGAAGCGCTTGGCTGAAGAAGCTGAACAACTCAGATTAGCTGAAGAGAAACGTTTGGCAGAAGAAAAGAGACTAGCAGAAGAAGCTGAACAAAAGAGATTGGCTGAAGAGAAACGTTTGGCTGAGGAAGCTGAGCAAGAGAGATTGGAAGAAGAAAGACGTTTGGCAGATGAGAAGAGACTTGCTGAAGAAGCCGAACAACTCAGACTGGCAGAGGAGAGACGTTTAGCTGAAGAAGCCGAACAACTGAGATTGGCAGAAGAGAAACGTTTAGCTGAAGAAGCTGAACAACTCAGACTGGCAGAGGAGAAACGTTTGGCTGAAGAAGCAGAACAAAAGAGATTGGATGAAGAGAAACGTTTGGCTGAAGAAGCTGAACAACTCAGATTAGCAGAAGAGAAACGTCTAGCAGAGGAAGCCGAGAAGAGATTAGCCGAAGAGAAGCGATTGGCAGAAGAAGCAGAGCAACTCAGATTAGCAGAGGAGAAGCGCTTGGCAGAAGAAGCAGAACAACTCAAATTAGCTGAAGAGAAGAGACTTGCTGAACAAAAAAGATTAGCTGAGGAGAAACGTTTAGCAGAAGAAGCCGAGCAGCTCAGATTGGCAGAAGAGAAGAGACTCGTTGAAGAGGCTGAACAACACAGATTAGCAGAGGAGAAACGTTTGGCCGAAGAAGCTGAACAACTCAGATTGGCAGAGGAGAAAAGACTTGCTGATGAAGCTGAACAAAAGAGACTGGCAGAAGAGAAACGTCTAGCTGATGAAGCTGAACAGCTTAGATTAGCAGAGGAGAAAAGACTTGCTGAAGAGGCCGAACAAAAGAGATTGGCAGAGGAGAAACGTCTGGCTGAAGAAGTCGAGCAACTCAGATTAGCAGAAGAGAAACGTCTAGCTGAAGAAGCCGAGCAAAAGAGATTAGCTGAGGAGAAACGTTTAGCCGAGGTAGCCACGCAAAAGAGATTGGCTGAAGAGAAGCGATTAGCAGAGGAAAAGAGACTTGCTGAAGAAGCTGAGCAAAAGAGATTAGCTGAGGAGAAACGTTTAGCCGAGGTAGCCATGCAAAAGAGATTGGCAGAAGAGAAGAGACTTGCTGAAGAAGCTGAACAACTCAGATTGGCAGAGGAGAAAAGAATAGCTGAAGAAGCTGAACAAAAGAGACTGGCAGAAGAGAAGAGACTTGCCGAAGAAGCTGAAGAAAAGAGATTGGCTGAAGTGGCACGTTTAGCCGAAGAAAAGAGACTTGCCGAAGAAGCTGAACATAAGAGGTTGGCGGAGGAAGCTGAGCAAAAGAGATTGGCAGAAGAAGAAGAACTAAAGAAGAAGGATGTAGAACAAACACCAGCATTAATACCACCAAAGAAAGCACATGAACCAATATCAAAGATTGTCTCTGGTGAAGATGACGATGAAGATGAAGACGATGATGATGACACCGAGTCTGAAAACACCATCTCTCTTAAATCCGATCATAGTGAAAATACCAATAGCACCAAATCAGATAGCAATACTAGCAATACAAGTAATAGTAACAACAATAATAATAACACTAGTTCATCACCATCCAATCCACTGCAAGCACTCGTTAATTTGGTGACATCAAAGAAACCACCCATTCAATCTACACAACAACAATCATCATCATCATCATCAACATCACCAACATCCAATTCAAACAACTCTGTTGTTGTTCCACCTATTAAATTACCAACAACTTCTACCAATAACACAACAACAAGTAGAAAGAAATCATTTTCAAAATCAGATATTCCATTGCCAATATTACAATTCCTGATGAGTGACGAAGAAAGACTGACACTCAGCAGCAGAGGAACATCTCCCAACACCACCTCTTCATCTATATCACAACCAACGACACCACGTGAAGAAAAAGAGTTTTTAGATCCAAAACAAGTTGCACAGTATTCAGATTTAATGGATCCATGGTATGTGTTCATCATCGCTCGCTAAACTCATAAACGATATATCTAACACATTTTTAAATTCTCAATACCTACCTAATTATAATAATAGTGTAAGAGAAAAGAATCTAGCAGCCAAGAATTCAGATACACATATTCAAATACAAAGAAGATGGTGTGAAATATTTAAGAGCCTGACCAAAGAGTTGGGTACATTGGAATCATCTTTACAAAGCACAAGAACCGTCTTGCACGAAACATCGAGACAAACCAAGAATAACATTCGTGACATCGAAACCTCTCTAAACAATATATGTATATCACCATTCTTTTAATGAAAAAAAAAGAATATAACAAACAACCTATAAAATATTAACCAACAACATAACATAGTCAACAAACTAATAAAAGATAAACTAAACTAAAATTGTAATTTATTTGTAAAGGAAAACACACACACAAAAAGTACTAGTTTATTTGTTTGATGATGATGAAAATATATTTAAGATCTTATCAACCATACTCTTTTCTTTGGTGATTTCACCGGTGTTGGCACCACCCAAACCTTTGTTGGCCATACGCTCAACGACCTTCATTGTGACTTGGTCGGCAGTCAAGTTGGATCCGTAGAACTCGATGAATTTACCGTCCGGTCCGATGAGGTACTCGATGATGGTGTGATCGACCAGGTAGGAATCACCTTTGCCCGCCTTGCTAATGAATACACGATAGCTTTTGGCGAGCTTGGTGATTTGCTCGGGTGTTCCGGTGAGTCCACGGAACTTTGGATGGAACTCCTTGATGTAGGTGTTGATCTGCTCGACGGTGTCTCGCCACGGATCGATAGTGATGAACACCGGTACGATAGAATCGAGCAGCTTGTACTTCTCGAGGTTATTCAGCACCACGGTCATCTTGTCCAGCTCGGCAGGACATGCATCGGGGCAATAGGTGAATCCAAAGTACAACAAAATATACTTTCCACGGAAATCCAAGTCAGAGATTGGCTTACCATTTTCATCGACCAAAGAGAAAGGTCCACCAATTGAACTCGATCCATATGTTTCAATTTGTTTAACTAAATATAAACACTAATTAGTTTGTGCTCTGTAATATCAACTTTAAAAACATACTCTTCTCTCTCTTTTGTACCATTAAGTGATCATAATATAACCAACCAGCACCTCCAAAAAATAGAGCAACCATTAGACTGGCAAATGTAATTTGTCTCTTTTGCTAAAAGAGTTGAGTTTGAATCAAAATTGAATATTAAACATTAATATCTTATCATCATCATCATCATCACGATGATTGTTATTAACAAAGAAATAGTATTAATTAATACCTACAGAATGATGTTCATTCTTTTTAGTTTCTTTATCTACATTATTGTTGTTATTATTTTCATTGCTATTGTTTTTGTTTGATTCATTTGATTGTTTGTTTGATTCATTTTGTTGTTGTGGTTCAGTTACCGATGAACTATATGATCTTTTAAATAATGAATGACTCGATAGTGTATATGATGAAGATGGTGTTGCTATAGATCTATAATATAAAGATGATGATCTATTTAATAAACTATGTTGAGTGTGAGTACGACCTGTATTTGTAATGATTGAATTAATCGAATGAAGTGTTGGTCTATTGACCAATTTAGCTAATTTATTCATATCTATTATCTGTTATATAACTAAGTTTAAGTTTTAAGTCAATTTATATTAAAAAAAAATGATTTCCAATCAATAAGGCAAACAACAAAACTTCTATGTTCTTTTATGAAAAGATCGCCACTTAATGATTATCGATGCTAATGATCATTGTTTTACGCCAAAAATCATTTTTTATCAACTTATTTTCCTTTTAAAGTTTAATTCCACGGTTTTTTCATAAAGCATGTTATTTCAAGAGTTTAAAAAAACAATTATAACAAGATTTAGTATAATATCCTATATAGATCTCTATACACTCCTAGAATGATATCAGATCGATATATATTATATGGTTGTATATCTGATTGCTATCAGGTTAAACAAATCACCTTCAAAAATAAAAACTATCTTTTTTTTTTGTTTATTAACTATTGTCATGATGTATTGAATTAAATAAAGATATTATTATTTAAAAAATATTTGTGGTACTAGTCTTGCTAGACTTGACAAATTATTTTTTTTGAAAATAACATTGTTAGTTTTAAAAATGTTAAAGCAACATACAATATCTATATCACAAGATAAAGCATTGTGTCAAAACAGTAATAGATTGAAAACGTTGTTTAAAGTGGTTTTGAAACCATTCAATGAGATGCATTGTCATTATAGTTTTGATTCATTCAAAACCAATTTCATTGGTAACTAAACAAACTAAACTAAACAAACTAATTTATTTGTTTTTATTTTAATTGATTTAATTATACTTTTAACTAGTTATAAGTATAAATGAAATTGAAGAAAATCTGAAAGTAGTAAATGATAACATTCTACAATATATTGAAACTTATAAATATGGGTATGTACTATAGTCAATACTTTTAAAAGTTAATCATCAATCATCAGAGCACTCTATTATTCATTTTAAAAATAAAAGCTATATAATAGTTGATTTCAATAAACAAATGGATACGAGATCATTGTTATTGTTTGAACGATTTCAAAAGAGAATGAATCTAAAGAGTGACATTCGAATATTGATTGCAAATCAAACATTCGAGTGTGTTGATATCATGCTCGATATCTTAAAGTACAATACCTCTGAATTTGATATTGAAATGAAAAAGAGAATAGCTCATGAAGTAAGTATATATATATATACAATTCTTTATTTATTTATTTATTTATTTTATTGATTGTTGACTAAACAACATTATAAGTATGATCAATTGATTTCGAATAAAACAAAAATAAAAGTTTGTTTATCAATACCGGGTTTATCTTTAAATGATACTAAACAATTATTAGAAAGTAAGTAAAAATGAATGAATGAATGTGCTTTTATTAAAAATGTTGCAAGTCTTCTTAATTAATAGTATTAATATTATCAACATTATTATCATTATGATAGAATCAGGTTATAATTTACAAAAGTTTCTGTTCAATGAAGAACGCAATCAATCATCTGATTTGATAAAACAATTTGTTGCAAATGATAGATTATAAATATATAAAAAAAGTATACAAGAGTTGAAATTCCCATCCCTTTTGGGAATCAACCTTTGATCCCATTTATCATGAGTCATCATCATATTCATTCGTCTAAAGTTTTTTGTAAATTTTAAACAAGATTGAATAAAAAACAAGATATTTTTTAAATTTTAAACATTTTTAATTAATTTTTTTGTTTTTTTAATAATAATGATGATCAACAAACCCTTTTTTGGATTTAATAATTTATTTTTTTTTGTTCATTTTATTTATCTACTTATTTTTTTAATAAATAAATTACTTAAAAATTAATTATGACTCATACAATTGTAAAGACTAATCAGGAATGGGATCAAGTCATTCAGGATATCGCTGATTACGTGTTGAACTTCACTCCAACCTCTGACGAATCATTCACCACTGCACAATACACACTGTTCGATGCGATCGGTTGTGGATTCCTCGCATTGGCTTTCCCAGAGTGCACAAAATTGATGGGACCCGTTGTAGAGGGTACCGTTGTGCCAGAGGGTTGCCACGTGCCAGGCACCGACTATGTGCTCGATCCGATCACCGCTGCCTTCAATATTGGTTGTATGAATCGTTGGCTCGACTTCAATGACACCTGGCTTGGAAAGGAGTGGGGACACCCATCCGATAACTTGGGTGCCATCCTCGCTGCCGCCGAGTATCGTTCCACTCTCAACGTCAAAGCTGGCAAGCCAGCACTCACCATGCGTGACGTCTTGATCGCCTTGATCAAATCCTACGAGATTCAGGGTGTCATCGCACTGGAGAACAGTTTCAATCGTGTCGGACTCGATCACGTCGTTCTCGTAAAGGTTGCATCGACCGCTGTCGTCACTCAGCTCCTCGGTGGAACACGTGAACAAATCATGGCTGCCGTCAGTAACGCCTGGCTCGACGGTCAATCGCTGCGTACCTACAGACACTTCCCAAATACCGGAAGTCGTAAATCATGGGCTGCCGGTGATGCTGCTTCGCGTGCCGTCCGTCTCGCTCTCTTCTCGCTCAAGGGTGAGATGGGTTACCCCTCGGTACTGACCACTCCAGGCTGGGGATTCTACGACGTCTGCTTCAAGGGACAACCATTCAAATTCCAACGTCCATACGGTTCCTACGTGATGGAGCACGTTCTTTTCAAGGTAAGTTACCCAGCGGAATATCATGCACAGACCGCCGTTGAGTGTGGTATCAAGCTGCACCCAACCATCTCAAAGAAGTTGGATCAAGTCGAGTCGATCACCATTACCACTCACGAGTCTGCCATTCGTATCATCGACAAGAAGGGAGCACTCAAGAACCCGGCCGATCGTGACCATTGCATCCAATATATGACAGCGATCGGTATGATCTACGGTGATTTGGAGGCATCGCACTACGAAGATGAGGTCGCTTTGAAGGACGAGCGTATCGATCAATTGCGTGCCAAGATGACCTGTGTCGAGAACAAGCAATACTCTGACGACTATTTGGATCCAGAGAAGCGTAGCATTGCCAATGCCATCCAAGTCAAATACACCGACGGAACCTCATCGGAAGTCGTCGAAGTTCAATACCCAATTGGACATCGTAGACGTCGTCAAGAGGCCATCCCATTGTTATCTCAAAAGTTCTTTGATTCCATCAAGAATCACAAGTTATCAGCAACCAATTTCAAACAAATCGAGAATATCTATAACAACGAAGCTGCATTCGCTGCCACCTCTGTTAATGATTTTATTAATTTATTCGTAGTTTCTAAATAAATATAAATAAGAAGAAACTATTATAATAGTTTTAAACAATTTTATTTTTTTAAACTTTAATCGATTGGATTAATGCGTTAATAGAACTGTTGGTAATTTGTTTGGTTGTAATGTTGGTAATGTTGAATTCTTTTTGTATCCAATTCTTTAGTTGAACAGTCAAGAGTGAATCGATTCCATAGTCTTTGAGATGTGTCTCTGGATTTATTTTGGCTTGACTCATTGCGAGAAGATCTGCAACTTTGGTTGTCACCATATCGAATAGCGAGTTTCCAGTAGATTGGTTGGCTGTTGATGAGGTTTGAGCTTCTTCAAAGTCAATGTCTTCAACTTGAGAGATATGTTCTAATTTGGATCGAAGCAAACGGTATTGCTCAAATAACGATTTATAAGTCATCTCCACAAGTATTAGATGAGGAGAATCAATAGATTCGTTCAAGAACAATTTCATTCCACCAAGAATATGTGATACCGATACCAATTCGAATCCAATCATCTTGAGGAATGTGGATACTGATTTGTTGTTGGCGACTTCTCCACCTCCTCCCAATGCACCCCACGATACAGATAGACCGCTCAATCCTTGGCTTCTACGATATTGTGCCAAACCATCGAGTACTGAGTTGGCAGAGGTGTAAGCAGATTGGTTGGATGATCCAAGAATGGAGAATACAGAACTGAAAAGTACAAAGGAGTTCAACTTCCAACCTTTGGCCTCAAAGAGTGAGTGAAGATTGAATGCACCAACTGCTTTGGCGTTGTGAGTACCTGACAAGGTATCAGGTGAAATCGATTGTGGTTCAGTATAATCATAGACTGTGGCAAAGTGAATTACTGATGAAACTGGTGCGATACTAGAGTCAGAGTCGTAGATTGATTGGACAGCTTGATCCAACAATTGATATTGACTGACATCAGCTGAACGATAGTGAATTCGAATGGAACTACCTCCATACTTTAATTGATTCATGAGGAATTCTAATTCCCATTTCAATTGAGATCTGGAGAGAACAATGACATCCTTCAAACCAACTGGTCGATTTTCAATGATCCAACGAAGAATGACAATGGCAATACCAGTTTGTCCAGTAATAAGGAGAGTCTGACCGATTTGATTCATCTTGGAACAACTATTGACAACTTGTTCAAGTTTACCATTTGATTTAAGCTCTGGAATTATTGATCTGTCAAACATACTGAAATCAATAACAATCTTGTTAGAAGCTGATTTCTCCATTGATTCGAAAGCATCTTTAATTTGGTTACATGGGAATACAGTTGTTCTTTGGTTGGTACTTAGTTGGTTGTTTTCAAATTGTCTGAACAGTTGATTCAAATAACGACCAATCAATTTGGATTGGCTCAATAATTGATCAATGTAAAAGGTTTGGTATCCACGGTGATAGGTGAAGTTCTTGATGTTCAAACTGTCATTCTCCATCAAATTTTGAGTTGAGAGGTCAATGATTCTACCGGATGGTGCCAAACTATCAAAGTTTGATTTCATGAACGATCCACTTGGAAGAGTATTGATGATGAGGTCGACACCACCAATCGATTTCAATTGATCTGAGAATCCATTATCGATGCTATTCAAGTCAACTTGAGAATAGTAACCAGTGATAATTCGAGGAGAATTCTTGGAGGACTGATTTATCACAATCAACAGTAACGTAGATATTACCTTGATGTTTCTTGGACTTCAAGAGACTGAGCAATGCTGTCCCTACACCATGATTGGCCATATGAATCAAAATTGATTCAGATTCATCGAGGTATCCCATCACAAATGCTGAGACATTGGCAGAGATAAAATCTACTGGGATTGAAGCAGCTTCGGTATGGCTGAGATTCGATGGTTTATGGACAATCCAATCATCTCTAACAATAACATGAGATGCAATGGCAGAGTATCCCAAACCAACAACTTGATCACCAATTTTGAACTTGTTACTGTTACCAGTTCTTGTTACAATACCAGAGAATTCCAATCCAAATGGAGGATTATAGATATCACCACTGATGAACATGTTTTGTGAAAGTTTTTTCTGGTAGTAGAGTAAGTCTTTTGGTGTTACACCAGCTGCCATCACCTTAACTTCGACTTGGTTTTCCACCAACGATTCAACCATTTCTTTAATTTCAAATTGTAAATTAGAGTCAAGTCTACAATAGAGATTGTTGTTGATTGAGAATGATGATTCGTTATTATTGAGTGGTGTGATTGGTTTCTTGAAAATACGTTGGACATTGGTTGAGAGCAGAATTGGTGAACCTTCAAGACGAATGACATATTCCTTGTCATATGGACTGGTAGAAAGTTTAATGAGGTAGGAAAGTGGTACTTCAGAGAGTGTCTCCATTGTCAAATCAATAGAGATCGTCGACAATTGATGGAATTCCATAAAGTAACGATGGATACCAATGAGTGACATATTGAAAAAGTTGTTTGAGTCAACTTGGGCATTCATTGTGGTCAAGACGGTAGTGCAGCTGGTAAGGTTGTTCTTCAAGAGGATTTGGTTCAATTTAACAAATTCGAATGTCTTTTGTTGATAGTTATCAACCTTTAGTTGATCCAAACCAGCCAAGTATACAATGAAACACTTTGTTCCATCTCCAATGAATTGTAGGAATTTCTCATGATTGGAAACCAATGATTGTGATTCGAAAATTTCAATTCTGTTGGCATTGAGAAGTCCTTGATCAACAAAAGTTGTCTCGATTTCATTTGGAGTTGGTCCAGCAGTGATAAATGCAATCTTGTTGATTCCTTTGATTTCTGGTTGTGTGAGGATCGAATGGTTTTGGATGATAGAGAATCCATTGCTCATAGTATGGACATTGAGATTGGTACTGAGTGAATTTACCATTGTATTGGTCAGTAGGAGTTGACCACTTGGAGCAAGTAATGATTCCAATTGGCTGAAACTGGCAATCTCCGAGGTAATGACAATATCATAGCTTGACTTTAATAAACGTTTGTCAATATTGTCATTGTTCACCATGTCTCTACATTTGAAAAGTAGTCTTTCATTGGTGATGTTTAGTGATTGCTTGGCACCAGTGTTGATAAGAGTGTATTCAACATTGATATTTGGATTGGATTGCAAAACTTGTGATTCTATCAAATCGATTAGAATCTGTGAGTTTTGAATGTTGTTATCCAATATTTTAACAACCAATTGACTGTTCTTGGTTGTCAAAGAGTTGAGTAGTTGACAAACATATTGGTGAAGTGTGAAGTTTGAAGGTTTAATGGTGGATGGAAGTAACTCTTTTCTTTGCCAATGTTGAACGAATAGAGTGTTGTTTGGATTGGTAGGTGTGTCTTGTTCAATCTTTTTGAGGAAGTGGCAAATCATCTTTTCACCAGTCATCAAAAGAGATCCATCTTCGAGGAATACTTTAACTTGACCAATACATGTGTCGGCGGAGTTCGAGAGAATGTGAACGTAAACATAGATGTGGTCAGGTCTCACTGCTGGAAGATTACCAGAGTAGATCTTCATGTTGTTCAAACCTTCGAATACAAGTTCAGTTGGATTAACCAATGCAATCAAACCTTGTGCACAACTATCGAGTAACGGTGTATTGAAGAATGTTTCATTGTCAAAAGAAGAAACTGGTGGATTCATATTGATGGTTGACAAACAACAATCACGTCCCATCATTGTGGATTTGATACGACTGAACGATGGGCCGAATTCAATTCCAGAGTTCTTGATCTTTTGGTAGACTTGTTCGTGTGACAACTCTGCATAGTTGCATTGTTCTCTGATGGCTGCAATATCTACTTTTCCAATGTTGGAGGCTGACATTGATGGATAGACAGAGACACGACCAATTGCAGATCTGGTCCATTCGTCAGTGTTATGATTCTCTTTGAACATATATTCAACTTTATATTCATTCTTGGCAATCTCGATAAAGTTGGTTTGTAGGTGATGTTGTACTCCTTCTTTCAAGAAGAATGGATACTTAAAGTCGAGATTGTGGATATAGACATCGCTACCTTTGAAAGCACGAAGAATATTGTCAACATAACCAGTTCCTGGGAACAATGATTGTCCTTTGATTTTGTGACCTTTAAGGAATGCAAATGGTGCCTTTCCAACATCGATGATTGAGAGGTAAGAGAATCCTCCTGTGCTGTTGTAATGTTTGTGTCCAAGATGATTGTTGGTTGGACCTTCCAAACGAATCTTCTTGAATGGTAATGGTTCAGCCCACAATGACATTGAGTTGAATTGGTATCTTGGTAATGTTCCAGCATTGTCCTTCCACATCTGATTTCCAGATCTCTTTAAAATGGGATATTGATTTGAAAAGTTTAGTTTGACACCATAGAGATAAACTTGTGCCAATGTTGTTTGGATCAAGTCTATTTCACTACCTTTTCTGTTGAGTGAAGAGGCAACCAATGGTTGTGTTGATGATGATTTCGGAATCATCTTTTTAAGGTAGAAATTTAAAGTTGGATGTGGTGAAATTTCAATAAAGATTGCTGGTTTGTTACCACTTTGTTCACCATTGATTAGTTTGAAAATATTCTCCATTGCTTTATCGAAAACAACCGGCATACGAAGATTATCATAGATATAGTTAATATCATAATCTTGTTTTCTTGAGAATGTTCCACCGGTGACTGTTGAGAAGAGGGTGACATTACTTTCTTCATCGTCTTCGAGATACTCAACACTGGCTATCGGTGATTGTAATAGTTTCTCTTTGATAACCTCTTGTCTGGATGAATGGAAAGAACATGGTGTTGTCAGCATGATCGCTATAACATTCTTATCTTTCAAATGGTTCATCAGAGATTGTAGAGTTAATTCGTCACCAGTGACAACAATTGAATCTGGAGAATTGTAACAAGCGATTTCCAATGGATATTTCTCAGAGTAGTTGCTGAGATATTCATTGGCACTGATTCCAATCGACAGCATTCTTCCACTTCCAATGGTTTCGTTTTGGAGAGTGGCACGATAGTAGACAATCTTGGCAGCTGTGTATAATGAGATATATTTGGCACAGTAGGCAGCTGTAACTTCACCAAAGCTGTGACCGACAACGATCGATGGATCGATACCCCAGTGTTTATACAATGCCACCAAACCGATTTGGATGAGGAATATCGAAGGTTGTGCATTCACTGGCTTATGGATGTCGGATTCATTAGCTCCTTTGAATGTTCTAAGTCTTGAAAGTACTGAATAATTGAAGAATCCTTCGAGTATCTTATCACATTCGTCAACAGCATCTCTGAATATCGGCTCCTTTTCATAAAGTTCCAGACCCATTGTGGAGAATTGTGGTCCTTGTCCACAAAAAACAAAAACAATTGGAATGTCGCTGGTCTTGCTGAATGAACCCAAACTTGTATCTTGATCTGGTGCAACAAAGGTTCTCTCTTGTTTTTCAAACTGCTCCCAACTGTTGGCAGCAACAATCTTTCGATTTGAAATGAAGTGCGATTTCGATTCGACTTGATATCGAACAAAATGTTCAAATGGAATTACTTTTGACAATCTGGATATGTTATTCTTAATCATGTCAATGTATTTATCGACAGATGCTTTCGAATTTCCAGAGAAAGGAATTAAATAATTTTCTCCTAATGTAGTCGATACATTATTTATCTAAATAAAATAAATATTAGTTTATTTTTAATATTATTTAAGAATTGTTACTTACCATTTGTGCTGATTTAACAGATTTATATTCTTCTAATATCAAATGACAATTGGATCCACCCAATCCAAAGCAATTGATACCTATTCGTATGGTTCTATCTGTTGGGAATGATTCCAACTCGGTTTGAATTTTGATATTCCATTCATCACATTTGATTCCTGGATTTGGTGAGTTGAAATGGATGCTTGGAACCAGTTGACGGTTCTTCAGCATCAGACAAACTTTGATGAGTGAAGCGACACCAGCAGCAGCTTCCATATGTCCCATATTCGACTTGATCGATCCTATTCTTAGAGGCTCCTCAGCGGTGTGGTTACCTTTGAAAACAGAGGCAAGAGCACCAACTTCGGTTGGATCACCTACAGGTGTACCGGTTCCATGTGCTTCAACATAAAAGATATCTGATGCACTCAAACGAGCGTCTTTCAATGCGAATTCTACATTCTCTGCTTGAGCAGTGCCAGATGGTGCTGTCAGAGTTGTCTTGTTGTTACTTCCATCGACATTGCTACTTCCACCTTTGATAACACCATAGATTCGGTTTCCATCACGAATGGCAGCATCCAGTCTCTTTAAAATACAGATACCAGCTCCTTCGGCACGTACATAACCATCTGCATCAACATCAAATGAATGACATTTACCAGTTTTACTTAGTGCAGCTATTTAAAATAAATAAAATAAAATTTATTAATATAAAAATAAATATTATTTTAAATTAAGATAAATCATGTTTTTTAGTTGGCGCCAAAACTTTGGAAAAAAACGACCAGATTGTTCATTAAAAAAAATAATTTTTTTTTAACAAAACCAATTAATAATTACCTAAATTACTTAAAGAAATAGTTGCAGATGGTTCAAGTAAATCATTGCATCCTCCGATGACAGCCATTTCACAAGCACCAGATCGAATAGAATTGATTCCGAGGAATGCAGCGTTGAGCGAGGAGGAACATGCAGTATCGAGTGTCATTGAAGGACCACGCAAATCAAAGGCATAAGACAATCTGTTCGACACAAATGTCAAAATGTTACCGGCCAACGAGTAAGGTGACATGTCGGTGAGAATACTATTGGTTACCATTTTATAACCTTGGGTCATTGTTCCAATGTAGACTGCAGTGTTACTACCTCTGACAGTATCGTATTGTAGCTGAGCGTCTTCAATTGCCTCCCAGAGGATCATCATCAACAAACGGATTTGTGGGTCGATTTGTTCAGCCTCTTTCTTGGTCATACCGAAAAACATTGGATCGAACTGTTTCCATTCATCAAGATTTACAAAACCACCAACATTGCTGGTGACATACTCTTGGTCAACATAACTCTGGGCATAACGGTTCGGATCCAATTTCGAAAGGAGATCGCTTCCATTGGTCAGAGCACTCCATAGATCATCTGGTGTTTTTGTACATTGGTTGTTGGATCCTGGGAATCTCATACCCATACCAATAACTGCAACATCATGCTCTTGATGAGTTGGAATATTGCTTGATACCATTTTTTTAAAAATTGAAATAAAGTTTATACAAAAGATTAAAATTCAAATATGTTAAATGAAAGTATATGTGAAATTATATATAAAATAAAAGAAATGTATATCAATTAATTAAATAAAAGAGTTTAAATAATATTTAATAATTTTATAATGTTGAAGAATTCTAAAAAAAGAAAACAAATAGGCTTGGAATAAATAATAATAGTTTTTATAAATAGAAAAAGGAATAAATAATATATGTTTAGATTGGATATTAGGACTGAATTTGAATATAAATTCTTTTTAATAATAAGATTAAATAAATTGAAAATATAATTTAAATAAAAACAAATTTTTATAAAAATATATATATATATATATAATTTTTTATACGATATATATATTGTACTTTTAAAAGTTTACTTTTTTATTTAAATGTCCTATCTAACTATTTATAAATGATCATGTTTAATTTATACCTTATTATTTGTTTTTTTAAAAATCAAACATAGATGTGATTTTTTTAGGTGAAAAATTAAACAGGTTAATATTTAAAAATAACAAATCATTAATTGTTGAAGCTGCCTCAACACAAACACAAGTTCTCAAAAAGTTTCCGGTCACTTCCATGACTTGGAGTAGTATTTTCAGAGATATCACTATTCTAAAGATTTATTTGCAGTTTCTTAGCTTGTACATTTAAAGAATTCTGTAAAGACGAAATCAAAGAATTGTCAGTGTTCCTATTTAGTGACTGATGAGATCGCTTTGCCTGTCAGTTGGTTACTTCGATATTGCCAGAGGGTTTGAATAATGGGCATAGATGTGAATTTGTTCTGAACACTAGTGGGGGTATTATGAACCTGATGCTGTATACCACACTTCAGCTTATTACCATTTTGGTCATACTATATCGATTGGTTTTTTTTTTGTTAATATTTAAAAATTAAAATAAAAAAGAAGAAAAAAATTAAACACACAACCAATAATTATTATTGTTCATCTCTTAAAGAAAAAAACAAAAAATCAGGACATTCTCATTATCATTGATACTAGATTTGAAAACAAAAAAAAAAAAAAATGAAACACCTTTAACTAAATTATAAAAAAAGGTTAAGAAAAGATAAAAGAAAATTAGTGTTGTTTTGTATGAAGAGTTAGGTGCAACCATTCCTATTTTGTTGATTGATTTTTAAAAATAATTTTTGCTAACCCACACTTTTTTTTTTTGTAAGTCAAATGGGGTGCAAAACTAGCCAATAGAAACTGGATTTTCAATCAACATGTGTTGACTGAACAAAATTGTTTTTAATCGATTTCAATTTGAATCAAAATATTCTAAAAATATTTTTTTAGGGGGCGATATGTCAAAAGTCGAATGATCGACAAATTTTTTATTGGGTCAATCATTAATAAGCGATAATTGATAGAATGCACCATCTTTTTGTTTTGTTTATTTTTTTAATCTATTTTGATAGCTTTCATACATTTAAATGATTACATTCAGATTTGTTGCTAAGGTTTAACGAGCTGAGCTTCTTTTAAAAAAAAATAAAATAAATGTTAAAATAACTTTCTTTTAAGTGATTCATTCTAGCTCGGATACAACATTGACATCAATACTTTCATTATCTATGGGTCAGATACAATAATTTATCAAAGATAATAATCTTTTAAGTAGAGGACCTTTTTTCTTTTATTTTGTTTAAAAAACTAATTTTATGATTTATTTACTTTTTTGAAAGAATAATAAAGTTTTGAGTTAATCCTTGATCTGATTCAACAAATTGATCAATCTTGAAATCAGTTCTTGAAATCAATTGATTCCACTCTGATTTGTTACGAACTTTTCCATTAAGCAAGTTCATCATATCTATATTGATATTAAAAATTAATAATTTAATTATATTGTAAAAATATATAAATATACATACGTAAATCAGTCCATGCAACATATCTTTTCTTTAATGAGAAATCACCAGCAGAATCTTCACCCATATGTTCTGCAAGATAAACTTTACCGTTTGTTCTAATTGCTTCGGAGACATTTGCTAAGATTTCTACACATTGGTCATCATTCCAGTTATGCAGCACCCACTTGAAAACATAACAATCAGCTTCTGGAACTGATTCGAAGAAGTTTCCTCCAACATCTGAGAATCTTGGGTCGAGTTGTCTTTCTCCTAACTTTTTGAGGTTTTCAAATACAATTGGTTGATCAAAGTTCAATCCTTGTTTAATTGTTGGATAGTTCTTCAAGATTTCATTTAACAATCTTAATAAAATTAAATAATATATTAATAAAAAATATAAACAATTTAAAATTAAATATTATACTTACAAACCATGAGAACCACCAACATCACATACAATTTCGAATTTACTAAAGTCACCCATTTTAACCAAATGTTGAACAGATGGAGATGACATTGAAGCCATTCCTTTGGTAAACTCGATATCTGCTTCTGGATTCTTCTTGAGGAAGTCCCATAGTGATGTTGAATCTAAACTCTTGAATCCAGAGGTCTTTCCAGTCATTACTGTCTCATAAAGTGACTCCCATGATAAATAGAAGGCTGTACCACAATGAAGGAGAGCTTCATCACGGGTGACTTGGTTCAATAATTGGATAGAAAGATTGGTGTGTTGGAAGATACCTTTCTCCATTCCTTGGCCAATACACTCTGAAAAGAAACCTTCGGTTGACATGGCACGCATCATACGGTAGAGTGACTCTCCATGGGCACCAACCTCAGTGGCAATATCATAACATGACTTCTTTGATTGAACAGTGTTTCCAAGCTTTTCACAGATTCTTAACTTGGCACAGATATAAATACACTTTGTCATTTGTTGACCATTGTAGAACTTCATTATTGGCATGTGTTGAACGGCACTACCCAATAAATTTAACATGGCATCTCTATCCATGGACTGAAATATTAAAGCTGGATCCATATTTTTGATATTAAATAATTATAATTTTATGAGGATTATGAAAAGTAGATAGATAATTGAACAACAAGAAGTAGATTTATAATGAATCGATAATGAATTTCCATTTTTTTTATACTAATTGATTTTTTATAAACAAAAAATAATAAAAAAATTAAATAAATATTTTTGTTATCAAAGTTGGGGATCATCACCTGGATAAATTTGTGGTGGTTAGATAATAATTTATTTTTAAGAAAAAGAGTGAAGTTTTCATCTCTCGGCAACTATTCAGAGTATGCACTCAGAAGAAGTGTCAGCCAATAAAGTGTTGATCTTTGCAGAAATTATCAACATTTTTTTTATTGACACTTTGGTGAACTATTTTACAAATGGGGTAATATGTACATTTTGAACGAGACCTCTTTTCAGCTATTTGAAAATCTCCAAGTTAACTTTTAGATTCTGGGTTTGCAACAAATGAATTTTTTGTTTTGTGGTGTTAGTGCTCAATCTAACATCAGTGTCGATTCATTTTGAAAAAAAAAAACTTTTGCAAAAGTTTTTGACAAAAAAAAAAAACGGTTTTGTTTTAGCAGTTCATTCGATCAGTGAATTTTAAAAAAAAATGACACACGATCTTTTTATGTCTTTTTTGGGTGCATATGTTTTTTTTTTGCCCATTTAAATATTTTTTTATTTTTATTTATTTTTTAGTAGTTTTGTCATGACCGGCATTCCACTAATGTTTTTATTATCTTCTTAACTTATAAACAAAAAATATTAAAGAAGAAGTTAATTTAACTGAAACAATCGATTATGTTAGTTTATTGGATAATCTTGAATCCTATTTAGAGATGAGATAGATCTATTGGTTGGAACTGATCAAGTTGTAAATTTTGGTTGGTAGAACATCTTAAATTTTTTATTTATATATTTTAAAAATCTATTAAATAGTGAGTGGTAAATCATCGGTATTAGCTAGTGCTTGTCATATGATTAATACATGTTCAACTACTGGATAAAAACAATAATTATGATTATAACGATGTTTTAGATATTAATCTCTATTTGTTATTTATTTATTATTTTAAAAAATATGTTTAATTTCATTCTGTCACTACTAATCATGTATTTGTAGTACCTAAATAAATATAATAAAATAATTTTATTTTTTTAAACTTTGATCGATTGGATTAATGCGTTAATAGAACTGTTGGTAATTTGTTTGGTTGTAATGTTGGTAATGTTAAATTCTTTTTGTATCCAATTCTTTAGTTGAACAGTCAAGAGTGAATCGATTCCATAGTCTTTGAGATGTGTCTCTGGATTCATTTTGGCTTGACTCATTGCGAGAAGATCTGCAACTTTGGTTGTCACCATATCAAATAGCGAGTTTCCAGTAGATTGGTTGGCTGTTGATGAGGTTTGAGCTTCTTCAAAGTCAATGTCTTCAACTTGAGAGATATGTTCTAATTTGGATCGAAGCAAACGGTATTGCTCAAATAACGATTTATAAGTCATCTCCACAAGTATTAGATGAGGAGAATCAATAGATTCGTTCAAGAACAATTTCATTCCACCAAGAATGTGTGATACCGATACCAATTTGAATCCAATCATCTTGAGGAATGTGGATACTGATTTGTTGTTGGCGACTTCTCCACCTCCTCCCAATGCACCCCACGACACTGATAGACCGCTCAATCCTTGGCTTCTACGATATTGTGCCAAACCATCGAGTACTGAGTTGGCAGAGGTGTAAGCAGATTGGTTGGATGAACCTATAATCGAGAATACAGAACTGAATAGAATAAAGGAGTTCAACTTCCAACCTTTGGCCTCAAAGAGTGAGTGAAGATTGAATGCACCAACTGCTTTGGCGTTGTGAGTACCTGACAAAGTATCGGGTGAAATCGATTGTGGTTCAGTATAATCATAGACTGTGGCAAAGTGAATTACTGATGAAACTGGTGCGATACTAGAGTCAGAGTCGTAGATTGATTGGGCAGCTTGATCCAACAATTGATATTGACTGACATCAGCTGAACGATAGTGAATTCGAATGGAACTACCTCCATACTTCAATTGATTCATAAGGAATTCTAATTCCCATTTCAATTGAGATCTGGAGAGAACAATGACATCCTTTAAACCAACTGGTCGATTTTCAATGATCCAACAAAGAAAGACCATGGCAATACCAGTTTGTCCAGTAATAAGGAGAGTCTGACCGATTTGATTCATCTTGGAACAACTATTGACAACTTGTTCAAGTTTACCATTTGATTTAAGCTCTGGAATTATTGATTTGTCAAACATACTGAAATCAATAACAATCTTGGTGGACTGAGATTTCTCCATTGATTCGAAAGCATCTTTAATTTGGTTACATGGGAATACAGTGGTTCTTTGGTTGGTACTTAGTTGGTTGTTTTCAAATTGTCTGAACAGTTGATTCAAATATCGACCAATCAATTTGGATTGGCTCAATAATTGATCAATGTAAAAGGTTTGGTATCCACGATGATAGGTGAAGTTCTTGATGTTCAAACTGTCATTCTCCATCAAATTTTGAGTTGAGAGGTCAATGATTCTACCGGATGGTGCCAAACTATCAAAGTTTGATTTCATGAACGATCCACTTGGAAGAGTATTGATGATGAGGTCGACACCACCAATCGATTTCAATTGATCTGAGAATCCATTGTCGATGCTATTCAAGTCAACTTGAGAATAGTAACCAGTGATAATCGAGGAGAATTCTTGGAGGACTGATTTATCACAATCAACAGTAACGTAGATATTACCTTGATGTTTCTTGGACTTCAAGAGACTGAGCAATGCTATCCCTACACCATGATTGGCCATATGAATCAAAATTGATTCAGATTCATCGAGGTATCCCATCACAAATGCTGAGACATTGGCAGAGATAAAATCTACTGGAATTGAAGCAGCTTCGGTATGACTGAGATTCGATGGTTTATGGACAATCCAATCATCTCTAACAATAACATGAGATGCAATGGCAGAGTATCCCAAACCAACAACTTGATCACCAACTTTGAACTTGTTACTGTTACCAGTTCTTGTTACAATACCAGAGAATTCCAATCCAAATGGAGGATTATAGATATCACCACTGATGAACATGTTTTGTGAAAGTTTTTTCTGGTAGTAGAGCAAGTCTTTTGGTGTTACACCAGCTGCCATCACCTTAACTTCGACTTGGTTGTCCACCAACGATTCAACCATTTCTTTAATTTCAAATTGTAAATTAGAGTCAAGTCTACAATAGAGATTGTTGTTGATTGAGAATGATGATTCGTTATTATTGAGTGGTGTGATTGGTTTCTTGAAAATACGTTGGACATTGGTTGAGAGCAGAATTGGTGAACCTTCAAGACGAATGACATATTCCTTGTCATATGGACTGGTAGAAAGTTTAATGAGGTAGGAAAGTGGTACTTCAGAGAGTGTCTCCATTGTCAAATCAATAGAGATCGTCGACAATTGATGGAATTCCATAAAGTAACGATGGATACCAATGAGTGACATATTGAAAAAGTTGTTTGAGTCAACTTGGGCATTCATTGTGGTCAAGACGGTAGTGCAACTGGTAAGGTTGTTCTTCAAGAGGATCTGGTTCAATTTAACAAATTCGAATGTCTTTTGTTGATAGTTATCAACCTTTAGTTGATCCAAGCCAGCCAAGTATACAATGAAACACTTTGTTCCATCTCCAATGAATTGTAGGAATTTCTCATGATTGGAAACCAATGATTGTGATTCGAAAATTTCAATTCTGTTGGCATTGAGAAGTCCTTGATCAACAAAAGTTGTCTCGATTTCATTTGGAGTTGGTCCAGCAGTGATAAATGCAATCTTGTTGATTCCTTTGATTTCTGGTTGTGTGATGATCGAATGGTTTTGGATGATAGAGAATCCATTGCTCATAGTATGGACATTGAGATTGGTACTGAGTGAATTTACCATTGTATTGGTCAGTAGGAGTTGACCACTTGGAGCAAGTAATGATTCCAATTGGCTGAAACTGGCAATCTCCGAGGTAATGACAATATCATAGCTTGACTTTAATAAACGTTTGTCAATATTGTCATTGTTCACCATGTCTCTACATTTGAAAAGTAGTCTTTCATTGGTGATGTTTAGTGATTGCTTGGCACCAGTGTTGATAAGAGTGTATTCAACATTGATATTTGGATTGGATTGCAAAACTTGTGATTCTATCAAATCGATTAGAGTCTGTGAGTTTTGAATGTTGTTATCCAATATTTTAACAACCAATTGACTGTTCTTGGTTGTCAAAGAGTTGAGTAGTTGACAAACATATTGGTGAAGTGTGACATTTGAAAGTCTAATGGTGGATGGAAGTAGCTCTTTTCTTTGCCAATGTTGAACGAATAGAGTGTTGTTTGGATTGGTAGGTGTGTCTTGTTCAATTCTTTTAATAAAGTGGCAAACCATCTTTTCACCAGTCACCAAAAGAGATCCATCTTCGAGGAATACTTTAACTTTAGCAATACATGTGTCGGCGGAGTTCGAGAGAATGTGAACGTAAACATAGATATGGTCAGGTCTCACAGCTGGAATATTACCAGAATAGATCTTCATGTTGCTCAAACCTTCGAATACAAGTTCAGTTGCATTTATTATTACAATCAAACCTTGTGCACAGCTATCGAGTAACGGTGTATTGAAGAATGTTTCATTGTCAAAAGAGGAAACTGGTGGATTCATATTGACGGTTGACAAACAACAATCACGTCCCATCATTGTGGATTTGATACGACTGAACGATGGGCCGAATTCAATTCCAGAGTTCTTGATCTTTTGGTAGACTTGTTCGTGTGACAACTCTGCATAGTTGCATTGTTCTCTGATGGCTGCAATATCTACTTTTCCAATGTTGGAAGCTGACATTGATGGATAGACAGAGACACGACCAATTGCAGATCTGGTCCATTCGTCAGTGTTATGATTCTCTTTGAACATATATTCAACTTTATATTCATTCTTGGAAATCTCGATAAAGTTGGTTTGTAGGTGATGTTGTACTCCTTCTTTCAAGAAGAATGGATACTTAAAGTCGAGATTGTGGATATAGACATCGCTACCTTTGAAAGCACGAAGAATATTGTCAACATAACCAGTTCCTGGGAACAATGATTGTCCTTTGATTTTGTGACCTTTAAGGAACGCAAATGGTGCCTTTCCGACATCGATGATTGAGAGGTAAGAGAATCCTCCTGTGCTGTTGTAGTGTTTGTGTCCAAGATGATTGTTGGTTGGACCTTCCAAACGAATCTTCTTGAATGGTAATGGTTCAGCCCACAATGGCATTGAGTTGAATTGGTATCTTGGTAATGTTCCAGCATTGTCCTTCCACATCTGATTTCCAGATCTCTTTAAAATGGGATATTGATTTGAAAAGTTTAGTTTGACACCATAGAGATAAACTTGTGCCAATGTTGTTTGGATCAAGTCTATTTCACTACCTTTTCTGTTGAGTGAAGAAGCAACTAATGGTTGTGTTGATGATGATTTCGGAATCATCTTTTTAAGGTAGAAATTTAAAGTTGGATGTGGTGAAATTTCAATAAAGATTGCTGGTTTGTTACCACTTTGTTCACCATTGATTAGTTTGAATATGTTCTCCATTGCTTTATCGAAAACAACTGGCATACGAAGATTATCATAGATATAGTTAATATCATAATCTTGTTTTCTTGAGAATGTTCCACCGGTGACTGTTGAGAAGAGTGTGACATTGCTATCGTCTTCGAGATACTCAACACTGGCTATCGGTGATTGTAATAGTTTCTCCTTGATAACCTCTTGTCTGGATGAATGGAAAGAACATGGTGTTGTCAGCATGATCGCTATAACATTCTTATCTTTCAAATGGTTCATCAGCGATTGTAGAGTTGATTCGTCACCAGTGACAACAATTGAATCTGGAGAATTGTAACAAGCGATTTCCAATGGATATTTCTCAGAGTAGTTGTTGAGATATTCATTGGCACTGATTCCAATCGACAGCATTCTTCCACTTCCAATGGTTTCGTTTTGGAGAGTGGCACGATAGTAGACAATCTTGGCGGCTGTGTATAATGAGATATATTTGGCACAGTAGGCAGCTGTAACTTCACCAAAGCTGTGACCGACAACGATCGATGGATCGATACCCCAGTGTTTATACAATGCCACCAAACCGATTTGGATGAGGAATATCGAAGGTTGTGCATTCACTGGCTTATGGATGTCGGATTCATTAGTTCCTTTGAATGTTCTAAGTCTTGAAAGTACTGAATAATTGAAGAATCCTTCGAGTATCTTATCGCATTCGTCAACAGCATCTCTGAATATCGGTTCCTTTTCATAAAGTTCCAGACCCATTGTGGAGAATTGTGGTCCTTGTCCACAGAAAACAAAAACAATTGGAATGTCGCTGGTCTTGCTGAACGAACCCAAACTTGTATCTTGATCTGGTGCAACAAAGGTTCTCTCTTGTTTTTCAAACTGCTCCCAACTGTTGGCAACAACAATCTTTCGATTTGAAATGAAGTGCGATTTCGATTCGACTTGATATCGAACAAAATGTTCAAATGGAATTACTTTTGACAATTTAGATATGTTATTCTTAATCATGTCAATGTATTTATCGACAGATGCTTTCGAATTTCCAGAGAAAGGAATTAAATAATTTTCAAGACCTAATGAAATAATATTGCTTTTCTAAATAAAATAATTATTAGTTTTAAAATAAAAATATAAATTGTATTTTATATTTAAGATTTTTTGCTTACCATTTGAATTGATTTAACAGATTTATATTCTTCTAATATCAAATGACAATTGGATCCACCCAATCCAAAGCAATTGATACCTATTCGTATGGTTCTATCGGATGGGAATGATTCCAACTCAGTTTGAATTTTGATGTTCCATTCATCACATTTGATTCCTGGATTTGGTGAGTTGAAATGGATGCTTGGAACCAGTTGACGGTTCTTCAACATCAGACAAACTTTGATGAGTGAAGCGACACCAGCAGCAGCTTCCATATGTCCCATATTCGACTTGATCGATCCTATTCTTAGAGGCTCCTCAGCGGTGTGGTTACCTTTGAAAACAGAGGCAAGAGCACCAACTTCGGTTGGATCACCTACAGGTGTACCGGTTCCATGTGCTTCAACATAAAAGATATCGGATGCACTCAAACGAGCGTCTTTCAATGCGAATTCTATATTCTCTGCTTGAGCAGTGCCAGATGGTGATGTCAGTGTTGTCTTGTTGTTACTTCCATCGACATTGCTACTTCCACCTTTGATAACACCATAGATTCGGTTTCCATCACGAATGGCAGCATCTAGTCTCTTTAAAATACAGATACCAGCACCTTCAGCTCGTACATAACCATCTGCATCAACATCAAATGAATGACATTTACCAGTTTTACTTAGTGCAGCTATTTAAAATAAATAAAATAAATTTAAATTAATATTATTTGACAATTCGTAAATCTAGAATATGCGCCAAAACAACTAATATTTCAACCCCCCTTTTAGATTTTCAACTCATATTTAATATTTTTTTTTTTGGTCCAATAAATTTCTTTTAAAAAATCATATAAATAATTACCTAAATTACTTAAAGAAATAGTTGCGGAAGGTTCAAGTAAATCATTGCATCCTCCGATGACAGCCATTTCACAAGCACCAGATCGAATAGAATTGATTCCGAGGAATGCAGCGTTGAGCGAGGAGGAACATGCAGTATCGAGTGTCATTGAAGGACCACGCAAATCAAAGGCATAAGACAATCTGTTCGATACAAATGTCAAAATGTTACCGGCCAACAAGTAAGGTGACATATCGGTGAGAACATTACTCATAATCATTTTATAACCTTGGGTCATTGTTCCAATGTAGACTGCAGTGTTACTACCTCTGACAGTATCATATTGTAGCTGAGCGTCTTCAATTGCCTCCCAGAGGATCATCATCAACAAACGGATTTGTGGGTCGATTTGTTCAGCCTCTTTCTTGGTCATACCGAAAAACATTGGATCGAACTGTTTCCATTCATCAAGACTCACAAAACCACCAACATTGCTGGTGACATACTCTTGGTCAACATAACTTTGGGCATAACGGTTCGGATCCAATTTCGAAAGGAGATCGCTTCCATTGGTCAGAGCACTCCATAGATCATCTGGTGTTTTTGTACATTGGTTGTTGGATCCTGGGAATCTCATACCCATACCAATAACTGCAACATCATGCTCCTGATAAGTTGGAATATTATTATGGGATTTCATTTTACAAAATCTTAGACCTAAATTTAAATTTAAGAAAGTATTACAAAGATTAAAATTCAAATATGTTAAAATGAAAGTATTTGTGAAAATTTATTTTAATATGATGGAACTTAATGTTTTTTTTGAATAAAATAATATAATATATATATAATTTATAATTAACAAATTAATTAATTCAATTATTTATTTTATAGTTAATGGTTTATGTTGTCCAACGTGTTTCCATCAAATTAAAATTCATTGCAAAAACATAATGAAATTAATTTATTCTAGATAATCTAGAGATTAGGATGAAATGTATATAGGTCATAGGTTGAAATTAATAGATAAGATTAAAATGAATTCCAATTTATCTTTGTTTAATATAGGTTACTACTATTAAAATTAGAAAGAAAATTTCTAATTTAAAAAAAAAAAACGAAGATAAAGAAAATTAATTTAGATATATGTTCTATAACCTTTGTCATTTCTTATTGTTATATGACAGTTATTTCATCTAAATGTTTTTATGCTTAACGTTGTCAGTAAATACAAACTAAACATTTTTTTTTATGATTCTCAAAAATAATATTTAACAAAGAGATATTTTTAATTTTGTCATAAATTTTTCTATAACGATGTAGATTCATTTTTAAAAAAAACCAAATTTAATTGCAAATGACCGACTTCCTAACTGAAGTTCTGTATTAGTTTATCAAAACTGTAAAAATGAAATCGATTCAATAAAAAAAACATTATTAATCCACTCCAAATCACAACAAATAACTTGAATTAAATAGCTATTAATTATATCTTAACATATCTTAGGTAGTAACAAAATCCATTATAATATAATAATAAATAACTCTATCTTTTTAGTTCCAATAATATATTTGTTTATTGAAAGAAAAAAGAGTAGGATTTATTTACTTTTTTTGAAAGAAGAATAAAGTTTTGAGTTAATCCTTCATCTGATTCAACAAATTGATCAATCTTTCTTCCAATCGACTATAGTAGTTGACTCATGAACACTGAAAATCATTAATCTTTTTTCATACTTAAATATATAAATATTGTTAGTGTTAAAAAAAACAGATACATTCATCTATGTTTTAAATGTAAATAATTAAAAAAATAAATAATTATTTTAGTTTTCCAAATCTGTAGGCATTTTTACCTCAATGATATTTATTTCTTTAAATATTTTATTTTATTGTTTTAAGATTGAGATGAGATATTCTACATGATCCAATTTTGATAGTTTTTAAGTGGATAATTTTAATTTAGAGATCGAGATTAAACTAATTGGTTGGTTGTCATTCATTGTTGTTATTTAATTATTTATTTTGGTTAGTTGGTTGGTTTAATCCAAAAATGAATAATTATTTCAAATAAAATTATGAGATATTTATAATTTGCATTTGATATTGTTTTTTGTTTTAAATAAAGTTGATTTTTTTACTCCCAATAAGTTTTGTAAAGTTGAATAAACATTTGGATGAACCAATTATGGTCTAACATTCTTATATGTGCAGACCTGCCAATGACACCATCGACACCTTTGTGCGACTCGAAAATAACATTCAACTTTATCATCGATTCAATCGGTAAATTATATTTTGAATACTCTATTGGTTTGTCTTTGATCGGTGATAATATATTTTGTAACATCTTTTTTACAACTGTCCCTGAGAAATAATAATAATAATAAATAAAATTAAAATATTAATATAAAAAAATAAGTTAACAAGTATTAGTTTAATTTAAACAACTTACTACTTTTATCTTTAAGTGATTCTTTTGGTAGTTCTATTCTTGCGGAATGGAAAGGAACGTAACCATCTTGTTCGGAACCAACTAAAATAACAAATTTGAAATGCTCAAGTGCTATTATTATTTATAGTTAATGAGTACAAGTTTTAGTTAGTATATTAAAGTGATAATGGTAAAAGTAATGAATGATGGTTTGTTATATTCATACATTTAGATTCACTTAATTTATAAAGGAAACAATCTGTTAGTGGACCATTGGTATCTTGCATAAGTAATTGCTTTAGACAAGTAGAGCTCGAGAACTTCTGCCAAACCCACATAGCAGACGGTACAAGATTCGAACCTGAAAACTTGACGCCAAGGTGTGGTGAAGACAATGAAACATAGGTATGTAACTTTGAAAGATGTTCCTTAAGTTTATTAGATGTAAGAGCACTTCTTACAACTATTCCTCCTAAAGAATGTCCAACAAATCTAAATGTATAATAATAATTAAAAACAACAACAACAACAAAGAGTGTTAAGATCAACAAATAAATTGTTTATCAAACAGCAAATCCTATCAAAGTTAACTTACGATATTCTTGTTATATTATAAAATAGATTATCTTGTAGATAACCCGATACTTCGGTTGCAATCTTCTCGCCTAGCTGTTGAATGTCGTCGAGAGTGTTCTCCTCGATCGATGAACAGATCAGGTAGAGTGCCATTGGAAAGTGGATGGAAAAGTAGTTTTTGAATTGTCGGAGATCGTAGCTGTTTCCAGAGAGACCGTGTACGAATACAAAGAGGTGTCTGCCAGGTGTGTTGGTGATAGAGAACATGAACCTCTTGCTACTCGCCGAAAGATGCTGTTGATTGAGCTCCTCGGTGATCTGCTCCTGTTCCTCCTGTATCTTCTTGAGCGCCTCTTCCTCGAGTCGCTTCAGATCGCACTCTTTCACGGGCGACGTAGGAAACTGGTGAAACTTGATCTTGTGCTCAAAGAAAATCGGCAGTGAATCGTAGACCGAGTCCATCTTGACGGGAATCGACTCGATCTTTAGCTGTTTAAACTGGAAATACGCTTGAATGAAACTAGATGTTGGTGGACTTGATAATTGTTGTAATTGTTGACTAAACGAGTTAGTTTATATCAATCAAAATTAATATATATTGATTGATTGTTATTGTTGTTGTTTGTCGTTTGTTACTTACGAAGAATCAACTAATAAAAGATCGTGAAGATCTTGAATGTGGAGGGTGGTGTGTTGGGTTCTACGATCCCAGCGTTCGATGCATTTGTTCTCGTATTGTAGCGCCAGCTTGAAGCAGTGCTCGCGTGCAACCAGCAGGAATATCTTGACGTAGTTTTCCCAGAGCGTGTAGAGTTGGTCGGCAATCTTTTGGAGATTTCCAAAGATTCGTTTCCATATCGGTATTTCTTCGAGATCGTTGAGTGAGCCAATCGATGATTTGGTGGACGATGGTTGTGATGACGATGACGACGCCGCAACAGCACTAGCAATCAACTTGTTGTCCGGTGAATTTACAGCACTACTATCAACACTACTTCCAATCGTACCATTACCACTGGCGATACTGCCGAAACTACTGCTAAACACCTCATTATCGGCATCGATGTCTTCAGCACCCACTTCATCGTCTGCTGTCACTGTCACTGTTGCCGTTGTTTTTCGTTCTTTCTCAATATCAACAACACCATCATCGGCAATCGATAACTTTTCAATCTCTGAAGTGACAACACTAGCTAAATTGTTGTTTGTAGATTTTACAGTAGCTGTTGTAGAAGTAGTAGTTGTTGTTGTTGTTGTATTGTTATTATTGTTGTTTGTTGTTTGTGTGTTGTTGTTGTTATTGATGTTATTGTTTATTCGTGGTGACTTTACAGTTGAAGTTGGTGTTCGTGCAGACTTCCAGGTGTTGTTTAGAGTTACGGTGGTCAATGGTGGAATATTCAATGGTGGAATGTTTACAAGATCACCTAGTACACCTTGTTGACTTGATTTGAGGAGTAAAAGCAATTTCTTATAGCGGTCTACAGTACGACAATAGGTTTCGACGAGATACGATTGAATCTCTTGATATCGATCACTCATCATCTGATTATTATCACCATCGGTATTATTAAAATAGTAATTCGCTAAATTGAATTGTTGTTGTAGTTGTAGTTGTTGACTATAGTTCCTACTTTGTATTGGACTAGTACTACTACTACCACCACCACCAATTCCACCACTACCACCATTTCCACTGTATCCACCACTTCCACTATTTCCATTTCCACTACTATTCATTGCAGGTGAAGCAGAACGTCTGAATGTTGATTTCGGAGAATTGCCAATGCTACCACCACTGTCACGCAATCCCGGACTTCCACTACTGACATAGCCATACTCCATCAGAGTAATGGGTATCGGTATCGACTTGTAGACGATGTTGATCAACGAAGTATTGATAACCGTCTTCAACACTGAGAAATACCAATCGGTAAAAGTAATTGGAAAGTATTGTTGTACACCACGACCAACTCCATTGATTCTAATACGTTGTTGACTAACAACTTTCTCTTCTACAATCTCTTCTGTTGCACCGCTATTGTTTAATATCAATATTAAAATTGAGTTAACATTTGTTGATTGATTGATTGATTGATATTAATGACATTGATTGATTGACTACTTACTCTTGTTCATTATGTTGAATCAATTCGAAATCCAATATTATGTTATGTCTGTAGAAATCGTTCAACGGTAGTTCCAATTGGAATATACAGCTGTTTTGCACGAGTATATACTCTTTGAAGTAGCTGATAAAGAATTGTTTGGAACTGTAGTAGTGTTCCTGGATCTCTGCTTTCTTTATGTTGTGACCGGCATCGCCAAACTTCTCAGAGACTCCCAGTATCGGTGTAGCCAGTAGATTCGTTTCATTCTCGCCATAATAGCATTTTATCCTGACATTATAGATACCTTTTCTAATCAAATCGATCACCCTTAGCGATTCTAAATAAATATAGACATTAACAATACCATAAAGTATCATTATTATTATTATTAACACAACACAAATAAATATATATCTAAAAATATTAATAATAATATAAAACCTATAATCTATAAATATGAATTATCTATCTATTTATCTAAAAATAACTATTATTATTATTATTTTGATTGAAGTGAGTTGTTTTTTAATTTTATGATATTTTTTTTTTTTTTAATTCAATCAATTTGACTGAAGATAAAAACAAAAAAAAGAAAAAGATAAGATGAAAAATAATTATTCAAAAAAAGTTGATTGATTTGTTTTAAACAACAACAGGTTGATTTTTATGCGAATTGGAACTTTTTATTTTTTTTCTATTTTTTTTTATAAAATTATTATTTTTTTATATTTTTATGTTAGCAAACATTGTTTGATTTTTTTTTTTGTATGTTTAAATTGGGGTTTGTTTTGAATATTTTTTTTTGATCATCAAAATTTTTCATAATTGTTTTTAGTGTGTTGGGGTTTAATATTTATTATTTTTGAAAAAAGGACACAAAAACCAATTATCTGGACAGCTGGATCTATGAAATAGAGATAGAAATTGACGGCCACGATATTATCTTGTAAATGAATCCAGAATTTAAAAAGTCGGTACACTGATTCGTATCAGATTAGGAATTTAATGTATAAGATCAAGAGTTTACGATGGTCGCCAGTGACAATCGACTATTCCCCGTCCTAGCGTAACTATTGAATAATTAGGTTTTACTATCCATCAAGCACATACGTATTAGATGGTTCAATGACAAGTTATTATCAATGGTTTAATTACAATTAATAGAACAACATTATAATATCATCAAAAATAAATATATTATTAATAAATAATTTAGATATTAAAATTTATGAAAAATTCACCACCATAATCACTAAATTTAAATTGACTTTATTATGTCTATCCTCTCCATTTGAAGCATCACATTCTACAATTAATTTAATCAACCGTCGAAATTAAAAGTCAATGATAAAAAACTTATTGCAATTGCTATTTTCAAAAAAAATTTGATTAACACACCTGTAATTTTTCTTGTGTTCTTCAAATTGAAAGTTTAATATATATGTAATGAAATGAAATCTATAAATAAATATTATCATACTTCTATACAACTTTTATTATTATTAATCATATCAATATATATAGATAATGTACATACTTTAAAAGGTGATGAAAATGCAATTGCAGTGTTAGATAATAAATATAGAAACAATCATCCAATTGTATTGGAAGAGGTTTTATTGTATGTGTATATTTTAATTTCGTTATTTTATTTGAAATACTACTACTGCTACTATTTCTATGTATTAATATAAGTGTAATGTAATGTTCGAATTGCATAATGTAACTAAATTACTGCAGTAATACAGATCTTACTCAGGGTGGAAACAGTAGGTTGGAATGTAAAGACGAACAAACCGATATGATTTGGAGTACTCAGACACATACCACTCTCATTAATACACCGTTGATCACCGATTTGTTTGGTGAGGGATCGAAGGATATCGTGTTGGTCGGAACACAAAACTATGTCGATGTACTCAAAGGCAGCACCGGACAACGTGCGCTGGGATGGCCGTTCATCGCCGATCGATCGTCGTTCTCAGCCAGTCCACTGGTTCACGACATTGACGGCGACGGCACCAACGAAGTGATAGTGGCGACGCGCGACGCCGAGATCATCTTCCTCAACAGCTTGGGAATGCCGCTGCATTTCACAACACTGCGCGTTCCCCCACTAAAAGTAGCAAAGAACTGGTTCGACATCACCGACAAACACGTCGATGCATCGTTCTCACTTCACGATCGTGATAACACACGTAATGCCAAAGGAACAAAGTTATATAAATCGAATAATGATAATGATAACGATGAGCGGAAGAAGAAAGATGATAGCTATAAGCTATCACCGATACTCAAACAAAAGTATGATGAATTCGACTTTCTTTATTCGGTTCAGTATCAGAGGTATTTGGATGATAATATTCAATATTCAAACTATTCGAATAAGTATATTTGGGTTGATGCACATATCTTGGCGACACCGGTCATTGCAGATATCGATCAAGATGGATCGATGGAGTTGATTGTCTCTGCCAGCTACTACTACGACTCTGAATACTACTCGGTACCCATTCACAACGCAACACTAGAGCGTGATATTAGCATTGAGAATTATGCTGCCGGTGGTATTATTTGTTTCAACTTGAAAGATATGTCAATTAAATGGCAGACACGTAAGTACATCAACAACAACAACAACAACAACAACAACAACAACAACAGTAATAAACTAACAATAAACAACATTGTAGATCTCGATTTAACAACAGATAATAAAGTATTTAATGGATATGTATTGGGTTCACCAACTGTTGTCGATATTAATAACGATGGTTACTTGGAGACTGTCATCGGTACGAATCTAGGATTCCTGTATGTTCTGGACTATCAAGGTAATCCTTTGTTTGAACCACTCTTTATGGATTCGATCTATGCCTCTGTCGTTGCACAAGACGTCAACGGTGACGGTAAAGTAGAGCTAATCGTATCGGACGTCAATGGAAATCTAGTTTGTTTAAATAATATCGGTGAAGAACTATGGGAATCAAGAATCATTGGTATGACTGAACATGTAAGTAATAATTTAAACTTATGAGTAATCATCTAAAGAATCAAATAAACTTATTTATTAACTTTGCTTTACTTTACTTAAATATAGCCCGTTTCAATTGGTGATATTAATGGTGATGGTATTCTAGATGTTGTTGTAGGATCGTTTAGCGGTGCTATCTATGCATTTAGAGGAGATACAGGTGAAGAACTCGTTGGATTCCCAATCAAATTGAAAGCATCTATCATGTCACCGCTACTGCTCGTCAATCTATCGCCGAACCAACAAGAACAAAAAGGATTGTCAATCGTTGTACACACATCAGATGGTGTACTACTATCTATAAACACAAGAGAGAGTTGCACAAATAGATTAGATATTGGTGATAATTCGTAAGTATTTATTCTTACCAATTGGTTGTAAATACTATATTATTATTTACATATAATATACATATATATAAAATATAGTGTATCAATGGTTCTAGCTTCAGATTTAACAGGTGATGGTTACTTGGATTTACTTGTCAATACGATGTATGGTGTTGTTTATACTCTTACAACAAACTCACCTTTTACACCTATGAAAGAGAGAGTTGCTTTCAATCAAGGCAAGAATGTCTATACTTTCCAACATGAGGGTATTTATATCTCACAGGAGAATAGAGACACCACCGATATTCTCGGTAGTGAATTCACATTGGCATTCGATATCATCGATAATGGATTCAATCGTTCATCACCAAACAACTACAACGTTAGAGCAACCTACGGTGGCAAACAGATATTCACTATGAATTTTGAATATCCGGGAAGAAAAACAATTACCATTCCAGTGCCAGAGCGATCACACATGCGAGTGTTAACTCTAGAGATGAAAGATAAACAAGGTTTACAATTCAGTGATCAAATCTCACTATCTTTTAATATTCATTTCTCAAGACTATTAAAGGTATGTACATAATATAAACAATTTGACAAGCTAACAATTATTAACTGTTTTTTTTTTTTTTTATAATATTTTTATTTTAATTATGTATGTAAAGTGGATCATTGTACTTCCGTTTTTCATAGCTTCCACAATTATAATAATACATCAACAAAATACAAAGAGTTCACTTCCATTATAGTTATTTATAATCAATAAACTAATGTTTTTTTGATAATAGACAAAGTTTATGATCGGTGTTGTGTCTTATTAATTGGTAACATTTACTTTAAGGATATATCTAATCTTGACTTGATTGATGTCGTAGACAATGAACTCGTTGTGTGAACAAGATGTAGACAATCCAGTATTCTTAATCTTACCAACTGGAATAGTAATATCATTATCACTATATTATTTTATATTGTAAAAGAGAGAATTAGAATTAGAATTATAACTAGTATAGATAGTTATGTTTCATCAAACACTTACATCTTCTTGTTTTCTTTGGCATCTGGAGCAGCCATACCAAGTGCTTTTGTACTGTGTTTACCGGATGGTGCTTTCTCCATGTATTGATCGTTTTTGAGTTCGTTCATGTTACCCAATGCCACTTCACAGAGGATCATCAAGGCAGTGGGATTCTCACGAGTGGTGAAACAGTATGAGGCAGACTTACTGACACAATCGGCAAAGTAAATACCCTTACCGAAACGATAACCGGTCTTTGGTGCCTCGGGTGGTGCAATTCTGAGACCTTGTGAAATAATACCTACCCAATTGGTTAAACGTGATCCATGCCATCTAGATATAATGATCATTAAAAGTAATAAGTTTAACTTGTTATCTTTTTAATGTTGATTACTACTAACAAAAACTTACAATAATAATCTATTTTCATTTGCTTCCCATGGTTTGAATCTTGAAGTTTCACCTTCTCTGTCGACACTCCAGATATCTTGTACATCGAGTTTGAATCTAAAGTAGTTACTGTCATGACTGTTTTGAGTGTAGTTGACCAACAATTGATAGAGTTCCGATTGTTTATCGAGTGGATTGAAATTGGTTTTGAGTGTCTTGTATTGATTCTCAATGATATTACCTTCAACATTCTCTGTTTGTCTATTGTATTTGATTAGTATACTGTGTGTTACAATTGTTTAGATATATTTAATACTTACTTTTTAAGTTGATTGGCAATTTCAATGTCAAGCAATGCTTCAATAAGATCCATCTTCTTCTTCAATGCAGCTGGAGTATCGATAATAGGTGGACTGTCAGCATTGAAAACATGTGGAACTAGTTGTGAAATTGAAATTGAATTAATATTTAAAATATACAAGTAGTATATATTTGAATAATTGTTAAACTTACTGAGTGTAAAGAACTTGTTTGAACAATCTTGTAAATGAATTTGTGATGGCTTTGGTTGTGATAAGAGATTTTGAATTTCAGAGAGAATCTCGTATCCGCTCATGATCTGACTCTTCTTGATCTTACCGAGTGGCATCTTCTTGACGTCGACACTCATCGATTCCAGTTGTTTCTTCATCATCTCTGGATCGAACATAAGCTTTACGAGCTCTTGTGTTCTCTGTGGCAATCCAGTGCTGGATACTGACAAGCTGAGATCTTGACTACCGTCTTCAGTCTTGTTCTTCTTGAAGGTGGCAGACTCCCATTTCTCGGTCTCTTCGTCTTCCCAGCCGTCGTCCAACTGTGTCATGAAATACTTGCCTGGACGCTTCTTGAAACGCAGACGATCCTCCCATTTCACGTCGGTGAAGTAGGTGAAACGCTCTTTGAAAAAGTCGATCGCTGGCGACAACGAACGGTATGTCTCAAACTTGTTACCCATCTCATGACCGACACGTCCCCACGACAAGAAAACACCGTACTGCTTGCCCTTGGTGCACAGCTGGATCTTGTAGAACTTGTTGGAACCGTGACTGACATCGACGAGATTGAGCATGACGCTGTGAGCGGTGTAACCGTACTCTGGATCGTGGTCGACGTAGATCTCATAGCCCGAACCTGCCTTTGGATCGACCTTCAAAATATCAGAGCCTGGCTTTGGTTTCTTCTTTGGATCGACTGGAGCGAGTTCTTCAGTCTTTCTCTTCTTGGTTGCGGCTGTTGAGGTAGTAGTTGTTGTGGTGGTGGTTGCCTTTGCTTTGGGTAGACATGGTAAGTGATATTTAACTGTGCACATCTCGTGGTCGTCGTTTAGCGATGATGGTTTTATCGCCCATGTCTTTGAGATCGAGCGCTTACGAAGGTTGATACCTTGGCCAGTACGATTGCAGAGGTCGAGCAGCCATGTCACTGGGAAGATTGGAATTGTCTTGATTGCATCCTGTACCTTTTTCGACGATGCTTTTGTCACCTCCTCGACAGAGGTAATCATGAGGGTTGCCTTAGCAGTTTGCTCTACCAGTTGACCACCATGTTTCTCAACCAACGCTTTGATAGCGTTGGGTGCTGGATCCAGTGTCTTTGCACTTCCGGCAACGACAACAATCATACCATACAACTCTTTTCCAACGGGTATTTCATCTTCCTCTGCACCATCCGATGTTGAAGTGGTTGTTGTCGAAGTAGCGGCGGAATCATCATCATCCTCTGCTTCAACATCTGCCTCCTCCTCATCTTCTTCTTCTTCCTCCTCAGCTTCATCGTCGGAACTGGGTTTGGTGTAGACTGTCTTTGGATAGTCTTTGGAGTACTTGAACGACTGGAAGAATTTAGCGATGTTTGCTTTCAAGCCGTCGGGGACGACCATCTTGTAACGCGCGATGCTGTCACCCTCCCAATCGCAACGGGTGTACTCTGACATGTATCCATAGCATTTGTATTGAATGGAGTTGTAGTAGACGGCGAGCGACTTGCATGTTGGACACGGTCCGGTACGTCCAAGCAGCATCCAATCGGCGATGTTTCGATGGTGCAGATCGATTGACGATCCCGGTTTGTCGCCATTCGCCTCGGCAATCAGTTTGGCAGCCGGCAAATTGATCAATCCCTCGAGTTCATCGCGAATCTCGTAGATGCCCTCCAAGTACTTTTGTCGTTTGGTCTGTGTGGCAGCATCCAGCTTGCACGAACCAGGGAAATACTTATCGATGATATCCTTTTGGTCCTCCCAACGCAGCACCTCCCAGCCTTTGAGTGCTTCCAGATCCTTCACTCTGTTCACCTTGCACTTTACATGATTCCAAGCTACATCCATACCGTCGTGATGATTACTCTTTGTTTTGTGTCCGATTCTAACATCACCCTTGCCAATTCCTCGCTGACAACTCTTACAAGTTGCCCTATCACTCTTTGAATATTCAACTAAAAATGATTCTGCATATGACATTGTTTAGTTGTTTTTCTGAACAAAAAAATCAACAACTACAACAACAATATATAACAATAAAATATATATATAACAATTATCTATATCTACAAAGCTTTAAAGTTGTCTTTGAATTTAATTAAAATTTTTGTGTGTTTGTTTCAAAAAAAAAAAATGAAAACCAAAAATCAATTCTAAAAATCTCAAAAAAAAAAAAAAAAAATTACTAAGTAAAACCATTTTTAGTTTAATTTCAGAAAACAGATAATTTTTGGATTGATCGATCGAATATGTACAATGAATAATAATACCAACTACAGTATTATTATTTTTTATTTATTAAAATAAATTATAGTGTTGTTTCATTAAATTAATTGAATCATTTACAAAGTTTATCATTGTTTCAATATTGATCATTATCTGGTCAATGGAAACATCTTGTTCCAGTAAAACTTGTAAATTAGTTAATTGTATCGATACATTACCATCGATAAAATTTATATTATTATCATGTTGATTAAATATTTTAACTAATGTTGATATTAAACTCTTATTATTATTATTATTATTATTATTATTGTTGTTATTGTTATTGTTATTGTTGAAAATATTTGAAGTTGATGATGTTGAAAAACTTGATAATATCTGATCCAGTATTGCTATTATTTTAATTTGAATGCTAATTACCGGGAGCAGCAATTTGATTGAGTGGATAAGATGATTCTGGCCAATTAAGTTATGTGTAGAGTCAAACTTTTTGAGTATGACAATTATCTTTGGGTGCAGTAGAGATTGATCTTTGTTGATCTCCTCGAGAATCCTAATGAAATAGTTGATCTTATCGATTACCGGTTGTTTATTTACAATGTTTGAGAGTTTGGCAATCACCTCAAAGTAGGACTTGATAGACTGCAGTGAGATGGCTACTCTGGTGACAACAGATCGATATTGTGTTGCTGTGAGAAGGTCGTTGGTATCGTGAATGACATCAATGAGATCATCCAGTGATTTGGTGAGTGGTCTTATATCTAGATTATTTCTATCCTTTGCTCTTCTCTCTGAATCCAAAGTGGCATGGTTGTTTGAACAATTATAATTATTATTGTTGTTGGTACCAACAAAAATATTGTTACATGAAGTCGATAACAATCTTTCAAAACTTGATCCAATAGTTAATTCTGACATATTTAATACAATTATAAATTATCTCTTATAATAAGAAAGAGATAGAAATATAATTACATGTAAAATTTAGGTATAAATATAAATATTAAAAGAAATAAAAATAATAATATAAATTTAGAATATATAATTTAACTAAAATTGGTAAATTTTAATTAATGACCTGGTATAAATGTTGAAATCCCAAACTGAATAATCAAGTGACAAAATAATTAAATTAAACGGTTTACCCATTTCCAATCAATTGTGTATCTACTTTAATTCTCACAATTTTTAAACATCTTTAAAAAAAACAAGAGGAAATTGAAACAACAGCTAGGTTCAACATTCAACGAAAAAATTAGCCCTTCGATAAAATAATGATTGGGTAAAAAAAAAAATTAAAAAAAAAACAAATTAATAATCAATTTATAAATCTATTTTTCAAAATTGATTTAAATTATATTCATCAATTTGTAAAATTAAAATTTTAAATGATAAGTTTGTCAAACTTTGCGCTATCGCAATTTTTTATCCACATCGCCCAAATCTAGATATTATTTTAAAAAAAACCAAACAGAGTTTGATCGTTTTTAAAAAAAAAAAAAAAAAAAATTTTGAATTGCTTGCAGCAAAAACAAACTTGTTGCACTTCAAAGATTTGCAATCAAAAATATCACTATTGGAAAAAGAATATTTATAGTAATAATAACTATCCATTTTACACATTTAAAAAGAATATATATTATATTAGATAGATATTATAATAGATAGACAGTGATAAATAATTAAAATTTCAAGATATTTTTGTGGGTTTTTATTCATACAAATATAATATAATTTTTATGTGTGATTAGATACATCAATATCCCAGTGTGTGGAATGTTTGCTGTTTAAAAAAATAAAAACAAAAAAAAAAAAAACAAAACAACGCGTGTGTATGTGTGAAATTTTATTAATAATATTGATCAAACTTTTCAATCGCATTTATTTTTATTTTTATTTTTATTGGACATAAAACCTGCCGATTATTAAGAACACACCACCACCATCAAACAGAACGGTGCATACATCAATAATAAACTAGCAACTAGCAACAACAAAGCAATACGCGCGCGAGCACTAAACCAAATAAAAAATATAAAAACAAAATCATTTCTTATTTAATTATATATATCTATCTATTCGTTCGAATTACTAAAATCATTCACACGTTTACACATTCATTCATTTTCATTCATATTCATTCATTCATTCATTCATATCTACACAATTTCAAATACAAAAAAATTACTAAAAATCGATAACACTCATAACACTCAAATAAAACAATCAAATTACCAATTTAAGTAATAATAATATTTACAATACAACATAACACAACACAATCAAGCTCAAATATATCAAATATCGAATCAATTTAATATCAACAAATCAAATATCAATTTAATATCAGTATATATATTTTAAAATAGTTATTTTCGAAAAGGAAAAAAGAATAATAATAATAAGATAGTTAATAAATTCCTAATATTTTATTTTAATTTGGGAATTCTATAGAAATTTATTAAAGTTATATATATATATATTAGGAAGGAATAAAAAGATAAAATCAGCAGCGCAGCAGCATCAATATTAATAATACTAGTATAAATGTGGTACCAAGTGAATGTTGAAGGTTGTCAACCACAGGTGAGAGTTTCACATGGTTCGACTATTCTTCATCAGTCGTCAGAGAACAGCGGCGAAATTGGTCGTGTCGTTCTCTATGGCGGTAAGAACAACACCACTTGCAAACCGGAACTCTCATTCATCAGCATTGGCATCGGTTGTACCGAAGACATTGCGAAACCACAGAGTAAACAATCGCTTGGAAAACTATCGAAACTTCTCGGTGGTTCAGCAGCGTCCATCGCTCAATCGACAAACTCACACATCACCAACTCATCATCAACAACAACGACAACAAACTCACAAACTTATGTAAACAATCATAATGCTCAATATAATCACTTTTCAAATATCAACAACAATAATAATAATTCTTCTTCTTCAAATCATCATCAACAACAACAACAACCGCAACAATCATTTTCAATACAACAACAATCAAAACCTAGAAAAACCTATTCGAAACTACCGATTTACTCGGGATCCGTTATATTTCATAGTGAGAACGCGTCGACCAATGGCAGCGGACCGGGACTGCGTTTGAATCACTCGATGGTCGCGATCAACTCGGGAATGCACAAGGGTAAGATCATCTTGTTTGGCGGCACCGACGAAGATGGCAATATCAACTGCTCCGACGATCTCTTTATATTGGATAGCGAGCAACTCTGGTGGGAGCGAGTAAGGCCCACCGGCACACACCTGCCAGCGTCGCGTCACTCACATTTCAGTTTTCAAATTTCAAACGATTCCGTAATCATTTTCAGTGGAATCGATATTAACAATCAAGTTTTAAATGATATACATATATTAACATTAACCTCTCAAAGTAAGTAGCAATTCAATTACATAATAATACATCAAATTTTATTCATTCATTTTTATCTAATTATTATTTCTTTATCTTTTCAAATCAAGATTTATTAAAGTGGAGCCAACCAAATATTAGTGGATTAACACCAGACTTGAAGAATAAGAACTTTAAAGTTGGATATAGCAATAATTCGATATGGGTGATACAAACCGATGGAATTTTATATAGATTTGATATTGGTAAGTAAATTTACTATTTGTGATGAAAATTAATTATTATTATTATTATTTAAACAATTAGTATTAATACTAATCCATCCCTTTTTTTATTTATATAATAGTTAACTTTAAATGGAATATAGTACAATATAAAGGAAAATCACCGATAGTAGATGATAGAATCATTAGTTGTACTAGTTATGCCAATTATTTAGTGTTTTTAGTGGATAATGAAATCTACTTTTTCGATACCATTCAGTTGGAGTGGCTGGGATCATCGATTGACGGTGACTTGCCGTTCAAGCGAAGAGGTCACTCCATCACCATGGTAGGATCGATGTTGGTGGTCGTCGGTGGTCAATGTGAATATCCTCTATCGACCGTATTGACAAAAGATATAGAAATAATCGATTTAAAACCATTCCTTTTTTAATACAGCCAACATTAATAATAAATTAATTAACTTAATTATAATTATATATAATTAATTATTATTACTAAAAAACAAATAACAAAATTACAAACAAATTAGAATCTTTTTCTTAATTAAAATTAAACTTTTTGTTTTGTAAATAATATTATTTTTATTATTTTATATATTATTATTTATTTATACAGCACGCTTGACCTCAAAGAATCTACGGAGATAATAGATTTGCCATGCGCTCATTGCAACCAAAATCAAAGCTTCGAAAATTGACCACCAAACTACTCTGCTGTTTGTTGATTCAGCAGCTATATATTTAACAAAAATGTTGTTGTAGTTGATGATGATTTGATTCAGATTCAGATTCGATTTGATATTGATTAAAAGATGTAAATTATTAGTAAGATGGAATGGATAAAGAAAGTGTGTTTGTTTTAACATACTATTTCTGTGAGTAGCTTCTCTCATTCTAAAGTAATATTGTTCAGACTTTACAGCTTGCACACCATCAGCTAAAGCCATAATTTGTGACTCCAATTGTGGCATTTGACCTATATTTATATAATATTATTATAATAAAGTTAAAGTAACATTGTTAATCTCTCTGTCTTTCTTTCTGTCTGTTTGTTTTGTCTTTTTCACTTTTCGTGATGTTGATGTCGACATCAACATAGTTTTGTAAAGTTTACCTTTGGTTGCCAAATCTTGAGTGATAGTCGATTGTTCACCTACTAAAATCATGAAACTGACGGTCTTCTCGGTGAGTGAAGACATTTGATTTGAGAAACAGAAGCTGTAGACACCGGCAAAGTTTGATTTCATGACTTTGGTGCCTTCGGTCTCACGTTGTCCCTTGTAGAGGACACGCTTATCGGGCGAGATAATCATAAAGTCGATATCGTTGAATCCACCCTGAGTCACTTGAAACATCACTGTGAAGGAGACGTCGATTCCGATCTCCTGGAAGATGCACTCCTCCACCTTGGCTGGCACCTTGAACGAGAACGACTCGCTCAACGGTACGATCGTAGCCAAACACACCACTACAACCATCAACAATGTAATTGTTCTATTCATTGTTTCTTTTCTTTACTCTATAAAAAATAACAATATATATTTATAAATTATATGAAAAAAATAAAAACCTGACTAAATTGAATGATCATCACTTCAAAAAAAGAAACCAAAAAATTAAAAAAAAATTAGTTAAAAAAAAAAATTAAAAGAGTTTGATAGTGTGAGTCACTCAACACAATCTCAACTCACACACTAATTTTCCAATTTTTTTGAACTTCAAAAATCAATAAGAAATTGTTTATTTTTTTATTTTTATTTCAATTTTGTTTTTATTTGTTTTTATTTGCTTTTTTTTTTTTTTTTTTTTGATTTGAGGGGTGGGTTAATGTGTGGTAATGGAAAAAAGAAAAAAAAAAACAAAATATTGTGAAAAACAAAAAAAAAAATGAAAAATTAAAAAAAAAAACAAACAAAAAAAAAAAAGTGAAAAAAAACCAAGCATAAAAAAAAAAAATCAAATTACAAAAAAAAAAAAAAAAAAAAAAAAAGTAATTTTATTCTTATTCAATCAAATACCAACATTTTTATTTTAATATCAAAATTTGTTTACTAAATATACTTTGTAACTTTAATATTTTTTTTGTTGCCAACTAATAATAGTTTTTTTTTTTTGCAATCGTTTTATTCTTTTTTTTTAATTGCATCAAAATCAAAGTCGTAAATAACAATAAAAATAAAAACCAAGCATAAAAAAAAACAGGCAATAACAATTTTTCACATTTTTTCACAATTTAGTTTCAGTTTTTTTTTTTCATTTTTTCACTAATGCCAAAATAATATTACTAAAAAAGTAATTTTAATTTATTTAATAATATCTTATCTTTATCTATCTATTTATCTATTTATTTATTTATTTATAAAACAAAACAAAATCAAGTAAGCTATCTATACATCTAATATAATATATATCAGTAGTGGAGTTCATAGAACACTAACTTTAGTTTTGTCAACAACAACAAACATTTTTTAACTCTTTTGCAAAACAAAACTTTTTTTCCCTAAATTTTTATTTTCGTTTTGTCCATACAGTTTTGCAAAAAAAAAAATACCACACACTGTTTTTTGACAAAAAAAAAAAAAAAAAAAAAAAAAATTATATTCAGTTGCGAGCAAAGTAAGTATCAAAATAACAACAAAGTAGAGTGGTAGGCAGTCAGTCGATACCGCTTGACAAAGATATTCAAACCAACCGACGACGGATCATATCATATCACAATATATCTAAATTCTATTTATTTATTTATATCATACCATACCAAACCATATAAATAATACAATAATATTATATCAATCATACCCACCATATCATACTATACTACACTATAAACAATACTCTTTTTTCATTATTGTCTTATCTTGTCTACACCTGTAAGAAAAAAAAACAAAAAAAAAAAAACACTTTTTGTTTAATCTTATCATTTTTTTTTATTTTTGCCATTTTTAATTTAAAACAATAACAATCAGCAATTAACAATTATTGAATTGATTATTATCAATAAATACCAATCTATAATAAAATATTAATATTATTTATTTATTTAAAGATAGTTTACTTTAAAAATAGAAAGGAGGAAATAGAGGAAGAAACAGAAGAAGAGAGAAAGGGATAGAATCGGAATATCTTTTTTTTTTTTTTTTTTTTTTTAAAATGATTTTTTTTTATAATGAATCAGAATAGTCCACCATTAAATCCGGTTGTCGATAAGGTTAAGAATTCATTGATCAGTGTATTGAATAACTCTACCGATGAGCTAAAGTCACCAGCAAGCTTACTGTCTGGACTGCACACGAATTTCGTCACCAAAGACAGTCCACTGAATCTAAACAGCAACAGCGTCAATCATCATGGAAATTCATCGCCAATCAACAACATAAACAATAATCACAGCAGTCCACCAATGTACTCACAACAACCACCACCATCGGGACAACTACAACAACCTACACAACTACAACTGCAGAATGGTGGTGGTGGTGGTAATGAGCACCAAGATATGGAAATACCTCCAATATCCAATGTATTTTCTATAATCAACCATAACAACAATAATAATCACCATAATAATCATCATCATATGCCCGACAACAGCAACAGCAACAGCAGCAATAATAGCAACAGCAACAGTATGGATAACGATCTACATCATCATAGTATTCTTCAATCGGCACCATCGTCTTTCAAGAATATCAACAACAGCAATACGCTCACCAGTATGGCAGCTGCCAGTGGCATCGTTGGAAATAACTCGCCACCGGGATCGCCTTCGATTTCGTCGGCACCGTCCACTCCAATGTCGGACACATCGAATACCAACAAGGGACAGCAGTCGCCACAGACCGGCCTGCAAACATGTTCACACTCCTCGCACGAAGCATGGTGGGGAACCAGTCCCGAGTTGCCAGCGTCCGAGTTTTACAACCGTTCCTACAAGTGCAAGAAGTGCTACATCCGACAGCAAACCGAGAGCAAAAAGATGCGACTGACCAACCAGCAACATCAACAGCAGGCAGCACAGCAACACGCCGCAGCCCAACAGCAAGCCGCCGCAGCACAGCAGGCAGCAGCGCAACAAGCGGCAGCACAGGCAGCAGCGCAACAGCAACAACATCAGTTAATGAACGGCAACGGCTATTCATCTTCATCGTCATCAACAGCAGCTGGAGGTAATCTGTCGAATAACAACAACAGCAGTAAAACACCAAAGAAATATGTAAAGAAGAAGCAGAGAGAGGAAGAAGAGAAACGTAAATTACACCAGGCATTACAGCAGGAGCAACAGCAACTGCAATACCAGCAGCAACAGCAGCTGTTGGTGCACCAACAACAACACAAACACCTACATCAACCAACAATTTCACATCCATTATCACTCCCCCTACCCCTATGATAATCTAAACAACAATAGCACCGACCTCTTTTTGAAACGATCGCCATCCTTTGACACATCAGACATGACCGATGACAAGAAAATCGAGTTTTTCCATAGATTCTGTCAACAACTTCAATCCGTCATAAGTGGAGGTTCAAATGGTATGCAACTTTTTATAAACATTGATTATTATTGCTGTTTGCGAATATATATTAACCAACAACTTGTTTGATTTTCTAGAAAATTTGATTGGAGTTTTATCAGGGAAAGCAGGTCAATTCATTGGACAGTGTAAGGTGCAGGGCAAGTTGGATTCTGGATTTGCAGCGGAATTTCACATTGATGGAAAAATTTATAAAGGAATGGTATTTGAAGAAATGAAGAGCTCAAACAATCAAAACCTTCTACAACAACAACAACAACAGCAACAACAACAACAACAACATAGTATTCTACACATGGATAGTAATAGCTTATTATCACAATATCACAACCAAACCCACGACAATCCAAACAACAGCCTACACACGCCAGACTACAATTTACTCCTGCAGCAACAACAGCAACAACAACAACAATGGTTTATGAGTCAGTCGAATCTTGATAGTTTATCACAACTAAACAATATGCATCCATTAAAGAAACAAAAGTCAAACAATATCTAATAACTAATCATTAAACATCAGTAAAAATAAAAAACAAAAAACAACATAGCAACAACAAACAAACAAACAAAACTAAACCAAATAGGTCAACCAAACAACATAAACAACATCAAACAAACAAAACAAAACAAAACAAAACAAAACAAAACAAAACAAAACAAAACAAAACAAAACAAAACAAAACAAATTTGAATCAAATCATCCATCCATCCGACGATTATTATTATTATTATTATTATTATTCATTCAAAAGAAAAAGAAAATAAAAAATAAAGAAAATGATAAAAAGTTGATTATTTGTATTTATTATTTAGAATTCTTATTATATTACATTTATTTAAATAAATTATTACATTATTTGTTTTGTTTCGTTGATTGTTTTATGATGATCGATCTATTTATATAGATTATTTGATGATATATATTCAATTACAGGATCCAATGTAAGATATTTAAGTGATTTGTTATTCTTTACTAATTCTCTCATTTTTGTTGATGATACATCGTTTGTTATAGATACTTTGATTGTTTTGACATTCAGCTTGTTCTTTGTCAGTATAATATTCTTTGAAATGATATCTTCAATATCGGAACCTGTTCTTTCAAGACATAGAAATCCATATTCATCAGAAGTGATCTTATCCATCTATATAATATAATATTAATAAAGATTAGTAAATATAAGTAATCAATCAGTCAAACAAACAATCATTATATATATTAATATCAATAATATAGTATATTACTACTACTTACATCTTGATCAGCCCATAGTTTTGGTACGTTGAAAGTTCCAAGAAGATCTGCACCGGCTACCAATTTGAGTTGCACCGTTACATTGTCACCGAGTTGTAGGTGCTCGTTTACAGCGCGATGAATGTAATCCATAACCTGACGGGTCGGTGTGAATTCAGGTCTTCTTGCTTCCCAGGTATCGATATTCAACCACTCGGACGACTCCAATGCGAGTGACAACATCTCACATCTATATTTCATTGGTATCAGTGTTGCTTTCTTGTATGCATCGCCCACCGGTGATAGATATCCACCCAACACCTCCATTCCATTATCATTACACCAATCTTTGCAAATCTCTATTATAATATAAATAATATATAATTCAAACAAATGTTAATATTTATATATATATATATAGTTATCAAAAACAACAACATACCAAACATTCTAAGATGCATAAATGTTACTGGGTTGAACGATCCACATGATATTAGTACAACTGGTTGTCTTGATGGATCAGTTGGTTTCTTTAGTTTATTTGTTAGAAATTGATATTCTATCATTATAAATAATAATAAATAAATATGATAAATAAAACAACTAATTAGTTGTTTTAATACTACAAAATAGGAGATATTCTAAATAAATTAATTAAAAATTAAAATAAAATTAAAATAAATTTAATCAAATTAAATTAACTTTTTTTTTTTTTTAATCAATCATTTCCACTAATTCAAAATTAACAAGGAACACATAAATATTTATTATAATTAGAAAGTTGAGATAGATATCAATCATATGATATAGTTGAAGTATTCAATAAGAAACTTCTCATACACTATCGGTACCAAGAACCAAGAGATTTCTATGGGTCCAATTTCTGCCACTGATCAATCAAATATAATCCAAGCGTTTCAGTCAGCAATGATGGTCATTCCATAATGAGAGTGGCAATTCCTGCCAGTGACCCGGAGTTGGTTTTTTTGCGCCATAAAGCACCACAACTACTGCAAGGTGTTAATTCGGTAAGACTAGAGATAAGCTTACCTCTATTATACGTACGTAAGATCAGCCAAGATCCACCATGACAGAGTACAGAAAGAGTCCAAGTCATTTGAAGAGACCAAATATTATTTCTACGCTCGCAAAGTAAAGGAGCTACTTAGTTTACATACAGTTCTACTCTACCATCGGATACCTATTGCCTTCAGCCATATGATACGATTGATATTTCATACCTTTCCACAATTCAATTATTATTATTATTTTAATAATAATAATAATAGAATAGTAAAATAATAAAATAAATTTATATTCGTAAATAATTCAAATTCAAATTATACATCTACATTGATTATTCTTTTCCATTTCATTTATATAAATAGATAAAGTATATTATTAATTGGTATGAAGTTCATTTATTGATGTGGTCATCATAATTTCTTTTAAAAATAAATTGAGTGTTTGTTTTTAAAATTGCATTCATTCATTCATTTTGATTTGATTTTGATTTGATATGATAGTGTAGTGTTAGATTAAGAATATAATATTAATATATAAATAGAAATCAATATATATATATATATTAATATTGAATATAATATAAATATGATGGATTCTATAAATAGTAATATTGGTACAGGAGGAATAGATAGATCTTATAAACAGAAATCAACAACAACAACAACATCATCATCATTCACAAAAGATGATTTAGCAAGTGGTAGTAGTTCAAAAACATCATTTGATTCAATGTTTAAATTCAATTATAATACCAGGATATCGATTACACTGATACCTGCCATCTTACTAGTATTATTCCTCAGAGGAAGAAGTTCAATCTTTACAAGTGCGCTCGTTATATTTTTTACCTATTTAGTTGATCTATTGAATTTACCTTATTTGTAAGTTGATTCATTAATTAATTAGCATATATATATAATATCTACTAGTAGATAACATTACTAATCATTGTTTTCTTTATAGAACATTAACTGCATTATGGACAGGATTGTTAATTGTAGATGTATCGTTGATTACAGGTGGATTGGTATTGGTACAACATTCACTGGTTAATATATTCCTGTTGTTTAATATTGCGATGTTGTTGGCACTTATTGGAGTGTGGGTATCGTTGCAGTTCAAGTGGATCACAGCACAGTATCCAAACTTATCATCGGCATGCGAGAGAATCCTGTTCGGTGTCATCGCCTACCCTACATCCGTTGTATTTACCTGGTTTTCAATCATATTGAACGGTATCGATCACAGTCCATTCTATCTGCTGTGCTTCCTTGCACTCTCATACTATATCTACGCATTACCGCTACGTTCATTCCGACTGCGTTCATCCAAACAAATAACTTCTGTCAACGGTAAGTAAATTAACTATCATCTATATGTATTGTTGATTTGTTATGTTCTAATAAACAACATGTTGTTTATTCTAATTAGACTTTGTTTTGGGAAGATTGGAAACTGCATTGATGACAATCACTTTGATTGTATTCCCTGCGACTTTATACATTTCGATTTACCATTCTTTGATATTTGAGAGTGGCAGTGACTTTTGGCTGCATATCTCCAATATCGTGTTGCTTGTGACACTTCCGGCGACTTTTTGTTTCTTGTTGTCCGGCCACGGCAGTCTGTGGTGGATTCTGCCGTCGTTCTGGAATGCCCGACTCCAAAAGCGTGGAGCACCCGCTTCTGGCGCTAGTTTGAGCGTTGTCTTCAAGCTTGGAACACTCTTGAAGATCGTTTGTCTCGTTGTGATGGTGGCTGCCATCGAGTATCGCATTCTAAACAACTCGGCAACCTTTTACCGGTCACTGCGGCTGCAGTCGCCGCTCGCCGTCTTTGCCGTCACCATAGGAATGTATGCATCGGCAGCCATCTTCTACTTGGTGGCATTCTCATCGCCCGATTCCACAGTGATCGGACAGATTCCAGTGGGATTCCAGATCGCGCTCTACTCGCTGGTCGTCGGTGTCAGTTTTGCCCTGACCTACTTGTTGTCGGCGCCATTCTACATCTACCCACTCACCATTGCATCGGCACTCTCATTCACATTCCACCTCTTCCACCATAGTCACTCGTTGCCCTTTATCATTTTCATGGGCTGTTCGGTCGTTGTCCTCAAATGGTTTATCGACTCACGACTCTTTTTCCTAGAGTACAGTTTCGACTATCCGGATATCTCGATTCAAATGTTCACCTACCTCATTATCGTATTCTATGCTGAATCGATGCTTATCCTCTACTACTCTTACAATGCAGCGACAAACCCAAAGTCGAAAGTTGCAATGGCTCAAGCAATGATTGTCAACTCACTGCTACTTGCATTCATCGAGGTCACTCTTAACACTTCGGATCCAACTATGTATCCAATATATATCGTCTATGCGACATCGATTGTAACGATCTACCTAACGAACCGATTGCTAGAGACACGTTGCATTTCATTCTTTGTCAAGTTGGTGTGTGATTCCGCTGCCATTGCTAAAGCACTGTCATCGAATCTCCTTTTGCCGAGTCCCGACTCTGTTGTACCATGTTTCTTGTTCACGTTGGTCATCTACGGATTGATCATATACCCAAGTACCACACCACTTGACCGTAAACACGCACTCTACCATTGCATTGCAAGTTTCATAATCTGTTTGTTCTACTCTAGTAGTGTTTGTTTGCGTCTACTCGCAATGTTTGTCAACATTGACAATGTCACTTCGATTGCTATGCAGCTTTCTGCCTTCCTTTTGTCGTTTGCTATCTGTATCTTTAATCTCTCCTTCAAGTTCTATCCACAAAACAGACAGCTCAGAAACTTAATTGTATTACTATTTACCAGTGGTGTATTGCTGATGATTCTCAATCCAAGTAGTTCATTTGCCAACGCCGGCGGTCAACAACAGAAATTCGCACTTGGCAATTGGCTTTTGATAAGCGGTTTGCTTACAGCACTCTTTGGTATGATCTACCGTGTTAGAATTTCAAAGTCAACGATCCTCAAGGTCGGTTTCTCTTTTATATTTGGAACACTCATTGGATTGTACTTTAGCTTCAACTATTTCACACTCAACAACAGCATCAAGAGAATCACAAAGACCTCATCGAATGAGTGGGTAATTCATATTCTTGTCTCGCTGATTTTCAATATTTTCTCGTTGTTCATGATGTATGCACACTACCCATCATTGAGATCACCTCGATTCATGAATGCAATATACACATTCTTTATCACACTCTTCCCAATTACCTATATTTTGCTGGGCTCTGTCTATACTCCCTACCAATCAATCAAAGTCCTCGCACATCTAGAGAATACACGATTGTCAACTGTGTCGCTGGCAGTCGGATTGAATTTGCTCATCGTAATGTATTTGAAATATCATGTGTCGACCGCCAAGCATCACCACTCCAAGGCAAATACAGCGTACATGAACAGTCCACTCAAGAAACAAACAGTTGGCTCAACCTCGATGAAATCGTCAAGCGACTGGGTATTCTCAATCTCTTCGTTTGCTTGTGTGCTTTCCTATCTTACAGCGGTAGCTATCAACATGGTATACCTAGGTGGGAGTGAACTTTGTGTCTTTGTACTCTCACCACTCCTCTTACTGTTGAACACTGAGCGTGGATTGCTAAAGAAATTGTCGGAATCACACAGATACGCACCGATGTTGTTTTCAATCTCAACTTTACTCACTATCTTCTCATTGATAGACACTCTGGCGGTTGCATCCAACACTGAGAGCTCCTATGAATGGTACAGATTCTTTGGTTTGTCATCGGGCTTCTGGAGAGTATGGTGGAACTTTAAAAACTGGGCATTACTAATGACCACATTGCCATCGGTCTACTATATCAACAGATATCTCTGGAAATTCGAGAGACAGTCCCAATTTAAATGGTTAATTTTTGCTCCACCAGCAATCTTGGCCATGTTATTCAGCGATATTATGTCAATCAATTTACTTGGTCTAATTGGATTTGTTGGTGCGATTCTACAACGATTTATTTCAAGTCAACTTCAGAGGCAAAGTAATCAGGTTATCTAATCAAAAAATAAATAAAAATTATATAATATAAACAAAAGCAAACTGAATAACAGAGTATAAATATTCTCAAAATTTCTTTTTTTGAAATATTATTATTATTTTATTAATTATTTGCACAACAATTCTAGAGCTTTCTTATCATCGCCACTCAATTGAGCGTATACAGAGTCGACGTATGGTTTCATCGAAATTATAATATTCTTGGCATCTTGAACTTTATCTGCATTAATATAAGACTTTTGTTGGGCAATGATAAATACTTTCAAAATATTGGGGTATTCATTTGGTGTGATAGCAGATGGGTTACTAAATTAAGAATAATAGTTAGTTAGTTGATTATCGAGAATTTGTTTCAAATACAGCTGCCACATACGTTTTGATAACAGTTATAAGATTTTCAACAACGATTGGAGATTCAGAATCATCTTCGATTGGTAAACAAGCAATCCAGGTTGGTACGACGGTTGCCATGTGTGGGGCTAGTGGCTGTGAGCAATAGGCAAGGATTCTACCGATACCAGAAATGGCGTTATCAGAGGCAGAACGTTGTTCATCGGTAGCTTTTTGCTGTGGTGAGTACACGCAGGTATGCATTGCTTTGAGGGAATCGAAAATAAATGGAACAAAGAATTGAGTGGCGTATTGGGCAGCTGCTCCCAAACCAAATGCTGCGGCATGCTTGACTGGTGCGTCTTTGCTTTCAAAGCATAATTTAATTAAGGGTGGAATGATGTGGGTGTAAAGTTGACCGGCTTCGTTACCTCCGTGCTCGATGAGATCATCGATAATACAAATCATTGAGGATCTAACGGATTCTGAAGTGATATCAGTGTCGTTGATTCTTTCTAAAATGTCCGGTAGGAGGGTTTGTTGGAGGTGTTTAACAGAGTTTTGCTTGGTCGAGATGAGTACGTCACCAACTGCGATGGCTGCACTGTTGTAAGCATCCTCAATAAATTGCATTTCATAGTTTCCTGATGGATCATCGTCGTCTTCGTCTTCATCGTAACCGGCCTCATTTCTGTATTCGTCGAGAACTTCCAATACCTTACCGATAGTAATGAATACACCGTTAATTTGAGCTGGCTGCATATACTTGGATCCTACCATTTCAACGATCTAAAATATAAATAGAGAAATGTGATTAATAAAGTAATTCAATATATATATAACTTTTTTTTTTTTTTTAACTTTCTTACCTCACCAATAGCCTTTAACTTTTCACTGATAATCTCTGGCAAAGTCTCTGCGATTACACTCTCGGAAAGCTTGGCAATGACGATCTCAAAGAGTTTCTGGTTGAATTCGGTGACACCGTTGGGGGATGACTTGGCATGGGCCTCGGCAACCTTGAAAAGATATGGGATCAATTCTACGGCATTAGCTCTGATGTCTTCATTGAATTGGTAATCAATCAATGAGAGGAGCTCCTTGGTCAATGGTTCAACGTAGGCAAAGAGCTCTTCACCCAACACTGAGGTGTAGATGACCAAAAGTGAAAGTGCTAACGATTTATTCTCAACTGCAATTGTACTGGAATCAGCAACAGAGTCTTCAGCATAGTCATCTCCATAAGCTAAATGAATCAAAAAAGGGAACAAGAAGAAGAATAGAGTGATTAGATTATTATAAAAACTATCTATGAATCTCTAGAGTAATAATAACCTACCTGTAGTAACAATTTCAACGTCTGCTTTGATTGCATTAAGAATTGGCTTCATACAGTAGTCAACGTATGGTTTGAAATCCTTTTCTAGACACTGGCAGAAACGGGTGCAAGCACGGAGGAAGAAGTCGATTTGAGGATCATCGGATTCGAATGGTGGTTGTGCGGAGATGAATTTCATGATTTCATGAAGGTGTGGGGCGAAAACCTCCTTCTTGACGGCAAGACCAATCAAACTGATTGCCTCGATAGCTCTACCTCTCAATGTTCTATATGGTTTGGTTGTCTTGTGTTGGAGGATATCCAAAAGGAAAGCCATGAACTTATCGAAATACTGAAGCGAATAACAATTGATTAATATTTACTTTGATGAGAAATTTGTGTGTGATTATTATAATAATAGTAAGTTACTTACTGGCTTGAAATCATCATCGATACATTCGACAATGGATGAGAATGCACTGAGAGCGTTTTCAGCGACGTAGATGTATTGTGAGTTCAACATTGAACCAATAAGGGTGAACAATCCATTGATGTGGGGAACAATAAGTTTCTTTTCAAAGTCCTCAAGGAAAGTAGAGAGGAGAAGACAAACAGCACCTTGTACACGTGGGTTTTGATCGCCAGCACCAGCACCAACGACACGGAAGATATCTTCATAGTATTTCTTCAACTCTTCTCCAAAGTCAGTGGCCATCTGACCCAAACAGAAGAAGAGACACCAACGTACACGTGGAACTGGATCATTAACCAAAGGTACAATCAATCTAATTTATAAAGAAAGAAAGAAATAAAAATAGTATTAATATGTGAATTGAACAAACTACTACTACTACTAATTAGTAGTAGTTGAAAAAAATGATGGCAAATAGTTACTGTAAAACTTGTTGTAAATTTGGTGAAATAACTTTCTTGGCACCTTCGCAAATCATAGCAATCGACATGAGAGCAGAGAAACGCTCTGTCCACAATTGAGATTTCAACAACTGTGGAATGTATTTTGAGAAAGTGATTTCAGTCAATTGTCTTGGGAGTTCAGATGCAAGACGATCGAAAGCATCAATAGCTGTGCTAGAGTTGGTGTTGTCATCATCTCCGTCCTCCTAAAAAAAGTTGTAAATTTCGAAATTGTTAGAATTTGATTGAATTGATAAGTTGATACTATTATTATTATTTACAGTTGATTTATTCCACTTGTCAAGTGGGATCTCATCGACTTCGGAAGTCCATTTGTACAAGACATTGACGATTGAGTCCAAATAAGCTGGATTCTTCTTGAAGATACTTGGTCTCTTTTGAGCAAGTGTCATAAAGAATTCCAAGGCGTAGTGTCTGGTTTCCTCTTCGACCATCTCTGAAATGAGGATGTCATAGAACGATCTGAATACCAAGTCGACATTGGTTGCAAACCAATTTGGTTTTGTCTCTGCAATGATAACAAACACAACGATTGCTTCTTGTGCATTCTTTTCATGGTTCATTTCGATTGCTCTTGTGATTGCCTATATAGGGAAATCAAGCACATACAAGTTAGTCATATAAATATTTATCCTTTAATATTAAACATAAAATACTCACAGTAATCATAAGTGGTAATAATGGTTTGAATGGGGTGGTATCGATTTCTTGGATATTAATAAAACTGGAAACTGCAGAGAGTGATGCAGTTTGGACGAGAACAGAGTTGTCGTTCAAACCGAACTTCAAGAGATCGGCAAAGAGAACGGCGTGTGGCTTGATAATTGGTGCGATCTCACCAACGATCTTGCTGACAATGAGGTATGCAGACTCTCTAAGTTGCTCAACTGGACTCTTGGCTGCTTCGACGAGGAATGGAATCAAATCCCATTTACCTATAAATGAATGAATGATAGTTTGATGATGATGATTGTGATGATGTAAATATTTTGTTGTTGTTTGTTGTTGTTTGTTGGTCAAGTCTATTACTGTTACTACCTACCTGCAGAGATAAGAGTTGGTGAGAGCGAGGCAATGATGTTTACAACCTTGCTTCTTGATGTCTTTGAGATGTCGGCCTTCAACAATTCGATCAATTGAACCTTGACGCTCTCTTGTGTGGATACCGAGATCTTTTCCCAGAGTGAGTTCTTGTCACCTGGTGAGAGAAGTGGACGAACCAAAACTGCAGAGAATTCTTTCAACTAAATTTGTTATTTAAAGGGTGCGGTTGATTGAGTGTTTAATATGTGAGTTTTAAAAAGGTTGTAGTGTGCTAAAACAACATACCAATAGATCTGTGGAGTTGACCATCATGAACAAGAGACATCCAATGAGTTGATCGGGTTGTGCCTTGTAGGTGTTGAACTTTGCCTCTGCTTCTCTGATGACATTGGTATCATTGTGAGTGAGTGCTTTGATAGTGTCGATAAAAGTCTGTGGAATTTGGTCCATCGTTTATTTTTATATCGTGTCGTCGTCGTCGTCGTCGCGTCGTTTAGATAGATCTAGTTATTGATTTGAAAAGTGTGTGGGTGTGTGTGTTGTTGACTTATCGAAACAGCAACCGAAGCAATAACAACTATATTAATATATAATAGATATGATATATATGGTCTATAATTATCACCTATAATTGTAATTTAATAGCAATTCAAAAAATAATAATAACATTAATATTAAAAAATTGGATTGGTTTCCAACAACAAAACGTAAATTTTGTAATATTAAAATTTGATAATAAAAAAACAAAAAACAAACTATTGATATTTAAAATAAAAAGTGCACTAAAAAAAAACAAACTATCAAAATGTTTTAAAAAAAACAAAAACAAAAAAAAACCAATAACAAATAAAGGGTGTGTTGTAGTTTGGTTTCTCTTCTCTAACTTGTTCTTTTTAGGTTCGGGTTTTGGTATTATTGTTTGTTTTGTTTGTTTGTCGATAATTTCCTTTTGTTTGTTTGTGTGGTTGTCGATAATTTCCTTTGTCCACTTAAGATTGCTGTGTTTGTGTTTATTGTTATTGTAAAATTCCAACTCTTATTTTAAAATCAAATCAAACTTCTATATATCTTTTTTGTTGTTGTTGATGATGATGTTGTTGTTATTGTTGTCTTGTTTGTCGTTGTCCTGTCTGCTAATCATCAATAATCTTGGTGAAATCTTAATCGAATAGTTGGTGTTCACTCTTTGATTTTAAGAGATGATGCTAAGAATGAACACTGAGCTAAAAACTATTATTACTATTGCTTTTTCATTTTTTCTCATCTTAAAAAATGATGAAATGACATTATTTACTACAACCAAAACTAACTAAAACCTAGATAGCAATATTGAACAAAACTATTTATATATATATTTACACTAAAAATATTGATTCCAAGAAATAAACAATTTTATTTTTTTCTTGATACTACTGGCTACTTACAAAGATTATCAAAAAGACGAGAGGAAGTTACGTCTAAGCGCTGAAGCTGATTTGTTTTGTTATTTTTTTTTCTCTCTGTCCGGTGTCGACATCCAAAAAAAAAAATTTAAAAAAAAGAAAAAATTTAAAAAAAAAATTAAAAAAAATCGACACCCATTTAAAATTTTGTGAAAAAAATGAAAAACTTCATGGATTGTAACACGAACGAAGTTCTGGCACACAACAATAACTGAGGTGTTGCCAGCAGTGATTCTCACTGCCACTTACTTTGCACACATCCATTTTCTCAAACGAAAATTAAAAAAAATTAAAAAAATTAAAATAAACAAAAAAACGAATGGTAAATCAAATCAATTAATTGAAATTGAATAATCATTTAGTTGGTTTTTAAATGAATTTAAATTACTAAAAAATCATCGTTTTTTTTTTTTTTTGTTTTTTTTTTTCAAAGATGATGCTTTACAGAAGTTCAAGTAAACTTGGATACCAGCAATTGCTGTCCAGGTTTAATAATAATAATAGCAACCAGTCATGGAGATATAGATATTATACGACTACAACAACAACTATTCTTGGAATTGAAACAAGTTGTGATGACACAAGTGTTGCGGTGGTCAACAGTGACCGGAAGATTCTCGCGGAATACAGAAAAGCACAGTGGGACATTCATAAGAAGTTTAATGGTGTCGTGCCTAAACTGGCGTCGGAAGCACACATTCAGGTGATCGATGAAGCGGTGGAGTATGCACTGCGCCAGTCCAACAAGAGTATGGAGGAGATCGACGCTGTCGCCGTTACCACTGGGCCGGGCATCGCACTGTCTCTCCAGGTCGGCGTGGAGAAAGCGGTTGCTCTGGCCAAGCAATACAACAAACCACTGATATCGGTCAATCACTTGGAAGGACATTGTCTGACCTGTAGACTTAGCGATCCATCGATTGAGTTTCCCTTCATGACACTACTGGTGAGTGGTGGACACACCCAACTGCTCATCTGTCACGGAGTCTCCAGCTACACGCTACTAGGTGAAACGGTCGACGATTCCGTCGGAGAAGCACTCGACAAAGTAGCGAGAATGCTTGGTTGTAATTTCGGTGAGGTGTTCGACGGTGAGAAGACATACTCCAACATTCACGGTGGTGAAGCAATAGAGATTTTAGCAAGGTAAAAAAACAATAACAAATAGCTGGAAATTTCCAGAGAAAACAAAACAAAACAAAATAATTCTTATATTTGTTATTAATAATTGTTTTCTCTCTCTCTCTTTCACTTTGCAGAAAAGGAGATCCAAAGAGATTTAATCTTTCACTGCCGATGGCGTCGTCAAAGAATTGTGATTTTTCATTCAGTGGGCTAAAGTCATCGATGAAGAGATTGATCGATAAGTTGACACTGGAGAAGGAAGGTGGTGAGCTGTCACTGACCGATCGATTTGATTTGGCAGCGTCGTTTCAATACATTTGCTTCAGGCACCTGGAGAAAAAGACGGTGTTGGCAATCGATTGGTACAAGAAAAGAGGTATTTCAATGGTGGGGAACGGTCAGAAGCTGCGAGGATTCGTAATTACCGGCGGTGTTTCGAGGAATGGCGCATTGCGCCAACAATTCGAAGGCGTTTGCCAGAGGCAAAACATACCGATCTACTACCCGGAGCCATCGCTGTGCACCGACAACGGCTCAATGATAGCGTGGGCAGGCATTGAAATGTACAAACGCCAGATGTTTACAAAACCAGACGACGCATTCTATCTGCCTGTCTGGCCACTTTCCACCGAGCGAATATTCCAATCGACACTCAAAGAGAAAGATAAGAAAATACGTGAAAGTTGGTATAAAGATGTCGTTGACAAGTATGGTCCTGGATCGACACCACCTCCATCAACCAACCAACAAACCAATTAAATTAGTTAATAAAAACATATATTTATCATTTCTTTTTATATATACATGTATATAAATCAATCAAAGACACATAAATGGTTAAATTAGTTAGTTAGTTAATAATTAAAAAAAAAAATAGATAGAATCTTTTGATTTTATAATATATTGTTTGAGAGTGAGAGAGAGGGGCAAGGGTTACTTTTTTTAAAAGTATTTTAGTTGTATTGTATTGTATTGTATTTGGGGTTGATTATTTTTTGGGGGTAAATTATTTAAAGGTCTTCATCATTTTCTGGGATTGGGAGGTTGACGGCGATGGCGGTCTCTCTTTCGTATGACTCCATCAATTCTTTGTCCAATGGGACTTCAGCTGGTGCCAAATTGGGTGGTTCGACCAAAGTGACGGTCTTTCCACCTCCGAGGAGCTTGGAGATCAACCAGACGAATGGCTTCTCGAAATTGTAGTTGGATTTGGCAGAGACATCATAGTATGACAAGTTGTGTTTACGATGGAAAGTGATTTGTCCTGGCTTGACTTTACGATCCTTAACGTCGACCTTGTTACCACAAAGGGCGATTGGGATACCTTCGCAAACTCTAACCAAATCACCGTGCCAGTTTGGAACGTTCTTGTATGAGACACGTGAAGTTACGTCAAACATAATAATGGCACATTGACCTTGAATACTATTGTTTGATTGGTTAAATTAATTGATTTGGTTAGTTAACTATAATAATAATAAATAATAGATCTTTAATATTATTATTCTCTTTCTCTCCCTCTCTAATCTATTTAATCTTGCGAATGAAAAAAAAAATGAAACTAAACTGAATGACCATCTAAACACAAAAACCAATAACAATTTGTTGTTGTCTGTTTGTTTTGTTTTGTTGCTTTCGATTGTCTTTTATCGTTTAATGTTGTAGTTGCATTGTATATCGTCACTTTCTTGAATAGAGATTAGAGAGAAGAGAGAGAAAGAGAATTATAAATAATTATGTTGTTTAATATACTTACTAATAACCATCTCTCAAACCACCGAATTTCTCTTGACCAGCAGTATCCCAGATGTTATAGACGATCTTACCGTAATTGGTGAAGAATGGGAGTGTAACTACATTGACACCGAGGGTTGCTATAATATATTAAAAAAAAAAAGTTAGTAAGTCAATATATTATTAGATCTAAAAATATATATTATAATATAACTTACGAATGTATCTGGTCTCGAATTCACCAGTAAGATGACGCTTGACAAAAGTGGTCTTACCGACACCACCATCACCTACCAAAACTAATTTAATTGCGTTGTCAGTCATTCTGTATATATATTATAAATAACTACTGTATTTGGGATCGTGTGTGTTATTTGTTATTTATTTGATGTGAATTCGATTGAAAAAATTAAATTCATTCAAAAAAAACAAAAAAAAGATGGAGAGTTTGGTTTTGTTTCAAAAAGCATCAAAAAATAAAATAAAAATAAATAAAAATTAAAATAATTTCGATAAATTTCAAAATTTTTTTTTTTTTACGAGGTTTGTGTGTAGAAAAGAGAGAAAAGAAAAAAAAAATAATAAAAATATATTATTAGTTAAGTTTAAGATCATTCATTTAAAAAAAAACTATATAGTTAATTTATCTTAAAGATAAAAAAACATAAACATAAACAGGTATACATACAATAAATAAATGTTTGTAATAAAAACAAAAAAGGTTTTGAGATGATGAAATTAACAAGATAAAAAGATAACAGCACTCGTTTCTAAAACATAAAAAAAAAAAAAAAAAAAAAAAGATTTCAATTTTTTTGTGAACAACAAACCACTTTTTTTTTTGAATTTTCACTATTTTTAAATATTTTATTTATTGTTTTTTTTTTTTGCAATTTTTGGCGCTTTGTTGGTTCTTACACAGCACAACGTATTAATATCAATAATAATAATCTCAAGAGATTAAATTTAATATATTTATATTTATTTTTACCTTATATAATATATATTGTCATATTTTGTTGTTACTGTTTTATTGTTTGTTTGTTGTTGATGTTGTTGAATTTGATGATGTTAATGTTGTTGTTGGTATTGATGATGATGATGATGATGATGAAGATGATGATGTTGGTATTTCTGTACCTCTTAGTCTATCGACATGACCGACAATGCTCGTTGCAAAGAGGTAGAGTGCACTTGGTTTGTCGGGTTTCAATATGGCATCGAGGTCTTTCTGGACGGCTTCGACAACGGCGCGGTTTGCCAGGTCGGCTGGCGACAACTGGTTGGTCGAATCGGGGTTGGCACGGTCCTGAGTGTTCCAGAAGCGTATTTGATTGAGTTGGTAGTTGTAGATGATCGGGATGTCGATGAGCAGGTCGTGATTGGTGTTGAGCGATGTCGAGCTGGTCTTGATGTAGTAGCGAACGATGGTGTAGAGCGTCGACTGATCCTTCTTGTGAATGAGCACATCCTTGATCTTGGAGTTTGATGTGTGCAGATCCATCACATATCTGATCGGGGAGTTGGTATCGCCACGCAATATACGCAGGAGCTCTAGCATCACCACACCTGGTGTAGTAAATAACTGAAGAAACGAAGTGATTGTTTGTATCCTAAACGAAAGCATATTCACCTTCTTCTTAAAGTATACCGACAGTATATTGAATTCGTTTCTTCCAAGTATATACTTTGGATCTTCTGTACATTATTACATCATGACAATATTAGTAATGATAATGGTTGACTACTGAGTTTGTTTATTAATTACTTACTACTGAATGTATCTAATTCAAATGTTGAAAAGTCTCTTACTGCTATTTGATAGATGACTGATTCTGTTTCGAATTTGAATGACATTGTAGGTAACTAATGGATAATGAATGAATATGTTTGTTTGTTTGTTTGTTTGTTAGTTATAAGATATATTGATAGATGATTGATTGATTGATAGAACTTACTTCTGGTTTTAATACACTTTGGAAGTGTTTTGATATTGATACTATGTGAAAGTAGAATATGATTTTTTGAAGGGTCGAGTGTAGGTGTTTGTTGGGTACGAGCCAAGAGCTACGCTGTCCAGAGAGATTGTCCAGTGCTGGCACACCAATTCTATATTCCATAATATGATGAAAGTTGGGTGTATAATGCAGTCGGTATTTCGACAACATACTTGATCCTACTGCTTGCATCGAGTAGAATGCATCTTCAACCGAACAGTGTTCAGCAGATATAGCTCTAATATCAATACCATAGCTATAGTCATAACAGTTATAAGTTAGTATTTAATAGTTAAAGATAATAAAAGATAGACAGATAGTTACGTATTCTTATAGACTAAACGTAGTTGAGTTGTAGATCTTGGTATGATCATTATTTCGAGTGGTAGGAAGTATTGGGGAGTATCAGAGGTGATAATCGAGTGAATTGAATAAATAATATCGTTGGTGATAACAATTGATTTGAATAGTTGTTCAATGCTGTTGTTTATGCTTGTTATATGATTGAGGTTGGTGAGGTGATTGTAGGTGGTCGATGTTATAGTGTTGGCAATCGGTATCTCATTCAACTGGCGCTCTAACAGCGACAGAAACGGATTTGGGTGTGGTTGGTAGTCAATTGAGTACTTTCGGTGTGTTCTATCTATAAATATTTTAATAGTCGATCTTGATGCACTCTATTTAAAATATAACATAAATTATTATTAATATCAAAACAATTGTTTTAGTAATGTATTATCAACAAAAACAACAACAACAACAATAATAATAATAGCAATATTTACAGTTTTTGAACAAGATAATTCTATTTCCATTGGTTTGAATGCTTGAATTTGAAGGTAGTTGGTAATCTCTGGTTTGGCAATAGAGTTAAAGAAATGATTGATAACCACCGACAATTGTATAGTCTTGTTGATGATAAACAAATCGTTTTTAAACTCTTTCAACCAGTCTATTGACTAAAAAATTTTATTGAGATAGATAATGAATTAGTGTTAGTTGTTTATATATATATATATATATATATATGTATTTTTATATATATACTTACAGTGTTGTAGGTGAATGACCATTGACCATCTTCAAAGTGATAGTGTGGCGGATTGGTTGGGTTGGTGATGATTGGTGGTGTAAATTGGTAGTGTTGGTGTAGGTTCGATTCATTGAATGTGATGGTGCATGTGTTGTTGTCTTTGGCCAGTGACAAGGTCATTGTTTGATCGGCCACCTGTATGAATGGGTTTGGTGTCGAGTGGAAAAAGGTGATGATATCGAGGTTGGTGTCATGCTTGAATGTCTGGTCGTGTGAAGTCAGCACCTCAATGGCGGATCGCACCGATATTCTCTTTTTAGTGGTATTGACAACTCTTGTCAATAGTTCCAAGAGATATCGGTGATATTGAAAGTGACCATCTTTTCCCACTTCTTTATTATCATTATTATCGGCTTTTATCTGTTTGTTCTTATTCTTTTTTATCATCTTTAGATTGTCTTTGTTTTTGTTGTTGTCCTTTTTCAACATTACATAGTCATCAAGCATACTAATGAATTGATTCAAACTATTGCTCTCTATCTTTGAGGTAGATGAATGTTGCATAATCGACGATTGTGAGTTTGATCTTTGTTATTACAATGAGTAGTATTAGTTAGGTGAATAATACAATCTAATGGATAATGTATTTATACATACTTTATAGTTGCCAAATGAAATGATGGTTGAAATGTAGTTATATTTACAGTGATAATAAGATAGTATATATCTCTATCTTTCGGCAGTCTAATGCATATATAGTTGTTATCGGCAAACAAATCCAGTGTTAATGGTATCTTGTAGAAACATTCCAACTTTAAAAACAAAGATGATTCTTCAAAGCAAGATAGCAATGACTGAAAAATATGTAATATACATCATTGTTAGTAAACTGTATATATTATTATAATTATTATTATTCATTATATATTACCTTTAATTTCAATTGATTCACAATATTAGTTATCTCTTGATAGTTTTTATTTAATCTATATTCCATTTGTATTTGTAAATCTAGATAGATTGATAGATAAGTTAAGTTAGTTAATAGTTATGAGTTGAGTAATTCAATCATTTGTTAATGTCATTTACCATTTGACAATAGATGATTTGGTGATATAATATATTTTCCGTTGTGTGAGTTGATAGAGACGATTAATTCATTGGATCCATAGAGATTAACTTTGAGTACCGTTGGAAGTGTTTCATTGTTTACATTGATATTTGTATCATCTTTGTTTTGTTTACCATTGCAACTGCTGCTGTTGTTGTTTCTAGCTGAATCATTGCCATTGTATTTAGCATTATTACCATTACCACCATCACTACTATCACTACCATCCAATGCAACGTTTCTTATTAACTCTGCAAACTGTTGATACTCTTGATTAGAATCGATCAAATGTTGAAACAGAATATTAGCTCTATGAAATGAATGTAAATTGATAGCCCTCAACAGTATTTCTTCTACATTCAATTTAAACTAGTAGTAATTATGATGATTTCAATTGTTTAGTTAGTTATGCAAAATGACTATATATATATAAATATAAGTAGTAGTACTACTTACTATTCTTAAATAGTTTTCAGTTGTTGGATGTTTAATGATGGGTGTATGATTGACTATCAGTTCGGATTCATCGTGTAGATAGATCTTTATGTTGGTGTGAATGTTTGGATCGAGATTCGATGACGCAGTCATTATAATATCATCGGGTATCCAATAGAATATCGTAATAGACGCATCTCTACCGTAGATCGCTCGTATATTTGAATTCGTACTGCTTTGTATCAGTTGTTGCTGTTGTTGTTGGTTCTGCTGTTGTTGCTGCTGCTGTTGTTGCTGTAGTTGCTGTTGTTGTAACAATTGATTTCTTGTAAATGTATTATAAGTTTGTGAAGTTAACAATTCCAATTTCGACTTGATAACAAAGTAATCTAATAAATAATACACAAAACACAAAACAAAACATTAGAAACAATTGATATCAATATCAATATATGTATAAGTAGATAACAACAACAACAACTACAACACATACGTATTATATTATGTAATTCAAAGAGAGGTCTATCGGTTGAGTAGTTCAATCGGTTCTGTATTCTATCGGTTAGATGTGCAATGCCTTGATCTACCGCCGCTTTGATGAGTGGTGCTTCGGTTTCGCGCTGTTTCAGCACGTAGATTTGGAGGTCGCGAATGATCCATGGCGTCGACTCGTCGGCACCCTCCAGGGTGAGTGTCGCCTCGTACTCGTCGGCCACCACTATATGTGCAATGCCATTGTCGATGGCAATCGGCTGTTGAAACGCCTTTGGTATATCGCTCTGAAACAGCTTGTACGCAATGATGTTGTTCAGTTTCTGTTTGACGTTGCTGATGGTCAATGGTGACACCGCATCCGGTGGTATCACTGCACTGATCTGCGTGGGCATACGCATGTAAGAACCCTGTGACATGACATCGATCGCCGTCGGAACGTCATATACCGGTGCTCTACTATTGATCATTCCCTCCTTTGTCATTATCAGCAAATCAGCTGTATCTCTTAAATATATATCTTGTTGATTCAGCAATTCCATTATTTCCTACAAAAAAACAAATCAAAGTTAGTCTAGATTCTCATTATCATTTCAATTACTCAACAACATGTTGTTGTTGTTGTTGTTGCTGTTGATTGATATTCATACATTAGCTTTGTTTAGAGTGTTTAGATGTTTCGACCACTTTATTATGACTAGTAGTCTGACGAATCGTTCACGTGTCTCTTCAAAGTAATCGGATAGTTGTTTCTTTTTGTCGAGATCGGATTGATTGACGAGATTAACACTCAGTTCGATTAGACGATTGTAAGATTGTTCAACAAGTCTGTGTATAACCGTTGACAATCTAACTGTTCTCTGTGATTCATCCATCTGTTGTAACATTCCCATTCCCATATCCATCTGTTGTTGTTGTTGTTGCATCATCATTTGTTGTTGCTGTTGCTGTTGCTGTTGTTGATGTGGTGATGGTGTATTCGAACCATTCGAATTTGGAGTTGATATATTACCAATTGCATTATTATTATTACTATTCATTACTCTACCTGACCGATTACGAATGGCTAATTATATAATGTTATCAACTTTAATAAGGTGTGGGTTTAGAGTATGTAAAAAAAAAAAAAAAAATAATCCCATCTATCATTCTTGATGATCAAACCCACTTTTTAATTGAAAAAAAAAAACAAAATCATTTTAAGTTGTTTAAACTTTAATTATTTTTTTTGTGAATGGTGGATGTTGGGTCATTGATTACTTTCAAGACATTATTTTATGGAACAACAAACTAGTTGTATTGTGGTCGACTTCGAATACAATATATATTCGTCAATTAGAAAGGAAGTCTGTGGTCTTTCCTCCAACGTTGTTAAGTACTGGAGGAAGAGAACATATCTCTCAAACACACCAAGGTACCTGGGGTGGTGATAGGTGCAGCCACTTGACCCGAGAGCAACGTCTCAAAGTAGCATCTCTAGTAGTGATCATTGTCAAACACAATCCAAACACTGTTGACCAGGTGAGGTTGAAACTTTCGACTGTCGGAGTTTTTATTACCAAAAGGTAAGTCGACCACAATACAACTAGTTTGTTGTTCCATAAAATAATGTGGCCACAAGCCAAGGCTATAAGTTTGCTTACAGACCAGGAGATCCACGGTGAACTCGACAAGATAGCAAAAGAAGAACAACTCCTTGGAAAGAGGAAATCGGAACTCCTTGAAGTCATGGAGAAACGTAAAGTGGTTTCCAAGGTGGTGTTGCCTGATGTCTTTGATAGAATGTCAGATGATGAATTATTGTTTTACCTCTCCCAAAGAAAGAAATCAACAACTACTACTACTACCACAACAACAACTACTACAACTACCACCACAAATAACAACAATAACAGTAACAACAATAATGATAATAACAATAACTATAACAATAATAATAATAATTGTAATTCTTAACTACATTTAATAAATATATATTGTTAATTAATTTCAGAAAAGATTTGCAAAATTGTTGTATTATTTATAATAAGATAGTTTGTTAATATGTTGTGTGGAAAAGAAAAAGGATTTAGGAATGATCTGAAATCTGTGAGTTGGTCGATTTCCGATGTTCAAAATTCTTCGTCCACATCGAAACCATCAAACTCAGATCCGGTAGTAATCGTTCCTATTGTCTGATAGTTTCTTCTTCAAGTACAAAAATGTATTAAAGTAATATTAATGTAATTTCTGTTCAAGTTCAATATTGGAAAAGTGTTGTATTAATAAAATATAATATTTGGAAATTACAAGTTTAAAAAATGAAATGATTGGTTTTATTTTTGATTTGTTGTTTTTTAATTTAAGAAACCTCTGCTTTTAAAATGCTGTTGAGCTACATCGGGCATACCAGTGTTTGGGGTGAATGATCTGAAATCTTCTGTGAGTTGGTCGATTTCCGATGTGTAAGATTCGTCGTCGTCAGAGTCGTCTTCATCTGACTCTGATTCAGAGTCAGAGTCGTCCTCATCGAAATCATCGAATTCAGAGTCAGTGTCGTCCTTCTTCTTGTCGTTGTCGTCTTGCTCTTCCTCTTCTTCGTTGTCGGACATCTCCTCGAGGTCGATGTCGTCGTCGTCCTTCTTGACGTCGCTCCAATGTAGGTAGCAGCCATCGACAAACTTTGAGGATTGCGCTAGCAGATAGGGATCGAATGGGAAGAACGAATCGAATTGATTGGTGTTCTGTTGGTAGGTGTTGGCGAATCCCGACGTCTTGGACTTGACGATTTTCTTGTTGGCCTGCAGCACCGATGTGCACTTGGCAAAGATATTTACACGCAGACACACCGCGCAGAACTGCTTGACGACATTCTTTGAGCAGATTTTGAACGGATTCAATCGGGAGAACGAGATCTTTTGGAACGCTTCGTGGAGATCCTGGAAGAGTTCGCGGTGTTTCTCTGGCTGCACGCCGTTTGGATAGTCGTGACTAAAGTTGAGGATGACACTGTTTCTGAAACAAAAGATATAATACAAAGACTGGCAGACCGCGTAAAAGATGGAGTGGAGTTGTGGATTGGGTGTGCATTCGCTGGCTTTCGTGTCGTAGCGTTCGACGTAGTTCACAGCAAAGAGAACCAGCTCCTTAAAGACGAGCTTGACGACGTTGTTTGGGAGGTACTTGGCACGCGAGATGAAACCACCGATATACGCTGCACTTGCTTGTCTGAGAATGGATGGAACGGTCTCGTTTGCCAGCTTTCCACAGAGGTAACGGATGTATGACTCTGCCATGAGAATACCGGGTGCCGCCCAGCGCTGAGGTCGCGTTGGACTCTGTGACGGCTTGGATTGCGCCACCAACAGCGTTGTATTGAAATCGAGTGGTGTAAAAGTAGATCCAAACTGCTGGAAGCGTGAGGCATACAACAACAGAAACTGTGTATATTTACTCTTGTAGGTTGGTAGGACACTGGAATCGAATGCTTTCACTAGGGAATGGAAAACTTCGTCCATCTGACTGGTCTCGGCATCGTTGATTCCACCGATCACAAAAATATTTCCTTCCTTGCCCTTACCGAAACGTGCATCCAAATACTGGAACATCAAAAGCATCAAACCATCCAGCTTCTGAGCGTTGATTGTATTCTTTTCTTGTTGTTCATTGGTCGAATCTGACTTTCCAGTTCCTTCGAAATCATCAAACTGCAACTCATCATCTCCAGGTATTTCTTCAATTGTAATGGATGTCTATAAAAAAAAGGAATGGATTGATTAGTACTTGAAAATATCCAATCAGTTTAGTTTAACAATATTGACTTACATCTATTAAAACTAGTGTATTTACGGCGGCGGCAATTATTTTTGAGGAAATGGATGGACAGTAACGAGTTACCAAAAGGACGTGTTTGAGGAAAAAGTGGTGTACTTCAAGTGGGTGAATGGTGTGTGGGAATTTCTGAATTAAAATATCTGCTAGACTTGGTGAGCTGAGTGGTAGTACACTGACGATCTTGTTCAGTGAGAAGTGAACCTTCATTGAGATCTTCTCCCACTTTTCATAGTCTACTTTGGTGCCGTTGGCAAGTGCCTGTTTATAAGGTTCGAATGCAGTGCCCAGCAGAGTGAATGCATCGATTGCATAACTCTGATTGAATGTAACCAAATTGATAACAAACTCTATAAATTTACCAACTGACTGATCATCTCTTGACCAATCGAAAGTAATCACTGAACAAACATAAAAAAATAAAAACAAAAAAATTATTAGAACTATTTGAATCATAATCATTCTGATTATTAGATATTCCGATTACTTACATTCATTTAGTGGAGTTCTTCTTTTATCTTGTGTAGCCTTCTTCCAAAGAAGACTATAAGAGTCGGCTTGAACATTCTTTATTGGTTGTGGTGTTGGTGTGTTGGTGGTGGTGGTTTGGGGGTAAACTTCGGAGGCCATTTCTGAAATTGGCATAGTAGGTCGGTCTATTTATTGTTTAGTTACTTAAAACTAAAATAGATATGTGAAAAGGTAGGTAGGTAATGAATAAATTAAATTAATAAAATGAATTATTAAATTAAAATTATAATAATATTAAAAATAAATAAAAACAAATAAAGGTACAACTACAAATATTAATTGTATGTAAAAATGAAACAACAACAAAAAAACGAATAAAATTTGTCGACAATTCTTTCTTTACTCTCACTTCTCACTTCAGTGAAACCTTTTGGTGGTTAAATTAAAAAATTAAAATTAATTGGAATTGGATGGATGGGGGTAAGGTGTGTGTTTTTGATAACTTTTTTGTGAAAAAAAAAATGAAAATGGAAAAAAAAAATGAAAAAACGATGCACGTCGGATTTTTAAGGTTTGATGAAAAATTTTTAATAGATACTGTACCTTTAAGATGAATAATGATTGCTTGTTGCAAAGAGTAGAATATAATACTAATGTAGTAGGTTTTCGATAAAAGTTGACTTAACTTTTAAAGTTCAAATTTGTTTTTGTTTGTTTTCTCAGTTTGTTGTTGATGATTATATATTGGCGAGATGTCTTTGGCTATAGTCGATCTACTTTACTTTACTACTAACAACGATTGGTAATGATAATAGAAGTAGTGATACGATATTATATTATATGATATATACTGAGATATATGATAAAAATATACTACTAAGATCTTAAGAAAGATTGGTGATTGTCACTTTAGACTACTTTAACCAACTTTTATAAAGGTCTTGTTTGTTTTTCGTTTTAATTTTAAAGATTCTCTGTCTCTTTAAAATTGCCAAGCAAATACCGATTATAACCGTTAACGTTTAATTTAAAAAAAAAGTATAAACGAACGTGCAGTAAGATGAATGAACTGATCAATTAATCGACCTCTTTCAATATATATGAGGAATTCGAATGTAAATTGACGCGTTCAATTGATGCCGTAAAGGTAAACAACTTAAATAAGACGTTGCAAAATAAAGAGATAATGAACAGTAATCAAAATATTAAAAAAAGCCTAATCGTTTGTTTTCTCTTATTCTTTAAGTATAAAGGTTATAAGATATAGGTTTATAATATTTCTGTGTTCTTTTATTAAATTATCTAATTATTTCTTGAATTTAGTAGTTTTTTTTTTTTTTTTTTGAAAATAATAATAATTTTATTTCAATTTAATTTAAAATTAATTAATTTAAAAATGATAAATTTAGTTTAGTTAAGTTATATATATATAAATAAAGTTTTTGTTTTTGACAAAGAAAAGCAAAGAAGATAAATAAATAAATAGAATATGTTTGTTGTTTTTTGAAAATAAATAAATTAAAAAATGGTAAAAAAAAAAATCGACGTTTTCGAGAAAATGGTACGAAACTAATAAATTATTGTGAAAAAAACTACAAACGTTACAATAAATGATGAGAGTGAAAAAAATAAAAATAAATTTAATTAAAAATAAATAAATAAAGCAAAAAAAAATCGAATCAATAGAAAATAAAAAAACGAAATTAATTTTTTTCATAGTGTTTTTTACCATCATAATTTAGTGTGTGAGCTTTTTTTTTTTTGATTGTTGTTCGCATTTTTTTGTTTTTTTATTATTTATTCATTTTGAATTACTTTTTTTTTTTTTTTTTTTTGTAAACTAGATATAGATAGAAAAAACAGAATGTTGTCAAAGAATCTTTTCAAATCGAGCTGTCAATTGGGATTGGGATTGCGTTCGTTCAGAAGCAGCAGTGTCTCGCTCGCCGGTGAGAAGAAGAAGTTCGAGCGTACCAAGCCACACGTCAACGTCGGTACCATCGGTCACGTCGATCACGGTAAGACCACCTTGACTGCAGCTATCACCAAGTGTCTCTCGGATCGTGGTCTCGCCAACTTCAAGTCGTACTCACAGATCGACAAGTCGCCGGAGGAGCGTCAGCGTGGTATCACCATCAATGCTTCGCACATCGAGTACGAGTCTGACAATCGTCATTATGCACACATCGATTGTCCGGGTCATCAACATTACATTAAGAATATGATTACTGGTGCCGCCCAGATGGACGGTGCCATCCTGGTCGTCTCGGCGCCAGACGGTCCACAGGAGCAGACACGTGAGCACGTCATTTTGTCGCGTGAGGTCGGTATTCCAAAGATCGTTGTCTTTTTGAACAAGATGGACAATGCCGATCCCGATTTAGTGGAGATCGTCGAGATGGAGGTCAGAGAGTTGCTCGCCAAGTACGGTTTCGACGGTGAGGCCACCCCATTCGTCAAGGGTGCCGCCGCCGTTGCCCTCGCTGAAGATCCAGCTTCGCCAACCGAATTCGGTCGTTTGGCCATCGACAAGTTGGTCAGTGTTTTGGACAACGAAATTCCATTGCCAAAGCGTGCCATCGACAAGCCATTCTTGATGCCAGTCGAAGAGGTCTTCTCCATCTCTGGTCGTGGTACTGTCGCCACCGGTCGTATCGACCAGGGTGTCGTCAAGGTCGGTGACGAAGTTGCCATCGTCGGTATCAAACCCGTACCAAAGGTGTCGGTCACCGGTTTGGAAATGTTTGGAAAGCTGCTGGATTTCGCTCAGGCCGGTGAGAACGTCGGTGTTTTGCTCCGTGGTTTGAAGAGAGAGGATGTCGTTCGTGGTGAGGTTATCTCCAAGCCAGGAACCATCAAGGCACACACTAAATTCACCGCCAAGACTTATATCCTTACCGACGGTGAGGGTGGAAGAAAGAAAGGTTTCGCCACCAACTACAAACCACAATTCTTTATTCGTACATCGAACGTCACCGGACGTATTGAGTTGCCACCAAACACCCCAATGGCCATGCCAGGTGACAACGTAGAACTCACAATCGAGCTTATTTCACCAACTCCACTCAACGAAGGTCTTCGTTTCGCCATCAGAGAAGGTCAACTTACTGTTGGTGCCGGTATCATTCAAAAAGTCGTATCATAAATTAAATAAATAAATATTCTTAATAGCTAAAAATAACTACCACTTTTAAAGATTCATTCATAAAATGAATTAATAAATTCCACCACCAACCACCTTTCAAACAACCATTAAAGAGTTTGATTGAACAGTTCACAGATTTGATTAACCAATATTTTTATCAACAGAATACAACCAAATTTTATCTATATTTAATACAATACCATGGATTTATCACACTATTAAATGTATTTGGATATAGAATCTTTTTTTCTTTTTTTTTTTGTCTTATTAGATCTTCATAAAATTTTTTTTTTTTTAAATTCAATACGATTGAAATTGTAGGAGTATATTCAAACTGGAGTAGATTGTTTATAAAACTGTGATTCTCATGATATTTCATAACTCCTTCTCTAAAAAAAGATTTAATTAAAAAAGTGAGCGGTTTGTTTCCATTAAAATTTAATTAAACTAATTTTGGACAAATTTATAACATTTATAAAGAAATTTTATCTTTAATCTTACTAATTTTAATAAATCCAAGAAAAAAACATTATAATCTTCCTGTTGTAATGTTTAATAGTTTATTTATAATATTAATCATCTCTTGAAGAATACATTAAATCTGATAATTTTTGTTTTTGATTTCCATTTTCATCAAAATTATCTACTCTTAACCAAGAAATATATGCTTTTTCAGCGTTTGTCCATTCTTCATCTAAAATGGAAAGCCATTGAGTGTTTCTATTTCTACCTTTGGTCATTCTGTCTTGTCTGAATTCTCCTTCGAAAACGAAACCGAAACGTTCGGCAGCACGTCTCGATGCAAGATTCAAACCATCGCACTTCCATTCGACTCTTCTAAACTTTTGATCGAAACAGCTCTTTAAAATGAGATAGAGTGTTTCGGTGGCTGTCTTGGTCTGTCTTAGTTTGTGTGAGAAGTAAACGTTGCCAACTTCGATCGAACGTTCTTTCGATCTCTGATTGATCAATGCTAGCCATCCCAAGTACTCTCCTTTGTTTTCGATGATGTAGAGATATGAAGGCTCGGAAAAAGTGAAACCAAAACGATTGTTCAAACGATTGTTCAAATCCTCTTGACTGGTAGGTGGTGTATAAGGTAGGTAGGTCCAACATCCAGTGTTTGGCTCCGATTGAACAGTTTGATAGAGTTTGGTGACGAGTTCTTCCGTCAATATTTCATTTGATACTGAAATCAAACGTACATTCTCTCCAGTTAAATCTGCTTGCTTATAGATTACTGGTGTATTATCAGTGACAGCTGCACCAACGATTTGACCCAATTCATTCGTTTGTGTTTTTTCAAAATTTTTCATCCTTTTTTTATTATTATTATTATTATTATTAACTTTTGATTGTAAATAAAAATAAATATATGTATTTCAGTAAATAAATTTATTAATAATTAACCTTTATGATTTTTTGATTTGGGGTCAATTAAAACTTTTCAAACGAAAGGTTGTAATGCATTTAATTAAAAATCAGATGATTTTTATTTTGCACCCCAGAAATCTAATCATTACGATTTTTTTTAGAACATAGAATTGAGATTTTTAATTCTATTTGATTCAGATTTTTTATTATTATTATTAATAATATTAATAGGAAAAATAGACAGATATATTTTATTTCTTATAGTTTTTACGATTTAAAAGAGATGTATAAATACTATTGATTGTCAAGTTGGGGATTTGGGAAATCGTGAAAATATCTTGTTCAATGTTTGTGTCTAAAAAGAATTTGACTTGAACTGTCATCAATGAATCAACTCCAAAATTCTTGAGTGGTGTATCTACTCTCAGTTTTTGTTTTGGAATTGAAAGTAGTGAAGAAAAACCATCTAAAATTGTTTCGAGTGGATCAATATTCATATTTAGTGTGTTTGATTTTCCAGTTTCACCAAAAACCAAATGATCCATTCCATATTGGTTATGCAAATGTACTTCATATAAATGGACAGAATTGAGTCTCGAAAGTATTGGATTACAGTAAAGAGGTTGGGAAATAATTGCTTCAAGTCCTCCAAAGAATTTTGATAATGGAATTGGATAAACACCTCTTGAAACGAAGAATTCTTTAATTCCTTCAGATTCAGCAACAGTTCCTTCACCAAGAATTGGGCCTAATCTGATTGATTTCGATTTCAATCCAAGAATATTATTTCTATATTTACACAATCCATCAACGGCCAGACATGCTGAATTATATGATGGTTGTGATGCTTCACCACTATATCCAGATACTGATGAAAAAACAATGAATTGTTTCAAAGGTAAACTTAAATCTATCGATAGAGTATGGAGATTATAAGCACCAACAACCTTTGGATCATGAACTTTCTTGATATTCTCCGGTGTCACTTCATTAATTGAGAATGATTCAAGAATGGTAGCAAGATGGAATATTGTTTCAATTGGTAGCATTGATTTTGAAACTGATTCAATTCTTGATTTTAATTCATTGATATCAGAGATATCGGTTTGATAGAAATGAATTCTTGTTGATTTTGTTGAATTTATGATTTGATTCATTCTATTATTCAATTTTGATTTTGAAAGAACGACGATATCAGATGCATTTGAATGTTTGGCAAGCCAAGGAACCAATTCAAGTGCTAAACCACTTTGACCGGTGACAATGATTGTATTTGAGATATCAACTTTGAAATCAATCTTTGGTAATGGTTTTCTATCTTTTGATTCTATCAATTGTTTGAGAGTTGTTTCTTGAATATTTGAACAATCTATAACAATTTTACCAATTTGTTTTCTTTCTTTCATATGATTGAATGCTTTCTTTGATTCTAAACTGTCAAAAGATATGATTGGTGTCAATTGTAGTCTTCCAGATACAATATCCTGGATAACTGCTTTTTGAATATTAGTACAATATTCAGTTCTAAGATAGAATCTATATTGTAAATCAGTACAACAGTATTTTACATCATTTCTGAATTGACCATATCCTAATATATTATCATTGAATACATGAGTGCCAACAATATCTGCAATTCTTCCAAATGGTGCCATTGATTCGAAATTCTCCTTCATATATTCAACTGGTAATGTATTGATGAGAACATCGACACCGTTACATTGTTCTTTGATTTTATCTGCAAATTCATTTGAATATGAATTGAAAACATCAATTAAAATATCTGAATAATTTGATTTGAGATAATCAATCTTTTCTTGTGATCCAGCGGTTGCGTAAACTCGGTTACACTTCAACATTCTCAAGACATTCAATGCTGCAATTCCAACACCACCAGTTGCACCATGAATTAATATTATATCCTTCTTTGCATCGAAATTACAAATTTCAAACAATGAATGATAAACAGTGGTGTAAGTAACTGAAATCGATGCACATTCATTATGAGAAAGTTCTTTTGGTTTAAAAATAATACAAGATTGATCCGATATTGCATGAGATGTCAAAACATTTTGTATATTATAAGCCATAACTTCATCACCAACTTTGAAATCTTTTACATCACTTCCAACTCTTGAAATTACTCCAGATCCTTCATTGGACAATGGTGGATGATAGATATCACCTCCAACCATCATTTTTTGAGGAAGTAATTGGAGATGATATAAATAATTTTTGAAATTAATTCCAGCTGATTTCACTTCAAACTCTATTTCATTTGGTTTCAACTCTCTTCTATTCTTCAGTTTGAAATCGAGATTCAAATTTGCAAATGTTAATAGATTCTCATTATTTGTTTCATGTGCATTTGAATATTGTAAAATATCATCTTTGATATTGAATTCTCTTTGAACCATTGGAACGTTATCAATGATACTATATTGTAATTCACCTAGTGATTCTTTGTTTTGCGATAAAAGAAGTATTGAATTAATATTATCATTATTCAAAGGCGAATCAATATCAATTATTAATAAATCCAATTCTCTATGATCAATAAATGCTGTATTTATAATTCCAATAATAGAGTTTGATAAATAATTTGATGATTCATTATTTTTGATGACAACTGTGATTCGAGGTTGACTCTCTTGATATGTGAACATTTGTAACAATTGGATTAATGAAAATATTGTTTTTTGATAGTTATCAATTGATTGATCTAAAATTGATGGGAAAAATAGAATTTGAGTAGAGTTTAGGAGAAAGTTTGATTTCAAATCAATCTCATTTGAATTTATCAATGAAATTTGCTGATTTGAATAGCTTTCAAAATATTCAATTGGAATTGTTTGATTTTCATCGATTATAATTGATAGTTGTTCAATGTTATTGATTTTGAGAGTGTCAATGGAATGTTTCTGACAATGAATTATAAATAGCAATCCTTGATTAGGTGGAAGTTGATTTCCATTTGAATCATTTGGACTAAGTATTCTGATATTTTTGAATTGATAATTTTCAGAAAGTAATTCCACCCATTGATTTGGTTTGAGCGCACAATGATCACGATCATCATTATAACTCCAATATTGTTTGAAACCTCCAAACAACATATCTGGGATGATGTTTTTATAGGCCGGTTCTGCAAATAATAATATTCCATTTGGGGAAAGAATTTGATGACAATTTGAAATTGCTGATCTTATATTTGGACAAACATGAATCACCAGAGACATGACAATCATGTCATATGATGATTTCAAGAGTCCTTGATCTGATAAATCTTGATCCAAATCAATCACTTTGAATTTCATTTTCAAATTTGATTTGAATTTGAAATGATTCGAATATTTATCTTTCATTGGATTGACAAAGAATGAAGAAACATCTGAGAATGTATACACAACCTCAACATTTTGATCACCAAGTGAATATAACATTTCATCAAGTTCTGGAATTAAATAGTTTGTTACTGTTCCAGTTCCACCTCCAATTTCAAGAATCTTGATTATTCTCTTTGAATTTGATTTTTCGATTGATTTTGAAATCGATTCAACAGCAATGAATGACGTTTGTTTGAAATAGTATTGAATATATGAAGATTTGTATATATTAGAAATTACACCATCTTTGAATAATTGTTCTCCATATTCATCATTTCCGCGCAAAGTTTCAAAGATTAATTGAATTCCTAATTCAACAGTATTATAAAAAGATATATCATCAAGGATTAATTTTCGATCTTTTAAATCACAAGATGATAAAAATTCTTTTTCTTCTTTCAAAATTTCAACCATTCTCGAAAATAATTTGAAATTTGTATCATTTGAAATGAATTTGAATTTTATCATTGATTCTTGAATTGTTTGATTAAGTACTTGAGAAAGATCGAAGTTAGGAATATTATTCAAAAATAATGAATAAATAGACTTGATGAAATCAGTTCTATAATGATTGATTTTTAGACCTTCCAAAGAATCCTCAACGAGTGGTGATGGAATTATATCTTTGGGATTTGAAAGGGTTGATTCTTTTGATTGTTTGAAAGATTCAAATAATTCTTGATCTGGATATTTGATTTTCTTCATCTTCAATCTTTCATTCGTTCCAACAGTGAATCTCTTCATTTCTAAAATCAATTGACCATTTGGATGAACAAGTAAACTGTTTCCAGTACATTCATAATTACTATGTTCTAGAATTTTTGTCATTAAGAATAATTGATCTGGTGGATTTGATTCTAATTCTTGAAGACTTTGATAATTGATTCTCATTTTATCGATTGATTTGAAAATGAATTGTCTTCGATCTTCAAGAATACCAATCAATCCTTGAGCACAATTATCAATCAAAGTTGAATTTAGAATTTTCGAAGGTGCATTCAATGTTGATTTGGTTTGTAAAGTTGAAAATGACTTTTGATTTCCAATCGATATTGATTTGATATGTTGAAATGCGGGTCCGTATCTTAATCCAACTCTCAGAGTCTTCTTGTATAATTCTTCTTGAGTTAAAGTTGTCAAATTACATTGATTCTTGAATGATTCAAAATCAATGGTTTGATTTGAATTTTGAACCAAGGTAACCGATGATTTTGCAGAATGGAACCATTCATCATTTGAATCATAATAATCTGAATTCTTGTTGTAGAAATTCAAATTATATTCAGGTTTCGAAATATTTTCAATATTCGTCATCAATTTCTGAGATTGACCATTTTGGTTCAAAAAGAAAGGTTTGATGAATTCCAATCTATCTATTATAATATCTTGTTTTTTAGATTGGAAAATTTCAATGATTGCTTCTACATAAGCAGCACCTGGAAGAATAGGACGATCTTTTACTTGATGATCTTTCAAATATTCAAATGGTTTACTTCCAATATCAATATCAGATAGATAACATTCATTTCCATTGAAAACTGATCGTTTTCCAAGAATTGAAGTTAAAGGTCCATCCAATCTTTTGGATTTTGATTGATGTGATTCTCTCCAATAGATTTCAGAATCCCATTGATATCGAGGAAGAATTGAACAATTATCTCTCCAAATTGGATTTGAAATATCAAATCGATTGAATTGTGATTTGAAATCAATATTAACACCTATACAATGAAGTGTTGCCAATGATGATTTGAATAATAATTGTTCATCTTTGTTTCTTTGAATTGGTGAGATCACTTTTGCAGAAGGAATTGTTTGAGTTATCAATCCTGATAAAGTTGGATGTGGTGATATTTCAATGAAAACATAATCTTTCAAATCATCCTTGAGATCTCGAACAATTGAATCCAATGTCTTCTTGAAATATACTGGATTTCTGATATTATCATAAATATATTGAGAATCAATTGCATCTGATTTCAAATCACCAGATACAGTTGAATACCATGGAATTGTAGATGCTTTAGATTTCAAATTATTGATTTGATTAATTACTTTGTCTTTGATAACTTCTTGATGTGAAGAATGGAATGAACATGGAGTTCGAAGGAAAGTATGATAGATATCTGATTGTTTCAATTTTTTTGCGAATTCATTCAAATCATCATTGTTTCCAGTGATTACAATTGAATTATTCGAATTATAACATGCAATTTCAAGATTTTCAAATTGATTTTGATAATTCTTGTTGAATTGATCAGAACCAATTCCAACAACCAACATTCTTCCAGATCCAATTGTTTCGTTTTGGAATGATGCCCTCAAATGAACAATTTTAATTGCATCTGATAATGTTAAATTTCCTGAAATATATCCTGATGTAATATCTCCAAAACTATTAATGTTTGAAATTTTTAATTAGTAAATTTTATCAATAAATTTTTTAAATTCAATTTACCTATGGCCAAAAACAATTGATGGTTTCAATCCAAAATTATGATAAAGTTCAAAAAGTCCAACTTGGAATAAGAACAATGCTGGTTGTGCAATATTTGGATTGTGAATATCATTTGAATCATTTGGAATTTCTCTCATCTTTTCAATGAGTGAATATCCAGAATATTCTTTGAGGGCAGAATCTAATTCATCAACTATTGATTTGAATATTGGTTCATTCTCATAAAGATTCATTCCCATTTGATTCCATTGTGGTCCTTGTCCACAAAATACAAATATCAATTTCTTTTCTAGAGAATTATTGATTGTTGTTTGTCCTTCAATTTCAATTGATTTTGAATTGAAATCATCCCAATTTTTAGCAATAATCACTTTTCTTTGAGAATGGAATGATTTTGTCAAAGATTGATAGAGAGAAAACTCTTTCAATGATATTCTATCTTGATAGGGTTTGATTGATTCAAAATATTTATCATTTGAAAATGATGAATTTCCACTGATTGGAATCAAAAAATATTGATCTTTTGTTCGACCTGATAATTGAAAATCATTTTGGTTCCTGTTTAGAATATTAGTTATGGTTATAGAACAAAATTATAATATTATTTCATCGTACCATTTATTATTTGCTCTATATTCTTGAAGAATTAAATGACTATTTGATCCCCCAATTCCAAATGAATTGATTCCCATCATTACCAATTGATCATTTGGAAGATCTTCAGTTTTAGTGACAACTTGAATATTTGATTGTTTGAAAGGAATTTTTTGAATTCAAATTTGACAATTTAATGCTTGGAACAAGTTTACGGTTTTTCAACATCAATGATACTTTGATGAGAGATGCAATTCCAGCTGCACTTTCAAGATGTCCAATGTTGGATTTGACAGATCCAATCTTTAATGGTTTCTCTGGTGTGTGATTTTGAGAGAATGCATCGATTAATGCATTTACTTCAATAGGATCACCAACAACAGTTCCAGTTGAATGTGCTTCAACATAATAGATTTGTGATGCATCAATATTTGATCTTTGAAGTGTTTGTTTAATATTCTGAGATTGAATTGTATTTGAAGGAGTAGATATTGAATCCTTGTTACAATGACCATCAGCATTGATTCCTCTTCCTTTAATCACTGCATAAATTCGATTTCCATCTCTTTCAGCCAATGAAAGTTTCTTCAAAACAACAACACCACATCCTTCACCTCGAACAAATCCATTTGCATCTTGATCGAATGGACGACAATGATCTGCAAGAACTCCAAGATTATTATACATTATTGTTGTATTTGGATCAAAGATTGCATTTGTTCCACATGAAAGTGCAACATCACATTCACCATCTTGAATGAATTTGATTGCAAGATCAGTTGAAGTTAAAGATGAAGAACATGCAGTATCGACACACATCGATGGACCTCTGAAATCAAAACAATATGAAACACGATTTGCAATAACAGAATGTGTCAAGAAATCACACAATACCTTTGGAGCTGGATCCAACTGACAATGGCTTGTTTGTAAATGGTGATAATCCACAATTGAAACACCAACAAATACACCAGTGTTTGATTCACGAAGAGTCCTCACTGGAATTTGAGCATCTTCTAAAGCTTCGTAGGCAAGAGTGAGCATCATTCTTTCTTGTGGATCAAGAATCGCTGAATCTTTAGGTGATATTTCAAAGAATAATGGATCAAACTTTTTCCATTCATCGAAATCCAGCAATCCAGCATTTTCATTTGAGATCAATTGATGTTGATGGTAAGTATCTGACCATCTTTCTTTTGGAACTCTGACAATTCCATCAAATGAATTTTCCAAAGCTTCCCAAAAATGTTGAGGTGAATTTACATTTCCAGGAAAACGTAACCCTATTCCTATTACTGCAACATCATTTCTAAATAAAATATTTGAATTTTCCATTTTAGTTAATAAAGACTTTTTTTATGTTTTATAAAAATTAAAATAAAAAAAAGAATTTTGTAAAATCCTTTTATTTTAAACATTTCACAGTTGAAATTATATTTAAAATTCTAGAAGCAATTAATTTATTCTTTTATACACATATCTATTTTAAATAAAAACCTTCCACCAATCATTACTATTCATTTATATCTTACCACTTCTTTTCTAAATCAAAACGAAATTAGAACTTCCCTGTAACCATAAATTTAAATAAATATAAAAAAAACTATCCAACCAAATTACTCTTATTTTAATTTGTTTTTGAATTAGTGACCGGGAAAGGGGTTAGAAGTTAGTTTCGATATGGGAAAAGTAGAAATGTAAAAAATTATTTTTAAAAATTGAATATCATTTGTTTTATTTATTTAAAAGATTAAAACCCAAAAAAAAGAATTGGTAACAAAAGTTGTATAGGGAAAGAGTCCATCAACAAAAAAAAATAAAATCTACCAATACACATAACCATTTATTCAATGATATATAATATATTTTCACTACAGATTATCCTAATATACTCAAATAAGTATTAAATAAAAACTTAGACATAATATATATCAATAAGATATATTTTTAGTCTCTGTTTTTTTAAAAACAGCTTATTAGTGGAAAAATTTTAAATTAAAACAACATCACATCAGATTCTTTTTTATTAAAATTATTCAATCAAGTTATGTTTTATAATTAATTAATAATAATTCAAAACTAAAAATTGAACATCTACTATACACCATAAAAAAAAAACAAACCTGAAATAGCGAGCAACTTGGCTGTTTACTAATGAAAAACTATTTTGTGACTGCAGAACACCATTTTTGATCTTTTGTATTTCAATCTTACTTTTTATGGAACTTTTTCTAAAAATATCCTTTTAGTAGTATACCCTTCAAAGTTTCCATATGTATTTAAATAACCACAGATTAGGATTTAAAATTTAAATGAAATCAAAAAAAAAATCAAGAATTAAATGAAATAATAACAAGTGAAAAAGTTTTCTTTGTTTGTTGGAAAGGCTCTAAAAATTTTGTTTAAATAAATAAAAAACTATATTCAAAAATGTATTATTTTTTTTTTTTTGTAAAAAACTTCAAAAACAAAAGATTTGTGTGATCGGAAAGGTTTCTCCTTAAATCTTAATTAACTCAACTTTCAATGCTACCTAATAAATAACACAAAAAAAATAAAAGGTTACAAAATTTTGATAATTTAGAGCAAAAACATTAATTTTCATTTTGTTTTTTTTTTTTGAAAATATTTTAATATTAAAATTGGTTATATTAATTTATTTATTTAAAGATTTTTTTTGTTTTTTTCTATCAACAATCAATATCTATTAATTTATTTATTAAAACACTTATTAGATCTCAAAAAGAATGCAAAAAAAACAATTTAAAGAAGTCGTAGTGGAAGTAAAACATGTTTCAAAACGTATGTAAATTTAGTTAACTATTTACTATTAGTGAATTGCTATGGTAGTTATACTTGATGATGATGATGATGATGATGATTATGATGTTGACCAAACCATTCAATCATTCATTATATACACACACAGACTATAAGATATTCGGTAGAGAAGATACAGTTAAAGCATTGAACGATATACATCTAGCAAATGATGCCGAACTACAGCCAGTAAGGAGAGGTGAATTCGTAATGTTACGTGGACCATCCGGTGGTGGTAAAACATCACTTCTCAATCTACTGGGAACAATCGATAGAGCTACAGAAGGTGTTATTGGTAAGTAGTTGTAGTAATAGTAATAGTAGTAGTGGTGGAGACATCTGTTTATAGATTTCTTACTATAATTAAATTAAAGTTTAATATGAATGAATGTATTAATTAATGTAATCAATTTATCTATCATTTTTTTTATTAGAATTATTTTCAAGTCCGATCACACCAGAGTCATCTGATGAATATTTAGCAAAACTAAGATTAGAAAAGATTGGTTTCGTTTTCCAGACATTCAACTTACTCGCGACAATGTCTGCCTATGAAAATGTAGAACTACCTATGATCATCTTGGGAAAGTTAAAACCAGAACAAAGAAAGAAGAGAGCTATTGAATTATTAACATGTATGTTGCTTGTAATAACAATAATATTAATAATAACATACATACGTAATATAGAGAATCGTAACGATGTTATGTTATGTTATGTTAATGATTAGTTTAGTTTAACAATTTATTAATGTTTAATTAGTGGTTGGATTACAAGATAGATTGGATCATTTGCCGTCGGAGTTATCTGGTGGTGAACAACAGAGAGTAACCATTGCACGCGCTTTGGCAAACGAACCAGAAATTCTACTGCTGGACGAACCTACAGGTGATCTCGATACAAAGAATACAGTAGAGGTTATGGATTTACTGTTGGATCTCAATCTAAAGTTAAAGACTACTTGCATCATGGTGACACATAACCCTGACATTGAATGCTATGCAGATCGTATTCTCTATCTTGCCGACGGTGTATTCGAGAAACAAGCAATCAACATCGAACAAACAAGATTAGATTACGATAAATACATTGAATATCTAAATGCTCAAACTCATGGAACTCATTAAATAGAACAAAAGATATAATAATACATAGATACACATAACACATTCCATTCTTTTTTTGTAAATAATATTAATAAATGTTAAAAAAAAAAAACAAAAAAGTAATTTTATTACTACTTCTACCTCTGCTACAACTACTAATCTATTGTTTGATTCTTTGATTATTGTTTGTTTATTATTATGCAAAGTTCTTTCTTATATAGTTTTTAATTGCATCGAAACCATTGTCACTAACAACCAATACTTTCTTGGCTTCCGATGCCCACATGTAGAATGACAGATCTTTAGCATACTGTAGAGTCATATTGAATGATTCCTGTGTTGGGAATGAATCAAAGAGTACTGCTTTCTTGTAGAGAATTCTATTTCTTTCATTCTCCCAAATTCTAATCTGTTCGAATACAATCTCTGGTGCACCGACCTTCAGCATATTTGGATGTCCGTTTTGTTTAATGAAATCTACAATCTATTTAATTAATTAATGATTTATATTAGTATAAATCATAAATTATTATTATTAATAATAATAATAATAATAATACAATAAAGTAGTAAATATTACATACTTGATCAGCAGTGATACCATGTAAGAAAGCAGTTCTTATACTCTCTCTTGTTAGGATACCGACTGATAGATTCGGTAGTCTGTAGAGCATCTTTACAAACAGACTCAGCAGTGATATCTGTAGTGACGATGCAGTGTATGCATAGATTCTAAAGTTTGTCTCCAATATAATATAACCTTGTTCCTTTTGTGTGTTTGACATCTCTTTTGCAAGATCTTTAATTACAGTCACTGTTTTACCTGTCGTCAAAGATATAATTAATCTAGTTGGATAGAATATCTCTGATTTCTCCTACATATTATTATTATTATTATTATTATTATTATTATTATTATTATTATTATTATTATTATTATTATTATTATTATTATTATTATTTAAACATTAATTAATAACTATCATTCTTTGAAGACAAATAATAACTTTTACTTACAGATCTTATATAAACTAATCCAAATTGTCTTAGATCGAATAATAAACTCTTTTCATCTTCTGTTAGATCATTTACATAGTATGCACTTCCAAGTGATAAGAAACTAAGTTTAAACAAGAATGCCAATGCATCTCTTCTTGATTTACCTCTTGTCTATATATATATATATTAAAATGATGTATTAATATTAATATTAAGATATATCATTGTTTAAATGTAATGTAATATATGTACCTCTAATGAATTTAAATAAACAATAATCAATGTCCATATTTGTGTATAAATATCTTTTAAAAGGAATTTAAAACCTTCACTTGTAATCACCATTGATCCATCATTCCTAAATAGTTAATATAATAATGTAATAATGTAATAATGTAATAATGTTAGTGAATATAATATTATTATCTAAACAATGTTATTTGTTATCTAATTACAATTTCGTAAGATTTGATAGTGCCAATAGATCAGCAATTAGTTCAGGTGGTGTTTCACTGTCGTCCGATAAGAAATAGAGTACTTTCTCCCATTGACTCTTTGAATAGCTATCTAATTGATCTACACTCATCTGTAAGTTAGGTTCTACTCTTTCAACTGCTGATACAACTACATTTTTCCTATAATAATAATAATAATCATAATATAGAGCGATTAATATAAAGTAAAGTTAATTAAACTAATGTCCAGACATCTTGTATTCTTATTCTTACATATTCGTTATAGATTCCTTTATATTCGATTGAAATCTTTTATTTAAATGATATTTATCACTATATATAGTGTTTAGTTTAGTTTTGTTCGTTAGTTATATTGTTATTATAAGATAGTTTAAGATTAGCTAAAGATATAATATGATGATGATAACAAACTCTTGTTTAATTAGAATCTTTAGATCCTCTAGTCTTTCCAATGATTCTAAATGTGTTTGTTTGTTTGACTGCGCTGTCCATGATGATACATTGTTTACTTGTATACTCTCAATCAATAGCATCTTTAATATATATTGTTTACATCTTGGTGGTAATGACCTAAATAGTCAAAAGAATCAATACGATTATTAATCATTTATTTATTTATTTTAATATCTATATATTTATTATATAACGATCATTATTATTCAATCAATTGTCATTCTAACTATCTTCTTACCGTAATATAGCTTGACATGTAAATGTATCACTATATAATTCTTCTAAATCATTTCTAGATAGTGATGATAAATATTGAAATATCTTCATTGAAATTTATTCTATATGATTCTAATCGAATAATAAATAAACAAATACAATATTTCTTTATCACCAACTAACTATCTACAAGTTTGAAAAATAGATAATGATCATTGCCAATTTAAATTGTTTTAACCAAAATTAAAAAAAAAAACAGAACTTTAAAAAAAGAGAGTTATTATTTTTCTTTTTAACTTTTTTACCTTTTTTTTTATATATAATCAACATATAAATTTAAATGACAATAAACATTACGAATTTATTATTATTGATATTTGTCATCGTTTCTATTTCATTTTCTTTTGGATATCGAAATTATCCCATTCTATTATGAAAATAACATCAAGAGTACTTCTTGCACCCGATGAATATGGAACACCTGGAATCCTATTAGAGTAGAACTTTTATTACTTTTTGATTAAAAATCATCACTAATCAAACAATCAAATTTCAAATTATTGTATTGCTGATGTTTTTAAAGAAGAATCAAATATATACTCTTTGACCAAAGCAAAGCATTATTCAATATTCCAAATGTAATAAAAATATATATTTATTTTTAATTTAATTTAAAAATTATTAATTTATTATTTAATCTGATGAAATATAATATCTAATAACATTATTTAAAAACCAATAGCATTTATTATTATTAAAATTATTAATAATATTATTATTTTTAAAATTTTATTATCATTAGATGGATTTAATAAAATCTAATATTTTGTTGTTTTTTTTACCTGTTTATCTATTGTTTTTAGTATTAGAAAAAATTTTTAAAATAAAATTGTTATGCTATGAATCAAGCCGTAAGTATTGAAATTTCTCTAATACAATATTTAAATATTTCATACAATGTCTAACAATTTTGAAGATTCTTTAGATTTCGAGATTAGATTTTTAAATAGTTCTTTAAATATTAATAATAAATTATTAATTTTAAATATATTAAAAAAATATTCTACCTTCACTCTAAAAGACTTTATGAGGGGAAATGAAATTGGAGCTATCGATCCACCTTTCTTCAACCAAGTGGTAGAAGGAGAGAATTATTCTTTTCATTTTTCTTCTTTCGAGGTAAAAGAAAAACTATTCTTTTTTTTCATGAAAATGGTATGTATAGATTGATATCTTTTCATTTTTAAAATCATAAGTAATAACATCATTTTTTCAATAGATATAGGAGATCAAGTTTTTCAACAAGGAAATATTCTTTTTGATTATAAAACAAAAAATAGTTCCAATTGGAAAAGAATTCGCCAGATTAGCTTCGCAATATAACAAATATTCAACTCAAACTTAGTCTCAATAACAAAATTCTATATATTAATAAACAAAAATTATTAGTATCTTTTCATTGCTTCCACTATTATATCATCCTCTAAATTTATTTTTTTAATAAAAGATGAGAGAAAAGTTTTCTCTCTTGAAAAATTTTAAAATTCAAAGAATGAAGGAGATGTGAGATTCTTGATAATTTTGAAAGGAAAGTTTAACATAGATAAACAAGATTAGATACAAATAGTTTAAGAGAGTTTTAACTAAAAAATTAAATTAGGAATACTTTAAATCTTGATTAATTTATTATTACAAATATTTATTTTTATTTTATTTCAAATTTAGTAGATTTGTTTATATTACCATGTGGTTGTTAAGTTGATAGAATAGATGATGGTTGTTTTGGTGAGTTATTATTATTATTGTTATTGATTGAATCAATTGAAACATTATCATTGTTATTACTATTATTGTTGTTTGTAAAGTTATTGTTATTGTTATTGTTGTTGCTGTTGATTGATGATGGTGGTGTTGATACATTACTTTGTTGATTTAATGAAGATGGTGATGAAGATTGTGAGTTGTTAGAGGCAGCTGCATTCGACGACGACGATGATGCAGGTCTTTTTATGTTGATATTCATTGGTTGAGTCGATTCGTTCTTTGCGACCCAGGACAACAGCCATTTCAAGTTGGTCAGCATGTATTTCAATGCTTTCGTCCAGGTATCCTCGTCGGTGAATTGCATCTTTATCAACATCCTATTGATATAACCATTCTCAATGGTATACGGCACTTCAAAGTCGGGATCGTGAACGGTCTTCACATGGTCGGTCAGTTCCTTCAGACACTGCAGGAACGACACCATTCCATTGTCGAATCGACCGTACCAAAACAGCCGACCCAACGAAATATCGCTGGAACCATAGAGCTCGTAGACCGCTTTGTTCACGATATCCTCGATTTTCGAAGTCGAGCCATTCGGTATCAGTTTGAACTGCTTGAATTTGTAGTTCAAGCGCTTCGCCAGGTTGTCCAACAGCGAAATCGCCAGTCCCCAAGCGGAATTGATTTCATTCCACTCGACCGGTTGCGATTGCAGCCGACCGAGACGCAATCCATTGATAGTACCGAAATGTCCGTCGTACCAAAGGTGGAATGCGTCGTTGAGGATGTTTGTTTCTTTGAGTCGTCGGAGCTTGTCAATGGCGACGCCAGTCTGAGTGACAATCGACGCCTGGTCGTCTATCAGACGGTTGGCATCGCGTTGGTGCTCCGAGTAGCTGCTCCAGTAGCGCTGTTCCAGGAGGTCGAGTTGCTCTTTGCGACGCGCCAGATCGTTGGCGATGTTCGAGAGGTAGGTACGGTCGCGCTGAGTTCTCTCCAACGCACCGAAATAGAATCGTTCCTCCTCCTCCAGCTTTGCAATCTGCTTGTCCAACGCAGCCAGATCGTAGCCACTGCTATCTCTATGCAGAGAATCCAACGTACACTGATAGGCTTCAATCTCGTCGACAATCTCCTTAGTCTCCAGCTCCAACTCGCCCGTAGTCAACTTTGCACACTCCATACACATCGGAAAGTCTGTATTAATCAACTCTGTTATCAATCTAAATAGTGAAGTTGCTTGATGATATTTCAATGATCCTGTAGTATTATTATTACTGTTACTATTATTACTGTTATTTATTAATGGTGGTGAACCAATTGGTGATACAACATTACTTGACAATGTCATTGAGCTATTACCATTGTTACTGTTATTATTATATTGATGTTGTTGTAAAGGTGTATTTGGTGTTGTAATATAATGTTGTTGAATTGGTGGTGACATTACACCACTATTATTATTACTATTATTACTATTATTGTTGTTATTTATTATTCTTTGTTGATAATGATGTTGATGTATATTGGATCCTGGTGGTGACATTGATAGTTCTATAGCTGATTGGTATTTAGGTAACGATGCTAAACTTTGAGATTTAGAGTTGGATCGCAAGTATTTCAGCTTTGACAGTGATTTTTGTTGTGGACTATGAATGATTCTGTTGTTGTTTGGTATGCTACTGCTACTGTTGTGTATGGGTGATGTCATACCCGAGCTACTGCTATTCTTTAGTGATTGTCTTGATGTGCTGCTAGATGATTTCAATGTCTTTCTATCTCTTTCTCTTTCTCTCTCTCTCTCGTTAGACTGTATCAATGCAATCGGTTCACCTTCATACGATGAACTAGCAGAACTACCGATCATAGACATCATCTTTGGGTTAATAGTTTGACTCGTATGATGATTGTTACTATTACTATTACTATTGTTGTTGATTGTAGTTGCTGTTGCTGTTGTTATTGTTGACGATGAAGAAGTAGTAGAAGATAAAGAAGATGGAACACTCATTCTGTGTTGTGATAACGATCCGAATGAAGATGGTGATGTTCCTGTTACACTACTACTACTATTACTATTGTTGTTATTGTTATTATCATTATTAATGGCAATAGGTTGTTGCTGACCTACTTGTTGTGGTTGTTGTTGCTGTTGTTGTACTGCTTGTTGTTGTTGGTTATTTACTAGGTGTTGTAACTGAGGTTGACTTTGATGATGTTGATGATATTTAGCGAGTTGTGGATCACGCTTTCTAAAGAGACCTGTTTTGAACTTTGTTAGGTGACCACCTCGATCGTTGTGTGACTGTGATATAGATGGATAGCTACTAAGTGTTGCCGATAGATTAGATGAGGAAGAGTTACTAATTGTGTTGCTACTGTTATGGATGTTATTGTTATTGTTGTTGTTATTTCCAGATGCTGCAGAAGATTGTCTCATAATAGAAGCTAATGACTCTGTCTTTGCCAATATTTGATTTTGTGTTGTTGTTGTTGTTGTTGTCGATGATGAAGATGAACCTGTAGCACCTGTTGCTGTTGTTGGTGCAACCAACAGTTTCTCTTGTAATATCTTTACTAAACTTAAAATATCTTCATTATCTTTGATGAACAACATATATATATATATATATAAATAGGAAAGCAAACAAAGTTAATAACAACAAACAACAATGTTGGCGCAAACAAACAATCAAATGAACATACCTTTATCAATGAATATCGATTGATCTATTTCCAATAGAGATTCATGCAATTCCAATGGTTTAGAGCATTTCTGACAAAATAAATCCATCACTCACTTGCTTGCTTGTTCTTGCAGATCAACCATCTAAACTACTTTACTTTACTTTACTACTAACTTCCACAATGATTGACTGTTTGTCTAACCTAACCTATGATATAATAATATATATCCTTATTTTGTTTTTTTTGCAAGTCTACAATTTAAATAAGTGGGTGGGTGTTTGGTGTTTTATTTTATTTTATTTTTTGTATTTTTTTTTCGTATTTATTTTTGATATTTATTAACCAAAGTTTAGTTCAATTAAAACTACAAGTAGTCATAAATAAGTCTGAATGAATATTTATTTGGAAGATTTTTTTTAAATTTTTATTTTTTATTCCTTTTTTTGTAAGAATGATTGGTTTTTTTACCAAAAAGTGAAATTAGTGCGAGAAAATGCTTTTTATGTGACTAAAAAAATTTTGTTAAAGTCAAAAATTACTATGGTAGATAAAAACAAATTTTTAAGTTTAATGAAATTAATAAAATTTTTAATAATAGTAACTTACCTGTCCTGATCTGAGTTTGTGGAAGTGATTTAGATTTTATGGAGCCAAAGAAAACGTAAACACTCGACATTTTACCGAAAGCTTTGTAGATAGACCAGGAATGACTGTTTTGATTGTATAGTGGACCTTGTTTCCCAAGATGCCAATGTTTCTACCTAAGAAGTAACAACCTAGGTAGTATATCAAATTAAATTTTTTAAATTTTTTTCTCTTCCAAAAATTAAATCAAGTTATTGTTCAAAATTTTCTTTTGCATTAAATTCATTATTATGTGTAAAAATGATAAATAAAATAAAGATTACAAGATTAATATCATTATCTATATTTTTCATCATTTCAATTTCACTTTGTCATGGACGTAATACTCCCATTTTATTAAATGAAACAAACTATAAACAATCAATTCTTGATTTAAAATCAAAGAATCAATCTGTTATCTTGCGATTATATTGGGATAGCAATGGTGATCATTTGGTTGATAGACTAATACCATTCCCAGAGGTTGTTGTAAGAGGAATCGATTGCCGAGAGAATATAAAACTCTGTGAGAAAGTATCATTGGAAAAGAATCTATCAACGATCATACTTCTTGCATCCGATGAATATGGAGCACCTGGAATACCAATAAAGTATATATGAACAATATTATTCTTTTTGATTAAAAACCTACCACTACTAATTTAATAACTTTGATTAAGATTCCAAAGTAGAGATCAAAGAAATAAGGAGTTTGATGATCTAATTAGGGAAATATTCAATATTTTAGGTATTCCAGTAAACATTGTAGAGTTGACATTGTCAAATGCTCAAGAGGTTGTTTATAACAGTAATAAATCAGTTCTTGTTCAAATACACTACCAATGGAATAATTATGACAAATTTAATGTTCCAACATTTGAAAGATTATCAGCAAGGTATTCGAATGTTCCAAACTTTGTGGTTGCCAGAGCGAAATGTTGTCAGTTCGATGGTTGTCAATGTGATCAACTTGATATCGTTGGAAAATTATATAGTCAATCTATTATATTGCTCTACTCTGCGAAGCGACAACAATGTATCATCTATAATGGTTATGTTTGTGAATCTACAATAAGTGAATTCATTCAAGATGAAATCGATGGAAATGAATTTAAATCTCATTATAATACTACACTACTCTCAAATAACTATTACTGTTGATCATTATCTATAAATATATATTATTTTTAAACAATAATAAATTCAAATTGTTTTTTTCTTCTTTTTTAAATATATTTGGTACTCTAATATAAATATTATAGTTAAATATTTCTTTATTATTAAAGAAGTTATAAACATAAAAGAGCCAAAAAGTTAATATTTGTAATTTATATCTTTTTTAATAATCAAAATTTTTTTTATTAGACATTCCAAAATTTTAAGAATTAAGAAAACATTGAAATGATAGGCATTATTATTATTATCTGGTATGGCTCATTTTTTCACATTCTATTTCAATGAGCACATCTATAGCTTTCTTCCAGCTCTTTAAGATAAGCGAATGCATCATCACACTCTTTACTTTTAATTAAATTTAATAAAGGAATTTCAATAGATGACACATTCTTAATAAAACGTCGATAATAACCATCAAGCCCAATAAAAGATCTGACCTCGGTTCTAGAATCTTGGGTTTCTCCCAAGCTAATATAGATTTTATCTTGTCATGCATTGGTTTAATAACACTACGACCAACTACATGACCAAGGAAATCCATTTCTCTCTTAGCAAATTTACATAGATGAAAGTAAAGAGTGTGATGATGCTTTCGCTTATCTTAAAGATCAGGGATCTAATGTCAATTATCTAGTGGCTCTCGATCTCCTCTACCATTGTTCCAGGCCAACCGGATGGAAAACAATTGTACTTTTTAATTTACCTTCAACACAATATAAAACTAAAAGATTAATTATAAACTTATTGTTAAAATTGATTAAAGCATGGCTGCTGAATATTAATTTTATTATTTACAAGATTTATATTACGTCGATTGATTTTAGTTTGAAAGTAATGATAAAAATATCGACATTATGTGGAATTGTTTGTTCGTCTAATTGATTAACTATATCTTAATAATCATCTTCACTTATACATTTCTCAACTAGTTCCATGATTGCAGGTGTTTCTAATGCAGCCATATATCTTTCTTTATCATTTATTTGTTTATTAACTAAATTGTTTTCGAAATATATATCGATTTATTATGTTGTTTAGTATAAAATGAATAAAGAGATATGGTTGTATAAAAACATACTTTCCAATTCAGTTTGATGAGTACCTGGCTTTATATAGATATTCAATTTCGATGGTTTCGGTAGATAGTGTGCAATCTTTTGTCGCATACACAGTGCAATGGTTGGTGCAAGATGACAGTGTGGAACCGTCGGTTTAAAGTATATCGTAATCAAACAATCATTGTTATCCTCTACTTCTATCAGTTCTTCACTGACCACCTTTAGTTCTTCCAAAGTATTAGGTAGCTCTGGATCTAAAGTTGATCATATTAATTATCACTAAAATTCTATAATACTCTACAATCTTAAATATGATATATACCTCTAATCGATCTAATTATATCTATATCATTTATCAAATTAGAAATCATTAATTAATCAAATTTGAATACTAACTAGCTAAACATACCAAACACATCTTCAGAGTCAACTTTATTGTACCCATGAAATGTCATATTTTAACTGAAATATATATCTTTAAATTATAATGATATTTATAATCTGTATTCCATAATCCTATTTATTTATATTTATATTTATATTATTTACAAAGACATTAACAAAAATGGTGTATATATGAAGATAAACATTTAAAAAATGATTTTAATAAAAAATGAAAATCAAAAAAAAAAAAACAATAATATCTTTTTAAGGAAATTGAATGATGCTATTCCCAAAAACTAAATTTCCAATGCAAATGGTGAAGTGTCGATTGATTTCACTATTTACAAAAAATATAATAAATAAGAATAGTTATTTTAATTATAATTTATATTTATTTATATATTTTAATATTGAGATTCATTCTCTGAATCAGGAGCTAACTTTATCAAGATTCTCTTGTGATAATCTAACAATGAGTTGGTGAGGGTGGTGTCGGTCACTGTCTTGAGATAGTCGTCCATGACAGCTGATTCTTCAAAGATTTGGAGTGCGTGTACCAATGTACGTTCGCAAGAGAGTTTGAGTGGGAGGTTGGTTCTTTCTTTCAGTCTGATCATGGTGGGTGGAACGATGAGGTGGAGGTACTGACGAACGACCGATGGATGTGCCTTGCTGAATCGCTTAATGATATTGAGTGTGTTGATGGCGACTGTTGAGGCTGGGTCGCTAATCAACTGACTGAGATTTGGCAGGAGATCTGCGACGTGCGATGGTGAAGCACGCAAGATGTACTCGGCGAGGAGTGCAGCGGATTCTCTGATTGGTGCTTTCTCGTCCTTGAGATCGACTTGGCAAGTCGAAATGATTTGATTGATGTTTGGCGACGAGGTGATTTCCGAGCCGGAAACCTTGACGACTTCGGCGAGTGTCAATGATTTACCGTAACGGACAACGACGGTTCCAGATGGACTGAGAAGTTGTGACTTGATAAATTGGTTGAGTGAGTCTGTGGATGTGAAACACTTGGAAGCGGCACCAATAACTTGAGCGGCGAGATGCTTGAGATCGTCAGACTGGCTGAACAAGAAATCGTAGATGGCAATGAGAGTCTTGTCGAGATTGGCTTGGTCGATCTTTGGTTTCTTCTCGAATATCGATTGCAATGCTTTGAGCTTGACTTCCTGTGAGGTGCTGTCGGTCGTTGAGATACCGAGGATCAGTGAGTTGACCAATTGGTCGACGGATGGACTGAGTGTCATGAGCAAACCGAGAGCACTGGCGGCGTGGTTACGAACATTCTTGTGTGGATCGGCCAAAGCTTTGATAAAGGTTGGTTGGAGTTGTGGCAAGAAGATCTTCATTGAGGTCGGACACTTGACAATGAGTGCCGAGAGGGTCTGGAGGATGGCACTCTTGACACCGTGTGGGAATTTGTCACCGATGGTGAGAATGAGTGGACCGGTCATCTCCATAGCCGATGCCTTGACACCGTCTTGCGAAGTGAGACTGATGACGGTGTGCAAAGTGTTGGTGGCAAGCTCACGTTGGTCGGCAGTACCGTAACGCAAACCATTGAGGAGAATGGGGAGAACCGATGCCAAACCCTTTGGAATGCAGAATGCTGGAATGGTTTTGGTGACTGGATCGACCTCGGACTCCAACTCTTCGACTCCCCTTTGTACGGATTGCAAGAAACGGAGGTTGTCCTTCTTGAGTGTCTTGGTGATGGCCAAGAGTGCGTGGTTGGCGGCAACCAACACTGACTTGTCAGAGTCATTGAACAATCTCAACAAAGCAATAATCAAATCATCGATGTAATCCTCGAAATCAAGAGTGGTTCCACTACAGAACTCACCGATCAACTCACAAGCACCGAGGCGGATCGATGGCAATCCAGCTTCAGTCTGCTCAATGAGCAATGGAATGACAATCTCCAGACCTTCGTCGTCGATAGACTTGCAAATCGATACGGCAGCTGCCTTGATCTCCTTGGAGTTGGCAATGTCAGAAGCGGTGAACGACTCAATCAACACTGGGATCATAGTTGGCAAATGAGTGTACAAACCGTGTCCGGCATCCGACGAGAGCGAAGCCAAAGCCTGAGCGTTGGAGGTGGAGATGGGACGCGACAACATCTTGGGAACGATGAATGGAAGAACAATCGACGACTTGATGAGGACGATCTGACGGAGACCATCGAGTGAGTACTTGGCGAGATTGGCATCGGCGCTGTCGAGCTTGGCAATGAGGGAGGGCAAGATTTCATTGCTGGCCTTGGCAGAGAAGGTGTTGTGAAGTTGGTCGAATGCCTTGGCAGCGGCTTCACGCACGTCGATCAATGGATCGCAAAGCGCACGGGTGATACAGTGGACAACCGATGGGAGATATGGCTGGAGTTGAGTACGAGCCGAGGAAATGACTTCGGTGAGACCAATGCATACACCTTGACGAGTTTCCTCTTCCTTTGAGAGCAATCCACGCTCCAAAATCGGGAGAATCTCTGGGAGAATACGATCTCCAAGCTTGGAAACAACGTCACCAAGAGTACGAGCGGCGATTTGTCTCTTGTCAATGTTGGATGAACCAATCGAGGAGATGATCATCTCGATCAAAGTTGGAAGAATCTCACGCAATGTCTTTGGTGTGTTATCAACAACGTACTTCCAGATCAACAACACCTTTTGACGCACAGAGATGTTGTTATCGAAACGCATCATGTACAACGAAGATAAGATACGATCCAAACGATCCTTTCCAAGCAATGTGTAGATCTCATTCTTGGTTTGTGATTCGTTGGTTTCCTCTTCGTCGTCGCCACCGTCCTCTCCGGAAGCAGCTCTTGCTTTGGCAGCGGCAGCTCTTTCTTTCTTTGACATCTTGGCTGTCGATTGCTGTTGTTCTTTCTGTTGTTGCTCACGCTGTTGTTGTTCGGCGAGTTGCGATTGGACATCACCCAAACTCGATCCACCGAGCTTGAACAAAAGATCACCAAACAATTGGACACAAGACAAACGAATACGCCAGTTCTCATGGAAGAGTACACGCTCCAACGATGGAACAATGACCTCAATACCAGTGACAGCGAATTGAGTGATAATCGATTGACCACAACGCATACAGACCTCACGAACCGGATCGGAATCGTCTGCCAAACCCTTGAGTACCTGTGGGAGTACACGTGGCAAGTATGGAAGGAAGGAATCACCGAACGAGATTGGCGAGAAAACAAACATCGACATGACACCCTCACGTACGTGTGAACGTGGACTGTTAGCCATTGTTAGAAGCTCATTAATGAGATTGTTGAATCTCGAAATATCGAGGGAAGCAAGTACTTCGGAGAGACCTTGAGCGGCACCGGAACGTTCTACTGGCCCGACATCCGACTTGACAGTCTCCAACAACCATGGCACAAGAGTAGTGAAATTCTCCTCACCCATTCCACGAACGAGCAAACCGAGCGCTCTAGCACAGATAGCACGAACCTCTGGAATTGGATCAAGCAATACATTCTGGAGGGTTGGCATGAGAACGGCGAGATATGGAATCAACTCCTTGGGATCGGTCAACGAGCAGAGATTACCTACGATCTGACAAGTCATTTTCTTGATCTCTGAGCTACGCTCCTTCAAGGTTCTCTCGAGAATTGGCATCATCAACGACAATGAAGCTGGATCGATAGTATGGATATAGTTGGTATTGAGAAGATTCTCGAGAAGTTCACGTGAGTAGAGGTCTGGGTCGTTGTAGGTTTTCAATAACAGTGGAACATGGATTTGAATCTCTGGATTTCTAATGACGGAACCGATGTGAGAGAGTGCCTCTTTGGCTGCTTCTTGTACTTTGATGTGAGTGTCGTTGAGGACGTTGGTGAGCTTTGGCACGATGGTTGGCAAACATGCTGACAACTGCTTGGGTGCGCAGAATGCCATGGCACCGAGCAACTCGATCGATCCTTCTTTGGTACGCCACTGACGGTCGTCCAACGCCTTTAGGAGTGCTGGCAACACAATCTTGACACCGTGTCCAGAGAGCTGCGACATAATGGCACGCGCAGTCTCCGAGGTGGCAAGACGAACCTCAGCGCTACTGTCACCAAAGCAGACGAGCAACTTTGGAATAATTTGGATAACGTATGGTTCGAATACACGACCGAGAGTATTGCAAAGACATTCGAATGCAAACAGTGAACCTTGACGTGAGATTGGATGCTTCTTGTCCTCGACGAATCCAGTGAGTGTCGCCATGATGTTGTAGGCTTTCAATGATGAGATTCCAAGACCTTTGATTGCACCTGCCAAACCGAAAGCATTACCCTTACGATCGGCATAGTCTGCTCCCATCTTGATGTTGTTCAACAACACCGGGATGATACGTTCACCTTGCTTCTTGAAGTGGGACAACAGTTGAGTGAGACACTTGGAGATGGTTTGTTGTACGTCTTCTGAGGGTGTGGACAGCGCTTGGATAAGTTTGTCCAAGATGACGACAACCTTTGGATTGGTGTCGTCCATGTGCTTGGCGAGTGCACCCATCAGCACGACTACGGAAGCACGGATACTGTCTTCGTCTCCGGTTCCAGAGTCTGGACGCGACAAGAATCCCTCGAAAATCTTCAAGAGTTCCGAACTGAACTTGTCACCGACACCTGCAATAATGGTCATTCCAGCTTGGATAACCTCTTGAACGACCTCAGGCTTGGAATCGTAGAGTCCAGAGTTGATAATCCACTCGAACAACAGCGAGACGTCCTCTGGCGATGAGATGGCGGCACCGACACCTGAGAGTGCACGAATGATAGAACGACGATTGTGAATCATCTCTCTTGAATCCTTAATATCGACAGCTACATTATCGACGTAGGCTTTAATCAATGGTTCAATAGCGTAGGTGCGAATGGAGGAAGTGTCCAGCTTGGCTGCGGCAGTGAGTGCGACAATGTTGAGCTTACGCACTTCGTCGTGAACGCTGTAGATCGACTTGTTGAGGATCTCAAGGTAGCGGTTGACTGGTGGCTGTTGGTTGGTAGCTACCCAGATCTTGTCGGCAAGCTGAGCGACCGATGACTCTGGATCGTGCTTGACAAACCACAACTTTCCGATGTAGTCGTCCTCCCATTGGAACGATGGCTGGTAGATGGCCGGAATCTTTTCGACACCCTGCAGACAGATCGATCGGACCTGTTGGTGTGGCGAGATCAATCCTTCCATGAGCTCTTTGATGTCGGATTCTTCGACACCGTTGATGATCTGGAAGATCGATGCACGTGCCTGTGTCTCGAGACGTGTCGAGGTGGCAACCACAACAATGAGCGAGGCAATCATGGATCCACGTGGATACGGTTGTCCTTGGAGAGTGTGTCTCTCAATGATTTCCATTGAAAGCTCTTGGATGGTGTAGGAAACGGTCTTTTCCAGTCCGTTCTTGATGATTGGCCAGAAAAAGTTGAAGGCCGACGCTGGAAGTGGCTCCGACTTGGAGAGCTCCTTGACGTTGACGAGCACCTTTTGGATTCCAGAGAGAATCGCAATGTCTGACAACACCGGGGTGGCGTAGATGTTGCTGATCAAGTAGGTAACCATCATGGCGTAGTATTGTTCCAGTTTGATACGTCTTGGAACACAGATGGTCAGTGAGCGGTAGGTAGTCTGTGCCCAGTCGCCAACGATCGAATTCTTAAAGAGATCCAAGATTGGCAAGTAGAGAATCGAGAGATACTCACCGGCAAACAGTGGCGATGCTTTTGCCATTGTTGTGACGGCGTCCAGTGCAATCTGGAAGATTCTGATGGTGGTGGTGACTTCACGACGCACGACCGACTGCTCGGCAATCTGACGTTGTTTCTCCTTCTCGAGACGTTCGTCTTCACCACTCTCCTTCTTTCTCTTCTCCTCGGCACGACGCTTCAACTCCTCAGCTTTCTCCTCTTCGGCGGTCTTCTTCTTGGCGGTCTTTCCACGACGAATCTCAGAGGCGATACGCTCCTGCTCGGCCAGCGCCTTCTCGTCTACGAGTGGTTTCTCCTGGTAGAGTACACCCTCCTCGGCAGCGTGGATGGCCAGCTGGAGTGGAGTGAGACCGTTGATAGTCGACAACTGCAATGCACGAATAAAGTGTGGAACAGCATTCTCCACGACCTGAGCACACTTGACACGCGAGAACGTAGTCATTGCCGCTTGGAAAGCCTGTTGGTAGAGGACGGAACGACGGTTATTCAAACCGTGGGCAAACAGATACTGTACGACGTCACGAGCCATATCCAAATGACTGGCGAACAACTCACGAGTGCTTGTTCCCAGTAGAGTGAGACAATCCACCCAGCAACCACCGACCAGCGGATGATTGGCGAGCAGCGCCAAAGCAGGATAGTTCTTGGCATCGAATGATGATCTTGATAATGTAGCTTTCAAAGCTGAACTATAAATATCATTGGTCAATTGTGTATTACTATTATTATTATTATTATTGTTATTATTATTATTATTGATATTTGAATGGGATTCCACCAACTTTGAAAACTCTGCAAAAAAGATGTTGGAAAGTTCTGGATTGTGTTGGTAGAGTTGATGAATTGCTTGTTTGGCGGCACGTCTTGTCTTCCATTGGGAGTGGAGCAAGAGCTGAACGATCGATTGGTAGGCGGTACGATCGTTGGCCTTGGCATTCAACAACTTGAGTGACTGGATGACGCTGGCTACGAGCTTGGTGATCTGGTCACTCTTTTGAGTTCTATTGAGGAAGGTCGGTTGATGGAGGAACGCGCTGTTTCCGACGAGCATTGGCATCAGCAGCTTGTCGGATTGGAGCTTGGTGGCGAATGGACAGCCCGGTGTCTGAATGATGGCAAGCAGATAGATGAGAGCGGCAGTGGTCGAGCCGGTTTCGCAGGTCTGTGGATTCTTGACCTGTTTCAAAATGGCAAAGATCGACTCGGAGAACGATGTATTGATCTGAGTGAGTTTCTTCTCCATCTTTTTGAAATCGACGTCGGCACCGAACGATCGCGAAAGCGCAACAATAAATCTCGACTTTACCTGGTCGTCGTCCGCCTTCATCACAGTATTTATAAACTTGACCATTTGATCCGAAAGCAATTGATCCGATAAACTCAAACAACTGCCAATCAGTTTTATACCTTGAATTCTATTTAATTTTGTAACTATAAATATTGTATGGAAAAGTAGTATTAATATCGATCGTCAAGTTGTCATTTAGTTGTTTGTTTGTTATTTATACACCTACATTCTTTTTCAAGATAAGCAGTCAGTGGAGTAAGAATTGACTTAACAATTGCCAACTTTTCATTTAATTCGTAACCATTAACCATTATTGAACTCAATGCATAGATTGTGTTTAATTTAACATGAAGATTACCTGGTGCTATAATAAAATAATAATAATATGAGGAAGAAGAAGATTAATATTGAGTTGATATCAAATGATATGAGAATTGTTATTAGTTTTGAACATACTGGTAAATCCTTTGACGATGTCATCGATTGAAGATAGAATTACTTTAGCTTCCTTTGTTTTGATTGTAACAATGTTGAATACATTTTTAATTAGTTTCTTATTGATTGTTGTCACTTGGAACACTGGGATCAACATTGGAATCAACTGAGTCTTTGTCAAAGTCGACAAATCGAAACTGACATATTCAAGAATAACATTCAAAACCTGTGTAATATCTTCTTGTGATCTTTTAATAAATCTTGATATAGTTGCTAGAATTGATTGTTATAACAAGTAAGTTGTTGTTGTTGTCAGTCCATGAATCATGAATATTCCATATAAAAACTTTGAAAAAAACTTACGCATTAAAATAGTTGTGAAATCCTGAAGATCTAAAAGTTTAAAGATTGGAATGAATAGACGATGCTTGTCGATCGAGAGTGGCTGTGTGGAAGCTAACACTACTTTGTTGTAGTAGTTGAGGAAGATGTCTTTGTGCTCTTGGAGCTGCTTCTCGCTGAACACCGACAGCAGGTAGCCAAAGAAGAATAGGGTCGACGAAGATTCGCTCGACTTGATCTGCGAGAAGTAGAGGTTCGCCAGCTTGGCGTGGTCCAGTTGGAATGCGCGGATAAAGTGTGTACGAGCGAATCCCAGTTGAGTGGCGGTCATGTCGGCGAGCAGCGAGCACTGCGCGTTGAGGAGGAGCGTGAGCATGGCGGGCGCGTCCTGTGCGAGCTGGTCGGCGCACTCGCGCAACACGATGAGCGACCACTGCACGAGAGTGTTGTGCGGTACGTAGCGTGGCATGCTCGATGGTTTCGGGAGCTGCTTGGCAGCGGCGGCGAGCCGGCGGATGAAGCGCTCGACCGCCACCAGACGCAGGTCGGCGGGCGCGCGCGCGAATGCCGCCACCATCGAGTTGGCGACCAAGCGAATCGAGTAGGAGTCGCTATAGACAAACAGTGTATTAAAGTATGCGTCGACCAGTGATTCCAGTCCGTCGATGGTGGTTGGCGGTTGACGCACCAACTCGTCGACGGCCGCTTTTCGCGCGGCACGACTCGAACTCGAGAGCATCTTGCAATTGTTCATAAAACTCTGTTGTTCATCATCTTGATCGACAACCAACAAATGTTGTTGTTGTTCGCTATTGCTACCACTATTGTTTTCTGTTGCTGTTACTTCTGTCATTTTTCTTACTTCAGGTTTCAAACCAGATTCTTTTCTATTCTCTTTCTTTCTTTTTTAACTTTTTTGTTTTTTAAATTTTCAAACTAAAATATACATGAATAGAAAACTTTAAAATTGAATAACTATAACTAACTTTTCAAAAAGAGAGATAATAATTCAAATTTGAATCAAGTCTAAAACAATAGATATATATAATTATATATTTTAGTAAAAGAAAATAAAGATAAAAAAACAAACAAACAAACAAACAAAACAATGATAAATTAATGAAAAAGTAAAACTTTGTTTATGTTATTCAAGGTTAGAGAGACAGTCCAAAGCTCACGCAGTCATTGACAATTTTTTTTTTTTTTTAACATTTTTTTTTTAAAAATTTCTCACAAATTTGTTTTGTCGTGTTCCTTTTTATTTTTTTTTTTGATTGACATTGTTTTGTTTCATTCACGTTTTTTTAAAAATCAACAAAAAACGTTACTTTTGGATTGACTTGGTTTTCAATTTTAAAATTCAAAAGCCTTTGATCACACATAGTTTTTCAAAAAGGTTTTTTTAAATGTTTTTATATTTTTTCAATAAATTGCTTAGTTTGGTAGTCCTTGACGGTAGTTATTTAAAATAAATTTATATTTTTCATTAAAAAGAGTTCTTTAAATTCCATTTCATTTTTGATATTTCACTATTTTATTTATATTTTCTTTATTTATATATTTAATATATAATCTTTATTTTATTTTTAATCAATATATAAAGGTAATGTATTTCATTATCAATACATTATAATTGTTTGTTCTAGTCAATGAAATCAATCATTCAATATATGTCAAATCAAATAGAAAAGAATAGAATACAGCATTATTGTAATCAATATAAATAGTTAGTTAGTCACTGACATTTTGAGTTTCAATACGACCAGATGTCTAATTCCTTGATATTTATCAAAAATAATTTATATTATAAAAAATCAATAAACAACAATAACAACAACAGCGAAACAACACACAACGATGTCATCTTAATAATTTAACAACTTTTAAAAAAAAAAAATACAACAAACAATAACATCAATATATTCGGAAAATATAGTGGGTGGTTATGTTATAAGTTGTTTAATAATAACACACTTTTTTTTTTCACTTTTATTGAATTACTTAATCTATCTACTACTACTATTTTGTTCTATAACATTCTATCTCATTCTATTCCTCAATTGTTGTTGTTGTTTTCTTTTAATTTCTGTGATTTTTAGTTGATTCAATTAGTTAGGTTATTAACATTAATATTAATTCAATAATACCAAAAATAGATTAGATATTTATTTTTCTGTATAATTTTTATAATATAATAATATATATATTTGTATAGTTAGTATATATTTTTGGGGTAGTGAATCAATCAATCAATAATGACAAGTTCAGTACCAACAGTAAATGAAATCAGAAAGACATTCATTGATTTCTTTGTCAATAAATGTGAACATACATTTGTGCCATCGTCACAGGTCGTTCCACACGACGATCCAACATTGTTGTTTGCCAACGCCGGTATGAATCAATTCAAGCCGATCTTCTTGGGTCAAGCCGATCCACGTAGCGAGCAGGCCAAGTTGAAGCGTGCCGCCAACTCACAGAAGTGTATCCGTGCCGGTGGTAAGCACAACGATCTCGACGACGTCGGTAAGGACACCTATCACCACACCTTCTTTGAGATGCTTGGCAACTGGTCGTTCGGTAACTACTTTAAGCGTGAAGCCATCACCTGGGCTTGGGAGTTGTTGACCGACGTCTACAAGTTGGACAAGGAGCGTTTGTACGCCTCGTACTTTGGTGGAGCCGCCGACAAGGGTTTGGAGCCAGACTTGGAAGCCAAGTCGATCTGGGAGGAGTTCCTTCCGGCCGATCGTGTGCTGCCCTTTGGAATGAAGGAGAACTTCTGGGAGATGGGTGACACCGGTCCCTGCGGTCCATGCTCAGAGATCCATTTCGACAAGATCGAGGGTCGTACCGGTTCACAGGCATTGGTCAACGCCGACGATCCCACCTTGATTGAGATCTGGAATCTCGTGTTCATTCAATATAATAGAGAGGCCGACAAGTCGTTGCGTCCACTGCCAAACAAGCACGTCGATACCGGTATGGGATTGGAGCGTGTCACTTCGATCATTCAGAAGGTCGGAACCAACTATGACACTGACATTTTCGGACCGATCTTCACTGAGATCCAAAAGGTCACTGGATTCACCGAGCCATACGGTGGAAAGGTCGGAAAAGACGATCCCGAACAAGTCGATATGGCATACAGAGTTATTGCAGATCACATTCGTACACTGACATTCTCGTTGGCCGACGGTGCCATTCCATCGAGTGATGGACGTGGTTCCGTCTTGAGAAGAATCTTGCGTCGTGCCATCCGTTACGGTAAGCAAAAGTTAAAGGCTCCACCAGGATTCTTCCATCGTTTGGTCGACGTTGTCGTCGCTCATTTCGGTGAGTTCTTCCCAGAGCTGAGATCGCGTCCACAACACATCATCTCGGTGATTGAGAGCGAGGAAAAGATGTTTGAGCGTACATTGGACAAGGGTATCTTGGAGTTTGAAAACATCTTGAAAAAGACAAGCAACGGTGTGATCTCTGCTTCACACGCTCACTATCTCAGCTCTTCATTTGGTTTCCCAATCGATTTGACCACACTGATGGCCGAAGAGAAGGGTGTCAAGGTCGATCTCAAGGGTTACGAAGTGTTGGTCGAGAAATTCGCTGAGGATTCGCGTCGTCGTCAAAAGGAAAAGAAGTCCGAGTTGAATCTTGGTGCCGAGCCAATTTCGATTCTCCAGAAGCGTTCGATCCAACCAACCAACGACCAATACAAATACGAACAGAAGGAGGTACAAACCGTTGTAAAAGCCATCTGGACCGGTAAGGAGTTGATCGATCAGTTGACTGCCGAGCACAAGAACACCTTGGTCGGTGTCATCTTGGAGAGCACCAACTTCTATCCTGAGCAGGGTGGTCAGATCTACGACATCGGTAACATCAACTTTGTCGACAGTCAGAACACCGCATTCACCGTCTCTGACTGCAAGGTGTTCGGAGGTTACGTGCTGCACATCGGTTACATCTCGGACGACTGTGACAAGTTGGCCGTTGGCGACAAGGTCGAAACCACCGTCGACTACACCCGTCGTATCCCAATCATGAGCAATCACACCTCCACTCACATGGTTAACTTTGCATTGAGACAAGTTCTCGGATCCACCGTCGACCAACGTGGTTCGCTCGTCGACAACACCCGTTTGCGTTTCGACTTCTCGTCGACCAAGGGTATGTCCAAGGACGAATTGGTCAAGACCGACGCCATTGTAAATGAGCTCATTGCCAAGCAACTCAATGTCTATTGCAAGGACGTCGAGTTGGCCAGCGCCAAGAAGATCTACGGTTTGCGTGCCGTCTTTGGTGAAGTCTACCCAGATCCAGTGCGTGTTGTTTCCGTCGGTGTCGACGTCAACGACCTCCTTGCCAACCCATCGAACACCGAGTGGGCCAACTACTCTATCGAATTCTGTGGTGGTACTCACATCGCCAACTCAAAGGAGGCCGAACTCTTCACCATCGTCTCTGAGGAGGCCGTCTCTGCCGGTGTCAGACGTCTCTTTGCCGTCACCGGTACAGACGCCTCTGTTGTATACGACAACAACAGAAAGTTGGAGACCGCATTCACCGACGCCGCCAAACTCACTGGAAAGGATCTCAAGGATCACGTTCCATCGCTCCTCGCTCTCTTGGAGTCACATCCAGTCTCTGCATCAAAGAGGATCGAACTCCTCGAGAAGCTCAACAACTTGCAAACCACCGTAAAGAAATACTTTAAGGAATTGGAGAGTTCATCGATCAGCGATTCAAACAAGGTTGTAGATGAAATCATTGCTCAATTAACTGAAAGTAAAGCTCCAGTACATGTTGGTGTTATCAATCGTAAGTTGACTCAACAACTTGTTGATATTTAAAATTATAACTAACTCTTATTCATTCATTCATTCTTTAATAATATTATAGTTGGATTGAATAACTCTGCTATTACAGATGCCATTAAGAACGTACAAAAGAAATGTCCAGACACTGCTATTATGTTTGTCAGTCCAGATCAAGAAAAGAAGAAGGTTTGTGTTCTCTCAATCGTTCCACCAACATCCACTGCTGCCTCAAAGGGTTTGACTGCCAATGGATGGGTTGTAAAGGTTGCCGAACAACTCGGAGGTAAAGGTGGTGGCAAGACCGATGTTGCCCAAGGTACCGGTTCCCAAATTGAAAACGTTGACAACGCCGTCGAATTTGCCAAAGACTTTGCCAAGAAGTTATCACTATAAAACTATTAAACTCAATCAAAAATGCGTTAAATAAATATATAATTTATTAAATATTCAATATCATCAGGTTTTTCAATTATATATCTATCTAATTCAACTAATTTTTAAATCTTGAAAATCTAAACTATATTTATTTAAAAATTTTCGGTTGCCATAAAAAGTTAGTTGCTTTTTTTGTTTTCCAGACTCTTTTTAGAAATAAAATTATTTTTGAAAGTTGATGAACCAATTCTTTTTTTGAATTTGATATTGAGATTAATCGATCTAGGAATTTGAATATAAACAACAAGTAAGATAAAATTATACTTAAAAAAAATATTAGATTTTAATCTTTCTGAATTCAAAATATTAAAAAAAAATCTATTTTTTATCCTACTTGTTAAAGTTTTTAATTTATTTATTTGGATCGTTTAATTTAAGAATTATGAAAATAAAAAATGAAATTTCAATTGATGAAATAAACACCCCCAGAATCCCAAATTGCACCAAAAAAATTAAATTTTAAATTTTTATTCTCAAGAATACGCCTGTCGTTTCTTTTGTTTTTTTTTTGATTCTTCTTTGTTTTTTGTGACCCTTCGACAAACAAACACCCGTTCCACTCAAAGGATGTTTTAATTTTTTGCTTTAGTTTTCTAGTGTTTTTTGTGTTTTTTTTTTTAATCATTTTATTCGATACTTTTATAATCATCATTTCACTCACCTTCTATCTAAAATCATTAACAGTAAACAAGAGAGATATAAAAACAATTAGCTAATTAAATTTATTACAATCACATATTCATATACATATATATATAAAAAAGACTGTTATTTAACAGTTCTATTCTAAATTCTAACCACTCACACAAAACAACACAAAAGTTTAAATCTGTTGTTATATTAATTTACCACTTTTAATTAAGTTATATAGCTAGACTTTCAATTATTGGTTATAATATCCAAAAAACCGGCTTTAATTATATCATTTCATCGAATAATAATTATTTCTTTTAATTTATTTTTAACTGATCTATTCTCTCTCTCTTTTTTTTTTTTGTTAATGTTTAAATATTTATTATAATCATTTAACAATTATCATAATTTACATATAAACATCATAAATACATACTATAATAATAATTATAATTATAATAATATATAGAATTAAATTTTAAAAAATAATGGCATCTTCTTCACCATATTTAGTATCGAGTGCATCAGAGGAAAATAGTGGTGGTCTGCTACTATCAAACAATGAAATTTTGAAAAAGTATGAATTTTCCTAATTCTATTTTCGAAACGTACACACAGGTATTGACACATCACATTTGATCTATTACCACCAATTATTATTATTTTCAACAGCACAAAATTAAGTCTACATATAAATTCGCCATTGGTTGAATCACTGGCATTGAATCAGGTGATTAACGCTGGAAATACATCGGGTACACCAATTAGAGTCTGGGCAAAGATGGATGCACTCCAACCATCTGGTTCATTTAAAATTCGTGGTGTTGGACTTCACTGTTCCAGAGCCGTAAATGAAAAAGGAGTTAAACATTTAAGTAAGAAATATTTATAAAGATTTTTGAAAATATATTTTTTTGGACATTGGAAAAAGTAGAAGAATAGAAATAACTTATTTCTTTTGTTATTTACTTCTTTTTAGTTTGTTCATCAGGTGGAAATGCTGGAAAATCAGTTGCATATGCAGGACGTTGTTTGGGTGTGAAAACTACTATCGTTTTGCCAAGTACTATTCCTCTGGAGACAAGACAAAAGATACAGGCAGAGGGAGCAGACGTTCTGGTGCATGGAGCAATCTGGGATGAAGCCGATGTTTTGGCGCGACAGATAGCCGAGCGTGAAGGTGTCGATGGTTATATTCATCCATTCAATCATCCGGATCTCTGGGAGGGACACTCAACGTTGATCGACGAGGTCTATCAATCGGTGCAATCGGGACACGCCGAGAAGCCAGATGTAATCATCTGCTCGGTTGGCGGTGGTGGATTGTTAGTTGGACTGGTCAATGGATTGCATCGTGTCGGCTGGCACGACGTCCCTATCGTAGCAGTGGAGACACACGGCGCCAAGAGTTTGGCTGGCTGCTTCCAAGTTGGCCACCACACAAAGTTGGACGCGAGCGAAGTGACTTCGATCTGCAAGACACTGGCGACTCGCGCCGTTTGCGAAGAAGCATGGGACTGCACCAAACGACACAGAATAATACCGGTACAAGTATCGGATTTGGCAGCCGTTGAGGCATGTTTGAAGTTTGTCGATGACGAGCGTGTCCTCGTCGAACCGGCTTGTGGTGCATCACTCGCCATCATCTATCAGTTGAACGAAGAACTTCTCAAACTCAATCCAAAGAACATTCTCTCGATTGTCTGCGGTGGAAACAACACATCGATCAAACAACTCTTTGAGTTCCAACAATCGCTAAAAGAAAAAGAACTTACATCGCTAGTCACAGAAATTGCAAACCTAACGACGACGGCAACGACGAAAACGTCAACGGAAACGATTCCAGAGACGACAAATATTACAACAACTCCAATTTTAACAACAAATATTACATCAATCACAGCTTAATCAACAACAACAACAGCAATAATAATAATAGTAATGGTTTTTATTTTATTTGTTAAATCTATACATTATATTTTTAGGTGTTTTCCTAGTTACAATATATATAATCAAAATCAAAATTCAAATCAATATTAAAAGTTATAAATAATAGTTTTAATAAATATCCATTTTTATTTTTTTTAGATAAAAAAAAAAAGCAATTACTAGTTAATTATTGACTTCCATAAGAAAAAGCAAAGGAATAAGATCATTCTTCTACACCATCAATAATCAATCTTTGCAAAATGGAATGCAAGTCAAATTATTGGATGAAAAATATAAAATAAACACACAACCACACTTACACATATATTTTGATCAAACAACCATGGTAACCCACACAATCACAAAATAACACCAACTGATAAATAATATTGGTATTATTAATTCAAAGGTGGGTTTTTTTTTAAATAATTAAAATTTTAATTAATTCTTTATTAAAAATTATTTATTTCTAATACTTTATTTATTTTAATATAGATTAGAGATAGAGATAGTAGTAAAAGATTATATCATGATATCTATAAAAATTTATGTATTTATATTGGTATTTCTAATTGGAGTTGGAAATGTTATTTCAATTCAAGTGTATCAACATCATAACCAAGAATATCAATATCCTCAAAAACAACCTTCTATTGATATTAATGATTTCAATCTCAGACCTTATACATGTGTAGTTAAAGAGGGACAATATTATGTAACACCAGGTATTTTAGAGAATGGCGCGGCATTCGCATTGGTAGACCTTAATTCGAATGAAACCGGTTGGAATTACCTATCGATAAACACTTCATCACAGTACCCAGATTCGATACAGGCTCAAGCTGCAGGTTATATCGAAGGATATTTAACTTGGCAATCGATTTACTATGGTAGAATCAATTACTTTATGCAAACTTATCAATCCACTGATGCACCTACTAATGTTACAAATTGGATAGAAGATAATATTCAATATATGGTAATTATTAAAATTAATTTTTATTCCAATTTTGCCTGCTTCCAGAAATATATTAAAATTTTTTTTTTAATACTTTTTAATAATTTAGGAATCAAAAATTCAAGAATATAAAGATAAAGTTAGTTTTAATGGTGATGAGGACGAAGACGAAGATGACGACGCAGTGTATTGGTATCATGTATCATTGATTCTTGATCAAATATCAGGAATGGTTGAGGGATACAATGATATAGTGTACAATAAGGATATTGCCAGATTGACCATTGTCGATGTTTTCATTTTGAACATGGCTGGAGATATGAGTGATTTGATGAACGCTATCACTATTCAAGCCGGTGGAGATATTCCATTCCCAAAAGACTCAACAGAGATATTGGAAAACTCTCACTGCTCTTCATTTATCAAACTGGCAGACGACCTCTCCGAAGTCTATTGTGGACATACAACATGGACCTATTATACATCATTGATAAGAACATTTAAATATTATCAATATTCATTTTCAGTAAGTTTTAAGTTTGTTATTTATAAATATATATCTTTTGTAAATAAAGTATTAATAATATATTGTTTTAGTCACAAAGTAAAATGATTAGTAATAGTCAGTTATTTTCAGCATATCCAGCAACTTTATCTTCGATTGATGACTTTTATCTTTTGGAGAATCAGATGATTGTAACTGAGACCACCAATAATATTTACAATTATTCGTTGTATTACAAAGTTGAGAAAGAGTCAGTTCTGAGTTGGATAAGAGTATTGGTTGCCAATCGACTTAGTGACTCACCACTGGAATGGTGTCAAACTATTGAAAAGTACAATAGTGGAACATACAACAATCAATGGATCGTATTTGACTATAGAAATTTTACACCAAATATCAGTCTAGAAGATGGTGCTCTCTATATTTTAGAACAAATTCCAGGATTTTGTCAATAGTAATTATATAGCATAGATTTAAAAAACCATAATCATTTATGAAATTAATACTAATTTATTAATTATATTTATTTAGTGAGGATCAAACAAAGATACTCAGAGATGGTTATTGGCCTAGTTATAATTTACCATTCTATGAGAATATTTATAATATGTCGGGATACCCATTGTTGGCTGCAACTCTCAATGTTAGTCTGCAAATGCAGATTTCCTATGAGACCAACTGTCGAGCTGAGATCTTTAGAAGAGACGCCAACACTGTCTATACTCTGGATGATTTCATGGCGTTCATGAGATACAACAACTATCAGAAAGATCCAATTTCACAGGGTAATCCATCGTATTCGATCTGTTCGAGATTCGATTTGATTAAGGATAAACCAATACTTTTGGGTGGAACCGACAGTAAGGTAATCAACTACAAACTAATGAAAGAGCAGATCATAGTTGCAATCAACGGTCCAACCACCGATAATCAACCGCCATTCAATTGGAATAACTTCCCACAGTTCACCAATACTACTCATATTGGAATGCCTGATGAATATAATTACGACTGGGTGTCAATTTCCAAGAATAGTTATTCACCATATATTCCAAATTCCTATAAATAAATAAAAAGTGGTATAATTAATGGAAGAAATTTAACAAAATCGATTTCAGTTGTTAGTATTTGATCAATGTTATTGGATAAATTAGTTAGAATAGTGGGTGATAAATTGAATTTTGTAACATGTTATAAATTGTTATGAATCTCATTATATACCCTCAAAATTATTTTAAAAAAAAAATGTTTTTAATATGCATTTATTTAACACAATAAAATTGATTTTTTTCATGGTTTCTACTTTTAATATTATTTACGATAGACTGAGATACATATTTAAGTAGAAGTTATTTAAAAATAAAATAGAAATGAGAATAAAACAATAATAAGAATAAATTGAAATTTCTGAAGTTCTCAAAGTTCCAGTCTATCACTTTCCTAATTTAAAAAATTTTGGAATAATTTAATTTGTTGTGGGTGTGTGAATTTTATTGATTAATTTCAGAACATTTATATTTAAATATTTTAGTAATATGTTGTGTTACTCTATAGGATCTCCTCAACAAACATTTCACACACACACAGCTGTGACTACTGTCGGAAATGTTGTAATACACATTGTTTGTTTTGGTTTTGATTAATTTAGCTAACCATAACTTAAATATATAAAAAATATTTATATAAAAGATGACAATAAAAGAGATATTATCAGATAAACAAAGAATATAATAAAAAAGATGAACTTGAATGTATGAGAAAAGATGAGTTGAAAGTGATAATGAAAGAATGCTCATTAAAACACAATGGTATCCAGAGAGATTTGCTTATCAATGCGATCATTCAACATCAAGAGCAAATCATCGATTTGAAATCAAAGTTGGTAACGAACAACTCGATTGAGAAGTATCATCGTGGCACCGTTGAATATCGATTGCCAACATTGGTCATCTATCGAATCATTCGTGATCTCTGGCAAAATGAAATCGACTTTTGTTTAAACCCAGCGAATCTCAGGGAAAGTTACAGATGGTTACTATCTATTGCCTTGGTTTCCAAAGAGTTGTTCAAACTGATATCGTCGTTGTTCACCCGATTCCAACATATTCATGCCAATCATAACAACACTGATACTCTCGATAAAATCATTGTGGAGATGAAAGATCATTTTCTAAATCCACACTCAATCCTCAAGAATATCAGTCATCTGACGTTCTCATTGGATCTCCTCAAGGAGATCGCTGACAACAAATCGATAGGTACACAAACCGAACTGGCTGTCGTGTTCCACGGTGTCAGGAAACTGATATTGAACGGCAAGAAGGACAAAATCAAAACGATAGAGATAAAGCAAATCAAAACGATCATTCGATGCATGCCGAATCTTGAATCACTACTCATCCGTGAAGCGATCATTGAAAACGCAAAAGTATTTCAAATGCTCCGGCAAATACAACGACTGACCTCACTCGATATAGAACACACCTATATTCATCAAATCAACTTCAGTTCCGAATTGATATCGAGCGACTTGAGAACATTGAAACTGCCGAAACTCTTGAGTTGCGAATACCAAAGTATACTACCGACCAAGACTCAGGTGTCAACGCTCAGCTTGGTGCATATTAGTTTGGAGCAGATTGCGATGATCAGGCCTCACTTTAAGAATATCACCAAGCTGATACTGTGGAGTGTCGAGCCGAATGCAAAATCGGTGCGCCAATTGGATCAACTGCTGTGCTCACCAGAGTGCAGGGTGCGCACACTCTACTTTAAGTATCGATGTGAGCTGTGGTTCGATTGTATGTTGGCCAAGAATCAATCGATTGAGAACTTGGATATCGGTCAGAATCTCGGGAGAACCTTTGAGATGGCGTCGAAATCGCCATCGATCACGCGTTTCATATTCCACCAGAACCTAGACCAGCATGTGTATTCAAACAGATGGCTACCGACAGGCTACATACATACGAAATCGAAATATAGACACTATCCGAGTCCATTCCCTTTTCTCAACCCAGTTGAAATGATTGCACACTACGCCAAGAAGATCTATAGTGCCACCGTCTGTGCAGAGAATACAGAAGGCACTCAGTCTACCGAAACAACCAATCCCAATCTAAATTTTTTATACTATCAAAGAAAAGACATAATCTTGATCTCACAATTTCCCTGATCAGTACATAAAATAAATTTAACTCGAGATTAATAGTTTACTTTATATTATTTATCTATAAATCTAATTAGTTTGTATTGTTTTATTTTTTAATTGGAATGATATTTGTATAAATATAAAACAAGTTGATTAGCCTCTAAAAAGAAAATATATGATCTATTGTAATAATGAAAGAGGTAATAAAAAAAAGATATGAACAAATAATCATCTATTTTTAAAGACATTGATTCAACTACTAATTTTGACTCGTATGTAATTCTCTGATAATTTTATTATGTTTACCAACTTTTGTTTAAAACCAGGTGTTCTAAAGGAAACTTACATATATATATTCACTAATCTTTATCTCTTTTCTTTCAAAATCAAAGTGATAAATAGGTGGTTTTTATAAATCTCCTGACAAAAAGATCGGAAGAGGTTCTATTAAAAATTTTAGGAAAGAGCAAATTAACTACATTTAATCAAATTCTTTCTTTTTTTTTTTTTTTTGTTAAAGCACAAAGAAAATATCAGATGTCAACACATAAGATTAAAAGTACTACCACCACTAGTTCAAGAACAATTGTTGGTAATGGTGGTGGTGGTGGTGGTGGTGGAATCAATAACGCCATGAATGTGATTGTCTTTGGTTTCCCTTTTGTTGGTCTGAGTGTTGGTGGTACGGTTGGCTTGATCAACAATCTTTTGCTACCAGAGCAAAACTCAATGATGATTGCAATCCTATTCCTACTACTCATACTCATACCACTTTCGACTTGGATCGTTAAGCAAGACACTACAATACTCTTGGTAGGACTACTTTTACTAGCACCTTACTTTGCAGGCAACTACATTGTACATTATCTAACAGTGAATCACAACTCAATATTTTCATATTCATTCATCTTTATATGTTTATCTATATTCGCAATCATATACCTTAAGAATAAGAAGAAATTAGATTAAATAACTTATCAATTCCAATTCAATACAATATATACTTCTAAAAAGAAGAGAAAAGAAGAAAAAGAAAGAATAGTGTTTTTTAAAATAAATATAAATATTATAATTGTTTTAATTAATAATTAATAACAAAATGATTGTTTGTTATATGTGCTGTGCTGTTCTGGTGCTTGTACTTGTGTTTGTGCTTCTTTGTTATAATGTTGTTGTTGTTGTTGTTGTTGTTGTTGTTTGGGTTTAATATCTAATTACTTTAATCCTTTTATATTTGAAATGCAGGTCTTTAGGTTCTCGATGGTTCGTTTGATTGTCTCCTTTTGGATTTTAGGCTCGGTAGTGTAGTTTAGTTGGTCTAGTAACGAGATGGTTTCATTCATCTTCTTTTTGGTCTGTTCGATTTGCTTTGAGTTTTGGAAGGGTGAGTTGACGTTGTTTGACGAGGTCGACACGTGCAATCCACTCGCTCTCAGAGTACCGCCTGTCGCTCTGCCAATCAAGTTCATCAGTGAACTACCGGTGCTGCCACTACTGCTACTGCTGCCACCGTTGTTCGAGCCGATATTGAGGTCGGGCGGACTGTTTATCAGGTTCGATGGGCGTGACGACGGGATCGGTGAGGTTGGCGACGATGACGACGGTTCGTATTGCAACCCGATGACACTGCTGGTGTGGCGAATCGGTGTGGCACTCTTTATAGATGGCGATGTCACCGAGGGTGAGGTCGATGGCGATGGCGAGATCGAGCGGTTCGAACTGGCAGGCGAACAAATGGAGATCGACGGTGTGTCTTTGGGTCCGGAGATCGACGGTCGCTTTGGGAGTGGAGCCGGCTTCTTTGGATGTGCTTCATCGGGATTCCTGTATCTTTCTTTGGCGGTGCGCAACAACATGATCAACTCCAAGTCATTTCCACACAAATCCTCACAGGATTCATTGTTGATGCAGTTGTTCATCGTGATATCCGCGCCATACTTTATCAACAGTTCAATTATCTCCCTGTTTCTCTTTGTAATAGCGATATGTAATGGTGTTTCTCCTTTTCTATAGATTTAGTTTGGAACAATGTTAATATAATTTGATTGGGCGAGGGGAAAGAGATAAACAAATCTACTTACTTGTTGAAAATATTGGCACTGGAACCGAAACCTAAAAGTATCCTTACGTTTTCTTCACACTCTTTGGCGACTGCCAAGTGGAGCGGGGTGTCCATGGACTCGAGTATCTTGGTGTCGATTTCCGCACCTTTCTCTAGCAGCAGCTTGAGTATCTTGTTGAAATCTTCGGCGATCCAACGTCGAGAGGCAAGACTGTGAATCGGATGGAATCCATTCTTTGCGGGTAGTGTCACGTTGATTCCGTTCTGGATCATCACTAACTCTATGATCTGAACGGTCGATGTTGTGCATGCCAAGTTGATCGGTGTCATTCCCTGGGTGTTTGGGTGGTTGTGGTGATGCTGGTTGTTCACAAGCAACTGGCTGACTGACTCCAGCGAATGGCTGCTGATAGACGAGTGCAACGGAGTATTACCATCAAAGCCGGAAATGATAATATGGCTATTATCAAAGTCCTGACACTCCTCAGTAGAATAGGATTTACTCAGTAGTTCGTGTTGAGAATCGGTGCTTCTCGAGAATATTGGATTTCCAGTGGTGTGATCGTTACTCTTTCTCGAAGTTTCGGCGTCATAGCCCGAGTTAAAACTCTTTGATTGACGTGTTCCACTTCCATTCTTCTTGTAGGTTTCATTGACCAACTTTTTGTAGTCAACCAACTTCTTTCTCTGAATGAATTTACAAAAAAATGTAAGTGATTTATATAATTTTCAATGGTTATATTAATAGTAAAACACTTACACCCGTGTTACTTGTTCTAAAACCCATTATAGTTGTTGCTTTTGATATTGTCTCGGAGATTTGTGATTTCAAAACTGTCTTTACTCTTTCGAAATCCATATATCTAGCAGCAGCTTCCTCCCACACCATTTCGAAAATATCCAAAGTAATACAATAAATCTCTGCCACCGAATATTTATGATCAAATATAATTGGTAAGATATTTTCTTCATTCTCTTTAACTATAGAAATTGTTTGTTAGTACTTTTTGTTTTGTTTTGTTTTCAAATAACATACTGTTGGGAGGTGGTTTCATTAATTCTAATAACATGCTCGTAATGTGAATTCCACATACAGCAACTGGATAGTATCGGTCGCTTGTGATTGGATTTGATTGTAAATTTGTTTGGTGTTGTGTAATCGTTCTAAATGTGTCGAGATGGTTGTTGGCCAAATACAAAAGATGCTTGAGACCTGCAATTCCCATTCCTCTGAAATCGGTTGACGGATCTTTTCCTTGAAATCCAATGCTCTTCCAACGTTCGTCAACGGGCTGGAATGCCTCGCCAACAAACATAATATCCCACAGTTTCTGCAGCATTCTCTCGTGATTCGGATCATCTTTATTATATTGTGTAGAGCAATCTCTTATAAATTCTTGTAATTTCAAATTCTATTATTTTTTAAAACAAAAAAAAAGAGATAGAAAAGGAAAATAGATAATTAATCAATAATTCAATTTCAAAATTTTCATTAATTATTAATTATTTACCTGTAATCTATATATTTGTTTTTTAAAGTGAACATCTGTTGTATTTAATTGTTTCTAAAAAAATTTAAAAAATGTTAATATAATTGAATATATACAATTATAAATTGATTGTAAATTTATAATAATATAAACATACCTTTAATATATTTGAAAGGCTATACTCCTCGATCTCATCCAGAAACTCTGATACATTTTCAGAATATGCAATCATATTGTTGATGAGTGAAAGTGAAAATGTTTGTGTATTTACATCCGTACTATTTAAATTATTAATTATTTTACTATATATAGCGTGCTTGTTCATTGATGCTATAGTATTTATTAACATTTTATATCCTTCTTTACTTTGTGTTAATTTCAACTAAAAAAAAATAATATTATTAACTTAAATTAATTTAAAATTACTTTTATAAAAATTATTTTCTACTTACAGCTATCTTTAAAGGATTACTTATATTTATACTATATAATTGATGATCCAATAATGTTATTATTTTCTCTATAATCTTGATCGATAGCAACTCTATTTGGAATTCTGGGTTGGAAATTGCAATTTCAAAGACACTGAGAGCGAACGACAGTGTATTTCCAGAAATATCCATAATGATTGATTGCAATATATTCATTCCTCCTTTTTTAAGGAACTCTCGCATAAAATTTGAATTCTACTTTGATTTGTTAGCAAAAATTTAATTCTACTTTAAAAATAATATGTTTTTTAAGGAATCATACCTGTAAATGAGATTTCAATCCTAATAAACCTTTTTTCAAAGTGTTTTCACTATTTAGATATTCTAAAATTGAATCGACATGATGAACTGGAGCTAAATTTAATTCGAATAAAGAGTTGTCTTGTATTATATAAACTGTCTCTGGGTCATTTAATATCTATTTTTTATGATGAAATAAATTAGAATTTTTAAAATAAATTATGTAAAATTTTTTTGATCATACTGTATCTGATAGAAATATATTATGTTCTCTAAAAAACAGTGCGTATTTATCTGGATTATCATCTACTTTGAATAACTGACAGAGTACATCCGTTTGAGTACTTAACTTGACTCCTCTTAAAAGAAAATACTCTGTAGTTTCATTATTCCATCTAACTATAATTTTATTCATTTTTTTTTCTTTTTATATGTTTGTTTTTTTCTTTATATATAAATAATAATAATTTATCTATCTTTTGTTTTTGCGATATATATTTAATTTTCCTCCTATTCCTATTATATTTGTTTTATTAAAAATTGAATGAAATAAGAAATAAAAAAAACTGGAAGTTGAAAATAAAAACAAATTAGAATATTATATTTTGTTGTCTTTACTGTTGAAATTAAATAATTAAACTATTAACTCTTATATTAAACTGTTTGTTAAACTAAATAATTTTCTGTATAATAAAAAAATAATAAGGAGGATAATAATGGTGAAGACTGGATATTTTTGGAATTGTGGAAAGAGAATCGTAAAATTGATTCGTGAGTGAAGGAGTATTATCTATATGGCTTGGTTTGTAAGTATAGATCTGTATGTCTAAATAATGATTATTATTCTATATTCAATATTATTTTTTTTGGTTATTATTATTTTGATTGATTTGATTTTGGTTTGGTTTGATTGGATTTGTTTTTGATTTGATTTGGTTTGATTTGATTGATGTTAATACTCTGTTATTTGATATCAAATTCAAATCAATTAAATCAAATATCAAAGAAATAATAAAAAGCTATATATTTATATATATAGTAAGAGGAAGGAGAGGAGGTGTGTGATGGAAAAAGGAATGGATGATGAAGGTAGGTGAGTGAGAAGAAAATACCATACAAAAAAAAAAAAAAACAAATTGAGATAGATAGAATATTATTATTATTTTTAATTTTTTTTATTAAAAGAAAAAAAAACAAATAGATAGAGAGGTAGGAGAGAGAGTAAAGATGCAAACAACAAAACAAAAAAGGGAGAAAAAAAAACAATTTAAATAAAAAACCTAGTTTAAATTATATATGATTTATAACAAATTTAATTGTTTTTGTTTGGTTTTTTTCCTTTATGTTTCATCCATCTATCACATTTATCATCATCATTAGTCTAACACTAAAACTAAACTAGTGTGCACACAACACACAACCAGCACACACAAACAAACTCACACCAACACACATCAAAAAAAAAACATAAACAATCAAAATAGAAAAAAAAAAAACAAAGAAATCACACAATTGGAGTGATATGATCATATGTTATAAAAATACAGGATGAATAAATAAATTAAAATTTGATTTCAAGAATAAATTATTATTATTAATAATAATAACAACAATAGTAATACCAATCACAAATCGATTAAACACACACTCACTCTCAGATATAATTAACTATACCACTAGCGTTCATACATTCATTCATTCATTCATTTAGTCAGTCAGTCAGTAATTCAGTACTCACACACACATATAAAAACAACATCAATAACACACAACAATAACAACACCACTCACTATAAAACACATTAAAAACATTAAACACAATAATACTTCATATTAGGTAGTGATTAAATTTAAAATTCAAACACTATATAGTTAAGGGGATCATGATTGATTTGATATTGGCATTGTTGATTGTTTGTTTTGTTTTTGCTTTGTTTCAAACTCAATAATTTAAAGTGCTATACTAGGATACGGTACTATACAAATCAATATCACAAAAATATATTACAATTATACATCTTATTTCCATATTTAAACATTACTACTACTATTTATACTTTTCTTTTACAAAAAAATAAAACACAAATTGTTGAACTCGAATGAACACTTTTACTCTATCTACTATATATGTAACTTTCACTCTTACTAATTACTTAATGAGGGTTTGAAGATATGTTAAAATAATATATTATATACTCACTCATGACTTTTCAATTGAATAGACTTTGAACTCATTTGTTATATATTGTAATAAAACAAATGAGTAATATTATGTAACAATAAAATTGTATAATAACATTTAATAAAAATAAAATAAAATAAAATGAATTCACAAGAAACTTAAAATAGATCTTCTAGAAGTAAACTTGTTAGATAGTTTTATTTTATTTTTAACTAATTTTATTAAGAATTAATAAAGTAAATTAATGAAATAAACTGTCTGATGTTATTATTTTGTTGTTGTCTGATGGTGATCAATGTCTTGTGATCTCCTCAAAACACTTACTAATTTGGATGTTTGACAATCCATTAGAGGGGAAAAAGAAGATAGAGAGTGTTGGGTGTTTAAAGTGATTCAGTGGATTGCGATGACTTTTCAAACGTTCAGCGCGAAAAACCTCTGGCCAACCCATATAAAACCTTTAAAGTGAAAAATATCAAAAACCTGAGAAAAGAAAAATGGTTAACATTTAAGAATGGCATTCAAACAAGATCTTGTGTGTGGTATCAACAAAAAATGAGATTCATTCGATACGATCACAACACTGGCAAAGGCAAAAACAAAGATATGTTTGCGAGAAAAAGAGCAAATCGAAAAAATTAAGAACGACTTTTAGCAAAGGAAACACTCACACAATCAAATCATAAACCAGGGATCATGTGTGATCAAAATGTTAACAATTGTTGGTGTGTGAGTGTGAGTATAAGTGTGTGATGTGAATAGTGTGGGGGTGTGAATGTTTCACTCCATGGAGGTGACTCTGCAAAAAAAAAAGACAAAAAAAAAGTATTGTTTTCGCAAAATCGTAGTCAAACTATTTTTTTGATCCATAATTTCTTACCTATTTTCTCAGTGAGAAAAATAGCAAAAAACAAAAACAAAAAAAAAAAACAAAAACCAACCACTGTCAAAAAACAGATAGGTTGTTTTTAGGGACACAATTAACTAGTTCGATGAATTTTGAAAAACACAACATTTCGCAAAATCTTTGAAATTTTGCATTAATTTTTTTTAAAACTTCAATTTATTTTAGTTGAGAAGTTACACCCTGCTAAAACCTCTCCAATCCATATGGTTTTCAAAATTTTTACCAAAACAAATAACTTTGTGAATTTTGTTTTTTGTTTTTTTTTTTTTAAAAAAACACCTTTAATTTATATATATAATATTAGATTAGAGAGTTGCATTTTCATTTCAATTTGAATGTTATAAATAACTTAACTAAAAAAACTAACTTAAACTTAACTAATCTTTTACAAATAACGATAATAACGATAATAACAAAATTAATAACTAATCTAATAATAATAATATAGTAAATATCTATCATAAATATATTTATAATATTTTATATTCCTTTTTTCTTTTTTTTTTTTTTATAACAATAGGTAGTAGTATAGTATTATTTATATCATACTTTAATTTATCATTATATATTTATAATATTATAATAATTGTGTAATAAAAATTTAATTAAATATCTAATCAAAATATTTGTATAGTTGTACATTTAAGAACATTGGATATTTAGTTAAGTTTTTATGAATAATAAAATAACAATAATAGTATAGTATTATTATGTGTAAAATATAAAATAATATATAGATTAGTTTAGTTTAGTTTAATAACATATGTTTGTTATGTATATTTTATTTAAGAATATAACTAATCATAAACAAATAAATAATAATTGAAAAATTAAATTAAATCTCAGATTTTTTGAAAAAACAAAAAAAAAAAAACCTAAGATATTTTGAAAAATAGTAACTAAATAATAATAGAAACAGAGTTTTAATAATATAGTAATAATAGTAGGTTTCAATAATAATAATAATAGTTTAGAAAAGATCTCCTCCTATGTCGTCAAAGATGACGGAGGATCCGCAACAACTGCTGACAAGACCGTTGCCGGTGCTTGAGAGGATCGAGCCGAACGTGTCGATCAGTGGCGTCCGATGGAACGACGAACAGTTGGAGGAGCTCAGATATATATACACACACTTGGCACAGGCGTTGCTGTTGGATTTCGAGAGGGAGGTGGTTCGACCGGACTGGGTGTTCTACTCGGAGAAGAAGGACATCGCCATGTCGGTGCGACCACCGGCAACACCCGCAGCACACAACTCGCTCTCCACCACCGTATTCCCGTGTTCACCAGCACTCGGAAACCAGTACGTTGCCGACTGGGAATGTCGATTCCAATGGGACAAATTTCTTGGTGAAGTCAACATTATCCACCACTATGTTACCAATGACAAAAACAAAGCATCTCGATACGCCATACCCTATTCACCCGACTACGATTGTGTATTACTCAGAATGACAACCAACAAGAGAATATGGTTAAAACCAAGAGATTCCATTCTTTTACAGTATGTTTTAAATTGAAATGAAACTTGATACTTGATACTCTTACTTTTACTTAAATAACAAACAAACTAACTAACAACTAACTAACTAACTATATAAAGAGTATCAGGTCCACATCCAACAAGACCAAGATCAATGATAACAGTTTGTTCGACAGTTTTATTTGGAGGATGTCCTCCAATTCCAGATATTATACGTTCGTCTTGCTCGATGTTGGCGTGGTTGTTCGAACCGATAAACGATGGACAGGAGTCAAAGTTTACACATATATGTAATTTTGAGTTTGGTCGAGATACTACTTCGATTACAGAGATGTTGATTGTCCCTTTCTTTCCAAAGATGCCAGTGGTTAATTGTTTCAATAAGATTATATTTATACGATCGAAACTGAAAGAGATTGCAAAGAAGCAATCACAACTGACAGAGTTGGATCATTTAAAGTCGCTACTTCCATCGTCGGCGTCGAACTCCAGTCTGTCGTCGCACTCCTCTTCATCGTCGGCAATGTCGACTGGCTCAACTGGCCAGTTCATTACAAAGTCTGTTGGAGCGGGTCGACCCAAGAAACGATATATTTTAACAACAAACTTTTCGATGCATCCAAACGATTGGGCACAATTCATATTGAATCACAACAAAGCGAGCAAGTGGAAGACGGCGACCAACAATTCGTTGCCATCGAGCGTGTTTGTGCTTTACGACCAGATGAAAGCGACAAACAAGACACGTGGAAAAGGTTCGAAAAAGTTGGTCATCAAAGCGGTTTTCGATCTTCCTCATCCACCCGAACACATCAATCTGATGATGATGGATCGCGATCTTCGATGGGATCCATTCATTCACACCATAAAATACGCCGACAAGGGCGTCATCGCTAATGGCGGTGGCAGCTCAATGTCAAAGAAACTCAAACTCAACATACCATCTTTCAAAATGCAGTGTCTGCAATATCATGGTTACATCGACAACAAATGCTACTTTCTCGAGGAGCGAGACAATGGCGATGTCATACTCTTCACAATGTCAAAGCCCGGTCTCATCCCGAATGCTCTGAACACCTCGATCGAATGGTACTTTTTCATATTCGCAGAGAATTGGATCGACAAGGTCGAACCACCCACCGACTACTACGTCAAAGAAATGCAAAAATCGTTGACCTCATTCTTTGGATCATCGAAAATATTGGGAACCAGCAGCAAACCAAGCGGTAGCTCTAGCGATCAAGAAAAGAGTGATACCGTCAAGATTGTGGATATATTCGTCAAGATCATCAGCGATACACTTCCGGTATTCACCTCGAACGAATTCAGCTTTGTCGATATCGTAAAGATCACGGACAGCGATCAACAACGTGGAAACAAGCGAGAACTACAGTTGATCGAAGACTACAATCCCGATGTCAGCAGCACCGACGCCAATGGCAGTGACGAATACGCCGCTTCGTCGGTCGAAACCACTCTCTCGACAAAGAAGAGCAAGCGCTCCAAAGAGTTCCACCTCAACACACCGACCGACTACTTCTTTGATCTTCCCTCTGAGAATACAATGTATCTTCTCCCGCCGTTTGTTCCGAGCAAACTACTCGCATTCAACACCAGTGCCAGCGCACCGATAGTGCGCGTCACCGAGCCAAAGACTGACATTCTCTGTATGCCATCTGAGATCCTGAATCATATACTTTCGTTTCTCAGCGATGTCGATCTTTGTCGATGTGCAAGAACCTGTCGCCATATGAAGAGACTGTCGGAGCGTGACAGCCTCTGGTACTGCCAATACGTAAGATGGTTCGGTAAGTGTTGCTTCAAACAGAGTTCACTCGACTCGGTGCTACCGCCCAACATTGCAATGTGGGACAACTACAGAAAGACTACATTCCCGCAATCGGCACTGGATCCGCCCTTCAAGAATCCCGCTCAAACCTACTTTCTCTCCAAGGAAACCATGTACGAGTCGATCACTGGCAACTGGAAGAAGAAGTTCTTTCTCAAGATAAGAATGGAAGCGCTGTGGGCGCTGTGCAGGGGCGATCAGCCACAAAACACCGGTGGTGACTTTGGGTCGGGTAGCGAAGAGGGCTTCACAATGATGTCGATCTGTTCCTACAAGATTTCACCACAACTGTTTGCAGTGATACCAAACAACAAAGATGAATATATATCCGCCATTCTACTTCACCATTCATATGCATTCTTTTCAACCAACACAGGCGATTTCTACAAAGTTAATCTTTGGTCACCGATGGAATCGTACGATCAGGTATTTACTAAACTAAATATTGGTCAAAATCAAATCAATCAGAATCATAATGAAGAGATAGAACAACATCACCAACAACAACAACAAACAAATGAAACAATGATAACAGCAACAACTAATAATAATATGAATAACATACCAAATCAAACAAATGTAAATACAATTTCACTATGGCTCAATCAACAAAATGTACTTCACTCCATTCAATCAAACAAAGTGCTACTGCGATACAATCTGGAAACAAAACAACAGAAAAACACTATCTTTCTTGAAAACAAGAGGATACCTTCGAAATGGGACATTGCAGGTGCCACTCAAAGTTACTTTGGCGATCGTATTGCCGTTCACTACGACAACCACGCCGAGGACACAGTCAACGACGACTACGATACACTGCTCGACATCTTTGATGCCGACAGCGGTCAACTACTGACTACACTCGACAAACAGGAGCAGATCACATGCTCAAGCTTCAATCGCACACGCATTGCAATCGGAGGACAGCGTGGACCCATCGACCTGTTCGATTGCAACACGGGTCGCGCACTCACTTCGTTCCTCGGTCACAACAAGAGTGTACTGTCTTGTCGGTTGCTCGACGACGAGGACTGCGTTGTGAGCAGCAGCGACGACAATACTGTAAAGTTTTTCGACGCACGCACAGGTCCCTACTACTTGAAACGCTTACAATCTCAGTGGCCAGTCAAGACCTTTGACTTAACACCCAACAGACTTATTTGTGCCACCTCCACCAAGATCTCCTACTGGGATCCACGAAATTTACAATCACCAATCGGTGAACTCTGGAGTCCGCTTACAACCGACGTCGTCAATATTCAACTCTCACAATTCAACGTAATGGTTCTATATTCCAATGGTATATCACATGTATGGGACTTTAGGTAATAAATATATAACTTATAAAAATACAAATAAAAAATTATTTTATTTTATTTTTTATTTTCTTATCATATCTAAAAAATCAATACATTTACCAAAAATAGTAAATTTTATAAATTAATTAAATACAATGTTTTACAAAAAAAAAAATGGTCGTCCTCTAAACAAACACACAAAAGGTTTTTTTTTTTTTTGTCGATTTGTTGTTTCTCGCTCGTTAAATCACATTGTTTTTGGTTGTTACATCATCAAATGGATGTAATCTAGATACTTTTTCCCAACTCTCTTATTCTTATTGATTGTAGCCAAAAGAAACTGTTTAATATTTTTTTGTTTTTTTTTTTTTGGGTGCCCTAAGATTAATCTTTGTTCAACAAAAGTGATCACTTTTTGCCCAGTGAGAGTATAAAATGATGTGAACAAAAATATCAAGATTTTTCGACTTTAGTTTTTTTATTCGAGCTCAGAAATTTTTTTAATGTTTTAACCATTTAATTTTTTATTATTAAATTTTTATTAATCTTAGGAATTTGGTGGTGCAAAACACAGATTTTTTTTATAAAAAACATCATCAGAACAAATATTTTATTGTGAATAGTTTTTTTTTGAATAAATTTTTATTTTTTGTGGATGGGTGTGCTATGTTCATAGAGGGTGGTACTTCCATTGTCATACACGACAAAACATGATATATAAAAATATTTTTAAAAACTATTTTTTTTTGTTTTGTTTTGTTTTATTTTTCCATGAGATAGTTTGGTTTACTCAAAATTTTTTGTTCTAGTTTTGATATTTTATTTTCATTTACAAATAAAGATATAATTAAAATATCTTTATTTATTCATCCACTTCATTCTTCTTTTTTTTTATTATTTTATTTTATTTTATTCCAATTTAGAGTAGTTAGAGTAAAATTCCAACAATCTTTCGAATTACAATTTGTAGAATCAAAATCAGTATTGAATCAACAAACAATCAGTAATCATTTGCTAAAAAAACAAAACAAACAACAAACAAACAAATCGGTCAAACTAAACTAATAACATATTAGTTCAGTATTTAACAATATCACTTCACCACCAATCAACCAACCACCTATTTCATTTATTTATTTTAGTAGTAGTTCAGAGATTGGATATTAGTAGCATCCAGTCAAAAGATCTACCAACATTAATACTTAAAAAGACCTGTCATTTGTCTCATTCTCCTTTAATATTTTCTTAGCAACATTAATGCACTCCATTGCATTTCATCCTCCACCTTAAGTTTCAATCATAAAAAAAAACAACAACAACAATAATAATTGCCTCCTCTTCCCTTCTCTATAATAGGTAATAAATAAATCAGTCAATCATCAAAGTAATAGTAACAACAACAAAATTGAAATTGTAAATAATAGTTAGTTCATTTCAAAGACAAAGTTTAATTAATTAACTTTGAAAGTATGTATCATCAGAAAATATCATCAATATAGGAATAAATTACATATCTCATTATTCATTCTTTTTGTTTGGCTTATTCTTTCATTTCATTTCATTTCCTTGTTTCTTCAATCCATTATCTCCATTAATCATCATGTGCCTCATTTTCCTTTTTGTCTTGTTTTTTTACCACCCAACTATTCCAAACGAAATTATTTAAAATTTTTAAAAAAATCTTCCGACCTTTTATTTTTGGTTGTAAATTAAAAAATAAAATAAAATTTCCTGACACGCTCACACACCATTTGCGCTATTTTTTTTTATTCAGTTTTATTTCCACTATTTCGATTTTTGTTTTTGTTTTATTGGTGGGAATAAAATTTATACCTTGGACCATTGGAATCTACTTTCAATGTCCTCCCCACTCATCACACTTTTGGATACTTTTGTTCTTAATTTAAAGGTTACACCCAATTTATTGCCAAAAAAAAAAAAAAACTTAAGGTTCTTTTTAAAAAAAGAACTCGAAAAACAAGTGTAGGCACACTTTTATTTAAAATTAATTAGATATTTACGATCTTTTTTTTTTATTCAAGAAAAATAAAACAATCATAGATTTGCTAAAATTATATAATTTTATATTTTATATTTTATATTTTTTTATAATTAACAATAATGCACAAATAAAAAATTTGCACCCATCATCATAATCTTTAATAATATTAACAGTTGCAAGCAGGTTTGAGTCAATAATAATCAGTTTTGTAGTGGCTACACTGCAGTCAATCATTGCAAATTAAATAATAATAAAAAAACTCTCTTTTTTTAATATAATATTTTTTAAAAAAAGTAATAACTGTATAGAAGTTGTAAATATAATAAAAAATTTATTGGTTTCAATTCCAATACCACGAATCATATACATATATTTATATATAAAAGAGTATTAATATAATAATAATAATAGCATAAAAGTTGACAGTGAAAAGTAGGAAAATTAATACAGTATAGTTGATACCCATTTTTTTTTTTTAAACACACATGAAAATATAAATTTTTTTGGTAAGAAGCCAATCAGATTCTTTCTTTCTTTACACTTTTTATCTTGAAGATGTAGTCGTTGTTGTTATTGTATGTTGGAAGCTGATGTGGTAATTCATGCACTTTCTTTCTTTCTTTCTTTTCACTAAAGTGTTTTTATGTTTTTTTACTTGTCACAGTTGGCAACTGTAAAAAAATATATTCTCATCCCTTCACTCTATTATCCAACCAACCAACCAATCAATCAACCATATCTATCCTACCTATAGTTATTTATTTTATACAATTTTAAAATTAAATTAATTTTGATAATGGTCAATTCTAAAATATTATCAAACAAAGCTTTTGCTTGTTCTGTTATTTAAATTTCATATTCTTATTATATCTATTTTTAAATACTTAATTTGTTTGGATGGTGTAAACCATCTTTGTTTTGTGTGATGTGTTTGTTTTGATAAAAAAAAAAAAAAGAATAAAACTTTTTAATAGTTTATCAAAAGAGTGTTTGATTAATATGGATATTTATAAAAGAAGATTCAAACTTTAAGTTTTTATTCACTACTTAACAACAAAATTGTCAATAAACATACCCCTAAAACATTATATATCAACAATCAAAAGTACACACCACACCTATAAAAAAACACACTTATTTTGTAGATCAAAACAACCAATCAGACTCTAAATTTAAATTAGTTGCAGTGTGGTTAAAATTGATGAATTAGTGTTTCTCTCCTTATAATTTCATTTACTAAATATAAAATTATATTAATTTCAATAAAAATAATATCAGCACTTTGATATTATTTATTGATGTTACCGTGGTGGTAGCCACTGGATATATATTATATTTAAAATTTTAAAATAAAATTTAATTAGTAGTAGTGTTATTTATCAAAAACCAACATTGTACCTATAAAAATGAAAGATTCTCTTCACCTCTGAAATTTATACTTTACATCATACCTATTTTATTTCCATTTTTGTTGTTGTTTTCTTCAGTTTTCATATGTACTTCTCTGAGAGGAGTTGAGAATATTCAACAACACAACAACAACAACAACAATAGTTAGATAAGAAAGTTAGAGTGTTTGTTTGTTTGTGCTTGAATGGAGTATTTTAATATATAAATATTTACTGGTATTGTTGTTGATGTTGGTGGGTTAGGTTTGTGGTAGGGTCTTCATTAAGATATTCACATTAGCATCATCATCAAAATCATTTTTGCTTGTGATTTTTTGGTTCACACAACAACAACAACACAAACAAAATTTGAAATATTATAAATATTATATCTCTAATATAAATATATATATTTTATAACATATAACATTTATATTTTTATCTGTATCTACATTTATTGTTACCAATTCCAAATTTATTAGTTATCATATAATATTTCCTCTCCACCTCTCACCTATCGACCGGACTGTGCTCTCTCAACTCACCACTAACACCCCATCACCACACCACGCCACACATCACACTGCCACTACCAGTTTATCACTCACCCACTAACACCAACTATTTTTCATTACCAAATCACCTTTAACAACATTTAAATTAGAATAACATATATATCTATCTATCAAATAAAAATAACCATATTTATAATACAAATTGATTGATCTAAGTGTTTGTTTTTGTTTGTTTTAATTTAACATTTTCATCTACTTGCCACACCTAGAGTTACTTTACTAGGCATATCAAAAACAAAAAAAAAAAAAAAAAAAAAAAATCCTTTATTTCTTCAAACAATATTATTCCTCTACACCTTTGAACAAGCTAGCTTAAAATATATTTTTATTTCTTAAATTAATTAATTATAAAATTAATTTCCAACAACATTAAAAAAAAGCCTCATATCATCATTATCATTTTAAAAACATTGTACAATTTTCTTAAAATAAGAAGATTTCAATTCCAATCAATCAGTAATAGCAATATTATATTAATTAATTAATTAACAGTATTTGGAATCGGAATTGTTATTGTTATTGTTATTATCACATCCTTCTTCCTTTATTTACTTATATCAAATCGCCACCAATATATATTTTTAATATTCTGCCAAACAAAAATAACAACATAAATAATAATCAACAGTAACAAAAACATCTTTTGAGGGAAGAGAAAGTGTATGTTCTATCTTTCAAATTTAGATAGTACATATTCATTCACTCGTCGCGCTCGTTCTCATTTTTTAAAATTTATCAACATGTTGATATTTAAATCTGGATGTATTTCTAACCCCTTTGATTCATCCAAAAATTAGATCTATTTTTTTTATCACCAACCAACAACCAACCAAACAACAACAAACAAAACCAACCCACTCTTTTTGTTCGCAAATTTCCATATCCCCATTTTTCCCACCCACTCCTCTGTCAATTCATCCATCCAATATCCGGTCTGTCTGATCTGTCCGTCCGTCCAAACTCCAATAGAATTAATATTTGTCACAATACCAACAACAACACAACACTCAGCTGAACAAACACAACACAACAAAACATGGATGTCGAGAGTAGTACAACTGGTCAATCAACATCGATGACCGCCGCCACCAAAAAAATACGAATCATTGTAAAATATCAAAATACAGAGAACTTTATCAGTTGGTATGGTACGACCATTCCTTCGCAGACAATCGAGGATGCCATTCGTACCGTTTTTCAATTGCCATCTGGTTCACGCCTTTTCCTCAAAGATGAAGACGACGATGTCGTTGCCATCGCACCAACTCTACCACCCGGAGGTAGATTCAACCTCTTTGTAGTGTTGGCCGCCGGTAGTTCAGAGTCTTCATCCTCCTCCGCCTCCTCCTCAGCCGTCGCCACCTCCTCAGAACCAAACAATCCAATTTCTGTATCTACTTCCACCTCTACCAATGCCAGTAACATTACATCACCAAAAATCACACCATTGTCATTGCCACAAACTCCGCAAACCAACAACATCACTGAAATCAATAGCAACAACAACAACAACAATAACAATCAAGTCGAATCACCTAAGTCCTCCTCTGAATCACCATCACAACAGACTTCACCAAAGTCAATAATCACACAAGATCAACAAATTGTTGAGGCATTCCTCAAGATTGCCAATAGTCAGGTCAACAACAAATCTGATGAGAAACAACATCAATTGTCTGACTCTAGTGAAATTACTCCGCCTTCTACATCGTCAAACAACTTGGCATCATCGTCATTGTCAATTACCAGCATCTGTAATGATGACAAGATCGAGTTGATCACCATACCCACAACCTCCAACAACCCTGACGATGCCGATGCCAAGAACTCGTCAAAGCGCGACTCTGGTGAAGTCGATTCCAACGATGACGACGAAGACGAGAGGAAGAAGCGCAAGCGTAGAAAAGCCGTTGAGATTGACCGTAGTTTCAAGTGTTCGATGGCCAACTGCCAAAAGGTCTACGGATCTGAGAATGCATTGAAAATGCACATCAAGTTGAAGCATCCAGAATACCAATACCTGATTATGCAACAACAAATGCCATTACACCAAAAGCCACCACCCGTCATTGTCAACAACAAAATGTTGAACCATGGAAACGGTAACAACAACAATGCCAACGGAAACAACAACATGCCATTTAATGCACTGTTTTCAAATTTGGCTGCTGCCCAACAACAACAACAGCAACAACAACAACAGCCATTCGGACCAAGAATTGCTACTTCTCTACTTGTTCCATCACGTAATCAAATGGTTAACAACAACAATAGCAATGGTAATGGATCGAGCAACATTAACAACATAATCAATGGTGGTAACAATAGCAGCAACGGCAATGGTAAGAATCCATTTACCAATGGTATTCCAGTGCCAGATATGAATCCAAAGGATATCTTGATGCTCTCTAAACAACATGCTTCCAATAACAAGATCTTCCCAGGAGGTATCATCAAGCAACATCTCACCAACTTTATCAAGAATCATCAAGTGGAGCCAGAGTTATTCCAACAAATGTTGGCAGTTGCACAGCATCAACATCAACAATATCAGATGCAACAACAACAACATCATCAACAGCAACAACAACAACAACAGCAACAACAAAAGGCATCTTCATTGTCTTCTTCTGCCTCTGTTAGCAAGTCGCCTTCTCCACCAACGTTGCCACAGACACCCACTCAGTCATCGTCGCCACCCACACCATTCAACTCACACTCACTGCATAATCTCGACCTTGAAAAGCTAAACAAAGAGTACTTTTTCAATATGTTGAACCAGCAGTCGCCATCCTCTGCCTCCAGTAGTAACTCCAAACGCAACTCATCACCAACACCTGCCAGTTCTTCAAGTTATCTCGACGATGACGAAGACGAAGATTTCCTCTCGAAATTCAGAAGCATTAGCAGGAACAGTCCAAGCATTAATAATAATAACAACAATCATAATCATCATCATCATAGTAACAACAATAATAATAATAATATAAGGATAAATAGCGAACCATTATCATCGTTTAAATCAAATAACAGTTATAAAGTATTACCATCGAAATCATCATCAACAACAAATCACTCTGAAGATAAAGGTAATTTATCATTCTTAGTATCAGATAACCGTAGTAGTAGTAGTAGTAATAATAGTAGTAGCAGCGGCAACCACAACAATAAGAACGATTCCAACAATGCCGCTAGTCTCTTATTATTATTAGATCAATAATCTTATAATTCAATACAACAACCTAATAGTAATATGGCATAAAGGGAAGATGACCGATAATATATTATACCCTTTATGTATATTTCATTTACTTTTATTTATTATACCTTGTTAATATCTTTAATAAGTAAAATAAAGATAAAGATAATTCTCGTACTTTTATTTAATGAACAACATTGAGATTCTTATTAGTATTAATTTGTTTTATTGTTGATTCTTAATAAATGAAAGTTGGTTGGAAAAAAAATAACAAAAATTAAAATTTAACATTTTGGTGTAATTAATAGTATCTTTGTTTTATTATGTCATGAAATCGATTTCAAAAGGAATAGTACTAAAAAGACTATTTCCTTTTTGGGTTGGTGATGACATTTAATGATTTATTTTTTATCAAATAAAATAAATCATTATATGTCATCACCAACACCATCTCCAAAGCCACCAAAGATACATGGTGGAGAAACCAAATCTGATACTCTGTTATGATAAAATTGATGAATTTAATGGATGAGGAAAGAAGTTAATTAATGAGTTGAAAACAGAATATCCATCAATAGTTTCGCCAATGACTGAACACCCTCCACCGCGACCTTACCGCGATCTGGAGATAGAATAGGATGATAAAGCGGATGCCAAAAGAATGTTTCCTGTTCCACAAAATGTTCTAGGAAATCTATACAAACAATTAGACAGTTTTCTTGAGAAAGGGTTTTTCACTCTATCGCAAACTGCTTTCGGTGCACCAGTGTTATTTGTCAAAAAGAAGACAGGAAATTGGCGACACTCCATCTACTATAGATGTCTCTGCCTTTCCTCTGTTTCAAAGCAACTATCTTAGCAAGACATTCCTTTCTAAAAATTCGAAAACATGAATGAACGAGTATGTTTTTCGGAGAACATTTAAATTCCAAATTATATATAAAAATTTAAAAAAAAAAATTAATTTAAAATAAAATTCCAAATCGGTCCTTTTTGTTTAAAGAAATATAGTTTAAACAATTGCATTGGTAGCGGAGGAACCACAAATTGGAGAGGCACCCACAGACAAAGTAAGTAGTCAAGATGCATTCTTCTATCAACAGACTCTTTTAGATTGCCAATCAATAAACCTTTTTGTATTCATGTCTTTGTCAAAAAACTGTTTCTAATTAATTTTTGGGAGCACAAAAATATTTTAAAAATATAATTTAATAGAAATTGTTATTATTTTTTGATAATTTTGGTATAGTTAGATTTTTCTAGTGATTGCCCATCTTCCTATCTTTATTGTATTTCCTGAGGTTTCGAATAAAAAAAATTTTTTTAAAAGATTCAAAAAATTGTTAAAAATAATAATATGATATGATTACATTGAAAGTGTCACTATTACGGGTCAATTTTGATATCAATGGACACGTCTAGTGATTATCTATGATAATATATGCATTTCATTCCATGGCCTGTTAGTTTCAAAAAGATATTTGGTAAATAAAACTATTCTAATTTAGATTAAAAAAAATAAATAAAAAACATTAATAATAAGAAATTAGATACTATTCTTATAATGTTCACTTCACTTTTATTTCATTAGGAAAAGATTAATATTGAATAGAATGTGCTTTTTGAGCGGGAAATAATTTTTTTGTTTTACACTTGGTTTATTTTTTTTTTACATTTTTAATTTTATTATGAGAATGCGTAGGTTGCTAGTAAACCTGTTGTAAACATATCTAAACATTGAGCAAGTAGGTAAAAAAGTATAAGTTTCATTACACCAAGATTGTTGTAGATCTCTGTTATACGAATGTTCAATCCAATACAAACGAATCCCATTGTTTCAAACCATGCACTTGCTAACAGCGATGTACTGATTACATGTGATTTCCAGTCAGAGGTTGGTAATGTAGTCAATATTGCACAGACAATAAAGAATCCAAGCACAAACTTTGGAAATCTATCAAACAATATCTTTAGTACTTTTTTAAAAGATAGATCTGATTCTTTGTCCTTGTTCACTAGGAGGTTGGTAATTAGGACAATCAAACAAATCGGTCCAATCAAACAGTTTTGTAACATTTTTACGATGGCTGCCGATTGTTTTGCTTCTTCATCGATAATCGCTGCACTTGCCACCACTGCACCGGTAGTATCAATAGTTCCGCCTATCCAAGCGCCACCCTGACGACTTGACCACTTCATAGTATCTTCCAGCCATTTGGTAAACATCACTGGCATCAAAGTGATACAAGGTATCGTCCAAAGGGCCATAATTGCAATTGGGAAAGAGATTGCACTCTTCGAAGCACCGATAGTCGATCCAATGGCATTGGCAGCGGACGAACCACAAATTGAAACGGCACCCGCAGAAACAATTGCATAGTCACGATCCAACTTCCAAACTTTCCAACCGAAAAAAACAGGAAGCCAAAGAGAAATATAGTATCCGATGAAACGATGATCGATGGTACAAATAAATGTTTCGATTTCATTAGATCCATTGCCAACAACACCAAACTAACTTTAATAAAATACTCATCGACCAGCACACATTTTAACCATTCCGGAGTGCAATCTTCTGTCCAAATTGATTCAACTTTCTTTGGTGGCGCTAGAGATGTTGAACTACCACTGTCTGTAGATGTCATCCATTCGTCCATAGGTGATTCCTGTATGCTCTGATAACCTTTTCTCTTTATCAGGTTGACAACTACATGATAGGCTCTAAAAACTATGTTTGAAAAAACGATTCCAATGCAAATCGACCAAACCGGTGGACCCAATCCAACTCCATGCAGTGTCTTCTGATGTCCAATGATAATGCAAAACAACGCCAAGAAAAATACAAACACAAAACCCCTGAAGTCAAATTTCTTTTGCATACACCTGAGCGGTACAAATGTTCCAAATAGAATTACGCAGAAAATAACAGGAATAGAGCACCAGTAGTAGTTGGCTGTGAAAAAAGTACCTGGATTATTTGACCACGAAGGAGGTGTATAATAATTTGCATGCGTGGTGAATGATATCGAAAAGCAAAATGCAAACGTACCCAACCCAATTAAAGTACTCCACCAGTCTTCAGTATTGAAAGTTGGCAGTATATTTTTAAAATTTTCACCAAAAGTCATTTCTTGAATACCACTAACTTTTTCTATCTATTGTTAATATGATGTTTTTGTATTTTTACCAGGATATAAATATAATAAACAAGTTGCAAAGATATAAATATATATGTATATAAAAATAGTTGTTAAAACAATATGAATTTAATGAGTTTGTTATTTTAATGCATTGTATTGTGAAATTGAATAACCAGATAGATATCATCATTCCTGTAACCATTATAAAAAGTAAATGGAGTATGTATTTTTCTTTTGGGCTGGTTTTCTTTAAAAAAAAAACAAAAAGAGCTCTTTTTCCACCACTGTTTTTCCCAGTTGGTGATTTCATTTTTCTTTTTTGATTATTGTTTTTTTTGTTAAAAACAGAGAACTAGCAGTTTATTTTATAAAATCAACAATCTTACTTTAAATTTCAACTATTATTTTTATTGATTTATTTATTTAAATAATTTATTTTTTATTGTAATTTAAAGAATAAATTTCATATACCTAGTGTATTTTTTAGGATTCTATTAATAATTCTTCGTATTCGGGATTGAATAGAGTTTGAATAGCCAATAAAATTTTTATTTCGGGGCCGAAAAAGTTTTCTATTCAATTTCAAAAGAAATCAGCAATGCCGATTTTAATTCAGATATTTTATAAATTTCATTACTTTTCTCTTTAAAACTTCAGATATTATATTTATTGTTGTCATTATCCCAATGATCAAATCTGAATCCTATGAGAAAGAAGTTTTTTTGTTTAGGTAAAACAAAAATACTTTTATATATTTCTTAATCAAAAAAAAACTAACATTTTTTTTATCTGTCAAGTTGAATATTCTCTTTCATTTTCTAATTTATCTTTTCTTATTCCTATGTAGACTGATACTTTTATTTAGAATTCTAAAATATATTTGTTTCCCTTTTATAAATTTACTTTAATCGGATGATGTTTGTCTAAAAACCATAAATTATTTATATTATTTATTTTAAGAACCTGAAAAATAAGATATTGCTTTAAATAAATACCTATCCTAAGTTTACCATTTCACTTAAATATAAACATGTATCTTTTTTCACTGAATTTTAAATAAAAAATTACAAGTTCACTTTGAAAACAAAAAAAACAGAAAATTAAAATCATTTGTAATATAATATAAAATGAATAGTAAAACAGAGAATAAAGTAGAAGATATAGAATCAGAGGAAGAAGAAGAAGAAGTATACGTACCTTTCTCAAAGAGACCAGAGTGGAGTGATGTAACTCCAATCGAACAAGATGATGGTACCAATCCAATCTGTCCAATTGCATATAGTGATCTATGTATGTTTGTTTGTTTGTTTGTTTGTTTGTTATTAAGATTAACTTTGTTACAGTATATTATACTTATCGGTATCATTACCTTACCAATCAATAATCATAATAAACGAATATAGTTAAAGATAAGATGAATTATTTTAGAGCAATCATTAAATCTGGTGAGAAATCAAAGAGAGTGATCGATTTGATCGATGCGATCATCGAAGACAATCCATCGAACTACACCGTTTGGTATTATCGTCGTGAGGTCCTCAAGTCGATCGAATTCGATATTGAAGAGGAGTTTTATTTCGTCGGTACAATGGGTGAGTCCGATCCAAAGAACTATCAGATTTGGAATCATCGTCGTTACCTGGTGGAGACCTACAAGGATAGTTCGCGTGAACTCGAGTTTGTTGCCGACCGTCTCTTTGAGGACGCCAAGAACTACCACGCCTGGGCACACCGACAATGGGTGATGACCGCGTTCAACCTGTGGGATCAGGAGTTACCGTTTGTCGAATCGCTACTGAAGTTGGATCATCGTAACAACTCTGCTTGGAATCAACGATTCTTTGTCATCGAGCATAAGCACCGATTGCCGTTGCCACTGCCGGTATTGGAGAGTGAGATCGCCACCACTCTGTCATTCATAAGAATATCGCCAAACAACGAGTCACCCTGGAGTTACTTGCGTGGTTTGTTCAAAGGACAATCGTTGGCGTACCAACCACTGATCAACACACTGCTCGAGTTGAAATCAAAGTACATCGGATGTCCACACGTACTCTCATTGCTCATCGATATCTACGAAGAGCAAAACAATGCCACTAGCATCGAGCAAGCAATCGTGCTCTGCGAATCACTCATCAAAACGGTCGACCAGATTCACCACAACTACTGGCAATAACAAAAATGCAAAACTACAACAAAAACTAACTCAAATCAAGGTGTAAAGTATCGTTCAGTCTTTATAAATCAAATGACTGCTATTGAATAATAATAATAATAATAATAATAATAATAATAATAATAATAATAATAAATGTATACAAACAACAATAAAATAATAATAAATAAATAGTATTATCATTTTTATAATTATAAAATTGCCTGCCTTTTTTCATTTCCTTTTATTTTTGTTTAGTATACCAACTAACTAACTATATATAGTATATATCTAAATAATAGTAGAAGAATGCCAACTCCATTATTTAAATATCAATGTGAGTTTATGAGTAATATTAAAGTTATAAGTTTGACAGTAGAGATACCAGAGTCTGAGAGAAAAAGGAAATTAGATTTCTCACCGTTTAGTAAAAAGAGATCGAACATAGGTTTACTTATCAGTTATATAGATATAGTTCATAGTAGTAGTTCATATTCATTTAAAATAGATATTGATCTACCTTTACAACATATAATACCAGATATAAGAAATAACTATACCAACTTCTACCCGAATCAAAAGGATGCTTCATCGCTATCCATCAACATACCTTATTCATTTGCAGTAGTGGAAGATGAAAACTTTAATATTAAACTAAATAGACAAGATGATTACGAGAGTAGATTAACAAAGAATACTGAAGATCAAGTTGATAGATTAAGACAATATTTATCAGATTTGAATCAACAAAATAATAATAGTAATAAAGATAATAATAATAATAGTATAGATAAATCATTTATAATATGTAGATTATGTTTAAATAGTATCATAGAGTATAGTGGTATTAGTTCAATTAAATGCTTACCATCTTCAAGTTGGTCAGAGTTGGCAGATGTATGGTTGTGTGGATGCACCGGTACTTCTCAGTTCAAAGGTTTACCAAATGAGTTATCATCTATAAAGGATCAATGTCTAGTTGGTGATACTTCTATACTGATGCATAGATTCAATCTATTCGAAAGCAATATAGTTACAATCGACTCTACAACAACTACTACTACTGCAACAATAATTTCAAATCAAAGTAATCATGATAATGATCATAGTAATAGTAATCATTTGTACAAAATCATACAATGTAAACATTGTAGTCAACAAATAGGATTGATACATGGCGATAATTGCAAAATAGATAAACATAGAGTAGCTACAAGATCATTAAAATCATTCAATAATGATGATAGCAATAATTACTTTTATCCTGGCATTGATAATATCTTCTCAGTAAACACCATCGAAACAGTATTCAGTTCATTGATATTAAATGAATCACACATGACAGCAATCTATAAATTCCTTTTGGTTGCACCAGATCACAATCGTCAGTGTTTCTTACGACTAACCTTACAGAGTTGGGATACATTTATTTTGTTCGATAATGATACAAACAAAGATAGTACCATAGATGATGATGCCAGCAAATGTATGTTGTTATTAAAACTAAAATCAGCATTATATAAAATTAAAAATATATAATTATCTAGATTATTAATTAGTTTTGTTTTTAATAAAATATAGTTTTGCCAATAATTAAAATTAGATATCAAATTGTGAATAAAAAGAATGTTGACATCAACACTGGCAATAACAATGGAAAAAGCAATGAACTACTCGATGACGACTCTTTCAATATTATAAGTCTTCCTCTGGTGGATTGTTTTGAAATAGTTAATTTACTTGAGAGTAATCATTCGAAACTTTCAAAGCAAAGATTGCTCTCATCATCTTCTTTAACAAGCAATAACAATAATAACAATAATAATAATAAGAATAGTGGTGTTGGCGATGAATCTTCAAGTTATACAGAAACAACCCCACTTAAATTATCATTCCTAAGAAGAATATAATAAGATAAAACGAAATTAAATTATAAATATTATTTATTATTATTTAATTTGATTGATTTTATTCATGTTTAAAAATAAGTGTTAAATCTATCTACATATAGTAACAAACAATAAAAAAAAAATAAGTGTTTGTATTTCATTATTTTATTTACCAATAAAAATTCTTTATTTGTTAAAAAAACAAAACAAATAAACAATTTGTTTACTCAGTGATCGATGGTTGAACATCATCGTTTATTTTTCATACTACCTCCCATATGGTTTTACTTTCAATCATTGATAAAATTTTATTGTTAATTTATTTCAAATTTTACAAACTCGATAAATTGTATGTCGCGATCAATTGTTGTCTCAAGACGAAAAATTCAAACTGGACATGTTATTTTCATTATATTATAAATATCAAAATTTAACTTTTACTATAAATTGATTATTATTAACTATTCATTGTTATTTAAAATGAAGATTATTGTAGTTTCTTTATTAGTTGTTTTTGCTATTATCATTGTTTCATCATCCAAAGACAATATTGCCTACTTTGAAATAAAAGATGACTCTAATTTAATGTTTCGATTTTTTATTAAATTGGAAGATCAAGAGCTTATTAATCATGCTAGAAGGATTCTTAGTGGAAAAGAAACAAATAGAACTCATATAATGGGAAAAATCTATAAAGAAAAAGTAAAATATAATCCAAACTATCCATTCCATATAGTTCCAGATTCTATATCTTTTTTTCAATTTGCAGATGATCATTGTGATGTAACAACAACATTTATCACTCACAACTATGATGATGAATGTGGAGGAGTAAGTAGATTTTTTTATTTTCAAAATCCAATCTATCATTTATTTAACTTTTATTTAGTCTTTACCAGGCTGTATTTGGTGTCCATGGCAAAGTCAATTGGTCCAAGAAGTAAAAATTAAATAGATCAACCTAAGGAAAAATAATAAACCAAAAAACACATTAGTACCTATTAAATACTACTCTAATAACTATGAATGTTTTTATTAAGAATTTCTATCTAAAAACAGAGAAACAAATTCACACTATTAATTGTTTGATTTATATATAAATATTTTTTTCTTTTTATTTTTGCAATTAAAATTTAATATTCTGGTTTAGCCTTTGGATCACTAGAGTAAATGCTGATTATTGAGTCTTGTGCACATGCACCTAAAATTACACTGTATGGGTGGAATGCTAAACTTGAAACGGGACCTATTCTTTGTCCTAAAAATCCTTCGTGATATCTAATGATACTGATTTCCTCGCCAACGAAATTCAAGACACGAATCTTTTGAGAAAGTGAACCACATGCAATCAGTGGAGCAGAGTCGTGAACTGCAAACGATGAGATCGAACCAAAGTCAGTGTTGAGAATGGTGTTTGACGATGATTCGCAACCAGACTGCCAGAATTTAATTTCACCACTGGCGGCACCAGAGATAACGGTTCTCTCGTGAGACGATGGCATCGAGAGATTGACGATCCACGACTTGTGTTCGGCAAACGTAGATACACAGCAGTTCTTGCTGGCAATTCTGAAATCAAAGAGTTTGACAAGACCATCGTCGAAACCGGCTGCAAAGAGAGGTCCACCTTTTTCGTTGGTGAGTGCTGTAACATAGCCCTTTGTCTGCAGGTTGATATCCTGAACACCGAGTTCTCTTTCGACGTCCCAAATTCGAATCTTGGGGAAATCCGGTGTTTCTCCGCTGACCAATGCCAATCCACTGTCGTGCTTCCAATCGAGGACAAGACGACCAATCGGCTCAGCACCCGTTGTGACATACTCGGGGAATGCACGCCAAGAGCTGACCATCTTTACACGGTGATCTGGCTCATAGCCACGCCAAATACGTACGACACCATCGTTGGCGGCAGTCATTAGCATACCGGAATCGAAATCGTTGAGCAACTTCATTGAAGTGATTCTGGTGCCAGGTAGATTACAATTGGCAAATGAATTTACACGATAACTCTCCTCCCAATTCCAGACGCTGATGTTGTCTTGTCCGTCCGAGGTAATCAAGAGTGGTTCGAAAGGGTGGAAAGTGAGATGAGCTACGGGTACTCCGTTGTTCTCTGAGAAGATGCCGATCTGAGGGAATGATTTCGATTGTTGATTGATTATATTCTGTACAGATTCACGTGATTCATGAATGATCGATTCATTACGTTGGTGACGCCATTTCTTTTCAATCGATTCCGGTGACTCTAGATCTTCGGTGGGTTGCATCATTGGCTTTGAGAAATAGGCACAGCTCCACTCGTAGAAATCAGAGTAGAGTTCGTCTTCGTCGAATGGCATGCCACTCTCTGATTGGCCAGAGGAGTGTGCGCTGCTGCCGTTGGTTCCACCGGCCTGGTTGCTTACGCCTGCCTGCAGATTGAGATACGATGGATTGTTTGGAACTCCCGGGGTGGAATGCGAGAGATTTGGAGATCGCTGTTGACCGAGAATCTTGGCTTTCGACGGAGAGGAACGTGGATCCTGCTTGGTGATACGCACAAATGTGTTTTTGAGTGTGGAGGTAGTGGAGTTGGCGAGAGAACTAGTCGATTTGCTGAGAGTTGGTGATGATATCAGTTCTTCGTTGGTGAACTTGGCTTGGATTCTATTTACAATAGACTGTGCGCGTTGCGATACTTGTGTGAATGGATCGGAACAGAGATTGAGGATGATCTTCCAAAGACATCCATATACCGAGCTCTGTGATGATTGTTGTTGTCGATTGTATTCACTGGTCAGACTGTCGTCGAGTGAATCGCCCATCTTTGACGACGATGAAATTCGCTTCTTATTCTTTCTTGCTTCTTCGAGACGCTTCGCTTCGAATTGGACACGAAGACGCTCCTCCTGTGCAATCTCTTGCGCGACAAACAAAAAGTTGGATTCGTACGAGTTGACGATACGCGAGAGCGATATAATGAGCTCCTTACGTACCATTGGCGAGCAATCGGCTGTGATGACTGGGAGTGTCAATCCGAGATTCAACTCGATGTTGGTTCGCTGCTCGCTACCCTCTGCTCCACCGATCAGTTCGCCAAGTGCGTAAACCGCTGCGGAACGAACCTCTGGACAAATATCAGTGAGTAACAAACAAAGTTTCTCGTGGGCATTCTCTTTGATTGCAACCCATTTGGCCTCCTCGAAATTCTCCCACATCTTGGCCATGCAGAGAATCATCCAACGACGAACCATAGGATCGGGATCGTTCACCTGTGACAAACAGACAGGCAAGAGATTACCGATCAAACATGCATTTTGACCGGGTCTACAATTGTTACAGATGGTCGAGAGAACAAAAGCTGACATTGTACGTTGGTCAGCTGGTACCATTGGCGAGGAAAGTACTGTAATAAAATAGGTGTGTCCATTCTCTTTGACGAGATCGAGTTGACACGATTTGTCGAGTGCCAAAATCTTTGCCCAAATAAATACTAAAATATGACGCAAGTCTCCTGCTGGCGACTGTAGAAGCTTCAAGACGTACGGGAAGATACCGACGCACAGTGCCAAGTTGACAGCCCATGGTCCGAGATCTAAAAATCTTCCGAGCAACACCAGAGCACGCAGACGATGTGCTTGACTGAGAAGCACCTGGAGAACGATTGGGAGTTGTGCAGGTGGATCTTTATTCTCGTGTCCAAATTCGAGCCAAACTTCGAATGCTGTCAGTTGTTCGGTGAAGAATGGCGACGACTTGAATTCGGCATCGGGGTCAGCGAGCAGTGTGGGCAACTGAGAGATAACCAAATCGGCTGCCAAATCCCATGCTTGCCACATCGGGTGCTGGTAGGTTGGTGGCAGCTTTGGACAGGAGATCGGTGTGCAGTTGGCAGAACGCATAATTCTCTCGGCGAGTAGATAGTTTCTAAAGAGCGAAGCTACCAGCAAGTCCTGACGGAACAACTTTTGGAAGAGGTTTCTTGGGAGTACATTCCAGGCGATCGTGTCGGTCACCGCAGTGAAGATCCAATTCAACTCACCGAGTGGAGTACGACGTGAACTTAGATTTCCGGGAATGCGATCGAGCATGTCCGGTGTGATTCCAATGAGGATCGAATGTGAACAGAACCAACGCAGTGCAATGCGAATCGGTGTTGTGAGACACGCGGTGAACATATCCGCTGGGAAGTCGGGATTCATCGGGAGAATCTCGTTGGCCGAGCAGGCAGCCAGAAGAATACAGTCACGATGTGAGCTAGTTGGTGTTGCCGATGCCGCTCCGTTTGCTTGCTGAGGATTGCTTCCATTGGCCGCACTGCCGCCGCCGTTCGCGCCACCATTTCCATTGGCTGCGCCACCGCCCGTTCCGCTGCCACCAGCAGCTCCGGCACCACCGCCACCCATCTGGCCTGGATTCATTCCACCGTTGGCAGCCATGAATCTCTCCATATCCTTGTCGCGTTGCTCAGCAAACTGATTGAACCAATTGACAATCAGACCGGCAGCGGAACAATCAAACACATAGATCGAAGGTGTTCCCATCCAGGTTTGCAACTCGTAGATCGACAACGGGATGTACTGAGTGTAGGTGCGATTGAACACCCAGATCTCACCGTTGGTCGTTGGCTTTGGTACACCATGTCCGTTGTAGTGGAAGAGAACTCGCTCGTCTTTGGCGTTACGACGCAACGAGAGACACAGCTTCTTGACCTCTTCGACAGTTGGATCCAACGATTGCTTGTATCTCGCTTTCGACTGCCACTTTTCGTACTGTTCCTGTAGCGTCTTACCAATCAGGTCGAGTGCTTTCTGTGGTGGTTGCGAACCAGCCGGATCGATCCAACACTCCATTCTTGCACATGGATATGTCTTTATAACATCGGGTGGATCAACACCAATATTCAAACATAATACTAAAGCTACACTAACTGTTTTCATCTAAAATAAACCAAACAAAACATTATTATAAATATCTACTGATTTAATTGAACACAACAACAACAATGTTATATACTATATACATACTCTTTCTCTCATTCTCCATTTTGCGATTTTCGTACGTTGTAAATCGGGAGTTGCATTGTCTTTGTGTCGCTCTTCAATGAAGAATGCTTTCGTTTTTGAGTATTCTTTTTTCTTGAAATTATTATTACCATTTAGATTATTTAGATTTGCATTGTTATTATTACTATTATTATTATTCTTATTATTAATGTTATTATTATGGTTATTGTTGTTGTTATTTGAATGTAAATTATTTGATCCACTATTATTTGAACCGATAGAACTACCACCTGAACTTCCAACACTCTGGACATTGGTACCATTTACATTGTTGTTATTACCACCACCAACTACTTGATTTGACATTGACATTGTTGGTGTTGCTGTTGTTGTAGATGCTCCATTTGTGCTACTCCTCAACGACATTCTATTGGTAATCGATGTTATATTATTCATTATTGCTTAAATAATTAACTTGAATACAACAACAAAAAAATCTAATAAAAACAAAAAAAAAAAAACTTAAAACAAAATCAGAAACTTAACAAAACGCTATAGATATATTTGCTATTGGTATATGTATGTGTGTGTATATATATTTATATTGTGTGTTTGTTTGTCCTTCTTTTTTTTTTTATATATATTATGAAAAACAAACTATTACTTTATTATTTTTTACTATTATTATTACTTTTATATACTACTTTTATTATTTATTTATTTATCGATTAGTTGGTTGGTTGGTTGATGTATACAATGAATTAATGAATGAATTTAGAGGAAGAACAAACAAACACAATGAGTCTCTCTTGAATGATGATGAATTTACTACTATTACTATGAAAACGTATATACTACAATTGATTGATTTAAAGCTTATGATTACAATTTATCGACGACTTGCACAACAACCTTTACTTTATTTTTTTGTAAAAGCAAAGATAGAAACAAACAATCGCTTTTGTGCTTTTGTTTGTTTTGTTAAAGATGAATGTTGTTGTTGTTGTTGTTGTTGTTTTTTTTCGAAATAAGTAAATTTAATTTTGAACAAACATCATGCTCTCTTTTTACAACAAAACTACAAAGAAAAAACTTATTATTAATTATTCTTATTATTATTATTATTCTTTAATTATCTAATTTAAAATATTTACAAAAAAAAAAAAAAAAAACTTACTTTCTTCTCTCTCTCTTTTTTTTTTTTTTTTTTTTTTTGCATCAAAGCTATTAGGTTTCGAAAAAAATAAAAATGAAAATAAAAATAAAAAACTTTAAAGATTTTTTTTTTGGCAACTTAAAATGTGGTAATAATTGTTAGAAATTATCAAAATAATCATGGTTTATTTTGTCAATAAATAATCAAATTAACTTGTTGTTGTTTTCAAAAATACAAGGTTGTTTTATTTAATTTTAGTTTTCAATGATCCTATGGCTAATTAATCCCATTGGAAACAAGATAGACAAAAAGATGGGTGTTTCCAATTGCTATGAATAAGAGTTGCAACACCAGTGGAGCTTTCTGAATTTTCAATACCTGCACCGGCTGCAACAATCAGTGGGATGAAATGCTCCTCTCTTGGATGAGCCAATCGGAATTTCGGTGCTTTTTCGTATTGAAGAAGTTGTGTGGTACGTTGTTCGCGAGTCAATTGAGTGTCTGTCAATATGCTTTGAATCCAGTCTTCGAACTCCTTGATCGGTGACGACTCGTCTGCTCTAGTTCTGAAGAAAAGGCTAAGATTATGGAGAGTGCTACCACTACACACAATGAGAATGCCTTCGTCACGCAACGGTTGCAACAACTGACCCATTTGATAGTGTTGGATGCCAGAGAGGTTGGATCGCAATGAGAGTTGGACAACTGGAATATCGGCATCTGGATACATCATTTTGAGTGGAGTCCAACTACCGTGATCCAATCCACGTGTTGGTGACATTCCAAGTTTGAATTGATGTTGCTGTTGATTGCTGCCGCTTTTACCAAACAACTCTGTTATACGATTGATCAAACTTGGTGAAGTAGCTGGATTGTAACGAAGACGGTACAGCTCATCCTCAAATCCATAGAAATCGTGTATAGTACTAAGATTGGTTGTTGAATTGGTGATGTGAAATTCCTTTTCCTCCCAGTGAGCAGAGACGATCAAGATTGCCTCTGGCTGTGGGTGTTTAGCCCAATTTCTATAGTTGGAGAGAAACTGTGTAGTTTTGTCTTGTTTATCTAGAATTTGGTTTGGAGCACCATGATTTACAAATAAAACAGGAAATCTAGTCATTTTCCTTATAATGTTCATATAGGTTTATAATAGATATAATAGTAGTAAAGTAGTTTGCAGCTATTATTAAACATAACTAGAAAAGAAACAGAATGATAAAATTAATTTAATTTATAGAAAAGGTTAGATTCAAGATTTCAAAAATTCAAAAATTTGAAAAAAAAAAAAACTTCAGGAAGATTCTGAACGGAATGTCAAGTCATTCCCGGAATGTTTTCATCATCATGATAGTTTAATATCTCTATTCTATTTTAATCTACAACTTTTTTTATTATAATCATCACACCATATTAATAAAAATATTTATTAACTGATATATTTGCATCGAATTAGTTATTTTTAGACTTTATTGTCTTTTATCAGGAAGATGTTTGTAGATTTAATGAGTAGATCTAAACAAAGATAAAGAATAGATAAAGTAATGTTTGATTTTTTTTTATATCGATTGTATTTTATTTGTTGAACTTTCAATTCAAAAAAAAAAAAAAGCTACATAGAATTTGATAGTCCATTATTATTATTATTATTATTTTTAATCACTGTACATCTTTGTTTGTATGATTATTCTATAGCAATTTGTTATTCGCTTTTTTTGTATGTATCTATACATTGGTATTATTATTATTTTAGTATTGGTATTGGGTTGTTGATATTTCAAGAATTCATTTTGTTTGATCTTTCCTTTCTTATCTTCTTGTTTGTTGTTTGTTTTTGCTTTGTTTTGTTTTGTTGTTTAATGTATAATTTCAATTTGTGTATATTTGTTTAATGCACTGACCAAGAGGAATAGATCATCTTCGATTTCCATGTCATCCCAGACCTTGGAGAAGAACTCGGTCGATCCGATGAAAGCGAAAGTGGTTCTCATCTTCTGAATGTTGTGTGGACGCAAATAGGGTGAGAAGAGGAGCACCGACTCGTTCTCGGCGTCCTTGAGAGCCTGTGAAACCTTTTCAAAGATTGGCATCAAGTCGGTCGATTTCTTGACACCATAGAAGCGGAATGCACGATCCAAGTTGTTGAATGCCTCGCGCAGTGCTTTGTCGACCTTGGCCAAGTCCTGGAGTTCGATGGTCTTTGAATCGATCTGGAAGAACACCTTGACCAGAATCTTGATGATGTTCTTCTCGATTTCATTGGCCTTGTCCTCGCTGGAGACACGACGAATGATCTTCTTCACCGAGGAAATCAACTCACGACCTTCCTCGGGAATCAACTTTTTCAGACCGCTCTTTCCGACGCCGGACGAAGCGATCTTTCCAGAGATATTCTTCTTTGCTCTAAACAAAACGTCGGTTCTGCCCTCACGCTTGACAGCACCATCATTACTGATCATTGGTACACCAACATTCTTTTTACCAGTACATGTCTTTACATGTTCAGTCCAACTTTCAAATTCTAAATAATAGAATAGAAATGGTTAATAATCATGAAAATAAAAGTTGTAAAATTGTTGTTTGATTTCTTACCTTGTTGAGAATTGGCGGAAAAATAAGTTACTTTGTTTGATGAATTTCTAACTGAAAAAGTATGTGGTCTGGTGTTGTTGGCCGGTGTAATATCCAACATTGCAAATTCTATATCTACACATTTAAAATCATCATCCTAAAATGAAAAAAATAAAAATAAAAAAAAAAGTGTGAGTTGTTAGTATGAAAATGATTATATACATCGATCAATGTAGACCAATGAAATTTAATTCGACTAGATGTCTTTGATTAATTACCTGTTCAGTACGATATACATATAATCCACCTGGTACAAGTCTAACATAAGAATTCTTATACTTTAAGCTGTGAAGTGATGATTTCTTGGCAACATCCAAGATACCCTCGTATGTGACTGTTGTATGTGGTTCCATTTTATCTGTTTTTGGAGATGTCGATGATGAAGTTGTAGTTGTGGAAGTCGTTTTTGATTGATTGTTCTAATATACTGATGATATATTAGGAATAAGATTGCTAAAAAGTTATGATTTAATTTAGATTTTAAAAAAAAAATCAATTATTATTTCTTTGACAATACTATTAGTTTTTTTTTTGTTTTTACTTTTGTTTAATTTATAGTACACTAAATTGGCTGATTGTTTGATTGATTGTGAAAAGGATGTTTGATTGATTGATTGATGTTTGATTCTAAACTTTAACTATAATTAAAATTAAATAATATATTAATATTAATGTAATAATTTAATAAAACAATTATTATTGAAGGGATAATATAACAGGTAGATAGATAGATAATTTTGGTGTCAATCTTGTGATAAACTTGAATACAAAAAAACAAAAACAAAAATATAACAAAATTTTAACAAAACAAAATTGAATTCTCAATTAATATCAAATCATAATGTGTGTGTGAATGAGTTGATTGTTACCATTTGCGTGTGTTGTTGTTGTTATTGTGTTTGATTTGATTGATAATTACTAATTGTGGTTATGCTAATCATATTATATATAATAATAAACAGATTATTATTATTATTAGATTAGAATATGAAGATTAATGATAAAAGTTAAAAGATAGAAAAACAAGACTAAAAAAAGACAAATTGACCAAAATCTGTTAAGTTGTGATCCGAATCTTACATACATACAAGCTATCTATCTATCTATAAAACAAAGACAATTAAATATTTATGTTTATTTATATAATACAAATTTTAAGCACTTTTATTTTGTGCTGCCTTGGAAGATTTAATATTATAAGAATAATAATACTGTTGTAGTAATAATAGAAAATAAATAAATAATAAATAAATAAAGAAAATAAAAATAAAAAAATGATAATATCAAAAAAAAAAAATGATAATATCAAAAAAAAAAAAACAATAGAAAAGTTGTGATGACCAATCAAATAAACAGCTAACAACGTAACTATCTTTTTCTTATTCCATTTTCATTTTAGGGGTATTTTTTTAGATAAATTTAGGATTGATTTAAAATGTTGGTGCACACCAAAGAAAAAAAAAACCAACAAAAAAAATTCGATAAAAATAAAACTTGATGTCCTAAAGAGGGAATAAGGCATCATTAAAATGCAAGTTTTGTTTCTGATATTTTGTATCTATTTTTTGAGTGAGCGATGGTGTGGTTTGGCAAATGAGATTTCGATTTAATGTTTATGACTGTTTTCAGTGTTGATCCCTTTTTTTGCAAAGAAATCTATATAAAAATATGTAAACAGTTGGAGACCAATTTATTGGCTATATGATGCAAATATGTCATATTCCTACTCTTCTACTCTTGAATTACTCTGAGATATATATATATATTATATTTCTATTTATATCTATATTAAAAAAGATATTATAGATAAATAACTTACATCTAAGAATTGTGTGTGATTATGAAAATAAGTAACAGTAGTAATAAATAATAATGATTAAAAAATAAAAAGGAATTTCTTTAACATAATCAATGTTTTGAGTTTTGTTTTTACTATTGTCAATTATGGCAAAGAAAGAAATAATGAAGGGGAGATTCAAAGTAAATATAAATTGAATCTTTTTTGTTGTTCAAAACGTGTAGTTAATTAATGATTGATTATCAAGAAATTCTATTTTTAAAACAATATTATTTAAATTCTATTATCGATTGACAATAACAATAATAATTAGATATAGAATATGATGGTTGTTATTGCCACTTAGTAATATATTATTAGTTAACTAAATTAATCCAAAATTTGTAAAATGTGGTAATTGTGTTACTGTTGTTGTTTTAATGTGGGTTGATGTTGCTGTGTGTTATGTTTTTAAATGAGACTATTGCTGTTTTGTTTTGTTGTTGTTGTTTACACCAATCAACTAACTAACCAACTCATTTTAATCAACACATTATAAACTCTCAACACTTAACACTCTACGAATATCACACACCTGTGGGCTTGTTACAGTTATAAACTAAAACGATGTGCTATTGGAGATATTATTATTACTATTATTATAATTCAGTATATGTTATTCAAAGTTACTTATTTGTAATTGTTGAACTGATTTGGTGTTTTTAATTTGATTTAGATATAATATAAAACCCATGTTACATGGTATTGAAAGTTCAATAACTCTTAAGTATATAGTACTTATATTACAAATTTTAATGAAAACAAATAATATAACTATTATAACTTTTTTTTTTTTATCCGTAGACTGATAATATAATCTTTTTGAAAAGCACCTACACTTAAATCGTTTTATATTGTTCGTATCAAAAGTTAGCTTATTGATTGATACAGTGAAAAGATATATCTGAATAATAAATTAAAAATATGTGTATTTATATATATATATATAGACTCTAAATGTGAAATTTTAAAAACTAAATGGTTATATTTCGTTGTTAGGTGGTGATTGTAAATGATGGTAATGTCGTTACTATATCATGAATCAAAATTAAGCAGTGCTATCATAATGTTCCTCTCTAAAGGTGGAATGGTTGGGTATTTTAATAAAAACAAAAAAAATTAAAAGCAACAACAAAATGAGCAAAATCAAAAAAGAAAAAAAAAAAAAAAACAGTACCTAAAAATAGATTCCAGCAAAAAACACCCTGGAATTTACCAACAACAAGACAAATCATTGATATCACCACCACACCCCATATATAAATTAAACGAATTGTGAATTGAATCAATCGAAAATCGCTTAATTTAAAAAATTCCAAAAAAAAAATTCAAAAAAAAAAAAACTAAACCTCGATTTATATATCTGGGAGCATTGAGTTCATTCAAAAAGAAAACGAATCCTCATGAAACTGACAAGTGACGACCAGCCAACAACTCCACAAGATCAAACCAAACAATTTCCTTTCTCTCAAGCCTAATATGAGAAACCTATTTAAAGCTATTTAGCAAATGTATTCACTATAAATGAGAGAGTGGCCACCATCACAAATCCTCATAGACACGAATACTTTTGATTTCATTTGGTCTAATTATAAAACAACAAACAACTTTGAAATAGAAAAAAAAAAATCTTGACCTTGAACGAATAAAAAATAATAATATTTTTAAAGAAATAATTATTTATTTATATTAGTTTATAAATGAGTATGAAATGAATGAATAAGTAACTATCTAATTAACTTATTTTCTAATTGAATAAGTAAAATGTTTGTAAATATATATTGTTTTATTTAGTTGTGATATTTATTAATTTTGACATTAATGATTAATAATGTTGAGACTTTAATTTACTTTTGAGATCGGATAGCATTTCGTTGAGAGCATTATCATGACTATCAATATCGAATGATGTGAATTCAGTTTCATCATCTGTTTTAGTCGATGAAATTCCAGACGGAATTGATGGAATTAATGGACTTGATTTGTGTAGATCGAATTGATGATTGTTGTTGTTGTTATTGTGAGTATTCATTTGGTTTGCATTTCTTGATTTTTCAGAGGGTTTGGTTTCCTCTAGGTCTAAAGATGATCGAGTTTTTTCACTTGGTTTTGTTTCACTGCTGCCTTCCGGTTTGTCAGTTTCAGTTGGCTTGTCTTTTGGTTTATCAGTTTCAGTTGGCTTATCGGTTTCAGTTGGCTTGTCTGCGGGTTTATCAGTTTCTGTTGGCTTGTCTGCGGGTTTATCGGTTTCAGTTGGCTTGTCTTTTGGTTTATCAGTTTCAGTAGGTTTATCAGTTGGCTTGTCTTTTGGTTTATCAGTTTCTGTTGGCTTATCAGTATCAGTTGGCTTGTCTGCGGGTTTATCAGTTTCTGTTGGCTTGTCTTTTGGTTTATCAGTTTCAGTTGGTTTGTCTTTTGGCTTATCAGTTTCTGTTGGCTTATCGGTTTCAGTTGGCTTGTCTTTTGGTTTATCAGTTTCAGTTGGCTTATCAGTATCAGTTGGCTTGTCTGCGGGTTTATCGGTTTCAGTTGGCTTGTCTTTTGGCTTATCAGTATCAGTGGGCTTGTCTTTTGGTTTATCAGTATCTGTTGGCTTGTCTTTTGGTTTATCAGTTTCAGTGGGCTTGTCTTTTGGTTTATCAGTTTCGAGTTGGCTTATCAGTTTCTGTTGGCTTATCAGTATCAGTTGGCTTGTCTTTTGGTTTATCAGTATCAGTGGGCTTATCAGTTTCTGTTGGTTGGTCTTTTGGTTTATCAGTTTCTGTTGGTTTGTCTTTTGGCTTATCAGTATCAGTTGGCTTGTCTTTTGGTTTATCAGTTTCTGTTGGCTTATCAGTTTCTTTTGGTTTATCAGTTTCTGTTGGCTTGTCTTTTGGTTTATCAGTATCAGTTGGCTTCTCTTTTGGCTTATCTGTTTCGGTTGGTTTGTCTTTTGGTTTATCAGTATCTGTTGGCTTGTCTTTTGGCTTATCGGTTTCAGTTGGCTTGTCTTTTGGTTTATCAGTTTCTGTTGGCTTATCAGTATCAGTTGGCTTGTCTGCCGGTTTATCGGTTGGTTTGTCTTCTGGCTTACCAGTTGGCTTATCAGTTGGTTTATCAGTTGGTTTATCAGTTGATGGAGTTTGCGATGGAGTTTGCGAAGGAGTATGGGATGGAGTTTGCGAAGGAGTATGGGATGGAGTTTGGGATGGAGTTTGGGATGGAGTTTGGGATGGAGTTTGGGATGGAGTTTGGGATGGAGTTTGCGAAGGAGTTTGGGATGGAGTATGGGATGGAGTTTGCGAAGGAGTTTGGGATGGAGTTTTAGATGGAGTTTGAGATGGGGTTTGGGATGGAGTCTGAGATGGAGTTTGAGATGGAGTTTGCGATGGAGTTTGCGAAGGAGTTTGAGATGGAGTTTGAGATGGAGTTTGAGATGGAGTTTGCGAAGGAGTTTGTGTTGGCGGCTCTGTAGGCAAACGTGATGGAGTATGAGTAGGTTTCTCTGTTGGTTTATCAGTAGGTTTTTCTGTTGGTTTGTGTGTTGGCTTATGTGATGGTTTTTCTGTTGGTTTTGTGGTCGGATTATGTGGTTTATCTGTAGGTGGATTTATATCTGAGATAAATAGTATTAATAATCTAAAAATAGAGCCAAGTATTTCCATTTGTATATTTCACTTACCCACACATCTTGGTACATTAGGACAACACGATGTACCATGACAATTTCCAGGTGATGGTCCCCATTGACAAACCATTCCTTTCGCCTCACATTGGAGTGTACCACAGGTATCTCTTGGTGGTTCGAAATAGGTAAAGTTTCTCGAGGGTTTGCAAACACTCCAGAATTCGATTACTTCGCCAGTGACTTCATTTCTACCACAAGAGTTTATATTTTCACAATTTCCAATGTTTCTGTTGACACAAAAATGAACTGTATTACCACAACAGCTTATAAATGGCATATATTGACATTTCGGATATAGTTTTGTACAAGTTTGTTCATCATTAATATTTTCACAATTACCTCCTGGAAATAATTTGAAAAAAAAATAATGATTAGTAAAATGTTACATGGATACCTTTTAAATATTTTAAACATAAAATACAAACCATATTTTCTTAATCTAAAAGAGCTTACAAAATGAATATAGATTATTAAAATTAATATAATATAGTTTATTAATTTCATTTTAGAAAATATTTTATTAAAATTGAAGATAGATATATATATTTTTTCTTTCTATCAATTGTTTTTGTTTTTGTTTTTCTATTTATATACTGTCTTCAAAATGTAAATAGAAAATCAAACTTGCAAATAAGATGAATTCGAACAGTTATCTTCTGTTGGAAAGTGGGGGTGAATATGACTGATTGGGGTGAGTGTGAAATTATTCATCATTGATCAAAATGGGTATGAATAATTGTACACACAGCTGGTTTTTTTGTGTACTGACACTGTGTTGAAAATGATCATTTTCAAACACCATTAAAAATGAATACAATATCTATATCTACAATGATAAATAAAATATAAAACATATAGGTTTCAATGTGTTGTTTGTAGGTGATATTTAAAACTACAAGATAAAATAATTTAGTTGTTGATAATAATTGTTTCAAATAAATCTGAATCATTGGGTTTGAATAACAATGTTAAATTGTAAAAGGTCAATATTTAGTTGAAAAAGAGAATCATTCGAGATTTAGTTTTATAATATTACCACTATGTTTTCTTTTCCAAAAAATGAACAATAAGTTAATAGCATAGAATATATAGTATAGAATGATCACTTTAGCAAAGAATCTATTTTGTTTTAGTTGACAATATATTTTTTAATCCTTGTTACTCATAAGTAAAATATCTGACAAAAAAATTGTAAATTATAAATAAAAAAATCAACAACTTCTTTTCTAATATTTATGACGAACATCAGATATTAAGTTCAAGAAAGAATGAATATGTTAAAATATATTATTTTTTTGTTTTTGTTTTGTTCTTTAAAGTCTATATAATTTAATAAATCAACAAAACAGACTGATATTAATTTGTTTTGCAATGATCATGTACAAACAAGTTGTGCATCGGTAACGTTATTAAATTCAACAGTATCGGTGTCCCTAGATCAACCAATTTATTGGGATGTAGCCGTTCCAACTACAGATGTTATTTGCCTACTGAGCTGTCCGATCTTGGACTTAATGGAAAGATAACCAGTATTGACAATCGTGTTTTTCAAGATGCTGATGAAGCTAGTGCTGGTAATATTACTCAAGATGACTCATCGCAGTATAGAAAGATAAGAGTTACCATACCAAAATATGACTATACAGTCCTATAGGATCCTGACTTTTCCAATATTCTCTGTAGATGATAAAGACTCAGATCAACTATGTAGATCTGACAATAATAAGTTAAGTAAAGGTGCCATCATTGGAATTGTTGTGTGGTACTATTGCATTTTCTGCTTTGGTTGGTCTTGGAATTTTCTTGTTTAGGAAATATAAATACAATGAAAAATCTATCAATTAAGTTGAAATTATTTAAAAAAAAGAATAATAAAAATAAAAAATTGTTTAATTTTAAAGTAGTATATTAGTTTTTTGATATTGATTTAATCATTTAATTTGGTTCAAATATTTTTCTTAATATATGTTTATAAAGGAATTGAATAGTTTGTATTAATAAAAATTCAAATTTTGAAAAAACCCTCGTAAATTTGTCGGTTACAACAAAAATTTGAATTTTTAAAAATCTAAATTTTTATATTATTTTTTTTGGATTTATTAAATTAATATTTTTTTTCAAAAACAAACAACTAACACTAATCATTTTTGTATATCTATCTGTTTTTTTTTTGTTTTTAATTAATTAAATTAAATTTAGTTAAATAAACTCAAGAGAGATGGAACAAATAGATTTAGCAAATCACCTTTTACTTTTCAATAGTGAGTTGGAGACTTTGGTTAAACTAAATGATAGTTACTCTCAAGATCTGAAATCAAGTGAACAATCACTACAAATCACAAAGGAGTTACTTGATAAAGAGATTGATAAGAACAACAAACTAATCAATCAACTTGAACACTACAAACAACAATTGGATAATGGAAACAGCAACAATATTAGTAATAGTAATAATAATATTTCCAATTATTCACATGATCAAGTGGAACAAGCAAATCACTCAATAAATACAAACAACTTTCAAAACATTGAAATTAATCAACAACAACAACCAGCTAGCAATAATAACAATAGCTATAATTATAAAGAAGAGAGCGGAGAAGAAGTTGAAATACTAAAAGATCGTTATAATAATGTTTATTCAGAGTTGACAAATTCATTGCTAAAGATAGAGTCGTTGGAGATTGCCTATAGTGACTTGGATAAATCGTTGAATGAACGATCCGAAGGTTCGAAACAAACGATTGCCAGATTGGAGAGCGAGTTGAGTGTGGCGCTGGCGCAGTTGGCGGTTAAGGACAACGAGTTGAGCGAGATGCATAGAATGCATGCACAAGAGAGTTCCGCACAGTCACGTGACCTCATAGAGAGTTACCACAAGATGAAGGAGGAATACGAGAGTATGATTGAACAGATCAACAGTGAGCACAACACCGCTTTGGAACGAATGAACGCACAGAGCACCGAGAAATCCAGTCAGGTGACCGATCAGCTGAGTCGGGTGCAGTCGGACAACAGCGAGTTGCAGAAACGAATCGATCAGCTGCAACAGGATCTCGAGAAGTTCAAGGATGACTGTGAATTCCTGACGATTGAGAATCAGCAGAACACCAGGGATTTGGAGCAGTCGAAGGAGGTGAACAGACAGTGGAAGGAGAAATTCGATAAGGTTGGCGATGAACGCGCGGAAATCGAGAGATTGGCGAATGACAATTTGGAGGAGGTGAAGCGTTCGGCCGCCAAAGAGAAGTTGGCAGCGGATGAGCAGTGTCAAAAGTTGAGAGAACAGTTGGAGCTGGCCGGTCAACTTAGAGAAGACGAGATTACAAAGCGATTGGCTGATTCACTGGATAAGTTGGAACAGCAAAAGAATAAGGAGATCGAGGTGTACAAGGGTGGTGCTGTCGAGATAGTAAGACTGACGGAACAACTCGAACAATCACAGAAACAACTACAACAAACCAATCAACAATATCAACAGCTACAAAACAATTTCAAACAAATGGAGAACAACGCACAACTACGAATCGAAGCATTACAAACTGATAAGGATTCACTTGAAAATCAATTGGATCAACTTGGAAATCGAATTAAAATAATGGATCAACAAATTATATTATTAGAAAATAATAGAAATAACAAAAATGATAATAATAATAATAATAATGATAAAGAAGAAAGCAGTAGTAATAATAGTAATGATAATAATATAGATAATAATGAAATGACAATTAAATATAATGAATTATTTGGTGAATTTAAAAAGTTAAAAGATAGTTTGGTGGAAAAAGATAAGGATATTAATGTTTTAGAGGATAACTATAAAGATAGAATAGAGTATCTGGAACAATCGATAAGAGAAAAAGATAGACAACTACAGCTGGGAGTACACAATAATCAAAACCAACGAGAAACAATTAAATTGGACGAGCGTGTAAAGTCATTGGTTCAGAGAACACTCAAATCCAATCGTAGAAAGTATAATGAATCACAATCGATTTACAAACTATCGGATCAACGTTACATTGTAAATTCAACACCAGTAGAAATAACCATAGATGAAAATGATAAACTTTTAGGTATGTACAAAGATAAATATATTGTAAACAATTGATCAACTGAACATAATCACCTAACTAACTAACTAACTATTTTTAATATTATTATAATCAAACAAAGCGAAACAAAGCGGAGCATTAGTTTCAGTACCTTTGGAATCATATTTTGTAAAACAAGAACCATTTGTAACCTGGGAGAGAGTTTTGGCCATTCTATTAGGATTTTTCTTTGCATTCTACCTTTTTGTGAAAGTTTATCCCTTCCAAATTAGGTATTTTAATTAAACATTCATTATTACAATTAAAATATTGAAAATTACAAGTAAATATAAATTTAGTGTAACAGAGCAGTAGTTATTATTTTAATATTATTAATTAGTAAAGATAATTAACTTTGGTAGTAGTATAGTTATTGATTGTTTTAAAAAAAAAAGAGGTTATTATTATTATTTTAATTTTGTTTTACTAATTTACATTGACTGAGGCATGATTGTGTTCTGGCAAACCATATTCATCCACTGCCGAAGGCTCTGTAGTCGGTGCAGATGGTATCAAATAGGATGGTGTATCTTCAAGTTCCAATTCATCATCCATTGACATTAATTCTAGAGTGGAGAATATGATAAATGTTAATTAACGTTAGATTGTTTATATTAAATTAGGTAAAAGCAAAACAACTTACCGGCTTCTAATTCAGATTCGTCTAAACTGTCTGGTGTTGTATATGCTCTGCTCATAGATTGTTGAAGGTCGTTGTTGAAATCTAGAAGATCTTGCATCTCGTCTTGCAAGCTATCGACATCGTCTACATTGATATGTTTGAATTGCTGTTTCATCTCTTTGGCACCCTGTTTCATTGCAGAGACCATCGTAACTGTATCTTGCATCGATTGTGTTGCAAATTTAGTTTGTTCCATATTGAATGATTGCTGTGATAATTGATCTCTTTGTGCCTCATACCTATAATCATCATTATCCATGTGTGTTGTGTGTTAGAGTTTGTTAATTATTCAATATCTGTGTGTAGCAGCAGTACTCTTTCTTACATTTTCTTTTGTTTCATTACTCTCATAGCCTTTGCTTTTATACCGTTTTGGGCGGGACCTGGTCTTGTATTCTTTATCTGTTGTCTATAGACAGCCAACTCTTGATCTAACTTTCTAATCTTATCATCTAAACCACCTATATTCATATCCAACTATAATATAGTTTGAACAGATAAATATGTTGTCAGTCAAAGGAAATTATCATACAAATTGAATTGAACGTAATCTAATCAAAATCACACTTACACGCTTGGTTGCTTCATCAAGAGTTGGAGCAGGTGCTGTTTTTGACATACCAAAGAATCTCTTCATTTTCAATCTTATCTGTGTTTATCTTTAAAATTGTACAAAATATGTAATGTAATATGTAATCTAATCTATCTAAAATCTTATTAATTATTTTTAAATAATAATAAAAATGAATAAACAACACCTATAATAATAAATATAATATAAATATATATATATAACTCTTAAATTAAATGAATATAAAAAAAAACTTAATAAAACTGGTTAATATTAGAGGTAATTACAAAAAAAAATATAAAATTAAAAAAAAAAAACAAAATAATCTTTCAAATTTGAAAATTGGGGGTAAACCTCCTGCATTATTAAGAATGACCAACAAACAAAGATATATTTCATCAACTGATTTAACTTTTACTTATTCTTTTCCATTATAATTATAATCTGCTACTATTTGATCAAAAATATTAAATATATTTATTTTTGAATGAAAACTTACAAAAAAAAAAAAAAAAAAAAAAAAAAGTAAACTTGAAAAATATTATTTTTTTTCATTTTATAACTACAATATAAATAAAGTAGCAATAAATAACTTATCTAATATTATTTTATTATAAATCTCTATCTTCTTAATAAAATCACATTTTTTTTGGTTGATAAACGAAAAAAAAAAAGAAGTTCGTTGCATTTTTAAAAAAACAATTAAAATTAATGAAAATTTTGAAAATTCCAATGGTGTGTGCGTGTGTGGGTCGTGATCGCTGGCATCGCTCCATAGTATAGACTTTGTGTTAAAGAGATAACCCTTTCGAGACGTTTACTTGTATCTGATACCGTTAGGCACCATGAATTCAGCATTAGCCATCAATTACGCTACCCTCATCTTGCAAGACGAGAAGGTATGATAACATTTCTACACACAATACACACACCACACATCAGCTAAGCAGAGAGTCGAGAAGAGAAATGAAATTAGAATAGTTTTGTTAATGTAGTGAATCTCTTCATCTAATATAGGCACCAATCACTGTCGAAAGCATCGTTGCTATCGCCAAGGCTGCCGGTATCACCGTCCCAGCCTACATGGCCCAATTGTACATCAACACCTTCGCCAAGAAGTCTGTTGAGTCCATCTTGGACAGCGTCTCCGCTGTTGCTGTAGCTGCCCCAGCCGCCGCTGCTGCCCCAGCTGCTGCCGCCGCCGCCAAGAAGGAGGAGCCAAAGAAGGAAGAGAAGAAGGAAGAGTCTGACGACGATATGGTAAGTTTATTTATTTAGTTTATTCTTATTGAGTTATCACTAATCACACTTTTTCACCAATTCTATAGGGTATGGGACTTTTCGATTAAAAAACCTTACTTAATAAAAAATCAGATAATTTTAGGTTATAAAATTTAATTGTATCACATGATTTATTGCTGAATAAGTTGTCAATCAATAGAATATAAAAAAAAATTTTTTAATGAAACATTTATAATTTGTAAAAAACTAAAGAAAAGGAATCTAAAGAGTCTATTTTATTGAAAGGATTGACTAATGATTGGTTGATAATTATATTATTTCTTGATTAGTTCAAATGGTCCAGAAGGAGAATAACCATCTACTGAGGACAACAAAATAGATTTATCTAACATAATCTTGTATTGTTGATTTCCTGTAGTTATTCTCAGATCATATTCATTGGGATCTAACATAAAAATACGGCACATCCTCTTTTTTTTTTTTTTAAGTTTAATTTCAATAAAATATTATTAACTATTATACTTACAGATATCACTGATTCCACTTTGGTTTGGACACTGATATAGGTAGAAATTGTTGTAAATTTTCAGCTGACATAGAATCTAATCAACTTTCCATTTTTGAAATCAATCTTTGGAAGTCCATCTGATTTTTTAACAGATCTTTTAAAAAGGAGTTGGACACCCAAATAATTTTGAAAAATATGTGCACAATTTTTCTGGGATAATCTACTTTTAAGTGTACTTCAAGAAAATCAGTTCCTTTTTAAAGAAAAAAAAAAAGAAAGTTAGTTTCAAATTAATGATATTGAATAGAAAAAAAAAATACCTGGGATCAATATTAATTCATTAATAGTAGGACCAGCTCCTTTTATTGAAGTTTGATTCAATTTCCAATAATTAAACCATTCTAATGGTACTATATAAATAGATTGTCTTTTTGAGATTTTTTGAATAATTCCAAATATTTTATTGCTTTTTGCATACTTTCATTATAGTATTTTTCATTGTTCTTAAGAGTTTAGAGTGAGTTATTTATTTCCTCCAGTGTGTTATAGCAATCAATTTCACAAATTTCAGTTTCCTTCTCCATTTGAATAAAAATATTTATTTGTAAACAAATAAAAAATAAATTGTTAATGAAACAAATTTCTAAAGTATCAATTTAAATATATTAATCCAAATTATGATATACTTATTTGGTACCAAGATAATACAATGATGTGTATATAGTGTAGATCTTTTTTTTTTCTATTCAATATATTCTAGTTTTCTATCGTTTGTTGCAGTAGCTTTGTTATTTACTTCACATTGTATTCGATTTATTGATTAGTTTTACTTATTATTAGATTAGATTCCATTGAAACAATTTTTAAATTTAATAATCATGAATGTGATCAAAAAGGAACTTAAATCAAACATGAAAAGCAACTTGAAGACTGTAGTATTTTCATTTATTAATTTTGTTTGTGTATCGGGAATATTGATGTCCAAGTACACTTCGACGGGGCAAGCACGAATCCTCAGCTCAACAACAATAAGACAAACAAATATAAAAGCAAAACAATTTAAGATAAAATCAAAGCTAAATATATTATTTAATAAAATTTAAATATTTGATTTTATAATTAGTTGTTGTATACACGGGAGGCAACCAGCATAGGGACGAGAGGAGACCAGCATAACTACGAGAGATAACTGGCATAACGACGAGAGGAAACCAGCATAATAACGAGAAGAGTCTGGATTAACGACGAGAGGAAACCGGCATAATAACGAGTGGAGTCTGGCATAACGACGAGAGTAGACCGGCATAGTAATTGAAGATACAAATCATATATGTAAAAAATGATTATTTTGAATTAAATATATATTTTTTTATTAAAAACCAAAAAAAATAAAAAAATTAATAAATGTAATTATAATTGATCAAATCAATTTTTTTTAAAGTAAGTTAGAATACTACCACACACATATCAATAATATATGCTATGTTAAGAGAAGTGAGGTGATTTACAATAGATCAAGATTGCAAGAAGATTATAAAGAATTAAGAGAAACTAATTAAAAAATAAATTTAAATCTTTTTATAGGTTGAATGGTTTCACTTCACTGTTATAATTAAATTAAATCAGTTGTTTCCGAATTAAGTTCTTAATTACTCAGACATCAAAAAAAATTATTAAAGATTTTATATAAACATTTAGACAATAAAATACAGCTACCAACAGAACCACAACTGACAACAACCACAACATCAAATAATTCATCAACACCTCCAAACTCACTCATTTCCAGAAATATTTCATAAAGTTGAGGTTGATGATGTTGTTGGATAAGCGATAGTGGAATGACATTTGCTACTTCTGCTCCTGGTCAAGTAATTCAACATTTATAAGTATTTGGATTCAACAAAATTACTATTTCAATAAAAATTTAAACTACCCTTATAATTATCTATTAATTTTATTTTATCGATTTGTGAAACTGAAGGAGTAGTTGAGCAGATGGAAATTGAGAGTGGCGTGTTCATCGGTAACCTAGTTATGGAGTTGATGGTAATTGAGTTGTAGAGTTGATCGAAACTAAGATATGTAGTTGAGGTAAGTATCTACAGTATCTGAGTTGTGGAGTTGACGGAAACTCTGGCTTCGGGCAACTAAGTATGGCAATTGAGTCATCAACTCAGTCCAGTTACTCAGTTCGGTAACTAAGTCAGTCCGGTAACTAACTCAATCTGGTAACTCAGTCCGGTAACTCAGTCCGGTAACTAACTCAATCAGGTAACTCAGTCAGGTAACTCAGTCCGGTAACTCAATCCGGTAACTCAGTCCGGTAACTGAGTCCGGTAACTGAGTCAGGTAACTGAGTCCGGTAACTAACTCAATCTGGTAACTCAGTCCGGCAACTCAGTCCGGTAACTAACTCAATCTGGTAACTGAGTCGGGTAACTAACTCAATCTGGTAACTCAATCTGGTAACTGAGTCCGGTAACTAACTCAATCTGGTAACTCAGTCAGGTAACTCAGTCCAGCAACTAAGTGGAATCAACTCTGTTAATAAAAGAAATAATTAAAAAGAATTTGAAAGATATCAACTTTTTATTTAAAATTTGATTGATTGATATTGTTGTTTTAAGTTTTAATTTATGAGTGTGGGGTGTGTATTATGTTATCAGCAAGGAAATAAGTAGTATTATTATTAATAAAAGTAGAAGTAGGTGAAGAAAACAATGTTGGTATTATTATTATTAGCTACATGTTTGTTATATATTGGTTGATTGATTGACAATGTTAACTAATTTTATGTTAATCTTCTCATTTATTTCTTTGGAGCGGTTGCAGCAGCTTCCTTCTCTTCATCCTTCTCCTTTTCGACTTCATCTACCAACTATTCGACTTCGGATTCCTTGAACAATTTAATTGGTTCATTTCATTTATTGATAGCAATTTCAATATTCTTATTTCCTGATTCTACAACCTATTTATTTGTTAATATTACAATAGTATTAATAATAATAGTTAGTCATAGTTGTTTACTATATTTATAGTAATAAATGAATAATATATTATTACCTCAAGAAATGATCTAACAGACAATTTAATTGAAGCAGTATCACTCTCATCTGTAAAGTTCTTCTCTAAAAATTCACTGACAGTCTTTGAGTTACGTCCGATGGCGGCTGCCTGTTCCTTCAATGAACCGGGTGGATCTGTTTGAAAAAGTTTTGGTGTACCGTCTGAATCGAAACCGACAATCAATGTAGAAATACCGAATGTCTAACACCACCACTTTGTGTATCTCTATAACAATTGTTTAAAATTCATTAAATTAGTATCAATATTTGACTCGATCGCTATAATCTTTTTGTTTTGTTCAAAGTATATTTACTTGTTGAATTCCAGCGATATATTTAGAGATATTCTACAGATGGTACATCATCCAATGATAATCTATATGATTGACACTCAACAAGAGCATATAATAAAATCATAAATAGATAATAAATATATAAAAATGTATAAATGTGTTAATGTTAATTAATAAGTTACTAATAAAGCTATAAATAATGATGATAATGATGATTATAATTATTATGTTTCATAAATGATATTAAACTTACCTTATTATATCTATAAATATGAATAAATAGATCGATTGTTGCTTGAATTACTTTAATTAAATAATCAATTATGTGTGGTTATCCCAGACCCTGGAAAGAAAAAAAAAAGGACGAACCCATTGAAATGGATCACTTGGAATAGCTTGATTGTAATATTGGAAAATAGAATAAAAAAACAATGTTGTCAGTTGTTAGTATTAATTAATGATAGAAACAAATAAATAAAGAACGAATACAAGAATAATTAAAATTGTATTCGTTTATAAATTATTTAATAGACCTACAAAAAAAACCTAGAACTTCGTTAACCTGAATTTCACTTTACATATAGTATACAAATATGATATTAATAAATAAACAACATTGAAAATAAATAAATAATAAAAAATAAATTAATAATAATATATTACCTTTTCAACGATCCTTCGGCCGTGCCCACCCTGCCGCCCATGCAACGACCAGTACCACCACCATATAGCCAAGACCATGACCAAAGAAACCAGACTCTTTTAAGATTGATCTACTATTTTATATATAATATACAAATATGATATTAATATATAAAGAAAATTGTAAATAAAAAAAAATAATAAAAAAATAAATAATATATTACCTGTACAACGATCCTTCGATCGTTCCCACCCAGCCACCCATGCATCGACCAGTACCAGCACCAGAACCACCAAACCCAGAACCTAGAATCCAGACATCTCTACCATTGATTACCTTGCCGACCCATCCTCCCAAAGTTCAAGAGACATCTAGCAATTACAATTCCAATAACAGAGACCACCACTCCATCCTGTTATTATTATTATTTACTTTTTATTGCTTGGTATTCTAAATTGATAGGTATTATTATTTGGTTTTGTTTTGTTTTTGATATTGTTAATAATGTTTAAAATGTAATTGGCAGTGTTGTCAATGTTAGTGTTGATTTTGATGATTTTGTCGTTTTTCTCTTTCCAACCAGTTGGTCTTCTAAATTGGAAGGTGTTGTGGTTTGGTTTTGATTTATTATTTATTTTTTTATATAGTTGTGAATATAGTATTTGATGTTATTAATGTAATCAATGTTAGCAATTACATTGTTGTTATTATTATTGTATTCTATTTTAATTTGATTTGTTGGAATTCTAAATTGATAAGTTGATTGATTTCCTGTTGATTTAGGGTTATTATTGATTTTGTTTCTCGAATTAAAATTGTCATTTTCGTTCTGATTGTTGTTGTTGTTGTTGTTGTTGTTTTTATTATCTTTTTTATTTTTAATTGTGGGTTGTTTAAATTGATATGTGTTTTTGTTGCCCTCTTTTTGACTAACTGTTTTTTGTTGCTGTTGCTGTTGTTGTTGTTGCTGTTGTTGCTGTTGTTGCTGTTGCTGTTGCTGTTGTTGCTTTTGTTCTCTTCTTATTCTTGATCTTTCTTTGGAAAAGTACAAAAGGAACAGATTTCGATCTGACTCATCTTTAATCTGCAGTTTCTTTTGGTTGTAAACTGTTACCAAATCCAGTGATAAACTTGTGACTGGAAAGCTTTGGATAACTTCCTCCAGCGACTTATAATTAACTATATTATTATCTTGTTGTTGTTGTTGTTGTTTGGGTTGCTGTTTATCTTCGAATTCCTTCATTACTCGTACGAATTCATGGATAAAGTAATATGAGAAACTCATTCGATCTTCTTCAACTTCGAGCTCAGCTTTCTTTTCGAAATAAATACAAACTAATTCCCACGAATAGCTGGTAATTGGAAAATTATCTATTTGATATTTAAGTTGTTGTGACATATGCATGATTTATTTAATATATAAAAGTAATGAAATATATTTAAGAGTTTGTATGTTAAGTATGATTTAAAAACGATCCAAAGGCTAAAATCTAAATTTATAATATCTATTTATGTATATATGTAATTTAATAATACTAATTTATTTTGAAATTTTTCACTCATTATATTTTTTAATTTTTTTTTTCTCAATACAATATTGTTTTTGATTGTATAGGGACATAGATAGGATTCTGATATTATTTCTTTTGTTTATTCAAAAGGCTTCACTAATCACTAGTAGTGATTGAACACTTTCAATTGCGTAAGTGGCAAAACAACAATTTTATGACAATAATTGAAAACTATCAAAAATAAAATGAAAAAGTAATAAAAATAAAGATAATTTCTTTAAATAAAATTAAAATTAATTTATTTCTTATTTTTAAAAGAAGAGAGTAAATGAGAAATCAACTATCTCTTTATTATTATTATCGATCACTATCTAAAACTATATTTGATAGAAATTTGAAAGATATATGTTAGTTTTGATCAATATTTTTCTTGAAAATATTGAGATATTAATAAAACTTACTTAGAAATAACAAATTAATATGAATATTACTTATATTGAAAAGAAAAATTTCGATATTAATAGTATTTACTAGTCTATAAATATTTAAAATAGATTTAAAAACAATCAATAATAATAAGAAACCGCCAAATTTTGAAAATAATTAACGTCATTTTATCCGATACTCTCAATTAAATAGAATAATATTTAAATATATAGATGTCTTAATTTAAAAGTTTGGTTGATGTTTTTTGATTGGCAAAAATATAAAAATAAAAAAACACACAATAAGAATAACCCACCCACACTTGACATTGTCATTCAATACCAATAAATCGTGAATCAAATCAATTAAATTGTGTTTCACTTTTAAATAAACAAACAAATATAATTTATTTAGATTTTATTTTGGTAATATATTTATCTCAACATAAAAGAAAGATTATTATATTAATTAAATATTTTATTCAATGAATACAACAAGTTGATATTTAAAATTAAAACAAAGTAATTTTTACTTAAAACTTTCAATTTTTTATTTATAATCAATTTATTTGTTAAAAGTATAAAAGATAATTTATTTAATTCTTAGTTTAAAAATATTAAATAAAAAAAACTAGAAAATAAAAGTGTACATTCCTTTGTTTTTCATTAAAGTTATTTAATGTTTCACCTTAACTCAACTTCAAAAAATAACAAACTAATAGTAATCTTTAGATGAGTGTGATAATAGAAATATCTTGATATCATATATCATAATAATAATGTAATACAGATAAGATAAGAAAAAAGTTAAATCATTTAACTTGGTTTTATTCAATTGAAGAGTACAATCAACACTTACAATCTTGGGAAGTACGAATTATCAATATGACTATGAAAGAGATGTTTAGGAATGATGAATAAGTTGAACACTTTAATCTAACTATAGAATTCAATTTGAAATTTTCATTTTATAGTAAATCACTTCTATTCTAGTATAATTGTAATTATTGTTTTAGGACAGATTTCACGAATCAATCTATTACTATTACACAATATAATCATCTTACAATTTAAATAAATAATTATAGTTTTCAATTACAATAATAATATTCTTCAATTATTTTATTTAACAAAAAACAACAATATTATTTTATTTTTGCAACATAAAAAAAAAAAAGATGAACTTGTCAAATAAAAATGGGGTGTTGCAAATTCAATAAATTAATAAAATTTAAAATTAAGCTTGTTGTTTCTTCATTGGTAATGATCGCCTGTTTTTTTTATTTTTGAATATTATATTATAATAAAATGAATTATTTAATTAATTTTAATATTTATATTTCAAATTTGAATATTAATTCAAACTTTTAATTGGCGCTTAACGGTTGCCGCCATTTTTGAGTTCAAACTGTAAGTTAACGAATCAAATTTAAAACTATATAAACCTATAATTTCTTTCACAATGTCATTTTTCATTATTTTTCAAATACAAATAATTTTGTAAGTAATAACTAATAGTTATAACTTTAACTTATTTATATCTTTGTTTTACTAACTCTTTGTTTTATCTCTTTTTATCTCTTTCTTCTTTTCCAAGTCCTCTTTACCATGCCAGTTGCCTCCTTACTATGAGTGATGCCTCGTTGCTATGATGGTTACCTCTCATTACCATGCCAGTTGCCTCTCGTCGTTATGCCAGTCTCCTCTCGTAGTTATGCCGGTTTCCTCTTGTAGTTATGCCAGCTTCCTCTCGTCGTTATGCCCGTCTCTTCTCGTTTCCTCTCGTTACTGTGCCCGTTTCCTCTCGTAGTTATGCCGGTTACCTCTCGTAGTTATGCCGGTTACCTCGTTACTATGCCGGTTACCTCTCGTTACTATGCCGGTTTCCTCTCGTCATTATGCCTGTTTCCTCTCGTCATTATGCCTGTCTCCTCTCGTAGTTATACCGGTTACCTCTCATTACCATGCCAGTTTCCTCTCGTAGTTATGCCTGTCTCCTCTAGTCGATATGCCAGTTGCCTCTCGTAGTTATGCCGGTTTCTTCTCGTTACTATGCCGGTTTCCTCTCGTAGTTATGCCTGTCTCCTCTCGTAGTTATGCTGGTTTCCTCTCGTAGTTATACCGGTTTCCTCTCGTAGTTATGCCGGTTTCCTCTCTTTGTTATGCCGGTTGTCTCTCGTAGTTATGCCAGTCTCCTCTCGTCACTCTGCGGGTTGCCTCTCGTCACTATGCCGGTTTCCTCTCTTTAGTTGACTCAGTTAACTCAATTGCCGTACTTAGTTGCCAGAATCCAGAGTTTCAATCAACTCCACAACTCGGATGCTGTTGATAGATACCTCGACTCCATAACTCAGTTACCAATGAACACGTCACTCTCAATTTCGATCTGCTCGACTACTCCTTTACCATCAGTTTCACATTTTGATAAAATAAAATCAAAAGATATAATTAAAAAGGTAGTTTAAATTTTTATTGAAATAGTAATTTTGTTGAATCCAAACACTCATAAATGTTGAATTACTTGACCAGGAGCAAAAGTAGCAAATGTCATTCTACTACCACTAATCCAACAACATCATCAACCTCAACTTTATGAAACATTTGGGGAAATGAGTGGGTTTGGAGGTGTTGATGAATTATTAGTTTCTCGTTACTATGCCGGTTGACTCTCGTAGTTATGTCGGTGTTATGCCGGTTTCCTCTAGTGGTTATGCCAAAAATTAAGTTTGTGTGAAGTTCACACAATCAAAAAAGGGGATTTAAAATTTTATATTATTTTAACATAATAAAAAAAATCATTTAATTTACTTTATTAATTAAAATCAATAATTACAATTATATAAATATGATTCTTCTTTATTCATATGCTGTTATTTTAATATTAGTAAGTTACAGTTTAAGTTATAGTTTAGCTTTGATTAGATTTAAATAAGGATTGGATTAGAGGACCTTTAATTCAAAACATTTTGTTGTTTGTATATTTGTATCTGTCTTTTTGTTTTTTTTTTTTTTTTTGTTTATAGAAGTGTAATACACTTATAATCACTTATAAGAAACATGTTAAACTTTTAGCTAACAGCAATATTTATCAATAGGGAGGTGCCATTGGATATCTCAAGTCTGCCTCTACACCATCTTTGGTGATGGGACTTCTCTCTGGTTTGCTTGTTGCCTACGGTGCATCTTTAACCGTAAGTTATCATTAAATTTAAATAAATGATAAAAGCAATATCAACTCTATTGTATTAACTTTTGCAAAATGAATAAACAAATAAATACAGAGTACAAATAAGAGACAAGGAAATCAATTGATTATGCGTAAGTATAGGTTATTAATTATTAATAGATGATTCAATTTTCAGTCAATCATATACTAACTCTTCTCTGTACTATTATATAGTTGTATCACTTGGTCTATTGATCTTTATGGGAATGAGATTCTACAACTCACAAAAGTTCATGCCAGCAGGTCTTGTATCCCTGTTTTCATTGATTGTTTTCGCAAAGACTTATTTTGAATATTAAACACTTAAGATATCAATAATATTAAGTTAACTTTAAATAAACAATCAGCTTTTAATTGTATATCTAACACTTACTGTGGTTTAGAACTAACAATCGCATTCATAATAACTTCAGTTGGATATTGTCATTAATTACCTTTTGACAATTCAATTCAATTCATTTTGTGCTTTGTACTTTGAATATTGAATCTGTTGTAACCTTAACAAACAGAGTCAGTATTGCATTTGAAAACAAACTTATAGGAAAATTACTTTAAAGAACAAAGCGTATGAGGTTCCAGATTCTTGCACTTTTGATGCACAAATAATTTAACAGATTATAAATACTAGTTAATAGACTTATTTTTTTTTAACGTTCCAATTAACTAGACCACTTGACTTTAATTCTATTCTAATGTTTAAGCTTTGGCAATGCATTAAACATTAAAAAGAAGTTAGACAACAAATTCACTATCTGTAAAGTTTATTAAAATAAAGATATATCAAAACTCGGGGATATAATATATGTATATGAAAGAAGCAAACCTTGTCATTATTAAATTAATGTAAAATAAAAGCTTGTTAGATTTAATAATGTAGATTCATTTTTAATTTTTCTACGAAAACAAACAGTTGACAGTCAAACAAACTTCACACTTCTATAAAAAAAGTCATTTAAAGTTAGTTATTATTTTATTTCTAATATAAACATCCAACGTCCAACAACAACATATGATCATTATATATTTATGTATAAAATATGTTAAGTTTTCTTCATGCAGCGAATAAGCCGAAAGAATATATTTGTTTGGACAGTTGGTTGGTTCTCTCAAAAATACCCGAACGCTTTGAAGCGACCGACGATCTACTAAAGATATGTGCTAAGCTCGAACAGATAGATGTTAGTTTTAGGGAGATTCACAGCAATGGCAATTCACAACAGAAAGATCACGATTTCATCGTCAACAAAGTGACAGAGTTCATCTTGGATATATTGAATGTTTACACTCTCTCGAAAGACTCCACCGCCAAAGTAGCATACTCCTTCATGTTGGTTGCACTCTCACATATAAGACCACAATGTACACGTGATTTAAAGTATTTAATGGTGAATATTTACATTACACAGTTAACAATCTATTTTTATTGTTAGTTTATAGTGTTAGACTAACTAACCTTAAATCTTTTCTTTTTTCTTTATAGGATATATTGGCAGCATATAACTTTAGTTTTGGTTATCATGAATCTAATTTATTTGTTGATGTATCAGTAAGTAACTGATCTGTTTTACTTTGAATTATACACCTCGCCTCATATTAATCAACTTTAAACAAACAACAATAGCACAAGTTTCCTTGCCCAAATTGTCATACCGAATGTCATGTCAAGAATAGCAAGATAGGTTTGTTTCTAAAATCAGAACAACTAGCATCTTGTTATAGTTGCTTACTAAAAGTATGTATGAATGTTTTAAATTAATAACCAAAACTAAAATATAATAATAGTTGAACAACACACATACACACACACACAAAGCACACAAACAAAACAAACAAACAAACATCATCATCATTAGGCAGATGACTTAACAATTTAATCTAATTTAATTTTATTTATTTATTTATTAAATTTGAAGTTAATATTCGCAAGGTGTCCAAGAGAGTTCTGTCAGTGTAGCTATATATGTATTTTCGATGAGCACAAAAGAATATTGATATGTTCGGTCTGTAAGAATACATTTGTTTTGAATAGTGGTTTCTATTCAAAGGCAATGACACCGCACATCGGTGCAATATCAGCGAGCATCTTTCAGAAAAACAATTTGGAGCAAGCCAAGTTGTTTCAATTGACCGTACCCATCTTACAGCAACTTCAAATCGTACCTAAACACCTGGTACATCAACATGCAATGCATCAACAAGAACTTGCAAGAATCAAGCAAACACAACAAGTTTTGGTTGCCAATCGATTAATTAGTAATAACAGAACAACAACACCAGTAATAATATCTCAACAACAGCAACAGCAACAGCAACAGCAACAGCAACAGCAACAGCAACAGCAACAACAACAACAACAACAACAACAACAACAACAACAACAACAACAACAACAACAACAACAACAGCAACAACAACAACAACAGGTACATCAAACAACACAACCTATAATTATAAAACAACAACCAAATCCATTATCATTTAGTACGAATAAACCACCAGAGATTGTACCTATTCAAAGAAGATCTATCACACCGATTCCTTCGCACAATGTACCTGTGCAAGTGGTTCAGGCACCAAAGTCTGTTGCCACCACAACAGTAGTTTTCAATAATTCTCAAGGTTTACCTCCACTTCCTGTCGTTCAAAGACCAAAGCTTTCGGCGAGCACCAACCAACAAGTGCCAATGGTCAAGCCTTTGACACCGGAGGAGCAGTTGGCCAAAGAGATGGAAGAGATTCGAAAGAGAAACTACGCAAGAGTCAAAGAGGCATGGGATTCATTCAATAGACTTGGCGAACGTTTGGCATATCGACGAAAGATACAGGAAGAAGCTGATAATGAAAGTAACAAAGGGAAACAAATATTGTTATTAACGTGGAGACCACACAGACCAGCAGTAGTAGTCAATAAAGATAATCTAGTAGTCAAGAAGAATATTGTACCGCCAAAACAACAAGAAAAGTCATCGTTTAATAGAAAGCAAAAGAAATTGTTAAGACCATGGAAAAAGAAAATGTTTTTGGAAGGTGAAATTCCACATGGTACATCACTTGAAGAGGTAGCAGAGATACTTGATAAGAAGAAGATAAAAATAGGGTTATATAGTAAAAAGAATAGTAGTCCAAGCAATAACAATAATATTAATAATAATCAAAAAACATCTGATTTTAAGAAATCATCAGCATCCAAATTTAGAGATAATATTATTGATTCTCAAAAAGATAAAGAAAAGGAGAGACAAAAGGAAAGAGAGAAGGAGAGGGAAAAGGAAAGAGAGAGAGAGAGAGAAAGACAGAAACAAAAAGAAAGAGAAAAGGAAAAAGAAAGAGAAAGAGAAAGAGAGAGGGAAAAAGAAAAAGAAAGAGAGAGGGAAAGAGAAAGAGAGAAATTAAGAATAAGAGAGAAAAATAAAGCAAAAGAGAGGCAAAGAGAAAGAGAGAAAGAAAAGGAAAGAGAAAGAGAGAAGGAAAAGGAGAGAGAGAAAGAGAAAGACAGGGAAAGAGAGAAAGAAAGAGAAAGAGCTAGGTCAAGAGAAAGAGAAAAAGAAAAGGAAAAAGATAGATCGAAATCAAAGGAAAGAGAAAGAAGCAAAGAAAGAAACAAATCACCAAAGAGAGAGAAAGTCTTGGATGTGGATGATGAAGAAGAAGAGTACGCAGTGGAATGTATTTTACGTCATAAATATGTAGGTGGTGAATTAGAGTATTTGGTGAAGTGGGAAGGATATTCATCGGAAGAATCCAGTTGGGTCAAAGAAAAAGACTGTAATTGTACAGCGCTTATTCAAAAGTACTTAAGTTCTCAAGGATTGAAATCACTTTAATGTTAGTAAGATTACAATTCATCAAACCAACTTATTGTTATATATTAAAATAAAACAAAAAGATTACTTTTTTTTTTTTTTTTAATACAAATCTTACTTCTATCTATTATTATAAGTATTTTTATTGGTTTTGTTTTTGTTGTTGTTGTTGAATTTGTTGATTTCCAACTCTTATGTCTTTGAGTAATGCTTTTGCTTCTTCTTTCTCTGGACCGGCATAGTCGAGCAGTCGTAGACAATACTTTTCGGCTTGGTCGAATTGCCCGAGTTTCTTGTGGTGGTGCGCCAGGAAGTGAAGTGCATCGATTGTCTCTTGACCATCGATTTTCTCGTTGTCGCGATGATAGAGATTCTTCTTGTAGTAATAGGCAGCCTCTTCGTTTCTCTGCATGTCTTGGTAGAGCTTGGCAAGCTTGGAGAGTGCGACACGCTCACGATCATAGTTCTCCTCTGCTCGCTCGTAGCAACGAATGGCATCTGGTATTCTCTCGAGAATCTCATAGCAACCAGCGACCGCACACCACATTCTCGGGTCATACGGATGTATTGCCGTTGCCTTCTGGAAGTAGTAGAGCGAGTACAACGGTAGCTTAAGCAACTGATAGGTTTGTCCAAGTCCATACCACGCCCTGTAGTCTTTCGAGTTGATATCCACTGCTTTTCTATAGGCATTGATAGCAGCCGCTACATTTTTAATCTCCAAGAATTCGTGACCAATCAATGTCCATGCTAAATGATCATTTTTAATAACAATATAGTTAATTGGCTATGATCAAATATAAACATAGTAGTTTAATATTATTTAAATGTAATATCTAATTAAACTTACCAGCTAGATATTTATCATTCAATTTCAATGCTCTTTGGAAATAGAGTATCGCTTTATCATGTTCCGATTTCAAACTGTAGTAGTTACCAATGATACAACAGGTCTCTGGAGAATACTTTTCGGTGGTCATAGCTTTGTGAGCCAACATACTAAGATTCGCTTTATTATTATGAACGTACAAGATATTGCTGTAAACATCGATACTCTCTAATCTATGTGGTTCAATCTCTAATATCTTTTCAAACAATTCCTCTGCAACACCATATTCTATAGATTATTATTTTAATGAAAAGTTAATAAAATAATAATAGTATTTCAAAAAGTATTATTATTTACCTCTAAGATTATAATGTCCAATGGCATTTTGTGCAGCTATATAAGTTGAATTTGGGAATGTTTTCGAGAGGTTATTGTAGATGGAGAGTGCCTCTTTGTTTTGTTGTAGTTCGAGTGTGGTGTGCGCATAGAAGAAATCTTTCATAAAGTGATCTGGTAGTTTCAGTTGTGATATAGATTGTAGATCTTGACAGAGCGAAGCAAGATCGTGCCAAGCCGACCAATTGCAAGGATAGAGTGTCACCGACTTTACCAGTACTTGTTTGGCACTGGCGATGTTGTTGTTCTTCTTCAGTATAACCGCATAGAGGTAAAGCAAGAAAGCATCTTGACATTGCTCACCAGTATTGCGGTACCACTGTTCCATCTTATTGGAAAGTTGTAACATCTCTCTGGTTACCTCTGCATTACCACCACCACCACCACCACCACTATTATTTGCACTACCACCTGATTTTCCACCTGCGGTATTCTTATCCATTCCACCATCTAACTGTGTATTGACGTTGCCGTCATTCGAAGGGTTGTTCCCACCGCTACCATTTCCAGATGAAGGAGAAGAAGAAGAACCACTTGTTCCACTATTGTTATTGCTACTATTGTTAGACCCTCCAGATGTAGATTCTTTACTCTCGATCGATTCCTCAAGAGAACGCTTCTCATAGGCAAGATAGAGTGAATACCACTGGAGAAAGAGTGACAGTGAACTCCTGCAGCTCTGATGCTCCAAGACATCTGCACAACGTCTGTACTCTTTCAAATCGAAATAGCTCTTTGCCAATGTGTACTTTACATGTTCTTCACTTCCATACTTGATAGTGCTATTCGATCGTACTTCTTTTTCTCTTTCGGTTCTACTGGAGACCGAAGAATCCGACAGACCAACGAATTCATGTCGTGAATGTGAACCGACAACCACACAACACTGACAGATCTCTGTGTTACAATCTAAACAGTAGGCAATACAATCATAGGTATTGTGTATTTTACATTTTATCTCTATATCTATATCTAAACAATCTTGATCTACATGATTATCACTGCTGTTGTTGTCGTTGTTGCTGCTGTTGAACACCTGTGAATCTAAACCATTAAGTTGTTCTGACGACCATTTTGAACTTAAGTATAAACCTCTTTTCGATAGATCTTCAATCGATTTGATTAATTGATTTTTTATTTTATATATTGTTTTACTATTTGTGTTGTTCATGGTAAATAGTTTTATTTACATTAAACTAACAAGCTTTTAATATCACAAAATTTGATTTTAAATATTTTTGATTTGGCGCTTAAATTTTCACAGAATTTTTAAATAAAAAAGACTTTAGTTAATTAACTAAAATAAATGATCATTTTGTAATCTTTAAACATAAAATCATATTCATTAATCATTGTATTATAATTATGAAACGATTCTATAAACAACTTCCAAAAGGGTATTTACTTTTTTCAAAAAAAAAAAGTAATGTATCTAAGAGTATGTATTAAAAGTATCTAAATAAAAATTTGGAAATCATTATAAAATAAATGATATATTTTTTATAAAGTTAATATAACTTTCTATTTGGATAGAAATCAACCAGTAAGATTTGTTTTGTTATGATCCATCAACTTTAAAGGAATTCTTAAAGATTGACAAGTTTAATTATTTTTAATAAAAAAAATCGTATACCTTTTAGTATTATAGAATAAGGGTAGTAAATATCAATTGAACAGATTTTGTTTTTCTTAAAAAAGGAGATTTTTGGTTTTGGATTTTCCCACACCAAAACCAAAACTAAAAAAATCTTTAATTGGTTCTCATAAACATGCGAAATTCAAGTATCGCAATAATAAAAAAAGATCTATATTCAGATATCACCTAAAATCTACACCCCTCTTTTGCATTGCAACGGTATTACTTTTTTACTGAAAAACATACCAGACAAAATCAATTACCCCATCATAAGTATAGTCGATGACATACCCATTGTTATATGTAATAGCCCTTTAATTTTAGAGTAGTTGAGAATCGAGTCTTTGTAAGAATATTAATAAAAAGAATTCTTTTGTCTCTCTCTCTTTCTCCCTCTAAGCAGCAAACAACAAACAACAAGCAACATCTATCTTTTAAGAAAAACAAAAAAAAAAGGTACTCTATTAATCATTTTCTTTAGGTTATCACAACAATAACAAATAATATTAAATAATACATAAAACTTCTATCTATCTTATCTTCTCCAGTAACAAAAAATATTATTTATACAAATAAATATCAAATTCGTATTAAAAATAATGACTATTTAAAAAAACAAAAAACAATAAATTAATAAAACAATACAACTAATTTGATTTATAGATAAATAATAACAATATCAAAATCTTTATATACTTATTTATAGTTTTATTATTTTCTTTAATTTTATTAAAAACCACCTATTCAAAACCAATATTAAAATAAAAAATATTATTACCATATATTCTATAGACGAAAAATAAAAACAAACCACACACCCACACCCCAGCTTACAACATCCCTCATCTTTTATTATTGTTTGTTGTGTTTTTTTTTATATAATAAACAAAAAAGACCCACAAACCACACAGTTCAGACAAGCAGCTGGACATCGTTGGACATATTGAAAGTTTAAAGTTTTTACACCCCTCTAAACAACTATTGAACTCATTGACATCACACTTTTCTATCGATTAGATCTAATCGTTCAACTCCTAGAACACAAGTGGTTGTCGACTGGTCTACAATTTATTAGTTCAAAATTTTATTTTTTATTTTTAACAATTTTTTCTAACTACCAGGGTACTTTTATATCGTTTTATATCCTCTGCTAGCCAAATAATTTCTTTTACCTCTTTTAAAATTCATTAGACTTTGCACACTCGTCTTTCTAAACAGTTTTTCTTTATTCTTTGTTTTGTTAATTTTCTTTTCTGCCTTTTCATTGTCAGAAATCATCAACAAACTGTTTGTTTTTATTTCAAATTTTTTGTTTTCTTTTAATATTGTATGTCATTCATTATTCATATGTAATTTGTAATATATCAATTAATTAATTAATTATTCCAGTAGTTTACAATTTGCAGTTCAAAATTTAGTTTTTGTTTTTTTTTTTGGTCCATCCATTTTTAGTTTTATCAAATATATATAATTAAGAATAATGAATGGAACAATTAATCATATTGACTCTAGTTTCATAACATCAATGAGAAACGAGTCACCAGTATTAAGTTTCATTGAAAATGTAGATAGGTATGAGAAAATTCAATTTTACAAAAACCAAAAACAAAATTAAATAATCTAATTTATTATTCTTTATTTTTATTATTATTTTTTAAATTTATTAGAATATTAAATCTTACCAAATCTCAATACCCTCAACTCCAACATACTGGAATGTTTTCACTTAGTGAACTTACATTTCAAAGATTCAAATACATGGTAACAGTCTTTGCTAAATTCAGATCATTCACTCCAATTCTTTCATTGTTGGCCTCTAAAGAGAAGAAAACCAGAGATATTGTTATTTCTTTATTATGGAATTTTTCAGCTGAAGGTAAAATCATTTTACAATATATATTAAAAATTTTCATTCCTACAATTGTTAACCACCATTTCATATTCAGAGAGTTTAAAAATAAAAATGTTTGACGAAGGTATTTTTGATTATATTTTTGATAATATGGACAAGTTGGGAGAAGACCAAACTCTGGCGATATCAGCAATCATCCAAAATCTTTCAGAGTATCGATTCGAGAGAGGTATTATCAATCAAAATCAACTAAAGATCACAAAGAACAAAAGATTGATGTCACTGTTGCTCGAGAGATCCAGAGGTAGAGACAAGAAGTTGAAGTTCCTTTCATGCCTCACCATTTGCAATCTATCGATGCACGAAGAGATCCGACTGAAATTCATTAAGGAAGGTCATTTCCAACCGATTCTGGACTTTATCAATGAGTATCACGAAGATTACCAGTTCCCTGCGACTTTTAATTGGGTTACCCTACAACCACACGTTCCACTCTTGGAATCTAAAGATGTAGAAGTTCAATCATTTGTATTATATTGTATTAATAGTTTTTCATCTGGATGTAAGTCTATACTATTTTTTTTGATATTATATATCTCTCTATCCAATTTCATCAGAACTAACCAACCAACCAACTATATAAATATAAATCAAAGCGAGATATGATCGATCACTTTGGAAAGGACTAATGGAAAACAAAGGAGTATTATCATTAATGAATTTAACAAAATCAAATAATCAATTCGTATCCAGTTTGGCAATGAAAATATCCAAATCACTTGGATTAGGTGGTATGTAATCTACTATTCATCTGTATTTTATCTTATAGATATTAACAAATAATATTACTATTTTTAGAATCTTCTATTTTAGTTGAAGATCCAGAAGTTGAAATGAAAGAAAATATTCAGAATTTATATATCCAATCTTTATTTACTGATGTATGTATTTCCAAAAACAATCTATTTATTAAATACTAAGATAATTTATACTTACATGTTAAAAATGAATATAGTTTACTATTCAATGTGGATCTGAATCGTTTAAGATACATAAATCCATTTGTTTGGCAAGATGTCCTAAATTAAAGGATATACTCAAGGAGCAAGATAAGAATATAAAGATTGCTAACGATAGTGAAGGAATGGCTAGTGAGTATCTAGAGGTACAGGATTACGCACTGTTTGAGATTCTAAGAGAGATATTCAGATTCCTCTACGGTTTCAATCCAGTGATGAACGATAACACTGCCAAGGTTATCATTCGCTATGCCAGCCGTCTCGAACTGGAGGAACTCAAGCAATACTGTGAATACTACTTGTGGCACTACATCGACTGTGACAATGCTGGAGAGTATCTGGACATTGCCATAGAGAGTGGTGCACAACAACTAAAGAAAGTGGCAAGCGAATTTATCATAAGAAATATTGGTTTCATCTATAATGGCAACTTTGCTTACTATGTACCAACTAATTCTCCTCCTACCACAAGTTTAAATATTAATAACAATAATAATAATAATAGTAACAACAATAACAATAATAATAATAATAATGATATAAATAATGGAATGAACTTGGAAAATTGTAAAATAGAATCAGATGAAGAAGGTGAAGATGAACCAACAAGTAGTAATATTAACAATAACAATAATAATAGCAATAATATAAAAAAGCAAACTAAGTGGAGAGGTCATTGGAATGATACAACTAAAGTACATGTATATGAAAACTATCGAAAGTTTTTAGAGAAACAAAAGAAAGAAATATTTCAACTAAATCTTGAAGTAATGAACCAATAAGAGTACCTCCTCCTTTTTAAAAACAAACTTCTGTTTCTAAATATCTAAACCTTTATATATATAGTATCAATAAATAAATAAAATAAAACATATATTTCGAAAGCTTTATCTTTAACATCTTTCACCAAAATAGTTCGAAGAAAAATTATTTAATTAAATTTTGATTATTTTTTTTTTAAGTCATCACAACACCAATTTTTTTTTAAAAATATTTATTTTAGTTTTCATTCAAGTTTATTATTATCTTTTTTTAATCTACATTTCTTTCTTTTTTTTTTTTTTTTTTTTTCTATTTAAAAAATCTATATATATATATATATTTTATAACTATTTATTATCAACATATAATGAATAGTGTTCAACCAAGATTTGACCCTGCAGTACTAGATAAATATAGACCAAAGATTATTGTCGATGAACGTTACAAGGCACCTGAAAAATTATTAAATAAGAAAACTGTAAAATACTCTTTGGACGAAGATGACGATGGTAAGTTTGTGTTTGTTTATCTATTTGAATGAGAATGAGTTAAAAGGATTTGGTTATTAATCATATGAATATTGCTATTATTGTTTGTTGGGATATTAATTAGAGAAGAAACCACCAAAGAAATCAACACCTAAAAGAGAAAGAGATAGAGATGGCAGTAGAGACGACGATAATGACAGAGAGATAAAAGAGAGAAAATCGAAAAAGACAACATCCACCTCATCACCTTCTTCATCTTCATCAAAGAAGAAATCGCCGGCGAAACAAGAGGAACCACCAAAGAAACAAGCACCTACCATTGCAACGAAACTACTGAACGATGCTCAAAATGACTTCTTATGGGGTGTATCAATTAAGAAATCGAATGCAGGTGAACCAATACCAAATAATATAAATAATAATAATAATAATAATAGATCTTCAACAGCATCATCTCATTCAAATGGTTCAACAAAATCATCTTCATCTTCATCACCTTATTCAAATGGATCAAAATCATCATCATCATCTTCTTCTTCTTATTACTCATCATCAAAACAATCATCATCTTCTTCAACATCATCAACATCAAATAATAGTAGTAATTCACATGTAGTAAAGAAACCAAATATTTCTACAACAACTTCAACAACATCAACATCAAAATCATCACCATCATTAAATTCAACAAGTAATACTAATAGTAATAGTAAATCATCAAATTCTGTTAATAATAAATCATCATCATCATCAACTTCTACATCATCTTCATCGACACCATCTAAACAACTAGTAAATAGTAGTAAAATATCTACAAACTCATCACCAATCATTAGATCACAACCAACAATCGTTAAGATGACACCTACAAATTCGCCATATACCAACACTCCTTTACATAGTACATCAGTTGGCAACAGGAGACAACCAGTAGTCATGGTATCGTCATCCCTAGCAAAACATAACATTAACTTACCCAATTCATCACCGTCCACCTCATCCAATAACAAACAAGATAGTCGCGATAACAGTAAGGATAAAAACAGCCGAGATGGTAAAGATAGCAGAGAAAGAAGAGACAGCAGAGACAACAGAGATAGTAGAACAAAGACTAGCAAAGATAGTAGAGATAGTAGCAGAGATAACGGTAGAAATGGAAATGGTAATGGAAACGGCAGTAGCAGACCGAGAACTAGTGGCAGTGGAGGTGGAAGAGATAAATCACCTCCAAGAAGACAACAGCAGCAACAGCCACAGAAACAACCTCAGAGAAGATACAACGACGACTATGACGACTCTGAGGATGACTACGATGATGAATACGATGAATACGAGTCAGACGATGATTTTATTGATGATGGCGAGACAGACGAGGCAAGAACAGAGCTAAATAAGATATTTTCGAAAATGAGAGGTTTTAAATCACATAGAAACAGTCGATACGATGATGATGATTTTGACGATCGCTCTATGGACGCTGGTTTCCATGAGATCCAAGAAGAAGAGAGAAGATCTTCATATTTCGCACAAAAGGAAGATAGACTTGCCTTGGAGGATGAAGAGAGACACCGAAAAGAGAAAGAAGCGAAAAAGAAGAGACTAAATTCTTCAAAGTACTGACATTGACCTTTCAAATAATAATATTAGATAAACAAAAAAAAAAAAAAAGGATCATCTCATTTATACCTTATAAATATATAAATATATAAACGGAAATTTAATAAAATCAAATTTGACTAATTATTTCACTGCACCAATATCCATATTATTTGGTTGTGGAAAAAAAATAAGTTTTTTTTGTTAAGAATTCTTTTTAAATTATATACTTTGATATTATTATATATATTATTATTCATTGGTTATTTATTATAAATCTGAAAATTATATATCTTTGTTTTATTATTTTATATCTTCAAAAGTAAAAAAATTTGTTTTTAAAAGAATTATTTAATTTATTTATTTTATTTAAAAGATATTGAATATTGATATCAATTATTAAAAAGATAAATTGTATTGTTGACAATGGATAGAGTTTATACAAACTTCATGTTGACTTCCCAACGGACAGCAATACCATTTGGATTCCAGGTTACTGGCTTGAGCAAAACGTTACGGACTCTTCTGGCTCCTCCAAAGTCAATGTACTTGACAGTGTTACGATCAGTGAGACCAGAATTGTAGGTACCAATAGTGGTCCAAGCGAAACCATCAAGTGAGACTTGGATTTGGAATGAGGTGACCCATTGATCGTAATCGTAACGACCTTGAATTTGAATACCGTATACATCGAATGGAGTGATGCTGCTTGCCATGATCCATTCACCATTGTTATTTATAACACTGGTAGCTGGGCACCAACTATAATCAAAAAAGTTTAATAGAATATTTTAATATGTTTTAAACTTATTTTTTACTTATTCATTGAACTTACGCTCTGACTGGTCTATTTAACTTTGAGTTGAAAACTGAATGCTCAGCATTGTAGTCAGTAGTACTAGATAAAATTAAGTAACCATTTTGGATACCTGGTAAGGTACCAGCTGGCTGGGAAATAACAGCTCCAATAAGCAAAGCAAGAATAAATATTTGTTTATACATTTTATATAAAGTTAATTGATTGAATGATTTTCTAACTTCAACAGTTTAGGTATTTATAGTTTTCAACTTTCTAAAAAAAAAGAACATTAATTTATGTTTTTTTCGAAATATAACCCATTATACTACAGATAGCAAACCATATCAGACAGTTATTTCTATTTGATTGAATTCGAAGAATATTTCCAAAGACTCCATTATTGGGCAAAAATATTTGCAGTATCCAACATTTGTCAATATACTTTGAATTAAAAAAGTTTGGACAACAAAACTTTAGATTTATTCAAATATATTGATTGAATTTCACTTCTATTTAGAATTTGGTGGGTAATAACATATCATTCATTCAATTTTAATTCTCAACAATAAAAAAAAAAAACTTTAAATTAAAATCGATCAATAAGTCCAGATGAAAAAAATTTATTGGGCAACCAGATTATAGTTAAATCAAAACTCACTATTTCCACAAAGATGAAGGTGCTAAAAAAAAAACTGGTGCTGCTTCCTTAAATTAAATATCTAATATTAAGAAACAATGTTTTTTCTTTGATTTTGATAACCATAATTTTATGATACAACCCACAACAACTAATTTGCTATATATACTCTCAGATTGTATTTTTTGCAAGTGATATGTGATCAGCAAATGAATGCTATAAGTTGATCAACGATTTTACAGGAAACGCTTCCATCAGATTAACTTTAATGTTTCCGCTTAAAAAAAAAATAAAGGGCAATTTACAAACAATCAATTCCAAAGGGTAAACTCTTTGACTTGATTTTTGTTGATTGAAAAGTAAAATACAATATTAAGTATTTAATTACTTGAACTCAATCTATCAATCAATCTTTCTTTCGGTTTGATGCAAACATTCAATATTTTGAATAACGATATTTATTTCAAACATCTCTCCTCCCTCGTTTTTTATTTATTTTATTTTGTTATACTTTGAGTAGTGTAGTTAAATTGATTTGCTTGTTGTTGGTGATGTTTGCGATGTTGGTGATGTTATGTTACTTTTTACCATCATACTTTGAATTGCAGCTAAAATTTTCTTACGATCACCAATCTTAATGTTCATTTCTCTGAGGTCTTGATCTGTAAGGCTGCCAAGAGTTTCTGTGGTTATACATTGATTTTCAAAGTCACTAACAATATGAGGTAGTTGGATACTCTTCAACATCAATCTAACACCTTCACAGCGATACTTCTCCATTCGCAGAGCATTCAGAATTTCAAGCGACTTATCTGCAGCACCACTACAGAATCGCTCGAGAAGCGCATCATCGAAAGTCATGATATCGCATCCCTGAATGTTGAACCGGTCAAACTCTGCAACAATAGCAGGGGGTGCATTCATTTTCAACAGTAGCCAACTGTAGACATGACGATCGTTCCAATCTTTGATGTAGTTTGGAATCTGTGAGCACTCGGTCAGCGAATTGGGTGGGAATACCAAGGTAGGGTCTCTGAACACCACATTGATAGGGACGTGTAGATACAGATCTACACAGTTTGGAATATCAAGTTGCACCCACAATTCATACTCCAATCTTAACATACCCTTACTAAAAGTAGAGGGTATCAAATTGTTTGGTAGCTCAAAAGCCATCGGTTGACTAATAGTTCCACCAGCACTTTAATATTGATTGGTTCAATAAAATAGAAATTTTGTTAGTTCAGAGAATTTGATTATTATAAGTAACTAGCTATAGCTTTTCTACTTACTAAACCTTTGAAATGAACTGTTTGGTGGCCGAAGCTATTTTTAAGGGAACAGTTTTCACATCGTTGTGCTCCTCACGTTTTCTCAATGAAAAATCAACTCTTTTGATTGTCTTTTTACTCTTATTGACAACCCTTACATCCAATTCGATATCTTCACCTGGTGAATAACAGTTCTTTGGTGCTGAAACACTTAGCTCTATCGTTCCTCCAGTTAATGGTGATTTTGATGTCTGAAAAAAAAAAAATAATATTATTAAAATTATTTAAAAAAATTATAATAAAGTAGTTAGATAGTGTCTTACATTTAAACTTATAGGTAATGCCGTTGATTTATAGTTTGTATCTTCGATGTTGACAACTCTGATTGGTTTTACTTTACATTCATCGGGAAGGTTGACAGTGTCAGCGTAGAAAGTGATACTATACTCGACTTTGTATTCACCGGCTTGAATCGATGACCTACACTCCTTGGGAATATAAAATTGGAAAGGGAAGAGATGCTTTCCAGTATCGAGTTTAACCTTCTTAAAGTGATTGGCACCACCGTCGAAACTGTGCAGTAGATCACGTGTATCCGATACCATTGTCTTTACTTTTCTAGCGCCATTCGTTATCTTTCCTTTGAATGTAACAAACAGTGCCCTCACCCACACGGGATTGAGAACGGTGTAGACTACCGACGACTGTATTTCCGAGCCGGTCAAGTAGATCTTCTCACTGTAGATCTCGCCCGGCGTAGAGAACTCGACGGTCGTTGCCAAGGGGATGGTGGCGATGTAGCTCGGCTGGAAGTGCACGGGTGGTGGCATCGTGTCGTAACCGGTACTCACTAGATTGGTCGGAACTGTCGGTACCAAGACCTCCGTGCCATCCAACGATTTCTGTACGACGAGCAGTGGTGGAGTGAAGTCAAAGGTAATTCTCAAGAATCCTTTCTTCACTAACGGTAACCAACGATCTCTTTCCGAATTCAAAACGTGTTGTTTAAGAGTCGCCACTGTCACACTGACCTTTCCAATCGATTTATTCGATCCTATTCTCTCCCAATCAAAAACTTCGAAATCAAGATTATCATTATCTTCAACATTTTGTCTATTAGATTATTATCAAAATTTATTAGTAACGCAAATCTAAACTCTATCCATGGCAGCAGGTTTGTTCTACTTACAAATCGACAATATAATTCCAAAGGGGTGTAAGAGTATTCTTTATTACATCTGTTTTATAAGTTGTACTTTTAAATTTCAATACGGTGAACTAAAAGTACAAAGTACATTAAATAAAATCACTTTTAGTTTCATCCACAACCATCAACATTGTTTATCTATCTTACCGGATCGGAAGCACCTGCCAGAGTGTTGTTTGCTTTGAGCTCTTTTGCTTCTGCAATGACTATTCTTAAATTTCTTGGTTTATTGTTAGCCATTATAATTGTAATTGTGATATATTGTTAACAAATAACTAATAACTAATAATTGATATAAAGTGATATTAAATCATTCCTATTTAATAAAAAAAGATTCATCTTTTGCAACACTCCGTTTTGAGAACAAGTCACGAAATGGCTGATACCAAACACAAAAAAATTCCATTTTTATCCACCAGGGATCAATCAAATCAATCCCTAGTCAAACACCGATCTTGATGATTATTAAGATAATCAAAAAATTGATAAAAAAAAAAACAAATAAATAAATATAGCAAAAAATAACTATTTATAAAGATTTTTTTTTAATATATATTTATTTTTTAATTTTTAATTTTATTTTATTTGTTGGGAAAAAAAAAACTTTACTGTGGATTGATGTTTACTTTGAGTCTTTTGGTGCTTGTCTGTAAACTCCAACTACAAGTGCGTGATGACGTTCATATGGATCGAGATTTTTCAAGAGTTGTTGTGGTTTGAGTTTTTCGGCTTTTAATTTTTCGACTTCTTTGGCTACTACAACATCGGTTGGTGCAGTGGAATCAATACAGTTGGCTTTAATTGAAATGATAAAGTGACCATCGTTCTTGAGGAAATATGCAGCGTTTTGTGATACAATTTGGGCTTGATTTGGTTGGGCAACATCGGCAAACAATACATCGACCATACCGATCAACATTCTATATTTATGTGGGTGACGAGCGTCTTCAATGATTGGGATGACGTTTGTACGCTTCTTGGCCATACCGATTAAGTCACGACCGGAACGGGCAGACAATTCAACTCCATATACAACACCCTCTGGTCCGACGACGTCAGAGACGTGAGAAACAGTGGTACCTGAAGCAGCACCCAAATATAATACCTTGCAACCTGGACGAATGTAAATATTCTCGATACCACGATGCAAAGCGGCGGCAATCTTGGAACGGAATGGATTCCAGATTCTGTATTCCTTCTTTTCAGTTCCGACTTCGACAGAGACACGCTTCTCACCGTAGACAGACTCTCCAATGGTTGAGTTGAGAGTGGCGAATGATTCTTCCTTTCCTTGAACCAAGAAGACACCTTCGTATCTTGGATGCTTCTCGACGACGACCTTGGCTCCTCCACGACCACCGGCGGCTCCTCCACGACCACCACGGGCACCGAGACCTGGACCTCCACGACCACCACGACCACCGGCACCACCACGACCACGGTCTCCACCGAAACCACCACGACCTCCACGTCCACCACGGTCTCCACCGAAACCTCCACGACCTCCACGTCCACCACGGTCTCCACCACCGCCACGACCTCCACCGAAACCACCACGGCCACCACGGTCGCTACCACCACCACGGCCACCACCGAAACCACCACGACCACCACCGAAACCTCCACGGCCTCCACCTCTAGATCCACCTCTTCCTTCCATTATATTTCTATATTCTTATATTTATATAACTTTTTTAGATTTTCGATTCTTTTTTTTATATTTGTTTCTGGTTGATTTAAATCTCTTTTTTTTTTTTTTTTTGTGTTTAAAAACGAAAGTAAAAAAAAGAGAGTGATACTATTGATTAATGATTTTAACTGAAAAAACTGATAAAATGATTGAATCAATATATTATTTTGCTAATGCTACTAGTATAATAAATACACACAAAAACAAAAAAAAGTAATAAATATAAAGAAATAAAAAGTTGAGAGTCTTATGAAAAAAATAAAACTTTTTTTAAAATTTTTATCAAAACTCGTTCGTTAGTTAATTTTTTGATTTTTTCATTATTTTTTTTTCATTTTTCGAAATCATCAAAACAAAAAAACTAATCTGTAACGTTATTCAAATTTACATCTATTTTTATTCGGCGGACCATATTTTTATCAACTGATTTCAGTAGTTCTATTTCTAAATTGAAATATAATTATAATCACTTCTTATATCTTTTTATTTTTATTTGTTTTTTTTCTTTATTTAATCAAAAAGAAATATATTTTTGATTATGATTATATCATTTATTAATTAATGATTAAAAAAAAACAATAAACAAATAAATCGATATAAATAAATAAGGAATTCGAGTTAATTGTACAATGCAAATATATATTTAATGCTAATTTTATTAAAAATAAATTAATTTAATAAAATATTTTTGGATCGGTCATAATAAAAATGGTCATTGCAAAAAAAACCACACAAATTGGATAATTGTGTGTGTTTGTGTGTGTGGATGGAAAACAACAAAGGAAAATGAATAAAATTAAAGTCAGACAATATAATTGTTAATCTTGTTGTGAAATTTATACAGACATAATTATCTAATAAAGTAAACTAATATTGTTGGGTATTTGTATATAATTAAAAAAATTATATTAAAGAAAAAAAAATATTTGTGTTTGTAGGTATCAAGATGAAATTTAATATTAAACAACAATGACACCACGTCATGGCATGTTGATAGGTAGTAAGATGTTTTGTGTATTCCTCAAATTAAATAATCGGAGTTATTTTTTTTTTTGATTATCTTCTTTTTTTGATTTTTTTTTCTTTCAAAGTTGTTTAAAATAAATATTTCCAAATTAATTAATTAAAAATAATAGTCTATCAGTCATAATAAAATATCCAAATTTCCAAATTTAATTTGTGATATCAATCTTATTGTTATCTATCTTATTGTTTTTCACTTTAATTATTTTAGTTTAAAACTTTACTCTCTTAAGTCATCATTTTGTTGTTGTTTTTTAAAATATATATCATCTTGGAGTTTAATTTAAACCAAATAGTTATAATAAAAACAAAAAATCATTAAATTTGAGATAATTAAGGAAACAAACTTAATTCATTGGATATCAAATTATCGAATCATTATTCATCAAAAGTAGTAATTATGATAATTATAAAACTTAAATAATACTATTTATTTCATTCCATTCAACTCTATTTCAAATTTCAACTTTTTTAATTAATTATCTATTATTTTTATATTAATTTTATTATTTCATTATTATATTACTATATTAAAATTAATCATAGAAATTTTTAGGTTTGATGGAAACATCTGAAGAAACATATTGTCATGATATATTACCTTGTTCTGGAACTATAACTGGTGACCTATTTTTACAAGTGGTCTATGCATTTTTATTGGGTGTTGGTTCAAGGTTAATTTCGCTAGGAAGTGAGTTTTTGTTGGAAGTAGGTTTTGCAATTTGTTTTCATTTTCATTTTGTTTTTGTATTTATTTATTAATGATGATAACAATGAATGTAATTATTATTTGTATAATCTAGATTATAGCACCAGGTATCATTGGAGGATTGGTATTACCATTGTTGGGAACATTACCGGATGCAGCAATTATATTTGTCAGTTGTTTGGGAGGTACACCTGCGGAGATACAACACAAGGTAACTGTTGGTGTCGGTAGTTTGACGGGTGGCAATACATTTTTGATTACCATTCCCTGGGCAATCGCTGTGTTTAGAGGTCGTTGCGATATCTCACAGGTCACCGGGTTGGCAAAGAATAAGATCTACACCGGGTGGTCTTGGAAGAACAGCGGTGTCTCTGTGATGTCCTACACACCGGTACTATGTCGTATTATGATCGGTACACTCTTTCCTTACCTAATGATCACCATTGCCTTTATTATCTCTGAGGCACAGGGTTCACAACTCGAAGAGAAAGAGAAATACTGGGCATTGGCAACCAGTATCCTATGTCTAGTTGGCTTCGTTGCCTACAGTATCTATCAAATGTATGACGTTAGATATCAAGAGAGAAAGTTAACATTAATTAGAAAGAGATTCCTATGGGATCAAGTAAGTTATAAATAACTATTCTTTTGTTTTTATAGAGTTAACAGAGAGAGAGAGAGATACTAATCATTATTTTGTTTTTATCTAGTTTTTGAAACATGTATCTACACAAGTAAAGAACAGTTTGAAAAAGAGAACTTTTGAAAGAAGTTTGAGTGTTCCATCGGTAAAGAAACATAGATTTGAACATGAAGTGGTTTTAGATAAAACAAAGAGACCTCTTAAAGAGGAGGAGAAATTGGAATTACCACCACCACCACCACCAGCACAGAGAAAGGAATTGGATACGAGTAAGATTCTCTCTTCATCCACAACGTCAACCACTACCACCACTACCTCTACTACAGAGACAGCTGCCACCAACATTCAATGTATACTTGATAGTAATAACAATAACAATAATATTACTGATCAACAACAGAGACAACAACAACATCAACCACTTGTACAGCAGCAGCAGCAACCAAAAGACAGCAGATTGCAACAGTTGATCAATGAGAAACCAGGTGAGAAACGAAACATCAACTTTTCATTCCCAAGAAGAATTAAAGACTATTCTCATCATGTAATTCCACCAACACCAACCTATATACATTTATATCAACATCATCAACAACAGCAACAAACAACTCAGCAACAAACAAATCAACAACAACAGCAACCATCATCAAAACTCTCACAATCATCAAATATCAACAATGAACAATCAAATAATCTTGGAAAGGTGTTCCAAGGACTACAGAGTAAGATCAACGATCTCGATGAAGACGACCTTCTGAGACACGTCGATACCTCTCACCAGCAGCAACACCAAGTGGTCGATCTATCAATAGATCCCTACGAGGATGAACCCAAAGACAAGATCAACAAACGAAAACTCATATTGAAAGCAGTGTCATCGTTGCTCTTTGGAACTGCTCTCATCTTTTTGTTTGCCGATGCATTCGTCGAAACGATCACCCGATTCTCTGGTCGTATAGGAATACAGCCATTCTACATCTCCTTTGTAGTGGCACCGTTCGCACTAAATGCAAGTGAGCTTGTTTCCAGTTGGATTTTAAGTGGTCACAAAAAGAGAAAACATATCTCTTTAATGTAAGCTATCGCTTTATTCATTCTCATTTAAATGTTGTCTACACACCTCTCAAGATATTCTAACGCAAAGTAATTATTTGATCTTCAAATTTTAGTCACTCATCACTTTATGGTGCGGTTGCAATGAATAATCTTGTATCACTCGGTATTTTGTTGTTTATGATTTACTATAGAGGTCTGATATGGAACTTCTCTGCAGAAACACTGATCATATTTATAGTGACCATGTTTGTTGGTATACTCGGTGGATTTAGAATTACATTCAATATGATACATGCTGCCATCGTATTCTCATTGTTCCCACTATCGATCATTTTAATTGCCGTTTTAGAAAGTAGTGAGATTGGATGGAGTTAACCATTTAATATCAAAAATATATAAATAAATAAATATCATATAAATCATTAATTAACTTATTATACTATTTCTATTTGACTTTAACATATTATGTGTACATTTATTATTATTATTATTATTATTATTATTATTATTATTTAAACTCGAGAATGTCTCTTATATTATTCTATTTTTATTTCTTTTTTTTTGTTGAATATTATTAGGGTAACCTTACTTATTGATTTATTTATTTTTTTAATGATTATACAAATTATTGTTAAAATATCAACTATTATGTGTTATTTTATATGATTACTATTATTATTATTATTATTATATCACAATTATCAAATGAATGGATGGAACTATCTATGTATCTCTCTCTCTCTTAATTATCCATCTCTTCGACGTAGTTCGCAGGAAATAGACCGGTTCTACCATTTGATGTACCCATCCACCAACCAGATTCGTCATCTTTGGTGATGACAGAGATGATATCACCGACGTAAAACTCGAGATCACCTTCTTGCTCGGGTATGCAATCCCAGACCGCTCTCACCAGTTTCTTGTTTGGCGGAGGTGGTGGAATTCTCCTTGAGAGTGGTCGCTTGATAAAGTTATTCGATGGATGTTCGTCTGTGAATCCAAGCTGTGGTGACATATTGTCTGGCGATGTCAAAGATGCTGTCACTGGTGAAATGGTGCGAATATTGGTTGGTGCTGAGGTGGTGGGTGTGTTTGGTTTGTTGTTGGGTGGAGGTGGCGGTTGTCTTGATGTATTGTTGCTGCTAATGTTCATAACGGTGGGTGGTGAATGTGCTACGGGCACACTCATTCTATTTGGTACAGGTGGAAGAGGATGTGATGGTGGTGTCGGTGTAGACTGAAGTCGTGGTCGAGAACCGCTGCCCGCATTGATAGGCGGACTGACCGTACTTGACAATCCACTCAGTAGATTGCTACTACTGTTACCACCGCTATTGATGCTATTGTTACGATCTAAACTATTTACTAAACTATGTGTGTTGCTGTTGTTGCCGCTGCCATGATTGTTGTTGGGTGGCGACGACGATGATATCAATATATTATTACTATTTAAACTACTGTTACTCTGATTGGATGCGCTGTTTTTGAATACCGGTAACGATACATTTCTTTGGAGTGGTGGTTTGTCTACGCCGGAGCCAGCTAGCGGTGTTGTGTTTGTTCTATTTCCAATACCGCCAGGATTACTGGCGGTAGTTCCGCTACTGCCACCTCTTGGTTTCAGATACTTTTTGATATTGTCTGGTATATCATCTGTGAATGGTATTCTACATTTAAAGCAATACTTTGCTTCCTTTTCATATTCCGTACTACACTCTGGACAAGTAATCATTCCCATGATGATCTACCTTCTATCTATATATAAATCTATATTGATGTAAAAAATACAAATAAAACTAATCTAATAACTAATAATTATATATTTAAATGATTAAAGTATTGCTTTTTCTTTTTTTTTGTTTGTCAAGTACTTTATTATTATTATTATTATTAATTATGATTTATATGATTTGTCGATTGAAAAAATAAACAAAATAATCAATTATCTTGAATAAATTAAACAAATTATGTGGGTAATAAAATATTTTAATATTTAATTTTTAATTTTTTTTTTTTTCTTAATTCAGTGTGAACAATGTTTGATTTATTTCTTATATTAAGACACTATTTATACTATATGCCTTTGTTTTCAAGTTATTGTGCATTTTCAGACATTATTTAATTACAAACAAATCTTCAATAGTTAACCATTGACAATGAAAATAATATTATCATCAACTTTCAAACAAGTTGTGTTATTGTTTTTTTTTTAAATCTTACTCTTCTCAAATATAGATAGATTCAATAAACGATAGATAATAAACAAAACATATAATAAAAAGAGGACAATCATAAAAGACAATATATATTAAACTCAGGTGATTATCATGAAATCGAAGTGTTGTTTTTTTTTGATTGAAAAATGTGTAACTGTTTCCTGTAAACTATACTGATTTTAAACCAACTAAACTAAAGTAAATAATGATGATATTGAACGGAATAAGAGGATGATAGAGATTTTTTAAAAGGTCCCCTTTATTATGCAACATAAGAGTATTAAAAAAGTTAGAGAGTTTATATCTTCATAGCTTCTCCCTTCTTCTTCTTCTCTCCACCGAGCTCGAAACGCTTGCAACGCTTGATGACTTGTTGCTTCTTGGCACCGCATGAACACTCCATTCTGAGTACGATCTTCTTGGTGGTCTTAGCCTATATTATCATATCGATAGTGAAACATAACAAATGTAAATATGATAGGTTCTGGGCGTGATGTGTAGTAGTAATGTAATGAATCATACCTTCTTGTGGAAAACTGGCTTGGTTTGACCTCCGAAACCTCTTTGTTTTCTGTCGTAACGTCTCTTACCTTGGGCGAAAAGACTTGGCTTACCAGCCTTGTATTGAGTTACCTTGTGTGGGGTGTGCTTGTTGCACTTGACACAGAGGGTCTTACGAGCTTTGGGGATATTGACCTATAAGTTGATTGTTCCTGTTAGATTCTGTATTTCATTCATTCAATCTCATCTATTCTATTCTAAATCCTATTTCTTTCTATCATTCATCCTCTCTCTCTGTTCAGCATTAATAGGTATAGATAGTATTGTAGTATAGTGCTAGATAGATAGTGATAGACAGATACCAACCATTTTGAAAGGGGTTCTCGTGATAAAGGTAAAAAGCGATTGAAAGTCACTTATGATAATATGACAAGCATGCTAGCACCTCCACAGAATCCACTCTGGCAGAGCACACACTATCCTCGCTCGCAGTGGAGAATTTTTTTGCAAAAAAAAAAATAAAAATTAAAAAAATGAAAATTTCAAATCGAAAAAGAAGTTCGAACCATCTCCTAAAATTAATAAAGAGAAGATGAGACAGGTCTGATTGAATATGTATTATCAATAAGAATGATTATAATAAATAATAAATCAATTCAATCAATTCAAATAATTAAAAATAAATAGAAAGTTAAAGGGAGTTGTTTGAAATTGTATTTTATTTGTTTGCAAAAACAAAAAATAATATTCTTTATGTTGTTTTGTATGTCGATATTTGATATCATTTATAAACTAATAAATGTATCATCGGCTCGACTTGACTAGAGTATTTAATGATCATATTTTGATAGATTAAGCTAATTACTTCTTTACTTTTTACTTGATGAGTAATTTGTTGTTGGTACTAAAAATCTGTGATCGATATCCAATAATAATTATTATTATTAATCTCTACCACTACTAATTATTCCTTTTACTATTCATTTCAATTTCAATTGAAATAGGGTTATTGAATTCGTTCAATATCTTCTAATGTTATTTTGATTCAATCTTTGATCTATATATAACTGACGATTACCATTGTTATTATTATTACTGTTACTATGAGTGTTGTTGTTGTTATTGTTTTGATAGTGTGTGAATGTTTGATGTTGTTTCTTTTCGAATATCCATGCGTCGTTATCCAACTCTCTGACCTTCTTCTTTAGATTTTTAACTATTTCATCATCAAGTTCATCGGTCAGCTGTTGAATGGCACTATCTAGAACCAACAATTCTTTCTGTCTACATAATCGTTCAAATTGAAGATCTAACAAATATATAAATTAGTAACAAAAAAAAAACGACATCTTTCTTTTTTACATACCATCTTGTTCTGACATATTTAGTTTGCTTGAATATGTATATACTAATGTTATATTATTATTAATTAACGACTTTTTTATTTTAAAATAAATTTTTTTGGATTGTGATTTATTTATTTCCCTCCAAATTTTGAACTTTTTTTAAATCAGTTAATTAATTTTACAACCAAAAAAGTATAAATAATCTTAGTTTATAAATAAATAAAGTCGGTTTATCTATTATTATTATTCTTATTGTATGGATGTGGGAATAAAGTCAATAAATTAGATTCTGATGATTCAAATTTGTCGAATGATCATTTGTGGATTTGAGAAGGACCAACAAAAACACTAGGCTCTTCTATCATTGATATAGATATAAAGTAAAAGATAATCTACACAATCAAACTTTCACCACCTCAGACTTTACATAGGTCACAATCAAAGGTTCCATGAAAATAATACACATAAATATATGATGATTGGTTTTTTTTTTTTAGTTTTAACAAGTTAGTTTTTTTTTTTTTTGTTGGGGGTTCCACCATAACCAGTGTGTTTGAAAAAAAGCTATGTGGTTGGGTGATTGTTTTTTTAGGGATTTTTGAATTATTGGCCTACGATAATATGATTCTGGCACACATTTTAGAGTGATCGAGCTTCGTTAATTATTATTTTATTTATTTTTTTTTAATTCCATTATAATAAATTTTCACTTTTTTTTTTAATAACGGCATTTTTTCAAAATTGTTCCCCATATTTCACTCATTTACACTCCGCTTCTTTATTATTTAATATATATTTTTAATTATATATATATTTATATTTATTTATTTTCATATTTATTTATTTAAATTTAAAGGTAACATATCATATTAATAATTTAATTTTACACTTTTTCAAAAAACAAAGAACAACAACAACAACTTTGATCAGAAATAGCTTTTAAAGAATTCAAATATAATTATGAGCACTCATATAAAAAAAAAACAAAAAATAATAACACACACACACACACCACTATTTATCAATATATAATAACTCAATCACGACTGTTGTTTGGTGTGAATATATATTTCTTTTTTTATTCTTCACAGCATCTTCATTCATTCAATATATTACTATTGGTGTGATGAATTTAAAATGATTACAGTTTAGTTCATTTTCATACTACTACTATTACTATTGTTATTATTATTATTATTCACTTTCACACCATCTAAAATCATTATTGGATTTACAACATAACCAGCTCAGTATTAATAATATTATTTATTGGTGTTAATCTCTGGTGCTCTTGAAAATTAGTGTTGTGCTATTGTTTTTTTTAATTTTTGTCGAAACAAAATTAATTTTAATTTTTTTTTGTTTTTTGTTTTTAATCTCTTCATAATAAATGAATGAACCTTGATGTAACCTTCTCTTCAAATCACTTAATTTGCACATTTATTGCTTGTTATATTAATTTTTATTCATACACATTAAAAATAAAATAACAAACCAGCATCAATATTAAAATTTAATATATATTTATTAATCAATCTTTTAAAATTCATTCAATATAAATTATAGTTATAATCTAATTTAAAATTTAATTTATAGTAGTATTAGTATATCAATTAGCATCTTATAAAATAAAAACTAAACAAAAAAAATGGTAGATACATCAGATCTCCTTCCAAAGACCCCAAGATACTTGAAGGTCCCCTTAATTATTTTAAATGCCATCCTCTGGGTATGTAATAATATAATATTAACAAATAAACATTAGCAAATCTGGCTAAAAATAAAAAAACAACAACAAATTACTAATTATTTTTTGAAATTATTTTTTAATTAATCTTTATAGATTTTAGGTATTGTTTTGATTGCATGTGGTGGTTTTGCACTCTCTAAATTGTCACATTTGGACGATATTATTAATGTTTCATTGCCAGCCGGTATCATTGTTATTGGTGTCTTCTTTTTGGTGTTGACATTCATCGGATGTTATGTCGCCTACAAGGAGAAGTTGGTCGGTCTCGTTTTCTACACTGTCTTTATGTTGGTTCTTTTGGTTTGTTTGATCGGTGTCGGTGGTGGTGCATTCACCTACCGTAACAACGTCGAGAAGCCAGTCGGTATCGCCTGGTACAAGGCCACCGCAGACGAGCACAAGATCGCCGAAGATTACTTTGAATGCTGTTGTTGGGATCTCACCAAGCCAATCAATGAGTCGTGTGGTACATCGTGTTATACTATCGATCCAATCAACAACCAAACTATTCGTGTTGACGGTAAGCCATACTGCAACCAAACCATCACTGAATACATTCAAAAGAATCTCTATGTTGCCGGTGCTGCTGGTGTAACCATCGGTGTCATTGAGTTTGTCTCTATGTTGTTCGCTCTCTTCTTGATCGTCCGTATCTGCAAGAACCCAAGATCAAAATCATACGATTAATATTTTTAATACATCCCCAAAAAAATTATAAATAATAATAACAAAACACATACACAATCACTTTCAAAAAAAAAAAATAATAATAAAACTTTTTTAACAAAAAAAAAAACAAAAGTAAATAAATTTAAAAATTCCTAATATCAATTAAATAATTATTTATTTTTAGAAAATATGATATTAATAAATAAATATAAAAATAAATAATGGGTCATTTAAGATTTTATTTATAATCTTTTAAGTTTTTAATTAATTTAGAAATTTGATGGATAAGATCATGATTATGACTAGTCAACACCAAAATTCATTGAAAAAATAATAACATCATGATGTTTGACAGTGATAACATAATCTTACTTTTTTTTTTCATACGTAGTAATTCAGTTTATTGTATGAGTCAAAAGAATATTCTTTATATTACCAAAAAAATAATTCACTCGTCATAACGGGATTTTTGCAAAAACCTATTTTTAATTAATTATCATTAATTTTTTTAAATCTGCATGCAAATTTGGAAATTTTTGTTTATAAAAGTATTTTTTTCGCATATTTTTCAAACTTTGTATTGTTATTATTTCATTTATTTCTTATACATATCTATTTTTTATGTTTTTTTTTTTTTTTTTTTTTGAGATCTTAATATCATATCATATTTTTAAAAAATTAAGGACCCACACAATATTTCTCAACATATCTTTAAATCTTACTATAGTTTCCAATTAAAGTAATACGACGACTTTTCACAAAACGGAACAGTGACACCAATCAACAAAAGAAGGCCCTAAACTCACCAAAACTCCGAGTGATCCGATCCAATTAAAGTCAAAAGTAAGTCTAAATTCTCTCTCTTTTTCAAAGCAATTTTGAAAAAAAAAATACCCTTTCCTATTTAAACAGTCTTTCTCTTTTCAAATTAATATTTTATTTATATCTATCTATATCCCTATTCAATCCTTATATTTATCTTTTTTTTTTAAATAATTATTTATTTCATATTTTTTATTAATTATTAATTATTAATTTATTATTAACGAAATTAAATAATAATCTTTAAATTTACTACCAGTTAATTAATTCAAAAACATAAATTTCTTCAAAAAAGTGATTAGCAAACTTAATATAATAAAGCCAACAGCCAACATCAATATCAACACTGTTTATTGTTGTCAAAGATATTTCGGCAATACATCAAAAAAGAATAATAATAATAAATCACAGAGAGAACTACAAACTTATTCACTTTTAGATAGAATTAGAATAAGTAATACTAGTGGTAGTGGACATAGTAATCATAGTAAAAATCAAAAGTTTAAGATATTACATAACAATAACAATAATAGTAAATCAACAGTAGAGGCGTCAGCAAAGAGTTATTCAGATTACCAAAAGCTATTAGAAGAGATGTCATCGTTCAACATTCAAAATATTAGAAATTTCAGATGGGTCAAGTCGTCACCCGACGAATTAGAGTCGGCAGAGAAGAAGATGCTCGAGGGAATCACTACTCCCTACGAACAATCGTTGGTAAAGGTTGGTGATGAATATGTAAATACAATCAAAGCTGGTTCTGGTGACCCATTGGTATTGATTCATGGTTATGGTGCCGGTGTTGGTTTTTGGTGTGCCAACATCGATGAGTTGGCTCAACATTATACTGTTGTATGTATCAGTCAATTGCTGATTGTTATGTTATTACTCTAAATATTAATATGATTTATTTTTAAAGTATGCAATTGATTTAGTTGGTTTTGGTAGATCATCAAGACCGGATGTTTCATATTTGAAGACACCAGACGAAGCAGAGGAATTCTGGACCAAATCGATTTTAGATTGGTCAGAACAAATGGGTCTAGAGAATTTCAATCTTCTCGGACATTCACTAGGCGGTTACCTATCCGCTAGCTTTTCATTAAAGTACCCAGAGAAAGTAAAAAAGTTGGTGTTGGCCGACGCCTGGGGAATCCCACACAGACCAACCGATTTCGAAGACAAGATCCCATTGCCATTGAAGCTGCTGGGCAAGGTGATCACACCCGATGTACCATTGGCACTGTTGAGAGCATGCGGTCCACTCGGACCCGATTTAATCTACAGATTCCGTCAGGATCTACTCATGAAGTTCTCTGGACTCTATCCAAACGACGACCTGAAATTCAATCCTCTCAATCCTAATCGTGTTGCACAATATATCTATCACACCAATGCACAGTCACCGGCAACCGGTGAGTATCTCTTCAAGTTGCTATCGCTTCCTTTCGGTTGGGCGGTGAATCCACTCATCGACAGAGTCAAAGCAATGCATCCCGGAATCGATGTTACCCTTCTCTATGGATCAAACAGCTGGATCGACCACAGCTCCGGTCATAAACTCAAAGAGGAAATGAAAAACATCAAAGATATCGTTATCATCGAACAAAGTGGACATCACATCTATATAGATAATCAAAATCACTTCCATCAATCAATAGTCAACGCTATCCCAAAGAAAAGAAGAGATGAATTATTTGATACGACATTGTAAATATTTAATGTAATATAAATAAAAATAAAACATATATATATTTAAACATATTATAATAATAATAATCATGAGGTAATGATTTATGCATTCTTTCTTTTTTTTTTTTTTTTTTCTAAATGATTGCCGATAAGAAATAATTAATAATCAGTTTTTCAAATTAAACTGTCAGTAAAATATAATTATGTAATTACACCTAGGTGATTATTAGACTATAGAGTAGTTGTTCTAATTATCTTGTGTACAACATTTACTTATTTCTATTATATATGTCAAATAGTATAGCAGATCTACCAAATCATTTATTAAAGAAAATAGTTTTAAATGGTCTTTCAAATTTAGATTGTGTATGTCCAAATTTAGTATGTAAGAAGTTGTTTGAGAATAGAGAGAAGTATCTTTATTTGACTTATCTCTTTCAAGTGTCATTAAGAAATGTGAAACACAGATATGTCTAAAGTCTTATGCCAATATTTTACAGAAAGGTGTAGAGTTGAAATCATTCAACAATGAGTGCATAATGAAGTTGTTCAGTACACCACCAGATAAAGTGAGTGGATTTGAACAAACCTATGATTATATAGATTCATTTGGTAATAATATTATTATTATTATACCATATCAAAACATATATATACTAACAAGTTTTAATAATTTTTTTTTATTTCTAATAAATAAATAATTATAAAGATAATCCAAATATGAAGATACCTAGTGGTGTAAAGAATTTGACTATTGCTGGAGATGGATTCGGTCAGTTACCTGATCTCTCGATGTGTAATGCTAGATCGATCGTTCTCTTTACTGGTGGCGTTTTGGAGATCAAGAAAGATACTCTACCAAAGATGCTGAAATCTTTATATCTCTCATCTACGCTGCAAGACAACTTAGAGCCCGGGATATTCCCTGATGGCATTGAAGAGATTAGCTTTGCAGAGAGCAATAGCCAGTTCTACCAAGCAAACCTCTTCCCTATCGGTTTGAAAAGACTGTGTCTGCATTCAAACAATATCGAACCATTCACTGATGGATCACTGCCATCTACTCTGGAGAGTCTCGCCATTGATTTAAATTGTTTTCTCTCAAATACCAAGTATCTTAAACACCTTGGTTCTTTAAGTAGCTTAACCTTTTCCTATAATACCGGTGCACCTTCGGATCCAACTAAACTAAGAGGCGCACTCAGCTGCTTTGCAAATCTATCATCAGTATCATCTATTCCCTACAAGTATCTTTGTTATTTACCAAAGACACTAAAACGGCTCACTCTCTGTGAGGATGAACTCGATGGAATAACCATTAAAAGTGATACATTCCCACCTTCACTTACTGAGCTCGATATGTTAGAGGTAATGGATTTCAAAATAGAGATTGGTAGCATACCTGCATCTGTTCAAAGATTATCAATACGAGTGGATCACCAGCTCAAACCTGGAATGTTACCGGCGTCACTTATCGATTTGGTGACAAAGGCATCCAAAGAAGGTGAAGCCTCATCCTTCTTTCTCTTGGCTGCTGGTTTGGGTGCGATTGGTTTCGGTTCAACAGCAGCGGCTGCCTTCTTGGTGGTTGCCTTCTTTGGCATCGCAGGCTCATAGTCATCATCATCATCGGAATCCAAAGTCTTCTTCTTGGGAGCAGCTTTAGCTTTTCTGGTTCTTGGTAAAGCTGTCTTTCCTTTGACAGACTTCTTGTATTTGTCTCCTTTATCTTTAAGTCTTTGATCCTCTGCGTCTTGTTTCTTAATCACTGCCATGACGAATGTAGATACATTCGTAGTAGGATCATTGCCTAATACTCTAAAGAGTCTGGTGTATCATCCCTCCATTACAGTACCATCATTGAAACCATTGGTATTGCCTAACTCTCTCGAGGAACTCACACTCGGATACCTCTGTAAATCTAATCTCAAGCCGAATGTGTTGCCACCTAATCTTAAGAAGCTCTCATTGTTATGTAAATATAAAGTTAAATTACCAGACCCTGCTGTATACCCTTTATCGCTAACAGAATTGGATTTGAAATCTTCAATATTGGTTAGAGACGATCAACACCAATCCACACTAAAGCCAACTGATTATCCGGGATTGAGTGTTCGACTTGATCCAAATTACTTTATCAAAAACACACTGGAGAGCATACCACTTCAAATCACGACAATAGATCTTACCAGTATAAAGCTAAGAAGAATCAAAGACAATTTATTCATATGTATATCAGGTGGATTCATCAACAATACAAAGCAACTTAGAAATCATTTGTCATTATTAACTAAAAATAAAATAGTAATATGAATTTACTCTATTTGTTTTTATTTATTTAGAATCTCTCCTGATTTATCTTTTGATATTTGGCGAGTGGGAAATGTGGGTGATCAGATGGTAGAAAAAAAAAAAAAAAAAAAAATATTTACAATTTTTTCTAAAAATTAAAATCACATGTTTAGAATGATAAGTAGTATTGGCAAATTATCACATGTTAGAGGAATTATATTTGATCTAGATGGCACCCTTACAAAGCCGATAATGGACTTCAAAAAGTTAAGGAGTGATCTCGGTATTACTACTCCAGGCGTCGATATTCTAGAGGTTATCAAGACGTGGAGTCACGAGAAACAAGTGGAAGGACACAAAATCATCTATGATTTCGAAAGAGAAGCGTCTTTGCGTTTAGAGTTTCAACCGGGCGCATCGGCTTTGATGGATACTCTCGAGCGACTAAACATAAAGAAAGCGATTCACTCACGTAACTCAATAGAGAACATCGAGTACTTTCAAGAGAGGTTTGGATATACATTCTCACCGATAGTCGGTCGTGAGATTGAACCAAAGCCAAGTCCAGCAGGTAGTCATCACATTGCCAAGCACTGGCAGATGCAACCCTCTGAGATACTGTTCGTTGGAGATTCTCAAGATGATATGCGATGCAGCCGAGCATTCGGCTCACTAAGTATTCTTTTGTTGAATTCATCCAATAAGCATTATACAGAGCTAAGCGACATCGCCATCGAAAGTCTATCAGAGTTATCGGAGGCATTGGAGCAATCTTTTAAAAACAAACAAATAAGTAATAGTACATCAACAGAAAATAGTAACTTGTCAAATAGTAATATATCAGTAAACTAATAAACATAGTATTAGTAATTTATAACACAAAACAAAGTTAAACATTGATTTAAAATTTTAGAAATCAATCGTCTTTAAGATCAAATATAAATCCAATATTGATAATAAGTTTAACTTGTAAACAACACACAATCTATTAGATGGCGGATGAGCATCTAAACTAAAAGAGATTATAGAGATAATTATTTTTACTGCTCAAAAGTGGTCTCAAAATAACATTTGATTATGATAATGCTTTCTGGATGTGTTTATTGTATGATAGATGTACATAATATCTCATATTATATTCCAAAAAATACACTTTTGTTCATTAGAGATAGAGTTTCGGACCTAGTTCGTTTCCTCTTGATTGTAGATTTGCAGCAAAGATCTTATTAATAGTTATTAAGTTTTCATTTAGTTAGTATTTATTTGAACTGGTGAGTTACAATTTTAGAGGATATTGATGATTAAGAAAATGAGTTGTGTTTTGTGTTAATAAAACCTTCCACATTTTGAGATATCAAATGATGTAACTGATTGTTTTAGCCCATCAATTTGTTTGATTCAGTGAATGAAAACGATTGGTTGATATTTTCAGCAATGTTATAATTAATCAAAAAAAATAAATATGAATGCAAAGTATGTAGGAGACATAATATAGTTAATTCTTTGAATTCAAGTTGCAACCCATCGACAACCCATTTTTGTATATTATTGTTTTTTGAATAATTCCCCAAAACATTACCTCATATCAAGTGATAAAATATCTAAAAAAAAGTTATAAATAATTTTGGTGATGAGCCGATAATTAGAACCATCACCTTTTTTTTCACTAAAAAAGATATTGGATAAAACCAAAATTAAAAAAAAAAACAAATTGGTTTATTTAATGCAATTTACATCTATACCCTGCAAGATGGGGTATCAGTAAGTATCGATTCAATTCCTAAACAATCAACTTTGGAATGATTTCAGAAGATAGAATCATTGCCATCATAATTGATCAGTGTACTTTTGTGGTGTAATGATTGAACGATATGACGTCGAAGATTAAATAAACATAGCAATAACAAACTAAATGAGATTATAAAAAAACCTTCTTAAAGAACTGGACACCAACAAAGAAAATGGGGAATACTGAAGATAGATATTTTTAGGTTAGGAAGGTTTTTTCTGTTTTGAAGAGTTGTTTGATTGGATTATAAATAGAACCATTCTTTCCTCATTCAATTCTTTCATTAATTCATTTATATATATATAAAAATGATGTTCAAAAAAACAATTATTTGTCTTGTTTTTACTATTGTTTTATGTTTGTCTTGGTTGAGTGCAGCCAATGCTTTGACTCAAACAGCCAAGCAAGTCGCAATTTCACCAGGTTCCTATATGTGGTATTTGGAGTATCTTCCACCAACTTACTCTGCGACAGGACCAAATAAATCTCCAGTCCTTATTTTCTTACATGGTGTTGGGCAAAATGGAGACGGATCACAAGGTGCCCTTCAAATGCTTAAGGATGCTGCAGGTTCTCCTCCATACATGATCGACAAGAATACATGGCCAACTACTTTCTCTTTCATTGTAATATCACCACAAACCTGGGGTTGGTGGGATTCACCAAAAGTAAGTTAATAGCTGTTAGGTTTATCATTATAGAAATGTATTAATTTTAATTTATATTCTAGACTGTTCCATTAATTAATCAAATTGGAGCTTTATATCCAGGTGCCGATATTACAAGAGTCTACTTAACTGGTCTTTCCATGGGTGGAGCAGGAGTTTATGATACCATGCGTCAAAGTAAAGCTGTTTGTGATAAGTTGGCTGCGGTTATTCCCATTTGTGGTGCTCAAGGTTTTGGTGCCAACGATTGGATTGGTCCAGTTACATCAGTAAGTTAAATAAGAATAGATTAAAATTATTACTTTTAAATAAAAACTAATTGAAATCTTTCTTATTATAGGGATTGCCAGTGTGGGCTTTCCATAACTCTAATGACCCGACGGTCTCTGTTTGGAATTCTAGAAACTGGGTAAATGGTTTGAATGCTCAAAATATTTGTCCAGTTGCTAAATATACAGAATATGTTGCTTCTTCTCATGATGCTTGGACTAAAACTTATGATGTTTCACCAACTAATCCAAACAATATCTACTCTTGGATGCTTTCATACACTACCAACAGAGTATCATAGTGGTGGAACTACTTCTACCACAGGAACACCATCAACCACTGCACCATCAACTACAACCACAACCACAGGAACACCATCAACCACTACACCATCAACTACAACCACAACCACAGGAACACCATCTACCACTACACCATCGACTACAACCACAACCACAGGAACACCATCAACCACTACACCATCTACTACAACCACAACCACAGGAACACCATCTACTACTGCACCATCTACCACTGGAACTCAAACACCAACCCCAACATCAACTCCAGCTCCAGGAGTTTTCCAAAGAAAGTGGACTACTCCAGCCTCTCCATTTGGTTTCTGGGAGTACAGACCATCAACCACTCCAACACCAGGTATTGGATATCCATTAATTATCCATCTTCATGGAGCTGACGGTGAGGGTACTGGTAGTTCCACTGATTTGAACAAAGCAGTTCAGACTTCATTACCAAAGTACATTAGAACTGGTGAATGGCCAACTACCTATCCTTTCTTGGTACTTTGTCCACAAAACAATGGTATTTGGGATGCCGGAGTAAGCAATGTAATCAACACCTTGCTTGATCTCTACTCGCCAGAGGTTGACCCAACTAGAATTTATTTGGTAGGTCAAGGTCGTGGTGCTCTTGGTGTAGTTCAATATTTGAAGAGCAATGCTACTCGTATCGATAGAACTGCAGCAATCTTCAATGTTAGAGTTTACACTGATGCTCATAACGCTACCATTGATCTCATGGTCAATGATCACCTTCCAACATGGTGGTTAACCAACAACGATGATCCAAACTCTGATCCAATCATGACAAAGAACTGGGCTAACTTCTTAAATGCACGTGGTGCCAACCCAGCTGCAAGACTAACTATTAACCCATCTGGTGGTGCTGACTCATACACACCAGCATTCAACCCTGCCAACGCTGACCCAAACAATGTTTACAATTGGCTTCTATCAAAGACCAATGTTAGATAAACCAAATAATTTTTTAATAAATAAAATGTTATTATTTAAACAATTTCAATTTCCTGGAACGCGGACACTAAAATAATGATTAAATGTGGAATGGTTGTTTCGAGTTTGATTTTATTTAATATTTAATCTAATGGTTGATGTGTTTAATCATCACTGTCATCACCGATGGCATCGTCACTATCATCAGAGGTAAAGAAGTTCAACTTTGGAAGTGTATTTCTAGTTCTAGTTGGTCTTGGTTTTGGTGGTGGTGTTTCTGCATCAGAGGCCTCCGATTCCTGATCACTGATAAAATCAGATTCTGATTCTGATTCTACCTTTTTCTTTTTGGCAGCGGCCTTCTTCTTTGCGGGAGCTGGTTTTGGTGGAGCTGGTTTGCTAGTTTCTTTGACCTTCTTTGTTGGTGGTACAAAGTCGTCATCGTCATCATCAACGATAAATGAATCTTGATCTACATCCATACTATCATCATCTAAATTAACAGTTGCAACCTTCTTTGCTGCGGCAGCTGGTTTACTGACTTTGGTGACAAAGGCATCCCAAAGAAGGTGAAGCCTCATCCTTCTTTCTCTTGGCTGCTGGTTTGGGTGCGATTGGTTTCGGTTCAACAGCAGCGGCTGCCTTCTTGGTGGTTGCCTTCTTTGGCATCGCAGGCTCATAGTCATCATCATCATCGGAATCCAAAGTCTTTTTCTTGGGAGCAGCTTTAGCTTTTCTGGTTCTTGGTAAAGCTGTCTTTCCTTTGACAGACTTCTTGTATTTGTCTCCTTTATCTTTAAGTCTTTGATCCTCTGCGTCTTGTTTCTAAGTAAATTAAAATAAATGTTAATAAGTTGTTGATATAGTAATGATAGATATTGATAGGATTGATAGTTACATCAAGAGATTCCGAGAATTTATCTAAATCTAAAAGATACATTGTTGTGATGGCAGTTCCTCTAAGTTTATCGAGTTCAACCTTCTTCTTTTCTCTTTCCTCTTGGATCTTCTTGACACGCTCCAATGTCAAACTCCACAATGGTAGAGAGAGCAGGTAGTCGTATCCTCTGCAGTCGTCATCCATTTCCATTTCATCGTCGGATCCTTCTTCTTCTTGGTCAGAATTAACAGCGAGTTCCTCTTCTACCTTGTCGACCTTTGATTTCTTGACTTGCTCTTCAGCCTTCTTACCGACCTTCTTTGAGAACTGATCAAACTTCATCTCTTTCAATTTCTTTACCAAGTCGAGTCGCTTTACATTGGCAATCACAAGTTCCTTATTGACCACAGCAAGGATAAATCTAGCTTTGTTTGAAAGTCTTCTGTGTTCCTCTTCAAGTTTATCACATAAATAATCCTATTTCATGAAAATAAAATTAATAAATAAATATTGAATCGTTAAATTAAAAATAAATATATTAATTATATATACCTTTCTCTTTTGATAGTATTCCAATCTAATCTTGAAGAAATATTTGATGATATCGGTTGTTGTTTCGAATTGTTTGATTCTACCTTCTTCATCAAATACAGTCATATTGGTTTCTGCCAATTTCTTTTCCAATTTAAAGGTCTTGTTAACATCGATTTCATCGACTGGCTTCAATGTTTCAATAATGAAATGAATAGAACCAACTGTACCTTGATTGGACATTGACTAAATAATAATAATAACAGCAATAATTAATAAACTTGATTCGAAGACGTTTGAAAGACTTTTTTTTTTTTTTTTACTTACTTTGACAATTGGATCAGCAATAACAACTTCATCATCATCTTCATCCTTCTTCTTTCTCTTTACAACCTTGGTTGATGTAGCTTTACCTTTCTTGACTTGTTTAATCTTTTCTTTGGCTTCCTTTCTCTTTTGTTTGCCTTGTGGATCAATGAGATTCTGTACGAGATCCTTAAAGTCATTTGTCCAAGACTCGATGGGGAGTTCGGTAATCTCCAAACGATATTCGTCCAACTTTCTCCAGACACCCTTGGCAACGAAATTCGATGTCTTTCCAGTTTGAAGCTCGATGGTGCCTTTGAATCCTCTGTACCATGGCACGATTGGCTTCAATTCTTTGCCTTCGATGAGCAACTTCATGTTCTCAATCAAGTCACGTGGGTTGTAGTTGGGAATGGTCGATGACCAACCAGTACCGATACCCTTGGATCCATTGACCAAGATCATAGGGATCACTGGAATGTACCATTTCGGTTGGACACGCTTACCGTCGTCAGTGAGATGTGAGAGTAGTGCATGGTCTTCCTCTGGGAAGAGAGTACGTGCAATCTCCTCGAGTCGGGTATTGATGTAACGAGGTGCGGACGAATCCTTACCACCGGCCAATCTACTACCGAAACCACCACCTGGATAGAGAACATTGATGTTGTTGGCACCGACATAGGTCTGCGCCAGACCAATGATAGCGGACGCCAGTGATTGATCACCATGATGGTAGGCCGACTGCTCAGATACATAACCAATCAACTGAGCAACCTTGATCTCCTTCTTTAGATTTCTCTTGAAACAGGAGAATAGAATCTTACGTTGCGAGGTCTTGAAACCGTCGACGATCGATGGAATCGAACGCTCACAATCGGCAATCGAGAAGAGAATCAATTCCTTGTCGATGAAATCGGTGATCTTTACTTTCTTGATACCGTATTGATCGAGGTAGGCACCCGGTGTGTACTGATCCATCCAGGTCTTACGATCGTTTGCACGCTTCTTGTTGAATGCCTTGTCGATGGCATCGTCGGCACCATTGTCATACTCAAAGTCAATCTTGTGGTTGACGAGCTGCGAGAAGTACTCTTTGGCTTCCTCTTCAGTCGATGTTCCAAGACCCTTGTAGTATTTGATTTCATAGCCTTTTCCATTGTTGTTTGCTTCTCTCCACGCTAAATACTCTGGAATGGTGTAGAATGCAATGGTTTTGTTTCCTTTGGTTGCCTTGATGATTGGTGTGACAAACTCGACCAGGAATCCCTCGATACGAAGAAGCGATGGCCAGAAATGATGGATGAAATTGAGGAGTAAACCTTTTATGTGAGAACCGTCGTGATCCTGATCGGTCATAATCATCAGGTGACCGTAACGCAGTGACTTGACATCTTCGTATTGCTTACCGTGTTGCAATCCCATGATGTTGATGATATTGACAATCTCTTCGTTGGTCATCATTGTACGTGCATCGGATTCACGCACGTTCAGCAGCTTACCTCTGAGAGGGAAGCAACCGTAGTGGTCCCAACCGACAACAGAGATACCAGAGACAGCCAACGTCTTGGCTGAGTCACCCTCTGTTAAAATCAATGTACAATCCTCCGAGTGTGATGTACCTGCAAGATTTGCATCGTCCAACTTTGGTATATTCAAACGTGAACCCTTCTTGGTTGTAGCAGTTGTATTTCTCAACATTGCCATTTCCTCTTTATGTTTTGCATATGAAATGATTTGATCTACAATACCTGATTTACTTTCAACAACTAAATAATTATAAAAAGATAAGATTATTAGTTTAAAAGTTGCTATTATGATTGTTGTTTTCTTGATTGGACTTACTCTTTTTAAGGAATTTTTCGGATGGATGACATTGTGATCCGAATGATGTAATTTTAGTTGAGAGATTCTCTTTGGTTTGAGAATCGAATGCAGGATTCTCAATGAGTGAGTTTACAAATACAAAGAGATGATTTTTGATGAATGCAGGTTTGATTTCGGCCTTGGATTTATGTTTCTTTTGTACGGCTTTTCCAATCTCGGCGAGCACATCGTTAAGTGCGTGGGTGACGTGGGTTCCACCCTTGGGGGTACAGATAGAGTTTACGAAACTAACTTGGTTGAATTGTCCTTCGTGTGACAATGCTATGGCGATTTCCCAACGTTCGCTGACACGCTCATAGTAGATCTCCGGTGCCTTCTCCAGTGACTTGAAGTAGAGTTGAATGTAGCTTTGGAACGACTTGATATTGAGATCCTCGCCATTCAGTGTTACCTTGAGCGATGGATTGCAACCGGCGATATCATAGACACGCTTGGTAAGCAGTGCGACATTGTCGTCGTCGAGCATCGACAACATTCCAAACTTGGAGAGATCCGGATAGAATGTGATCTGTGTGTAATCGGTAGCCTTGGAGTAGGTGGTGATCTCTGGCTTCTCTCTGTTCTTGAGGTTGGCTTTGAAGGTCTGTTTAAAGAGTTTACGACGGCCGGAATCGGCACATTCCACCAGGAACTCGGTGGAGAATGCATTGGCCAGTTTCGCACCGAATCCGTTTCTTCCACCGGCCAGACGCTTCTCAGAGTCGTCGTAGTTGGACGAGGTCAGCAAGTGACCAAAGATCATCTCTGGCACGTACATCTGCTCCTTCTTGTGCATCTCAACTGGCACACCTGGACCGTCGTTCCACACCATGATTCGGTTGTGCTCGGGATCGATCTCCACCTTGATTTGCTTCATCTTTTTCTGACCCTCTTGGAGTGGACGCTGAATGTTGTCGGCGGCATTCACAAGGATTTCGTCGAATATCTTGTATAGTCCAGGCACGTAGCTGATCTTTCTACGCACCATTCTCTCGTTCTCCCAGATCCACAGCTCCTCCTCTTGTTTCTCGGTCGATCCAATGTAGGTATCGGGACGCAACAAGATCTGATCGAGTAACTCCATTCTCTTGTAGGTTTCATCGACCGACTTTACATTCTTTGTAATGTTGGTTGTTGGTTGTTTTCTCGAGTTGTTGTTGTTGCTTTCATCATCGTCGTCATCATCGTCGTCATCTGGAACAACAAAACTATCGTCCTCCAATTCCGATTCGGATTCCGCTTTCTTTTTCTTGGCAGCAGCTTTCTTTCTTGGAGCGGCAGCAGGTTTCTTGGGTGCCTTTGTTGTCTTCTTGGGTTTGGGCTCGTCGTCGTCATCGCTGTTGTCCAACTCTACAACCTTTGCTTTCTTGGCAGCAGCTGTTGTTGTCTTCTTTTTTGTTGCCGCAGCAGCTGTAGTTGTCTTTTTAGCAGCTGTTTTCTTCTTTGGTTCTTCATCCCAATCATCATCTGAATCCTCCTCTACATCAGATTGCCAATCTTCATCGTCTGACATTCTTTAAAATAATCTTGTTTATATAATAAATAAAAAACAATTATAATAACAAAAATAATAGAATAATAATTAAACTAAAAATGTTATAACAACAAAACTAAAAAAATCAAACAAGTGTGTTTGTTTGTTTTTTTTAAATATAAATAATATGATTTACTACTTAAAATAATCACAGAATTATTCAATTTAGTTAATTGTTTAATTATATAATAATTTGTTTATCTATTAAAGAAAAAGAAAAAATATTGTTTGGATTGCTCTGAATTGTTGTAATTAAAACAAAAAAAAAAAAAAGAGAGCGCCAAAATTTTAAATTTTTGTCAGAAAAAAATGAAGTTAAACAAAAAAAAAAAAAAAAAACAGAATTCTTAGTAAAAAAAATGTAGTTTATTTGTTATCTCTGTTAAGAGAATTGAATTTAATACTAATGTAACATTTAAAAGTGATTGACAATTATCGATATCATATCTTGAGATCAACAATTCTTTAGATTCTCAAAGATTTTCTTTTGGGATTCAATAAAGTCAGGGTTACTCATTAATGACATAATATTTGATATTTCATTGTCTTCATAATATTATTATTATTATTATTATTTATTTATGTACATAAAAGAGATCTATGAAAGAGAATTAAGATTGTTAATGTAATATGAAAAAGTGATTGACAATGATTCCCAAGTATCGATATGATACACTTATTTCTTTAGACTTTCCAATATTTTCTTTTGGGATTCAACAAAGTCAGGGTTACTCATTAAAGACATAATATTTGATATTTCATTGTCTTCATTATTATCATTGTTATTATTATTACTATTATTACTATTATTATCGATACCAAAATGTCTAAATTTGTTGGTTCCATTGGCATTTCTGGTTGTTGGAATGGGATAGGATAGAGGAATTGCTGTAGTTGGTGGTGGTGGTGGGTGTTGACGGTTGGTTCGTGGTGGTGGTGGTGGTGGCGGCGGTGGTTGACGGTAAATACTTGTGGTTGATAGTGTTGATTTTATCGATGTATTGGATGTTGGCATACCACGGGTATAAGCGTCTGAATATGTAATCAGATACTCGGGATAGGCACGACCGTTCTCATAGATGGTAAATATATCACCGCCTTTATAACTGTCGTAGACACCACGACTTGTGAGATCAGCCATCTGATCAAAGGGCACCGATAAAGCCATTGCACAACTACCTAGTAGCACACGACAATAGAACATCTGGTAGATATTGCCTTGGCTCAACGTGTGTCGGTATCCATTGCTGTAGCTAGCGTTCATCGCAAAGTAGTGTGCCTTTCCGAAGCTGCCATAATTGGAAAACGACAGGTCGAAACCGACAGGATGATCATAGATCTCCGAGGGTCTGTGCGTTCTGGTTCCATGGTAGAGTCGTGATTCAACGATGACGGAACTACTTGCATTGTAACGCTTCATCAACTCTAGACACTTGCTATGATAGCTACGCCAGAGTGTTTTGCTCTGAACACGCTCCACCTTTGTAATGTTGAAACTTGGAAGTGTTTCTCGAAAGTGTTGATGTATTTCATAGAATTCGGTGCCGGATCTGTCGATTTCAACCAATCTGACCTGCTCCTTTTGTGGTAACAGCCAGTAGAATGGAAAATCATGTTTCTCTGCTATTGCTTCCAGACCAAGTGTATCTACTACTTCGGTTTTGATTGTACTTTTTATAGATTTTCGTTGTGTGTCATCTTTCAATTGTTCAAAACTACTTTCTTTTTCTCTTATTCTCTTTTGACGTGATGATGATGATGAAGATGTTGCTGAATCTGTTGCTCTTGTAGTCGTCGTCGTTGTAGTTGAATCATTTTCAGATTTTTTTGGGAGTAAAATGAAATCCATTTGATCTTGTGATCACTTTATATCATATATTGAAAACATTAATAAGTATAATAAGAAATTACTTCCAGTAGATTAAAAAAAAGGATACAAATTCTAAGAATTCATTATCCCTCAACTGAAAAAAAAACAAATAAAATAAATTACAATTTATATTGTTATATTTATAATAAATATTTATATAAATTATTTATTTTATATTTTGATAAGTTTTATTGTTTTTTTTTTTTTTGCTGTCCATATTTCTGATGTAAAAAAGTAAAAGTAGCATTTTATTTAATCCATTGATTTGCTTAAATGTCGATAAAAAATTTAAAATGTTAAATTTTTTTCAATGATAGTGGTTGTGGCTGTTTTTCACAATTTTTTTTTCTTCGTTTTTGCAATAGAGATTAATATTAAAAAAATAAAATAAAATATCAAACCTTGTTAGATTTTAATAAAAATTAGATAAATAGAAAGTATTTTTATAGTAGATTTAGAATATAAAGTTTGATTTATTCTTTAAAAAAAATTTGAAAGAGTTTGGCCTCTGTTTTTCGATGGGTAAAATGAGTTTTCCAATCTGCATCGGAGTTCGGAGCAAGCTACAACAAACCCGAGAGATCAAAGAATACAGGGACAGACATATTTATCAATGTTATGAAAAGATCAATCAATTTCTCAAAGATCTTCAATCAAAAATTGGTGTTCAAAAAATGGTTATTGTAATATGGGAAATTTATATGAGAAAATCAATGATAGGCAACTAGCGAAATAGATATTTAACAATGGACCCTACTGATTAAATAAAGCACATATATCAATAGAAATGGTTCAACACACGATATGTGATCTTGAATTTCTATCGATTCCTTGAATAGTGGATATAAGCTGGTATCTTTCACTTTGCCAATCTTCACTAAATATTAAATTTTGGTTTTTATTTGAATCAAACACAATCAAATCAACAATAACCATATAAAATTCAATTGTATAATGTTAGCGATACGAAAAAGCAACTTTGTATTATAGTAGATTGACAAGAAAGTGAGTTAATAAATGAATAAATGAATAAATATAATATATATGAATATAAATATATAAATATATAAATATATAAATATATAAATATAAATAAATATAATATTTAAATAAATATAAAAAATATAAATAAATATAACACTGAAAATAAATATAAATATTAAGATAGATATAAAGATAAATATAAATAAATAAATATAATACATATAATTGATATATAGAGAAATAAATAAATTACTGGATGAATAAATAAATGTATGAAAGGAAGAAAGAAGAATGGGTGGATGAAAGATTGAAAGAAAGAAAGAAAGAAAGAAAGAATGGATGAAAGGAAGAATGAAAGTGAATTAGGTGCTAATTCACTGCAGTGCAAATAAATAGAAATATAGTGTAAGAATATAAAAATGTAAAGCGTTGAGCACAATGTGCACTGGACTAATACAGTACTTATATTGTATTACCTATATCTATTTATTTATAGAATGATACATACCATATAAACAAATTAAAGGCAAAACTAACCTATACTTTTTTGGAGAAAAAAAAATAAATTTGAATTAGTTATCTTGAATATACTTGATTATTTACCCACTCCCTGCACTGAGTGTGCCCCTGGTAATCCATTCTATTATTATTCACGACTATCATATCAAAATGGAGAAAATCTACATGATAACCGGGTGGCTCGTTCGATGCACCTTTATTGTTGTTACTCAACAATATTTTTCTATTTAAAACAAAAAAGTTAATAAGTAAGAATGTTTATCCAAATTGATTTTCAATTACATACATTTTATTTTTAAAGATTGTAGCTGAGTCGATATAATAACTTGACCACCTTAGTTAGAAATATTGACTAGTTGGCCCTTTATATATTCTAAAGTGGTGCATTTTAAAATATATAGTTTTATAGTGTGCCTACCCTATAATGCCGGATTGGTCTGTATCAAATAAGTTAGTAAAACATTAATTGAATAATGTATACTAGACATTATTGAGTGACAGCCAGATGGGAGTCTTCATCTTTTACATTCGGTAATACCAGAATAATTTGTCGTAGGCATACAAAATTATCTGATATGTTGAACATAAAATTAATGACATACGAAATATAATAAAGAAGTAAATAAAATTTATATTAATAAAATTATATGCGTATACCTTTATTGGACTATTCTCTTGATTAAAAATACAAATAAAATCTAGAAAGATCACATTCTTTGTATGAATTGACCTTTGTATAATAGAATGAATTAGTTAAGTACATTCACAACTTGTTATTTTACAATGGTAATAATATCATATTATAATATACATATAAACATATAAATATAATACTTACAACTTTGATATAAGATTAGGAATTACTTTAGGAATAGTTTTGGTACAAGGAATATAGATTTAATGAATGTAATAAAGTTTAGAGATATAATTTATAGTATAATATTTAAAGATAATAGTTTATTTATTTTACAGTTTGAAGATAAGAATAATATTTGGTAATGTTGAATAATGTTGAATAATTAATTAATTTCTATAATGGATTTTCCAAGGTATTTATACTGTTGGATTTCTTCGACTAGTGCAGTTGCTCAATCTCAGAAATCTGTTCTTGATTAACTAGTTTGGTATTCATTGTAGATTAACTTGTTGGTTATTTCTTTATGTTAACTTTGATAGATTGATATTTTGTTGATTCACTGAATGTTGATATTATTCTAATATATTTAATTATTGTTAAACAGCTGGATTATTAATTTAAGTTATTTGAAATCGTGTCCATAAACTGTTTGAATTGTGATAGTTGAATTCTTAATAAATTATTGAAGTGTCAGTTGATTTGGTTATTATAATTCTAAAATGTTAATTTTAGAACACAACTGCTATATAAGGAACTTATACTTACAATGAACTAAAACATAATATAAAACAAAATTTACTACTACCAAATCAATATGCTTCAACATTCAAACACTCCAGATAATGAATCAGGTTGAAAGCGTTATTCTAAAATAATATAGCAAAGTGCTCACATTTTGAATTGTGTTTTTGTTAATAACCAAAATCACCTTATTCAATGTTGAAATAAATTTGATTTGAAATGTACTAGACCAGACTCCCATCCGAACATATACATAGCTTCATCAAACCCATAACAACAAATGAAAAAATAGGCGAATTGATTGCAAGATTCTTTACACACTACTGCATATACTATTTCAAAACAAGCAATCAAAAATTATTGAATAATTATGATCCACTAAAGATATGTCAAAGAAATAAAAATTAGTAATCTGTATTCATTAAAATAAAACAATTATTACTTACACTATCTTTTATGCCTAAACATCTCCACATACCAAAAAGATAATAATAAAATTTGAATTATAAAAATGATTTTAAAACATTTCCAATCATATTTTGAATTGGTCTTATTACCAGGTTTGATAATGGGTTCTTAATGAGTAGAGTGGAGAAGAGCTGTCCATAGTCCGCTATGGCTGTGAGGCATGGAATTCTTATAATAAGTTCTCGTAGAGATGGCCAATTGGATAAGAAGTCACCGGCATTGTTCATGTTTTCGTCTTCTTCTGCGGTATTCAACTGGTCCTTGATCTTTTCATATGGAATACAGAATCGATCGATCTCCATTGCATCGTCAGTTTCCTCAACTTGTTCCATGATAGGATCTTCATGTGATGTCATTTCTACATCATTTGATGCTGCTGCTTCTGACTGTGGTGGAGATTGTTGTTGCAGTGTTTGTGAAAGTTGTTGTAAATAGTTGATTTGTTGTTGTTGTCTATAATCTTGAATCTGCGAGTTGTAATTGTTATCGATTTCAAAGATTACGACAATTTCTTTTGCTGGTTTTGATTGTTCCGTTGATTGCACTGTAGTGTTGTGTTGAATAGGAGTATGGAGTGGTGTTTGGGTTGGAGATTGGATTGGTGATTGAGATGGAGTTTGGATTGGTGTTTGGGATTGTGTTGGAATTGGTGTTTGGATTGGTGTTTGGGATGGTGTTTGAATTGGTGTTTGGGATGGGGATTGGATTGGTGTTTGACTATTTACATGAGTTGATTTGTGATGTTTTTGATTGTCCATTGATTCTTGATTATTATCTTCTTCTCTTATTCTTTTTTTTGTTGAATTGTTATTATTATTATTGTTATTGTTATTTATTTGGTTATTTATTTGGTTATTTATTTTTTTATGTTGACTATTATTGTCACAATCATCCTCTCTTTCTTTTCTTTTACCACTATAAATCAAGCTCGATCCGATATCATGATCATCGTCACCAAAATCAATCGATTCGATATCAAACAATGGTTTACTTTGGGTATTTTGTGTATTATTATGTGTATTATTATGTGTATTATGTGTATTATTCTGTGTATTATTCTGTGTATTAATTTGTTTATTATTTTGTGTACTATTTTGTATATTATCTTGTGTATTATTCTGTGTATTATTTTGTGAATTAGTCTGTTTTGTTTTCTTTGTTCCTCTGTAGCCTCTTCTTCTTTTGTTTGTACCAGAGAGTGTTTGGTCTGGTGTAGTTGTGGTAGCTGGTTTTGGTGAAGATTGAGATGAAGTAGAAGCAGCTTGTGAATTTGAAAGTGTTGGTTGAGATGGTGACTGAGGTGACGAAACAATTTGTTGTGTTCTTGAAGGTGTGGGTTGTGGAGCTAATTTAGATGTTACATTGGCATAAGTATTTATAATATCGCTCATCTCTTTTGCCTTTTCCTTATTTGATTCGTCTACATTCTTGGCAATCTCATTCATTTCTATCATGGTGTTTAGATAGGTGGTATGTGCCTTATCTCGAGCTGGTTTCCAAGACTGTGCCTCCTCCTTGGTGGTCGATTCGTAGCCTTTGGAAATTGTAGTCTCTTTACCAACTTGACTTTTCATAGCAGAATATTTGTAGATAGTCATTTTGTCAACTTCATTTCCACCCATGAATTTAATGTAATGTTTATTGGCACGCATCTTTTTTTTGTAAAAAAATATTGATTAATAATTGTTTTGAATTCAAATTATATAATTGATTAACTTACTGATCTATTATCTAAAAACTGGAAACGATGATACTCTGTAAAACCAGGAAAGATCTTTATTTCTTTCTGTTTCAATTCCTTTGGGTTATGAATTTCGACTGTTACTTTGATGGTAACAGCTTCCTTCTCTGATTCAGAGGTCAATTTGTATGTTCTTTGATAGTTGTTGTTGTCAGTGGTACTCTTGATTGCATTGATAACATCTTGATCTGTATAGATTGAATCTTTGAAACTCGACTTGTCTGCTATCGCTCTAGAAACCATTGAAAAATGTTGATCGCATTCACTCTTTCCGTGATAAGGTGCAAAAGTATTCAATTCGACGAGATACTTTCTTTTGGTTTTGTTTGGAGTGTTTGGATCAGCTACTTGCAACTTTGACAATGTATGCATATATGAAAGTATTTCATTTGACTTGAAGTGTCTAGCATTATCACACCAAAATGTAATTTTGTTGATATTTAGACTGGTGAATAATGGATCATTGATTAATTTGTCGAGACATGAAATTGCAAATGTCGAACAGTGATTAAGTACTTGTGAAAGACAGTCATAGTAGTGAATCTTCAGCTTGTCACCTTGCTTATAGAAGAGGACCATTCCAAAGAAGGTACGAGCAGGTTGTTGGTAAAATTCATGGCTTACTTGCACTTTGGATTTACCTAATGATATATTCTCTTTAAAATCACAGAGAATAATACACTCTCCTGCCTTTAACTCATTTTTCTAAATATTAATAAATCATTAACTAAATGTATTAATAAAATTATAATTACACATGTCAAATAATCATTCTTTCTTTGCTGAACAAACATCTTGTGAATAGTCAAGATTTCAAACAGTTTATGATCTTGATCTGAAAGTTGCCCAAACTTAATTCGTTTTGACTCGAGAGCCTGATACTGAACACACATTGGACACATGTCGGTTCGATTCTTCATTTCTCTGACATACTCTGGTACGAAACTGTAAAATGCACTTCTACCCATGAGTGGATACTTGACTTGATCAACTTTACTCTTCTTGAGGTAATCTGAAAAGCAGGTATTTATGTTTCCTAAAGCAAGGTTCTTGATTGGCACCAACTCGAATGCTCGTTTACCATCTGCGTCGAGTTCTTTGCTGTACAACCTCATGTTTTTACTTGATTCTTCAGTTATATCTTTCATATTGAAGTAACCTTCGACGGCTGTCCTTAGCATCGTGGTTCTTTGTCTTCTTGTCATTTGTCCATTGTGTGTAAATTTAGATCTCCAATTGCTGATCTCTTCTGCATTAATCAGTCTACCTGCACCATACTTATGTACGTGTTGAATTGCACGATTCCACGCATTATTATCTATTGTGATTCCAAACTCTCTGATTTCCTTAGAAGTGTAAAAAGGAACTAAACTTGATAACAATCTAGATTGGGAATATTAGTATCAATGATATACAAAATCGTTATTAAATTTAAAACTTTACTTTTATTACCAGACCTCTCTGATAATTCACTATAGTCCTTATAACGATTACTCTTGACTGGTTTAGTGTTTGAATCACTAACTGATTTTATTGAATTCAATACTCCTTGTGTATAATTATTGAAAGAGGGAGCCAATGATGGACTATTATTACTCTTATTTTGTGTAGTTAATCTGCTTGCCATTTTAAAATAAAACTTAATTAAAATAACGAATCAAAAATCAAATATAAATAATTAAAAAGAATCACTAACTTTAAATTATTTTTTTTTTTTTAAAAAAAAAGCAAAACAACAAAAAAGCATAGCCACATGATAATAAGTATTAGTTTGATGCACCTCTTTAACAATATTTAATGATTAAATCTATAGATTGTTTTATTTTTTTCTTTATTATTAAATTTTAAATACATATATTGTGTTTTGTTTTTTAAATAACTCTCTTTTGATCCATGTATAACCACATGACCAACAGTCTACCTGTTTGTAGAATAATACCAAAGAGGTTACGAGGGGTCATAATGTTCACGAATTGATGAACATTATATTTCCTCGATATATTTTCTTTGACATTCGAAACAATGTTGAATTGCTCTAAGCATTATTAGTTAGCTAAAATAAAACCATTGGTTTTCACCAAATCTTGACAATAATTAAAAGGTTCACGTTTCTCAGCTGCTCTTCTCCTATAGAATTCTCTGAATGATGATGATGGTTTAACCAGTCAGTTAATTAAAGTTGTTTAAAAGTGAAAAAATAAAATAAATCTATATCTTTATAAATATTACATCCACTATCCTTTTTAGCCAATCTATGATTACATGTGCTTGTTTATATGTTTATTTTACTTTTTAGTTGAGCAATAGAACTAATTCTGTTATTGAACTCAAACTTTGTAATTGTTTCTGTTATTGAAACGCATGCTAATCGGTCATTGTCCAGTAATTAACCTTTATTTACTAATTTACTACATCTCGTATATCTTGGTGATAAATATTCAAATAATAATTAAATTATAACTATATTTTAAAAGAATGAATTAAGATGTCTGTTTTCTTTTGTTTTGAATGCAAAAAAAAAAAAAACCAATCCCAAAAAATAAATAAAAAAAAAAGTTATTTTCAAATGATCCAAACTAACTTGGATATTAGAAAAAGAATCTTTTTTTTTCTTTATCCTCGATTCTTGGTAAAAAACTTTTGGAATTAAGTTTTCAACCTCTTTTTTAATATGGAGAGAATTTGACTCATTACAACTAAACTATTCTTTTTTGTTTTGACAAAACCAAATTTTTTCATTTTAATTTTTTTACTTTACAAACCTTCAAAATAAAACAACAAATACAATCTTCAAATTTATTTAATAGTTACTATTTCTTTTTTTTTAATATTATATCTATTCTTTTTTATTCTTTATCTTTTCTTTATATTATTATTTATTATTTATTTTATTTGTTTATATATAGTTTTATTAGTTCAAAGTTATTTATTTATAATTTTTATTTATTATTATTTATTTATATTTATATTTTTATTTATTTTCTATTTATTTTCTATTTATATATTTTTTTATTTATTTTATCAAATATGTCAACATATAAAACTATTAGTGATTTAAAACTAGAGGATTTTATCAATAATGAAACTTTTTCAAGTAAATCAAAACAAGAATCACAAGACGCAACCAATCTTCTTTTCCATCTTCATAATATTATTCATAGTTTTTATTTAAAAAATATTAATAATTTAAATAATAGTAATTTTAATAATATATCTATTTATATAGAAAAGAATCTTAATAATATAAACTCTAAAGATATCTATAATCAATCAGATTCAATAACAATCAATTATCAAACTTTACAATATATTGTAAATAGATTATGTAATAAAAAAGATAGAGATGAAACAAAAGGAATAAATAAAATATTGGGAAAGGGAGAAATATCTGTATTGGAAGTATATAAAAAAATATCTCTAGAAAATACAAAGTGAGTATCATTAAAGTTTTAAAAATAAATTTTGTTTTAAAATCAAACTAATAATAATTTTATATCCAGGAAACAACTTAAGGTGTTTATTAAGGAATACAGGGAGAGTAAAGTTTTCCAATTATTACCAGTCGATCAAAACAGCAATTATGATACTACTCAAGTTGCAAAACAACTCACAACCAATATAGTAAATCACCTCTCAGTTCAACTTTCAAATCATATTAGAGATATAATGAAATTATACAATGCAGCAATTAAAGAGCTCCTTCCAGATCCAGAGATAGATCGTACAGAGACCCTTCGATTTCTTATTAAATACAACATTGTAAGTTTATTTTTTTATTATTTATCAATAATAGAAATATAATTAATATAGTTTTTTTTTTACAATTATTTTTTAGGCATCAATCTTACCAAATAAAGAAATTAATAAATTGTTGGCAGACAATAAGTTAGAAAATACAGATCCAACTGAGAATATTATAAGAATTATAAATAACAATTTAGATTATTCAACTCTCAACCTCAGCAAACTATACTCATTTTTTAATGGATATGATTTTGAAAAGCTTCAACAAATGGAGAAAGGTGTATTCACCAACAGCTGGAAATTTTTTTCAATTGGATTGGGCAGTGTTTTTTTTAAATTTCAAAAAAACATTGAGGAAATAGGTCATCAAGTGGAATTTGCACAGCTTGTTAATTCTCTGAACCAACATATCGAACATTCTAATTTATTACAAGGTATGTTTAAATATATTTATAATCATTTCTATTAATGATTAAAATTAACTTTTTTAATTATTTTTTTTTAATAAATAGTTGTAAAAGATGGTAAACAACTCTTGGATGTATTAGGCAAACAAGAAGAGCCATTGTTGGTAAACACGTCTGCTCCAAGAGATATCAAATTTACCAACTCGGAAAGCCATTTGGTTATTTGGGTTCGATCAATCTTTAAGAATATCTCAAAATATGGAGATCAGAATTTGGATAAAATTCAAAAGAGATTATCGTTCTTTATACCAGCAGCACCAACCTCATCAACAACCACAACTGCAACTACTCCAACAACAACAACAACAAAAGTGAGTTTTTTCAATTGTAATTCCAAGAATCACGAGGCACTTGGATTGGCGAAGCCAACACCGGTAGTAGACAGATATCGAGATACAAATATTTGCAGTACATGTCAGTATCACACCAATAACAGAAGAAAAGAAAATCGAAAAGACATTTTAGCAACAGATATAATTAAATCTTTAGGCGATTTGAAACAAGAAGATAATAGTAAAGTAAATCAACTTTTAGTTATAGTAAAGGATATAATAGTAGAAGTTTTTAAATCAGAGATAAATGACAATTATAATATAGATACTTTAATAGAGATATTAAAGATAGAAAAGGAGAAGTATGATCATCGCGATAGTAAAAAGAAAAACAAGAAGAATGAGAAGAAGAAAGAGAAGAAGAAGAAAAGCAAACAAAGTTTAAAAAATCTACAACCACAACAACAACAACAACAACAACAACCACAACAACAACAACAACAACAACCAACAGTAATCAACAACCTTCTCTACGATCTATATTTGATGATAATGATGATTTCGAATTTAAAAGTGATGATCCAATAGTAGCTACAACAACAACAGATTCAACTAATGATAGTAATAATAATAATAATAATAATAATAATTTAGAAGGATCAGACCAATCCTATCACCCAGAAGAAACCACTGCCAATGGTTTTTTTGATATCTTGAATTATTTCTCCCGAATGCCACTTCCATCAGGTAGCTCCAAAGATACTAGTGCTAGCCGTGCAGATCAATTGCAAGATCTGCAGATGACTGAAAAACCAATCTCTCCGTATTCTCTCAGTGAAGGACCACCGGATCCAGATGTAATATTCGTATCAGACCACCTTGATTCAAAGGTTCACCAAAAGAGAAGGTTGAATGAGAATACCATATACTACGATATTAAAAGTTGCTCTTGGCTTTTTGTAGATCCATCCAACTCAAAGGATTTGTCTGATGAGCAGCTCCTATCAATCAAGGTGAACCGTATAAAGCAAATCCTACAACTTGGTAAAGGTACCTTCTTTCTTTGTGGTATAGCATTATGGAAACTTCTCCGAGTTCTTATCACGAATGAAGAGGTCAAGATCACCAATAGAGATCATTGGTATACATCAATGAAATTGACTTGTAGCTTTGCCGGTCGCTCCATCACATTATTTCTGTTATCAGATCCTTGTCATTCATCAACAATAACAAAACAAGGATTCCAACATTATTCAAACTGGAAAAAGGATACAGCTATAAATATCATCGACTCGGAGGCAAAACCAACTACAACCACCACCATCTCCAAATCTCCTCATATCAACAAAAGCAATAGAAATAGGAGATTGATATTTATCAATAACAAGGTTGTAGAGAGTGATAATAATAATAATAATAATAATAATAATAATAATATTTCAACTCAATATTGTAGTGGTGATGATAAGATGATTCATGAAGATAAAGAAACATTAGGTACCGATCAATGTATGGAGGATGATGTCTCTAACGATACTTCAAATGAATCTATTATTTCAGCTAATGACCCACCAACACCAACCACTACTACCACTACCACTACTACCACTTCCACTTCCACTACTACTAATAATAATAATGACTATTACAAATTCTTTAATATTCGTAATAGATCAATGTCATTCACTCTATTTCCTAGTGTAGATTTGTAAGTATACTTTTTAATTATTCAAAGATCTAATATTCACTGACATTAATTTTTTTTTATTTTTTTTTTTTTAAATAGATTTAATCCATTCAGTTTGATGTATTCTGCCAAAGACATTAGAAGAATCATCAAAGCCGAGGATGGTATGACTGATATCCAAGTTATAAGATCTATTTTAAAAGTAGATTTCCTCAGGAGAATATTTGAAGCCAATCCGATCGATGTACATATCAGAACAAACGGTTATTCAGGTGGTGTTGTGTTTAAAAGCAAATCAAAAAAAGTTCAAAAACAATACGAATTGAGTAAGTTGATAGATATTTATAATCTAGTTTGTATTTTTTTTTTACTAATCAATTTTTTTATTTTATTTTTTTTTAAAGTTGGTTTAAAAGACATAAAAGATAAAGAAGTACTTACTGAAGAACAATTTGAACAACTTGGTGTAGTAGTATGTGATCCAGCACCAAACCACAATGTTTGGTTAAATAACAAACATCCGTTTGCAAACGGTGATTATTCTTTCCGAAAGAATGTCATTGACGTGAAGTCTTCAACGCATCACTTTCAATCCGAGTCTGGTCTGAACAAACACAAAAAGAATAAGCTACTCGGTCACGATTTAATGAAATGGCAGTCTGACATACCTTCAGTCAAAGGTAATATCATTTTTCACAAGATTATCAAATTTTGTTTATCTTACTAACTATAAATACTATTTATTTTGATTTTTTTTTATCATAGGGTCCAGTACAAACAATATTACAGATCTTGTAATATATGAAAAACGATTGGAATTTATATTCAAATCGGTTTTTTTACCACCAGAACAAAGAAGTTCAGATATCAAACCATATGGTACTCTAAGGGCAGTCGGAGAAGAGAAAAAGAAAGAGCAACGAGTCTGCCTCTCAAACAACACCACCATTCCATATCACTCAAACCAGCATAAATCCGTCTTCCATCAGTATCGACAATGTCATGGTGATGCGTGGCAAAAGGTTGATTTGGATCGATCGCGATCAAAGAAGCACAGTGAATCATTAAATTCGAAAAAATTGTTCAACTTTGCATTGCAATCGATTCCTATCAAGCAGTTAACTCATGATCCAATGCAGATCGATTCCACCGATCCCAATGATCCAAAGCAGATCGACTCCACCGATTCCAATACTCCAAAGCGCGTGCCAAAGTTGGTATTCAAGGGTAACAATGTACCCATCCAATCCGACAGGGAATCATCTCAAGAGAAAAGTGGTGCCAATAAGATGAAGCTACGACGCGTTGGATCTCCCATCAAAGTGAGAAAAGTATATATTCACTTACTTCGAGAACACCTCGGCAAGCTTGACGATGGCTCACTGGAGCGATTCATGGATCGATTCAAATTTGTGCTAGATATAACCTATTTGCAAGATGATTTTACGAATCTACAGAAAGAAGCATTGCTAAAGTTCCTCAAGGATCACAAACTCGAGTTCCTCGAACCAATCGACGAGTCCAATGTACGATTAATTGATATACAGACTGCAATTCACTATTATGGAGTGGAGCTCATCCAACAAGCAATGGATATATGGAAATTCTTTAAGTTTACCGAACCATTGCCAGGTAATCAAGGTGTGGAAAAAGAAGTAGATTTCAAAGATGGCATAAATAGAGTCGAACAAATTACAACAACTTTCAGGAACCAAGCGTTTCAAAAGTTTTGGTTCAGACGTATTCATTTCGAACGGTGCAAATGGCTAAAGGATCATGGAATTAAGATCATGCCAGATAGTGTCGGAGGTCACTGGATTAGACCAAATCAATCAAAAGTGGACGCCAATGAAGACAGTATTTACCAACTATTACCAGTCTTTAACGGCTTGACAATTTTGGTCATGGTATCTAACGGTACAGATGAAGGAAAAAAGGTAGAAAGAACATTAATCGGTCGAATTAAATTGAATGGTGGAAAGTACACTAGGGATGTAAATGGCACATTCAACTTTATGGTTACTGACAAGAAAGATTGGGACAGCACACCAAACAAAAAGGCGAGAGAGATCTGTAAGGTGAAGAATATTCCAGTAGTTTCCAATGCCACTTATATTACAGATTGCCTGAGACAACATGTGTATCTACCTCTACTATCGTATGATCTGTCGTCAGCTGCCAACACTACCAGTAGTGCTGCGAAGGTTTCACCAAGCAAGAAGAGTGGTTCCAAGACAGCTACCAACACTACCAGTAGTGATGCGAAGGTGACACCAACCAACAAGCGTATCGACTCACCCGCTCCCTCCATACCGGATCTTCAAACAAAAAAGAAGTCCAAGAAGACCGACAATACCGACAAGAAGTCTATCGATAGCGATGAAGACAAAGACAATCATCCGAAATCCCGAAAGAAATCAAGTAAGTAATTAACTATTTGTTATTTTTCAAATTAAAACAGTTCATTAATACCAATATAAACACTTTCATTCTTTATAGAGAATAAGAAAAGAGGTAGATGGAAGTGTTTATGTTGTGGAAAAACCAACAATTTCAAACGATTTACTGATGTACATTACAAAGTTCTCCACTGCAATCACTGTTTATTGGTACACATCCCTTTTAAAGATCGAAAAGCTGCCAAAGAATCAGTTGATAAAACTAGAGTCGGTAAGTATCATAGTTGAAAAATAAAAAATAACAACTGTTTTTTGATTAATCTTTTTTTTTTCACACATTTAGTTATTGGTGCTGGTTGTGGTAATTTAAATCATATTCAACGAATGAAAGGTGTGAAATATAGTCCTGCCACGGAAAGAATCACCGAATCTCTCCAAAGATACAGTTTCAGTGTTTCGAAAACAAACATGAAAATATCAATTTCCAACGAGTTCAATACATCACAAGTAGGTTTTAACTGTTTAATATCAATTGTTTTTTTATATTTTTACTAATAAAATAATTATTTTTTTTTAAATTTTTAGGTGTTTGGTCCAAACATCGATAAACTAGAAAATGACTTTGTTTCAGCAATCAACAAACCAGTTTCAAACGAGTGGACGCAGGCAAAGAAAGATGAAGAGCTCCATTCGTTATATAACCTAGCCAAGGTCAAACCCCCAGGAGAGAGTAAATCATATAAACCAAAAGATACCAAGAGGGTATATAACAAGTCATTCTCTGTTCGGTTGTACACTGGAAACGATGACCAAGGCCAGCCTAAAGATATTTTTATCAATAGAGATATTCTTGCATGTACAAACATGATGGCAATTGCTAAGGCCTATTTTTGTGGAAAGCAACGTCCACAACTTTTAGCACCATTCACCAGTCAACCTATTATTAATACCCCGGGCAAGGAATGTCCACGACAAAATTTGATTTCTGCGTTTACGCAGTAAGTATTGAAATTTTTTTTTTTAAAAAACAAAAAGCACAATTTACTAATTTTTTTCTGTTTTTCAAGAGAATAAATCAAATGCTATAAAAAATATTAATTTGTTTTATTTAATTAATTTTCATCTGAGTTTAAATTTAATTAAACTTAAGTGTAATTTTCCAAAAGAATGTATTATTATTACTCTCAATATGAAAACCATCTTTATATTTTATATAGAAAGATTTATCTTTATTAACTCAAGATCAATACATTATAATGAAAAAAGACTTGCTCCAAACCAGAAAAGATTGTAGAGTGGTAATAATAAATAAATACTGTTTTATTACAAAATAAATAAAAGCATCATTAATTGAATTTTTAGAAACCAAGAACATAAAAACCTGGTATAGTTTTTTTTTTATGGAAGACATGCACATTTGACACCTGTGACATCAAAGATAACTGGGAATTTACCGACGGTAACAGTTGCAGTGCAGTCAAAACCAACACAGGTCCATTTGAATCCAGAGTTTACCCATTGACCATCCATGTTAGCGTATGGTGTGGTGTACCAGACTTTGACTAGATCGAGTGGAACCACCGATTGTGTGGTGAGAGTGGTTGTGACGGTGGCAGCATTGTTCGATGACCAGGCAGAAATGACTCTGTGTTGAGCACCACCAGTCAAGTTACGGTAGAATGCCAGCTTGTAGAGCGAACCCGATGCCAAGACACTCTTGGTGGCGTCGTAGGTGTAGTTGGAAATGAATGGTGTTATCGACTTCATTGTGAAGTACGCTGGCTTTGGTGACCAATTGTGATCGAGCAAACCAAAGTTGTGCTCACGATCGTAAAAGTCGACACCGTCATCAAAGATATCGTACCACCACATACCCTTGATGTTTGGAATGACACGTGCCAAGAAGTAGACTCTAGCCAAGTAGGCAGCTTGAATCTCAAGGGTGGATCCACAAGTCGATGGATGCGATGATGGCCATGTCATTTCGGTGATGTACAATGGAGTGGCTACACCATTTCTGAGACCAGTCCATCTTGTGTTTGTTAGGTTGACCCAACGGAACCAAACCTCCGGAGTGTTGTCGGTACCACCACAAAAATTGTATGGATGGATCGAGAGACCATCGACCTTTGTAGCTAAACCTTGTTGAATGACACGGTCACCAAATAATTGGTCCATACCATCAGAGGTAATACAACCACCAAGAATCTTGGCATTTGGATCGTTAGCTCTAATAACTGGAATTGCTGCATTGGCCAATTGCATATAGTGAGTTGCAGTATTTGGATTTCCTGGATCATCTAAATCCCACTCATTCCCTATATATCAACAATTTTATAAATATTTTAGTAATTACTATTTGTGAATTATTTTATAATAATAATTTACTTACAAACTTCATAGAATTGAACTTTTCCTTTGTATTTGTTTACAACCCATTGGACATAGTTGGTAAAGGCAACTGTGATATTGGTACCTTGTGGTTTCTGGCCGTTGTTGTAATGTTGATTTCCATTACCGAGGATGAACAACTTGCTGAGCGATGTTCTTGGTTGGAGAGCAACCATAAAGTCATTGAACTCGTAGATCTCGGTTAATTGACCCTTTACAAACTCGACAGAACTCCAGTATGGTGTGTCACGCACCGATGCCAATCCAGCTCCGATGGCAGCATCCAATGGTGGCGTAACAGTGGTAAGCGAGACAGGTGGTGACATCAAGTGGGTGCACACACCAACAATGAAATCGTTATCTCCATTCACAATGAGTGTTGAACTCAATGAAAGAATAAAGATAACAGATAATACCGATAGCTTAAAGATATTATTATTTTTATTCATACTTTTTAATTAAATAAAGTAGTTTGAGATTTAATTCCCATGATCATGATTTTCTACAAATTTATAGCCTATGACTTGGAATGGAATCAATCAAATTGAACCACCCCAAATCGTGTCGGTTTGCATCAATCCCGTTGCTCATGGTTTGCGTAACAAGATACTTTCCCCTTTCCGAGCTTGAGATAGGGGTTCTGCAAAAATTTGGTGGCGTTTTACAAAAAATCTTCATTCTAACAAAAATCTTATAGCGTCAAAACAAAACAACTAAATTCATATAAAAACAGGGATTAGTTTTAATCGATATTAATGAATAATATATGATCAAATAAAAATAATGATATAGATATTTACAAATAATAAGATTGAACTAAATTTTAGTCTTATTTTGGTAATTTATTTTGCTGAATATAATCATAATTGTTTATGCTTTGAATGATGTTGACATTATTGACAACTTGACATATTAATTGTTATTTTTCAAAGAATGAATATGATGATCTTTGGATGAGAAGATCGATATTTTTTATTTATTTTTTAACAATACCAGTAATTACAAAACATGATTATTTTTTTATTATTATTATTTATTATTTAATTGGTTATAATTTATGTTTTTATTTTACTTATTTTTTTTTCAATTTTAAAAAGATCACTTAAAAGTCACCTATAGGAACATGTGAAAAATTATTTGTTGGTTGCTAATCACAATTTTGGGGAAACGAATAAAAATAAAGATATTCCTTTTTTTTTTTTTTTTTTTGAATCTATTATTTTTTATTTGAATAATTCAAACACAATTTGTAGAAAATCCCTCCAAAAATTTGAAAATTTGAATTTTTTAGAACCGTTTTTATTTTTTTTTATTAAAATTCATTGATAGTGATTGCTCACAAAGTTACCAAAATTTATACAAAAAATTAAATAATTTTATATTATTACATTATTACTTTTTTTTAAAAAAATTAAAGCTAGAAAAAGAATTTCGATAAAATAATAATAATAATAATAGATAAACAACATAACAATTGTAAAATATAAAAAAAACAAAAACAATAGAATTTAATAGTAGCTACTTGTAATAGGAAGCGGTGAGAAGAAATGTCATTAGCAGTTGTACAACAATTATATAATCTATCAGTTGATCCAGATCATAGAGAGATGATCGTCAAGGATCAAGGATGTCTACCGGCTTTGGTGTTGTTCCTCTCGTCTACGGAGGAGGGTGTCGCCAAGACATCGATTGACACGCTCGAGTTGCTCTCACAGAACCAAGCCAACAAAGATCACATGCTTCGCGAACCAGCTCTACTCTCATCACTGAAATCTCTACAAGAAAAAATAGAATATAAAGATACAATTTTAAAGATTATAAACAGATTAGAAGTAACAACAAATGATAATATAAATAATAACAGCAAGAGCAATAATATCAATTTGAATAATAATATAAATAATTTCACAACAACACCATCAAATAAACCTGCCACATCATTTTCAGTTTTGGTGGGTGATAAATTTGGAACTGGTGGTTCGAAAGTTGCTACCAATAGCAATGCCAATGCCAAAACAATCATTTTGTTCATCAAGGGAATGAACAACGAGTCGTCAAAGAAGCAGGTCGAGGACTGTCTGTTGCGTACCAAGGGTGTTATCTCGTTCATGATCGACCTCAACACCTACCAGGCCACCATTCGTTGTACTATCACCGCCGATGAGATCAAAGCGGTGCTTCGTTACCAACTCGGTCTCTCGGCATCGCTGATGATCGATGGTCGCGAAGAAGTAGACAACTCACCCGACTATCTCCCAGAGGACAACCCGGCATTTGCCAACCAGCCAAAGAGATCTGCATGGGGATGGAACTCCATTGTCTCATTCGGTATCTCCAACGACACCAACAACAACAAACAACCACAAGGAAACTGGGGTTGGGGTTCCATTTCCAAAGCACTGTTTGGTTAGATTAAAAATGATAATATTATCAATATTTAATATTAAAACAATCAAAATCAATTAACAACTAAACCAACAACAACAACAACAACAACAACAACAACAACAACAACAACAACAACAACAACAACAACAACATAATAATAATAATAATAATCATAATAACAATAATGTATCAAAGTTTTTTGTTCTTTTGTTGAAAAGAATAAGATCTATTCAACTTCTTCATCTATCTTTCTTTCTTTCTTTCTTTATTTCTTAAATTAAACTATTCATTTATCAATACATATTATATAATTTAATAAACTAAAAAATTAACTTTAAATTTAAAATAAATAACTAAATCTGTTTATTATTTTATACGCATTATACTACTATATATTTATTATATTAATTATATTATCTATACAAAGAATGATCTATCGATTCTTTTTTGACCTGGTTCACCAAATGCTGCAACTAAATGAAGAATTAAACTATAATAATAAAATAAGTATCAGTGTTAGTTAGAATGATGTTAAAAATACAAAACAAATTAGCTATTGGTGATCTCTGTTGTTGATTGATTTACATACCAATATAAATAAATAAAGAATGAAACTATGTAGAATGCAGTTTTCAAAGAGAATCTTCTCTTGTACTGTGGTAACACTCTGTAGATCTCTGTTGCGAATACTTTGTGTTGACCGTTCACCATCCAATAGATATGTAATCCAAACAAAGGCATGTTCATGAGAACCAAATAGAGATTAAAGTGTAGCAGTAACACCACTGACAATAAACAATGAATTACATTCTCCAATCTAATAATCGGGTTCAATCTTCTTGCCAGATCAATTGGATCTACTAAATCAGATTCTAAATCTGTAAGTGCAACTACCTTTGAAATTTTGATAATATATATATATATATTTAAGAAGTTAATTTCAAAAAAATATAAAATTGGACATAGATCAATAAAAGATTAAGTTTAACCTGTACATACACTAAAAACAGCAAAAAATACAAGAATTGATGTAACAACCAATATGAATATCCAAAATAGTAGTCCCAAATCTAACATTTTAATTATTTGTTAATTAATTAAACGTAGCAATAAAATTTTTTGTCACCACCCTCTTAAAACATTATTGAAGTTCAAAGTGTAAAAAAACAACCACATTTTTATTTAAAAATTAAAATAAAATAAAAAATAATTATTTTTACTAATCTCTATTCATTATCATGATTGTAGATTAACTAAACAACAATGTATCATAAAAATAATAATAATATTCATAATTAATAAATAAATATAAAGATATATTTAAAAATGTTATTAAATACAATATAAAAATGTAAAGATAAACATAAAAATAAAAAAGTTCTAGAACTTTAGAATTAAAAATAATTAGCAGCAGTTAATTGATTCCTATCTCTTTTAAAGGTACTATCTTTCAATCTATTCTTAATAAAAAATAAATATGTTGTGAAATCAAATTATTATTTAGTAAAGGAAATCGAATCAACACACTTTTTCTTGTGGAATGGGTAAAGTCGGTGGAAGTAAAAAAAAGAACACTTGAATAGATCTTAGAATTGAAATTTTTTCGTGACAAATTAACGAAAAGATTTGAATGTGTTGTTCGACATTTTTTGTATTAACGAAATAATCTCAGTGTACATCGACGTTTTCAGATCTTCACCAAAGTTTTTCTATAAATTGCAAGAACATGAATTCATTGATTTCATTTAAAAAAACAAAAAACAATTAATTAATTAAAAATTAAATTATACCTATTTATTATTGAAAATAAATAAATAAATAAATAAAATGACTTCAAAGATTGCATTGGTAACTGGATCGAATCAAGGTATTGGATTTTGGATTGCAAAGAAATTGGCGTTGAACAGTATCAAAGTTATTGTTGCTGCTCGTGACTCGACCAGAGGAGAAGCTGCCGTAAAGGAACTCGAAGCTGAGACCAAACAGAGTTTGGACTTTGTTCAACTCGATATCTCTGACCATGAATCCGTAAAGAATGCCGCTCACGCCATCCAAACCAAATACGGTCAAATCGATATACTTGTAAATAACGCTGCAATTGCAATCAATCGTGATTTCAGTCATGAATTATTCAAGTAAGTTAAAGAGATAAAAAGAAAAAAGTAATCTAGATAAAACAAAAAATTAATTTATTTCTTTTTTAAATTAAAATAATAGAACTACTTTTGCACCAAATTATTTCGGTACTTTGGATGTAATCGATAACTTCTTGCCATTGATAAAGAAGAATGGTGTCATTGTAAATGTATCGAGTCAAGCTGGTGCATTGAATATTCTGAGTAGCGAAGATCTGAAGAAGCAATTTAGCAAAGAAGATATTACAGAGCAGGAATTGAAGCAATTGCTTTCTGAATACGACGCTGCCATTCTAGATGGTACCTACAAAGAGAAGGGTTGGCCAACTACAGCCTATGGAGCATCGAAATTATTCTTAACCGCTCATTCCAGAGCATTAGCACACCAAGATCGTTTAAAGAGCAATGGTATCACTATTTTCGCTTGCTGTCCAGGATGGTGTAAAACTAATATGGCTGGTTTCGAAAAACCACCACGTACCGCTGAACAAGGTAGTGAAAAGGCCGTCGAGCTTGCACTTGGCAAAGTTCCAAACGCAATCAGTGGTCATTTCTATACCTCAACCAATTAAACTTATTTAAATAAAAAAAAAAACAAATCTAATACAACTATAATATTGTTCTGATCTAGATTTCCTTTCTTTTATATCTTTAATATTAAAATTTTTAAACTAAACTATTTATTGAGTAATGACTATTAATATAATATCTTTTTTTTTGTCGATATTGAGTTCATCAAGAAATTTAGTGAAAAACACTCATCAATCAATCAATCCTTCATTTATTTTTTTTGTGTTAGACACACTGTTGAAGCTACTTATAATATTAAAACCCTTTTCTAATAGGTAAAACTTAAAAAGAAAGTAACAACGCAACAACCAAAACAACAACAACAACCAATACAACAACAACCATCAATAAAATGTGTAGTATGTTCTAATGCACCAACAGAAGTTAATACATTCGATGTATGTGTTAACTGTGAGAGTCATTATCACTCGAAAACATGTTGTAGAGTGCATGACCATCAAAGATTATGTATAAATTGTTTTGTAAATGTATCTAAAGGTGTAAGTAAAATCTTTGTTTAATATTAAAATTAGAATAATTAGAACAACTTTAACTGATAAACTATCTATAAATACTCTAATTAATTAGTCAAATAGATCACTTAGCTATCAAATTAAACAAATTGCAAAAGGTGAGATAAAGTTAGATAAAGAAAGAGTAACTAGAGGAAAGGTTATACAGGGATTGTCAGATGATGAATCAGACCCAAAGAATGGATCGAAAGACCAAGACTATGTTCCTCCAAAGCTATCAAGTAGTCACTTTGATAGCTATCAAGATGCATCTGATTTTACATTTGCAATGTCAAACGTAAGTAGTTAAATCTTAATAATTTCACACACTCTCTCTCTTTTTGACTAAAACATTTTATATATATCTGTACTTTTCTAGAAAATAACATTGACATTTCCAAATCAACAAATACCAGTTGGTTTGAATGGAAGTGCAGGTGTTGCGGCAGCAGCAGATCAATATGCCTATATGAATGGTGGTGGTGGTGCAGTTGATGATGCATTCATCGATAAGATCTATAGGAATCTCGGCGAGGAGAACAGTATATTGTTTAAGCACGCGCGTTATCAAAACTTTGTTAGATACAGATCGTCTATGAGCGAGATATTCAATGTGGCTACGCGTCACAATGAGAATCTGCTCGAGCCTATTATCGGGTTCATCACTGATGCCTATCCAGAGATGACAGTGGAGACTACACGAAATCTAATAACAAAGCAACATCAACACCGACAGGAACGACACAACAGTATGCTGTTCTACGAGAATCTGCCGGCGGTAGTACTCTACACAGGAACGACTACACCGGACATTGTCAATCTCTTCCAGAAGATCGGTCACGGTGTATCGTTTAAACTAAGAAAACAAGTGCATTCGACCAGTCACAATCTATCGCCTGACCTCTTAGTTCCACCCATAGCATCATTATCATACGAGCATTGTCTAACGTTAAATGCTGCCATTCGTGCATTGTGTCATCAACTTATATCTTATAAGTCTAACAACAATAATAACAATACTAATAATAGTAATGATAATCATAAAGATAGTAATAATAACACACAACAATATCAAGACTATCAAGATGATGATTCTCAAATGGATATCGATACTGCACCTGATTTCCAACCTACCAACACCACTACTACAACTGCTAATGGTGAGAACAACGATAATAATAATAATAATAATAATAATAATAATAATAATAATAATAATAACAACAGTAGTAATAATAATAGTTCGACGACGACAACAACAACAACAACAAAAACTAATTTAAACAGTAGAATACCACCGAATAAAGGTAATACAGGTGGAGGTATACCAAACTTTATTGAGTTGGAGCAATGGTATCTGGAAAACTATCATCTTCCATTGATACAAAATAGAATCAATGAATTCATAAGAAACAATCCAATCGATGAAAATGACCAAGATAACACTGACTATTATCAAAAGTTAAATACTCTATCAATGCCAAGAGTATCACCGATTATCATCATCGAGAATTTTGAATCTTGGGACAGTCAAATCATACAAGATCTTTTATATTTATTAAGGTAACTATATATCAAGTTATTAATATTATCATTTTAATTGCAGTAATACTTATTATAATATATCCATATATCTAAATAGTACATATAGACAAAGTATACCATTTGTAGTTATTTTCTCAATCTCAACAACAGAAGATACTATATATAATACATTATCCTATGAAACAATATCGATGTTAAATATTAAATCATTCTCACTATCTCCTCAGACTCAGCTGTTTGAGAGATTCGTTTACGATATCTTTGTAAAGGATCAGCTGATATCATTTGGCCCACAAGTCTACAAGTTCATCTATGAAAGCTTTAAGAGCAATCATCTCTCTGTTATCTACACAACAAGACAGCTGCTCTATTCAATTCACGAACATTTCTACTATAATACCTTTAGTTTCCTTTGTTACGACGATGTAATCAACCTGAAAAAGCAAAAGACTACCAATGCTCAGATTGGATTCAAAGCATCCGCTAGAAGTGGTACCTATCGTTACAAGTATGGTGATGATGAAGATGATGAAGCTGAATCATATCACTTTGATTACAACACCAAGAAAAACAACAATAATAATAATAATAATAATAATAATAAGAGTAGTAATAGTAGTAACCAAAGACGTAGTAAAAATAGAGATGAAAGTGAAGAGGATGAGTTGGATGAGCAAAAGCAAATCGATGATGACAACAACGATAACAACACCGAGAAGGAAGAAGAAGAAGAAAAAGTGGAAGTAGAAGATGAAGAGGAGGATGAAGACGATGCAGATAATAATGATATCGTATTTAGGTTGACCAATTGTCGTTCAGAGTATACCGGCTCTGATAGTACTGACAACCAGACATCTTATACCGACGATAACTCTGACTCTGACACTCTAGAATACCAAAGACTGATGACTTACAACAGTAACTATTACAATCAAAACAATCAGCAATATCGTAGCATTGTTCCACTGTCTCAGCTGAGTAACACCACTCAACAACAACAGCAGCAGCAACTCTACCGTCAATCTGCACTTCCACTGAAGGATCTCAGTAAGGATCACATCACTCGAATTCTGCAGACAAAGTCGGTGGTCGATGACATGAAGACATGGGATCCTGCACTTAAAAAGAAGTGTTTGAACCGACCGAATAGCATCCGCTATGTCATTCCAGTGTGGATCGAGAATCTCTTTGCAATTCGATATATTAAACAACATTGTATCGAGTGTTACTATATCATACTGCAACTGATGTATCCAAATATTCTCTACAGTGATATACTCTATCATTTCGCAAACAAAGATTACAATACTCTTACACAACTAAAAAGATTCTTAAAGTTTGTATAATAAGAGATTAACTGAAAAAACTAATTAATTGGTTAATTCTAACATTTATAAATATTGTAGTAAAGAGAAACCAGATAATTTAATTATGATTGTTTCAAAGTGGATTGGTATATTGACAAAGTTAATCGATCACACATACTATCCAGAGAGATATCAGATGTTTGCAACTACTATACTTGGTAAAGAACCAAACTTTAATAACTTTGTTAGAACTCAACGTGCAGTCTCTAAATACATCGAAGATTGTAAATTGGTTATACAATATCTAAAGGAATCGATGAATGAAGCAATGAGTAGCAAAACAGCAACCACTAAAGAAGATCATAACGACACCACCGATCAATCTAAAACATCTACAAATCAAAAGAAGAGAGTGTAAGTTTAACTATCTATCTATTTAAAAAGGATTAATGATCAATCATTCTAACATATTATTATTATTATTATTATTATTATTTTTAAAAAGTGATAGATCAAAACGTTCTAACCAAAAAAAGAAAGAAGCAACTCACCATGAAATGGCATTAATGAAATTGAATGAATTATTGAATATTTTCATTTAGTAAGTTGTTATTTATTAATATAGTTGCAACCTTTTTGAAACAGATAACTAATTAATTGATTTTATTTATTTTTAAAGCGATTATATTGATAGAGATTTAAGTTCGTTGCCGATGAGTGAGATATATCATAGTGATCGTATTGATAAGCTGAGCAAAGTATTCAATGTAAATCATACACAAGACATCAAAAAGCAGATAATGAACTCCTCAGAGATATTAGGTTGCACCAAACCAAGATGTTGTGGAAACAATGATCCAAAGAAAGCTGGTACCACACCTAAAAATACACCAAAGACAGAGGATATCACGATTATGTATTCACTCTACACAGAGTTTGGTAGATTTATCAATCTTTATGATTGGCTAACTTCGTTCTGTATGGTTTTCAACAACACCGGTGAACATACTCCAGAACTACAGTATTTATCAAAACAATAATTATAATTGTAACTATACTAACTTGATTAATACCATGTATAGAGCTAGATTTTCATCGTCATTAGATATTTTACAATATCTTGGACTTATACAACGAACAAATAAGAGAACTGACCATGTTATTAAAATCCACTATTGAACATATATAGGATTTGACTTTATCAACATTAACATAATCAAAACAGTACACAATGACTCATCAGATATAACAGGAGTTTAACTATACTTTTAGTATAAAATAACTCTTAATGATGACACATTTGTTAATATCATCCCAATGATTAAACATGGTCTGGAAAGGTAGTTAACTTGAAGGACTTGTCTGATTAAATATCTCATCATAAAATAAATACATGTTCTATTTTTATTTATGTTAAACACTCCATTGAGGTAAATCTTATTTATTAAAAAAATAATTCAATTAGATTCATTGATTCTGTTAACATATCCACAAATCTAGTAATTAAAACATAAAAAAAAAATTATCTAAACATGTGTTTTAAAATATAAAAACAACGTAAAAATAAAGATATTAATCACAACTAATATATTTTCAAAAACTTAGTAATAATAACAAATAAAATAAGATGTATTAAATAAAACAACCACATAATATAATATTTATTTGTAAAAATTCAATCATTTTTTTGTACAGAAATCATATAAAGATTATTAATAATAAATATAACCTTGAATATGATTATAATTTATGTAGTCTAATATATATTTTTAAAACAATGGTAATAATAATAGACTGTAAAAGCAGTCTCATTAGTTTACGTATTATTGTACAACCTCTTAAAGAATGAGTCATGCCTATTACCTTTCTATTCTCAGTTTGTAAATATTAGTTCAACTGTTGTTTATATGTGTAGAATCTAACTTTATAGAATGTATTTAAACAAGTTATTCTCATTACTTTTAAATCATTCAAAAAATAACTTTATTTAAACAATAGTTTTCTAAACAAAATGAAGATTGCATTATTTTCTCTATTATTGGTTGCTTTGACATGTTTGTCAGCAGTAAACTCAACATTTGTTGTTGGTACATGTGATTCAAGCAAGTGTGGTGCCGGTCAAGTTTGTATCTGTGAAGGTGGTGTCAGTCACTGTGTCTTGTTGGATCAATGCCATGATGTTGCCATCGTCCAAACCATTGAACACAGTTGGGTTGAGAATGGTCAATCATTCACTTTATACCGTGTCCACGTCTTCAACTATGGTCCAAGAACCTTGAAGAACATTGCCATCCAAACTGATTGCACTTTGGACCCACGTGATCAAAACTCTGTCTGGAACATCGAATATCACAATGGATTCTTCTCACTTCCATCATATGGTCAAGGTATTGCCACTGGTAAAGAGTTTGTCTTTGGATACATTGATCGTGGTATGCGTTCTCCAAATCTCTTTATCCGTGCTCTCCAATATTAAATTTAAATAAATCAATATTTATTTTTTTTCCTTGAATTAAATTGTAAATTTAATTATGATTGTTTCAAAGTGGATTGGTATATTGACAAAGTTAATCGATCACATACTATCAATTTGTTTTTTTTATCTTTTATTTATTTTATGATGAGATATTTAATCAGACAAGTCCTTCAAGTTAACTACCTTTCCAGACCATGTTTAATCATTGGGATGATATTAACAAATGTGTCATCATTAAGAGTTATTTTATACTAAAAGTATAGTTAAACTCCTGTTATATCTGATGAGTCATTGTGCACTGTTTTGATTATGTTATTGTTGATAAAGTCAAATCTTATGGGAATAGATTGGACGAATACTGAAAAAAAAACTTTTTTTGTAGCGAAAAAAAAATAACGGAAAAAAACGAACGAAACAGAAGTTCGTCTATCCTGTTATAAATAAAATTAGAAAATAACTTAAATAATAATAAAAGAATCTAATAATAAATTTAATTGTCTGATTTCATAGTTAATCATTGTGGTTGATTCATTTACATTTTTTCTAAGCAGTATCTTTCCATTAGTTTTTTTTTAATATTTTTTGATTTGATTTAACTTATAATCAGCAAAGTTAAATATTTAAAATGGAATCAAATAATAATAACAACAATAGTAGAGATATTTTATTTAAAGAAAGAAAAGATAAATGTCAATTTGCTAGATGGTATAGCACATTTAGACGATTGACATTTGAGAGTGTTATCATTGAATTGCCAAAGATCGTAGTGGATTACTTGAATTCCGATCACTTCTCAACAGAGACAACATCGTTCCCAAAGTACAAGTTGGACGATTATGAAGATGACATTGGTGACGATGATGAACAATGGTCCACTCCTGTAGGAAAGAGTAAAGAATCATCAATGTTTAATAAGAAATATTATCAATCTTATGATTCAGATGATGATACTGATGATTCAGATGATGATAAAGTAGAAGATAATAATAACAATAATAGAACCAATGAAGTAAAGATAGATCCACAACAACTAAAGAGTTTTACAGACAAAATAGATGAAGCAATCAAGAAACTAGGTGGTGAATGTGTTCCAAAGTTGAATTGGTCATCACCGAAAGACGCTACTTTCATGAACATCCACGCCAGTCTAAGATGTTCTAGCAGTTCAGATATACTATTACTCCTAAAGAGTTCTGATTTTATTAATCATGATCTCGCTCAATTGTAAGTAGGGTAGAACCATCCACAACAACTGACAGCATTATGGAAATTACAAACTAACAATCACAACATTTTAGTGATAATGATATTAAAGATTTACAACCAGATGATATTACACCACTAACATTGGTACTGAGAAGATGGGCAAACGTAAATATTGCATTGGAATTTAGATGTTTCATTAAAGACAATCAATTGATTGCAATTAGTCAACGTGATACCTCTGCATTCTTTGATTTCCTGCCAGCAAAGAAAGAATTAATACAATCAAAGATCAAATCATTCGCAGAACAACATATTATTAACAAATTCAATGATGTTTCATGTAAGTTGATCAAATAACAATCAATTAGATAGCAATTTAATTAACTTTATTATTATTATTACGTTTGTTTAGATTGTTTCGATGTATGTTTCTTGGATACCAATTTAAATACGGTTACATTGATGGATTTCAATCCGATTCATCCTTCGACAGACAGTTTACTTTTTGATTGGTACGAGTTGTTCCCAGAGGAATTGGAACATCAAGAGATTGATGAATCTGTGAAACCATTGGAACATTTCGAATTTAGAATAGTGGAGAGCAACGAAGGTATAAGACCTAATCTATCAATGTCAAGTCGATTACCAAGTGATCTTGTCAACATGCAATCAACTTCTGAAATCAATGAAATGTTATCGAAATTTAAAGATCACAAAATATAATAATAATAACAATAATAAATAATATTAAAGAAATAAAAACAAACAAAACAAAACAAAAATGACTATTGATACATGTCGTTATATATTTTATTTAATATTATTTTTATATCTGATCTTCAGGTGATAACTCTAAGAATGTAGCATAACTTGTTTGTGTTCCGTATCTAGTTACACAGATCGCTGCAACATTGCATGCTCGTTCTATAGACTCTGCCAGTGGTAACATGCTGGTGGTTAGGTAGTGTGCCAATGCACCGATAAAAGAATCACCAGCACCGGTCGTGTCAACTACAGGTTTACCCATGGTGGCATTATCACGATGTTTAATATGCTGATATTTATCTATAGATAGTCTGTTCACCAAAACACATCCTTTTGCACCGAGAGTAACAATTACATCGCTAACCATTATATGTAATCTGAGCAACTCACGAGCTCCATGATGTACTGACTCTAGATTCTCGACATCCACTTGATGATCATTCGACAACTTGATCAGTTCAACTTCATTAACAATTAAAATATCTACGCAACCCAACATATTCATCAACATCTCTGTGTCATTTGTAACTGGTGATACATTTAATATTGTTTTACACTATTATAGATATTAATTTTTTTAAAGAGAAATGAAATATGAAGGATTTTAGTTTGTTTTTTTTCTTTTAGATATAATATTCTACTGATATAACAATAACATTGTACAATTCAACTAGTTACCTTTGATTCTTTTGCAATTGATAATGCTTTCAATGTTGTCTTTAGATTTACTTCAAGTTGACAGAGAAGATAGGATGCATTTTGTATGGTTTTAGTTGCTTCTATTACATCTTGCTCTCCTAGTAGATCGTTTGATCCACCGACTATAATGATGTTGTTTGATCCCTCTTTGTCGACGGTGATAGATGCACAACCTGAAGGAACACCAGGTACAATATTTACATGTTCAACAGAGACACCTCTAATCTTAAAGTTATTCAATGTATTATTACCAAATACATCGTCACCCAGCTTTGTAATTATATACTATAGTAGTAGTGGTAGTGGTATAATATGTAATACTATATTAATATTCAAATGAATCAATAGCTAAACAACTCTACTACCTACAGATTTTGTGTTTAATAGAGATGCTTGAACTGCTTGGTTGGCAGCTTTGCCACCAAACGACACTTTGAAATCAGTTCCCTTTATAGTTTCACCAATAACAGGGATTCTGTCACAATAAGTAAACATATCCCAATTGGATGCACCAATTACACAAATATATCTCTCTTGTCGTTCCATTTTCTTTATTATTATCAAAATATATCTAAACAAAAAGTTTTAACTCATTTTTTTGTTATTTTTTTTTCATTGCAACATTTTTTGTTAAAAAAAAATTACAATGATAATGGATAGTGGTGCAACATGTTCAACAGCAATCAATAGTTGAATAAGAATATTTAGAGTGTCATCAATTGTTTAATAATGTATTACATTGTTCTAGTTTATTTTGATATTTGATGATGTAATACCGCGTTTTAGATATTTTTAGTCAACCTGGGTTGTTCCCAAAATCAAAAAAGAATTGTTCAAAAATACGACATGCAACAGAAAAAAAATCTTAAACCTCTATCGAAAAGTTTGTCTCCCTTTTTTAATTTCGTTTTTAAAAAAAAAAACGGATCTTTGTTAATTTTATACCTTTTTTTTTTAATTACTTTTGTTTCAACATTTCAAATCTTATTATCAAAAATATTATATAATGATATATTAATATTTCAAATCGATATTAAATAACAATCTTAAATATTAGTTTGTTTTACTTTTTTTTTTTTTAAAATCAAAAATAAATAATATCTTTTTTTCTTCTTTTGTTGTTTTTTCCCATTGTATAGACACCATTTCACACCACACATCTCACCTTATTTATACTATTTCTTAAGAACGACAAAGTACATACACATCACATACTCTTTTTATAATTTAGAGTAAATATAAAAATATAGTGTATTATTTAGTTATAGATACAGATATATATATATATAAATAGTCTCTTTTTTTTTTTTTTTGTTTTTGTTTTTTTTATTTATAGTGTTTATATATTATTTTTTTTGTTTTGATCAATGACAAAAAAAGTTACCATTTCAGAATAGGGTGATCGTATTCACTTTTATAATCACAATTTTCACTATATTATCATCTATATACTTTATCAATGGAGGTATCGGTTTGAATGGAAATGGCGTTGAATCAAACAACAATAATCAAAATGTCGAGGAAACTGCAAAGGATCTAATGGGTAGAAATTTAAATCAATTGCATCCATCGCTGAGGCTTCAGTTGGATGAGGAGGATCAGACTTTTCAACAGCTAGAGAATTTCAAACTCACTGGAAAAGACGAGCAACTTCAGTGGTCGACCGCTACATTTCAAAGGAAGCGTCGTGTTCTAATTGTCACCACTGAGATCGAGGGACCTGTACTCGGTGGAGGCATCGGAACTGCCTACACTGCATTGTCGCAACGACTCGCCGACGATGGACACATCGTAACAGTGTTGGTAATCAACTACATCAAAAAGATGACTGCCACACACTGGCAGGAGTTGTATGCCACCAAGAAAATCACTATCGAATTCCTCTCACCAGAGACTACCGACATCCTTGGATGCACCGGGCCATGCATTCGCAGTTACCACGCCTACAAATGGATTGCCGAGCGTGAGCATCTCTACGATGTTCTTCACTTCCACGACAACGGTGGTATCGCCTATTTCTCTGCGTTGGCACGTAGCCAAGGAATTTCATTGCAAAAGTCAATCGTTGTCGTCGGTGGACATGGACCACATCTCTGGGAGAGAACTGCAAACTCTGCGAATCTCGACGACGGTAAACACTTTGAGGTAGATTACCTCGAGAAGCGTTCAGTGGAACTCTCCGACTGGCTGATATCGCCATCCAACTACATGCTAAACTGGATGCGTAGATCCGGTTGGGTTCTACCTAAAAACTCATATGTACACCAGAATCTTTTGCCAGGTACCATCATGTCGCAGCCAAGCGTCGATAAATTGATTGCACATTCATTCGATGAAATCATTTTCTTTGGTCGATTGGAGGCAAGAAAAGGACTCGATATCTTCTTGAGAGCGTTGGATACACTACACAAGGAGTTGGACGAAGCCAATATCTTGGTTACATTTCTAGGTGCAAATACAAAGCTACCAGAGGTCAATATGCTAGCGGATCAGTATATCGTTTCAAAGTGTCGTTTGTTGAATATGAATTGTCGGGTTTTGATTGGAAGAACTCATACCGAAGCAATCGCGTATCTCACCGATCTATCGGATCGTAAGCTCGTCGTTATTCCATCGCCAATCGATAACTCACCCAACACAGTTTTGGAGTGTATGACACATAATCTAGCTTTCATTTCAACCAAAGTCGGTGGTATTCCAGAGTTGATCGATCCCAAAGATAGAGCACGTACTCTCTTTTCACCTGCACCAAACTCACTGATCCGAAAGATTCGTGAGTCCATCAGAGATGGTGTCTATCCAGCACGTATGGCCAAAGATGAATGGTTCAGACACAAGATTTGGAGCAATTGGCACTCCGTTGTACCAATACCTACACAACAGCCACTCGTTACCAAACCCACCAATCTAGTGACTGTGGTACTCGTTCACAACGGCAACAACGACATTCAAGTGGAAACCAATCTAATGGCACTCGACCAAAAGCAGAATCAATATCGTTTGGAGGTTGTAATTGCCACAGTTAGACCACTTCTCCAGATTCAAGAGTATCAATATATTAAAGTTAGTCAAGTCGAGATATCCGAATATCTCGTTTCACCAATCAATTTCCAGCCATGGAACAGTGAACCGATTGTCTCTTCATTCCATGGCGAATTCATTCTGTTTGTGGATCAAGAAGATTGGCTCAGCTCAAGGACACTCAATGAAATGTTGAATGTTGCCAAACATACCGGTGCACATATGGTATCGTCTTCGATTGGACATCCTGCCATGGGTGAAGATATCAGCTCTGTATATATGGGATGCATTGGAATGCCAGGAATGATGTACAACTGCTATGGTAGCAACAATGTACTGATGAACAAACTACTTTTACATACAATCACTAAAAACTATACGAATGAAGAGATTGAAGATGAATTTGACTATGGTGGACCATGGGAGCTCTACTCTGAAGCAACCAACCGTGGATTCTCATTGGAAACCATTCCAAAAGCATTGTTTTTCACTTCAAGAACTGAAATCGATTTATCCAGTACTTATAATCAAGAATTAAGAGTTTTAAAATATTTCCAAGGTAAAAATTATTATTTAGCAAAACATTTATAAAAGCAATAGTTTATTAACTTTTATTGTTATCAACAGCATTATTACCACCATCTTTAGGTATTTCACCACTTGCAACAAGACATTTCCTAATATCAAAGGGTTACTATTTAAATGAAATCAATACACAGACACAAAAAGTTAAACAATTGGAAGGACAAGTGGCGAAATATCAAATCATTGAAAAGAGAGAGGAACAATTTTTTGATTTGAATGAAACTTCATCTCAAGAGAGTTCCTGTGTCGTTTCAAACTACATGGAATCCAGAAAGCATATTGGAATGGTTTTCATTCGTGGTCACGAGAAATCAGGTACCTCATGGTTGAAAAAAGTAGTTGGTCTTCATCCAAGAATCCAGTTGCACCAACAGGAATTCCACTTCCATATCGTCGAGGATGCCATTGAAAAATTTACAGATCATCCATGGGCTGCAAGTAACGAGCCTTATGTTTCTTACACCCGTAAGTGGTACAAATCATTCGTACGTAATCTTTTATTGGCTGGAGTATCACCACCATCGGCATCGATCATCAACTATGTCGGTGAGAAGACACCATCACCATTGGCACCGATTATCTCTGGTTCCAAATATATTCTAATCATTAGAGATGGTAGAGATGTTGTTGTATCACTCTTTTGGCATTATGTCAGACTCGGTGGATTCGAGAACTGGTGTGGTGGCTTCTCAAAGCAACTGGTTGAGCCAGGCTATGTGAGATCCTACAACCAGGATACCAGTTATTTCAAGAAGAATCCAGAACATTTGTTGGAAAAAGAAGTCTGCTTCCGACATGTCGTTAGAAGCTGGGCAAAGAGAATCAGAGAGGATCTCCAAACCATCGATGACCTCAAGAAAAACCCAGCTGCTGAAGTCTATGTTTTGCGTTACGAAGAGCTACACCGTGATACTGATGCCATAAGAACAGAGATGTATCAATTCCTCGGACTAGATCCAGCAGAAGCACAAGAGCTATCGGTCGAAGGCAAAACAATTGCTGGTGGCTTCCAGGAGGAGGGCGAAAAGAAAAACAAATTCTTTAGAAAAGGAGAGATTGGTGATTGGCAGAATTACTTTAGTTATGCAAACAAAGTTTGGTTCAAAGAAGAGGCTGGACATGAACTCATCCAACTTGGTTATGAACTAGATCATCTTTGGGTAAAGAATACCAAACTATCTCCTATTAAATAAAATTAAAAATAAATAGATTAAAAGTTTTAACCTATCATAGAGATAATAACATTACAATGAATAGATTAGTTTACAATTTTATTTCAAATTACTCAAATCTAGAGGTTTTCTTTGTAAATGAAGCCAATTCAGGAGACAACTTCTCAATAACCGGTGTTCCGTATGGATCTTCAATATTTGATTTTCAATTTATAGTAAGCTATCACTACAATTTTTTTTTATTCAAACGTATTGATGTGTTGTTAATCAAAGATAAACAATTTACTTTGTTATCTTCAAAGATGATAAGTTGTGGGCTCAATCCACCATTTATTTCCTTTTAAGAATTTCTACAAACAAAATTAATTGTGCATGAAGAAATTTCAAAAAAAAAAAAGCATTCAACCAGATATTTTTGTAAACGAAAAGTATCAAGATTTTGTGCATAAGATGAAAAAATTAAAAAAATAAAAATTTAACAAAAATAAAAAAATAAAATTAAAACTAAAGTTTTTGTAATTGTTCAACAACAAATCAATTGACTGATTGATTGATTTAATCAAAACCTTAAATAACTAAATACATAATAATGGTAAATTTTATTGATAACACTAACGACTATCTAAAGAGTAATGAATGCTAACATTTCGAGAATAATTAAATCAAATAGGAAACAACTACAGTTGAAACTACAAAGGATGGTGTTGTCGTTTTACAATATGAAGATCTTTTGAAAATGAAGGATTTGGGACAGTCAATCGAAACTGCCTTTGGATATAACGGTATTGGACTTTTAGTGGTTCGTGGCATTCCAAACATCACAGAGTTGCGTGACAAACTCTTGAACTTGGCACCACAATATACTGCATTGCCAGACGACATCAAAGAGAAAACCGTACACAAAAAGAGTAATTACTCATTCGGTTGGTCACACGGTAAAGAAATTCTTAAACCAGGTGTTTTTGGTAAGTTAAAAATCATCATTCCTTAATATTAAAATAATCAATTATTTACTAATTGTTTGATTGATTGATTGATTATCATAATAATTTATTATATATGTATAGACGAATATAAAGGATCATATTATAATAATCCACAATATGATACACCATTCTCTGATGCAAAGATGATTGAAGAGTTTCCAGAAAGTTGTCATCCAAATATTTGGCCAGTCCAAGATTTCCCACAGTTGCGTGATGCTTTTATGGAGTTGGGACAAACCATCGTCAATGTTGGATCGCTCGTTGCTCAGCAATGCGATCTCTACGTACAATCAAAGAAACCAAACTACCAACCAAACACATTGAAGCGTATCATCGACGAGTCACTCACTTGCAAGGCACGTCTTCTCTATTATTTCCCAATCAATGAGGACCAGACCGAGCGCTCAAGAGACAGTTGGTGCGGATGGCACAACGACCACTCCAGTTTGACTGGTTTGTGTCCAGCCATGTACTTCAAGGTCGACGAGAAGGGTAATGTCGTACTTGACAAGGATATTCCATGCCCAGACGCAGCAGCTGGATTGTATGCACGTTCCAGAAACGACGAGGAGGTAAAGGTTATCATCCCAAAGGATTGCATCGCCTACCAAATTGGAGAGTGCTCACAAGTTCAAACCGGTGGATTGCTCCGTGCCACTCCACACGCTGTCCAAGCCATCAAGTATCCAGAGAGTCAGCAAGTAGGTCGTTCGACATTCGCTGTTTTCATGCAACCAAATGTGGATGTCGTATTAAACACTCCAGATGCCACCGATCAATGTTCGGTTGGACAATATCAACCTGGTATGACATTCGCTGAATTCAGTAAAGTTACAATTGAGAATTATTATTCTGAAAAATAAAATGAACTAAACATAAAGTTGATTCCATTTTATAATATATCTGTTTAATTGGGGTTAATTAATTTTTTAACAGTTTACATTTGCATTGTGTGAAAATTTATGAATTGCAAAAAAATTGATTAACACACACCAATATTGTGTTAATCCAACTTTTTTTGGAGAATGATCTTTAACAAATTGTAGTATAATCCAATAGATTTTTGAAGAAATTAATAAATTAATCATATATTAAAAATTTATACAAAACAAAATATAATTCATTTTTTTTAAGTACTTAAAAAAAAAAATATTATTTAGTTATATAGTTATATTACTTTTTATCTTTATAACTATCACAAATATATTATTATAAATAATACTTACTTTATTATTTTATTTATATATAATAGTAAAAAAATTAAAAAATATGGAAGATGTATACAATATTGAGAAGAGAAAACAAATATTTGAAGTTTTATCAAATAATTTAGAAATAAGATATTTAAAGTATATATGGGTGGATCTATCAAATTTTATTCATGTAAAAGTTATTAGAACCAAGTATTTATTGGAGCACCAATGCAAATATTTTTCGTTTGGTACCAACTTTCTGTTTTTGAGATGCTTTGACAATCTTTCCAATGTTATAATTCCACCAGAGGACAAAGAAACTTACTTTGTTCCAGATTGGAATACATTCCATGTGAATTCTTATCAAAAGGGAATTGCAAGTGTGTTTGGTTCGATCTATAGAATGAAGAAAGTAGTTTTAGGAAATGGAAATTCGTTCATACAGTGTGAACCATATGAACACTGTCCAAGAAATATTTTAAAAAAAGCAGAGAATACACTGTCGGAAATTCATATTGATGGTGAAACTGGTATCAGCTTGAAAGGTTCATTTGAAGAAGAGTTCTATTTATTACCATTGGATACACCAATACCTGAAGAGGCTAATTCCGAATTAATACCTGGATACAGTTTATACCATGTGGATGATCACATAGAGATCCTAATTGATATGGCCAAACACTTGGAGGATCAAGGTGTGCCGAATGAACAGATTCTGCATGAGGGTGCACCAAACCAATTTGAAATAACAGTGCCTTACACATCGATCATGGAAGCATGTGATCGTCATATCATTGTGAGAAGTACAGTTCATGCTATTGCCAAGAAACATGGATATCAAGCCACTTTTATTCCTAAACCATTTAAAAACGACCTTGGAACTGGTTGCCATGTTCATCTTTCTCTGTGGAACAAAGACAAGAATTTAGTACCAAATCTAACTCATTCAACTAATTTATCAAACATTGCAAGACGTGCGATCAGTGGTATATTGCATCATGCTAGAGGTCTAACTGCTATTTTCAATGCGTCTGTAAACTCATATCAACGTTTGAAGCCTATGACCTGGTCTGGAGGTGCCATTTGCTGGGGTGTCAATAATAAGGAATCGATGATTCGTGTTCCACACAGTGCATACACATTCAGTAACTTTGAATTGAAATCATTGGATCATAGTGCCAATGTGTATGTGGCAATGGCAGCCACTATATATGCAATGGTTGATGGAATGATTAGTGATAGTATAAAGATGCTTCCTCCAATTACCAAATACCCGTGCCAATATACTGACAGTGAAAGAGATAACCTAGGAATAAGACAGTTTCCTAAAACTCTTGGAGAAGCAATCAAAGAACTTGGCTCAGATACCTTTTTGATCAAAATGATGGGTTCCGAATTTATAGAGACCTTTTGTGCTATCAGACAATTCGAACAAGATTTTCTTAAAGGCAAGAGTGATTATGAAATTATTAAACTCTATTACAAACTGTATTAATAATAATAAAGGTAGATTTCTTGGTTCTAGAAAGAAAAAATAATTTTAAAAAAAAAATTTTTCATCAACAATTTTTTAAAAAAAAAAGGAATCATTATTTGAAAAGATGTTACTTTGTGTATTCATAAATCTGAGACAAAAAAATTGGTGAAAAAGATCACTTTTCAGTTTTTTTTTTCTTGAACCAATCATAAATTAAATGGGCAGTTGAACAAAAATGAAAATATTTGTTTGTGTTTAGTTGTAAATTGGCATTGGTTGAAAAGATCCGGGAACCATGTTTTATTATTATAATCTATCTATTCGAGGTTTCTGCTTATTGTTCGTAAAGTTGAACAAAAGGTGTACCACAGACATATAAATAAGAAAATCAATCTACAACAATTTTAAATTACATAACTTTTTTAAATCAGTGTTTATTCAACAAATGGAAGAATTGAATAATGAAAAAAGAAAACAAATATTTGAATATTTATCAATACACACAGAAATTAGATATCTAAAATATATTTGGATTGATCTTTCCAATGTTATACACTCGAGAATCATCAGAACAAAATATTTGCTAGAAGAACGATGCCAGCACTTCCCTATTCTCATTACCTTCCTTTATTGGCGATGCTTCGACGGAAGAATAAGTCCAGCGGTTGATTATAAACTCGAAGAATCTGAAGCTTACTTTTTGCCAGATTGGGGAACATTCCAATTGGTTTCATATCAAGCAGAGACTGCACAGGTTTTTGGGTACATTTATCAAATTAAGAGAGTGGCTCAGCCTGATGGTGCTTTCAAGACTCACTATGATGCCGTGGATTGTTGTCCTAGAACCATGCTGAAGAATGCAGAGAAAATACTTTCGGAGATCCATATCGATGGTGCAACTGGTATCAGCTTGAAAGGTTCCTTCGAAGAAGAATTCTATCTACTTCCTTTTGGTACGTCATTGCCTGAAGATTCTAGTTATGAATACAGACCATGCTTTAGCCTTTATCATACAGATGAATACTTTGAGATTCTAACTGACATTGAGAAACACTTGGAGGCTCAGGGTGTGCCAAATGAACAGATTATGACCGAAGGTGGACCAAACCAATTTGAAATAACAGTGCCTTACACATCGATCATGGAAGCATGTGATCGTCATATTATCATCAGAAGTACAGTTCATGCAATTTCCAAGAAACATGGATATCAAGCCACTTTTATTCCCAAACCTTACAAGAGTTACCCTGGAACTGGTTGTCATGTTCACCTTTCTCTGTGGAACAGAACCAATAATTTAGTTCCAAATCTCAGTCATCCAAATGGTCTGTCAAACATTGCAAGACGTGCGATCAGTGGTATATTGCATCATGCCAGTGGTCTGGCTGCTATTTTCAATCCAAATGTAAACTCATATCAACGTTTGAAACCATTGACTATTTCAGGTAATTTTATATGCTGGGGTATCGGTAATAAGGAAGCGATGATTCGAGTTCCACCATGTTCTTATACATTCAGTAACTTTGAATTGAAATCAATGGATCATAGTGCCAACCCGTATTTGGCATTAGCTGCAACTATCTATGCAATGGTCGATGGAATGATTAGTGATAATATTAGGATACTTCCCAACATTCCAACATTTCCAACACTCTACACCGAAATAGAAAAAGAGGAACTGGGCATTAGAGAAAATCCTAGATCTCTTGACGAAGCAATCAAAGAACTTAGATCAGATACCTTTTTGATCAACATGATGGGTTCTGAATTTATCAAGAACTTTTGTGCTATTAGACAGTTCGAACAAGATTTTCTTAGTGGCAAAACTAATCATGAAACCGCCAAACTCTATTACAAATTGTATTAATAATGATATGTATGATAGATTTTTCTCTTCACAAATTTATTAATGATTCGGTTTTACAAACATTAGTGATCGAAATAAACGAGTGATGATTTCAATTTTATAAAATCAAACACCACCCACACGATATTTATTTTTAGTATAATGCAGACGTCTCTTAATCTCATATTCTTTAAACTATTAAAAAAGTATCGAAAAATAATAAATCACTTGCAAAACTAGCGATTAATTGAATCGTGAATCAAATAAAATTTAATTTTGATTGAATTTGTCTATTTTTGTCAAAAAAAAAAACATTTTGAAAGTAGAACAAAACCATTAACATCCAACAAAGCCTAAAATCAGAAAATTATTGGGTTAAATATAATTAAAATGTGTATTTAATCATTGTTTTTGTTACTAATATTTAAACACACAAAAAATTAATTAAATTCTTTTTTTTATGATTAAATTTTAAAATTACATTAAATTTGGGGGGGGGCTGTATCAACAAATCACAAAATAGACCTCCCCTGTTCTTTCAAATCTTCGATAAATCTAACTACCATTCATTATATATATATCACAACTTTTTAAGATCAATATTAATAATTAATTAAAATTAAAAAAAAATTGGTACTTCTTTTGTTAAATAAAATTACTTTAATTAATATTATCATATAAAGGTATTAGATATAACAGTTATTTGTTAAATTATTACTTTTTTATTTGTACTTAAATCAAAACAAACTTTCTTTACATTCAATCAAAATCAAAGAATCAACCAATTGTTTTTCTAGATTTTTTTTAAAAATAAATAATTATGGATGAAATTCGAAACGAAGAAAAAAAGAAACAAGTTTTTAGCTTTCTTTCAAAACATAGTGAAATTAGATTTCTTCGTGTTTTGTGGGTGGACCTGTGCAATTTAATCAGATGTAAATCAGTTCGTACCAAATGGCTTCTTGAGAATGACTTTAACTATGTATGTGTTACCAATGCTTGTATGTCGGTGCGAGTATTCGATGATGTCATCATTGAAGAAGCTGCACCATCCACTCAGTTTGGAGAAGTCTTTTTGGTGCCAGATTGGAGCACATTCCATGTCAACTCTTATTCAGGTGGTACAGCCTCTGTGTTTGGTGCTTTCTATACCTCTGCTCAGGATTCCACTTTGCCAACAACCAAAACTCAAGGATCATCTTCACAAGCAACCGAGCATGCTAACAGCTCAATGATCACAAAGAATAAATTGAGTCCATGGCCATACTGTCCTAGACAAACACTATACAGAGTTCAAAAGATGTTGGCGGATATCAATGTCGGTGGGATCCAGGGACTTGAAGTTAAAGGTTCGTTCGAAGAGGAGTTCTATTTGTTATCGAAAAGCAATCCCCTCGAGCCTTTTGATCCATATTCATTTGCAAGTGTGATATCACTAAATCAATACCAAACAATACTTGACGAAATTGCACAGAACCTCGAACTACAGGGTGTTCCCGTAGAACAAATGCTTGCCGAGTCTGGACCAGCCCAATTTGAAATGACCATTCCTTACACCTCTATCATGGAGGCATGCGATCGTCACATCATCTTCCGTCAAACCGTACACGCCATCGCCGATAAGTTTGGACTGCAAGCATCATTCCTCCCCAAAGTCCATCTGAATCGTGCTGGTAGTGGTTGTCACGTGCATCTCTCACTCTGGCAAGCCGGAAACAATCTTGTTCCCGATGCATCCGACATTGACACTGGAATTTCAGTGCTAGCCAAGCGCGCCATTGCAGGTATTCTCACTCATGCCAAGGCAATGACGCCCATACTCAATGCTAATTTGAACTCATATCATCGTCTCCAACCAAATTGTTGGTCTGGAAACACAATTACCTGGGGACTGGACAACAAAGAGGCAATGGTTCGTATTCCTTCGTCTGCTAGCAAGTCGACCAAGGGAATCACCAACTTTGAAGTGAAAACACTCGATCACACTGCCAATCCATATATGGCGATCGCAGCGATCATCTGTGCTATGGCAGATGGATTAATCAGTGAGACTATTACAATGACACCACCTACCTCTGTCAACCCATCGTCTCTAACACAGGAACAACGTGAAGCACTCAGAATCGATCAGTTGCCAACATCACTTGAAAATGCATTAAAAGCACTCAAATCAGATGATTATCTTCTCAATATGATTGGTAGCAAGATATGCACTTCATACATTGCACACCGTCAACACGAAATAACACTTTTAAAAGATTGCTCTCATAGAGATATAATTGAAAGATATTATAAACTATTTTAAAATTAAATAATATTATTAAATAAACAAATCACAGCACATTTATACTAATTGTTGGTGTATTAAAATTTAGAAGTTCGAATTTTTGCAAAAAAAAAAACTTTTTAAAAAAAAATAGAAAAAATCATTTCGAGCCTGATGAATGATTTCATAGTGATCATTTTAATATTCTTTTTTATTTTTTTTTAAATTATTTAATAATATAATATTCTAAAGTAGGTCATCAAAGATTATTATTCAGGGTTAAAACAGTAGATAGATATGATATTACTACGATATATAGAATACATTTATCGATATGTCATTTAAATAAATAGATATATAAAAACAATATATAATTATTTTTAAATCAAGAAAAAGAAATAGTTTAATATATCTGGAGAAAAGAATTAAATTGTTGAAATTCAACAGAGAGAGAGAGAATTATTAAGAAAACAGAGTCTAAATAATAATACTCTGATCGCTTTTGAAAAAAAAAAAAAAAACAATCGACAAACAATAACAATCAAACGAATAGATATTAAAATCGATCTATCTATCTATCAATCTATCTACAGATTGTTTTTAATTATAAATTAAATCATATATTATTTATAAATAATGATGTATATCTTTAGTACTAACTAAATTTATTAATATGAGTATAGAAATGACTATTACAAACGATACCAAGTTTTCAGAGTTCCTCACATACACCAAGAACAACTTCAACAAGAAGGGATTGTGCGGTGTCTATGATTGGTATCACTCAAAGTACATCAAGACCGGTAGATTCGCTCCAATCATTCACTGTATGGTTGGTGTTACCCTTTTTTCATATGTTATTAGACATCAAAGAATCGAACACCACAAGACTGCCCCATATCACTAAACAACTATATTATTATTACTATTTAATATATTTACTTTGTTATTATAACACTTAGCTTTAGCACAACAGCAACAGCAACAACATCATTAAACACCTGCAATCAATCAATCAATCAATCAATCAATAAATAAATAAATCAATTTATAAAAACAAAAAAAACTAGAATGTTGTAACCATTTGATAGATGTAAATGCATCATTTTTTGATAAATGTTTATTTGGTATTGTTCAGACAAGTTGATCGATAAATAAACAAACATCAATGTTAATGTTTTTTTTTTTTTTTTTTTTTTTGATGAAGAATGTAAATACATAAGGATGACTTCTTTATTGTTTTCATTATCAAGTGCTACTAATAATAGTTATTAATATTAATGGATACAGATACTAATCATTTAAATGTTAAAAGAGATATTCTAGAAAGAGATAGAGTACTTAGAAATTATTTTGTATTGGTGGATTGGAAATCGGATGACGCTTTATTTCGTTTGAAAAGAAGATTGGTTACTGGCGAGCCAATTCACCCCCATGAATACTATCAATATTTGTATGAAGATAGTTGGTCTGGTTCAATCAACAACGGATTAAATGATAGTCTTGTATTCACAGATGGCCAGGAGAGATTCCTTATCCTGTTGGTTCACACAAACGATTCAAAGAAAATCATTGGTTCTCAGAAATACAAGATGATTGATAGAATCGGTAAATGGGTAGACAAAACACCTTCTAAATTAATCGATGTTGGTGTTATTACATCATCTTCCAACCAATACAAGGCAATAGGCCATTTAAAATTAGAAAGTACCAACATTAATGATGTCGACATGTCCAATATCGAAGTAGATATTGACATTGAAAGACAAACCATCAACAATTATGTTTGGTACGGTAATGCCCCATCTGACTATCTACTTTATTGCGATGATCACAAAGTGGAAGAGGTTACAGAGATTATTTCAGATTTGGAAATTTGAATATTTTTGCATATTAAAGGTTAGAATAAAAGTTTTATTATATATATTTACAATTGATATTATTCAATTGAATTTTAAAAAGTACTGTTTAGTTGTACATGTGTGTATTACTTATTTAATTAATTTAGTTTTGTGATTTATAATTCTTTAAGAAATAAAATCCATTTTTATCTTGTTCGAAATAAACTGGTTTCCAAACTTCACCTTTTTGTTTTCTTTCTGCGGTAATCTTACGTTGTGCTTCCTCTACTTTGGTCTTCTCTTTGGTGATTGTCTTGGCAGATGTTCCACTGTCCAACTTGTCTGCCTCGAACACACCTTTCCATACGATGCTAGAGTCGGTTGGAAGGAGTACCTCTGGACCTCTCATTGCACCTTGTTTCATGGTTCGTCTGTCCCAGAGTATCTTGTAGTCGTCCTTCTTGTATTCTGAGATCTTGGCAATCTCATCCCATTGTCCTTTGATCTTGAAGATTTTGTCTTTTCCATTGTATATGGTTGTATCAAATGTATTGTATGATCCATACAGCAATGGCTTTGGATGGAATACTGATTTGCATTTGAGTGATGAGGTGTTTACTGTAAGCTTTGACTTTCCAACGTACTCACTGAAACTTCTAAAGATTCGAACAGCCATGCTCGGACAGGTACCAGTGTAGACTTCGTTGTACTTATCGAAACGAATTCGAACGGTTCCTTCGAAGGACAGCTTGGCGTATGTACCCATGAAGGTTGATTTAACTTGGTCGTGGTAGCTAACATAGATTCCAGCCTCCTTGTTGTAGACAGTGGAACAAGAGATGGGTGGGTGATGGGAAATCTGCTCACAGAAGAACGTACAAGAGTTACTTGCTCCTTTGCTGTCTGGTGAGTCATCGTCAATATCATCCTCTCCACTCGTCTTGTTGTTATTGTCCGACTGTTGTTCATGTTCAAAAATGATGTCACCTTCGTAAGTCTCTGAAAGCACTGGATTTAATGGTTTACGCATATTGTCTTCAGGTAACCGACATGCTGTAAATAAATATTTTACAACTTGAATGAATCTTTCTTGTTTATCTTCTATTTCATTTGCCCTATTGTTAGTGTGTTCAAATAAAATATTGTGATTAGGAATTGGATGATTAGGCAAATAAACATGTGTTTTTCTCAACATACTTTAAAAGGATATCGAAATAAGATGAATAATATTCGGCGAAATAACTTAGAGCTGATTTAGGTAGGATGAAAGCACCTGGTACTGTCATAGAGGTAAGGTCAGCTCCAAAACCAATTTTTTTGATGACACTGGTCAACACTGTAAATCTGGATTGATTTTCCATTTGGTCATCAATCTCATCTATATTCAAAGCATTCTCGGTCTTTGGTGTTGTCAATTCTTTTTTCAATTCCTCTGGTATATCCTCTCCGACATCCTCGACTTCAACTTTTTTACTTTTTTTCCCCATGTTTTCTTTCTTTATTTATTATTGATTCTCTCTCTCTCTCTAAAAAAAAAACTATTCTATAAATAAATTTATTAATATTATGTTTTTGCAGATAGTTAAATTGATTTGAATAATTAGTGTCATTTAATTTTTAAAAGTGCTTAATTTTTTTTATTTTTTTATTTTTTGGGGTGGTTATTAAATCTTTTGTGTTGGTGGTATTATGATGATGTTATTACCAATTTAGTGAACTGTTTGTTGTGTTTATATCATCAAGTATTTGTTTATCACAAATTAGTGAAGATTGTTATTATTAAAAAAATAACAAGAATTGAATTCGTACGAGGTCTCACCTGTTTGTTGTTTAAATATTTACCTATTATATAAATTTGTTTAATTAAGCCTTAAAGGGTCAAAGTTGCTAATGAAAAATAATTAAAAAAAAAGATTTTTGTTGTAGTTATCTACCTTTTGATGAACTAAAAGTAAATTATTAATTGAAGTAATGCTTTTATATTAAGAGAAGTTTCTTTAAAGTTGCCAACAACAGCAAAAAAAACGGTAAACATTTTATAATCAAATTAATTACGTGTAATATATGAAAATTTTTTTTTTTTTCGGAATTTACTGTTTCAAAATTAGATATTTGCAATTTTTTTTTTTAGTCGCACTATCATGATGGCATTTATAAATTTATCATCAAAAATATTATCTTTGTTATAATGTCTTGAATATTAAATATTAATTAATTAAATAAAAACTTTTTTTTCACTTTATTTATAGTTTTTATTTTTAGTTAGAATGAATTTTTCAATGCATTGACAAATAATAATTTAATGATACATATCTTCTTTTTGATGATTTAAATTTAAATCGATTCAAAGATTGAAAAAAAAAAAAATAGAAAAAATTGTGAAAAAAAAAATCTTTCTTTATTTTTTCTATGATTTTTAAAGAAAGTGAAAACAATGAAATGCACCCCCTCTTTATATGGTGCAAGGTGGCTTTTTGGTCAGCCTGACATTTCAAATTAACTTTAAGATTTTTGAAATTATTGATGAATTTACTATACTTTAAAATTTTTTTAATTTAATTTATAGTAGTTATTGTTATTTTGAAGTTTGTGAATTATTTATATAGATAAAAATATTTATAATAAGTTTATTTAAAGATTAAGTGATTTTAGTTTATAACAACTAAAATCAGATTTGTAAAGTTTTTTTTTTTTTAAAATGAAATTGTTGGAAAGTAAAATTTGTTTTGTTGATGGAACTGCTGTGTCATTCAAAGACAAGAAGGTAATCAACGAACTACTCATTAAATATGGTGCTTCAGTAACCACTCTATTGAATCAAAAGGTATGGAATAATTATTAGATACACCACCACCCACCCATTCATAACATTCACTAATTCTATTTGAATTTCATTTTATAATTATTAGGTATCACTCTATGTTTGTTGTGTAAACGACTTACAATTATTATGTAAAGATAAGACTTCTCTAGATGAATCAAATGACACTAGTGGTAGTGGTGGTGGTGGTGATGAAGATGTTGGCTTTAGAGGAAGTATGTATGTCGATAGTTTGTCTTACAACATCAAGAAGGCCATCAAGCTGAATATCCCTGTGGTCACACGACAATACATCGATGATTCATTTCAGGCTGGTGTTTTGTTGTCCACTGACCAATACCAATTGGTATCCCTGTATAATATCAAAGAACATCATTATCAATCATTGGATTTCTCTAATGTCTTGGAGACATCCGGTGGAGACAATTCCGACGCCAAGTCGGTTGAACAACTAAAGCGGTATGCACTGGATGCAACCGATGCTCCTACCTTCCCCAATGATCGTTATCACATCGTCAAGTATAATGTTCTTCAAAGAATAGGTGCACAAGATTTTGCATGTATTGAGTTGCATGTTGGAGGTGGCGCACTCTCACGTATCACCTTGGCACCAGGTGGAGATTCCACCTCGTCATCTGACTCTGAACCAACTTACTATCGTGTATATCTCAACCGTGGAAGAATCGATAGTCTATCTACTTCTGTACATGAATGGATTGCTGCCAATGGAATGGAAGATGCTCTTGGTATCTACAATCAACTATTCCTTCACTATGTAGTGGAACAGTCGTACAGTAAGTTGTTATTGCGTACTACTAATGTTGGATCGTATCAGCTGAAACAACAGTCTGAAACTATACAGGAATCACAACTCCCAGTTCAAGTTCAAGATCTTGTTACTGAACTGTACAAGCAGGCAGTATCGACTCTAGGAGACAAGCTTGGTGCTTCGAAGCTCCTCATTTCTCCAGAGGGTTCGATTGACACTGGCACAGGCTCCATTTCGCTTGTTCAAGTCGAAAAGGCAGAGTTGATACTTTACCAGATTGCCAATGCAGTGCGTACCGATCCACAAGCAATTTCTGGTTCGTTTGTCTCGCAGTTGTTCAACGACTTTTATGCAGCACTCCCACAGACCAAGTCAACTGGAAAGGTCGCCTCTAATTCTTTGGAAACACTTCAGGACCTACAAGACATCGTTCAATTGATGAAAGATATTCTAAACGTCGGAGAATCACTGGGTGTCTCTCACTCGAACAACCCACTCGATGCTCGTTACCGTGCCATGCGTTGTAACATCGAAACTGTCGATACCACCTCAAAGGAATACAAAAAATTGCACGACCAATTTGCAAAGTCCTCTGAGTCACTCATGAAGATAAGCAACATTTTCAAGGTTACTCGTCGAGATGAAGAGAAACACTCACTTCCATATTCCAACGTCAAAACACTATACCACGGAAGTAAGTCTAGTAACATTCTTGGTATCTTGTCTCGTGGTTTACTACCACCAAAGTTGGCAACCTCATTGGGAGCATCTCGTCGAGATATAGGATATCTTGGTTCAGGTATTTATTTCGGTACAAAGTCATCAACAAGGTATGTTATTATTTTATTAATTTATTTCCACCACCACCACATAAACTATACTAATTCATAAATTTATTACATATATAGTTATCAATATTGTGATACAGTTACTTCAAAAAGATTTATGGTTGTTTGTCAAGTTGCACTTGGTGTAACAAAGAAATATACAACACATCAAACACAGTTGACAGAGGCACCAAGAGGATATCAAAGCGTCCAGGGTGTTGCATCGGATGGAAAGAATGGATCGGTCTTTAATGACGATGAAATAGTTGTGTTTGATGCCAAGCAACAGGTTATCAAGTATTTGATTGAATTCCAACCACTTGTTTCGCAACCAGAGGCCAAGTTAAAGAATCTTGCATTGCAGGTCAACACCACTGCTCCAAAGGCATCGGTCATTGATAATGACACTGTTCCAGTCTCGATACCACCATCGTCTCAACCATCGAAGGAGGAAGATGAGCCAGTGGAGTCTGGACTTATTAGCAGCGGTGTCAAAGTGCCACTGAAGGCGGTTCACGTTCGTGCCAAACTTCTCGATTTGATTGGAGAAGTAACTCTATTCCAACACTATAATAACGCAACAAGTAAAGCCATTGAGGCCAAGTATGTGTTCCCACTGGATGAAATGGGTGCAGTATGTGGATTTGAAGCGTTTATCAATGGAAAGCATGTCGTTGGTGAGGTAAAAGAGAAGGAACGAGCTCACCGAGAATATAAACAAGCTATCTCTGAGGGACATGGTGCATACCTGATGGACGAAGAGAAGCCAGACGTCTTCACTGTGAGTGTCGGTAACATTCCACCCTATTCCGAGGTTCTCATTAAAATTACCTACATCACAGAGTTGTCTCTAGATGGATTGGACATCAGTTTCATCTTGCCATCATCAATTTCTCCAGCACAACAAGCTGTTTCCGGTGCACAAGTGACACAGTCCTCAACTTCAACTGTCCAAGTCAAAGAGATTGGTAAATCAAACTTTACAGTTCAAATTGGTATTGAAATGCCATATAATATTGTTAAATTAAATTCACCAACACATCAAATACGTTCAAAGAAAACACATACCAAAGCTACGGTTGAATTGGATCGTGTCGAATCGCTCGGAACCAACTTTCAGTTGCTCATTGGTCTGGAAGATCCGTACAGCCCTAGAATGTGGGTTGAGGTTGATAACAGTGGACATCATGCATCGATGTTGGCATTCTATCCAAAGCTAGATATCGAGCACGGCGATCAACCATCTATTGTTACGATCGTGCTTGACTTATCAGCATCAATGCATGGTGATCCCTTTGAGGACATGATGAGAGCGGTGCGTTTAACTATCACCAATCTCCGTGGAATGAATATTAAATTCAACATTGTCCAATTCGGTGATATTTTCGATTGGTTATTCATTGAACATGTTCCACCAACTGAAGCCAATCTTCAATTGGCATGGAGTCATATCAACTCGCTCCGTCCATCCTATGGTGGTACCGCACTTCACCTGCCATTGCAATCGTTGATTCTCATGTCTGACCAAACTCCATCAAATCGTCCACACAATATAGTGTTGTTCACAGATGGACAGATTGCCAATCCACCACTTGTTCAAGCACTTATTCGTAGATCTTCATCGAAATGTCGTCTCTTCTGTTTCGGTGTTGGACCGGATGTATCACGTCACCTAATCAAGTCACTCACTCGTTTGGGCGCAGGTTTCGCAGAGTTTATCACACCCAACAAACGTCCATCGACCAAGAAAATCATTGCTCAACTTCAACGTACAGTAGCTCCAGCGATGTCCAATGTTCGCGTTGTCTTTGACTCGAGCGACAAGATCACTCAGACACCTGCCACCATCACCTCTATCTTTAGAAGTGAACGTCAGGTTGTCTATGCTTTCAGTGGTATCTGTACACGTGCAACACTCACTGCTCAGGCGCCAGGAGGTGGACTCATAAGCAATGCCGTTCACACACCAGAGATTGGATTCCTTCGTGGCAATCTGATCCATCGTCTGGCAGCAAGATCCATGATTCGTGAGTACAACGATGGTAGCTATTCAGATTCAAAGCTACAACACGACTTGATCAAGATGAACAAGAAGCAAGACATCATCGACCTCTCAATCAAATATTCCATTGTCACAGAGTTTACCTCGTTCGTGGCCATCGAGAAGCGTGAGAAAGGTGAAGTCGCCAAACCTCAACCAAATATGATGGAAATCGTTGAACAAACAGTAGTCGACACACTCCCTTATATTTCTTTTGAAAAGGAGGGAGAGTCTGATGATTCCGGTGACTCTACAATGAAGACAAAGAGAAGACAGCTGGTTGATTTGATCAAGGAAAATCAGGAGCAATCTACCATTGAAAGAAAGTCAGAATCACTTCGTGTATTCCATCAAATTATTGATACCTATGGTGAATACGACTTTGAGGAGCTCAGGCTATTCGGTCAAACCATCGATACCATCGTAGATGAATTAGTTACCAAGTCGATTGAATCGGACACCACCACCGACAGCCAAGCAAAGATGACACCATTGGCGTTGAGTCGTGCCAAGCGTAACAAGCAAAAGGCATTGGATGAATTGAAGTATCAATCACATGGTTTGTTGAGATTGGTTGAAGCATCACTATCCACATGTGTCCGTGAGGAATCAAAGATTGTAGTACTCGAGAGACAATGTGTTATCAACGGTATCTTGGCTGGCATAGAAACAAATGAGATAGCCAAGAAAGCCATGATGGATAAAACCAAGCAGTTGTTTGAATCTACCTTGAAGAGATCCGAGAAACTCCCACCAACCAACGCAATCAGATTGCATCTCGCTTACTCGGCATCACTATTTTACAAGCGTATTGGAATGTTGGACCAAGCTTGTTCAATCTCCAAAACTTCTTTTGACGATGCCATCAGTGAATTGGATTGTCTAAGTGAAGATTCCTACCAGGAAGGAACTCTCATTATGCAGTTGATTCGTGACAACCTCACAGAGATGACAGAGGAAATGGAAATCGATATGGAACCAAGTTTAATGAAGACACCAACCAAAGGAAAGTTAGAGCAGGTTACAAACGAGCAACCTCTTGAAGACAAACCAAGCTCAAATATTTGGTCACAGGTTGTAAAGAATCTTGTTGGTGATAAGCCAACGCTAAAAAATAAACCTGTTCTCGATTGGGCTATGATCACTGAGGAGGATGAAGAACTTAGGTCAATTAATCGTGCCGATGAAAAAGAAAAACGTGGAGATAAAGATAGAGATAGAAGAGATGAAATAGAAGATAGAGAAAGACAAAGAGAAAGAGGAGGTGAAAGAGAAAAAGCAAAAGAAAGAGATGTTAGAGATAGAAAAGGGAAAGGAGATGTAAAGAAAGAGGCTTTTGAACTATCAGTAAGAAGAAGCAGAAGTAGAAGTCCAAGTCCACCACGATTACAAGCACAAAAAAATAGAGTTAGTTTTGGTGGTAAAGCAGGCAGGGGTGGTAGAGGAGGATTTTCTGGAGGAGAATTATCAAGCGGAACAGAAGAGCGTAGATCAAGACACGTGAGTTTATTTGATTCCATGGATGGTGTACAAGAGTTACCACCACCTCCTCCAACCACAACCCCAATAGTTACTCCTACAACACCAGCTCCCAGACCAACAAGTGGATCGAAAGCACCTCAAAAAACATTTTCATTTGGTGGCGGTGGCAATGTCGGCAATGGCGCACCTGTTGGAGGTCTGATTGGCAGTCCATCTAACTTTAACAATAACAACAATAATAGGGATGGTAGCTTCCAACATATAGGAATGGCATTCGGATCTGCTCAACCCACCCCATCTGGATCACCATTCTTGTCAACATTTGGCGCAGCGACAACAACTTCGCTCTTTGGTACTTCATCAACTTCATCCTCCTCATCGTTTGGTGCTTCACCAACCTCATCTTCCTCACCTTTTGGTCAAAGTTCAACACCATCAACAACATATGGATTGAGAAGTTCGACAGTCTCAACAGGAAAGGCTGCACCTGTAGAGAATAAACCTACCTTTGCTTCTTCTTTGTTTGGAGCACCCTCCCAACCTGCTGCACCACCAGCACCTGCGCCAAAGGCACCTGTGACTTCGTGGAGAGCACCTTCATCATCTCCTGCACCACCACCTCCACCACCAGCAGCGTCAGGACCACCTCCACCACCAGGCGCACCATCTCCATTAAAACCGACCGTTCCAATTAGTGGTATGCTTAGAAGATTATCATCGAGCTCTCTTTCACAAAGCATTTCACAAGAAAAATCGGCACAAGCTCCTCCACAACAACAACAACAACAAAAATTAGTTGCTGATCAATCTTCCTTACTTAATTCAATTAAAGAAGGAGCCAAATTAAAAAAGAAATCAGTGTCACATTCTTATTCCCCAACTGCACCATCTTACTCACCAACCTCACCATCTTACTCACCAACCTCACCATCTTACTCACCAACCTCACCATCTTACTCACCAACCTCACCATCTTACTCACCAACCTCACCATCTTACTCACCAACCTCACCATCAATTAATCCGTCAGATTATGTCAAAAGTGGAGCAGCAGCAAGTGCAGGAAATATGAGACTGATGGACACTCTATCCTCTGCATTGTTTTCAAGACGTTCAACAGTTAAGTTCGACAGTTATTCTGAAGATGAGCCGAGCGATGACGATTGGGACGATGATTCACCAATGGAACAATTGAGTATCGATCCTGCTCCCAAGATGAAATATGAACAAAAGAAGGAGGAATGCTTGTCAGAAGAGGAAGGAGAAGATTTCAGAATGTCCTTGTTTGATGATGGTTATAGTGTACCTCTTACAGAACCAAAATATAACAAAGATATTGGTGCTCCACTTGCAAAATCGCAGCCAGAGAGAATCTATGAAGAATCAGAAGAGGATTGCGGTCTATTTGATGGAGATTTTGAACTTGAATTACTCGCAAAACCAGCTCCTAAGCCAATTTCTACTTCATCATTATCATCTTCATCAAGTGCCAAGAGATGCACTGTCATTGCAAACGATGACTCTGATGAGGACATGGGATTCGATTTGTTTGGCGACTACAGTCAGGAAGAAAAGAAAGCTTCACCACAAAAAGAAACGGAATCGATTGTTTGGAAACTCAATTCAGCAATCAACGGCAGAATTATGGAGGTTTTGGAGATTCTTGGTATCCCATTGAATGATCCGTTCATCCAAAAGGTTAATAAGAAAGAATACACCAGAGTGATAAACGAGTTGGTATTTGTTTTCCTCAAGCTACTCATCCATGATACAGAGGCTGCTCAAACCATGTTGAACAAGCTCAATAGATTGGCCCAAATCAAAACTGTACAAATCGATAGATATAGTCCAGCCTACTATTGCCTCAAGAGAACAAGATATGCACATCTCATTAAATCATTGTAAAATCAATAAACATCGTAGACAAATTTGATTAAACAAAAACAAAAATTAGAACTTTCTCATTTCTTTTTATTAAACTTTTTCTTTTCGTTGTTATTCTTTGAATTATTCTTTCCAATGCTGAAATTTTGAGATGAATTTGTCGTCGACTTTGAAGATTTACTCTTTGAGTTAAAAATCATGTCAATATCATCCATATCTGCATCTTGATTTGATTGATCATTCATATCATCGCTACCAATCTTTTCTTTTTTAACTTTAACTGGTACCTTATCTTCATCTTCATCTTCATTTTCATCTTTGTTAGAATGTTGATAAATATTCTTTTGTTTCTTTAGTGGTTGTTGTTGTTGTTGTTTGGTGCTGGTAGTACTGGCACCATCATCCTCTAAGATATCTTGGAAGAGTTTTCTCTTTTTATCGGTGGTTGCTTGCGAACTTGCCCATTGATCCTTCTTTTTCTTAAAGACGTTGATGTGACAGATCAAGAGAACATAACGACCAGCGGGTGTGCTGAACAGACGTGGCTCTTCTTTGGCCAACTCCTCACAGATCATCTCCCTAAGACTGAGATCGGATAACTTGTAGATTCTCTCCATTACAAAGGATCCGCATTTATCAACACCTATATCTGGGAATCTACCCTTTAACTTTTTGATGAACTGGTGCTTTCTCTCTACTGTGATACCGCAATCCAAGAATGCATCCAATACTTTGCTACCGACTGGATCGACTGCCATCACCACCAACTGATCGCTTTCCAATTTCATAAAACTATCGATAATATATTGAGTGTAATCAACATTAAAGAATAACAATTTTTGTAAGATAATCGCACCACACATTGAATACTAAAATGATTATTTAAAAAATATTAATATTAATGTTTTGCCAGTCACCTGGTAAATAATAGAAAAGAAGATAATACCTTTTTGTTCTCTGTAATATTATGTTCAAGATATAATAACTTGTTTACAATATCTTTGATATCAGTTTGAACGTTTGGTAATACTGCTGCATTCAATATCTTTATCAACTCTCTTTGTTGTGCATTCATTCTTAAACAACATTCAACCAATTTTTGAACGATTTGACCTCTTCCCATATCTAGATATCATCAGCAGCAGTAGTAATAGATTCAATTGTATTAATAGACAGAATCAAATACAACATATCTAAATATAAATACCTATTAGTTTTTTAAAATTGTCTTTAAGCTCTTGGATCAATGTTGCCAATTGTGCATTATCTCTAACGTTTTCAATCAATGATTTAACAACATGATTCGATACTAAATCCTCAGAGAACTTTACCAACTGCAATCTCATCAATGAGAATATTCTTGAATAACTTGTGTTTGGACATGACTATTTGATAACAATAAGTTAGTTAAACTATAATTATGGAATATTTATAAATATTCGTACCTTTAAAATAGATTCAAAAATAAGAGAACCAAACTTATTATAGATAACCTCTAAGAATCTATCTTTTTCAGTTTGACCTTCATTCTGTGGTGTTAAAATGGTATCGAGAATACTGTTGAATAGTTCGGTGTTACTGCAAGATAGCTCAATGATTGTCTTTATAGTCTCTCTTGTCTTATTGTTGAAAATCAATAAAGGTAGTTTCTCTTTCAACGTTTCATGAATAGTAGTCAAAGCAGCTTGGATCTTCTCTTTATATGCAGTAGGTGCTTCATATGATTGAACTATTATCTCTCTTTGTTTTTCTTCTTCTGATTGCTATAAAATTGTGTGATTTGTTTATAACTATATAAATAAAACTTCTATTGGTATCACGATATTGTTGATTACCTACATTATGTTTACTTCCTTTCGATGTTGAAAACTTCTCGGTAACGGTACCACTCATAATATTGAATAACTTTGATAATACAAATGGTGCACTTCTATCTTCAATTACACTACTGATATTTTCAACAAGAATCTAAAAAAAAAGAAAAAAAAAAAAATATTTATTAGATAAAATAAACATAAATATTATATATTATTAATACTTACATCAACAAGTTTAAATAAGATCTCTTGGAATTTGATAAGATCAGATTTCTTGGCTTTGGCAATGATTACAGGGATTTGAACAATGATAGACTCCAACACTCTGGAACCATTGACGTGAGTGGCAACTACCATAAAGTCGTATTGTAGCATCGAAGCAATCATGATAATCTGTGATGGCAATGCACGCTTCAAAATACCTTCTAGGATGAAACTACAGATACGATCTGTAGCAACCAATGTTGCTTTGCTCTCGATCTCTTTCAGTGCATTCTCAATGATGATATTATGATCTAACTCGTCGGTATCGTCATCGTAATCCTTTGGTTTATCGGTGATAACCTCATTGATCTTCTCTAAATAGTTTCTGGTTTGTGTATCGACCTCTGTTACTTTGAAACTCTTCTTTTCTGTTGTAGTATCGGTATTATCTTCATTGTCATCCTGTTGTTGTTTTTCATTGTAGAATGGGTTATCACCGCCGCCGCCTCTTTTGTTTCCACCTTCTCTTTTGGTTTGTGATTGCTGCTGTCCACCAGAGTAGAATTGATTATCGGCTGCATCCTTTCTTCTATTGTTTCCGCTGTTGTTGTTGTTTCCATCTACGCCTGGACAATCTCTTGAAATATGACCTGGTTGATTACATTTGAAACAATTACGATCGTTTCCACCAGCTCTACTTGAGATAGAGGACGATGACTCTGGACAATCTCTCGAAATATGACCGGTTTGATTACATTTGTAACAACTACGATCGTTTCCACCAGCTCTACTTGAGATAGAGGACGATGCCTCTGGACAATCTCTCGAAATATGGCCAGTTTGATTACATTTGAAACAAGCACGATCATGACCAGTACTACCACCCTTTTGATTTCCTCTATTACCTCCATTATATTGGTTATTATTGTTATTATTATTTTTATAACCACCTGACGATGCCTCAGGGCAATCTCTAGATATATGACCTGTCTGATTACATTTGAAACAAGCACGATCATTTCCTGCTCCTCCACCCGAACTACGATCGTTTCCACCAGCTCTACTTGAGGAAGATGACGATGCCTCAGGGCAATCTCTCGAAATATGACCTGTCTGATTACATTTGAAACAAGCACGATCATGACCTGTTCCTCCACCTTTTTGATTACCTCTAGGTCCTCTATTACCTTTCTTATCTATTCTAAAAAAATCATCATTATTATCTGACATTCTGAAAAATATATATTTATTATTAAATAAAAATAAAATAAATACAATATTTTAACCAACATTTAATTTATTCTTTGTCGTTCGTTTTTTTTTTTTTTTTTCTAAATTTTTCAATAATTTTAATAGACCATTATTCGAACGTTACTCAAAATTTTGACTTTTGGTAATTTGGTGTGTGATCAAAAATATGAATTGAACTCTAAATTTTATTTAATTTTTTTTAATATTTAATCATCTTTATATTATTTATTATTTTAAGTGTATAAAGAAATGAGTACAACTACAACTACAACTAATACACCAGCAAACAATGCACCGAAACCAGTAAATACAGCAAATATACCAAATTTTAAGAAATGGACAATCATATACCCACATTACATTAATTCAGAGTTGACCAAGGACGAAGGAAGAAGAACTGCTAAAGATAAATCCGTTAAGAATCCAGGTATAGAAGAGATTGCTAGATGTTGTGGTGCAGCTGGTCTGTCTGCTGTTATTGAAGTACGTTACCCCAATCCAAACTGAATAATCTATTTATCAATGAACTAATATGAAATTAAATAATACAATCAAATATAGAGTACAAAAGGTTATCCATCTGATTTCTTCCAAAGAGGTAGAGTTAGAGTTCAAATGTTAAATGACCAAGGTGCACCAATAATCCCAACTATTAAGAATAGTATGTTTTAACTACAACAATTGATAGATTTTTTATTATACTTATATTATTTCTATAAAATAGAAACTGAATTGATGTTATTTATTGCTGAAAAGATTAAATTAGTCAATCCAAATCGTCCAGAAAACTTTAATCCAATATCATTACTAAATCTTCCCCAACCAGCAGTCAAGAAAGACAAAGAAGAAAAGAAAAAGAAGAAAGGAAAAAATTAAATGTAAAAATAAATTAAACAAGCAATCACGATAAATCAATTCATAAAAGACAGATTCAGTTTGGAAAAGAAATAATATTTGAAAATTGTTTAAATTTAGTTTCACGAAGTGATCTTTAACTTTGCATCTGCAATGGTTGTGGTAGTTAATCCAAGTGGAATACATAAGTAATTCATTTCAAACAGCAATAGATAATAAATTTTAATTATTTTTTTGATAATTGTGGACGTTCCAACTGAAATAGTATGATATAAGAGTTTTATTTTAATCTCTCATCTTATTCGATTTCAAAGGATGTTGTTGTTGTCTATTGTTTGCATTCCTTTGTCTAATTGCAAATTTATTATTATTATCCTAAATTAAATTTGCATTCCTTTGTCTAATTTAATTTGCTCTATATAGATGATATTATCAAAGAAAAAAAAAGATAAGTCGATATAGTTCTTTTTATCGACAATCTCTATCTAAACAACATACATGTTGACGATAATGATCGAGACAAACACACAGCAGATTCATCTTTTTTTTACCATCCCATATTAATTTTCGACTTCCACCACACTAATTTTTCAATTTCAAAATTTTTTTCAAAGTTAACTTGCTTCCACTCATATAAAAATTTCAAAACATTGTGTGACAAAGTTCACAAAACATGCATTTTTTAGCTTTTTTTTGACTTAAAAAAAAATTTTAAACTGCATCATAATTTTATGTATATAAAAAAAAAAAAAATAAGATTTTAAATAAATAACTTCATATTATCTTATTTGAAGTCATAAATCTATTTTTTTTAATTTATTTTAAATTTTAATTCAATTATTTCTTGTATTTTTAAATTTATTTTATTTTATTTTATTTTTTTTTTCGAAAAAATTCGAAAATTCAATTGAAATTTTTTTTATTTCATTCTTTTTTTTAAAATTAAATTAAGTTAAAAAGATATAGATGAAATAACAGGGTATAGAATGATACAGCAAACAACAAAGACACATGATATACTTTTTTTTTTACTGCGATTCAACAAAATTTAGTCAAAAAAATAAAAAAAAATAAAGTATTTTACTGGCGATATTAAATTAATATGATGGAAAAAGGGTAAAATCAAGATTTTTATGTGGATGGGAGGTGGTATTACTCCAACCCACCTTCATATTATCATTTAACCATTCCAAAATTTTGAGTTGAAATTTTTTATTTTTATTTTTGGGGTTGTGGGGA